AAAATCCCCCGGCTGCAGTTCCGCGGCGGAGTCTCTAGTAACCTCTTGCATGTGAGGCTCCAAACTCTTACAAACGGAGTGGATCCTCTGCAGCCCATCGTTCCCGGATTGGATTGTCTCGCTGGCGAGAGAAAGTCTAGTCGCTGCTTAGGAGCGGCCTGCATACGAGAGACAGACTCTAAGGTCCAATGTGATAGGTGGCTGGTTTCGCGCGATGGCACGTGTCGGAAGAGATGAGTTGATTTTCTTTTTGTCTGGATGTCTCCAGTGTCTTTCCTCTTCCTTTCCATGTTCCCTGTTCCCTGTCGTTTGAAATGGGGCAGGAAATTGGAATTGTCCGAGAATGTGACTGATCCAAGAACCAGGAACCTTTCAGGACACTCTAAGGATAGAATTCCAAAAGTACTTCTGTTGGCTGAGACTGGAGGAATAGCAATCAAACACCCAAGTCAAATCCAGCCACAGATCGCTTTGCTACATGTGTTGAACCTTGACGATCGGGCAAGCAACGCACTACCCCCATTTGTCAAATTTCTCGCTTCTGCCCCCTGCATCCCAGATCAAGCCCAAACACCACCATCCGATACTTCTGCAAGGTACGAAATTATGAATTGCGATCAGATCCCCTCAACTTACACCCTAGCTTTGGTTTCACAACCCATTTGTAGATCATGGGTTCTTTCCATCCTCGTATCTATCTTCTTTTTTTTTGCATTAAAATGTATATATTTATATACATTTTTCGTCATATTTCCCCCCTTCGATGATCGGCTGCAGAACCTGGTAACCAATGGGCAACTCGGTAGCCAGAGAAGAACACAGACACAGACACACGGACATAACCCTACCGACGTTTACGCGGCACATAGAGGCCATGTGAGAACCCAGGAAGACCGCCCAGACCGCACCATCGGGCTTGTTTCAATAGGAACAGTTGCGACTAATGCAACGAGCCGAGACGGAGGTGAGTCAGGTAGATTGGATGAACTTTCAACATGATTCATTTGCGCCTGCACTGCCTGGCCATCCGGACACGCACATCTACAATGTTTGGTACCGTTTGTCCTCTGCGGCGATAACCCGACTTGCCGGGCGTGATGGTTACCGTAGGAATCGATCAACCTGACCTGTCCATCTCCTCCATGCCGCCTTGTTATTGGACTGGTCAATTGAGAACCCCCGTCTCCGGTCGCAGTTTGACAATCCGACCAGGGTTTTAATTTCTAACGTCCAGAGGCCGACCATCTCAATCCCGACTGCCACCGCGTCTTATTAGGCCGTATTAATGGGCGGATTGGCGGAAGCGGAACCTAGGCCGTCCACTGGCTTAGTTTCCCCCCAGCCAAACTTCCTGCTAATTCCCAACGGTTCCTGGTTTGATCCCGTTGTGCTCCATTTTCTAGTCGAGTTCTAGGCGTAATTTATTCCTGACAGGAATTACCCTGGACTTCGTACGGAATCAGTACCCTAGTCTTTGATCGACTATGCTACTAAGGCTGGTAGTTGAGGCTATTTACCCTTCTGCCCTCGGGATCCTCCATAACGGGAGCCACAGTGCCACACCACCGAAAGAGAAAAAAAGAAAAGATTTTTTTTAGGCATATCCAGTCGCCCGACTCTCGTTCATTCCATCTCGCCTACTTTCTCCATCAGACCCATGAATGGTACGATCCGCGACAGAACCATGGTACAGTTCCGTCCGGATGGAGCTTCTAGAAAGGTTCTGGAAGCTCCGGGTTATGGATACTCGTGGGTTGCTTCTGTGGAGGATTGATTGCTGCCTGAGAATAGAATCCGATGGAAGGTGATCCTGACGTATCGAGCTGATTGAGACTGGAACTCATTGAATATCAGGATTTGTTTGTTTGTGGTGTGAGCATCTATCCATTCCGTCCTCTGAAAGGATGCCCATCACGGACAGAAAAACGCGATAAAATCAAAGGAATAAATAAACATGCAAAAGAGCTGTCCAGACCCTTTCGAACAAGGAAAGATCGAAGCATTATCACATCCACCAGATTACATGTCAACTTGCCATCCGGCAGCAAACAGCCGACTGCTACTCGGTCACCCGGCCAGAAATTCTACCGGTCTATTCTGGAGATAACAAGGAGTTTCCATGGTCGCTTATCATGTCGAACAGCACTTTGGCCAAGACCACGACGTACTCTAGGACTTTCTCAGGATCTACTTGATTGTCTCTCGGATGTACGTACGGAGTGCATACATCTTTTTCATTCTCTATCTATCAACTGGGATGAAACACGCTTACGCGCCGACTGGCCCGGGAAGGCAGGTCAACCCTAGGGTTCCCGGCCATGAAAGAGACGAGACAAACGCACTCCCGAGCTAAATTCGATGGCCAGAATGTCGGTAAGAGTCTCGAGACCATGTAATCCGTAATAAAGAATGTGGCTGGGCAACCTGAATCCCTCTGCCGCGGTATTCCGCCGCCCCATCGGTGGCGAGAAAGAAGTGGAGGACAACAGTGGAGTCGGAGATAAATTACTTTCCTGGCATTTGTCTCCTTTACGGATACATTGTACGCCCTCCGTACGGGAGTCCGTCCGACTCTCTCTGACAGAGAGAAGGTTGTTGTCGACCTGCCCGGAAAGGCATTCCCTCCGCCCGATAAACGCCGGGTCACGGGGTTCTGCTTTTTCGCCGTCTTCCTTCCTTCCTTCGACTTTGACCCCGTCGCTCGCGTCATCCCGATGCCTCTAATGCACACTACCGCAGAGTTTCCTCAGCTTCGCTCTAGTCTGGCCCCCAGACTCTCACATGTCAAAAACCGAATGGGCTCTAGATACAGTGTGGCGAGACCGGCCTCTCCTCGTGGACATGCGAAGCTCGTCTCCAATCACCCCGGCCTCGAACGGACACCAATCCTTCACTAATCCAAACCACTCCGCCCTTTAGTCTTCCAGTCTAGAATCTGGAATGTCGTCCACCAGACATCTCGGGGGACACGTGGGACGATACACCCTTGTTTTAAATGTCCACCACGTAAGACGTGGGCGTTCCAATCCCTCCAACACGCCTTTCCTATCGGAATCAACGCCGCGTTCATTGGACGTACGAAATGAGATCTAGGGCGCGAGAAATCAACCAGGATTTCGCTAAGGATTACCTCCTCGTCCTGTACTCTGTACGGTCAGCCGTTCTCAGGGCTTGTAGATCCCTGTGTATTTAGGGTTGAGCAAGAGTACGGGTCCCCGGTACTTTGTTCCGTGTCCGATCCAGGGAATCCGTTCTGGACGGTCGGGAACGCAGTGCTTCCAGGACTTCGGTTCGACTGGGTGTAGAGACACATCCGGTTGATCGAGGCGAAAGAAGAGAAACATATGAAGCGCTCCATCATTCTGGAACATCATTTTCCTTTCCTGCTCGGTTCCGGAGCCCTGCCTCACCTCCCTTTCGGGCGCCAGCCCAGCTGATCTCCCCTGAATCACTCGGAATTTGTTGGCATGGAATGGTCGGATCGGTCATTATTGGATATGTTTGTGATGTGTTGATCCGGCGTAATGGAACACAGGGGGGAAAGGAAAGACAGAAGGGGCCAACAACCGAAGGGCTGGAATTCGGAAATTTTCTTGCAAGGCTCAATCAAACCTACGGAGTGAGAGCTACAACAAATGATACCAACCAGGAACTTAGCTGCATTATTGACGGATGATAATCATGCAGCTGCAGCCATAAAAGGGGGAACCTAGACCTCTTGCAGCCGCCACCCACCGACCTGCATACTACGCATACTACGGCCGGGATCGATCAGCCGTACCTGATGCATCAACTACTTACCCAGCAACTTGGAAGGTCACAAAAAAGAAGCATGTTGTGATCGACGGAATGGCTTCCGGACGAATCAACGATTCCGATATTTTCACCGACAGGAAGGGGATTCGCCATCCGCCGTACACTTGCATCCACGATCCGTCAATCAATCAAACAATCAACCATCGATCTCCTCGCGTCGCCAGGGATATTGTGTCTGTCTTCTGCAGGCTCGATCCTTCCATGCAATATTGCCGAGCGAGGCCGGTGGCGTAGGTCCGTGCATCACGTCGCCTTTCTACAGCCCTCCATGGTGTTCGCACATAAGTACGATAGCGACACTATCCATGCACAGATTCCAGGGATGTGACTGACTCCTCACCGTTCACTTCTTCCACCGTAAGAACACCCATGTATCACGTGAACACATGGCTTTCAGGTCCGAGGGAATGGAGCGGTTCCCAAATTCCTCACTTGATTCGCCTCCACATTGCGAGCCGATGATCAACTGTACAGGAAGGGGGAAACCAGGCCCCGGCCAACCATATGGGCCATTATCCGATGGCAAAGGGCGTCTGCTTTGAGCTCCCCTTCATTCGCTCCCGATGAACTAATCGCCATCAATTTGACATGCCAAGGGAGAATACGAGTGCAGTGGTAACTAGGGATTGAGGTTGATTCACGTCGATTGATTTGAGCTTGATGACGCTGTCATACGTGGTGGTCAGATGCAAATAGTCATGCAAAATAGTATTGCCAAGCTCCTTCCGGAAGGCATGGAACTGCAAGACCGAAATTCTCGCTCGGATTGTATTTTTTGGGGGAGGACATTGATGATTAATAATGGGCTCTACAGACTCATCAACGGTTCTATGAGAAGGTCGGATCATAATTATTCGTTCGCCGTCTCGCTTGAAGAACCTTACCAGAACTTTGTTCCGGGATACTGAGAGACAGAGAGAGAGAGAGAGAGAGAGAGCGCACCGTTCAATGCAGGACGGCCATTTGCATATGGCATCTTGCTTCCTACATGCGTACTCTATCTAAATATCATCGACGCACTTTGTTATAGACTCGCCGTAAGACACCAGAAAAAACAAGGAATTTTACTCAAGGAAAAGCAGGCACCATAATGTGAAGAGGATGGAAAACGTATTATTGCTAATAGATAGTGGCTCCCTATACCAACATTTGCAGAGTGAAGCCAGTCAGCTACACGGACGTTCTCATGGTCTCGAGTCTGTGCCGTACTTTGAGAAGCAGCTGTACGCCATCTCGTACTGCAGGGAACTTATCAGCAAGGGCACGAGTGGAGTTCATTCATCGTAAGGCACTTACTTGCTCATCAGTCTGGCAAATCAATATCCGCGGTCCATGGCCGCTTGTCTTGGATGAGATGTCTGTGACCGGTTGGTCATCGGCCGGACCTTTTTCATTTGCCGAAGGATCAATCGCAAGGCCAATGCATGCACACTTCTCAATCAGCGTCTTTCTCAAAAGCGCACTTTGCTCGCCAATTCCGCCAGCGAAGACCACCGCGTCGATCTTGCCTCCCAATTTCACGAAGTAGTTCCCCAGGTAGCCCAGCATGCGATCGGTGACTATGTCGAACGCAAGTTTATGCTGGGGGCTAGGAGGGGTTTCCACCGCGATCTGGGCGAAATCAGTTGTCCCTGTAAGAATCTTCCAGCCTGATTTCTTGTTGAGAATTTCCTCGGCCTAGACTTCAAGTTAGCCCGGCAGTCTCTGACGTTTCCCGGGAGTGGGACGAGGATTGTACCGTGCTAATATGCATCTCCTTCGTGCTGGAGGGGCTTAGCTTTCCTGCTTCGTTGGTATAGTGGAAGACAAGCCTGAAATTGTGTTAGAGAGAAAGGAAATGCACGCTGCTCAGAATACTTCAACGGAGACAGCCTATACTCACGATGGATCTATATCACCGCTTCTGGTCGCACCAGGCAATCCGGCCAATGGGGTTAAACCCATGCTAGTGGCACAAAGTCAGCATATACCCGTAATTATCATTGAGCAGGGATATATCTCACGTTGTATCCACCGATTTCCCATCTTTAATTGCACACATCGAAGCCCCGCTTCCGATGTGCATCGCAATGACATTCGTCTGCTCAGCAGGTTTTTGGAGGAACTCGGCCACCGAGCGCAAGATATACGAATAGCTGATACCATGGAACCCGTACTTGCGCAGCTTGTTGGCCTTCGCCACGTCCTGATTGATCGGGTACGTTTTGACATAATCAGGAAGCGTCTGATGGAACGCCGAGTCGAAGAACGTGATGCTGTTGACCGACGGGAGCTCGTTGCGGCATGTTCGGATGATCTCCAGCGCTGAAAAGTTATGTCTATATGGCTGTCAGTCGAGGTGCTTTCAATCATACCATCCATCGCCTTCACATGGTCCACATACAAGGGCGCCAGGTCCTCCAGCTCTTCCAGATGATGATATGTGTCGTCATCGATCTGAACAGCCGAGGTGAACTCTCCGCCATGCACGACGCGATGACAGATATATGCTAGGTCGTCACTGCCAGCGACTTCGGAGAGCTCGTGGTCCGAAAAGCAGCGCTGCAGCAGAAGCTTGAATGCATCCTGGGGGGTGCCGATGGATTCCTTAAGCTCCTCTGTGTGCTTGTTGGAGCCGCGCGAGTATTTCAGTGTCGGCGGCGGGGCCGTGATCCCGGAGATCTGAGCATTCGCGATGACTTGTGGGGTTTTCTCATATGTATAGAAGGTGATTTTGACGGAGGACGAGCCGGCATTCACCGCGAGGATCGACTTGGGCGCCATCTTGGAAAACCAGGCGAGTGTACAGCAAATACAAAGTGAGATTCAATTCCAATGACAAGCAATCAAGAAATCAAATTAAAAAAAGTGGACTGCGACGATTCCCTGTTGCTGCTGCATCGTCCGACTTTCCCGGGTCGAGAACGGTGGGCGTGTGATGTCACTGCCGGGTGACGTAAAAGGCGACACTCCTCGACGTATATCAACCACCAACCATCGCAAACCTGGTTCGAGCTCTAACAGGACCCGAACTTTCTCTTTTCCAGGCGGTCGATCAATTGATAGCCCTACAGCCTTGCAGTTAAAATAGGAAGGGGAAAAAAAAGACCATCCGATCTGGTTCCTATCCTCTGCTCTTAGATGCTCCACAGCCATGCCTGGTGAAGTGATTGACAGGCCTAACCCCAAGGCGAAACCGTCGCATATCCCGGATGTTGTGCAGCAGCTACAGGTCCAGCTCGAGCAGACGAGCTTAGACCAGTCTGCTAACGATGGCCTGCTGAAGTTCCGTCGAGCAGCTGCTTACATCGCGGCGGGTGAGATCGCCCTTTGGTTTCAATGGTGCATTGGATCTTAACTGACCATCTATCATTCAGCGATGATTTTCCTGCAGGATAATGTATTGCTGCAGCGGGACCTAAAACATGAGGATATCAAGCCTAGACTACTTGGTGAGTGCTCATTGGCCCCCTGTGACCAGAGGTGGTCGGCTCACAATATCAACAGGTCACTGGGGGACATGTCCCGGCCTTGTCTTGGTGTACTCCCACCTCAACTACGTTATCAAAAAGCATGACTTGAATATGCTCTTTGTTGTGGGACCTGGACATGGCGCGCCGGCTTTGCTGTCCTGTCTCTGGCTTGAAGGCTCGCTGGGGAGATTTTATCCTCAGTACTCCCGCGACGGTGAAGGCCTGAAGAATCTCATCTCGACCTTTAGCACTTCAGCTGGGTTGCCAAGGTTTGAATTCACTTTCTCTGGGAGAGGTGCCTGGGTGTAGCTAACCTCCAGCAGTCACATTAATGCAGAGACGCCTGGTGCTATTCATGAAGGCGGCGAGTTGGGTTATGCGTTGGCAGTATCGTTCGGTGCTGTGATGGACAACCCCGATTTGATTGTGACTTGCGTGGTTGGAGACGGAGAAGCAGAGACAGGACCGACAGCCACGTAGGTTTTCCATGGCTCAGTTGGCGAGTGTCCAGCTTGCTAATCTGCAAACTAGGTCATGGCATGCAATCAAATACATCGACCCTGCAGAATCTGGAGCCGTTCTCCCAATTCTACATGTCAACGGGTTCAAGATCAGCGAGCGTACAATCTTCGGGTGCATGGATAACAAGGAACTGGTTTCCCTCTTCACTGGCTACGGTTATCAAGTCCGCATTGTCGAGAACCTCGAGGATATTGATGCGGATCTTCACTGCTCTATCTCGTGGGCAGTCGGTGAGATCCATAAAATCCAGAATGCTGCGCGCTCCGGAAAGCCTATCATGAAACCCAGATGGCCTATGATCGTTTTGCGAACACCAAAGGTATGTCTACCGACTCTCTCCTTAGAAGAATGCCCCGAACTAATCACTCCTCGTAGGGTTGGTCAGGGCCCAAGGAATTGCACGGGCAGTTCATCGAGGGATCATTCCATTCACATCAGGTACCTCTTCCGAATGCCAAGAAGGACAAAGAAGAACTTCAGGCTCTTCAAAAGTGGCTTTCCTCGTACGGTCCAAGGGAACTGTTCACAGAATCTGGGAACATCATTGAAGATGTGAAATCCATCATCCCTTCGGAAGAGTCGAAGAAGCTCGGTCAGCGACCCGAGGCCTACAAAGCTTACAAGCCTCTCGACCTTCCGGACTGGAAGAAGCTATGTGTCGAAAAGGGCTCCCAGCAGAGTGCGATGAAGGCAATCGGCACTCTAATAGACCAAGTTTTCACGAAGAACCCCCACAACGTCCGGTTATTCTCTCCGGATGAGCTGGAGAGCAATAAGTTGGACGCCGCACTTGAGCACTCTGGAAGAAACTTCCAGTGGGATCAATTCTCCAACGCCAAAGGAGGCCGTGTCATTGAGGTGCTGAGTGAACACTTATGCCAGGGATTCCTCCAGGGGTATACCTTGACCGGCCGAGTGGGTATGTTCCCCTCTTACGAGAGTTTTCTGGGAATTGTCCACACGATGATGGTGCAGTATGCCAAGTTCATGAAGATGGTTAGTGATCCCCTTCCTCTTGCCAACCGATGGATAATTTGACATCTAACTATCCGATAAACTATCAGGCCCAGGAAACGAAGTGGCACGAAGGTGTGGCTAGTATCAATTACATCGAGACCAGCACATGGGCTCGGCAGGAGCACAATGGCTTCTCCCATCAGAACCCATCCTTCATTGGAGCGGTTCTCAAATTGAAGCCTACCACAGCCCGGGTTTATCTCCCACCCGATGCGAACACTTTCTTGACAACTCTGCATCATTGCCTGAAATCAAAGAACTACATCAACCTGATGGTGGGTTCGAAGCAGCCGACACCCGTGTATTTGTCACCCGAGGAAGCAGAGAACCACTGCCGAGCCGGTGCTTCTATCTGGAAGTTCTGCAGCACGGACGACGGTCTTGATCCAGACGTGGTTCTGGCTGGGATCGGTGTCGAGGTGATGTTTGAAATCATCTACGCGGCTGCCATTCTGCGAAAACGCTGCCCTGCCCTCCGAGTGCGGGTGGTCAACGTGACGGACCTCATGATCCTGGAGACTCAGGGATCCCACCCCCATGCGCTCTCCACGGATTCATTTGACAACCTGTTCACTGCCGACAAGCCCATCCATTTCAACTACCACGGCTATCCAAATGAGCTGCAGGGGCTGCTTTTCGGACGGCCACGCCTGGAGCGGGTCAGCATCAAGGGTTACATGGAAGAGGGAAGCACGACGACCCCCTTCGACATGATGCTGCTGAACCAGGTATCCCGGTACCACGTTGCGCAGACCGCCATCAAAGCAGGCGCGAAGCGGAATGAGAAGGTTTCAATCCAGGAGCAGGAGTTGACCTCGGAACTGGCCCAAAACATCGTGAAAACACGCAAGTACATTCTGGAAAATCGACAAGGTGAGTGTTCCGGATCTTCGTTCGATGTCTGCTGAAGAGCTTGATGGATCGTTGCTAACCCTTGATCAGACCCTGACGACGTGTATGACACGCCGGAGTTCAAGTAAGAGTAGTATAGTCCTGTGTACTAGTAATGGTTTCATGATAGTGATGAATCAGTAATTAATTCGAATCCTGTGTACATGTTTCAGGGGGTCTCATCAAACCCATTGCCAAGCGGTAGCCAAGTCATCGTCATAAGTGATCGGTCCAAAATGCAGATCCAGTGTTTCAGGGCTGCTCGACTCAAACTTGAGACTTTCTGCAGTCGAGCATAGATCTGTCTGCCTGAGGCCCATAACTGGCCCATCGAGACTAGCGGCTGCTGACGTGATGGCGGCCTGGGGCGGCAAGGCTGTCGTCGTCGTTGTCGTCGCCGTCGCTTTGCTCTCGACTCTCAGACATCGCCCGTGTCATCCTTCGTGATACGAGATGCATCAATCCAAGGGCCAGCACGTCTTCATGGTGTTTGTGGATGCCTATCAGGGGCCTTCCTGAAACTATCCATCGTGCATCGGGATTGACTCATCCACGAAATGACATCATCGCTGGCACCTAATGGCCCCGACGGGTGCTTGTCGTCCCGGCCGAAGAGGAAGAACCCGGCCGTTTATATAAACCCGTTCGGTGAACGGGACCACTGTGGCTGGCCGGGCTGACCAGAACACGAAGAGAATAATGGGGCTAAGGAATCCTTATCCACTGTGCTCGCCAGATACTTCGGGCATCGGAGGCTGGAAAACCTGAAGCGACATGCCCTTGTCCGCTGTTTCTCGGCCTTCGGGACTCGCGGACGATCTAAACCCAAAAGGGCGGACCTTGCGAGCAGTCAAGACCGTGGGGGACCCCATTTTTGGGGCCTGGCGAGCCCTGCGCCGAATGACCTTGTGGTACTCTGTGCATGGCGATGCAATCAGAATGCTCCGTTTGGCGGGAGACCCCCGCCGTACCGTTGGATCGAACTGGGATCCCGAACGCAAAACGCGAGATACTCGTCAAAATTTTGTGTCTATCCGAGCTCCGACAAGGGGGGCTAATGATTATGCCAGGCTGCCGTACGTCGTCGTCCCATGGCCGTGTGGTTGGTTCAGGGTTGAAAGAGATTTTGGGAGGATTTAGTTCCTGGTCCTCTCGTCTAAAACCCCAAGCTTCTCTTGTTTCTTCTTCGCCCTGTGCGTTTGATGCGCCGTTGTTGGCAAAGCTAAATAAGTACCTGAGCCATCCTTTGATCCTGGCTTTCCAAGTTCCAACAATCTTATAGTTTGTTCGCCGCCTTGTGGAGAAGTCGCCTTCTAGATTATATTAGGGTCTCCCAAGTCCGGCTCTTCCGGTCCTTTTTTCACTGATCGCGGCTGAACGTGCTCTTCGGCCAGTCCTATTACACTATCAAGATCCAATCTTGGTGGTCATTGACCGCAGTCTCGCACCATGTTCACCGGACTGACTGACGAACAGCGAATGCAGCTGAGAACCGGCTGTCATTCCACCATTCCAGGTTTAGGTACTGGTTACGGCTATGTGCCATCGCTGGCAGCAGGCATTGTCTTTTTGGTTTTGTTCGGTCTCTCGATGCTCGTCCACACGGTTCAGTTTGTCTGGAAGAGAAATTGGTGGTGCGTTGTTTTCAGCATTGGATGTTTGAGTATGTAATCCTTTCCTGATCTTGGCCGGCGGAAGTTGACTGACTTGTGCAGCGGAGATCATCGGCTGGGCCGGACGGACGTGGTCTGCAGAATGTCCTTACAACTCGAATGCTTTTCTGATGCAGATCTCAACACTGATCATCGGTCAGTTGATAGAAACCCTAGATCCCCAAGTCTAGCGATGAATGTATTAACAGTTTCTCTCTATAGCCCCGACTTTCTTCACTGCGGGTATCTACGTCCTTCTCGGCCGCTTCATCCAAATCCTAGGCCGCGAATCCTCCATCCTCGGCCCTAACCTTTACCTCTGGATCTTCTGCACCTGCGATGTGATCTCCCTCGTCATTCAAGCCATCGGCGGCGGTATTGCCTCCTCCGAGTCCGACAAGGTCGACGGCGACACCGCCCCCGGCACGCACATCATGGTTGCCGGTATCGTTTTCCAGATGTTCTCTATCACCGTCTTCGTCGCCTGCGCCGCCGACTTCGTCCGTCGCTGCATCAAACACCGACTCCTCCGCCAGACCACCGGCACCATCTACCCCCTGTTCGGCGCCATGGTATTCTCCGTCGTCTGCATCTACATCCGAAGTATCTACCGAACCATCGAGTTGTCCCAGGGCTGGGACGGATACCTGATCACAAGGGAACGGTACTTCATTGCGCTTGACGGCGCCATGATGGTCCTTGCCGTGGCCGTCTTCAACATCTTCCACCCTGGCTGGCTGATGCCCAGCAACAAGTCGATGGAGTTTCAGCGCGAGTTGACCTCCAACGACGGGTATGATGTGGAACTTCGCTGATTTTTCCCCCATGTACTCTTAAATTTCTTGTTCATAGATACCGGTTTTTCTTCTTCTCCTTTTCCTTATTTATGTCAGTTCAGGACTAGACTGGACTACGTCTTGGTCTTTCGGTTTACAAATCTACAGGTAGATACTAGCAAGCGCGTTTCAGGTTTCATTATGGACGATACAAGGTTAATGTCAAATAATGCTCATTCATGTTGATGTTCAAAAATAGATTGGATTCGCAGACAGACAACCTCCCTTTCTCTGCCAATGAACAATTCGTAAAGAAACAAACGCTTGGACCATACATATGACGTAGACTCGTGACGCTAAACCCCGAAAAGAATCAAAAGTAATAAATCATATACCCTAAGGGCATGTAAATCCCGAAAGAAAAGAAAACGAACCAGGAAGGCCAAACAAGATAGGTCCAGAAGTAGGCAATAGACAAATTGATCTTGGATCTTTTCCCTGTGTTTCTCATTTTGGTGACCTTTTTTAACACCCTCTCCCCTTTTTTTAAGCACACACGCCTTGCTGAATAAAACAAGCAGACAGTCAACTTCGGTACTTCGGTACTTCGTAAATCGTAAAACATGGCTATACTCCGTCAACAGCCTCGATCCAGCCAAAGGTCCCTGCCACGGCGAAAGTCGCAACGGCCCAGAGGGATCCCCACGCTGACGCGCCTTGGATGTCGACCCCGTCAACGGTGCCCACCAGCTGCACGACGGTATTGATCACCAGCATACTAGCAAGGATGCAGGCGCGCGAGATCAGGACGCGCGTCTTGGCGGACAGGGAGCCCCATGACTTGCGATAGATCGCGGAGGCGAGATACTCGCCCTGTCGAGCAGAAGAAGAATCCGACTTCGACGCTAATGCGCCGGCGGAGCTAGCGAAGAGGAAGTCTCGCGCGGCCCAGCCGGCGGGGAGAAGGGCGACGAACAAGACGGGGAGACCCGCAGGACCGGCGTGCACGGCGCTGATATCGGGGATGTTGACGAAATGGAGGACCAGCTGGGCTGGGATCCAGGTGGCGTAACTGATGTACAGGACCACGGTGAAAATGGATGTTGCCGCGACGGTGGTGTAGATGGTGGTCGCGCGGTCTTGAAGGATCGATCGGTTGGAGACGGCACCCCGGGGGGCGCCGGAGAGGTTGTGCACGGAGGATGGGTTGCGGAGGACCATGAAAGGGATTGACGTCGAGGAGAGAATAACTGCGTACGAGATGAGGACGGTGGTCGGCCGGATGTGGTAGAAGGACGCCAGGAGAGCGAAGGTGGGCAGGTGGGTAAAGAAGATGAACGAGGACACATCTCGACCTGTTTGTTACATGATCAGCAATTGGGAAATATGAAGGACATGGGATGGTAAATGATTCACTCACCGTCAAATCCCAAGATCCAGGCCAATCCAACCTCGACGGCCTTCCATGCTGTCAATCCCCCCACTTCCCACCATCCCTCGCGGTGTTTGCTCACATCACCCAGTTCGCCCTGGGTGATACCCGTGGAGAGGGTAAACAGGGTAGAGCTGAGGATCAAGCTGCTAGCCACAACCAGAAGAAATCGAACCGGGGATGGAACGCGTTCCAATTGAGTCTTCTGGCGCAGGTGGCTGGTCGACCGGTCCACTGCGTCGGCAGCAGACTCCGTCTTGTCAGTGACTGTAGATAGAACGTCTTTCTTGCGCGGGGCCATGGTCAGATCGGTTCCTTGTGAGATGCTAGATGCAGCGATCAGAGCAATTGAAGACGACACAAGAGAGAAAGGAGGCAATGGAGAGGGGAAGGTCAAGCAGCCACAAAAAAGAAGGCGGGAAACCGATTGCAGGCGGTGAGCGCGCGATGATGTCATGGCGATTTAATGCCGGAAAAACCAGGTGACCGGCGATGACCTCATGCTCGAGTAGACTCCGAATGTACATTTCTATCAATGTATGTGCTACAGTAATATACAAAGCCAAAATCCCACGGTCAGTAAACATTACCATAAATATATCCTTCAATCGTCCTGATCGTCATCGTCTTCCGGGCGCTCCACAACTGAAAACTCAGCCGAGCCGTTGTCGCGTCCCTTGTAATCCCGCAGGCGAAGTTGATATTTGCCCTGATCCCAGAGATCTTTAATGGTCAACTCCCGCGTACGGCCAAGACTCTCGATATCTCCGATCCGCTCCAGAGTGCCCTCGAGGTGCTTCTCGAAGTTGGGTTGCTTGCAAATCTCCCGGAAGGCAATCTGCATGGGGACCGAATCGGCGCGGACCATGGCCCGTGAGTCAATGGTAAAGATGTTTTCATGGTCATAGCTTTGGATGAAATCGGCTCTGGTCATAATCTCCCGGGCCTCATGGAGCGGGATCTCGGGTAGAATATGGCCAACGTGAGGGTCGTAATTCTTCTCCATGGCCTCCTCCTTGTCAACAAGTGCCTTGGCAAGAACCATGGCGGCAGACTGTCGTGATATTAGCATTTTGCAGCCCACTAATACATGCCGTGCGTCGCAGCCGATGTACGTACCGAGAATTTCTGCTCGTCCATAACGTCGTCATCCATTTCAGGTCCCAGGATCCAGCATTTGTTGAGGAACCAGCTCTTCTCGGCCTGGCAGATGGACTCACAAAGACTCATAAAGTCTTGGGCCTTCGCAACTCTATTCAGGTAGGATAACCGTCCACCAACTTTGTCGTATACCTTCTCGAGAGTCTCGTAAGACAGTTCTTCCTTGAAGTAGCGCTTGCGGTAACCCTTCAGAGCGCTGATTGCTCGTTGCTTGGGTAAGTCCGAAACCGGGATGACCTCCATTCTCGCTGCATATCGTTTCAATCGCTCATAGACCCAGTAGTCATCGCTGTTGAGCACTTTGACGGTTGAAAGCAACGCGTAAGTAGTCGGACATCACAGAGCAAGGGTCCCTCCAAACTCACCTGTGGTCACTAGGTTACTGGCCGCCCACTGCTCGGCACGTTGCTGGATCATTTCGAGGAGATTCTGGCCATCATTGTCATCCTTTACCAAATGTGTGCTGTTGATAATCATGACCAATGGTGGCAAGCCTTTGCGCCTTCTCTTTAGGGCAACTTTCTCCAGTTTGTTGAAGGCACGCTCGATATCCAGGAGGGCGGTGGTATCCCGAGGGCCCTTGATGCTGAAGAGGCTCCCAATATAACTAGGAAGTTGCAATGGTCAGCACCGGTCCGGAACGCAAAATAGGACCAAAATAAAAATTCGGCAAAGCCTACTCTTCATGAAACTCGAAGTCCAACGCTTTCCCCAATCTAATACGGAAGATTTCCAGATCGCCATGGGCCTCAAACATGGAGCAACCATCGCCTTCGATTTTGCGCATCGCTTCGAGCAGCATAGACGTTTTACCGGTCCCTTTCTCTCCGATGATAAGGTAATAGCGGCCGCGGCCCTCGCCCTTGATGATTCTGTCGATCCTAGGCTGCTCATCGCGGACCACCCAGTGCTCCTCCGTTTGGTACTGGTGCTTTCCAGCTTCCACCCCGGCGACCTCGAGGGCAGGGTCGCCCGGTGTAAAGGCATTTTCCATCTTCTGCAGGATCACATACTTGTAGTACTGATGATAGGAGTACCCAGCCAAGCTATGCGACAGCTCGTTAGCCAACGAGAGGGGGTGTATTCCATTAAACTCGGGAAAACGGCCTACCCTAGGACAGCGATGGAGGCGAAGGTTGTCGCTGCAGTCTCCAGCATTCTCAGGATGGTCGATCTGAAGGTAGGGTCCGAGTCATTGGCTCGGCCCCGATCCCGATCATCGTCTCTCGCATCTTGGTCGAGAGGATCCGGATTGGGATTGTACAGAATCGGACCCTGGGAGAATTGGCGACCGGAGTGATAGGGGACTGCCGGATGTGATGTCCGCGGCCTCCGCAGGGCCAGATGAGGCCGAGAGATCAATGGAAAAGATCGCCGGACATTTCGATGCAACAGCATCTTCCAAGCCCAGGCTTGATAAAAAGTGGGGATGGAATTCGGTAGAGACAGGAAAAAGAGGGAAAAAATAAAATAAAATAAAATAAAAAACCGGAAGCCAAGCTTTTGCAGGGACAAGGAATGTGCTGGACTGGCGATAGTTCAAATAGCTCCCTAGTGTTTGGGTAGAAAGTGTGGCGCAGTCATAGATCAGGGGCAATCAAATGAATCAATTAATCAACCGCACGAACATGCCGGGGTCATTGGGGGGGTTAAAAGAGAGGCAGGGGGGCAACGATTGACAGCGAACCCGAAGCAAGGAGACAAAGGGAAAAAAGAAGGTGAGATTGAAGTTGAGTTTGATTTGGAAGGAAAGTGGAATTTCTCCGCTGCTGCGCCTCACCGGCCGATCGATGGGGCTTGGCTTCTGAGTACATCTACCGTAACACCAGATAGAAGTAGAGTATCTGTCGTAGATGGGATATATCATGATGGAATGGATATGTTCAAGGGTTTTATTTCTCTTTTTTGTATAAGATGGTGTGAAATTGAATCCTGTTCGTGGATATATATATGATGTCTCTAATATCCATGATATACCAACGCATCGCCAATTCATGCCCGACAAGAAACCAGAAATCACATCCATCGATCCAAATCAATCTGTCTGCGCTGGCACTTCATGTCCTCATCAGAGGCATTAGAAAGACGATGTACCGGCACCTCTGACACGCCACGGCCGTGGTGGCGCCCCAGGTACCGGTGACGAGGCCCGTCCTCACCGCATCCGTGGATACCCGCGCAAACCCTAGGAAACGAAGGCATCAGGAACACAAGACCAGCGAGAGAGCGAGAGGACGGGCGTTCGAGATGGACGACAGGGACTGTAGGGCACCGTAGAACCAGCAGCATCATCTACAATCCCCAACCCATCATTGGCCACCCCCCCGCGGCGACAATCCCGGGGAGAATTCCTGGTAGTCATAGAAATGCCGGGAGAAATTGTGGATTTCCCACCGCCCGAGCGATTCCGAGGCGATTCCCGCGAAATTTTCTCTGGCCCGGTTTCCCCGTGTGCTTTCTCCAGCTTCAACCTCTCTGCCACTGGCCTGTCTTTATCTCGTCTTCCTTCTTCCATTTGTCTGCTTTGGTCTGGGTCCGGGGTTGTCTTTATATATTCAATTGCCATCGTCCTTGTATCATATTCCCTTTTCTTTTTTTCTGATTCTCCCGCCTGTTTTGGTTTTCCGCCTTTTTTTCCTAAATTTTTTTTTCTACTTCCCATCCGCGGAATTTGAGATTTTAGACAAACTGTCAATTGAGACAGTTTCAACGTTTCGCTTTACTCTCCCCTAAAATCATCTCCCTCCGCTCAATCACACATCATGGCACAGACTAATGGTGAGATGGAGCACTCGAAAGGTACGTTGTTCCCGTCGGTTATTTGGCGGAGGACTCGACCGGTTAACCGCCAGAACAGAGTCTCCCGAACAACTCACCAACGGAAACAACCCCGAGGGTCAGGAAGAGGAGGTCAATGGTGGTATGTAATCCTGCAATGCCTGTCTCCGTGAAGGAGGATCGGGTTGATAGCTAACGCCGACATCCGTTCGACAGGCCTCTTCCAGATCTCCGTCAAGCTTCCTCACGAGCCCTACAAGATCCAGGTGATGGTGGGTATTCAGGTCTACGAAAATTTACTTCAGCATCGGTTGGCCTAATCATTCTATTCCAAACTTCAGGTGTCGAGTCAAGAGCAAGTCCAGGACGTCCGCCAATCGATCGTCGAGCTGCCCAGCACTTTCCAATACACCTGTTTCCATCTGGAGTTCAACGGCAGCCGCATCAATGACTTCGTCGAGCTTTCCGAGGTGCCCGACCTCAAGTCCGACTCGGAGATCGTTCTCGTGGAGGACCCCTACACCGAGAAGGAGGCTCGCATGCACGTGGTGCGTATGAGGGAGTTGGTCGGCGCTGCCGGTGACCGAGTCGACAACCTCCACGGTATCGATGCCGGCTTGTCGCTACACGATGCGATTGCCGAGGAGGCTCTTGAAAAGGAGAACTCGGATAAGGACCACTCGCTGTCGAAATACGACATCGTCGGTTCCTCCTCCCTGAAGACCATCCTTCCCAAAGCCGAAGCTCCTCTCCCCAAGACCGTCAAGTCCATCTCGCTATCGCCGTGGAACCCTGCTCCTTACCATCTTCGCCAGAAGGGCCACTTGCTGTACCTCCAGGTCACCACCAACGAGGGCGAGCAGTTCCAGATCACCTCGCACGTGTCTGGATTCTACGTCAACAAGTGCTCGAATGTCAAGTTCGATCCCTTCCCCAAGACGGTCCCTAAGAAGGGCAGCGCCCATTCTCTCCTGACCCTCATCTCTCACCTCTCGCCCTCGTTCAACACCGCTTTCGAGGCTCTGCAGGAGTCCAACAACAAGAAGGACCTCCTGACCACCTTCCCCTTCCAGAACGCCATCCCTAACAGCCCGTGGCTGGTGCCTTCTCCCTCCTCCAACGTGAATGCCCACCAGCCCGACATCACGCGGTCCCAGGAGAGCTACCTGATCGCCGGCGTAGACAACGCCGAGACTCTGAGAGACTGGAACGAGGAGTTCCAGACCACCCGTGAGCTCCCTCGTGAGACCGTCCAAGATCGCGTTTTCCGCGAACGTCTGACCTCCAAGCTGTTTGCCGACTACAACGAGGCTGCCGCCCGCGGTGCCGTTCTGGTTGCCAAGGGTGAAGTCGCTCCGTTGAACCCCACGGAGGGTCGGGACGCTCAGATCTTCGTGTACAACAACATCTTCTACTCCTTCGGCGCTGATGGCGTTGGCACCTTCGCCTCCGAGGGCGGTGACGAGGCTGCTCGCGTGGCTGTTGGCAAGGATGTCCTGGGTATCAAGGCTGTCAACCAGCTCGATATCAACGGCTTGTTCACCCCCGGAACGGTTGTCGTCGACTACCTGGGCAAGCGTATCGTCGGTCAGAGCATTGTGCCCGGAATCTTCAAGCAGCGTGAGCCGGGCGAGCACCAGATCGACTACGGCGGTGTTGAAGGCAAGGACGTCGTTGCGACTCACCCCGACTTCGTGTCGGTTTTCGAGAAGCTGTCCAAGGCCCTGCGCATCAAGAAGCATGCCGTGTGGGACAAGGACGCCAAGCGTCATGACCTCGAAGGCAGTGTCGAAACCAAGGGTCTGTTGGGCACCGACGGTAGGAAGTACGTGCTTGACCTTTACCGGGTCACCCCTCTGGATGTGGCGTGGCAGGAAGAGGAGGGAAGCGACGCCTACCCCCATCGGATGTCCGTCTTGCGACTGGAGCTGGTCGAAGCGTACTGGAGACAGAAGATGAGCCAGTATGTGAAGGCTGAAGTCGAGCGCCGTCGCAGTGCCAAGGCCGAGGAGACTGCCGCCAAGGAGAAGTCCTCCGAGACCGCCGACGCGAAAGAAGAGGGCTCCGAGGAAAAGAACGAGGAGGCTCTGGACCAGGAGCGGGTTGATATCTCGGGATTCTCGCTGGCCCTGAACCCCGACGTCTGCAGCGGCCAGGTCCCCCAGACCGACGAAGAGAAGGAGCAGTGGGCCCAGGACGAGAAGGAAGTCCGGGAGACCTGCGATTTCTTGCGGTCCAAGGTCATGCCCGAGTTGATCCAGGACCTGCACGACGGAGATGTTGGCTTCCCCATGGACGGACAGTCGCTCAGCCAGCTCTTGCACAAGCGCGGTATCAACATCCGTTACCTCGGCAAGTTGGCCCAGCTGTCCCTGGAGAAGGGCGCCCGCCTGGAGGCTCTGTCGACTCTCCTTGTTCAGGAAATGATCGCTCGTGGCTTCAAGCATATTGCCAATGAGTACCTGCGCAACGTGCCGGCTCCGTTCGTCGCCTCCTGCGTGGCTCATCTGCTGAACTGTCTGATCGGCACCGACGTTAACCCCAACCCCCGCCCCGAGATCGATGCGGCGATGCGCGAGATCTACCCCGAGGCTGATTTCTCTTTCGAGAAGGTCACTCCCGCCTCTCTGCGGGCCGACATCGAGAAGCAGGTTGCCCTCCGTTACCGCTTTACCTTGGCATCTGAATGGTTCAACTCCCTGAGACACCTGCAGCTTCTCCGTGATATCTCCATCAAGCTTGGTCTCCAGCTTGGCGCGCGTGAGTTTGCGTTCGAAAAGTCGCAGCTTCCCAAGGTGCCCGCCACCAACGGCGCCAACGGTGCCGGCAACGATGATGGCAAGAAGGGGAAGAAGAAGAAGGGCGGCGATTCTAACTCCCCGGCTCGGGCTGCTAGCCCCGAAAAGCCCGCCGCTTCTATCGTTCCGGACGATATCCTGAACGTTGTGCCCCTCGTTAAGGATGCGTCGCCCCGGAGCTCCCTCGCGGAGGAGGCTCTGGAGGCCGGTCGCATCTCCCTCATGCAGAATCAGAAGCAGCTGGGCCAGGAGCTCATCTTGGAATCTCTTTCTTTGCATGAACAGATCTACGGCATCCTCCACCCCGAGGTTGCCAAGCTTTACCACCAGCTTTCCATGCTCTACTACCAGACCGACGAGAAGGAGGCCGCCGTTGAGCTGGCTCGCAAGGCTGTCATCGTTACTGAGCGTACCTTGGGTGTTGACTCTGCCGACACCATCCTGAGCTACCTCAACCTCAGTCTGTTTGAGCACGCTTCCGGAAACACGAAGACCGCGCTGGCCTACATCAAGCATGCCATGGATCTGTGGAAGATCATTTACGGATCTAACCACCCCGATTCTATCACCACCATGAACAACGCGGCCGTGATGCTGCAGCACCTGAAGCAATACGCCGATTCGCGGAAGTGGTTCGAGGCCTCGCTTGTGGTGTGCGAATCGCTCTTCGGCAAGCAGTCCATCAACACCGCGACGATCTTGTTCCAGCTGGCGCAAGCTCTGGCCCTCGACCAGGACTCGAAGGCTGCCGTCGGTAAGATGCGTGATGCCTACAACATCTTCCTCAACCAGCTCGGACCCGAGGACCGAAACACGAAGGAGGCCGAGACCTGGCTGGAGCAGCTCACCCAGAACGCCGTCTCCATCGCTAAGCACGCTAAGGACATCCAGGCTCGTCGCCTGCGTCGCATCAACATGAACACCCGGTCCTTGGGCACCAAGGTTCAGCCTCAGGTCGGCCAGTCGGCTCCCGAGGCGTCTGGTGCGGGCAACTCCTCGTTGGATGCTCGGAGCGTTGATGAATTGCTGAAATTCATCGAAGGTGGTGATGCCAGCGCTTCGCGCTCCAAGCAGAAGAAGCGTGCCGCTGCCAGCAACCCTAAACTCCGGGGTTCGAAGAAGTCATCGGCCTAAATCTCTCACCTCTACTCCATTTCTTCTTTCTTTCTTGGGTAATATAAAAACAAAATTCACGCTGGTGTCTTATACGTGTGACGGCTAGATGCTATACTGAAAAAACCAGGGGTTTACATGTCGGATGAGCGGGATAATTATCTTTTTATCATTTTTCGTTGACTTGCCTTTTTCTTCTTCTTCTTCTTTTTTTTTTTTTGTTCATGTGCTGTAGAAACCTCTCTACTCTTATTTTCTTATGGGTTTTGGCCTTTCCACCAGGGATTGTTTATCGCGGGAAGTGCATAGCAAGGATGGGTGATTTGCATGCCATAGTGCTTTGGAATAAGCTATGTATTATATATATGACCTTCAGCTATCTGACGCATGCATCAATGACGAAACCATGAATAGTATTCATTGAACTCCACTCCATCAGAGGCAAGTAGATAATTCTGGTAGTTGCCGTGTTTTCCAGGCACGACTGGGGGAGGGAGATACGGAGTACCTCGGATGAACGTTGTTCCGCCTGCGTGCGTGGGCCCTTGACCGCCTTGGCAGTATCCAATGTTTATTGTCTTTGGCGGAGGGCCCATTCTTCTTGTCTTCTTTTCATCCCAGCATCTTATGGCCTATTGGTGCCCATTTTCTGCACAACCTTTTACACTGAATATATCATACCTGTGCACTTAATCTCTGCATTCTGTTCAATTTCCGCGATGCCCCTGAGCTGCAGTTTCGCAAACTGATAGTAACATGGAACTCCTTTGATCGACCGTAAACAACGCGATTCAAGAGCTTCAGCCGCCCTCCTGAAGACGAGCATCCTTCCGAATGACCGTATCAATTGACGATAAATCTGGCCGCCTGAAAATCTCTCCGCGACATGGAGGACGTACAACCGACCGCAAAATGGGCGAACCGCATGTTGCGCCCCTTGGCCTCCATCTACCATCGCTTGGAGAAACACCATGAAATCCAGATCAGCGTCGCAGATGCTAAACTCAAAGAAAGATCCGAATCCCGCGATGCGATTCCGGCCCAGCAACCATCAAAGAGCTCCGGAGCCGAGCAAGGCTGCTCTTACTCGGACGAGGAAACGGGTGATCCGGCCTGGATTCCGGGGAAACGGGAGAAACGACGACTACAGCATAATTATTCGAGTCGGGGACAAAGAGGAAATGCGGCTCGACGGCGCAGCAGACTGTCAATTCGCAGTCCGGAATTACCAAAAACTCTCCCCGGCGCCATCGAGATTGCAACACCCTTGATCACCGGCAGAGCGCGGGGCCCATTGGAACCCTCCTCGTTCAGAAAACAATTATTTCGAAATGTCGTACCCCCTGCAGACCTGGCCGCTTCGACCGGTCATCGCAAACCGACGCGAACAAACCACTCCAATTTCCCGGCCTACCAGGGCTCGTGGAAGCATGTTCTCGATTTGTCTGGAGACGCGGGCTTTGCTGATATTGCGCATTTTCTAGACCGTGCATTTATCAAGTTCTTGCATAGGACCCCCATTAATGAGCAACCTCGGGGGACTCGGTCATTGTTGTCGATGGCCGTGCGACGTCTCCCGGACTTTATTACAGAAGAACAGAAAAAACAAGATGAGTTGGATGAAGATGGCGATGTGGATATGTGCGATGCATACTTCACAGAATTAGAAGCACATTATGCGCCCATGGGATATGGCTGGCAGCCACTCCGCGAAGCCGTGCGCGCGCAGGGTATTCACCTCGTCTCCGAGATGATACAAAAGGGATGGATCACCAAACTGGCTGCTTGTCGACTAATGGAAGAGTGCATGACGCAGGGCGAATTTGATGCATTTGAATCACTCATGTCAAAATTTCTGACGACCATTGGAAACTATGAATACCCGGTCACTTTTGATATACACAAGCCTGTGGGCCATTGGGGTGGCCCGGTTCACATCCTCTGCACTTACTACAGGCGGTCTGCAGAGAGGCGGTCGTTTGTTTTCGAGGAGCTAGCTAAACTTCTTCTACGTCGAGTGCTGCCTCCCGAGTGGATGGTTACCGCCCAGTGGAAAAAATGTATAGACGGGGCCATCACATCCTTGTCCGCCGAGGATGGGGACTCTGCGGCTGCCACGCGACTGATAGAAGCCGTCGTGCTTTCAGCTGGCGCAATATATCCCGCGACCAATGCAGTACTTTCTACGATTGATTGTGAAAGCACTCCGCGTCGGGAGCGTTTCAGAGACACACGTGCTTCGACAACGAATGTGACGGCATTGCCCACGGACCAGACGCCATGCCCCATTCCAATCCAAGATGCCTTGAGCAATCTTGTCTCAAGCCTCGTGACTGCGCTCTGTGGGATGTGTATCGCGCGGTCGCAAACCTCCGACGCTAGCGAAAAAGCCACCGGCGCGAAAGTTCGCAACACGGTCGGATCGTTGGCTTTCGCCATTCAACGCGACATTGAGATGAAACTGTCGCCGCAGGGAGCTCAGGGGCCGACTTTTCGATCCCTTCGTCGGGCATCTGTTCTGCTCGGCGACTACATGCTGGGCTGCGGTGAAGAGTCTTCGGAGGCTGTCGGCGACTGTGCCTCTACCCCAAGACGAAATCTTGAATTATTCTTTCAGTCATTGGCTGCTCAGCATGACACCGTCAAAGAGTTGGCGGAGCTCGTGCGGCAGGTTTTTCACTGCTGTGGGCAAGTGCGCAAAGGCGACAAGTCCCGGACACCAAGAGAGGTCCGTTCCAGAGTGTCCCAGTTGGCTCGGTCTACGAATGGAAACGGCGTGCCTCTTCTGTTGGGCAAGGTAGCGGCAGAGACGGCCATGGGGCTAGCGGAAACGACCCTGGACCCGGACGACCATGTTTGGGCCATGGAGGTTCAAGAGCAGGTCGTCACATCCCAGCACAACCTAGAAGCGCCACGACTTGAAACGTCTAGACGGACGGGTGGTAGTGGATTATATCGATGGGAAGATGGCATTGGCGAATGGGTGGCGAGCACTCCGGCGCCCAAACCCAAGGCACACGTGGACATGAGGTCAAAACGGGTCGAGCTGCGGTCTCAGCAGCCGCCGACCAAAGCCTGTTCCACCAGTAGCACCTCTCCCAGCTCTACCAACTCCAGAAAGGCCGCATCAAGCATAACGTCATCGGCGCCATCCATCACTACCAAGCGGACGTGGACCCCGGCAGACCGCAGCAATCCAAGATCCCCCAAAAGGCTTCGGTCGACCCGTCGGGAAGAATGTGCACAAAAGACACAGGATTCGCCCCTTCTTCCCGGGGGCCTCCTGTCTGCATCTTTATCTGAGTCAGATCGCACCCCGATAGCCGCCCGCACCAGAACTGCGCGTGCGTTGAAGGAATTGGTCCATGCAAAGAATCGACCGGCAAGGGGGGTTTTCCCCGAGCCCAATCTCACTAAGATCGAGGTGGTGGTCGTCAACAGAAAAAGTGACCTTTCGTCGAAGGGAACCGAGCCCATTGGTCTGCGTACCCGTTCGGCTCGCAGCAGGATGTCTCTTCCCGGCACGAAATTGGAGGTCGAGAACTCTTATAAGGCATGCACGGCACCTCCCAGCATCCCTCTGAGACGGACACGCAGGCGGGTGTCTCGTCCTCGCACCACCAATCCTAGTCAGGAGGAGAGTGAGGATGAGTTGAGTTTTCTATAACTATGGGGCGGCTCTCTCCGACGGATGGGAATCCCTGCCATCCCCCATGACACTTATTTTTCTTGGTCCTTTTAATCTCCGTGGAGCTTTTGGAGCCTGATTTTTTTTTTGTTTAGGTTTTTTTTTTTTTTTTTTGTTTTTTTTTCTTTTCTTTCCATTTTCTTTTGCGCCCCTTCCTTGGCCTTCTTTGTTTTTTTCTGGATTTCTTGGGTTGCTGAGGAAGCGCGGGAGTTTTGAGTTTAGGGTTTATTATTTTTTTTTTTTTTGGATGAATGATACCCAAGGGCATTTGGTGCGATGGGGCCTGTTTTGGACTGTTGGTCATAGTTTTCCTTTTTTAAATATTTTTTGGTGGGGAGTGAGTGGTTTGTCATGAATACATAAGATCCTGAGGGTCGTTTTGAGCACATTTTCTGGTAAATCGAATGATTCTGGGGCGGGGCGATGTGACAGGTCCCAGCGACTATGGACTATGCCTGGCGCGTGTCCCGGATTATCCAGGGGCACTGTTTCTGATTTGGACCATTGGATTCCTTCGTGCAACTCGAGGACGAACGAGCAGGATAGGAGCCATTCGGACGACCAGTCAACGACGAGAACGGGCGGAGATTAGTGGTCCCGGGGAAGCGTGATATACGGAGAAGCATATAGAGATTAATCAAGAGTAAGTGACTTGGACGCTAGAGCGACGGATAGTGTGGCTGTCAGTCAAACCATGCGCCGGGGACTCCAGGGGGGGAGGGATATGAAGTGTTTCAATCTGGATCAACGCCTCCATTTATACAGTCAAGACTTTTTCTGGAGCGTCGGACTGGCCAACTCCCAGCGCCAAGCAGGCACTCGCAGCGCCATGTGGGCGGCGTCCAAAGGAACGGTAGATTAAAAGAAATTAACCACCGTCGGCGCTGCTTCCCTTCTCATCGGCGCCAAGCCCGATTATGCAGCGCTCAGTCATCCGGAATCATTTCTTCATCTTCTTCCTCCTTCAGGCTTCCTTCCCTGTCTCGTCGACTGCAACTGCAACTGCAACTGCAACTGCAACTGCAACGCGACGATCAATCATGATGATGATGGAATCCTCATCACTGTTTCCCTTGCAGAAATGATCTCTGCTTGCCCGGTGGACTTGCAGTCTTGCACTGCCAGCCAACCTCGCCCGTCTCTCAAACAGCGATCCCTAACTCCACCGGCCGTCCGTCGCGATGATTCGCCCATGCAAGGCGTCAATCCAGATCCGATCGTCCATCCCCTCTTCGATTGTTTCATCCGCGGGCCATTCAGCGCTCATTTTGCCCTCGCCGCCACCGCTGCGATTTGGGCATTTGCGGACTGAACTGTGGACCGCTGATGATGGCTCCATTTTGCAGGAGCCACCCTAGGGGTCTGATGAGTCGATGACAGGAGAATGTTGTACCTGGCTGGCCGGACTGGCGGATTCCTTTCCCCGTCCCCCCCCCTGTTAGCTTGTTTGTTGGCTGCTGCTGCGAAGGACTCTGTAGCTTGGGAGGCTATCAGTCAATCCAGACTCCAGAGTTGTCCGTTCTTCCTGGTGGACCTGGTCATTTTCCCTCTTTACCAAGCGCCGACCCCCCGCCTCTGGGCGCCGAAAAAAAAAGAGGAGACCAGAGAAGAACGGTGCTGCTTCTTTTTCGTTTTTCCCTTTTTTCCCTTTCCTTTCCTTCCTGTTTTTTTCTTGTCCGATCGTCTTTCCCTTTCAACCTTTGCCCCCCCGTACGACCGTTGCGGGTGCTTCGATTTATTTTTATCTGCTATCCCTTTGCTTCTTGGCAGATCCCCAGTGGGATTTCTCCTGTTTGCCTTCGTTCCTTGATAGCCGCCCACCCAAGAAGTGACTGGTTCACCGACTCACATTCCTTTTCGTTGCCCGTGAACCTCTGCAATTTCGCTCCGAGGATTCGCTCTGGTCGGATTCCTCCCCAGTACAATTGCATCGTTCACCCTTTCTTTGACATCCAAGTGAATCGACTGGGTCGTTTTCTTGGTTCCCATTGTAGTCTGCTTGGGGTTCTTTCTATTGCGACAAACCCTCGAATAAAGAGCCCGACAAAGCCCTGGTTCTTGCAACCTTGCCTCCACTTTCGAGTCTCGCCCATTTAAAATCCAATCGCCGATTTGCTGTTTTGCGCATCGGGGGTTGTATCTGTGAACTCGCACAAGTGATTGTCCAGACCGTTCCGTGATCTCTTTCTCTATCGGATATTTCGTTGGCAGAGCTGGTCTCGCACCCAAAATCTCCGGCCTCGCCGATTGCCTCTCGACCGCAGAGGCGTCGCACTCGTCACTCACTATTTGATCCCGGACTTTCTTTCGTCTAGCTGCTTCTTTTTTTCTTTTGCTTTTTCTTTCAGACTCCTGATCATCATGAGTTCTCTTCTCTTCGGCTTGTCCCTGGTTGGACTCTCTTCCGCAACGGTTCAGATTGAAAAGCGCCATGGCGGGGATCCGTTCTATGAGATCCTTAATGACGATCTCGCTCGTTACACCCTGATGGTCTTGTGCCTGATGGCCATCGTCATTTTTGCCTGGAACACATGGTTCCGCCTCGCCGGCTACCTGAGACAGTTGGCAAGCTTCAACAATGGACACCAACGCTTCTTCATGACGCCTTCCCACACCTTCGCAAAGGTCAAGAACCATATCGTCTACGCCCCGTTGCTCCGGAACCGACACAACCGGGAATTCCAGCTGTCTCGGGCCGTCAACATGGGTACTCTTCCCAGCCGTTTCCACGCCTTCATCCTCGTCGGTATCATCGTCATGAACGTGACGCTCTGTGTTGTTACCGTCCCGTACAAGACCGAGGAAGATAGCGTTGCTGGTATCATCCGGAACCGAACCGGCACCATGGCCACCGTGAACCTGGTTCCTCTCGTCTTGCTGGCGGGGAGAAACAACCCTTTGATCTCCCTTCTGCACGTCCCGTTTGACACTTTCAACCTGATCCATCGCTGGCTCGCTCGGATCGTTGTCTTCGAGACTCTGGCCCATGTGTTTGCCTGGTGTATCCCCAAGGCCCAAGATGGTATGTTTTCCCCCGTTGCTATGTTCTCCCACTGGTCACGTTTTGTTCCCCCATACTGATCGTCTGATAGCCGGCTGGGATATCGTGGGAATGGTGCTTGGAAAGAGCGACTTCTTCATTTACGGAATGCTTGTAAGTGCTTGATGGAGAACCCGATGGGTGATCAAGCTAACTTTTGCTGCCAGGCCACCGCCGCGTTCGTTGGACTTATGCTGCACTCTGTCTCGCCCCTTCGGCATGCGTTCTACGAGACGTTCCTCCACCTCCACATTATCATGGCCGTTCTCTCTTTCGTCGGCCTGTGGGTGCATTTGGAGGGACTTGAAGCCCAGAAGTACTTGCTTGTGGCCATCATTTTCTGGGCGCTCGAGGTATGCGAAATACCCTTCTTGAGATGCGATAGAGTTTGGAAACTAACCACCGAGATTTTAGCGCTTTGCACGCCTTGTAATCGTCGTCTACCGCAACGTTGGAAGGCGTTCGACCAGCGCCTTGGTTGAAGCTCTCCCCGGCGACGCTCTGAGAATCACGCTGAAGATGGCTCGCCCCTGGACCTTCAAGCCGGGTCAGCACATTTATCTGTACATTCCTTCCGTTGGGTGGTGGATGTCGCATCCATTCTCCGTTGGCTGGAGCGAGTCGGAGGAGGTCTTCACCGATGAGAAGGGCATCCCGATGACTCGACAGGATACTCTCGGCACTCAGAAGACGACCATTTCTCTCTTGCTCCGTCGCCGTACCGGCTTCACCGACAAGCTCTTCCAGCGTGCCTTGAGCTCCGTGGGCTCCCGCGTGACCTTGAACGCCTGGGCCGAGGGACCCTACGGTGCCATTCACTCCATGGACTCCTACGGCACCGTCCTTCTCTTTGCGGGTGGTGTCGGTATCACTCACCAGGTGCCATTTGTGCGCCATCTGGTCCAGGGTCATGCCGACGGCACCGTCGCCGCCCGCCGTGTCACCTTGGTCTGGATCATTCAATCGCCGGAGCATCTCGAATGGATCCGTCCTTGGATGACCAGCATCCTGGCCATGGAGCGCCGCCGAGAAGTCCTGCGCATCATGCTGTTCATTACGCGCCCGCGTAACACCAAGGAAATCCAAAGTCCGAGTGCCACCGTGCAGATGTTCCCCGGACGACCCAACATTGACACCCTGGTCGGTATGGAGGTGGAGAACCAAGTGGGTGCGATGGGTGTGTTGGTCTGTGGTAACGGTGGTTTGAGTGACGATGTCCGAGGAGTCTGCCGTAGGAGACAAGATCGCACAGACATCGACTTCGTCGAGGAGAGTTTCACCTGGTAATCGAGCGGTGCACAGGGGGGATGGGGTATCGTTGACTTTTTATGTCGCATTTGGTGCCGGGCTCTTCGTTTCTTCCTGGCCCCGAATGTGGCAGCCCCAGCCCTCCCTGCGCCAGGGCCAGGGGTTTGTAGATTGCAGATGGAAGCGAGTTCAATTAGTTCTTGGGTATATATATATTTACTATCGTTTGTCGCTTAGCAACAGATCTTACATATTTGGTACGATTGGTTCATCTATTAGTGACGCCTTACCCTTCGTCCCGCTCGGGCGGTGGTGGCCTGCATCCTCATCCCCCGCCTCGGTCTACCTCGTATCTGGGACGACTTCCTCCCAGCGGCCCATCATCAAAGAGAATGGCTGATAAATCATGACGACTTGCACCGCCAGATTTGGTCCGATCGCAGCTGATCCGACGCACGATTAATCATCCTTCGATTTCCGACATCGTCAACGGCTTAGAAATCATGGTGGGGCGTTCGGAGGGATGACTGGAGGCTTCTCCATCTCCAGTAATTAGTGGATGGCATCATTCCACGAATTAATCATCAACCGACGGCAATGAGCGGGGTCTTCAGAGCCACGGCGGCGTATAATTACTGCCGGTTCCCTGGGTTGGCTTCGTCAATTAACCCAAACTCTCTTCGTTGCTCTCGTCGCCTGTTTACCTACCAGCATTCGCACTCCTCCACCATGAGTCGCCCGGATCTCACTCTTTACACCTCCCAGACCCCCAATGGGATCAAGATCTCCATTGCGCTGGAGGAATTGGGGTGCGTCGAACATCGCCCCTCGCCTGTGTGACGCTGAGGATGGATCGCTAACCAGCTGTCCTCGTTAGACTTCCCTACAAGGTGGAGAAGATTGATATCTCCAAGAACACCCAGAAAGAACCGTGCGCAGAACCACTTCCCCCCACCCTTCAATCTATCTCACTTTAATTTCTGACACCGGGCAGTTGGTTCCTCGAAATTAACCCCAACGGCCGCATCCCCGCCTTGACTGATACCTTCACCGACGGCCAGAAGATCCGCCTGTTCGAATCCGGCAGCATCCTGACCTACCTGGCGGAACAGTATGACAAAGACTACAAGATCTCTTACCCCAAGGGCACCCGTGAATACTACGAAACCATCAGCTGGCTGTACTTCCAGAACGCCGGCGTTGGTCCCATGCAGGGTCAGGCAAACCACTTCTCGCGCTACGCCCCCGAGCGCATCGAGTACGGCGTGAACCGGTACGTCAACGAGACCCGCCGCCTGTACAGCGTGCTGGACCAGCATCTTTCGACTTCCAAGTCCGGCTACTTGGTCGGTGATCACATTACCATTGCCGACATCTCGCACTGGGGGTGGGTTGCGGCCGCCGGATGGGCGGGCGTGGACATTGATGAGTTCCCCAACCTGAAGGCGTGGGAGGAGCGCCTGGCCGCTCGGGAGGGCGTCGAGAAGGGTCGCCATGTGCCTTCGCCTCACACCGTCAAGGACCTCCTGAAGAACAAGGCGCAAATGGAGAAGGCCGCCGCCGAATCGCGGGCCTGGATCCAGGATAGCATGAAGGCGGATGCCAAGCACTAAGAGGCTCGTTGTAGCCCACCGATAAAATTTGACGCCGTGATGTATTATGTCTTGATAGTATTAGTATTAGCAGTAGTTTATTTGGAAATTGAACGTTGGTCTCGATATTACGGAGCATAGTCTGGAGCACCCTGATTCAGGCAACAAGGCATCTAAATTAGTCATCGCACGTGATCCCCAGCTTGCCACATCGCGGGAGCTGCAGTGCCGAAGCCTTTTTTTACCTCATTCGCTTTCATCCGGGTTCAAAGAACAAACTCGATCGCTTAGTTGCTCACCGAAGGATATTAACCTTGCTACCATCACAGCAGAATACTCAGGACCCATGGCCTGGCGTAATCAAGGAATCACGGGTTCCAACAACATCCCGTTGGGTCGCAGACGATTCGGAGGTGACGATCCTGGCGAGGATGACAGTCGCACTGCAACTCCGTCGTCTGCGGACATCGGGTACAAGCGCGGTAGAAGTCCTGTTCGCGGTATGTCCCCTTCTCTACTCCCACCTCCGCTTTCTGAACCTGGCTCACTGACACTTCACCCAGCCGACCCCCCTGCTGACGGTACGAAAAGGCGCAAGAAGCGCAACCGTTGGGGCGATGCGCAGGAGAACAAAGCCGCTGGTCTCATGGGCTTGCCCACGATGATCATGGCCAACTTCACCAACGAACAGTTGGAGGCTTACACCCTGCATCTACGGATAGAGGAGATTAGCCAGAAACTTCGTATCAACGATGTTGTTCCTGCGGATGGTGACAGGTGAGTATCTTCCCTCCCCCTCCTTTTTTTGCTCCCTCGTCCGTCTTTATCTTGCTGTGCGTTCACTTTGCTAACTAACCCTTTCTTTGCAGATCTCCGTCGCCTCCGCCCCAATACGATAACTTTGGCAGACGTGTAAACACTAGGGAATACCGTTACCGGAAACGCCTGGAGGACGAGCGCCACAAGCTCGTGGAAAAGGCCATGAAGACCATTCCTAACTACCACCCGCCCTCTGACTACAGGCGGCCTACCAAGACCCAGGAGAAGGTCTACGTCCCAGTGAATGACTATCCAGAGATTAACTTCAGTATGATAACTAACCCTCTAACTCCTAACCGTCCCTGTATTCTTTATTTTCATGACTCTTTCATTTGCTCGAGTCGAGTTTATGGGAAAGACATCGTTTCGTCGATGCCTTTTCGGCTCGCTTCTTGCTAACCCTTTTGCTCTGCTTGATGACCTTTGCTATCTCTCGTTCCATTTCTCAAAGAAAACCAGAATGAACTAACCATAGCTTTTTGCTATCTTTCAAAGTTGGCTTACTCATAGGACCCCGTGGAAACACCCTGAAGAAAATGGAGACCGAATCTGGCGCCAAAATTGCCATCCGAGGCAAAGGCTCTGTCAAGGAAGGAAAGGGTCGCTCTGACGCCGCTCATGCTAGCAACCAGGAAGAAGATCTTCATTGTTTGATCATGGCAGATACTGAAGAAAAGGTTAACAAGGCGAAGAAGTTGGTGCACAATGTCATTGAGACTGTAAGTCATCTCTCCCCATCTGATTTTGGAATCAATCCTTGGAACCCCTTGCTGATGACTACTAGGCTGCTTCGATTCCCGAAGGCCAGAACGAGCTTAAGAGGAACCAGCTTCGTGAGCTTGCCGCTCTCAACGGTACTCTCCGTGATGACGAAAACCAGGCCTGCCAGAACTGTAAGCACTCCGGATCTCTTTGCGATCGTTCACGAATAGGTCTAACTCGGATTTTACTAGGTGGTCAAATCGGGCATCGCAAGTACGACTGTCCCGAGCAGCGCAACTTCACTGCCAACATCATCTGTCGCGTCTGTGGCAATGCTGGTCACATGGCTCGCGATTGTCCTGATCGCCAGAGAGGCAGTGACTGGCGTAACAACGGTGGCTTCGGCGGCGGCCGTCGGGCCATCGGTGGAGGCGATGCTGTCGATCGTGAGATGGAGGTAAGTTTCCTTGCTTTTCCTCGGAACTTTTATTATGTGCATCATCTCTAACCTGAATCTAGCAACTTATGCAAGAACTGTCGGGAGGTGCGCCAGGTGAAGATGGCCACGTGCCTCGTCGCATTGAAGCCGGTCCCGATCAGGGCTATGACGACCGCGATATGAAGCCTTGGCAACGAGGCCCACCACCCAGCGACGTCGCTCCCTGGCAGCAGAGAGGCCGGGACAACCGTCGCGACGATTACGGACCGCGAGACCACGGAAGCGCACCCCCATGGGCCCAGGGCCGCGGAGGAGGCGACTACGGATACGGCGCCCAGGGTGGCTACGGGGCTCCGCCTGGAGCTGCCCCGTGGCAGCAACAAGCTCCCCCGCCACCCCCTGGTGGACAGCCATCGTATGGTTACGGTGGTTATGGTGGCTACGCCCCGCCGGTACCCGGTATAGGGGCTCCTCCTGGTGCACCTCCAGGTTTGGGCGTGCCGCCGCCTCCCCCGGGCATGCCGTCGATGTATTATGGCTCTGGCGGAAGCCCTCCGCCGCCGCCTCCGGGTGAAGGGCCGCCACCTCCGGTATGTGTTCCATCTTCAGAACATGCCAGATTCGTTATTTACTAACTCTTCCTCCAGCCTCCGAGCGATCAGCCTCCTCCTCCCCCTCCCCCTGCGTAAACGCTCGGCTGTCGCGCACGTTGCTTAATGCTTTTGCTACGGAACCTGGCTTTGAAAATCACCGCAAATCAAAAGTCCTAACTATACGACCAGGAGAAAGAATGATAAAAGGTGGGAGGGAAAAGGGGAAAAAATTAATGCTTTGTATTCTGTCTGTACTCTGTCCAGGTCGATAGTCTATACTCTAGTCTTTTTTGGCCAATCCGAACGTTCATTTAATTCGAGAAAAAGCCCTAAGTCTAATTTATGCCTTGACGTGGCTTCCCCATTTTCTGCGAGTGTTCGTATCAGTTGGTGGTTTGCTCCTGGGCATCTTGCATGATTGGCCATTGGGCGTCATGTATGTCCTGCCTACTGCATGCGTACAAAGTGATATGTCTGATTGCCTATGTTCCACTAGTGACATTCCGACAGCCGTTTGGTTCCGAGGATATCCTATACTTTTGCATCTGGACTGCAGTTGTGCGACATTTTCGCGTGTCATACCTGACCATCGCAGGGGACCATGACTGTTTCTTGCCTGATTGGCTAGGCACCCATCTGTGGTGGCCTCAGGCCTTCACGTTCCCCACCGTCTTTCGCCCGATGTTTCCTTCATCATTTCCTCCATTTCCCTCGCCATTCCATCTTCGCATTGGCGTCCTGAGCTGTTGTTTGATCGAGCAATGCATTTCTTCTAATAAATCTCCGCTTTTTTAGGAGCTCGAAGGGATATTTTCTCGTCGACCTGCCTGTCTTGTACATCCCAGGCGGCTCTCATCGTAACAATCTGTACTGCCCCAGTCCTTTGTCAAATCGCTTAATCCAGTATCCCTCCAACCGCCGTGCAACATGCAGGAATCCGCTCAACCGGGAGAAATCTCAATCTCCGGGCCTGAGTTCCACTCGAACTCCCCGGTGCCCCCGTCGTCCCACTCTCAGCGGAGACCTTGGCAGTCGCGGTCTGGAAGGGGAAAATCCCAACCTCATCCGCCCCAGGGTTCTACTCTCGAGAGACAGCAGTCGCGCGCATCCACGGCTCGCACCGCAAAATGGTGGCGCGTTCGGCTCTTCCGGGGCATGGTCTTGGATGTCAAGCGGAGAGCGCCGTACTATTGGAGTGATTGGACCGATGCGTGGGATTATCGTGTTGTTCCGGCGACGGTGTACATGTATTTTGCGAAGTTAGTTGCTGTTGACCCTTCTGGGGCCCTTGGTTTGGTGTCAGTGCTAATTAATTTCCTCAGTATTCTTCCTGCCCTGGCTTTCTCTTTGGATATGTTTGAGAAGACCCATCAGAGCTATGGCGTAAACGAGGTGCTCCTGGCCTCGGTGCTGGGTGCGGTGGTGTTTTCCCTCTTTGCGGCCCAGCCATTGGTGATTGTTGGTGTTACCGGTGAGTCTGGGGTGGAGATTTGCCGGTTCAACCTGATTGAGTGCCTTTGGCTCATGGCGTTTTCTTCGTTTAGGTCCGATCACGGTGTTTAACTACACAGTCTATGATATAATCGCTCCGCGGGGAACGCCATACCTTGCTTTTATGTGCTGGATTGGAATGTGGGTTTTCCCTTGTACTACCTTGATCGATGGATGCTGATGATGCGCAGTTGGTCCTTGATTATGCACTGGGTTCTTGCGATCACCAATGCTTGTAACGGGCTGACGTATGTCACACGTTTCTCCTGCGACATTTTTGGGTTCTACGTTGCCTTCATCTACCTACAGAAAGGGATCCAGGTCTTGACGAGACAATGGGGCACCGTTGGGGAGACATCCGCTTACTTGAGCATCATGGTCGCCTTGCTGGTCCTCATGAGCGGGTGGATCTGCGGCGAACTCGGGAGCAGCAGTCTTTTCCAACGATATGTGCGGAAGTTTCTGGAAGACTATGGTACCCCCTTGACCATTGTCTTTTTTACTGGATTCGTTCACATTGGGCATATGAGGAACGTCGACGTTGCGACACTGCCTACCAGCAAAGCGTTTTTTCCGACTGCGGATCGTGGATGGCTGGTACATTTCTGGGACATTAGTGTTGGTGATATCTTCCTTGCAATCCCATTTGCGCTGCTTCTTACTATTCTTTTCTATTTTGACCACAACGGTAAGTGTTGAATCAATTTGGCTTGGAATCAAAGCTAATCGCTATAGTCTCATCTCTTATTGCTCAAGGAACCGAGTTTCCCCTTCGGAAACCTGCTGGGTTTCATTGGGACTTGTGGCTGTTGGGACTCACTACATTCGTCGCCGGTCTGCTGGGTATCCCATTCCCCAACGGACTTATTCCTCAAGCCCCTTTTCACACGGCTGCCCTTTGTGTGACGCGAGACGTTGCGGATGAGGATGACACCAACAAGGGCAAGGCCGTCCGCATAACCGATCATGTCGTCGAGCAGCGCGTCAGTAATTTCGCCCAGGGCCTTTTGACCCTCGGCACCATGAGCGGACCCCTTCTCATCGTCCTGCACTTGATTCCCCAGGGTGTTATGGCTGGACTGTTCTTCATAATGGGTGTCCAAGCGCTCCAAGGAAACGGGATTACCCAAAAACTCATCTTCCTGGCCCAAGACAAAGACTTCACCTCGGGCTCTAACCCCTTGAAGAGGCTCGAGCGACGTACCGCTATCTGGGCCTTTGTCATTTTGGAACTGATTGGATTCGGTGGTACATTTGCCATAACTCAGACGATCGCTGCCATCGGGTTCCCCGTAATTATTCTGCTCCTCATTCCTGTGCGCGCATTTCTTCTACCGCGATGGTTTACTCGGGAGGAGCTTTCGACGTTAGATGGCCCTACGGCGAGTCCTTTCACCATGGAGAGTGTCGGGGGTACTCATGGAGTAGACGACGCTGCGCCTGTGATCTCAGTCCCTGAAAGGGACGGCCATAGCCAAGAGCGCAAGGCAGGAGGCGATAACGCAGTCATGATGCGTCGTGATGTAAGTTCATCTTCTGAATCACCGATTGATGACGACCTGGAGCGCGGCGATGCCTATGAGCTACAGCCTAGATCGTCTGTTCGCAGGCGCAGCACAATAAGCAGAGCTGAATGAGCTCCTTGGTTTCATCAACATTCCATGGCACAACTTAGGGTCTTGCTTTGCGCCGTCTCGGTCTCCTTTGGATATAAAAGTTTTTCTCTGATATACTTGGTTCTCTTATATAATTCTCGGTGTCTCCTTGTTGGTTTTAGCTGATAATGACACTTTCGAATCGGATTTTTATTTATTTATTTTTATTTTTTTAGCAGCATATGATTTTTGAAATATTGGCCTTTGAATTACCCATTTACTTACCTTTCTATTTTCTGCGATGTCGAGTCAACGTCGAATAGTCTAACGGTTTTCTTAGGATTATATCATGTGACCAGTAGGCGCTGGTTGTCAGCCCCCATATGCTAGTTGATTCGACCTCCGATGTCCCCGGCTCTGGAAAACAGGCTACTGCCTAGGTAATCCTTGTTTGTCATATATTCCAGAAAACCAACTGTCCCGTCGTGGATAAAACACCACTATTGGCTCGGCTTGTGCAGCCGAGGGTCTCTAGTTATGGAGGCAAACAATAATGGAAATAAAAGGCCCGCTGTGAGTGACAAATGTGCCATATTTGTCAAACTCGCGAAACATGGAACTGATGCGGTTTTTAAGTGCGATAACTGCAAGGATAGAAAGGTAAAATCGCCGATGTTCCAGATGCTGAGACCAGCTATCTCAGGACTACGTGGTGACCATGGCACCAACAGACCAAATGTGACCGTGGATCTCCCTGCTTTAGCTGCATCACCGCCGATCTCGACTGCCGGATCTCTCGCCGAGCCCCCGAGAGAAGGCAGCGGGTTCTTATATCCGCTCGCTACGATGAAGCTATGGAAAACGTGAATCGCTCGCTTCAGGAAGTATCGCATGGACTACAAAAGCTCCTCCGGAACAGCGAACAGTCTAAAGGATTGCCAAGCGGATCCCCTGCCTTGCTCATTGGTAACCATGTGTCAAACAATCCCGGACCTTCGGAGGGATACAGGGGCGATTCTTCCTTCAATGCGCACGTCCAACGGGTGACAGAAGCCTTAAGGGATGCTGCCGCGAATTTAGATTTCAGTCTGACCGACCAAAGTGCCTCTACGACTATGAGTGCCACGCAGTTAATCCAGGAGGCGGCAGGCGGCGAGAAAACAACCCATAGCGAGGGAAGCATCAATTCGTCATCGTTCAAGGTTCAGTACCCAGAACTAGAAGGCAGATCGCTTCCACCACTCGCTCCTGTACTCAAGCTACTCCGGTTGATGCAGACCGAGAAGCAGCGCTTTTTTATTGATGTCCCTGTTATAGATGAGGCAGAATTTGTCGAACTATGCCAAAGGGTGTATTTCGCAATCGACGACTACTCGCTGTCGACATGGGCCACCGTGAATACTGGGTTATATTACTTATTCCTGGCCCTCGGGGAACATGAACGTTCCCAGGTTGGCATGACGGTTAACGACGTACAAACATACTCACAGCTATTGTCAGCAAACCTAGAAGCTGCCATACAGTCATTAAGACTCTGTCATGAACCATCGATGGAAGGATGTCAGGCCTTAGCACTTTTGGTAAGTAACAAGGCGCCTTTGCTCAACGCGATGCTAAGTTAAAGAGACGGCATTTTGCATGAAATCGGGCCGGAGTGCATTGGCCTGGTCGTTGATTGCGGCTGCTTCCAGAATGTGCATCGACCTTGGGTGGCACCGCCTGCCTAGACAGCCAAAGGGGCCAGAATTGTCCAAGAAACGGAGGATATTCTGGTGGGTATATGTCATCGACAAAGGCATGGCCTTCACCTTTGGCAGAACTCCTTCGATCCATCAGTACGATATCGCGACCGAGCGGACGTCGTTTCCTTTAGATATACCAGGACCGCCAGGATAGTAAGTCGAACGACCCTCTAGAACTCATCGACTCTGACTCTGCCAAAGCCTATACGGTGGTTTTGTTGAATTCGCAGTCATTGTCGGCGACATGCACATACAGCTCTTCTCCGCATATGCGCAACGAACCTCACCCCAAAAGCGAGCTGAAAATGCCAGAGCCTTTGCTACCAGGCTCATCCAAGTCAACAATGACCTGAAAAAGGTTCGTATAGCCATTTAGTCTGTATAAACGGCAGTCCTAATCATCGCAATCGCAGACCCTCCGAGATGAGCCCCCTGCCGACGCCAGGTTCCAAGATGCCAGCGTTCTTTTCGATATAATTATGCACTGCCTCGTCACAATCGTATACCGCATCATCCCTTGCGATGAGTCTAATTCTCACCCCCTCCAATGCCACGTCGGCTGCATCGAAGCTGCGCGGCAAGCCCTCTCCACGATTGTGCAGGCGAGTCAGACGCTAGGTCAGCGTAATCCGGTGGGCTGGAGTATGTTCCTGAATCTGTAAGTGCTCCCCAAAAGTTCGTCTGTCAGTATTATCTAACCTCGATCAGGCTCTTTTCTCTCGTTCCTTTTGCATGCTTTGTCGTACTAGCAGGGAACACAGTAGCCTTCTCGTCCACCGAGGACCTGGCGCTTCTATTCTCTGCCGTGTGTGCCATTGAGCCAATAGCAAGCGGTTCCCCTTCCGGGAAAAAGCTCTATGACGTCTGCAAGTTATTTTATCAGTTTGCTAGCTTCTCAGTCGCCCGACAGACAGCGATTTCGGCCGCTCCGGCACCAGCTCCTGTGATTGTCGAAGATCCGTCGGTGGGGGCCTTCGCGGTACCGCTTGAGAACACGGAAGCTTCATTTTATGAGCACATAATGGCTCCGCAGGACTGGGATACAGTTATGAACGGGTTCGATCTGGGAACGGGCGCTGGGGCCATGGCTTCTTTTGTTGAGCCATATATACCGTTTGATGGGCAACTACCCTAGGTGACCGGATAGAATCGATGGAAGAAAGGCCAAAGTACCTTCCTTCTCTTTCGCGAAAGTAGTTGTCTTATGATATCCGGACGGCAATATCTCGGCGAATATTGTGACTGGGGTAAGCGCAGGTTGACCAGTCAATTGTCTTCTTCCTGGACGATGGACGGATTCATGGATACCTAAATAGACCCTATCCACCCGAAAAGTATGCGCTATCACAAATAAAGCAATGATCTTTCTTCTATTAAGGCTCTGTGCAGCACTCTGATTAGCCCCGGGTCCCGAGGCCTCCGCACAGGATGCGCCCATAGATTCAAGTGCAGGCATACCTTCATGCGAACTGAACTGGGTTGTACTTGCTATTCCAATTCTAGTGTCTTCCTGTTTACAACGCTATAGACGTAAACTTCTGCCCTGTGTCTACATCGTGAGACGTACGTACTACCTACATAGAGTAAGTTCTATGATCGAGCAAAACCCACTGGTTCTTTGATATGGTGGGCTACATCAGGCCAGAAATAATTTTACTGTTCTTTCTCTCTGGATTACAAGCACACCAGGGTATATTTCCTCTATCTTATTCCCTCCAAATAATGAAAGACAAGTCCTGCTATAGATGCGATTACCTCATTAGGTTAGTTTATATCCGCTACTCACGTGCTTGACCGCCTTAGAAGCGGTCAAGTCTTCTGCCGCAAATTCGGAAGATTTTCAAAGGCAAAAAAAAAAAAGAAAGAAGGAAAAAGACAAGACAATTCCCAGCAACACACCAATGGCTCCTTCTCGCTCTCCGGAGCCCGTCTCAGACGAGGTTCACGAATATCAAAGCGCCTCCGAGTCCGAGTCCGAGACAGAGCAAACCGACCTACAAACCCGCACCCCCAAAAGACGTCGTCTCTCCGAGTCTTCCACCGACTCGTACGTTGCGCCGGCGCCGCTTCCCACCCTCTCGCGAATCAAAAAGAAGGGAACCACCGACGAGAAACCCGCGTCGACAGCCCAGGATGATAATCCGGTTCTGATTCGCGATGCGATGGAAATCGGTCTGCAGGATGCAGAGTCCTCGTTCAAGGCCCTCAAGGTGGCGCCGTGGCTGGTGGGATCGCTGACGACCATGGCCATCCGGAAACCGACGGCCATTCAGAAGGCGTGTATTCCTGAGATTCTGAAAGGCAGGGACTGCATTGGAGGGAGTCGCACGGGTTCCGGTAAAACGGCGGCTTTTGCGGTCCCGATTCTACAGAAATGGGCAGAGGATCCGTTCGGGATCTTTGCGGTCGTGTTGACTCCGACGAGGTACGCTCTACTTTCATTTCCCCTGCTCCTGGAGATGAGGGTGTATGATATGAGGAATTGAATTGAATGCTAACACTGCTAATGGACAGAGAACTTGCCCTACAGATTTTCGAACAAATAAAGGCCATCTCGGCGCCCCAGGGCATGAAACCCGTGCTCATCACCGGAGGCACCGACATGCGACCTCAGGCGATCGCCCTAGCCCAACGACCGCATGTGGTGATTGCAACTCCCGGCCGTCTCGCCGACCACATCAACACCTCCGGCGAGGACACCGTCCGCGGCCTCAAGCGGGTGCGCATGGTCGTTCTGGATGAGGCCGATCGTCTTCTCTCCCCCGGAGCCGGCAGCATGCTGCCGGACGTTGGCACCTGCCTCTCGGCGCTGCCTCCCTCCAGCGAGCGCCAAACCCTCCTCTTCACCGCGACCGTGACGCCCGAGGTGCGCGCCCTGAAAGACATGCCCCGGTCGCCCGAGAAACCGCCCATCTTCGTGACCGAGATCGCCACCGAAAGCAAAGACACCATCCCCCCGACCCTGCGCCAGACCTACCTCAAAGTCCCCATGACCCACCGCGAAGCCTTCCTGCACGTGCTGCTCTCCACCGAGGGCAACGCCTCCAAACCCGCCATCATCTTCTGCAACCATACCAAGACCGCCGACCTCCTGGAGCGCCTGCTGCGCCGGCTCTCCCACCGCGTCACATCCCTGCACAGTCTGCTGCCGCAGTCCGAGCGAAACGCCAACCTGGCGCGCTTCCGCGCCTCGGCCGCCCGTCTGCTCGTCGCTACCGACGTCGCGTCCCGTGGTCTGGATATCCCGTCCGTCAGTCTGGTCGTGAACTTCGACGTGCCGCGCAACCCGGACGACTACGTGCACCGTGTGGGTCGTACGGCGCGTGCGGGACGACACGGTGAGGCCGTGACGCTGGTCGGGCAGCGCGACGTCCAGCTCGTGCTGGCGATCGAGGAGCGCGTGGGCCGGCAGATGGAGGAGTGGACCGAGGAAGGAGTCAGCGTTGAAGGCCGCGTCGTGCGCACCGGCACTCTCAAGGAAGTCGGACAGGCCAAGCGAGAGGCATCGGGTGAGATCGAGGAAGGTCGAGACGTGCTGGGACGGAAGAGGAATAAGTTGAAGAAGGTGCGGTGATCGATCTTACTTCTCTTCAATGATCCCTTGGAGCCAAAAAAAAAGAAAATGATGTTTTGGTTGTTTGTACATAGATCTCGGAAGTTTTTGTATAGCGAATCAAGTATGATGAATGGATTGAAAAAAAAAAGAAAAAGGTTACTAAGGTATTCAAGAAAATAATTCTCTTTCATTGACCCTTGAATTTGATATAAAGACATCCAAGTAAATATGTACTATACAAAAAAAGCAACAAGAAACCTACCAAAAATGCACCAAAACCGCACGTGGTATCAATGTGACTATCGCTCATTGCTCTCCAAGGCAACAGATGTTGTATCCAGGTATTAAGAAAGCCCATGCAAAGAATCTGTCTAATATGGTCGTGATGGTTGAGGATCTCCTTTTCCCGGAGATTTCACTCTTTTTTTTTCTTTCCCTCCACCTTGTCCCCTCTCTTTCTATCTGCAATACATCAGCTTCTTCTGGCACCTCAAATGAATCGATTCCTCCTCTTTTCCTCCTTCCTATATGAAACGCGAGAAGACCTTTTTGATCCATAACCCAATGAAGGGAAATGATCCAAAATATTTGTTGCGTTCTATTCAGAACCCGCCCACGGACTTGAATCGGTGCGCTTCTCCCCCGTGCTCATGAGCTTGAGAAGTCCGTCCACGGCGTCTCCCCTCTGAGCCGGTGTGACAAGCCGTTGTTCCCTTGCGGCATCCTCTTGTTGGATCGTCTCTGCCCCTGTCGGGGTCCGCACGGATCGACCACCCCGTGAGGCGCTGGCGGGAGGACTGCTCAGCTGCATCGGTGACCCCGCGGTATCTGTGCGTCGGTGGGTCTTCTGCGTCGGGGTCTTCATCGGGTCATCCTGAGCGTGGGCATTCCCCTGCGACAGGGGCGGGGACGAGAGTCCTGACGGGGCAGGGGCTGTGGTCTCGGAGGGTTGGTTGAGCTCCTGGGAGGGCGGAAGGGCTCGAGGAGTGAAAGCCGGGGAGCTGGCGCTGGCGGGGTCCTTTGCGTGTGGACTCGGAGTGGAGGCTTCGGGTACCGACAATCGGGGTAATTTGCGGCTGTGTGCTTCCAGCTCCGACAGTCGACGGTCGAACTGAGGGTCTCGAACATGGCGCATGGCGCTTTGGATTCGGTTTCGGAGGAGGCTTGCTTTCTACAACGGGTGGATTATGAGCTTCGTGGGCTTCTTCTGTGAACTGCCGGAAATGCATGCGGGTTGGCTCATACCTGTTGAATAAACAACTTTCGCGTCTCGGGGTCCTCAGGCACGAGACGCGTTGTTGATCGTGACTCTTCTTGGGGTGTTTTGGTCGATTCCGGCTCTGGTGTTGCTTTCGGTTGCTCGTGTGTTTGTGGTTGGGGGTCTTGGTTTGAATCTCGCGATTCCGTCGCGGGTGCCTGTAAGTCTGAGGTGGTGGTCTGTTCTCGAGAAGAGAATGGCGAAAGAGAGGAAGGCTGTCGCAAACAAGAAGCACGAAGTCAGCATTTCATGCCTCAGCGCCTGCACTGGCAATCTGAACTCTTACCCGACTAGTCGCCTGGACCGTGACGGCCTCGTCGCGAACGCGTCGGGGGTCTTTGTTTCCAGACACCCCGTGATCCACTTGATCAATGGAGCGTTTTTGGCCAGCAAAAGATGGTGAGGGAAGCAATTGCTTCTTGGGTGAGGAAACATCGAGGAACGAGTGTTTGACAGGCGAGACATGTCGATGAGGGGACATGCACGCGTTGACGGTCTTTTCGCCGAGAATGCGTCTGCCGTCTTTGACGGGACTCGAGTGCAAGGTGGTGGAATTCATTGCGGAGGATTGGTATAAGGTAATGGAGAATGAAGAGGACGAGGAAGAGGGGGAGAGAGGAAGAGGAGAGGGAGGTTGGGCGTGTTGTATACAAGCTGGACGGAGGCAGTGATATAGTCCGCGTGTTTCAGGGAGAACCAGGAAGGAAGAGGAAATGCAGACAGGAGAGGATCCCGCGGGACCAGCAGAAGCAGAGCTCGTGGGAGAGACGAGACGAGCAATGGACCGGGGAGAAGCGAGTCTAGAGTTTGTAGAGACCAGACAAAGTCAATGGCAGGAAGTATTTACTTCGCCTCGCCTCGCGTGGGCAAATCGCGCTCGATTGGTCGCGCCATCGCGCGCTTATGTCAGCCGTCCCGTGCGATATCGCGTGGCCCGTGCGGTTTGTCTTGTTTGCCTTGTCTGGCTGCCTTGCTGCCTTGCTGCCTGTCTGCCTGTCTGCCTGGTCCGCCAGGTATAGATCGAGCACCCTCAGGCGTCCAAATCACCGGATGGGAAAGGCATTTCCTCCGCATTTTCTATCATTCGGCTTCATCTTCATCCTCCCCATCTTCATCCCCCGTCAGAATGTGTTCTGTCAATCCCTGCCCGGATTTGCCAGCATCCACATTCCGCCATGATTCATTGAACCAGAAGCTTTCCCCGCATGCATTTCCCCGTCGATCCGCCATGCATTCCTATAAAGCTGCCCCATTCCTGCATATCCGTCACATTATTTATTGGCTTTCTTCCGTCAAATTCCCGCCTGCCTGTTTCCTTCCGCCCTCGTCTTCATTCGAAACAGTTGTGGGTGGCTTTGGTCGATCATTGCCCCATCAAAGTGCTCAGGAAGTTCCATTGCATCATCGGCTTACCCCGGCCCTGTCAATCAGGCAGTCAGGGATCCCCGGAATCCTTTACCTTCCTCTCTGGCTCCCCAGGACCTGCCTCTACCCCCGATTACACTGGCTGTGACTTAAATCTCTCACAATGCGATCTCTCGTGGTGCTGGCCACTGCTCTGCAAGCCACTGTCGCTACGGCCTCGACTCTCACGCCTCCAGTTCTGCCCCTGGTCGTGCGCAATCCCTACCTGAGCACTTGGCTGGGGAATGCCCGCGATGAACCGTGGTCTAAATGGCCGATCTTTTACACCGGCGAGGAGATAGGCTTCTCCCTGATGGCTCAAGTTCCCAGCACGGGCACAGTCTATCCGTTGCTGGGCAAGCCTCATGTTTCTTTGTCGTCTGATTCTGGGTATGTAGAAGCACCGTTGGCAATTGGTTGACCCGCCTGTCTAACTTGGAGCCCTCATTAACCAGCTCGCCTCCGGTCGAGTACCCGACCTATCTCGGTGCCAAATATGACGCGTCGACGACCAACTTGACCTATCACATTAACTCGTCTTCGTCTGCCTCCTCTGCTTCGTCTCCCTTGGAGATCACGGTCTCGTTCCTGTCCCCCATCACGCCCACGTCGACTCTGCGGCAGTCGATTCCCGCTTCCTACGTGACAGTTCACGTTCAAGGTGATGTGGGACTCAATATCTACATGGATGTCAATGGGGGCTGGGTGAGCGGAGACTCTGGAAGCCAAATCAATTGGCAGTATGATGGGATAGGCTCCCAAAGCAGCAAGCCAGTCCTGCAGCGATGGCAACTGCGACGAGAGTCTGAATTGCTCCTTTCAGAGATCCGTGATCGCGCAGAATGGGGTACTCTTCACTTTACTGGTCCTTCGGTTCGTATCTATTTTCCTGTGTATTGCGTAACTTGTGACTAACTTTCGGGCATAGGATGTCGAATATCAATCCGGAGACGCTTCGGAAGTGCGGCAAGCATTCGCATCTAGCGGAGCCCTGCGCAACAAGCATGACGATGCGTTCCGCGCGATTGGAGACCGTGAGCCCGTGGTTGCCTTCTCGAAATCCTTCAACTCCTCTCGGAAGAACGGCGATAGCGTGACCTTCACTGTTGCCCTAATTCAAGATCCGGTGGTCCAATTTGCCTCGTCTCGTGGATTGACTTTAATGCGGCCTCTCTGGGAATCATGGTTTCCTAACGTCGAGTCGCTGTTGAGCTTTCACTACCATGATTTTGCCGACGCAGCGGCCTTGGCCTCCAATTATTCTGAGCAATTGACTGAAGATGCTTACCAGTCGGGGGCGGATGATTATGTGGACATCGTAGCACTTTCGGCACGACAGGTCATGGGAGCTACAACTTTCTCCGGTACCCCTGAAGATCCGACCCTGTTCCTGAAGGAGATCTCTTCCAACGGCAACTTCCAGACCATTGATGTCATCTTCCCTTCGTTCCCGTTCTTCCTATATACCAACCCTCGATGGCTAGCATATCTCTTGGAGCCCTTGATCGAGCATATGCTGAGCGGACAGTACCCGAACTCCTATGCTATGCACGATCTTGGGGCGCATTTTCCTAACGCCACGGGCCATCCAGATGGCAAGGACGAATACATGCCCGTGGAAGAATGTGGAAACATCATTATCATGGGATTGGCACTCGCAAACTCCTTGCGTTACGACGACGATTCATCCGCGTCTTCTGTCTGGTCAACCCAAGGTGTACCTCCCCAGATTCGGGAAGAGACATCAGGTTACTTCCCCCTTTCCAGTCTTCAGGGAATCGGTGGAATTGACAAGCAGGACGGCAAATGGGGTGGTGGCTCAGAAGGCGAGCACCAGGCGAAAAAGTGGATTAAACGCAGCTACCGACTCTGGAAACAATGGACTGGGTACTTGGTGGAATTCGCTTTGGAGCCTGAAAATCAACGTAAGCATCGTTATCTTCCCATAAAACCAGGTCGACACTGACGTGAATCAAGTCTCTACGGATGACTTCGCTGGCTGGCTCGCGCTCCAGACGAACTTGGCGCTGAAGGGCATTGTCGGCATCAATGCCATGAGCAAGTTGGCTGAAATCGCTGGACACGACTCGGACGCTTCTTACTACAAGGTTTGTCAATCGAAATAGCCATGGGGACTTTGCCATCTCGCTGACCGATTTTATCTAGAACATCTCGGATACATACGTTGCCAAATGGGAAGAATTCGGCATGTCGCGGGACCAGACGCATGCCAAATTGGCCTATGACTGGTACGGCTCGTGGTCGACCATCTACAATCTTTATGCCGACGCCCAGCTCTGTTTCCACCTGGACGGCACCGACATCTCACCACGCGACAACTCCCAGTCCCCCCTCACACCCCCTCCGTCGAAGAAGACTGGTTTCATCCCGCGCCACATTTACCAGAGACAGTCCATCTGGTACCACAACGTGCGACAGAAATACGGACTCCCGCTTGACAGCCGGCACCTGTACACCAAGACCGACTGGGAGTTCTTCTCCATGGCGGTGGTCAGCAAGCCCGTGCGCAGCGAGATCCTGGAATCCGTGGCCAAATGGATCAACGAGACGGTCACCGATCGTCCCTTAACCGACCTCCATAACACCGAGGGGGATGGCGGATTCCCCGGCCCTAACTTCTTCGCGCGCCCCGTGGTCGGCGGCCACTTCGCCTTCCTGGCGCTCCAGCGTGCCTGCGGTGGCAAAGCCAGGGACGGTCTGGCTTTCCTGGACGAAGGTCACGACGAGGCTTTCTCGACAGAGACCCTGGCCGAGTGGTCTGCGGCGGCTGAAGAGGCCGTCGTCCAGTTGCAGCACCCGGGCTATGGTTCTGAGAGAGAAGACCTGTAGACCTGTGAGCAAGTATATTATATTGGCATTTATGCACCTCAGCACAAGGTTGTGTTTCTTTCCAATTGATTGTCAATCTAACTATCTGTTGGGCTTCTTTTGAGCTACTACTACCAGTAGTTTGGCTTTATGTCTCAAGAATCTTGGAGGTTTCATCTAGTGTCATTTAGGGCTCTTTACTCCGTAGCTGGCGTAAAATATATAAAGCTAGCTAGAACTTCTCTCCCCAAACCAACCGAACACCGGTAACTCAGTGGAATCCAGCTTCAATCAGTTACTTTTGTAACTGGTTGATCATTTGGTAGGACTTTGTATCCCCATGTCTAATCTCCAAGCTACAAGCTACTAGAACGACCGAGGTTAATCGGCCAAAAGGAGCGCAAACCAGAACCTACAAAAACTACATGGAACAAAAGATTTCAGTGTGATTTGGGATTCACATTCCTATTTTTTGACATTCAAATCAAATTACAGGGCCATTTTAAACCTAACGCGAGGGGATCGAGTCATTTCGTCACGTTTCCATTTCCTGCCATCCATATCGCGTCATTTTACCAGGAAGAGGCAATATCGCAAAGTGGTTTCTCTCCGATCGTTTTACTTTTTTTTTTGTTCTCCTTTTGGGTGGTTATGTGGGTGTGATATGTTTGTAAGGCTGAACCCTGTTGAGCGTTTCCTGAAACATCATGAAACTGGGATCCCCCGACGGAGACAACGGTGGAAAGCCGAATTTATTTGCCCAGAGAAGGGAAGTTCTTCTCGTCGACGGGGACGGGGGCAGCACCGGGGGCGCGGTCAGCAGCACGGGGGCCGTTGCCACGACCGCCACGGCCACCGCGACCACCACGGCCACCACGGCCACGGGGAGCACCGCCGCCACGGGGAGCCTCGACATAGCGGAGGTCGACGTCAAGGAAGTTCTTCTCCTTGCGCTGCTTCTCGCGCTTGTTCTTGTCCTCCTTGCCCTTGAAGTAGTTCTCCTCTTCCTCGCCACGCTTGAGCTCCTTGGCCTCGTTCCACTTCTTGTCGGCCTTGCTGCCCTCGTTGGCGGCGCGGACGGGCTTGGCGCTCAGGTCACCCTGGGCAGCCTTCTCGGCCAGGTAGTCGTTGTACGACTTGGACTTGTCAGCCTCCTTGGCCTCCTCGCCGGGGGTCTGGGGCTCGGTCTCGTCGTTGTGGGCGATGGCCTCGGCGGCCTTCTCGTCGGCCCATTCCTTGTCACCGCTCTGGCCACCCCAGCCCTGGTTCACCTGCTTGCGGGAGTCACTGTGGGAAAAGAAACAGTTAGATTCGAAATCCCGACAGCAAGTTCGAATCGATGCTACTTACGTCTGACCAGTGCGGGACTGGCGGTCGCTGCGACCACCACGGCCACCGCGGCCCTCGCGCCGTTGGGGCTGGCTGCCATCATCGACGGGCTTCTCGCGGTTGTTGTTACGGCCGGCGTTGCGGTCACGGAAAGCTGGAGGCGAAATACATCAGTCAAAAGGTCCCGGTCGCAAACAGTCCTAAGAGATCAAGACATACCGGCCTCGTTGCCGGTGGGGCGTCCACCACGGCGGGGGGCAGACTCGGTAGTACGAGCCTGGGCGGGGGCCTCCTTGGGGGCATCCCGCTTGCCGACACGGGGAACGGGCTTGTCTAGAGCCCTCGTGGGAGGGGCAGGTTCTCTGTTGGGGTCCAATTCAGGGTCATTGCCTAATCGCGAACAAAAAGAGCAAAGATTATGTTAGAGAAGAGATGATGTAATTGATGAGGTTGTCGGTGCACAGAGGTACAAGCGAGACCAAATGAGGGGGAGGGAAGGAGGGGGTATCAAATACCAAGAAGCTCGTAGAGGTTCTGTGAGAATGAGACATCCGTCAGCATGGCTTTTTCTTTTGTCTTTCTTTTGTTCTTCTTCCTCTTCTTCGTGTTTCTGATCCTCGGATTCTCGATATTTTCGGTTCATCCACCCTCGGGGGGTATTTTTGCATGCGAAATCGCCAAATCACAGAAGATCATCATCGCAGGTCGACCGGTTTCCACCTCGTCCCGTCCGATGGATTTTCGCCGTCCAGAATTGACACCGACAACCATGGGGACCAGGGATCAACGCGGTCGCCGGACACTCGAGGGCAGAGCTGAAACCACATACCTTGGACCGGACGTCCGCCATGACGCCTGGGTTTCGGGGGCCTTCCGGGGGAAGGCTCTCTGTTATCGCGGCAATTCGGTCGGGGAAACGGGGCGGGCAAGCGACGAGTAAGGCAGAAACCTAGACGGCGTAGGTATCCGGCCTCTCCTTCGGGGGTAAATGGGGATGGGATGGGATAGTGAGGGTGATGAGGAAGGGGTGACGGTGACGGCGGGAGGCGACGTTTGTGGTTGCACCGCACAAATCGGGTAAGGTGCGCTTTGCTGCTAAGCGAACCCGCCGCCGCCGCCGCTGATTGGCTGCCCGCGTCTAGGGCTTAGGGTATTGGCGTCACCGGGACCTGCAGATGGCATCATCGAGAAGCTGCCCGCCTCGTCGACGTCACCTTCTTCATGCCTTCTATGTGTTTGCGTGCTATATACAGGACCCCGCGGGGGGCGTTGATGCGCCTGGATGCGCCTCGAATCATGCGCCGTGCCGACTCTGGCCTCCCCAGAGAGAGAACTCCACGCTGCTGCTGACCCCGTCCGTCTCCCCCCCCTACGAATCCTCTCCAATCTTCGCATACAGCTCGCTGTTCAGGAAATTATACTTGGGGTCGGGCTCGCAGAACGGATGCCGCGTGAGAAGCGTCTCGGCCGTGGGCCGGTCCAAGGAATCTCTGCAATCATTTCCGCATTAGTACCAACCGGGGACTCCAACGGGACTCCGACGGGAATGCAACACTTACACCGTAAAGCAGTCGTACATGAACGCCAGGGCCGCCGGGCTGATGTTCATGGACACGTCCTCCGGAATGGGAGGCGCCTGACTCAGACTGCCCAGCTTGAAGATGGCGCCGATCGCCTCCTCTCGGCTCCACGGTCGACGACCCGCAAACATCTCGAGCACCACGCACCCAAGGGACCAGATGTCCACCTTGGCGCTGTACCCTTGACCCTGCGAATGGATGACCTCGGGCGCCATCCAGAATACCGATCCCTGCATGGAGTTGGTTGAGTCATTACCGTAGATGTTGTCGGTCTTCTTGGAAATGCCAAAGTCCGAGATTTTGCAGGTCCCGTCGAGGTCCAACAAGATGTTGTCGGCTTTGAGATCGCGATGCAAGATCCCTTGATCATGCAGATAGGCCAGCCCGCTCAGCGTTTGTCGCGTGAGAGACTTGACTACGCTTTCCTCGAACTTGCCATGTTTGCGGAGACAACTACCGATGGAACCACCGGAAATATACTCCAGGTAGATTGAAATGGACAACTCCCCGCGCTCACATCCGAGATATTGCACGATATTGGAATGCTCGAGGTGTTGCATCGTGTCGATCTCCTGGTCCATAGCAGCGACCATTTCTTTGATCCGATCCTTATCTTGACCAGCAATCCTGGGGTTGATTTCCACCTGTTTCACCGCCAGGACCTCACCATTGTCGGCGTTCATGCCCAAGTACACTCGGCCGTAAGTTCCTTTACCTATGAGCTGACCACGAATAATGCGGAAGGTCGGTTGTCTCTGGGGTAGATTCCCGGTGGCGACGTTATTTTGAGGAATGGGATCAAGCTGGCTGAGCCGACTACCAGGCTTGGGGCTGATCTGCATGATCTTTGCTCCGAACATTTTCGTGCTCTTGCGACGCAGGATATCACCAGATCTTGGATTCCCACTTGATGAGTGAACGCTGCGATTCCTGCTGGCTTGGTTGGCGCCCCGTGCAACCTCTCGGATAGACTTCCCTCGCGTGAGGCCGCCAGAGCGATTAACATTACGCCGAGCAATGATGCCAGCATCGTGTGCCTTCAGCGTTGGCTCACTAGGGCCAATGGTGTGCTCCTCAGCACTAGGGGGCGGCGGGAGTGGGGTGTATGTTGGCCCCTCGTGTCTTTCTTTATGAGCTGCCTCGTGCTCGGCTGGAATTCTACTAGCCGGTGACGAGGGGGGAGAAGCGCCTTGGTTGTCAAGGTAAGGGGCATCGAGATCAATGTTGGGGAAGAACTCGTCCAGGTATTCAATGACGCCCTCGACTGGGGGTCTGCTTGCCCAATTGTTTCCTCGAACAAACGAGTCCCTTCGAGGCGGAGGCTTCTTTTCTTCAGGTGAACCGGTCATGTCCGAGAAGGATGCCTTGCGATTGCCTCTGTCACTGGACCCGGCAAAGGTTTCGCGGCTGGTACTAGGCGACCTAAATCTCACGGACAGTTCCTTCTTCAATCTTGTTTCGGTGTTCAAGGTAAGGGATGGCTTCTCAGATCTCTTTTGCTCGGGTGATCCAAACATGGGCGCCTTCTCCTTCACCGGCGTTTTGCTATTTACCAACGGGATCGCGAAAAGACCATCATCTGAATCATCATCCGAGTCTTCCTGCGGGACCGGTGAACGCTGGAAGGAGACCTCTGTTTCCTCGAAATCGAATTCAGGGCCGTATGACTTGCGTGATTCCGCATTCGGTCTAGGTCTCTCCACCGGAGTGGCGACAGATTTAGCAGGAGACTGATTGGCGTGGGAAGTGGGAGTATTCTGGCCATTCGACTCCGGAGTGAATCGCGATGCACTTCTCGGTTCATCCAATACTATGGCTCGTTAGTCAGGAAGATTCGTAGAGAAAGAACGAATTAAAAAAAAGACAAGGAGGAATGAGGAAGAAACAGGAAAATAACTTACCCGGTGTAGTGACGTTGGCATTGGGGCTATTGAACCCAGGGCCCTGGGAGACCGATGGCGACGGCGTTCCGATGGCACCGGTGATTCTGCCCATACCAGCCAGCGCAGCCCCAAGTCCGTGAACTGCAGGACGGTCTGTCTTCCTCAGGGAATTAACCTTGGTGAGCGTATTGGACTCGGGTGGAGCGGTAGGTGGTTTGCGAAGAGGCACCAGCGGTTCCGCCTTCTTATCTTCGTAGGGCGATATCCGAGGCGAGTCAAAATCAATGAGCTCTTTGCGTCTATAACCAGTTTCACCGTAGGCGTTCTTCCCCGGTTGCGGCACAGGTGTGACTTTTGAGAACCGCGCAGCCTTCTGTCTTCGCTCGAGCTCACGCCTTTGCTCTTCTTGTTGGCGGGCGCTAGAATCCAACCTGTCGGCGTCGAAAGGATATCCGGCTTCCGGTCCGGCATCCACTGGCGACGTTCCCATTGGGAGCTGCGTTATATCGCGAGCAGGCAGTTTAACTGCAGGGGTCCTTAGCTGCTGTGGCCGCGAAGAGACCTGCGGAGAAGTCGGTTTTGCTGGATTGTGCGGTGAGATCCGATGGAGGGCTTCGTCGTCTAATGGTTTCCTTTGCACATGATGCTGCCCCGTGGTCGGTGATGCCGTGGCCTTGTCCGGGAATGAAACTCCAAGGCCCGTATAGTTTGGAGAATTGGTAGAGCCAGAGGGCATGTGAGGCCCACGGACGTATAGTTTTAATGATCCGATGGCATCCGACCTCGTTCTTCGACACAAAGCCAAGTTGGTGTCGGTCAAAGGTTCATCGTGGTCTGTCTGGCCGGGCTCAGTCATAAAAATTTGAGAACCAACCCAATCCGAAATTCCGAGGTTCTGGCAGATGGTAGCGCGCAATTGCTCCACGGAGTCCAGGTCCGTAATGTCCATCAGACGATAATTCCAACCATCTAACGTGCCAAAGGCCCACCGCTTCCCTTTCGAGGTGGGTTTCGGCCGCTGGGCTACCCGTTCGTGATCGGAGAAGGACGCAGATAGCGGACGTTGGTCCAACGACATGTCGCTGCTGCTAAAATTAGGTCGATCGTAGGGAAGCTGAGACGCATTATGACGCTGCGCTTCCGGGCTAGTGGGAGACTCCAGGAATTGCTCCTCGGGAGATGGGTGGGTTGAGTCACCACTCTTATTCTTCTTCTTGAAAAAGTGGAAAAGCCGGCTGCTATGGTCTTTAGGATACGAGGAGTTTTCGGCCGGCCGATTGTAAGACTCCTGGGGAGAAGGGCGGGCGTTGTCCTGCCTGAGCGTTTCATAATAGCGGCGCCCTGCGGTTGAGTCGGAGCTATTGACTCGGGCATGTTCTCTGAAGTCGCTTGTGGATGGAAAGCCCGGATGTGCGAGTGTGGCATGCTGCATGGCCGGACTGCCGCTTTTAGGGCTGCCTTCATAAGACCGACCAGGAGGGAAAGTGCCGTTTTCACTGGAGACCGAGGGGCTTTGTCTTCGATGATCACCGCCTACGTTGGCCAGGGCAGCTCGCGAAATGTCTGACCGGCCCCATATCGTCCCGTCAGGATGACTGGTTTCCGAAGAGGTATAATCATGGCTCGCAGGGATCGGAGTCGTGAAAGAGCGAGTTTGCACGTTGTGCTTCTGGTTGTAGGCAGGCTGCAGGGTTTTGAGGTTAGGACTACCTGACATCGGGCCTGAGTTCGGTCCTGCAGACACGGGGTCATTGGTGAATTTGGGAGAGGATTCCGCGGTTGGTTCGAGGACACCGCCTGCGAGGGTTTGAGATTCCCGCTGTTTCGGAATGGGTACGCCGGCGTCATAGTTCGGATCGTCTTGGATTTGACGGATCAATTTGCGCATCCGCTTCCCCTCCTCTCGCTCTCGCGTCAGATCCCACCCGGTTCCGCTGTTCTCACACTCCCTTGCGAGCTGAGGGTAAACCACGTTGTGCATTTTACCCCAATTGGGACGGCCATTGAACCCATGGCCCAGCTCGAGGAAATCGGCGCCCTGTATTTCGAGGGCCTTGAAGGTCTCCTGCCAATCCCCAGAGAAGCCATTCATCGCAAGCCACAGGAGAACCCTGTCAAGTGGCCATTGAACGGCAGCTTCGCTGGGTGACATACCACCGAGCAACGTGTTGTTGTTGTTGTTGTTGTAACGATGACTGGGAGATTTCGTCGGTTCTGCTATTTGGCCTTGGTTCTGACCGTTTTGAGCCTGCGGGTTCTGCGCTGTCGTTGTGGAGAACTGTTCATGTGAGATATCACTTGCGGTTAGAGAAGGAGGAATAGTGCGCGCAGACGGCGTAGGCGGAATGGTCCCGTCTCGCTTATATGCAACATCCGCGTTGGGATATTCGTAAGGTTGATTTATTGGAAGCTGCTGTCGATCGCTACCCGTCATGGTCCCCTGATTCTCGTATGCAGGAAGGGAATGCAAATCGAACGCAGGGATTCCCACGCCCGGGCCAAATGTCCCGCCTTGCGGGACGTACGTTGCAGAAGTCCGGCCTTCTCCCCCAACTGACAGAGGCGCTCGACCGTAGGGCTGCTGGTTTGTCGGCGCCATAGGAGGGGGAGGGGGAGGGGGAGGGAGGATTCCCTGGGAGAGCGCTTGTCGCGTTGCCCAGTTCGGCGCCCATTGCAGATTATTCTGATGTTGCATCTGAGGATTGGCAATCTTGGAAGGGCCATAACTTGACCCCGGAGGCGGACCAGGAGGAGGCGGGGGCATGCCACCCGGGGGTTGTGTCGGAGGGTATCGTGGCGGGGGAGGCGGCAGCACCATGTGTGATTGAGGCGGTTGAGTTGAAGAAGGTGGGGGAACAGGCATATACTGCTGCGGTCTTTGGCCGTCCATGATGCCAGGGTTCGGTCGTGATTGCAGAAATGAGACACGTCAAATAGCCCCCAAGACAAACATACGGTTTTTAAACCCCCCGCACGTCCTGCTGTTGCCGATCCCTTCTGGATGTGTGACTGTACAGATGAATGAATCCTCGAGTTTATGGCGCAAGCAGTGTCATAGCCGATATCTACGCTCTCTTCCGATGAGATTGTTCGCAAATATCTCCGATGTCGTGGCACGGATGATCGGTGTACTGAATGGGCAGCTAGCGGGGGTGTAAAGATCGAGCCTTAGTTATACATAGCGTCATATAGTGGTAAGTGTCTGAATAGGATTTTTTTTTCCCTTAAAAGAAAAAGAAAATTCGTGTCCCAGACGATTGTTCAACCAATGTCGATTATCGTGACGAGTAAAAGGGGCGGAGCGATCAAGCCGGTGACCGGTGGCTTCGAGACCGAATCGTTGCGAGGACAATGGTCTTGTAACGGGAGAAAAAGAAAAAAGGCCGACGGAGCGAATACTCGACAACTCGTGCGGCGGATAGAAAGAAAAGGAGGTCTTTCACGAAGAGAAGAATTGACCCTGAGAAGGCTGAGCAAGCATGTGTGAGCGACGAAGCGAACAAGCAGCGATCTAGCCACTGGACAGGGGCGAGGAAATTCCGCTGAAAGCCCGACGGGGGCAAGAGGACGTACCATGACCAAATAGGCGATAACAACGATCATAACAACTACAGTTAATGGGGAATCTGGCAGCAATAAGGTAGCAGCTTCGAGTCGACAGCTCTGGACAGCTGTCCAATCCTTGGCGGCCACAGATAGATTGATAGAGAGAGGGAGAGGGAATAAGATTAACAGTCGGGGTCATCCATCATTCCGAGAGGAGCTGCCATGCGCTGGACGCCTTAGCGCCTGGGCCGATCACGTGGGCCCCGATAAGCCGTTTTTTTTTTTTTTTTTTTTTTTTTTTTCCTTTTCCTTTCAACCAGTGGAACACGACCAGGCAAGGCTCAGGTACCGAGTGGCCGGTCCTCGGAGTGGTTACCTCTGGGTTGGATTCTCTGGACTCGTATTGAATATTGATTTGATGATCATATTCCGATTCTCATGTGAGAATGAGGGCCCTCGAAAGCACCCATTGTCATACTCTGAGTGAAACCACATTCATTTGGCCTTTAATACTAATGGAGGCCCCAGGCTGCTCCTGGCTCCACCCTGCTAACTTCCCCCTAAACCCAAGTCACCCAAGGACCGACTCGCCCGTTAACTTTGGTAGGTCAACGGCCGCGCTCAGCCCTACAAAAGTACTGCGACGCTAGCTCCAACTCTCTTGTTCCAATTATCCATGGAAATAATCTGGTCTTTGGATTGATCATAAAAAAATAGTCATTCAATTAAACGTGATATGCTCATTCGACCCATCATCATAACATGCATGCCACCCCCTTTCCCTTGGATGTCAAAGAAAATAAGCGTAGGAGACACGACTATCAAGGAAAGAAGGGGGAAAAAAAAAAAAAAAAAAAGAAGAAGAAAGAACATCACTGTCCCATGCCCAAGATTATCCATTACTTGTTTCTCTCTGCTGCCGCTTCAGCGGTGATCTTCAAGCCCGCCGGAGCATCGTCGCGAGGCATGTGGACTTCCACCAACTAATTCGCTAGTCAGCAACCTGAAATCATTGCCACAAAGAACCCTGGAAGTATCTATCTTACCTGAAGATAAGGTGCCGAGGAAAACTCCTGGTTAGCGAAAAGTTGAACGAGCTCATCTCGGGTCTGGACCTTGTATCCCTTGTACTGGTCCTTGGCGCCAAAAACGGTGGGGAGACCCTTGATGTCCCATGGCTGAATGTCGTTATAGCTCTCGTCCCATCCATGGATGTATCGTTCAATCGTATAACCCTCATTACAGATAACAAAGCTGTACCCGTGTTAGCGACTAATGCTGCGAGTAACATAGGGCGGGTTGCTGTCTTACATGATGGGGTTGAGCTTGTTTCGGATCATGGTGCTGATCTCTTGCAGAGTGAGCTGCAGACTTCCATCGCCAACGAACAAGACGGTACGTCGGTTCTGCTCCTTGGCAGCTAACGCAGCTCCCTGGCAGGCCCCAACCGAGTAACCAATGCTACCCCAAAGGACTTGGCTAATAGCCGTGACGTCGGCCGGGAACCGGGTATCCCAAATGCCAAAGTTAGCAGTGCCAGTCTCCGTGATGACGATGTCTTTCTCTTTCAACCACTGTCCTACGATTGGCCAAAGCCAAGCATGGGTAATGGCCTGGTTGGAAGAGTTCTTCTCCTCGTCGGGCAAGGCGTTCGAGAGGTGCGAGACCGGCTGGACATTAAGCGAGCGCATCTGCTGGACTACCTTCCGCAAAACGCCCTTCATGTTGATCTCGGGGTATTCGGAGTAGCGGACGCGCACATAGGTACTGTGGAAGTCAATGGTATTGAGCTGTCCGATGCGATAAGAGAATCCCGAGGTGTTGAAGTCGGATTTGATGGCTCCGATGCTCAGGATGAGATCCGAGGACTCGACTTGCTCACGAACCCCGGGGTTCGATCCAGTTCCGGCATAAACACCGCCGTAGTTCTTGAGTGTCTCGTTGACGGCACCCTTGCCCATCGGGGCCACAAAGGTAGGCAGCCCGGAGGCTTCCACCAAGTCATGAACCTCATCAAGCACGCGATGGCGAATGGCGCAGGCATCCACGAGAATCACCGGTCTCTGTGCCGCATGCAAATACTTCAGAACCACATCCACCACGTAGTCCTCTTTCTCCGGGTCATTGGGGGGCAACGAAAGGTCAAGCGGGGTCTTGAGTCGTTGACCCTCGATTTTCTTGGCGATCATGTCGGTCGGAAGGGTGATGTAAACCGGCCGACTGCGAACCCAGCATTCGCGGATGGCATTATCGATGAGGGTTGCCACTTCGTGGGTTTCCGCCAAGTTACCCATGGCGCAGGAAATCCCGGAGCTCATTCGCGTGAAGACGTTGAAGTCGCCGTTACCCAGCGTATGGTGCAACAGCACCCCGTCTTTCTGCGATCTTGTATGTGGCTGACCAACAATGTGGACAATGGGCACGAATTCCGAGTAAGCACCGGCGATGGCATTCAGTGCTGACAGCTCGCCCACACCGAAGGTGGTAATCAGGGCACTGATTCCATTGACTCGAGCATATCCGTCGGCAGCATAACCTATCGTAATGTTCAGACGTTAGACAATCCCGTTGTTTCCCTGCGATCGTCGATTGGCCCATCGGACATACCAGCATTCAGTTCATTGCAGTTCCCCACCCAGTGAAGACCGCATTTTGGCAGATAATCTAACGCAGCAAGATTGTAGTCGCCTAGAGGCGAACGGCGGTTAGTCATGAGGCCAATGGATATATTTGAGGGGACCACCGAATCGCTCACCGGGAACGCCGTGCACTGCACGAACCCCGACCTGATGCAGTCGTTGGAAGAGGTACTCGGCAATGGTAACGGGCTCGTGAAGCTCTCGTGTGGCTATGTCGGTCGCCATTTGGAAAGCACACGTTCTCAGTGCAAGCGGACAGGGACGACGAGTTGAAGTCTCAGTTGGATGAAGGGGGATGGATCGGCAGCCTGTGAGAGCTTCAAGGGAGTCTTCTCTCGGTATATGTAGTCGTAGAAAAGAATCGGACGGACCGGAAAAAGAAGGGAAAGCAGCAGAGGCCCGTGTCATACGTCATGAACAAACAGTGATGTCATGCGTTCAACCGGTGAGAATGGCCGTCCTAACCGGCCTCCATTTATGGAGCAACTACCCACCCTGCCCGGAAGGCAATGACTGGCGAGTGAATTGGTGGCCGAGTCGGTTGTGCTACTGGGATAACGCCATTGCTACGAAGGCTTTATTTTTGCATGGGGCGGGACTGGACGATAGAGGGTTGGTCGACAGGGGGGTTGATAAGATCAGAGGGTCAATGGGCAGACGGCGGAGTTCTAGAACGTCCGAAATGGCCGCCACGGCCGAACCTACTCGAGGCGCGGACTGGTCGAGTAGGAGGGAGTCGTGTACTACAGAGTAGGAGGTAAAGGTACATACCTTACCTACCTATAGTGAGTAGTGAGTGGTCAAGTCTGGTCAGCCCACCGATGGGACGATGCGCATCCGCTAAGCCTAAACGAGCACCCTGCGCAACCCCCCCGCGCGCCCACCGCCCAAAGAATTTATGGATTCACAATTAAGAATTAATCCGTGTCAATCTAGAATTCCACGCCGAACTATTCCCGCGCCTCTCTCGTTCCGTGTCAGAGCACCCTCGGACATTTCCTGAATGGCGGAATCCGCGAAAAGAGCCATGCCCGATCACTCGTCCAATCAGTCTTCCAAAAGAAGAAAGGTTTGTTTCATTCGGCTCCTGCCATCCGCTATCACTCCATCCGTGGTCTAACCCGTGGCATAGGGAGGCGGCAATTGGCAAAAACCTGCCAAAGGGGGGATCATCGAAAGCGGTGATTGTGGTGTGTTCGTAACGTGTGACAAGGGCAAAGAAGGGAAATGCATCCCCGAGGCCGTGGATCTGTTCACCCAGGTTAGTCCCGTACTTTGTACCGGCGGGGAGGATCAGAAGCGATCGTCGACCGTTTCGATATAACCCTGGCATTCCGTCTGACGCAGTTTGTCGATCAGAGCGTCGAGCAGTCCGACATTGGCGAGAAGGATGCCGACTCCGCCGAGGATGATGATGAAGATATCGAAGCCCAAATTAGAAGAGAAGTCGAAGGCCTAAAACCCAGCTCATCCACGCCCCGTCAATTTCGCACCTTTCGCATGGAATTCCCCTGTGGTTTGTCCAGGACTTATCTCCATCTCGCAGTCCATGAACTAGCGGCTAATCTTCGTCAGTGTTCTTCGTGAAGTTTGATAAGTCCATTGATCCGGAGAAACTAGTGCACCAGCTTTGCGTGGATGCGCATAACAACCCCGACCAGAAGCGCAGTCGGTATATCCAACGCCTGTCGCCGATCAGGTCGATACGCAAGACTCTCAGCGTTGATCTGGAGGCATTTGCTGCGGAGATACTCAAACCCCACTTTCACTCCGGCGGTCCTCCTAAAAAGGTATGCCGCAGCTTTAGTCTCCTGCCGTGACTGTCGGGATGCGTATGTTAATCGCGTGGGTTTGCAGTTTGCGATTCGACCCGTGGTGAGGGGCAACTCGAAATTCAACCGGGATGTTCTCATCAAAACCATTGCTCAGGTAGTGGGACCGGGCCATTCCGTTGATCTCAAAAATTACGACGTTCTTATTCTCGTCGAAGTGGTTCAGGTATGTACAACCAACTGGAATGAAAGACTGGCTGTTGGACATGACGTGGCTAATATCGCGACCCAACGCAGAATTTGATTGGAATGAGCGTTATGGGGGCTGACTACGACAAATTGAAGAGATATAATTTGGCCGAGCTGTACAAACCGTCTGCGAAGCCTGAAGCGTCCGAGCCTAAGGAAGAATAAATTAAATACGATTTCATACTTAGGGTACTCCCCATCAATTGGTTGAGGATCTGCCGTACGGAGCAGGGCGGGAATGGCTTCGAGAAGCCGTTGATATTGCACTAGACGCGTTTAGGGCAAACGGCGACAAGTGCTTCGTAAAATGACCGACACATGACTCTCGCCGTGACATTTGCCCTCTCCGACTTCTCCGAGGAGTGACGTGAGAAGCTTCGTCGAAGATGCAACGTTGGAAGGGCCGTTCATTTAAAAGCACGGCGTCGTACCGATCCTTCGTGGTCTTCGGTAAGGCGACCGCCTGATTGGGCCGGCGCTGCACGGCGCCTTTCTTCAAGCGGGAGACTTACGCGAGTCTCCGTCCGCAGTCTCCCGCCGTCGAGTATGAAACCCTCAGCTGCTGGCTGGGCCGAATAGGACCGCGAGCTGCGGAGGCGTGGACGCGTTCCGGCACAATGTCATTGAATTTCGACCTATGCGGCTCGCTTAAAGTTATTGGATAGGGGCATAGATCCGGGTCGGTGGCACTCTATCTCGCTTGCGGTCAACGTAACTTCCCGTTGCCAACGCACCGGATATGCCAATAACGAAGGCCCGGCGTAGACGGCTGAGTTCTTTCGCTTCGGATCTCTTCTTCATTGCCCCAAAGAAATGTCGCCCGGCAAGTTCTTTATCCTGCCCTGGGTCCCGCCCGTTGACCGTCCGTCTCTCCTCGATGCTTCTCCTTGCTCATCCAGCACTTGACCTCGTCCGCACCCATTTGGACCCTCTACCATGTCGCCTTTCCTACTGGATTGCTCCAATTCCGAATGTGCAGACACGACCGACCTGGACACGGTGGTCGGTCAAATCTTTTCGCCCAATGTCTATGTGAGAGAGATTTACCCCCTCGAGGGTCATCTCCATTCGATGTGTCTCGTGATACTCTCGAATGAGGAGCAGCTGCTCCTGAAAAGCACGCCAGGGATGATGACGCCTCTGCTCCGGCAAGAACAGCGTCTCCTCGAGACCGAAGCCCAAGCCATGTTCATTCTGAAGCAGAGTGCCGTCTCGTGTATCCCTGCGGTTCTCCACTACGACCACCGAGGCAACCTCTTCGGGTCATCCTTCATACTGCGACAGTTTGTCCCCGGGACAACGCTGCAAGAACTGGAGGCCCAGCTAGGCGATCAAACCCGGACAGACATCGATTGGACTCTGGGGTCGTTGGCAAACAGCATCTCGCAACACGTTTCTCACTCTTTTGGGTCCCTGGAGCAGGTGGCTTCCGGCTCGGGGAAAAGGTCGTGGCGAGAAGCCTTTATTATCTTGTTCGAAGGCATCCTTCGCGACTCGGAAGATGTCTTCGTCAACCTCCCCTATGCCGAAATTCGGCATCAGGTTTGCCGGTTATCACCTGCGCTCGAGGAAGTGAGACTGGCACGATTGGTCGTTGTGGATTTAGGTCGACCGTCTCAAGTGCTTTTGGACCCCGAGTCAAAACGCGTGGCTGGAGTCGTGGACTTTAGCAGTGCGCTTTGGGGTGATGTCTACATGGCCGATATATTTGACAACCCATCATCCTCTGTACTTGATGGCTTTGGACTCCGTCCGACAAAAAGCAAAGCGGAATCGATACGACACCTACTGTGCGGACCCCAAACAACCATTCAGAATGATGATATCAAGATGAAGGCTAATACGTATATTTTCTCAGCTACGGTTGCTATCGATCCGTCCAGAGGATCACAGTACAATACTATCGAGACAGGAATATACTTGCCGAAAATGATGCAAGAAGACGATTGACATCGATTTTAACCGAGATGGCAGCCCACTGAAATTTACACACCCTCGTTCTTGGCTGACCAGGGAAGGAGACTGGCGATGCAGGTAGATTAGCGGCATTAAATAAACACCATAGACCATTAATTAGCCTTCGGGAGGATCAACCGTCCCCAACTGTCACATGAATGGAGTTTGGCCCAATTTTTTGCCTTTGTTTCCCCATTTCGTGCTTGGACGAAGTAATTGTTGCTGCCTATCTGACCTAGTCGGGATTACAAGTTCATGGTTTGCTGGTCCAAGTTCCTTCGGAGGAGTAAAGGATACCCACTTTGTGTAGTTCCCACTCTACTCAGAGGCTACTTCTCAAACAGCTGCTAGTCCCCTGTGACTTTCTCAGTCGCTAAATTTCCATCCTGACCGGTGTTCTCGCTGGCGCTGGACGAGGCGTCGTCGATATTCTGGTCGAAATGAAAACGTGTAGTGGATGCTGTGGGAGGCAAACTAGGGGAGAGAGCATTCGCCTCCGATCGGATTGGCATATTGATTCTCGTAGCTGTATTCGTGTTCTCGTTGACCAGGAACGAAGGAGTCCATTCAAACAGGTACGTCAGGGCGTCCTTATCTCTGGGGTGGTTTCGTGTTCAGCAGCTTCTTGACGCAAGAAAAGAACCCGTGATTCTGCTGCTTCAACATCCTTGGAATCGTCAGTCTCCGGGAATGACCCTGAACTCGGAATTGGACATATACTCCGTAGAGCAATGGCCATGGACGATGGAAGAAAGGGAAGCCATAAGGCAGACGGCAGAAAAGAGCCAAGAGCGGGGCCGATCGGCGCAAACCAACCATGGCGTCAGCTGCTCAGCTCCCGCGGCCTTTGTGGGGTCTCCGCTCCGCTCCCTTCAACACCTCAATCCCCCCCCCCCTCCTGGATTTTTCTCTTCTTCTTGTCATTCTCTTTGATTTCTCGTGCTCGACCACAAAGCTCAAGAACCGCCGGGGATGGCACACTTTCTACGAGGGAAACAAGCCGGCATTCAGAAGGACTTCTCCGATGGCCTGTCGCCGGATTTGTTCGCTCTGGACGATGTACGCCGCAGGCACCCACGTTTTTGTCAATTCCGTTGCTAACGCGCTCGCAGTTCGCCCGGTATGGCGTGAACTCTCAGATCAGCGCTATCGCATACGATCCCGTCCAGTCCCTTCTTGCCGTCGGAACCAGCGATACACAGTTTGGAAGCGGGCAGATCTATGTTTTCGGCCAGCGTCGGGTGTCGGTCACTTTTTCGCTCCCTCGCAAGGCGTCTGCCAAGTTCCTCCAGTTTTGCGCCAATAAACTGATAAGCGTGGATTCGAAGAGCGAGATCTCCGTTTTCTCCCTGGAGACCCGACAAACAATCTTCTCATATGCTCCCCCGAACCACGTCAGCGCGGTGTTGACCGATCCTAGCCTCGACTACGCATTCATTGGTTTACAGAATGGTGATCTGACACCGCAACAGGGGAGATCTTGAAGGTTGTGCTGATACATTACTGCGCAGGTGACATTATCGCTTATGACCTCGACCGCGAGTCCTTGACCCCATTCAAAGTTCCCAACCTCTGGGCCTCACGCAACCCAAGGGCGCGGTTTTGCCCCGTTCTGACCTTGTCCTTCTCGCCGCGCGATATTGGAAAGATACTGGTGGGATATCCCGAAGGTGCCGTGACGTTTTCTTTCAAGCAGAACGTCGCCCAGAAATACTTTGAATACGAGGTTCCCCAGGGTGCCTTCGGTGGAAACGGCGAGGTCCCGGCGCACGAACCGCGCAGACCTAGATTGACCCAGGCTCTCTGGCATCCTAATGGAATCTTCATCTTGACTGTTCACGATGATAACAGTCTTGTCTTCTGGGATTCGAAGGATGGTCGTAGAATCATGGCCCGGTCGATTCAGGATGCGAATATTGATCAGCCGGGCGCCGGTCCAGAGCGGCCACTTTCATCTGGTGGTGCCGTTGGTCTCAAGGACCCCATTTCCCATGTCGCCTGGTGTGTCAAAGAGAATGGCGACGATAGTGGCCTTTTGATAGCCGGTGGTCGCCCGAAAGCCGAGGCCAACAAGGGACTTACGTTTTTGGATCTGGGACCGACCCCCAATTATCAGACATCGTCGTGGGCCATTCTTTCTCGATATTTTGAGACCCCAAGGCAGATTCTGAACCTCCCGACTCCCCCGGGTGCAGAGGTTGTCGACTTTTGCCTCATCCCCCGTGCCTCGCCTTACTACGCCGGTTGCCATGATCCTATCGCCTTGATCTCCCTCCTCTCCTCGGGAGAACTGATCACCATGAGTTTCCCAAGCGGCCACCCAATCACCCCGACGAATATGGTCCATCCTTCACTTTCATTTGTTCATCCGTTCGTGACCAAAATGGTTCTGACGCCAGTAGACCGTTCAGCCTGGTTGGGTCTAAAGGAGAGGAGATCACAAGGACCGAAGTTCCTTCTAGGTGGCGCAGAAGCACATAAGACTCTCAAGCGATTTGAACATCGCAATGTAATTACAACGGCTCATGCTGACGGAACTATTCGTCTGTGGGACGTGGGCCACGACGACGAGATTGAAAATGGCGACGTCATCCAGGTGGATCTGGCTCGTGCTGTTGGCCGAGTCGCCGGGATTGAGGTCACTGAGATGTCTCTAGGTGGCTCAACCGGCGAGTTATCGGTTGGTCTCCGAACCGGCGAGGTTGTCGTGTTCAGATGGGGCAACAATCGAAACTTCGGCAACGAGGGACCCTCCGGTGCCAACGAAGGGGCAGGGAAATTGACCAACATCACTCACCGGGCCGATCCGGGGCTGAAACAGGGAATCCTCCCTCTAACGCTGTTGAACATGCAGCAGGGCCCAGTCACCGCTTTGAAACACAGCCAGGTCGGCTTCGTTGCAGCGGGATTCGAAGGTGGCAGCTTGGCCATCATCGATTTACGTGGACCAGCAGTGATTCATACTGCGCACCTATCGGAACTCACAAAACCCAACAAACGCAGCAGTTTCCTTAAGTCCCGTTCGTCCGAGGAAGCACCCCCAGAATGGCCTACAAGCATTGAATTCGGTGTAATGACATTGGAAGGCGAGGGTAAGGACCAGGGCTCAAAGCTGTTCCATTGAAAATCTTATGCTGACGGTATTTCGCAGACTATTCAAGCATTTGCTGCTTTGTGGGCACTAATCGAGGGAATCTCGCTACCTTCAAAATCCTCCCGGCCAGCAATGGAGCTTACATGGCTTCCTTTGCTGGGTCGGTACCATTAGATGATAAGGTCATCAAGATCAACCCCATCGACGCAGAAAGTGGCGATCTCGTCTTGGCTACCCCGAGTCTGGTTTCTAGCCTCAGAGATGGAAATAGAGTCAACGGCGTAGTCCTCGCCGTGACTGTTTCTGGATGCCGGATTTTCAAACCTGCCACATCCAAGGGCGCTCATAAGTCCTGGGACGACTTTTTATGTGATTCTGCTGCCGTGGTCAAGATTGAAGGCCGAGGCCATAGCTTGGTTGGACTTTTTGGTGACGGCAATGCGCGCGCTTTCTCTATTCCAGGACTCAAGGAGATTGGGTGCAGCGCCATCAATAACATGGTGGATATGAGACGGCTCTCGGAATCCACTGTTTGCTCCAATGGCACTGCGCTGGTTTGGACGGGCCCGTCTGAGATAGGGCTGTTTAGCGTGTGGGGATCTGGAATTACGCTGTACGAGAACCCCTTCCCTTCTTATTTGGATCTGAAGACCGACGGGTTGCTGATCATTCATATAGGAAACGTTCGGAGGATCAGCTTTTCAATATCCAGGCTGTTATCCCCCCGCGACCTACCATCACTAATATCCAGTGGATATCTGGTACCCAGTATATTTCACCAGCGGATATGGATATCCTGAGTAAGAAGTTCCTTTGATTTTACCCTTCTTCATTCTTTGGCTTCGAAGCTGTACGCTGACAATCGCCTTTCAGTCGGAGGTCCCGATCGTCCTCCCTCCAAACGAATGCAGGAGCAGATGCGGCTCGATGACCAGGAACGGCGAAGAGCGGCCAGGGAAGGAAGGTCTCCCGGCAACCAGCCTTCGCAAGGCAGCGATGAAGGTTATATTTCCTACATGCAGCGCCAAGTGCAGGAGCGCACCGAAAGACTTAACATAGCCGGAGACCAAATGGAGCGTTTAGAGGAAAGCAGTAGTGGCTGGGCCCGGGATGTCAACAAGTTCGTTTCGAACCAGAAGAAAAAGGCCGTTCTCGGTGGTGAGTGATTCTCCGAATTGATCAATCTTGAAATCGTACTAATGAGCTGCCTAGCGCTGGGGTCTAAATTTGGGTTCTAGACCTGCCCGAGAAGAAAAAAAACCAACTCTTTTTCCGCTACATACCCTGATTTGACTGGCGTTGGTTTGTTAAATGCACTGTCTACTTTTTTACAACTCCTTTCATCTTATTTTCTCTGTTCGTTTCTGTCCTTCGTGGCGCACAAATCATCGGGAAATGCGAAATTATAGAGGATTAAAGTGGACAGACCAGACTGGATCCAGATTAGCAGCAGAATATTCACCTTTTCATGTGGTCTTTGGCGTAATTGCCATGCTCCGTTAATCCCCTTTCTTTAACAAGTATGACTTCATCTCTCGCTATCATTCCTTGTCAACCCGACAAGATTCAATTCTTCCGAGTACCGTGAATCATCTTTGATGTTCATTCTCAGACCAATGCACTTAATCTTGACAATCCCAAAGGGAAATTTATCGCCACCTATTATTGGAGTCCCCCATAGGTAGACAAAGTGCAAAGCACAATGCAGCGCATCCGATTATTTACCCAATCAATCCCCTGCCCGCCTCATTGACCGATCCCGCGTTCAAATCGGCTGGAGAATAATCACCCACTTCACCGCAAGAACCAGAGAGAAGAACTGCAGACTGCCCCAGCTCAGTCCTCGCAGTGAACTGCAGCAGTAAATTGCGTCACCTTCATCTTCACCGTACTGCAGATCCTGGACCATGGAAAGCGCAGGTGATACATGCAGGTATAGCAGTGAATGCAGACCATTATGCGCAAGCGCCACGAAAACGATGACGGAGAATTACAGGGTTGAGCATCAGAAAGCGACAGGTCATCAAACGGTTTTTGATGCTCGGAAGGCCTTGCGTTCCAGTTCTGTTAGGGATGTCGGGGCTACGTGCGGGCGTTGGAACTGCCAGAGGGGCTTCTGACTCGGGACATGCGTGGGTCCGAAACTTGCGTGTCCCTGGCTTTTCTTCCCTTGCTTTCCTTTGTTTGTTTTCCTTTGTTTGTTTTCCTTTGTTTGTTTTCCTTTGTTTGTTTTCCTTCTTTTTCGTGGGTATTCGGTGAAGGTCAGGAAGGGATTGTAGGTGTGGTAGGGGATGTGTACCTTGAGTGGTAGGGAGGGACTCAGGTAGGTACGGCAGGTGAGGAAACAAGAATGGCTGTCTTTGCAATGTGGTATTTTTTTCAATTCGGTTTCGAGTTGTGCTTAATCTATGTCGTAAAAAAAATAGAAGAACTAGATATAGGTGCTAAACTAAATATGTGAAATGAAGCTGGTTCTGTCATCAAAGCGTTGCAATCGAATCATCAAATCATTCGATATATAAGAGGGAAAAAAAAAAGACAAGAAAGAAACAACCACGATCAAAATCAAGCCGCAGTAGATCAGTGCACCATGACTTCCGATTGATGGGGCTGCTGGGCTGCAGGGTTGGCCTTGGCCGACTCGTCTTTCTGCTCGGAGTCGTCGCCCATCTCAACGTCTTCATCGCCGTCACCGCCATCCTCTTCGTCAAGATCGTCGTCATCATCGTCACTTTCGTCCTCAATATCCTCACTCTCGCCGTCGGAGATGTCTTCCTCCTCTTCTTCTTTGGTGGCGGTCGGCTCAGTGCCCTCCATGTCGTGGTCTTCGGTCTTGGGGGCCGGTTGCTTCTCGGTATCGGCAAGTTCTTTGACCAGAGCGGCTTCAAGCTCGGCTTCCTCCGCACCGTAGGCACCACTGTCGTCGTCCAGGTTGTCGGCTTCAGGCTGGTCCGGAGGGTATTCGGCGGGGGCAGATTCCTCCGAGTCCCTAGTAGTATAGAGTTAGCCATATGATATGTCCAAGACAACGAAAGAGAGAAAAGGAAAAGGGAGGGGCAAGGAAAAGTGAGAGATGGGCTTCGATAATCACAGGAGTCGTACCACTTGATTGCAAATCGGGTCACTCTTGGCTTCTCAGCGAGGATATTCCGGCGGATACGCTCAATGATGGGCTTCGATGGCGGCTCGGTGGCAAGCTCCTCCGAGTCGTATTCATTGTTTACGTAGTAGCCCACTCGAACGAACTCTCGGCCGTCGTAGCTGCAAGTGAGCAGAATGACCGTCACACCAAGGATTTCCGACGTGGGGATGCGTTTGAGGTCGGGGTGGTCGGCTTCGAAGATGAACTTGTTGACGCCGACTGGGATAGGGCCGACGAGAAGAGAATCGAGCTCTTGGTCATATTCGGAGCTACATAAATCTGTAAGTGGGGAGGAACGTTTCTAGTCCGATGGACTGAGGTTTAACTTACGATGTCGCGGAACCGACGTAGGTGAGCTTCCATTCCAGGTCTGTTGTCGAGCGTTAGCGGGGTGGTCTTTTCTCAAGTTGACCCAGCGGTGTAGACCACCCACCTTTTTGAAGTGATTCGAGACACTCAAAAGTGATCTCGAACTGATAGGGAGAGAGGAAAGGGGCGGGGTTGTTCAGGATCTTGACCCCGAGGAGAGAGACAACCGACATGATGTGTGTGGGAGAGGGGAGAATGGACAAACAATGGGATGATGAGTGGAGGGAGAGAAAGAGGAATTGGAGGTGGGATTGGGACTGGCGAGATTTTGTAGAGGAGGGAGGTAGGGATATGTTTCGAGGCCGAAAAGTGAGTTGCTGAGGAGACGGCAGCAATGCAGCAGGAAAAACTGGAGACGTTGGGGGGGACTTGGGCGATCGAGTTCGACTTCAGAATTAATTAAGAGTCGCGCCGCGCGTGTTGGACGCATCGCGCGCCCACCGCCTTGGCCCGTCACGTGCGGCGTGACAGCTGCAGCTTCTGTTCTTCTGCCGGTGAAACGGCCTCATCCATCGCGGGATTTTCATTGTTCCAGCAAGCTCTGCCCCCCCGGAACGTGCTGCATCTCCCCCCCGTTTCATCTTTTACCCTTCCCCTTTCCATTGTCTTTGTATCATCTATCCTTCTTTGCCTTTCCGCACTCTCCTTCCTTTGTGCAGGCTCTAGGTATTTATTGTATGTGTCCCCTAGCCCCCCTCGGACCACCTATACCTACCTACCTACCTACCGATCCTTCTATGACTCCTCCGAAATAGCTGACCAAGCAACCCCTCAACAGTATATAGGCTTATTGTTTTCTCACCGCACCTGTGGTCGCCACCGGACACTCCATCCCTCTTGTCATGGCCGAAGATGACGCTGAGAAGGCCTTTTTCCAGGCCCAGGCAATGAATGCGGACTCGGTGGACTATCAGGCGGGTGAAGATCAGGGGGCAGATAATTCAGATTCAGATGATTATGATCCTTCAAAGACATTGCATGACCAATATTCCGCTCCCTTGACAGATTCCACCCCAAATGGACATGTTCCCTCCACTGCTATCCCTCAATCCAACCCCCAAGATCAGACTTCCCTTGCCCCCGAATCCGACCCCAGTCCGCCGGCTGGCAACGCCGTCCCTTCCCAGACACCTTCTCGAGCTGAGTCTCAGGCCTCCACCTCGGTACCTGCACCCGGGACCGCTGTACAACCGAAGACCAGAACGATCGGGGGCTTTGTGGTTGATGATGAGGATGAGGATGACGCGGGTGATGCAGATTATGAGCCCCCAGCTGTACTAGGTGTCGAGGACATGAATGCTATACCTATGAATGTGCCTCAGCAACCAATCTCAGGAAATGCAAATGAAGATACTTCTACCCCCGATGTATCATTGGATGAAGCTGCGCAGGATTCTGCCGGCGTGAAGAATGCTCCTAATAGTTCATACCCTCCTGCTGTTGCTTCTAAAAATGATGCGTCTATTCCTTCGGGCTCTTTGTACAACTCACGTACGTCACAGTCTGACAATGCGCAAGGAAGCGCGACGGCGACTCCGGCGCCGGACTCTCCGTCCACTTCGAAGGGTCGCTTGCCTCACGATAGAGTGGGCATTTTGGAAGACCGGATCCAAGAAGACCCTCGAGGTGATATCCCTGCTTGGATCGAGTTGCTTAATGAACACAGGAGTCGCAGTAGGATCGACAGCGCTCGGGATGTATATGAGCGTTTTCTACAGGTCTTCCCGTTTTCTGTATGTCCTCGCCTCCCTTTGGCTCCCGTGAGAAGAGCATCCGAAAAGCTTACCATATCCACCAGGCCGAGCAATGGGTTGCGTACGCGACTATGGAATCCGAGCTGAACGAGCTGTTCCGCCTCGAGCAGATCTTCAACCGAACTCTTCTGACCATTGCGGATGTTCAGCTGTGGACTGTCTATTTGGACTATGTTCGCCGGCGCAATCCCTTGACCACCGACACTGCCAGCCAAGCAAGGACCATCATCTCGTCCGCCTATGATCTGGCACTTCATCATGTGGGTGTGGATAAAGACTCCGGCTCTATCTGGGCGGACTACGTTCAATTCATTCGCTCTGGTCCGGGAAATGTTGGCGGCTCCGGATGGCAAGACCAGCAAAAGATGGATTTGCTGCGGAAGGCCTATCAAAAGGCCATTGCAGTCCCCACGCAGGCTATCAACACCCTCTGGAAAGAATACGACCAGTTTGAAATGGGCCTAAACAAGCTTACGGTATTCCAAACCCACCCCCTGCCCCTTACCGTTTGCTGCATCTAACCTCCCGTGGTTTATCGTAGGGTCGAAAGTTTCTCCAAGAGCAATCGCCGGCATACATGACCGCTCGCAGCTCCTATACCGAACTCCAGAATACCACGAGAGACCTAAATCGCACCACGCTGCCTAGGCTGCCTCCGATCCCTGGCTCTGATGGCGACGTTGAGTTTGCGCAGCAGATTGAAATCTGGAAGCGATGGATCCAGTGGGAGAAGGGAGACCCTCTCGTTCTGAAAGAAGATGACCCGGTCGCATTCAAGACCCGTGTCGTCTATGTGTACAAGCAAGCCCTTATGGCTCTCAGATTCCTACCAGAAATGTGGTTCGAGGCCGCTGAGTTCTGTTTTCTGAATGACCTGGAAACCGAAGGAAATGATTTCTTGAAGCACGGCATCGACGCTAACCCGGAAAGCTGTCTGCTTGCATTCAAGCGCGCTGACCGACTTGAGATCACGTCGGACTCCGAACAAGACTCCATCAAACGCGGTGCTCTGGTCAGAGAGCCCTACGACAAGCTTCTGGATGCTCTCTACGATCTCGTTGCCAAGGCACGCACCCGCGAAGCCCAGGATGTTGCCCGTCTCGAAGATGCGTTTGCCAAAATGAAACCCGAAAAGCCGAACCGACGGCCCGATGAAGACGATGACGATCAAAGTGAGTCGAAGGCCCGGGAATCGGTTAAGAAAGCCCAGGTCGAGGCCCTTCGGAATGCACACGCCATCCAGATTGGCATTCTCTCCAGGACGATCTCGTTTGCGTGGATCGCGCTCATCCGCGCGATGCGCCGTGTCCAAGGCAAGGGCAAGCCCGGCGAGGTGCCCGGTTCGCGACAGGCGTTTGCGGACGCTCGTAAGCGAGGTCGGATCACAAGCGATGTCTACATTGCCAGCGCGCTCATCGAGTATCACTGCTACAAGGATCAGGCCGCCACGAGGATTTTCGAACGAGGCGCAAAGCTTTTCCCGGAGGATGAGAACTTTGCGCTCGAATACATGAAGCACTTGATAGACATCAATGATGTCATTAGTAAGTCTAAGCCTTCCGGTCCATGATCTACAAACGCTAACTGACAATTCTTCAGACGCTCGTGCGGTGTTCGAGATGACGGTCAGGAAGCTGGCATCCAATCCCGAAAATGTTCACAAGACCAAGCCCATCTTCGCATTCCTCCATGAATACGAATCTCGCTACGGGGATCTGGTTCAAGTCATCAACCTCGAGAGCCGTATGCGCGAACTTTTCCCCGAAGATCCCACCCTGGATCAGTTTTCCCACCGATATTCCACCCCTACCTTCGACCCTACCGGCGTGCGGCCGATCATCTCGCCCTCTCAAACCCGGCCCAAGGCTGCGTTCCCGACGGAGCAGGTCATGTCGCGTCACGGCACGCCCGTTGCGAAGTATCCCGATCCCTCCGTCACCAACTCCCCCAAACGATCGTTGGATGACTTTGACGATGACATGAACCGACCGCGCAAATTCGTTCGCGCCGAATCGCCGCTCAAGACGGCGCAACGGCGGCAGTTGGATCAACAGAAACGCACCCAGCCGACCGTGAGCAGCCAATCCGGATCGCAATTCCGGACGCAGGGTTCACCCGCCTCGTTGCCTCGAGAGATCGTATACCTCTTGAGCATCATCCCCCCGGCGTCGTCGTACACTGCCGGTCGATTCTCACCCGAGAAACTGGTGGATCTCATTCGAAGGATCGACATGCCCAGCTCTATTTCCCAGATCCCTTTACCGCAGCCCGTCCGCGGACTTGGAACGGGACAGAACCCCATGCAGCCTTTCTCCGGTAAGTCTTCTTGCTGCTCGTCGTGGGGCTTTGCCCACCCCCTCGGCCACTTTAGCTAACGGTCCTCCCTCTCCAGGCATGTACCGCTCATAATCGATCTACGAATATAGACACGGCCTTCTTGCTCTTTGATGACTCACAACTGAATATCCGGACCCCCTCGTGCCGTGGGACTGTCCCCCTACTTTTGTTTTTAATGTCTTTCGATATCATCTCACGGGTCCGGTGTGGCTCGGGACTGTATAGTCTTTCTGGAATGTTTCTTGCATCTTATGAAACGGCGTTCTCGTATGGATTTGACTTGAGCGCCACGAGGGATTTTACGCCGCAGGAAGGGCTCCAAGTCAACCGTTCGAATTTGATAATTCTTCGTTCCATTATATGCCTGCCTCGAGAGCGCGGGATTTTGTACAGTGGCCTTTTTTCACTTCTTGTTTTTTTGGAGGATTGGGATAGCCTGGACTGGAGCAGGAATTGCGTTGAATTGAATCGAATGAAATGTGATGTTTTTTTCTTGCACTTTTTCTTGCACTTTACATACATACACTTTGGACGTCTTCACATCTGCAGGTGAGCAATACCAGTAATCCATCCCCTCTGCCTTTCTGAACCCATTCGAATTGTCTCTCAGTGCCCTCTACCTACCTAGCACCTACCTACTCTCTCCTTCTTTTAACCACCGACCTACTTCCTCTGGGCCAATCAATCCTGAGTTGGTCTTCTCTCACTTGCACCTTCCTACCAAGGCAACCCCCCTCCCCCTCCTACTTCCTTCCAGTTGTTTACTTTCTTCCTCCATCTTCCTCTTCCCCTCTTCTTCCTCCACTTCCTTCCTTCATCTCCTTGACATCTCTCATCTCCCACCTCTCAACCTCTCAACCTGACCATCATCCTCACCTCACTCGACGATCGCCTTCTATCGTCAACCAATCTCACCTCTCTCACATCTCTCTCACCTTACCTGACCGCGAGCACCTCTCCTTCGTTTCTTCTGACACGTCTCGCGTCTCCTCTCTACCCACCTTCCTGTTGACTCTCCGCGTCTCCACAACCTTCATCGCTCCTACACCCTTTACTACCACTCTACCATCCGTCTTCTCGTTGATTCTACGCAAAATCTCCCTGGGGGTCATTTCCTGATCTCTTCCCATCCCCCCATCTTCTTTGGCTCCCTATCTTTTCAGGAAGTCCACCGCGTCGTAACGAACGCGCTTCCATTTCCCAAACAACTTACTCGCCCCTTGCACAGTTACAACCGAAAAAATGGCGAGCGAACGCTTAGGCGATCCGGCCTTAGACAAGCCCAGATTGGTCACCGACATGGTTAGAAATGTCGATTTGCCCATGGGAGCATATTCCATCAACCACCTGGTAAGTTCTTTTTTTTTTTCCTTTCCTTTTATTTTCTTTTCTTTTCTTTTTCTCCTAGGCGTAAAGTCTGCAGCCATCAAAATTTCGTCGGGGGTGGGCGTGAATGCGCCGTCGTCTATTCGGTCTCCATCAATCGTATTGTCCGTCTCTCCTGTACCATCCTCTCGCATGCGACCTCAAGTCATTCCATCTTCTTCGGCATTTCCTTCTCTCTGTGAATATCTCGCTTACAATTCCCTCCATCTCTTTCCCCGTTATCCCGGAAATTGTCGTTTTATCTTCCCGTGCCCCTCCACCAGTCGCCATTCACCTTGGGCAGCGGTCAAACGGCGTCTGCATATGGTGGTCTGGATTCACACATCATAGGCCTCCTTCAATGTAGGAAGCCGATATTCATTGCCTTGTCTCACCATTCCCTGGGCCACAATCAACGCTTCACAGCATGCCTTTCCCCAGCAGATTTCTTGTCTATATAAACCCCCTCAATCCCCCTCTCTCCACCTCCTCCTCTTCTTTTCTTCTCCCATCTCCCAGCTTCCCCTGTTCCCAAATCCGCCTTTCCCCTCGTTTCCAACCTTCCGCTTTCGAGCATTTCCTTTTCTCAAATCTTCCTTTCTGTTTCTGCTTCCAACCATGGAGAATCTCGAAGAGATCAACAAGCTCACTGGTGGCCTTCGCCATCTTCGACTTCGTGCTGCTGACGAACTGGTCAAGTATTCTGTCCCCGTTGAGACGGTTCCTCGTCCCGGCTTCAACACTACCGGCAAGGAGATCGAATTATCTATGAACGCCTATCCCATCGTCAAGTTCCCAAACAAGAATGTTTACCAGTATGATGTGAGTTCCCTTGTTCCCCGTGCTCCTCGTGAAACCGCCGCTAATATAAAGCACAGGTTCATATTGGCTCTGGGGCTGAGAAGAACGTGGTGATCAAAAAGGTCTGGGATTCAGCTGCCAGAAAGACGGCTCTCAAGCAGATTGTTTTTGACGGTCAGAAGCTGGCCTGGTACGCACTTCCAACTACCCATTTCGTCATGACATTCCCACTGACAAACCACAGGTCCATGAATGACTACAAGCATGAGCTTAATGTCATGGTTGATCTTGATGCTGAGCAAGGTCGTCGCCCCAATACCAAGACCCCCAACGTCTTCCGTCTTCTTGTGCGTCCTACCAAAACTGTCAACTTGGCAGTTCTCAACGCCTGGCTCTCTGGAAAAACTTCCATGTCTGAGGCTGTTTTGGAGGCCCTGAGTAAGCTTTCCTGCCTACTTTCATGTGTACGTCAGCCGGCTAACTGTTGCAGATTTCCTCGACCATGTCATCCGGGAATATCCCAGCACCAAGTTCCTTGCGCTTAGGCGTTCCTTTTTCGATGCCGACGGAGACAACAAGGACTTAGGTAACGGCGTTCTTGCCTTCAAGGGTGTCTATCAGGCTATCCGACCTGCTATTGTAAGTTTGCCATATTCCTTTTCCCACTATACCGAGCTAATTGGTGTCGTAGGGACGTGGATTGATTGTGAACGTCGATGTTTCCAACTCTTGCTTTTGGGCACGAATTTCCTTCATGGGAGCAGCCATGGCGGTGCTTGACTGCCGCGACCATCAAAATCTGGCCCATGTTCTGAAGCCTGTCGCTGACGGCCATGGTGGTGTCACTGAATCAACCCAGTTTTACGAGGCCCACCGCCGCTTGAGAAAGTTGCAGGTTCAACCGCACTACCGCGGCTGTCCAGTTCTTGGTACCAATTTCATCGTCAAAGGGCTGATTAACGCAAATGCCCGTCAGTACCTCATTGAACTGAAAGACAAGGCAACCGGCAAGACCGAAAAGATCAGTGTCGAGACCTACTTCAAGAGGAAGTATAATCTCACCCTCACCAACTGGGATCTTCCCATGGTTGAGATGACCAAGAAGGGGGTCGTCTACCCAATGGAAGTTCTTACGATTCATGGTCTTCAGAAATACCCTTGGAAGCTCAACGAATACCAGACCTCGCATATGATCAAGTATGCGGCTGCGCGGCCTAGCGATCGTTTGCAATCGGTTCACAAGTCCAAGGCCATGCTTGCTCATGACAGTGATCCTGTGCTTAAGACTTTCGGACTTCAAATTGACCAAAACATGATTCGGACCAAAGCCCGACTGTTGCCCAACCCCGATATCCAGTTCGGTGGCAATCAACGTCATAATCCTGGCACTAATGGTCGCTGGGATCTTCGAGGAAAGAAGTTCTATCAGCCCAACAAGAGGCCTCTCGAATCATGGGGCATCGGGTTCTTTACCGGCAAGCGCAACTCGGTGAACAAGACTCAGGTGGAAACATTTGTTGATGGGTTCATGAAGACTTACGCAGGTCATGGAGGTCAGGTCGTGCACCGCCCACTTGTTGTTGAGCTCAAGGAGGATATCGGCGAAGCGATGAAAAAGCTATACAACCAAACCGGCGTTAAGTTTCAAAAGGATCCCCAGATTCTGTTGATTGTGGTCCCTGACAAGAACTCGTTCACCTATTCTCGGATCAAGAAATCGTGTGACTGCCGCTGGGGTGTGCCTTCTCAGGTTATGCAGTCGCTCCATGTGGCCAAGGCAAATCCGCAGTACATCTCCAACGTCCTGATGAAGGTGAACGCAAAGCTCGGTGGTACTACAGCTCGAATCATTACCAAGGTTCCTGAAGCTTCCCTTAAGCCCATGTCGATGATTATTGGTGCCGACGTGACCCACTCGCCTCTGGGCGTGTGGTCCCCTTCCATGGCCGCTATGTCCGTGTGCATGGACACTTTTGGCGGTCGCTATTGGGGCGCCTGTGAGGCTAATGGAGACCGCATCGAGATCATTGCTCGTGCGAACATGGAGATTATGCTGACTCCACTTGTTCGCGAATGGATGTCCACCGTCGGCCAGGGCCGTGCACCTGAGCGCGTTTACTACTTCCGAGACGGTGTGTCAACTGGCCAGTTCGAACATGTCCTCAACGAGGAAGTCTTTGTCATGAAGTCTATCTTTATGCAGCTGACTCAGGATCAGTGGAAAGGCAAGTTCACTGTGGTGATTGCCAACAAGCGTCATCACCTCAGGGCGTTCCCCCGGGCCGGTGACCGCAATTCAGCCGACAAGAATGGCAACCCCCTTCCTGGCACCCTTATCGAAAAGGATGTGACCAGCCCTCATGACTGGGATTTCCTTTTGTACTCGCACATCGCGCTTCAGGGCACGTCTCGTCCGGTCCACTATCACGTAATCTTGGATCAAAACAAGCATCGTGCTCACGAACTTGAGAACATGGTCTATGATCACTGCTATCAGTACATGAGGTCGACTACCTCAGTGTCCTTGTGTATGTTTCTTCCCTTCGGACGATGTTTCAAATTACTAACATGATTCACTCTAGTCCCGGCTGTCTACTACGCGCATCTGATCGCCACCCGCGCCAAACATCATGAGGATGTCCCTGCCAGCTCTGGCCCTCAGAGCGGTCCACAGGTCAAGATGACCAATCCGAAGCCCAAGGACAAGCCGACTGACCCGCGCTTGTTGTCCATTCATGGAACCTCGAACAGATTGCCGTTTGGAATGTGGTACATCTAGGTACTGGGCTGCACAGGTTGTCTTCCTCAATGTTGTTCCTTTTCTTTTCCGTTTCTTTCACTTTTCACGCTTGGCAACCATGCTTAAGCCATGGATCAGGAAATCTCCGCTCTTTTTTTATGCGGCTGCGTCACGTTCTATCACTGGGCTGGTTCATTGGGCTTACACGCTATCAAATTGACCCGGCTGTGGGCTTCGAATTTCAGGCTGGCGATGACCTAATCGACCAGGGCGAGCTGGCTTCAACAAGGCAGATACATCTGGGAGATCGGTAATTGCAGGCTAGAAGTTGCTTTCTGCGTCTTAGGATAGCTTCGCTTTGCAATCTGAATTACTCTTTTTCTTTCTTTACAAACAGTGAAAGCCTTGCTTCGGCTCCTCGTAGCACTACGTAGGTATACATCGGCTTGCGGACTCATTCAGTGACATCCTTGGTCGTTCGAACATTCGACTAGCTTAACCTGGTCATCTTAAAGAGTTCCCTTGGCTCCAGGTGTTTCTCGCGCCAGAGAAAGGTACTAAGACACCATGTAGGACTTTTGGCGAACGTACATCCCGAACTACCCTACAGCTCAACACGATCAAGAAATTTCAAAACCAAGGCATTCAAATCTTTATTTGGGTGGGAAGGACAAGAGACAAAACTATGTACGAACTATTCAAGCTTCTTCTCCCTTCATTTCCCACCGACACAAGACCAAGGGTCACAGGGCGGGGAGCGACAAGAACAAACAGCAGGTGCAGGTGCAGATGAAGAAATAGAAAAAAGGAGACAAGAAAGAAAAAGAAACGGGACGAAGAGATGAAGACACGAATCGAGTATGTAGAAAATGGGGGTTTAGGAAGAACATGAACATGGACTGACTGCACAAGCGCTGGTATAGGAAGATTGAAGAAAAGGTGCCGGATAAAGAGTACACGGATAAGAAGGAAGAGAGAGAGCGCGAGAGAGATGAAGCTGGTGAGGTTAGTTTAGAAGAAAGTAATAATAATAGTGACACACACACAAAAAGAATACAGAGGGAGAAAAGAAAGAGAAAGGGAACACTGGAAGTTTTTTCATGGCAGATGCAGATGGATCGATCTTTGCGGGAACAGACTGCTCTTTTTTGGGGATTTTTTTCATTGGGGGGAAATCAAAACTCCAGGTGTCAGAAAAGAATAAATGGTCAGCTAGGAAAAGCAAGAAACAGCAATGATTATGAGCAGCAGGGTAGTATAAGAAGAAGGGAGACTGTGTCTCTCCCAACCAGAAAGTCATGCCATGGTGCGCCGTCCATATACCCGACCTTTTTGTATCACAGACCCCAATGCAAGTTAATAAGTAGTAGAGAGATAAGATCCAAAGTGGAGGAAGAAAGAAACATGTTGGGAGAAGACCACCACACCAGAATCCTAGTTCATGCAAAGCCCTTGGGTATCAAATCCGCAAATGAGATCACCATTTCCCAATTCAAGCGACAGGCAAAAGACACGTCTCTTTATGGACGCGCGCGCTATAGCCACCCAAGAAAGATCGGACGGAGACACGTGTTAAACGTGTTAAGAAGAAAGGAAAATACTCGGAAAGATAGGGGGAAGAAGAAAAGGCCAAGCCAGGTATGGTCGTACAAATCCTACAAAATCTCCAAAACTCGACGGCGATAGATAGCATCGAATCGGTGCGGTAAACCAGGAGTTGCGAATGGTTCACAACCATTGGCGGTCATACATCATGACGCATCACCCGCAGTCCCATTTGTCAGGGGCACGGTGCTGTCGTTACTCTTATTCGGGTCCAGGCTGGAAACGCCAGTCGGGTCACTGTTTTCGGCGCCAGCAACGTCGGCGTCGAGGCCTTTCCCGTTGCCATGGTCTGTGGCCGAGATGGATGCTTCATCAACCGCCGAGTCCTTGTTCTTGAGATTGGACAGGGTTGGATTCGAAGCTTTTGCCCCGTCGGCGTTCGCAGTAGCCTCATCTCCCTCGACAGTCGATCCGGGAATGCCCATTGCAACTCCACTGTTCTTCTTGACCTTCTTCTTGCTAGGCTCGGCAGTGCCAGCTTTAGGAGCGCCAGGTCCGCCAGCCGTTGGCGGGAGTGGGCGCTTTTGAGGACTGGATGTTGATCCCGTGGGTCCTGAAGACGCCGACGCCGGGATCTTGCCCGATGCCGGGAGACGAGGACGGGCGGCCATAGGTCGCTGCTTCGGCGGTAGTTCAAGGTCTTCAACCAGAGGCTCGTTGTTATTGGCTTGCAATTTGGCGCTGAAAAACCCTTGGACCAGACCAATTTGCGATGCCAACGTCTCCGGAGTGATCCGTGGGAAGGGGGGAGGCGGCGAGAAGAGAGTAACAGTTTGGGTGGCGCTGGTGGGAAGATTTGGGGTTAGCAGGCAGTTCCTGAGTGTCTCCGGGGAATTGAGCAATACATACCTCGTGTTTTGTGCTTGAGCAGCGTTGTACATCCTGTTCTGAAGGAGATGCAGAGGGACGCTGAGAGTGGCAAGGCCCAGCTCTCTGTCCAGACCCAGTTCCTTGAAGCCAAAGAAATCTTCGTCGATATCTTCCGCGAAGTCGCCACCAACAAACTGCTCACTTCCGTCATTGAAGGCGTTGGAGCCATCTTCGCCTCCATCGGCGAGAGCCGGCCGCAGAAGCTCAGACAGCAACGATCTCAGTCGATCATGGACCGTCGAAAGCTTCGTTCCCAGACGCTCCACGTCGTCTTTAATGTAGGACTCGAGCGATTCGATGTCGGTGCCAACGGAGGAGAGGGTATGAAGCACAATTTCGGGCTCTGTATAGGCCGACTTCCACTGAGAATTCGATGTGTTTTCCACCGATTCAGCATCGGAAACTTTGGGGGCCTCCATGTAGGACTTCATGGTTTCGCCAATTTTCTGGAAAAAGTCCGAAGCGATGTCGGTGACCGTGTCGAGAGACGACGGCTGATACTCCTCGAATCCAGTGTGGTAGAAAATCTTCGCAACGGAGCGCTGCAAGGCCGCTCTGCAAGTCCAAGGCGCAATGACGGGACCCTCATCATTCAGAACATGAGCCGGAATGTCTTGCTCGACGAACGGTTCAGGCTGATATTTCTGAAATTGGTTTTGGTACATCTACCAAGCATTAGACCATACAACGTGAGTCGGGCCGGGGGAGGGAGAGAAAGGCATACCTGAGATTGCAACTGCATCTGCTTCACGATACCAACCTTGGAGCAAACCTTCCGAGTTTCCTGCATCTGGCGCATGTTTGCGTCCATCTTCCGCGCAAGCTTGCTGTCCGGCTGAATGAATGAATTCTTGGGCAGAATGCGCAAGAACTCTTCCGACGCATCGACAATGTTACCGTCGGCGTCTTCTCTCCACAACAAGCGTGGGGGAAGATCAGGAACGCCGGACATCACGTCGTAATAATCTGGTATCACACGATCTTCGTCCCCTTCGATACCTTCCGCCAGACTCTCGCCCGCAGCATTCGATTCGATGCCCTGCGCGTTGGATTCATGGGCCTTGTCGCCCCCCTCGGCGTTCGCTTGCTTGTGGTTCTTCAGCCATCTGCGCATGCCGGTTTTCGTGCGAAGTAGGGCGGGCTCGTCCGAGTTCAGCTTATCACCCTTGAAGAGACGGTGCCGTTCTGCCGCAATTATCGCTCGATCTTTTTTAGTGACCTGCTTCCACACCTTGTACTCGGGGTCCTCGAGCTCCACGCCCGAAGCCGGCAGAGCGCTGGGCGCGCTGCTCGTGGGAGCCAGGCCATCGATGTCCATAGAGTCACCTTGGCTCCCCGGCACGCCATTTCCAATTCCAGCCGGGTCCGACGGCGTTTGCGTTCCCGGAGGCGGTGGCGTCGCGAACCCATTCTGGGTGCCTTCCATGAGAGCATCGGAGTCGGAACGGACAGGAGCAGGGGGCTGTGAGGACGAAGCAGCGGGAGGTTCTGATCCGCTGGGAGTGTTTCGAGCTGGCGCGGCTCCTTTCTTGGATGATTTACCGGGAGCCTTTCTACCTCTTGACGACATGATCGGCTCGTCGTCGCTCTCCTCCGCGCCGTCCAGCTCCGCCATTTGCAGTCTGCGCTCTTCCGCCTCAACTTCGGCGCGATCTCTGATCACAATGTCTGGAATAAGAGGAACCAGTTTCTCTGTTTCCTTCTTCATATACAAAGCGTGTTTGCGCAAAAAGTGATCCGGGTTGGTGTTGTACTTGAAGCAGTTGGACCAAATCAGGTTGACATCGTCAACAAAGTCCTGTTTTGACCTGTATTGCAGAGCTTTGAGCTTCTTGGTCATGGTTCCCAGATCCATGGGGTGTTTGATAACTGTCATCGATGGTTAGTTTACTTTACAAGACCACATGCCATGCGAGGGGTGGATTGAAGTTCATACTCGTGTAATAGTCGGGCGCATCGCGTTTATTAACACGGGTTAAGAAAGCCGACGAATGCTCCGTCATTGCTTTCAGCTCGCTGAGGACTTTCTCGGCGGCTTCGTAGAGTTCTTCCTGGCCGATCTTATCCTCGCTGGCCCACTTGCTCCTGTTCTTCCGAACTTCGCTCATCAGGCTGCGCAGTTCCGCATCCGAAGCTTGCACCATGTTCCGCTTCATGTCGATCCGCGCGATCAGGTTCTTCAGCGTCAGGCTGGAGGCACCCAGGTTCGCGCTGCTCAGCGAGCCGTAGCCATTCGAGCCGGCGTTTGCGTTGTTTCCCGAGTTGGCCTGGCCCGACATTTCGGCCTCCACCTGCCGCTCGGACTCTTCTAGGCGCTGCTGATCTAGCATGGCGTCTCTATCATTCTCCAGGGTATAGAACAGGGTGTGGAAGCTGCGCTTGGCGGCATCCTCGGTGGCTTTCTTGTCTTCCTCTAGCTTCTTGCGGATGTCCTCGAGCGTCTCTTTCTTCGTTTCTTTGGGGGGTCGGCTCCGGCCGGGGTGGAGCCGCTGGGGTGGTGACTAGGGGAGGGCATGCCGCTGGGCTCCTGCGAAAGGGGCTTGGGCTTGGGCTTGGGCAGGGAGGCCGCATCGGCGTCGTCCTCGTCGTCATCGTCATCGTAGTCATCGTAGTCATCGTCGTCCAGCTTCCTGGCAGGCTTCTTGGGGGGCACCGGGGTCGCGGCGGGCTCGTCGGCGCGTTGAGGCTCGGCCTCAGGCACGTCAGGGAGCGCGCCGGCGGAGGCGGCGAGGTCCTCGGCGGCTTTCTGGTTGGTAAACAAATCATTTATTTTCGCCTCGCTGCGTTTGTACAGGTCGCGAAACGTGGCGATGCGTGGGTCCTCCTCGGCTGCAGCATCAGCCTCCGATATCAAATTACCCGCGTGGACGGCGTCGGTGTCGACGGAGGCGCGCATCTGGGGGGTGCGCGGGCCGGACAGCGATTTGGAGTAGCCATTGACGGACCGCACGTCGTGATGATCATCGGGAGGGCGCAGATGGCCGGGGGGCAGCCAGGCGTGCTGGTGTCCGAGCGACATGCTCGCTCCAAGACCCCGGTTCTGGGGCGGGCGAGGGGGCTCGCTTCTCCACGGCTATGTTCAGGATCGGGAGGGCAGCACAGCGGGGGCGTCGGGGACGGAAAAAGACATGAAGGAGAAGGGGAGAGCGCGAGGAGCTGGCCGGTGATATTTGCGGCGCCCAAACGATGGGGGTGGGGGGAGGATCTGATGGCAGAGCGAAGGGCAGCAGGCGGGCTGAGGTTCTCTGCGCGGATGAGATGAAGTCGAAAGGGCCGGCCGCAGTTTTCAGACCAACCGCGCAGTTTGTCGCTACGACTAGTTCTCTGACGATCCACGCCGCCAGTCTGTCTGTGCAAAGGTCCAACTCCCCAGGTCGCCGTCCAAAGCGCGCAACAATGAAGCCAGTCTCTTTGAGAGCGACTCGCGCGGAAGACAATGGACCTGAAAGTCCTGCGTTTCGTCGACGCCCGTTTTGCCGACGGGGCACATGACGCATCCGTCGACTTCCTTCGTCTTCGTCTTCCTCTGCCTCGACTTTCGACTCTCCTCTAACTCTCGCTCTTCTTCCCTTCTTCTTCTTCTTCTTCTTCTCTCTCTCTCCCTACCCTCCACTTACTCCCCATCATGCGCATCCGCTATCCTTTCGCGGGTAGGTTCTATCTCCCCCCATTGTGCCCTCCCGCCTATCTGCAGATCCGATCGTGGTATCCCCAACAGCTCCATCAGCTAACCCAACCTCCCCCCATTCGCTCCAGGCGCCTTCGTCTTCCTCCTCATCCTCGCCGCCTACATCGGCCTTCTGCCGCACAGCTCCTACAACAGCGTGCCCGCCCAGCTGCAGCCCAATGACAAGTTCCTGCACGTCGTCACCTTCTTCCTGCTCTCGCTCGTCTTCTACTGGATCCCCGACACCACCCGCCGTCGCACCCTGCACCTGACCCTCGTCGTCTGCACGCTCATCCTGGGCATCGGGTCCGAGATCGTCCAGGGCCTCCTCCCCAATGGCCGCTCCTTCGACCCCTTCGATCTCCTCGCCAACATCGTCGGCAGCGTCGGGGCCATCGGTCTCTGCAGCTGGTACCACCGACGCATGCTCGACCGGAGACGCAAGGCCCGCTTCGGCGCCATGGGTGACGGCGCCGGCGACGATATCGAGCTGGGCCATCCCCGAGAGCACGGCAATGGTCTCGGCCCGCAGGAATCGGGCGTCACCACGCTGGAGCAGGAGGTCGACAATTGGGATGAAAATGCCGTCGATAACTGGGACACCGAGGATGTAGTCGAGGAATCCAGTGCGACGGCCCAGCGGGACACGAAAACCTCCCCGTCTGCTGCCAATGTCGACGAAGATGGACGGAAGCGAAGCGACTGATTGAGTGCGTCAGACAGGCGTCATCTCTCACATCTCCGGCTTCAAAGTCATTCTGAAAATCGAAAAAGGCACAATCAGGCCCCGGTTTACTTTCCCTCTCGGCAAAGGAAATCCAAAAACACAAACCTCTAAGCGTTTTTATTTGCTCTAGATCTTTCGCTCTCTCTTTCCACTGCTCATCCCGTCATTCCTGATCTCACGACTCATCTGATCCCTATCTCACATTATATCATGTCTTCACGGCTGTCTTGATGTTTCATGTGCCGTCTCTCTCTCTCTCTCTCTCTCTCTCTCTCTCTCTCTCTCATCTTCATCACCAATCTCAATATGCCTCTTGAAAATCAATCGTTATGATCATCGGCTGGATCCGTCATTGGGGGGATCTAGCTGTCCCCATTCTGTGGTCCATCTCGTTCTCTCTCGCGTTTTTCTTATATACCGGGGCATGGGGCTGGCTCCAGGATGCTTTGTTTCACGCATGCGCTTTCGACGTTGTAAATACTAAGGGCTGGGATGTCTTGATATTCGTCAAGCTAGGGGTTTAATGGCAGTCATGAAACCGAACCATCTACTGTAGCATTCCCAGTCACGGGTAGATTCATTGTAGTCGAGACTCTGGACATAAAACGCATCGCATGTTTGATCTCCCTTGGCCAGGTTAATAGGACCGATTATGTTACACCAGTTCTAATGCTAGATAGGTCGTTACAGTCAAGGGACACCGACGAGTGAAAAATATATAAAGCGGAGAAGATTAAGAAAGGCCGGCAGCTCATATCTGCAGCGTGCTGGGAACCTGGAATCATCAAAGCCAGAACCAGGATAACAAAAACAGAGCTCTAGACGGAAGGATTGCCATGGGGTCCGAGGGAAATTAACAGCAAAACAGTAGCATAGGAGACATGAGTATCATATATTCAATATTCAAACAAGATGACACGCAGGATGCAAGAGTAACAGATCCACTGGAATCATTGCAAAACAGGGGAAACTCATGGTTGGTCGTTAACGAGGGAAAAGCAATAAATGGGGAAAAAAAAAATTATGGGGGGAATAAAAGAAGGCCATATGTACGCGAAGGGAAACTTGAAATTGCGACTGAGGGCGAAACCGCCCTATATCAGCCAAATGGAAGAGAACAATCAGACCGGCTACTCGTTGTCCGAAACCTCGGGCGTTCCTGACCAACTCCTGTTCGGCGTCGAGCGGCGATCTGAGACGGGCTCCAGCTCCGGTTTAGCCGATGGCAGATAGTCGCTTTGGTTGGAAAGTTTGGCCATTTTCGTGGATCTCTCGTCAGACTTGCGCTCGGTGGCACTCACGACCTTTCCGAGCTTAACATCAACTTGTTCTCGTAGGACCTCGTAGATGAACTGCAGCTGCATCTCGTTGTAGACCATCATCATTCGTTGTTCTCGCATTTGATTGACCGTTTCGAACACCGGATCGGTGGTTTCGTCGTGTACCTGCAACAGTTGCCCCGACTCAAGTTCAAGCAGAAGATGGTCAAGGGCAATGAAGGTGCCTGTCCGACCAACACCGGCGCTGCAATGCACGACGCGGGGACTCGCGGGTGAACATTTCGAGCCCGACAATCGGATCAGCTGGAGAAGCGCGTCGCGGTCGTCACCTTCCGGCTTGGAGTAATCCGCCCAGCCTGCGAAGAGAAAATGCCAAACAATCTTGGACTCATCCCCCAGAGTGAGGCGTAACTTGCGAATTTCAGAGCGAGACTTGTCATCCCAAGTGGTTTCGAGAAGAGCAACCTGACCTAAAAGGTGGTCGTCTGTCTGTTGTTGTCCATTGTCGGTTATATAAGGATGACCTCTCTCGATCAAAGCCATGGCCGGAGCCTCGTCGTGGATGGGGAAGTATTGCGAGCATTTCTCTCGACCCGATTCGACGGTTTGCGTGAGCATGACGATCACACCAACGTCGGTGGATTCATGGAATACCATTTGCCAAAAATGGGGGATGTTGCCGATTTTCGGTCCCTGCAGGAAGAAAAGAATAGAAGCGTTAGAGAACCCGTCCGATGAAGGGATAATTCGCATACTAACCTGGGTCGCAATATATCTCCGTTCCTCCCGAGACACAGAATCCCGCAGAACGATCGGGGAGGCATTTATAAAGTCACACTCCCCCTCGGGCACTTGCAGATGAATGCGAGAGTTCGCCCAGGCCTGCACGTTGATGTATCGGTTCCTTGCCTTGACCTCGGGATCTCCCTCCAGCGCCCAACGATGAGAAGGATCGTTGGCCAGCATGCCTTCCGCCAGGCGAGACCGTTGTATCCATTCGAGTTCTTCGAATTTCTGATGGATTTCTAGCGGGACAAATACACGTTAGCGAGCTGGGTTTTATTTGGTACTCTTCCAAAGAAAAAAAACAAAGTACAAAATGGCAAAGCGGGGAATGATCACGGATGAACCGGCCAGAGGGGTAGGGAAGGACGGATTGGGCGCGCGAAACGAACCTAGGACGGACTGGCAGAGGAAAGGAGGCACCAGTTCGTTATCGCCGGCTTCCAAGCCGGGGTTGTCGTTGTCGGGCCCGTCCAGAATCTCGAAGCCATCGTCCGGGTCCTCGGGGAGGGCCCGCTTCGTCGCCTGCACGCTGGTATCGATCTTGATCGTGGGATGAGCCATCTTGGCCGCAGCAATCCTCTGGAAGGCCCGAACCTTGCCCAGGACGCCGCGCGCCTTCTTCGAGACCCGCTTTCTAGTCGAATCAAGCCGTCGGGGTCCGCTACGGAGGCTGACGGTGCCGGGGGATGGAGAGCGGGATGGTGGTGCAGTGATAAATTTCCCCTCCGTAAAACCGTCGGGCGGATCGTCGCTTGCGCCGCCTGCGGGTTGCGGCAGGGATGATATCTGTAGCGTCGACAGATCGGGACAGCTGTGGAAGCTGCCCCTCGACGTAATTTGCTTGGCCAGCTTTATGGATCTCACGGGGTCTGTGGGAAACGGTTGACGAAGGGGTCGTAAGGTATCGAAGGCCCGATAAATAAGAGAGAGCCTCCGACTCGGCGCAATCGTCCTGGCTGCTGCGAACGGCGCAATACTGACCAGACACGGAAGGAAATCTCCGCAAACACTAGGATTAAAATTAAAGTATCTGCAACCGGGTGGGTTTGGAAAAGAGAAGTATTATAATTATATTATTAACAGAGGGAGAGAGCAATCGAAGAAAGAAGAGGAAAAACCGAACGAAGAAGGATCAGAACCCAGGAGAAATTGGTCGAGAAGGCATGGAGAGTATGGCAGCAGAAAAGCTTTCAACCGGACGGTCTTCCCGAATCGATCAATCGGACGTGACCAGCAGTCCAAGGAACCTCAGACAAGGCGAGGCGAAGGAGTGGTAGATCGGAATGGGAGAAGACGATCCGGTCAAGGCGAGAGGATGAATGGAAGGAAGGAAGAAAGGAAGGAAGAGAGAAGAGCCCGAAGAAGAAAGGGAGGAAGGGCAAAACAGGACGGACGGTCCCAGTGGGAACCGCCGTGATGTAATGGACCGCAAGACGGGGAGGAATTAAAATTAAGGTGAAGATCTATGGGGAGACATACGGCGTACGGAGGATAAACTATAGAAAATGGTCCAGGAGAAATGAGAAATGATAAACGATCCATGATAGAGTTCAGCTGCAGAACATCGATGGAACCCCCGTCGAAGCCCCTGGCCGTCTTTTTGGCTGCCTGGAACGGCAGGCGATCGCCGCTGAGTCATCCGCTGGTCGCGTGGGCGGTGAGTGTCCTTCAGCCCTTTTTCTTACTTCCTGTCTCTCGCTCTCTCTTTCTCTTCTTTTTTCTCTCTCTCTCACATTCTGTCTCGTCAATCCTGTCTGTCTCCCACGCACGCCGGTCTCCAACGCTTAATGAATGCCCCCCATCCCATCCGATGGTGGCCTGGCTGATCTGCGTCATGCCGTAGCTTCAACGGGACTTCCTATCCAATAGTCTTCTATCAACCAGAGTAAGAATGTCGGCCGATGCCACAACCGGATAAAGATTGGGCTGTATCTTTATTGCGCCGTGAGATGCGTCCCTCATTCTATCCGGAGATGAAAATTGTTCCTTTCCGCTTTGCCCGGTCCATTCTCTTGCACCATGTGCCTGGGCTTTGAATTAGGAAGCATACACATTTACAGAATTTCCTCCGTACGTAGCCAGAAATCCGATTTATTAGACCCGAAGAATGGTACATTTAACGTATGTTTGCATCTATTTATTATCTTGGCATCTATCATCGTGCATCATGAACGTGGGCGGCTCAGTACAGTCGGCTAAGTCTATATATCCGCGTGCAGGTTGTGAGGAACCACCCAAACCTTACAGTTATTCTCTATATTCATATGCAATGTATGTGCACTTATTGCTGCCCTGCAAGCGCCCTGAACGCCTGCAGCAGATCATTCTTCAAATCCTCCCAGTGCTCCAACCCAATGCTCAATCGCAACAGTTTCCGATCCACTCGAGAGTCCGACAGCGCACGCCACTCGATCAGGGACTCGACTCCGCCAAGACTCGTTGCGTGCTGGAAGAACGCCAGCTTACTGGGCAACACGCGGGCGAACTCCTCCTTCTGTAGGATGACGGAGAAAACCGGCCCAAAGCCGTTGGGCATCTGCTTCTGAAGCCAGGGCTCGTCCTGGAGACTGGCATGGTGGATCTTCTGAAGCACCGTCTGGATGACTGCCTCGTCGCTGCCCGGCGCAGGCGACGGCGCAGTCAGTGCACTCTGTAGCCAGGCAACCAAGTTACCCGAGCCCTGGCTGGCCCTTTGCACCCGAACTTCGAGGGTGCGAAGGCTGCGAACACCCAGCCAGCTCTCCAGGTTGCCGATAACGCTTCCAATCGCCAGCCGGTCCTCGAACAGCTGCTTGACCCAGTCCTTGCGCTTGGTCGCGAGAACTCCGCAGAGCATGTCGCTGTGACCGCCGAAATACTTCGAGCCCGAATGCATCACTATATCAGCGCCCCACAAGAACGGATCCTGCAGGCCCGGAGGACCGAATGTGCTGTCCACAATTAGGTATGCCCCTCTCGAATGAGCCTTCTGGGCGTATGCCTCGATGCTGAATGCAGTTCCGTACGGGTTCACCGGCGTTTCGAGCAGAATAACGTCGCCTTCTCCCAGACTTTCGGCAGGGCAGTCGAGATCGAGCTTTTGCAATCCCGATAGTCGGGAGATGACGCTAATCACTTCGTGGCTTCCGTGATAGCCTTGCCCTATAGATATCCGGCGGGGATTCAGCAGGGTCAAGGCCGCATGTAGAGCAGCCAAGCCGGTTGCATAGCTCACAGCTTGGCCACCCAGGAGGGAGGAGAGGATCGCTTCGAATCGGGTCGCATTTGGGGCAAATTCCCGGGAGTATATGTAGTTCTTTCCGTCAAATTCGTCCTTGAGGATTGTTAGCCCTGTCTGGTCTTCTGTATCGTGAGTGCGTTGGTTGAAATACGTACAACAGGGTCCACTGACGGGACCAAATCTTCGGGATTGCTGGGGAATCTGAAGGTTGTCGACAGATGAATTGGGGGTGCGACGTCAGTCACCAGGTGGAGAGGGTCATCGGCGTGCAATGCACGAGTAGAGGGATGGCTGTTGGTTGACGGCGCCATCGTGTTCTGGGAGTCGTCAAGAAGCAAACGAGAGAGTTGACAGAAAGTGAAACGATCAGGCCCGGATCGCTATATTTATAAGTCAAACCTCGCGCCTCTCAGGCACGGCGCTCGGCCACAAAATGCGACAGCATTTCCGTGTCTTTCTTGCAGAGGCGACATCCATGGATCTCCGCCCCACCCCCGTCAAGTTCCTAATCCGGACACGACTAGATCATGATCAGAGAGCTCTCTCCTATTGGTGGAAGCTGATCCCCACTCCCATTAAGTTCCTGAAGCGGTTAGATCCATACCCCACACCCGTGATACTTATGGCCTCAGGCTCGCAGGATGGAGGAATGATAAATCCTTCCAACTGTCCCAATGCCTCTAGACGAGGAGCCAGTCGCGGCCAAGAGAGCCAATATTGAACATCCACTGTGGCAAAAACGGCTCTTGCTGACCCTCTTGTTGCCAGTATGTCTGCAAGATTTTGGAAGCGTTGATCGTGTTGAAACACTTGGTGGCAGCCCAGAACTTCTCCAAACAGCCAACGAGGAAATCTCGCTGGGCTTGCCATCGACATTCCAGACCGGCAACAAAGATTGGCCACAATATGCACTTGTATACCTCATCATCCTCCAATGCACCGATCAAGCCAATCAGCTCGCACACTGGCTCATCCTGCGAGGAGACTTCGTTGGTAAGTATGTCGAGCACACGCCGTCCATATATGAGAGCACTGATTTTCCACGACTGGGACAAGATGCAAAGGTTGTTTAGATCCCTCGCGGGAGATTGTGGTCGCGGGAGCTTTGAAGCCCAGAGGTAACAATCAAAGTTTTGGATGGACTCGAGCACAGACGAGAGTCCCTGTATACGATGGTGAATTTCGGCTTCCGTTAGTGGCTCCAAGCCCGAAACGGCGTCTCTCTGGCCTAAAATGTTCTGGACTGCATCCAGAATAAACTCAGGGCACCCGACAAAAGACTGTTCGGCGATTTCTGAAGGCTGCCGACCTAATCGATCAAGCGAAACGAACTGAGACAGCAATCCTGGTCGTACAAAGGTTGCTCCGAGGGTTTGAATCCTAATCGGCCGTCAGTCGCTCGCTCGCTCTCTTACATGGCTCTATGCGCTTACATGTAGATCTGTCTGGTGATGAAATCCCGAATTTCCTGGACAGTCTCCGCGGGACCTTGATTGACACCTATCTGGGACTCTGGGGATGGCCGGTCGAGCGTGATCAAGCTCTTGGCCCCCTCGAGGTGGAAGTTCCACTTATCACTCCCCGACTCTAGGAGGTCCAGAAATATCAAGAGAAAAGCGGCAGCCACCGTAGTGTGCTTCTTATACGACGTAGGATCGTTCAAGACACGTGACAGTCCTTGCACAGCCTGGTATTTGAAAAGCAGGGCATCTCGATGAGAGCCAACCGGGCAGGAAGGCGCCAGTTCATCGAGCTGGTAAAAAGAACGGTCTGCGTTGGTTCTATGGCGTGCGGCGAGGGCCAAAGAGGCCTTCAGAAGGATCGGGTCATCTAACGCCAGAGAGATGAGGCTTCTAAAGGGGTTTCGATCACTGTCATACACGATGAAGAGCCTGCAAATCCGCTCATTGTCTAGGGTTGAACATTAGTGTGCCTCCGGGAGCTCGAAAGAGAGCATGCTTACAATAATCTAGGTAGTATTTAGAGGTTGCGTCCAGGTGAGAGGTGATAGGGTCCCGCGGTGCTAGTAGTAGGCTCGGCGAAGCATCCTTCTTGCTACCTGTACAGGCCCAGACCCCTTGGTTAGTGTTCAAGTCCATTGATGGCCAAAGCAATCCACACTTCTAGAGTGGCTCTCGACAGGAGCCGTCTTACAGGATCTCACCATTTCGTATGAGCTCGACGGACGGACTCGTTCTTGAGCTTTCTGTTGAAGGCGTGCTATTGTGCACCTCCACTCCTCCTTTGGATGCACCTCCGGTATCCTCGAACGATATCCCCCGCATTTTCCCCCGGATAGCCACGCCTTTTACCCATCTGGGCGGCCTGGTCGCGAAGCATTCTAGCCCCATTTTTCGACACTTGGCGCACGGAATTTGCGACCGGTCGCATTGGATGCGCCGGCGGCGACAAGTGTAGCATGAGTCCGGCATCGCATGCTGTCCCATGCAGAGATGCGATGGAGTATTCCGTGGAGGATCGACAGCTCCCCGCCACAAGCAGATGGCACTAAATCATCTGATGCAAATTCCTTCAGCCAGGACAACAGTGCGGAGTCCGGAGTGAAGGTTACTGGAAAAGCAACGTCGAGGAGAAGAAATGCGGATGGAAGACCCCACGCTCCGTCACATGACCGCGCCAGTCTTACTGCGTGCAGGTGGTACTGGGATATTGTTGCAATAGTGTTCTTTTGTCTCCCAGTGGAAACGAATCACGAAGGCTGCAGTCGATGCATGATGGCAATCGGCCCCACCCAACCCATCATTATGCAATCCAGCAATGCAATCCAGCAATTCTCCACTACTCTGAACTGCCTAAAAGGGCAGGCCCCAGGAGAAGGCCTTGGCGCAATTAACCAGCTGGTCATCGTTGAGGCAACGTTTGGCTTTGCGCCTCGATCTCCGGCCACTGGAGATGATCTCCCATCAAATTCTGCTCTTCTCCCCACTGTTTGGCTTCTCGAAAGGGTAGTTCTCGGGAGCTGGCCGGCCATCCCTTGGGGAAGGTAGCAGTCATGGCTCTCCCAGTTTCAATTCGCTTAATGCTGGCAGATCCAGCGAAGCGCTTCTAGTGGCTTCGAACTAGAGGGAAGCCTCTCAGCGTCTTTGTTCGCTATATAAATATTTTTTAATCCGACCCTATGAAGGTTGTGTTGACTTCGAAATTTCCCTCCCTGCGTCAATAAAATGAGAATGTGAAGGACCAAAATACCAAGCATTCTGCTCCCTCAGTCAAAAATCTGCTCTTGAGTATCTGTTTATCCAACCTGTGGCCATGACCCCGGCAATGCCTACACCGGCGGCGCTTGAAGCCAACCAGGCCAAATCGAAAGAAGCGTCGCCGGGACAGCGATATCCAGAGCACCTCGAGGGATATATGGATGAGGCTTACATCGAGCAGCTGGGACGGCAGCGACCGGCATGTTTCTCGTCTTTGTGGTCGGAACTGGCCTTCTGCTTCTCCATCATGATGTCGCAGATTCTTGCAGTATGTCCCTCCTCTAGACCCCCTTTCATCGTTTCGCAGCAATGCTAACCCTCGCCAACAGGAATACTATATTTCAGGCTCCAACGTGCTTCTCCCAACCCTGGTTAAAGACTTGCATATCCCAGCAGCTTCCACGATCTGGCCGTCTACCTCTCTATCCCTCGTCGTTACGTCGACGCTGCTTATCTTCGGCCGCCTGGCCGATATGTACGGGGGATACGTTCTATACATCGCCGGATTCGCATGGATGATCATTTCCTCCATTCTGGCCGGGGTCTCCGTGTCCTGGCTGATGTTTATCATCTGTCGGGCACTCCAAGGCCTCGCTCTGGCTTGCTTTTTGCCCGCAGGGATGATGATCCTAGGCAGTACATATCGGCCTGGACCGCGAAAGAACCTTGCCTTCAGCATTTACGGTGCATGCGCGGCGCTGGGCTTCTTTGCGGGTATCTTTTTCTCGGGCATCTGCAGCCAGTACCTTAGCTGGAGGTGGTACTTCTTTATCGGGGCTATTCTGTCCGGAATCACCACGGTATCATCGTACTTTTCCATCCCGAACGACTACGCGGAGAAGCGGAAATTGGGCATCCAGATGGACTGGGCGGGATGCTGTCTTTCGGTTCCCGGAGTCGTTCTCCTCGTATTCGCCATTGCGGAATGCTCGTATGCACCGCAGGGATGGAGAACGCCATACATCCCCGTGTGTTTCGCGCTGGGAGTCGTCTTCCTCGCTATCATGACTTACGTGGAAGGATGGGTCGTTTCAAACCCGCTCCTGCCAGGCGACATTTTCAAGGTGAAGCACATGACGGCCCTCGCCATCGCCTTGCTCTTCCTGTACGGCAGTTTAGGCACCTTCCTCTTATACGCGGTGCTCTACATGTCCGACATCATGGGCGCCACGCCTCTTCAAATAGTCGCGTGGGCCGCTCCGATGGGAGCGGGAGGTCTGATCATCTCCGCAATTGGCGGACTCATCTTCCACAAGATATCCGGGACGATCGTCATGCTGATCTCGTGCCTTGGATACATGGGCTCTGGTCTACTTTTTGCGCTCATTCCGATCGGCGGAAACTACTGGGCCTTTGTCTTCCCGGCCATGATCTGCGGCACCATCGGCATCGACATCAGCTTCAACCTGGCCAACATCTTCATCACGACCAGCATGCCCAAGGCCAGACAGGGACTGGCGGGCGCGCTGATCAACTGCACTCTTCACCTGGGGATCGCCATCATGCTGGGATTTGCGGATATCGTGCAGACCCAGACGGAAGCGCTGGAGCTGTACAAGAACTACAAGGCGGTGTTTTGGTTCCAGTTCGGACTGGCGTCGACGGGATTCCTCATCGTGCTATTCTTAGTGAGGATCCATCACGCGAAGAGTGAGTTGACGGTGGACGAGCGAGAAGCCCTGGCGGCAGAAGCAAACTCTCGGGGTGAGAGCGAATGATATAATTTTTTTTATCTCTCTTCCGACTTTTGGTTAGACGTTCTAGATGTCATTATATAATATGAATTCTTCGGTAGACTTGCGGTGAACGAGTCATACTACTGTTTTGGGTTAACCCTAGGATTAGATTGTTTCACCTCTGAAGTTTGTGTCTGAGATCTGCTTATCAACACCAAACAAGAGGGATTTGACTTTTGAAGTACGTGTACGGAGAACGGGACCGACAAGGTCCAGGTGGCATTTCCGGCATGGTTTGTGGATAATCCACGGGTCACGCTGGCCGGCAACAGGAGGTATTCCAGTTGCTCCGGGAGACATTGGTGACAGCCGCAAAATTGGACGCTCTCCTGAGTTTAATGAGATATGGTTCTCCGGTGATTGATGTCTCGCTGTCATTTGGCTAGTCTAAACTAGTTAGATTGATATCGCCATTAGATAGCGCGAGCATAGTTCAGTGATGACCGACTATCACGCTGTTATGAACTGACGAAGCGATCGAATAACTCATTCTGGTCGGGACATCGCTCTTAATATTGCCCTGGTCGAAAGCCATAAAGGAAGCGAGAGACAATTGGAGACGACCGCTTTGCCCGGTACTCCGTACTAATCCGTAGCCCTAGCGGTCGGATAAACCGAGGAAAAACTACGGAGCACCCCTCAAGCCTCAATCACCTGCACTAGCCAGGCACAAGTGAGTCCATAGCGGGGATTCGCTGCAGGGCTCACTCCGTAAGTCACCGAGGAGTGCAGACCCTCGACCCTGAACACGGACCGAGGACTCCGTACTTCCTGAGCCGCGGATATGAGGTGGAAATTACATCACCCTATTCTAGACGCTGGAGATTTGACACCCCTGGGGTGCATCAGGGCGAGACCACCTGCTGCAGCGGAGGCGACGTAGTAATTTCCCGAAGCAGATAAGCAGGCGGCGATGGCTTGGACGCTGGGAGAATTTTCGGATGATGGCCGGCGAACGGGTACTCCGGCGGTCATGGAGTCATGGGAGGATGGTGGAAGTGCCGGGATTCCGGCAAGGTGCTGTTGATTTCCTCAAGGAGGTATTACGGAGTCGAGTCGATTGTCCGTCGGTGGGAATTATTGAGCATGTCTTAGAGTAGTGGGTGGATGTTCCATTTTCAATGCTATTCAATAGACCGGGTCGGGAGTTTGGCGCCATGGACGGTAGTGCCAGTCAGGAACACACCATGTGGTGGTTGTTTTTACCGGGCCAACCGTTGGATCTCGGAGAAGGGAAACAGGATTTTTTTCCCAACCAGAAAGCAAAAACCAGACAGAAGATAAAGAACCGACCGAAAACACGGAGGCCAACCGTGGACGGAGGCCCCTTGGAACCGGCGTGAATGTAAATGGGCTGACATAAGCACCGGGGGTTCGTGGGGAGACCTTAAAATAGGCACACAATGGAATTAATTAATCTATCGCGAGAGGTACACGGTAGAGTACTGCGGACTGCGTAGAGTTGGACTGCGGACTGCTACGGAGTAGTTCGTTGGTGGTGAGGAGCCAGGATCTTCGACTAGAGGGCGACCAGGCCCAAGAAAGGCACAGCCCCGACGGTCAGGCGAGCCGACGTGCAGATTCCAGCCCGCCGTGTCTCACTGCAGCCGCTGTTATTGGTTGCGAGGGGTGGACTAGCCTGCCGCTAGTCGCTGCGTGTTGGACTGAGAATTTGCGCTGCTTCCCTTGAGCGCCCGTTCGCTGCCGGCCTTTTCCTCCTTCTTGCCGCTCTTTGTTCATCTCTCGCTTTGCCTCCCATCTATCGTCTCCTCCTTACACACTCGTTTTCCATCCATCGTGCTCCCCGTCCTGCAAGTCTTTCCTGACTGGGCCCTTTATTTAATCTAGGTGTACTCGACTGCCGCCTGGTCATTCGTTATATCTCCCCCGTCATCCTCCCCTTGGGATTACCATCGTTCCTCATTCGGTCTCCTGGACCTTCGCCTGAATCTCTCGATCGGGACTCACCCCTCTGAGAAACAACCTAACCAAGGAACTTCGATCTCGTTCCTGGTCGCCCATCATGCGAGCCGCTCGTTTCTCCTTCCTCGTGTACTCCCTCTCCCTGCTGGCTGTGGTCGCCGGGCAGAGCACCGCCGTCACTAATGGCAACGTTGGCGGAGGAAACGCGATCACGTCCGGAAATGCCGCTCCCACCACCGCCGAGGAGCCAGCCACCACGTCGGTTTCTTCGGCAGAGACGACGGCTGCAGAAGAGACCACTTCATCCGCCAAAGAAACTCAGCCCGCCGTGACCTCGACTTCATCGGAGGAAAAGCCCGCGGAAACCTCCACGTCATCTACCACCGAGGCCCCTGCCAAAACCACCGCAGAGAACACCAAGCAAACGACAGCCCCGAAGACCACCCAGGCCGATCACACCACGGCGGCCGACTCCAAGACCACCGCCGCGGAGCCCACCGCTACCGGTACCAGCACCTCGGAATCCAGTGCCACCCCGGTTGTCAAGACCATTACCACGATGCATACCGTGAGCGGCACCCCCGTCGAAACCACGCTCACCACCACCTCCGCCGAGAAGAACGCCGCCGCCGATTCGACCGAGTCCCCCGGCCTGAACGGATCGTCTGAGGAGTCCAAGAGCTCGGGTCTCTCGAAGGGCCAGAAGAACATCATTATCGGTGTTGTGGTGGGTGTCGGTGGTGCCATCCTGATCGGAGCCCTGGGTGTGGTCGCCTGGAGGATCCGAGCCCGCAAGCAAAACGCGCGTGACAACGACGAAGCCGCCGACCTCATGAGCGGCACGGCCGTCGGTGCCGGCGCTCGTGAGAAGGCCCCCAGCCCCGGAGCTGGCGGCACGCCCTTCAAGAACACGCTCGACCAATATCACAACCCCGGACCGGTCAACGCCGCCTCGAACTTCTAAACTAGCCACCTCGCCCTGAATGTCTGTTCGGGGACTTGTATTCTATTCCCTTCTCGTTCGCATTCCCACTGGGCATGTGAACTGAACACAAACAGTACATGAAGGACGGTGGCTAGATCGCTCGCCGCCCAAGAGTGTACAGTTTGTACGATATTTACGCAGTTATTCTATCGGCGCTTGAGGATGAGAAATTCATCGGGTTGTGTTTTTGTGTTTTCTTTTTTTCCCTTTTCTCGATGTTGCATTGCCGTTTGCTATAGAACGTCCGTCACTCCTTACCGAGACCACGCTCCTTTCTACCAGCGATTTTTGTTGCAGCGTTTGTGATATCTTTGATTCCCCGCTCGAAGCATCTGTTTCTGCCATAGGGATAGTGTGGGCAGTCATCTCCTACAATTATCTTTTACTCTTCGATCAAAAAAGCTTTATTATCCTTGTGATATGTATTTATTTAATCTGACAGAAAGAAACTTCACCATACTGATTCCTGTTCCACCGGACGCCGTCCAGTCAGTAGATGTCCGTACGCCGTAGACACACTCGATCCCGGGAGATTGCGCGGATTCTGCAGACCGTCCAAAAGGCCTGAAACGGCTAAGAATAGCAAAGTCAGTGCAGGGAATCCGCTTCCTGGCCCGTGTCCAATGCCGGTCTCCGCCCTCCATCCTCCAATCTTCGTCCTACTCCATACGGTCCAGAGACTGGCCATACACGGTGGCCGACAACGTGATCGTCGCGCCAGGATGCGAATCGCCTGTCGCGTATCATCGTCGACACGACAGTCGCCACAGCACCGGAACTCATCTTCCTGACCGCATCTCATGACGATAGCCATCCGTACGTCCATAAATGTCTCAGCTGCGTCTGGGAACGTGGGTGGATGGCCCCGTGGCCCGTTGACATCATGTCTGCTGATCACCGCTTCTGCGCGTTTCTCTCGCCGTGTTAGCTTCGGGTATTGCCTATCTAGTCGATGGGTCTCCCGGGCGCTGGTGGACATCGCCTCTGCCCTTGAAATTGCTTTATTTATCATGATTGATCAATTCATCATTTACCCTTGATGGGTCCGCCGCTGTCAGTGGTCTCGGCAACGGACGTGGGTGGACTGCGGAGGGATGCTATATGCCCAAGGAGGCAATCAATGCGCTCATCGGTCCCGTCATGGCACTGGGATTTCTCGATTCGTAGCGTTCTACGGCGGAAGTGGCACCCAGGCTGAAGAGCCTTTATCTCGCCGTCTCTCCAGTCGCCATCTATCTATAGTCATGCCTGAAAGTAGCAGTGCTCCGGGTCGACGCTCTTGGCAGCATGGGCCTCAGGGACTTACTGACTCCATGCAATATTCCAAAGTCCCTCGATCGTCGGGCCCAGCTCGGAAAGTCGCCGTATCAAGTGGGTGGTCTGGATTGGAACTGTGAAGCAGGTACCCCGTATTCCACCGTGTCGCGTCGTACAGACTCGGGATTGCTGAAGGGCATCGCATCACGTGGGCGGAATGGAAATGGCAGCCTCAGGAATGCAATATCACCCAGATAGGTTTAGCGCATCACCCACGACGCGCTCGTCGCGGCGGAGGCTGGAGAAGAGCATCCTTTATCTACTACTCCGCATCCCCATTGTCTGGAATCGCCTCTACGACAATCCCTCGCTTCATTGATTGATCAGTCCCACTATAACTTCATCTACTCCGACCAATTCCCCCTACAGCCCGCGTCAAGCGCTATCCGTCGCGTCCGACCCGCATCCCGCCACCCGAACCACGGGCTCGATCATCCTCAATCCGCGACAAGATGATGTTCGCTACTCCATCCCCCATGCACCAACACCAACAATCCTCTTTTACGAGTCCTCCCTCCGCCGCTACTGCTGCTTCCCCATTCACCCCCGTGCGCCCGTCACCTCTCTCGCCGCGCCGCGCCAGCACGACCTCGCGTCCGTTGACGATGACGACAACCTCCCCAACGTCGCCGTCGCCGTCGCAATTCCAATTCCAATTCCAATTCCAATTCCAACCCCACCAGAACCAAGACCCGTCCGCGACAACGCCAACCGCAAACGCCAGCGCAACTGCGAACTCGCAATGGTCTCCCTCCCTCGTCCCCTCGCCTCAACCGCAACACCCGTCCCCGTCCCAGTCCTACGCGCACCGCTACGCCACCAAGATCTCGAACCCCCTGGCCCACCAGCCCCGGTCCTACACGGCCTCCTCGTCGCCGACGGCGCGCTCGACCCGTCGCAACGCCTTTCTGAACCGCATCAAGCGCGAGCGCGACGCCGGTCGGTTCGACTCCCGCGGCGAGCAGCTGGCGCTGATGGAGCACGTGGCGGAGGAGAAGCGGTGGGGGGAGGCGATGCGGCGCAGGGCGGAGGGCTTGTCTGAGGGATTAGATGTTGTTGATGTTGATGTTGATGGGGAGGTTGATGGTGGTCTTGGTGAAGATCATGGATTGAGTATTGAAGGTACGTCTTTTTGCTTTTTTTCCCCTTTCGTTTCATTAAAAAAAAGGCTTGTGCTAACTTCCGTTGGTCCAGATGAGCTCGCATTGGATGAGTACCTGAGACAGGAGGATGCGGCGCAGATGGGGCCTTGGGGGCCTGATCTTGCAGCTGCCCCCGGTCAGGGGAATGGCTATGGGGCCGGGTCCAAAGACGCCGGCTCCTTCAGTGACGAGGAGTACGATGATATCTTCATGGATCTGGCGCAGCCGAGCCAAGACATGGACATGAGCGGTTGAGATTCGCATTTCTTTCTTTTTTTTTTTTTTAGATGTTCTCGGGCACTGGGTCTTAGGGTCACGGGTCAAGGCGTTTGTGTTATCTTGTTGGATCTACATGTACAGAGGACAGATGGGACCAGGCGTTTCAGGCAGTAAGTAAGGGTATCGACATATATGTACATTACAAAGACGGCAGCTAGACGAACGCCAAAGAGAGCCTCCGATGCAAATGACAGGCCCTGGAAATCTCCAACCAGATCCGGATCGTTACTGCTGCGGGCAGTCCGGAAGCCCTCCTTTCGAGTCATCCCAGGGATTGGCAACCAATTCTTCGGGAGGGTTGCCGGCCGATTGCATCTGTTCAAATCAACATAGTCAGTTTACGTGTTTTGGATCCTCTGAATCAAGACCGGTCAGACTCACAGCTTGCATCTTCTCCCACACGTACTCGCGACACTTCGAATCCTCGTCCGTATACCCCGGCTCCTCGAACTTGGTCACGATCTCACTGACAATGCCAGCCTGCATCTCGTACCGACTCATGTCCTCATCCGACACCTTCCCCTTGCCTTTGTTCTCCGCGATCCACGGGCCGAATTTCGTATGCAGCTCCTTCATGGGCTCGTACAGCATCTCCTTGTTCGACAGCTGCTCCATCATCCCCATGAACATCTTCGTCAGGTCCCCGTCGTCTCCGTCGCCCTCCCCGGCGCCCGCGCCCGCCTCCACGGCCTTCAGCAGCTGCGCCAGCAGATCGTCCGAGATGTCGTCCTCCGACGCCGCCGCCGTCGCCTTATCCCCGGACTCCTTCATGCGGTTGATCGTGCGGTGAATCGCATCGTTGAATGATTCCGGCGCCGGTCCTCCGCCCTTCTTATCGCCTCCCGCTGTATTCGCGGACGCAGACGCAGCAGCAGCAGCACTCGCACCCGCCGTGGTGGCCGCGCCCGTGGCCGCCGCCGCCGCAGCGCCCAGATCGGCGCCCGACCCGCCCTCTTCGGCCATGACGTCGGCTAACAGCTGCTTGATGAAGTCGCCCGGCGGGATGCCGCTTTCCTCGAGCTGCTTGGTGAAGGCGTCGGCGCCGTGCTCGATGTCGGCGAGGTGGGCGGGGTCCGAGGACCCGGAGGAGTCCTGGCCCATCATGTTGGCCATGTCCTTTTCGAGTTGTTTCATAAAGGCCTCTTCGTCGAAGTCGGCGTCGGGGGCAGCGGCGGAGGAGGTGCCGCCGGACGTTGTGGCGGCGGCATCTTTAGGAGCGGCGGCTGGTGCGGGTTTGAAATTATCGAGGACGTCTGGGATTATGGGTTAGTGGATTTGGATTGTTGGTTTGGATTGCACTGGAATGGTTTGAAGGGCAATGGAGGCAAAGGATAGTGATGTAGAATGTGTGCGTGCGCTTGGTATCAACCCACCGTCTAACTCGTCGAAATCGGAGTCGTCATCGTCGTCGTCATCTTGCGCAGCAGCCGGACTAGGTTGTTTTTGGGCTTGCGATGGCTTGGGATCTGCAGATGTCGAGGGAGTGCTCGTATTCGCATTTTCCGTAGTGTTCTTCTCCGCTGTGGTCGATGTCTGTTCGGCGGGGGTTTCCTCACGGGGATCGACCGCGGGGGGCGCCGACGAGGAGGCCATGCTATCCGACTGGTTGAGGAAAGGGTCGAAGCACCGATAGCAGATGCAAAGAGAAGGATGTGATGCGAGGATAAAGAGGAGGAGACAGGGTGTCAGAGACGGCGCTGGGATGGAACGAATGCACTCGTTCTACGGAGAATTGCATGTGAAGCGAACTGGAGGAGCGGAAGCATGACTAAGCCTGGGCGGAGAAAGCCGAAGAGCCGATCGCCGCGGTTATTCGGTGGCATTGATCTATGGCCATCGTAGAGACGTCGTGAAGAGACATCGTGAGAGATACTGAGTACTCCGTGTCTACAGTGTAGCTACAGGATGAGTTCGTCAGATTTCATCTGGTGGCTAGAATAACCACGGAGTAACTAGTTGCAGAGCTGGGGAGAGCAAGAGTTTCAGCCTCCCGGTGAGGGGTACATCCAGGTACACCCGCGCACTGAGGGCCATCGTGGCCGAGGAGGTACTCCAAGAGTACCGCCAGTAGTGCCGCACTCGAGCATCGCTAAACCCAATGACGACCTTCCAGCTTGTCACATCAGGACCCCGGGACATACGGAACATACGTACTCCGTGGACTATCCAGCTAGAGGCATCGGTCCTGTCGATCCCTGCCAAGCGGCTCGCTCGATCAGACCATCGACCAGGCCTCAGGTGATCGCATTCCATCCCACGGTGGCTGGATCTCGTGATGTCGCATTGCTTTTGCACGCCTTGGGTTCCTCTCCCGGTGAGAAGGCAGGCTGCAAGCGCAATGTGCTACCGGACACTAAAGAGAGGCCGGTACCGGTGTGCGTGTATTTACTATTTGTTTACCCTCGTAACCCAAGGTAACTCCCTAATCCCTATGCTACCTACCCTGACGAGACGCAGCACAGCGTGTCCCAGAGACGCGACGTTGCCATGATAATCCGGAGATTCTCTGCCGGGCGACATTCCCCCCGGAATTCCTGGTCCTCCACGAGGCCACGTAGAGGCAGGAGGCTCGTCAGGATCACCTGCTCGCCAGGAGGTATCCATGGAATCGAATAGAATACCGTCACGGCGGTACGATACGGAAAACTCTGACGGCGCGAGTGACGGGCGGTCCCCAGCGGAACTTCTCCGCGGGCAAAACGCGCCTCTATTCGATGCCTCTCCAAAAGCCATCGGTCATCAAATACTACCTCTACTCCAATTCTCGTCGTCGGAAGGGGTTCTGGCTCCGACTAGGGAGCCAGGAGAACATGCTTCGCAACATTCCTTGTCACAAGCGATGTTTGGTGCGAGCAGTGTCTGCCTGTCCAGCCGGTTGCCAATGGCCTGTCAGCGGCTCTCTCCACCCGTTGCCTGCATGGGGTCAAATAGGCGAAACGGAGGCAGTGACGAGTCTGGTGCCTCGAACTAGGCGGATCTTCGGCTGGGTCTGACCTTGCGAAGTGGATCGCGTCGTGCCGTCGCCGAGAGGAGAGAAGATTCTTACTGCACCTGCGAAGGGGGCGGGGGAATGATCTCATGGGTTTTCAAGCGTTGCGAGGGTTTTCTTCTTCCTTCTTTTTGGGGGTTAATAATAAAAAGATGATGGTGATGGTGAAGAGGAAGACTTGGAGTCAAGTTGCAGGCGGGAGGGAATGAAAGCGAACGGGGAGGACAGTACTGCGTATATGTACGCAGTAGAGAGAACGTAGGGAAAGACAATAATAATAATAATACGAAACCCCTCGTCGTCTGCCTGACCCGAACAGACACAGCGAACCTTCCATTCTCCATCGTTGGTTCCTCCCGCACTTTTCTTTTCTTTTTTTTTTTTTTCTTTTTTCTTTTTTCGCTCGTGTTCCTTTTTCCTTAATAACAATCCGGTTCTTTTTAGTAAATAATTTTACCTCACATCTTTCCCTCCCCTCCCCTTCTTCTGTCCTCTTTGCCTGCCCGACTCACCCTGCTGGTTATCTCTTTATCCATCGTCAATTTCCTTTATGTCACGCCTTTTGCTGGCCCTCTTGCTAATCTCTGGCTTTACTCGCACGTCCCTTCCACCCGCCCAGCCGCGCGTTTCTTGCGTCTGATTCTCTGTCCTCAATCCACCCCCGCCGGGAAAAAAGTTCCTGTTCTTATTGGATTTTTTTTTTTTTTTTTACTTGAATTTTTTTTTTTCTCCGGTGGTGGCTCTTGTCTCCCCTAGAGGGCTGAATCCACGGCCATATTGGCGGTCGGTGTATCTGGGGATTGATTGATTCCAATTTTCCCCTCTCTTTTTTTCTCTTTTCCTTTTGGATTTTATTTGATTATTCTCCTCACGGCTCGGGTGTGATTCTCACAACACACGTAAGGGGAGAGAGACGTCATTAAAAAAAAAAAAAAGAAAAGAAAAGAACGAAAGGAAAGACAGCCAACAAGGGGCAATTATAATTCCAATGGTCTCTATGGTGGACACGTCCCATTCGAATCAAAATGACATGGAGGTCGTACCTAAGTCCGAGCCTCCCATCGAGGGATCGATCAGTTCCGCCGTGTCGACGCCCGAAGCTGAAGGCGAGATCCTGACGCAGGACGTGGCCCAGACGCAAAAGCGAAAGGGAGGAAGGAAACCTGTACGTAAGAGAAAAAAAGCATCGTCCCCCTTTCTTTGCGAAATCCGGGGCCCCGCATTTTATCCTGGATTGTCGGCCCTTTTTATTCTATTCCTTTATCTTACTTTATCTTGTTTGCTTTATCGCTCGATCACTCTATCGATCCCTCCGTCGATTTATCAGCGGCATTATGCATCTGGCCTCGTCCTGATTGATTGATTGCTCGACCGTCTCGCCCTTATCATCTGTCGCTCTTATCATCATCTCCCCTTCCCTCCCCCCCGGTCCCTTAGTTCCCCGGTTTCCCTTCTGTGATTTGTCCCTTGTTCTGTTTTGATATCGGGGCCTTTCCTGTTCCTTTTATTATTATTATTATTTTTTTTTTTTTTCATTTTTATCTTTTCCCTCGCTCGGTTTATTGACCCCGGATCTCCAGATATATGCCACCTCCGAAGAACGTAAGCAACGCAATCGCCAGGCCCAGGCTGCGTTTCGCGAACGTCGCACCGAGTACATCCGCCAACTCGAATCCACTATCAAGCGCAATGAAGACACCCTGCAGACCCTGCAACAAAATCACCGCACGGCTGCTGACGAGTGTTTGATGCTGCGCTATAAGAACTCCCTCCTGGAGCGTATCTTGCTGGAGAAAGGTACGTCATGACCCTTGGCAGCCTTCCTCTGTCCCTTCTAGCCTTCCTTCATCCTCTTCTCTTCTCTCCCTTCTCATTTGCTATTCCACCGCCACCTTCCTTCGGTCCCCTGTATCCCCATGGCCTAACCTCTATCAGGTATCGATGTCCAAGCGGAGTTGCGTCTGAAGGCCGCCACCCCCGGCGGCCCGGGGAAGCCCAACCCGATGGCGGCCAAGCCGCCGTCGTTAGAGCGGGCGGCAATGAATCGAAACACGGCCCAGCGACATCCGACCGGCATCGCTCCCAAAGGAGAGCCGTTTGGCCTGTCACAGAACCGGGATGGGGCATACGGCATCCCGTCGCCTCAATATCAAGGCACGCCCTCGTCGCACGTGTCCTCCCCGTCACATGCCAAATCCCCGGGCTTTGGATTCCAGGGCGCCATGTCGCCGGTGGGTGTCGATCCGCAGCAGGCGCAACAGTCTCGGTCACAGATGCTGTCGCATTCTCGAAATATCAGCCAAGCATCTCCCCCAATGAGTGTCGCGCCGTCGGAGGCGAGCGAACCCAAGTCCGCCGTGGCGGGAACGGGGCCTCGCGCTGCCCGCGTGCCTTCCGCCTATTATCCGTCTCCATTCCAAAAGCATTATGACCAACTCGGTAAGCTACCTGTCATTCCCCCAATGGCCTGATTCCACCGCAGAAGGACTAATTAGGTTGCCTCGCAGAACAAGAGTATGATGCCCAAGCGGATCTGATCGACGACGAGCATGAATCGTCCGTCGGAGCCTCTCCGTATGTGTCAGGCTTTAATCCGGCAGCATCGGTTCCCTCGGGCTCCCATTCGATGGGAGCTCAGGGCCTCGGCCACTTCAATCCCCATGGGGCGGAGGGATCCAACGGCGCCTACAACAATCCAAATCAACTTCTGGGCAATTACGAGCCCATGTTAGATGCAGATCCCTTCGGTCTCAGTGCTAGCATGCATTTCCAGACCCCTTTCAGTTATGAGCAAAATAATACGCGCCATTAGCTGCTCGACCTTGTCATCCTTGTCTAGTTTGTTTATATCTGCATCACGATCTGTCTCGCCTACGATCCGCTCATGATCCGCCGAGTTGTCACACCAAAAAACCAAAGCATTTTCAGGGCTTCTTATCATTATAATTTCTTTCTATATTTGCCATTTCCCCCACACCCCCTCCTCCCATGACCTCCACCATCTTGATCTTGCATCTTTCGTCATGGAGCCGGAAGACAAAAGTTTTATACTTACATCACTTCGGAGCATTTTCTCGGCGTCTGCGGTTGATACCATTTGTTTCTGCTGGTCATTTTGTTCGATTCAAAACAGTCTACAAAAGAAAAATGGTTATGTTATTTGAACAGAAAAGGAAAAATACATGGATGATGGAAGAGAAAAAAAAAAGAACAAAAGGGCACCCAAAAAAAGAAGAAAATATTGGGAAAACAAACAAACTTATCAGAAGACTACTATGGATACATTTGATTAATAATGTACATGATTTTAGCATGTTGATTCTCCCGGGCTAGACTGCGTCTGTTCGGAAGACAACATATACCTCTCGACTCTATGGACATATTTACTGTTTTCGGTCCGCAACTGCTTGACGCAGATGATTGATTGATTGATTGATAGTGGGATGGACGGGGGTTCATTGCATTCTACGACTATGCTCTATTTTGTTTGATCCGTCTTTATATTCCTGTTCTTTGCCTTATATGATATCCCATTTGATTTGAATCCAAATTCCTCCGGTGTACGGAGTAGGGCAAAGGATAAAGAACCATACAAACTTGAAATGAAGCAAAATGGTATAAATTAATATTCATTATTCTTGATGGCCAAGGAGATTTATTATTACTATTACTATTATCATTGTTTTTTCAACAAGACATTATTTCCGCATATACTCGATTATCCTGGTACGAAATAGAAAGGAGGCAGCCGCGGTTGTAAGGCATCAAGCCGTTGGTGCCTACGGGGATATGGTCAGGTGACTAAAACTCTAAACTACCACAGATTTCACATGACCTCTGGGGGCTGGGTGGATCAAAAAATAACAGAATTTGTATGGGGTGGAGCGCTTGGAGACTGTTTCCGACACCAAAAAGTCATTTCATTATATGTAAATCATGCATCTGGCACACATCAGCTCTAGCTATCCAGAACCGCTTCCAATTTTTGATTATCGCCTCTTTTGTGGCTCTAGGGGTCGATTGAAGTACGAAAGGGTGCTTTTGCTGCATCTCTTGACATGGAGGTTTTTGGGCAGACTGTCCGACCGAGGCGGTCAGCTTAGTGCTGGCGGTCAGGCCGGTCGTAACCCCATTCTGCCACCCCAGATCCCGGGTGTGGAACAACCATTTGCCGGAGCTGAGATATACTCACTGTACGAGGTAGGAAAATCTCGCATCGTTTACCGACCCCGGTGAGGCCCGCCGATTTACTCTTTGCTACTGTTCTTCCTATATTTTAACGATGGACAAGAAAATGTCCTATTTCCATGCGCTTCCCTGGCTATATACAACATTGAACCAACGTACAAAAGGGTATTGATAGTATCTATACTATTTGCAACGATACTGGAGACAATGGCTTGTCAGATCATCACCGACGAGACGCCAAGCTAGTCGAGCCGCTCACACTGAGACTCCGACTCGTCATGCCCTCGTCCTGATCTTCCTCCTCTTGAGATGCCATCGCCACGCCAACTCGGAAGATGCCCTCGCACCACTCAGAAAACGTATCCACGTCCCAGACGGCGTCCTCGCGGCCCTTGCCCTTGCGCGTGCTCACCATATTCCCCTTGCTCTTTTCCGCCGAGATGTACTTATCGAAGAAATCCTCGTAGATCTGGATGACGCGGTCCTGCACCGCGCCGACAAGTGTTTCCCGCATGCGCGTGTCGTCGAGGTAGTCGACCAGGAACTTGCGAAGGGCAGTGACTTCGGACTCGATGGTCCGGCAGGTGGGGAAGATGAGCTCGCCGCGCTGAAGGTTCCGGGTGTCGATGAACTGAGCGGGGAGGGAGGCGGTCATTTTGGTGGCGAAGCCGTTGATGAAGTCGTTGATAACGGTGCGGAGGCGGCCGTCCAACTCAACCTTGGCGTCAAGCATGTTTTCGACGACGCGCGGTAGAAGGCCGTGCCCGACGAGGCGCATCAAGTTGCGAGGGTTGAACAGACCGCCCCGTTCGCGCAGCTCCCAGAATGTGTTGGTCATGCCGGAGAAGTCGAAGGAGACTTCGGGGGCGACGTATTCGATGTCGAAAGCGACGATTTGTTGTTTGAGGATGAGGAGGTGACTCATGAGGAAGAGTTGGCTGTCGGTGGCAGATTTGCTGGACATGAGGGAGCTCGCGTAGTGGAGGGATATGATGGTTTGGTGGACAATTTGGTGCGCTAGGTCATCAAAGACGGTGGACTAGTCATACTATTGTCAGTTTGGGCGCGCAAAATTATATTTGGGAGGGAAAGAGAGAGAGATCCCACATTCACTAGCCGGTATATCCGGCTCAATAGCCATATGGCTTTGCGCAGGGTTGGATACCAGCCACTCAAGGCGGTTTGCGATTCAAAGTCCCACTTGGAGTCTTGGTCTGGCGGTGGGTCGGCACCATCTTCTGCTTGCTTGGTCGAACTGGATAGATTCACCAAAGCATCTGCAGGTGCAACCTTTCGGCCTGAGATCTGGCCCTCAGTCACTGTGATTGAAACCGGTCGGTTCCGGGCAGGGTAATCGAGATCTTCGGGACGGGGTTTGTACCGCTCGATTTCATCGCGGAGGAAAGCCTGCGCTCGGAATACGAGGCGGGTTTGAACATCCTCCAGTGCAGGCTGAATTAGTGAGGAGAAATCCAGCTGGTTGGCGTCCGTGTGCTCTGTCTCTTCCTCCTGGTCGAATAGATAGCGGGTCTGGAGGAGAGTGCAAAGCTGGCAGAGCCGGATAATCTTGTCTTCGTGAATGATTTTGGGTCGGAGATGATCGTAGAGAGGTTCGCATAGAGTTTCCAGGAAGTCATATAGCCCGCCCTGGCCATGGAACCATTCTCCCCACAGATCAAACTCGTCCAAGCACACGCCGCGGACGTAACTTATACTTCCGCGGGCGAAGGCGACAAGGTCCTTTGAGGTACTCGGTGCCTGCGCGATATCATTGAGATTCTTGTGCACCATGGGTATGATGAGTTTGCCGCGAGTGGCAGCATAGTTGGCATGAAGTTCGTTAAGAAGACTCTGATATTCGGCTTCGGTCCCTTGGTCCGGGTCCAAAGGAGGGACGGCTCTCTTCTGGATTTCAAGACCAATCTGTTTCAACTCGGGTGCGCCTACCCTGAACTTGGCATAGAGCAGGGCCGACATCGTGGTGTCATTGAGTTGCTTGTCCGCGATTTTCTTCGAAGCGCTCAAGTACACGTCACGTAGGGCGGCGACGAAGTGTCCTCGGATGAGGGTAAGAGCACGGGTCAGAAGTAGCCTGTACCTAGACCGATATAAACTGGATTCCTTTTGATCGGGCTATGAGAAGTCAGTAAGCTTTGCATGCATGCTGCTGATCCGCGCGGTACGAACATGTGTTTCCATATAGTCCAAGCACTCGTCTAGCCGTCTGAGCATGTCCGAGAAGTCCTGCCCGCGAACGGTATTGCCCGCACCAGGCGCATTGAGCCTTCTTGATGCCGGGTCCAGGAACTCATAATATTGAAGGTTGTCCTGGATGTCCAGCGCTAATTCCGAGTCCCGTTTCTGAGCAGATAGGAGTCCTTCGCATTGCTTCTGAAATTTTGAGGTCTGTAGTTCCACCGCTTGAAAGTCCTGGGAAAGGCTGCTGAGAGCGTCGAGGGTAGAGGAGGTGTCGGTCAAGAGCGAATCGAGGTGAGACTTGGACATCTGAAGTTCATGAAGACAGGCTCTAAGTGTCCATGATTGTCAGCCTGGCTCTGCCTAGTAGTCATTCGGAGTGGTACTTACTGGTATTCGTCGTAGCTGGATTCCAACAAGCTGTCCTCCACGTCATTATACCATTCGATGAAGTCCAGCTCATTATGGATGTCCGCAATCGTATCTAGGCCCTCCGGTTCGGCTTCAGTTTCCTGAGCCTCCTGAGCCTTGAACTGCTGAGGCGGGCGAGACGGAACCGTCTGTCGACGAGATCGCGGCCCCGTTGTCTGCGGGCGCATTGTGAGGGCAGGATCCTTGAAACAACGAGTCTATGCTCTTCGGCCTTCGACCCTTTTCTATCCAGAAAAGACGGCGGGTCTCCAATTGTCCAACTTGTCCTCCGTGGCCGCTTGAATGCGGTATTCTGCCGCCGCCCCCCGCCTCCGCTCCGACTGACGCAAGTCTTCTGGAGCTCGACACTTTTGCCTTCGCTTTCTGCGGGGAAAGCTAATTATTGAGGCCAAAAGGTCGCCCACATTTACCTCTGCTGATCATACTAGGTTCAAGGGCACCATGTGGACAGCTCGCTCGCGGCAATCGGCGACGAACATCGTCGCCACCTCTCGTCGTCTCGCTCGAAATGGCCGGTTTGCCATACGGGAACAAAGAAGATATGCCAGCAATGGCCCGAGGGTAGCAGGGCAGTCTGCCTCTTCGTCGCATTGGCTTCGCAATTCGTTGGGATTTGCAGGAACAGCAACCGCCGCATTCGTTGCCTATTCGTATTTTACGAGCCCGGGGAGCCAAATCGAGAAGCCAACAGAGCCAACAGCCCAAACCTTGTCGAAGATCACCGGGGAACTGGGTCCAGAACTCATCCAAAAGAAAAGGAGTGTGAAGAGTCCAGGTGTCTACGTATGGGGAACGAACACTCATCGCGTTGTTGATCCGGACTCAAAGGAGAATGTGATCAAGACACCTCGGAAGATGTCTTATTTTGACGACCAGGTGCTGAGGGACCTCAAACTTGGAGACAAATCCGGCGCCGCAATCACCGATAAAGGCGACTTGGTCCAGTGGGGTAAAGGCTATTCTGAGACAGACTTTAAGCCCACAAAGACCCTTACTGGCAAGAACTTGACTTCGTTATGTATGTCCAACGATCGGCTCCTGGCTCTGTCCTCTGATGGGAGTGTTTACTCCTTGCCGATCGCGAGGAATGACCAAATGTCTGGTCGCAAACTCAAGGAAGGCTCTTGGGTCCCCTTTTGGTCTGGAAAAGCCGGAGTCAGCTATCGGCTGCTTCAACCCAGCCTAAAATTGGGCGAAAGGGTAACTTCCATCAGTGGTGGATTAGAACATGCCCTTCTCCTTACAAATAGTGGCCGGGTCTTCTCCGTCGCCTCTTCGACCGAGAGCTACCCATCCCATGGACAACTAGGCATACCCGGTCTGACCTGGGCTACTCGACCTAAAGGCCCAGTCGATGCCTGCCATGAGGTCACGGCTCTCAAGGGATTCAAAATCACACAGATAGCTACTGGAGATTACCATTCGCTGGCCCTTAGCAAAGACGGTAGCGTATTCTCTTTTGGCGACAATTCTTTTGGCCAACTGGGAATGGAATTCGACCCATCGTTGCCTTTAAGCGATACCCCTACGATGATACCCATTGCAAGGCTCTATCGCGGCAACATTTGGTTTCCCAAGGCGACCGGAATCGCCGCTGGTGGTGCCAACAGCTTCTTCACAGTGGATGCTAAACGCATTGTTGGCCCCGGAGAAAATCCTTCCGCAATCCGTGATCTAGACCGCATCACCGCTGATACTTGGACCTGCGGGAGAGGAATTTGGGGTGCTCTCGGAAACGGTAAATGGATTCATTTGCAAGATGCACCCACCAAGGTGAAGTCGTTGAGTGGCCTGTTTGAATATGACGAGCGAACGAAGAAACTCTCTCCCATTCGGCTACACGAGATCTCTGTGGGAACGACGCATGTGTCGGCAGTAATGGACAACCAAACTCATCTGGACGCATCTCCTTCATCGACTTTGGACGATAACAACGACTGGGGCTTTGATGCGCTGTGGTGGGGAGGAAACGAACACTATCAACTCGGAACGGGCAAGCGAAGCAACCTGTCAAAACCCACATACATCCTCGCACCTCCGGAGGGCTCGAAGGAGGACAAGAAGGAAGAGGCGCGGCTTCAAATCATGCCTCGCCATAAGGGCAAGGCTGGTTCGCGCAACGTAAGTATGGAGCAGCACGTTGTATGTGGACGACACATCTCGGCGATCTACTCGTCTGTATAACAATTCTGGATCTGGGGTCATATGTGTATTATCCGATGTATCAAGGAGGAGTCTTGTCTTGTCTTTACCATCAAAATGAATGATATCATGCTGAACCTCGTCGAAGGCGGCCGTAGAGTGCAAACCGAGCAAACACTTGATTTCCGCGGAAGTAACGCTTGGACCACCGCTTATCCCAAAAAATTTCCCTGCGCAGAAAAGCAAAGTCCGATCACCAACTTTTCCACCAGCCGGCCCTGCTGAGTTTACTGCACCATGCCCCGTGAAAACCAGAAACGAGGCCGTCGCGCCGCTGAAAAGGCCGAAAAAGATGCATCGAAGCGAAAGCGCGACGAAGCGCCCGAAGATTCCGCGCCCAAGCGATTGAAGCCTTCGTCGGACGAGATGGAGGTCGACACCACCGATTTCAACCAAGAAGCAGACTTTATCCCCCTCGAAGAACCTCAAGATCAAGATGGCGCCCCCTCGAGTGATATGCCTTTCTACGGTCTTCTCGATAGCGAAGAACAGGAATATTTCTCCCGCGCAAGCGAGATGTTGGAACTGAATCAGTTTGAGGATGCGGAGGAACGGCGATTGTTCGTTGATAGTGTGTACAGGGAGGCCAGCGGCAAGGAATTGAAGATCGCATGCAGCCAGTCTTGCTCTCGACTCATGGAGAAGCTGATGTCGATGTCCGACATTCGCCAGATCCGGAGGCTGTTCAGTAAGTTCCTTGGCCATTTCTTGCACCTGGTCCAGCATCGGTTTGCGAGCCACTGCTGCGAAACGCTGTTCATCAACGCGGCGCCTGGTGTGACGCAGAAGCCGTCAAAGACCAAGGACAGCAAGGAGTATGCCGACGAGGAGGACGAACCCGAGCCCGAGCTGTCGCTGGCGGAGATGTTCATGCAGGTCGTTCAGGAGCTGGAAGGGAACTGGGGATACTTGTTGACGGAACGGTTTGCGTCGCATACAATTCGAGTTCTTCTGTTGGTCCTCGCCGGGGAGCCGGTCGATATGTCAACAAGTGACTCGGTTGTCGCGAGTCGCAAGAAGGAGAGACTGGGCACCGTCGGCACCGAACCTACACAGGATGGAGATGCCGCTCCGCAGAAAAAGGGAGTGCCGGAGTATTTCGAGACGACGCTGAAGAAGGTCATGAGTGACATGGTGTCCGTGTTGGATGATACCTATCTGAGAGCATTGGCTACCCACCCCGTGGGTAACCCTGTACTACAGGTGCTGGTCTCTTTGGAACTGTCTCATTTCGGAAAATCGAGCGCAAAGGATCCGAAGTCAATTACGAAAAGACTGATCCCCGACGAGAACTTTGAAGAGGGCTCCGAGACCACGACTTTCATTCGGGGGTTGCTGTACGATCCTGTGGGATCCCGTCTTCTGGAAACAATTGTGCGCTGCATGCCTGGAAAGCTATTCAAAGGCCTCTACAAGAACTTTATGCGCGATCAGATTGCCTCGTTTGCTCGCAACACCACGGCCGGATATGTTGTTCTCCGGGTGCTGGAAAGACTCGGAAAGGATGACCTTCAGAATGCTATGGAGCTGATTGTTAAGCAAATCCCCAACCTTCTGGAGCGGTCCCGGACGAATGTGCCTAAAGTGCTGATCGAGCGATGTGTGATCCGGGGCGTCAACACGGCGCCGCTGGCTCGGTCTATGGAAGCTGCGTACGATAAGGATCCCGCCAAAAGGCTGAATCAAATCCTACGCCTCGAGGAATCTGCCCGGGACAACGAGGAGCCCGAATTCCAGCCTAAAGAGCCTGGCTCTTCTCAGCCATCTAATGCGGAAAAGCTGCACGGCTCGCTGCTTGCCCAAACTATGTTGACTGCCCCCGGACCGATGAGTGGACTGATCTTCTCGAGCTTGCTAGCCCAGCCATCCGAGTCGCTCCTACAGTTAGCCAAAGACCCTACTGCCTCCAGAGTCCTCCAGCAAGCTCTGACTCTCCCGACTTCCACGCCTCAATTCCGCCGACAGTTCACCACACGATTCACAAGTCATTTGAAGGACCTTGCGCTTGACAGCAGTGGTTCCCACGTCGTGGATTCCCTATGGACGGCCACTCAAGATATTTATTTTGTCAAGGAGCGAATGGCGCAAGAGCTAGCGCAGCATGAATTTGCACTCCGAGATTCCTTCGTTGGCCGCGCCGTTTGGAGGAACTGGTCCATGGATCTGTACAAGCGACGACGGGGTGAATGGGCAGCGAGAGCGAAGGGCATTGATCGTCAGGACGGTTCTGGGGAACGACCCAAGTCGAAGATTGAACTGGCACGGGAAAGATATGCTGCGAAGGCGGAGGAAAACAAGACCAACCCGAATTTTGTGACTGCGAAGAAATGATCGGACGAGGGATAGATTGGATGAATAGACTCATGTATTTACTATGAATGGCAAAGAACTAGACTTTCTGCTGTCCTGAGGCCAACGCACGTCAGGTGATGCCGCGCGGGGTAAAAATGCAACGTCGAAAAAATCCCCCGAAGTAAAGAAGCGTGAATAGCTTCAATCCGCATCCAAATGCCCATAGAGACGATCCCCAGTCCCACACCAGACCGGGGCTTGTCAACCATGCCGTGCCGTCCGCTCGACATGATGTCAGACCCGCTCGCTCTCTCGCCATCTTTTCTCCACCGAGATCGGGAGGGGCGCGTTCTCGAATTCGGCCAGCCATGAAGAGTTTCTCCGACTTCTGGAAGCCCCATAGCGTGCGCAATCAATCCACTGTCCACCAGCCTTTGGAAATTCGAATCTCTTTGCTCTGTTGTTGAAATCCCCTTTGGGACTCGTGAATTGAAGAGCATCGATGGCTGTGCCCGCAGCGTCCAGTCGCGCAGATGAAGTGCGAAAGGTGAGTCAGACACTACCAGGATTACCAGAGCCGTCTATTCCCAACACCCATTGGTGGAAATTAGAAATGTTTCTAACAGTTCAACCTGGGACTAGCTTCTGAGCGCCGTCGAAGACCTTTTAATTCCTTTTATACGTTCCGCAGACGATGATTCGTTGAGTCAGGTGCAGCAGCTGAAAAATGGCGTGAACGGATCCAACGGCTCGAATGGAGACCTCCAGCAACCAAGTACCTCGTTAGTCGACTACAAGAAGCCCGAAGAATTGAAGAAGATCCTCCAATTGCAAATTCCTGAGCAAGGCACGGGCCAAAACGGCTTAATTGAAGTCCTCCAGAAGGTCCTGCGCTACTCCGTCAACACCTGGCACCAGGGTTTTCTCGACAAGCTATATGCCTCGACCAATGCACCGGGAGTCGCCTCGGAGCTGATACTGGCAGCTCTGAACACGAACGTCCATGTGTACCAGGTATCTCCTGCCTTGACGGTGATCGAGAAGTACACCGGACGACAGCTGGCCGAACTCTTCGGGCTGAATGGTCCTCGAGCCGGTGGTATTTCCGTGCAGGGAGGTTCAGCATCAAACACGACGTCGATCGTCATTGCGCGCAACAATCTGTTTCCCAGCACGAAGAATGATGGAAATGGCGATTACCGGTTCGTGCTCTTTACCAGCGCCCACGGTCATTACAGTATCGAGAAGGCGGCGCAGATGCTGGGACTTGGAAGCAGCTCGGTCTGGGCGGTGCCTGTGGACAAGCAGGGCCGGATGATTGCGGAAGAGCTGGAGAAACTGGTTCAGAAGGCGCTGAAGGAGAAACGTACCCCGTTCTACGTCAACGCCACCGCCGGATCGACTGTCATGGGTTCCTTTGACCCGTTCAACGAGATCGCCGCCATCTGCAAGCGATACAACCTCTGGTTCCACGTGGACGGCTCCTGGGGCGGCTCGTTTGCCTTCTCCAAGCGTCAGAGAGAGAAGCTCGCCGGCGCCGAAAAGGCCGACAGTATTGCCATCAATCCGCACAAGATGCTCGGCGTCCCCGTGACTTGTTCCTTCCTGCTGGCCGCCGACTTGCGACGATTCCACCGCGCCAATACCCTCCCCGCCGGATACCTGTTCCACAACGAAGACACCGAGCCGTCCGACGAGGACCAGAGTGCGCCGGAATCTGAACTGGCCGTCGACTCTCCCGAGGTCTGGGACCTAGCGGACTTGACGCTGCAGTGCGGGCGCCGCGCCGACTCCCTCAAGCTCTTCCTCGGGTGGACATACTATGGCACAGCCGGCTATGAAAAGCAGATTGACACCGCTTGCGACATCGCCACCTACCTTGCGACCCTAGTCGCCGACCAGCCCGACTTCATCCTGGTCAGCGAGAACCCGCCTCCTTGCCTCCAGGTGTGCTTCTACTACGCCCCCGGCAGACAGTTTGTCCACCCGCGGGGGATCGTCTCGAACGAGACCGAGCGCGGCAAGGCCAACAGCAAGGTGACTGAGCAGGTGACGCACGCCATCGTCCGCAAAGGATTCATGGTGGACTTTGCGCCGCCCAGCGGCGACGAGGATGCGGTTGGCAACGGGAAGTTCTTCCGCTGCGTCGTGAATGTACAGACGACGAGGGAAACGGTCGAGGGTCTGGTGAAGGCCATCCAAGAGGTCGGTCCTGCCATTGTCGACCAACTGAAGGCTGAGAACGCCTCGGCTTCGTCGAGGAGACCGGGAGAGAGGGGCCATGGACCCGTGGTCCACCATGCATGATCTTTTCTTGTGCTAAATCTTCAGATATGTACAATTTGGGTGCAGTGGGCTATCTTGGACACGTTTTGTCAACGTGAAGTCTGGAGAGAAGAGCCTTTATAGAGTATATGTGTAAATGATATTACGATTATAGCAAAGCCGCAGGGCCATAGAGAAAACAAGAAATATAAGCATATGATTTCTATCACATCACGCCAGCTCTCGTAAAGTCATCAGGCAACAACAGCGCCTTGTTAACTAATTACCGATCTCGACGCGCCTCTCTAGCACGCTCCGAGCCTCCGACTCTGCGAGAGTTTCCACTGCCAGCTCGGAGAGAACCTCCCTGGCGCTTTCGTTGTCTTTGAAGAGCCTCTTCTCCACCGCCCACAGGCCGAGTCCAGCGTCGCTACCTCCAGCGAGAGGATCAGTGGCTTTTGAAGAGCCTGGCTCGTCTTCAGGCTGCGATGTCGCATGGGCACCCAGTCCCAAAAGAAGCAGACCTTCGGTCAGTTTCTGCAAGACCTTCGCGGAGCCCCCTGCTGGGGTCGCTGGGCCGAGAGCTACGTCGACCACGTTGCAGAGATGGTCGACATCGCTGATGAGTTGCGCTGCGCCTGCCGCGGAGAAGGTGTTCTTCATGAGGATCGTGCCCCAGAGATACGTTTGAATGGCGAGGAGGACCTGTCGGATGATCCGGCGCAAGGGGGCAATGCCTAATGTGCGAGACAGGAACGAGATCTCGGTCGACAGGGTACGCATAGCAGGTGTGAGATCAGAAGACGGGGGGAGAGGGCCGGTGGAGGACGTTGAGGGGACCGAGATAGTCGTCCAGGTTGAGACGCGAGAGTACGGCTTCAGCGCAGATCGCACGTTAGAGGTCAGAGTCGACGTAATGATAGATTCTGACCGGAGTCTGAGACGACGGTACGCAGAAGCGGTCTCATCAAAGAGGGCTCCGTCGGAAGTCGCGCCTTTGTGGTCGCTGGCTTCGGAGCCGTGATTGACAGCCGGAGAGGTCCTAGAGGCGACGTCCGCCACTGACATTGAACCGGCGACGTTCTTGCCTCCGTCACGATTCTGCCGAACCCGCTCTTGAAGCTCCGACCAAAGCTCGACAAAGAACACCTCATTGCTCCAGTCTTCCATCTTCTTCTCCAGATATTCGGCGCTTCCGAAGACCCTGCAAAGCCGTTCCAGACCTGCAACTCCTTCCACGCTGGCGCCGTCTGTCCCTTGCACGGTGCGACCGATGGTAGATGTCATTGCAAGGTAGGCTTCTAGAGCGGAGTGCAGGCGTTCGTGGAATTGGTCGAAGATTGTAATTTGAATGTCGATGAGAAAACGCAGCTTCTGGCTGAATGAAGATAATGGCTGGTACCGATCGGTGATGGTCTCTAGCAGGTCATTCACGCGAATGGCTGCTTTGGTGGGCTTGGTCACTGAGAACTCGACACCATCGTAGTCGATATGACCACTGTCTGGTGTATCCACAATGTCCTTGTAGCGAGCCAGCGCAAAGTCCTTCTCGACCTGAAGCCAGCGGTCGAACCAGCCTCCCTTGGTCAGGACATCCCAGGTAATCCCCTTCCAGTTCTCCTGGCTGTAGGGGTCTGGGAGGTAGTTCCAACCCTCGCGGATGTCGTTGTCGAAAGTCATCAACTCATGGACCAGGTGGCTCAAAAGTTGGGGATGCTCGGAGATTTGAGGAAGAAACGTGATTATTTTCTGCCTCAGCATCGGCAGAAGAGCCGTAATGTACGCATGCGAGGCGTTATTGAAGTTCCACTCCAAATCGGATCCGACGGCTTGGGCTTTTTCATCGAAGATGGGTTGGAGGGAGGAGATGAAGAAACCCCCGAAGTTGTTAACCAGATCCAATACATGCGACAAGAAGTATTCCGGCTGCATATTCTATTAGACGCTTAATGGCCAGGCACAGTCAGGATACACTTTACCTTGTCGAGTCTGTTGGTCGGTTTATCGCCACTAAAGTGGTATTTAAAGCGAAGCTCCAGGGGGTGGACCATGACTTCCAGCGGCAGTAAAATAGTCGGTTCGACGTTCTGCTGGTTTGAGGCAACATTGCGATTCTTCAGTTCCCTAGTGCAAAGTCAGACAGAGTAAGATGCGAAAAGGAGGGACCTCTCGTACGGAGTCTGGAGGTCGAGAAGCAACTCAACGTTTGTTTTCCACTGTGACTTCAAGTCCTCTGGGAAATTTAGATCCTTTGATGGCCATTTCATTTGCTCCAACGTTCCTTGGAGTCGCCTGGTAAAGTCGCTCTTCAATTGTTCCCTGAGTGCCGATGCTAGTCTTCCTATGTAGTCAACCAGATGGGGCGCGGCGCCTTCTGCTGCAGGCTGGGCTTCGACCAACGATTGAACGATATTTCGGAGTCGAGTGTAGGGCTCGATGGCTAGCTGAGGGACAGACTGGATATTTTTCAAGGCTTCCTTGCTGTATCACTTCTTAGCGGCCAGACGAATGTAGGGTGTTTGTTTGTGTGCTGGGTACCTCAGCTCCTCTGCCTCCTTGAGTAGCGTCACATAGCCTCTTGATATCTCAAGCCGCCGCAGCTTTTCTATTCCCTCCTCAAATCGTTTCGCAGCCTCATCGCTGGCATCCGACTTCGTGATGGCTTTCAGGCGCCGGTCGATGTCGGCCTGCTGCTCCTTAAACGCCTCGGCTCGCTTTCGGGTGGCTTCTGCGTGGTCATTGGAGGTCTTTGTGGCATTGGATAGGACCTCCTGGGCTTCTGCTAGCTATCAAAGATCCGTTAGTTGATAAACGTTGAGGTTGAGGTTGAATCGGATCGCGGGGGAAACACAATACCTGCTTCCGCTGCAGCTCATGTTGGGCACGGAGACTCGAAAGTAACGAGTCTAGACTTTCAAAATCCGCCGAGACCTGGATCTTGTCGTTCAGGTAGTCCTCGACTCTCGTTTTCTCGTGCAGAGATAGAGACGACGCCGAAGAGGCCATGGTGGAGGGTGGTGGTAGCAGGCCAAGTTGCAAGCCGCAAGGTGTCGCCCATCACCGCCTCGGGCGAGTTGCGGACAATCGCATCCGCCGCCAACTGCCATTCCGTCATCGCTTCCTCCGTCCAGGCATCATGGCGCCTGGTTTGGTCCTGGACCCCTCTGGCACCAGTGATTTGGAACGATGATCTTTCACAATGTCGACTCCTACCAAAAAACGCAAAAGAGAGGCGCCGGAGTCCTCGCCGCAGCAGAATCGCAGCATAGCGTCCTTCTTCCAGAACGCTGCAGCCAAAGCAGAGCAGCCTTCAATTCCCCCCTCGGAGGACACAGAGCAGACTCTCTCTGACGAAGCTCTCGCCCGGAAGCTTCAGGCAGAATGGAACCAAGAAGACGACACGGCTTCGGGCTTGGAAGCCGATCCTCCAAGCAATGCGCCCGCGACCGTTCCTCCTACGATCCCCGATGACGACACATCGCGACCCGAGCCGAAGAAGAATAACACGCTGTCGCTACAATCATCGACTGGGGCAGAAGATACGGTGTCGCTCGCAGTGCCCTTCGATCAAAGCCCCTTGACTTTCGACTCGAGGAAATATGCGGAGGAGTTGAAATCGCACTGGGCGACGGAAGGTGGCGATGCTTCGTACGCCTTGTTGACTCGAGCTTTTGTCCTTGCCAATGCAACCTCCAGTCGCATACGCATCGTGGATACCCTGGTCAACTTTCTGCGGGTCCTGATCGAAGGAGACCCTTCGAGTGTTCTCCCCGCAGTTTGGCTTGCCACCAACTCCATTTCTCCGCCGTACGATGAGTTGGAGCTGGGACTAGGTGGGTCATCGATCTCGAAAGCGCTCAAGAAAATCTATGGGCTCAACAGCCAAGGCCTGAAGGCACTATACGACAAGTACGGAGATGCAGGCGATGTTGCGTTCGAAGCGAAGAAAAAACAGAGCTTTACCTTGGTCAAACCGAAGCCGCTCAAGATCAAGGGCGCATATCAGTCCCTCGTCAAGATTGCCGCTAGCAAAGGCAGCGGCAGTCAGGAGGCGAAGCAGAGGATTGTTGAGAAGTTATTGCAGGATGCTCGAGGTGCAGAAGAGAGTCGCTACATCGTCAGGACATTGGTCCAGAATTTGCGCATTGGAGCGGTCAAAACAACTATGCTCATCGCTCTTGCTCGAGCATTCCTATACTCCAAACCAGACGGCGCGGAACATTCTGTGCACTCTCAGCAGGGCCTTGCTCGTCTCAAGAAGGAAGACCTTGCGGAAACCTACAGTGGCGCTGAAGAAATAGTCAAGGCCTCGTATGCCAGGCACCCTAACTACAACGATCTTGTTCCCTGTCTGCTCGAGATAGGGGTCGCAGAAGAAATCCTTCTGCGATGCGGTTTGCAAGTTCATGTGCCACTACGACCGATGCTGGGTAGTATTACGCGGGATCTTTCGGACATGTTGACGAAGCTACAAGGGCGAGATTTCAGTTGCGAATTCAAGTACGATGGGCAGCGCGCCCAAGTGCATTGCGACGAAAGCGGGAACGTGTCGATATTTTCGCGTCACCTGGAAAGCATGACCGAGAAATATCCAGACCTTGTGTCTTTGGTCCCCCAGATCCGAGGAGAGAGTGTGTCCAGCTTTATCCTAGAAGGCGAGGTGGTTGCCGTTGACCAGGACACCGGTGACCTCCAGGCCTTCCAAGTTCTCACCAACCGAGCGAAGAAAAATGTCGAGATAGGGACGATCAAGGTCAACGTGTGCCTTTTTGCATTCGATCTGATGTACATGAACGGGGAGCCCCTATTAGACCGATCCTTCCGCGAACGTAGAGAGCTTCTCCGGAGTCTTTTCATGGAAATCCCAAACCGCTTCACCTGGGTAAAAAGCATTGATGCAACGTCGGGGGATTCTGAGACGGTGTTGGAGTTTTTCAAAAGTGCCACGAATGCCAAGTGCGAAGGCATCATGGTCAAAGTTCTCGACAATTTGCCCAAGGATGGGGACATCGAGACCTCCGCAGACGGCGCTAAAGAATCAGGACCCCAGATACAAGCTTCATCCAGAACGAACGGCACAAAACCCACCAAAGGTACCCGACGTAAAGCCCTGCTAGCAACCTACGAACCCGACAAGCGCCTTGACTCGTGGCTCAAGGTCAAGAAAGACTACAGCGCATCTTCTGAAACCCTCGACCTTGTCCCCGTCGCCGGATGGCACGGCCAGGGCCGCAAAGCCAAATGGTGGTCGCCCATTTTGCTCGCCGTCCGCAACCCCGAAACCGGCACCTTTGAAGCGGTCACCAAATGCATGTCGGGCTTCACGGATAAATTCTACCAGGCCAACAGGGACAAATACACCGAGGGCAGCGCCAACGTGATCTCCCGACCCAGCTACGTCGAGTATGCCGGCGAGCCCGACATCTGGTTCGAGCCGCAGGAAGTTTGGGAGATGGCGTTTGCGGATATCACGCTCAGTCCGACTTACACGGCCGCTATCGGGCTGGTGAGTGACGAACGAGGCCTCAGTCTTCGGTTTCCGCGATTCCTCAGAGTCCGCGAGGACAAATCCATCGACGAAGCGACCACGTCGGATTATCTGGCTCATCTTTGGCGAAAGCAATCCGAGAAGGCTCGACTGGAAGAAGCAGAGCAACCAGTGCCGGAGGAAATCATGGAGGAGTGAAGTGCTCTTTGACGCTCAGAGCGAATATATTGAGATCTAGATACAACTTCCATACATACGCGATATAATACAATCATATACCATACGCTTTTACCACGGTGATTACCTAGGTACACAGACATGTAATATACCCAGCGATCCATACCGATCGATCAATTAATCGATCGATCGAGGGAGTACACTCCGTGGCTGCGTTTCGTGGTTAAATATATTCCCAGCCATATGGCAATATTCCCTCCACTGGACACCTCACAGGGACTGCATTACTCATCTCCTCTATCATCACGTGGATGCCAAGACTTCCATCGGACAAAAGAAAAAAAAAGAAAAAAAAATAGTGAAACAGTCTAACCATCTCTGGATTAATTTATTGCATGCTGCATGACGCCATTCCCCTTTCGTACTAGATCCAACGCGAAATGGACACGGGTCGGGGCTTGACGCGTCGAGGGTTGGCGGCGCGTTGTTTTCCCCTCTTTTTTTCGCTTTTTTTTATTTTTTTTTTCTCTCGCTCCCTCCCAGGCCAATAGCGTCGAGTAGTGGGCGGAAGCGGACTTTCTTAGCCTTCCAAAGCACGGGAAAGGAAGATGAAGAAAATTCTCAAAGTCCTACGGAGTACACAGAATGTCTCCATCCGGTGGGGACAACTAGTCGGTGAATTTTCTTCAGCCATGACGCAATGTTTTTTCTTTTCTGCAAATGGGTAAATGTTGAATGTGGGTGGTCGGGGTGATATGTCTGTAAACATCGACATGGGCATTGATATCCATAGCTATATACAACTGAATAGTGATCAAACTAGACATAAGGCAGGTGTCTCCATATCCATACCGGAGTCCTGGGACAACGCATCGTGCGCATCCATCCAATAACGATAAAAGAAAATAAAAAGAATAACCAGGAGGTTGGCAAAGAGCGTCAACGGTAGTACTAGTCAACAGAGAAATAAGGGTTTACACAAATGAAACAATATGCAGAGCAAATTAAACATGACATAGGAAAAAGGGTATGTATGCACAGAGAAATGCATTATTCGAGAGCATCAGCCGACCAAAAGGACTGAAAGGCCCGCGGAAACATGCCGGAATAGTTAGGAAAAGATAGAATAAAATGGAAAGGTTCGATCCAATGACCCGAGCATCGGGAAAGAAGGGAGAAAGATAAGTGGCAGTATCCGACAGAGTACACATAAATCATTAGCAGTCGTGACAAAATCCATGAACAAGTAGGCATGGTCATTTCGAGGAGCCGGGGCATTTACGGTCGCAGCTCTCCGCCAAGCTGCAAGACAGTGCTTGCTTCTTTGACGCGGTTCTTGGGACTGTCCGCCCCGGGCGGCAGCAGGTTGTCCAGATTGGACCTCCTTCTGTCCTTGGCGGTCAGAGGGGTTCTGGATGGCCCCCCGGGCGTCCGACCGCCAAATGCAGGCTGCGCTGGACTTGGAGTCACGTTGACAAAATCAGCAAAGTTGAACTGCTGATTGGGGGTGCCAAAGTTGGGGAAAACTCCGCCCCCGGGAGTTGGGGTGAGCCCGGGCAGAACGGCGTGCTGGCTTGGAGGGGTCGAAGGGGGGAAGTCCCGGGGTTGAGGCTTGCCAGCGACACTGGCGGGCGTTGGAGAATTGGCCAGGTACAGCAGCAAATCTGCCCCGTCTTCGTGTCGGAGATTTCGATCGTTGCGGGACAGGCGAGCATGCTTCGGCGGCGGAGTCCGAGGCGGCGACGAGCCCACCATGGAGCTGACGTTCTGGAAGCTGTGCACCGGCAGATCCGGATCGTTGTCGTCATCGGACAGATGGTGATATGCAGGAGAAGAGAACTCCGGGATGGTCGCGGTCTCCGATATGAAGGGTAGCGGATGGGGTCGGCTGGCAAGATGGCGATTCATCCCCGGAGAGGATTCGGGTAGACGATACGAGCTCTTCCACGACACCCGCGGAGCCTTGACGGTCCGATCCGTGATCGAGTCCGACCGAAGACGTTTTCGACTGGCGGACAGCATAGGCTGCATCACTTTGGAATTGAAGGTGGCTGCATGTCTGTTGCGGGACGACCGAGGCAGTTCCTTGGAATAGGTGGAGGTTCGCAAGGGAGGCGAGGTCATGGGGGTCTCGCAGCGACTCTGCGAGATTTCCGACGACGAATCCGAAGGCTTGTCACTCCCCAGGGTGATATGTCGGTTTCCATTCTGGTCTAGGGCGTGCAGACGGCCGTTTTGGTACTTGACTTTGGCGAGGCCCAGACGATCTTGAAGGCTGAGGGACACCTAGATGCACCACGAGGGAACCACATTAGACTCTTCCAAGAATTTCCAAAAAGGGGGAGGCACCGTAAGCGAGAAGGGGAAAGAAAAAAGAAAAGGAAAAATCCAGGAGAAAGCCTCACCTGGGCAATGTCAATTTTACGGATTGTCCGCTCCGAATTGGACGGCTGAGGTAAGGCCATTGCCAGCGGAAAAACGGCGAGCAGGAGCGGCAGCAGGACTAATCAGCGGGATGGACGAAGGTCAAGATCATAAACCAGCGGTGGGAAGGGAGTTGGGGGGATGTAACTAAATGCAAGAGCCGGACTGCAAGGAGGAAGGGGACTTGAGGGCGAAGGGAAAGTCGAGGGAAGCGCAGGCAAGGAAGAGAGACGCAGGGCGGGTCAAAGAACGGCTGCGTTGGGTTTAGTTTGGCCAGAGAGCAAACCTTTCGACAGTCAACCTTTTCCTCCTTCCTTCACTCTGGGGAACCCACGCATCTAGGGGTCTTTTTCTTCTTCTTCCTCTTCCTCTTCTTCTTGATTGACTACTCGGATGATGGATGGATGGTTCTCTGCGTCATGGATTCATTGACCCTCCGAGATCGCCTATGGCTTCAGTCCTCCCATTCAGTATTGCATCCGTCAATGACCCGACCCGTCCTTCGTATCACCAACAGCAATCTCGCTTTCTTTATTCTCCATTCGGTAATCCACCAGGAATGCTCTACAGATGTTTATCTGTCTATGTCTAGTATGTGGGGAGAGTCGGCACCGGCTCAGGGACGATAGATTCCCCCCGGCCATTCCTCATCCCTCCTGAAGAGATCGGTCAATCAATCAATAATAAGTACCGGCCTCCGTGCATCGAGGAAAATTCCGACTCGGAGCTGTTGCTATGCCAGTCGAGAATCCATAGTTTAGCTCGTCTCCATCGTCGTTCTAGCCCGCAGCCACATCGATGCCTGGCATGTCCACTCGGCCTTTCCGGATTCCGACCAGCAGAAACGTATCCGTACGCCGTAGGGACCTGGAGGGTCCGATCGAGTCTGAGATCTCGTCGTCCGGTTTCAGAATCAGTGAACGTTGAATGGTCCCCAGGGGTCGCCACTATGAAGCTTAAGCCAACCCTACGGACCGACCCAAGTAAATCGCAATATTTCCATTCTCCTCACCTGCTGTAAGACCTGTCCATCCCTTTCCTAGGAGCGACGGCGAGGGAAACCCCCTTTGTGTCAGCCATGAGTCTCCGGATGATCACCACCTGGCGTGATTGATTCACCCAGTGGGATTTTCTTTCACAGGTTTCATGTAAGAGTCCGAGATTTGACAGCATCAGCTTGTCATTTTCTTTCTGTCTTGCAGTTTGGGTGCTGCCTGAATACGACGCCAAGAACGATCAAGCACCTTCGCGGTGGAGTCGAATTCCCCTGCAATGATCAAGCCCATCCTTTTCTGGGATTTCCGAGGAAGTTTAGTGAGCAGAAACAGGGAACTGCAAATGAATGACGTGGACCAAGAGGGGAAGCCCAGGATAGACCAAATGCTCGCTAATTTACTGCACGGCGGGCGAGTGTTGGGCGCGTCGTCTGTCACTAAAGTCGCATCTTTGATATGGACCGCTGATCAGAGGGAATACTGTCGCATACCAGCGATAGCATCGACAGAAAGAATTTACAATCCGAGAGAAAAAAAAAAAAAAAAACGGCCAGTTCGTGAGAGTCGAGATCGCTAGTCGACCGTCTATTTTAGCCCGGTCTGAAAGGCTTGGGTTCCTGTTCTAGTCCGATAGTAGCCCTTTTTAGCACGACGGAGACCGACCAAGGAAAAGGGATGAAGAATTGAGGGTCCAGGAATCTCCGACAGAGGCTGTCTCTCGACAAGGCCAGGATAGACTCATCCTCTGTGGACGATGTGCTCCCCTAGATAGGGCCAGATTCAAGAGCAACACTGGCCAAGCATCCACAATTCGCCCTCAGGTCCGCCACGGTGTACGTCGTGATTGGAGATTCCATGTCGAAGATGAAGATAGACCTTATCGAGCTGCGACAAATTTAGCAAGGCCAGCCTCCACTCGGGGTGAAACTAGGCGCTATCTCGATCCTGCGGTTGGCCAGTAACAGTTGGCCTACGCAACGCGCCCTTGTCTATTCGCAACAGGCAGTGCAACTTCTGTCGACCCACTTCTTGCATCGAAGCACAATTGGAGCTTCCCCTCCCCCCGATTGATGTCGTTGTTGGCTCAAAAGGCAGGGGGGTTGATGGCCCGTGGACATTGAACGGCGAGGAGAAAAGAGAGAGCAGGAAAAGGGAGGAGAATGAGAAGAAAAACAAACAGGTGAAAGAAAAAGAGAAACGGCTTTATCTTGTCCGGTTTACAGGCAAAGGAGCGTAGCAGCATTTCATATTCATCCTTGTTCATATCTGGAACATACTCCTATTTGGTGCCCATAAGACACTAAAACCACGTTAAAAAATAATACAAAAATAAGAGACTTGATAACGGAGTGAGCTTTCCCTTATTTATATTTTTTTTCTTGATTTTCCTGAATTTTTCCTGATTTGATTTTGCTTATTGGCGAAGTTAACAACCATCCATTCTTCATTCTATTCTCTCCTTCTCTCGTCCTTCTGCTTTCTCTCTCTTTCTTCACACTCTCTCCTCTCCAACCCCCATTTTTTTTTTGTCTCTCCCGCTCTCGCTCCTTGACGGTCTTTTCCAATTAATTCCCATCGATGAGCTAGATCATTCCAACTCAATCCCAGCATACCAGCACCACGACTGCCTTCCCCTGAGCATTCTGCGGGGTGGTACCCGTTCGTTCCTGTCGCATCCGCAAACGGTCGCCCTCGTTTGCCTCTCGATTACAACAACGCGCAATCTTTGTTTTCCTTTCGCTCTCTTCTTCTCCCATCGCCTCCAGCAACCTGCTGGTCTGGTTTTGTCGCTCGTTTGAGAGGAGAAGTACCGCCGATCGGATTTTCCTGCCGAAGCTCGAGCAAACAGGCACCGACGACATACTCCGCGGTCCCTGACGTAGTGCTGCGTGCTCTCTCCTTCCTTTTCCAAATCCTCGACAACTTGGATCGCTTCCTTCTTCGGTCGCTTCGACAAGCAGCTTCTTCGTCATGCCGTTCTTCACGCAACTCCGTCGCCGGTCTCGAGCCAGTTTCCGCACCAATAAGTCCACCGAGTCGAAATCCAACGAGTCGCAGTCCAATGGAGAGATGACATCCGGCAAATCTTCGTCCACGCTGGAGACAGCCTCCTACAGCTCGGTCACCCCGCCGTCTTCCATCAAACCTACTGTTTCGTCTCCCAACCTGCCCTCGTTGAGCGAAGGCAATGGCAGCGTTAATGGCACGCATCTTCCCGTGCCTTCCCAACGACCTGGTCCCCATACCCTCCAAGGTCAGCGCAATAGTACCGTCATCGTACGTGGTTCTCACGCTTCTCGGACTGGATCCTTCGAGACCGGAAACTGATTTCTCCTCCAGGGTGGCAGTGCGATGTCTGTCAATGGTACACTTCGGTCGCCGACTCCGTCATCCCCCTATGCACCTAGAATCATCTCCGTTTCGGAGAATTCCTGGGTACGTAATCGGTTGTTGTGACCTGTCTTTCTCTTGCGCCAACGTCCCCACCCCCAAGAAAAAAGAAAGTTCGACGGACATGAGCCACAGCAGAGCTTACTTTTTCTCGTTGTCTAGGTGCATCAAAAAGTCCTATTGATTTACGGACAAATCGGAGACCCCAGACAACATCCGCTGGACGGAAGTATCACGGTCTATCACCATCAAGACGCCTTCCCCTCGGTCAGCTGGCCCGTCACATCCTCCCATTTCAAAGCCCTCGTGCATCTCGTTCCCGGTCCTAATCGGCTGCGCTTCGACTTCGTATCCACGAAACTTTCGTCTGGTAGCGCACATCCCGCCATTCATTCGTCATGGCTATGCGTCAACTATCTTCCGCTGGTGAACGCCCCACCTCTACAGCTGGTCATTTTACTAGGCAAAGACTCCGATGGCACCTTCGATGCCACGCCGGAGAGAAAACAACGCGAGGGAAATGGTCTGGAAACGGCAATTAAAAAGTACCGCATGGCGGCCTATCTGTGGCAGTCCTTCACCGGCGAACAGATGTTCCGTAACAATTTCGGCCGGCGATGTTTTCGATTTGAGGAAGAATGGCAGACCGGCACCTTGAGTCGGCGGGATATCAACAACGGACAGATGCGAAACGAGGCTAAGGTTCACATCGTGCGCACCGACAAAACCGTTGCTGAGCTCCGGGATCTTAACATGGCCCAGCAACATGGCCCGGCCACCAAGAAGGATGAATTGTTCCGTATTGCCAAGGACGCCGTCAGGAGCCATTTCCAGCCCCAGCAGAGTCAGAAGCAGTACGTTTCCGTTCTGCTTCTGGATTCTCACTGGGACACGGGTGCCCAAACCATCACCGGCCACGCGGCATTAGGCTCCAGTGGGGACGATATTAAAATGGCCATTTTCGGCTCTCACAGCCTGCAGAGCTATCCCAGCTGTCTGGAAGAAGTCGTAGATTCGTTCTCCGACTGTACCAGGACTAACACGGATTATGTGGCGAATGACTGCGGTGAAGCTGGGTCCAGTTGGGAGTCGGCCAATATCGGGATCGGGGCACACCTGCACGAAGTCGGCCATCTCTTGGGCAGTCCTCACCAAGAGTCCGGTATCATGCTGCGAGACTATGTTCGTTTCAATCGATCCTTTACAACGCGCGAGCCATTCTCGACTCGGACAAAGCAACAGGGTCTCAAACTATGCTTGCCTCAGGACGAATGTGGCTGGCACCGACTGGACGCGCTGCGCTTCCGTTTTCACCCCTGTTTTCGCCTGCCCGGGGACGCCCCGGTGAGTTCCGATGACAGCGTTCAGGTCTGGCCTGTCGAAAATGGTAAAATCTTGATCACCGCCGCCTCTGGAATCGCGTTTTTGGAGCTCTATGCAGAGGACGATCAAGTTTGCCACAACTTCATAGAATATATCAATAGCGAGTCCAGCAGCAATGGGCTCCCCAAACAAATCACGGTGACGGAGAATGAGTTGCGGCAACGCGTGTTTGGCACCGAGAAGGAGAAGAAAAAGAGGGTCAAGATGTCGATCGTGTCCGGTGCGCTTGGCTGCCATACCGTGGAATCGATTAGCAGCTTGAAATCCAAGCTGTCCCTTGTGAAACTACCCAAGGGTCACACCGGCTACAAGGGTGGTGCATTGGGATTTTCTCAGATGGAAGGAAGTCAACCCCAGCAAATTCTGCTGGATTGTGCCTTCTCGACTAAGCTCTTGACCTCTATCAAGGTCTACCATGGAGCCGCATTGGACGGTCTTGAGTTTTTCTATGAAGATGCCACCAGCCAACTCTTCGGAAATAGAGGAGGCAAACCTGGGGGTGATGATTTTGTGCTTGGTAAGTATCTTTGCCTCCGGAGTATCAGCTCCGCTTTTTTCTCTCTCTCTCCCTCTCTTGCAAACCCAAGATCTAACCCGCTCCCTAGAAACCCGACGTGGGGAGATATTGCTTGGCTTTTATGTCCGAGCCGGGGCTTGGATTGATGGTATCGAGTTCTTGACGAGTCTGGGCAGGAAGTCTGGTGTTTACGGTAACGCCCAGGGAGGCTCAGGGTATGGTTCATGTCAGGTTCTTTCAAAGATCACCGTCACTGACTAGGATTTGTTGCAGACACACCTTGATCCCACCTTTGGGTTACAAAATCGCCGGGATTTCAGGATCCTGCGGACCTTGGATTGATGGGTTCTCACTGATAATCATGCACTGATTTCATGCTGTCGAGGCCTATAGGGTCTGGGACAGAAAACTCGATTGAGTGATAACCATTTACCCTTCTTTTTCCACCATACCTCTATACCTGTCCTTCCTTCGAGTCGACGCTGGCGCGTCTGAAGGAATCGTTGCCAACACTATACAGCGGGCATTTTAATCAACTCAGAGATCTTGTTCCCGAGAGAGAGAGAGACCTGCTTGATCGCTCGATTGAGAGCAGCGCCGACTCTATGGCGCACGTCGGGTTGATATGTGTCCCCTCGAACTGTCAAACGCCCGGTTTCCCCCTAGTGACCTGCCGCATTGGCACCGGAGTACTGTTAATTATATGCCTTACGCTCTCTGTTCACACTGGCGACGCTTGGGAGACGTGATGTATCCCATCTTCCGACTTTTTTTCTTCTCTTTCTTTCTCTCTCTCTCTTTTGTCTTGGCGGTCCACGCGATGGGTACCCTACGGGAGATGCACGGGCAGGTCGTTGAAGTAATGTTTGCCTTCTAATAAGCGGGACTTATGATCACTGGCAGTTAATTCTAGAAATATTTGCAAGAGGAACATAATCAATGGCTGGCCGACGGCCTGTTTAGCTCAATCGCATTGTATGCCTGCTCCGCTTGATTGCTTCATGCTCCTGCAGAGTAACACCCCATAAATTAGCGTTACATGCAATGCAAACCCCGCGGAGACATGTTCTCTCGGGCCCGGAACATGCCAGTGGAAAAAGTAGAAAGGGGAAAGAGGCGAAAGCCATCGGATTCTCGCCCAGGCCACAGCATTCCACCTCGTCATGGCATGCAAGATTCCCGGTCAGACCCCGGGGCTTAGGTAAGCGATCAGGTGACGGGCTTGGCGGGCTTCCGGGGATTGGCCAGCATTTATTCTCCGGCGGGCGCCGCCTCCTGCGCCACCAAGTACCGGTACCTTTGGTTCCTGCTAAGGCCAAAGGTTGATACTTGCTTCCGTACTTCGTCTCAAGTCCTCCATGCCAGCTGCAGGGATCTCCCGCAATACATGAACACCTCTCGATGGATCTTCCCCGGCTGCGCTGTCATTGATCATGCGCGGCCCTCGAAGGGGCCATCATGGTAGCACAAGCACGCAGCGGTCCCGTGCGAGCAATGAGAGCCCTCACGCCACTCTCCACCGTCGTATCTCTGACGATTTCTTCCCGGGCTACAAAGGATTCCGCTTCCTGGCCCTTAGGATCATCATACATAGCCCTGTTGAGACGGACAAATGACCATTGGTTGCCATCCCCCTCGGCGGGCTACGGCGGAGGGTGCAAGGACCGCAGAGCGCGACCGGTGGCGAAAATGTCATATCCTCTTTCCCGTCCGTTTTGGCCTATGGTCCTGTCGGAGTTGAGATGCGGAGATGCTCAGACACCCTCGATTTTACTACGGAGTCGATTGCTTCGATCCACGAGAAACGTAATCGTAGTCATCCGGAGTACTGCCTGCTCGGCATCCCGGACCTTAAGCCACACCTCCCCCACATAGGTGGCGATAACGGGATCTGCCCATTTGACTCGAATCGGAAAGGCACCGGAAGGGATCCTTTGCTTTGGATTTGATTTGTCACTTTTTTTTTTTTGCTCGGAAACATTGGACGTGACACTTTCCTAGACGACCACTACAAAACCGAAGGAGGGGCGGGATGCACGACGATCAGCCTGGGCGACCATGGATGTCGAAGACGCTGCCCTCGTTCCACGGGTTTACTAGAAGTGCTAGAAGAAGCATGCGCGGCACATGGGCGACAGCCGTAGATGATTCAAATGTGGTAGCTTGCGCCATACCCAGCTGGGAAGGAGAGGACTAATACCTTACTTTTGGTGGCGTAGATAATATTGATTGATGCTCGTCGCCGCCCTCCCTTACCTCCGTTGCTGACTCAGCGTTCAGGCAGGAAAGTAAGGTACGCACGGGCGATACCTAAGGTACCATAAGTGCGGTACCTACTTACCATACATGGTAGCTTACCGGGTGTGGTATTTTTCACTGCTCCCCCCGTACCTTGTGCTTTTGGTCGCTGGGAGAGACACGGCAGTACGTGCGCCCTATCCTGCCGGGTCGGCGATGGAGGGACCAGAACCTGTGGTACGTACACTTCCCCGTTACCATGGTTTTATCTCTTAGTACCTATCACCTATCAACTTTTGTTTTTTTATTTTTTTTTTCTAGATGCGTTCAGAGAAAGCAGACCCCGAGGGGAAATTAAACATCTCACCTGGACGAGTCGCTTTTGGGAAGGATGAAACTCGTTCGGGCAGCACTTTCACTGCGTGGAGGACCTCTCATGATACTCCGGAGTAGACTGTCAGTCGAATCTACTCCGTTTGACTAAGTCGAGCCCACTCGCGGAAGCCAAGATTGCCAGTGCTGGTTGTGACGTCATCGTCATCCGCAAAAGGAAGGTGCTACACTCTACCTTGCCTAGGTACGGAGCACAGTAGAATCGGTTCAAAATTGGAAGCTTTGCAGCTGTTTCATCCACATTGCAAAGCGGAATCCATGTGCAAGAGCCTGTCAAGATGCCCGCGCCATGAGTTTCTACTCCGGTTGCCCTTTGATAGGGTGGCCGCTCCTCCGAAGGCAACAGGGGGTTTTGATTACGCCAAGGGGAGCCACTCGCACTGGCGGCAGATAGGGCTGAGAGGCCCTGGCCTCTGGGACAGCTCTTACGGAGTATGATATGGACAAACTGACTCATTTTATGGGCATGGTTCCGCCAGATGTTCGCGGACCATGACAAATTCTCGGGGTGTGCTCTCACGTGGAGCGTACCCATTGTTCATTTTTTTTCCCCCCTGGAGATTCCACTGTGGTATGCTGCACGTCGCCCGGGGTCTGCTCTGTTGTCAGCAATACCCCTTGAGCCGGGGCTGCTCTCCGGCAAATCAGAGTGTCCCGTGGATGCGTCCGATCGCACCACATATCTATCGACACATCGGTGGATCGGCAATTATGAACAATTGCTTCGATGCTCTGCGTGATGCATACTGCGTAAATCGGCGGTGATGCTTACGCCTGCTTTTTGGAGGCGCCAGGACTTGCCCCTCGGCCATGGACCATGGACCTATTCTCCTGACTCCTCAGACCACAGAAGAGAGGAAAGGAGAGGAAGTTCGCGACCGCGGACTATTTGCTGCAATATCAGCCACCGAGGTCATTGCCTTAGGTAAGAACGGTGGGGTCCTTCGTTACAATACCAGCAAACCACGGCTCTGAAATTGGCTTTCGGAGGGCCCCGTGTGACAGCTGCTCGAAGACATGGACTTTCCTCTTCTTTGATTGGCTGGGCTGCCATTCCGACAATGATCGTTGGCGCTTTCCCAGTTGGTTTTAGTACGCACCCCGTACACTTACGCGCTGCATACAATAAATACCGCGCTGACAACGAGATATCCGGAGTGAACATGCAACATGCAATGCCCGTACCTAGGTAGAGCTCCTGTTGTCACCGGGGATAGCTTCCTGCCATTTGGACTGGCCGTACCAAGTAATGGCTTCGTGCCCTGTCTCCTTATTCTGCCGTGTCCAGCCTTTTCCATGGGTGGTTGCCGTTAAGAGACACCTAGGTACCTGGCTCTGGGGACCCCAATTGACATTGCGCCCTGCCCTTGACTTAAATTCCCGATCTGGCAGGACATCGGATTTGCATGGTAGCTTTCTATCTTAATTCGTTGAATGCCCACCTCCCCGAGGAGATACATTCGCATTTAGAGTGTACCCGGTCAGACAGGCAGGCCAAAATTGCCATCGTCCAATGAACTCGACGTGCTGTTTACTTTACCTCACCTCCCGACTTGGATAAAGAATCCTCCCAGTCGGCGTCCCACGGCACTGTCGGTGCTACCGGCGATCCGTTGACTGCAACCACTTTGGATTCTCTAAATGACATGATCTTGCCCACAGAATTGATGGAAGGAGCTAGCAACATTCGCACAGTACCCTCGGTTAGCCAACCCAATTAGCTAACCAGGTATGCACTGACGTGGCCTCGAGGCTCATTTATGTCATGTATATGCCCTGGGCCCCTGCATGTAGGTAACAATCCCCTCCTTCATTGCCCCCCTTGTAACTCTGCTGAAATCCCCAGAGAATGTTCATGCAGTGCAGCCTTAATGTGTGGCAGCTGCTGTTTTTATCAACCTGACTAGGTATTACCTTCCTACATAGATCCCCGTTATTCGACTCTCATTGCTTGAGCTGTGGAAACTCAATGATCGGAAAAGGGCTCCAGCCATAGTACGCCTTTCCCACAATTCGCGTGTACAAGAATAGATCGGAGTTTAACAAGGCGTGGATACACTACTAACTAGTACCTCTTCTAGACATTGGGTCCGGGTGGCCTTCGACAGCATTCGACCTCTTCTTTTCTCTGCTTTCCCCGTCCCCGATATGTCATCTTCTCTGAGCTTCCATTCTGTCGGGATGTCATGACGCCACCCATTACAGATGTGGCTGAGTTTACCGGCGGTTCTAAGCCGTGGAGAATCGGTCGTAACACTATGGATAGCACCGTGGTCTTCTCTCCCCATTACTACAACTGGTCCGGGTTAGCGAGGTACGGGTCTTCGGGGTCTGTGGGGACCTTGCTTTCCCTTCTTCCTTTTCTTCTTTCTACTATTTCCTTTTTTTTTTTGGGTTTCGATGTTGCTATTTTTCTTATTATTCTCTCCCGTCTTTTCGGGGGCGCCGTAAAGGGCATGGTGCCCTTCTTACTCAGAGGAAACAACAACCATCGTTTAGCATAGGGTTCAGGACCATCCGTTTCCCGTGGAAATCGGGATGCTTGAGGATGAAGTATGATGACATCCCGTGTTTCGAACCTTCGCAGGAGCAATTCTGTCCTACTGACTCTAGCTTCGAGTGCAGCGGGACACCGTTTCGATCAAATCCCTACGGCGGGAGATGACGCGGTGCCGATTGAGCCTTTATCATGTAGCCGTGCCCTACTCTCTGAGTCGTAGTACACAGGTAGCGCACATCAGGTACCAAACTAAGCATAGGGGGTTACATCGCTAGCCAGGCACTCTTGTAGGGTAAGTCAGTACTACAGCGTATGTACATAGAGAGGTACCTGGATATATTGGTGGTAATAGGCAGGTAGTCAGGTACCTCTCCCGGTATTGACAGTGAGTGTATTGCACGTACAGTACCAAATACACCTGTCCGTCTGGGTGTACCTTGGGTAGGCGAAATACGAGTACCGAGTAGATACCGACTAAACATATTCTGGATGGGCTCCACACCCCTCTTTCCTCCCCACCGATCCTGGGCTTGACCCAGAAAATCAAACTCGGAGGTCCATTAAAGGAAATTCATATTAAAAAAAAAAAAGAAAAAGAAAAAGAAAAAGAGAAAAGGAAAAAAAAAAAAAAAAGGAACCTCCGCCCATCCCCTCCCTCAAATAAAAAAAAAAAAAAAAGCAGACAACGGACTCCTGCTTTTTCAATATTTTGGAAGATTCGGAACGCAATCAAAAAGTTTCTCGAACTCATACCGCATTGGTTTTTTTTGTCATCATCAACGGTCGTTGCACGTCACCACACTTTTCCATGTGGCCCCTTTCTGCTTCTTTTATTAATAACCCAAGTATCACATTCTTTCCACAAATCTTCCGAGCTGAAAATCGTTTCCTGAACCCTTTCGGATTTCCACTACGTTCGGTCGAGTCGACTCTCCCTTAGAAACGAGCATCCAATATTATTGGGGGCTTTCCTACCGTCTGTTCCTCAGGCCCAGTTTTCTCAGCCCGGAAACCCCCCCAACCTTCATCACCAGTTCCTCTCCTCCTCGCCCCCCCTCCCTTCTCTTTATCGCCTTCGCTTTCTGGGAGATTCCCCCACTAATCCATATATGGAGTACATAAATGGATACTATATATAATCTCGGTCCCTAGAACGTTTCCTTCTCTGTTTGACCTCAAGGCTTTTTTTGTCATCCTCCAGCAAGGGGCGCTTTTGTTGTAAACCAAATACCGGCCGTATCTCCCTCGCCCTCACAATCCCCGATCGACCACCTGCAATTAGCTGGCTCCGCTTTCAGAGCGCCTTATCGTGCCTGGATCTTCTGCGCCCGATTTTTCGCGACTGCGATCGCCTCTGGATTGCTGGTGCTTGTGTGTTGACTTGGGACAGACACCCTGGCTATCTCGATCGCAGTCCAGCGCTATCGGCAGACCAACCGCGCAGTCCTCACAGAAAAATAAACCCGAAATATCTTCTTTCGACCTCCCTGCTGGATTCCTCTGCTTCCGCGACTGATCCTTTTGCAACGCATGCTATGTCCACCAGCTCTGTCATCTCTTAACTGAATCCGACCATTTCCCCTTTGCCACATCTCTTCCGAAAAACCCCTGGGGTTTAGAGAGCCTCGGTCTTATCATTATGTTCAACAATAGGTAGGTCGTCAAGTGGCGCGGGTCACGCCGGGTCCATTACGATCATCATGACTGACTACTTTTACACTCAGGCAAAACGCCCAGAAGCCTGGCAGTGAATTCATTGAAAGATTCCAGAAGAGTTTCCCCAACGTCCTTTCCTCACAACATCACCGCAATGTCGCCTCCCTCGGTCAAGTCCCTGCCGCGCCTATCACCCCAAATCGGTTTGTCTTTCCCTCTCCTTATCTTTTCTGGCGGCGCTTTTTTTGTTTTCGCCTTCTCTGGCGACTTCGCTCTCTGCCCTTTTTTTTTTTTTTTTTTCTGACGAAAACGCGTCTAATCGTTCTGTGAACCATCATAGGGCCGGTATGGAAAACGACGGCACTCTCCAAGGTAGCCACGGCAGCCAAGGCAGCCACGACATTAGATTCGCACCCTCATTCGTCGACCCAAATGCCCTCTCGTTTATGAACTCCATGAGCCAGCAGACGGGCTACTACACGCCGAACTCGGGTGGATTGGGCACAGTTTTTCACAACCAAGCGGGCGACCTACATACACCCAACCTGGGTCTCAACTTGATGAGTCCACTCTCGCTTGGGCACCAAATGACCGGCACAAATCTTTCAACCGATGGTTCATCTATGGGACTAGATCCATTCAATCAACAGTACATGTCGCAGCATTATCACAATCCTCAAACATTTGCTCCGCAACCAACTTTTGCGCCCGGCGCATTGGTCCATCGTGATTCAGGTTATGATGCCATGGATGATTCTGTGGATGAACTGTCTCTAAATGATATGGAATTGCAGGCAAATGCATCTTCACAATTAGTCGGTTCGACGCTCCCGTCCTCTGGGCAATTGGACCCTGAGACTCCCGGCGAGAAGTAGGCTCTCCCTCTGATACCCACACCTCAAATGCCTTCTTTCGCTCATGTACTCACCACAATTCCGGGCAGGTTCCGCTACCATGTTACGTTGCGTGCACCGACAGCTATGGTCAAGGATCATAATGAGATCCCTGTCTCGTATCTCAACAAGGGCCAGGCCTACTCGTTATCCGTCGGCGATACAAACCCGCCTCCTCAAACTGCGCAGCCAGTCAAATACAGAACCTTTGTCCGTGTTTCCTTCCAGGACAAGGAACAGCGATCGAAGCCAGCCGCTTGTTGGCAGCTTTGGAAGGAAGGCCGAGGCTCTAGTGAAGCTCATCAGCGAGGTGGCAAGCTTCAAGCGGTGGAGTATGTTGATCCGATCCAGGGAGGCATTGAGGACCAAAAGAACAGGCAAATTCAACTTGAGAGCTCATCTTTTGATGGCTTCTGTGTGACGTGGACGGCAAACCCGGCCACCGGAAATCCGGACTGCGCAATTTCTGTTCGCTTCAATTTCCTGTCGACCGATTTCAGTCACTCCAAGGGTGTCAAGGGAATTCCTGTTCGACTTTGCGCCAAAACGGAGATTGTTTCCCCGGAAGAGACGGAGTTGGGTTCTAACACGGAGTCCGAAGTCTGTTTCTGCAAAGTCAAGTTGTTCCGGGACCATGGAGCTGAACGGAAGCTTTCGAATGACATTGCCCACGTGAAAAAGTCCATTGAGAAACTTAGGCAGCAGATTGCGCAGGCGGAAATGGGTGCTGGCAATTATGGCAAGCGCAAACGTGTCAACGGCTCAATATCTCTCAAGGGCTCAGACGCGCGCCCTTCCAAGATCACCAAGCATAGACGTACCTGGTCAATGGGCTCCCAAGATGGTCCTGACAGGATGTCTATGGAAGATGATCTCCATGTGAAACTAGCACTGATGCAGGAAATGTTCACCTCGACCCGGCCTGTGAGCATTCTGTCTTTGCGCGGCGACGAGCAAGATGATCCCGATCTATTCCCTGTTCAACTATCCGACGCGCGCGGGACTAGCAAAAAGGAGAAGATGGGGTCTCATTTCAGCGGAGATGGGTTGAGCTCCCAAAATCTATCTCCGCTTAGCAGCTCCATCTCGTTGAATTCCCCATTTACCTCGACCAACCTGCAGCAGTTCGCGTTTGACTCCTCGGGAAGCCGTGGATCAGTGGGTACTTTCCAAGAGTCTTCTGATAGCTCCGACGATAAATCCGTCTTGAGGCACCCGGTGAAGATTCAACGAAACAACACGTCAGACTCCAACGTATCTTTGGGCTACATCGAGGCGGTAGACATTGATCCCGCATACCGGCCTCCAGCAGAATGTCCACCCAAGCCAAGTAAGTTCTCCAGTGTATTCGAGAGCCGGGAACCACCTTTGCTAACCGTTACCGTAGTCGCATGTTTCTACGTCCGTTTCCCGCGAAATGATAAACATCAGGACGACTACTACCGAGCGGTCTATCTCACAGAACTAACAGTTCGTGATCTGATGGAAAAGATCTCCTTGAAACAACAAATCGACCCTCGACGTATCGTCCGCATTCTTCTCGTCAAGGAGAACGGACTGAGAATCATGGTGGATGATGATGTGGTTCGTGAACTTCCCGACGGTCAAGATATGATTGCCGAGATCTCCGACACATCAGTCTTCAATGCCACCCCTGTCGCCGGTAACGAAGAGTCTTCGAACTTAGGAGTGGAGGTCAAATTGAGATACTGATGCTGTTCACTCCACGGAACTTCACTTACGTTTCACGTCTACATTTGCTTCGACAACCCTGATTTTCGCTTCGGTGCCCCAGTGAACACCGAGCGTTTCTCTTTCGACCGGCGCCTGGTGCGCAGGAAATGGTCGGTGTGTTCCAGCCTGGCCCCAATACTTCCAAATATTTTCTATTTTTCCTTTGTCGGTGTTCGGCTTTCATTCCTTGTCTTTTAGGGCGTTGGACCGGGGGATTATAAACGTGTCTCCTAACAATGATACCCTTTGCTGCATTTTCTCATCTCTTTTTTGTTTTTCGTTCCCATCATTCTTGCCTTTTTACCAAATACCTCAAGTATTGTTTACCCATCTGTTTTTGTTAATGTCTCTATTTCATGCTGGGGAATATACGACCAGGGGCGCGTTATTTGATCTCGATTCTGTACTTTCGAAGACTTGCCTCAGGGACGATGCACACGAAAAAGATACCCTGTTCCATTTTCGTCGGATTTGCATTTTCCTTTCTTTTTCATTATTGTTACCTCTGGCTATCTTTGTTCACTGCTATTCTATTTAATTTCGTCTTGATTCGGTTTTAAGTGTCATGCCGTGGTTGCACTGTCCCAGCAATGTACTTGCTCCATTCCCATGGGTGGAGATGGTCGTTGCTATGATTTAATGTCTCTTGCTGCTTTACTTCTGACAAACTGTCTTTTGCGCCAAATTGAATGATGTGCGTGAGAACCAACACAAGTCTTAGGGGTATTTTTTTTTTTTTTTTTGAATATAACAGAAGAGGGTTAGATTATATATGAACCAACCCCAGGGACTGATTTTCCAATTCATATGTTATCTCACTCGACCGCTTTTTATGCTTAAGCCCCAGCCGCAGTAGTTAACTGATTTATCATGCCACACGTGAACTGTTGACAATTGTCTGCTAAGTGGCAGAGCGCACGAACCGAGTAATTTCCCTTCGGCCTAGAACGATTCAGGATTTTCGGCGGTGCTCGGTCAAGGGCCCTCCTTTCCATTCACCTATAGAGTAGGTCGGTGGAGAGGATGATTTTTCCATGTAAGCGAAAGCAGTGTTACTGGCGGAGCTCGTTAGACTTGTAAGGGCGGCGTACGTAACTCTGCAAAACTGTAATTACAAAATCTGAATGGTCAGGCCCTTCCGGTCTGCTGAAATCAAATTACATGTGGATTAATTACCCGCCCCTTTTCCGACAGCTTTTATTGGCCGGGAGCTGGACCGAACCGTCTCGCAAGAGTCAAAATTACTGTCTTTAATTGCCCAGGGAAGTAAAGGTACCTTATGTAGGTACTCCGTACAGGACAGACGTTTCCCCCATACGTAGTAAGTACCGAACGAGGTGCCGACCCGTCCTTGGTATGGTATCAGTGAACGGAGTATCCCCGGGCCTCAACCTTTTAAACCCCATGCCGGGGCGCCTGAGATCTGCAAGCGTTTCCAACCAGGGCCAATATTTGTATGTACCGAGGTGATCTGGACCTGAGCTGCGTCTCCCGGCACCTCCACCTTAGAAAACTCTGCACTAGGTTCTATCTCCTTCTGTTCCAGTTAGGCACCACTACCACTAAACTGGCTAGTGGGCTACTACAGAATATGTGTTGCACACCGATTTTTCATCCACAGATGGTGCGGCAGGTGTATGCGAGAGAACAACAATAAAAAGAAAGAAAGGTCAATGGTGGTGATTTGCATATTCGTAGTACTGGCCTTTGGCATGAGCCTCAGGATGATTTTCAAGAGAAATTGCCATGTCGTTTATTTTTTTTTTCTCCCTCTGTCTTTACGAAGTAGATTTCAACTGCACAATCTGCGCGCGCCATCCAACGGTTATCTCGCAGTCGATCTCATCGCTGGGCGCATCACCCACCAATCGATGGCATCTATCTGGCACATCCCACCACTCGCCCCCTTTGCGGACCCTGGCCTAAAATTGATGAAACATCCTTCAACCACAGATCGTGCGTGCACATCCCGTCCGATCCATGGACCTTGACTCAGGCTGACAATGTACAGATCTCCCCCTTACCCGGGGATGGTGCAAGATTGGTACCTTGAATGCCGTTGTAGAGATCGATACGCGGTAAATCGCCGAGAAGACGAATGCAAATGACGTCATAAGATGTCAAAACCTTGGTTCTAGACTGCCATTGGGACAGATAAACTAGGATGACATCATAGCGCAGAAAAGTCAGGGTATTTTCCATGAAAACAGGATTTCTGGCGGTGGCTTGCCCCACACGGGACGTGCCGATGTGGCCCTGACCATATGGCCTGGTATTTTACTATTTTAGTCGCGTTTCGATCGCCAATTAATTACTTACCGTTTTTAACGCCGTATGGTTTCGAGACCGAAGGGCGGTATGGGTTCGTTGTCTGGACGCTTGGGACTGGTGAGGGTTCGGGGAGGGAATTCGGGCTATCGACGTGGGATGGCGACTTTCATGGAAGACGTGTCGCCAGTTGGAGTCCTAAATTCGAGTGTGATCTTATCTGGTTATGCCTCGAAACCCAGGCCGAGGGGATTCGTTGCGACCTGTCCGTGCCTGCTCCTCGTGCTCCAAGGTATATATCCGGCCCTGAGTTCGTATGTATGTACATACATGGCTTGCCCAGGGGCACATCCCCCGGCAATGAAACTGCAATTAACTTAAAACGGTTTAAGCTTGATTTGTCCCCCCTGGCATGATCCCAAGGAGCCATCAGCTTGGATTGCCGTGAAGAAAAAGGATCTGACTGGGGCGCATCGGCGTCCGATCTGGCGTGAGATCCCAAAATTTGCCACCCAGATTAGATTGACAGCTGCGGAAAAGCCCGCTAGCGATCAGCCCGCTTTGTTTACTAGTAATGGATCCCCACTGGCCGGTGTTTTCTAGAAACATGCATGGCCGTTTTGTAGAGCAATGCCTACCTACGGGCGTCCTACTGGTAGAGTTCAAGCACCGAGGCTTGCTTTGCCCCTATGCAGGCTGGAATAATCCGCAAGTCGGGCCCAAGGGTGCCGGGGGATTCACCGTCGCCGTCATAAACGGAGGGCTCCAGGTCGTGCCTTCCGCATTGGGGTTTCTTGTCGCACCTGCCCAAACAAAGCGACCACCTGACTTGCTCTTTCTTCTTCTGCTTCTCCCTCTTCTCTTTCTCCCTCTCCTCTCTCTGTCCTTCTCTTCCCACCTCATCACACTCTCTCCATCTCGATCCATCGCCTTTTCATCCCCTTTGCTCCATTACTCCACTGCTCTTTGAGCTCAGTGTCTTTGCGCGTTCAATTTGCTGTCTTTCAACTTCTGTTTTCCCAAAGCGAGCAGAAATGGCATCTATCATGAGAAACAAGCTCCTCGCCCTTGTGGCCGTTTGGTTCTATCTGGTTGTGACTGTGGTTGCTGGTAAGTACATTTATCTTAATCGCCTGTCTGATACTGATGATTGCCATCGCTCTTGTAGATTCCACAGTGGAGCTTGGCAATATGATTGATGATAGAGCTGCTCTGGAGGGTGCTGTTTGTGAGTAATGCTTTGTTGGTCTTCCGCATTGTTCTTTATACTGACTTCCACAGATGTTGAGCCCGGACTTCTTCCTCGTGATGGTATGTCGTTTTTCCTACATCTTTATTGGCAGGTCCATCATAACTATTCGTGATCACTGACATTTTCCCAGAGCATCTCACTGTCACTGTCACCGATACTGTGTGTGCTACGCAGAGTCCTGGCATTCCACCTACCACTTTGATCACCGCTCCACAGCCCCCAGCAACCGTGACTCCCACTTCTGTGACTGGGCCTGCGCCAACTAGCCAGAAACCCCCAGTTTCCTCCGAGTCTCATGGTGGCCATACTACTGGAACTGCTCCTGAGGCTTCGACTATGTCGACTGTTCAGCACACTGAGACTCCTGGACCTAGCTTCCCGCCGAGCACAAGTGTGTCCCCAGGTTCGCAGTCAAGTACCCATGCGAGCTCCCAGACCACTGGCCCTGCTCTTCCATCGACCTCGCCTGTGACTTCGGTTGGGCACTCAAGCAGCCATCCTGTCAGCTCCCAAACTACGGAATCGGCTAGCACTGGCACGGCTCCCAGTAGCTCCCATTCTTCGACTGCGCCCCCTCTCTCAAACGATGCCTCTGCCCAGGGAGGAATGAAAGGCGCACTACTGGCCCTTGGCCTGACGTTTGTTGGGTTCCTGGCGGTTTAGAAACTGTCTTTCCCGGGTCGCAGTGATCATGAAAGACAGACTCGAACAGCGTCTGGTATCGCGGGTTATGTTTTTTATTTATCGCTTTGATGATCTCACGTCGGAGATGCTTTGCTTGATTCGTTTCTTTTCTTCTCTAGCGGGACGCACTGGTGACTACACACTTGGCTCCCTTTAATACCGAGGCAACCGTTTGCAGCTTCATAATGGGGCAGAACCCTCCTTGTATTGAACTCTAAATGATTTAACATTGCTCGCATTGTAGATGTTACACTACCATGGGTATCTCCTAAGAAACAAACAAACATCGCCTGTCGAGGCTAGACTATCGCCATAGATGCGTTGGTAGTCGAAGCCTAGGGTCACTCTTGCATGCGCACCTGTAATTTGTGAGTCCGCGAGTCTTGCGACGGCACGAAGGCAACTTACAATGTCAAGATGTGCTGGACAGTCCCACCTGTTTTGGGCGTCCGTAACCGATACTATGTACACTGAACGCCGGCACCAATGTCGGTAGAAACTTCCAGAGACGATCTCAAGCGTCGGTATCCCCTATGTTATCGATCTCCTTGGCCAAAGCACAAATGCGACATCCGTCTCCGATGCGGTCCCTAAGTAGTCGGGCAGTTGTCACCTTGGGGCCCACGGTCCTGGACGCAGACAACGACAATTCATCCATGGTTTGGGTTCGAGAAGGAGCCCAGGGCCTGGGCGTCTGGGCCGCGGACCGGCTACCCGGAGTCGAGGTAGGAGATTCGGTGGGATGGACGTGCGATAGGTGAAAGACGTGGCCGCAGGCGAAGCCGACGAGGATTTCCTTTTCTGCGGGGAGAGAGAAAAGGTGACCATTAGCTTCGATTGAGTTGGATATCATGGTGTGTGGGATCGAGGAAGGGGGGAAACGGGGGAATCTGGGAGCATGTTTCTGGTTCTTACCATTGGCATGGAAAGGGCGCTGACAGCCCGCGCATCGTCCCGCTTGAGATGAGTAAGATGAGGAGGACGAGGCGAAAGGGAGAGAGGTACGCTCCGTATCGGCATCGCTTTTCACCTCGTCCTTGGCGGCGACTTCGAACGGGGTGCCGGGGGGATCCGCGGTCTTGTCATCTTCAATGATGTTGAATTTGATGCCGCGCCGCTGGCCTTTTCGGAGGGTGTCCATGCCGACGGCGACCTCGCTCTGGAGCACCTTGGCGGCGCCTTGGCTGATGCTGGCCTGTAGGTCGTGTTCGCGGATCAAGCGGGAAAGACCCTCGCGGAGACCCTCGATCTCCAGGCCGCTTGGGATGCGCCTGACTAGCTTGATGGGATCAATGGACGTTCCGGCTTCCACGAGCAGGCCATGGATGAACCGCGGCTTGTCCATCGAGTAGTCGAGGAGGTCTTCCCAGAGATCCGGCTCGTCTTGGGACTTAGCAAAGGAGATGGCCTGCGAGACGTCCTTCAGGTCCGAGAGAATGAGGTTCAGGGCTCGCTTAGTCTGTCCGGTCTTGGAGAGCAGGTAGATGAGCTCCGGGGTGAAGTGGCGAGTCTCGCAGATGACCACGGCCAAGTCGAATGAGTACGAGGTGCTAGTCTGCAGGAACTCCATCAGCAACGGACGATCGTAGTCTGCGAAGAGCTCTGCGGCTGTGTCCGCGAAGTGGTCGACCAGCGCTTTCCCTTCGTCGGCCGCGAGCTTGCTGGCCGCATCCCGAATGTGGGCACCACGGCCTCGTCGCGGTTTGGCGGCGCCGTGAGGGAGCGATTCACCTCGCCACAGGGCGCGCAGATAGAAGTATAAGAACAAGAGTCGATTTGTCCCTTTGAGTTGATCCACGACTATTTCGGGACGAACAATGCCCGTGTACGCCTCGCTAACAAGGAGTTTTATGGGTTCAGAAGTGACTTCCTCGAGCTCCGCGATGGGCGCGGATTTCATCTGCGCCTTGGAGACTCGGATCATGATAAACGCTGGGATGTCATTAGTGAGTTCGTCCAGCAAACGGTGTTCTTTGATGAGAGCCATAGCGGTGTCTGCATCTTGGAGTCGAATGTAACAGTGCAATGCTTCGCCATAGTGACCACCGGCAAGATACAGTTTGGCAAGACACGCCATCAAAATGCGCCAGTCCTCTGATTCAGCCGCGACCGCACCAGGCTGCAATTGCTCTTCGATCATTGCCGCAATGCTGTTGGCATCAAACAAGTCGAAGGACCACGAGTCCACCAGCTCCCTGAGCCTCAGTCGATTTGTAGTGACATAATGACCAAGGATGGTCTGGTAGGTAGCTGGAGGCAGCGACGGCCGCAGATCAGTCGGAATGACAGATGAAATTTCGTCCATCTTGTTGTGCTTGATAAACGTCCAGACCCAATGATCCCATCTCGCCGTGGTGTGTATTGCTTTCACGCAAACCGCAGCGGCAGCAGTCCAGTTGTTTGCGTCGACAAGCTGCTCTATCCAAAGCTCGCCAACACGGCTCTTCTCTTGCTCGGCGGGAGATCCAACCCCTCGGCCGGTGGTCGTGATCGAGGATCTGTCGTCGGCAAAGAATTCCCCAAGACTGGTTTGCGATCGTGCGGGAGTACCGGGTACACTATCAATGGGCTGAGATGCCGTCGCTGCAGCCTCGGGATGCTCGTCAAGGAGCTTCCAGGCCTCCTCGTACTTCTCGTGGGCCTTAAGCCACGCCAGGCGATCGGTCAGTTCCCGCTTGAGAGCGACAACCGAGTCATACGGACTGTGTATGAATATCTTCGGCCCTGAGTTACCAGCAATAGATTGAACCTCCTTCGACAACGGCTCCTCTGCAGAAATCCTCCGCGAGGCAAACGTGCTCGGCGCCCGACTGGAGCCTTTGTCGCCGCTGCTTGTCGTGCTGCGAATACTTGCGCCCGAGCTGAACAGTCGCGCGGGATACATAGTTGCGTCCCACAACCCAGTTCCGAGAGCCTCGAGTGTCCCACGCTGAGAGACAGAGACACCGGTTTTCCAGGGAGGCAGAGCACACAGGTGGTAGTCCGAGGACGTGAGGGTCTCATAACGGCTGACGGAAAGGGTGTCGGCGCTGAGCTCTTCTTTGCTTTCAATGTCGATGATGCGAAGCTCAGGCTCCAAGCCTCTTGGGCGCCGACGACCTCCAACACGAAGACTACCATGTTTAGTCCGGTCTTCTTCCGAAACCTCTTTCTCCGCCTCGACGTATGCAAGAACCACCAGCAAAGTAGGTGTATATAGTGATATTCCCGATATGACACAGTCGGTTCGCAAGCTAGCATGTAATCAGCCGTCAATCCACGGTTCGCAGGCGCATGTAAGACTTACATTGTCGCAACTTCCACAGATCCAATTCTTCGACCCTTGTTGGACCTGCTGGGCCGATCAGGGTAGACGTCAATCACCCAAACGGTACCTCCCCATCCTACCACCAGCTTTTCAACCCTCTCCTTGGTAGGAATCGACTGAGCTGGAATCGAATCGGCTTGGGAACCCTCTCGCGCCTTAAGAGAGTCTTCATTCCCCCAGGACCGTTCGTCAACCCACTCGGCACGCGCTTTCCAAACGCTAGCCATCTCCTCCCACCCTGTACGGTTGGGGCGGTCAATGTGGCTGACTCGTCTCCAAGCAAGTTCCGCGTCGGCCGAATCAAGATGGAGGTTGGATCGCATGATCTTGATTCCTTCTTCATTGACCCAGACCACGTATTTGCCAGACAAAGACCATTTTATCGTGCTGATCGCGCCCTCGCCGCTATGCAGGACACTGTCCTTGCCCGTGTTGCCTCCTAGACCCAAAGACCCAAGCCAACTGGTAGCCGTGGCTGCAGCTCCTCCCATCGTAGTCGAATTCGTACTCGCACCCACTCGACCACCCGTGGTGAGTATCAGATCACCAGCGCGCCCTCCCGACAAGAACGTTCGGTCGCTCTTATACTCTGGGGAGAGTGCTACCGCTTGAACGGGTCTGCCGAAGTTCCGTAAGAGGACATCTTTCGGGTCCACAAGAGACGCAACGCATACATTGCCGTCCATAGAAGATGTTGCAATGTAGATCGCATTCGAAGGTGTGGGAGGGATGGCCGATTGATGGCCTGACCTTGATTGGCCGCGAATACTGCCGGCGCTGGAGGACGGCTTGACAGGGTGGCTCGTATCTTCGGGTACTCTGGTAAGGGTTTCCGGTTTGATGCTCGGTAAAGGTGGAGGGAAGGGCGAGACTGAGATGGACGTCACGCTGGCGGAGTGTGCATGATACACACGCAGCGACTGGAATAGAGGGAGGGATAATACATGCTGGGAGATTCGTTAGCTACAGCTGGCATTTAGAACGGTGACGATGCCACTTACAGTATTTCCATTGTGTGTTCCAACTATCTAAAGAGATTCTCAGCGTCTGCAAAAGCTAGAAAGTACTCGAAATAGCATACCATCTTGTCACCGGCGGCGAGAAAGGAGCTCGTTGCATCCCCGTTGCGATACACCGCTCCTAGATGCTTCGTCATGTATGTGTACTTGAGCCGGGGCTCTTCCTCCTCCTCTTCATCGTCCTCATCATATTCGGTGTCCTCCTCGCTCGCAGCCCCTTCCGTTTCATCGTCGTCGCCATTGGGGTCCTCTTCACTCCTGTCCTCGGTACGGTGCTTGCGATGGGCGGTAGGTGAATGGACAATCTGCTCGGCCGATGTCTCCATCGTTGGGCTTATTCGAGGAGAATCCTCCGTTGCCTCCGTCGCGCCAGGCGCGTCCATGGCGAGAGCCTTGTTCCGTGCCGGGGACTGGGTTGGGATAAGTCGGGCGCCCAACCTTCGAACTGGGAAGCTGCAGCTGTTCCGACGGACCTCCAAAGACGGTGGTGACCTAATGCGATGACTAAGCCGCGGCGTCTTCAGTCTCCGCTCGGCCAACTCTCGAGGACTTCATCCTCCCCTCCTCTGTTCCCCCTCGGTGTCAATGTTCGCCAGACCGTCCGTCTGCTCGGCCTGCAAAAAGCCGGCGGTGCTCAGGCTTGTGCAGCAGCCCCGGAGTCAGCACCTCCATGCGTCCTCGCCATTCAGTCTTCCCCGCCGGAAGGACTTCTTCTCCTCCAATGCCTACCTGAATCAGAAGCAGGCCAAACCTGGCGATGTAAACTCTGAATCGCTTCCAGAATCACAGAAGCAACGAAGGAGAGGCAGCAGGCTACCGGCAGCACCAACCTCCCTGCGACGGGTCGCAGTTGAGGCGCAAAGATCCAAGGATGGCTTTGTATCCCGAGCCCAGCTCAGAGAGCAAGGGCTTTATCAGACTAAGGTACCGTCAATTGCGTATCTACATTGGATTGCCGACATGCTAATTGTTGCGACAACATAGACCGTAACCGCCTACGCCGTTTCGGAACAGTTCGATATGCGGAAAGTGAGAACCATTCTTCAAGACAGAGGCTACGAGCCAGATCCGTTCGAAACCGGCCTATATCCCCAAGTCGTTCACGTTCAAGTCCCTCTGGACTCGATCCGACGGGTGAGCAACCCGAGTACAGCCGATCTCTCTCCGAGCGAAGTCGGCGATATTTTTGTTTTTCCGTCCGGGACGGTCGTGGCATGGGCGCTACCCGAAGGGTTCACATCCTTCCTGGCAACCAGGACATTACTTCCAGCAGCCGAAGGGGCTCATGTCGATGATTTGGAAACGGAGGACCTTGAATTCGTTGAGGACCCGTCTCGAGAGCTCAGTAGCATCAAGGGCGACACCATCATCCTTGGAACCAAGCCCAGCACGGATGAGCCCGAGTCGCAACAGCTGGGGAATCGACAATCAGTAGAAACGGTCCTCACGAAAGTTGCATTCTCCTCGGGGCTCGCTCGAAGTACAAAGCTAGGGGTTTTAGAGGCATTGCTAGCGAATTACTTCGAATCTACCCGGTCCATTCCTACGATGCTGTCGCAAGGCTCGCGCCTTCCCTTCACGAGAGACTTTATTCTCCGCAAGACCGGCCAACTGCTGAGCGTCCGCGCGCAGCTGAACCTTTACTCAGAACTCACAGACTCACTCCCCGACATCTTCTGGGACAGCCGACATGAGCTCGGATTAGAGGGATACTACGAACAGGTAGGAAGGGCATTGGATGTGGGAATCCGCATCAAGCTTTTGAACGAGAAAATGGATTATGCGCAGGAAATCGCCAGTGTTCTGCGGGAGAGGCTGAGTGAGACGCATGGGCTCCGACTTGAGTGGATCATTATCCTGCTCATTGCGGTGGAGGTCGGCTTCGAGGTACTGAGGCTGTGGAAGGAGCGGGTCCATGAGAAGGAATTACAGGGCGAGGGGAAGGCTGCGGAATGAATGGCTTAGAATCTTTGTACAGCACAGTACTTCTTTCTCTCCTCAAATATGATACCCTTTAGTTGCTGCCCGATCGGGAAAGGAGCTGGTCACGTATCTTATCAGCTGACGGCTTGCATGTGATGGGCCTGGCTGAGTCATCTGCAGATCATGGGATGCACTGCACGTGCTGCGTCATGGGATTTTGCCTCGCCGTTGGTGGCCATTCTTTTTTAAACACTCTGATAGTTGGGCTCGTTCCTGATTTTATGCCCCTGGTTTCATCCCAGCCTACTCCTACCAACGAAGGCGCCGTTGCAACGACGCCATGGTCTTCCCTATCGGTGATCCCAATGACTCCACCGCGAGCTCGATAAGGCTTCGCCTGCTCCAATCACTCCCCGGACCACAGCAGGTCCTGAAGGCCTTGACGGGCTCCTTGAGTATACCCTCGCTCTCGGGGTCGGACATTGGCACCTCCCAGAATACCTTCGAGCACTGCTCCCAGCCGGAGCTGAGCTGCCAGACCCGATATCGCGGCCAAGACACTTGCTGCTTCAACTACCCGAGCGGACAATTCCTCCAGAGTCAATTCTGGGATGCCGACCCGGCAATTGGACCGGAGGATTCTTGGACAATCCATGGACTCTGGTGAGCTTGCTGAACAAACCGTGCCCCCGGGCGCGTGGGAATTCCCGTGACCTACATGATCGCGGACACTGATCCTCGGCTCTCTATTCTAGGCCGGACTACTGTGACGGCAGATTCGACCAATATTGCGACAATTCTCGAAGATACAGCAACATCTCCTTGATCTTGGTCGATTCCGGCCGCGGCGATCTTCTGGATGAGATGCGACGCTATTGGAAAGACTTCCGCGGCGACGATCCGAATCTCTGGGAGCATGAGTGGAACAAACACGGCACCTGCATCAGCACGCTGGAAACCCACTGCTATGACAGCGACTACTACCCGCAGCAGGAGGTGGTGGATTACTTCGACAAGACCGTCGAGCTTTTCCACGGTCTTCCCTCGTACAAGGTTCGCGTCTCGCCACTCTTTTCCGTCTCACCCTCTCGGTGGTAAACACACCAGAAATATATCTTTCTAACATGGACAGACCCTCGCTGACGCCGGAATCGTCCCTTCCTACGAGAAAACCTACACCCGCCACGAAATCCAGGATGCCCTAACCAAGGCCCATGGAGCGGAAGTGTCCATCCGGTGTCGACACAACGTCCTCAACGAAGCCTGGTACTACTTCAACATTGCCGGGTCCATGCAGACGGGCAAGTTTGTGCCTTCCGAACCAGGTATGCTGCCCTCTTATCTCTCCCGGTGCATTACATAGCCATACCACCCCCACTCCCAATGTGATGTCTAAACCCAAGCCCTAATTGTCTCGCGGCGATTCTAGACGGCCAGAAATCCAACTGCCCAGCCAGTGGCATCCGCTACCAACCCAAAACACCCCGCAAGGGAACCCCAACCAAGGGCCCGTCCGAGCCCACAGCCCCCAGCAAGCCCTTCACGGGCCGAGGCAACCTGGTGGTCTCGACGCTCGGGCAACGAAGAGGCTGCCTGATCAGTCGCGGGACGTGGTTCACGTCGGGGACCTGCGCGACTTTCCGAGTCAAGAAGACTTCCGGTGCGTTTCCATTCATCTTATGTCCTTACGGCGGATTATTACGGCCCTTTCTTTCTACGTGGAGTGAAATCAACGTGTCTGACCATATATATTCGCAACCGACAGACGAAGATACCTCGTTCACGTTGCGATCTAGTAAAGGTGCCTGCGCCTTTGAAGATGATGTCTTCAGCTGCGGTCCGCATATCACCTCTGCGACCGAGTTCAGTGTAAGTCAGCGCTAGCTTAACTCCCCCCACCCCCTCTCCCAATGAGTATATCGAAATGTCATTGAGTCCTAAAAACTAACACCCCACCCAGGCTGATGATAACAAACTCTCCTACGGTGGAAACACGACGTTCTTCGCGGACAAGGCACCCAAGGGGCCCGTGAAGAGCACAGTATTTGCATCCGAAGCGGACCATCCGATCCAGCTAGAAATCAGCTGGAAGGAGGGCTACTAGACCCGATTGACCCATTTATTTCTAGATTGTTTTAGTCTTGGTGAATGGGACTGAAATTGTAGACATTGTCCATAGACCTGCATGGATTGGTGCTGAGGCTGGTGCTCTTGTATTGTTATTATCATTGGTATACAGATATTAAATAGACCCGCGAGTATAAGAAATAAGCATGAACACTGTTGGTTTCGTCATAATCGGTGGATTCTATTGCTAAGTTAAAGTACAGGTCATGGAAACTACCAAGGGGATTAGATATCGAACAGAAGAGTTCGCATGCCGCCAGAAGAACAGAAATAACGTAACAACATATCAGGTCAAAGTCAAAGTCAAAACGCATAAAAGCAAAATTCATTCAGTACAGTCTTGAAGTCATCGCAAAACGTAACAACGCATAAAGTCAGAGGGCATCGCAAGATTGATGCATCGAGTCTGAAGAAACGAGCGTAAAAAGAACAAACAAGAAATTCGTCAAACAAATGAAAAGAACGGATGACCTGCAGAACTCCAATAAAATAAGTTTCCCGCAAGTCCCAGAATTGTTGTCGTACACATAATTGGCTTTGAAAAAAAAATCATAGATCGCAGTAAAATGCATCAGAAGAAAACAACATTCGAAAAAAAAGGGAAGAAGAAAAGAAAATGCCCCGAAGAAAAGTTCTTTTGTCACAGATGTCATTCACAATGGATAGCTTGTGTCGTTGAAATCATTTGTCGTTGTAAAAAGTTGTACATAAATTTTTTGTGTCGTTAGCACTGTTGAAAAGCGTCGTCATAAGATTGAGGGTCGCTTGGTCGAGTCGTTGAAATCCTGAAGTCATGAGAAAGTATATCTTGTTGCACATTGGCCAGTAGAGCCAGAAGTCGTCCGTCGTGAGCTCGTCAGTCCCGATGATTTTGTTTTGTTTTTTGTTTTTTGTTTTTTGTTTTTTCTTCTTTTCCACGTGAGTGGAAATCCTTGTCAATTGATATGGTCCCATTGTTGCTTTTAATCCATGAGAAATTCCCTGGTCATGACGTCTGATGGTTGCTCGTCGACCTGGAATTGAAACGAGAAGAAATCGTCGCTCATAGGGGGGCCGGTGGAAAAACTTTTTCCTGAAAATAGATCCATTCCGGGTTCAAAAGAAGAATTCACGTAATCCGGGAAGGTAGCCATGTCAGGGTCTGCCAGGTCGGGGAATTCATGCTTGCCGAAGGCCGTTGAAGGAGGCTGGCTGATGAAGATATCGAGATCGGACCCGTGAGACGAGTCGGCCAGGGTCGGCGCTGTATGAGGGGAGGACAGAGCATGGGTGGTCGAGCAGGCGACGTCTGTGTAGGGGCAGGTGTCACTGTGCGACAAAGAAGGCATGCCGTGTTCCGGGATGATCTTGTCCAGCGGGCCCTTGGAAGGTGACAAGGGGAGCTCATCCTCGGTGCTGGGAGTAAGTGACCGCTCGCTATACGTGGGAGATGGTCCGTGATCGTGACTGCCGCCAGGAGAGGTAGGAGGGGTGAAAGTGAAGACTTCTGGCGGTAACGAGTAGTTGGGGTTGTTGAAGACTGGCATCTCTGCGGTAGGACTAGGCGCGTGTAGGCTCATGTTCTCAAACACCTCGGACGGCGGTGAGTTACGCGACGTATCCGACTCGAGGGAGGCGAGGAACTTTTCGGCGAGCTTCTGGCGAGTCTTCGAGGCTTTATCTTTTTGGTCGTCGGTCTCGGGACGGTGCTTCTTGGGACGGCCGCGTTTCGTCGTCTTGCGGACAATTCCCTTGTAGCCGCCGATGCACATGCCTCTCTGTCGGTGTCGAGTCAAGGCATCATGTCGGGCAAAGACGTTCCCACACAGGCACTCGTAGGGTTTGTCTCCGGTGTGGATTTTGGCATGGCGCTTGAGATCGTGGCCACGGACGAAGCATTTGTTGCAGTGATCGCACTTGTACTGACGATCCCCCAGGTGCGTCTGAACGTGGGACTTGATATTTTCTTTTCTGCCAAAGCGTCGCTCGCACCCGGGGTGCAGGCAAACCCACTTCCCGTCGTCGGGATCGGGGCCGTGGATAAAGGAGGCGATTTCGTCCACGGTGACACCGGTCTCTTTGATCGATGCGTGAACACGGTCATCCAGGTTGAGGTTCTCAATCGAAGCATTTTTGGGGGAAAGCTTGGCCTTGGAGGCGGAGCTCGTGCTAGAGCGCACACTCGATGACTTCCTCAGGCTGGGGCGGCTGGGCGTGGCAGGGAAGATGGGGATTTTATCGGGACGGTCATTCTCATCCCCGGGGCACGGCATGGCGGCAAGCACCGGAGAGGAATGGAACGAAGACGAGGCGGATGACGAAGCATACTGGCTCGGTGCGAAGTTCTCGGACTTCGGGATTTCAAGACTAGACTGGCAATCAAACGCATCAAAGTTATCCATTTCAAACGAAGCTGTATGGGGGGGAGAGGGCATTTCAATCTTCGGCTGCGAGAATGTTGTCCCGGCCACTCCTTGGAGCGACCTGGCGCGTTGCATATACGACGACTGGGCTGAGCCCGGCATCGAACAATTCTGACCCTTGGTTGGTGTTGGCTGCATGTCGTACTGAGCAACATCCACCGATCTCTTAAATGGCGTCGTTGCTGGGGTAATCGGAACGTAATCTGCTTCCACAGTCAGCGAGCGAGCGGATTGACTTCCGGCGCAGGATCATGCAATACTCACGTGTGTTGGTGGGATGCTTCGGGGTGCGAGGTTGTTGAGGGATCTGTACATCGGACTGCATCGAGAGCCGTCTCATATCCGCGGGGACGGCGTTCGTCTGATTTGTGAATGCAGTGGTGAGGTTGTCGTTGGGGTAGAGGCTCCAAGTGCCATTTTCCAGCAGTTGGCTGTCGAGTGGGTTGTTACACGAGACTTTGGAGTGCTGTTGGATCAGATTGAAATCGGTGCTCATCGGCCGGCTGTCGAGACTCTGGCCTTCTAGTTTGATCATGTTCGAGGGGGCATAAGCCATATTCGATTGATTGTCCCGAACATTACGGTTAGTCAAGGCGCGCAGGTCTTCCTCGCATAGATCCTGGCACTCGGGCACCATCGGCATTGTGATTGGCAGCTGAGAATATGGCGGCTGGGCGGCGCGCATGTACATTTGGTGTTGCTGTTCCCCGATCATATGCTGGGGTTGTTGGGGTCCTGGTAGGTTAGGGTTAGTAGAAAAAGGACCATCTCGCATGGCCTGCGGTCGTTGCATGGGCAGAGATCGTTGATCAAAGCTCTGTCCTCGGCGGTGGGCATGGTAGCGGTGCAATGCCTGTGCAGGTAGAGAGGGAGCTTTGGCGGCTTCGAGCGCGGACGGGGTGGAGATCTGCCTGCGGTGTTGTCGATGCCGCTCATGCAGGCTTCTCTGTGGATTGGCTAGCATAGTGGACAAGATCGCGGATCAAGCGTCGCGAATGGGCTGCCGATGTAGTTGATAGATCTGATCAGACATATGTAAGTCTCCGGTCAGGTCTCATGCAGGATGCAATGAACCTCGGTCTTCGGATGCATACCTCGAGAAGTGCGACCCGGGGTTTGGCTGGGCCAAAGGAGATGGTAGATAGGACCGTCCTGTAGTTGTGTCAGTCGGTGAACCCTACAAGCAAGAGCACAAACCGAGAAGGTTAGAGAAGAAGGGAAGAAATCAGAAGCGTCGAGAGACTAGATCGCGCTATGCGTTAGATCTATCTCAAAAAGAAAAAGACGTATGCGACGCTCTTTTTTTTTTTTTATTTTATGAAAAGACCTCCAACAGCGACAGGTACAGACTGTCGAAGCTTCGGCTTCCTGCTGAAAACTGCAACTCGGGACTGAGTGACAGAAGGGAACAGCGAGACAAAGGAAGTTAAGGTATTTAGAGGTGGGAACGGAACCAAGGGAAGGTGGATGGGGATGATGAGGCTATCCCGATCTATCGTCCACGGTTCAGATCAACAATGGAGGCGTTGCTGGGACAACACCGGCCGGCTGAGGCGTCTGGGAAACCAGCGCGCCCTTGGCATCGGCCCTGGTCTCTGGTGCAGCGTAGTGGATTCTCCAGTGGCCCGACCGCGATTAAGGCAGCGTTAGTCCCTGCAAGGAGCTGGTGTTGCCCCTTCGCGGTCCAGACAACGCATCCATCTTCAATTATCACCGTCGCGCTCCCTGGATTGAAGGGGCGAATCTGTGCCCAGCGAGGGTTTGAGACATTATTACACATGGTGCTCCCTTCCGCCGCAATAGTTGGGGGAATAATTGGACGCCCATGATGGGTAGCGGCAGCCAATAAAGGGAGACTGGGGGAGGCGAATCCGCAGGTCAATGATGAAGGGCGACGATGACCGGCGATGATGTTTGGGCGACGATCTTTTTGGTGGCTCGGCCGGTGGATGCCTGAGGCAAAAAGGCTTTGAGATGACGTCATCGTCAACAGAAAGTCACGTGATGTGAAATCTGTCATCACATGACCTCGGTGCCTCGGAAGAACGCAAAGTCCGCCCGGTGGGTGGCGCTAGGACCAGACAGGAGATGATCCGACACGTGATCGCACAACCGATTTTAACGCACTAAGCCCTCCGCCGCTGCATATTTCCCACACGATCGCTCGAAGGTTGAGGAAGACATTCTTGTCGAGGTGAGTTGAAGCGCCCCCTACCCTTGAGGTGCCCTTGGGATGCAACGGGATATGGTTTCAAGTTGCTGGATTTCTTCCGCACCTGCCTCGCGCAGCGCGACAGAGTTTTCATTTCTGGTCTCGTTCTGCGATAATCGGGTCGAGAAGATGAAGTGAAATTCAGCCGACGAGAGACTGCCCGCCCAGGACCTTCGAATCGCACGAGGGAAATAGCAAACTAACAGTCGCCATGTTATCAGGCCTTCATCAAGATGCAGATCTTCGTCAAGACCCTCACGGGTAAGACTATCACCCTTGAGGTGGAGTCGTCCGACACCATCGACAATGTCAAGTCCAAGATCCAGGGTAAGTTTTCGGCGTCGCACTTGTGAGGCGGAACTGGAGACTGACGGCAATGTCACCATAGACAAGGAGGGAATCCCCCCCGACCAGCAGCGTCTGATCTTCGCTGGTAAGCAGCTGGAGGACGGCCGTACTCTTTCGGACTACAACATCCAGAAGGAGTCGACCCTTCACCTGGTGCTGCGCCTGCGTGGTGGTGGTAAGAAGAGAAAGAAGAAGGTCTACACCACCCCCAAGAAGATCAAGCACAAGCACAAGAAGACCAAGCTCGCCGTCCTCAAGTACTACAAGGTCGACGGTGACGGCAAGATCGAGCGTCTCCGCCGCGAGTGCCCCTCCCCCGAGGTATGTTCCTTGCTACCCCGTTGCTTCGGCTGGCAACCGTGCAGATTGACTAACTGTCTGCGCTCTAGTGTGGTGCTGGTATCTTCATGGCCGCTATGCACAACCGCCAGTACTGTGGCAAGTGCCACCTCACCTACGTCTTCGACGAGTCCAAATAAGCGGACTATGCGCGAATCGCCCCGCCTTTCTTTGTTCCCGGTCGTCGGTGGAGGAAGCTAGGTGGAGTAGGATTGAGGAGCATGTTGGTTTACAAGATTAAATCATAGTAGCCTTCAATATGACAAATGAATAAACATTCGAAACCACGCAACTAGTGCCTGTCTACTGCAGCTGGGAATCACCGGATGCACCCTGTAAGCCAGTATGTACACTCGGGCAACGCAACGAATGTACCCAAAGCAGCAAGCTAGCCCGAGCAAACCATAGTAACAATAAATCATGAAGAAATGAACGTGACCATCCGCATCCGCATCCGTGTCCGCATCTCAACTCAAGAGAGACCTAGTTCATCTTGGCTCTCATGTTGTCGTACTTGCTCTCGGGGTAGTCCAGAACGTTGGCCGACTGGTCCAGTGCCCCCGGTCCGCCGACACCTTCCACGAAGGCCCCGATCAAGCTGCCCTCGCCCTTGTTGGCAGCCCTTCCACCCCGATCGCCGCTAGTTTCCCACCACATACCACCGCCCAGATTGTTCTGTTTGATGAAGTTCACCTTCTGTTCCGCCATGCGGACATTGTCGTAGGACACCATCACGCGGGCTGCCGGATCATAGGACCAGGATGCCCCGGTCTGGGCGTCATACTGCTCCGCTGCACCCGGTCTGGGCAAGGCCTTGTAATCCCAAACGCCGTTCTCCCAGCTTCCCTGTCCGACGCCGGAGAAGGGAGTGCCCGGTCCGTCGGTGTTGGTGAAAGCACGTCCGTAAAGGGGCATTCCCAGCACAATCTTAGATGACGGGACTTGGCCGGCCTGGGTGTAGTAATTCAGGGCTTGCACGGTCGAGAACGGCGTGGAAGCGGCATTGCTGCTGGAGAAGTTAATGTTGGCCTGGTGGCCAGCCTTGGAGTCCCAGCTGCCGGCGTAGTCGTAGGCCATCAGGTTGTAGAAGTCCAAATAAGGAGTCATCTGAGCAAGCTTGAGCTTGGTATAATTCTCCGGACCTATATGGGAAATCCCGGGGTCAATCAATCGATCGTGCACCCATGTAGACACATCAGGCTGCGGTTGACTTACCGGCCGGGCAAGCAATCGTGAGAAGGAACTTCCGGTTGCCACCGGCAGCCCTATCGAGAGTCTATGCCAGTTTAGTCTCACACGTTGGGGTCCTGGTAGCGGATTAGAGCAGGCTTACCTCACGGCACTTCTGCAGAAGCAAGACAAAGTTCTGCGCCTGCGCCTCATCTGCGTTTGCATCAGCACACCCATTCGGAGCGACTACCAAATCCACATCGAATTACCTTTAGGATACTCCCAATCGACATCGAAGCCTGTGTCGGCCATGTCAGTGACCTTCAAATCATCCTATGTGGAGCAAATGCGACTGACCATCGAAGCCCAGATCCAAGACCAGTCTCGTAGCAGTCTCGGCGAATTTAGTCCGCCCAGCGTCGGTGCTTGCGGGCTGCGCAAAATTGGAGGAGTAGGTCCATCCTCCGATGGAGAGCAAGACCTTGAGTTTGCGATTCTGCTTCTTCAGCAGGTAGAGCTGCTTCACGCAGCCGTAGACGTTCTTGCCAACGTCGTTCCAGGAGTCCGTGGGGTAGTGCTTCTCGATGTCGGACCAAGAGTCGGACATGTACCTGCGACGGGGGGTCAGCCCGAGGGTCGCAACGCCCATGAAACACGGGGTTCAATGCTTACACCTCCCCGGATTCCGGGCGCACATTGGCAAAAGCGTAAAGAACGTGGGTTAATTTGTCAGCCGGGACATCCTGAGGATGGTGGTTGCGTCCGTAGATCGCCTTGCCACATGGGTATGGTTAGTCACCAGTTCCTCGGTGGGGTTTGACACCGAACGCATGCGGGTATGCGGAGATATCAAAGTACTCACCCAATTGACGAAGTAAGCGACGGATTTCATGGAAGACATGGTGGGCTCCGACGAGTTCTCGGGAGTGGCTACGGAAGTAGTAGGGCTGCTGGGGTGCAGGGGAATCAGAGTTGGATTGGAACCAAAGTAACGGAAGGAGAAAAAGATCACCACGCCCAGCAGGACGCAGTAATGTATGAGAGGAGGAACGGCCATGAGTCCAAGTGAAAGTGAAGTGAGTGCCACTTCCTTTACTTGGGCCTGAATTCTCACGGGGAAGCTGCAGCCTCAGGCTTACCGGTAGCGGTCTGGTATGACGTCGCACGCTAGTCCCAGAATGGCAATGGAATGACAAGTGGCGGTGCACTGCGCGGTGTGGAGCACTGTGGCTGGTGTTGGTGATTATGTAAGGACACGATATCTACACTGGAAACAGAGAGAGGCAGAGAGAGGCAGAGAGAGATGGTGATGGTGATAGATAGACAGGTCAGGACAGCGAGAAGACACGGCCTATTTATGTGTCTCCTCGACGCGGCTCAGCGACGCCAAAAGATCGCTTCCTCTGTCTGGCCTCTGCAGTCCTTGTCCCAAATCCTTGGCTGCGTGTCCGGGTGACAGCGGCAGCGTCGCTGCAACGAAGAGCAGTAACGGATTGTAGAACCGATCTTGATCGTGTAGCGAATCTGGCCTTCCTCATCTGACAGATGTCCAGCGGTCCGTCACAAGAGCACCGCGATGCGACCAAAGACGGAATGCCAGGTGTAGAGACGGTCAGAATGTCGAGGCCAGGCCAATGGCGGAGATAAACCGTCCAGAGTCTCGCAGTCCAGGAGTCTCCTCTGGCTTTGACGACCTCGAATGACAAGCCATGGCCAGATCTGAATGGACTCTCAAGATCATCATGGGAACTGGGGTTACAGGCTGCCGACCCCAGGCTGGCTTAGGCTGACTTTTGTGTAACATTCAAATCGAACGCCCGAGGAGACGGGAGAGATAATATATCCTCACTCATCATGATGCCGACAGGACGCTTCTTCAAGGTTGGTTTCTGCACTAGAGTCCCCCCTGACCCAGAAGACAGGCCTGGGGACCGTCAAAGGGCTACAGCGCATGACGCATCTGCCGCCGACGGTGTAACCTCAGGGGGTGGGTGATGGCAAAAAACCCAGGACCCAGAGCCTGCCCCCCGGTCGAGGGAACCTCATGCTGTGTGATGGGACCCGGCATAACGGGAGAACAGAACAGAAGAAGACCAGCGAAAACAAAAAAAAAAAAAAAAAGAAAAGAAAAGAAAAGAGGGCAGTTCCATCAGGTACGGACAACCTTGTTCGTCGGCCCCTCAGTTCCGTTCTGTGGTCGCGGTCAACGTGGCAGATGACTCTAAATTCTGCACCCTCGTGGCTTTTCCGTCCGTCGAAACGGAGACGGTTACCCTAGCAAGAAGGTCGAAACTCGATGGATGAAGACGTTAGCAAAGTGGAACGGGACGAGCTCAGCTGAAGTCTTCCTCATCGCCCCGCCGAACCAAGCGGTGGACGTCTCTGATTGGCATCGGTCGGGAGGCGACTACTGCAGGGCTCGTTAGTGTCTGAGACTCTTGAGATGATTGAGATCCCACCGCACGCGCCCGACTCTAATCGAACCGAAAAGCCACTAGCCACTGCCAACGCCCCGGAGGATCCCAAGTTTCATGTTCAACTGTCCGGCACTAACGTTGCGCCCGGATGCCCTTAAGCCCCACGCCTTCAGCTGCGATGTGTCGGTATCCCCGATTATCTGGCTCCACGTCTCTCCCCGTGAGGATCCACAGCACAACAGTATGCACAGTATACTAGACTACTCGACTACTAGACTACTAGACTACGGAGTAATCCTCATAATAGGTATGAATCATATTTTGGCTGACTGGTCCAGATCCAAAGTACATCAACAGAACCCAAAAATAACCCAGAAAATTCACAAAAAAAAAAAAAAAAAAAAACTCTCGCAGAGAGGGTCATCCATCGTCTAACGTAAATCAATCAGTCACTCATAGGGATATCATCACGGTGTATCAGATAGCATCAACGTAAAAGAAGAAGAAAAAAGAAAGAAAAAACGCTTTTTCGTCCCGGCAAGAATTAAGCGACCTGCGCTTGCGAGGAGTATCATGCCACCCGGGATTCAGCGTCAGAACTGCACCAATGCCGTCGCCCGAAACTGTCCAGAAAAAAAAATCATTCTCATCGTGGGGGTTGTCTTTTTTTTTCACTTATTTTTTTTTTAGTTAGTTTCCCCCCTGGTTTCATGGATGCGCACGTATCCAATTAAGAATCACCTCCAAGGATGGATCCTCGTCAAGCCAATGGCCGGCTCGCATGTCGGCAGCGCGAAGATCCGCAACGACATGTTGGTTCGTTACCTGGGCTAGCTCCTGCGCAAGGGTCAGTCCGCTAGGTTGTTTGAGATTGATCGCATCATGTATGTCATACCTGTCGGAACGTGTTGCTGACGGCCTTGAGTTGAGATGCATGTTGAGGCCCCGGTCTCTGGCCGTGGAGGATGTTGGCGCGATGCATGGCCCATCGCTTCGCTGCCGCGGCGCGCAGGTAGATTCGGTGCGCTTGGAATCGGCGGGCACTTCCGTCGAGGATGACCCTGGGACTGTCAGTAGCGGTTTCGAGAATTGAGGTCTGTATGCTCTATACTGGTGCCGTACCTTCTAAGCTCTGCCTTCTCGGTTTCGGCTGTGCTGCCGTGGTTGGCCGGCATGCTAGGGCTGTAGTTGGATGACATCAGGTTCTGGGCGGCGGCCAAGGATTCTCGGATCACGACGAATCCCTCCTCGTAGTAGTCATCGGCCGGAACTGGGACGTTCTGCTGCGGAATGTGCAAAAGGAGTGTGCGGTAGTCGTTGATGATCTCGGCCAGCCTTAGGGCACGGGCTTGGTTTACTATCGCACGCATATCCTCATTAGTCGGCCATTGTAACCAGAGGACAAGAAAAAGGCCCGACTCACGTCCGTCAGACATGGTTGATAGTCCGGTCGTTTTACCAGAAAAGGACCAAAAGACTCTATAAAGAGTGGAAGTAGAAGAAGGACCGACAGAAGGTATCTTCTAGATCAAGACAAGGCCAGAAGAGCAATGAATTGACCGTAAAGAAAATAATAAATAAATAAAATAAAGTCAAATAATAAAGGCAATCGGAAACCCTCTAGCAAAGTGGAATGAATGTTTCATCTATGAAAGTTGGTTCCATGGTTTGAGGGTGCGATATGCCTTTTTAAGGTTATTTCGAGGTCCATGGCCACGGAGGGACTCGAGCCCATGGATCCATAAGCCGACACTCTGGACAGCTTTGCAAAAGAGGATCATCATTGTTCGTGGCTGGCTGCACCAATGGAGGCTGATGATAGAGGACCAGGACATCACAGCTAGAGACTGCAGCTGGGGAATTGCATCCGTGGTGGATCTATAGCAGAACAAAGGCCATTTAGTCTCCGGTCCATTTACGGGGTCCTTTTTTTTTGGTCCCCTCTCTTATTTCTGGATTTATTTTTTCGATTCTATTTTTTCAATTCTATTTTATTTTTATACTTTTATTTATTTTAGATCCATAATTGCTGAAATTCCCAGCGTGAAACTCAGCAGCTGGAATGAACCAGAGTGCATGCATCAAACAAATCCAGGTACAATACGAGAGAGGACCAAGAAAACATGGATTAATAAAAGAAAAGCAAAAATCGAGAGTCGAAGAACGAGACTAAAACCCCACATGGACCGAACGCAGGCGGTATTACATCCTTGTGTCAGAGCGAGCGACGCAGAGCCAGTCCGGTGGGAGTTCTGGTCTTCCTGGAACGGACTGGATCGCATCTCGCAGCTCCGAAAGTGGAGATGCAGGAGGACAAGGAAAATTCAGTAGGACAACCCGGTAGGGACTGACTGTCAGAGACTCGTTCGATCTATTCTTGACACGCGAAAGCCACAGCGTCCAGCTCAGCCACAGCTTGGCCCGCCCACAGCTGAAAAATCATACATAAAAAAAAGAAACGAAAAAAAAAGGCAGCCTCAGGCTTCTTGAGTGGCGAATCCACTCGCCGCCGTCGCTTATCTCCTAGTCCATGTATGTACTATGCTACTACTATGTAGGTAGGAATATCTATCCAGTCTCTTCTCGGAGTACCTCGGGGATGCCCCTTACACCCGTCTTCCCTCCCGCATCGAGCTGGCTGCAATATGCAGCCTGTGTCACTTGTGACGAGCCCGTCGGATCGTTCAATCCCTCCGGATACTATGTTTATCTGGCCCACGGTCCTGGATTGCGAAGTTGCCACCCACCTGGAGAAAGCTACGATGATCTTCACGGCACCCACGGAGGACTTGCCCATTTCGAATGGCCCGTGGTGGACGCTGCATCCTCTGGGACCTCGGAGGGAAAACACAAAAAAAGAAACATGACGACGGTCTCCAATAAAGCGCAAGGACTTGACATTCATATACTCTGGCGTCTAGCAGCATGCATGCTCTCAACAATCAATAATCATCGCGTTCAATCCTTCTCGCTGATAGCCTGCAGCCGCTCGTCGATCTCCTCTTCCGTCAGAGCTCGGAACCCGGAGTCTGTGCCCTCCTTGCCGTCTGTTCGGGGTCCGCCCACGATTCCGATTTCCAGCTCGTGCTTCTTGAAGTCGACGCTGAGCACGCTGCTCAGGGCCGTGATGCCCAGCTCGACGACCTCCTCCCAGCTGCCCTCCGCGTAGTCCTTGTTCTTCAGTTTCTTCTCCAGGTGGTTGAGGGCCTCCTGCTGCTTAGGTCCGGACGCAGTGGCCTTGTATCCGGCATAGTAGCCCGCGGGGTCGGACTTGTAGAGCTGGGGACCTTTCTCCGAATCCACCGAGATGAGGGTCATGGCAACTCCTAGCGGGCGCATGTATGCCTGTAGACAAACCAGTCAGTACACCATTCTCCAACCAGATCGAAACCCGTCCAGGAGGCAAAGAGGGGGGAGGGGGGAGCGCACCCTCTGTGTGTAGACCTGGTTGATGTTGGCCAGTCGCTTGGTGAGAACGTCGCAAGGCATCTCGTAGCCATACTTGTATCGGAATTCGGCCGCTTCGCCGCGAGCACGGTCAACGCTGGCTCTCGCATCGGCTATGGATCCGGTCATGACGCAGCCGACGGAGGGAGAGAGTCGGAAGACATGCGAAACGGAGGACGGGTCGATCAATTTATCCTGAAGTTTTCCTTGAATCAGATATCGGAACCGGGGCGCTAAGACGGACGGTATTGGGCTTACAGCGACTTTCTTCTGCGACAGCACCACCGCACAGTCCTTTCCCTTCACACCAAGCGAGGTGATGTTTGCCGAAGTAATGGCCTTGAATGCATATTCTAGAGGTCAAAGGGGCATGCCGGGTTAGCCCAGCCGTCATGGCAGCCACGGAGGTCGTGGTCGGAACGGATCGAGCCTCGCCAGGGAAGACGTCATTGCCAGAGAGAAGAACATACCGACTTGGTACAAACGTCCGTTGTCCGAGAAGATGGTAATATGTCTGTCGTAACCTGCGCTTCCTGTTCACGGAGGATGGTCAGCTCATCAATGAAGTCATGGGCATAGGGAAGTCAATGACCCTACCAGACATGATGACGGCCGAATTGCGATACCGAGGGAAAAAGAACGAGTGATGGTAGATAAGCCCGAGGACAATAGATGAGGGAGTAAGGAGGATTTGAATGGGATACTGGGGAGATGGAAAGGGCGGGGAATTCAGAGGACGCGTGCCGGAAGATGCCTGGACGAAGCTCTAAGCTTGGATTGAGTAAGCTCCCCGACGCCCGTCACCGCCTTCAGGACAGCGCATCTGGCAATATACATGGACGGCCATTCTAAGAGACATTTACTACGCAGGAACACTATCGATATTGGCGTTCTAGGAATTTATCTGAGAGTGTGTAACGGCTATGACTTCTGGCTGCCTAAAAAAACAACTCCTTCGTATGCCTAGCCTAGGTATCAAACTTTTCGCTATGAACTTTTAGGGTATATTCTCTGGGAGAACAAAATAAGACATGAGACAATAAGACGATGCAGTACGCCCATGGCAGAGAGGGCTTAAGAAATGCTGCTTGAAAGCATATCGAGATTAGGCATAGAATCAATTTCGGTTCCTGGGTCATGGAGCTAAGAGGACGAAGAGCCACCCGAGCTCGTGCTGTCGCTATCGCTGCTCGAGTCGGAAGAGTCGCTGGAGTCCTTGCGTGATTTCTTCTTGGGTTGAGGTTTCTTAGTTTTGGATTTCTTGGCCGTGTCGTCGTCGCTGTCGCTGTCACTATCGCTGGAACTGTCGCTCTCACTGCTACTCGAGATTTCAACGAACGCCGTGCGGTTCTTCTTCTTCTTTTTGGCAGGGGTGGCTTTCTTCGCTCCCTTACCCTTCTGCGCAGGAGGGGGTTTGGGTTTCTGGAAGGAGTATAGAGCACCATTGACCGCAAATAGCAGAAGCTCTGCTCGCTGTCTCTTCTCGAGCTTCTTCAGGGTCTCCCCGCCGAGTTCATCGGCGCTGTGCACGCGGTCCAGTTCGTCTTTCTTATCCTCGGACAGGTGTGCCTTGAAAGCATCAACTGCTTTGTTGTAGTTGGCCATGTCCTGCTCGGGCTTCTCTTGCGTTTCTTCCGTACTGTCGGCATTGCCCTCTGCAGATGCCCCCTCGATCTCTGCTTTCACCACCTCCTCCGCAATTTCCCGTAGTCGCTGCTTCGCACCTTCGCTCTTCAGTCCTTGAAGATATGCCAGCAGCGCAGCGTTGTACTGAGTCGGAACGTGTTCCAGCGAAAGGATGTGCTTGAAGAGATGAGTCTCACGGTTCTTCTGGAACTTCCAAGCATCCCGGTGCTTGTAATAAAGACCGAGATAAGACAGTATCGGAGTCTCGTGAATTCTCGGCGATCCATTGTCGCCAGTCGTCGACTGTCCATCCTTGCTCTTATTCTTCTTCTTCTCCTTCTTTTTCTTCTTGCCACCCTCCTCGATTCCATTCTTCTCACCAGGCCCGTCAGTCTTCGAAGAGTCCTCGTCATCGGCATCGGCATCAGACGCCGCCTGGTCGTGGTCGCTCTCCTCGCCATCATGCACCTTCGCATCTGCCGAGAATGACACCCTCTTCTTCTTCGACTTCTTCTTCTCGCTGGAGTCGGCCTTGTTCTTTTTCACGTCCTCCTCCTCATCATCCTCATGCCGTCTCTTCTTGCTCTTGCGCTGCTTCTTCCCCTCCTCCTTCAGCGCCGACTCGTTCGTCGCGCCGGCATTCTCAGTCTCCGCAGCAGCTCCCTTGGTGCTTGACTTGCCCTTGCCCTTGTTCGCCTCGATCTCCTCTTCAATCGGGTCCTTGGCGTATTTGAGTTTCAGGCCTAGCTTTTTCCACGCCGGGATGTTCGCCGACGCGGCAGATTCTTCGCCGGCCATGAGTGGATCGATCGGTCAAATCGCGGTGCGCGGAGGGAATTGATGATTTTGGCGATGTCGCGTAAGTTGGAGGAATTCTATTAAAGGAATTCGGTCCAATTGAGGGAGGACAATGGGTGTTTGGGTGGTCGTTGAAGGGTGACTTTTTTTTGGCTGACGGTTTGTCCGAGAAAAAATTCCACGTGAGTTGCGGAGCTTTTTTGGGATGCGGAATTGATCCACTTGGCGGCCTGGCTAATAAGGCATCGATCTTCTCTGGAGTAACTACTCCTCTGTAGTTTCCTAGTTGTATCCACGGAGCTCTACAGAGCTACAGAACTACCTATACAGTAATTGGTCGTGTGGTATAGTACTTTCATTTACATTGGTAGTACTATGTGTTGCAAGTACTCAGGTAAGCCATGGGTTAATCGTTTGCATTACTATGCTAGCCTATATACAACTTCAACATCTCGGTAGAATTTATCGATTTTCTTTTAAGTAATTTTTGTTGACCATCTAATCTTGTTATTTGCAAGGTCATTTAGACCCTAAGCCACAGCATTTCCCGACTTTGCAGGCCACCTAACCCGCCGTTCTGCACGTACGTAAAGGTTGTTGGGCCTGATCAGTTGGAACATGGGATCGTACTCGATAGGGCCATCACCCTCGCGGGAAAACTTGTAACGATAGATAAGTTTGGGCAAAAAGACCTTTATCTCTTGAAGCGCGAAATTGAAGCCAATGCACATTCTTGGCCCCATCGCGAAGGGAATGTACGCCGCCTTATGCCGGGATTTCACTTCCGCCGTGTCCCAGCGATCAGGGTCAAACCGAGCTGGATTGTCCCAGAGATCGGGGTGATTATGGATGTGGTGGAGGGCAGGAACAATCACCGCGTCCTTAGGGAGTAGATAACCCCCCGGCAGGACCAGGTCAACCTTGGCTGTCCGTCCCGGTTGAAAGGAAGGATTGTGGCGACGCTGGGTCTCCTTGATGTACTTATCAAGAAACTCCAGTTTATCCGTGAAGTCAGCGGTCATCTCGGTATTCTCGTTAAAGCCATGGTCGATCAACTCTTGAAGGAGTCGCTCTTGCATGCTTTTATACACGCAGAGACCGTAGATGAGCCAGGAGAGAAGAGAGCTGGTCGTAGTAAAGCCAGCGCCGGTAGCCACGACCAAGGCCCAGACTACGCTGGACTTTGGCAGTTTCTCTCCCTTATTATCGGTGGCGCGAATAGCATAATCTAGGACAGGTCAGTCCGACTGTGGAAGATACAGCTGCTAACTGTCGACGCATAGTCCTTACCAACCATGTTGCTTGCTGCCAAAGCAGCGTCTTGAAGGGGAAGATCTTCAATACCCGAGCTTGATGCACTTTGAATCGACTCCTCTACCATTTCCGTGATACGGGCCTTCAGATCTCTGAGCCTTTTGGGGTCGCCAAATGGCAAGGAACCATACCAGCTCCCTTTCGAGGTGACCTTCTTGTTGAGCGAAAGCATCTCCGCGATATTATGGACCATCTCATGAACCGGTGCATCGACTGCGTTGAAATGTTGGAAGTCAATGCCGAGGGTAAGCTTACCAACAGCTTGCGAACCCATCTTGAGCATATACTGGTAGACATTCCATGCCTCTTCCTGTTCATCCAACTGATCAAACACTTGAAACGAGTCCTCCACGGTCTTCTGCATTGTTGGAGCGTAGTGTCGGACTGCCTTGGGGCCCAGGGCAGGCGGCAAGAACTTATGAGCAGCTTTCCATTCCGGCGTATCGGTATCCCCTAGAAACACGCCCGCGGCGGGCGTCTTTAGGGCATGGAGGGGATGAGATTCGTTGATTCGTTTGGTAAAGAAATCGGACTCCGAGAACGCAATCGCAGCGATTCTCGGATCATTGGTCTGGTAGGTGACCCGACCAAGGTTGCTTGTTCTGATGACTGGTCCGTATTTTTCAAAAAGCCGCTGATGGTTCCCCAGATGGTCGGGATAGACTTCGAAGAAGGTGCCAACAAAGGGCAGTTCTTTGGGACAGGGAGGGTCGCGAACGGCGTGTCCATCAATGCTGAGCGGCACCGGGCCTTCCGCTGCCAGGATCTCAGGCACGTCGGTCAGGACTGCATCGGGTCCCTGAAACTCGATTCCTTCAAACTGATGATCAGAAAAAGTAACAGGATGGCATGTTCTCCAGTCAGGACTACTAACCGCTTGGCTCCACGATGGCAAAATGAGCAGCAATGAGCAACTGCAAGCCCTGGAATGTCTGGGAAGCATCGATCTGAACTTCCTTGGCAGAGGATGAACTTTGTCCCAGGAGGTGGAATGATTGCGAAGGCATGATGAGAGCGCCTATACTCGGATTCACTTCATGTAAGGATCTCAAAGCATTCGGGAGTTTTTTGGTGTTTCTGTTCGATGAAGTCCGGGTGCGTAGTCGGACGGTTATATAGTACCGTCCGAAAGACCAGTCCCACAGGGAGATAGGCAGAGCTCCAGGCCATTCCTGCGTTTCTCGATCGATCGAACAGGATTTGACAGGCCGCGAAGAATGGAGGATGGACATTGGGCTTTCCGAGGTATGAAGTCTCTTTTCCTCGGATCCGTTGGCGTTTCCGAGGTTCGGATGCGGACGAGGCGACAAGAGACAAGAATATCAACATCAACACTGATAAATCTTTGCTCTGGACCGTCATATAAAGCCTTAACCTTACAGAAAGCCACAGATGTTATTCACTCACGCATATTGACCTTGTTCTTGTCCATCTTTGACCCGAAGACACTAGCTAGTGCGCATCACCATCACCATGCGAGAATTCACGCTCGAAGAGGTTGGCGTCCATCAGAGTAAGAGTGACCTGTGGGTTGCCATCCATGGAAAAGGTAAGCATAGCACTGTCCTTCTCTTGGAGCTCCGCTAATCCCAGTGTCGCTAGTCTACGACGTGACGAATTACACGAAAGACCACCCCGGTGGTGTCGACGTCCTGGCCGACGTTGCCGGAAAAGATGCGACTCAGGCGTACGAGGATGTTGGACATTCAGAAGATGCGAACGAGATCCTGGAATCATATCTGGTTGGCGCGTTAAAAGATGCTGCGGAATACAAGGCCCCTGCAACGGTGAAAGTGATCCAGGATCAGCCCGAGCAACAGCCCCCCAAGAGGAGCTCAAACACTGTCCGCACCCTGAGCCTCACTGCTGGCTCGCTCCTCTCCCTCTTCATTGCCTCTAATTCATTGGCGAGTCATTTGAATGTTCAGAGCTTCGCCAAGAACCTTTCTCGGAGGATTCCCTTGTCAGCGAGTGGGCTTTCTGAAGCCCTCCCACACGGAGGATTTGCCAATGGAGTCGTCGCCACAGCCTGTGCCTGTGCTGCACTGGGGGGTGCGGTGGCATTTCGACTGTCGAAGCTGACCGAGGTTGACTCGGGATTCACCAAATATCCTCCTCATATCAAAAGAAGCACCGTCCACAAGACCGATCCCCATCTTATCCGGGGCTTTCTCCAGCCAAAGGAATACAGGACCCTGCCTCTTGTGGAAAAGAATCTCCTGGCGCCCAATGTTTATCACTTCGTCTTCCAGCTCCCTCGCAATACCGATGTCATCGGTCTTCCCATTGGACAGCACGTGGCGATCAAAGCAACAATCGATGGCCAATCCGTGTCCCGATCCTATACTCCGACATCCAACAATCTTGATCTCGGCAGATTGGAACTTGTGATTAAGTGTTATCCAGATGGCCTGCTCACCGGAAAGTATCTCACCGACCTGAAACTAGGCGATAAGGTTGCTTTTAGAGGCCCTAAGGGTGCCATGCGCTACAAGAAGGGCCTTTGTAAGAGGATTGGGATGATTGCTGGCGGCACTGGGATAACGCCCATGTACCAGCTGATTCGCGCAATTTGCGAAGACGACACGGATACAACGGAGATTCATTTGATCTACGCCAACCGTTCGGAGGATGATATTCTGTTAAGGGATCAGCTTGAAGCTTTTGCGTCGGCATACCCGATGACCCTTAAGATTTGGTACATGCTCGATCAACCACCCCAGCAATGGCCGTATGGGAAGGGCTATATTACACCTTCTGTCATGCGCGAAAAGCTTCCAGCACCGTCGCCAGACACTAAGGTCATGCTCTGTGGCCCCCCTGGCATGGTGAATGCGTGCAAGAAAGGCTTGGCTGGGTTGGGGTTCGAAGCCCCTGGGCCTGCTTCCAAAATGACCGATCAGATCTTTTGTTTCTAGATTTAATCATGTACCCTCTGGACTTTGTTTTCTCCATCAAAAAGTTGTATCAATAGATAGGGGCTATTTGCTGTAGTTGACTGCTCCACCCTTCGCCTACTTGCATATATTTCTATTTTGCCCTGTGTATTTAGACTAATAGACAAGATTCTAAGCCATGTTCATAGACGCAGAAATTTAACCAGGAGCCGGCGGTGGCATCGATAGATTTGTTTATCGGCACTTCACAAGGGTTTGTTTCTTATGCTCCGAATGACAGTCCATTTCGTGTCTCTTTACCGCTTCAAGCTTCTCACCATCTTTCCGACTTCATGCCGGTATCTGTGCGTATCTTAAAAACCAGGTGGAATTTGTGCCAATGAAGCATCAACTCTCACCGGAAAGACAATCCAGACACCGAGGAAGACGAAGACCTCCACTGGTCGGGGACTGCGCAGTGTCTTCCGAGGAACGATGGGTGACTCGGCCACCTTCACCCGTTTGCTCCTCCTCGGTATAGGAGCCATTTGACGACAGTGCCGGTCCTCTTGTCGGGAAGCCAGGGCACCGAGGGATCAGGGCATTCTGGTGACCGATTCCTGGATCTTTCCTCGGAAAGAAAGCCCCGGATATCTCGGGTTGCCGCTGTGTGTCAATCTCTCAACATTCCACGGCCCGAGATCTGCTATTTCTGTCTTCGCCGATGCCGAAAGGCAGTATGTCGGAGGTTTTATCGAAATGCTTTATAAATCTCCCCCGTCCCCGATCCCATACATATATGACCCTTCCGATCCATTATCTGACTCTACACATACCTCTTTCAACTCGAGAACCTTGCCATTAACTTGTTCATGACATTGCCTGTGCGAAGATGATCTCCGACTGGCAACCACCGAAGAACTACCGAGAGCGTCCTGTTGCCGTTCTTGGAGCAGGTGTTTTGGGACGACGAATCGGTATGTACATGCAAACGCCTCGAGATTAGGGCAGCACCACTGACACAGTTCACAGCTTGTATTTGGACATCCGCGGGCTACAATGTCCAGGTCCGCGATCCAAGCCCAGAACAACGGGCGGACTGCGTCGCCTACGTGAAAGAGAACGTATCCTCGTACGCAGAGCGAACAGGAGCGCAGCCTGGAGGAATCACCGCACTTGAGGATTTGGCGCATGCGGTTAGCAATGCCTGGCTCGTTATCGAGGCTGTTCCGGAGAAAATCCACCTGAAGATTGAGACATTCGCGCAACTCGACAATCTTACGTCAAACGACTGCATCCTGGCATCGAACTCGTCTTCGTACAAATCCTCGGAGATGCTCGACAGAGTGTCGGACGCCGGCAAGACTCGCATCCTGAATATGCATTACTACATGCCTCCGCAGATCATGGTGGTGGAGCTGATGACCGATGGCTTCACCCATCCCTCCATCATCCAGTTCATGGCCGAGCGCTCGAAGGAAGCCGCCACGAACCCGTACGTGGCAAGAAAGGAGTCAACGGGCTTCATCTTCAACCGCCTGTGGGCGGCCGTCAAGCGAGAGGCTCTGACGATTTTGGCCGAGGACGTTTCAACCCCGAGTGAGATCGATTCGATATGGACTGAGATGTTTGTCAAGGGAGGCTCCGTCCCGTGCAAGACCATGGACAGTATGTGATTCCCTTTGGCATCCTGCATTTCCGTTTTCTCCCGTCATCTGCACTCTGTGGATTCGATTCTGACCCCGATCTCTATCCTGCAGATGTCGGTCTCGACACCGTGGCTTTCATCGAGGAGCACTATATCGCTGAGCGTGGCCTTTCCGCCGACAAGACCGTCGAATTTCTCCAAACCAACTACTTGGATCAAGGGAAACTCGGAACCAAGTGCCCGGCAGGTGGCCTCTATGCGCCCACTGAAACCACTAGTCATCAGGCGGACACCAAGATCCCCAGCCTCCTGGTTCTCGACATTGGCTTGTCGTCCAAAGAGTCAAGCTTCAAAGCAGGCGAGATCCTTCAGCTCTCGCCGGACGGACAAGTACAGGCGGTTCTTGCGGCCGGCCAAGCCCTCCCTGATGGGATCGCTGTCGACCCCAGCAGTCAGCGCATCTTCTGGACCAACATGGGCATTCCTGGCAAGCGCGATGGCGCTGTCTTCTCGGCCAACTTGGATGGAGCAGATGTCCGAACTGTTGTCGCGCCAGGAACCATCAACACCCCTAAGCAATTGACTCTGGACACGACGTCAAAGAAAATCTACTTCTGTGACCGGGAGGGACTTTGCATTCTCCGCTGCAACTACGACGGGTCAGCGTTTGAGGTTCTGGTCCAGGCGGGTGACCCTACGAAGACCTCGGATGCTCAAGACGCGAGGAACTGGTGCGTCGGCATTACCGTTGCCCCCGACCTGGGCAAGATGTACTGGACACAAAAGGGCCCGTCGAAAGGTGGGAAAGGGCGGATTCTGTGCGCAGACATGCTCACCCCGGAAGGGCAAACGGCGTCCACTCGCGACGACATCCGGTGTATCCTGAGCGGCCTCCCGGAACCCATCGATCTCGAGATTGACGAGGAATCCCGGGTACTTTACTGGACTGACCGGGGCGAACTGCCCTTTGGAAACTCCTTGAATCGGCTTCGCCTCGATCGCTTCGGCCTTCCTCTGCCTTACATGTCCGATCTGGGCTACGAAGTGCTCAGTAGGAACCTGAACGAGGCCATTGGTTTGAAGTTGGACCTTCCCAATAACAGCATCTATTTGACCGATCTGGGCGGTACTCTCTATCGTTGCGATCGCGACGGAAAACACAGGGTCAAGTTGCTGTCCGACGAAAACAGGGCCTTGACGGGGCTCGCATTGGTTTGATAGCCAGGGCTGACAATCTACCAGTTGCCTGTAATGACGTATGTACTTTAGAGATTGACATTATAGATTGTGAATTGAGCCAATAGAAATAGATGAGCTAGACGATATGCCTTTTTATCGGACAAACCCGTTGTGAAGGCGCGGTAGTTCCTCGATAGAACGACTTTCGTACTCGGAGATGCATAGGTATCTCGGTAGTCGGAAACCATGGCTTGTTTCTAGAGCAAGTAGAGATGTCATGTCATGTCCAATCCGGAAGGTTGGATGGGATTATCCTTTTCTCTTTGACATGATCAGGCCCGTCTACAGAAGTAAAACACAAGTAGACTGTCTCCGATTTAGGATTTCACAGTGACACGACAAATTCTTTCTTAGAAAGGGTCCAAAGGTTCCCAGACATTGAAGAGCGAAGCCTGATCCATGAGTGCATCTACAAAGCTACCATCAAAGACCAGATCCAAGCCTTCGGATGCATTTTCAACGATAGGCTCCGCATTAATAGGCCCCGACGACTCGGCAGTAGTCACCATATCAGGGCCAGCAGGGCCAGCATCTTGCCCAGAGACGGATGCGGCGGGCTGATAATTAGGGAAGATTTGTTGGATGGCTTTCAGGAATATTCCACGGTAAAGCGAAGCCACAGTGTAGGTTTTTTGAAGCTCTTCCAGGATCAACATCAGCATCTCGATCTTGTTCAGCCGTAGTCTTCGAGAGAGAGAGTCTGCAGATCTGCAGAAAAGCAAATGTGTTTGCATCGCGGGGACTAGGAGGGGAGGTCTAACGGAATGGAAGAAGGGTTAGTAAAAAGATTGACATGACTGTTCGTGACCGAGATCTGGAGCGATGTAGATCTTTGAAGACTTACGTCATTGGGCTCGCGAAACAGAGCAACTTATTTTGAGCCAACGCCTCGAGAATGCCATTCGTTTGAGAAGCCGCCGAGTCTGCTTTCAGGCGCATTCGAAGGCACCAGCCTTCCTGGTCGTTGGACGGGACCGTGTCAAGAGTTTCCGACGAGAAGGGCCGATAGAATATAATCACCATTGCCCTGAAAGTTCGTAGTTAGCGTGAGCCTCTGCACGACTGGAGGGAGATGAGGAGGTTACTGGTAGTGCAAGTGGAGGTGATAACAGAAATATGTGGCGAGTCGAGTCAGGCCTTTTTTGTATGGATCGGGCAATTCGAACTGAAGCAGTTTTGCCTCGAGGGCCTCGATCTCCTCCACGGACGGTTTGGGCCTCATAAGCTGGTAATTCATGGTCAGGCAATCACCCAATAACTTGCTCAGCTCGACCAGCGTGACCCAATACCGAGCTAACAGCGGCATTTCACCGGGCACGAAAGAATCAAGATGGGGCCTGGAAGCAGCCTCTATGTCGTAGAGAAGATCCGAAGCCAATGGCATTGGGGTGTCACAATCTTGGATGTTGATCCTCTGCGGCCTCCCGTACGTGAGACTGAGCCATCGATCTCGGAAAAAGCAGCTCCACCAAAGACGACGCCATAGCATTCGCTGCCGGTCCGTGACGGAAGAGTTGTACCTGGAGCTGTCGGGGTTGCGGTGTAATCCCAGGACCTGGCAAAGCGTGATTGCGATTCCAGTCCAGTACCACGCCTGCATGTGTTCATCCAACTCTGAATGCCAGAATCCCAGCAGAAGTGTGGACTGCAGAAGAGTGATCTTCTGCCTCTCCCCGCCATTGCTGTACATGCACTGATTGCAAATCGGTTAGCCTAAGATACGATGGCGGTAACCTTCGACCCACCCTGGCTCGGGAATACATGGCACTTTTCATTTCTTTGCGCGATTTGTATCCTTCTTTCTCGTATACGGACGCTGGAACGAACTGGTCCAAAGCTCAGTTGCGTGTACATCGGTAAACCAAAGGATCACCTACGTTGACTGCCACAAAAAACACACTCCACAGCAGAAGGATGTTATATTCGAGTAGCCGCCCGTCGTGGTAGTGGGCTAGGAGCTGGTCTATTTCAACAATTGGCAGAACGGGGTGGACGTGGGATATGTAGGCTCGAAGAAGGCTGGCGCAGGAATCTCTCTTGGGGAGGGTGAAGACCCCTTTGGCCATCAGGAATTTCCGATCCTCCTCTGGGAGGGATTCTCGAACCCTCGACGGGATGAGCACATGTCTGGGAAGGGCCATGCCCGGGGAGCACATATCCAATGCCGATGTCAATCCGGTCTGTTCTCCTGTGCCAGAAATTAGAGAAATTAGCCCTACTCCGAACCATGCGTCGTTGCGAGGTCAGTAGTTACCCGTGTAGAATGGAACGCCCCCGTTGGTCTCCCCTTGGCCCAGAGCAGCAGTGGCAATCTCAAGCCCATTTCGCTCTTCCTCCAGATTTTCCCTCTCGTGGCCCAGTCGCGAGGGCTGCGGTGAATCCGCGTCGGTCATGCTATCCTCATCGACCGGGACTCTCGGGGCCTGCCGCGAAGGCTCTTGTGGGCGATGAGTGGTACGGCTGCGAGGTTTCTGGGCCCTGTGATCGCATATTTAGTCGGTGATTCTGTTTAATGACGAGTTCAGGCTAATCCCCACCCTCTGGGGTTTCTTCCGGTCACAACACAGTTGGCGCCGTCTTGAATGCATCCGCTGCAGGGCAACCCGGTTACCGAAAGGCTGCAGCGCACTTTACGTTGTCGACAGGCATCACACGCAACCGCCGAGCGATGGCGCCGAGGCTTGGTCCCCGGTGCTGGTGGCATTTTTTTTTTTTTTTTTTGTTCGCTATCAACGGGACCTGCGAGTCAACCCCGAGGTTCAATGAATGGGTTTTCAGTCTTTTCCGAGTAAGAAGCGCGGCCCGGGATCTCCACTCCGTGGCAATACCTCGGAAACCGTCGGAAATGCCCTTCGCATACCTCGGCAGGACCATTGAGGATGATCTCTTGCTCGATCCATCCCTTTGCCTGACTCGCAGACTCCATGAAAATCTCCTAAAACAAACCAACACCCCTTAAGAATATGTGGTTGAAAAACCTTGGTGGAATTCGGGCGTCAGGCGAAGGATGCTAGCAGGGTACCTAGGGGCCCTACTCGGTCAATAGAAGAGATCGCCAATTCCATGCTTGCTCGTTGTACGCAAAAGAGAGTCCATTGGATGCTCATAGAGCGAAGGGGGCGCAACCCCTCTCATCCCAGAATCGTCTCAAGTCCCTTTTCAATCATAACGTCAATCCAGTGCACGATCGTCGCTGGCTGGACTGGCGTCTCGTCGTCCATCCTGGCCCCCCTCCCTGACGCCAATCCCGACAGGTCCGCTCGCTCCCAAGTCTCCTTGACAATTGCACCCGCCTGGTTCACTGTCTTGAGTCCCACGAACCGATGCATGTTGCCGAGTCTCGCGTCCACAAAAGATCGCCAGTGTCCAATAACCGCCGGCGTACTCGTCCCATCCAGCGACTGGACATTTCCCTCGGTCGACATGTCCCCCTGAAACTGCAGCGTACTACCGGCTATGATGAGGGCGAGCATCTGACTGGCCCTGGTACCGGACGTCTCGGGGATCGACGCAACGAGGGAAAGAATGTCGATGGCCAGCGCATTAAGCCGGTCTCTGTAGTTAGAGTGGAATACTGCATCTTGCTGGAGTACTATCGTACGCGTTTTCTGGGCTAGTAGTTCGGGGAAATTCCTGTACAGCTCCAGCAGGCTCGAGAGCTGGTATACCCTCGCTAGAGTCTGAAAATGGCCGACGGGCGCGAAGGGGTCGTCTGTGTCAGACACGGCTTCGACGGCCGGGACTCTGTATTGCGAGACAGATTCTTCGAGGGACGCGGCATGCAGCAGGAGCGTGTTCCGGGTCTCGGTCAGCATCTGGGCTCGTGTCTGCAGGGGCGGAGGTTTCCGTAAATGCCGAAGCTGTCTGGCGATGGAGCCGACTTTGGATAGGTAGATGAACAGCGTGGTCGAGACCCCGCTCCAGGGATGGATGCTTAACGTGGTGGTTTCACCCCGGTCGTAGAAGGGCAGGAGGTAATCGGCCACATCGGTGTTTTGGTCCACGATGAAAGACGCCAGAGCTTCCCAGTAGGCTAGAGCGCCCACGAAGAAGTGCCGCGCAGATGAATCGCTCATATCCGGAGGACCTTGGAAGGAAAGAGCACCGTTTCTAGAGACGTGTTGTTGGAACAGCGTTCGTGCCGCGTGAAGGTGTTGTAGACCGAGTGAGAATGGATCATGCCACGACTGAGAGTGGAATTAGCCCCGTCGTTGTCATGGAATGCAAATCGGGAGAGGGGATTCCTTCCGCATACTGAAGTGATGCCTATCATGACTATACCCAGGAGTAATATGGCTGTGGTCTGAGTTTCTCTTGCTCGCAAGTTAGAGTCGTCCGGCGAACGGGACGACGGCAAGAAATCTCGACGAGCAACCTCATTTGCAAGACTCGAAAGCGCATTGACGTGGTGTTTGAGACCCAGGGCTCCGGTTCGACACTTTTTCTGCGAGACGTGGGCCGCTGAAATTGATAGCATGCAGAAATGGATCACGGGCTCGTGCATGGAGAGCCGTGAGACCCATTCTCGCAGAGGGTTCTTGGGCGAGTCAAACCCGGAAAGGATGCGACATGTGCGAGAGAAATAGTATTCCCGCAGTGTAGTGGAGGGATCAGTCAAGGCCGGGATGAGATCCGGCTCCCTGGCGAGCTGCTCATTCACAGGCCTTGGGGATCGGTGCTTCGACCGATTGTCATAACTTTGTAGAGCGGTATGGAGTTTCTCTGCCGGCTCAGTAAACCAGTCCATGGGGCTTTCATCGAGATCCTGGCCAGAAACCCCCGTGGCTTCATGCTTCGTCGACCATTTCACTGGTTTGTTGTATCCAGGGCAATCGTATCCTCGAGCAGAGCATGGAAGACAGGCGGGCCTTCCTAGATCGCATTTGATTCGCTGCCAGGCATCAGCTTATTGATATCATCGATCGAGGCGAACAATTACGCGCTGCTTGCACCGTGCACAGCCCGCTATGCTGCTGGTCAGCAGATTCTCGGGGCCTTGAGATGATTTACGATTTACCACGGGATTTGACTGTTCTTCTCGCGCGCTGGATCTCGGAGTAGACCATGTCTTCTAGGCAAAGAAAAGTGCAGCACTTCGAAACGTTGAGGCAAAAGAAAGACAAGGAGCTGGAGATGCTGATTAATTCGTCTCGTCGACCAATCGCACTTTTTGTCCCGGAAGGGTTAAGCGCCAGCATATCATGCACGCTCAGACTAAATAATGCTATGGGCAGCTTTCGCATTTCTAATTCTCTCCCCACTTTTATACTCCGTTTCTTCTCGAGGATGCCGAATTGCGCCAGTGGCATCCTCAACGTGCTTACCAATGCGATCGGGGAGTTTGGGTATATAAGTGCTCAGTTGGCACCCCCAATCCCTCTCAGAATACAGCCCCAGAGCTTTAGCAACACGACCGCGAGGATCTCGATAAAATGGCATCTGCATTGAAGAACGTTGTGCTCGTCGGTGTAAGCCAATTCCCCCATTACCAACACTGCCCGCAACACCTCTGCGCCCTCCCCCAAGAATAAATGAAGTCTAACGACCCTCTAGGCTGGGGGCAACCTGGGCTCGCATGTCCTCGCGGCATTCCTTGCTTCAGGCGCTTTCAACATTACCGTCCTGTCGAGGGAGTCTTCCACCAGCATCTTCCCGGACGGTCTCCGGATTGTCCGATCCGACTACAGCCACGGATCTCTCGTTGCAGCGTTCCACGACCAGGACGCTGTGATCAGCCTCGTGGGACGATCCGGCTACGCGGACCAGCAGAAGCTAGTCGATGCTGCGCTTGCGGCGGGCGTGAAACGATTCATTCCCAGCGAGTTCGGCAACAATTCCGCCGATGCACGGGTGCGGGCGTTGGCGCCGATTCTGGAGGGCAAGAAGGCGAAGATCGACTACCTGAGACAGAGGGAGCATCGAATGAGCTGGACCACAGTCATTACAGGGGCCTTCTTTGACTACGTGAGTCGAATGGATCCTATCGGGCGTTTGCTTCGGCGCTAACCAGCTCGCCTGCCAGGCTCTCCGAATCGGCTTCCTAGGCTTTGACCTCAAGGCCCACGACGCGACGATCTACGACAATGGCACCGTGCCTGCTTCCGTCAGCACCTTGCCTCAAATCGGCCGTGCACTGGTGGCCATTCTCGAGCACCCCGAAGCCACGGCAAACCAGTACGTCTACGTGGAGTCCTTCACGGTCACGCAGAATGAGGTCCTCGAGGCTTTGGAAAAGGCCTCCGGTGAGACATGGACGCTCAACAACGTGAATCTCAGGCCACTGATCGAGGAAAGCACCGAGAGGTTCAAGCAGGGTGACCTTGCGGGTGCACGCATCTTGAACCTGGCGGCTGGGGTGGCCAGGTTTCCGGATGGGCCATATGGCGATTGGAGCACGGTGCCAGGTGGATCATGGAATGGGCGATTGGGATTAGAGAAGGAGGATTTGGATGATGTCGCTCGGTCGCTCCTTGGGGAGGACGGCACGATTGGCAAGGCTTAACTAGATTTTTTACACGGTAGACTAGAAAAACTAGGCATAGCCTCAGGGCTAGGGCCGATTTCCTCTACCCAAGGAGACCTTGTGACCAGGTTCTATATCCAGGCCGATCAAATGTAATTGATGATAGTAGTTAACCTTAGATCCGTGTCTAAGCCAAGTAGGTATCTGGAAGTGCATATTACCTGGTTACTGGTGAAAATCGTGGCATAACCGGGCTAAGTATCAAGGGGTGTAAGATCTAAATGGTCATATTAATAAATAGTAAAGCCACATCTATTATTTACATATTGATCTGAGGTTAATTTAGCTGAATAGCGGTCCTCCTGTGGTTGAATTCGAGAGCTTTCACGTTAAGGGGTTTAGGTTATTTTGTATGGGTGGCTTGACTGCAAAGTCTGCAATTAAGAATTGGATGGCCGTAACCGCCCTTTTCTTCTCTCTCCCTCTTCCCTCCCTCGCTCTCTTTCTCTCTTTCTCTCTTTCTCTCTTTCTCTCTTTCTCTCTTTCTCTCTTTCTCTCTTTCTTTCTCTTGTTGCCGTCGTCAACTTAGACATTATACCATGACCCTCCCTAGTATGTAGGTCTGTAGATGGTTGGTGCGACACAGGCGTCACTAAGCTTCAACCTCCCCCGGGCTGAAGATAATGCAAACGTCAACATGATGTTGACTTTTTGGGTGCATAATGGACGATACCACAATCCAAATCGTGTGTCAGGATACCCCGGCAGCGTTGATGACGTGTGTTCGTTCGTCTGATTGCGGTCTTCCATGATGTATTCCTTGGACCCACGCTTTCGTTAACGAAGCAGGGTGGAGGCGTATCACGGAGCGTGTCTTTGGACCCAGTATCGAACATTATAGTGGTAGTCTTCTGCTTGACCAGAATGTATTCTCCCCTCGAGCTATACCAAGGATCAGGCGGAGTCTCCTCTTTCCCCGGTCTCGGTAAGAGGCTCCGAGAGCGTCATCGCAGGAAACGGACGGAGAGAGGTCCTTCATTACGGCTCGACTGCTGCATGCGGCTGCCAAATGCGATTCTAGAGCTAGAGCAGAGCGTCATTGATCGAGGACTGATTCTTCTCGTGGGTTGGGATGATATGACCACCACGCACTAGAGGTATATCCCCAGTGCTGAGCGTGCTCGTAGTAGTACAGTAGCCTTCAGGAGGACCCACAAGAGGGGTTGCATGAGCCGGAGAACAGGCAATGGTGACATTGAACTGGCTGCTGGGACTGCAAAGCCCAGTTGCGCGGTAGTTGGTGAGATGTGCTGGGGACTTAGGGTTGCTTAGTAAGGACCGCCCTCACGAAGCAATGCGACGTCCTTTGTATATAGTCATGATTCATATGCGTGGGCTATCTTTCCTTAAGAAGACTAGACATTCAGCTGCCAGCTCCGTCTTCACTTTCATAAATGAGATGGTCGTACCGAGGAGGTGAAGCAGCAGACAGACACACCCCACGATGTTCACCTGTGCGCGGTCTCTGTGTTCAGCCGCGGCTCTATTCCTGGCCATTTCCCTGCAATCATCCAATTCACCACCTATAACGCTGAACATGTGCACGCTCCCGGGGAAAGAGACTCTGATTCCCCATGTAACGGCGCTGGTGAAACAGTGGCACGAAACCATCCAACACTACTACTGCGACTGCTACAACTACTGGACGCCGGCACCGTTCACACACCAGCCCACTCTCCGCGAGCAGCTGCTCAGAGAATTCCCTGAAGATCCCGTGGGCGAATTCCCCGCGTGCATCTGGCAGACATCCACGTACACCACCGCTGGCCTCGTGCGCAACGCCAGCCTCCATTCTGCAGAGGCTTCTCCGAAGGCCGTGCCCTACCCGCCCTGTTCCCACGCCGTCTTGACCGACGACATGCAACGGGGCCTCATCCAGGAATTCTACGGCCATATTCCAGCCATCATGGAGTCTCTCGACGCCGTCCCATCCGCGGGCGCGAGGGCCACCTTCTTCCACTTCCTCGTGCTCCTGGCACGCGGCGGCATCCACGTCGACGTCGACGTCGGTGCCACCACCACCACCACCCCTCCCGGCACCGTGCAGGCCTGGGCCAGTCAGTTGCCCAAGGATTCGTCGGCCCTCGCAGGCTTGGGGCTTCTCGTTGCCGCGGTGGAAACAGACACCAGCCCGCCCATCCCACCGCAGGATGCGTCCTCCGGCACAGGAGCAGAAGTAGCAGCGCCGATCCTAACCCCGAATATGATCATGTCAAGACCAGGGCACCCGGTCCTTCGGGAGCTGGTAGCTACGGTTAGCGAGCGACTGCTCCAGGCGAAACACCGCGTCTTCCTCCGGCGCAGCAGCCTGGATAAGATCGTCGCGGACAGTACCGGACCCGGATTATGGACCGCTACCGTGAGCGAGTATCTCCGCGACCACCGTCTACGGGAAGTCGCGTCCGCTGCGGAGGGCAATACCACCCTTCCACCTGACTGGGATTTTCGAGAATCCACGCAGATCAGTGATACTTTAGTCATCTCTGTCAAAGAACTGGGCCCGGGGGTTGTTGAGCAGGTCCAGCCAAAGCGCGCAGAACCGGAGCGGCATACGGAGAAGTTGAACTGATTACACTAGTCTTTTGACCCTCGATTTGTCTATTGTGGCCCACTAGTCTCTAGCAAAGATGGGAAACAATAGGGTAAAAAAAAAGGTTTTTATCTGTATCTATGTAGTGAAAGGCGATCCACTGTCTGTTTTACTCTCATATTCCCCCCCTGGAGGCCCCTTAAACTTCCTTGATTCCAGGTTACACGGCCAAATGCCACTTCAAGGCAACGCCTACCCCTTGCTTCGCAGGATTCCAGGCAATGTGGCGGGCCGGGCCTGAACACAAATTTTCTGTTATGTGTTGTCTCAGAAAGAACGAGGAATGGGAGAATATAAAAATAACCATAAAAAAAAAAAAAAAAGCAACTCCTCTAACAAAACTCTTGGAAAGCGAAGGGCCTGGGAGGAGTACTCCTAACCCCCAAGAATGAAACGTAGAATTGCCCACAAGTTCAGATTTCTGAGTTGATCAAAGCCGGGCTGGAAAGGACTCTAGCCTACGTGAAGCAGCGAGCAAAATCCGGTGCCTACTACTGTATCAGCACCTCATCATTAAAGCAAAAGGTTCCTCCTGCCTGATCCGTGAAACTGCGACCTGTCCAATCCGGCTCTCTGCTTCTCGCAACACTACCTGTGGGTCAGCAGCTGAGATCATGCATTCTTATGGTTTCGGATTCCCAGAAGATATCGATATCGTTGCTTGCTATAGGCCCGATACCGCGCCCCCACTTCGGACGAGCACAGCTCAAAAGCGAGGAATCTTGGGCAGAGAGAGAGAGCAAGAAGGGGGTCTTTGTAGACCCGGTAATGCCATGTCCTACTTGGCGAGTCTGCTGCTATACAGCCTGCAGACTTTGAATCCACTGCATTAGACCTTTCACCCGCAGGATCGTTATATGCGTCTTACATAGGTGTCATCAGGATCTTGCCACCCATGCTTCGATCTGTCAAGTCCATTATCGTCCATACCCCCCCCCCCCCCCAAGTTCTACCTACCTCTTTCGTCTGTTAGATAGGAGTGAACATCTCCGTCACCGGTACCAGGTGGTAGCGGACTCCCCCAATAATGCGTCAAGACGCTGAAAGCGGAATGTTGGATTCAGTTGTAACGCAGCTGGCTGGTTCCTTATATACCCGAGTCAGGAGGATTTACCCTATTGTAACTTCCTCCAAGCAAAAGAAAACAAAGAGAACTTAGTCCCAGCAGTGACGGGCGAATTCTTCCCTTGGAGCAATACACACACACACACATACATACAGTCATACGCACACCCCCTCGTTGTGCAAAGCCCATCATGACGAGGACCGGTCCGTTCATCCTGTGGCTGCTGCTGTGGCAGATGTCGCTGGTGCAGTCCAGCGTCTACCGGAAGAATGTGGTGGTGTTCGAGATCGGGGGCAACACGGTCATCGCGGGCAACCGGATCGAATACGTGGAGCCCGACTGCGAGTCCGGCTTCGAGTGCACAACCAAGAAGACCTGCGCCCAAGCCAACACCGCGCCCACCCTCAGCGCCGACTCCAAGTACTTTTCCTGCTGCCGCCTCGGGCGGAGGCTCCTAGGGAGCCCCGAGACGGCGTTCGACTGCTGTGCGGCGGACCAGGAGCTCGTCGGCGCCGCCCACACCGGGTACCGCTGCTGTCGGCAGGGGCAGACCTACGACGGGCAGGCGTGCAAGGGCGTCTGTCCGGCCGGAAAGGAGTGGGTGGAGGAAGAAGACGGATGCGTCTGCGCCCAGGGCACCGAGGAAGCCGACAATGGCACCTGCAGGCCTCTGAAAGACGAAGGCCCCGGCCTCGTGTCTGGTATGTTTTGCGCTCCCCCTTCCCCCGTGGGTTTATGCAGCCCTGGGACAATATAGTATGGTATACACGATTCGTCGTCATGTGTCACTAAGCCTCTTTGTCACCCCGATCCAGGACACTGCTATAGCTTCACCTCCATGGGCGGCGGTCGTCTGAGTCTCCACGCCCAGGTCCCCGATCATCAAACCCACCACGTCAGCTCCGAGTCCCCCCTGGACCGGTTCCGCCTGTGTGTCGACGAGGATTGCATCCCCGGCCAATCCGTCCACCTGGGGGACAAGTTCTACATGGCCGCCGCCGCCGCCGCCGTCACTCCGGATGGCAGCCCGGCCCGACGACGGCAGTGGTGGAACAATGCCCAGAACGGCAGCCAGATCGGTCGCACAACCGACTTCACGGCGGCTGGCGCGTTCACGCTGCGCCAGTGGTCCTGTGGCGCGTATTGCCTGGGGGGGGTTCGGTGGGGGGTGGGACCGTTTTGCTCCGAGGCGGCGGAGTCGGCCCTCAGCTTCTACCCCGGCGATCCGCACATGTGTGTGGCTGTCGACCTGCGCGAGGTCCCGTGCAGTGGCCGGAGCGAGGACGACGATGATGATGCTGCTCCTGCGGGGAAGAAGAAATCCAAGTGCCGGTGTGGCCACGATGAGCTGTGACTTTGGTTCGTTTGGCGCCCTAATGTCTCCAAGCTCGGAATGTTCTCAGACGCGAGTACGTGATGCGAGGTTAATAGAGTGCGGAGGAAATGGCAGGAAATAACTATAACAAGATCCGCCTATTCGAAGATATGCGCAAAAGATGCCGGGTGTAGACTAGAATTATAAAGGAGACACAGCATAGCTTCCGAAAAGGGTAAACATATGCCCAGATAATCAGGCATAGCCGGAGGACAGAGTAGAAAGAGATAATACCATAGGTGCCAATATTAAGATAAAAATAACTATAGTAATTATCTCAGGCTGCTCAGAACATGCTCGGGTCTATTTAGTACGCAAAAAGTGACAAAACGGAAAGGGAAAGCTGTCAACCTGACTAGAAAATCCAGTATGTATGCCTATGCCCCCTGGACTCCATGAAAAAAAAAAAAAAAAAAAAAAAAAAACAACCTCAGCCTTCCCACAAAGGACTTTTGCAAGAGTAAAACAACCTAATCATGCAGAATCGGTGTCTATGTTCCACTTCCACTCGCGTTGCCGCCGCCTTCAACTTCCCGTCTCTCTCTCTCTTTCTCCTTCTCTCGCTCCCTCCTCGACTCCCGTTGCGCGCTGCCTTCGCCGTTGGCTCCAGATGCGGCTGCCTTGCGTCGTGCCCGCTCTCGATCTCGAGAGCTAACCCCCGTGGCGGTGCGCCTCCTGCGAGCCGGTTCGTAAACGTCGTTGAAGTTCATGACCACACCGAGGAACCGCATGTCCGACTCCGAATGGTGTGCAATGTCCCCGAGGAAAATGTTCAGTCGCGATCGGAACTCGGCGGAGAGTTCTCGCAGGCGAACCCGCAGGGAGGCAAGCATGTGGTCGTCAACGGAAAGGTCGTGGTTCAGGAGAGACGAGGGCGTGTCGGCCCCATCGCCACCGTTTCCGATCGTGGGCGTCTGAGCCACGGATGCCGATACCGAGGACATGGAGATTTTGGGTCCCTGCGTTTGTCGCGATGCCCCGGGAAGATCGCGCTCCGTGACACCCCAGCGGCCTTGCGCTGTCCGAGTCTCAATCCGGGCGCTAAGTTCCTGCCGTCGTGTAAACTCGGCGACCGAGAACGAGTACAGCCCATCGACGGCGTCTTTATAAGCAAGCATGATCTTCAAGATCTGATGGAGCTGCGTGAGGAACGTCTCCTCCTGATGCTTGTTCGCCTGCGAGGTGGAGCCGAGGAGACCCTTGCGCGTGATTGAATTGAGATATTCGGTATGCGCCTCAATAAGGTCATCCAATGTGCATTCGGGTCTGGAGACCGAGGCCTGCAGTTCGTTCCAGCTGGATTCGATGACCTCAAAAAGGATGTACCACTGCAGCTGGCAGACGAAGTGAATCATTTCGGCGATGACGCATCTTGCCCGTTTCCAGTCCGGCCCAACCTTGTCATCGACGCTTCCCAGGACGCCTCGAGCGCCAGTCATGCACCGTCGCCACGTACTGCCCAAGGCAAACTCAACCCGTTTCACTCGCCAGAGAAAGTTGAACATTTTGAGATACTGCGTAGAGGCCCACGGCGTGATGACGACATCCACCGGAGCATCTATCTTGTATTCGAGCGTGAAACAATCCCAGCCAATCTCGCCGTGACTGAGCTCTAACATGCGAGCATCCAGTCGGCGAAGAACATCCGGCGAGTCGTATTGAGCGTTCGACGCACGGATAGCGTGCTCCAGTTGAGCGGTCAAGGTGTGTCTGTACTGCGAATTGGCAGGCCGGTCGAGATTCGAGGCCAAGGACTCCATTAGCAAGGCAATGAAATCCCCCTGCCCGAGCAGCAAATACTTCTTCAGCGCCTTCAGGTGATCGAACAATTTGAACTTGTCATTCATGAGATAAATGAGTTGCGCCATAGTAGTCTTATAAGCTTCGTCGATTGACGTCTCAAGACTGGCCGTGTCCCCATATCGCAATTCTTTCGATGCTGCTTTGGAGTAGGCCTCCACCCAGCCAGAATCCCCACACCCATATCGTATGAAGTTTAGAGATTTACCAATAAGAAAGACTTTCTTCGCAAAGTCCTGTGTGATGATCGAGGGGACCATCTCATCGTCCAACTTGTATTTATCCTCCCACACACTTGTCGCAATGCGTCGCGGGTCCGTGGCGGGTCTAAATTCGGGCTCGACAACGAAAAATTCTTTAAAAGGATCGGAAAGCTCTCCGTCGTAGATCCACAAGCGAAGCATGTCGTAGAACGGCCTTGTGATATGAGCAAGAAGCTTCTCCGCGAAGGCGCAGACGAAAGGATCTCCATGAGAAGTCGAAAAGCCGTGGATCAAAGATATGAGTTGGCCGCCTTTTTTGTCTGGCTCGTCGTCAGTTTCAATTCTTCCGGGGTGAGAGGGAATGCTTACTCTGTGCCTCCTCGACAATGAGACTCATCAACCGCAGCGCCATTGTCGCATCTCTTGTCCATACAGCGCATCGCTTCAACGTAACACCACTTTTAGACGCGCTAATAGAATTGCTCGAGTCCTCCGAGGCAACCAATGCGCGTCGGATTTCTCCTTCCAGAGTTGCAATGAGGCCTAGATAAGAGCGAAGTTCATTTGAGAGAGCTGCTCGTAAGCTCTGATTAAGAAGACCACCACTGTCATCTTCGACAAAACCGGCCAGCTTCCGATACAGAAGACATGGCTCCGCGATGGTATTGAGGAGTGAGATCATAGGGATGGGAAGCGATGGTGGTAGTTTGATGACAGAAGATGAGGTGAACTCGAGACTCGACGAGGATAAGCCTTGCAGATTGAACGGAAGGTCACGTAACAAGCCATGCTCAGCGGGCCGGGTCAAATTTCTCTGCGTCTCTGCGGTTTGTGGGCGCTGAGTGGCCTGCTCCTCCGCACTAAAGGAACGTCCAGGGGTGTTATGAGGCTGCTCATGATGAACTATTTGCTCCGGGATTCTCTCCGGCTCCAGGTCCGCATCATTCTCAGGTCGTTCGATTCGTTCCGGTCGTCGCAGTGATGCCTTCCGTGCCGGTAATTGCGACGCAGAGGAGCTGATGGCAGGGCCCTCTTCGTCCCAGTTATCGGCCATGCGAGGGCCGGTGCCTCGCCTTGGCCGCTGACCTTTCCAGAGCATGCCCTGCAAATTTTCCGGCTCCATTGGGGGGCTCCGGCTCCTTTCTCCGTCATCCACGTACTCTTCATTGTCATCCGAGCCCGATAACCGATAAAGTAGATACAGGATAGCCCATTTCTGCGACAGCACCGGCTGCGTCAACAAACGCGAGTACATGTTCGAGAACCGCACCGCCTTATCGGGGCTGGCGTTCTCCCGCAACAGCTTCCGCTTGATGAGATCCGGCGCATTGTTTATGTTCTCCCCTCCGGCCAAACTTCCTCTGCGGTTTACTCCCAAGCCCGCCGCACCGGAGGGCGAAGCCGGGTCCTTGGGCGCGTTTGTGTATGCATCGATAATGCGCCACGCGCGCTCGTAGCTTTCGCGATTCCGCTGGGCTTCGATTGCGGCAAAGGTCTCGGTGTCGTCGGAGACGTCGTCGCCAATGGCCGACAGCGACAGCGGGGGGGTGAGGGATTCGACCAACTGGGAAATGGCCTCATCGACGCGACGTGGGCGCGAGGGATGGCGAGCGGACATCGTTCTTCTGCAGCTCCGATTCAGCCTTCACTATGTTCGAGTAGAATAACCTGCGAGCTCCGAGTCGTTGGGCAGGGAAATGTGACGGCAAAATGGTCCGAATGTGGAGCTTGTGTGGAGGGATAGCTAGGAGAGTGGGAAATCATCAAAGGCAGTCTGGGATTCACAGCGAACAGATAAACAATCGCATGGCGCCCAGCGGCCTTTGCAACCAGAAGATGCAGTCGATCGCATGGACTTGGTGTCAGTGGATGTTTTCGGTTTGCCTGGTTTGGACTGTTTGAAGCCCGCGTCGTGCCAAGACGTTCGACGTCACGAGTCCGGCGGAAGGTACGCGACTCTCCGGAGGACCTCAGGTACTATACTATTTACTACGATGTCGATTGGAATGGTGCCCTCTTGAAAGGTCGGAATTTGATTTGATTGAAAGCCCCTGCATGCTTCATTCCTAGACGCCTAGAGACATGTGGACTTGTGCGAACAAATAAAAGAAATTGTTGTCAAAAGCAAGAAGCCACCATTACGCCACCCCAATTGAAAGTACCAGAAACAAAAAGATAGAAAAAGAAAAAGACAAACCGTTCCACGAATATCACACAAACGAATTGAAGTTGTCGCAGCCAATAAAACCTGCCAAATTATAGGAAAGAAAAGAAAGAAGAAAACAAAAGAAGAGGGAGAAGAAAACAAAGATGGGGCAGGGGGAAAGGACAAGCGTACAATCCCCCAGAGATCCGAGCCTGAGAAGTGGCGAGATATTGCGAGGACTTCCAGCACCGGTATAAGACACAAGCAGAGAAAAGAAGAAGAATAAAAGACAAGGCAGAAAAGAAAAGCAGCCAATAAGCTTTTGCGCCGAATTTGCACCTTCCGGTGATATCTCATGTCACACCATCAGATTCAGCCCCTGCGTTTTTGAAAATCGTATACATCATTAACACAACACCTACCCATGCCAGGGCGCCCCATGAGAAAAGTCGAAGCTGAAAACGATCATAACGTGGCGACAAGAATCCAGCCCGGAAAGCTCGAGCCCGGAACAGAGACGGCTCTGCGCTGCGAGACAATCAACGACAACGGCTGCATAGCTTGTACCGACGAGAAAGAACCAGAGATCAGGGCAATATTAGGATCCCGGTCTTTTAGAACTGCCCTCATTGCCGTCGAACTCCCTGTGCGGGAATGGGTGCGCCTGGTTGCATGCCCATGTTGTTGGGGATGCCGTACGGGCTGGGATCATACTGACTCGCCGCGGGCATTCCATTCATCATCAACGGACCGAGTCCCTGCGCTTGCGAGACTGGACAATCCTTGTGAGCGAGCAGCAGGGTTTTCAGGTTGACGATTTCTTCGCGAAGCTGGGTCACTGTGGCAGTGAGAGCATCATTCTCGGAAGTGAACAGTTCGACCTTGGCCTGAAGGTTGGCTAACCACTGCTTCTTGCGCTGTCGACATTTGAGCGCCGCAACCCTAGTGATACCCATGTGAGCGCAAGATACGGCAGCGTCGGTTGAAGGGTACAGCACTTACCGATTTCTTTCCAAGAAGTTCTTTCGCTTCTCTTCGTCAGTCATCTTCTTCGAATCTCCCTGGCCTTTCTTTCGCTGCTCATCGTCGTCGTCGTCAGAGTCTCCGATATCAGAAGGAGGCTCAGGGCTACCGGAGCCCTGGCTGATTTTAGCCTTCTTGTTGGCGCCCTTAGCGGGAGTATCGTCGGCCTTGCGTCGATTGTTGACAGCACCGGCCGTTTTCGTGGCACCGTTCTTCTTAGATTTCCCTTTCGCAGCGGGTTTGCCCTGTTCACCCTGCAGATCCGATGCGTCCCCGCTCGGCTCCCTGCCGGCGTTCGGGGCACCATTGGCAATGTGAGAGCCTCGCTTGTCAGCGTTGGGATCCCGTGCCTGGTCATTGGCTTGAGCATTCTGCGAATGGTTTGGGATGGGGAACTGGTTGGAATTGGCCTGTCCGCCTTTGGCCAACATGAACAGACCATTGGCCGCGTCCGCAGCATCGTGATGACCGAAAGGATCGGACTGGTTTCCTTTAATATCCATGGCTGCAGTTTGCGATGCTTGTTCAGGCTCAGAAGTTGGGTTGGACGTAGGACCATTCGCGCCGTTTTTCTTGGCGGCGAGGGCGGTCCGATGGAATTCGATCGTGGAAGGAGTTGCGCCTCCACTTTGAAGTTGCTGCAGAAGCGCCTGTGAGTTGGGACTGGGTGCCGGGAACATAGACCCGCCACCACCAGGGGTCAGGCCGGTACGAAGCGAAGATTCGTTGGGAGTAGGAAAGCCTCTGCCAATGCTATCGAAATAGTCACTCGAGCCGGTCGGCCCAGCGAGCATGGCAGGACTCAAGGGTCCGGAGCGCAATGAGTTAGACCAGTTGTAGCCACCGCCGGCGGAGCTGGCGCCAGGCAGGGCAGGGGAAGTGAGCGCAGCGACCGGGGGAAGGATCGACTTCCCGGGGGTCTCGCCAGTACCACCGTTGCTGCCGTTGCCGCCAAAGGACTGCTCGAAGGGGTTGGGTTCCAACGAGAACGGGTTGTGGATGGAGTTGAAGTAGTCAGGGGTGTCGGACGAGGTCGTTATAGCAGGTCGAGGAGGTGGTGCCAATGAGGTTTGCGACTCATCGGGCTTTTGCTCCTTGGTATCAGACGAAGAGGGCTTGGAGTCTGCAGAGCGACCAGAGTCTGAGTCAGCGAACCAAGTCCAAGAGCAACGATGAGGTTCAAGATGCGACAACGAGGACAGTATGGGAGTGCGTATAGGCGATGACGCCGTTGCGGTGTTCGGCCAGCGCGGTCAGGGATCAGACAGCAGAGCCCCATCGATGACGCCAATTGTGAGGTCATCCCGACGGCAGAACAGACAACATAAACATCTGGGCAGCAGTGGCGCGTGCGACCAACCCAGAAACAACATCAACGCCGTTAAAATAACCAGAGGGCAGAGGACAATCATGACGAACGCAGACACGAAAAAAGAAAGGTTAAAAGTATAAAGGAACAAGTCTTCCGAGTACTTCGAGGCGAAAACACATTTCCGAACGGCAGCAGCACCAGGGGATTCTACTAACCTTCGGCCTCCAACGCGTTCTTTTTTGAATCCATTGGGGATGATTTACGATGAGGATTTGTTAAGTTGCTTGGAACTGAGGAAGCAACCGCGGCCGACATAATAATGAACTGGGGGAGGGCGATATATTAGACGAGCGAGACGACGCCGCAGGTGACCAGCCAGAGGAGCGCGGTAGACAGAGGGAAGGGAAAAAAAAAAAAAAAGAAAAAAAAAAATCGGCAGCGAGCGAGAGGATAAGTGGCAAAGGCGAGCAAAAGGAACAGAGGCTGGCGAACAAAATTAAGGAATACAAAAAAGATCGAGCGTGAAGCCCGAAGTACAACGATCGAGACGAGACTTGTCGAAATGGGCCTGTAGCTCACGCACTGCACGGTATCGAGAGAGTAACTGCGAAGGGAAGGGAGATGAGAAGTTGTGACGTAGTCGGGTTTAACAAGGAGATTTTAGGGGGGAAAGAGGGGAGGCGGTCGAGTGTCGTGAGCTAAGCGTTCGACTGTCACGCCAAAACTATGCAACCCTGGGTGTGTACAAATTCCCACGGCTCCCCGACTGCAACCTTTGGCTCTCTGGCTTTGGTTGGGTTTTCCTATTCTTCCGTACGATGTATTTTTTTCTTTTCTTTTCTTGTCGAAAAATATGAAATAATGAATATACCATGAATTGCGTCTGTCGACTTGAACTTATATCTGACTTTATCGTCGCTATGTTTTATTTTATTTAATTCTCGATTTTTTATTTTATTTTTTTTTCCCTCTGTGTGTGCCGTCCGGATTTCTAATCGACCCCAGGAACTCGAGATTCAATGGATGGGAACGAAAGGGGGACAGGACCAACTATAGGAGGAAATCCAGTCGTAACAAAGGGGGGGGGAAATCAAGGATGGAACGAATTATGCAGGCCGACGCTGGCCCTTACTTGCAAAAGTAGCCAGAAGGTTTGGGGACGGTGGGTTCCTGGTATTACTTTTCGGCCAATGCCAATGACGCATGCGATCGTTAGATTGGAAGATGGAGGGTGGAACTCCTCCGTCCGGCAGGCCACTCGCCGGGAAAAAAAATAGAAATTAAAAAAAAAAAAAAAAAAAAAATCTGCTGCACACCAAAATCGACAACAGGCCATCCAGCGAACTAGAGTATCTATGACTAACGTCCCAGACAAGATCCTATCCAAAGAGAGGTAGGAATGCTCCAGAGAGAGAAATTCAATTCCCAAACACAATTCCCAGCAGTGTCTCTGTCCGAGAAAGGCCAGGCTTCTTCCCAATCGGGAGTGAGCGACGGAAGAAAATGGGATCTGTCTGGATGGATGAGATCACGGTGACGACGACAGGAATTTTTCCTGGGCTGTCGGACCAGCCGGGTGGCCACTCGCGACAGGTTGCCGGCTCCACCGCGGCCAGCCACTCACGGGCATGGGTCCGGCCCCCCGCCCTGTACAGACCGCGTTGGATCTGCCGTCGAAGGCTGGGCTAGAAGCTGCCGACACGAATCAGGTTCGGAGGGCGGTCAAAATTTTGGATTACCGTCTTCCGTACTTACCGTCTATTCGACCGATTCTCGAATTCGACTCGAAAATCGAGGAGATCAGCCAGATCCGGAGATTTCCATTCGATGGCTGGTTGACTGTTGGGAACCGGTTCTCAGGGGGCGGTGACCGATACATTCGCCCGCACGCTGATTGGATGCGGACGTGATGACGCAATAGTCCCGGGACGTTCGTCCCGTGGTCCAGCATCACGTGACTATGTTCGCGGCCTCCCGTTGGCGGAGCGAGCAGGGATGTTGGCGTTGTCGGATTGCCACCTCGAATCACCCGAGGCCATCTGTACTTCCTCCGGTCTCCGCATGCTGATAATCTACGGGGCAGTCGGAGATAGATGGCCACACGCGTCCGGGCTCTTCTTGTCTGTTGGTCGAGGATACGCCATCTTCCATGTCAACTGCATCAATTCTGCCATCTGGCGTTCTAGAATTCTCCCTCGATGGAATCAAGATCATACGGAGCACCCCGATTGCCAGGTCTCGTAGGTGTGTATGCCATTGGTCAGGTCAGCCTAGATAGGAGTACTCCCGTGTATCTACTCCGTAGTGTGTACACCGCAATCTTTGAGCAGATCGTAAGCAACGGTGAAAAGGCGACTCCTCCGTATCTATCCCGGCATGCACTGGGATGTCCCGAATGCGGATATAAAGGTGCAGGCTGACGTGAGGACTGGACAGCTGGCCTCTTAATCCCAACGTCAGTACGCTGTGGTATGGAAAGGGCCATGGCCTCTCCGTACTAAGGCTGTTGAATCTCATTGTGATAGCCTCTGTCATATTTAGGGTTGGGTGACATCTCGTCGCCATGTTGTGCTAGTCGTCGGCGCTAGACAGGCTGGAACCTATAAATAGTGGGTGGGCTGAACTACCAAGTCGGAAACCTTAAATACTCTGTTCCTCAAAGACCCTGAATAATGTAAAATGATCCCACGGTGCATGATGCAGTCCACCGAAAACTATATATGTTCCTGGCATCCCTGCCCACCGCCCGTAGTCTATTCTAGCTTGAACCCCCTCACCACGCTTGCTCGCAGGTCTGCCGTGCCAAAAAAAAAGCCACCACAGGCACGAGAGCTGTCCTAACACAGCGATGCACTCCGTAGAGTCATGTGGCTTGCACCATGCGCAAGGCTTACCTTGTGCTACCGTCGTTGCTTACGTTGGTGCCTAACTAACCTGCCTACTAATACTCGACAGGATCATAGATGAGCCGCATCTTCTTCACACATCCCCATGGAATTGGCAATCGCAGCGGTCGCAAATGGCGTATAACATGGACTCGTCGTTTGGGAAATTCTTCTACCTCTCCTCGTTCGCGGTGGGGTCGTTCATCGTGAAGAGTCTCTTTGATCAATATGGCACTCTTCCTTTGCATCTATTTTATTCCAGCATTGAGGTCCACTCGTACGACGAGGCGTACAATTACCTCATGTACTGGCTGACGAAGCAGCGTTTCAATGAGAATAAACGCCACCTGATCGCCAGCACATCCCTGACAAGCGGCCAGCCAGATTGGTTCCATGAAAAAGAAAACGAGGATGGGAGTGCCGATGACTTCGACCAGGAGGACACCATCGACGACGCGAAATGGAGGGCTTCATTTGCCAATACCCGCCCGCTGCTGTGGATGCCTTCGACCGGCACGCATTGGTTCAAGTTCATGGGTCGGCACCTGGCGTTGACCAGAGAGGTGGAAGAACACAACAACATGATGTACACGCGCACCGAGAAATTACGGATTTCGTGCCTGGGATGGGACTCCTCGACTTTAAAACAGCTGATGCTGGAGGCTCGAGTGGAGTTTTCGCAAAAGGAACAGGGCAAAACCGTCATCTACCGAGGCTCTAAGAGGGCATTCGACAATGAATTCACCTGGACGCGATCGATCTCACGCCCGGCTCGACCGCTCTCAACTGTCTTGCTGGAGGAGGACGAAAAGCACGCGTTTCTCCAGGACGTGCAGCAGTACCTGCATCCCGCGACGATGAGATGGTACAGCGATCGAGGGATTCCTTACCGGCGAGGCTATCTGTTCTATGGCCCACCCGGCACCGGCAAATCCAGTCTGGCTTTTGCGGCGGCTGGTTTTCTCGGATTGAACGTGTATATACTGAACTTGAACTCTCAACAGCTCACCGAGGACGCGCTCGCCCAGCTGTTCCAGGACCTACCGCGACGATGCCTGGTGCTTCTCGAAGACATCGACTCCAACGAAGTCACCAACCGCCGCACCGCGGAGGCCCAAAAGAAGCGAAAGGGAAAGAGCAGCCTGTCGCTATCCGCTTTGCTGAACATCATCGATGGCGTGGCCGCCCAAGAAGGCCGCGCACTGATCATGACCACGAATCACCATGAGCACCTCGACCCGGCCCTTATCCGACCCGGTCGTGTAGACTATCAGCTTGAGTTCAAGCTTGCCAGTCGTTATCTGGCGAGGCAAATGTTCCAGAACATCTTCCACGAGCCCCAGACGAACATTGATACGAACTACGATAGTCACCCGACTGAGGTCGCCCCCGTAAGCGAACTCAAGAAAATGTCTGATCATTCTTCGTGTGTCTGGGATTCTTCAAGCTCCTTGGCATCAGACATCGAGGAGCTAGCCACGGCTTTTAGTGAGAAATTGCCGGAGTACACGTTCTCTCCGGCAGAGATCCAAGGCTTTCTGCTTCGTCACAAGAGTTCCCCGGAGAGCGCCGTTGCCAGTGTAGAGGCATGGGTAGATAAAACACTAGATGAGAAGGAGCAACGAGGCCTTGAAGAAGTGCAAGATTCAGAAGAGAAGGATGACAAGTCAGATGAAGACCGAGAGGAATCTGCCAACAACGAGAGTGATTCTGACCAGGAGTCAGCTGAGGATGACGGAACTGATCAGATTAACATGCGGGTCCAATAAAAATTGCTCTACTCTTCGACGTCTTTCTGTATGTTTGTGTTCAAGATACTAGACATGAAACTATCTATTTATCCTCGTTGTTTCTTTCAGTCTGCATGTAAAGCTCACGCCAGTTGGCCCCCTTTATATATTAGCTAGACTGGAACAGTGGCGATTTTGATGACATTCGACGCAGAAATGCAGCGAGAGATACAGTCCCTCCGATCATCCGGATTGATAACCATTACGATCCCCGATAAGTGGAATAGTTCCAGGGTCCCAAGAGCACCGGAACGTGATAATGCCGCCAGCCTTCCTCCCCCTCGCGACCTCTGCCTTTAACGGTGAATTTCACCTCCACCTCGGGCCAGAAGCTCTCCACCCCCTGTGCCTCGTACCACGGCCCGACCTCAAACCGGACGGACCAGTTCGTCTTGCTGTCCGCCGCTGGCAGGGCGGAAAGAACGGCGGGAACTGTCGTCGAGGTAGCGGCTTCAGGCGTCCAGTTCTTGACCCGTCCATCTGCGTCGGTGGTGGCGCAGAAACTGACAGGACTCTGGCCGGTGGACGGACCGGATAGCAGAGTCAAGGTCACCGGGAGATTTGCCGCGGGCGTTCCCGTCAGCGTGTTCAGGACATGGCAAGTAATCGGGTCGCGAGACATTGGTGAAGGGGTTTGTGTTCGGGTGGAAGATACGTTCGTTGATGTAGAAGATGAGCTAGAGGTTGGAAGAATTTGGTTCTGGTAGAGATTGAGTCGGTCTGTGATTCTTCCCAATTGGTCACTGGACGGGGATCTTGACCCGAGGTCCATTAAGGAGCAGGACGGAGAAGGGAAAGGGATGATGAAGGGAGAATTCAAGAAAGGAATGGAACAAGGATGGAGGATTAAGTTAAGCCTTTGAGGGAATTGAAGTCTGGTCTGTAGGTCTGTGGGCCCTTTTTCTACCTCCGCTCCTGATGCATCGGAGGAGCCCGACGAGCTGCCTCAAAACACTCCGGAGTATACCTGTAGTGGGGCAAACAGTTCTGATAACTAATGTGTGCCTTACGTTGCTGGACCTAGGACTGCATGTGTCCCGGGGATGTGTCAGAGATTAGCTTGAGGCGATCAGAGCCTCATCCGATGGACCTTGCTATTGGAATGAAGATGAATGGAAAAGTAATCAAAGATGGAGGAGGGAGGAAAGAGGAAGCACAATTCGGAATGAATGACATCGCATGGTCGCCTCAGGCAGTCAGCCCCGCACGTGCCTCGTCCCACACAAGTGACCGGCGTTGGGGAGTTCCTGCTTGGCCTGACTTTCGCATAGTCTACCTCTAATCATCCAACCGCATCTTGTTTGCCCGTCGGTCGCTCCCTTTGAAGCGCCTACAATCCTCCAGAGGCTTCTGAAAAGTTTTGGGGGTTGCGGAGACTCACTACGTGGTAAACTCAACGTCTACCGTCTGTCGAAGCGGTAAGCGACTCACTCCGCAAATCACTTGGTTGCAATGAAGCTCGGGAACTGACTCTGGTTGCAACCGCATTAGTCGATCAAACCTCTGAAAATGTCGTCTACCGCCGTCGTGCAGGGCGACGATCTCATGGAGCCGTCGCTCCAGTCGATTGTCAGCCAAGATACCCTCCGCTGGATCTTTGTCGGTGGTAAAGGAGGTGTGGGCAAGACGACAACATCGTGTTCTCTCGCCATTCAACTCGCCAAGGCGCGCAAGTCGGTTCTGCTTATTTCTACCGATCCTGCGCACAACCTGAGCGATGCGTTCGGCCAGAAGTTTGGAAAAGAAGCCCGCCTGGTGGATGGATATACAAACCTCAGTGCTATGGAGATTGATCCCAATGGCAGCATTCAGGATCTGCTGGCCAACGGCGAAGGACAAGGCGATGATCCTCTCGCTGGATTGGGCGTTGGAAACATGATGCAGGATCTGGCGTTCAGTGTACATGCCCCCCTACCCTGACCGGCGACGGGAAGCCAGCCACTGCTAAGGTTCGGTTAACTTGGCTAACAGCTGTCAGATTCCTGGTGTCGATGAGGCTATGTCCTTTGCGGAGGTCTTGAAGCAAGTCAAGTCCTTGTCGTATGAGGTTATTGTCTTTGATACTGCTCCGACCGGTCACACGCTTCGCTTCCTCCAATTCCCCACGGTGCTCGAGAAAGCTCTAGCAAAGCTCTCTCAGCTGTCTTCGCAGTTTGGACCGATGTTGAACTCTATCCTTGGATCCCGCGGTGGCCTCCCGGGTGGTCAGAACATCGACGAGCTCTTGCAGAAGATGGAATCTCTGCGGGAGACGATTAGCGAAGTCAACACGCAGTTCAAGAACCCCGACCTCACTACTTTCGTGTGTGTCTGTATTGCCGAATTCCTGTCCCTCTACGAGACCGAACGTATGATCCAGGAATTGACGAGCTACAACATCGATACGCACTCCATCGTGGTTAACCAGCTCCTGTTCCCGAAGCAAGGAAGTGATTGCGACCAGTGCAATGCCCGGAGGAAGATGCAGAAGAAATACCTCGAGCAGATCGAGGAGCTTTACGAGGATTTCAACGTGGTCAGAATGCCATTGCTTGTGGAGGAAGTTCGAGGAAAGGAGAAATTGGAGAAGTCAGTCATCCATCCAAACCCAGCTAAATGACCTTGGTTGCTAACTATCTGCCACAGATTCAGCGGCATGCTTGTACAACCGTATGTTCCCCCCGAGTAAGGCGATGGTGGCTCTATGGGATATTCTTTTCGTTGTAGGATGGTCGGTGAATGTTATTGGGATGAGTTATGAAAACGAAATAGACAATAATACACGGAGCATTATTGAGCCCTCCATTTGATTATGTCGATCCTGGGGAGCTTTGGTTATCTTCTGTTCCCTTTTTTGGATGGCCTCGGGATTCGGGCACCCAATTTACCTTTCCCTCCTTTCGTCCCGTCCTTCGCCCTGCTTCCACCTTCTTCATCCTTTCCTTGTCTGATGCAATCCTCGTTATCTTCGATTTCAACCCCCCGCGCCTCACTCTCGCCTCCTCGAGGCTTTTGACACTCGTATGAATGAAGTTGATCAGCTGAAACTTTCTCCAAGGCTATTTCCCACCCCCTGGTAGGTATCTCTCGGAGAATCTGTCCGTCTATCACTCTATCTTGACCTTTCTTTCCGTCGATCATATCATTATGTTGCGATTCTAACCTCTCACATGCATGAGGTTCTCCACACGCGGCGATCCTGCTCAGCTGCAACGACAAATTTTTCTCACGGTGGCATCATCTTCGGTAGCTCTCTGTTTGCTTCCTGACCCGGCCAACCTCACTCACTGGAGATGCCTATGGTCCAGTAGCCACTATGGCCGATCAGTCAAGCTTCGAGGCTGACATATCCGCCGTGATGCGAGTCAGGAGAAGTTTGCTTCTCTAGGCTTCTTCCCAGGCGCCCTTTCCCCTATTATACTTTCGCTCGAGAGGCACAACATTCCACTTGTTACCTGTGGTTTTTACCAACAGGGAAGAAACTACTTGCAGCCCGTATAGATGATACCTTCTGACTCATTTAATTTGATGCGCAAATTTTCCCACGAGCGCTCGAGGCTGCTGGACAGCCGTCTTACATTGGACGCTCTCCAAGGCAAAACCGCCGACGATCGGCCATTCCATTGCATTCTACGCAGGCATGCAGATCTATCATAACGGCTAAATCGGTCTAGACCCGTCGTACGCCAGCGGATTGTCTGCTATTTCACTAACATGCAATTGTCCACAAAAATGCCCCTCGACACCTTGCTCTCCAGATGGAGAGTATGCAGCGCCGGTGGCAAGTCTTACTCTACACAGCGGACACCACAAACTCGAGCATAGAGGATGGAGAGTTTCCCTAAACGCACCTGTGGTCAGCCCTGGCTACGGGACTTGAGGCAGATGTCGTAAGTTCTTGCAGCCAGCAGTCCATTCCGAAGCAAGAAAAGCTTTTCTGGTCTGGTTTGGAAGTAAGCGTCACCTTCCATTGGCCGCGCAATTTAAAAAAAGACCAAGGGGACTTGTACCCCGCCAACAAGACACAAAGTGCAGGCGTCTGGACTTCAAAGACAACTGTGTCGTAGCTAACGCATCGTTGGATAAGTCCGGTAGACTTTCATCGTGCGTGTCTATCTAAGAATAGACATTCAAATTCGAGGGTTTTTGTGGATGCCCAGGACGTGTGGACGATTTAATTATCCCCCGAGAGGGAGCGAAAGTCAATAAAAACCGCAGCATTCGAGACGGGAAGAACAAAAACGAAAAGAAAAAGAAACTCGTTGCCACGCTGACAGGATTCTGATCGAATATACTTAGCGTTTTTCCGTCCACAATCAATGCCGGAGGGGGCCAAAAAGGAAATGAAATGAAAAAGAAAAAAAGAAAAAAGAAAAACACCCTGTCTCGCTATCGTTCCGGCTTCGTGCAGACTTATGTCGTCTTACTCCTGGGGTCCTTCGGGATCTTGAAATGCAAGAAATATTGACCCATGAGGGAATGCATCTAGTCTAGGGGATTGAAAACATGCAGGATATTACGAAGAGAGGTCCCTTGGACGTTCAGCCCATGGAGCCACGCCATCATCAGACCAATCCTCGCGGGCTGCATGTTCACCGCAGAATTGGCCAAGACTGGGAGGAGGACAGGAACAATAACCCCGGGCGCATCAGAGTCGGACGTATTGGCATTTCCTTTCGGCAGCGTCGATTTGTGGAAGCTGCTAGTCTCTGTCGAGGTCAAGCCTCACTTTTCCCCGTGCGAAAGGGTTGGATGAAAGAGTGAGGCGGTTCGCCGGGATCCGACATAAACAACAGCAAGAATGGTCTTCCAGCCGGTTCCTTCTCCTCCTAAACGGGACCTGCCATGACATATTTGGCTCTCTAGGGCGCGTTCGAGTCAGAAAATAACTTTTTTCTGGCTTGTTTTATGGGATTTGCTCGTCCTCAAGGGTCGGCCGTCTCCAGCTAATTAGTGGACCAGCATACGGGCTTCCAAGGCCATCCCCGATCTTCATAACGGCATATCCACATAAAACAACAACCTTATTGTGGTATTTCTAGGTTCGTTAGTGGTCTCCTTGCATGAGCAGTGCCGGGATGGATATTTATATTTCATAGTCTCTCGTAGATGAGCGTTTACAGCTAGGGCTATCGTTGTGGCACTCCTCTTCCTATCACGTCTCAACACATCTATATAGACATTACACCTGTTAGGCCAGTCAATCAACCAAAGCCTTTGCTCGTCAATGAAAATGTCCCAGGTTCAGCAATATTGGCTGCCAGGATACGGTCTCTCTCGACACATCGTCCTTGGGCACATTCAATATTTCCTAGGCCCATCCGCCTCGGTCAGACCTTATACATACCAGGTACATACAATCCACCAAGTTGGCTCCGACGTAGGGCATGGAAAACGGATCCCTAACAGTCAATTTTCACATCTCTCAAGGGACGCGAAGGCTATCTCATTGTGGGCGTACCTCTTACTCGGGTCTCTGCCCCTTCATCTGGCATGGCCAGACACCTTTGGATCTCATTATGAAACATTCTCGCTGACCATGGAACAGGAACAAATCGATGACCTCGCAGTGATGTCCCGAGAATACGAACGACAGGAGTCTCTTCGCATGACCGGTGACTCCATCATTGATCGCTCCGCCAGGCAGTCGGAGCCATATATCAATGAGATCGTGCCGGTTCGAAATCCCGGCCGACGATGCGCAATTGAGCCGGAACCTCGCCGAGGGCGATGATACCGACCACTTGCCTCTGTCAATTGGCTGTTTTGTTCCTTTTGATCTTTCATTTCTTTTCCATCGACGATATCCCTATGTTACGTTGAGCGTTTGTGTACATGCGATTCCCCCTCGAGGAAGCTGACAGGGACTGGCTCTCGCATTGGTTGTTTTCGTTTCTCAGTTGATCCGTCCCAATACTTCTTGATTCGTTCTTAAATTGGCCTGTTTCAACAGCAGGAATTCCCGAATAGGGAGGGAAATCCACAAAAAAGAAAGAGTAGAATCTAATCCATCTCTCTTTTGTGGTCCATGTTTCTGTCATATCGCAACATATTACCATCGGTATTGTTTTTAGAAACAAAGAAAAGAAAGCACAGGCGTCTAGGGAATTCCAAGATCGGATCATATAACTTTTAGACCGACATATGGTGACATGATTCTCGGTGGTTAAACCATGAGGAAAGAGCAACAAACCAAGATTTCTTTTTTAGAAAAAAAAAGAAAAAAGACACCCGAATGTTATTATTCGGATCATAAATAAGCCTCTGATGTTCTATAAATGACACATGAATTATCTTGAGACGAACGAGCAAAAAAACAGAAAGTAAAGAGAGGGCCTCAGGGTTCAGATAGATTCCACTCGTCTCTATAGATCATTCGTAACAGCATAGACTAATCAATCAATCAATCAACCAACCACATGGAAAGAAAGCTTTTTATACCACAGGTAGAGAATCATCGGAGAAGAAAGGGGGAAAGCAAATTGATCAGTGGTTTCTCCGGTCTCTTCTCTCGTCTGGAATTCATTCCACAATCTTTCCATTCTTTCCCCCCTTTTTCATCCCAAGATCATACGTATTTTCATCATCTCACAAGGTTTGGTTTAGTTGAGAAGACGTCGACCAAACCGTGTGGCATCAAGACAGATAAAATAGAGAAACAGAAAGGGGGCAAAAAGAAGATGGGAGGGGGAAAATAAAATAGAATAAAAAAAATAAGGATAAGTCGAATAAAGCATAAATAAATTGTGGAACCACCTAAAAACGCCAGCCTGATGCCACTCTGCTTGGTCCCATCACTTTCTCATCAAGCAAAGCCCGCAATTGCAAATCCACGGGGAATACTAATAGGAACAGAACCGACAGGAGAACGGAAAAAGACGCATCTTTTGAATTCGTGTTTGTATTTTCTTCTTTTTTTTTTATTTGGCAACGGCGGCACTAGAAAGGAGGAATTTGAATTAGTAAAAAAATCTCGACCTGGCATGACCGGGACTGAACGAACCTGAGAACTTGCGTCCGGAAGAAGGCACCCTTCGTCTTCTCAATGACCTGCTGGTACACCGACTGAGGCGGGTGGTTCATGATCACCGTGCCCTCCTTGTAGTCGATCTTCGCATCCACTCGGGTGTCGCGGATCAGGTTGACGATCCACTTCTCGCCCTCATCCTGGTTCAGGCCCAGCCGGGTCGACAGGTCCCTGCAAAAGAACGTTAGCATTCCCCTATACAATCAAATCACGTCCGCGTTCTTCAAAGGAAACATACTTGATGTCAATCCGTTGGTGGATCTTGCAGTAGCTCTCGGAGATCAGGTGGCGGGCAGCCTCGACGAAGGCATCGGCGGCGGAAACCAGGAAGAAATCGCTGCGCAGCACATCCTCGGCCTCACCCAGCTTCTTCTGGGCCTCCTCGAAATCGAAGTCGACATACAGCGCCTTGACGAAGTCGGTGATGGGGTCGGTGTATTCGTAGCCCTCCTGGCGGACAACGCGGATCAGATCCTTCAGCTGCTTCTGGTACATGCTGCTGTTCTTGTGTACGCGGGTCCGGTTGGTGATGACGCCGGCGGCGAGGTATCGCAGGATCCACGGGCAGCTGGTCTGGATGGTGTTGATGTAGGCGGGGGAGAAGAAGAGGTCGGTCAGGACATCGCGGGCGGGATCGTGGTTGAAGTAGGGGAAGAGAGACCAGTGGATGAGCCAGGAGCGGTTCTGCAGCTGACCCAGGGGGTTGTTGAATAGACGGGTCTCAATGGAGTCCTTGACCTTCTGGACCTCCTCCATGGCACCGTCCCAGCTGGTGGTCAGGATCTCCGAGGCCAGCTTACCCCATGTGGCGGACGCAACCTTGTCGTTGTCGGTGGACAGAACTCGGAACTGGTAGAGCAGCTCGGCCGCATTGCCGTAGCTACCGCAGCTGTACTGGAACCGGCCGTAGTCGTACAGGCTGTTGACCATCTCGGTCGTGACCCCGTGCTGTTCCTCGAGGAACTTCAAGTTGGCAACCTTGTCGCTGCGCAGGTTGCCGACGACGCTCTCGTCCTGCAGCAGGTCGGTGATCTTGGCGCTTTCCTCCTGGAAGTGTTGCAGCTTGGCGAGAACCTCCTCCCTCTTCTTCACAAACTCGTCGGGGATCGTGTCGGAGTTGTTGATTTCGGACCAGAGGTTGGCCACGTAGTCGGTCATGTTGGTGTGCTTGAGCAGTTCATATTTCGCCCGGACGACCTCCTTGTCGTCATCCTGGCCGGAGCTGAATTCGAGCAGGGGGAAAACCAGATGGCGGTCGAGGTAGGGGATCAACTTGGGGAGGAGGTCATATTGGTTGGCGATTTCTTCCGCGGTCTTGGGGGGGTGAGCGGCGGCACCGCTGAGCAAAGCCTCGGCGGAGGGGGGAGCGTTGGCTGCCATGATGAACAGCGTCGATGGAGAGAAAAAGGAGGAGAGAGGGGGGGGGAGGGGAGGGGGGGACAAAGACAGGCGACAAGAGCAAGAAGGACGTGGATACGCAGACCAGAGTCTTTCTCAGTGTGCGGCGATGCGAAAATGTGGGCGGGAGGGCTGGTTGGCGCGCTAGTCCCGATGGGGGTTAGCGGCAGGTCTCCGCGCAAAGAAGATCCGGAAAGCGTCAAAGTCAGTCCATCTCGGTTCCTCGCCAGCTTCTCCTCATCCTCCCTGCTTTCCCCTCCTGTCATCGCCATGGCGTCCTTCCTCCAGTCTCGCCCGGTCCTGTCGGCCGTTCGCAAGCAGTCGACCGCCGTGCCTTTCGGCCTGCAGACCTCGTCTCAGTCCATGCTTTCTCGTTCGGGGACGTGTAGCTCATTCTCGTCACTATGTTCCTCGACGAGGTCGACCAACTCTCGTAAGTAGCAGCTATCTATTTGCCTCGAATCATCCGGGGGAATCGCGTGTCGCATCCGGTTATTCCGTGTCTCAGGGACTCAACGGAAGACACGGAATCAGCCCAGAAAAAAAAAAAAAAACGAGATACCAAAGAACAGCATGCCAGAAAACTCATTGACCAATCCCCAGAAAATCCTCGTCAATCTCTCTCCTCTACCGTCCCTACACAACAAAGCCGCACCTTTCTGGTACAATTCCGACGCCAATCCCAGTCCCTGAAAGAGAACCCCCCGTCGAAATTTCCTCCGGCCGATTTGCAACTTACCAACCTTCCCTACTTCATCCGTCGCACACCCTCCAACCAACTCCCCGTGTACCTGATCACGAAAGCCGGCGGTACCAAGCAGCAGACCAAGCTTCAAAAGACTGAGGGAGATCTGGATGCCTTGAGGAAGGACCTGGCACAATTTTTGGGGCTCGAGTCCGGCGATCCTGCCGCTCCCCAGAGTCCGGATGTTGCCATCAACCGTCTGACAGGGCATATTCTGGTCAAGGTATGCGGCCACCCCCTCTGCCCCCCTGGGCGCTTATTTTCAGACCCATGCACCCGTGCCGTGCGGCTAACACATCGTATGACAGGGTTGGCGGAAACCCGAGATCCAGCAGTTCCTGTTGCAGCGCAACTTCTAATTCATATATTAAAAGGGATGGCTCCATCTATGAACATGTGGCCTCCGAAACTCATTGGTCTTGCGCAAAATTCCCGGAACGTCAATCTTCTATTTCCTTAAAAAAAAGCATCGCGAGGTACAATGTCATAGACATCCCAAAGAAATCACAAGACCCGGCAGTAGGCTTACTCCGGGATCAAAAGGACGGCAGGAAAGACCCAAGGACGAACAACGCAAAGAAAAGCAGGATATAGGCAGCAAAGTGAAGGCGTTGGGCCCCCTTCTGGCAATGGCTTTTTTCTTTTCTTTCCATTGCTGATTGCTCCCCCCTTTTCTATAATTCTTTTTCCTTCTCAACCAGCTTCCCATTTATCGTGTATTATTTCCTATTGTACCGGTGTTCTGCTCCGTTTCTTCAGTCTCATTCGCGTTGCCGGGGAGGTGTTGACTGGCTTTCTGCATTGTGGCATTTTCTCATTTCCCTGATCTCTTCTCTGCTGCTTTTGTCGCGCGACTCTCTGTATCCTGTACATGTCCAATGACTTCACGGTTGCTTTTGTGCTAATTCTGTGGTTAATCTCGACAATTGATCTAGTTTTAATGGGCGAAGACAGTATGCCGTGCGAGCCAACAAAGCAATCAGCAGTATTAGCCAACTTGCTCTGGGTCTCGGTCTGGTTTATCCTGAATTCCAATTCATAAATTCATATCGAGTCTAGTCGTTGGCCCGCCAAAGTAATCCAAAGCTCGGGTCCAAAAGGAAGAGCACTATCAAGTCTCCGAGTGCGAGAGAATTGTGGATCAAGATAGAGCAAACTAGCGAAAGGCTCCAAGAAGAACGCGGGAGAAGTATCGGGATATGAAGTTTACCCATTTAGACATCATGCATGATCTTGCGCCCGAGGGTATTGAGCATTGTACAAGGAGTGAGAACCACGATGATACACAATGTCACGCCTCACATAATCTTCCCACCGGCGCCGGAGACGAATAGACACGTAAACCAAGAAATGAAGAGAAGAAGAAAGAAGTTAATAAATAGTTTACTCAATGTGAATAGAAGACATGACGGAAGCAAACATCAACAAAGTATCTTGAGAGGTGTAAGATCTTCGCCTTCGCTAGAAGTAACCAAAATGTAAGGGAAAAATTTAGAAAAGACAAACCAACTATAACCAAGCCATTCCAAATCACTCCGCCAACCGCGCATATGTTATTAGCTGCCGAACAACGCCAGGGTCCACATTTGGCATTAGCAAGGCCCCGAGTAAGCTTTCTTTCTTGGGGATGATTCCAGACGGGAATCGCAATGCGCAGTTTGTGTCAACGTATATTGACTTCTCGGCTAGTCGCCGTAGAATAGCCAAGCCACGGTTGATGATCGAGCCATAGGCGGAGGCTTCGGCTTCGGCTTGTCCCCTGGCGGCATGGGACTGTCGGGTATTGGTTTGGGTGGGCGGAACACGTTCCGTACTCAATAAGCAAGATAGTCGCAGCAGATGTATGGCAAACCCATCAATGGATTCAAGCCATGCTTTGGCGAGGGTTCCATCCGCGAACCCGCTGAGAATATCCGCGGCCAGAAGCCCCTGCATGAGGAACACTTTGCGAGCATCTGCTATGGCGAGCGGCTTCCGAGGCTGGTCGGGAACTGGGCAAATGGCAAGCGCAAACGACCGTGTGAGCAGTTCCAATTGAGGGCTTCCACTGCCATCGCCGACGAAAATCGTTCTGAAGAAGGTTCGATTGGGTTCATCTCGGGCCAGTAGTTTTGCCAAACTATCCACTGCAGCCGGGGTATATTTGTGAATTGATGGGTTATAAGCCGTGAACATGACACCCTCTGGCCCCAGTGTCGGGCCTGGGAATGGCGCGAAGGATAGAAGGAAGTGTAGGAGGCAGAGCGCCTCCTCCTTGCTCGGTAATTGAACCGTGTGGGCCAGGTTACTGAGGTAAATCACGGTGTCCTTCATAAAGTCCAGCGTGTTTTGGTGAGTTCGCAGGAGCATGTTTCGGGTTCCCAGATAGCGGATGATGGTGGAAATAAACTGGATGACGGGAGGTGTTGAGAGGATTCCAAAGTTGGATTCGGTAAATGAAAAGTTGCGCAGAATGGTCGTAATGCAAATAAGTCTATCCACGGCCCGGTCTAGCTCATATTCAAGGCTTCCAAATTCAGGAGTATCCGCCAGGGATGTCCACTCTGATTGACACCCACGGGTGATTTCTTCATAGGATGGAAGAAGCATCATGTCTGAGACTTCCGCCGCGTGTTCAGCGAGAAACTCAGCCTGGTCTTCGGCACATTCGATCAAGCTTTCCACCAAATCCTCGCAATTGTCCAGCGAGATCTGAATTGCCGGCTCACAAGAGATGGATGCCAGAGTATCTAGTGCCATGCGCATCTCCGCATGCATTCCAGATTTGATACTCATCGTGAGTGCATGAATATCAATTACACCAAGTTCGGCAAACGTGGGAACGTTGGGTTTTAGCCTGGAAATATCTTCTCCAAGTTGATACATATCATCCACGACAATCGGACCATGTTGATTGTTCTCCGACAGGACCATAGGCTTGAAGGGATCCTCGATGGGTTGCTTGAGAGGCATATTGGAAGGCTGCTCAAACTGTTCGGCAGGTTTGCCGGGTACGGATACAGGGCCCTTCCCTGATTGCGCAGGTGATTGTGCCGGTACCTGTCCAGTAGGGTCGTGTGGCGTTGCTGGCGGTTGGGACTGGCGGGAAACACTCAGTCGATGTTGATGCTGTTGTTTGACCGGCCCTTTGACCGGTGTCGGGGTTGCGAAGCCGTTCGAGGCATTGTTTTGAACACTGCTGGATACCGACGCGGTACTAGGAGAGGGATGGCCCATCTGCTGGGGAGTCTCAAACGCTTGCGGAGGCTTGACAGCCGGCGACTGGAACTGCATCCCGGGTTGATCGGGGGCCGGGCGAGGAAGTGACGTCTGCTGCTGCATCTGATCTGCGAACTGTTTCTGCTGTGTATTGAGAAACGCCTGCTCGTAAGCAGCCAGATTTCGCTGGTAATGATCGCGAATTTCTTGCACAGCCATCGGAAATTGCATCGGCGGGAAATTAAGCTGTTGAGCGATCACCGACCACATGTTGGTTGCCGATATCTTCTTAGATCCACCCAATTTCATGACCGTGGCGTAGAGCTGGACCAGATTGATTGGGCGACCGCTTACGACCGGGTTGAGGTCGAGAGGCATATTCCGCGACATCATGAACTTCTGCAACGATCTCATGAATCCTTCGGGATTGGGGGGTTTCGCCATGTTTTGCTGCATCTGCCTAATGGCCGCCATCTGCTGGGGGTTCGCCATGGCGTTCATCCCCGCTGCAACGGGGCGCCCGGCCATCGCTGGGTTCATGTTCATCGGCCGGCCTTGATTTTGCATTTGCATGGCATGTATTCGCTGTTGCTGCTGCTGAGCAGCCATGGCCTGCTGGTATCCCTGGGGCATGCCACCGAATTGCGCTTGCATCGGTGCTTGGACCGCCGCGGACGACATGGCGGTTGCCGGCGAAAATTGCGGCCCCATGCCCTGAGGGAATGGCTGACCAGGCATGAAGGAATTGTTCTGCGGGGTATTCACCCTGCTCGGGTGGTCCGGTTGCGACGGCGACATTTGCGCACCAACATGAGGACCTGCGGGCGAAAAAGGGCTTGGGGATGCCGTTCCCATTCTCTGCACGCCGTGTTGATCAAATTCCTGCATGATCGGAGATTGCGTCACATTTGGAGTGGCTCCTTGCGGCAGGTGTTGATACTGGCTCATATGCGGAGCAAACTGCGGTGTCCCATTCGCCGGTCCTTGATATCCTGGGAAAGGGACCTGGTGGGGTGTTTGCGATCGCGACGCAGCAATCCCGCCCGGTGCCTGTCTAGGGGACATGGCGATGCCATCCTCCGGCCGAGGCCGTTTGGACGGAATCACCTGGTTAGGGTTGTGGAAGCCGGGAGAGACATTTCGCGGCACGCCGTTAAACATGCGTTGGAACTGGTTAGGGTCGGGAGTGGGGGATGCATGGAGGAATGCTGTTGAAGGATCAATGGTCGCCTGGTGGAAAGCACCATTATCATGGCTGGGAAGATTCGAGCCGTCGGCTAGCCAGGCATTCATGTCGTGTGGTTTTACCAACCCATCTGCAGGTTGAGGAGAGCTGTCAGAAATTATGGCACACAGCAGGCTGGACGGTCAACATGCGATCGACACAAATCGATGCACAAGGCCCATGATCCCGATAGGAACCAAAGAGCAAACTCGGAATGGATGGAATGCAATTAGGGGATGGGATATTAACGCGTCGACTTATGGGGCGGCACTAGGTCGCGCTCGGAGTCTGCGACACGAGCGAGGTGAGGCAAACAACGAGCGCACCCAGGCAGCGCGACGACAAGGCGGGGGGGAGGTCTGAGAAAAGCATCCAGGGACAAATCCAGACGAGGGAAGTAGGTGCAGCATGGTCAAGGGACAAATATAATGTACATACCGACAAGGCTGGATAACTAAAATGCCGACTCACAAGCGGATGGAAGCCGGTCCCGAAATAGCAGCGGTTGGAGGGCGCAAGAAAGAGTGCGAGGAGTGAGCGGTCACGGGACCGAGCGCGCCGTTGGCCGAAAATGAGTGGAAGTACTGGAGGACGCTGCCATCAGCATCGAAGCAGAGGGCTGGAAATCAGCTGTATTACGGCAGTTGGGGGCAATTCGAAGGGCAAAGGTATAAAATCATAAAAACAAAAATAAAATAAAATCGTATCAAAATCAAATCAAGATACTGGGACAAGCCTCAGAAAAAAAAAAAAAGGAAAAAGAAAAAGAAAAAGAGAAAGAGATCACGGTTCGCAGCAGACGTGCGTGGCCAGACAGAGTGCGTGGCCACAACCGCAGAGGCGTGGGGAGGAGAAAGCAGGCAAAATCCAATCATTGGAGGGAGAGGCGGGGAACAGAGAACATACCTGATCAAACGGCGCTGGGTATTGTGAACAAGCTCCGGGGGCTGGTATCTTATTCTTGGTTTATTTTTTTCCACGTATTCAATTTTAAATAATTTTTTCCACCTCGGACTTTGGGGAGCGAAGGAGATCGCTTCGAAAGCAAAAGAAAGTGGAGGCACGGAAAAGGTGGGAAGGGCAAGAATGGAGACGGGCGTGGAGAGAGCGAGGGGATGAGAGTCGAGACACCTCCAGACGAGAAGCGCAGGAAGGGGGAAAGAGCAGTGAGGAGCAGGCCGGAAATCGCAGGGAAAAGGTACGTACAAAACCTTCCCTGGTAGGTTATTTTACCAGTAGTCGCTGAGCGAAGGGGAGGAAGCAAGTCAGGTCGACTCGGGTCACTTGCGAGCCGCCCTGGAGGTTTCCTTTCGGCAGGCGGAATCTCCCGGCAGCTGCCCGCTTAGCTAAGCGCCGCTTACATCGTGGTTCTGGATTGCGTTGACCAGCATGCAATTAATTGGTAGACATCTTGCAAGTGAGATTCATCCCATAGTGCTGGTGAAAGAGAAACATAAAAAATCAAGAAAAAAAATTGTTCTCTCGTCAGAACCCTGCCAGATATTCGGTTAGTTGAACGCGGCCGGTGGGTTGGTTTGTTTGGTAAGTGGGAAGTATACATGGGGTCCGCGATCAGGAATGAAAAGAAGCAAGCATCGTGGGATACAAATCATACAAATCAAGGGGGAGGGGAATCCAAAACGACTCCTGGGGATGGGAGGATCTCAGGCATGGGAACCCAAAAATCACAGATGAAAGCAAAGAAGAAAAGAAAACAGCCCCGGTAACAGGAGAAAAGGGCGTCTGCTGCTCTTATAAACTGCTGAGGTAAAGCCCACCGAATAATTAAATCGCCCAATCTGAGTAGTCACGGTATGGATGAGCATTTGTCGCCCGCTAAATCCACGACGCTCGCTAGATATATACCATCTTTCCCACCCTTGCACAGATCCCTTTCCAGTAGACTCTCTAGTTTCGTCTTTTTCTTTTTCTTTTTCTTCCCCCTTTCCCATTCTGTTGCTAGAAGAAAGAATAGTGATATTTTACGTTGGACTTGGATGCGAAGCAACCCCCTCTTTCCCTTTTTCTTCTGTCTTTCTGAAATTCCTACCTAGCATTGTCCCACCTGCCACGTCCTGACGACGCACTAAATGACTAGGTGATTGGCCACTTTTTGGAGGTCCGGATCGGTTCCGTGGAGCATCAAGTGAAATTAAGAATGGAACACGATATGGGGTAGGTGCCATCGGGGAGTTCCAAGGGTGTGATGAATAGAGAGACCCTGCTGGAACCTGGTTGGTACGCCATCTTTGCCAGTCTAGACCCGGTGATGTACTAGAATACACCTTTTGCCCAGTATGAATCACAATCATCATTCTGCAACTATATATTTAATTGCGCCACGAAACCACAGTCATGATCTCACAGATGATCCCCCCACCTGAAAATACCCTACGCACTGTAGACCACGTATGATACAACCAGGCAATTCGAAGCAAATTTTGCATCAAGGGATTAATTGCATCAGTAATGTACAACACCCAGCATCCATAGGAGGGGTTCAAAGATGGTGCTTATTGCTTCTTCATACCATTAGCAGAAGATATCAAAAACTGGAAGAATATTTTTTATATTATTCTATTTAATTTTATCTTCTAGTGTATGAAGCCCGGTGGAGTGAAGCGCATGCGTTGTGATTGTCCCCTCGGGCAGGAGATGATGCCTCGCCACGCCCGAACAGCATCGACGACCATCACGTGACCCCAGTTGGTAAGCTACGACAGCCCGGCTGGTCCTGAAAGCTTCCGGTTCATTCAACTACGCACTCCAACTTATCTTCACCACCTTCTCCCAGTCCTTTCTCCCACCCCCCACGCGAGTGCAAGCACCCGGTACTTCTTTTTCCCTCGTCTCAATCAAATTTCCATCATGGGAGACGTTGCCGTGGAGAACCCGGCGCACGTCACGCCTTATACCAAGTCAGCTCCATTGGACACTATTCCCAACATAGAATCCATCGAGGGCACGGCGAATGATGGAGGTGATGAATATGCCACCCTGAAGAAACTTCAACGACACTTAGAGTATGCTGGACGCCCGTCATCCTCACACAGCCGTTGCTGACAGCTGCCGCCAGGTACATTCAACTACAGGAGGAGTACATCAAGGATGAGCAACGGTATGTCCCATCGCCTTGCCCCCATCATTTAGAATATCAACTAATCAGCATGGCCAACAAATAGAAGCCTGAAGAGAGAGCTGGTTCGCGCACAGGAGGAAATCAAGCGGATACAGAGTGTTCCCTTGGTCATTGGCCAGTTCATGGAAGCTATTGATCAGAAGTATGTTAAAACAAGCGGGCGCCTAATTTCCATGCTAACATGTTTTGTCATAGTACTGGTATAGTGCAGTCGTCGACTGGCTCGAATTACGTCGTCCGTATCTTGTCCACGCTCGATCGCGAAAAGCTCAAGCCGTCATCCTCGGTCGCCCTTCATCGCCACTCCAATGCCCTCGTTGATATCCTCCCCCCGGAGGCCGACTCGTCTATTGCCATGCTCGGTGAAAATGAGAAGCCGGATGTATCTTACGCGGATGTTGGTGGTCTTGATATGCAGAAGCAGGAGATTCGGGAGGCGGTCGAATTGCCCTTGACGCACTTCGATCTCTATAAACAAATTGGTGAGTCAGATGGGTAGGAATGAAAAGGTGTTGTGGCTGACTCTCTCGCAGGTATTGACCCCCCTCGTGGTGTCCTGCTGTACGGCCCACCCGGAACTGGTAAAACCATGCTGGTCAAGGCCGTGGCCAACAGCACGACTGCCAGCTTCATTCGCGTGAATGGTTCCGAGTTCGTCCAGAAGTACCTGGGAGAAGGTCCTCGCATGGTCCGTGATGTGTTCAGAATGGCCCGAGAGAACTCCCCTGCGATCATCTTCATTGATGAAATTGATGCCATCGCCACCAAACGTTTTGATGCCCAGACGGGTGCCGACCGTGAAGTCCAGCGAATCCTGCTGGAGTTGCTGAACCAGATGGACGGTTTCGAACAGTCGAGCAACGTAAAGGTTATCATGGCCACCAACCGAGCGGATACCCTTGATCCCGCCTTGCTTCGTCCGGGTCGTCTGGATCGTAAGATCGAGTTCCCGTCGCTGCGTGACCGACGGGAACGTCGCTTGATCTTCACGACCATTGCTTCCAAGATGTCTCTGTCCCCGGAAGTCGACTTGGACTCGCTAATCGTGCGCAACGAGCCTTTGTCGGGTGCCGTGATTGCTGCCATTATGCAAGAGGCCGGTCTACGGGCCGTGCGAAAGAATCGGTACAACATCATTCAAAGCGACCTCGAGGATGCTTATTCCGCTCAAGTCAAGACGGGACAGGAAGCAGACAGGTACGTGCCTCCCTTTCGATCTCATCCTGCGTGTCGATTGAGACTAATGTATTACGATACAGGCTGGAGTTCTACCGCTAAACCGGGATCGGTTGGTAATTAATGTGCTGGAAATGGGACATGCGCATGGCGAACGGGGGGTTCTTAGTTGTATCATCAAGGTCTAGAGTTCCACTTATATAGGGAATCGACTGGTGTATTGGACATGTTCCTGTGGACTGTAGAGACCAAGTAGACTGTTAACTCTTACTGCGTAAATCTTCAGATTCGGTGTTCGTCTTTAACCTTTGCCAAGACTCTGTTAGCTGAATAAGCCAGTCGGGGAGGGGGGACCTTCAGAGCGGTCTTACATCATCAGCGGCCGCGGCCGGAATGACTAGTCCGATAGATAATCACTAGTTAGTTGACAGTGGGCTAAGATAACAGCGCAATCGCGTGATGGCCGAGTACAAGGGGAGAGAATCCCGAGTAATATGGATAGATACAGTAACGACCTACCTAATAATAAGCCATCTCCTGAAACATACGCTGTGCTGGTCACCTCGGCGCTTGCGACCTTGCTGGCGGTGCCTGAACAGTTGCTCGCTGCCTGTTGGATGGGCGGCAGTCAAGTGATGCACCCGTGATGATCCTCCCCGGTCCAATGACGCAGCTGGGGCGCCATGATTGGCCGGCTCCACAGCTAGGCAAGGTCGCTCCGCAACCGACTCATCTCACTCGCTCTCGCTCTCCTTGCCCGACTTCGCTCCCTCCGATCTCTCTTCCTTCCCATCCTCTCTTCATCTCATCGTTACCTCTCCCATCGACCTTTTGTATCCATAGAGACGTTCTTTAATCCAGTCCTGGTTCTTCATCAAACTACGGTCTCTGCTGCCCATCATGAAGTCGGCCTCCTTGCTCACGGCCTCCGCGCTGCTGAGCTATGCTTCCGCCGAGGTTCACAAGTTGAAGCTCAACAAAGTCCCCCTGTCGGAGCAATTGGTGAGTCAAGCAATGCCTGAGCTTTTCTACCACGATCGTATCTCTGCAATACGCACTGTTTGCCTGGCGGTAAACTGACCGATATATCTATCAGTACACCCACAACATCGACGCCCACGTGCAAGCTCTGGGCCAGAAGTACATGGGTATCCGTCCTACCACCCATGAGCAAATGTTCCAGAGCAGTCCCGTGAATGACATGGGTCGCCATGACGTGCTGGTCGACAACTTCCTCAACGCTCAATGTAAGGCCTTCTGTCAGCGCTGCCTCTGCGGGATGTAGTACTAATCAACTTCAGACTTCTCGGAGATTGAGATCGGCACGCCCCCTCAGAAGTTCAAGGTTATTCTGGATACCGGTAGCTCAAACCTCTGGGTCCCTTCTTCGGAGTGTGGTTCCATCGCTTGCTACTTGCACAACAAGTACGACTCGTCCGCGTCGTCCTCGCACAAGAAGAACGGCAGCGAGTTCGAGATCAGATATGGATCTGGTAGCCTGAGTGGATACGTCTCTCAGGACACCGTCAAGATCGGTGATCTGGAGATTAAGGATCAGCTGTTTGCCGAGGCGACCAGTGAGCCCGGCCTTGCTTTTGCTTTTGGTCGCTTCGACGGCATCCTGGGGCTGGGATTTGACACCATCTCCGTCAACAAGATCGTTCCCCCCTTCTATAGCCTGCTGGACCAGGATCTCCTTGATGAGGCCGTGTTTGCTTTCTATCTGGGAGACGCCAACAAGGAAGGTGACAGCTCCGAGGTTACCTTCGGTGGTGTTGATGAGGACCACTACACCGGTGATCTGATCAAGATCCCTCTTCGCCGCAAGGCGTACTGGGAGGTCGACTTTGATGCCGTTGCTCTCGGTGACAATGTGGCTGAGCTTGAGAACACCGGCGTCATCCTGGACACTGGCACTTCTCTCATTGCTCTGCCTTCGACTCTTGCTGAGCTCCTGTAAGTCTTACCTTGGTCCTCGTGCTCATGTATGATTAGTCTGCTAACGTGTCTTCCAGGAACAAGGAAATCGGCGCCAAGAAGGGGTTCTCTGGCCAGTACTCGGTCGAGTGTGACAAGCGTTCGTCCTTGCCCGACCTCACCTTCACCCTGAGTGGCCACAACTTCACGATTACCCCATACGACTACACCTTGGAGGTTCAGGGCTCCTGCATCAGCGCCTTCACCGGCATGGATTTCCCCGAGCCCGTTGGCCCGCTGGCTATCCTGGGTGATGCGTTCCTGAGAAAATGGTACAGCGTGTATGACCTTGACAACGGAGCCGTTGGTCTCGCCAAGGCCAAATAAGTGTTATGCCGACAATGGCATGCTCTGGTTCCGCGTCGCGTGGTTCCTGGATGTGCCGATGTCCCCTTTGTAGCTGGTCTATCTGTTATGCGTGTCTTAATACCTGGATTTCCTCTCTGTCTCTCCGGAGGAATCGGGATCGGGGGAGAGAGTTATGTGGCGAGTGATGTGCATTCTGTGTTATTTCGAAACTGGAATCCTCGAGTGGCGCGCTCTTAGTTTTAGCTTCTCTGTCACCGAGTAATTGAATGTTGATAACTCTTTATTCTTCCCACTGACGCGACCTACCAGCCTGGTTGGGAGCTGAGAGACAACCGCGACCTGAGCTTTAGGTGAAATACGGAGTAGATTGACGTAGCCAACAAAGGGAGCCATGAAAGACGGACCCTTGGAAGGGTCTGGGCCAAGTCGGTGTTCTTTTGTCTGGCCCCGCACGGGCTGCCGACCACCCAACCGGACTTCGCTCTTCTGCCTGCCTTGGCAGCCAACCTTCTTTCACGGCTCCTCCTCACGCGCTCTTTTCATCATCACCACCACTCTCTTTCTTTGGCTCACCCCCCCCCTAAGATTGTGTTTCTTCTTCGGATATATCTGTCATTCCATTGCCTATCTGCGGCGCCGGAGTCGCTCTTCTCTACCAGTTTTCTTTGCCCCTCCCTCTTCCCTCGTGCGCTTGTCGCGTTCTGTGGCAAATTTCCTGCCTCTCATCTGAGCTACTCTTTCACCTCGGTCAACGTCAGCCCCCGTCATATCCTGTGTTTCCTAGTAGGGGTCACCCCCAACCTAAGTCCTCTGAAATCTTCCTTTTGGACAGGTCGGATTGAGTTTCGCCAGCTTCCGGTTTTTAATCCGTGATTGGCGCACGCCGGGTATGGCTCCATAGCCGTCCGCCCCGAGACATCTCAGCTCACTCACAACCTCACACCTCATTATTTCCTTTTTTGAATTACGGTATTGGCCGACTGTGGAGGGATTTCAAAGCTGCATTGGGGGAAATTGGGGGAAGAGAACCAGGAACTAAACGAACCAGGCTTGCCCAGGAGCATGCTTCTGCGTTTACCGCCTAGCCTCCATTACCCGATCACCGTAACGTCGTTGCTCAAACAGCCCGGCGATGCGGTGGAAAGGGACGAGGCTTTATTCTGGTATTTATATCAAACGACTGTCACGGAAGGAGACGGACTCGGCAACAAAAATGATGTCCTGCGCACGTTTCCGGCCAAATTTGAGTCCACCGCCGATGGAGAAATTGTGCAGTGGAAGGTTACGAAGGGCGATGTGATCAAGGGACCGTAAGTCTTTGGCTTGTGACTCGCTATACTTGGCGGGGGAATCAAGATTCGCTAACATGTGGGATTAGTGTCGACATCGTGGAGATCGATGAGCCATGTGCTCACGAGGTGCAATTTGGAGGGCTCTGCGCAGAATGTGGAAAGGACATGACCGAGTAAGTAAACGAGGGGTATCTGATGATACTAAGCTTGATCATCTGGCTCTGAGGGTCTAACTTGTTTGATTTCTAGATCGACATATAATACGGAAGTCACGGACTCGATGCGCGCCCCCATTCAGATGGCCCACGATAACACGGCGCTCACCGTGAGCGAGAGGGAAGCTACCCGAGTGGAGGAAGATGCGAAGCGCCGTCTTTTGTCGAACCGGAAGCTCTCGCTTGTGGTGGATCTCGATCAAACAATTATCCATGCTACTGTTGATCCGACCGTTGGAGAATGGATGGAAGACAAAGATAACCCAAACCATCAAGCGCTGAGTGATGTTCGAGCGTTTCAGCTAGTGGACGATGGCCCGGGAATGCGCGGATGCTGGTACTATGTCAAGCTACGACCTGGACTAGAGTCTTTTTTGCAGAATGTCGCGGAGCTCTACGAACTGCACATTTACACTATGGGTACTAGGGCATATGCACAGCATATCGCAGGGATTATAGACCCGGATCGGAATTTGTTTGGCGATCGCATTCTCAGTCGTGACGAGAGTGGCAGCTTGACAGCGAAGAATCTTCATCGCTTATTCCCCGTGGACACGAAAATGGTGGTCATTATTGATGACCGTGGGGATGTTTGGCGCTGGAGTCCTAATCTTATCAAGGTGTCCCCTTATGATTTTTTTGTTGGGATAGGAGACATTAATTCGAGTTTCCTTCCCAAGAAGCAAGAGTTGGAAGCAGTCAAAAACGAAGCGCCAAAGCCCGCACCTCCGGCCCCGAAACCGCCGCCGTTGGAACAACATCACGCCAATGGCACGACGGCGAAAGCGGGAACGGACCCAGAGGTGTCGACATTGGAACAACTGGTGACTATGGGCGGTGGAGACAACCCGAGGTTGCTTCAAGAGCAGAGCGATGCGCAGGAGGAGACGATCATGCACCAGGTCGAGGATCGCCCGTTACTGCAAAAGCAAAAGGAATTGGATGCCGAGGATGATGCAGCTGAGAGCAGCGATTCGTCCACGAGCGTGGATGAGTCGCAAGATCCTAGCAAGCAGCGACATCATTTATTGGAGGACCACGACCGGGAACTTTTTGAACTAGAAGGACGGCTCGAGCAAGTACATAAGCAGTTCTTCGATGAGTATGAAAAGAAGCGCCTGGGGGCATTGGGTGGAAGAGTGGCCGCTCTGAGAGGCGAGAAGACACCGTCAAAGGACAGGGATGTGGATTTGAAGTTGGTTCCCGATGTGAAGGACATCATGCCGCAAATCAAGCGCCGAATACTTGGCGGTGTAGTCCTGGTATTCTCCGGAGTACTTCCTCTGGGGACAGATACCCAGAACGCCGACATATCTTTGTGGACGAAGAGCTTCGGCGCTGCCATTTCCCAGAATATCAACCTCCGGACCACGCACCTGGTGGCTGGCCGAAACCGCACCCAGAAAGTCCGAGAAGCCACGCGATATCCGAAAATCAAGATCGTCACGACACAGTGGCTGCTGGACTGTCTAACGCAATGGAAGCGGGTGGACGAGGGGCCATACCTGCTTCCCGTTCACCCTGATGATCGAGGCGAGCCGATTGACCCTGGTTCATCGTGGCCTTCGTCTTCTGACGAGGGAACCGGCACGCCCTGGACGGATGAAGAGGGCGGCACATCGGAGTCTACGGATGACATCCTCAAGTCCTCAGGGCTTGACGAGAGCTCGCCCATTGGGTACGACGCTGACCAGCAAGCCGCGATCCACGAGGAGCTGAAGGAATTCCTTGGGAGTGACGACGAGAGCGAAAGCGACAGCGAAGCCTCTTTCTTGGTGGACGAGCCCACGGCATCGGCACCGGGCAAGAAGCGAAAACGAGGCGAAGGGCCAGATGACAGCGATGATGACATGGAAGATCAGGATAGCCAGGGCGAAGATGGGGGTGACTTGCAAGGCTCACGCTTATCGCAACGGATCAAGCGGTCGTATGAACGAAGCACCGGACTTAGGGCTGTGGCGAGTGCAGAGCCCTCCCAGGAGATGACCGAACGTGACGACAATAACGACGACGAGGAGGATACACCGTCTGAACCCAAAGAGTCATCAGCCAGATTCCCCGAAGACCCGGCGGACGACGACGACGAACTGGAGCGGGAGATGATGGCGGCCTTTGGGGAGGAAAGCGAACCGGACCATGACAACCCTACTACGGCAGAACTACCTTCGGCCGACAAGTAGGCAACCCGGAGACGTTTCTGTAGTCCAGTCGGATGAACTACGACCGAACCAGTCTGGCTTGGTGGACAGGCTACTTCGTGCGACTTCCCGACTCGCCGTTCGATCCTTTTGTGTTATGATTTTCCGTGCTTGTTCATTTCGTTGCAAATGGTTGCGATGCAATGTTCGCATAGCGATGGCGTTAGGACCTGCATAATCACTCGAGTCCCTTTCTATTCTCTGTTCCAAACATGTTCTCTCGACGTGAATTGAAAGGTCTACGAGAGTTTGAGGCTGGGATGTATTTGGGAGTGATCGTGTTAATTCTTGATAAATAGCTAGGACAATTAACTTCGGATATATCTCAATTGAGTTGGAAAAAAAAAATATATATGAGAACAGGGAAAGGCCCCAACCACATGTTCATTATTAGTACATTGAATGCCTTGCGAAGGAAACAACTAATCAAACGCCATGCTTGCAAATCACACGTAAAATGGCAACATACCCTCGTAAATTCATCCAACATGAAAACAAGCGAGAAAGAATAGACAAAGTCACAAGAAGGATACGAAAGCCCCAACATTAATCAATGATAAACATCCCGGTTTACCTGCCACGACATGATCATCATCCACAGAAAGAAGATCGTGTTGACAAGCTCGAACGCAAATGCCGTCTTCCAGCAATTACCTGTCAATTCCGGTCAGTCTTGCCTCGGAGATATCTGCAGCTGCAGCTGCAGGTAATTATTCCATGGAGAGGATGCTTGCCGGTGCATCAAAATATCCCCCGACATAGAAGGGAACCCGCCAAGAAAGAAGACGGGGGAGAAGGGGGAGCATACATATGGTACTCTGCGTCAACCACGCCATGGTCTGTAGATTATTCCCCCCGAAGTGATTGTCATCCACGTAGATCTTGCAATTATCGTCGACATTGCCGACGACGCCGTACAATTGGAGCGAGGTCTCGATGAGGCCGGTCAACCAGAGCACGAAGAGGATGAAGCTGCCAACGATGATGATGCCGGGAAGGAGGAAGCGTTGCGCGGCGAGGATCAGGGTCAGGACGATAAAGAAGACGCCGAGGGCGCCGGAGACGACCATATATGGGAAGAGCCTTTTTTTTTGAGGTTCAGGTCAATATATTGACGGACGGGTGGGGGATTTCCACGGGTCAGAGGGGTGGAACGTACCATGGTATCCCGAGTTTTAGTTCGGACTGCACGACCATGAACCAGGAAAAGATGCCGAGACAGATGGCGGAAGCAGCGAGGACGATAATGATCCATATGTTGAGCTGGAGTTCGGGCCAGTGATAGCGTCTCCGACGATAGGCGGGTCGCACGGCCATGGTGGATGTGTATAGAGATCGTAGTTCGGGGACTTGTCGATAGATGGATGGACGGATGGAGATCGAGTGGCTATTCAAGCTGACTTATTGGGGACAGCATGAGAATTCGTAGGCTCCGATCCAGGATTATTGGCATATAGGGTTGGCGGGTCGAGGATTATATGGTATAGCGAAGTAGAGACCGCCGAAGATGATGCTGTCGGGCACGAGAAGCGTGCAAGGCGGAGAAGAGAATGGAAGAGAACAGCGCATCAGCGCCGCAATCCCCTGGAGACCTCCAGCCAGTGGGGAGAGATCGAGATCCCGTTGGGCTTCGACGGGAAGATCAATGAAGCGCCGGTGATTTGATTCTTGCGCGATGCTTTGATGCGTTGGTCGTCCTTGTTATGTCAGCGGGCCTATTCTTCCGCCGGAGTTTGTCCTGCAGGGATTCTAGTCTTGCAATCAATTCTTCACTGCCAAAACCCCCGACTCGAGACCCGGATTCCCGTCGCAAAGAATGCACGGAAGACAATTGCACCAGTGGGAAAGAATCAGACCGACCGGTCACCGTTCTCTGACCGATCAGAAGTCATAAATGAGGTGGCCGGCGCGAAATTGCGGTGGCGGGGAAGATCGACGGCTGCTAAAGCGACCGGTCGATGGCTTCCTAGACCCAGCCGGTCTTAGCCTGCATCTTGGGCGGATCAAACTTGGCTCTGCAGTTCCTTGCAATCATCTGATTGTGCTGTTCTTGTCTTGGAGGAGTCGGCCTTTAGGCTTTATACCTGATCGATCGAGCGCTAGAACTATATGCCGAAGAAGTGACGGTCAAGAAGACCGAGCGCTAGGTATGGAGTCAGGGACACACAGGACCAAGAGCGTTGAGCGACCCACTTCCAAGTGAAGAATGACCGCACAGATCTCTAGTTCCTAAAAGGAGGATTTGCGCGTTGGAAGCAACTGATGCAATGACATCACTAGGGAAGATTGTCTATATCAATGGCAATGCGCCCGACTACACCCTTGGGTACGAACACTGGGGCGTCAACGTCGATGACTGGCAACAGGTCCGATCGCCCCAAAGTGCAAAGAGGATGCTTTTAAATCATTCATTTCAATTCATATCCATGGGGAATATTACAGACATCAAACAAAAAAGAAACCGTCTAGCTATGTTCTATACATCCACGGCCACCTTACAGGAGGGTATCACCCAGAGCACTGCGGACCAACGAGCACCCGGTGCGGATGGTTTCCGACGCACCCACCGACTCGAGGCTGGGGTTGACCTCGACAAGGTCCATCGCCACCAAGTTGCCCGTCTCATGCACACACTCGCAAATGAAGTCGCCCTCGCGCAGGGTCAGTCCGCCACGCACCGGAGTGCCGGTGCTGGGCGCCCACTGGGGATCCAGCGCATCGACGTCAAACGACAGGTGGATCGGCGTGTCGTTACCGACGTGAGCCAGAGCCATCTCGACGACGCGGCCAATACCGTACCTGTGTCGCGGTTAGTAACTTTACTCTGCATGCATGCGTGTATGCATGCAACCCAGTCAACGGTCCAATGCATGTCGGGGTCATTCAATCCGAGAAGGTTATGAGGGCCGACAAAATGGGAAGGACAGTCTTACCGATCAACGTCGTGCATGCTGAATGCCTTGATCCCGTGCTCCCGGAGCAACTGCTTTTCGCCGCGATCCACGTCCCGCAGACCAATGTAGACCAGCTTGCGCGTGCTAATGATGTGCTCGTCCTTCAACCAGCCGAAGATGTCCTTCTGCTCCTCGCGGGCCAACCGAGTCAGGAAGGCCATGGGCATGCCGTGGATGTTCCCGCTGGGACTCATCTCGGGGACGTTAATGTCGGCATGGGCATCAACCCAGATCACGGCCATTTCGCGGCCCAATCGCTCGCGGACGGCCTTGGCGGTTCCGGAAATGGTACCGACGGCGATGGAGTGATCACCTCCCAGCGTCAGGACGAACTTGCCGTCCTTGGCATGCTCGTAGACCTGCGAGCTCAGAGTCTCGGTCACGGCACTCACGGCACGGGGCTTCTTCATGCCTCGGTGGTCGGGGTCGGAAGCGGGGATGTTCTTCTCGTAGTAGTGGACGGTTTGGTCGTAGTGAAGCTCGTAACCCAGATCGTCGCGCAGTTGATCGAGGAGACCGGCCTCAATGAGAGCCTGGGGGGCCGCTTCGACGCCGGATTGGCACTGGAATGCAGAGGTTCATTGGTGAGCCTTCAACCGAGCTTCAATTGAGAAATTGCTCGCAGGGGGATGAATAACGTACCTGGCCTCCATTGAAACCAACGGCCACCACGCCAAGGTGGCTGGGCTTAGAGAGAAAGCGCTGAGTGATCGTGGAGGGTTGAGTCATGGTGAAGAGAAAAGGGCGAGGGGGGGAGGTGGGGAGGAAGAGAAGGTGAAGAAAGAAGAGACGAAAAGAAGAGAAAAAGGTTCTAGAAGAGAACCCGAAGGGGACTAGCGAGAGATGCGATAAGATCCGCCGGTGGACCCGTTGGCTTCAAACACAAGGATTTGCTGGATGCGACGAACAACTGCGCCGGAAGAGAGAGAGATCGAGAGGGAAAAGGGCTCACGAAAGACGAGACTCCAGATCAAAGGCAGAGCGATACGATGGATCATGGAAGAAAGAAAGAAGAAAGAAAGAGCAGAGAAACCGGACTGCCAGGGCACCTTAAATGCCGGGCTGACCGTGGGTCCCTCCGTCCGCCTTCTCTTGGACGATCGCTAAGACCTGCTTTTAGGGATCGCGGGTTCCCCTAAGTACAGGTCGAGGAGAGACGCCCGCATAGCGTCGCCATTGCAACTCCACCCCCCGTTTTCCATTAGCAATCGTTTTCATTGGGAATGCTAATTGTCCGCTGGACTCACGATGATCTTATCGGACTAATTTCCGTCCTGGGTGGTTCTTTCGTGGGTATCATTCCTATGTGGTGTACCTTATCTATCTATCCTACACGGCCAACTTGGGTGACACTATCTATACATGGATCGGGGATTCCTTCACGCCCCCGGGCTGCCCCCCAGAATCAGCTCCCGCAGAATCGCATCGGCCTTGGGTGCTTCTACGCGACCTTTCTCTCCCGTGCGCATCATCTGTCCCACAAACCATCCCAGCTTTCCTAGTTGGTTCTTGCTGCGAATCTGCTCGACCATCTGAGGGTTCTGGTCAATCGCGGCTTCGGCTAGAGCCACGTACTCCTCCCGGGAAAGGGGTCGGAGGAGTAGATTCTCCTCCTCAAGGAGTTGGGGAACTGGCCGCGGGTCTCCGTCAAACACCATGGCTAGCACTTGCTTGGCTGTCGGGCCGGTGATCCGTTTGCGCTGCAGCTGGTCGATAATGTGGGCGAGAGTCTGCGTAGGAACGCGCTCCGAGTCCCAGGCCAGGTCCGCCTTGGTCAGCAGCCCCCCGAGCTCGTGAAGAACCCAGTTACCTGCTACGCGCCCTAGGGTTGCCCGGGTCTTGGGATCCTGATCCTGTTGCAGACCGTGCAAGATGTCTACCACATCCTGGTAGTATTCCAGTCGTGCTCCGTCCTCCAGCTCGATCAACGGTTTGGCATCCTCAATGGGGAGACCGTATGCGGGATCCGTCAACACTCCGATCAGCTCGTCCGAGGCCGCCGGCAACGTGTTCCTCAGCTCGGCCACGAGATCGTTGCCAATAAAGAGCGGCGGAATGTCGGGGTCAGGCATATATCGATAGTCCACCTCGCCTTCTTTGCCTCGGAGTTTCCGCGTCTCCGTGCTTCCAATCGTCCATCCGCGTGTCTCTCCTTCCACCACTCCTCCGCTCTCAAGGACGGCGATCTGCCGATTCTTTTCGGCGATGATTGCGTCCTCCACTGCCTTGAAACTGCTCAGGTTTTTGATCTCGGTGCGTTGACCGAGGCCGCCGATTCCTCCGTATTGATGGGTGCCTTCAATTTCCCCCCGCTGGCGGATGGACACGTTGACATCGGCTCGGAGACCCCCAAATTCCATACCCGTTGTCACGGCATTGCACGATTGGAGAATAGCCTGGATCTTTCGAACACACGCCGCAGCCGTGGCGGGTGTATGGATTTGGGGCATGGTGATAATCTCGATGAGCGGGTGGGAGACACGGTTGAAATCGAGTAGCTGCGTCGAGGGAGGGTATTCTTGGGATTTGGCCGTATCCTGTTCAAGCTGGACCTGCTTTATGCCAATGCGAACCTGGTCTCCATCTTCCGGCGCAATACCGTCGTGGCTGAAGAGGTCGACGTAGCCGGCTCGCGCAAAGGGTTCTGCCCAAGCGTTAGCCGACCGGTCCCATTAATCGCACGGGGACAGGTGGGATGGAACGGTACCATAGTATTGGGTGATCTGATAGCCAGCCGGCTGATCCTGGTAGAAATAATGTTTCCGGTCAAACCGACTAACCGTCTGGATATCACAGTTCAGCGCCAGGGCGGCGCGCAGGGCAGGAAGGAGAGTTGGGATTTGGAATTTCTAAAACAACTCAGCCTCGGGGGTCTTCTAGTCTCATGAGGGCATCATAGACGAACGGGTTGACTGCCCGGAAAGGCCAGATCAAAGAGAGCGACATTGGAATTGGGCAGGTCGGTGGATGACGTCGAGGCACCTGGTTCGCGATCATGGTCAGAGTCGGCCGGTTTACCACTTCCCCCCGCCCAAATAGTAGGATCCACATACTCGAGAACAGCTTGGACTTGGTATTCAATTGCGCGTGGATCTCAATCCCCACGGTCAATTCCCATTTTTGCCGGGATGCTTCCTCGCTCTCCCTCCTCTGGCGCTTGTGAGCCTTCAGGGCCTTGGCACCTTGTTTGAGCTGCTTTCGGAGGGGGATGCGGTCCTCGGGCTCCGTGGTGGATGTCTGTAGATGCCTAACTCGGGGAGATAGCGATAAAGAAGGTGAGATGGCATCCGAGGGGGGCAAACGTGGCCGAGAGATACAGGACTGGCGACTATGGGGACAAGCGAGAGAGCGGGCAGCTCTGGGGCATTGGCGTAGCCATGGTCGAAGCATGTGTGGAGGCGCGTGAGTGGTAGGAAGAGCTGGTCGTTGATTACAGAGGAGGGTGGGGGGTCGAGAGGAGAAGAACAAACAGCAAGAACTAGTGGCAGCAGGGGATGCAGGGAAAGAAGTTGTCGATTCCCTTTGATATCGTCAATCGCCTCAGGCCTCCCGAGTGCAAACGAGACAAAATCCATGATCGACGGTGACAATACCGTACGCGATTCTTTACGCTCACCGCATCGTCTTTTTCCCTCTACAATTAATTCTACGATTCTACAATTCTACTCCCATCGTCAACTTGCAATCGCCATCTTCTCTCGCGAGAATGAAAACCAGAAAGAGAGCTTAGGTCTCGAGACCTACCCGGCTGCACTAGACCATGTTTGTGTCTCTCCGTGTGCCCCCCTCTTCGCCCTACAATTGTCCTTATAGATTGCTCTCATCCCACCATCCCTCGCCGGGACAATCATCGCTCTCCACGCCTGCAGGATCGGCAGCGAGTCACCGCCAGCCAACGCATCAGCCGGTCATTTAGATCCCTCTGGAGATGGAACATTGCTGATGATATAATTCCTCACGGTTCCGAGGCAAGGGCCCACTGTGGATACATCTGTGTGCTGCATGCCATCCTTTCTTGCGATATATATATCCACGAACTCTTCCCCTCCATGGACGTCCCACTAGATGGTTTTCTCGTTCTCTCCTTCTTCACCCTCTCTTTTCCCTAGCCGTTCAGTGGATGGGCTGCAAGCGATAAGACCAGAACCAAGACCTTCAAACCACCCGACAGGCGGAATAGGACCGTCATCTGGTGATCGTCTGGTGATCTGTAGCCCTTGGCGCCGTCTACGCTCTCCAGCGACGAATGAGACTCGTCTGTTCTCGCCGGATCCCGCTTGTTCTTGTCGCATTATTGGGACTTGGTTTCAAATCGCCGTGAGCATTGGCGCCCTGTCTCAGCTTGTTTCCCCGTGTTTGGGGCTGAACGCATGGTTTGATTCTCCATTTTTGTTTTTTTTTTTTCCTGGGCCCATCGAGATCTCGATATTCATTCCCTGTTCGAGAACAGGGATCTAGGATCGGGGCGCTTGTCAGTATCAAATAGGAAAAAAGAAAGGGAGGGGCGAGAAAGAAGGAAATCAAATAAAACGACGGGGACTGATCGCATACCTTCTGTCCTACATTCCTTTGGTGCAACTGTTTGGCCGGCCCTCCCTTGATATGCCTCGATTGCTGGCCCCCCTCCAAACAACCCATTCCACACTGCCTTCAAACCATCTCTTTTTCACTCATTCATGTCTCGACTTTCCCCATGCTGGATGGGGAACGGCATAATAGCTAAAGATTCCCAGCGTTTTTCATAGTTCTGACGCAATACATCCATCACCCCCTTGATTCGCACCGGTCATATTCCCAATCAACATGCCGTTCTACTCGGGATCTAGTCGCTCTAAGAAGGCACGCAAAGACGGTTCCAACAGAACCTCAACAGCGTCCATGGTCTCAACGGCTTCGCATGCCACTTCAAAAGACTCTAGGTCCTCTGCGGAATCTTCCAAGAAAGATAGCTCGTCTACACAGTCCACGGCCCCAAAGCACGCTGTACCAGGTTCGACGGAGGCGCCAAACACGCAGGCCACCAAACCAAAACCGGCAGAAGCAGAAAGAAAAGCACCAAACGTATTTGAGTACCTTGAGGCTGATTCGGAATCGGATGCATCGTCATCGGAGGACGATGATGACAGTTTGCCGTCGTCGAAATCCTCCGTAGGGGCACCACCCCCTGCGCAACCGAAGGTTGCATATGCTGCACCTGCCGCGCGCCAGCCCAGCTCCACAAGCCAAGCAGCGAACGGCCGCAGTCGAACGTCCTCGATGAAGTCTAAAGCATCCATGGATTCCCGCACTTCCACAGGTCCCTATAATGTTTCACCTACTGCGGCGCCCCTACAGTTAGCCAGACACAACCCTGTCCGTCGAAAGTACTCCACAGACGGGTCTCACGGCTCAGGCCCTCTGCCTGACGGCTTGACTCACCCGGGTAGACGCAATCTCGATACGGTCACGTCGCCGGAGGCATACTATCCATCCCCAAACCCTGCTCCTTTCCAGCGGCCTCCGTTTCCGCCTTCTCCTCCTCGAAGCCCCGGGGAGGACCTTCACCGAGTTAGCCGGAGATCTAGGAGAAACACTAAGACTGCACACATACCGTCTGGCTATGGGCTTGTATCCTGGCAGTTGGATTCTTCCACCGAAGGAAAAGAAGCCTCCCTTCCCCCGCTCTATCGTCGATTTGAAAGTGTGAACCACCGTGTGCTGCTACACTTGCAGGATGAAATCGCACATCTAGAAGAAGAATTGCACATGCTGGACGAGTACGAAGAAATGCACCGTATTGCTGCGGCCGAACAAGAGGGGAGCAAGGTCTTACCGGCTTCGCGACGCATGGATGCCCAGGCGCAGGTGTACTCGTCCCTCCATTATCGAAGGGAAGAAGTGATGGGGGTTCTGGTCCATAAGACCCAGCAATACAGTAAGTGCTCCTGCCCTCTCGAAATTAAGAACATTCAACAAGAACATCATGTTGACTTGAAACAAGACACTGCCCTCAGCGCATACAGCAAAGTCTTACAAACCTTGCCCCGCGCCTCCGAAAAGGACACCGAGACATACCGTACATGGATGAAAGAGCACAATCCTATCGCAGCAGCTGAAACCCGTTTCCTTGACCACGCCCAGGACCTTATCTCTCTTGCACCACGCGCTATCTCCAGCCCCTCCAACTCGTCGGTCTATTCTGCCATTATCATTGCTTCCGCTGCCATCCTCCTCCCGCTACTATCGTTTGCTATGATCGCCGAATTCTCCGGTCGTCTCCTCGTCGTCGCCCTCGTGGGAGGCGCTGCGGCTGCCATTGCTTCCAACTATTCGACCGGCGCGGAACATTTGGTGGCATCTCAGGATGGCTGGAGATGTGCTACACTGTATGTCGACGCTTCCTTTTTTCATGTCTCTAATGTTTGAAACCGACTAATTGTCATTTCCCAGATACTTCGGTTTCATGACCGTAGCCGCGATGTTCATTCCTTGAATGATGAGACCTTTTATTTACAAACCACGGACCATTATCGATAATTCGACTTACGATTGACGATTCTTCTTCACGAGACCTATCTACCGGTATTGACATTTATTACTGCATTTTTCTTTTTCTTTCCTTTTTATTTTCTGTTCAGATTGCCTGCAAGCGACTCAGAAAGAAGGATGGGATAGACTGAAACAAAAGAGGCGTTCAGGAAGGACTAGTCCCACAGAAAAGACTAGACGAGGGAAAAACACGGGAGAACAAAAGGAAGATTTCTGAAGTTTTGACTGTCATTTGCTTTTGGAGTTCGATTTACCGTCGATTCTGGAATTGGAATTGGAAATTGTGTACTGTATCACGAAGGCCTTATGTATACTATGCTTGACTTGGGATCATTTTTATATTCAATTGATGATTTTGAACTCAACCTTTTTGGTTCTTGGTTCCTTAAATTCTCAAAATTAGGCAGATAATGGTACCTGACATAGCGCGAACCATGGTAGAAGGTATTGAACTAGTAAAGGATACATTGTAGGTTGTCAACTAGAAGGATACACGGACTAAACTAATACAGGAAAAAGCAGGAGACTTCAACGTCGCAACAAACGCGCATCTCAACGCCGATTGAATAGCAAAAGAACGAAAAAGCAAAGAAAAGAAGGGATCCAATCGAGAGACCCTCTCCCACTCACCAACCCAGATAAATATAATAAACCAGACCCGTCCGGAATTCTTCAAAATCCGCGCCATTCGCTGAACAATTCACCCACCGAGTAGTGTAGTTAAGAAAACAGATATTAAGAGGAACAGAGGAAGAAAGGAGAAAAGGGAGGGAGAGAGGAAAAAAAGGGAATAAAAAGATCTTGGTTCAAGAAATCAAGGACGATCAAAAGAGATAAGTTTCCCAGAGTACACCAACGAACGGATCAAAGGAGGAAGGACTGTGAAACTCATCAAGGAGATACCCTCCTTCTCTCGAATCAAATCTAGTAGTAAACCATGGCCCTCGAAGGTTGAGGGGAAGAATTGAAAAAGGGGATAAGACAAAGACACTGAAGCAAGTGGTAAGACAAACAAATAAAGTTGTGATCATAAAATGTTAAACCCATTAACCAACCCTTCCCTTTTTTGCTGTTCTAGAAAAGAGGCAAGACGTATAGAAGTATTTTGGAGAGGAAAAGAAAGCACAGAGAAATCAGGGGGGAAGGAAAGCAAGTCAAGTTCCAATGCACTATAATTCATCTGCTCATGAAGCTACCGGGGTACCGTTTTGCTTGCCCCCTGGCGTTACGCTCCGATCTTGAGAGCTACCTTGTTCAGCGGGAGGCTGCGGTGTGGATGGGCTCTGTCGAGTTTGATGAGAAGCAAGCTGGACTTTATTGCGATCCATCAGCGCCGCCTGCTCGGCGGCGCTTCGAGCATACGTCATGGCGGCAGCCGAGTTGGAGTAGCTACCAGAGGGTGGCGGCGCCTGGTTGGAGGGGTAATTCCCGTATGGAGGAGGTTGTGGTGGTTGTTGCTGCTGCTGTTGTTGAGAAGCGTATCGTTGAGGATTTTGCGAGTTGGGACCGGGCGTCATGTAGGGTGTCCGTGGTGCTGCATATGTGGGCTGTCTTTGAGGAGAGGCACTGCGTCCTGCGCCATAAGGGACATTGTATGCTGCCGGTTGTCCGGGTTGTCCTGGCCGTGGGGTGTAGGGCTGCTGCGGAGAAGCTTGAGCAGGCATGCCGTGTTGTGCCGGGTAAGGGGCATAGCCATTTTGCGCAGGTCGTTGGAATTGGGGGCCAGCATTACCCTGGCTATATTGAGGCGTAGGCTGAGAATACCCGGGAAGGTAGCCGGGGCGTTGCGACGGCGTCGCTGGGGGACGAGCCCCCGCGTAATGCTGCTGTTGGGGCCCAGGAGTGTATGGCGCCGACGTCGAGGGCTGTCGTCCAGCGTAGTACGGCTGTGGGGTCTGGAAACCACCCGGTGGCTGCTGAACCCGAGCGTTATTGGTATATGCGCGCTGATTATACCCGGGGTAGTTGGAGGAGCGCGACGGTGTGGACATTCGGTTTGCACCTCCTGCCATCGGGGCCATGGCTGCAGATCGCTCTTGCTGGATGGTGAACTCATCTTTCTCCATGGTGCCGTGGTAGTCCGGGTTCTCAATCACAATCTTTTGGCTGATATTCAGCTCATCCAGCTGGTCTCCATTCAGCTTGGCGACCGCGTGTGGGGGGAGGGTCGCAACAAGTGCCGCTAGGCTTGACTTCAAAGTCTCGTATACGCATTGCTCTGTTGCAGAAGGCACATCAGGGGCATCCATATCGATATCGGTCTCTTTCTCGTCGGCACCCTGGCTCCACGGGGTCTCAAGGTTGCGAATTCTTTGATACGAGCTCAGGGTCTCCAGGAGATCGGAGATATCTCGCAACACATCTTCCGAGTCCTGCGGCTCTTGACCATCGTTTCCTTCCCCCTTGTCTCCTTCATTCTCGTCGGTCTCTTTGTTCTTTGGGGCATCGGTGTGGGAAATACTGTCCGCAAAGTCTTCTGGGTTGAATGTTTTGACCATCTCCTCCAGAGTACTCTCATCGAGCTCGCCGATATTTCCCGGTCGTTCCGATACCGTTTCCTCGTGTTTCTCTTGATCTGGTACAGAAAGCAGCATGTGCAGGCGTTTCGCCCCTCGCTTCTTCCACCACACCAAGTCTTTGGAGTCGGCCTGGACAACGGCTCCCGAGCTGTCGAAAGATGGGGCAAACGAGGAGTATACCCCCTGCCAGACCGACGCGTCGTCATCTGCCCACATGGCTGGATCCTCATGGAATTTCTCGTCAACATGATGTTGAGACGACTGCTTCTGCCGACGATTCCAGTATGACGGAGAAGAGGTGACGCCGCCATACTGGAGCCACTGGCCGGAAGGAAGGGGCGCAAGACAGTAGTTATTACGATCGCCAAGGAAAGATTTGAAGTTGGTGACTGCCTCAAATGGGTCGATCCAGCTACCGAACGCCCCTCGAGATGACGATCTGGCACGGCGGGGCGGTTCCAACTGAGGCAGGGTTGTTCGAGGAGCGAAGATCTCGCCAAATGTCCTCGTGGGCTCCTTGGGCTTGGCCTCAAGATTGTGAGGTGCGACCTTGGTGATGGTTATCCCATTCGGCAGACCCTCCTCAGACAGCGGCGCCTGAACCTCGACAAACTTCTCGGCCTGCGGGTCATCCGAAGGCAACGGAACCTTGACGGACTTTTGCAGGCTCGAGTATAGCTGTTTGGGGTTAGATGGGTTGCCGAACAAGGTTAATGCCAAACTGTCGCTACGCGTTTCCACATTGGACGGGGCAGTTTTCGTCGGCGCCTCCGCATCATCCTCCGATGCCTCAGTCTTGATGTTGGCCGGGGTCGTTTGTGCCTGACGAACAAGACTGTTCAAATGCTTTTTGAAAGCAGCGATGCGATTGACCGTTTCAGTCAAGGGTGTTCCGTCCGACGGGGTCGCGCTGGCCTGAGCTTTGTTCCTTTCAATCACGGCAGCCGACGCCCTCTCGATGTCGCTCAAGAATTCCGAGAGCGTACCGTAGCGATCCGAAGCCACGCGTGCTTGTATGCTGGCGCCTTCATCCTTGTCACCCGATACTTTGGCGCGTTTCGAACGAGGTTTGGACGGCGATGTCGACAACGGACACGATAACAGGTGAAGCTCGCCGTCAGTTCTAGCGCGGGTCAGCAATCAAATGCGCGACAGATGGGGCCGATAGGGAGCGCCCACTTGCTCAGTATGTCGACGAGGTTTCGAAGGGTTTCCTGCAGCTTGACCTTTTCCTGGGACGCTTTCGACGCCGAGTTGCTGGCGTCCTGGGCGGCCTTGTCATCATGACTCGAAACGCGCTTTCGCTTGCCCGGCGTGGCTAACGCAGGCGGATCAGGTGTGGAAGTATGCAGGTCGCCATTTGTGGCCGACATGGACGCCGTGCCTCCTCCTTCGTCTGCGCTCATGACTCCGGAGTCGCGCCGTTCCTGCAGTACTTCGTGGATCCGAGAACAAAGGATGGGTTGTCCCAGTCGAGCAAGGGTTTTTTTGCACTCGAGATTTCACGTGGATCTAGCCCAGGGGTCGAGGGCCTTGAGATTAATTTGTAAATATAAAATTTACCTCCAAAGGGGGTAGGGAGATGGCCAGGAAAGAAAAGAGGATATCGCAACAAGACTCGCCGAAGCGGTTGCGCCAATGGCTAGGAGGGTCAGTTTGACGGGCGCGCAGCCAGGGAGAGAAAGAGGGCAGAAAGGCGACACCACAATGGCAAATTGGCGACGAGGACGGCACTCGATCAGGCCGAGGCAGTCGAGGGCGAGCCAGACAGTAAACAGAGCCGGGGAGAAAATGCGGACGAGACGGCGGATCGGATGGCAGGCGGGAGAAGGCAAAGAGGGAGATCTTCTGCGCGCCCACAACCGCATCTCGTGACGCCGGTCACGTGAGCAGGCCCTTTTTCGTGCCGGCGAGTCCATCCCAAGTACAACTCGCGCTTTTGGATTTCTCCTCCTCTCTTCTCCTCCCTCCTGGCCATCCTGCCTTTGGCACGCCCTTCCTCCTTGCACAGGCCCCTCCCTCCATCTCCTTCATGGATGTCATCGGCATTCAGCCATGCGCCGAGCCGCTCGAGGGTTTCCTCTCTGAGAGCGGCGCACATGTTCAGTAGTCGTTCATGGCCAAAGGTTCGTGCTCGCCATTCGTCAGACGAGTCTGGATGCTCCGTCCTTCGGCATAGACTGACCGATTACCTCTGTCTCTGCAGGAATGCTTTTCCAGTAGCCTCTTCCGCCAGCAGGACGCGACTCCGCGCTCAAACCGCCTCCCCAATGCTTCTCCGTCTTTAATCCCGTCCCGATCGATCAATTCGACTCCGTGCAGACCTGTGTCGATTCAAAAGGAACATCCGAGTGAGCTGGATCAGAATGGGCAGCTTGCGACCTGTGAATATTGGTGTGGCCTGCGGCTACAGACTATCCTAAGCCGATCCTACAACCCACCGGGCCCAACCGACAAGCGGCGGCAGCGCACGGAATTCAGCTCCAATCTAGCGTCTTTCAAATTATTCGCATCGCATTCAGCGGTCCCGGAACCGTCTCCTCATCCCCGCGGACTTTCACCCCTGTCGCTTGGTAGCAAATCGGTGCCGGAAAGCGATGCGGAAAGAAAACGACCACAGGAGAGGCCCAGCACGGGCCGAAGCAATCCTCGCAGAAGCTCCAAGTTGGATTCTTCAACGATCAGGCCGACTCCCACCGAGTTTATGATGGATACACTGCAAAACGTTTTCGATTACTCCGACAACGACGGCAGCGCGAATTGGGCGCTGGCAGCCAGAAACCCCAACGATCCTCTCATGACACCCTTAACCAAGTCGCAAAGGATCTCCTATAAAATCCACCACAGGCATTCGCTTCAGGGAGCTCTTGCTGAATACATGTATGATGTGGAGCGTCGTATGGGCTCCGAGAATAGGCCCGGAGAGCTTAAGATCAAGAGCCCTCCCGAAGAGAAATCAGACGTCGACGCTGGGATCCATAGGTTCAGGCGCAGAAAACTTGAGAAGTATCTCCTTCGACGAGGATACCGCACCGCGGATCTGACAGTGTGGACCTGGGTGCTTTCGGCCGGCACACCTTACCAGGCTGCTCTCCGAATCTTAGCGATTGAGGATAAGAACAGGTTGAGGAATGGCTCTTGTTTCCGCACAATCCCACCGTTCATCCCCTTGTTTCTGTTACGGCAGAACCTCGATTTGGATACATATCGCCTTCTTCTGCTGTACTCTCTCAGCCTAATTAGCGGCCAGCCGTTACCGAGACCAAGAGCATATGCGAGAGCCATGTCCGAAGACGTGTGGCTCGAAAACGTCCGGACTGAAGACGCAGCACCCCTTATTAATCCCAATATGTGTATCACATTCGTCGTTCGACTGCTTCATCATGCGCGTCATTTGCTGCCGCAGGCTCAGGTTCCCATCGTGCGCGCGCTCGCAACGTACTTGACCCTCCTAAAATCAGACAAGGCACACGGCGTGTCTCGCGCGACAGCACCGAACATGAAGTTTATGACCGCCAAATTCAATCTGGTGCTTCGGCTACTCGCACTTCGCTGCCGACAAGGATCATTTCGATCCGTTTCGATACAGCAAGAAGCACAGTTCACACTTCTCCGAGCGATGGCGAGCAACCACCCGGTCATGCCTGTGACCCGGCAGAGCTACCAAGCTATCGCTGCCGTTCAACTCGCACACAAAAAGACATCGGCAGAACGGCAATTTGCCGAATTGAAGGCGCCTTCATGGCCGCCCTGGAAAGAAGAGAAGTCCGGCATCGACTCCCAGCGCGGATCTGAAGGTATGAGTAGTCGAGCAATGCGGGTGATGTCCCAAATGAAGGAGGCCGGATATAGCCATACTCGCTGGGAAGAGGTTGCCGGGATCTATGCCGGCTGGGATACTGACAAAAGCCCAACCATTCAGACTCGGACTTCAGCACCCCCGCCCCGGCATCTGCGCAATCCGGTAGGGAGTCCCTCCAGCGCGGCAATCTGGGAGGCCCGTCTGCGTTCAACCAGAACCGTGCGGGAAGCCTGGGCATGCTTCCTCTCGTACCAAGATCAAGGCCTGCCGCCGCAGGATAGAGTCTACGGTGCGATGGTCGACAAGTTGATCCACGGCGACAAGTCAGAGAAGAATGACTTTGGTCATTCAAGCCATGCGCTGCCGGGCGATGGATTGGAAGTTTTCCCGGAGCCTTCTTCCGCCCGAGATTTAATATACGTACATACGGAGCCACCTACCTTGGGGGAGTTTCTTCATCAGATGCTGTCTCAGGGCATTCGGCCGCGCAGCAAAATGCTGGCTTCACTTCTTCCTTCGGCCCCGAATATTCGGTGCGGTCTGGATTATCTTTCCTGCAGCCGTCTCTCCAACGAGCAGGTCATGGCTTTGTGTACTACCTGGGGTAGCGAGATCGCCTACCGGGAACGGAGTGGGAGGGTTTTGAACGAGATCTCCGACTACCTGTTCACTGCCTTCATATCCCTCTTATGCAAGTTTCCGACGCCTAAGGATCTTTTGATTCGACATACTACGCGTGTCATGGACGCCTTTCCCTTAATCATGGGTGGTCGGTCCAGGGCTCCCCTGAAGCCTGCGACGCTTTTCTCTTACACGCCGGGCAGTTCCACTAACCTCCAACATGCACTGAATTTGCTGATGGTGCGGAAGTCCAAGCCCCCCGAGGCGTGGGTTCATGCCTTCTCGGCTATTAGTAGGAGCCGTATCCCTCATCGTAACCGCGTGGTCAGCAAAAACACGCAAATTGTTTTCACGTGGTACGAGAGCCTGGAACTGCTTGGCCGCATGAAAAAGCACCGCATTGAAGTGCGGCCCGAGGCATTCCGACTCCTTTGCAACAGTTTCTCCAAATTCATGATGGCCGAGAAAGCGCAGCCGGGCGCCATCGAGGAGGGCATGCAGGTCGTGACGGAAGCGGCAGGGCACGGCGCATTGAAACACGTTGATGCTGACCATCTGTCATGCGAGGACATGACTGCGAGCGGTCTTCATATCCTCCGGAGCCAATTTGACCGGATGGTTACCCAGGGGTCCATGACACAGCCGGTGTTTGCGACGAGCAGCACACCTGGATCCGACTCATTGCCTCGCCTATCATATATCCCCTCTCCGGCCATCTTCCATGCACTTGTGCGATCGCTTGGGTTTGCCGAAGATTATGACGGGTTATGCACGCTCCTTCGATGGATGAGCCGATACGCATCGAACATCCAGGAAACAGCCGAAGAGTACCAGAATGGCGCGAGAATGTTGCGGACCGTCGTGGTGGCAGCCAGTGCGTTCCTCGAGGGACATCTAGGCACACGGTCGCGGCAGCAGCTCAGTCGGACGCACGAGGCGACCGAAAAAACCGCGCTGGCAGACGAGGTGGAGGAAAGACCAGCTGTGGATTCGATGTTGGAAGCGGCGTATGACACGGTGACGGCATCGGAGCTGCTGGGACCCTGGCCGACCGGGGAAGAAGTGCAAGAGTATTGCCAGACTCACTGGCAGGAGCAACGGGTGCTGGACTAGATTTTGCATGCCTGTATATATTATACCCATCTATTAGACATCGACATAGACATCGACATAGACATCGACATAGACATCGACATAGACATCGACATAGACAGAGACAGAAGGACGAGCGCTTATCCGCGGGCAGTTCATTCCCCGCACGAACCCGCCCAAGCTTTCCCCACAGCTTCAGTCGTTCATTCTCTCCTTTCTTCATCAGCTGTTCTTCTTCCACCTTTCACTCTCCTCCACCTCCCATCACCTGCTCCTCTTCACCATCTCACGTCACCTCCAAAATGCCCCCACGACTCGCCCTCCCATCCCTTCGCCCTCCCGTCGTTTCCGTTCGCCTCACAATTGCAAGATACTCCAGCACCGCCCCCGATGACGCCGTGATCAAGACCCATCAGATCCCCGCGCCCGGATCGGGGAACATTCGCGTCTTGCTGCTGAACCGACCCAAGGCGAGAAACGCCCTGTCGAGAAGCCTCCTGGACAGTCTCGCCAAACACGTGCAATCCATCGCCGCCGAAGGGGGTGTCGGTCCCACACGAGCCCTGGTCATCGCCAGCAATGCCGACGCGGCGTTTTGTGCGGGCGCCGATTTGAAGGAGCGGGTGGACATGACCAAACAAGAGTACGTTTGCCGAGATCCAGTTGTCTGTTCTTGAATTGTAGTGTTGTGTACATATCTGATGATTATTTTTTTTTTTTACCCGATTTCCAGGACCAACGAATTTTTGTCGAAGCTACGCGGCACATTCCGTGACCTCGCCGGCCTTCCCATCCCCACGATTTCCGGCATCTCGTCGACGGCGCTCGGAGGCGGCTTGGAGCTGGCACTATGCACGCACCTGCGCGTCTTCGGCTCGACCAGCGTCGTCGGACTGCCAGAGACGCGACTGGCCATCATTCCCGGGGCCGGGGGCACGTACCGCCTGCCCGGCGTGATCGGGGTGAACCGCGCCCGGGATATGATTCTCACGGGGCGCCGCGTGTCGGGCGCGGAATCCTACTTCATCGGGCTCTGCGACCGGCTGGTGGAGATCCTGCCGGAGGAGGAGCAGAAGGAGGGCGCGGCGCGCGAGAAGGTGCTACGGGAGAGCATCAAGCTGGCCATGGACATCTGCGAGGGCGGGCCCGTCGCCATCAAGCAGGCGCTGCAGGCCGTCGACGGCTACCAGCGCGGCGAGGCGGCGGAGAACGAGGCCTACGCCGGGGTGATGGAGACGGAAGATCGCTACGAGGCTCTGCGGGCGTTTGCGGAAAAGAGGAAGCCTGCCTTCCGGGGACGATAAACGCGCGTTGTGTATACTAAGATTGTATCATCCATGTTGGTTGTCGATCTCGTTCCAATTATAGTATGCTCCAAGGGAGTCAGGGGAAAAAAAGAAAAGAAACGACAAATGAGGCTCGTAAGGTTCGTACGATGCATCGGCTGATTTCGTCCCTACGCCCGAGGCTACCGTCCAACACTTTGTCCAGCCTGGCCCGATTATTCATTACGAATGGAAAGAAGGCATGAGTCATGCGAGAATGATTCACTGGCCGGCCCTGCCCTGGTCCAGGTCGCGATGAACCCTGGCGCGCTGGACGGGCCGTCGTTCCAAACGAGGAGCCGCCGGGGTTTTATGTAGCATCGAGTTGCTCTGACTGGATGGGATGGCAATCGGACGTAAGGCGGATGTCAAACGGGATCTATGCAGGTTCTCTGCCTGGAGGCGCCAGTGAGATGCACGACGCCACAGCCTTCGGGAAGGCAGGGACGGTCTAAAAGTAGAAACCGATCGGAGATGCATTGTCGAATGCACTGGAGTGGACAGGAATGAACCGCAGTGATTGTTCGCTGAATGGACGATTCCCTGTTAGCGCGCGGAAATCCCCCGGCGATCGGCAGCGCTAAACGTTGTTATTCTTCTCCTCATACAGTTTGGGATGGGTTGTACTCTCCGGAGTCGAGTTCTTCTTCCTCTCGCGGTCACTCCGTCTCGCATTGGCAGGGAAATAGTACTCGGCTCAATCAGGCTGATCCGCCCGTCGGTGAATCCTGAGGATTGTGGGTTGACGGTGTAGACATACGAGACCATCATGCAGATGACTCGGCCTGGTCAGCCCCAACGTTTTAGCGTCTGAATGATTTCCCTCGATGCAGGCGCAGGCACCAGGCACCTTCGCCCGGCGTCATCTGGCCCCTTCACCCTGCCCTCCCCTCCTCGTCTCGCGCTGCTATAAATATCTTTCCTTCGGCTGCCTCCCCGCAATCCTCCTCGTCGCTGCCTTCACTCTTCCCCACACGCTTCATCTTCCATCCACCATCGCCCATCCATCGTCTCTCCATCCTCCCTCCAGTCTTCTTCTCTCGTCTTTTGAGTCATCGTTGAAGCCTTTCAGATCGTGTCCTTTTCCCCTCCCGCGCATGACCACAACTCGCTGAGCTTCACCCCGTCGTTGCCCTCCCCATGACCTCGCTCGCCGCCCGGGTCAAGCAGTACGGCTTGACCCAGGTTTACTGCTGCCCCGAGAAGCCTCTGGTCGACATCGTCTTGGTCCACGGCCTGAACGGTCATCCCTACAAAACCTGGGCCACCGAGTCCGGCGTCTTCTGGCCGGCCGATCTGCTGCCTGAGGTGTTGGGGACCAGCCGAGTCAGGATCCTGACGTACGGTTACAATGCAAATGTCACGGCCTTCACCGACGGCACCTCGAAGGATCGCATCCTGAACCACGCCGAAACTTTGGCTTCGGGCCTGGCCGCGAACCGAAATGTAAGTGACCCCGGGTGTCTGGTCCGACTCTGCCACTGTTCACTAACACACCCGACCCTCTTCTAGCTTCGCGCATGCTCGGATCGCCCCATCATCTTCGTGTGCCACTCCCTCGGGGGGTTGGTCGTCAAGCGAGCTTTGATCTATAGTCGCAACCTCTCGAATGAAAAGACCGAGCATCTGCGGTCGATCTTCGTGTCCACGTACGGTATCCTGTTCCTGGGAACCCCTCACAACGGATCGGACATCGCCAAATGGGGGCTTCTGCTGCAGAACATCTGCAGTGCGGTCCTGCCTCGGAAGTTCTTCGATACCTCGCCGCACCTCGTCAGAACCCTGCGATCCAACAACGAAACTCTGCAGAACATCAACAGTCTCTTCGTTGAGATCATGGGCCGCTTCCACATCTATTTCTTCCATGAGACCCTGTCGACGGATGTCAAGGGCTCCCGGGAGGTGATTGTGGATGAAAGCTCTGCAGCCCCCGTCGCGGCAGGCGTCGAACGCATGGGAATAGAGTCGGACCATCGCCACATGTGCAAGTTCGAGGACGACGGCGCGCCGGGATACGAGGCGGTCGCAGAGGCTCTCTTGCGCTATTCCCATGACGCCCCTCGCGTGATCCACGACCGATGGGCCGAGGAAGAGGAAACTCGTAGAGTTATGAAACGGACCAAGGCCAGGGAGCTCTTTAGTAATGGTAAGTCGGCCCAAGTGTGGGTATGAAATCGGATTGCTGACAAGTGGTGTAGAACGGATGGATTCGCCTCCCCTGGGAGGAAGCGAGCCGGATCTTCGTGCAATCGGTAGGACCAATTTTCTTCCTGCATCTTCGCCTTCCGTTACTTTGCGAGATTATGAGATTGAGGAGCCCTCGGAGACATCCTATTCCAGTAAGCATGTATGATCGGGGTTTGTTTTGAATGTCAGCAAGGAGAAAGAAGAAGACCAGAAAAGCAAACAAAAACAATCTCTCTTCGAAATGATTCAGTTACATCGTCTAGCGTTTTTTTTTGTCTTTTGACCGTTCTTGTCATTGTTGTCGTTTTTCATTTCTTGTTTCCCCCCTCTCCCCTTCCTGTCTTTGCGGGTTGTTCTTTCTCCAGCGAACGTGGTGTTTTTGATGCTTGATGACACTTTCCTGTACCCTACCGCACAATGTATCTTTAGTACCCACCGAAGCAGCAGTCAGATGATGCTGACTATTGGCTCCTTAGGTAAATTCGCTGTATCCCCCGACAAAGGCTTGCCTCCGCCGGAAGGGCGACATTCGCCAGTGTCCGAGCTTGCCGGTAGCACGGATTTATCCTTGTCTAGAATCATAAAAAAAGAGCCTCTCTTCGTGGTGCCCCCGGGTTTTCATCCGAATGCGACCTTCGTCGGAATGCAGAAAGAACTCGACATTCTGCATACCCGGTTGTTCAAGGCTAAGAAGCGATCGCAACGCCTGGTGGCCGTTCTGATCAGCGGCGGCCCCGGCTCTGGAAAGTCCCACCTGGCACGAGAGTATGTTTGGTCTTACCGTGACAGCTATTCTGGGGGAGTCTTCTGGATCGATGCCAAGTCCAGGGAATCGGTCTTTAAATGCTTCTGGGACATTGCTCAGGCAGCGACACTGACCGACGGCGAAGAATATAAACCCCCGGACACCAAAGTCTCTCAAAAATACGTGGAGTCCGTTCGCACCTGGTTTCAAGGCCGTGAGGAGTGGCTGCTGATCTTTGACGGACTCTCATTTGACCACGAGAATGACCTCAATCACTTCAAGCAGTTTCTTCCCTTCAACAAGCAATGTAGCATCATCTATACCTCCGTTGATAGGACGTTGCGCAAGAAACAGAGACTGTACGAGCCCTATTCTCTGCAAATGAGCCCATTTCAGGTTGAAGATGCGTGCAAACTTCTCTTCAAAGATCTCGGCATCAAGAAACCGTCTCACGAACAGGTCCGCAAGGCTATCGAGATCGTCACCCACTATGAGTGTCTTCCTTTGGCCATTCATGCCATCAGCCACCGCCTCAGTGCAACGGAAAAGCCCATGGAGCGCTATCATCTCGATTCTCACCTGACCGACGAAAAGTTGGCCGAGCCATTCCTCGGTATCATGCATGATCTTTACCGGACGAATCACTTCGAAGCCTTGAACCTCATCAACCTTCTGTCCTTTTTTGGCCACCAGGTTCCGATCGGCATGATCAACCTAGGAAAACAAGCCCTGGAAAATTGGAACGTCGACATATACGGTCACAGCAGAGTCGGGGATTCCGGGGATATCGACACAACGATAGGGTTCCTCATCCGTTACGGACTCATCGAGAGAACATCGGACGCCTATGCCCTGCAGGCCAAAGCCTTGTCGCCACGATCAGAGAGGGGTGAGATTTTCGACGTGAAAGCCATTGTTCCAGAGTTGTCGGAATCGCAGACGGAAAGCAGCCAGGATGCGTTTTTCTCAATCTACCAAAATTCCGGATCCATTGACATGATCAAGATCCATAGCGTGGTCCAAGGATTCTGCCGAGACGAGCTGAAGATCAGAGACAAGGAGAGGAGAGCCCAAATGGACCCAACCGCCGGTGCGGGAAAGCAGGTGGCTGGCTACTATAACTCATGGCTGATGGTGGCAACGCGCGTGTTTATCCTCTCTTATGAGAACGCAAAAAAGCGGATGGACCAAACCGACAATTACGGCCTGGTGAAGGATTACCGGGAATATGAAACTCATGCTTCCGTGTTGGCCAACAACTTCCCGCGAAAGTTTGTGAGCGAGCCAGCCATCGTGCACGAGGCTCGACAAGATCTCAAGAAAGTCATGAAGAGCATCAGCAAGGAAATTGAACGGGTCTCTCCAAGCTCCTCGCAAGAGTCCATCCGCAGGCATCGCTCAGTCTTTGACCGTTCAAGTAGCTCTTCTTCCTCTATTCCGGATTCCTCGGGAGACGACGGACTGAGCCGCAATTTCACCTGGGATCTGAGTGATATGACGCCGCCGGTGGAATCACCCAAGGAGATAGGGTTGCCTTCAACGCGCTTCAACTTGGACCCTTTCGTTCCGCATATTTACCGAGAAACAAACGCGGCCAAGGACATCGGATATGAAACGGACGGGGAGAATGCGAAGCCTGTGGCTCATGCCTCTCCCGCGCTGTCCCAACTGAGCTACTCGACGGAGAGGCCCAAATCAGCGCAGACTTCTAGCCCTCCGCAGCAATTTGACGAGCAAGGGTGGCAGGTGGTTGAAAAGACGCCCAAACTCGGGCCGACCAAAGAGAAGCCACCCAAAAGACCTCGGTTCCCGCGGCATATCCGTGGTCCAAAGCTGGCCGAACCAATTCTCAAGGTGTTTCCCGTCGAAGGGAGGAGCGCATCGAGTGGCATCGTGGAAAGAACTCGTACCAGTTCCATGGCATCGGCTTCGGAAGCTCTGACGGCCGTACATAATGCGAGCCCTCTTCACTCCGACCAGGAAGTTCCAAAGCTGGTGGACGAGCGGCCGTTGATCAATGACGAAAATGCACCTACTTATGCTACCGTGGCAGCCAGACGTGCGCGTGAAATGACCTCCTCCGCGAAACAGCGATCGTCCTCCAGCCCGGGAGGGAAGTCTCGTCCGACGTTTCTAGGACTCCAGAACAATGCCTCCGAGGATTCATTATCCAGCGCCATTCACACGTCTCCGTTCGTCGCCGAGCCCAAACCCGATCGCATGGCACAATCCACGTATAGCGAGCCTGACCAGGGACGTCTCACGCAGCAGTTGCACGCTTTGGACTTGAACGTGGCGCAAGGGACCCGATACCATACCCGACATCTATCAGCCGTGAGAGCGGTTGCTCCCGCCGGAGACATGTCCGCAAGCACTCCTTCTGTTATCACCTATATCCCTCCGCTGCCGTATGAAAGTAATATTGAAGTTGCCCACGTGCGTCGACAGAGCCTTGCCGCAAGACCAGCATCCGCCGGTCAGTCGGCAACTAATCTGAATCCGCTATCCCATCCGTCTGCAATCATGCCAGGTGCTTCGCCGCCGCCACCGTCAAAGGCCAGCGAGATACCCGTGGGGAGTTATATCTCCGATCCAGTTCCACAGCCGATGACGCGGGGCCCATCGGCTCAGTCCTACCAGTCGTGGGCGACAGACCCCATACACCTTCCGCCGAGATTGTCGCCGATGCCTTCGACCGCGCAGGCCGCGATGCCTGCCAACATACACCACGTTATCCCACATCCACACGCCATTTCGGGCGCCGGAAGCTGGGTCGGGGACGTACCGTCATATCCACCTACGCAACCCCAACTGACGACCCCGTTCTCGCCGGACGTGGGTTATGCCGCACAGCACCAGCTGCGAGCAATCGATCCTCTGAGTCACTCCGTGGCGGGCATGGACCGTGGCTGGGAATATCGCGAGCCCCAACCGATGCTCTTGGGCGCTCACCCTATGGAGGTGCGCGAAACTCACCAAAGACTGGGAGCATTTCGACCCTACGACGCGCCACCGGTCCCCGGCCACCTTGCGCCGCTCAGCATGTATCATCCCAACCTCTCAGGACCATTAATCCCACATGAGCTGCACATGCAGCCTCAGGAAATGCCGACTGCTCGAGCTCGGAGTGGCAGCTCTCCCGCCCATCCCGGTTTCGATCGGTTTGGAATGAATTGACGAGTATGGGTTCCTCGGTGATAGGCGTTTGCCGCAAACGAAAGAAAGAAAAGGTAACTCAAAAAAGGACGGAAGAAAAGACAATCAATCAAAGAAAGCATGGAAGGCTCATATGAATCCGGAAAGTGAAATGCATTTAAGAATGAGGTTTGGAGTTGTGGTTTTTTCTCTCTCTTTTTTTTTTCTTTTTTTCTTTTTCTGTCCCCCCTTGCAGGCGTTCTCACAGAAAGCAGATATAAATCATGTTAATATGTTGATAGATGCATTGATGAATGGATAAAGGGGCATATGTGATGGCGTCTCCCGGATTGAATTGACAGTTGCACATTCGCCTGCATCATCTGTTGTTGTTGATGTTGTTTTGTTTTTTTCTCCCCTCTACATGTGAGAGTATTGGATACGCATGGAGTACGATGGTCGACTCACTCTTTTCGTTTTGATTTGTGGTTTGTGTGCATATTTCCACGCATCAGACGGTGGGCATGGAGGAAATGGGACCTTGTGGGTGCAAGGATCAGCGAATGGCTCGCAATGATAATGAAGATGAATGAATGAATGAATGCCCTCCGGAGTATATTTTCTCTTTGGCCTAGGGTCCGTGCGCAGCCGTGGCTCGACTGCGGACTGCCGCCGTGTAGTTGGCGGTCCAGCGTGCAGCTCCTGGCCCAGTGGAACCCTCAACTCAGACAGCATCCTCGACATCATCGACCATGATGAGCTGATGAACGAGGAAGTGAATTGAGCATGCCTTGGTCGACAGATCGGCGCTAAACTCCAAGGGGCAGGCCACTGACCGTTTATCGACGTAAGAGCGTCGATGACGTCGTGGCCGCCTCTGACGGAGTATATAGAGGCAAGAAGGAACTAGCATGGCCTTTAATTCCATTCTATCTACTGAATCTCTACATTCAATTGCTCATTGCTATTATCTCATTTCTCCACCCACACAACTATACAACACAATGTCGTCGATCACCCGCATCACTCCCATGGCTGCCCGCCTGGCGACTCGCAGCTCCATCCGCTCCCCAGCCGTTGGTCTGAACCTGAACCGATCGATTTCCTCGACGGCACGGCTGGAAAAGGGTCCCGTCGAAGCCACCAAGGATACGTTGAAGAAGGCCGACAAGGCGTTCTCCGGTGCCGCGGTCAAGGGTATCGAGAAGGGCCGTACGTGATACCCTAGCCTCCTCCTCCTCCTTCTCCTCCCCCTTTCTCTCCCAATTTAGTCTCCGAGGTCTTTGAAGAAGCTAACAATCAAACAGAGGAAGCAACCGGAAAGATCAAAAACAGCGCTAGCTCGGTGGCCGGGTCGGCCGAGTCCAAGTCCGAAGAATTGAAGGGAGAAGCCGAAGCCGCCGCCGGAAAGGGCAAGGGTAAGGCCGAAGAGACCCTGGGCGAGGCGAAGGGTAAGACTAAAGAGGCCTATGGCGAAGCTAAGGGCAAGGCCAAGGAGACCTTGGGTTCGTGAGCCCTCCCGATCCCCACTGGACTGGGGTGAAAGGAAAACCAGGCGCTATGGTAGCATCGTTGTCTCTTCTTCGTCGCATGTGTAATGTCTTTCATATAGTTGAGGGTTGTTATTTTTCACAGATCCTTGTGTAATATACATGATCGTTATGACTTGACGTTTCTTCATTTGTTGTAAAACCATTGTAAATCAATGTCTCGCATAGATCGGTGTTTCGCTAGTTTCTAGCGGATGTGAATGCACGCTGTCATGCTGGTGGTGGAAGCATGAGGACGTATTCTCGACTGCTCAGGCCGAACTTCAGCACGTCCTTGTCTCTCACTTCCACGTATCGTCCGCCTGGAATGGACTCTCCATTCACGCTTGACCCGTTGGCACTCTCCAAATCGATGAGATAGGGCTTGACTTTTCCGATGCGATCCCCGAATTCGTTCCGCTTATCGACAAACCGGAACTGCAAAGCGGCATGCTGCTTGGAGCAACTCGGGTGATCCAGCGGGAAATCCACCACCAGCCGCTCTCGTCCGATGAGCCAGCAGCTGCGCTCATTCAGCTCGACCACTTCCAGCACATCCTCGCCCTTGAAAACGTAGAGACGCCAGGGTTCTTTGCCGGGCGGCTTGCGCGCCTCGGGAGGTTCGTGATACTTGAGAACGACTGACTCTCCGTTGACCGCCACAGTGTTGCTCTCCGCCGCCAAGCGGCCCGTATTGCCAAAGTTTGGTTTCTCTTTCTCCGGCGGAGGAGCCGACGAATCCCCCGGTTGCGACACCTCCGATTTGTATGCGTCGTTCTGGGACGGAAGGGGTCCTCGAGACCGTTTCACTTCGCGCGACGGGGGACTTCGCGAGCGTCGGGCCGGGGAGCGGGAGCGGGAGGTACTTCGATGTCGTCGAGAGGGTCTCTCCTTCTCGTCGTCTGCATCTCGGTCCCGGTGGCGTCGGTGAGACCGCCGTTCGTCGGGAGAACGATGGCGGCGTCTTCTCCGGTCGTCGTCCGGACTCCTGTCGCGATCCCGACGCTCTCGACGACGGCGATCGGAATCTCTATGGTGGGTGCTTCGGCTAGATGGACTGCGGGAGGATCTTCTGCGCGAGCTATCCCGGCGCGAGCTTCGATGGTCGTCACGACGTCGTGAGCTGCTTTCGTGATCATCGTCACCACGCTTCCGTCGGTCGCGATCGTGTGAGGGACCAGGGGAATCGCGCGGCGAGCGATGCCGCCTTCGGTCACGGTAGCCGTCAGGCGATTCGGCCATGGTTAGATTGGGTTGTATCAAAGGATCGGGGCAAGTTTGGTGGAAGGGGAAAAGGCTGGGGGAGTTGGCTTTAGTTTTTTGGGTCCAGCAACGGCGGCACGTGATGGCATCGGGATTTCGTCACAACATCATCTCTCGCTCTCTCTCCGCTTGTTTCCCCTCGGCATCCTCGGTCTTTCTTCCCTCCCATGGTTTCTTAAGATTGTTGGGGGAGTAAACGACGTCTCCTCCACGGAAAACCATGCGGTCATGCTCAAGAACTCCAACTACATTTTTCGCCATGAACTGCAATTGCTGATTCCATCATGCCCCTCGCCGCCACTCTTCTCTCGGCTTCATTCCGCGCAGCATCTCCATAGATACTATAGACTTTACGCCACGGCTCATGGCTTCCCCGAACAAGACCTGTCCTGGCCGTCTTCCTCCTCGTTCACCCCTTATGATGTGTTCAAACAGGATCGAAAGGCTCCGTACTCCAAGTCCCGGTTCTACGAGCTAGTCAAGATCTACCATCCCGATCGGCCGTGTCATGACCATCCGTTGTGCAAAGACATCGCTCCCGAAGTGAGACTGCAGCGGTATCGTTTAGTCGTTGCTGCTCACGAGATCCTCTCCGACCCGGCCAGACGAGCTGCGTATGACCTCTCCGGCGAAGGTTGGGTTCTTCACCCTCATCGCAACCAAGGCCCGACTCCCTCCTGGGCGCGATCCGGATCCAGTGACTATGGTCCCATTCATACAAATGCCACCTGGGAAGATTGGGAACGATGGCGCAATCGTCACAAGGGAAAGCAGCAACACATGGTGGACAACCGCACCTTCACCACTTTCATTGTCCTGCTCACGCTCCTCGGAGGTGCCATGCAGGCCTCTTACATCACTCGGTTCAGTTCGGGCTACGAGTCCCGGCTTCAAGAGATCAATAATGAGTCTACCCGATTCTTGACGGGGCGGCGGGAGAATACCGTCAACCAAATGGCCTCAAATGAGGCTAAAGTCCAGCACTTTCTCATCCGCCGGGACCCGTCCGGTTATGGGTTGAAGGAGGAAGAACAGCCCGTTTATCAGACATTGTTGAATCCTCGCACCTCTTCCGATTCCGAGGCTGAGATCGAGACTATGGCTGCCAAAGGCCAAGGGCAACCAAATCGGAATGAACATGAAGACAAGTCCAAAACTGGACCTTGGCCTCCTGCCCCTGAACCCACTCAGAAGGGGGAAGCTACAAACATGCAGTAAAACATGATGGAGAGAATCATCGCTGGAATTGGTTGTTGTACATACACGGAGCATGCGGAGGTTTGACTGATGCCTACAGACTAAATAATGCAAGGGGATTATATCGTTACAAGGAGATTGGCCCCACAAAAGTTCCGGTCCACTTTTCCTGCAGAACAATTCCATTCGTGTGCTGGCGCTGCATCGAATCGACGTCAACCGAGGCACTCCGAGTTCCCAGTTTTGCGACTTCCGCGGTTCTTCTCGCCGTCGCTTTCTTTTTCATTTCCCACCTTCTCCCTGGCGACGGCGTCAACCGTCTCTATCTTACCCCTTACTTTCTTTCTTTCCTTTATTTTAAGCGCACTGGTCTTCTGCCTGTGCTGTGTCTGAGTTTGCCCGTCATGAGCAATCTCAACATGTCCGCCGGCCTCCTGAAGGCGATCGTCGCCCGTGTTCCGCTCATTCTAAAGACCGTTCTTCTTCATGGCATGCGTCTGTCTCCGGTCTCAGGCAAGCAAGACCTTCGCACGGAATTAACCGTCGTCGTCATTCGCTCCTTCATAAATTTCTTCCTGCCTATCGGCGTCCAGCAGAAACAAAGCATGCGAGATCCCGGCATCAAAGGGCCAATGTGGGTGTCCAAGGTCACATTGCCTGCGCCCGAGGATGGAGTGCAAGACGCATTGTTCAAGGCGATTGAAGACCTGAAAGCAGGTGGCGAGACTTTCGATATTCCGGGTGTTAGGCCTGTCGAGGCCGAGTGGACGGGGTATCGCAGCGGGGCAGGCAAGAACGCACCACAGCCGGACATTTCGGAGGAAGACAAATACAAGAAGCTGCAGGAGGAGTCACAGTCGGACACGGTGATCTTATATTTTCACGGAGGGGCGTACTTGTAAGTGTACTTCCGTGGCGACTTTTGTTTAAGGAGATGCTTACAAGTTTTCTTCATTTACAGCTTGATGGATCCCTGTACTCACCGTCCCCTGGTGACTGAGCTTTCTAAGAGAACGGGTGCTCGTGCTCTATCAGTGCGCTACCGTCTTGCTCCTCAGCATCCCTTTCCGTCAGCGCTCCTTGATGCGTTGGTCGCCTACCTCTCGCTCCTCGCGCCGCCACCCGGCTCATTGCACGAAGCTGTGCCCGCAAAGAAGATTGTCTTTTCCGGCGACTCGGCTGGAGGAAACCTGTGTTTGGTTCTGCTTCAAACCCTCCTTACGCTTCGGCGCGTCTCTCCAACAATCAGCTTCCATGGGCACGAAATTCCCATTGAGCTTCCCGCCGGATTGGCTCTTAGCTCTCCCTGGTGCGACGTTACGCGATGCATGCCTTCCGTCGTTCACAATGCGCCTTACGACTACCTGGCACCACCACCTCAAGACCACGAGATAGCCTATCGACCACCGCAAATACCCTCGGATGAGTCCTGGCCCTGCAGTCCCCCACGTGTCGACTTATTCGCGAATGCAGACGCTCTCATTCACCCCCTTGTTAGCCCCCTAGCAGCGCCCAAGGATCTCTGGAGGGACGCGCCTCCCGTCTTCATATCCGTGGGTGAGGAGGGCCTCACGGACGAGGGCTTGGTTGTCGCCCGCAAGATGCATCAGGTCGGTGTTCCGGTCGTGGTCGAGCAGTTCGAGGGTATGCCCCATTGCTTTGGACTCATGATGATGGAAACGTCTGCTGGACAACGTTTCTTCGACGGTATGGCCAACTTCTGCAGTGACGCAACCGCGAACACGGTCAAGTCGACCGGAATTATCAACTACATCACCTACAAACTGCGATCGACTCACCAAATCTCCTTCGATGATGCCGTGCCTCTCTCCGATGAGGAGGTGGACGATCGACTGCGTAAATGCAGGACCTGGCGCTGGGAAGGGGAGAAGCAACTGCTAAAAGAGTGGTCTGAGAGAGCGAAGCTATGAACCAAACTATTGCGCCTCTAATCACGTGGTTTCTTGTTGATAACTGGGATTTTTCTTTGATTTCGCAACCTTTCAATCACTGCCGAGCGTTGGTGTAGATTCCCCTTGTGTTCTTGTCTATATATATTTCTGTGTTCGGGATTGGTTGCTGTAGATACTTATAAATAGTGACATAGACTTCCAACCAACTGATTATCCGTCTGCTAGTACTCCCCTGAAGGAATAAGATACGTAGCGTTGCTTCGGCAATTACATCATGACTAGAGTCAACCTATCGTGTGTCCAGTTTCCTGAAGTCCAACTGCCGATCTAGATCCATCCCGATAAGATAAAAAGATAAGATAAGGGATTTAAGGTTCTGCCACTGCCTACCAGGTGATTTCTAGCTGTTCTGATCATCCTTTGTTTTCATCCTAGAAATTAAGAGTGAAGTCACAAATAAATTGAATGAGATTGAATGACTGGTATACAGTATAAACTCCCGGCCTATGAAAAATACCCAGCCCATCATACTAAATCCAGTTCCGTCCAGGCCTCACCCGCAACTCCGCTCGGAAAAATGCATCGAATGAATATCAAATACTAGTAAGCTGTATGTCAATGGATAAAGATCCAAGATGAGAAAGAAACGAAAGCAAGACCAGTCCTTCCCGCTACATCGTATGATTAGATGTATTCGTCGTCGTCCATAGATCCATCGTCGTTGCTCGCTCCGGCGGGATTCTGATTGAGATCAAGTTCTGGAACAGACTCTGGAACAGGCTCGGGGATGCTGTTGTAACGAATGCCATCCTGCTGCTTCGGGGCACCGAAGCCAAAGAGCCCTCGCGTAGGGGTTGCAGTGACTGCGAAGTCCCGCGTTTGGCTGCCGCGGATCCGGATCTCGCCTGACAGGTTGTATGCACGAGGAGCCTCGTCCACATACCCGTCCCAGAAGCCCATGAGTTGCCCAGCGAGTTTGAATAAAGCAAGTAAAAGAGCCCAGACAGGGGCTAGGACACCAGAGAGGCGAGACCAGCGCCATAGCATGGTTGGAAGGACAAAGGGAAATTGAGGTGCATCGCGCAGTAGGCAATTTCCCTCGCACACATTGGCAGCAATCGGATGGCAATAGTAATCACACATGGTCGATTCTGCGTAAGACCAGGCAAACAGAAGAACGATGAACCAAGCCAGGCCGGTTGGACGGACTCGTTGCGTGACGGCATCGCGCTTCCATAGAAGTGGAAGTGGAATCGCACTCGACGTGTGGTCGTGGTGATGAGTTCTGCATGTCTCGCAGCCGTCACTTGCACGGTTGCGCCCCGATTTCATGTCCTTCTTCGAAGTTGGAATCAAATCGACCTGCTTTTCGAGGCCGGCCAGTCCCGTTTTAACCCTGTTGATGTTCTCCGAAAAAGCCCGTAATTTCTCGTTGAGCCCATCGAGGTCGACGACATCGCGGCCCTTGGAGCCTGCGAGTTCAAGCTTTTCCATCACGGACTTCTCGTATGCGGCGTCCTCCTCGGCCTCGGTTTTCATCTCGTTTGGTTGTTCGTCCAGAATCAGCTGCAGAGATTCGATGGTGTCATCGCCAACGTCAAGGCGATCTTTGTCGGCTTTGAAGTCTTGCATGACTGTCTCGAGGGCACTTTTGGGCAGATCTGGTTTGATCAATGGCGGCTTCTGGGTGTCTTTGGGCTTGTCCGTTTGGTTTTCTTTCTTCTTATCGTCCTTCCTCTGCTCCGATTTTCTTTCCTCCTGAGACTTCATATCCGACTCTTTCTTTTCCCTTTCTTTCCTCTCACTCTCCGCTTTCTCTCGATCCTTTCTCAGTTCTGTTTCACGCTCCTGTTCCTTCTGAGACTGTAACCCGGAACCAACAGTCTGCTCAGCGACTTGTGACTGTGGCTGTTGGGGCGCACTTGGGGGTTGATCTTTCTTAACCTGCGACGGTACGATATCTTTAGAGAGATGGTCCGGGAAACGGTCAGCCCGCTCGGTCACGGGAGTATCGATCCAGGCGCCCGTCACGACGGGCGTCTTGTCGTAAATGCGATTCTCCGGCATTTTGGGCCCCTCTGGCGTCCGCAACTCACTCAGGCGTTGGGGTTGGTTTGGGCTTTCGGTTCTGGAGAGCTTGCGAAGCAGGTCATGTGAGTCTCGTTTGGTCGGACTGCGCTTAGTGAAGGTGGAGTTTTTGTAGACCATGATAGGTGTGTTGGGAATCTGATCGCCGCCGGTCAGCTTCTCAGCTCTGTTTTCAGTAGATAGGTTGTTCTGTGCATCGGAAAGGGGGACTCTGCTATATCGGTTCTCCTGGCGTTCATCGGTCGTGGCTCGGTTTACATTGTTCGTCTGTTCGAGGTGACTGCTGCGTGAGGCCAAGTCAAGATTGAATTTCGGAGGGGAAGTAGCAGCGGGCTCCTCGACAGCTTCTTTCGTCTCAGGCTCCTTGCGTCGCGTGATATCCCTCAACCAGTCTCGACGATGGGTGCCCCGACTGCCCCAGTTTGTGGGAAGGTTCAGTGTGGGTTTGAACCCATCATCTTCTTCGGACATATGCGACATATGCGCCTCCTCTTCCTCCCGTCGTTGTAGGTTTTCCGATGTCAAAGCATTGGCGGTACCGGTTCTGTTCAAGACTGGCGAACGGCTCGAGGTCGCCCGTCTCAATCGTTGCTCGTCCCGCACCGGATCTCTGGAATTTCGACGATACGGATTATCCGTCGTGTCCTCTAGGTAGTTCGCGTCTGTATGAGTGAACAGGCCATGGTCTCGTCTCGTGGAACCCAGAGAAGAGCCTCTGCTGCGGGATCCGCGGAACTGCGTGCGCGGGATATAAACATCCTCGTCCTCCGGCGCGTCGAAGTCAATTAGACTCCCCGCGTCGTCAATCTGCCGGTACGTCTCCGCTAATTCGTTCGGGGGATTGGAGTCCGGGGAGGCCGGGTTGAAGCTCTGTTGCCTCCGATTGGGAGTCCCCAGGGCATACGGGTCGGTCGAGAAGTCCTCGTTGTCGGACATGGTGGGATAACGAGAGATGGCTTCAAAGGCTCCTCGCAAAGTCCCGGTTTGACTATAATTTCTCCGACGGCGAGCGGTCGAGGCGTTGGAAGGACTTGGAATATGCGACGCGTCGACTCGATCGGTGGCGCGAGATTCGAGATGGGCTCGGCGGAAGGGGGAGCGGTGATCCTGCGGTGGCTCGAAGGCGCGACGCGACCAGCCAGATTTGCGCTCGGGAGTAGGCATGTTGGGGAAAGGCAGGAATGGCCGAGGGGGAGGGAGGAATCATTCACCCGCGAGGCCGACGCAGGCGTCCAGCGCGAATCCGAAGTAAATCGATGAGGGATGGCCCGCCCGATCGGGTTAGCGGCGGACATCATTGGATTTCCTTTTCCTTTTCCTTTTCCTCGTCGGTCTTCTTCCTCGTCGTCGTCCTGCTCTCCTGCACCTCTCTTCGCCCGGACCCTCTCCTCCTGTACGAATCACCTTCCTCCCCTCGTCTGCCGGCAGATCTTCGTCTGCGCCTCCTTCCGCGCGTCCTGCACTGACATGTGACCCGATCAGCTGTCCTCCAGACCTCCCCGCCTGCTCCTCCGCATCCTCACTTTCGACCGTTGAGGAGGCCAGATCTCCGTGCATTACTCCCTACCGTGGGCAGTCTCTCGTTCTGCAAAAGACTATCCTCAAACCCCGGCCCCTGCATGTGCTGAAACAAGCCACGTCGACACAACCGCACCTCCCAAGATGGCCAAGTCCGCAAAACGATCCGGAAAGGCCAAGGGCTCGACAACGCCCTCTTCCTCCTCGTCTGGAACCTCGACCCCAAGCTCCCAGGCGGGCCCTCTTCCTCCGTTCGCCAAAGCTCCCAGCTCTCTTCAACCCTTTCTCCAAACCTTCTCCCCTCAAGAAGTCTACCTGATCCATATCGACCACACCCCGCGAGACGTCAAGAAGCAGGCATTCAACGTGCCCGTGGTGATCAATGTGGTGATTACAGTCGTGATATGCATTCGTGTCTACATGGTTCGCAACATGTATCCGGCCATGTTGGCGACAGTGCTGGGCCTCGCGAGCCCCATGTCGGTGGATACCGCCTCGACGCCCTGGGAGCAGCTGGCGGTGACAGTTCTGATTCGCACTGCCAACGTGTTGTTGGATTATCTGCTGGTGACGATTTTCTTGTCTTGGCCCATTCGATTCATCGAGGGTCCCGTCCTGTGGCGTCGGAACATTGGCTTCCGGGACCGCGAGATTATCATCCGACGCAGCCGGCCCAGCCTGAGCGAGGGACTGGAGCGCAACCGCTGGATTCGGGAAGATGAGGCGACGCGGGATAAGATCGTGGCGGCCGTCACTCCAGACCGAATTAAGAAGACCGGCTATCTACTCGTGGATGCGGACTGGGATCTGGATTACGATGCCATGATCAGGGCCCACGAAATCGTCGACCGCACCCGGACGGGCAACGGGATTCCCTTGGACGAGTTCCGCACCGCGGTGGTTGTAAACACGGATGCCGATGGTTGGTTGATGTGGCATGTCGGAGACGAGGATACCGCGGAAGGACGAGCGCGGTCGGCCCAACGAGACCAGATTCTGGCCTTCAAGGAAAAGCTGACGGCCATGGGCAAGGAGGACCTTTTCTTCCGATGGGTCGAGCTGATCCAATACGAGAGCACCCGGCCCGGTGGTTTTACGCCGGAAAGGCAGAAGTCCGCCATGATCCAGGCAAAGCAGCTGTTCGAAACGGAGGGGGTGGATTTTGCGCGCTTCTGGCAAGAAGTTGGGGGCCTGGAGGGGTTCATCGAAGAGTTGGACTGAATGTGTAGACATGTAATTTCTTAGGTTCATTTCGGCTCGGTTTTCTTCTCTTCACATCTGTTATTCTATTGCAGTTATTTGCCGGGGTGTTTAGGTGGGGTCTCAGTTAGCGCTCGATACTACCAATCGATGGACATTTCAAGGTATATAGACCATAACACTTTTTTTCTTTTTTCTTCTTTCTTTTTCCATTACTTTTGCGTACTCAATAAGAACTCGTAGTGATATAAACCATTGCATTCATAGGTGGCTAAATATACGCAAGTCTAGTGCCCAGATCAGATAGAGAGGCTCAAATAAATGCTGAAAGAAAACTGATGTAAATAACCCGACAAAGATAGCAACCAAGTTCCATAGAGATGGGTATCATTCATTCATGACGGTTTGATGACGTTAAGAGAGCCCCGATTCATTCTTCCATCCTTCGTTGTAGGAGCCATTTGCATTATCAGATGGAGCAAAGATCAATGAAAAATTTTGTTTCTTGGGTCCGTTATGGCCACGGATCCAGGGTGAAATCATCCAGCCGAGAATCCTTCACTGATTACCGCTTTCCAAGCGGTAGTCAACGGACCAGAGCTTCTCCCAGGGCCGATATCTAGAAGCTGGGCGCGGGCTGGCGGTTGATCGCGACGGGGCAGAGTTGGCTTCCTCCCATCGGGAGGCAGTGAGAGATTTAGTGCCCCCTGGTTGTCGCAGTAATCGCTGATATGAGGATTCCCCATGGGTTCGTTCCATGCCCTATGATGGTCCGTCAGCTCCATCCAACAGACAAGGAGTCGGGGACCGTGGGTCTCACGGGCCCTGACGCAGTTCGCGGCGAACCTCGTCGAAAACAGGATCCGTCTCCCGCGACTGCGAGCCAACAGTCGGGGCTGTAGTGTCCGTCTCAAAGGCTCGAGTCAAGTCCGTAGTAGAGTCATTGTTGGCTCGCGGAGAGGGCGTTCCCGGCGGCCCTTTCTTGGAAGCCGAGCTGTTCCGGCGACTATCCAGACTCTTCGAGAGGGTTTTCGCGACATTGCCGCCAGCGGTCGTGCGTTTCAATCGAATACTGCCTCTGGCGTCGACATGAGCGGGCGCAACGGTGCTTTTGCCGAGCCCCGGGGTGGCCGGGGCGCCGGGCTTTTCTTCTGTGGCATCTAACAAATACCATCGAAGACCATCGGAGAGTTCAAATGGATTTTCGTCGTCGAAAGAAGTCCCGTCGCTCACCTCTCCGATTGATCGACGGTCAGGATTGGCAGCATTCATTGGCTTGGAAAGATCCACAACTCGTTCCTCAATCTTGGAAATACGGGCAAGGAGCCAATCTCGGGCCTGCAGTTTATGGGCATCTTGCTCGCGCAGGAAGTAGTGTGGTGCCCCGACGTTGAACGCAGCCCAGGATCGAATGGCCTGATTTCTAGTCGGCAGAAAGAGAGCAAGATCACCGTCTTTGAAAGACCGATAGGCAATTTTATCATGAGCTTCTCCTTGGGCTCGATGATACTTATCACGGTATCCCTTGGCTTCTTTCTGCCATTTGCGGGCGAGTACCTCTATATCCTTGAGTCGCCTAGCGACCGCATCCATGAAGATGTTGACGTCGAACTGAGCGAGGCACTCCATGAATGCCATGAACCTGTCGGTCTCTTCTTCGCCGCTTTCCGCCTCCATCCAGGTGGAAAGGCTCGGGTCTGGCCTGACAGACACGATCCCAGATTGAGCAAGTGTGTCCGCCGTGCCCGATAGGGCGTTCACTTTCGAGGATCTCTGGACAGCTATGTTTCCGTCTTGCCGGACGACGGTGAAGCCCGAGTTCTCCAGCATGCCCTCATGCTTCTCCACTTGATCGAACAGCTGCTTCGAGAGCTCTTTACAGCGTGATGCATAGACCTCGGCTCGGGATGTAGCTTGCTGCTTGGACTCGAAAATGGACTCAACCTTTTGTTTCCATGCCACGAGTTCGCCCTCGGATTTACGAGTCTGGGCCTCTGACTCGGCCAACCTCTGTGACAGGCTCGCAAGTTTGCGCTCTTCTTCTACGACCCTTTCGCGAAGCGCATCGGAGCCCGTCTCGCCTGCGTCGAATTGCGACTGCAAAGCCTTCATCTTGGAGCGCTCATCATTCAGCTCAGATGTAAGAGAAGCAAGCTTTGACTCTTCTTGTGCAAGTTGTTCTCTAACACGTGCAATTTCGGATTCACGTGTCTCCGCATTCGTTCGCAACTCTTGGACTTCTGATTCCATTTGGCCCACACGCTCTGCCAATGCTTTACTTTCCGAGGTCGCTTTCGTGGCATTTTCTTCGGCAGTTTTAGCATGGATGGCCAGCCCCTCTGAAAGCACCTCTATGGTCTTGATAATATCAGGGAGGAGGTCGGGAACAACCCCTCCAGGAGATAAATTCATCAGTGCGGCTTGCAGCGCATGGTGATTTTCTTGGTCCCTTTCTCCTCTTGCAGCTTCCTGCTTTTCAAGTTCACTGATGCGTACTTGAAGGCTCTCTTCTTTCTCCTTCAAGGGTTGTATCTGGTCAACAAGAATGGCTGCCTTTCGGATTTCATTCTCGGCACGACTATGAGCATCTTGGAGTTCAGTTTCAAGATGATGTATACGTTCGTCCGCATCTTGCTTTTCGTGCTCACGCGTATCCATAATCCGATCCAGCTCTTCCTCGAGCTCCTCAGCCCGAATCTTAATTTTCTTCTTTTCCCCCTCCAGAAACCTCCGTTCATCGTCGAACTCACGCTGCCGGGCTTCGAGATTACCGATCAAATCCTTCTTCGTTGACTGGGCCTCCTCTATCTTATCGGTGTTCGACTGACGCTCGGCATGGGCTTCTTTCTGAAGCTTTTGCACCACCTCGCGCTCTCCAGCGAGCTCAGCCTCGAGGGTGACGATGCGTTGCACAAGTGCTTTCTCTTCCGATGATTGATTGGCAGACATTCGCCTCGACGAAACAGAAGACCTTCTCGAGAGCTGATCGGGATGAGGAGATGCTGGTGAGCTGGGAAAGTCCAAGGTGAAGTTACCGCTTGCCGGACGGCCCATATGACTCTGTCGATGTAAAAGATCTTCCAGCTTGCGAATGCGGCTCTCGGAGCCTTTGAGCTTGTCTTCGAGTTTAGATTTTTCATCTCGAAGACTGCGGACCATGTCGTCACCGCGAACTAATAGAGAGCTGCGGCTCAAGTCAAAGACACTGCCCTGTTTGAAAGCCTTTGCCCTACGTCGCTGCAGGCGGGTGGGAGCATCCAAATTCTTAAAGTCCTGGGTCAGATCCTGAGCTATGCTGGCCATACTCGGTTTGGATTTAAGATCGTCGATGTAAGATTCGATCTCCTTCCGGTTGACAATAGGCCATTGAAACTCGTGACCTCTGAGGTTCACCTCAATACCCGGGGTCGTCGTGTCGGAGACGGAAACGAACTCGCCCATATTCTTGACCCATTTCTTTCTCCGGCGTTGCTCCTCGTCACGGAAGACAGACATTTCTTCCGCCAGAGTGAGCGAGTCGGTTTTCATCTTTTCGCTGAATTCGTGACGTCGCACAGACTCGATGAGGATGGACCCATAGACCATGGGCATATGGAACACGGCGTAGATGGTTTCAAATGCATCGCTATGAAGGTTGAGGTTGTTTATTTGGGTCTGCACATCAGACAGACGGGATTCAAGGGCGGATATGTGTCGCATGTGGCTAGGGGTAGCCTTGACTGCGTCATTATACCGCCTGACCGCTTCTTCCTGGGCAGCCTGGACTTCAGCACTAATATCCTGAAGCGATGGTAGAAGATCTTTGGTGTGACCCAGGGCAAGTCTTGAAACGTTTGCCAGCGTTTTCTGATTATTGGGCAGAGCCAAGACATGTTCATAGTCGGATTGTATTTTCTTAGATATCGTCTCAACTTCCTGTAAAAGGCCCTCGACACCATCGACACTTGGGGACGCAGTCCCATCGACCAAGTGCTGCGTATCTGACGCAATCTCACCCACAGCTTTCTCGACATCTTCAACCTGATGAGTGAATTGAGAAAATGCGACCGCTGCTTCTTGTCCAGCCTTCTGTACTTCTTCCGAGTCCACATAATCACGTAGCGTCCCAGCCGCTTTCTCCTTCTCCTTCTTTGGCGTAGATGGACGACCTAGAAATGGGAAATCCTTGCGGGCAGGAATGGTCTCCAAGGTCGCAAGGGCTCGTTTCCATCCGTCGAGCGCTGTTTGTTGCTCCTTCAGCAAGTCATTCGCCCAGGTTTGCGCTTCCTGAAAACGATGCTCCAGGGTTCCCACGTGTGTTTTCAGGTTCTCAAGAGCTACGCCGACGGCGCGATGGATAATGTTGGTTCGCGCGGTGTGATTCTGAATGCTCTTGTCGACTGATTCACAGCGCTCTAGCAGAGTCAACGCCCACGTCTTTCTAGCCAGATAAAGATTTCTCCATGATTGTAGGTCATTTTGGTCTTTGAGGATATCGGGTGGGTTGTCGAGGCTGAACGGTTGCGGTGGTGGAAGCTCTGGCAGCTCGGCGTTGTTTTGTTCAGTAACGTGTCGCCGGTCGTACACAAATATTTCATCCTGGAGCGAGCGATCAGCACCTGAAGAAACCGAGATGGCAAATAGCCAGTTCACCGGCCAACCATACCTCTGTGGCGAGTGTTTGAATCTTGACGTTTTTCCCACGGGCAGTCATCAAGATCTGCCTCTGAGGCGGAACTGACGTGTTGCGAGTGATCCATGATCGGAGTGCATCCGGGCTTCAAGTCAACGATCCAAAGGTTAGCCAATCTTTCCACGGCAGAGAGTCGAGGGAGGGTTTGGACGGGTCGGGAGCACAGAAGATGGCCCGGGGCACACAAGGGTGGAAGACGAGACGCAAGTAGGTAGAGGAACGTACGAGGCAAACGACACCGGGTCGGCAAGTAAATGCTCACCCGAGTGGGCGATATAGATGTGCAAAGACATCCCCTCCTCACCAGCCGGACAGCACGGCTCTCGAGATCTGGAGAGAAGAAGGCGGGAAGGAGGAAGATAAGAGAGGCCGAGGGATATAAACGCAAGGCACCCAGGCCCCAAGAAGCTCCCCGGCCTAGGCCATGTTGGGCGAATGACGCGCTGCCCCCGGAAGCACCTCGTCAAGCGGCATCTCCACCGCCTGCCAGCCAAAATAGAACACCCCCCATCACACGATCGATGGCGTCGTCAAAAGGTCGTTCTCTGCCTCACCTGGACCCGGGCGAGGTCACCCTGGCAGGAATTGCTGCCAATGACCCGCGAGATACCGTGTCTTTGTCCGACAAGGAGGCGTCGATCCTGCAGCTTTATCACCGGATCCAGGAACAACAATTAGAAAAGGCGCTACTTCAGCAAGGTAAAGACCACTTCTATGGACGGGTCTATTTGCGCTTTCCTCTATTACATCAAACGCTCATACGAGGACAGACACTCAATTACTCTCCGGTGACAATGCTGAAGAGGAGTTGGCCGTTGCGGAACGCGAGCTGCTCGAGGCGAGAGCCACTTACACGGTCAGGAGGAAAGCTGTCGCAACCATCCTGATGACTGACCCGACTCTCAAAGCCGTTCACCTGAAAGCGACATCCCCAGCTGAACAGTGAGACTTTCCCCGTTCGCCTGCCCGCCGCAAGAATCCTAGGAAATTCCTGACGAAACCATAGTGATCTTCTTCGCCTTATTAACCGCCGTGATGCACTTTCCCTTGCGCATGAGAATCTCAACTCGGCGCATAATGAAACGATGAAGCAGCTCTCGTCAGTGGAGGTCGAGAATCGACGGCTCCACCAAAAGAACAAGGAGCTTGTACGCGAGCTACTTGAACTCACCAAAGACGACTCGTCATGGAGAGAACAACTTGAGGATGCGGAACTCGAGTCGCAATTGGACCAGGTAAAGGACGATCACAGGAAAAGCAAAGCCAGGTGGGATACCATGAAAAACATCGCAAGCGCCATGGTCGTTGGAAGTGGAATAAACTGGGCGGATGACGAGGCCCTCACGGCCCTCGTTCTGGACGAATCTGATGAGTGATGCACTTGATGAACCAATGTATGCCGGGTCTTTCGCGGCTTATTCTGTATAATGGTATGGGTTTTAGGCAGGTGTTGGATTGGGATTATACCCGGTGAACTGGAATTTTGGGGCATTTCCTGCCATCCTTCTTATTATTATGGCCCTATTATCATGGATCTCATGGATATCACGGATACCCAGTGGCGACAGGGTGTGCGCACTTGGTGTACGTAGTAAACCCATACACCGTCGATGGAATCGGATTCAGCAGCATGGAAACAGCAGGAAGGGACGGGGACCCACGTGACATCATGGTATCCCCGGTGATGGCAACCGGCCTTCGTCATACTCCTCACGGCCGGAGCTGATGAATAATAAGAAGTGGACGCATGGGGAGCTTTGCCAATACGGAGTAGCGTGTTCGCCATTCTTCTAAGGCTGTCCCTACCATGTGAGATTCTAACTCGCGCCCAATCAATGCGAGAGGCGCCATTGAATCATAAAATGATCACATCTGGCAGGCAGGAATTGGGACAATTGATGGGATTGGGAGACAATAATTTGGGGAGTCCAAGGGGAGCCGGCGTTTCCACTTGAACCAGCCCAGAGGAGCTCCCATGACCCCCTCATTAATATTTCCGTGTCAATTACGCAGCGCTTACTTACAATACCTACACGTCCCCGGTCATTTTACCGGTATCTTGCGAGAGTGTGGCTTTAGACCGGTATGCGGTGGCATTTATTGTATGTACTGTATGTATGTACCCTCGCTGCAGAATCAGACAATTTCCTACAAGAAATCCCTAGTCGAACCGAGCACCAAAGGTCGCTAGGGCGAAATCATCATTGTCTCTTGCCAATCTTACACAGCATGAAGTACGTTGGCCCTTTTTTCCTTCTACCACCACATGGACCCCGGGTTGAGAACAGACTCTCATTCTGACCAGCATGTTCAGACCCTTTGTTGCTACTATTTCCCCTAGTCCGAATTCCCCCTCTTTGTCCACCAGCACTAGGTTCATCCATGAGATGCTACTTGCACTGCAATATTGGTATTGTTATTATTGTACTCCGTACATACTCCGTGCAATCACTCGGGCAATGAGAGTAAACCCCGAAGCGGCTGCTTCGTCTTATTGACCAGAACAGCATCTGGATCGATCGAGGTATACGGAGTATCTCCAACTCATAGGAATGTTTTTATCCACCTCCGCACCATCTCTGCCCAGAGGTCCTTGAGCTGTACATGCGCATACCAATGACTCTGGGTCATTCGGGGCTACGGATACCGCTAGGAAAACACCTCTTCTGCAAAGAAAGCCGCGGATGCCGGATGCTACGGCGGAGGCATTTCATTTATTCAGTGTCTAGCCTGCAGGGTCTGTTCACCACAAGACGGAGCATGTACTCCGTGCAACATCCCAAGTGTCCGCACATGGAACCTTGGAAGAAACTGAACCCGTGCTGTACTTTTAGTGACATCTCAGGATGGAGTGGATTTTGAGGATGTGATGGCAGAGTCCTGAACTAAACCAGAGAATCTGATTCTGCTGGGGTTGGTATCCTGCGAGAGCGATCGGACTTGACGCCGAGAAAAGCTCGATCGCCATCTGCGCTTGGTCAACATTGAGATATCAACAACAGTATAGGCTTATTTCCACTTCCTCTCTCTCTCTCTTTTTTTTTTTTTTTTGCTTACCACGACGTCCGCATAGTTATTGCATGACTCCAACTAATTTCCCATCACTCCGCAATCTGCAAGAGGTCTCACGTTCGAATTGCGGTAGGGGTTCATCTTTTCTTCGCCTTCTTGATTGCGTAATAATTCTTTTTGGGGACTTTCTTCTACTAGAGAAAATAAAAAGATAGAGAGTTTTTCTTTTTTTTTCTCCCAACACACGCAAGCACCATACTATCCAGGTCAATGGATCCATATAGTTGCTGATGTATCAACAATAAGGAAAGAATTGAGGGACCCGCGGAACCAAGCTGCCGTACCAGAACGCACCTCCTTATCCCGGTGCACACATCCCACCCTCGCGCTTTATTATTATTATTGATTCAGTATTACCAGCATCGCTTGTCGGCTACGGCAAATCCTACACACAGCGGTAACTTACCAGTAGATGGTCCGACTGATTTTTCCACGTCGTCTGTCGGCTGGGGTACCAGCTCCTTAGTTTACCTATACCGTAGCTATTACGGCAGGCTTACCTTTAAGGTGCCCTAAGGTAAATGGGTGGGAGGTATGAGGAGGGTACTGTATTGTACGATACGGCATGACAACGGTGGAGCTCCGGGCGATTGCTCAGCTACGAAGGGACCGTAACACACACAGCTGTGTCAGGACGGGGCTGTCTGACGACATAGGTGGGCATTACGCCTCCCTACAGACCACGGAGTTTAGTTTGGAGGGATAGAGACTTCAGAATGACAGCAAATGTAGGTATTTTCAAGGAGAAGACGAAAATCAAATTGGTGGATAGAACCTAGGTAACCTAGGTAAAGTAATGTACCTAAGGTACCTACGTATGGATACGTACAATACCGGTCATCAGCCAGCCAGAGGCGGGCAGCCAGTGGTAGGCGAGCGTGAATTCCCTTGCTGTGCTGCCCACTTCACCCCCCTTCAGTCACGGTCGGTCATTCAGTCAGTAGTGGCCCGCCTTCCCGTCTCCCTCGTCTCTTCCTACTACTACGACTCCCCCCCTCTCTCTCTCCCTCTTTCCCTCACTCACTCTCTCTACCTACTCTCTCCCCTACGCTTCCCTCCCATACAATTCTCTCCCCCATACAAAAAAGTACGCATATCCGCGTCGGTGAGTACCCTAACACAACCTCCCCCTCTTCGCAATCCCTCTACCACGCAAATCCAATTTCCTTTTTCCTTTCAAATCTTCTTGTTTCCGTCTTTCATCCTTGGTCAAAATGTCTTTTCCTGGAAGTTTTTCTTCACGCCCGCGCCGTCTTGCTGTCGCGCATCGGCGCCGGAAACTATATACTTCCTGGATCCATCAGCATCGCAGCGCGTATTGCTTCCCACGGGCAACATTGGGCGCTCTTTGACCTCTGGTTTCTGGAAGTTTCTTCTTCGGAGTCAATTGTCAGACTGCTCTCTTTGCGCGCTTTTCCTTTGCGTGTTTGACCACTCTGCGCCCGCGATTGCTCGGCTCTTGTTTGGGCCGCGCGCGCACACCGCGCACCGCCCGCTCGCCTGATTGCGCGCCCACCATCGCATCGTCGTTTAAATCCTCTCTTGTTGCCTTTTGACCTTGTTGCTGCTTTCGTTCTTGCCGGATCTCATCCCTCTGGCATTCCTGACAATTGGACCTCACTCCAGCGATCCGTTCGATCCTTTCTAACGAAGCATCCACAGACTTCATCTCTCAATATGCCTAAGGAGAAGACCACGCGCAAGACTAAGCCCCGTGTTGAGCGGAAGAAGAAGGGTATGTGTTTACTTCCCCCCTTTGCCGTCGCCTCGTCTTGGACACTGCTGACCACGACTCTAGACCCCAACGCTCCCAAGCGTGGTCTTTCCGCGTACATGTTCTTCGCCAACGAGAACCGTGAGAAGGTTCGCGAGGAGAACCCCGGCATCACCTTCGGTAAGACTGGCGCAACCCGAGACGCATGCCCGGCCGTCCAAATGCTAACAGCTTTGCAGGTCAGGTCGGTAAGATGCTCGGTGAGAAGTGGAAGGCTCTGGACGACAAGGAGCGCCGCCCCTACGAGGAGAAGGCCGCTGCCGACAAGAAGCGTTATGAAGATGAGAAGGCCAGCTACAACGTGAGTACCTCCCCGGCGCAGTATCCCGAGGCCGGACGAAGAGCAATGCTAACCATGCTCGCACAGGCCGGAGCCGCCGCTTCGGACGAGGAATCATCCTAAATGTTTACCTCTTCCCCTTGGTCTCGTTTAGCTTGACCGGTTGGCGTTTCTGTGTCGTTTGTTTTCGCTGATTGCTGGCCTCTGTATTTCGTCGCTTCTTATATTTCCTTTTTCCTCAATGGCTTCTGGTATGGGATGACGGTGGTATCTCCTTTGATTTTTTCTGTTTATGAAGGATTTTCGATGGGAAATGTTTACTGTACGACATGGCGGCTTTTGGGACGAAGCGAGGAGCCCGGCGCCGATTTTTCCGGAGCGACGGGAATGCCTTGTTTCGAGTATCTATGGTGCAATAAGAATGGAAGCTGCAGAAAGTGTGGTAACGCAAGCTTTGTTGTATACTAGCCTAATTGACCGCATCCTTCTTTTTCATTTGATTCCCATCTGCCTTGTCTTTCTTGGGGTTGGCGAGCCGCCGGAGTGACGCGGGAGTCGCTTGTTTACGTGTCGGACGCGTCGTGGCGCCGGCCTCGGCATTGGTGCCTGAGGCCTGGACAGGTGGCTGTCCCTGAAGCGTTCTGAACGTCTTGAAGGATTCCTTCCGGTGCAGCCCGTCGGAATGCAGATAAGGGCAAGGGGCCCGGCTTTATCTGTGCCGTACTTCCTACGATTCAACTTGGGCCGGGTCCTGAGGTGGAGACTAGCCTGTCATGCGATGACAACGCCTATCTCTCTGTCCACATCGACTGTCGAAATCCGGCGCGACTCTCGTCCACTGCGTGTCTGCCCGAAGATCATGGCCAGACCATCGATGTGCATACGGAGGATGTCTTGGTGACTTGAACGAAACGGGCTGACTTGGGGAGATCTGCTTGGTGGTCCGGAAGCTGGCCGCGCGAGCCAGACGGCAGGCGATGCTGGATTTGTATATGAATTAACCCATGTCTACCGTTTCACATCAAGCAGGACAGGCAGGCGAACTTAGCTGGTAGTCTCATTTAGGGCTCGCAAAAATTACTCAGAATGGGAACGCGTTCAAAGCTGCAGGGCCGGATCGAGGACTATACTGGAAACAGACAGGGAATGCGCCATCGCCATGGATGGAGATCGACCACTGTCTAGGGTCTTGCTGTCTTGCTCCGTGCACTTGCTCTTGAACCCTGGGGGACGTACGCATGGAATATACTGCGTAGCATCTGAATCCGACTGTCGACCTTTCCGTGCAACCTGGAGTCTCGTGACCCAGACCCCCCGTGACGGGAGCATCTCCTGCCCGGCGGCACTTCATCCCTTCGCACTAACTGCAACTCACAGATGGTCACTTCCGGCCAGACCAAATGGATCCTCCGACTGCGTGGATGGTGGCTATTCTGGCATCATCATTAGTTTGATGGACTCATGCCTGCTGTCCTGAGGATAAGGATGATTTTAACCCGTCCAGTATCGTGTTTCCCTTCCCCATCACCCAAATCCATTTCTGCAATGACATGCCAAAGCTTGGACGAATGATCGGGCCCGCGGGGTTGCACACCCTCCACTGCTCTTGTCTTCAACTCTTTATCACCGCTCAATGCCGCCATCCACTTCCGCTGCCCATTATTGGCTTCTTCCCTCCAAAGCCGCATGAACACGTCAACGCAAATTCCGAAGACAGTTAGCCAGCAGCCGGAGACAATCTGGTTTCGCGCCGTTGTGCTCCATTTGTCTGTCTGAGAGCCGCAAGTAAGCATTGCATGGTTTAGGGTCTCTCGGACACGGTCGATTGACGAGATCCTGCCCCACTTCAAAGGATTCTTGTGCCCGCATTCTTTCGTGGACGGATGATTGATGCTTCCCTGCTTGGCTCGTTGTTTGACTCTATTTTTCCTACCGTCCAATTTGTTTCTGCCGGACCCTGTGCTCTGGCGGATCCCCGTTGGGTCACTTGCGGTCTTCTTCCGGAAGACGCCAATGGACATGCATCGGAGGGCTGGTCTTGCCGATAAACTGTCGCTTTCTGACTCTTTTCATTATTTTCTGTGACTGAGTTGTCGTCCGGCTGCCCCTCCCCGGCCGATTTTTTGATTACTTGTAGTCCACTGTGTGAAGCCTTTTTTTTTTTTTTTTTTTTAGCCTGGCCGCATTTAAGACGTTTGCCCTATCTTAGTTTCACCCTTTGCATTGAAGCAACCCACTTGTGATTGTGATCGGCGTATATCTTGTGGGCGGGCTGTCTTTCACACCGTCTTCTTTTCTACACATACCTCCACGACTTCATCACTGCGAACCACCTCTCCTCCCTATTTGATTCTGTGGTCTAAAAGAAGGGGCCGAACTATTGTTATATGCATGGTCAACCCTAGAGGCTCATCCACCATGGCCCTGCGCACTTCTGCCGATAATGCCGAGGATGTGGCCGCAGGCTTCACCATGTTTCGCGATCCTCTCCCCGAACATTCCGCCGAAATCACCGGTCTCATTGCCGATCTATATTCCATTAGTTCATCTCTGAAAAGGCTGGAGGACCTGACGAAAAACCGATCCTCTCGCCACAACTATGCCGCTGCCCATCCCGACCTGGGGCTGGTTCGTACTAGCTTGAAGTATACGCTAGAGGATATCGTCGACTTCTTTGGGGACCTAGAGGAGCGACCGGCTTCCAGTCGAGACACCTACAAGCGTACATGGGTGCATCTATGTACTTACTTCCGGGAAGAATCGCAAGACTCGTTGTCGACGCGTTTGGCCAAGTACAAGGCTTTCCTGAATGAACTGGAAGATTTTATGAAAGAGTAGGTCTTTGGTTCTCTGGTCTTTCTCGTCTAGCCATGGAGTCGCATTGACCTTACCCGCTGAATCTAGCAACCATCCGGATATGGCTCTTATGTCCAACCTCCGCAACAACATCAAAACGCTATATATCCAACAGAGCAATCGTCTGATATCTCAGCTGGGCTCTATCTCGTTGAGCACGCCGTCCACTGTAAGCAGCAATAGTGCCGATCCGGGAAGCCCTGTCAGCGATCGCAGACCTCGGAACCGACGGTCGTATGAACGGCAGAGACCTTCTCGGTCATCTCCACAAACGCCCCTCTCTCCGTCATCAGGAACCTCCTCGGACATTCCTCCATCGGTTCCCGATATACCAGGCTCTCCACTCACAAGCACAGCCACAAGCAACTCCCTGAGTACTACTTTCCCTAGTGAGCATTGGGCCCGAAGAGTGTTTCTGGATGAGCACCCAAAGACTACTATTCCATACGTCGGCGAAAGGTGGGGACTCTCTCGCGGTACAATCGTTGGAGGAGCCGAGTACTGATGTATTCTTAGTTCTAAATGTCTTGGCGATATAAAACCTGGAGCTAGGCGGTGGCTACACGAGGAAGGATTTGAGGAACTCGTCCAACTGCAAGTTCGCCATGGATGTTTCACGTTTGCATGAACCCGACTAACCTCATACAGAGCTTTCAACGGTGAATCTGAACTTTACGTCTACTTCTACCAGCGTGAAGAGGACCACCGAGCACGCATCATGTGCAAAACTCCGCGGACTTCGAGGTCCAGTGAATATTCTTGCCTTCCCTTGAATATGTTGGAAGTTTTTCGGGTCGGCTCTTGCTTACAGCTCTGCCGGCGCCGCCGCGGAAAGTATGACCTTGAGTTGTGGGCCAACCTCAAGTTCAGCACCATTGAACGTACGCGCAACCCTTACCCTTGAAGGCATAGCTGATAGGCTGGATAGATATGGTGCTTTTCTTTTGCACATTCCTGGCCCTTCGCTCGCAGGATTGCCACAAAACCGTGGAACGCATCCGGGACTACGAGTTAGATGAGGAAGAGGAGTTATTTGGAGGGTAAGAAAGCCACCGAAGCACCAAATGCGAGAAGTTTGATCATGCTGAACCAGCTGCCTAGGCAAATCGTCGACGATGATTTCCTCCATGCCCTGCGCGTCTACCGGGACAACGCTTCTGGGGCCGTCAGACTTCAAGCGTCAGTACACAAGGGGGAAATGAAACGGTAAGACATAGCCATACGTTGGGTTTTGGTCTTCTTGGCTGACCAATATGTTCTGTGTCAGAGCCCCGGTGTGGACTGCATTTATCACGCGCAACATTCGCACTCGGGGATGGATTCGTCGGTTGGACAGCAAAGTTGTGGTGCTGCGTGAGCTTCACCCCACAATTCTTACCATCTCCGATTACAATGCTCCCCGAACATCCAAGGGGGAGCACATTCTAAAATTCACGAATAAAGCGGGTAAGTCAAAACATGCTCAACTATAATCCGCGTGGAAGTCAACTAACGGGAAGTTTGTAGACGCCCAGGGATTCATAGAAACCATGGCGGAGCTTGCACACCCATAAAAAGCCGGCCTCGCAAAAAGACACGCCAGCATTTGACAGTCATATGGGATCTTAATCATTCCCAGTCTAATCTCACCCTCGATGATCTCCACGCATTAACACGAACAAAAGAAAAGAAAAGAAAAGGAAAGGAAAACAGGAATAATTTACGCTGCCGGTATACAGGACTGCATACTAACATTGAATATATTACGATTAACGAGCCATGACCACATGATATGACGAATTGACGTTGACGCCGATGATTAGGCGATCTTGAATTCTTTCTTTTTGCTCCTGTCTTTCTATTGCTTGTTCTCAGGCACTCTCTGACTGGGTGGGTAGCGTTTGGATTTCTACTATTGTCGTTATATATCTGGACATTTATACCCTTCTCATTTCTCTCTTATCTCTGACATGTCAAACGATATGTCCATTCTTACACAGCTCAAAAAACAAGTATCACTTCATTAATCTAGGGGGTATCATAAAGTAAAAGGTAGCAGTATACAGATGATCAGGCATCGGCTTCAACCGGGGTGGATCCACTCCAATCCCCAACGTTGCCCAGACCAGCCAGGAACATCTCCGCGCGCCTCTTGGATCGCAATTCGCCGATTTTCTTTCTCCGTTCGTCCTTGATCTGCTCCCTCTCGGCTCTTCTCTTCTGTCGAGCCTCCCGTTCGCGCTGGGTTTCATCTCGCGCGCTCACCAGCTCCTCCATCTGCTGTCGTCGCACATTCTCATCTTTAGAGAACGCATAGAACCCGGTTCCTCGGTTGCGAACCTCGGCATCGGCGTCGTAATGTGATTCTCCCGGCGGCGTGGCCGATCGATCCCGACGCGTGGCCAGATATGACATCTGCGACGCCGCGGCAGCCGACGGATTGAACGCCTCCGCCTGCACCGTCTCCCCGTAGATCAAGTTCTCCGGGCGCGACGGCCGCCAGCGCTCCTGCATATTCGACCGCTCTCCCGACTCCTCCGCCTTCACTCGCGCCGCCCGCGCCGCTTCGGCCCTGGTCCCCCGGCGCGTCCGGCCCAGCTCATCCTCGTAGGACACGACAGACGCATTCTCATCATCCTCCTCGTCTCCGTCCTCTTCCTCATCTGACCCGGACCCCTTCGCGCGCTCCGCATCCGCCCATTTGCGATCGAAATCCACCAGCCCCTCGCGCTCCTTCCGACGCAACCGCGCCAGATACGCATCCGCACCGCCCGCCTCCCCTCCTCCCTTGTAGACATCATCGTCATCATCACTATCCGCCGCCAAATATGCCCCGCTCTTCAGCTCCTCGTACACGCGCGCCTTCTCCTGCATGCGCCTCTTCGAGCGGTGCAGCGCCGCGGCATCCACGCCGCCGATGTCTGCGGTGCGCTGGTGCTGCTGGAACACGCCGTGCTCGTCGTCGCGGAGGTCGGCCGCCGCGCGCTTCTGCGCTCCCTTATTGTGCTGTGCGAATATGTCTGATTTGCCCGTTCTGGCGGGCCGGGGACGGCCGCCGCGCGACGATCCCTTCGTGTCCTGGGAGATGAGCGAGGAGAGAGTGGTCGTGAATGCGAGGTTGGATGCGGACGGGGCGTCTGACTTGGAGGTTGATTTGGGGCGCGGGGCCCCGTATAGGGAGTCCGACATGATGGTCCGCGTGGATGATTTAGGTGTTGGAGAAGAGAGACGGAGACTGAGGATGAAGCCGGAGAAAGGAAAGGCGCAAATCGGAGGCGGTGATGTCGGATGACTCAGCGGGATTGTTCAGGCCCCGCAGGAACCCCTCCGTTGCTGCGTTCGTCTTCTTCCTCTTCTCTCTCGAAGAATTGCTTCTATTCCTGGTGTTCTGCAACATTGACTCTGCTCAGTTCGGGTTTTGAATCATCTCTTCTCATTCATCATCATGGCTAGCCCTATCTACCTCGGTGTCATTGGTATGTCTTTCCTATGTCTTCGGTGGAGGATAGCAACGATGCTATGACTCTACAGATCTCTCTACCCAAATACCCTTTCACTCTCTCAATTCTGATCGATTGACATACATATACACACAACACTGACTCTCGTCTTCTCTACTAGGCGTCGGCGGCGTCGGAACTGCTTTCCTGAACCAACTCGCCCGTCTCCCCAACGCTCCCCAGCTCGTCCTCCTCGCCCGCTCCACGCAGACCCTCCTCTCGCCGACACCGGCCTACTCGCCCTCCATCCCCGCCACGTCCGACTGGAAGACCGCCGTCGAGACGCCCTCGCTCACCAAGTCCGGCCCTCTCTCCGCCGACGAGATCGCCGCCTACCTCTCCGCCGCCCCCGGCCGCTCCATCCTCGTCGACAACACCAGCGACCCCGCCCTCGCCGGCTCCTACCCCGTCTTCCTGCGCAAGGGCATCTCCGTCGTCACCCCCAACAAGAAGGGCTTCTCGTCCGACCTCACCCTGTGGAAGGACATCTTCTCCGCCGCCGCCCAGGGCCAGGCCCTCGTCTACCACGAGAGCACCGTCGGCGCCGGCCTCCCCGTCATCTCGACCCTGCGCGACCTGGTCGCCACCGGTGACGAGGTGACTCGCATCGAGGGTGTCTTCTCCGGCACGCTCTCCTTCCTGTTCAACACCTTCGCGCCCCTGGCCGCCGGCGGCGCGTCCGCCAAATGGAGCGAGGTCGTCGCCCAGGCCAAGGAGCTGGGCTACACCGAGCCCGACCCCCGCGACGACCTGAACGGCATGGACGTGGCGCGCAAGCTGACCATCCTGGCCCGCATCGCCGGCCTAGACGTCCAGGCCCCCGACTCGTTCCCCATCGAGTCGCTGATCCCCGCTGAGCTGGCCTCGCTGCCCTCCACCGCCGACGGCATCACGCAATTCATGACCCGCCTGCCCGAGTTCGACGGCCAGATGTCCGCCGTCAAGGAGGGCGCCGAGAAGCAGGGCAAGGTGGTGCGATATGTCGGCAGCATCGACGTCGCCAAGAAGGAGGTGCGCGTGGGCCTGCAGCAGTTCGATCGCGACAGCGCCATTGCCGGCCTCAAGGGCAGCGACAATATCATCAACTTCTACACCAAGCGGTACGGCGGTAACCCGTTGATCGTGCAGGGCGCCGGCGCCGGTGGCGACGTCACCGCCATGGGTGTCACTGCCGATCTGATCAAGGTGATCGAGCGGTTGCGTTAGATGGCCCGCGGGCCTGTCTGTAGCTACGAATTTTCTCAAAATTAGTATAGACGATGGAATATAGTTCCATTTGGACCATGACCAAAAAGAAGACATAGCTTCGTAGATTGATTGATATATTGCTCTCTCGCTCACTGCATTAAGACCGCAGGAATCTCTTCACTGCATCGCCCCAGACCGGCGCTCGTTTGTACCAATGGATCCCGGGGACGTTGCCCTCTTTGAGACCATCAATTGCCGTCGCCAGGTCCTCACCGAGTCCTTCGTCCTTGACGGATTGAATCGGGTACGTATAGGTATGGAACGCAAACACCAAGGCTTTGGTGTGCGGGAGTCGATGGAGCGTTTGGCGTTCACAGCGTAGAACTGTCTAATGTCACCACGTTCGTTTAGTTTCAGGTCAAGTGAAAACAAAATGCGGGCAAGGAGAAGAAAACTCACCGAGTCAACATCAAGCTCACCTTCGCTGATGACCCCGTTCTCACCCTCGGCACCGTGCACGCCACCGAACGCAGCAAACAAGTCTGTCCGGGTCGTGACGCTCCAGTTCACTCGCTGCACGAACTTGCCGACCTCGACGCGGGCAAAGAACCGGTCCATGCTCCGTTCGAGCTTCTCTTTGTATCCGGGGACCGGATCGTGGATGGACGCCAGCCTCAGCCCGATCTTCTCGGCCGGGTTGAATCCCGACGGGAAACAGGCGGTGTATGCGCGCAGGACGTACTTTGGTTCTTGCTCGTCGGGGCCTTGGTCGGCGTGTTCATCCTGTTTGGGGGTCGAGGCGGATGACTCCGGCAAGAGAATGAGGAAATCTTCATCCACGAGGGAGCCGAGAATCTCGAGCTGTTTGCGTCCGTTGGGGGCGTTGTCGGTCCAGTCCAACGGGGCCTGCTGGCCGGTGACCAGGCTTTCCAGTACGGTGCGCTTTTCCGAGATTTGGATCAATCGAAACATGCGAGGGTACCGTGTGGGGAGATAAGAGCCCACGACGAAAGTGTAGAGTTCGTTGATAGCGGCAAGAACACAAGGGTCTTTAGGGTCGTTGATGGCGATGACGACGTCGGGGTATTGACGTAGTAGATTGGCGCGAAGAGCTAGTCGGTCCTTATACGTTTTATCCATCGGGATTAGGGCGGATGGATCGAGGGAGGAAAGGGCTGTGTCGTCATGGTGTTAGAAATGTAAAGTATTTGGTGAACTAGCAACGGTCCACTTGCCCATGGTTAGATGGTATTTTGGCTTGAAGGGTCGAAAGCATAACGGTTCGGCGGTTTCCCAGTTGAAATCTGGCAGCGGTTCAATGGGCGGATAACCCGTTGACTCTGGTGAAGATCCATGACTGGGAGACTCCAGCTGCCTCTGTGCTGAGGGTTAGTCTGAAGCTGGACTATCCGGCATTGAGGTGACTCGTACTCGATTCCATAGGCTGAATAGCCAGATTGCCAGGACGACGAAGAGGATCACCAAAGGATTCCTCTCTATGTAGAGAACCCAGTCATCCAGACAGATCAGCTGCATGGTGACTGTGCCTGAACGTTGTTCGGACGGTGTGTTGATGGAAGAAAGCCAATGCAGACTTTGGGACGAGCCATGGATCTTTAAATGTCGGCATCGTCTGGTATGATTTGTCGGAAATGCCGCCCACCGCCGATTGCTCCAAGCACCGAGTTGACCTGGCCCTCGAGATCGGCAAGCAAGGTGAGATAAGGGACAGGATAAAGGATTCTGGCTGGAAGACCGCCGCTCCCCGCGGCGCAGCCACTAAACCGAATCCAGCAGCTGGGGAGAGAAAAGGAGATGGCAGAGCCGATTAACCCTCCGTTCTATCGGTCGGAGTCCTCCGCTTCACCGGCCTCTCCGCAGCATCTAGTTTCGTCGCCGTGCTGATGTCTTCATATCCTGCCAGACCGAAGGCTCGTCGTTGGCCGTCGGGCCTCTCGTTCAAGCTGGGTGCGCGAGGTCGTTGCATCCCTCGCGCGCGACCTCCCACCACGGGGAATTCATATCCCACTGTCCGCCACAAATACAGACTCACGTCGAAGAGGAGAAGAACCGCCCAGGGAAAGATGGTGATTATCCCGAGAATGACCTGTTTGCGGAGAATGGTAGGTCAGCGAGAAGCCCATCTAATCTCCGGTTTGCTCGAGACGTAAGGAGAGGGGTCGAGCAAACACACAAACAGCCGGACTTACAAAGAAGCGCGCAGCCCAGCTCTCGACGTAGATCAATTCCGGCGGAAGGATAGAGTACCAGGCCATTTTCTCGTGTAGTCAGAGTGTACTCTTGTGGTATTGTGGTAGATCGTTGTTCTGAGGGACTCGGTTCCCAGGGCGCAATGGACATTCGGCCAGCACAACGGTGCAAGGGCTCGCTAGGCAGCAGGCTGGGCACTGGTCCACGGTTCCTCGTGTTCGGCAGACCGCATACGTGTGACCAGAAGGGGCTGGCTTGGTTTCCTTCGCTCGGAGAATTCCTGATGTGTTGTTTATTGATCGGTTGAGGGTTGAGGGTTGACCTCGGAATTGCGGCGGGCGGAGACGGGCACGGCGTTCCTGGGAGAAACAAACCGAGGGACGCGAAGGATGAGGTTTAAGTGATAAAAAGGAGTGTCCTCCTAAGACCACAATTGGGACCTGAGGGGCAAAGGGAGATTGGAAAGGGGTGTTGATCGAGAGGAGCCAACCCCTGGAAATGATGAAAGGGGGAAACACCGACGGGACCGACGGAGCCGAACTGGACGTTAACTAATCCACCGGTTGGCGATCAACGGCCACCAGGTTGGTCAATGGAGAGGATTCTATTTCATTTACTATATACAATCAATCCAATTCCCGCCCAATACAGTACAGCAGATGTCCAGATATGCCTGCCCTTTTGACTCCGAGGTAGTCCCAAATACAACCGTCATAATCCGCGCTCTCTATACAATCAATAAACAAAAGATGAAATGGGGCAAAATATTCAGAACAGTAAACAAAGAGAAGGTCATCACTCAGAATCTATCGTGACACACGATAATGCTCGTATGAGGTGGGATTGGGCTCGTCCTGGTCCACCGGCCCATACCCTCCGGTTCGCCATCGATCCAACGGCGTCGCCGACGCGGTCTCGTTGATCGCCGGCCCTTGTGCCTGGCTGAGGAGCCCGGCATGACTCTCGTCGTCATGCTGGTAGAGTCCCTGTCCCACCGGACCGCTATCCATGCGCGACAAGGGGGTGCGGAACGCCGGATGGATCTGCTCGCCGGCATTCAGGTCGTAGCGCTCGTACGGTCGGATGGACGGGAGCGATGGCGTCGGAGACGACGCGCGCGACGAAGTGGGCGACCACTCGCCACCCAGATGGCTGCGCGGGGTCTGCGAGCGCTCGGTCATGAGGTCGTCGGGACGACCGTAGATGCCACCGCCAAACTCGTCGCGGAAATCGGGTCGGTCCTTGTAGTACGAGAAGTCGAGGTGGTTTTCGGGAACGACCTCGAAGGGGGCGGCCGCCGGGGCGTCCATCTTCTTGCCCGGATGCGAAGTCGACATGGGATTCATGGCGATGTCCGAGTACTCGCCCTCCGCATCCACCGAGCCCAGGCGGCCCCGGTAGATGCGGCCCAGCGCTTCGGCCGCCTTCGCGTGGACCATGGGAGTGATCAGAGGCTTGTAGAGCGCCGGATGACCGAACCGGGAGTTGAGTCGGTCCGCGGCCTTCTTGCTGGATTTGCCCACGGCGAGGGCTTCGGCGTCGCTGAGGTTGGCCCGGTTGTAATACTTGATGTCGCCGTCGAACGCCTTCATGCAATACCACTTGAAGCCCAGCATCAAGAAGGGAAGCGGGATCACGCAGAAGACCATCGTCCAGGTGCCTCGCACCTTAGCCACCAAGGCGATCACCACGTTGGCGAGGATCGTCGCAAACACCAGCCGGTTGAACACCACCCGCCAGAAGCGTCCGCCAGACTCGTTCTTCGTCACGAACACGTAGAGCAGCATGTATTTCTTCATCATCGCATCCATCCCAAAGTACAGCGCGGTGACCGGTAGAACGACCGGCTGCAACGTGGCGAAGCAGAGAGCGACCGTCGCGTAGAACAAGAAGTAGTTGTAGTAACTGGCGAATTGGAACTGCGGTGGCGCCGTCCACTCAATGGCTTGCCGGGGGGTGGGAGCCAGGAAGGTCTTGGAGAACCAGACCCAGAACACGTTCACCAGCTGGATCAGGTCAATGGCCGCTCCCAGGTTTCTCTGCAGAAGATAGGTGACCCAAAACGGCGAGACTTGACAGAGAGCGCCCATCACCTTAGCGTAGAGCGCTCCGTCCTTGATGGCGTTCCAGGCATCCTCGCCATCCTTCGCATCGACGACCGCCGCGACGAAGGTCCATGCGGCGGAAAAGAGGGAGAAGACAATCAGGTTGTTGAAGACAAAAAAGGCGTACAGATTGTGCAGCACGTGTCGCTCTCTCGAAGTTTTCGTCACGTCACCGGCTCGAATAGCCATCCGACGGAAGATGATAGGCAGGAGCACATAAACGAGAGACGTAATCGCAGGCGACAAAATACCCTGCACGGCGGCCCAGACCTCGGAATGGGCGTTCAGCGAGGTCTGGAAAGCCGGCCAGACGAGACCCAAGTTATTCAGGTTAGACAAGAAGACTGCGATGAGGGCGTTGGGAGCGATCCAAATCACCGTCAAGACCGCTGAATAGATGAAGTTCATGAACTGCTTCCATTTGCGGGCGGATTTCGACAACGGCAGGTTTTCCCAGATAATGTCACTGGGCCGGGGAGCCAGACGGATCGTCGTCCCTTGAGGGTGCTTGTTGCGCGCAGTGAAGGCCACCGCATGGGCGTGCTCGATCATTTCCCAGCTGACGAAACCGTACGGGAGGGCATTCCGCTTGTCAATCGACCCGCGCACATGCCGAATCTCTTCCTCCAGCCTCTGGATTTGGTCGGCCAAGAAATCAATGGCATCGACCTTGCCCTTGACCCCGTCGCCTCTTTGTTTCCGCGGTGGACGCATGGTCGGCCGGTTGATGGGCAATTTATCCGGGTTTTTGAGGTACTTGGCCAGCACCGACTCGAGCTCACGCACCGCTTCCTCGTGCTCCTTGATCAGCCCAGGAAGACCTTTGACATTGCGGCCAACGGAGGATCGAGGTACGGCGGCGGTAGGGTTGACTTCATCGACCAGGCGCATCACACCCTCGTCAGATCGGGCCGCGGAGGGAATATCGGTAATCTACAAGGTCAATTGGTGAGACTCTGGGGAACCGCGGGGAGCGGGTGGGAAGCGTGACATACCATCAGGGTTCGGGCGTGCAGACTACGCTGGTATTCCGAGCTTTCAAAGTAGGCTCGGCGGAGTGCTTTCACGGCTTTGTAGTTCCTCCAGAGAAAGTACGCGATAATAATGTCGAACACCCAGGCGCAAATGACCTGACTCCAAATCGCGTTCGCGGTGACATTCAACGGAGTCATGGTGGAAAAGACCGAGAGGTCGCCTTTTGAGGAGCTGTCGCTCTGCGTGATATTGACGGGAATCATGACCCCGCAGCCGATGATGCTGAGCAAAATGAAGATGTTGCGGCACATCTTGGTAAAACGCAGGAAAATGGCGGCATCGAGGCCAACGCAGTCGATCAGCTGCTGCTCTCTGGTGCTCAAGACCGGTTTGACCCAGGCAAATAGACCCTTCCCCACGGGAGGCGGAGTGTGTTTGCGGTCGGCATGCTTGACTTTGGGGGCATAGACCACCGAGTGTCGAGGACGGAACAGGGAGAAGAGCAAGGCGAGGATGATGGCGAGACCAGCGGAGGTAGCCAAAGAGGCCCAGACAGCTTTCACTTGGAACTGGGACCGTGGGTTAGCTGACGTCGGAAGCGATTGGGCATTGTCATTGCCTCAACCAAAACAGTAAACCGTCAACAGTCAACGGAAGAGAAAAACATACGGCGGATTTGAACGGGTCCTGGATGAGGTCGAGAAATTGGTCTGCGCCGTCATCACGGCGCCAAAGAGGATTAGGATCCATAGTGTCCGGAGAGTCGCGGCGACATGGATGGAACCCTTTAGGGGGCGGATTGAAGGTGGAAGTATGATCAGATCAAGAGGGTTTCCCACGCGGACCAGGGTTTAAGAATACACAGAAATAAGAATGGGAAAAACGAGAGAAGAAAAGAAACGGAAAAAAAAAAGCACAACAGACCACGGAGAAAAGCAAGACAACGGATCGAAATCCGGAATGACGATGCGGGACTGGAGAAAAGACAGGCGGAGGACAAAAAGAAAGCGAGCGAGAAAGAAAGGCAGTTGGTTAGCGCGGGTGGAGACCGGTGGAGGCGGGTCTGGAACATTATATCTACCACATTCCAACTTCAGGGTTTGGGCGGATTCGCAATCGCAAGACGTGGGAGTTGGGGAGATTCGTGGTCAGTGGAGTCTTTATTTTTTTTTCTCTCCATCAAAGTGTAGATGAGATCTCTCATAGCATGTCTGTCGAAGGGGAAAAAAAAGCCACCGCACGATGTGACAGCCCTGTGGACGAGAGTCAGCCCCTTCTGGCTGCGACGAGGCAAGACTTTCGGGATGTCAACTGGAGAGCAACAGGAACAACTGCAAAACTGCCCGGGCGCCCTGATTGGTGGCCGGCAAGGGCGGGCTCCGACTACTATTTTGGCAGGCCAATCACAGCTTGCGCAGGCGGCGAGTCTGGAACATCCTGAGACATTTCGGGGTGGAGCCCGCGTCTGATTGGGCGGATCGCGTCAGGTGTCGACGGGCGTTCTCAGGCAGGTGTTTGTTGCCCACCACGAGATAAGAATCTGACAGTCGGCTCTATTCTTCTTCGGTCGTAAACTCAGGTCCCTAGCCCCTACTGCGTAGGTTGACGCCTTTACTATACGAGCCTTGAAAGAAATCCAACCCAAGAGGTCGCGCCCCAACTGCCCGCGTTGGCTCGCCTTCGCTTTCCCCTTCCCAACCCGTCCGTATCATGAGACGCCGCCATCCACCACTAGATCCCCCATTATTACCAATAGTCAGACATCCCCAGCAAAACCAACCCGTTAGTGCCGCGATGGGCATCGAATAGTCTCCAGCGCTAACCGCAACAATCTTAAAATAGCTCACCCAAGCTATATGTCCGCCGTGCCCGGAAAGAAAATTCTGTACCTTGGGACCCTGAATACATCATAACCATGGAATAGCCGATGGAAAATGGATCAAACTGTCTTGGATTAAGCGCAAAGTACGGGGTATTTACTTCTTAGGTCATAAACTGTGACGGGCTCTGCCGATGATGTATAGAGAAGTGGAGCATCAACGTCTATGTAGCGTTGCTCTCTCGACGAAAGAGTATTCCTCCGTGTGCTATATACTCCGAGTAGAGTACTACCTATTATAGTCGAATTTGGAGTCGACCTACTACTAGCACGGAACATGACCACCTGTTCTTGTCGAGGTGGGCGCGAGTCCAATCTGAATCGGAAATCGGCACTGTCCACCGTCTGATCCCACCAGAACGAGAAATATACTCGACGGAGCACCTACCTAGTCCTGTAGCAACTGCAAGCATCCGAACGGACGTGATGCGCTTTCCCGCAGACAAAGTTGCGCTGCACTGCCTCGATAGGCAAGCCACACATCCGCACAGCCACACAGCCATGGCGATCTGCCCGGGTGTGGCGTCGCGTTGCCACGGTGTGGTTGCCTGAGGCATCAAGGAGTGGGTTCCGGAGGGGCAGCCCCTCCTTCCCTCGACGGTTACTCGGACAATGCCAACTTACGGTGAAGAACATGAAACTGTTGGTGTGCTGGTGGTTGTTTGGACAAGGCCCCATTAGTGTATTTTCATCTCCATACTACATACATCGTCATTATCAGTCAACAGCCACGCCAGCCACGCCAACTCCGACCCTGTCATATCCATGCAGTATCCAAATCACACAGATCGACCCGGGCTTTACAATGACCACATCATTTTGGTTGTTGGTGTCCTTCGAATTTTATCAATTTATGTACTGGTATCTGAATTCGTCATATCGGCAGACATCAAATCGAACAGAAAAGAAAAGAAAAAGATTTTAGAAAGACATTTACAGCTGGCCAGCAGTGTTGAAGTCCTCCAGAGCAACCTGGACACGCTTGCTCATGGTCTTCTCACCCTCGCGAACCCACACGCGGGGGTCGAAGAACTTCTTGTTGGGCTTGTCCTCGCCGTCGGGGTTACCGACGGTGCTCATGAGGTAGTCCTTCTTGCCGAGGACGTAGTCACGGACACCGGTCAGGTAGGCGTACTGCATGTCGGTGTCAAGGTTGACCTTGACGACACCGTAGCCGATGGCCTCCTTGTACTCGGCCTTGGAGGAGCCGGAGCCACCGTGGAAGACGAAGAAGACGGGCTTGTCCTTCTTGGAGCCGGTCTTCTCCTGGACGTAGGCCTGGTGCTTGGAGAGGAGCTCGGGGTGCAGGCGGACGTTGCCGGGCTTGTAGACACCGTGCACATTACCGAAACCAGCGGCAATGGAGAAGTAGGGGCTGACGGCGGAGAGAGCGTTGTGGATGGCGAGGATGTCCTCGGGCTGGGTGTACAGCGAGTTGTTGTCAACGTCCTCGTTGTTGACACCATCCTCCTCACCACCGGTGATACCGATTTCCTGGCGCCAGTGTTAGCTACATTCCAGGACCGTCAAGATGGAGAAGAATCAAGCTTACCATCTCGAGCCACTGCTTCATGGGGGCGGCACGCTTGAGGTAGGCGGCGGTAGTGTTGATGTTGTAGTCGACGGGCTCCTCAGACAGATCGATCATGTGGCTGGAGTAGAGGGGCTCGCCGTGGAGCTTGAAGTAGCGCTCATCCTCGTCAAGGAGACCGTCCAACCAGGGGAGGAGCTTCTTGGCGCAGTGGTCGGTGTGAAGGACAACGGGGATGCCGTAGATGGGGGCAACGCTGCGGATGAAGTGGGCAGCGGCGATACCACCGGCAATGGAAGCGGCCTGGCCGTCGTTGCTGACACCCTGCAAGAGCATAGCGGTTAATGACCTGTCCCAAGTACAATGGTCACTTCCATAAGATGTTCAGGAACATACCTTTCCGGCGAAGAAAGCGGCACCACCCTGAGAGACCTGCAGGACGATGGGGCAGTTCTTGTCACGAGCAGCCTCGAGAGAAGAGATGACGGTGGAAGAGGAGGTCACGTTCTATTCGATGAGTGAGTCCAGACCTTTTTTCGGATCCCACCGATGGTAGGGGAGAGATTGACTTACGATGGCGGGGATGGCGAACTTGTTCTGCTGGGCATATTCGAAGAGACGGAGAACGTCGTCACCGACGATGACACCGGCCTTGCGGGAGAGCTGCTCGAGGACACCCATTGTGATGATAGAAGTAGAAGTCTAAAGGGGGGGATTGAGGAAGCGGAATTAGCTTTTGTGAGGATGGAGAGAAGTAAGAGATAGTAAGAAGAAAGAGGAAGCAGAAGCGGGAGAAGGGCAGTTAATAAATTCTGCAGCAGAGTTCAACTAACTGGTTTACCGGACGACGAATACGGAGCCAGATATTTAGAAGGGCAGCAGAGGAGGGGCAACGAGCCGCTAATGGAGGGGCAGCAGCAGTCGAAAGAACTCACCGGGTAGTGGGGACGGATGCGATCAGTATGATTTCAGTGATGACGATGACGAAGTGTGGGAACACGACAGGCAGAAGAAGGAGAGAGAGGGAAAGAAGACAAGCGAAAAAAGACAGGAGGGGCAGAGAGCCGAATTAATAGGAATCAAGCCCGGCATGGCCGAGGGAAGAGCTGTTGAGCTTCATCCATGACGAGGCCTCAGGCTCGCTTCCGGTCCCGGGAATCCCCGCGGCCCATCACATGACATCATCGCCGCCGGCTTCCATGGGCCCGACAACGAGGGAAATCCGGATGCTCCAGCTGGCGGTTGTCTGGTTGACCGATCTCAATATAACATCATGGTTCCCTCTGCTCAATGGCCTCGTCCCTGCCTGTGCTATCCCACCAAGATTGCCTCGATCCTGGCACAGCCCGGGCAGGGTCCCGGCTCAGAAATTGTCGCCTATTCTCGCTGCGAAAACATTGACCCAGTTTGCTCCGTGTTTCTTTCGTGCTTCATTCCAACTTCGGGGAAATTGGCGGGGAATCTATCTCCGTAGCCGTGGCTTTGTGCTGGCTACTTCTACGCACTTCCGTCCCCTTCTTTCCCACGGTCTAGATGCTCCTTTTGAAGCCCAGCTGGTCTTGGGAGCACCTAAAAAAAAGTAACTAAATAGATTTAGAATTAGCCTTATGCCATGAGACGTCCATCGGGTTCTTCTTATCTAATGGCTGTACAAAGAGGGGTCCATCTGTGGGGTTTTCGAGCGCTTCTGTCGTGAACTTGTGATATGTCCTGGTCGGAGTAGCTGAGGTGGTTCTGCTGCCAGCTGGCACTGCATCAACTTGTCTCAACCATTTGTCCGACTGTTGCACAGCGCTGATCGCAGCTCAACATGATGCACAGACACCGACTGTCTAGCGTCGTAGGTACATTGGCGGGCCCGCCTGCCACCGCATGAAGCCGGCCTCCACAGTCTGTCGCTGCGCAAACCAGTTTTCCCCATTCATATGCTTGTTTTGAGGGAGGGTGGGACTCTCTGGATTCCATAAGATCCGGCTAGGTCTATGCCACTCACTGGAAGAAATGGCGACATACTTAGCGGCGTTGACATCGGAATGGCTTCTTCATCGATCAGGGATATCCGCTGGGCATCTCAAACGCGAACTTTCAGCATGTCAGCAACTTGATAAAGGCATGGCATCCCTCGATGGCAGACCGTTATCGCCTTGTAGTAAACCGGAAGAAACTGCACGCCTTTTGCCGCCCATGTTGCGGGAGTGTTGAGTGAATATGCCCTCCGGACAGATGTCGATACTGCTGGAGATGTCATGGATTGCATCTAGATACTAGCAAGACAGTTGCAGGATGCAAAATGAGTCGGAAGGCAGGAAGTCATCATCCGTGGATGTTGTCGGTTCCATTGTTCCTCCCGGCGTACACAAAGAAGGGACGAGCTGATTGGCCGCCCGAGCTGCTGACCAGGCTAGTCCCAATTGGTCCTGCTCTTCTCGTCCTTTCCAAGTTCTTTCTTCTCTTCTTGCCGTGGATGAACCCTGCACAGGCAGTAAGCAGCATCCCACTGGGTTTATATGTATGGCTCACGGGAAAAACAAAGAGTCAGCGTGGCAGCAGTAATACCTACAGCCTGAGGACGACCATGGTGACTCTGCGGTACGTCATTACCAACCATGGAACCGAGAGCTCGGGACAGCTGATGGAGGGCTCACAACCTCATGGAGATAGTATCTTTTGCTGTATTGCTCAACGTCTGCTCGGATTTAGATCTTATTGATAACTACCGTTTACAGGCCACTGACTAACTTTATACTGCGCTATGCAAGAGAATTTTGGCTGGGATCTGGACTGATATAGCGTATGCTGTCAATCACCTGCATGGGCATCCCGAACACAACCACCAGGTCTGACCGAGCTTATCGAATAATCTGCCCAGTTGACCTTGTTTACGGTAAATTCAGCCTCTAGTCAGTACCATTATTGGCAATTCACAGGCTCTACGGCATGGGTTCGAAGCCGACTCTTTCGGCTCAAGACAAACTGGGGGCTGGATGGGGAATCGTAAAATCAAGTATATTGCAACTGTCTTTTGTCTTTCTGAATGCGGCTAATCTGAACGCCTTTTCCCATCAGTTCCCCGCATCGTTTCAGCTGCCTTAGCTTGGCCCTTGCAGGGTGCGGAGCGAGCCTCGACATACTATCATCATGTTACATACACAGCCATGCGAGAACTTGTCAATAATCTTCCAACACAGACAATTGTGTACGGCTTTTACCCCATGACACGAAGCATCTGCCCATTTGCCTATATCTAACCTGTCTAGTGGTCTCTCACCGACCACGGACGAAGCCTATGCCGCCTTTATGAAGTCAATCGATAGCCCGGCTCATACCGTGGACCTGGAGAATGGCACCCGTGGTCACTGGATTGGCGATAGCTTCGCTGAGCATGTGCTATTTCACTGCCATGGTAAGTCTGAGCTCAGCTATTCTTTGAATTTGTGGCAGCTGTCTAATTCGAGCTAATCTAGGCGGTGGATACGCCGTATACGCTACCAGTGCACATTTCGAGGGCCTCTGGAACATTGTGCAAGAGCTCCGACACGGTGGCAAGAGCTTGGCTGTATTGCTTCTATCATATGGTACTACGTTTGTGTTTCTCACGCCATCTAGATACCGACTGACGGGAGTTGGAATAGACGTGAGCAGCACGGCACGGTATCCAAGACAGCTCCAACAGGCATCAAGCCTTCTTTCCTACCTCGTTCAAACTAAGGCGGTCGCCTCATCTAATGTATGCGTGGCCAATCATTTCTTCGTTCCTTTTGACACGCCCACCAATGGCATGCTAATGGAGAAAATGACGCTTACTTTATTTTCCAGATCATACTCACCGGGGACTCCGCTGGTGGCCACCTACTGTTATCCTTGCTATCCCACATCATTCATCCTCATCCGGAGGTTCCCCCGATAACTCTCCCTCCGGAAACTGTATTTCTCGGCGCAGCTCTCCTCTCCCCTTGGGTCACCTTTGACACCGAGTCCTCCGACTCCATAAAACGCAACCGAGCCAAAGACGTTCTGCACATCCCAAGCCTCGAACTCTGGTCCGCCAGGTTTACCGGCACTGCGCCGCGGGACAATTACATCGATCCTCTCCGAGCGCCGCCCGAATGGTGGGTGGGCCTTCCAATTCGTGATATTCTAATTGTCTCTGGCGCAGACGAGATATTTGTTGATGACATCGACGTGTTTGCAAGGAAGCTATCGGTATGGCGGATCTAATCTCCAACTGCCGTTTATCTGGATTATCAGCACATTTGAACCCGCTGACTCGTTTTCCAGGCTGTTCATCCAACCGTCTCACATTTCTCAGCCTCCGGGGAAGCTCATATCCAGCTGTTTACCGAGTTTATGATCCGAGAGTCGAAATCGAAACAGCGGGATGTGCTTCAGAAATGGATAAGGGATAGAATATAAATTCCAATAATCATTTTCATTTTTATGGACCCCGCGTGGGAACAAAAAGTAAGAAATAGACCCTTTTTATACTTAGTTGGTAATCATGGAAGACAGTGAGCCACTAATGAAAAATATTGTTCCAGATTTCCGGGGTAGAGCTAGAGTTATGAGCCCCCAAACCAAGCAGACATAGGGCTGCAGACTGCTTGCTCTAATGGGAACACGGAGTACCTGATGCCTCGGGATAATCTATTCATGTGCCAAATGATATCTTCACGTTTGACTTAGGTACATGTACAAATGCAATCTAGCCCTGGTGGGATGCACCAAGCGTCATCCGGTAATTTATTTGATTCATGCATATTTATGTGCATGCACAATCCAAACTCCAATATATAGACATGATTGTCAGTGATATGTGCAGTTTATTCCCTCCGTCTATAACTTGTTCTATACTCGCGCCCGTGGGGAAGAGCCACTCAGCATCAAGCGCTCGTGGGGGCTGACGGACCGTGTTCCGGCTTCTCCATCTCATAGAATAAGAGGTAAACTTCCTTCTGCATGCCCAGCACGTCAGACGTCTTACACTCCTTAATCTTTTCGTCGGAGATACGCCACCAGCGGTCGTTTGCTTTGCGGCGGCGGCGAAGTCGAGAGGTGGACCCCGAGGACGCGTCGAAGGATGGACTCGGTGTCATCCGCTCACTCATGAACGACGGTCTCGACCCCGACTTGCTCCAGCGCCCACCCTCGGTGACAGGGCTTTGGGGAGCCGATTCGGGCGACAGCCTTTGCTTTGATTTCGAGCGATGACTCTGGAATGAAACACGGGAGCTCGATGTGCTGGGGCGAACGGGCGAAGAAGGTGTGTTTAGTTGAGACGAGGCCTTAGAGGACTTCTTAGTCGACGCAGATTGCGGTGGGTCCGAGGAAGATAGCGATGAGAGAGACGGCGACGATGTCGACGCCGAAATGTTAGAATTGGAAGGCTCCGGATCCGGAGCGCTGCGAGCCTCAGGACGGGGGCTTGGGGCCCGCGACGGGGTGGCGCTGGGTGCTCGACTCTGAGCGTAGGAGCTGAAGGCACCCGGAGTTGCAAAAGGCGGATAAAGATTGTTTCGTCGGAAAGATTCGTAGTGCCCGCTATGGTGACTGCCTTTGTGGCAGACGATCGCCAGCAACTTGAACCACGTCTGGTTCAAGATGCCCCCTAAAGGTAGTCGCTCAGGGAAGGATACTTTGGCTGCATTCTTGGTAGAACTGCTTCGGTCAAAGATTGACCTTGACAGATGGATTGCAATTATCTTGGGGAACACCGTGATCCGCATATGACGTGCAATCTTTCGCTTGGGAGCAAATTCAGCAAGGGGCAGGGTGACCCCTTCTAGAGGACCCTCTGGGTCTTTAATCAGAGCCTTTTGGATCGCTTCTATTTCCCTTTCCAGGTGCTCCCGGTCTTTCCCTGAGCGAGTTCGTGCTAGCTCCTGAGTTTTCGTTTCAAGTGCGTGCTGTAGCCGACACTTGTCGCATTTGAAATCCTCAATATACTCGGTTTTGAGAAGACCGTCAAAGCATGCGCTGAGTGTGGTAGAGCTTTTCTGGGGCACCTGAAGCGTCAGGTTCACGAACGAGGTCTGGTTTGGCTTGTATTGGTAGTGGCAGAACTGGCATTCGATCTGCGACTCCATCTTGCCTTCAAATGGAAAACCATGTTCGTTGTCAATTTCCTTGAGTTTTGTATCGATAATTGCTGGAAGACCACTTGCTGAGCCGTCATCTATGCGGACCTCGATCTCAGCCGGGTTCTTTTCCGAGGCAGCTGAGGTCTCTTGTTCGGATGTGGCTAATCCCTCGGGAATCTCATCGGCGCCCTTTACCCGCTGTCGTACCTTGACACCGGCATGGTATTCATCACTCAATCGTTCAGCCACGATCTGTAAGAATTCCTGTGCATCCTGCTGATTGCGGCTGATCCGTGTCCGATACGCATATTCAAGCGACTGGATAAAGGCTCGAGCCGAGATCGTCTTCTTGTATATTGGGCGCTCGTTTAATCGGTCCAGAATTTCCTTCAGCGCCCTTGTAATGGTCCCTTGCTGGAGTTCTCGTACTCTATCCGGTCTCTGTCCACGGGGGATGTCGTCCAAATCTGGAAGGAGATTGTACATCTCAGGTCCATCCAGCTCACGACGATGAAGTTCTCTGATCAGATATACGCGTAAATCACCGAGACCAGCGAGAGCCTGGAGGACTGAGTTGATGAAGCAGTCATTAGCGGGATTGGACAATCCGACGATGCTCTTTTTGCGGTTGCTGTCGAACGAATCATCGCCATCGATCGTGTAATTAGGCCCAAAGACGTAGAATAAGGCGACCGCGGCGAGGGATGCACCCGCCGCATATGCGGCGACCGTGCCTGGTTTTTCTTGCATCAATCCGTGTAGGAGAGAAGACTAGAAGGGTTTGTGTATGATGTTGACGCAGAGCTGGAGCGATGTTCGTACTATCGCAGCTCCATTGGCCGTATCGCAAGAGCCAGGCGGGGAACGTCGGAGGGACCGGAAGGGAATTTTCGAGAGGACAGTCGTATGTACTTGCGAGTCAGGCTCACCGAGGGATGCTATATACACGGTGGAGAGTTCTGCGACCGGGTTGGCGGTTATGACAGGATGCCTACGATCTTGTCAGCCGTATTTTTCCCCATAAAAAGCCGGCGGTGTGGAGAATGGGGTAAAATGATTCCAGGAAACAGCAGGGGATCCTTCACGGCCAAGTGGTCACGTACAGTTGGGAGAGGCTTCAAGGCAAATAGCTAATGGTACCAGATCTCCGGCCGATGGGTGGAATCATGGCAGCACGATAGTTTCCATGCAGGGAGAGGGGTTCGCAGGCAAGACGAGAGGGGAGAGCCGGCTCATTTGGCTGGCTGGCCGGAGGTTCTTCAGCGCCGAGCGTCCGTCCTGCGGCTATCTCCACATTTCTCTCGCACTGCTCGTCCGTTTCTTCTCCGGGACTATGTAAGCGTCGCAAATTTGACGTCTCGCAAGGTCAACGAGTCAGCGAAAACCGGAACACAGGCCGATCGACATGGATGATCGACACGCCGTGGATGGAAAAGGGGATTGTCTTCAATAGAGGACGAAGATCTCTGCAGGCGATCGATGATGGCCACCGAATTGTCAAAGTGACGGAAGGAACGCATCGCCAAGAAGGTTGGGAGATTCCATTGGAGGAGAAATGAGATTTTAGGCAGCACAGAAGAAAACAGCGGGATCAGGTGATTGCTTATTAAGGGCTGTTTGGATGGTTGGAGCCATTTTCTTGTCTCATGTCTATCTACAGTACCCTCGCCGTTGTTGTTCCTGAAGAATGATGACACTAAAGCATCACCATACCTCGATCCTTCGCGTGGTACAACGGCTCAGGGATCCCATGGTCCTTGTGCCTGTCTGCCTGTCAACAAGGCTGGCTCCCCGTCTTCCTGCACCAGGAAGATGTCCTCATGACGAACCCCAAATTTGTCCACCAAATAAATCCCGGGCTCCGAGGTGAATGTCATGCCTGCTTTGAGGGGAGTTCCATGATTCCCTTTGTTCAGGTACGGGCTCTCATGGGCTGAAAAGCCGTCAGTTTTCCACGCTTCTTTATGCACTAGATCACCACGCGAGAAGCTTACCCTTGATCCCGATACCGTGACCTACTCGGTGGGTGAAGGCGTCACCATAGCCTGCATCGCTGATGACACTGCGAGCTGCGATATCGACGCTTGCGGCAGTCGAGTTCTCTCGGAAGTGGTGACTAGACTGCACCTGAGCTTCGAGGACAATGTCCCACACCTGACTCGGTCAGCAGACCATACAGAGAAGACAATCAGACTGGTTGCTCTATACCTTCAGTTTCTCTGCTAGACTCGGTGGCACCGGTTCATCCTTGGATGACTTTTCAAGAAACGGAGGAAAGAAAGTGCGGCAAATATCAGATGAGTAGCCAAGAAGATGGGCCCTGAAGAGGTCAGTCGTACCCTGAATTAGAAGACATAGGAAGAGACGCACCCAACGTCAATCAAAACAAATGTTTCCGCCTCGAGGACCTTAGTACCATTGGTTCCTCCATGAGGATTTGCGGCGTTTTCATCTGTAGAATGAGATGAGTCAGTTGATTTAACGCTTGGCCAAGAGCCAACTCACCAAACAACACAATATCAAAGAAGGGGTCCAAGCCAGCGGAACGGAGGGTGTTATCCAACACCTCCGCGATCTCATTTTCGGTCAGTCCAGGATACAGACCTAGAGAAGCAAAATGTCAGCCGTGGTGCAAAGCCCGCCGAATACTCAAAGCTCACATTTCCGCATTTGTCGCACCGCTTCTACCGTCCCGGTGTTCACAGCCTGAAGGATTCCTACTTCTTTGTCGGACTTGATCTGTCTCACTCGCTCGACTTCGCCCTGTAAGCCGATAATGTGGAATCCGTTATCTCCCAGCCCACGTTGGATGAAATCTCGCATTTCCTCATCTACCATGAGTCGCGGAACGCCCTTAAGGCCGGAAAAGACATGGGATCGTTTCAGTGTCTCATATGGATTCCAATGCTCTTCCCACGGGACAATATCCAGAGACTCTGAAAAGGGCATGCCTAGAAGACGGGCACGCTCTGCCTCGAATGACGGACAGAGGAATGATGTCTTCGCAGTGACCTCACCAGACGAATGGTGATACGGCTGCACCAGCATGAGGAATGGCCGCTCTTCTGGCTAAAGATACGGTGAGACAACGATAGCCAACAGCACACCGGACACTAGACCAAGACATACCTCCCAGACTTCCCATTCAGGTTGGCTGACATTTGCAAAATATTGGAATGTGTAGCCAGGTTCAACAACGAAAGCGTCTGCTCCATCCGCTACCAGAGCCCGAGCCAGCCGATTGCGTCGTTCCTCAAAGTCCTCTAGAGCAATTGGGACTGCGGTCTCGAGAAATTCAAGTCCTGTACCTTGGAAGTTCCGGATTGAACATTGCTGGAAATCCTCAAGCTGGGAAGATGGGATGGCAGTCTTCGGACTGGAACCGTGGAAATTCCGAAAGCATTTCGGAAAATAATCTTTACCTATCGCAAAGATACCAAACCCCGAAACTAGTAGTATGAGCAGTAAGCGCAAGAGAATTTTGTTGGAACTCCTTCTCCTGCTGTTGCATGATGTCTGATTTGCCTCAGGGAAGAGAGGTAAACGAGGCGATTTTTGCGACATGGCGAGTACAGACAAGTCTAATGGGCCATGGAGGATGACGCGGCTTATCTTTGAGAAATCCCAGAAGAAAAGCGAAGGACAAAAGATAGCTGCCGAGTGGATCTTGCAGCAAGCGACCACGGCCGAAGAGGAGAGTCGATGCGACGAGATTCCCCGCGTTCGCCGGGAGCCCTAAGATTCTTGCCCAGCCTCAACCGTCGCCACGCTACGCCCCCCTAGCATCGCTCGCAGCACGCCGGCATTCTCAAGCACCACGATGGTTGGCCCAGCGAGATTAGTCCACCCGGATCGGCCTTCAGTTGCCTGATAAGCGACGAATACCGGGCTTGGTTAGGACTTTGTGCCGCTCGCTGAAATCGCAGAGATAACCGGAATCAACCGATCCAGACAGCGCGAAGCGTATAAGTACAGCCGATCATGGGAGGGGTATTTGTCTTGCTTTCATCCAGGGCTGCATAGGATCAAAATGACCGTCGATATAGTGTCAAGTCCGGTGAGTGATGGGAACCCCCCGTCCAAGGAAAATGCCCAAACACGGATCACTCAGGATGCAAGAGAACCAGTTCAGCACGAACAGGCGCAGGGCACCCCCGGGGGATACTCTAAACTCTCCGTCCTGTTGATGATCATCTTCTCTGGCTTGGCCATTGGGTCGGATGGGTTCAATGCCGCCATCATAGGCAACATCGAGCTTATAATGGCTGTCATCTATCCCGACTCGCTCACCACCGCCGTTCAGTCTCGTTTGTCCAACGCCTTCATGGTCGGCATGATCATTGGCATGCTCGGGTTTGGATACGTGTCGGACAAGCTTGGTCGCAAGACTGGCGCCGTTCTCACTACGACGATTCTGGTCCTCGGCATCGCACTCAGTGCCGGGGCCAGTGGTGTGACGCAGGACGGGATGTTCTGGATGCTGATAATTGCTCGCGGTATTGCGGGTGTTGGCGCTGGTGGGTGAGTATACCATTGCTAAATGCTACTGATAGTATGCTGCAATGTATCGTCAAGCTGATCGTGGCATGCACAGAGAATATCCCGTTGCAGGTGCTGGAGCAGCCGAAGCGACGGACGAGCAGTCTGCTATTCGTGACAAACGAGGATTTATCTTCGCCATGATTGCCGATTTATCTGCCTCCCTTGGTTTTGCCTTCGGAGCACTGGTCCCGTTGCTCTTGCTTTTGTGCTTCCACCAGCAAGTGAGCAATTACGACAAAGTCTGGCGAGTTGCGCTGGCTATGGGCGCCATCCCTCCGCTGTCGATCTTCTGGTTTCGATACCGCATGGCTGTCAGCTCGGCCTACCGCAAGAGTTCCATGAGGAAGCAACGAGTGCCATATTGGTTGGCGCTGAAAAAATACTGGCGACCGTTGCTGGGGGTTTGTGGTTCATGGTTCATCTACAACTACATCTCCTACCCCTTTGGGCTTTTCTCGTCCACGATCGTCGGTCGTGTCAACCCGAATTCCTCCCTCGCCCTGACCATGGCCTGGGGTACCCTGATCAATTGCTTCTATATCCCGGGGGCCTTCATCGGCGGTCTCCTTTCAGATCGCATCGGTCGACGCCGCACCATGGCTCTTGGATTCTTCCTTCAAGCAATACTTGGATTCGTCTTAGGCGGCGCCCTCAAACATATTGAGAAGCATTTGGCGCTCTTCATCGTCCTGTATGGGGTTTTCCTCACTCTGGGGGAGATTGGACCGGGGTCCACGATCGTCCTCACTGCTAGTGAAAGCTTTCCCACGGCGCTGCGCGGCCACGGGGTCGGTCTTGCCGCCGCATGGAGTAAGGCCGGCGCGGCGGTTGGCACGCAGGTCTTCAAGCCGATTCTCGCCAGCTGGGGCGATGATCAGTTTCACGGTACGCAGGCGGTCTTCTTGATAGGATCGGGGTTCGCTGTGCTGGGAGCCTTGGTGGCGTGGTTCGTCCTCGTGGATCCGGATAAAGAGCTGGACAATGGAGACCGGGAGTGGAAGGACTATCTGGCCGTGAAGGGATACCATGTGGAATGGGGAGTGGAAGGACAGAATGAAATCCCCGAGTCCAAGGCCATCTCTTAGGGCTGGGTGCTGTAGGAGATGTTGTATTAGCCTGAAGACTGTTGATTAGCTTGCTGGAATGTTAGTTTGTGAATCGGAGTGTAACACCATCGATTCCCCTTGGCTCCTCAATCTGTGGTCGAGGAGGTAGCATGAAGTCGGGGCAGCAGTCAAAGCAACGAGAAGAAATGCAAAAATAGAAAGAACAAAGAACGGCCGCACGTGCATCCAACATCGCCCAGGCCGCCACTTTTCCCACTCGCAAAACCCACTTTCATCTTCATCTTCTCATTCCTGTCGATCCTCCTAGAAGAAGTGAAAACAAAAAAAAAAGGCGAAAGAGAGAAAACCAATGCCACCGCAGACTCAACCTCCCCCCGCCAGCTCCCCAAATGACCGCCTGACATCCTTGCACAAGCTAGAAGGCCACTCCGGCTGGGTCTGGGCGGCGACTCCATTCCCAGACGGAAGCAAGATCGCATCTGTCTCGAACGACACGACCGTGAAGGTCTGGAACACGACGTCCGGTCACCAGGTGAGGAGCTTCCAAGGTCATACTGGATGGGTGCGGGCCGTGGCTGTTTCGCCGGATGGCCAACGAGTCGCCTCGGGGTCCGACGATACGACGGTTCGACTGTGGAGTGTGGGTCCAGGGCGTACTGGACGATCGTTTGCTGGCCATTCGGGCTGCGTCCGGAGCGTGGCCTTCTCGTCTGATAGCAAGGTGATCGCTTCCGCGTCGGATGACATGACGGTTCGACTATGGGATATCGGCACGGGGTGCGCGTACAGGATTCTTCGAGGCCACGCGGGCTGGGTCCGGGCCGTGGCGTTCTCGCCAGACAGCAGGCTGATTGCGTCGGCGTCCGACGACATGACGGTTAGACTGTGGGATGCGAAGACCGGGGCACTATGCAGGACGCTGGAAGGTCATACGGGGTTTACTAGGGCTGTCGCTTTCTCTCCGGACAGCAGCTTGATCGCGTCGGCGTCGAAGGATACAACGATTCGGGTTTGGAACACCACCACGGGCTGCGTGCACAGGGTCATCGCTGGTCATTCGTCCTGGGTGAGGGCCGTGACCTTTTCTCCCGACGGGGCCAGTTTGGCCTCTGCTTCAGATGACATGACGGTTCGGTTGTGGGATGTGAACACTGGTTCTGTGCGCAAGATACTGAGGGGACATTCTGGCTGGGTCAAGGCAGTCAAGTTCTTGGACGATGAGAAGTTGCTGGTATGTTCCGCGGATGACGGGATTGTCCAGCTATGGAAATGATGAGACGACATGACGACTCTTTCTTTCGACAGAAAACACGGGAAATTGAAATCTTAAGATTGTCAGACGGTGGTGACCTATGAGGATGAATGTATCACTATGACTTAGACTGTATGTGGTAGATCTGGTAGTGGCGTATGGCGGAACAGGGATTCATAGAAACGAAGTTAAACCTCCACCACTCTTCAATGTTCTTCCCGTGAGAGTTGTCAGCATCTATCCCCCAGTAACGGGTTTCTGCGAGTCTATCATAAACTAGTAGTTACAGACGAGCGGGAGAGACACAAGCAATACCAGACACAAAGACATCAAGTAATGCTTTCTAGACTCTGCGGTCCTCTAAATAGACCCTCAAAGAGTATAATATGTCAGAGTAAACTTAATTTTATATGCAAAACTGTCAGACCGGGAGCCAAATTCCCGGGTGATCGAATTCAAATTCTATGGGATATCAATCATGGCAAAGTAGCAACCTTCTCCTGGAACAGTTCCTCCGCCTGCTTCCACACCCGGGCCTTAGACCGGTCCTTCAATTGCAGAAGACTAGGGAGCAGGGCCTCGCTGAACATCTCGGAGCTTTCACGGGGAAGAAGAGAGGGCAGGTGGTCGATGCTGATAACGCTCAGGGCAGGGCCCTGGGTACCGGCCGGCAGGGCGACGGGCACAGTAGGCTTGTCGAAGGTGGTAGTGATATCATACACGGGGATGGGGTTGTGAGGGTTGGTGCTGCAAAGAGACAAAAAAAAGTCAGCGGCGTGGATTCAAGCGCACTTGGAACTGGTGAGACTTACGTGTCAGCGCTGACGTCGCAGATGACAGACAAGCGGCGGTTGGGCGAAGCAAGAGTTTCCACGTTCACGAAGGGAGGAATCTTGGCAGAAAGATAAATGCAGTTGACAAAAATGTCGACGTCCTCGACGATCTCCTTGAAGGGCCCGCCTGCAGTGCTCGTTAGCAAGGAAAGCAAGAGTCAACGGACAAGCTCATGATTTCCATACCCTTCTTGGTCTCTTCGATATCCCACTGCAGGATATCGGATTCAGGGATACCGACATCCTTGGCGAGTTGCACCGCACCCTTGCCGCAGCGTCCGAGCTATAACAAATCAGTATCAATACTTCACAATTCCAGCGAGAAATGCACTCACAGCTCCAATCACCAGGACCTTGGGGGACCGGCCAGATTGCTTCTTGCCAGCCTCTAGCGACTCCTTCACCGACTCAATCAAAAGGTTCTGGTTGGCGTAAGGGACCTCGCCCGGTAGAGGCTCGCCGTTGTGCGTCAATTGCCGAGCCCAGTTCTTTACGGCCAAAGCAGAGCCTATGATTTGTGAGTTCCCATTTCGTCAGAAATATATGATCATGAAAACACATACCTGCATAGCCGGCCGAGTAACCGAAAGCTGCGAAAAGAAAACACCAAGTCAGACTCCGAGAACTAGAATATTCAGGGTGTGACTATCTCACCGGCCACTCTGCGTCCAACATCGTCCGTGAGGAACTCCAAGTCCAAGAGGGTACCGCCTCCACGGGGCCACCGGCTGAGAACCTTCTCCCAGCCACCCTGCTGCTTGTAGCAATGCGCGAAAGAGATGTGGACATGCTCGAGAGGGAAATCATCTTCGGGAAGCTCCTTAAGACCCAGAATGTAGGCATCCTTAGGGGCATCCTTAACCCAGGAACCTTCTTCGACCAGAGGAGCTCCGACCTATTGAGCCAGATAATGAGTTTTCATTCTATTGGGAAGAGGGCGGACGGCAGGCAAACCTTGGCGAATTCCTCATCTATCGTTGGAATTCAGAGTCAGCAATTGTTCGAAATAGGGCATAAACGGGGATTTGGTTTTCAACATACCGTCAAAGATACGCTGGGTCGAGCGCTCAACCGTCACTTTGTAACCAGCATCAAGGAGCGCCTTGGTAGTGGTCGGGGTCACTAACCATCCAATTAGCTTGCCCGTGTCTTTTTCTTTTCGTGAGAGATTCAAATGCAGATAAAAAACACAAAACAAAAGAGGCATTGGTTAATGTCGCAATGACCCCCGGAGATAATACTCACAAGCAGACCGCGCCTCGGCGGGCTTTGTCTCTGCGCGCAGCCAGATGTGAGAAGACATGATGGTTGCAGATCGAGGGGCAATTGCTGGTTCTAAGGAAGTCAAATCAGATCAGAAATTTCGAGGAGCGACGAGAATGACGAAGCGATTAATAGTCTCCCTCTATGACACAGACTTGCCCCTCTAGTGATAGCGGGGGGGGATCCGCGGTTGTTCCGTTCCGGCGCCGTGACTCAGCCCGATCCCCGCCGATGTCGGCAATTGGCCCGTTCAACATTACGGCGCCGTGGATTCATAAGGATTGCGTTGTTATTGGCTATTCCATCGTACGCTACCTGACTATCTTGAGAGACGACGCGCGCCTGCACCATGGCAATTAAACCCAGAATAATACGCTGACATGCAGGAGCCCCCTGGGATCATACGACATAGCATCCATCAGACCAGTTATCACAGAGATACCGTCCAGCTCATAACCTCATATGTGAGCACCCATTGGCAATGCCCTCACTTCAAGATGCCGCCTTGGTCCGGCTGCGAGTCCGACTACCAATGCCATCGGTAGGGACCACCTTCTTCACGGCTTCTTTCGCCTTGTTCTGGCGACCGGCCTTCTTCTTCTCTCCATTTGCTTGGGTACCGTTTTCAGTCGCAGCCTTATCGTTGGTCTTTTGCTTTTTGGGGGCCGGTGCGACGGTGGGCGGACCCGAGGACTCGGTGGAAGGCTGATCTGTATCGGTCGAGGCAGAGGTCGGCTCATGCTCTCGTTTGTCGCCTGCGTTGGGCGCATCAGGTTTGGCCTCCTTAGCAGGCTGCTGAGAATCAACGCCCGTAGCTAGGACCGGGCCCCCCGACGGTGGCTCCTCCGCGCTTTTGGCTGCGTCGACGGGCTCGGGGGCATCTGTGGACTTGCTTTCCTCGGGAATATGGCTAGCCCCGTCTGGTTTGGCCGCATGGGTATCACCATTGGTGTGTTTCGATGCATCGTCCGGGGCCGGCTTGGTGACGTCAGTGCCAGTGGTGCTGACAGGTTCTGGAACGCGATACATTAGTATCCATTGATGAATCGCCCGCGAACTCTTAAGCAGAGAGAAAGGGAAACGGTGCATGACGGCTGGACGTACCCGTATTCGCAGGCGTGCTGGAGTTGACGGTGGGCTCCGTAGACATGATGGGAATGCTGGTAAACGCTTTTGCGCGCTTAGGAAGGATCAATTTCAAGTGGAGAAGCGTCGCCAATAGATAGCGACCGTAATTTGACTAAATTTGATGCCTACTGATGCTAATATAGAGAGAAAGAGGGTTCGGTTGATGAGAGAAGGTCAGGGGAGAGGGAGAGATGAGGTTGCGCGGTGACGTTTACTAAGGACATCGTAGGGCGCTAAACCCGATTCATGCGGAACTCAATCTGGGATTTGTGTCGGGGCAGACGGCAAATTAGCGACCAGGGGATTCAGAAACTAAACCTCCGAAGCTCAGCTCGCGAGGTACAACCAGTCGCGGAGTACATAAGCCGCACTAGTTGTGTAGGGAAGGGAGCAGGGAGCAAGTACTCCGTAGTAAGCATGCCAAGGAGAAGAGAGTCGCCCCATTCGTGTGGCTGGCTGGGTGGAGCAGGATGCGGAGTAGCGCGGGTTGGCGTGATCGTATGAGCCATTCGCAGATCGCGCTGACGAGTCCCTCCCACTCCGTGGTATTCTCCGGGAATCCATGACGTTAATGGCATGGGAGTCCACGGTCGAGAGCGATGGAACGCACATTCGGCTTCTTGATTGGGACGACCCCGTCGTCACGTGAGCGAAAGGTTCACGCGAGCGAGGAAATGCTCTTGAGCCGACTTGAAGGTTTCCCTCGTCGTTGTCTTGCCTCTAAGAGCAGGCAGCGACTGTTGCATGAACTGTGCCAGGTCAGAGGCGTCTTGAGACCGGTCCTGGTCCATCAAGACCCGAAGCGCATCAAACCCATTCTTCATGAACTTTGCTTGCTCCTGTTCATCCCACGACTCAAATCGACCAGGAGAAACTTTCTTCACGTAGTCAAGAAATGGGTTGGGATTTGGCTCTGTAGGATGAAGAAGGGGCAGCGAAACAGCCATGCTGGAGGAGGGCCACATCGTGGCGACATCATTAACGAACTCTTCGAATGCAACAACAGGGGCCTCTTGGGGTTCAGCCCTCATGGTCCCGTTCAAAAATGCGGCCGCCGGCTGAAGCGCTTGTCGGCGAAACCATAGGGGGATCTTGTCATTTGCAAGTAGACGCTTGCTTGCTTGTAAATAATGTTGTAATGCACTGGGAAATCCTGCGCCATGCTTCAACTCCGCGGAAACGAGATTGTTCAAAATTCCCGCATAAAGCGATGGAACAATGTGCTTCGGGATTCGGCCGTTCTGGCCTCCAATGTCTTGCTTTTCCACCAAATCAAGCCAGACTAGGATGGTTTTTTGTAGTCCTTCGGCCACCATTAGCTTTATCACCATCCGCGTCGTCTTTATCGATTTAAAGAGCATCATCCTCTCGTGGGAGTCGGACGCAAACCACCAGTTCACGACTCTAGACCCGGCTCGCGACTCTTTCATGGCTTCGGTGAAATCTTTTCCAGGTTGTTTGCTTGCAAGTATAAGCTGCGAGCCCAGGCAGCACTGAAGAATCTCCGAGGTGACCGAGCCGGACGCGGCCATATCATCGAATAACAGCATTGGTTCCGTTGCCAATCTTTGCTTATCGAGGACACGACCGTCGAGAGATTTGGAGGGAACAACGCGGAAGAGGGGGTTGTCCAGGATATTCTGCAGATGCTTGGTAGTCGCATGCACCGACGAGTGCGGGTTTTCTGCCGGAGGATTACCATTGCCATGATGCTCTGACGGTGGGCTGGGAGACGGGTGTTCTTGGTCCAACTGGCGACGGAAGGAGGATGTAAGGGCGTCAAGCAACTGTTGAGATTGGCGGGGGGTCCGAGGCAACGGCTGATGGATTTTCGGCCAAAGCGGAAACCCAAAGACCGGCGTGCCCCTCATGGCGGCGTTAGGGTCGAGTGTCGATCGATTGGAAGGGGAGGACAAGAAAGGAAGCCAGATGGGTGGTCAGAAGAGAGAGCCCGGGGGGTGATTCTTGACCGGATTGATGATAACCACACGGCCTGCTGGGACAGATTTTGGACCAAGGACCGGAAGGCGGTGAGAGGACGTGCTTAGTCACTTCCCCAGAATGTCGAATGGAGGTCACTCTGCTCTGGGGGTTGAGAAGGGTAGGGAATTGAAGGGGGCAAAGAAGGAAGGGGGCACATCAAGGGGTAGGATATTGCTTATAATCGCGGATAGACAGGCTGGCGCATTGAGCCCCCGAACGGGGGATTGGGTGATCTTACGATGATCGATCCATCATGACGACGGAGCCAACTTTCTCGGACTCGCTAAAAGTCTGCCTGAATATTCGGGGTGGCCATCCGATGGAAAGGCTGAGCTGCTCCGCCTGCAATTAGCGGCAACTCTGAACGGGCGGTTACGGGAGCGTTTTGGATACTCCGTACGTCTATAGAGGCTCACGATACGATTACCTACCTAGGTACCTAAGGTAACCCAGCTGAATGATCCACGAAAAGAGAGGATCGTAAGCCCCAGACTCCATATAGTCTGTCTAGATCAATCATTAGATTATCGAGTTGTTCTATATCATACATATAAGGTGCACATGTAGGGATATACCCTGTATAGAGTTATGACGGACGTATCCATACCGTATCATACCACCCTCAGGCGTCGACGGATACCTGAAAGGAAAGCTGACCTAACCGGAACCAAACCAGCCAAACCTAAACCTTTCCACCTCTCCCTTCCCTTCTCTTCAAATTCACACCAAATCTTTCTACCTCCCAATCCAACTAAACCTCGTTTTACCCGCTTTTTCTTTTCCACTAGCCACACCTTGTTTTCTCCCTTCATCCTTCTCTCTTTCTTTCCTTTCCCTTTTCTCCCCTTCCCCCCCTCCCCTCTCTCCTCTGTTGTCCTGGGAGATTTCACACAAATTCCATCAGAACGATATGTCTGACGTTCAAACACGACCCGCTGCCTCTCGTGGCAGGGTATCTGCCCGCGGTGGTCGAGGCGGCTATAGCTCCAGAGGTGGTCGAGGTGGCAGCAGCAGATCTGCGAAGGCTGACAGCTCAGAGGACACGCCGTCCGCATTCGAAGACGAAGGTGAAATTGGTCAGATGAAGAAGAAATACTCGGAGACCCTGCCTATGCTGAATGAGCTGTTTCCCGACTGGACGAACGAGGACCTGGTCTTCGCCTTGGAGGATGCTGATGGTGACCTCGAGGCCGCAATTGATCGCATAACTGAAGGTGCGATCCCTACTGTGTCGTCGCTGGCCCCTCGTCTGTCGTTGCATCGACCCGGCTAACATTGCGTTTTTCTCTCCCGCCAGGCAACGTTTCTCAGTGGGGTGAGGTAAAGAAGAAGACCACAGATCGGAGTCGCCCCAAGCCCAAGGAGGTACAGAGCACCCCGACCGAGACAACTCCCGCTCCTGTCCGAGCAGGCCGTGGGCGTGGTGGATTCGAAGGTCGTGGTCGCGCCCGTGGAGATCGTGGTCGGGGCGGTCGGGGCGGCCGTGCAGGTGCTCATACCAATGGAAGCCGGTTGGAGAAGCCCGCTGTTACCGCTCCCATTACGTCCACCACCGAGGCGGCTGCGACAGCTGCCCCCGAGGCGCTGAAAACCGAGAAGGCGGCCGACGCTGAATCCACAACCGTTGAATCGACCGATGCTTCGAAGGAGGATGCCAAGGACACGCCCAAGAGCAGCGTCATTCCCGAGGGCACCAAGAAAGGCTGGGCCAGTTTATTTGCCAAACCCGCTCCTCCTCCTCCTACCGCTACTACTGCCACTCCTCCCACTCAAAAGAAACCTGCTGCTCCGGCCCCTGCTGCCGCCCCCGCTTCCGCTCCGGCTCCTGCTGCTCCGGCTCCTGCTGCTCCGGCTGCTCCTGCACCCGCCGCTGTCCCTACCTCCGCTCCCGAAAAGCCTGCTGCTGCCGAGCCAGTAGCAGAGCAAAAAGCACCTGAACCCGCACCTATTCCTGCTCCAGTTTCTGCCCCGGTCCCCGTACCTGTGGAAAAGGCCCCCGAGCCGGTTATCCCTAAGCAACCCGAGGCGCCGGCTGCAGCCCCTCCTTCGACTGAGGTCACTCCTCCCAAAGACGATTTGACCAGAACGAACCTCGCACAGATCCCCGATGTTTCTCCCCCAGCTCCTACCGCTACTGCCGCCAGCACCGTGGGTAGCGCCTTTGATGCTCACAACGTCGGCCCAACCGGAACTCCTGGCCGGGGCGCTCCCGGTGCTTACCCTGCCAGCGCATTGAGACACAGCGTTCGAGGCCCGGGCGCCCAGCGTCGCGTGATGGAACAGCAGGAAGCAGTGGTTATGCCCGGTAACCACGCCGTTGACCGGGCCGCCGTGCAGTTCGGTAGCATGGGCCTGAATGGCGACTCCACCGACGTCGACATCGACGAGAACCGCGAAGACGCTGAAACCCGTGCTCAACCCCCTCAACACTCCCCCGTGGCCCCCCGTGCCTCCCTGCCTCCGTCTACCCAGCCCCAGGCTTCGACCGGCAGCCCTGCTGTCTCGCGCCCGGCTCCTGGACTCCCTCCCGTCCCTCAGGTCTCCGCCGCCGACTCTTCCTTCGCCGATTTCTCTCGCTACACCGACGCTCACAAACCCTACGACCCGTTCAGCCAGCAGGTTTCACAACCTCAGCCACAAATCCAGGAGCCTTTCGCTAACCAGGCTCCCGTTCAGCCCACCGTCACTACCAGCAGCGAGTACTCGCCTTTCTACGCCGTTGACCAGCGGCTCCCTTACAACTACTACGGCTCCTACGGTCAGTCCCAGGATGCCACCGTTGCTCAGAGAGCGGGTGCTGGATTCGGTGTTTCTGGCGCCGACGTGCAGCCGCACATCCCCACGACTCAGCCCCCCAGCCGCTATGGTCACGTCGATGCCCCCAACAGTGGCCACAACACCCCTAATCCTACTCTTCCGGCGGCTGCTCAAACCCCGACTGCGGCGCACATGCCCAATCAGGCCTACCAGTACCAGTACCCTTACTTCTCCAACCCCCACTATGCGACGTACATGAGCCAGATGAACCAGTACACCCGAAACCGCCCGATGTATGATGATGCACGCCGCTATGACGAACACTACATGCCCCACACCGCCCAGTATGGCTACGGCAACCAGTATGGACCGTACGGCAAGACTGCGGGAATGTACGGACAGCCTCACGGCTTTTCTTATGACCACTCCTCGTCGCCTGCAGCGGCTGGCGCCTTCAACCAAGCCATGCCGGGTCGTGAATCCGTTTATGGACGCACCGGCTCCGCCCAGCCCTCGGAGAGCCAGCAGACTGCGGCCGGGGCCAATGCGTTCGGCACGGGCATGTCCGATGTTTTTGGACGTTCCCAGGCGGGCTTCGGCCAAAGCCAGCCCATCTCCCAGCAGCCCCCGGTGACTTCGGAGGAAACGAAGACTTTCGACACTCCCAAGGCGGGCGGCCCCAGCCCTTCGCTGGCACAGGCTAACCGTCCTGGCTCCGCGACCAACAGCGTTCCCACGCAGCCTCAGACCCAACCCGGCCTTCCTCCTTTGCAGGGCCAGCAGGGCCAGCAGGGATTCGGCGCCTATCCCCACCTGAACCCCCAGTATGGAGGCCTGGGTGGACTTGGTGGACACCAGGCAGCCGCTACCCAGAGTCACCACCAAGCGACCGGCTACGGTAACTACAGCAATGCAGCCTTCACCAACTACTACGGCAACGCTGCTCGTGGGGGCGGCTGGGGCGGCAACTACGGTCACTAAATGGCCATGACCTCTCACCTCTCTCAATTTCATGCGCTCTAATTCCTTGTTTCTTTTTTCTCTTTTTTTTTTTTTTTCTTTCTCTTTTCATTTTACTTCCTCTTGTGTTTTATGGGCGATGGATTGCGGATTTCTCTTGCTCAGGGCCGGTGAGCCCGGATCAAAAACCGTTTTATATTTGCTCTTTTCTGTTTTCTATTCTTACCGTGACGCTCTGAAATGTGTAATCTCTACTCTCAAGGGGAGCTTGGCTGGGTTTCCGTTTGGCTTGTTTTCTCCGCCGGTTTGCATTTCCCTTGTTGTATGGAACTGAAAAAAATGTTACTTGTCTTTTCCCCCTTTGTTACTGCTTTTTATACGGGTTTATGACATGGACCAACGGGTCTTGTTTTTCACTCATGATTTCCTTGATTAATGTTCTACAAAAACCATTTCCTTGCTCTTTACGTCGCATATTTTCCGCTGCCTGTACTACATATCTGGGGTCAATTGGGATTCATCTATGCAATTTGACTGGATTAGGATCGGGGGAGAGGGGCATAAAGAATGCAACAAACCTATTTGGGTGGCGTTTTTGTTCATCAGCCGGTTGAATTTGCTTCTCGTAGGACCAGTACAGCGTAGAGGATTCCGATCGAGATCTAGAAGTACGGAGTAGTTGATTGTTATCTGATCGAGTGGAGCACGAGACCGGGGGAGCTCGCTAGCTCTGATCCGGTTAGCGCCGTCCGCGGACTTTCGATCCGATCGGTTCCTGCATCGACTCCGATCTGAGCTCTGGTCTTATAGGCCGCGTTGGGGGTTGCGTTGCACGGGCTTGACAAGAGGCTCTTTGGGAGGGGACGGTTTCGGATCTCCATCTGGTGGATGTACGGAGGTACCGGGGTACCTCCGTAGGGCTGACCGGTATGTGGGTACTACCTACTAGGTACATACTACCTCATACGGGAAGTTCTCTTCAATATGCTTACTTGGTGACTGCAGACAGAAAGAACAAATAAAGACAACCTGGGGCTCGATGTCTCGGTGTTCTGCATAGCTCGTCTGCCTTGATTGGGCTAGCAGTTCACGGTGCCTGAGGCCACCGGCCGAGCGTCATCATCGGGAAGGAGCAGTGAGGTCAGCCCTACGGAAGGCAGGTACCTGGTGACTCACGCTATCTGCGAACACGCGAAAGGCTTCAAGTTTTCCAGATTGAGCTCTGCAAGCAAAGAGAAGCAGTCGCAGTAAAAAAAAAATAAAAAAAAAAAAAAAAGGAGAGGAAAACAAAGAAACAACAGGAGATCAAGATACCGCATAGTAGCAAAAAGTTATTTCGAGGAACTTAGTTTAATGCATTTCTTGAGTCCTGTACACTGTGTCAAGGTAACTAGACCATTGAATGACTTTTACTAAGTTGGTTCAAGAATGGAGTTGGGGGTTGGGGGTTGGGGATGTGGGAGCTACGGATAGACAAGGCGACTGGGGAGGAGATCTCGGGATGGCGGGTTCCACAACGCAGACCAAGTGGATACAGCAGATGGAGAGAGAGAGAGAGAGAGAGAGAGAGAGAGGCACGATGGAAAAAAAAGAAAACCAACAAAAAGAAACGCTCGCCCCGGGTTTCTGGCTACTCATGTGCGGAAGGGGGCAAGGAACCACACGATGAGCATCAGAATCCACAGTAGCTACGAAAACCCGCCACTGCCCAATGGGTTGGATTTTTTCTCGAGTCCAGGTCGTTGCGCGGGTCTAAGGGCTCGGGCGAGACGGGGGCCTCCGGTGGGTCAACGAGCTCTCAACAGGAGAGACTCGAAGAGTAGGAGGAGACCACCAAGCATGCCTCGAGAGCCGCAAAGAGCACTCAGCGAGTCTGGCCGGACTCGAACCCGGATCGCAGCGATGGCTAACAGTGACGACGTCCGCCAGGCCACTGCGCCATCGGGCTCCCCGGGTTGGTTACCAGCCAGCGATGATTTTGATACTTAAACCACCCTGGGTTCCCCGATTAGGAAGGTGGCCGGCGTTCTGCCCCGGGTTGCCGCCCAGAGGGGCCCAGTGGAGTAAAAGAACATGGGGGCGTTATGCTGGGGTTCAGAGAGTATGTGTATGTCTGTGTTGTGGAAATGAAGATGTTTGAAAGAACTGTGTATCGTGGACGGAGTGTCGCGAGTGTTTGTAGCATGGATGTATACTCGGCCACAATATATATCCATGTCGGGTGGGTCTACCCGCACGGGTGGTTCCACACCGTCCCGCCGGATGGTCCCCCGCTCTATTCAGTGGTGGTACTTCGTATTTATTCCTACTAGTCTCTAGCCATAGAATATCCAGAAGTAAAAAGGGACATTCGAAACGCAATACTTCCAAGGTCTCATAATGAAATCTAATTGTCTCCATATATTGCTCACCGATACAGAAGAATCTAGCCCTGTAGACCCCTATGAGCACCCGGGTTTACCTGAATTATCCAATGAAACCTGGTATTAATGCTCAGATACCTATGGTTGCCTCTGACTCTGCTTCTGAAACTTAGTGCTTTTGTCGCTCTACCTTTCCTCCATTGTTATCTCCGTCAATCCCCTCTCCTCGAGGCTGTATTCATCTCCAGGCTTTCGTTCAAACGCTATTCAGCGCCCGGCATCGCTTTCCTTAATGTTAGCTATCCGCGGCCACTCGAACCCGAGTTGGCGCAATATCTTGCCAAGGAGTAATGGCGTCGCCAAGAGGCTTAGTCGGCTCGGTCAAGAGCCGTGAAGCGGAGAAACCTTCGGCATTACGCCGCGAGAAACTTGCCATTCAATCAAAGCGAGGGTTGTAATTGGCACAATGTGATACAATTCTTGACATATCTGATGTATGAAGGGACCTGAGACATGCATTGAAGCTAATTTGATTCTCGCCAAACCAGTTATCCAAGACCTGGAGCCTGAAGGGATAACATGCCGTCACATAGGAAGATCAGCCACTACCCTTGACTGGCATTGGGCCACACATGACCTACAAGACCCTAAAAGCTCGTTAAGAAAATCCTGCTATGCGGTTTAACAGCCCGGCTGATCGTTGGCATACTCCGCTTGCGTTCGTTAAAATTTGTGCCACGGCGATGTCACCCTTGTCTATACTCTTGCTATTTCAAAAAGACCAAGGAATACTGCGATGGCATAAGACACACACCTGGACTGTGACTGACATTTCTTGCACGGAATAAAACCCTCAACCTGCCGTCGTGAAGACCCACAAAGCGGAAGCCGTCTTGTTGATGTTGGTTGATTCCCCAGTTTTTCTCTTGTGCTCCGCGGAGATATGCAGAACATCCGTATTGCACAATTTTAGCTCAATGCGCGCCACTGAGCATCGCTCAAGATGCATGTCTCTAGAGCCCAAGGTTGATATTGCACCATCTTTGGCTATGTGCACGTATTGCATATCGAGGAGTACATAAGATGGCAGAATGGGGTTGGTTATCGCTGGCAGGATGTACTGTACTGTCACCGCGCTTCGCGTCTATCGAAAATGTCGGGCAATTCAGAACCCAAGAAATGGGAGGATTCGAAATTTGCGCCGCAGGAACTGATAGTTGAAGAGGGAACAACTAAAAGGTACCAAGGGAATGGCAATGCGTTCGCTGATGGCGGGGCCACAGAGCTATACGAGCCAATTCCAGAGTACGAGGGCAGACATCGATATGATCCCTCGGCCGATTGGACGGAGAAAGAGGAGAAGAAGCTGGTCCGAAGAGTATGCTGAGAGTTGTCTTTCGATGCTACTGGTAGTTGTGTTGTTGCTGACATCGATCCAACCAACTAGCTAGACTACAGAATCTGCTCCTGGGTTTGCCTGATGTTCTTTGCGCTCCAGCTTGATCGTGGCAACATATCCCAGGCTCTCAGTGACGGGATGCTAAACGACCTCGGACTGTCCACAAACCAGTACAACTACGGCATGATGATATTCTATCTCTGCTTCTTATCCGCTGAAGTCCCCTCGCAGATGGTCTCCAAGAAGCTTGGCCCCGACGTGTGGATTCCCATCCAGATGGTCACTTGGAGTGTGATTGGCATCTGCCAAGCTTTGATAGTGGGCGAAAAAAGCTTTTATGCCACTCGTGCTCTCCTTGGCCTGGTCGAGGGTGGGTTCATTCCAGATGCCCTTTTATATCTGTCATATTTCTATACCAACAAAGAGCTCCCGATCCGAGTCGGCTACTTTTACTGCTCCTCGCATTTCACCTTCATCATTGCGGCGTTTTTGGCCTACGGGATACTGCACATGAAAGCGATTGGAGGCTGGGAAGGCTGGCGGTGGTTGTTTGCTCTGGAGGGTGGATTGACGGCCATCATCGGCGTACTTTCCTGGTTTTACTTACCCCCGAGCCCGACACAAACCGCAAGTTGGTTTCGAGGGAGAAATGGGTGGTTTTCAGAGAGGGAAGAGGTCATCATGGTTAATCGCGTGCTACGAGATGATCCAGGCAAGGTCAGTGGACAGACACCCAGGCAAATTCTGACGAACAAAGCTGACACGAGATGGATCCAGGGCGGCATGCATAACCGCCAGGGCCTGACTCTGAAGCTCCTCTGGGCTTCAATCATGGACTATGACCTGTGGCCGTTGTACGCAATCAGTTTCACGATGCTTATTCCTACGAATCCCGTCTCGGCATATCTAACTCTGAACCTAAAGAATCTTGGATTCGACACGTTTGAGACCAATCTTTTGACCATCCCCGCCTATGTCCTCTTTCTAATCCAGCTGGTCTTTTGGTCCTGGCTCTCGGAGAAGATCAACAACCGGATGGCAATTGTCATGTTCTATTCCGTCTGGTGCCTTCCGCTCCTGTTAGCTTTGGAGCTGCTGCCGTCCTCTGCTAGTCCGTGGAGCTGGTACGCTGTGACCGTCATGCTGATTGGGTTTCCCTACATCCATTCCATCAATGGTAAGACGATCCTTCGGCCTTTCATTTGGTCTAGACCTCGGTATACACGCAGAACTAGCTAACCGCACTACCCTGCAATCAGTTAGCCTTACTTCTCGAAACGCCGGCTCCGTGCGCACTAGAACCGTGGGCAGCGCGCTATACAACATGATCTGCCAAGCGAGCTCGATCATTTCCTCTAACGTAAGCCCATGCAGTCGTTTCCTAACCAACCCGATCATTTTCGTTGCACGTGTTCCTGACCAAGCCTCGACACCATCCAGATCTACCGTGCCGACGACGCCCCCTACTATAGACGAGGCAACAAGGTCCTCCTGGCAATCGTCGCCTGGAACGTCGTCATGACCGTCTTCATCAAAGTCTATTACACCCGGCGCAACCAAGCACGCGAGCGCAGCTGGAACGCCATGAGCCTCGAGGAGAAAGACCAGTACCTCCGGACGACTAAGGATCAGGGGAACAAGCGCCTGGACTTCCGGTTTGCTCATTAGACGGGATGAGTGTGGACACCCATACGGAGCATGAGAAGTCATGGTCTGCGGCCTTTCCAACGCCCCCGGGACCCCCGGGACCCCCGGGATCCTCCCCCAAAAAGAAGTCGCGACAGTTATTGCGGTCCTCGATGATCCTCATTTCTTCGGATGTACGTTTCAATGAAGGGTGTTAGCTGTTCGATGAGTAGGCGCTTTGTATAGCAATTGCCAATGAGTGAGCGAAGGTGAATAATCCTGAAAGAACTTCACCCGCAGCTAAGGGAGGACAAATGAAAAAGTGAAGTACTGTTCGCTGTAGAATAAGGAGAAAAGGATAGGATATCAAATGACTCTTAATATAGGGTCTGAAGAAGCAGTACTCCCTATAGCCGTCGCACCAAGTTGTAGTAATTTAACAATTTCACATGTTCCAACATTCAAGCTTCCAAGATCACCCAGGCCCAAGAACTAAAGATCAACTAGGACAGAGGTGGATCATTCTTCTGACGCGTTCGAAGCTTCGTCCCCTGACCTGCGACGGGCTAGATGGTTAGGCTATGGGAGTCGATCATCGTCCCGCTCTGCAAACTAGTCGAAGACGGCAGGAGGTGATCGGCTGGTGGAAACATCCAATTCGGAGACACTATATTGATGATTCTATATACAGGAAGCAAGATTTGCGACGAGAAAACAAGATCCAAAATCACCGTCCCATCCCATCCCTGATCACGAGACTTTCTATAGCCGCAGCTCTTTGGACTGCGGGCGTTCTACCCAATAACTAGTTACCATGTGGATTAGTGAAACCTATACAAACCCCCTTCCCCACTGTAAATTCGAAAGGTACCCATATTTACTCTATTCAGTTGGTAAGCCCGAGACCTTCGGGACCAACGGGGTGGTAAGGCGGTTGGGCACCGACAGCGCGTTCGCGGTCGAAGCGCCATACTCCACCGGTCTTGTCACTTTCGAGGGACGTAAGACCGATCGTCTGGGCGAGGCTCTTGAACCGGTCATCATCCTCACCCTCGTTGATACGCTTGAAGAATCGCCGAGGCCATTCGCGGCCTTCTGACTTCTCAACCTTGCGAAGCTCGCGCTGGGCATTTTCAATGCGACCCTTGTGCGCGGACACGGAATCCATGTCACCGCGTTCAATCGAAGCAGCCACATCGCTCCAGGCACGTCGGCTCTCGTAGAGGTCCTGTTGATCGACAGGGGCCAGCTGAAGAGGAGTGGTCTTGGCGTCCTTCACCACATGCTTGTCGACCTCCTCCTTAGTGCGGGCATTCCGAATGGTGAATTTCTCCGACCATTGGCCTTCGGCCGTGTAAAGGGGCTTCTTCTCGCCCTCACTTTCCTTGAACAAGCTCGCAGTGAACGTATTCTTCTTCCCGCTCAGCCATCCCTTGCCGGAGTAATCGATCTTGGCCACGTAGCCCGTGCTGCTGACAATCTTCGTCGTCTTCTCCAACTCGACAAAGGGTGTGCCGTAGATCAAGGATTCAATGTGCAGATGAGGGAGGGTGATGAGATACTGTTCTTGCTGGGCAGGGTCGTTCTTATCTGCAGACGGCGGGGTGATGGTCAAGAGCGCGTGTCCGATCTGCTTGATTTGGATGGTGCTGGAAAAGGACGCTTTCTGTGCGTTGTATCCTTGAAGCTACAGCGGGGTTAGAGCCCGAAGTAGACATGATTGACCAGGTTAGGACGGCTCGGCACTTACCTCGACACCGTGCTTCTCGTTCGTGATAGCGTAGGCGGTGGCGGGAGGGTGGTGGCTGGCGGTTCAGTCAGCTGGCTATGATCACTCGGCGAGCACGTTAATAACCACTCACCTGACTTGCTCACTGATCAAGGAGGTATCGCCCACGTTGGCGTCGCCAATCCATTTTCCGATGAAAAGCTCACCCAGGAAGGGGTTCAGGGGCTTCTTCTCGCTGCCCAGCTTCTCACTGCGGCTGCAGTACTGTTGGTGCAGAGTGCTGAGGAACCATTTCAAGACAGCCAGGGCTCTCTTCTCGGGATCTGGTTCCTGGGCCGGGGCCACGAACAGACTCGGATGTTCGGCCCAGTAGGCGGAATATTCCACCAGGGAGGTAGAGGAGAGGATGAAAGGTGGAGCGGTCAAGGAAGACAGGTCGCCGTTGAAAGAGGCAATAGACTAGCGAAGAACCATTGCATGTCAGACCAGGTTTCTGACTAAACTAATCGGACACCAATTGGGTAGTGCGGGCTTACCTTGAGGAAACTCGACCAAGAGCCTTTGCTGTTGGCGGGGATTTGAGATTGTGGATCCTTGCTGGAACTCATTTTCCCGGGGAACAAGATTACAGGTGTACTTTTAGAAAATCGGCGATTAGTGATGGAATGGTGTAGGAGTGGGTAAGGACAGCGCAAGGCCCAATTATGAGAAACCGAGGACAGGGGGGTTGACGGAGAAGAAAGGGAGAGACTGAAGGGGAGTGAAGGGAAGGGGGAAAGATGTCATGAAGGAGAGAGCGAGAGCGAGAGAGAAAGACAAGGAGGCGGCGGCGGGTCCTCAGGCAGAAAGTGTGCGGCGGCCCTCGTCACCGCCGACGTCATGGCCCCCGCCTCTTGGCATGTTGTACCTGCGACTTGTGCCCTCCGCGCAGGGAACGCCGCGAACGAAGTCACTGGTACCTGTGCCACCAAGTATCTTATCAGATGACTCGGCCCTAACGCGTTCTCGGTCGGATTTTCGTCTTTTCCATCCTTCTTCGCTTCATCCTCGTCCTTCGCCATCACCTCCGGAACTCGCTCGGCTCCCAATTTTGGTCCTCCCTCTTCCAGCCTTTGGCTCCGACCGGATCTCTCAACTTTGTCGCGCTCCTTCCACCACTCAATGCCATCCATGCCATCGCCAGCTCCATCACTTGCATAATTGCTTCATCATCGTCATCATCGATGGCAAAATCTTCATCACTTTCTATGCAATCCAGAAGGTGCCAAGAATGATCAAAAATAGCACGCCAGGGGAAAATATCGGACTTGAAACTCCGTGAGCGACGCAAACGGAAGTGCCTCTGCTGCCGAAAACGTGAGCTTACAGCCTGAACCACTTTCGCCTACGAAATTGCACGGGGCTGCTGCTCAACAGATCATTAAATAAATAAAAAAAAAGGGACCGACCAGTCATACCAATAAAGCATCAGTACGAAGAAAAGGGTCTGTTCCCTGTTACCTTTACATAATGGGAAAAGCACTTCCAGCAGTGCTTTGACACGAACGCATGGGATCGATCAGGGCAACGATGATCGATGGGCCCTCCAGACGTACAGATGTTTGCTCTCAAAGACGAGCATCGATGATTTACGCAGAATTTGAAACCAGACCCAGCCTGGGCATCATGTGCTAGCCCCCCCGTGAAGATCCTCCTGGTCTGGCTCCTGAAGATTTTCTCTTCCGCCCGGCCGCGGGTTGTCCCTGAGCCAAGAGCTGGTTGGGCAACGGGAGCTACCGGATGCAAAAGGAGCCTGTCACCACGCGCCTCGGAATGCAAAGGCTGAGTGCCATTACACCATAGGATGATGCGTTCTCCCAAGGTTTAGTCCTCGTGGGTAATCCGTCGAGTCCGCCGTTGGTCGTCAGGGGCCCATCTGCTCGGCCATGTCGATCATGTTCCCACACTTCAACCAAGCTATAGGCCCCGGTTCCTTTCCCGAGCTTATAGTTGCCAAGGGCGTGTCCACCGTCTGGGAGTCTCATTGGCTCTGCGCTCCTCTAACTTCTGCTTACGAAAAATCCAGACCATGTGCGAGAAAAAAAAAATACTACTTTTGCAATGTTTCCAATTTAAGCCTTGAGAGCTTTGGGCGGCACCAACCACGACAACCTTCTCCTCGGGGCGGATGATGTGATGATAGACGTGGATCAAACTGGGGGGCTATTCTGCGCAACGCGCAATGCTGGCCACCAGGGTCAGCTCTCCTTTCTTGGAGCCCGGCTCATTTAAGACGTATGTGCGTGCAAAATGTCTTTATAATATTGCGTTGTTTTACCCAAACCGGTTTCCTTGCGTCTTCTTCGTCACTCTCTTTATCTGCATGTGCTCTGGTTAACTTTCACCTTCATCCGTTCTTTTCTTCCGAGCTCGATCGATTGCGCAACATTTTCTTTCGGATCTTTTTATATTTTTTGGTCCATTCATTTTTCTAAACTGTTGGCCCTGTTGTTTAAACATAGGTCTAAATAGTTCCTTTCTTTTAGAGCTCGAAATCAGTCCATTGTTTGTCAAATCTAGAACTTTATGATTTCGTTCCCCCCATTGACGTGAACCATGTTGAAGGCTCCTTCTGGGACGTATCCCATGTCAGGCGGGTCATCCGTCAATTCCTCAGCAACCCATGTTGCTTCAGAGTATGGTCAGGAGTCAAGATCAGACTTTGGCTCGCCCCCTGGAACACCCAACACCCTCGTTCAAACCCAAAGCCACTCCTCGCGCCGCGGATTCGCCGTAGCGGATGACCACTGCGACGAGTCCGAGGCCAAGCAGTATGGACGGTTCTCACCCGCGCGCAAAGTTGTCATTCTTTGTATCCTGTCGTACTGTGCTTTCCTCGCTCCCATCTCTTCCACGGCTATGCTTTCTGCCGTGCCGGAGATAGCCAAGACATACCAGACCACCGAAGAGATCATAAACGCTAGTACGGCCCTCTATCTAGCGTTCATGGGCGTCTCGGCTCTATTCTGGGGGCCTCTAAGTCAGGTCTGCGGTCGTCGTCCGGTAAGTTTCCTGAATGATGTTGTATTTTCCGATCCCCGTCTAATATTCTGACTTTTATGTCATAGGTTTTTATTGCAAGCAGCGTTCTTTTTTTCATTTTTACTATTGCCACCACGCTCTCTCCCAACCTGACTACGTACTTTATCTTCCGTGTCCTCACGGCCTTCCAAGGCACATCGTTCCTGGTCGTCGGCAGCTCCGCCGTGGGAGATATCTACGAGCCTAAAACCCGCGCTACAGCTCTAGGATGGGTTCTTTCGGGCAGTTTAGTAGGCCCTGCTGTGGGCCCCTTTCTCGGTGTAAGTTAAATCTCCCATCGTCTCGTTCTCCGAAATCACCACTAACTCGCATCCTTTCAAATACAGGGCGCTGTGGTTACTTTTCGACCGTGGACAGCCATCTTTTGGCTTCTCACCGCAATGGCCGGCTTTGCCGCCGCCATCATCATTCTCTTCTTCCCGGAGACAATTCCTTCCAAGTCTAACTCTGACTTCGCCGGGCAGCCCGTCCCTCGTCAGGCCAAGCTGCTCTGGCACCGCATTAACCCGATTCGAGTCTTTGCTCTTTATGCCTCCTACCCCAACCTTTTCTGGACCGGCCTGGCTGCCGGTGCTCTCGTCTGGAACCAATACGCCCTGCTCACTCCCATCCGACCCGTTCTCAACCCGCGATTCAACCTCACGAGTCCCGTTCAAGCTGGCTTGTTCTACCTCGCCCCCGGTGCCGGCTTCTTAGCCGGAACCTTCGTTGGCGGCCGCTGGGCCGATTATTTTGTGCGGAAATACATTGCTCGCCGAAACGGCCTGCGCATCCCCGAAGACCGACTTCGCTCCTGTCTCATCTTCATCTGCATCCTGACGCCAGGTTCCATCCTCGTCTACGGCTGGAGTCTAGACCAGGACGTCGGCGGTATCCCAGTCCCTGTCGTCTTCATGTTCCTGCAGGGTGTATTCCAACTCTTCTGCCTCCCCAGTCTGAACACATACTGTCTCGACGTGATGCACTCTAAGGGTCGCAGCGCGGAGGTGGTTGCCGGCAGCTATGTCTTCCGATACGTTTTCGCCGCCCTGGGAACGGGAGTCGCCCTCCCTGCTATCCAGGAAATGGGCGTGGGCTGGTTCAATACCCTCTCCGGGCTATTCTTGGTGCTTACGGGCGCGATGGTCTGGTTAACGGCGGTCTTTGGCCCGCGCTGGAGAGAAAATGTCGACATGAAGTGCGAAGAAAAAGCGGCGAGACGCAAGGGTCTTGCTTGATTTCTCTTTTCTATTTTACCCCACTGTTTCCTCCCTCTCCGTCCCTCTTTGCATTTCTGTTTTCTTGTTTCTGTTATCTGCCATCTCACTCCTTATAATCACTGTATATATGTACATTCACAGAGTAGATACTACCTACATAGATACCACTGGGAGGAAAAAGAGGATTCACAAAAAGGGTGACTAAAAGTGGCTAGAAAAAAATCCTAAAAGTATTTTTGAGCCTGTTGGGTTTATTCAGATTCATTGCATCTACCGGATATCAAATTGAACACGACTAAGAAATATGACTGAACTAGGATCTATTAGGGCCACTCGAACCTGGTGACCAGCCCCTGAGGATGAAAATGGCCCCTTCTTTTAGTCTGGATGAGATCTTCCGCTATTTTCTCCACCGACGCTAGACAAGTTTCCTTCTCCGACTGTTGTACGTATTCCATCTTTACCCACATCTACACCAGGCTCGTTCGGGGGCTGAGCAATGGTACGTGCAAGCACGAATTTCCGACTGTCGTCACGACCCTTTTCCACATCCACAAAGCCAATCGCTATCATGGCGGCTGCGCAAATAGCAAAGAGGAAAGGGAACCCCATCCAGTTGTTCTGGGTATTATTTATAATCGCTTGGATAACGTTGGGACCGATGATCGACGACTGCAAACAATTTGTCAGTTGCAGGAAACGACAAGGGGAACCTCGCAACAGATTTAACCCACAGCACGATTGGTTATACCAAAAAGGGCAAAGAACATGTTATCGTAACCTTGAGGCATGAGTTCACTTATCATAGTTTGGGCATACTGGTTTGAAAAGGATTAGGAAAGAGGTCAGATAGACTGAATTCGGGCTATGACTCACAGCATAGTAAGGGGCCTGGAACAACCCAAAAATAACGTTATAGAAATAGAACTCCCACTATTGCTCATGTCAGCATGGCTCCCAGCATCGTATGTTAGAGAACTCACCCGATGGTGGTAGCCAATGCGGTTTGTCCATAAGCCCAGCATGCCCCAGAATGGAATCAACACACTGAAGAAATTGGTGACAAGAAACATTCGCTTGGTGCGGATTTTAAAATAACTCTGGATATACCAGAACCCAAAGGTTGACGTTATCGAACACACAGCCTGTGTAATTCCTAGGTATGTTATCTGTAAAAATGAGAAAGACACATAGTCATTCTGGATGATAGATACCAGCGTTCCTAAAAATACAGCCTCCGTGAGCTCTTCTTACTCCTTCCGGCTTGGATGAAGCACATCCACTACTTACCTGTGGTGTTCAGTCCATCTGCCAGCAAAAAGTAGGCAATGAAGTATAAGAAGGTTTGTGGCAGAGATCGGACCTCTTTCAGTGCGAGCCACAATTGTTTGAGCCCAATTGTCGCGTAGTTGGACCCCTCAGGAACTTTGGGCCCCGGTCGCTTCTGCTGAAAAATGAACCACCATACCCCAAGAACGACCCAGTCTGCATAATTATCGTTAAAAGGGTAATGGTATGCGGAGTGCTGGACGATACGTACATGAGTTCGTCAGACAGAGTGCCAGATTGTTGGAGTAATTGTTATTCTGGAGTGGTATCAACACACTCAGGTTAATTAAAAGCGTCAAAAAGTAGCCTATATTACTATGTGCGGTGGAAATATTGCTATTAGAATGGGATCTCTGTATTAGTTCGGAGTCATCTGCAAACAAGAGGGAGAAGGATTACCTGATGTGATTTCTCTCCAACGACTCGACGGCATCGTACTCTTGCTGGCTTATTTTGCCCTCTCTCAGATCTTCCTCGCGGGCTTTACGGACGTGCGGCATATAGCGAGCCAACCGGGGGAAAACGGCCGCATAAAACACCAAGGTCGCACCGTATGCCACATATGCAACAATGTACATACCCATGGCTGCCGGCCATTGATCGGGACGCCTAATGGCCATCATTCCGTACTGCAAACACCAGCAGACCACCGTGAGGCCAAGGAGTAGCCAGCGCCCGAACGAGCCGTAGTCTGCTGCACTTCCGAGCCAGACGAATATCACCGTCATGAAGGTGAAGCAGAGACCGTTGGCGATCAGAACAACCGAAGAAACAGACCGTGTCCCTCCAGCCCATGGAACTACGCATGGGGACGAGTCGCTGCAAGGTTTAGGAGGATTGGTCCCGGGTTGCCATCCTGCCCCATTCAGGGCCCACTGAAACCTGGGAAAAAGGAACAAGGTCAGCACCATGTCCCCCAAACCACGTAGGTTCTCGATAGACTTACAGTGCCTGTGTGTAAGAGCCCGGACCAACTCCGTTATCACCTATGTGTGACCCATGTTCAAGTCAGCTCGACGTATTGAGCAAAGGGTTGACGCGAAATGTTACCGTTATAGTAGAGATAGTAGGACCATAACTCCCTTCGAGTGGTTGTCGGCTGCTCGTATGCTTCCTCTGCCCTGAAGAGACGCTCGAAATCGGTAAAAGCTGATTGAGTTTGGGTTTCTTGATCCGATTTCCCTTGATCTATCGCGGTGGCTTCGGCATTAGAGGCGGCACTTTCTCTGAGATCGCCCATCGGGTTGTCCGTGTGCAGCAACGTGGTCCCCTGGTCTTGTTTCAAATGATCGTCCGACATGGCGAGAGTCTAGCAGAAGGAAGTAGCCCTTGTTCGAAGTAGGGATAGGCCCAACCCATGCGATATCTATCACAGACTGCTGTTGATCAGCTGATCAATCTGAGATGCGAGCCACGGTCAACTGGTGTCGAGCCAGCTGAATAGGACTTGCTGGTGAGGAGAGCGCATGGAAGAGAGGGAGGAGGAGCAAGGAAGGTTACCCCGCAGTGGTGAATGAAGGCTTATCGGGGAATTCCACGGCAGCCCCTTCCTTCAGGCCAACAACCATCCCGATAAAGAATCCAAAGTCACGATGGTCGGAGATGCCTGATCAGGCCCAAGTCGTTAGGGCTGCGGCTGGTCCGTGACTGCGATGTTTTGTCATCATCTCCTCTTCCCCGCTCCTTCCCCACATCGTCGTTTCTTCGTGTTTTCTTTTCTCTCACGCTTCCCCATATCCAATTGCCTCCCCCGCTGGCTTCCATCCCACCTGCCAGACTATTGTGGATCCCGGTGATCTGCTTGTTAGCCCCGGAAGTGATTAGATGGTCCTAGGTAAACTAGACTAGCCTCGAGCGTTCTGTGTCCCGGTGAACGGATTGTTGTCACCCCTCCCAATCCCAACCACAGGCTATTTCCCAAAGCCTATTGAACTGGACCGTCAAAAATGCAATCTTCGGAGCTGAGGAAAAATGTTGGCCAGGTATGAAGGGTGACTCTCTTTTCAAACCAATACAAGGAAGACCTGGCGAATAAAATCTGACTGGCTCGACATAGCTTTTCGCGGTTGGCTTCCATGGGCTCACCCCGAGCCCGGAAATTAAAACCCTGATCCATGATCATGGTGTTGGTGGAATTGTCCTATTTAAAAGAAATATCCAAGACGCAGCCCAGTTGCAGGTAGGACAGAAACCCACCCCAGAGTGCCATGCTATGCTATAGACGATGCACAGCAGCTGAACTGGCTTGTGCGCTTAGGCTTTGACGTTGGCCCTCCAAGAGGAAGCAAAGGCTGCTGGGCATGAGCATCCGCTGTTCATTGGAATTGACCAAGAAAATGGATGGGTCACTCGGATATCGCCACCAATCGCTCCTCAACTGCCAGGCGCGATGGCTTTGGGGGCTACCTATGACCCAGAACTCGCCTACAAAGTGGGAGCTGCCACCGGTGAAACGCTGAGGCTTTTTGGGATCAACATGAATTATGCGCCCGTCTGCGACATTAATTCGGAGCCCCTGAACCCTGTCATTGGTGTACGCAGTTTCGGGGATGATCCCGGTTACGTGGGACGGTTTGCGGGAGCAACTGCCCAAGGTCTACGAGAGCAGAAAGTGGTTCCTACTGTTAAGCATTTCCCCGGTCACGGAGATACTGCGGTAGACTCCCATTACGGACTTCCGGTGATAAAGAAGACTAGGGATCAATTGGAACAGTGTGAATTGAGACCCTTTCGTCGAGCAGTCGCTGAAGGCATAGAGGCCGTGATGACCGCACATATTTCCCTACCTGCTCTCGGCGAAACCGAACTCCCCGCCACTCTTTCTGCCGATGCCTTGAACATCCTGCGCGAGGACATGCAATATGACGGTATGGTCGTTACGGACTGTCTTGAAATGGACGGAATTCGTGCAACCTACGGTACTGAGCAAGGTGCTGTCCTTGCGCTTGGGGCTGGCAGTGACAGCATTATGATCTGCCATACTTATAATGTGCAGGTAGCGTCAATTAATCGTGTTATAGGGGCTATTGAATCCGGGGAAGTTTCAACGGTGCGTCTTATGGACGCACTTCGCCGGGTTGCCAAAGTAAAACAGGCCTTCTTAAACTGGGACACCGCGCTACAATTGCAGAGCCTAGACGGCCTCATTCCCATCAACGACAAGTCGGTTGATCTTGCTGCCAATGTGTATTCAAAATCCGCTACCATTGTTCGTGAGAAGCCCGGCGTCTTGTCCAAACTCTTCAGCGAATCATCTACCGTATTGTTTCTCTTCCCGGGCGAAAAGACCCCCGCTGGTGGTGCAGTAGACGGGGAAGGACTGGGGAGAAAAGGATCCCACAACGCCACGGAGTATCTTGAAATACTCAAAAAGCAATGCCCGAATGCCACTGAAGTTTGCTACACGGAGCCGGGCCTGTCATCAGAACAGTGGAGCCTTGTTGAGGCAGTCGATGTCATCGTATTCACATCAATCAATGCTCGAGAATCACCATACCAAAGGCGAGTGGGCCTTGAATTAGCACAAAGAGCCCAGAATATCGTTTCAATTGCAGCTTGCAGTCCTTATGACTTCTTAGACGATGCTAGCATTGAAACATATGTCACCACATATGAACCAACGGTTGAAGCCTTTTTTGCAGCCGTAAAGCGGATGAAAGGCCAGGAAATTGTTCAGAAAGGCCAACTGCCAATTGGACCACTAAAGCCAACTCCAGGATGGATCGCAGTAGATGACTACGTGTCATCTATGGACCTTTTGCCCGTGTTGGCGCTTTGGAAGAAGGCGCTGCCCACTTATCCTCTACTTCACGAGAGCCCCGAGAGGTTATTATCACGAAAGAATGCACACCATTTTGTCGTTAGAGGCGATACAGATCTGGTCGGATTCTGCCTTCTGTACACTGAGGAGAAACGGGACGTCACCTGTGGTTACCTAGCGGTGTTGGCTGTTGACCCCAAGAAGCAGGGGTTAGGGGTGGGAACTGCTTTGATTGAAGCATGCCGGTCGTGGCTCAAAAAAGAATTCAAGAACCCTCGTTTGGAACTGGGCAGCTCATTTCCTCGCTTCTGGCCCGGCATTCCGACTGATCTGCCTTCGGAAACCCAACAGTTCTTTGTCCATCGAGGCTTTCAACTGAATCCCCCGTCGGCCCGCTCTGTCGACCTCTACCAGGACATCCGGAATTTCGAGGTCCCGGTAAGGTATGCCGCTAGAGCTCGCGAGCGAGGATATACTTTTGGACCTCTAAAGCCAGAGGATTTCCTCAAGGGATTGTCGGGACAGAAGAGAAACTTCTCAGACAACGAGGTGAGAAGCGTAGTAGAACCTTGGTGATTTCTCTGGCTAACTGTCTTGGCAGGCCTGGGTTCAAAAGTTTATGGACCTCGACCCAACTCTTTACCCTTCTAGCATCATGACAGCGTGGGACTACGAGGGGAACCAGGTGGCTTGGGCGCTCATGCTGGGATCGGAATGCGATATTTTGCGACAAGATTGGGTATTCCCTCCCATGTGCGGCCCTAGAACGGGCCTGATCGGCTGCGTTGGCGTGGACAAAGCTCACCGCAAGAATGGAATCGGCCTTGCTCTTGTCGGCCATGCCATCGAAAACATGAAGAACAGAGGCATCGAAGGGGTTTTCGTGGACTGGGTGGCTTTGGATGGCTGGTATGAACAGCTGGGCTTCGAGGTTTGGCGCAGCTATCGACCCGGTCGGATGGCCCTGTAGACTGAACTGGGTTTTTGACGCTATCGCAACGGTACCTACCCAGAACCTACCTACGTAGTTAGTCTGTAAGCAGCTCTCCATCCTGGACGAATGAAAACCGCCTGATTTGTGTTATTCCTTGGCCGAGGGTTCCGAGACGATGTGGGGAACCTCGGCTACCTCACGTCTCCCTCTCGTAATCGACGTTCCGAGATGCCTCCCTTGCCCGGACGCCGCTGCCTACTTACGCTTCAAGCTCGCCACACCCATTGACGCCCCCCCGATGCATCGCCTTTCTCGTATTCCACTCCCGGTCCGGTCCCGGGACAAATTCTTTAGACCGACAAGTCGACGGTTCCTATCGGCGTCCAGTCAAGGGTTTCCACGGTCCGACACCGCTCTGTTCGATCATCACTACGAGTAGGTACCCCAGGTAATATCGAGCAAACGCATCCGAGTAATCTGCCCAGAACTTAACATCCGTGCCATTGTAGTGCCATCGTTGTGGGAGCAGGGGGAGCCGGCCTTCGTGCCGCTGTCGGGCTGACCGAGTCGGGACTTAAAACAGCCTGCGTCACGAAACTCGTGTGTATATTCTGACAAAATAGGCGGAGGGAAATTTCTGCTAATGGGGAATTCAGTTTCCAACTCGCTCTCATACAGTCGCTGCACAGGGTGGCATCAACGCTGCCCTGGGGAATATGACCCGCGACGACTATCGATGGCACATGTACGATACAGTCAAAGGATCCGACTGGCTTGGGGATCAAGACGCCATCCACTACATGACGCGGGAAGCCCCACAAGCTATCTATGAACTGGAAGAATTTGGTATGGCCTTCTCGCGAACCGAGGACGGGAGGATCTACCAGCGGGCTCTGGGTGGACAGAGTCTAGAGTATGGACGGGGAGGACAGGCATATCGCACGGCCTGCGCGGCGGACCGAACAGGCCATGCCATGTTGCATGCTTTATATGGACAGGCACTAAAGGTAGGTTGGCAGCCTAGCAGGCCACCCTGTCTGCAGATTGGAGACTCAAAGTCGCGCTAACCAATGCAGCACGATACTGAATTTTTCGTCGAATATTTCGCTCTCGACCTGCTGATGGTGGATGGAGCTTGCGTTGGGGTCATCTGCTTGTCTTTAGAAGATGGTAGCCTTCATCGATTCTTTGCTCGGAACACTGTGCTCGCCACGGGGGGATACGGTAGAGCCTACTTCTCTTGCACATCGGCTCATACCTCCACTGGCGATGGCAGTGCTATGGTTGCACGCGCCGGTCTTCCAAACCAGGACATGGAGTTTGTCCAGTTTCACCCGTCTGGAATATATGGCGCTGGGGTGCTGATCACCGAAGGTGCACGTGGCGAAGGGGGATATCTGCTTAATTCCCAGGGAGAGCGCTTCATGGAACGATATGCCCCTACCGCCAAGGATCTTGCGAGCCGGGACGTGGTAGCCCGCGCCATGAACCTGGAGATTCGAGAGGGTCGTGGATGTGGACCAGGTCATGACCATATTCACCTGCAGCTGTCGCATCTCCCGCGCGACCTTATCCATGATCGGCTACCTGGCATCGTGGAGACGGCATCTATCTTCGCCGGCATCGATATTACCCGAGACCCCATTCCCGTGGTACCAACGGTCCATTACTGTATGGGTGGGATTCCAACCAACTTCAAAGGCCAGGTTCTGAGGGCGGATATGGATTCTTCCGGGTGCACCGAGTCTCCCGTTCCCGGTCTCTACGCCGCGGGCGAAGCGGCCTGCGTCAGCGTTCACGGGGCCAACCGACTTGGGGCCAACTCCCTCTTAGATATTGTGGTGTTTGGGCGTGCGTGTGCCATTGATATCGCCGAGAATAACGAGCCGAACATGCCGCTGCAATCGGCTTGCCCCAGGGACACGACCGTCGGGTTCGACTCGATTCAGAACATGCACAGCATTCGCACGGCGGATGGCGATCTTCCGACGGCCCAGATTCGTGAGCGGCTTCAGCGAGCTATGCAGACAGACATTGCTGTATTCCGGACTGAGGCGTCTCTCGTCGAAGGCACGTCCAAAGTACAACAAGTACAACACGATTTCTCCACGCGACTGGCTACGAGGGATCGCAGCTTGATATGGAACTCGGACCTTGTGGAGACACTTGAATTGTGCAATCTTCTGACCTGCGCGGCGCAGACGGCGCAGGCCGCCGTGCAGAGAACGGAATGTCGAGGGAGTCACGCTCGAGAGGATTTTCCAGAGAGAGACGACGCGGGTTGGCTGCGCCATACTTTGACGTGGCAGGGCCGAGGAGATGAGGAAGTGCGCGTAGGGTATCGAGAAGTCATCATGGAAACATTGGATGAGAAAGACTGCGCCAACGTGGCACCCGTGAAGCGGAGCTATTGAGAGGAAGATTGAATTTGATATTCAGTAGGAACGAAACGCTAAGAGCGGACTATGCCGGATCCGGCCGCCGCTGCCACATGATCTCCGAGAGGCACGTGGAGACGCTCCACTCTCGGAAATGCCCGCTTTGGTCTACTTTCATCTATCTACACGCTGAGCAAGAAACGACGCATCCATAGACAAATTATTATTCAGTCCCGGAGTATATCACATGCAACTAGTAATACATGCTCTTTCCTGATTAGATATCACGAGGATATTAGAAACAGGCTTCTGAAGAGATCTCTTTGGCGAACTAAAACGATGTGACGACATCCAAGGGACCGAAGATATCAATCGAAGTTAAAACAAAAGGAAATGCTCATCTGGCTTAACGTCACGATCATATACCGTGAGGCACGGGTTATGATGAAGTCTGCGCCAGGCACCATCGCCTAAGAGGTACGGGTGGCAATGTGGTCAAACTTGTAAAGAGGCTCCAGCTCGACTTTACGACGGAAGATGAACCGCTGGATCCACCAGGGAAGAACCTTGAAGACCTGGTAGCGGATGTGGACGCGGGTCGGGACTGCGAAGATGTAGTCCAATTCCTCGAGAGTGCGCTGCTTGGTCTCGGGCACCCAAAGGAAGATCATGACTAAGGCAGTGATGTTTAATCCCCTGGTCAAGTTAGAGCCTGGGTCGCTAGATGGATAGAAGATATTCCAAACTTACGCGTAAAAGCCAAATGCTCCGGTTGGGGTCATGGCATGTAGCATACGAGGGAAGGTGATGGAAAGCACTGCTGCCCAGCTGAGGCAAACCGCGACAGCCCAGGACATTCCAACCTCTAGAATACATGGTACATTAGCAAACACGAACACCTTGTATCCGAAGAAAGTGACTTACCGCGATGAGACAAAGGGAAAACTTCCGCGGAATAGGCGAAAGGCACGGGACCTTCACCCGGAGAGTAGAACGCTGCGAACAGGAAGATGAACAGAGCGATACAGCCGATGTGGGCTTTGGATTCGGTTGGAATATAGAAGCTGAAGCCAGCAGCCAACAGAGTCCAGGCCATCTGCGGGAAGGTAAACAGCAGCAAGGTTCGGCGTCCGTATGTGTCAATGGTGAACACAGCTGGGAAGGCAAACAGGAAGTTGACCAACCCAAATCCCCACGAGGCGAAAAGGGCCTCGGTCACACTAGCACCCGCCTCCTGGAAAATGGTGGAAGAGTAGAATGCCACGATGTTAATACCACACATCTGTTGCGCAATCATCACCACTGACGAGGCCAGAGTGGCACGTCGCACCCGAGGAATAGTAAACAATTCAATGAAGCGGGTGACATAATTACTCTGGCCCACAATCTCCTGCTCAACTTTGATCTGCGCGTAGATGTAATAAAGATCGCGCGCGGCCTGGAGCTTCGTGTTGCGCAAACGACAGAGAGATTGATACGCCTGCCTCATCTTGCCGCACTTGATGTACCAACGAGGGGATTCAGGGCAGAAGTACACGCCAATGAGGAGAGGGACGGCGGGGATAAAAGCAGAGCCAAGTTGCAGACGCCAGGAAATGTCTCCAGTATCTTTAACGGCCAAGTTTGCACTGGTACCAAGAAAGATACCGAAGGCTGTCCACAGTTGCCAGCTCATTACCAGACCTCCACGAATTATGGCTGGGCAGTTTTCTGCGCAGAAGACGGGAATAGTGGATGCTTTCAAGCCCATTCCAAGGCCCAGAAGAAGACGAGTGACGAGCAACTGCTCCCAGGTTTGACTCACGGCAGAGCCGATAGGAGTAAGCAAGCAGAAGATAGCCGAAATGAAGATAGCACCGCGGCGGCCCAAGATTTTGTTGCAGGGGTCAGACAACCAGCAGCCCAAGGCAGCACTGGCCATGTACGGTCCTCTTTAATATCTGTCAGTTATTTTATCTGCCCAGGCATGTATGGGCAAGAGCGACTCACGCATTAACAACACCGACGAGCCACTGGTTTCTCTCGGCGTGGGGGTTATTCTTTTCAGGGATGCCAAGAGCATCAGGGAAGGAAAGGTTGGCTCCTAAGCAAACAATAAGCAAATCGTCGTTGTATGTAAGGATTAGAGAAATCACATACCATTGCTTCCTGTCTGATCCCATCCTCTGTTACAAGGGATTAGCACACATTCACTGCCTCGAGATAGATGGGGGATATGTTAACAAGCCACTTACTGAACAGCCGCACCGATAGAGCAAAGAATAATGGTGAAATACAAAGCCACGGGCTGGCGCCACTTGTGAGTGACTTCATTGTCAATGGCGGTAATGTCAGCCTCTGTCATATCAGGGACCGACTCGTAATTGTTAGGATCACGAGCGACAAGAGCCCCCTTCTTCAGGTCATCAAGAATGTCAGTCAGCTGATGCTCATGAGCAAACTCCTCAACATCGTGAAGAACCTCATCCGTGGTGAGGTCAGCGAGAGGGTTTTTGATCCTAGGGTAAAATTAGCAAGCGACCAAAGGCATCTACAGCGGGGCCAGGCATGTCGCCCACTTACTTCGCAGAGGTATTCTGGTTCAGGTTAATGTGCTCAAAGTGACCCTTCTCGGCGGTCTCCTGGTCGTCACTGACGCTACACAGACGTAAGCCACGGGAACCCAAGGAAAGGTGGGCGATGCAACCAACCGCTTGTCAACAGTGACATGGGGAGCTACGATCTGAGAATCATCGATCTCAGTCTTCCCCACGGTATCAGCCATGGTGAAGCTGGGGAGGGAGCTGAATGTGGAAAGAGTAGATTGTAGAAGGGTGAAGAACGATGAAATGGGTTAAGGTAAAGAGCGCCGAGGCTGAGTGAGACGCGATGGGGCAAGGTGAAGAAGAAGTGAAGAGGGCACGACGCGGGGATGAAGGAGGGAGAGAGAAAGTGCGGGGGTGAGCAGAGGAAGAAGAAGGAAAAGCCCCCGGGAAAAGGGAAATAGGGCTGATAAATAGCAGGTGACTTCCCTCGCACCTGCTGTCACTCTGGGGAACTCCGGGATTTTGACCGTGGATTGGGGGCCCAACAACGGTACACCTTCTCCCTCTGGTTCACGGGGCGCTGATTGGTTTCTTCCGCCTGGATCTGGTACCTACGCACTTATGACCTTTGATGCCGCCGCTCTCGCTGGTGCTTGGGGCGGAGTTCTCCTTTATGTTGAGGACGCAACCCATGGGTGAGCTGCCATAATGGGTTCCTCAGGCAGCCCGCAACCGGTAGATGCCGTCTTTCAGGGCATCTGAACTTCCGCATCTCTTTTCCTGGAAGGGCAATTGGGTTCTTTGACTGTTCCTGTTCGGCTTACCGGTACGTTCCTGTGGATTCCCTCGTTCTGGTTTTCTTTTCGGGGTCTTCGATTTCTTTGTTTGCATCCGATGCTTGTCACCCACGCGAGTCCAACATCCTTGGCCGCCTGTTTACGGAGTAGTGCGGTTCCTCAGGGTCCGATGACTCTGGGGGAAACTCTCTTACGCCGTAGTGGTGACGGCAGGACGGCTACTCGCTGACTTGTCAAAGGAAAGTCTAATCATTTTAGGGTTATTTGGCCCCTGTTTCCACCCAGAATCCACCCCCGAGTGGCATTCGTTCCTTTTTCTTTCGCGGGGTGAAAATTTTTCTTTGCCCGTGACAATGATTCGCTTTATGGCAGGCCCTCGAAGGGAGGCCTACGTCGGGGGTGAGACTAAGAGCGCCACGCTCCCATCGCAATGCCATGAAGTGCCCAGCGGCCAAGCGTCGAGTCAAGAAACCATTGGCTACTCTTGGCTAGGAATATGATTAGCTCGGCGCCACTAAGCCCGAAGCGGCCGGGATGGCGATTTAGCGCGGGAATCTACTTCGCGCTGAACAGTCGTGCTCTCACGGTGGCTGAGTGAGACGCCTTCTGCCTCATGTCCGGACGTTTTCGTCGTGGGAGGCTGCTCTTCTGGTCTTGGCCGCTGCTCACATGGCCGCAATCCGTTGGCACGAAGGAACGCTCGACATTCACTGGTTTCCAACTCTTCCTACGGTCTACAGCGAGAGACTCGGAACCGAGAGAACTTAGGGGGCTCACTTAGGGGGCTCCCGCCGTGGCTAAATATTGGATTTTTGTGCAACCATCCAGCGTAACCCCGGGGCGCTCTCTTAGGTAAGTGGTAAGTTCAACATGTTTTTGATTGTGCGTCGTCTATCGGACTGCTGCATATTACCCAGCCTCCGGGTCCGGTGTCAGCGACGTTCGAACTTGCGCTTGCCCATCTCCCGCCTCTACAAAGGATTATTGACATGATCCACACAGGGGGGGGGGGGGGGGGGGGGGTCGTTTAGGGTTCAACAAAGGGGAATATTCTATCGATTCAAAAATTGTCTAGAGTGGATGGCTACGGAGGCAAACCACCGCCCCCAACAAAAAAACAAACCGAGATGACACACACAAAAAGGAAAAGAACAGAGAAGAAAAACCCCAAAAAAGAGAAAAAAAAAAAAGAAAGACGAAACATGGGCTGAGCGGAAAACAAACCGCGCATCGGAGCCTGAGCGCCTTCCACCCGACGGCGTCTTCTCCACGCCAATGACGGCTCGAGCGTCCGGGGTTGCAACGCCGTGTGGAGAGTTTTCTCGGCCTGGCCGGGGCGGAGCTTAACTGGCCCTGGTTAGCCTGAATGACCGGCTGGATTCAACCGTCACGAAAATCATGCTCCTGTCTATACTAAATACACCCGGTCTTGTTCGCCATCGCTGGGCCGATCCTACGGGAGAATGCTAGGACTGCCGCCTTGGGTTCTGGCCCTGTCTACAATCCTGCAGGTTCGAGAACATACCACCTACGCCGTACATCTATCTCTAACAGGCTGGTACTATCGAATAGTTTGATGCGTTATTAATTAAAAATGGGTGGCGGCGCAAAACGCCTCTTGAGGTCCGGCTGTCCTTGCCCAACATCATTCTCCAGCATCTATCTCGTATTCACGCCGCATGTGAACTTAGACATGGGCTTAATTAATATATTGTGTTGATCATCTGGTGCCATTGGACCCTCATAGCATGATTATTCTTAGTATCTAACCAGTTCAAAGACCCCTTTACCTTAAAATCGCATTTAAAGGATGAGGTGACCTGGCTGATTTCCTGGCACAAACCTCTGATGAGGCAACCCGCGTCCATGTACTCCGTAGCACACGATCGATTCAAAATTCCGGTACGACAAGGCTGGTAGCCCTCGACCAAGTAAATCCCCGACAAGAGCTGATGCAGCGTCCGGTGTAACATCCTGCCGTCCTCATGAGTTTTAACTCGAGATAAGAGGCAGTTTTGTCGCTTGTCGCTTGTGGCTGTGAGGTTCCACGACTGGAAAGCGGCCATAAATCTGACTACCGCTTCTGCCCACCACTACCCATGGATACGAGCATCCTATACACCTAGGATGGTGCAAAGCATGACAGTTTACGGAGATACCACAATAACAGATAATCATTTGCACGGGTTACATAACCATTTTTCGTATCGTTCTAGGTAATATCTTCATCTAAGCTGTTCCGGTCTTGTTCTTCGCCTCCAGCTCGGCTACATTCATACAAAGGCCCTGCGCGGCCCAGCCCTCAAATCCCAGCTTATAGAGTGTCCGTTGCTCTTCTCGCGTCGGGGGACTTCGAGGCTTTCCGCGGCGAGTGCGAGACTCTTCGGTCTCAACCAAACTAACATTGCGTCCCTGAAGATCTATTCCACCCAAATCATCGTGGACCTCGTCTGTAAACTCGTACGTTCGATACTCTGTGTTCATCCAGCCAGTGCCTGGAGAGATTTATTTATTAGACGTGCCTTTGCCTTTGACAAACGGAGTGGAATATAGCAAGCTTCAACTTACCTGTACATCTACAGTTTTCCTCCCAATCCTCGGTTAAATAATGAAGAAGTCCCCCATGTGTGACGACGACAATCTCTTTCTCGGGTCTAGCCTTTAACCAACATCTCATATCGCGAGCACGCAGGGTGATGGCCTCGCGGGTTGGAGCATGTCTCCCACGCTGTTTGATGTTAGTCGAAAGAAGAGAAAAGAGTAAATACAGCAAAATTAGGGAGAATATTGAAATGACCCACTGACCTTGAGCTGCCAACCATCCGAAATCAAGCTCATGTCGGCAGGGACCTTCTCATCCCGAATCTCTGACTCAAGCGCGGCACGCTCACTTCCTACGTCGCAAGGAAAATCGGAGACCTCCTGCAAATCCGAATGTAAGAGCATTTCCATCTTCGGGTTTGCTTTGAACACGGGACCAAAGCTTTTCAATGCTGTGTACAGGGTCCGCCGGAAAGGAGATGACACCACGAGATCGACGTGCGAGTGGCGGGGAAAGTCTCTCTCTAGCTCGTGACATTGTTGGATGCCGTGCTCAGTGATAGTTGGATCCGGTATATGACTATGCTCGAGAGAGATATTGTGGGTGCCCTGCAGAGGGCCCGTGGCTTTCGATGAGTATTGCGCGTAGGAGACAAGCTGCGGGGATTCATGATGCTAAACGTACTTGAGCATGACGCACAAAATGAATTATTGGCGGCATAGCTATGTCAGATCTATATAGGTGACGGGTCGAGGTGCTGTATAGTCTTCCTCCCAAAAAACTGGAATTGACGACGCGAGTTGGGATCATTTCAGTCTGACTGTTTAGTGTCTGTCCGATCGCCGGGAAGATCTCACGGTGGGACCGGGTCTCGTTTAGGCACTCGGGACTTGGATGCTTTGTTGTGATCCTGTTCACGCCATCTGATTATGCAGCACTCGAGAAATCAGCCTGCCTGTGGATGCAGATACTGATTAACTACTCTCTCATTAACTCAAGTATAGTAGATTAATATATAGGTTGAATCCATTCCCACGAACATCCCTCGGTGCACCGGCTTACTCGATGCGGTTAGCCGCTGTCGATGTCACGTGCAGCTGCCCCAGGCATCATCGAGCGATCATTTCCGAGATGGCCGCCCGTGATATCGCATGACATCGAAGACGTCTACAAACCCTCCATGCCACCACTCGCCTGTGATATTTGAATCAAATGCCATAGACTTGCTATTCTCTCCATGGAGCTCTCACATGCGGAAACACCGTCGGTGCAGGGCCTTCTCCAGTCCGGTGACCCGTTTGTCCCATTTTCCGAGTTCTCGATTGAGACCTCCCGGGACCTACTAGGCGGAGATGCCTCTGACTGGGTCCAAAGCAGACTGAAAGAAGGCAAGCCCTTTGTAATCCGTGGATTCAGTCGTCTGGAGAGCTGGAATAGGTCTGTTTTCAACAACGAGAGCTTGGCTGCATTGTCGTCCTCGGAAGGTACGGATAATTGTGATTCTAGCATCAAAGTGGTGTGACTGACCTGGCTAACGACGCACTCGCTGCCATATGATAGCAATTCCAATTCGAAACTGTGAATCTACCCGAGATGTTAGAATGCGATTGCGGGATCTGTTGTCTCCGACAGGATATCGTACCAACATCAAAGAATCGTGGGTGGATAGGCCGAGTTGCTGTGGGAAGAATCGGCTCTGTTTGGCTAACCGACTTGCTAGACTATATGCAAAGGACCTTCACTGTCCATCTGAGTGGACCAGTGCATTGGAGGCCGTCTTGCCGTCGCCTCTAAGGCATCTAGGCTCGCTGGACTTGTTCCGAGTGCTGCCCAAAGAGATTGCCCCGGAAGTGTTGATGGCTTATGTCGGCACTCGAAAGTCGTTGTAAGTACAATGCGAGCTCTGCATGCAGTGCCATGTTCTACCTGCTAACCCGTAACTCAAACACCTAGCTCCGGATTTCACAGATGTTTCAGCGCAACAGTTGCCCTCAGTCTTCTAATTGAGTCCGAAGGTAAGTTGGACTAGCCCGGATAGGATTTTACCAGAGCATCTCAAGGGCGAACTGCCATCTCAGAGAGGTGAGGGACTGTGTTAGTGACCTTGGCTAACCTTTGTCACAGGACATGGGCCGGGAACGTTATGCTTCGGTACGGACACGAGCTCCCGGGCTCAATACGACGCATTCATGGAAGACCTCGGAAAGTCATCCCACACCGACTGGGCCAAGGTGTCCATTGAACAGCTAAAATTAGCCAATTTTCCCATATATATCACTAATCAGGAACCTGGGGATTTGGTGGTGTTTCCCTCGGCAACTTCCCACCAAATATGGAACATCAGTCCTATGGTCACGAAGGTAGTATGGAACATCATGCACGCTTCCTCGCTCGAGTCTTTCTTCGACTACGTGCAACCAGCGTATCAGATGCAGTGTCATACAGACACAGGACGAGTTCCTCTGATCCCATTTCATGCCCTGAATAGTGGACTTGAAGTGCCAGAGTCTCGACTTCTTCTGGACATCTTTCGGCGGCTGGTCGATGATGAAGACATGGGAAACAATCCGAATGTTTCTATCAAACTTGTGGATACACAAGGGGCCGTTGTGGAGTGTAACTTTTGCGGACTAACGATCTGGAATCGGCACCTCCATTGTGAACAGTGTGGCGATTTTGACCTTTGCCTGGCATGCTTCGTTTCCGGCCGCAGCTGTAAGCATACCGCTGACTATGCTTGGGCGGAACTGGTTCCAAGTCAGCGCTGTCAAGAGATCATCAAGAAATACCGAGAGACGTTGCAATACTATCCGCCGGATTCGAGAATACGGGAGTTCAGGTATGTTGCCAGGGCCGAAGAGCCCGGGGGGGAGGGGGCTGTTTAGTTCAGGCAGGCTTCTTATAATTCATTAGCTAACAAAACAAATAGGGAAAAGCCGTTGGGTATTCTCGCCCTCGCGGCGGCAGATGCACGGAAACAACCAATGGTAAGAGAATAATAGAATCAAGAGATCCCTCTATGCGACCACTCCTGAAAATGGCAATTAATTTTATCCAGGCGCGACTGTGTCACTTATGTCGGGATAATCACCCTGTGTGGAAGGGGACTCCGTGCTCTCAGTGTGATGCTTTTTTCTGCTTCCGCGGCCTTTACAGACATTTTGATGTTGATCTTCTCTCGTTTCTCCGACAGGACAAGGCGTGGACTTGCCCCAAATGCTTGCACGAATGCAATTGCCGATGTTGCCGTTATCCCCATCGGTACCAGAGCAAAGACAAACCGGTCCGGACGCGGGTCAAACCCGTTGACCCTCGAGGTCGGATTTATGGTTTTGTGGACAATGTTTTTGACCAAAGAAGAGGCAAAAAGGCAAGCTTACCCATGCACAGTGCCTCCTCCCAGGGCTCCATGACCCCTCGAGGGCAAAAACGGCCCCGAGAGTCTGGCGAGAACGAACATGTCAAACCAAACCCCCATAACGGCCATGTATACCTCCCTAGTATAAGGCCTGAGGCTTTTGATATCACTCCACCTCGTGGGACACCATCTTACCACCCCGGTCACAACGGATCCCTTGGATCCCTTGGGCCGAAGATGCAGCTGCGCATTAGCGACCTTGTCGAGGATCGAAACTCGCCCATCGAAGCTACCTCGACCCCTCGCAGCGGCATAGTGCATCATCCGCCGCCTAATGGGCCATCCCGCGACGGCAGTGGATCCCGGAATGATCACCGTCCCTCGGAATTCCGCTCCGTGGAGAATGGCGAAAGCATTGCCGCACTCGAAAGGAAACGCGACAGTCTCCGGCAGTATGCCAATGACCTCATCGAGCTAGATCTGGTGGATTCCCACGCAAAGGTCATGGACGCGATCTGTCAGTTGGACGGTGAAATCGAAAAGCGGAGGCGCGCAAAGGCGGAACTATTGTTCAGCAATCTGCACCGAGATTTCCCTGACCTGGCGGAGCTAGCGCGAGAGGAAGCGCGGCGACGGGGGATCTAGTTGAGCATCGAGTGTGTTGGAATCCGTGGATTGATTGACTCCGGTAGAGTGTAGCAAGTATACCTCAGTATACTTCGTAATGCGTAGAGCACCGAGGCTTGGCGGCGGACGGCCGAACCAGGGAAAACAGCGGAGGCCCGTCGATCTTCTCCCTCCACCATCCATCCATTCGCCTTCACCCCCTTCCTGGTCCATCCATTCAATCCGGCATTCCTCCACGCTGTAGACGTCAAGCATCGTCAGCGTTGGCTCTCCAAACCAATCTCGTCTCCTTTCCTGCTGCGCCGGTCGGTTCTCCATCGGTTGTCCCGCCCACCGACACTAGGGAACGCTAGGGAACGCTAACACCGTCATTCCCTCTCGCTCTCTCGCCGACTTCTTTCATCCCCTCCGCACCGCTACTACTCACTAGCTGGCTGGCTAACATTCCGCGGGGCCTTCGCAGAACCTGAACCATTCTTCGCTCCCACATCCACTCCTCGCTTCGCTTTATCTCCCGAAAGGCGCATCTCCCACGACTCTCGTTTCCTTTCCCCCCGCGGGCTGCAGCCGCCGTGGCTACGATCTTGCATCGAGTAGTTCCTAGTCTTGGGGATCGTCGGTAGCAATCTCAACACACTATCCTGACCGCCTCCACAACGCTTGACTACGCTCCTCTCCCCACGACCATTTTCACCCTCCTCGACGATCCCCCCCCCCCCCCCCCCCCTCCTTCGTCCGACTGCTCTCGCGTTTGTTTTGGGTCGTCATCACACAAGCGGACCTCCGTTCTATCCTTGCTGCTACGCGTCATGCCATGCTTCAAGGGTCTCGCCGTGAGTATACACACTCCGGATGGCCCGATTTCCGAGTATTCGATCCAACGCCAGTCCCGGGCCTCTCGCATAGCGTGCTTCATTCCCGTGCCACCTCCCAAACTCCCTGACTCCGCCACCGGCAAACCCGAACAATCGACCTTTGCCATTTCGATCACGCTCCTGAATCCCGGCCAAGATGTGCCCTACTCCTGCCCGAGGCCGACGCTCGATAACCCCACGCCCAAACCCAAGATTGTCGGAGGGCTGCCAGGCCAAACGGAAGAGCGGGGACAATACACCAGCATGGTTGCTCCGTACCAGGCGCTGACCAACTCGCCCAACGAGACGGTCGCCGCCTACATCTACTTCGACGGACGGCAAAAGGAGGAGGTGGCCACGCTCCTCCGACGGGGGGAGGAGACATGGGTCAACTCTCGATGGGTTAGCGTTCCCGACTCGGAGGGAGGTGGTCTGGCCGAGCGAGAATTCCTCTTCCGCGAAGTCGGACTGGAGAGGTGGCTCAAGGGGCTGGATCTGCAGGGCAAAGACGCGGCCGCCAAAATCGAGAGGCGACGACAGAAGATAGAGAAGCGCCGCTTGAAGCGACTGGCAGACCTGAACGGCGACCTAGAAATGGATTCCAAACGTGACAAGGGGATCATGCGGTATGGCAACGACGCCAAATCCCCGCTCGAGGACGTCTCCGACGAGGACATGTCCTTCTCCGATTCCGACGACGACCCGATTCCTGAGTCCGCGGGTCAGATTAAGGTCGCCTTGTTCCGTGTTTTGGCCTCCGGGGAGATCAAACGCGGGGAATACTCGCCGCAGTTCGACGCCCATGACGATGACGACGAAGGCCAAGGTGGACAGGGCAGTAACGGCGGGGCCGACGCGGACATTGATCATACTACGAGCTTTGCCAAACCCAAGTCGCTGGATCCAAAATCGATCAGCACGCAGACAGTGACGGGAATTGACCCCTCGGACAAGCCCTATGCCATTTTCACCTTCATGTATCGAGGCGAACGTGAGTTTTTACCCCCGCCTCCCACGCTCGAGCCGGATAGGCTTTGCTGACGCAAATTCTTCTGCAGGACAACTACAGAAAATGAAGATAATGAAGGACCCCAAAGCTCAGGAGACACCCGGTTCAACAAAACGCAGGTCTCTCCAGCCGGACTTTGCAAACCTCGGCCCGCTGAAGCCAGGGGGGACAGTCGGTTTCTTGAACTTCCGAGACAGCACCGAGAATAAAGGCGCAAAGGGCAAGAAAGGCGCTGGCGATGATGAGATGGACAGTGACGATGAAGACGACGATTCTATTCTCGGTAAAGCCGACGACGAAGAAGCCAAGGACCAGGACCGACCGCTGTCCCCTGACGACCTCAGGCGCCAGGGTGAACTTGCCGAAGGGGTTCGTCAGATTAAGGTATGCGAGGAACCGAGCCCGGTTGAATGTGCACTCTATCTCTAGAGGCCAAATGGCTAACCTCATGATCCAGTTGAAACGCCAGCACTCATCGGCGTCGCTCGGAGTCAATACCCCGAAGAGCGACGCAGCCAGCCCCCAGCCAGCTGGAGAAACACCATCCAACGTCTCGACCACGCCCCCAGCGGCTGCGGCAGCCCCAGCCCCGGGTGCGACCCTCGAGGCGCCTAAGCCTACGCCCAACACTTTGGAGGGCGGGTTCGTCGGCAGCCCGTTGAAGAAGCAGCGAGCCAGTGTCTCTCAAGCCGACGAGCACGCGATGCGCCGACGCATCGAGTCGGGGCTCTCTCAGCAGGTCAGCGGGGCTCTCGACAGTGCTGGAACCGAAAATCCGCCTGCCCCCGGCACCGATGCCAAAGCATTCGGAGAGAGTCTGCAGCCACCTCCCCCGACGAAGCAGCCGGACGAGGACGAGGAGCTGTGAACGAGCGCCCGTGGAATCCCCTCTTTTCTGGAAACCCATAAAACCCCTTCTTTTTGACGATTTTGACGGACTGGCGTATTTGGATCAGTCGACTTCTTATTTTTCTTTTTTTCTATGATTTTTTGGGGAAGGAATTTACTGGAACTGGCTCCGGTCGATATGCAGTGGTCGGCAAGATCTTTTGGAGGCATTTACTTAGAGATTTCCTTCTTTTCGAGCATTTTATTCTATCTATATCTCCAGTGTGTCCGGGGTCTCAGCGAGAGAATTAATTGGTATAGAATCAATGAAGTTACGCAAGTTGCCATCCGATCCACTTCGATTTCCAGCGTAGTTTCTTTTCTCCGCCAGACACCCCCCATGACTTACCATCCGCCTCTCGCTTTTCCCCCTCGTCAGCTTCGTTGCCACTTCGACTCAACCAGTATCAACCAGGCACGATCATAGCTTCCGCCATGCCACTAGCACGCTCGACCGATCCCCTGGTGTGGATCGACTGCGAGGTATGCCATCCTTCGTCTCCCCCTCGCGCGGTCTGCCATCCTCACAAGCCTCATGCTATCTTTTACTACTAGATGACCGGGCTGGACGCCGACAAGGACCAGATCCTGCAAATCTGCTGCTTTATCACCGATGCGGACCTGCAGCTCCTCGATTCTACGGGGTTTGAGACGGTGATTCACCACCCGAAGTCGACGATGGACCAGATGAATGCCTGGTGCGTCGACACCCACGGTCGCACCGGGCTCACGGCGGCCGTTCTGGCCTCGTCGGTGACGGCGGAATCGGCGGCGGCCGATCTCCTGGCATACATCCAGCGCTTTGTGCCCAGGCCCCGGACGGGTTTGCTGGCGGGCAACAGCGTCCATGCAGACAAGGCCTTCTTAGCGCGGGGCCCGTACGCGGCGGTCCTGGAGTGGCTGCACTATCGCATTGTGGACGTGAGCACCCTCAAGGAAGCGGCCCGACGATGGGGATCGGAGGACCTGCTGGCATCGGTGCCTCCGAAGCGAGAGGTGCATCTGGCGAAGGACGACATTTTGGAGAGCATCGAGGAGATGCGATTCTACCGGCAACGGCTGTTTGGTGGGGCAGGACTGCGTGGATGAGGGTTGGGTTGATGTGTCTCGGGGGAAGGCCTATGGAAATGCGATTAATTAGGGGACTTGGTGGATAATATGATATGATCTGATTCTGCATGGATGGACTGTCCTTCTGTAGGTTGACCAGGGAAGGACAGACTGACGCGCACATGACGAGCCCCGCCGTGTTTGTTGATTTCCCCCACTTCGTCTGCTTCGTCTTCATCTTCCTCTCCCTCTCCCTCCAGCCCTCCTTGCCTCTAGCCTGCATCCCAATTGTCGGTGAGCCGGACAGCTTGGGCCTCGTTATATAACATCCCTTGCAGCCCCCCTCCTCCTTCCTTTGCTTTCTCCCCTCCGTCGTTGCCAACAAATCACCCCCCTTCCCTTCTCTCTCCCTTCCCCCCCACTCGATCCACCATGTCTGTCCAGACCGTCTCGCTGCAGCCCTTTGCCGACCAGAAACCCGGAACGTACGTGTGCTTTTCCTGACCCTCCTGGAGATGTCTCCGATCAATGACTAACGGCTGGGTCCAGCTCCGGTTTGCGGAAAAAGGTCAAGGTCTTCCAGCAGCCCAACTACTCCGAGTCCTTCATCACCTCCATCCTCCTCTCCATCCCTGAAGGTGCCGACGGTGCTTTCCTGGTCATCGGTGGCGATGGCCGCTACTACAACCCCGAAGTCGTCCAGAAGATTGCCCAGATCAGTGCTGCCTACGGTGTCAAGAAGCTTCTGGTCGGCCAGAATGGCATTCTCAGCACCCCCGCCGCCAGCAACCTGATCCGTGTACGCAAGGCCACCGGTGGCATCTTGCTGACCGCCAGCCACAACCCCGGTGGTAAGTTCTGACGGCCCCTCTTTGCCCTTTGCAAGGTTCATGGTCACTAACTACCGTGGTTGCCGACGATCAGGTCCCAATGCCGACTTTGGCATCAAGTACAACCTGGCCAACGGTGCCCCTGCCCCCGAAACCGTCACCAACAAGATCTACGAAACCTCCAAGACCCTCTCCTCCTACAAAATCGCCGAGATCCCGCAGGTGGACATCTCGTCCATCGGCACCAAGACTTACGGCCCGTTGGAGGTCGAGGTGGTCCACTCGACCGCCGACTATGTCACCATGATGAAGCAGATCTTCGACTTCGATCTCATCCGTGAGTTCCTGAACACGCACCAGGACTTCAAGGTGCTGTTCGATGGCATGCACGGTGTTACCGGTCCCTACGGCGTTGACATCTTCGTCAAGGAGCTGGGTTTGCCCAGCAGCAGCACTATGAACTGCCAGCCGAGCCCCGACTTCGGCGGTGGTCACCCCGACCCCAACCTGGTGTATGCGCACGAGCTGGTTGAGGCCGTCGACAAGAACGGTATCCACTTCGGCGCCGCCAGTGACGGTGATGGCGATCGCAACATGATCTACGGCGCCAACACCTTCGTCTCCCCCGGAGACAGTCTGGCCATCATCGCCCACCACGCCAAGCTGATCCCTTACTTCCGCGACCAGGGCGTCTACGGCCTGGCCCGTTCTATGCCCACCTCGGGTGCCGTGGACCGCGTGGCCGAGGCCCAGGGCCTGCAGAGCTACGAGGTGCCCACGGGCTGGAAGTTCTTCTGCAACCTGTTCGACAACAAGAAGATCTCCATCTGCGGTGAGGAGAGCTTCGGCACGGGCAGCAACCACATCCGTGAGAAGGACGGCCTCTGGGCCATCGTGGCCTGGCTCAACGTCATTGCCGGCGTGGCCAAGCAGAAGGGCTCCGAGACGCCCAGCATCGCCTCCATCCAGAACGAGTTCTGGCAGACCTACGGCCGCACCTTCTTCACCCGCTACGACTACGAGAATGTCGACAGCGAGGGCGCCAACAAGGTGATCGCCACCCTGTCGGAGAAGCTGGCCGACCGCGACGCCTTCGTGGGCTCCAGCATCTCTGGCCGCCGCGTCACTGACATCGGCAACTTCGCCTACACCGACCTGGACGGCAGTGTGGCCAAGAACCAGGGACTGTACGCTACCTTCGACGACGGCAGCCGCATCGTTGTCCGCCTGTCGGGCACAGGCAGCAGCGGCGCCACCATCCGTCTATACATCGAGAAGTTCGAGAAGGATGCCAGCAAGTTCGGGCTTAGCGCGCAGGAATACCTGCAGGACAACGTGGCTCTGGCCCTGTCGCTGCTCAAGTTCAAGGAGTACATCGGACGGGACGAGCCGGACGTGCGGACTTAGAAGGATAAGGATGAAAAGCGAAGCAGAAAACGTCCAGTCCGTCCTTGTTAACGAGGTTACGTGAGCCATTCGTACAGTCGGTCATATTCTCTCCAAGCCCCTTTCATGGACAGATAGAAAGTGAGCATCGTAGCGTTGATTGATTCGTCACGTCATCGTTTTGATTCGTAAATAATATAATCATATCATATCATATCATACCGTACCATATCTGGCGGTAAATAAACAAATATTCAAGGAGACCAGTCATCACGTCGTAAAACCATTAAACCAACCTCATTCCAAAGTAACCACACCATTGGCAGGAGGTCATGACGATCAGACCTGTCGCACCTTCTCCTCCCACCACTCCTTCCACTTCACCACCTTCTCGTCTCGTCTCGCCTCCTCGGCAGCAAACACCACCGCATGGCTGCGGACCGCTTCCTCCAGCGTACAGCCGACAAAGTGTCTCTGCGCGCGCTGCACCTCCCACCCGTCATTCACGACGGCGTCCACCGCCCGCACAAAGCTGCGCGCCAACCCGTAGTCTCCGCCGCCGTGCGACTTCTCTTCCTCGGGCGGCTGCCGAGGCACTTCGACCGTGGTGGTCGACCGCGTGGCGAAGCTGTAGATGGAGATGGTGCGCGAGTCGTAGGAGATCTCGCCGTGCGTGCCGTAGACTCGGCCGCGCCGCTCGCATTGCTTCTCGGTGGGCGCGATCATGTGGAAAGAAGCGGTTTTGGCAGTGCGAAGGGGATGCTGAGAGGTTGGGATCCGGGAAGGAGGGGAAGGCTGTTCGTCATCCCAGGTGATGGTGACGATCTGATCGTCGCAGACGGTGTTGTCGCCGTCGTAGACGCACCGACCGTACCACGGTCTCGCGGCGATTTCCTCGTCCGTCATGTTTTCCCGGGAGTAATCTTCGCCCAGCCGGCGGAGGAGGTGCGTTTCTGCGGCCTCGACCGCGGCTGATTTTGTGGCGTCACTGTCGGAGGGTGTTGCTGCTAAGGCTGGACGGACTACGTCCTCGATGTCGGGACAGACGATGTTCACCGGCCAGTCGAAGATCGACTGCTTCACATGTAGGTCACGGTAGATTTTGAGTGCGCTGTAATTGCAGTCCTGCTCGGCCGGGCAGGAGAGACAGTTGGTGGCGGTGCCTGCGGTGGCTGGTTTCCGCGCAGGACGAAATTGGGTGAGAGCGCCAGTCGAGGAAATGGAACGGGGGAGATGCGGGAGCGAATAGTTCTCCGTGATCTCGGTTGCGTCGTCCTCGGACGGGGGTAGCGGAGAGCAGAGCAACCAGAGGATAAAATCGATGTCATGACAAGACTTGGTGAGAAGAGACCCGTCGCCCGCGGGGGTCTGGCGTCGCCAATTACCGCGCACGTAGCTGTGAGCAAAATGCCACCATCCAACGGGCTCGCAGTGCTCGAGAGAGACGATGTCTCCGATCACGCGGTCGACGAGCAGGAGCTTTCGCAGGAGGATATTGTGCGGGCTATATCGGAGCACGTGGCCGATTGAGAAGATCGTAGATGGAGCCAGTCCACCGAAAACTCGATAAGCCGTGAGACAGTCGTCCAGGGACAGGGCCAGCGGCTTTTCGCAGAGGACATGCAGTTGAAGCGGGGCAATGGCCTGGAGAATCTCGATGTGAGTCTCATCGAGGGTACAGATGAAGACGCCGTCCACACCTGGTGGCTGGGCAGCGAGTGGATTCTGCTGCCGGCGCTTGAGCTCCCACTGCAGCCACTCCTGCCAGTCATTGAATTCCTGGCCCTCCTGCGGGCTGTCCTTCTCGGTCCAGATGAAGCTGCGGCCGAACTCCTGTCGCTTGAACGCGTGGGGCTCAGCGACGGCGTGAATGACCCCAGAGGTCGTGGTCGTGACGGCACGAGCATAGGCCGTTCCCCGCGATCCGGCACCGATCACGAGGAACCGAAGGGGTTTTGCGGCGTTGAAAGCAGAGGGGCTGTTGCTGACGCCGATGGCGGGGGGTTGAGGTTCCTTCATGGTGGAGATGCCTTCAAGCGAGTGACGGGATGCGATGAGAAACGAGGGCGTGAGAATACACAAATGGCAGTGAGGGATGAAATGAGGGGCATTCCAGCTGCCACTTATGCGAAAGATAAGGGCAGGATGGAGGAGAGGAGGAGTAGGTAGCAGCAACACGAGAAGTCCATAGATCAATACGACCCTGACTAATGGCATTCCGGCCACGCTGGTTGGCCCGCAGTCTTATGTCATCGCGGCGGACGATTTCCTACTTTCACGGAGTTTACGGAGGTAGAGAGATGGATAGATATGTATAGATGGATAGAGAAGTACTCGAGATTCATTCAAGAATAAGATTCTACGAGTCCGGGCGGTTTCGTGAGGTCCAATCCCCAAACGACCACCATGCAAGGAATGACAAGAATCACAGACCGACAGGAAAACATCGAATTCAATTCGGGGTATCCATAGACAAGAAGAAAAAAACAAGCGGAGAAGACTAGTACGGAATATCAAGGCGTCATCGACATGACGCGCCGTCCAAGGGGCGCGCAATGGCAGCAGTCAAGCGGCCCGGGCCTCGACGATTTACCGTCGAAGCGGTTTTCGGGGAGAGGAAAAAAAAGAGAGCTTCTCTCGTCCCCCCCGGAGAGACCGGTCCCGAGCGCGCCAACTCTCAAGCATATGTACAGAGCGAAAGCTCTCGAAGCTTATATACCCAGAAGATTGGGACCGCGGAAGGGCTTTATGTGCACACGATCCAAAAAGGGAGATTGCGGACCACCGCGAGGAATTCACGGTAAGACTCACAGGTTCTCAGAAAATCGGCTGCCTCGACTCCCGTCAAAGCTTGGATGACTGCGGCCCAACAAGTCGGGTCGTTTGGGGATCGTGGGGGACAGGGCTCCCGATGCTTGAGGAACAGCCCGCGAGCTGGCGGGTTCGTTGGATAAACTGGCACTGGCCGAGCCCGCGACGGGGGTCCGCGCCGGTGACGGCCGGAAGATCACCCTGGAATCCGACTCCTCCGCCTCCCGCGTATAACTAGCGTCCAAAGGCATGCCATACGGCACCGACGGAGGCGGTTGGGTGGGCGATCGCGGGTAAACTGGTGACGGCGGCGAGATGATGGTACTTGGCTCGGACGTTGTTGGAGAGCCAGCTTCGAAGCCACCCCCGTAACCGTCGCCGCCCGACTGCAGCACCGAGGGGATTTTCCTTCCCGAAATCTTCTGGAAACCACGCTCGCTGCTGCTGGAGGCCAGCGTGCTATCGGTCCGAGTCGTCTGGTTGGACTGTCGCCAGCGTTTCATGAAGGCCGGCGCAAAGTACGAGGCGGTAAACAGGGGATCGTTGCTCGACCGCCGCGAAGCCATTTCGGCAGACCGCGAGACCGATTCAGCCCCGAGCGCCGTCCCCGTCTCGGGACCCGCAGGGAGGCCTTCTTGAACCGGTTTGCGGGCCGCCTTTCGTCGTCGGAACAGCAGGAAGGCGACAAGAAGCAGGATCAGCGCTCCCGCTACACCGCCCACGACGCCGCCAGCAATCTTCCCTTTAGTTTGGCTGTCGAGCGAGCCAGAGCCGCCCGAAGCGACCTCAGTCGACGTGGGAGCAGCTGCAGCCGTGGTACTTGTGGCATCGGATCTGCCGTTGCCCCAGCCGTCACTGGTGGAGGACCAGGACGTCGTCGTGGTGCTCTCTGAAGTCGTCCACACGACCATCACCGAGCTGGTTGTTGACGAGGTCGTAGTAGGTGTGGTGGTGGTATTCGAGGATGTCCTGGACGTCGACACCGCCGAACTTGACGACACTCGGTGACTCGACGAAGCGCTGATCGCAGTCGGGCTGATAATGGAATGGGATGTTTGAGTAGAAAGCTGGGAGGTGGAATTGCCCGAGGAGGACGACAAGTCGGTTGTCGAGGCGCCATTGCCGGTCGTCATCGTCGGCGTGTCTGCGGTGGGGGATGAATATCCCGGCGAGGCAGTCGGGCGTTCTTCGTTCGACGAGGACGAGGACGCACTCGTTACCGTACTTGTCTCAGATGAAGCATTATCTGCGGTGGAACGATCGGAATGCGTGACAGAGGTCGGGTCGGACGAGGTGTGAGATGTTGTGGAGCGATCCAATTCGACGTCGGAAGTTCTGGTCGGTTGAGCCGTTGTGGTGGTGTCTGGATCTGAATCCTGGTCCACCGTGCTGATCACTCTCGCCAGCACCGTGGTTTGGTCATCCGAATCTACAGTCTGGCGACGCTTCTCCGGGGTCGATTCTTCGTCTCTACGAGCAATCGCGCCGGTCGTTTCGTCCGCAACGTCACGAGCAACCGACCCATGGGGCATGGTTGATCGCGGCGAAGAATCCCCATGCTGGTCGAGATCCTGGTCCACACCTTGTTCCTGGCCGTCCGTTGAACGATATCTCCTCCTCATCAATCTAGTATACCGGGTATGTCGGGAGCTGCCATGATGGGACATCCTGACGTGCCCCACGTGTCTGTCGTACGAGAATCGATTCCTTTCCAGCTGCCGTCACTCAGGAATGTGCTAAATCGGGAAATGGTCCGTTTCACAAAGATCGAACGGCAACAAGTCTCCACCGGTATCAATGAGTCGGGTCGACGAACCCAGGCGAACAACGAGAAGATCGAGGACGAAAAAGAGTGGAATGCCTGCCTGCACGACGATCAGCTTCTCGAGGGCAGTTTGGGCCAGTCGGAAGCTTGAAAAAAAACGAAAGATCGAAAGAACGTTGATAATTGAACGAGGAAATTCGAAAGTCGAAGGAATGAAATCAATCGGGTATGCAAAAGAAGGCGATATCGAGATCCGAGTTTGTCGAAGGAGCGATTAAACACTAGACAATCCGATATTAAGTCGTTGGGTTATAAATTGCGTTTCGTGAAAAACCAAGGAGCGGACGTCAGCTGGTATGGCAGCCGACAATTAAAAGATCGAGATAGAAAAGAAAAGAAAAATCAAAGATCGAGAGGCATGGACGACTGATGGTGGGGGCGAGTCAGTTAGCCGGGGCCCTGTAAGACATCGAAACCCATTGCGAAGATGTCTAGACCTACCCGTCGAAGAGCAACACGATCAGTTCCACCTCGGTGCTTTCCGTTTCTTTTTAAAGAAAAAGAAAAAGCAAAGTTCGTAAAAAGACCCCTTGCACCTTGCCTGATCCGTCTATTAATCACTGTAATTTTTTTTTAAACCCAAGAATTCCCCGGTTAATCCATTCTCGCCGGGGACAACAGGCGAGGGACGAGGTGCGGGCGTCGAGGTGTGGACAGCTCGAAGCTTCGGACGGACGATGCGGCGAGGTGATCGTCGAATTTATTTCCGATCCGTCGACTTTTTCCCGGCGGACCAAGGATCCACGCTGACACCTAGGTTCCGGACCCAGGAGGTTTGGTTAATTGTTTTTGTCTCTGTTGCTCGGTCGTAGGCCGTTCCGTGGTTGTCGGTCAACGCTTGATTCAGGACGGGTCCTGGAGAGCCGACTCGGAGGGGGGATTCCCGTCGATTGTCGCCCACCACCTTTAGATCTCCGGGGACGAATTCAAACAATTCAATTTGAAAAATGAGGGACAAGAGAGAGAAGGGACAAGGTAGAAAGGATAGACGGACGAGGGGGAGGGGAAGACGAGGAGGAGGGGAGGAGGGGGAGGAGGATAAGGGAGGCTGATGGGGGAAAGGTCGAAGAAGCGAGGAAGGAAGCGAGAGAGGGAGAGAGAGAGAGAGGGAGACCGAGAGGGGAGAGCGTGAGAGAGCGACAACGAGATCGATCAGGCCAGGCCTAAGAATAACCACGACGGCCGGTCTTAGACCTGCAGGGTCACTAGTGGTCACGATACAGGGGCCATCTCCACCCGACCGGATAGAATGAGATTGGAGATAGGATAAGCGAGTGGTGGATGGAAATTGGTGAGAGAATTGGGATGGAATGGAATATGGATCTCAGATTGTCCCTTCATTCAAGGGCTACGAGGAGCCCATCAGGACCAAGTTGAAAATTGATGGATGCATCGACAAGGAATTGGGACATGAGACGATGAGGCCCTCAGCGGTACAGACTGCGTACGACCGCATCGGGACTGCCGGTCATTCGCCCAAAACGGGGGCGCCAAGGCTGAGGTTAATAAAACGCCGCGGCCAAGTTTCACCATCATTTCTCTCTCTCTCTCTCTCTCTCTCTCTGTCTATCCATTTCTATCTCTCTCTCTCTCTCTGTCTATCTCTATCTCTATCTCTATCTCTATCTCTATCTCTATCTCTATCTCTACCTCTACCTCTATCCATATTCATTTCTCTTTCCATCTCCTATCCATCTCTAGATCGAAGAACATATTTCATATCGACGGCCCCACCCGGCGTGGCCTGGAATGTCGGGTGTCAGAACGCAGCCAATCACGGCGACCGGCGACCAGACCGAAGCTGCAGGAACCGTCGACTTCCCGCGGTGGGAGATTATCTTACGAGGTCTATTATGGATTCTTACTTTACTCCGTACTGTCGTTGCAGAAGGATCGGCCAGAGTTTTCTGATAAGCGGGGCCCAACGGCATTCCGGCCCTCGAGCACGCAAGGGGGAACGCCCGTTATGAACTTATCACCTTCGAGTCCGCCGTGGAGACGCCGTAATCTTCTGCAAGGTACGGCCTGAGATTAATGTTAATCTATCCAGCCGTTGTCTGTCGGCTGCTCTTCACGCGACGGTCATCTTCATCTCGCTCAGAGGATCCCAGGACCTCGTTCAATATACGGAGTAACGTCCAGTGTCCTGTCCATCGTAACCAACGACCAACATCCAGCGTACGTATGTTGGTTTCACGTCCCCACTGCCCTCGTACGACTTACTATTTATATACGGCCTCAGATGGGAGATCCAGCGTTGCACTGAAGTCCTCCGTACTACTACCCACTTCCGTCCTTGTTTTGTGCCGTTCGGGGCTTCTCGACTCTTTCCATTTGCTCGGCGTGAGATCATTGTTTACTTCCTGATCGACATGCGTCCTGCCGTGTCCGGACGAGAGCTCCTCCGTAAACAAAATTTGGGCTTTTTATGCTTCGACTACGACTGGCCCGTCGAGTCCAGAACCCATCATGTCTCCTCCCTCTCTCCTTGCATGACCATCGTGCCAAAAATTTTCCAGCATGCTACAGGTACTTCTCATTACTATCATCAACCCTCCGAACCATCGGTTCGATCCTTGCCTCTCAATCTCGCTCCCCATCTCATGAACCCCACCGGCATCACGGCAAACGCCAGCACCACCAGCCCTAACAGCGTCCCGCCCCAATGATACCCCAGTCGTTGGAAAAGCGGCGGTCCGGCCAGCGGCAAGAACGCGGCGCTGGCGTTGCGCGGCACCAGCATCGCGCTGGTGGCGCTGACCGCGTAGATGCCGAACACGTCGACGATGTAAGTCTGCAGGGTGATGGTGGTGGCCACGAGGCCGAGACCGATGACGGCGGTGCCGATGATGGGCACGATGAAGTGGACGTGGGCGTGCACCGTCCAGCCGAAGAGGAAGAAGCCCGTGGACATGAAGACGCAGGAGACGAGGACCGGCGGCAGACGGTGCTCGGGGGTGATCGGGGACGGAGCAGATGACGGGCCTTCCGATCCGGTCTGTGCCTGTGCCTGCGCGCTGGCTTTGGCTTTCGCCATGCGGATGTACCGGTCGAGCACGAAGCTGCAGATGAACGCGCCCAGGGCGAGTCCCAGGCAGAGGCCCAGGAAACAGAGCCCCGACGCGCCCGTCGAGAAGCCGTAGATCTCCTGGAAGACGGGCGCGATCGTGGTCATCATGAGGTAGGTGTATCCGTAAACCACGCTGATGTAGACCGTAATCAGGATCAGCATGGGGGACCGCACGAGCAGGCGCAATGGCCGGATGAAGGCATGGAAGAGCTTGGTGACCGCGCCGGTAGTAGAGTTAGCGTCGGTCTCTCCTGTTTCATACTTCGATCGTAGATCCAAGTTCCCCGTTTCACGACGGCGCTGTTGCGCCTTTCGCTTCAGGATGGTAACCTGATACGTTTCACGATAGACCGCCAACAGCAGCAGCGCGAGGGCGCCGGCCACGACGGTCGGCAGCCAAAACGCCCACCTCCATCCCTCCCTCTCGGCCAGATAAGATCCCACGATGGGACCCGCCACGGCCCCTAACGTGCTCGTCAGAGACATGACGGACATGGCGCGACCGCGGCGCTCTTCCGCGAACAGATCCCTCACGATCCCCGGGCCAATGGGCAAGGAGGCCGTGGCTGCTCCGCTCAGGAACCGAAAGGCGATGAGCATCTGGATGTTGGTGCTCAGGGCGGTGCCGGCATGGAAGGCGATGAAGAGAGCGTTGGCGATGCTGAGCACCCAGCGTCGTCCGTAGAGCTCGGAGAGAGGCCCCCAGATCAGAGGAGCCACGATCTCGCCGAGCTCCCAGATGGACACGATGAGAGTGCGGTAAAGGGCATTGTTGGAATGGAAGCCGATCAGGATGGGAGGGGAGACGGGCGCCGCGATGATGGTGGACAATTGACTGCGCATATGCCAGTGGTTAGGATCTGGTATCATGGAAAAGGATGGCGTGAGGGTGTACATACACCACCGCAGAAAGACTGGCCACGAGAATCACAATCAACCATTTGTACGGTTGGCGCCAGTTGAGTGGGTTGGCTTCATCGTTCTCGGTGAATTCCACAATGCATGTCGTTGGACTCACGGTGGTATCCGCTTCTTTCTCTTGCTCGACTTGCTGCTCCATCTGCCTCACTTCAGCCATGCCAGAAGATGGGATGCAACGAGTCGACCCAAAATTAAAGGCTGGTCGGGGTGCTGTGGCCCCTCATTTAGGGGATGTTTGGGTTACACAAGGGCTCAAACATCGAGGACAAAGAAGACATGCTGATCCTTGGGATCAGGGTTGAGCTAAGGCTTTATAGTACGACTAATATCCAAAATATGCAACCAACTATTCCGCAAAAGGATCCGCATAATGCCCATGCTCTTCGAAATACCGGCTCATCGCGGTAAAATGCTGGCTATCAGCCGGACAAAAGGCATATCGCTCAATACTGTGCACGATCGGCTTGAAATCACTCGTGGTTAACCGTTTGTAGCAAGCATTGCGCTCCGGATCTTGCGTCCAGGCGACGAGCTTGTCAAAGTCCTTGCATTGCATCATTTGGCCTTCACCACTACCATTCAAGAGCTCCAGCGACGGCATGGGAGTGTCGTTCGCGGTGCACATCAGGTCTTGACGCAAGCTATCCAGGCAGTGCTCGACGTGTCCCGAGGGTATCGGGGTTTCTCCAGTAGCCTGCAAATCATGGAATGATCTACGCATGACTTTCTACAAGAGTGGCATTCAATGTGAGCAGTTCTGTTTGGACGCTGCGGCAATCAATGGCGGGTGGGATGGTATTTGGCTACTTACCAGACAGTGCAACTGATGGAACACCTTGACGAAATAGATCCTTCGGTTTGAATCCCAGGGGAACTCCCAAGAGCTGGGAAGGTTCATGCGTTCGGCCCATTCCTGAGTAGGAGCAATGATCATCGGATCGGTACTCAAGCTGTCCCACATGTAGTCTGCATGGGTCTCGTTGGAACTTGTGTACTCGGTATCATGAGCGTAGGGGATTGGCACATCGAAGGCGAGTCCAGCTAGCAATATGAACATATTAGCCATTTCCAACATAATCCCATCGTCTGTATTTGCAGGGCCCTTCAAGACGTACTATAGGGAGATCGTTGGGCCGAAAATGTCTCCCACGGCGTCGGCTTCTTGGACGAGGCATCGTTTTTACGCTCAACCAAAAGCCACCATGCGTTCATTAGCAACGAGAGGATAAGTGCTATCATAAGAAGGGCTGTTTTCAATCGTTGAACTTGGAAAAGCGACGACGAGGGGCCCCGGCCAAGATTTCCCTCGCTTTCCGGGTCCTGGATCAAGGGCCGTTCGGCTTCATCAGCTTGCTTACGATCCTCGTGCGGATACATTCTGGGCGGCTTGCAACAGATGAAAACGACGCTGGGCTGGTGTCCTCGAAGATGAGAAACACAATCCTATTATCAGCCTCATTCGGCCGAGCTTATCCGATCCTGACCATCTTTCATTGTTTGCTACCAGGTTGTACTACATGATGCACCGAGAGCAGGCATGTGAGCTGTTCGAGTCACTAGTGGCCAAAGAATCTCATTATCTGTATAACGATGACATGACCACCGTGACACAGAACGAATCATATTTGCCCCGAGGAATCAGCAAATGCAGTTCTTTTTCCCTTCGAGGTAAAGCCTGGTCGAGCAACATTCACCTACAAATTCATCGTCCGATCCCGGTCTCTTGTCTCTGGAAGTTCGTCCGGCTCTGTTGTTTCTGAAAAAAAGTATTACAGACCTTGCAAAGGTACTGGCACCACTTTAACCTTCAAAATCCAGAAGACGAGCTAAATCTTCGCAGGACTAGCATTTGCCTTCCTGAAAATAGAACGAGGCGAGCATCCCATCGAGAGAACAGACATGCGGCTTTCCGTTCTTATCAGCCTTGCCCTAGCTACGGCCATCATGGGCCGTCCAATCCGTGATCTCGATGGCGAAAATTTTTCAATCGAGAAGAAGTCTCCCATTCCTGAGACGAGCCCTGATGAATTCGAAGTCGCTTCCATTGCTAAATGACGACGACGACAACGACAATGACAGAGCTGGGTTTTCGGGATTCTCTTTTGATTGCATGATTTGTTCTTGTTTTTGAAATCTCAAGACATATGACTAAAATCATCTAATGCATAATCGTGCTTGAGTGTTGCATCACTGCCCGTATGCCCTGTCGATCCGTATGCGTACCGTAGCCCCGTGTTTTGCTTCTCAATAGGCTGGAACATTCCACTTGGAAAGGATCTAAGAAACTCGCGAAGATATGGCACACAGGCTGAAATAATAGTCACGGTCTGCAGGACCTGGCTACACATGATCCATGGCCAGAGTTCAAGCGATATAGATGAGCGAGCTCCGAACGCCTGGGTATAGCGGATCTGGACGGCCGTCACAGCAACATCCCTAGGAGAAAAGATTGTTTAGTTTCGATGGATCGGTGGTGATGCATGGATAACACTTACAAAATCCTGATGCTAAAGCATCCGATGACCACAACACGTTTGTGCAAGCTCATATGTATGCTGTACACCAGCAATGATGGCAGCGTGATGAGAAGAATCTCGATAACAATGTTGGAAACACCGAAATATATCCAGAGTGCAGTCTTCAACTGTATTAACAAGCGATGCATAGTGAAGTCATATTTAGAAGCTCACCAGATCATGACAGGATCCCTCTGCCAGATTCCAGACTTCAGGAGGGTGACACTCCAGCGAAACAGCAATGACCATAGTTACGGTCCAAAGGAACAGGAAACCTGCGGCCGCGATAACAGCTCTCGACCAGCGGGTCGACGATAAAAGAACGTAAAAAAGGGCTATAAAGGATAGCTTTCCGAGGCCCAGAGTCAAAACGTGGAGAATTTCGGTGGCATATACGGCCTTTTGCATTCTCGCAAATTGCGCATCGGAGTTCTTGTCGGGAGACATCCCTAGGCCATACTCTGCGGCTATGGATGCCGCTATTCCGGCTAGTAAAGAAGATATCTGCGGTCGTTGTAGCTTGTTAGCTTCCACTCTTCCATAAGACGCCCCTGGAATGAAACAATTGAGGGGATATTTACCAGAGCTCCTATGAGCAGAGTCACGATCAGGAGCTTTCTCCTTAGCGCCTGCCAACTTGTGATAAGACAAGCTGCCACGACACCACACGACGTAATCATCAAAAAGCAGCTAATAACCTTGATCGCTGGGCTGTGGTCTTCCATGTTTGAAACAACCAGAGACAAAGAGAATATGATCGTTAATGATCAAGACCTAGATGTAGAATTCGCGAAGCCGGCCATCGATAGTATGAAAAATCAGGATCATCCCACGGGATATTGGCTTCTGCACGGACACTCCTGGGCTCGACTATAGCCTCAATCCAATAATGATTTGGAATGAAAGACTCCGTAAAGACACGTCCCTCTTTGTGCAACCCCATTCGTAGAGTATACCACACGCGATCACGGGAGAAGGCAGACATCTCGCCAGGCTAATCAACGCCGTGTCACTAAACGCTTCGATGCTCGTTGGCCAGAAAACTGGGGGCCCCAGATGGCTTCAAAATCCGACGAGAGTCCGTAGTCTATATCCAGTCCGGGTTCCGTATTAGCCGACACTCGCACACATCCCTAGGTCCAATTTCCAACTCACATATTGTCCGTGTGATACAGCAAAAGCAGTTGCATAACATGGCACTGATCAATTCACCTTTGCGTCACATTATTAATGCTCACGTCATCCCCTGTGCGACGGTGTAGGTGAGATGGTCTTTGTTGGTTTCAAGGAGTTGTAAGGCCAAACTGAGGCAACACAAAGTCACTGGATGTCACGGGTTTCGTGCCTGTTGTGGCCTGAAAATCGACCCTTCCAACGCTTTCTCTCTTATACTCAACTCTCTTTCTACCCATAAGTCAAGTCATCGCGCCGATTTCCATCAACCATGGCTCATTATCTTGCATCCGACAGTCACCTTGAGCTACGCGCGCCAATTGTCAAAGAGAACACGGGTTTTGACAAAAGCGATGCGTCTCAGTCCAACAAAGATGCCATTGAGCTTGCTAGAATCGGAAAAAGAGAAGCTTTGAAGGTCGGTAAAGTAGTCATTCTTAAAACCCACGCGAGGTTTCGTTTCTCGACTCATATATGGTGTTCACATTCACAAGCGAAGATTTGGCTTGACAAGCACCGTCGGGTTTGCTTGTAGTATTATGCTGACATGGGAAGCAATGATCATGTTAGTTATCACCATCTAATTCCGCAATTGGAATATCTGACTCGGATCTAGGAATATCCAATTGGGTTTGATGAAGTATATACTCCATGAAAAGATCTTGAACCATGAGTGTCCAGTATTGATCTCACTTTTAGCGGCGGTCCAGCTGGACTAGTGTATGGATACATCGCAGTCTGGATCGGCTTTGTGAGCATCTTTCTCGCGATGGGGGAATTGGCAAGCATGTTCCCTTCGGTAGGAATCCATGCGAAGAATGCTCCATGCTTTAGCCATGTGTCTGATCTCTTCTCAAGGCTGGAGGACAATACCACTGGGCTTTTCTCCTTGCTCCCAAGTCATCCCAGCGATTCCTCAGTCACGTCACCGGTATTCGCACCGCAATTTGTCTGTCTTCCCCAATGTCTCTCAGGATCCTAACGAGAAAACAAAAGGTTCGATTTGCATTCTAGCATGGACTGCAGGTCCAACGGCAACCGTCTACTTGGCTGGCAGTGTTTTGCAAAGCGCGGTTGCAATGAACGTGCCCGAGTACGATCCCCAAGGCTGGCATGTCACGTTCATCATGTGGGGAATCTTGCTCATCTGCACGGTACTGAATACATGGTTGGGAATGATCTTGCCAGTCATCGAAGTGTTCATTCTCATCATCCATGTGCTTGGTTTCTTCGCCGTCTTGATCCCGCTCGTCTATCTCGGTCCACGAGCTGACCCACGAGCGGTTTTCACTCTGACATTCAATTTTGGCGGCTGGCATGACATTACTCTTGCAACGCTCGTTGGCCTCAAAGGAACGGTTGCAGCCTTCCTCGGTAAGAAAGGACACGATCCCAGCTGACCATAAGATTGATTGACTAACCTGATATCATCTTTCTCTAGGCACGGACGGCGCCGTCCATGTGAGTGATCACCAAGCGCTCGCACCACACTGTCACTGACCCCTGATACAGATGGCTGAAGAGGTCGCAAATAGTAGTCTGGTCGTGCCGCAATCCATGCTATTTGCGATTCTGATTAATGGGACCCTCGGCTTCGGCATTTTAATCGCATTTCTCTTCACCGCGGGAGATCTGTCTGCCCTCATCGAATCCAACGCCGCGTACCCATTCATGGACATCCTGGCCAGCTCGACCAAAAGCAAAGGGGCTGCAATCGTTCTCTCGAGCATGGTCGCCATCCTGCAAGCGTGCGCAGGAGTCGGTGCAATTTCGTCCGGTAGCCGCATGCTATGGTCCTTCTCGCGCGAGCGAGCCATCCCGGGCTGGCGATGGATCCGTCAGGTCAGTACATCGCGTCTCAATAGGGCCCAAACCGTCAGCTAATTCAGAAATGAAAATAGGTCAACTCGCGAACCTCGGTCCCATTCCACAGCACCTGCGTCATCGTTGTCGCCGCCGGTCTTCTCAGCCTCATCAACATCGGGTCATCCGTCGTGCTAAACATCATTCTGTCGCTGGTCCTGGAGGGATTCTTCGCCTCCTACCTGATTTCCCTCTCCCTGCTGCTCTACCGCAGAATGAGGAGCGACATTGCAGATCCTCGCGAGGACGGAGGACCCGGTCGGAAACCCTTCCTGTGGGGACCTTTCAGACTCAAAGGATGGATCGGACTAGCGAACAATGTCTTCGCCATCATCTTCACGGTGATCATGATGTTCTTCGGGTGCTGGCCACCGAAGACGCATCCGTCTGCGGCGGACATGAATTACAGCATCGTGATCTTTGGGGGCGTGACCATCTTAGCTGTGGTGTATTACCTGGGATGGGCGAGGAAGCATTATCATGGACCCGTGATTGAGGTGTGACAGGGGAAAGGATGATCCTTGCAGCATAGGCCATAGGTCTCTGGGTGTTCATAGTAACTGGGCTGGACCGGTTAATACCTGAGTCAGGAGGGATCGGGTTAGAACACAAGAAAAAGAAACGACGAAAGGAAATCTATTAAGATTTTGCTTCCCAGGCTCGGGAAAGACAACCAGATTTCTGTCTCCAAACTATACACACAAAGTGAAGTAATGCACACCCCCTTTATTTTCTCGGTCCTTCTCCAAACGGTCCAATTCAACGTATTAAAAGCAATTCAAGTACACGGGTCGAAGACCACGCATTCAACGCTAGCGACACTACGACGGGGGGTATTAATAACGGACAGACGTTCCTAACCATGGACTTAAAAGGTCTCCAGTTCATCCGCGCCTGCCTCGGTCTCCGCAGGGATCTCAAATCCTTCCTGTGCGGGCGTTAGTAACATAGACATGACCCAGTATACCAGTAGGAGGAGAGGAAAGGGGCTTACCTCTGTCGAGTACAAAATGCCCTGGATGTGCTTGACTAACGAGTCCTCCTCCTTGTCCAACTCGGGGTCCGCCTCAATGGCACTCTGCAGGAGCAGTTCGATGTCGCGCAGCTTGGCGAAATAAAAGTCCCGCTCCTTCTCCAGACCGCCAATGGCCTCTTTCTGAGTAGCGATCTCCTGCTGCAGGGCGGAAACGTTGGCCGCGCCAGCGCCAGCGGCAACGCGAGGACGACTTCCTCCAACGGTGGGCGTAGTTCCCCGACGCGTGGCTCCGGCAGAGGTCGCGCCCGCACGAGAGCTGGCTGCCGAGGTAGGAGCACCGCCGGAAGCCTTCCGACGGGTGACGGCATCGTAATCGCCTCCGGGGTAGTGCTGATCCCAGTACCTCTTCACCCACTGGAGGAACTCCAGATTGTCCTGCATGCGGCATTTCGTAAGCTGCTCGACGGGGACCGGCTTGTCGACGTGGTGGCGGGCGAAGACGTCTAAAACGGGGTTGTGTCAGCGCAGGGAACATCCCCACAAAAGGTGATTTGTTGCGATATGCATAGAGGAAGGCATACTCTGAAGGACCTTGAAGTTCTGGAGGTAGGCATATTCGGTGTTGACGTTGAACTTCACGCGAGACATGGGAACATCCACTATAGAGATAACACATTAGCGGGTTTATTTCAGAGTAGAACACACATTAAGTCTCCGGGTCGCACTCACTGAATATCGAATCAAAAATCTGACACAAGGCAGCACTGTGCAAGATTTACCACATCAGCGTGTCCTGGCCATACTCGGATAGTGGGGGAAAGCTTTCGCTGCGAATGTTCTTGCCACCCGTTGTCTCAAGATGGCCTGGGGGGCAAGTCCATCGCCAAAGCGGGAGGAATTGCACTGCGTGTAGAGTCAAAGGAGCGTTGTTCATACCCGGTTCCCATCTGCTCGATCTTGGTTAGGTTCAGCTGCAGGAGGTTGTTGAGCCATCCCAACAGCTCTTGTCTGGTCGATCACACATGGTTAATTGTCACATTCTGCAGGAAAAGAGTTCTTCAGGAGCCAAACGGTCCATGAAGAGGGGAGATGCCCAACGAACCTGGATTCGCCCATGGTGGGGTAGATGGCGTAAAACGGTGGTGGTGTTGGAAATCGGGGTAGAGATTCGACGGCACAGATACCGCGGGAGAACAATGGACAGGGAGAGGAAATGAGACGGGAAGCGTGGAAGAGCAGACCCCTTTCCAGGCAGTGTTGGATCGCTGTTTATGACGAGGAAGAGGGAAAGACCCAAAAGAAGAGGATTGTTTTGTTGCTGTCGACAAAACCCACGGGTCCGCCTGGCGCTAGGGGGCGCCGCCGGCCAATCAGAGCCGGGCGGTCGTCCGGTCTTAAGGTACGGCTGCCTCAGGCAGGATTCGGGGGGGAAATCCAGACAAACAGGACAAATCATGCAAAAGAAGCAACGGTTGTTTGACTTCTATATATACCAAAAAATATAGTCTAGACGCAACAGGCATGAGACGAATATCACCAGCGGAAAGCAAAGAAAAAATAGAAAAAAAGAAAAAAAAAAAAAATCTATCGCTTGCCAAAAAGACGTGTATCCCAGATACTCTAAGCACAAAAAAAAAAGAGAAATCAGAAGAAACAAAAAGAACTCCCCCATATTATTTCGTGAAGAACTCCAAAACCGAAGGCTTTTCTCGTCAAAAATGTCCAGCAAATCTCCAAGTATGGCAAACCAAATGCCCTGTTCATTAGATTATTTTATTCTTCCAGTAGATCGATACCGTCAAGACCGTATCCGAAATCCATGATGACGGCGCGAGAGTCTTGACTGGTGGCCACAATACGCCGGTAGTCGGATTTCACACTCAGCATCCAGCTAGTGGTCCATCCTGGTAGGTCAATTGACAGTTCGCCAGTCTGCGCGTCAAACACCTTGACGCTGACGTCGTAGCTGCCGCTGACAATTCGTTGGCTCATACTATCCAAGTGCAGAGACCGGACCAGGCCCACGTGGCCCTTGAGCTCATTCACCAGCTCGCCAGTGTTGGCATCAAACTGATAGATCACCTGGTCATTGCCCCCCGTGAGGATGGTCCGCGCATCGTCGCTGAATTCGACACACGCGAGACCGCGGTCTTTGCTAGGGAATTCCTTGATGCACAGACCCGACGTGATGTTCCACAGTTTAGCAACTCCGTCCCCACTTGCAGAAACGACCAGATCGCCTCGCAGCTGGACGGCATTGACCGGTCCGCGGTGTCCGACCAGCCTCTTCACGAGGGCTCCGGTCTGACGATCCCAGACGCAAATGGTGGTATCCTTGGAACACGAGACAATGTACCGCTCGTCAAAGCAGACGTCCAGCACGCCAGCTCGGTGGCCTTCAAGGCGACGAACCGGTTTGTAGTCGCTGTGAATATCCCACACAATGCACGAGAAGTCTGATGATCCAGTGACCATGATCTCCTCATCGAACTGAAGGCACAGGATCGAAGCACTATGGTAGTCCGAGGACTGGTCCATCGGGGTCACAATCCCGTCAGCGAGTGTGGGGGGAGGGCAGATGGTCAGAAATGGAGGTTTTCCTGACGACTGCTGACTTGTATTGTTCACCGGCCCGACGCCAGGAACATCTCCCGGGGGAGGACCAATGATTTTGCGACATGGCCAGGGATAGTGAGCATCCCATACACGGATAGTCCGGTCACGAGAACCGGTGATGATTTTGTCCCTGCGGACCATTGTCAGTATGAATAAATATTGTCAAGATCCTTGTTCAAGGGGGTACATACTCATCAAACTGCGCGCAGTATACACTATCCGTATGTCCGTGGAGGTAGATGGCAGCAGCCTTGCCTTCCTTCCAGCGGTCGTCTAGGGCACGACGGACGAAGAACATCCTCTTCCAGTCTTGATTGGGAATGGTCTTCCCCAATCCTGCAGACTGCTTCTTCTTGGAGGAAACGCCACTGGGGCGGCTGTGTCCGTAGACACGACGGAATACCTGTCTCCAGATATGCTGGGAGGATGCCTGGCCCCTCCACGCATGAGAGACCAATTCGGCTTGCATCAGAGATTCGGGATCAAGATAGCTGAAAACTTGAGACATGATCTCCGTTGGCAAAGAGTCCACCGGATCGAGGCGTACGATATCCTCGAGGTCAACATCGGAGAGGTCATCCGAACGATCACGCAGGTCAATGCCGATGCCACTTTCCGAATCCTGCGGCAGCCTCGCATCAGACAATTTGGCACTGTCGCGCTCGACTCGAGCCATTTCATTCTGAGCCGCAGCGGCAGCTCGAGCAGCCGCACCTGCGTATATGTCGTTTGGAAGGATCGGGGGCTCCAGTCCATTGCCAGGAATGGGACCGTTGATGCCGGCAGTAGGGGCGTAAAACCCGTGCAGGCCGGGCACGCTGTTCAGCGATGCGCGACGGTTGATGCTGGAACCTCTGCACCAGCTATGCCTCGACGGGGCCGCATTTCCGTTGGTGGTATGCTCATAACCCTGGCACAGGGTGTTCTCCTCGTGATGGTGGGAAGCATGTCGGGTCGATTTATTGCGAATGGTGACCGACAAGCGACGGCCGAGAGCGCGCAGCCCGTCCACAGGATGACGGAGACTAGAGAAGCTCTTGGCTCCACGACGCCTTGGGACGGGTTCGGGGAAGTGGTTCATTTCTTCCACAACCTGCCCTTCATCGTCTTCGGCCGCGTCTAGCACGGACAGTCTGTTCCAGGCGTCATGTTCAAGTGCGGACGGCTGAAAGGTCGACGAGGTAGCGGTACGGGGTCGAGTTCTGAGCGAAAGGGAGGGACGTCGTCGGGACGAAGAGGCGATCGGGTCTCGTGGAGTCATGGCGATAGAAGATAGGGGGGAGAGAGACAGAAATTAATCAATAGCCAAGAAGCGAGGATAGGGGGATCGCGCCGAAGATCTAGTGGGCCGCGCAAATCGAATTATATACAGACACCCAGAGATCCCCTTCAACACGACTTGAGACACGATTTCAGGGGCGAAACCGCAAGGGATAGGGTGGAGGGTGGAGTGGTTGGACTGCGTGGACAGCGGACAACCTGTGACAGATGAATTATGGAGGGCTGAGCGTTATTCGGCAAGGGATGCCTCCACGAAGGATGGATCGGATCAATCGAGAATTCCAGATGCAGAAAAAAATCCAAACCGATCGTGGAGAAACAAAGAGTGAACAATAGGAATAGGGAATGGAAAGTGTCGAGGTAAACAGAGATAGGATAAAGATAGCAACAGAGAACGTTGAATGAATAAAAAACCCGAGTAAGCAGAATAGTCCAAAAGAGAGAAGAATGAGATGGCGAGAGAAAGAAAGATAGGAAAGAAAACAGAAACCAGAACCGCAACGCTGACAGAAAAGAGAAAAAAAGCTGATGGCGAAGAGCGTCAGGGGAGAAAGAAAAAAAGGGCGAAAGTTTACTGTCGGGCGGTGAGGCTGAATTTTTGCCTCCCCGATCAGGCCGACTGGAAATCCAGAGTCTGGAGTGGTCCTTTCGTCCGTGCTGATTGGTGTGTGGGTGAATTTGCCTGCATTTTCTTTTTCAGTGGGTTCTTTTTGATTCATTTCTGCATCATCAATGGCGAGAAATTTTAATTAAGAAAGAAAAAAAAAAAAAAAAAGGACGGCTGGCCGCCACTGGCCACCTCTGGCCACCCGGTCAGCAAGTCGTCCGCACACTTGGTTTCAGGCAGAGAGACTCTTAGGCTGACATACTGGACAACGCAGGATCGATGTCTTCCCAGTTATATGTACATCTGCCTGATTATGCTCTGGTTGATGTATGTACTCTGTATGGAGTATGCACATGTCCCCATGGAGAAAAAGAAGGAAGGCCTTTGAATCCATCCGACAATGATCGCCCTCATCTCCTTCCCGCCCCCGTGGGGACCCCGTTTTTCACCCTGATCCACCCGTGTTGGGGTTAGGCGGTTTGGAAGAAAGGGGCTGGTCATGGTGGTCTGGAGATTTTTGGCTAATTATTCCAGGCTACCTGTCAGCCACCTTGTGTCAATAATTGCCGTTTGTTGAGCTGCCCGTGGCCACGTTGACCGACCGACTTAGGGCTAGATTCCCGATCGGATCAAATATATACCTCCACGTCTACGACACTCAAACTCACTATATATGCTGCGTACAATGGGGTTTTATTTCATTATTACCTAAATCAAACAGTCTGCATGGTAAATTATATCTGACAAATAATTGACAAATAATTGACAAATAATTGACAAATACGTGATAGATGCAGGTTGGGTTAGATCTGTCATGGCCAACTACATTTTCAAGTGTCACTACAACATCGCAGATAGATACATCAGTCCCGACACAGGACTTTTACATCTTCCACTCGGTAGTATCCTTATAATCAAGATCCCTATTGGGCCAAGCACCTTCCGGTTCCAAAATCTCAAGGAAAGAGCCGCGTCCCCCCCAAATCTCTCTCCCAAACGCCGCAACCATATCAAATCCGTTCAGCAGAGATCCAGTCGTCCAGACTTTTCCATCCCGCACGTATCGCTTCTGCACCCAGTTGGTTCCGGGCGCCATATGATTCACCATGGCGAGCACCGGCCGCGGCGCCGTGGCGGTCTTTCCCTCCAAGATCCCGGCGGCCAGGGCGGCTTGGAATCCGCCGCAGACCAGAAGGAGCGCGGTGCAGTCCTCATAAGATTTGCGCAGGAACGCCAACTCGGTCTGGCTGGGCTGGTAACTGGCGGGCATGGCGCCCAGGACGACGATGTCGAGGGCTGGACAGGTGTCGAAGGAGTCCTTTGTTGGTCACAGTGCGGTCAGCTTTCAGCTTGGCTGTATTTTGTTTCCTCTCTTCGTCGTCCCATTAAGTAAGGGGAAAGAAAAGAGGAAGAAATCTGATGACTCACAGTTGCAACAACCTTCGTGTTACCAGTCAGATTCGCTGGCTTATTGCCATCCTCGGTCACCCAGTGGAAGACGAAATTGGGAGCTTGCCGCTTCAGTTCGTCGGGGAGGAGCTGGGGAGGGGCATCTTTGAGGAAGTCCGAACTAATGGAAGAGAAGTATCCTACAGGAGCAACATCGAGGTGCTCGGTCACTCTAAGGTCGCCATTAGCTAGGTGCTAGTCTTTATTAGGGCCAGAAGGAAACGCACGTGTCGAAAACGATGACACCGACGTGGATCGGGCGTCCGGGGTTGCGGAGGTCAATGGGAGACATTTTATGTTAAGGCTGTATTTGGAACTGAAAGCTGGATGGAGAATCACTCTGTTTCTAAGCCGTTATTGACTTTGAGATACGTTTATAAAGGTGAAGCTTTTATATACTTCCTCTGGAGCTACTGGATCGGGCCTAGCGGGGGACATTCGCGTAGACTTTCCACCCGCAATGCCTGCTCGCGTCGATTTGCCTTCCGCTGCAGGCACCGAAGTATACATCCACTACGACAGTAAATAGATACCCTTCAATTCCAGCTAAAAGGTCTGGAGGCAAGTCCCAGTCGCATAATTAGTATCTGGCATATTGGCGCATCTCAATAAGCACGGTCTACATCACAAACTGATAGTACCTATTAAAATACACGGCAAAAGCATTGAATAGCGTTCTAGGTAGAGCTGTGAGTATAGAGGGCGAGCGCTACTCGAGACTTCCACCCAAAATGCCATCTGGACTCGATACTAACATAATCCGTGGCTAGGCAGCTAATTAAACTAGTCGACCGCAGATCATTATATCAACAGTAGGTACTGTTTACCGCACTTGTAACAGGAGGGAAAGATGTAAAAAATGTACTTCCGCGCCCGTTGTGCCCCTCGTATTGGAGCCCCCACACTCCAGTACACTGCAGTTTGTCCACCTATGAAATACAACGCCTGGTTAACTGGCGTGGGGGTGAAATATAACCTCATGATTTAGCCCCGCAATTGTTCTGGGCCCGGTGTTCTGTCCGAGATTTCTATACTCCGGAGAGACCAGGCTCTCCGGTAGGGCATGTCTGTACAATTGCAGAGATGGCTGAGGAGGAAGGAATGAACTACAGGTTGAACATCTAGAATTCGAGCCCGCGACTTTGATCATGCAGTCATACAAATTACATTCATTGAAAGTATGAAACAGTTTAGGCGACGTCGGGAAGAGTCTTCTCCAATTCGATCGCCTCCTTGATTCCATCGGCCACAGCCTGAGTCTGTTCCGCGCTCAGGCGTCCCAAAGGCCGACGAGGATACCCACCGTATCCATAGTACGACTGGATAGCTCCCTTAGTACCAGGGATGGCGGTCTTGGTGAGGACCCAATCCGCCGCACTCAGCAGCTGCTGAGCCTCCACAGCCTCGGCGAAGCGACCCGCACTCCAGAGGTTGAAGATGTGCACGCAAAGCTTGGGGATGACGTTGGCACCACCTGCCAGAATGGCCGAGCCGCCAGAGGCCAGAGTCTGCAGCGAAAAGTCCGCAATGCCACCAAAAGCCACGTAGGGGTGGTTCTCGGCCTTCTTAGTCGAAGTGTTCTTCCGAGGGGTCACCAAGGGGGACTCGGGAGTGATAGCGTTGAGCGCGCGAGCAACGCGGGTCAGCTTGCCGGTGTTGGCGCAGGTGAACTTAGTGCCGACGATGTTGGGATGTTGAGAGATACGGATGATGAGATCCGAGTCCATGTCGATACCGGAAACGGCTCCGGGGTAGTTGTACAGGATGATGGGAATAGGAGAGGCATCAGCCACCGCAGTGAAGTAGTCATACAGCGTCTGGTCGTTGCCAACGGCATAGCGGTAGTAGCTCGGGGGCACAATCAATGCGTACTCAGCACCAGCCTCGGCCGACTCCTTCGTCAGCTCGATGGTGCCGCGGATGCTCTGCTCACTGGCTCCCGTGATGACGGGGACGTTCTGGAACCCAGCCTCGACGAGGGCAGACCGCGTCTCGCGAATGACAGTCTTGCGCTCTTCGCGGGTCAGATGAACAGCCTCTCCGTTCGATCCCATGGTCACCAAGCCGACAAGACCGGCCTTGGCCAGACGCACGGCATGTTTGCGGATCGTAGGGACGTCGAGTTCCTCCGTGTCGGGGTTGAAGAAGGTCATGGTAGGAGCGTAGACTCCGGTGCGAAGGGGGGTACGGGAAGACATGTTGGATGGACTGCAGAATTGTACAATTAGCAAGGCAATTGGATATCTAGGGGACAGAAAAACACGCACTGCACCTGGTTCGGTGGTATGGGACTGGTATATAGATGGGATGTAGAGAAACTGACCGCAGGAGAGGAAGAATGCAGATGGACACAGCCCTATATACCTATGGAGGGAGACGACTCTCCACTTTCCGGGCCGGTCGGCTACCCCGCGACGAAGCCATGGACGAAGTCGCAGGAGACAAGGAAGTCGTGATCAATTACGAGTAGGTAACTCCGTAGGCCGTAAGGTCTTCTCCTACTGCGCAGGCGGAGTACATCCAGAATACAGGGCGTAACGAACGGTAACGAGGGGCAGACCCCCACCTTCCTAATCCACGGCTGCTCTCTCCGGACGGACATTTCTCCACCAATCAGCAGCCGCAGCCCCTCTGGCTCGGCGGATCAATTCCCGACGGTACGGTACCGTATGGACAATCGCGCGAATCAGCTGACGGACGGCTATTGAAATGGAGAAAAGCGTCAATTCTTCCGTCATCCATTGCGCTGAGGGGATTTCCACGAGGACGGCTTTATTTGTGGTGCTCGCGCCAGTCCGGGACAATGTCCTTTTCCTTGGTTTTCTTCTCATCGCTTGTGCGCATTCGCTTTCCTTCCCAAAAGATCTCATAATCCGCTGCAGTAGGAATCAGCTTTGGACTTCATCCGCGACAGCGACGGCGACAACAACATGGCTCCCAGTGTATTGATGGTAAGTCGATCCTACCTGATCGCCGTCTGTTTGATCAAATGCTGAATACGCGTCTAGGTTGGTACCGGCGAGTACACCACGGGCTACGTGGGTGGTGCTGCTTCCGGTTCGGACAAGAAGGTCGGCGTGGTCGGATTGACGATGTTTGACCTTCGACGACGAGGCAAGGTCGGCAAACTGAGCATGGTGGGAGTGTCGGGCTCCAAGTACCCCGGCATCCGTAAGTTTGAGCTCGAGTTGCGATAGACATGCCGATGCAGTGGTGTTAATGGAAATTGCGGCACAGGCGAACACCTGAACAAGAACATCTCGCAAGTATACAACGGCTTGGATACCTCATTCGACTCCTATCCCGCCGACAACCAGACCGACCCCGATGCCTACAAGGCTGCCATTGACGCCTTGGAGCCGGGTTCCGCCATCACCATCTTCACCCCCGACCCGACCCATTTCCCCATTGCCCTGTACGCCATCCAGCGCAAGATCCACGTGCTCATCACCAAGCCCGCTACGCAGTTGCTCTCCGACCACCTCACGCTGCTGGAGGAGGCGCGCAAGAACGGCGTGTTCGTGTTCATCGAGCACCACAAGCGGTTCGACCCGGCCTACTCCGACGCACGCGCCAAGGCCCAGAACCTGGGCGACTTCAACTACTTCTACAGCTACATGAGCCAGCCCAAGAGTCAGCTGGAGACCTTCAAGGCCTGGGCCGGCAGGGACAGTGACATCTCGTACTACCTCAACTCTCACCACATTGACATCAACGAGAGCATGGTGCCGGACTATACTCCGGTCAAGGTCACCGCGTCGGCGTCCAAGGGCACCGCCGTGGAGCTGGGCTGCGTTCCCGAGACCGAGGATACCATCACCCTGCTCGTGGATTGGAGACACAAGGCCGACTTATCCAAGAATGCCACTGGCGTGTACACTGCTAGCTGGACGGCGCCTCAGAAGGCGGGTGTCCACTCGAACCAGTACTTCCACTGTAAGCACGATTGTCCCTCCCCGGCTGCCCGACAACATGACTGACCATGTGATGAAGATATGGGATCGAAGGGTGAAGTGCGCATTAACCAAGCCAAACGAGGCTACGACGTGACCGGCGACGAGTCCGGACTGAGCTGGTTGAACCCGTAAGTTTCCCCCCTAGAGCCGAGAGCCACACATGAATGGGCAGTTGTCTAACATTCGGAGCCAGGTTCTACATGCGCTACGCCCCTGATGACGAGGGCAACTTCGCTGGCCAGACGGGCTACGGCTACATCAGTTTCGAGAAGTTCATCGACGCCGTCACGGCGGTCAACGAGGGCCGCGTGACGCTGGACCAACTGGACGCACGACCTCTGCCGACGCTGAAGAACACCATTGCCACGACTGCCATCCTGCAGGCTGGACGGGTCTCGCTGGACGAGAAGCGGTCGGTGGAGATTACCTCCGAGAACGGCCACTGGGCATTGAAATGAAGGAATTGTATATAGCTCTTATCGCCATGTATGTGAATGAATGTAACGGTGTCAATGGTTCCAATCTCGGTTGTTCGGTGCCCATTACCAAGCTCCTGATGAGCGAAGGCTACCTATGGTATGTGTTTAGTAAAGCGTTCGCTGGGACGATAGCTCGAAAACTGGAATTCAATCTATAGTAAACTTCAATTTAGCCCGTAGAACTCAATCAATCAATCAATCCGTCAATCTCACATGATCAAAGAAAAAGAAAAACACCCCCAACACCGCCGCCATCCATTCCAGGATCGAACCAAATGCTACCTTCATCCGATAGAAGCAACGCTGAGGAAGGTGGAAATGGGAAACTCAGACACCATGTCGTAGACTCGTCAACGCCAAAGAATGATGATGATAATACCGACAAAAAGAAACAGAAAAAGAATGCCGGGGAAAAAAAGAAGAAGAAGGCGGCAAAGTCCGAGATATCAATGCTACTAGCTAGAAGTAACCGAATGGATCAACCGAAAAGAGCCTAAAAAAAAAGACAAGTAAACCGGATTCAACGGCGAGGATTGTTGCGCACAATCCCGTCGGTGCCCTTGTTGAGCTTCACTCGACAGTCGGGACAGTACCATTTGGCGGTTCGACTGGGAACTTCGGAAAGACCGACGCAGTCGAGATGGAACCATTCTCGATCGCACTAGAGGATAGACAGTTAGCTGAAGTGGAAGCGTGTAAAGCGGTAACGGACAGACACATACGTCTTGGTTCTCACAGCAGATCATCGTTCCGAAACTCACGTCGCCACACATGCAATAACGGGGTTCATTCGGATCGATCTCCTCCAAAACGCCATCTTCGTCGATGCGGATGCCCTCGCGGGGTTGTTGAGGATCGTCCGGCAGGCCTGGTTCACGCACCCCGATGCGCTTCTTGGTGGGTTTGGCTTTGCGCCGGCCGTAACTGACTGCAGCGCCGCCGTCTTGCCCGGAGGACACGATTCCCGGAGCAGGCCGTCTGCGACGTCGGATGGGCGCCGCAGCACCGGTGGCGGTCTCCGGGATCGGGGTTCTGCGGGCAGGCGTGGCGCTCTTTCGACGCAGCTCGCGGCCTCCTAATGTGATGGTGATGTTGGGGACGGGCTCCGCCGATGCGGCTGCAGAGCGGCGTCGAGAGGGAGGCCGCGTCACGGGAGGTGTGGTAGTCCTACTTTCCTTGATGGCCGGGGCCGCCGCGGCGATGGTCAAGGGGATGGAACGTTTGGATCCGGTTGGGGATGGTGGTGCGGGGGGTGATGGCTTTCGCGCATCAACTGCATCATCGGCACCGGCTACGGGCACATTAGTCGACGCCAGGGTGGTGGCCGGAGCGCTGGATGTGCTCACACTCGTCTCCACTGGGGTGGGAGATTCCTTGCTGGTCCTACGGCGTTTATTGACCGAACTGCGCAGGGCCACACGCGTCTCACCTTCCTGGGGAGCCTGAGGAGGAGGAGCCGAAGCGGGAGAAGGAGGTGAAGGGACGACGGCCGACGAGTTCTCGTCGAAACTTCGCTTCTTGGTGGCGGCACGACTGGGCTTTTCAGAGAGGGAAGCATCCTGAGAACTGACGAGGGCGACGACGCCTCCTTGCTTGGCTGCCAGCTCCGCCTCTGCAGCGGCGAGGGCCGCCTGTTCCCGCGCCTGGTTTTCACGCTTGAGCTTCTTGGCTTCGTTGAGCTTCATGCCCCGGTTGCTGAGTTTCGTCTCGTAGGTCCCCTCCGGATCCTTCATCCCTTCGGTGCGTCGGATCAACTGGCCCGGAATGTAGGTGTTCATGATATCGTCGCAGTCCACAAACTGGGTCCCTTCCTCGTCCGACTTGGCCTTAGCTGCGCGGTATGCCTCCCATCCCCGACCTCGGAGAGCCAGTTCGCGGTGAATCATAACCTCACTAGGCTGCCACACGGCGTTCTTCTTCATCTTCTTGCGGAGCTTGGTCATTTCCCATTCGGTGAGACGCAGCCACGGCATGTCCTCACTACCGGGTTGCGCATCCTCCGGGGGCGGTTTGAGCAGGGCCAATGCGTTACTTGTCGAGATGGCGGTGACATGGTTGGGGTCCTGGGTGGCCGCCGAGGTCCGCGACCGCCGGCGCTGCTTCTCCTTCTTGGCCGGACTCACAGCCAGCTCCATGGGGGACTCGGACGGACCGGCCTTGGGTTCGGCCTCCACGTCGGAATGTTCGGTGCTCGCGATGGGGGAATCTGGATGCAGTCCTGCCAGGTGTCCGGCTGCCGGCATCCCCGACCGCCGAGCCCGGGACTTGGGACCAGGTCTGGTATTCTCATGATTATCCAGTCGGAGCGTAATGCGCGTCGTAGCTGGCGGGCCTTCGTCGCCCTTCTTTGAGGGCCTACTGCGTTTCGCGGTGGTAGCGGCGGGGACAGGGGGTGCGGGAGTAGGTTCGCGTGAGGCCGGTTTGGGGAGCGCGTTCAACTTTTGGCGAATGCAATCCAAACGGTTGAAGTGACGGTCGACCACATCGTAGAGACGGCAGGCTTCGGCATAGGCGGACTCGCGAGCGTTGATCGCGCTATCAATCTGGGTGGAGATGTCCTTGCGCAAGATGCGCGCATCGGGACGAGTATCTGGCGCGAGGTCGGGAAGCTGGCCATAGGTCTTAGTGAAATCATGGACACTCTGCGCGGCCTCCAGATATCTCTCGTCTAGACCACGAATGAGTGTGAGGGAACGGATGAGGTCGGCGGGAAGGTATTCGGTGTAGTCGATGTAGTCGGTGACGGTGGCTTGCGCGTCTGGATCAAATGGGCCGTCCAGAATCACGCCGCCCGAGTTGTCGTGAAAGTCGGTCATGACGAAATGGGTGGAGGTGGAGATGGAAGAGAGCTATAGGGGTGGGAGGGTGGAGATGCTCTTAGAGCAAGGCAGGCACCATGGGTGTCGGGGGTGCGACCATGCAGAAGAGCTAAGATTAAGACATGGGCAGTGGGGAAGAGTCTAGCAGAGCCAGAATAAAAGGGAAAGAGGGGGGTGGGAAGAGGAAGGGGAAGAGAGAGAGGGACGCGACGTGGAGGAGAAGTCGGAGGGTCGGAGAGTCGGAGCGAGAGACAGAGAGAGAGAGAGAGAGAGAGAGAGTCTGGACTGCGGAGGAGGACGGAGGAAGGTTCTTCCGAAGTATATCCCTGCTGCTGAGTCATCTGCCCTGTCTTTGTCCTCGTCTTCTTGGACAGTCTCTACATTGGATCCTCTGGTAAATACAGACTTCACTTGGAATCATTAACTAGCCAGAGGTCTTCTATGTCTTTAGCAATTTCTCTGGCAGAGAATGAAGTCAAAGTTCAGATCAACATTCCCTCGTCCGATCAGTCTTGGCCAGTGAGCAAACAGTATGAGTAGTAGTAAATGTAAGAGTGAAGTGCCATTAAACATGCTATATTCACATATTTTCCAGTAGCAGGTAAGTGATAAATTCCAGATCCTTCACTCTGGAAAATGGTTCCTGTGCTCCCTCGAACACCCCTCGTTCACCCTGCAAACGCCTTCCGGATCGGTCCTTTCTCTCCTCCCCAACTCTCTTCTTCCCACTGCACCATCGGTTCCAGTCTACCTACCATCAGCCGTTCACATCGTTTCCATCTGACACTATCATTTTTCATTTGGTTCTGGAAGTAGTTTGGCACAATGGACCGGGTCAGTCGTCTGAACCTCCTGTTTGACCAGGATGAAGCTCTGTTGCATGTCAATACCGGGTTAAGAGTGGTTGCACCGTGTCAGCCTGACGGTGACAAACCCATCCAGGCAGAGGATGACAGGGCCCAACAGCAGGTCCTTGATGAGCCGATCACTACTCCCGAAGAAGAGAACCCTGTGGAAGCTGCACCTGATGAGACGACTCAGCGACACCCCCACCGTTCCGCAGCAACCCCCAACTCCCCAGATCCCCTGCAACATGATGGATCTTTCTGCCCGCTGTTGGGAGTTTCCAAATATCCATACAGATTTCTCAAAGACCAAATATCTCAGTCTGTGGCCAGTCGATTTTTCGATCGCGGTCAATTCTGGAGTAGAGGCTGGGATGTGTGAGTTGTCTTATCTCTTTATGGTATTCTGCGCGGGTGAGTCCATTGATCTGACCCGATATAGTTACTATTGTCATCTCCCCCCGCGTCTGGGATCGAAGATTCTCCTTCTCGTCCCTGCCTCTCAATTCCGACAGCTCATACAAGAAATCAATCGTGAGCTCGAGTGCCAGTTATCGCTGCCATCGGACCCTCACCTGGGACTAGTTCTTCCCTTCCGGGAGAAGAATTGGTATCCTCAACCGGTCTTCCTGGGCAAATGCGACGGCCAGGAGACCAAAGAGCAGCTGCAGGCGAAGGTCCCACCCCCCGTCAACCACGGCCAGCCGCTCCCCGAATTGGACGAGCAGTATCTGGAATACGAGAAGATCCTCGAGGCCGCATGGGAGACGACCAGGAACAAGAAGAAGGGCTCCAAGGCCAAGATTCAGCAGCGAGCTCAGCATCAACAGCGACTGGTGCAGTGTTACGAACGCACGCAGAGCTACCTGGGATGGCGCTCTCCCGAGCCCGAAAGTCAGCCTGCGGCCCTCGACGCCGCCTCCTGGGCGGACAAGGCCAAGCTGAATGCCCCAAGCGCCGACGACTGGGACGCGACCAAGCCCATGCCGTACCCCTTCTGGAAGGAGCCGGTGCTCATCAGCGTCGACGTCGAGTGCAACGAGCGATGCCATTCCCAAGTGACCGAGGTGGGTCTCTCCACTCTGGACCTGTCGCAGCTGTCGGGCGTTCCTCCGGGTCAGCAAGGGGCGCAGTGGATCGCGCAGATCCAGTCCCGTCATCTGCGGGTGCGCGAATTCGGACACATCGTGAACCATGACTTTGTCGCCGGCTGCCCCGCGAACTTTGAATTTGGCACCAGCGAGTGGGTGTCTCTCGAGCAGCTGGCGACGGTGGTGCAGGCGGGATTGACTCCAGCGTCGGGCACGGGAGGCGAGCCACGCGCGGTGGTCGTGGTGGGACACAACCCGTCGATGGATCTCGCGTATCTCCGAGAGATGGGGGTGCCCGTGGAAGTCAACAGCAACGGAGTGATCGATATTGTGGACACGGCGGAGACCTGGCGCATCCAGCGGGGCGAGGCATCACCGCGATCCCTGGGCGCGATTCTGGCGGAACTGGGGGTGGTCGGCTGGTACCTGCACAATGCCGGCAACGATGCGCGCTACACGATGGAGGTGCTGATCCGGATGATGGTGGAGCGTTTCTCGAAGCAGAGCATGTTGTCTAGTTCGTGAGGTTGAGACATAGTTCGCAGCGAGAGGTAGATCAGATTATTCAATGGCAGTCATAACTATCCAGGGAACTAAAGTACTGTGGACCGCCTGACGTAACGCATCTCCCCCTCGCCAATTTCCCCTCCAATTTCTTCCTCCCAAACAATCTCTCCAAGTCCACCATTTCCACCCCAAACCACCCCAGAGAAAAGCACCGCAAAGCCATCAAAATGACCCAATTAACCCAACACCTCCCCACCACCACCCCACAATCGCTCCGCCGCGCAACCACCCATCCATTCCTCCAACGCGCCGGCGAAGGCACACTCCCCAAGCCACTGCTCGCGCAATGGCTCTCGCAAGACCGACTCTACGCACAGTCCTACATCCGCTTCATCGGCCTCCTGCTCTCGAAGATCCGCATCCCCTCCGCCACCCCCGCCCCCGGCACACCACCCCAACAATCCCTCGAAGACCGCACCGCCGCCATCCTCATCGACGCACTGGTCAACATCCAACGGGAGCTGGGCTTCTTCGAAGCCACGGCGGCGGAGTACGGGTTGGATTTGAACGCGCGCGCGGACACCGCGGAGGAAGGGCCGGGATCGGACTTCGGGTTCGGACCTAATGCTATCACGCACGCCTATATCGATCTGTTCCTGTCGGCGGGGAGTGCGGGGACCTCGTTGCTAGAGGGGCTGGTGGTGCTGTGGGCGACGGAGACGTGCTATTTGCGAGCGTGGCGGTTCGCAGCTTCGTTTCTGGGCTCAGGGCAGGGGGAGAGGCAGGATACGGATGGGGGAGCGCTGCGCGAGAAGTTCATTCCGAACTGGTCGAGTGGGGAGTTTGAAGGGTTCGTTGATGGGATTGGGCAGGTGGTGGATGAGATGGCGGGGGGTTATGCCGGTGGGGATAAGCAGGAGCTGCTGGGTCGGTGTGAGAGGTGGTGGAGGCAGGTGGTTTGGTTGGAGGAGCGGTTTTGGCCGGAGGTTTGAGTGTTGAATGAATGGTTTGGGTGGAAGCAGCTGTAGGATCATATTGTCTGAATGGAGAATGATTAACTGGAATTGAAGGATTAACGATTGTGGTCATTCCGATAGTCATTGCGTCACGTAAGTACATCCATCGATCAAGCAACCAGCCATAGTGAAAAAAGCAAAGTGAATAATAGTAGATGGTCCATAAGAAAACGCCTTCTTTCTCCCTATTTTCTCTGCTGATTCTGCCAACACTCCATTCTATGCGGGTTTGCGCTGCCGGCAATTTGGGTCTAATAATAAAAAATCAAGAGCAGTCGTAACGTAGTTCATGCGGATTGATAGGGAGCAAAAGTGATAAAAAGAAAAATTCCATCAAGTCATCTGAGCAAGAATGTCTGAAGTAATAGAGAAATGTCAAATCATCAAGATGTGGCTGCGCTGGCTCGTGCTGCGCTGCTTAACTGCCGATGGTATGAACCAATGGGTTGAAACCCTCTGCAAGGCACACGTTAGTCTCAGGCTCACTTCCCTCGCTGAATGCGTGGGAAAATGGGGAAAACCACTCACCTTGCTAGATCAAATCCTGCGTTATCATCCTCTTCCTCGTCTTCGTCGGGACCCGGCGGTCGTTCCCGGACAGCGCCGTTCATTCCGGGTCGAGGAGTCTCGTCGCCGTCGACGGATCTCCGCGCCCGTCCATGTCCCAAGCCATTGGAGGTGCCCGGCTTGCTGGGGCTGGCTAGATTCGGCGGCGGTGGACTGCTGCTGGGGATGCTCCCCAGTCCATCTCCCGGGTCGCCTTTCAACGGACTCATATCGGGCACCGGTCGGGCCGGCGTGCTGCCGATATCCGCGAATTTCCAGAATTGGGCCGGCGAGCTCATCGGCATGAACTTGGATGGGATCTGAGCCGTACTGGGTGGCGGAAGACGGGGTTGTTGACGCTGCGGCGCCGGGGTGATCATGGAAGATGGCCCTTCGTCGTAGTAAGACGACGACAGGACAGGCGGGGATCCGGCCACGTTGTCGGAGAGGCCGTACGATCGACTCAAACTAGTGCCGTTGTTCTGTTTCGCGGTGGATCGAGCGGGCAATGGCGAAGGCTCCTCGTAGTCCCTCGTGCTGGGCAGCCGCAGAGAATGCTCCTGGGCACCGTTCCGACTCGCCCGCGAGCCCCGTTCCGGGGTGTATGCCTCGACGGGAGCCACGGGGAACGAGCTGAATCCCGGGGAGGAGACGGGAGGAGACTTTTTGCCGGCGAAGATACTCTCCACGCCGTTGTGTGCCCGCGCGCTTGCCGGTTCCTTGGTGGCGGGCGACGACGGGGCCGACGACTGCGGGCCCTTGCGAAGCTGCTTCTTGTAATACTCCTCGCGATATTCCGGCGCAATCTGCCACTTCATTCCTTTCCCGGGCTCGTCGGTGCGGCGAGGCACCTTCTGGAAGGCTTTGTTGAGCGACAGGTTGTGTCGAATTGAGTTCTACTGCGGATTAGCCCAGCGAGTCCTCCAGGGAGCTCCCAGTAAGAATGCATACCTGCCAGCCACTCTGCGAATGACGATAGAACGCATACTTCTCCATGATCCAGTTGTAGATGCTGTTCAGCGTGAGCTTCTCCTCCTCGCTCGAGAAAATTGCCTGTGCAATCAGCGTCGCATAGCTGAAGGGCGGTTTCAGATCCTTGGCCGAATCCTTGCTGTAGTCAATCTCCTCCGTACTCTCCATCATCATGCCGCGGTTGTACAGCGGCGACTGCTTCGCCGTTCGGGCGCCCACGGTGTCTGGCGACCGTGGCGGCGGCGTCACCTGGCGCTTGAGGAACTGGGGAGCGGGTGCCAGCTGGGGCTGGCCGGTGGAGGGTGCGGGCGCCGCGTCGTGGCTGGCCGACGTGGGCGTGGGCTGCGGGTGCGCATGCTGAGAGGCATCCCAGGTGCCGGGATCCTCCTCGCCGTTGGCTAGACGCTGCGCTCGATCGACAAAGCTAGGGTGGATTTTGGCCTTGTCCCCGGGCGTCACAAACATCATCTGCGTGTTCGCAATCTCAATAATATCGCCGCAGGAGAGAATAGTATCGGTTCCGCGCTTGAGGATGCCATTGTTCAGCCGAACGCCGTTGCGACCGTTGACGCGGATATGCCAGGAAGCCGTCTCCTCGCCGTCGTAGAAGATCTCGGCATGCAGGCGCGACACGAACTTGCTTGGCCCCAAGTCCACGTTGACTTCCGGCAGCGCCCGCGCGGCGATGGTGACGGGGCTCGACTGCTCATCCAGCTTCTGTTCGCGGTCGGGTTCACGCCCAATGTTCACATGGAGGGTTTTGACGTAGTAGGTCCAGTTGCGGCCGGCGATCTTCGCATACGCCCGGATACTCTGCTTGTTTTCGGTCTTTGCATTCGAATGATCGCGTAGGACGCGGACTTCTTCGCGGGCGGCATCGAGGTACGAAATGACCATGTCCACCAGGTCTTGGTTTTCTGACAGGTCATGCTCCGGCGACGAGTCGTCCGCTTCGTCGGCGGAGTCCGCTGTTTTGATGGGACGAGGATGAGGGGATGTCCGCTCGACCTTTGTGATTTTTTGCAGACCAGGCACTTGGTTAGCCACCGAGGATCGGCGGAAACGAATTCTCTGCGAGATCAACTCACCTTGCGCTTCTTATTCGAGGGCCGAGTCGGCGAAGAGTCCGGCGCCTCCACATCCGAGGTTTCCTGGAGTTGGATTTCCTTGCGCCGCGCGCGACGGCGATTGGACAGAGGCATTCTGAATCTCACCCACTCAATCTGCTCCGCGAATTCAGTTCCCACTGGTTGTGTTTCCGATGCGACGTCGATCAGATGCGGTCAAGACACCGGAGTTTCGAGTCGGTCGTCGAAGTCCGTGGGGGGCAGGGAGCCACCGATAAAACGGGGTCGAGAATAATAGGCAATAAAAATAGTTGGACGATCGCGGTGTCGCACACACGGCAGGCAAGGGCGGAATGGGCGCAACGGATCAGAGAGATGTAAAAAGAACCACGATCAAGTCCTGCAGGACAGGAGAAACTAAAAAAGGCAAAGAGAAAACTCAACCAGGAAGTGGTAGCAGGAAGAGCCAGAAATGGGTTTGCCACTCGCGCAGAAGACCAGACGCGAACTGGGCGTGGCTGAATAATAGAACCAGCCACGGGAATTTGTGCGAAGGGTCTCGGCGGTAGACGTGCAGTGTGTCGGCCAGGCGGAGAAAGAGGGGAGGGAGACGTGATAGATTCCAGTGCAGGGGATGCAGGAGACAGCAGGAGAGATCCGACTCAGCAGAACAGAAGTCGAGAGGAAATGCCCGAGATGCGCGAAGAGTGACAAAGGGTTTGTGGACGCAGCGATGACGATAACGCGCGTGTCGGGGCGTGACCGCTTCCGTGTGGGGAAGAGAATTACTTCTCACTTCCTTTCCCACGTACACTCACGCACTCGCAATCTCTCGGTCTTCCTTTCTTTCGTCCTTCTTTCCCCTTTCCCTTTTGCAGAAAATTGTCCAGTCCCCCTCCGTTGGTCCCGCTGCCTTTAATATCCTCCCACCGGAACAGAAAAACAGAAACAGCACTCATCCGCCCAAGTGGATCAACCTTCCCAGCACGATGTCGTTCCCCGCCGCCGTAAACAGACAGTGGAGCCTCGACGAATCAAGAGCCCGGGCAACAGCTCTTCCAACATGGAACAGAACGAAGGGAAGAACTGGCTAAACTGTTCGCGGGCAGGGGACCCATCCGCAGTCCCTGTGTCGAGGTCCAGGATCACCACGACCTGGTCCTGCTTCTACCTACGGATCACCACCTATGATACATCGACCAAGTCCCGGCAGTGGGGATGGCACACAACTCTGGCATGAACAGTGGACGGACCCTTCGGATGCTCCGGGATGGGTCACCAAGTCAAGACCGAATCCCCTCACCCACGGAGACCGAGTAAGTTGCATCTGGAAGGGTTCCATCCAGAACCCCCAGCGCCCAACCATTCCCAATTGGCAGACAGCAGGACCGGATGGGGCCATGGAAAAAGGATCCCACGGATCGCCTCGTGAGGAACGTCGCTGATCGCTCTGCAGTTCGACGTCTGTTTGCGTCATGCTTCACCGCGTTCAGTTTAGCGTCCAGCCCTGGAATGTGTCCGCCACTGTCGCCGGCGAGTCGTAGAGCCGATCCTAAACAATCAGATAATCAAGTATCAAATAATCAAATAATCGAATCGGTCTCGTAAATAAGCAACCCGGTCCAGACGGAACGGTAGCATCGCGGATTGTTGCAGTGTCAACACTCGCCGTCAACATCCGGCCGTTCCCAAGTTGAAAACGTCGATTAAACCGTCGATTGGAACTACAGCTACGTTTCCGATCATCACTTTCAATGGAAGAGTAGCAGAGAATAATTTTCATTCCCAAACAGATGATAGAAAAAAAATATAAATAAAAATAAATAAGAAAGAACCCCACTTGTACAGGAATAGAAACACCGTATCGAACCCAAAATCAACTTTCCCGGAGGAACATACAAGGGTGGGAATAAACACACGAGATGGAGGGGGGAAGGGCATAAGAATAAAGAAAATAATAAGAATCGGAATAAGTAAACGGTTGTCACGGACAAGGGTAAAATTCCACAGTGAAGTGGACAGGGAATAGACTATGTAGGAAGAGCGACGAATCAAATTGGAATCAATTAACTCCGGAGTCGTAAGAGGGCATCAAAAGAACAAAAGACAGGCATCAGTTGGGCATCTTCGAATCGCCATCGTCGTCGACTCCCCGTAATGTCGGGTACATCACCTGGTCGCCGCTGGTCTCCGGCTTCGATGGCGGTTCCTCCGACTTGGCAGGAGACTCCAGCTCAACCCCTTCCATGCGCTCGTCCAGGCCGGTTTCCGGCGAGTGGGAACCGCTCTGTTGGTGCAGCAGTCCCTCGTACTCGCCCCGTTCAAGACGAGAGGCAATGTAGTTGCGCAGGTACTCGATGAGACGCACCTTCTCAACCCACTGCACGTCCGAACGCTCCGCAACCTCCGTGGCGGCCTGGGCCGTGCGAAGCGTTGCCTCCTCCTCGGTGGACGACGACCCCGACAGAGCAGGGTCGATGAGGCTGGCGGAGATGCGACCGGGAGACGAAGACGCGGGACGAGGCTTGGCGGGCGGGGTCCGCTCGCCGTCCTCCTTGTCCTCGGACAGGTCCATGGGCTCAGCCAGGGGCCGGTCGTCGGGTCTCGCGCGCTGCAACGTGCCACCGGTGTAGCGGCGGCGGTCATCATGGTCAAAGATACCGCCCAGCGTAGACGGCGGCGCCGCACTCGATGCGGTTGGGTAACCAGCGGTCATGGTGTCGGGCATCGTAGCCGACGGCAACCGCGGATACATGCTCGAACCACCTTCATGATGAGGCGGCGATACGCGGTGGGCTGAGGGAAGAGAGATGGGCGACCGACCCGAAGTGTACGATTGTGCACTGGAGGGCGGCGTCAGGGCGGGAGTGCCGGTGGAAGGCGAGTGTGCTGCCGCGTTGGTCATGACAGGGCCCGCCGAGGTGGTGGCCGTGGCATGACTGGGAGGCAGCTGAGTAGGAGGCGAGTGAGTCGTGCGGTAACTCATGCCACCATGCACGTAATGAGCGCCCGGCTGGGCAACGCCCGCAGCTGCCACATTATCATCATTCTCGTAGATGGTATCCTGCATCTGCTGCAGGAATTGGTCGATGTTGATCAAATCATTCTTGGTGCGCACGTTACTCATGGGGGGCAGGTGATAGGCGGGCGCCGGAGGGTGGCCGCCAGGGCTGTAGCCTCCGCCACCAACGGCGACTGGCGCAGGCATGGGCTGGTATTCAGGCAGGGGACCACCGCTCAGGATGGGGAGAGACAGGCTCTGGAGACCGAGCAGGCGTTGGCCCACGGCAGCGTAGGAGTTGGGGTCAAACTGGCGACGCTTCAGGTCGCCAAAGAACTCGTTCAGAGCATCATATCCGCGCTTCTTGGACTCGTACGATGCGTGACCCGGCTCGTGGCCGTGGTTCAGAGCATAGTAGACGTTCCCATATGACGGGTTCGCCGGTTGGGGCGGAGGGTGCGACTGGTAATACTGAGGAGCGCCGTGAGCATAGCCCTGGCTTGGGACGGGGTTGAGCGCCGGCTCAAAGTAATGTGCAGCAGCAGCATATCCTGGAGAGCGAATTAGTCTTCGATTGCAATAATTCACGGATCAGATAGACCAACCTTTCGCCGGGTTTCCACCAAACATCATATCGGGATTCCGCGCACCAGGCTCCGGGGACCGAACCAGAACGGAGTCATCTGCATGGGTCTTGACATGTTTCTTCAAATCCTGAGGGCGTTTGAACGCCTTCCCGCAAAAATCACACTTGTGCGGCTTCAGGGGCACATGTACTCGGATGTGGGAGGTGATGTGATCGCGCTTCACCGTCGTCGTGCGGCAGCTTCCCCATTGGCAAGTCAGATTAAGGTTGTTGGTGCTTTTACGGCCAACGTGACGCTCGCAGACATGTTCCTACAGAAGAGAAGGTCAGCGATGGAATGTTGAGAGACCGAGACGCCCAGGTGTGACCCATCAACAAAACACGCGGTCGCGCCAGCGTCCCAGTGGCGACGAAGGCGGATGACGATAAAACCGCGGCAACAGTAACAACCATGCGAATTCCCATTAAGAAAAGAGGAAAGGGAAGAAAAATGAAAATGAAAAAAAAAAGGCAACTTACATAGAGAGACTCGGGAGTTGGGCACTTTTCAGAGCATCCATTCCACAGGCAAGAGAGTTCTTCGCTGGGGCGAGCAGCGTTACCGTTGACCTGGGGATTGGCCACGGCAGCGGTCGCAGCGGCAGCAGTGGCTGTCACCGAGGATGTTGAAGCCGCCGACGAGACCTGGGCAGGGGCTTGCGATGCAGGCTGTTCCTGCGCGGTCGACGCGGCAATGGGAGCCGTCGTGGTCGAGGCAGTGGTGGTGTCTTGGTGTTCCGACATTGCCAAGAAAAATCTTTCTTGTCCCTTTCTTGGACGCGGCGGAAAAGGGTCAAGAATTCAAGACAAGACAGACGATGAGGCTCTCCCTCAACGAACAGGGCAGGCAGACAGTCCAAAGGGTCAAGTCTTTTCGGTTGATCCGGGGGGGAAGATCAGGGATGGAAAAGACGCGGTGAGACCGGGAAAAGGACAACAAATACGGATAATAAATAATATAGCACACGGGCGCGTGTCAAAAAATGCCTCACTGGCAAGTCAGTTGGAAGTAGGGAGAAACAAAACAGACAGAGACACTACTAAGGGTCTGGGGGGGGACGAGGGATAAAAGGGAATACGAGCAGCGAGACCCAGGGGGGAGAAGCGAGAGGAAGTCTTGGAAGCAAGAGGGGGAGGCTTGGGTTCTTGTCTTTGCGGGCGTCCGGAGCCGAGCCTTGCCCAGAAAAGGCCGCTTGCACAGCCGGGCGGAGGACAGGGACAAGACCGGGCCAAGAGACGTGCGGGGCTGGTGGCGTTGGCGGCCACACGTACCGTATCGGTTTTACATCGGAGGATGCCTCCTTTTGTTTTGAAATTTTATAACAAGGACAGCAATCATGGCGCTTGTACGCGGGAGAATTGGCATGAGAAATGGCATGATGGAGTCAACACTCGAATCGCTCTGTCATATCCCCCCTCGATGGCTCCCATGCATCTATCCATGTACCTAGGAGGTAAGGTAAATGGAAGTACCTATCTGTTATTACTGGATTCTCCTAAACCCGTCCAAGTAATCCCCCGGCTCTTACCATACCAGAACCAAACCGTTACCGAATGGCCGCGACCCTCGGGCCCCGCGTAGCTGCCCTCCCTCCCAAGTACTTCCCAGAACGCCTGTCATCCAATTCTCCTCCAATTCATTCATCCATTCCGACAGGTTGAGTCCTGCCCTGATACTTCCATGACCACATTGCCGTACACGAAGTACCGTCATCCGGCAATTCATCGGGCTGACTTTCCTGGAAACAAAAAAAAAAAAAAAAAAAAAAAAAAGAAGGAAAGAAAGAAAAGATGGCACAAGATCACGAGTCCCCCCAATGCCTGTCAATTCGAGTCCACTTGATTGGCGCCCGGGCAAGGAATCAACCGGGGTCGCCCACGCCGCACGAAAATGAATGAACCCGAGGATGACCTGTCTGTGGTACCAAGCATCCTCCAATTCTATCCCTCATGGTCTCCCTTCTGGAAGTCTAGGCGACCTCAGCATGTCCCACGGGTGCTCTCTTGGCATCCCTCCTCTGGCCTTCCCGCTCCGTCGAAGGGACAAGAAGTCTTGGAAGATGGCCAAGAGGATGATTAATGATTCCAGTCTCGCATCTTGGCACCTCCGTTAGTAATCCTGCTGCCTACCTGAAGAAGGCGTCTGGCAATGATGAAGCTCTGGCTGGTCTTGGTTGTGATTGTGATTGGGATCGTGAACCAACGTTCTGCAGATTATTAATAATAAAGCATGGTTAGCATCATTTGGTTGTCAGGGAACGTCCACCTCCGGTCCCTCGGCCGTCTGGCTTAGTGTCGCTTTTAACGATCGGACTAAGGGCAGGAGGGTCTAGCCTGACTCTCTCCTCCTGCTCCCCCTCGCTGTCAGTGGCATTGGTACCATCCAACCCTGCGACCGGCATAGTTGTGGCCTTTATGGTAGGAGAAGAGACGCATTTCTCTACATCATGCACCAAATTTACTGGCAAATGAATGGTCTGTGCAAAGAATAAGCACAATGGTCAAAACTGCGATGCCTGGGAATTTAGGCTGCAAGAAGAAATCAAACATCGATCATCTGCTATATGTTGGAGGGCTGAACGGCTCACGCATTGGGCCAGAGGTATTTTTGAATAGTAAAGATAGAAGCTACGCCCTTTGCGACGAAATATAGATTTCGACTGGAAGCCATCATCGGTGTGCCATTCCTCGATATGGTAGTAGCCTGAAATATGAAGGCATCACATGCTGCCATAGGGCACATGGAAGATCGATTGAAAGCAGTGACTCGGTTTTAGGTAGACAAGCGTCTCTATCGAATCATGATTCTATTCCCCCTGGACCTTGGAGTAATACCCGACCTGTATAGAAGTCGCCTAATGCATATGTTGGTTTCTGGTCTACTGCTACCTCAATTACTCCATGCTCCATAAATGGCAGTTCACGGTCATAATATATATAGAAATTGACTGTTCTTGAGGCTGTAATTAGTTTTGAAGACCTTCTTTCATAATATGGCAAACTCACCATTTCCTCTGCCAGAGAGATTATATACAGGTTGAGACAGGCCACGCAAGCAAGCGCGGTGTAACCCTGGTAGGCTGCTGGAGAGTTTATTGATGGATAAGATGAATCTCAATACTTCAACTTTCTACAAATCTCGTAAATCAGCAGGGACCTCTACATGACCTCCAAACAAGTATAACATTCTGATAACCCGACTTCAAGGTAGTCCATCCGTGGCTGTAGGAGGGCATGACATAAGCAGTCACGATGCTCCCTCGCTCTCCGTCTTGCTCCCCTTCTCATCTCATCTCCTCTTTGAGTTCTCTCATCTATGACCACCATTTCAGCCACCCAGATCCAGACCACAAATCGAACAGATCGACTCGTTGCACAACTGCCGGGGCCTCCTACTCCGTAGGCACCGAAGTTTCGTCAATTGGCCAGATGTGGGACTGAGTGGGACTCTTTGTCTGACCACAGAGAGATCCTCTTGAGGCCCGCCCGTTCTCGCTTTCGCAGTCGAAGCTAGAATATCCCTTCCAAGGGGCTCGATTGACTTCTCTATATAAAAAGAACCCTTTGCTCACATGGACCAAGCTCCAAAGCGTACCGGCCTGTCTGCGACGGTGTCAACCCACGACTGTCAGCCCACGGACGCTTAATAGTTTCCAGTCAAGATTCGAGACTAACGCTCTAGCTCCAGCCTAACACGATGGTTACCCGTCTGTGGGCCTTGGCACTGTCAGACCAAGGCCTCGATTGGCCTAAACGACTCAAAACACACCATGATGAGCCACACGCCGAACCCTTTTCAACGGTCCACAAGGCCGGAGACCCTACAAATTCTCTGGTGCGCCTCTCAGCTCCAGCCACAATCTCTTGCGCACACCCACCCATGACCCCCCGAGTCTGACGTTTTTAATGCTTTCTATTCCATCGCAAACGGGCTCAATGGGTTCTGACAGCCCTGTACTGGGGAATTATCTATGGTGACATTCCTCGTGATTGAAAGAGGGAACAAATGTCCAGATATCCATTTTCCAGAACGATCAAGCGGTTGCGACTCAAAGGTAAGCTGCATTCCATAGGAAAGTACCCACCTCAGGCCAGGTCTAAGGCGCAACTTTGCACAGATGCCTCCGGAACCAATCCAACCCGGAATGTTTTCTCCCCGAAGAAGGCCTGGAGGCCTACACCATTGCGGACTCCCTTTCTCTTGTCCCTAGCCGGACTCATGCTGGTGACACTGGTGACGCTGGAGGTGTTGCGATGCCATTCAAACAGGAATGAGGGGATTGTTTTCTATAATGATCTCACGGACGTCAACAACACCATGTTGGCCGGCTCGAAGTACGTGCCTACTCTTGTTGCGCTTATCATCGTCACGCTCTGGAGTTTCTGTGCCTACGACGTGATGCGGCTGGAGCCTTTTTTGCAACTGGCTAAACACGAGGGTGTGCCAGCGACTGTGCTGCTCATCAATTATAATTTCTCGTATGGCATCCTGGCTCCTATTAACGCGGCTCGCAACAACCATTGGATTGTTTTCTGCGTGTCAATCATGTCCCTGGCCCTGCGAATGTTCCTTCCGGCATTATGCTCCGGTCTTATGATATTGAACGACGTTGATTTGCATAATACCCAGACGGCGAATATATGGCCTGACGTGATCGATGGGGAATCCCAGGCAGCGTGGATGTCTGGTCAGATGCCACGCCGCGGCCACTCAGCCATGTCGGCCATGAATGCCCACATGCCACTGCTGCGCTCTTCCGAGTACGCGATGGCACCATTTGTCATGCCCGTCGATGATCAGAATGAAGATTCTATGCTGTACTTGAACCAAACAGTTTATTGGGCAGATGTGACATGCGCCGACATACCACTTGATCAACTTCCTCCCGGGAGCGCTTCATTTGAAAATAGCACCTCGGATGGTCGCCAAACAGTGTCATTAACAGCCCATGGGGCTCGTCCATCCTGGAGAGATGCCAGAGATGTCACCAAGAATGGTTGCATAATCGATATCGCCCTTGACAGTACTATCCCGAACAACACCGACTCCTTCCAAGTGCGCTACTGGGAGCCACACCAGAAAAATTCGACTTCCAAAGTTTTCAACGCCCGACAATGTGACCAATATGATCTTTATGGTATAATAGTCGACTTACAAGTGGGAGGAAAAGGGTCAATCTCGACAACTAAAGCTGCCGCGTTTGGTTGCACAGCAACATATGAAAATGCGAATGCCAATGTCTCTATCACTGCTAATTCCTCAATTGATTCGGTCACGATCTACCCAAATACTGTCAATCGCTTGGATATGTCCGAGTTTAGAGCAGACAAATTCCAGGATCTCATGTATCGCATATCTGATGGGGTCATGGTAGAACGCGGCCAGGTCGGCAGTCAAGCAGTACCACACAGAGCTACTGTCATCACCGACCCGGCACAGTATCAGAGCGAAGTTGTTGATCTTTGGAAACGAACGTATGTTTTCACGATGAACCAACTTTTCGATCCCACGACTGGCTCGATTGCGTTAGATGCGGTGCAAGTGACACCGGGTGCCTCTATAATGATGATATCGCATACAGCACTTGTCGCAGAATCCCTACTTGGCTCAGCTTCCCTTTTGCTATTATATCTAGCTTACGTTTATCCACGTCGAGCGAGTTTTCTACGAAGCGATCCCGGCTCTCTTGCCGCGCAATTACGAATCATTGCCGACTTATTCCACCCCGATACTGCTGTAGCTTTGTCAGATGCCAATCTCCACAAAGCTACTACCCGCCAGCTTCGAGGATGGGCGAGCAATCTGCAGTGCCAATGGCGAGAAGGGCCACATGGATGGCGGATAGAATTCGCTCCAATCCACGGACGTTCTTCGACTATTTCCGCTCGCGCAGCCCGTCGACAACAAGACCCTGTTCCGCATTTTCTCATGCTACCTTGCTTTGCAATTGAATGCCTATTGCTAATCGTGATGCTGGTCGTCTTTTCGTTATCACTGAAGCGATTTGGGTTTCATGATGATAACCCGGCTTATTATTCTAATTGGGATTTCATGTGCTTGCTTTTACTCCTTTACGCTCCTAATGTGATTGCCTCCATGATAACTGCACTATTGGCGTCTAGTCTACGTCATTTGAGCATATTAGAACCATGGGTACAATTGGAACGAGGTATGGCGACCGCCAAGCAGACCCTGTTGATGAATTACTCCTCGCGAACTCCGCTCGCGGTGTTCGCGAAATGTGCAAAAAAGGGCCCCCCTATCTTGACGATCGTGTCACTGGCTTGTGTCATCGATTTAATCCTCAGTCTCATTAGCGGCAGCATCTTTCTGGCGCAAACCAATACCTATGTTGATCCCACCTCCGTCCTATCGCAGCAGTACAGCCTCTCGAAATTTTCCACATCGGAATCTGCACCGGAATTCGACAGCTTCCATTTTATCCCAATGAGAAAATCCATGCCGCTTGTCCCGTGGACTACTTCCGATTATTCATTTTACCCCGTGGCAATCAATGACTCGGAGTGGATGCGTTCCTTTTATACTACTACCACGCGCGGAATCGGCGCAGATTTAACATGTCGGGTGCTTCATGCGAACCGGTTACAGACCGAAGCCAATACTGGCAAGCAATACTGGTATTACGAACCCTTTGATCATAGTGACAGTGCCCATTGTACCGTGGAGGTTCCACAGGTAGCAGAGATCGACAATACGCCTCTCGATGACAATTCTATTCGCTACCTAACATCTCTTGAGTCCGGAAGTTGCCAGACGAAAACGATCGTCGTGATTGCCCGATGGAATCTCTTCAACGGCACTGTTGGTGACCCCGAGAATACATTGGCGTTGCACTGTGAACCTCAAATTAGCATTCAAGATTTTGAGATCGACTTTAACTTCAATGGACAAGTACAGGCGCGTAGGCCGGTGACTGGCAGCACGATCACAAGCGGGGGTGTCTTTCTGAATGCCACCAAAAGCCTTGGGCGATATAACCACGCACTGGCTCAATTTGTCCAAAGAACTGCCGCCCACCGGGCGTCCTCCTTTTCTTACTTTGACTGGCCTGGAGTCTTGACCGCGCATGCATACGAAGAAGTGGACCCTGACTTCTCGTCCTTCGATGCCGATATCTTAATGAACGCGACACAGTCCGTCTACTCGACTATTTTCAGCACCTACTTTTCCCTCTGGCGCGACCTGTATATCGATCGGTTGACCGAGTCTCCTTTGCCTGTTCTGAAGGGGACCCAAACCCAACTTTACTGGGAGATGGTCTTGTCTATCCCAACCATGGTCATTGTCATTGTGATCGTCTCTATAGATGTTATGGTCATGGCGGGTGTTTTTTTCACGCGCCGCGGACGGTTCCATGGACCTCGCATTCCTCGATCGATCGGGGCTCTTATGCCTTGGGTCACGCATAGTCAAATGATGCGGGACTCCAATGAAGCATCGCGACTGGATCGGTCTGAATGGGAAGAGTTTCTCCAAGAAGATTGGAGGAGATACCGATTCGGAGAGTCCGCATGCCCGGACGAGGTGACGCGATGGACGTTAGACTACGACCCCAAGGCCGAGAAAGAAGAGCATGAGATGCAAGCGAAGGAGCCTCATGTGGAGTGTGCGCCAGTGGCCGAGCCTGAACCGACAGAGAGGGGGACCGACCAACCTCTGCGAGGTTGACTGTGTAGTATTATGACCTATTGTATAGTGTATAGTAATTGAATAGATGCGACATCTGCATAATTTATTCGTTGCATAAACATGATCATATGATTCCGGCTGACTCATCCGTTTCTTATCGATCGATCGATCGATCCGGTCCAATCTATACTTTCTTCTCTCCTCCATTCTCCATCCTTCGTCTTCATCTTAATATCGATTATATATATACCCCAGAACCCTTGTTATAGCATGATCAAACTCTCCACCATCCTCTCCTCCTTCTTCTACCTCCTCCCCCTCTACATCTTCGTCCTCGCCCCTCTCATCCGCCAGTTCTTCCCTGCCGACTCCGCATCCTCCGTCCTCGACTTCGACTCCACCGACCATGACCCCGACATCAAGCTCGACGAAAACATACTCAGCCTCGACGACGGCGTCGAAGTGACCTGTTCCCCGGAGGCCGAGCAATACCAAGTGCACCTACTCGCGCGCGACCCATTGGTCATCTACATTGAGAATTTCGTCTCGGGGACCGAAGCGGACGAGATCGTCGAGATGAGGTAACCCCCCTTTCTCTATATACCCTCCCACCCCAATCCCATCCATACACGCTATCCTGACCGAACGAACTTCACCCGCAGTCAAACCGGCTACACGCCCTCGATCCTGTACAACGGCAGCGCCTCAGTCGTGGACCCCTCGCGACGACTCTCCGACCGCGCCCTTCTCCCCCGCACGCACACGATCCGGTGCCTCGAGGCCCGCGCGCACGCCTTCCAGGGCTGGCGACCGAACTTGTACATCGAGCGCATGTGGGCCCAGCGATACAACATCTCGGGCCACTACACGCACCACTATGATTGGGCCGGGAGTGTGGCGCGCGGGGGCGACCGCGCCAGTACCTTCATGGTGTACCTCGGGGACGAGTGCTCTGGCGGAGGAACCAATTTCCCGCGGCTCAGGAAGCCGAGGGATTCGCGGTGGTGTCGGTTTATTGAATGTGATGGGGAGGATGGGGCGGAGCAGGCGCATAAGGGGGATGGAGCGGCGACGGTGAAGAGGGAAGGGATCACGTTCAAGCCGATCAAGGGGAATGCGATCTTCTGGGAGAATCTGAGGGCCGATGGCTCGGGATACCCGGAGACGTGGCATGCGGCGGAGCCGGTGACCGAGGGGACGAAGTTCGGGTTGAATATTTGGAGTTGGTACCAGGCGCCGAGGAGGAGGGTGTAAAGATAGACATTTCTGGGTGGATCTGGCCTGGTTATGTATTATAGAGCTATTGTTGTTGTGTAGACTTGTATAGTGGATATACACAGATTTCCTCACGTAGAAAAAGACATAGAAGAATAAAGAGAATGGAAAATGGACAATTAGAACGCGCCTATATTCACATCTAGGTAGTATGAATGATAATAATATATATAATATGTAAAAAAGGTTGAAACGCCTCATCACGATGACCATACCCATACACCATTCCTCGTTACAGATCGTAGCAACAGTTAGTAGCAAAAGAAACTTCAAATTGAAACATTGAAACATTGGAATAAAAGCAACCAGAAGTGAGGAAATAAAGCAAAGCAAAAACATCCAAAAGGGTATACGATACGCTTTCCTTTAGGTTAGCCACTCTGATTCCATTGGGTCCAATCGTCAATCGGCAGTCCGCCTCGAGTCACGTCGCTATTCCCGAAGATATCATCCAGGGAGATGCCCAGGTCGATGCCCATTCCCAAGGAGTTGGCGTCGTCCAGGCCCATCGCGAGATCAGGCGCCTGTCCCGACGGCATCGACGGCTGCGCAGACACATCTTGTTGGAAGTTCTGCGGCTGGAAGTTGTAGCCCTGCCACATGTAGTTGTTGTTGGGCAGCGACACTAGATCCGGACTGTTGACGGCTTCGCCGGTGCCGGGCGTCGATGCATGCGAGACGGGCGACTGCAGTCGCGACTGGCTGATGTGCGGCGGGTTGGCGAGCCGGGTGGGCAGCGTCGCGTGCACCGGCGTCGGGGTGCCGTTGAAGAGCGGGAAGTTTGCGAAGTTGTCCAGGTTCGGTGTCGACAACCCCATGGAGTCCGGACCGGATGGCATTGCAGACTGCTGCGGCGTCGGGTTCACGCCGAACGGCGCTCCACCGTCCTGTCGGAAGTGATCATCCTCTAGTGTGGACATGGGTTGCGTGGGGTACGCGAAGGGATCGTCAGACGGGAACATGATGCCCATGAGGTCGGGCAGATTGGCCGGATTCGTGTTGAACGGTTGCGACGCATACTGGGTGGCAGACGCGTCTCGCATTGGCAACGACATGGGCATCGGGGATCCCGTGTTGGACGAGACGCTCACGGGCTCGCTTACCGGGTATGTGTCCGACGGAGTCGACACGGCTTCCGAGGCCGCTTCTGGCGTGGACGCGAACCAGGTCGAGGCATGGTTGAGGCGGGCGTTCGACGGTGTGCGTCGGTGGTGCGAATTGCCGTCGTCCAGACTCTTGGGCGTGTTACTAGCTTCTTTGGATCCCCGATTCAGCAATTGGATGGGGAAAGTGCTCGACCGTTGTGGCGGTGGTTTTTCGAAGGCAGGCGTGTTGCTGCTGGAGTTGCCGCTAACTTGATGGTTGCTCGCTGGCGCCGGACGCTTCAGGTTGACCGGGTTCGCTGTGGTCTGTCGGTTTTTCAGCAATTCCGGCAGATTCTTGAACAGACAGTTCAGGCTCTGCGAGCACCGGTCTGCCGCCATGCTCTTCTTTGCTAGCCCGGCGAGCGTGTTCTTGCCCTCCATCGCATCTTTCAGGACCCCGTCCTTCGCCGTCGGCGAGTCGGGATTTTCCAGCACGAAGAAGAGCAACGATAGAATGGCAAAATAGGTGGTATACATGGTGAACCAGAAGGACCCGTTGAGTAGCCCTCGCTTATGCATGCCGGTGGTGATGTGAACAATGTTCCGCGAGACGCTCACGCATGCAGCCGCACAGGCGTACGAACGTCGGTCTACACCGCGCGCCTGCGAGCCGCTGGAGACGTAATGCAAAAAGGGTCGATACATGACCACTTGTACGTGCGCATAGCTGATTCGCAACAGTTGCCGTACCCTGATAAGATGTCAGTCTGGATTCTGATGCACAAGCCGAAGAAACAAGTAACCGAAACATACCGCTCCAGTTGAGGGGAGACCTCCGTCCCCGGTCGCAGAGCTGCAGGCAGCTCTTCCATCCACGCCTGAAGATCGCGCTCGATCTCTCGGATTTTCGAGTGGCTCACGACGTAGCGCTGATCGGACTCGGATCGGTGCTGGGCATTCTTGACCGGGTAGATATATTTCACCACTTTCAGGATGATGTTGGACAGGCGCGTGTGCGCATTGGCCCCTGCCATGAGGGGCGTGTAGTCCTTGGGCGTGGGCAGGATGCCATCCTGAGAAATGAAGTCCCCATCGACAGAGACGGGGTATTCTTGGTCGATGTCGTCGTCGCTCAACATTTGGGGCAACCCTAGCATCGTGCTCACGTAGACGTCCATCTTCCGGACGACCCAGAAAACACGCTTGCGCAGCTCTCGCTCTAGAGGGTTGAAATGGGCCGTCACCGCCGAGCGGTGCAGTCCCAATCGCAAGGCGGAGCGAAGGGCAATTCCGACATATGAATAGCATGTGCTCAGTTTTGCAGAGGACTGGAGGAAGAGCACCATGAAGCAAATTGCTTGCAAGGAGGTAAGATCACGACAGTCGGTGATCTCCAGGAGCTGACGACCGGCCTTGAAGAATTGGAATCTAGAATCGAAGTTAGTGAGCTGGAACTTAGAACGAAGTTATGTACCCGTCTATTGCAACATACCCTTGGCCGATCGCACTCTCGTAGCCGGAAAGATCCAGGGGACCAGCCCTATCATCCGAAAACAAGCAACCGACAGACATCACGATATAGAGAAGAGGCAAGAATGAATTCTCTTCGTTGGAATACTGTTCCGGAGGGGTGTCGTAAACCCGATCCAACGTCGCAAAGAATGAAGGCTCGTGCACGAATCGCATCAAGGAACACCCGTCCTCCAACGCGGCGTGACACAGACGTCGTGCGACATCGCGCGGCGGCAGATCATGGGTGGGAGGCAACGTCGCATCCTGCGGCGATTCCGAGGCCGATTTGGGGCTGTCTAGCATTTGCTGTGTGATGGAGCGCGACCGCAGTGTCGGGGCCGAGATATCGGCAGCGCCAAGCTGCTTCCGCAATCGTCGGATGAAAATGACACCGGAAGTGTGTCCGTGGTAATCCCAATGTCCCTGATCATCCAGATCTAAGAACCCCGAATTATCAACCATGGACTCCAGCAACGACTCCTCGCATCCTCCATTCTCCGGCGCCGCATCCGCCGGGCCGGCCGGGGCACCAGCCGGTCTGGGTGCATTGGTGGCTGGAGGGAGAGGCTGGGACGATTGGAACTGAGGCGTAGATTCCTGCGGCTGTTGCGGGAGTTTCTCTCGTTTGGCCGTCGCCAGCATCTGTTGCGTCGCATGCACGTCAAATCGAGGGTCATCGAGATTGATATCGGGGAGAACGACGCGGAGGAGCGCTTCGGCCTTGTGGAGGCGGTTCTCGAGCGCTTCGACATACTGAGGCGCGGGGTTGCGGCGACGATTAGAAGGTTGGTCGTAGGTGCATTCTAAACCAGGAGATCGAATGAGCAAATGGGAAACGGAAACACAAGGACGGCTTCTTCCCCTTCCCCGCGAGTCCCACGATGGAAGGGGTGGTTAGGGGAGGAGTGAGGACTTACCATAGCTGTAGACCGTGCAATGGGTGCACGGTTGTTTACCATCGCACTTAATCTTTTTTCGACGACATTCATCGCAAGCCCTGGTCACTCTTCGTCGCTTCTGCATCGGCAGAGGCTCCTTGGCCTTGGGATCGAGGTCGTCATCGGGGTCGGCGGAGATCTCGGGCAAGTTGGCCGAGGGGTCGGAGTCATCCTGGGGATAGAGAAAAGCGTCGGCGGCGGCCGTGGAGTCGTCCTCGGTCGCATTCTCAGCCGTCGCGGCGTGGAAAGGGCTGGCGGGCGTAGTGGCCATGGCGCCGGCACACACAACGATGGAGCGAGGGCGAATTGGGCGGACGGCGCAGCGTCATGCAAGGGGGCCGAACGAGGGCGCAAGAATGTATCCGAGCGGGGGCAGAAAAAGCAAAAGTCGTGACGAGACTACGGCGATCAGCAAGGAGATCAGGGCCCGCGTGGCGATCCGACAATTATCGCACCTCCACGAGGGTGGAATTGACGCTTCTCACAGGTTCATCGAAGGCAGTGTTCGGGGATGGGGAGGAGGGGAGGCAGCGATAACGCCGGAGATGAGGTTTTTTGCCAAGGGACTCTCGGTGGGATCCAATCAGTGACGAAAGGATGAGCAAGCAGCAGCCAGCGAAAAAAAACTTGGTTCGCTCTAAAGTCCGAGGGGATTTGGGCCGAGATTAATAATAGTAATCAGACCGACTGAGTCAATCGTGGAATTGATTCCACGCTGGACGTGACGATGAGACGAGGAGGTGAGAAACGAAACGAGGGCAAGCCAGAAAGGATCGAGCAAGGGATCGTCCGGTCGAAATGATCCTCGTTCTTGGCTCTCTGGTCCCTTTTTTTAATTCGATTTGTTCCCTTCGTCTTAGTCCGAGTCGGGCTGATGGTGGTCGGTCTTCTTGCCGAGTGGAAGGCGAGAGGAACAAACCGTGATGAGATTGCAAGGGACGAGATGAAGAACGGACAAAGACGAGAAGGGCGGCGAGATGGGGGAGAGAGTAAGATCGTAAGCGAGCGAGGGATACGATGCAGGTCAGATGAAGGAGGAGTTGACTAGAAGGCGTCTAGAAGCACGGCAGGGCTGACTGATCCGTGACTTCAGCGTCCGTCAGTCTGACCAATTTTATACACCCTCCTTGGCACCTCGTCTTGGTCGCTCGGAATGCCCCCGTCCTGTCTGACTGGGCCCTGATTCATGCATTGGCAATCACTTCCTCTTCTTCTCTCGTCCGTCTCGCGATATTCCATTCTAACGCTGTCTTCGGTCTGGTCTGGTGGATAAATTGCCTCGTTCTCCCTGCTGTCAGTCTCCTCCGGCATGGATCACTAACGCACTTCGATCATTTTCTCTATTTTTTTTCTCCCTCTCTCTCCTCAATCATGGCCTTTCTGCTGGTCACCTTGTGCTGCGTCTTTGCAACACTGGGCTCGTTCCTCTTCGGTTATGACTCCGGCGTGATTTCGTCGACTCTGGAACAGACGGCCTTTTTAGATCGCTTCAACCATCCCTCCGATGCGGCCACAGGAGGCATCGTCGCCTCCTACAATGGTAAGCGCATGGATTCCCTTTCCGCCACTTGATTCTAACGAAATTTGCTCAAAAGGAGGCGCAATTCTGGGCTCCGTCTTCGCCTCCTATCTCTCAGACCCCTTCGGACGTCGTCCCGTCATGTTTGTCGGGGGAATCCTGGCTTCACTGGGAGCGGCTTTGCAGGCTGGTGCTATGACTGTCGCCATGTTGATCGCGGGCCGTTTGATTGCCGGAATGGCGATTGGTCTGATGTCCTCCATCATTCCGGTTTATTGCGTGCGTGAATCATCCCCGGACGCATTATGTGTTCCCCCTGAGTTGACACTAACCTTCATAATCAGAGCGAGGTCTCTCCGCCTCGCATCCGTGGGTTTTTGGGATCGATGCAACAGTGGATGATCGGTTTGGGGGTGGTGGTTGCGCAATGGACGGGATACGGCTGCTCCCTTCATCATACCGGCGACTTTACCTGGCGCTTTCCCCTGGCGCTCCAGGCCGTACCGTCCGTCATTCTCGTCGGCGGCGTCTGGTTCCTACCCGAATCCCCTCGCTGGCTGATTGAAAAGGGCCGGACTGAAAAAGGCCGCGAGGTTCTCGCTCGCCTGCATCTCAATCGCGACCATTCCAATGCCGATCTGATCGCGCTGGAGTTCGCCGAGATCAGCGAGAGCATCGCCGAGGAGCAACGTCGGAGCGTCCGCTCGTGGCGGCAACTGCTGTGTACCCGAGCCACATGGCGTCGCCGCGTGCTCCTTGCCTGTGGGCTGCAGGCCTTCACGCAATGCTCGGGCACCAACGTGATTCAGAACTATAACCCCGGCCTGTACAAGACCCTAGGCCTGAAGGATCCCACGCCGCTCATGATCCAGGGCATCTGGGGCGCCCTGGCGCAATTCTGGAACTGTGTCTTCATGCTCTTCATTGACCGCGTGCCACGTCGCAGGTTGCTGATTCCGTCGCTGCTGGGAATGGGCATCACCATGTGTGTCGAGGCTGCTCTGGCTCAGGCGAACGATGGATTCTCCGACCCCTCGACCAACCCCAATGCCGTACGCGCCGCCATTGCCATGTTCTTCGTCTTTTCTTTTTTCTTCACCAGCGTCGGTCTCATCTCTTGGATCTACCAGTCCGAGATCTTCCCGACGGCCATCCGCGCCCGGGGCTCCTCGCTGGCTACCGCCACGAATTGGAGCTTGAACTTGGTCTTTGCCCAATGTTCGCCGATCGCCCGGACCAGCATCGGCTTCAACTATTTCTACTGCTTTTTTGCCTTCAACTGGGCCGCTGCCGTTATCGTGTGGGCATTCTACCCCGAAACAGCGGGCAAAACCCTGGAGGAAGTCGAGCAGGTCTTCTCTTCCGAACCGCAAGAATCCCGGCTCAACATTGCGCCATCGAATGCTGAAGGCGACTGGACCTCCAAAGGGGGCTATAGGTCGGAGGATTTTACGTTGGTAGCACCGAAAAATTAAGCGGTTTCGACTTAAGTTTTTACAACATATATGAACGCAGTGTATAGATTACGGAGAACAATCCGATTTGAAGGTTGCCAATATTAAGTATCAGAGTTTCAGCTGGAGATTTGAACCAACAATATGCAAATCCTTAACTCGCCAGTCCATGCAGTATGTCCCATGCTATAGCTATTCTATCGTATCCAAAAGACGCCGTGTCCTAGAGAAAATTGTGTACAGTTTGGGGAAATTAGAGCAATCCGTCTCCAAAATCAAGTAAGATCCAGGCTAAAAGAAATCGAGCAGGAAGAAAAAACAAGAGAGCGAGGAAAACAAAATGCCGGATTGAGACTTTTCCAATAACGTCACAAAAGCACATATCATGCTGCTAGCGAGGGCATGATATAGCTCGTGAGCGGTGCACCGAGAATTTCCTCTCGGAGCACATCCTCCCACAGATCAATCCATCCGACCATGGGTTGTAGGGTCAGGCACGAGAAAAGGAAATCATGAATGTTCATCCAAGATTCTAAGCCGAGTCGCTTTGCTACTTTGAGCATCCGCCCTGCGAACCAAGGCCGGCCGAATGGAGTCTGAGCAGTCGGCGAATATTGCGTGTAGTCAGGGAAACCTTCAATGCCCAGAGATGTAGCAAGGAATAAATGGTCCCCTACAGTGACAGTCCCGTCGTTGCACTCGAGCATTATTTGGAGCAGCGCCTCGACTGAGCCACTGACATCGACTTCGCTATCCAGTATGGCTAGCTGCAAAGTTTGCAGGAAGGTTTCACTGTGCTGGATGGAAAACCGATAGTCCCAAAGACCTGCATTCAACATAATGAGAGCGACCAGGCGTGCAACAAATTGCTTACGATTCCCCGAAGCTGTGAATCGTAGACCGGGTGGTGCAGAGATGATTTGATAGAGGAGTGCATTTTCTTGGAACGCGGCGCGTCGCATCGACGGCACGGCCTCATCATAGACACTTTGTTGCTGAAAAGCGAGCTGTTCGCAACGTCTAAGGAAATCAATGAACTCATCACACTGGTGTTGAAGCTCATCCGTGGGCGAATAATACTGCTGAGGGGTAGCAGCTCCGGCGAGCCCAAGCCCCGGCATGCGTGACGTACTTTCGGTGATGGGTACTGAAGATATCGAGCGTGATAATTGACCGTGTTCAGACAGTCGTTGTGGAAGAGGGTTATGTTCGAAGAAAAAGCTCGGTCCGTTGGTTTCATAGCCCGATAGAATGTAGTCTTGCCAGTTGATCAGCATCCCCAACCGCGTTCCCTCAAATGCAGCCGGCCCTCCGCGAGCACGAATCATTTCCCTCGCGGCTCGCATGTGTACCCAGCTTACTGGTTTGCGTCCCGGTCGAGGATCAAAATCCTCAAGCCCTGCAGCGCTGAGACTGGCTATGATGACCTGATCAGAGATATCCCCCGGGTTTTTCGCCATATGATCTCGGAGCATGGAAATTGATCGATTGCGATGGGCTAATGTGTATTCAGTCTCCTGTTCATTCCGAACCCACGCCCACGTGTTGGCCGCGTGGACAAGGATCGTGTTTTGAAATGCCACCGGTCCTTTCATGCCTTCCGGAACAAAAACGGCCGTATACCAATTATGAGCTTTGTGAGATCGGAAATGCGAGCCGTAAGAGCAGGCCGGCATCTCGTTCACGTAGAAATCGAACAACCTCTGGCCCTCAAGACCCAAGTCCATGGGGAGAGAATTGAAAGGATCCGTCCGAGCGGCGCTGAGGATGGATTTGGGAGAAAGACCGAGGTTGAAGGGAGACGTCGGGGTCGAGGAAAGGGGTGTCCCACTACTAAACTCGGATACACTGCTCTGATCGTTGAGAGTGTACTGGTCGAGAATTTCGGGAGGAAACAGTCCAGGAACCGGAATGGCCGTTCCCTTGTATGGGTGACTTGCAGGCTTCGTGACAAAATACCGTTCGATCTCCTCCACAATGTCGTCATCATCTGATGTCTGAGACTGGAGAACTGGAATTCTGTCACCCTGCGCAGGCTGAGGCTTGGAGTCGTTTTGTTTTTCGCCATTATTCTTCTTCCCTTTCTTCGCTTTCTCGTTCACGTTTTTCACGTTTTTGGCTGAAGATCGCGGTTTTCTCGATTGGCGGTGTGTTGGCTGCCGGGCGCTTTTGGTTGGTTCCGGGGATTCCTGGTCGTCTTGCTCGTTGTCGCGCTTTTGACGCATGTACTCCTGCATTACATGTCGTTTGACTTGTGTCAGATTGCTCCGACTGTTGTCGGACGCATCGATAAATTGCCACCGCATTTGCGAAGACTCCGGAGCGGCTTGTTTCGAATCTTCGGCGGCGCTCTCATTCGACATACTCTGTCGCGGGGTTGGGGTAATGGGGGTGGATGGAGGAGCGTGGATCCAAGTTTCTGCGCTTCAAGCAACGCGCTTGTAGATCTTTTTTGAAGGAGGAAAAAAATCCCAAGGAGAATCAAAAGTCACTAGCGTAGGCCATGAGACACGATAGACGGGAAAATAGTCTTGTTGAACGCTGGAAATGGCTTCCAAGAAGGTAGGATGCAAAGTCAATTCAACCGAGGTCAAATGAAGAGCTTGGGGACGTGCAGAGCATAAATCCAGATTATCTTAGGAACCCAAGTCTCCACCCCTGGGGAAACCGACAGATAACGGGATGGTGGGTAAGTGAAGGATTTGGTGGATTGTCTTATGCCCAAGGAAGTAATCGGGTAGCTTGTGCTTAAAGGACTAAGAGCGGGCGATGTTTCGCGGGCGCAGACGGGCACGTGTGTGGAAGATCCAGTTTGGTTAGGCGTTTCATCCGGAAATACTAGCTGTCCAGGTAGCCTAATTATAGTTCCGATCTAGGAGTAGACCGACCGATGGTGATGACCTTAAGGGCGCATGTTCCAATGACTGGTACCCGGAATCTGCACCGGTTCCGAGAAGATGGCTTTGGCAGCCGGGATAGGCATGAGTAGCCAAGTACTAAGACCATTAGAGCCTAGCAGGGGAATTAGCAATTCGTAGTCGACTCCGTAGTCTGACTCGTGTGATCTGCGCTTCGCCTCTCAATCCAGGGATGTGGTTAAGGGCAGGAACTTGGAGAATTTTCGCCCTCCACAGAACACAGGGCCGGCCGATGACATGTAGTATCCTGATGCCTGGGGCCAGGAGACGAAAGCCATCAAATTACGATGCACGGCGCCCGGGCAAATTTAGGCTGACCCAAATCCAGTTGAATCATCATGGGGAAGGGGAACCTTGGAAGTGGGAACAGAGTCGGAAGTCCGCCGTCGGATTTCAATTAAGATCCGAGAATCTTCGATAGTACGGAGTGTCTGGTTGGCTCCGACTAGAACCCTCAGGTCAAACATCCCCACCCGATCGATAACCCCAAATTCTGGCCATTTCCATTCTTGTAGCGGTCAGTTTACTCCGGAGTCGAGGGGCCAAGCAAGCAAGGATGACCACCATCAGAAGAAACCGAGTCTTACTAAGAGGAACCCGTCCTGCAATTGATCAGACACGGCAACCTGGCGTCAGAATGGCACGAAATGGGCATGGCATTGGACGAATTGCCGGTGGGCAGTTAGCCAGCGCCTCCAAACTCGTAGTCGTCCCTGAGAAGTTAGCACGGAGAGACTTGGATGAGTTTGGTCCCAGTGGGGGTCGACTCGTGGCTTTGGGTCCATCCACCCCGAGGCTGAATTAGTGTGATTAAACCGGCACAAAAAAGCCAATCATAGCGTGACCATGCGGTTTCCTGTTCTGTCTGCGGGTGCACCCGGCGCTGGGAAGTGGTGAGTGACTGGTGAGGTTCCATGAAGGTATATTCCACGATATGGGCGGAGATCCCCAAACGGGCCGGCTCTTTCTGGCTATCTGATTTGCCCCTTATCAGATGCAGGGGAGAGTCAAGGAGAAAGACGGTTAAATTTTCTATTCGTTAGCCACATGGTCGAACCATCTGCTAGAGGCTGACGGCTTGTGCTCGCTGCGCAAGTGCCATTGTTTCGTTAGCAAGTGGCAACTTTATCGTGAGGATACATTGTGTATCATCAGAATATGACTCGAGAAACTAGCTCATCTCGCTTGTGTCCAATTTGTCAGACAGTTGGAGAAGGTAACGGTGACACTAGGAAGTAGGAAGCGTCAGGAGAGAAAGACGCCAGGAAGTTCATCCCCGCAGAGGGTCGCGGTGGAGGCCTGCAACATCAGGCACCAAACCCGTTTCCGCAAAAGCTCGAGAAGTCTAGTTTTGATGAAAGGGTCTGATAGACATGGACGATGTACTCCAAGGCAGCACATCCTACTCCGTACTCCGTACTCCTGATCTTCTATGGAGTGTGTACAGTCCACTCGCCCTCCCTGAGAAGACATTCAGCATCGGCGCCACTTCCCGGGCCTGCAGAATGTGTCTTGTGCATGGCTCTGCAGGATCCGAAGCTTTTACGCCGTCCGTTCCGTGGGTGTTTTGACAGGGGGCTGAGGCTTGAGATTCCCGCCGTTCTGCCATACCCATGTACTACGCTCTTGGTTCATTTGGCCCCCATCCTCCGGGCGCTTGAGACCACGACAGTGACGATACCCCCCACAGTGCATACTATCGGGGCTGAATCGTAATTATTCAGCCTGGAAATATTCCGCACTTTTCACCTCGATATCCCTGGAAGCTAGGTTTCAGAAATAAGGGTCACTCTAGTCATCCTGCCGACGTGCCCGAGCTCTTGACACCGGGACCGCTCCTCCAGGATCCTGGCGAGATCACAGTGGTATCAGCGTTGAGAATAGCCTGCGCTGACAACCACGAATCGCCCCATCTGCCATGTGGCAGCCCAAAAATAAACGTTTTCGCCATCCACGACCCCCCAAATCCTAAAACCCCTTATTCACATTTCACATCCACTTGTGGATTACCGAGCGGCTGAGATTCAGGTGGGGGCCATATTGATTGAAACATGGGGACCTCGTAAACATGAATGAGAAGCGAAGGCATCGTTGTCTTTGCATATGCCAAGTGATGGCCTAGACAACCCATCATGTCTGTCATTGTCACCACTGATTATCGGGTACCGGTGATGGGGGTAGAGCGTGTTGCTGTATGCCGCAGCAGAGATGGGGTCCGGGATTTACTCCGGGACTCCGGTCGTCTATCGCAAAGAGGGGGGATGGTTGGATCGGATGGCATTGGGTGCATTGCGTGCATTCTCACCCCGTAGAGTCGACAAGATGGTGAAGGTGACTGAGTGCCAAAGCGGAAGGAGGTCAAGCGCGCGATCGGAGTTAAGGGGCCACCGCCTTGGGATAAATCCGCGGCAGAACCGGCCAAATCCTGAATTGCGACCGACCGCGAGTTGCATCCTGCCAGGCGCGTCGTCTTCACCTTCCAGGGCGTTCGGGTTGTTGGCATTGCATTTCGAATGGTTCGGTGGGCTTTTCTTCATTACTTTTCTTTCTTCGATCTCCAGACCACCGCGTCCTCGCGATCTCTCGCCGGAGGCTTACATCTGATTTCGCATTCACCTCCGAACAACTTTTGCCGCTCCAAGGCTCTGGCCATATCCAAACCACGCACCTGCCAAGTCTGCCCGACCTTCCGCTCCTGAATCTGCTCGGGGTCTTGATACCGTGTTCAAGTGCGCTTTGGTGTGCGTGCTGCTGTCGCTGGAGACACCGATCGCATCTCCTGGTCATCCCATGATGCCTCCGTTACATTCAAAGGGACCGACGTTTACCACCTAATAATATCCGCGCCTGCAGACTTTTATTCGGCATCGACTGACCCGTCCTGGAGGCTGACCTGGGGCTTCATTTCGCGTTCACCTGTGAACACCCCAGGTGACCGGATTTTGACGCCGTAGAAAACCTCCGAGGAGAAGTCGCACTGCGATGGCTGGCGACACGAATGGTCCCGCTGATCCCAGCCAGGGGAACAATGGCGCCGATGATTCCACCACTGTCAACCCCTACGAAACCATCCCCGAAAATCTCCCCAAAGATGACCCTTTTCTAAAGCAAAGTCCTCACTACGGCCGTTATCACCGACGTGACGATGATTTTACCCCTCAGCACGACCATTGGTACCAGTCGGATGCGGGCTCATTTTCTTACTGGCAGGATTTCGTCAGATCGTCTTGGACGTCAGAAAACTCCTTGAATCTGCCCGGCACCCGCGAGGCGTTCGCGGTCGGCAATGTCATCATCAGAGTCGATTCCGAGCCCGCCCTTGACACGACGGCTGAAAAATACTCCTATGCCAATGCAAACGAGCTGAGCGCGGCGAGAAAGGCGGAAGAGGCGCTTAGGGAGCTCAACGTTGCTGTGCCGGTCATCTATTTCTACGGTACAATTGACGGGAAAAATGTGTCTGTGGAATCCCGGATTCCGGGTGTTTCGCTGGAGGTTGCGTGGCGATACCTGAGCGACGAGCAAATTAACACGTTCAAGCAGCAATGTCGCCGCATTCTGGAACGACTACGGGATACCGATTCCCCGCCCGAGAGCCCTTCTTACGTCTGCAGTGAACTGAACTCGCAACTACCACCGGAGGTTCGGGAGACAGAGAGAGATATACTGTTCAAGGAAAAAGGAGAAGGTGAAAGTTTGGATCTGGTGCACAATAACTTGACTCCTCCCAATGTTATTGTGAGCGACGATCAGGTGGTGGGAATTCTTGGTTGGCGACATTGCGGGTTCTTCGGCTTCGGGCGCGCGAACAAAATCCATCGACAATTCAGGGTCTCGGAAAACCTCAGCGGAGGAGTTGGTGGCTTGTACGGGAACGTGCAAACTTGGCTGAGCCTTTACGAAAATATGTCTGGAGCAGGCGAAGGCTTTGGAGCTGGAGAGAATCGAAACACACCAGGACCCCCGGTCAAAACGGAGCCTTCAACAGTGGCCTTGGACAGAGTCCCTTTGGATGAGGATGTTGAGGAACAACCGGTTCTCAGCCAGCTTGACGGCGCGGACCTACTCGGGGAGCATCCCACTCCGAAAAAGATCGCCAATCTCAAGCACGGAGGAACGTCCAGAGCCTCTTCGATATCCGATCGATCGTCGCCGGCAAATTCCACCAAACAGTCGACCGGTAAAAAGCCAGCCACTAGTGCCACGAAAAAAGGGGTTGGAAGGAAGCCGACAACCAAGAAGCGCAAACTCAATGACGTTGATAACGAGAGTGTTGATGGTGGCCGGTCCAACACGCCTTCGTCAGCTCGTGGCAGCAAAACTCCAGCTGCGAAGAAACGAGGGTCTACGTCTGTTGCTGGGTCTCCCGCACCCGAACCCAAACCCAAAAAGAAGGGCAGGAAGAAGGCCGCGGTGCAACAAGAAGACGATGACGACGACGATTCGATCGACGAGAACGAGCTGTTTTGCATCTGCCGCAAGCCTGATAACCATACTTGGATGATTGCCTGCGACGGCGAGTGTGATGACTGGTTCCATGGGAAGTGCGTGAACATTGATCCGAGAGATGCCGACTTGATTGAAAAGTATATATGTAAGTTCCACTGGAATCCCATGCCGGCTTCTAACTGGACTTCGTTGTTTATTGATTGCAAATCAGGTCCAAATTGTAAGGAGAAGGGTCTTGGGTGGACTACATGGAAGCCAATGTGCCGGTTGCCTGAATGTCGAAAACCTGCCCGCGTATACACGAACAACCCTAGCAAATACTGCACCGACGAACATGGTCGTGAATTCATGCTTGCAAAAACAAGGCCACTTGGCGTGGTATTGAGTACAGGACCACGAAAATCCCTCACAAATGGACGAAATGCAGTCAATGGACTCAGTCGCCTGCGAGATGTTCAAGATGCCGAGTCTCAAACCAATGGTAGCCCCGTTGAGAACGGAATTGCGACCATTAAGGGTCAAAGAAATGGCATTCCAGAAGAATTAGGCAGCAGAGGCGGCATCCTTACCGCTGGCGAACTCAAGGCACTAGTAACGGACGTTTCGTCCGCGAGTGAATTTCGCAAGCTCGGCGAGAGAATCATAACTCCACCACCGGAAGAAGAAGGAGAAGCAGGAGAAGAAAACCCGGAGGGCGAGGCGAAGCCCAAGAAAAAGCTTGGTTTGGATGTTGACCCAGATCCGAATCGCCTTACATACTCTCCCGACGAAGCCTCCAAGATCGAGGAAATGCGCAAATGGCGCGACGAGCTGCACCATCGCAAGGACATGCTTAACGCTCGCAACACGTTCTTGACATTTGTCCGCCAGCGCTCCAAAGCCATTGTCGAGAAGTTGAAGCAGACAGATCCCAAGGGAGGATGGAAAGACATCTGCGGGTTTGATACCCGCCTCGCGTGGTCCGACGAGGAATTCGACGAATGGAGGCTTTCGGATGCTGGGGCGAAAGCGCTCCAGGACGGCACGCCCGAACTCCTTGCATCAAGCCATCCCGATGCCACCGATGCAGACGGCGATGCGACAATGGACACCGATGACAATGAAATGGCACATACCACGCGGGGAGTCTGTACGAAAAAGCGCTGCGAACGGCATAAGCAGTGGCTCAAGATCCAGCAGCAGGAAATACTTTTCGAGGAGAATACTCTCACCCAGGATCTCAAACGATGCGAGACAGAGGCTCAAAATGTCGTGGAAAGAGCCGTTCTGAGGATGTGGGCCGAGACAGACAATGCCCAAGTTGGTTGTCAGTGACGCCGACCTCCGATCGCCTCGTTACCGCATGCACATTGAGGCCAACGACGTTATTTCTAATTAATTTCTTCTTTTTCCGAGGATGGCGGAAGAGTCCTGTTTACTTGATACCCTTTTCTGCATGGAAATGGCACAAAATGAAAAAGAACAAAAAGACAGAAAAAAGTCCTCGGGTAACCTTCACCGGAGTTGGTATTTTGGGATTTCTTTTTGCTGTGAGATTAACACCCATCATTGCATAAGGCCGGCGCATTGTCAGATGGTATTGTTTGTACGACGAAGGCTTGATCTTTGATAGATGACTTGTACAATATCGAATGTAAAATTTGGTTCGCAAACACCCGAGTGAATGCTCTGCATCATCTGTAAATTCGGAACCCGATAGTGAAGATTTGAGGGTCATTTCCCTCGTCTGTCCCAGATACACCACTTTCCAATTCCCTCCCCAACTCGATCTTTGATGACTTCCACTACAGTAGCAGTTCTTGACCTTGACAGTAAGAGGTGCGTATCGATACCTTGATCCAGCGTTCGCATCAACAAACTCGGGAGCAGCGGAGTCTCAGACGTGTGAAAGATAGAGTGAATGCCATCATCTTGATAGGAAAAGCCAACATCTCTTCGCGGGTTGGTCTGCTGCGCATTATTTGCATTGTTGGAAAATGCCCCCGAAGATCCAAGCCCGCCGGTATTAACCAGCATCACGGAAAGGAACGAGCCATGCAACCGCGACAGCTGGGTCAAAGAGCGCAACGCGGTCGTCAGAATCGCCGCTCCCCGGACAGTATTCGAGGCGCGAACGGCCCCCTCGGCCAGCGTGTCTAGTCCTGCAATGATGAGCAGAACTGAAGGATGGGTGGTGGTCTCTGTCTCTGGGGGTCTTTCGGAATTGTGCGTCTGGGATCGTTCTTCCTCGGACCTATCGAGGAGGTTCGAGACTTCCGAAATTGCTTGCACGGCAGCGGCAACGTCATATACTGGGAAGAGCTGGACCGAGTCCAAGCAAGCGATTGCTTCCTCCCGGGTTAACTGGGGCGTTTGAGATGGTGCCAGGAGTGAGGAAAGAAGATTCCTCGGGGAGAATCCTTCGAAAGTAGCTGGGTGGATTATGATTGCCCTGGGGAACGGAGTGGGTGATTTTGGGCGCTTGTGCAAGTATGCAGATAGAAGGAGACGAGGAAACTGCAAGCATATTAGTATCTTGTGTCCATCCGTATACGAGAAGAACCCTACCTGTCCCGTGAATTCATCGTCATTGCCATTTCTCTGTTGACTGCGTAGAGTCGAGATTCCGATGACGACCCCATTTCGGAAGAGTCCTTTTGGCGGACATTGAAACCCTGAATCAATGTCATCTTGAAGATTCCACGTGCCGGAAAGAGATGTCCTGTCGTCGGCGTCCACGCTCTTTTCTGAGTCGATCTTGTTTCCAGGTTCGGACTCTGTGAGAAGAGAGTGAGCGAGAATGGGAGGAGCCGGGTTCGAAGCGTATGCCATCCTCCAAAGTTGAAAAGTACCAAAATACAAGTTTATTCTGCTCCCCCGGCCATGAGTTCCCTTTGCCGTAACATTATAATATTATGGGAACGGTAAAATGATGTTTTCGATGTTCCCGGAGAGGAATCAAAGGGTGGACTTACGATGGAGTACTTGGATCTACGATGATGGGGCCCGCTCCACGTGCTGCTGCCTCAGCCGTAAGGCATGCAATAAACCCGAACGTATGTGCCCATAATAGAATTTCTCTGAACAAGAGGCAACTGACCTGGTTGGATTGGCCCATGTTTATCGGATATTATTTTCAAAGTATATACATACGTTCTCATCTTCCCCGGGTGATTATTAGCGTAGCCAGCTACGCCGGCTTGAGTATACAATAAAGATGACAACAAGGAGTTTCACCAGAAACACAAGACAGAATGCTAGACATCCACTATTGGGAGTACACCATTGACTGAATTGGAGTTCGTGATTCTCCTATTCCAAGTGCCGTTGCCATCATGTACCCAGTCGGTGTCATCTAAGACCTCACCAAGGATGGTAGATAGTTCGGTCCGAAGAGCATCAAAAGAATAGTCACGGGCTATGAATTGTACAAGACGATCTTTTTCACCTAAATCCTTCACCGTATGTGCAACGAGCGAGTATCCGGTGGCGATCTCCATCCAAGGGTCGCTGGGATCCATGGAGCCTCTCTGCTCTATTTCCGTGACTTTGTCATCCTCGCAAGGAGCGAGCTGGATGCTTAGCGACCGTAAGTTCACCATCAGCTCCACGGCATTGAGCACCAGCTTGACGTGGTTATAAAATGGAAACACGGCAGTGAAGCCGAAGGAGGTCAAGTTATCAAACCGCACGGATAGTGCCGCCCGGACCTCGCGAGACCTGTTGGATGCTATAGAGCCCCATCTACTCAAGAGGGAAGGGACTTGAAACAGGAAGTACTCATAATGATTGTACGCTTTGAGAGAAGAAGACTCATTGAAGGTCACAGACGACCATTTCCGGGTTTCGAGTAGACTGGAACACTCTTCGAGGGAAGATAGTTGTCCAAGAGGGAGGTGTTGCGAGTCCCGCTCAAGCTGAACAATCTGCAACGGTACCGCAAAGGCCCAAGTATGGCCCTCGAATATTTCGGCGCCCAACATCGTTCCAATGAACGGGGGCGGCGCGACGACAGTCACACGCAGCGGATCAAGGCAACTAAGCACCTGGCGCCACCAGAATGGATCTGCTACCTGGTCTGTAGGTTGTCGACTTTGCACCACAATCGATGTCACATATCGGTTAAGGTCCAATTCCGAAACAAACGAAAGAAACTCGGTGACATCCTCTAGGTCAAAGCATACATGCGCGAACAGCCGAGGTCGCACAACCTCGAGGGCCCGAGATGAAGAACGGGCGAGGTTTTTAAGAGGACGATCATCAGATCTCGAGATGCGGACGCTTGGGGGCTGGTGTAACCGGGCTGTAGAGGGGGAAGAAGTAGCTAGATAGGAAATTATTTCATCAAGAAGCTCATTGGGCAGGGCTTCGAGTAGAGACAACGATATGGGTGTCATCATCAGCCCTGGAACATTGTGTTACAGATCGAACAAGATCATCCGGCTGGTTGATGGTGGAACAAGAGAGGCGAGACGCAAGACGCAAGACAATTGGCGGTGACGATGACGATATGCGGTTCTGTGATAGGCAGGCGGTGTGTGGACAGTGGGCAGTTGCGTCTCGGGAAGCAAATGTCGCTCCAACTGCCGACTTCTGCGGGTTCCAACGCTCGTCCTCATTTCTTCTCGACAAACTCTGGCCATCGGCAAAACCCCTTGGGACCGTGCAGTCTTTGGTCCGAGAAATGTCCAGCATCAAGAATGCAAGAGAACACAAATGGTCATTGTGTGGTACCATTGTCACCGCCACAAACAATCTCATGAAGCCTTTGTTCACCAGTCAAGAGGAATCATGAGCTCCGACGAGTACAGAGATTACCCTCGCTATCCTACCCAAGCTTCAAGTCAGAACGGCCTTGCCAATGGAGCTAAACAAGCAATCAAGCTGAGTAAGAGCTGACGAGGGCCCCGCCGCCTGATGGAAATCGTCTCTCAAGCCTTTGTTCCCTCCATACGACCGCTGAGATGTGGGGGGAGGCCTTCATCGAGTGGGGCGCCAGACCCAAATGTGGGAGAATTCGGTAGTTTGGAGCAAGAGTCGGGATCCGGGGAGGTGATATTAAGACGTAGACCTGATCGACTGGGGACTTCCAAGTTCCTCCCCCCTCTCCTGTCGACTTCGTGCTTCCTGACACCTTCTCTCTTCTTGACTCGCGTAGCTCGCCATTGGACATAGTTACTGACAATCATGTAAGTCCATGTCGTCACTACTCGTAGACATTCACATACTAATGGACTAAGCCATAGCTTTCGTCATGTCGCCTCAACTCCACCGCAACCCCCCTTTCCGTGCCGAGCATCTGGGATCTCTCCTGCGAACAGATGGACTGCTGGAAGCAAAGACGGCCTTTGAGAAGGGACAGCTCCCTAGTGCCGACCTGGCTGTGATTGAAAACAAGGATGTCAAGGAAGTTGCTGAAACTCAGAAGAAACTCGGCTATGCTGCGATCTCGGATGGAGAATATCGTCGACACAGTAAGCGCCTGCCTGCCATGTTTCGTGTGTTCACTCAACTTCAGTGCATAGACTGAACGTTCCTTTTTTTCCAGTGTTCTGGGGCACATTCTTCCCTGGACTTGATGGCTTTGACGAAGTCACGGATTTCGACCCGGATATCTTCCGTACTTATGCCCCCGATATTGCCGCTTTTCTCGAGGCCGGCCACAAGCCCGGCGAGACTGTCCTCTGCACTGGCAAGATCAAGCACGTCGGAAGCACGTACATCAACGAATTCAAGTATCTGGCCAGCCTGGTTCCCCCAGAGGAAGTCAAGAACCTGAAACTTACCCTGGCTGCTCCTAACTGGTATCACTTGCGGTACAAGGAGGGCAAGGCCTATCCTAAGGAGGTGTATGCCTCGGACGAGGAGTATTTTGGCGACATCGCCAAGGCATACCAAGATGAATTGCAGATCTTATACGATGCCGGCTGTCGCAACGTTCAGTTCGATGACCCCAACCTTGCTTGTAAGATTGTGGATCCCACCGTGCCTCAGGAACGGTAGATGCTAACCTGATCGATAGACTTCTGTTCCGACAAGATGCTTGACGGCTGGAAAGCGGATCCCCTGAACGTCCACACTGCCGAGGAGGTCTTCGAAAAGTACATCAAGCTGTACAACGACTTGCTGTCAAAGCGCCCTGCCGATTTCCACATCGGAGTGCACATCTGCCGCGGTAACTTTGTCGGTAGCCGTCACTTCTCCGAGGGTGGCTATGACCGCATCGCGACCAAGTTGTTCAAGGAATTGAACGTCGACACATATTACCTGGAGTATGACACCCCGCGTGCCGGAGGATTCGAGCCCTTAAAGGAACTCCCGAATAACAAGAACGTGATCCTGGGCGTTGTGACCAGCAAGTTTCCCGAGCTCGAGGACAAGGAGGAGATGAAGAAGCGGGTTTACGACGCCGCCAAGTTCATTGCGGAAGGAAACAACATTTCCGTCGAGGAGGCCCTCAACCAGGTTGGTGTTAGCCCGCAGTGTGGATTTGCCAGTCACCGCGAAGGGAATGCCATTGACCGCGATGGCATGATTGCCAAACTGAAACTGGTCCGAGACATTGCCAACGATATCTGGCCGGGTCAGCTGTAGAAGTATGCAAATTTCAACCGAAGGGAAACGTGGGGACGGTGTATCAGTGTATAAGAGGACTAGATAAATGGTGGGTGGCATTTACTCATGAAGCATATGGTCTTACGATGTTTGATTTCAGACAAAGGCCAGGGATAATTGAACGAATGTTATGAACATACAGAATTACAGGGTCATCCGGGTCCTCTTTGTAGTTGAATGCCGAGTACCTTGGGGATAGAGAAAGTATGGGATCCACCATACTTCATGCAATGAGAATTGATCCTGCACTTTCCCACGCGGTAATTATTCTAGCCAGCGGTCAAATGGTCACATGGGGACGGCTGCCCGGTGTTTGCTAACTCTCTACTCTCCCACGACACTCAAGACACCGGTTTAAACAGCCCGTTTTCAAGACAGAATAGTGTGTATTATTCCAGACTTTCTTCTATGCTGTATGTTTCTACATGAAGAGAACCAAGATGAACAAGAGAAAGAAGAGCCAAGGTGGAGTCGGTAGAAGACAAGAAGGGGCAGATTATATTAAAAAGGGAGATTATATGACCCGCATAGCAACAGTGAGGGATATCATGAGAGAAAGAGAAAGAGTATAAGAAGAAGGGCGGACAGAGAGAAGCGAAGAATGGGAAAGACGTGCGCGTGAGAAAAAGGTGTTGAGGAAAACGGAGTCCAAATGCTGCGTCTTCTGTTCATCAAAACGGACATGAAACGAAAGAGGTTGGATGATACAAAAGAGATTGTTGTACATGAGGCGGGTTGTATTGTTCCGGCGCCTCTTGAAAGGGTCCATGTTTCCCATGAACAGGAATTATTTCGCGGGTTGGGTTTTGACGTTGTTGGAAAGCCAAGCCTGAAAGAATATTAAGAGGTATCCAACCAGGCGATGGGGAGGATTCTTACCAAGCCTTCGAAGATACCGGTTCCGTCGGTAGCCACACTGGGTGCAACATACCACAGCTTGTCCTTGAGTTTGTTGAGTTGCAGGGCATTGGTGACGTCTTCGGGGCTGAGATCTACAGGAGCAAGATAGCTTGTTAGTGACCGAGAACACTGCCATGAACAAGGGACCGAAAGACATACGGCCTGACACATCCTGCTTGTTCGCAAAGACCAGCAAAAGAGCGTCCTTCATTTCTCGATCGTTGATGATCTTGTGGAGTTCGGAGCGAGCCTCCTCGATTCGAGCCGTGTCGCTAGAGTCGACGACGAAAATCAAGCCTTGGGTGCCTGCATGGGATTACCCCGGAGTCAGCAACGGCGTGAGGGCCAAAACGCGGTGCATCGGAATCTGACCTGAATAGTAGTGCCGCCAGAGGGGCCGAATCTTATCCTGACCACCGACGTCCCACACGTTGAACTTGACATTCTTATACGTGACACTCTCGACGTTGAAACCGACAGTGGGGATGGTGGTTACGTCCTGGTTCGTGAGTTTAAGCTTGTAAAGGATTGCTAATGGAGCAGGCGTATCAGCGGAGCCGTTCTTGAACCGTGTGTACCGACAGTAGCGGGGTCAAAAGTCGCGTCGAAGATGTCACTCACTCGTCTTTCCGGCAGCATCCAATCCCAGCATCAGAATCCGCATCTCCTTCGTTCCGAAGATCTTCCCCATTATCTTGGAAACTTGGCCTCCCATTTTGACTGGCGGGAAGCGACTTGCGGGAGTCGCCGACGACGATTAAGAGTAATTAGAAGGGTAGTAGTAGGTGGAGTGTCGAGATCGATCGTAGCGTTCGAGGTAGGAATGCAATGGCCGATTGGCGAAGAGAGAGACGAGGGAAGAGGGGAAGGGAAGGAGGGATGAAGATAATAATTAAAAAAAGAAAAGAAAAGAAAAGGGCAAAAAAGAATGTGAAGTCGGATCGGGTACTCCGCTCTGCCAGAACTGCGTGTTAATACCAATAGGGACCAAGCTCAAATTGCAAGGTAAACAAGACTTGTGAAACCAACTCACCTTGGCCGAAAGGGGGAAATGAGCAGATGAGGGGGTGCGACAGGGAGTCCTGAACGTGAACACCAAGGCTGAAGAGAAGGGTAAGGGTGGGAGGAGGAGAGGGAGAAGGGGAGAGAGGGAGCAAGCACCAATCGACTAGTCGTCAGTTAGTTTAATTAAAAAGGGAATCAACCAGCGTTCCTGGCGATGATCCACACGAGGAATCGCAGCGAAAGATCGGGCGGACTCCGTAAAAGGGGGTTGGCTGACTCAGCTGCGCCAAGCCGGCGGGTGTTTCACGTGTGCGCGGAGGCGGTCACGGGACTGCCCCGCTGCCTCTTCTCTACTCTCTTCTGTACTCTCTTCTCTACTCTCTCCTCTCTACTCCCACCCATCTCAATTGATGGCACCCATCGAAGCAGTATCTCACACTAGACCTGGTGGACAATTCCTTTCGATGATCTGCATCTGGAGTATTGGCATTGCCTGGAACTGCATTCTGGAAAGGATATCTAGCCATGCGAGGTACTGACCAGTAGGTGCTTTATAGAAGCTGCCTACCTCATTACCTTGGAGATAACACATACTAATATTAGTGTCTTTCTTTCACCGGCGTCTGGCTAGAATGACAGTCAGGTTGGCGAGGAAGCTGATGGTCTGAATGCCAATGGCGGTTGGAGTGCTGCTGCTGAGGCCATCCAATCAATCCCCCGGCAGCTATCCCACTCAAGCACCGAAGCACAGCACAGAAAATGCGCAAATAACAACCGTATTTCCGTCAATTTAGCATCGGCCGTCCACTGGATGGCCGACTAAGTAGCTCGGATGCTGCGGAGGAACCATGCTGAATGGCTCCCTCATACGTCATGGGCTGGGGCTGGTGACCTCACCAACGCCTCAGCCAGCACATTCGTACTACCACACGGCTGGCAGTCAAAACTTCCATATTCTCCCCCTCCAAACTCAGCTCTGTCCTTCTATGGTTCCTTCCCTTTTCCGTACATAGTCTCAATACTACCTACGCAACCTAAATTGGATACATCCAAGCAACGATGGCCCCTAGTTTCGAACCTCAGAGACGTCGATCTTCGCTCTATCAGCAACGACGTCTCTCAGTCCCGTACGAACAGTATTCTTGGAGTGCTCCTCCTTCCGGGGTATGCAGATTGCCAGCTCTTCGAGTGTACTCAATGCGCGAAACTGACTTAATTAGACCGTATATGCAGGTCTCTCGGCACTCTTCTCGGACGATGGTCTGGTGACGGTCGCGCTCGCCATCAGGGACGTGACGTACCTTCTAGATTTTGTCCAGCAGGAATTAAAACCCAAAAATAATGGCTCGTCGTGCGCGGAACTCGGAGATTTCGTTATCAACCAATTGCAGCAGTACAGCGAGAGACACATGGAGAAGTTCATCGGCGTAGCAATGCCGCAGCGTGTAGCAGACGCCTGTCCTGGTCTCTCTTCGCGCCTGTGGGCTGAACTCGATGTCCTTCCGCTGGTGTTGCGCGAGGAAAGCAGAAGAGAAGGGGATGATAAGTTCGCATTTGGGCTCCCGGATAGCAAGGCTTGGAAGATCCGGAGTATCGACGAGCAGGCTGAGTCGATGGGTCGTAAATGCGTGAGGTAAGAACTCGCCCCTTGTTACGTGGTACGAGATGCTAATGCATCATCTAGACTGTTCGGACCGGACAATCTTCCCTTGCTACAAGTTGGCTTTCTAGGCTTGGTAGAGGTCGACACGGCCTTCCATGTCCGTCTCGCCAATCTCGGTGATTTTCAAAAAACAGTGACTCCCAAGACATGGAACGCTGTCCAACATTATGCGACAGACCTCAAACAAAGGAAAGTCAAAATTGCCTTTTTCAGTGCCACCCCTCAGGGTGGCGGTGTGGCCTTGATGAGACATGCCCTCGTGAGGTTCTCCCATTCACTGGGCACCGATATTGCATGGTAAGAAACTTTGTTCTTCTCAATCCGAAGGAAACGCCGGCGTGGTCGCAATTCGAAATAAAAGGATGGAAGCTGACTTGAAGAGCCAGGTATGTACCCAAACCACGACCAGGAGTCTTCCGTGTCACCAAAACAAATCACAATATTCTGCAAGGCGTCTCGCAGCCGGGCGAACGGTTGACCGAGGAGAACTGGGGCCAGGTCGTGGACTGGATCAATGAAAATGCAAAGCGATATTGGCTGGTTCCTGGGGGTCCTCTCCTGCACCCCTCAGAAGGGGGTGCCGACGTGGTGATTATTGATGACCCGCAGATGCCTGCCTTGATCCCCATTGCCAAAAAGATAGCGCCAGACCGGCCAGTCATCTTCCGAAGTCACATACATATTCGGAGTGACCTGATCTCCCAACCAGGCACCCCGCAGGAGGAGGCGTGGGCTCGAATGTGGGAACCTATCAAGTCCGCCGACATCTACATCAGCCAACCCGTGAGGAAGTTCGTTCCGCACAATGTGCCCCAGGAAAAAGTGGGTTACATGCCGGCATCAACGGACTGGTAAGCAATCTGTCATCTGCCTGCAATCAGCGCCCATTGAGTTGCCGGCTAACGTTTTGTCTCAGGCTGGATGGCTTGAACAAACACATGCGGGACTGGGATGTTGCCTATTACGGCCGGTCCTTCAATGCGACCTGCAGAAACTCCGGCATGCCAACCATTGACTATCCAAAAGGTAAGGAATCCCATGCGTCTCGTTTCAGTTGCTTTCCTGCAAGCTGACACATTGTGTTCGGGGGTGGCTTCAGAAAAGTACATCGCACAGATCGCCCGCTTTGATCCATCCAAGGGGATCCCTGAGGTGATGGAATCGTACGTCAAATTCCATGAGCGGTTTACGGCCTCGGTGCACGGAAGGTCGCCACCCAAGCTGCTGATTTGTGGACACGGGTCAGTCGATGACCCCGACGGCTCGGTGATTTACGACGCGGTCGTATCTCACATCGAGGAGAACCTCGCCCATCTCGCGGATCAGATTTGCGTCGTTCGGCTGGGGTCATCGGACCAGCTGCTCAACGCACTACTGTCGAAGACCAAGGTGGCACTGCAGCTTTCCACCCATGAAGGATTCGAGGTGAAGGTTTCCGAGGCTATTCACAAGGGGGTGCCAGTCATTGCCACCCGGGCCGGAGGCATCCCCTTGCAGGTCGCTGACCAGGAGAACGGCTTCCTAGTGGACGTAGGGGACACCGACAGCGTGGCGCAGCACCTTTACGACCTGTGCACCGACGAGAAAATGTACCAGCGGATGAGTCAATTTGCGCGGGAAAACGTGTGCGACGAGGTCAGCACCGTCGGCAACGCTCTGAACTGGCTTTACCTGGCCTCGACCCTCACCGGACCGAACGGCTTGAAGCCCAACGGACGATGGATCAACGATCTGGCGCGCAACGAAGCCGGTCAACCCTACACCGAGGGAGAACCCATGTTGAAGCGGGCGATCGATCTAGAGAAGATGGGCTGAATGAGACCCAGCATAGCCAGATTGACATTCAGCTAGACAAAATCCTAGCATATCTTTCATGTCATAATATAAACAAACAGAAAGCAATAAAACTGACGTAGATGTACATAAAACCAAAAATCAACACACTGCCCAGGGGTATAAAGTATAGATAGTTTGAACAACAAAAAACACTCATAATCATCACCACCACAGACCGACCGAAGACGAGGACCAACAAATTCACCTCCCAACAACCCGATACCTCTCTCTCGCCATGCCCCCCTCCGCACCTTCGACACCATATCCCTCGCCGACCTCACCAACGATCCTCGCCGGCGCACCACCAACCACACACCAGCTCGGCACGACCATCCCAGCGGGCACGACAGCACCGTCCAGGACATACGCGAAATCCTTCAAAATCGCCATACTCCCTATGACGACCTCGCGCCCGATATGCACATGATTCCCAACCGTCGCGGCCTCGACGACCGCGCGCTCGCCCACAAACACATGGTCGCCGATCTTGAGCGGGTAGAACGAGTGCACGCCGCGGTGCAGCCGCGACGGGGGCCGCAGCACCGCCTGCCGCGAGATATAGCTATACCGGCCGATGGTGATGGCCACGGAGGGAGTGGAGGCCGGCGCGGACGTCGATGACGAGTGATGGTGGCCGTGGCTGTGGTGGCCGTCGGATCCCCCTGCTGCGGAGGAGGACGAGGAGGAGGAGCGGTACAGGTCACCCCGGATGACGGCCTCGGCTTGGATGACGGTTTTGCCGCCCAGGATGATATGCGGGGTTCCGTGGATTTGGGACCGGCGGGAGATCTTGTTCCCTGTGTCCTGTTTGGGGGATTGCGGGCGTTAGTTGGGCTTGCTTGGGGGTTTATTTGTTGGGGGAGTAGATTGTCCACGGTGGGAGGAAAGGTGTGGGTGGTGTTTTGGATGGGAATTGATGGGAGAGGGTCAGACGTACGGTCTCAATGTATTCGCCTTTGGCGGCTTTGGGCGGCATGATGGGTTGTCTATATGGAAAGGGGGAATCAAGTGAGCCTGGTGGCTTCCTTGTTGTTTGGCGGTTGTTTTGTCGATGCGGCGATATCGATGGCAGAATAGTCGGAGGGCGGTGGCACTAAATGTCAGGGCGGTGAGAGGTCTGGGCACTATGAAATCAGGCAATAAGGCACCACGGGCAAATATACTACGGCTACGAGGGGTTGTACACGATTTCAAAATAGCAATGCTTGAAAATAATTGAAGTAATACTACATATCGGTCAAACTAAGAGTAAGTCTGAAAAACAGAATATACCAAAACAAACTCAGGATATCTTAGCAAGCAATCATCACCGTTCACCGTAATCTCGATCAATTTGAGCCAACTCAAAAGCTTCCTTCAACTCAGTTCACTCGCTTCTTGGGAGTGGGAAGCTCTCCATCAAAGTGGATTTTAAAGGCTAGGATGAATACGTTAGCAAACTGCTCTCACTTGTATACATCTCCGGGCTGGAATACTCACTGGTTGGGAAAGGCGAGTAGCTGCCCCAGTCGGCCCGCATGTAGACGTAGTAGCCACTCTCGTTGTAGATCTTCTTCACCTGGCCCTGCGCTCCCGGGGCAGGGCGGAGGTTGTCCAGACGGCCGACCACACGCAGCATCGCCGTGAGAGCCAGCAGCGTGGCTTCCTTGCCCAGTCCAGTATGAGCGCCAAGGCCGTACTGGATGTAGGAGTTCAGCGGGCGATCCAGGTGTACTTCATTGGGATCAGGGAAGACCTGGGGATCCCGGTTGGCTTTCACCTATTGTACTGTTAGTTACCATGCATCTTTGGGAGAAGATCAGGGTGGATCAACATACAGCGCCGACGAAAACGGTGTCTCCCGCCTTGATGTGAACGGGTCCGTTCACGTCGTTGACTGTGAAGTCCTTCTGCGCCTCCCGGTAGGAGCCGAAGGTTCCATTGAGACGGAAGGCCTCCAGGCAGTAGCGAGTCAGCTTATCATCTGCGTCCTTGCCTTCTTGCTTGGCCAGGCTGTTGATCGCAGGCAGATGCTTCTTGCCCTCGGGGGAAAGATAGTAGTCGATGATTTGAGTAAACTATTTGACCCATTAGCATTCACCTTGCCCTTATAAAGACGATCCTGGTCAGATACATACCATTTGTGCCTGGTTGTGCACCATAGAGACAGCCGTGGGCAGGATCTGGCCGTACACAACCTCAGAGACGCCCAGACCGGTCTCCAGGAGCTGCTTGATTAGCTGGTCACCGTAATCCTTGAGGACATTGTGATCATCGGTGAAGCTGTCGATGATCGCAGAAAGGAAGCCAGGAGAGTTGATAGACTTGACATGGGTCTCGATGACCTGGCCCAGCTGCTGGGAAACAGCGTTCGCCGCGTGATGCAGGGGGTATGACTTCATCTTGTCCACATCAAAGAAGACGCTTGTGAAAATCACAGCCAGGCTCATGAACATCTCATGCTCAGAGAAAACACCTCGAGGATTCTCCTTTGTCTTCAAGGGCAGGGAGAAGAGTTTGGAGGCGAAGTGAATCGGTGCCAGATTTCCAAGGCTATTGTCAAAAATAAGTTAGAAGCCAAGAAACACCTGATACAAAGAGGAAACTCACTCTCGCGCGACATCAATCTGTCTAATTCCTGCGAGTTTGCATGACTTGTCCTGGAGAAGGGTGGTAGTCGCATCTTCATAGAACTCTTTAATGTTCTTGCGCCACTGGTCGTTGTTCAGAGACTTGCTCCAGAAATCATTTCCACCCTTACCAGGGTTGAGCTTAGTGGCTCCGCCCCAAACAACACGGAAGTCCTTTTCTTGCTCCAGAGCCAGTTTCACATTAGGGTAAGAGACCAGGTTCACATGGGGCGGCGTGAACTTGGGCCGCTCATAGGAGTAGTGCGACTCTCTGCCAAGGTTCTTCATGATGTTGCGGTTCTCGGTGGGGATAGTCATGGGGTAGTGAGCGTAGATCGAATCGGACTTGAACCAGTTGGGGAAGGCTCTCGTGGCCAGCTTATAGAACACGCAGCCCTGGTTGATGTTGAGGTCATACCGGGACTCATTGTATCCCCAGTTAGTCAGGTTTCTCGGGTTGTAGTCGATCTAGTATTGATGTTAGGGAAATGACTCTCTCAAGTCCAGCTTCGCAAATAGAATCTTACCGTGTAGTGGCGATCGCCACGGACAAGGGCCACGGCATCAGACAAGACGGCCCTGGAAATGGTGTAGGTAGGAGCAATGCCAACACCAGGAACCATGGGCTCCTTGGCTTCTTCCGCAACAATACCAGGGTACAGCTCCACGAAATCCGGGTGCTCGTACAGATGACGCAAAGAGTCGGCAACGTCGGGATCCGAGTTGATATCCTCGAAGGTCTCGTAAGGCTTCAAGTCAAAGAACTTGCGGAACTCGTTGAGAGAGCCCACGTTCCAACGACGGCCCTGTTGGATACCCAAGATTTCAATGGACCTGAGTGCCTTCGGAACATTGCGAGCACCGAAAGCGCCTATTAAACAAGATTATATTAGACATCTTGAGCTGTTGCGCAAGACTTGGTAGGGTTACTCACTGGAAACATCCTCAATTGCATTGGACAAGATGTTAACAAGATCTTCGTCCTTGAAAGTTCCATCTTCCTGACGTTCAAGTTTGGCAAATGTGCGTTGGGAAGGATCCTTAGGCATGCTCTTCTCGTACTTGCCGAGCCCCATCAAGAGCTCCTGGACAGAAACCTCCTCGGCGGGTTTTCCCATCAGATCTTCGTAGATTTCCTCGGTCCACTTCTCATCGTTGGCACTAATGGCAGAGTGCCAGCGGTAGGCAAGGTTGAACTCGACGGAGCACTGGTTGCCGAGCCCAGATGGAGTAGTCCCGGCACCCTCCATTTGTGCGCGGGGGTCCTATTTCTTGTCAGGCTTTTGCTTTGATACACATCAAACTCGTGCGTGGCTTACCAAGCACCAAGTGCTGTTGACCCGGTTCAGGTTGACGATCGTGCGCAAGTAATCGTACAGGGTGATGTTGATGTAAAGACCGCAAGTGATACTGTATCTCGTTAGAACTCCCCAATTTCAGGGTTGGGTCGATGAATACAGGAGCTACATACAGTCGACCAGTCTGGAAAAGATCCTCGTCATATTTCGCCCATGCTTTTTTGGCATCCTCCTCGGACAGGTTGGAGCCAGGCTTATTGAAGCGACCGTTCTCGTTGATTTCGGCAAGTTGCTCCACAACATGGTTATGGAATCTGTTCAGCATAACCAGCATCACCGAGCAGGCCGGGGGGAAGGCCTGGAGACGGGGTTCAGAGAAGGCATCTGGCTTCAATCTGCCACCTTGATGCGTTCGGACCAAGTCCTGTTCTTCCTGGACGTCACCGTACAGAATAGACAGGTCGAGGTAACCCGAGGTCTTGTTCATATGGGGGTTTCGGTAATCGGTTTGGAAGATATCTAGCAGTTGGCGTTAGCGCATGTTGCCGGCCAGTTTTATTTTCGTGCAAGCGCTTACCGTGGATGATCAGAGACGCCCAGTCAAAGAAAAGACTAGAAACCTTGTTCGGATGAGGAGTGAACTTCTCACGAGCGAAAAGACAATCGAAAACAAGGCCTGGGTCAGGCAATCCGCCGGGCTGAATGGTCAAAGGAGCGATCGAGCGAGCGTATGGTGTGTTGGCTGCTCCAAGCCAGGGAAGGGTAGGGTTGTTGTTTGAGCCATCAGCGCTGCGATACGCATACTCGTTTCCCATGAACCTTTGAGCGTCTTAGCGAAGTCCAGAAGGCGCGCGATTAAACCGAGAATCAATCCTTGAGACTTACGACAGCGGAGGATGAGGCAAGGAACCCCATAGCTGATCCAAGAAAGCATTGGTAAGGTCGGTCCGAACTTTCGAGTTTCCTGGAAGACCAGCGACGAGCTGCGAAGGACCAATTCCGCGTGAGAAAATTTATCACAATTGCCGGGTTCTTGGGCTTTGGGCTTACTTGAATAATGCGCTCCATCAGCATCGTCTTATCGTCGGTGTGCTCTCCCTTGGCCTTCGTTTTCACGATGTCTCGCACGGTCCCAACATCCCGAAAGCCCAGAGCGCGAACATCTTGGAAAAGACTTCCCGACTGCTCCTTTTCAAGATAGGTGCCATCGCCAGTCTGATTCGGCAGAGGGCGTCGCGAAGCATGAAGCACCTGGGCATACTTGTCAAAAACAGACACGCCATCTTCCAGTGTTTCGCTCTGGTCTTCGTCGGACGAAGAAATGGGCGATGATGACATCTTCGACTGGCGCTTGGTGCCATTTACTTGCGCGCCATTCTGGTTCTGCTTGGGCTCACGGTCGCCCTTTGACTTCTTGAAAGTAGTGGAGAATCTCCGCAACATGATGGGTATCTTATGAGCAAACAGCAAGCAGGGTATAAGGAGTGTAAGTATTAACAGAAGAGATGGCTGAGTAGAAAGGTACGAGAGATCAGGCATGAGCAAAAAACAAAAAAGCAAAGGGGAAATCTCAGGAAGAAAAAGCGACCGAGCTGTCGATGCGTCGGCACAGTAGCATTTAAAAAGCAACCCACAAGATGATCGAATTTAGAAATCCCTCGTACGGAAGGTAGCAAGTACTGTAGCCACCTGGTGGAGCCTGCGCATCGAATCCCATTGATAGCAATGGTAATTAATTTATTTATCTAGGGGATTCTCGTGTATGGCGGCCGAGGACCGCCCCTTGAAGCTGTCAAGTAATAATACCGCGAGTAGCGCAAGAGGGCCATGTTTGGGCCAACCTTGGTGCTGGAAATCGAGTGGGGAACTCCGATTCGATCAAGCAAGAAGAAATTTAGTGCCGATCGAACGTGGTTCAGCTGTGATCGATCCCGGGCCTGGAGTCGGCGTGAGCGCCGTCAATTGCACCATGTACATCCATTCCTACATTGTGCTGCACAGCAGGCGTGGCAATTGAGTGGCAAGAGGGATGGATGGTGTGTGACATCCCTGTTGAAAGGTCCGAACTTTCTGCGCCTGTAAATTTGACGGAAGTTGGGATAGACAAGGTCTCTCGAGTCAGCCAGTTCCCTCCTGTGCCCGTGCATGCCCATTCCAAAAAAGCAAGATGCCGGAAAAGGAAAGGAAATCTTTGCGGAGAACACAATGGCACAAAGCAAAGGAGAGAGAGAAAAAAAAAAGAAAAAGAAAAAAAGAAAAAAGTTTATCTGTATGTTTGTTTCTGAAGCATAGGTTGCGTCATGGCCAATCAGTTAGCAAGCATCGGGGCTGATCGCAGTTGATAGCGGTGAGGGTCGCCAGCCACTACCAAAATGGAATCTGCAGGCATCGTGAATTAGCGACGCTATGTCGATGCCAAGGACGACGAACATTGGGGAGCGGATCCATCGAGACTGGAAGTGGAGTGACTCTATCTCCACGTCGGTTCCGGGCTGCCAATTGCAAAGACAAATGGCCCAAGCTTGGAGCTGAGAAGTACCGAACTATTGGTTTATTGGTTCCATCTGGTATTGGTCGTACAGAGGCCAATCTGGATAGGTAAGATTCGGCAATCAGGAATCATTACTTAGTGAAGGAAGCAGAGTGGAAAGACACCTCAGCTGGAACCGAGCTTGGAGGGTCCTAGTAGCACCCCCCAGCTGCCGGTCAACGGATATATGTCAGAACCACATCATTAATATGACTTATCCTGGTCGCTCGTATGCAAAGGATGGGCGCCCTATCAGCACCGACATCGTGGCAAACGTCGTCCTGGCGGGGCTCAAACAGGGAAGCATAGCCGACGACGACGATAAAAAAAATGCGGACAGGCCCTCCTCATTGTCAAATCTCATGACCTGAGAAGCGTATCCGCGAGGGCTAGAAAGTGGTCAGTGATCGATACGTCCGAAAGATCCCCCACCGACAAAGATTTTTTTGTTTTTTGATTTCAGACGCACGGTGGAGTCCAATCGGGGACGGCTCATTGCTAAGTTACCCACACGTTCGCAACACGGGATCATCATCATTTTACTTGGAAGAGACCAAGGATGAGTGGCATTAGCGCGTCAATCCAATCATTCAGGCATGTCCACTGACTAATGCATACCTGGATTGTTTGATTAGCCTTCCACCCCCCCGGCCTTTGCCTTCCCAGGCCCTCCCTCATGGGCGTATCCCGGTCCTTCTGGCTCCCTTGCGTGTCGGGGAAAATCAAGGGCGACGTTGAAAAACCGGTAGACCATGTATCGAATTCCATAAACTCCGAAGTCGGTCACGGGCAGCACCGCACATGCCCAAACGCAATCCGAGGCATCATAAAGCCGACCGTATGTCACGTCATATACTAATGCTGACCTGGATGGAGATCGTCCGACGGATCGACAGGCTGAGGGAAGTGTTCGCCAACTACTGTGCTCTGTGAATTTGGAATAATATCTACTCTGTATGAAACTGAATCGATCCGAGAGAATGGGTTCGTTCGGTAGGGTAGAAGGATCATTGGCCGGATCCAGCCCCCTGCAGTCAAGTTAGTAGGGAGTTAAATTTTGTTGCGCCCCCTTGATTTGATCATTGGGAATCCACCAAGGAGCCGAGAGAGGGGTTGGCTAACCTAGCTTGTCCTTTGCACGGTTCTAGCCAGACACGACTCCATCTCGTGGGATTTACCCGAGGCCATCTCGATGGTCGGAATGGTGATGCGGGGATGGGAATGACGCTGGCGATGGCGATGGCGATGGCAATACTGATTTTCTGGAGTTACACTCCTGGAGCAAAAGAATGTGGAAGAATGGGGGCCATCACCATGGATCATCGGCCGAGTGGCTTGCTGATACGGAGGGATTACGAAAGCCCGGCCGTGAGCTGGACGAGAGTCGACTATTGAAGCAATCGTGCAGGAAGGTGGGTTGAAGTGGGCGAACTAAAGGCGCCGTGGAAGACGATCGGGTACTGCCGAGTGGTTCGTCCTGGCGGCCTGGGGCCACCAGGCTCCCCACCGGCGGAGACAGCCTGAGGCCAGACATCAAAGTCGGCTTCTGTTCATCCCTTGCTTCAGTCGGTGCCCCGTCGTTGATCGCTCCCCTTTCAGCAGGTTTTAAACACATTAAACACATGGGTCCTCGCCTACTATCACATTCCGGCGTTTGTTCAGCCCCAAAGCACGGAGTTTGGAAGGGTGGGCAATCAAGTCCTATCTGGGTGTAGTCCTGGCTTCTTCTGGTTTTGCTCATCACATTCCAACTACGCAGGCAGCACGGGGTGGATCTGGACTCTCGTCCTTGTATGAAATAGGCGCGAGTAAGGCCTTTTCTTTTTTCTTTCGCGAATCCCTCCATACGAACCCATTACACAGTGTAAGTGCGCTAGGTTCGACCCGTCAGCGGCTGGATTTCTCCACTTAACGCAGCGCTGGGAACGATCGTCCACACACAATTTATGGGTCACCAATCAGTCCTCAGGCGCCATTCGATGACTGGCGGCTGGGACAGGAGCTTCAAAGTGGCCATGTCTTGGTTTCACCTCGCATCCGGATTCCCGAAGGGGGTGGATCCAGAGCGGAGGGCGAGGTTGATATTTTCTCTCCGATCTCAAAAAGAAAAAGAAAGAAAAAGAAACGGAGTGATCGCACCCAGGATAGACCATGCTCATCCACGGCATTGAGCAGAACGCATGGTCATCTTCAGCGGGCTGGCTGATGTACCGCGTCAACCCCGACTGGATGTCCGTCAGTCTTGGCCGGCTTGGGTCGTTTACGGCTGACATGCCAATCATTCCAGTCAGCAAAAGTCAAACATTCGAGGAGGAGGGGGTAATCATAATCAATTTTAGAAGAAAAAGAAAAAATTCCAATGCTGCAGATGCCACTAGACTAGTTCTTTCCGACCTTTTTTTTTTTTTTTTTTTTTTTTTTTCTTTTTTTCTCTCCCTAACCTTCAGGACCAAAAGAAATCATGCCCACTCACTCAGTCAACCCGACCAACCACTGCTGGATCCACCCCCTGGGTATGAGCTTGACGTAGCGTTTGGTTGAAGACAAGGCTGCAGGAACTTAAGGCGCCGAATCTTGGAGGGTCTCACAGCATCGCCGTGCGCATATTTTCCTGAAGATCCACGAGTGATAGGCCGCAGTCTGTCAGGACGGGCACATCCATCCTGTCGAGGGTCACTGCAGGTGCTGCATGTCTCTGCCGTTATCAACCCCCCCTGTGTATATAGACTGTGGCATTCCCTGAATACGTGTCGGACCCATCTGCCGATTAAATTGTCCTGGCGGCCCATCAGCCCTTCCACTTGCTGCACCCTTCAACTCTTGTTCAGACCACGCCATGGCCACCATGGACGCACCACACATGGGGCCTAGCCCCATGCCCAAGCAATTCGTACTGTGCTTCGACGGTACCGGTAATAAGTTTTGCGGTGACGAGTCTGACAGCAACGTTCTGAAGATTTTTCGGGTAAGTCGGCTCCGACCAAGACCCCGGGCTCCAATACCCCTGTGGGATGCTAACGATGTTCCCAGATGCTTGATCGCAGCAAAAGCCACCAGTTCCACTATTATCAGCCGGGGATAGGGACGTACGTTACGTCCAAGTCCCTTTCCAGTCATGGTCGCTTCCAGCGCATCAGGTCTGCTTACCTAAAAGCCAAGGACTCTGCCGTCGGTTCCTCCTTTGCTGAACATGTCATGGGAGGATACAAGTTCCTCATGAGATACTATACTCCGGGTGATGAAATTTATTTCATTGGGTTCAGTCGAGGCGCTTATATTGCGCGGTTTCTGGCGGAAATGCTCGACTACATCGGCCTCCTCGAGGCGGGCAATGAGGAGCTGACCCGGTTTGCGTGGAAGACGTTCGCTAAATGGCAACAGCGACGTAGCGGAGGCACTGACGAAGAGAAAGAGGAGAAGCGGCAACTGTTCCGCTATATGAAAGCCTTCCGGGAAACCTTCAGCCGGCCGATTACCAGAATCAAGTTCATGGGCCTGTTCGATACGGTCAACAGTGTGCCCAGATTTGAGTCCGCTTGGATGCAAAGAAGTAAATTCCCATATACCGCTCGCAGTTCGGCCAAAGTCATTCGACATGCCGTGGGAATTGACGAGCGACGCGCCAAGTTCCGACAGGATCTCATCTCGGAAACCAAACCCTGGCAGCACAAGAAGAGACGCCATCATGGTTGGGGACGGCATCACCTACCTCACCTTCGTCACCATCATGACGGTTCCGAGAACGTGCCCGCCATTGTCGTCAACGACGGAAACAATGACCACAAAGACGCAAACTATGCAGGATCTACCCAGCAGGGACAGGAGGACGCCGCGTCGAACTACCGCAGCATGTGCAGCTCTCATGACGACGACGAGGAGCAACCCCATCGCTACCGCGCCCCTTCCCCTGCTCCTGGCCAGAGGAGACATCTGAGTCTCGCGGTTCCCATGGTGACAGGGTCCACGGAGGATTTAACGTCTGTCAAGAGTGGCCACTCGGGGCTTTCTCTTCAAGTTCCGGATCCCCATGCTCAGGGGGATTTCGACGACCCGGACGAGAGTTCCCAGGACATCCAAGAAGTATGGTTTCCTGGAGGTCATGCGGATATTGGTGGCGGATGGAAACTAGGCGCCGAGGAAGAGTGGCCGCTCAGCCACGCACCGTTAGTCTGGATGGTCCAAGAGGCACAGAAAGCGGGTCTTCAACTCGACACACGGAAATTGAAACAATTCGAGTGCTGCGAAGAATACGATGGACAGTATTCTCCCATCCACCAGAATATTCGCTGGAACCGCAGCAATGGCTGGGGTCATGATCAAGATTATGCCCATGGGGGCAACGACGAGTCCGAGCACCCTATGTTCAGACTGACCGTCAATGATGGTTCAAAGCCGCGGTCCAAGTCAAGCTGCAATTTCCTTGCAGCCCTTCACAGTTCGAGTCGAGAGGGCATGCTGCACGACTGCCTTTCTTTCAACAAGGGTCTTCCAGCAATGTCCGTTCTCACATGGCGCATCATGGAGTATCTGCCGTTCCGCCGAATGGACTTGCAGGAAGACGGATCTTGGAAGCCAATCCGCTGGCCACTTCCTTGCGGTGAGGTACGCGACATCCCGAACGACGCCCAAATCCACGTGTCTGCGATGCGCCGAATGGCTGCAGACCCTGAATATCGCCCGGGAAATCTGATCGTCGGCGGCGGTGGAAGAGGCGTCAAACGAGCTCCCGAAGAATACGGAATTGGGCAGTGGGTGGTCAAAGACTATGAAGGCGATCCAGTTCGAGAAGTATACGTGCGAAAGAGTGTGTCGAAGATGTGTCGAGATCACGAACACCAAGATCAAGGGCCCAGCATGTGCAAGGATGATGATCATCAGTAAACACGGGAGCCCCGAGATTGTATCAGGGAAGTTTCTGGCTGTCGTGCTGTACCATTCCTTTCCTTTCCTGTCTTTTTTCCTTCTTTTCGATTCCTTTTTTAAATCTTTTCCATCCCTCTTTCATCTGTTCACCCCCATTTTCTTTATCTTCGGCCCACTCAATTTGTCCTACCCCTAGCGTTGGAGGGGTCGAACTACTAATACTGCTTGCGCTTCCACTAGTCGAGACTTGGAAGTTGTTGGAGAAACTCTATATATATATAATGAATGTAATGTGTCTCGATAGTCTTCAGTCTGTTTATTGATCCTCTTGAGCCTTATGTAGCAGCGACAGAAATTAACGGGCGATCAGTAAGGAGTCGTCGCACCCGAAAGGGCCTTCCAATCTGCGATGCAACGATGATCAGGACTCGACCAGTCGGGAAGCGCTATCGACGTACATATGTACCTGAGTCCGAGTCCATCAGGGTCTGAAAGACGAGTGGCTCAAGCCCTCCACGCGCCGAGGGAGATGTGCAGGAGATACATTAGTCTGGCCGAGCGGCAAATCTCGACCCATCTAGATGGCGCTCAACGGAAAGAATCGTCGAGCAGTAGACTTCAGGACTTCAGGACTTCAGGACGGTTTCCGTCGCATTTGGCGAGGGATGCAACAGTGCAGGTGAACGAGTGGATGCAAAAAGGGGGTGACCCGTGGACGAAGGCGAAGGCAAAGGATGGTCCGTGACTTGCGCCGGTCGGTGACCTCGTGCCGTCCAAAGGCCAAAACAGAAAAAAAAGTCTTGACCTCACCACTCAAACCACTCAAACCACGCAAACCCTCTCCCCCCTTCTTTTCCTCTTCTTTTCTTCCTTCTCTCTCTCTCTCCCCGACTCCTTCCTTCCGCCACTCTTATCTCCCCCCCATATCTCACCCACCAACCCACACCCCTCCCTCCCCTGGTTGGTTTTGGTCTTCTCGTGGAGAGAAGGAGGATATTATATCCTGGGGTGCATTCTCCCTTTCAACTAGTCATACTTCCCCCCCTCTTTCCTTGGGTCAACGCCGGGTCTCATCCCCGACCTCGGATCCCGCTCGAGTGGACTTCTCACGGCCAGTTGTTCGATGCACCAGCATGCAGCTGCTTTAGCCTAATTCTCTTCTTGCCAACGGATATGGAAGCGTCTCACCTCCCGCCAGAGGGGATTAGGCTTCCCCCTAGCCCCATGGACTCGGTCGATTCGATTGACTCGACGACGTCTGCACCCGCCCCCGACTCGACGACGGAGCCCGAGGAGAACGTCATGATAACCTTATCGCTCAGTCACCATCCTCCTACCTCCCCTCCGAGCCGATTACCTTTCAACCGTTCCCATTTCCGATCGCGTTCCCTCGCAGAGGTTTCGGGGGTCCCTCCAATGACGCGCGCTCACTCCTCCCCCGGGCTGGACTCTCGGGGAAGATATATCTTCGTCAACGGTCGCGGGACACCGACGAACTTCGCGGATCATATTCCGAAGCGCTACTCGCCCCTGCAGACTGCAGTTGGAGAAAACCTCGAGGCCAGAATGATGCCCCTGAATATCTCTGAGACGATCTCTGAACACGCCGAACTGGACACCGGGATGATCTCCTCGCCGCACGGGGAAGCGCCATCGGCCTCACCGATGTTCCCGCACACGTTCCCCCGCATTGGTCGCCGGCGACCATCGTCTCCTCTGCATTTCCATGGCGGAACCCCCACCAGCAACTCGACCAGCAGTCCTTCTTCCGCGCATTCCTCCCCGCTGATTCTGAATTCGAGATTCAACGAATCCTATCCAGGATACTCGGCGTCCTCCGCTTCCTCAGTACCCTCGACTCCTACAAGCCTTCGGTCTCGCAGCCCCAGTATCTCGTCTTTGGAAACCATTCCAGACATCCCTGATGCCGAAGCGGAGGCCACCGAAGCTGATCAGATCGCGAGCTTGAAAGCTGCGGCCGACAAGGCGGATGAAGCCGAGGCGGCGGCCAATGGAAGCCGTCGACGCGGCGCGTCCGATGCTTCCGGTCCGTCGAGCGCGTTTATGAACGTCAGGGGCGGATCGGGTGGTTACGGGGTCAGAGCAGACAAGAGAAAGCGCTGGAGTGTTTGTGGAGCAGAGCGTCGCCAAGACTTGGATCTAGAGACCATTTGGGAAGATTGAACGTTGGAGATGCCTACTCCGTTGGGTTAGGATTTCCTCCTGCTGCACTTCAACCAATGGACTCTAGGTCTTTGTGACCACAGACTAAGAATCATGAGCCGACAGTCTTGGGCCTGATACTCATCGATTCAAACCGTCAAGCCCTCTCAACTCAATCTCAATGGCGACAATGACAGATCATCTTGCATCGAGGGTGGCTACAATGCCTCGTCGCTATCTCATGAGACCCAGCTCTCTGCATTCGACTTGATCGACAATGGAGTTGGTTCATCGTAACTCCAGCCAGTTTACCAATTTTTGCCAATTTCATCCTTTGTGAGGCATCATCCGCTGTATTATATGGCCATTGCTCTTTTTTCTCCTTTTTCTTTCTGCCCTTGCATTCTTTTCTGCCGGTTATGTTTATCAGAATCTGCACCTTTCTTTTCCTGTTGTTCCGGCGCTCAGTTCAGGATTTTGCGGATACCCCCCTTACTGTCCTTAAGTGGTACTGCTTGCTTTCTATCTTTTTTGCCTTGCTTGCGGAATATGCGGAGTCTTGAGGATCATGCATGATTATTGAATGCGCCCCGTCAATCGTCTTATAGCTTGAGCCGCATGCGGGCACGCAGGGGTGACGTCGCTCAATTGAAGATCGCTCTGTCTCTTTTCGTGTCATTACCGCGGCTACCTTTTCTTGTCGTTTCTTTTCTGCTTCGTTGGGAGAGGTTGAATAGCGTCTTCGTTGTGATTCCCCTATTTCTTCGTTTCCAGTTTTTCTCATCTTTCGCTCGAACTATGGTGCTGGCTGGGGTTTTTCTTTTGCTTTGCTTTCTGCTGCTTTTATGTACAATGCATCCGAATCAGGTCTATCTCTCTCGCGGCCTACCGTACGTCACGGCACTTGCTGGCTTTTGTGTTTCGTGGATGTGTAAATATTGTCAATACATACTATCGTGCCTATCCAATCGATCATATCAATTAACAATCAAGAAGCCCAAGTACATGTCTAGATCTGCTATGTCTATATACCAACTACCCTTCACCTTTCCGCTATATCTATTCTAAATCCCTCACCCTCAACCACCATCCACGCCCTTCCCCATCGCCGACGGCAAAGAATCATCCCTCTCCACCCCCACCCCGACAGTGCCCAGCCCGTAAAGCGCACAAACCTTCGCCGCCGCGCGCTCGCCACTCCAGTACGCGCCCGTCGTCGTCCCCAGCGCCACGAACGGCGCCGTATGCTCGCCGGCAAACCAGACGCCGCGGTCCATGCCCACGCCCGCCCGCAGCACCTCGATGTCGCGATCGCCGTGCTCCAGCCCGCTTTGGAAGTTGCAGTACGAGCCGTGGCCCGCGTACGGGTCGTTTTGCCACTGCGTTGCGAGGAAGGCGAGTGGTTTGCAGCTTACGGGGTCGAAGCCCGGGAGACGTGAGTAGAACGGACGCAGGAAGGTGTCCAGGTAGGTGTTGTATGCTGGGGAGGAGGGTGGGATGTCTTTCAGGGCGGAGACGATGTGGGTGGCGCAGGGCCCGTAGGTGTAGAAGAGGAGGGTGGGCTGGGCGCAGTGGGTAGGGAGAGAGGCTAGCGAGACGCATTCTTGGTTCCAGATGATGTTATCTGGGTGGTTGGTGTAGGTTGGGTCGAGGAACTGGATGAAGGTGGGTGGTTCGTGGGTGTTGTTCAGGCTGGACGGGGTCCCATTGGGTTTGGTGGTGGTGGAAGACGTGTTGGAGGAGTGGTCTTCTGTGTGTTTGTGCCAGAATGCCTCTGGGAAGGTGACGTATACTTTCTCCAGTCGACCGTACGAGGTATTGTTGATGGCCTGGGTAAGTCGTGCCGGCAGCTCCGGGGTGAAAGCCGCTTGATTGCGCTTCAACCAGCCGAGGGGACAAGTAACCACCACCTCGTCGAATTGGAAAGTCTCACCGGCTGCAGTGGTCAGGGCGATTTCACCAGGCGTCTTTGCGTCATCTCGAACTTTCGAATCGATTTTAACTATGGGTTGGTTGAAACGAATATCGGCCTTCTCAATGGCTGCCTTGGAAACATGCTGCAGGATAGCATTATAAGTAGATGCCACAAAATAGTTATCTAGAGTTTCGGTGAGCAGAGCGGCAACATTGGCGCAGTGATAGAGAGGACTCACTGCCGTCTATACACTCTTCGAGACAAAAGAATTTTAGGCTTTGTTTTTCGATGGGATCTCCGACGTATGCTCCCCACAGCCTGCTTGATTCTATACATAGCTCTTTTTCCAGGGGCGTGAGACTTGTCGTCTCAATTCGCTCCTTGAGAAAATCTAACAGACTGCGGCTTGGTGGAATGGTTTCCTTGTGAGCATTGCTATACTCAAAAGCTTCCCCGATAGTTTCCCACAGGAATTCGGACACTTTGGCAGCCAGTTGACGGTCTAGAAGTTTACCATCAGAGGAAAGCACATGTTGTTCTCCCTCAAGGTCAGCGATGGTAGTCTTTGTCAACGCTGCAATGTCTGCGATTGGATTCTTTCCGGTGCCATGGATCCAATTGGGCCCTCTTCCATAATCGTCAGCCTTCCCATGTGTAGAATTTCAAGAGAAGGTAAACCTACAGATCTACCAGGTGGTTCCCTACTTCGCTTTGGTGGACCTGCTCCAGATTAGTCTCTTTGTTCATAGCGCAAAATAGGCGTATGACTGAATGAGTACGCACTCTGCCCCCGACTCGGTTTCTGGCCTCAAAGATGGTCACTTGAGCACCATTTTGCGCAAGGATATCTGCGCATCGCAGTCCTGAGAAGCCGGCTCCGATGATAGCCACGTGGGGCTTTTTTCCCATGGTGATGACACGGCGCGAGCTAAAGCTACGTGTCTGAAGTCGATGCACCAATGGCAGTAAGGAAAGCCGGATGTTGCTATCACGCCGACAGTGATTTCTGCGCTCAATCATATGAACCAGTTAGCTTTTTTGTCCGTAAGAAAGAGGAGAAATAAGACAGAAAAAGAAGAAAACGCATGACTAGCTGCATCGCCTGTTGTTTCTGATTGAAGTCATCAAGTAAGACCCTACAGACCGAGTATACAACCAGGCGCACCGTGCAGCACGGGCATTAATATAATCGACTCCCACAAAGAATTAAAAAGGAACTATACCAAATTACGTGGAGTCGCACGAGAATGGTATCGAAGTAACATAAGAGGTAAATAATTCCAAAGTCCAGGTAGATCGCATAGCAGAATTGAGTACTGCTATATTGATGCCGCTGGGCGGGAATTCAGATACCGAAGATCGGCAAAACGGTAGAAACAAACGGCCACTCAGAACAGAGTGTGGAAAGAGCCAGGTTTGCACTCACCGTAAAATGAAACCAATGGCCTGCAAGAAGCACACGAGAGAAGCAGATGGACGACTCATGCGGGTTGACGGGAGGGAAAATCGGAGCCAAGACGCCCGGAGAAGTCAGCAGTGCAGGCCACGTGCAGGCCGACTCGCCGCGTTTGGTTGGTCTTTGCCACTTTTCTAGATCAACCTCGCTTAAGGGAACTCGATGGGGAAGTTTATGGTTCGTTTTATTTGGGAAATTATACAGAATAATTTGTCTTGTTTGAAAATTGTGGTATTAGCCGCAGAATTTACACAGGACTAGTACTGTGTCTTTCTCGAGGGCAAAATTTCATCATCAATGCCAGGCAGTCGTTATAGCTCTCAGGAGCCAGGAATGCACTAGGCAAAAAAGACAGGTCAATCATCATAGAATGAGCATCGCTCAGCGTCATACAGGCAATCACCGCTTGCTGGATTGCGCCTTCCAACATGATTACAAAAAGAATGGATATGGAACATAGGAAAATGAACAAAAGAAAAAAATTCGTGTCAGAAGAGCAGAGGTTTCCCGTCTACCTCCATGCACCCTGGCTGAGTGACAGCAAGCCTTGGATGCAGTCAAGGTCCTCTTCCTGACTTGCACTACCCCCGCCAGCCATGAATGCAGAGACGTCGGCATCCACTTCCGGTGCGGCTTTACCGTTGCCTCCGCTGACTTTGCGCTGTGACGCCTGAGAAAGCCGAGAGCGTCTGCCGGTGGTCATTAAGTCTTTATTGGCCTTCCCGTCTCTCCCCTTGGACTCTCCCAGAACAGGGCGTTGGGACTGATGCTGGGAAGCCGCCCGACGACGAACATGAGATGCTTGAGTGCCGGGAATCCAATTCTCTTTGTCAGAATCACCACCGTGCAGATCTCCGTCGCCGGCGTCCTTAGCAATCTTCGGGAGTAGCTTGGCCGGTCGGATAGGAGCAGGTGCTGTCCGGTTCAGACGGCTATGGCCGGACTCCAAGCGACCCAAAGAGGAAACGGTCCGTGATATCTTTCGTCGTTTCTCTCTCGCGGCTTGGGGAACGGGTGTGTTGAGGTGCTCGGAAGAGGTGGGAGTAGATGTCAGGATGTTTTTGTGTCTAGCCGATAGGCTTCGAGTTAAAGAACGTGGAGCTCCGGGACGGAAAATGCCAGGGGAGCCGGAGTTGGGCGCGCTTTGTGCGCTAGATGGTGTGGACAAGGCACTTCGGGCATCGGTGTCGAAGAAAGACTCCCAGTTGCGAGGGTCTCGTGACCTCCCGAAGAGTCTATCCTTCTCTGCGGAGCCGCGTGGTGTTCCCAGAACCACCGCACTATTGCTCCGACGAAGACCTGCAAAGCGAGGTTTCCGGGCCGAGAACATCGAAACCCGGTTCTTGGATGGTGACGGTTCGCCTTCGGCGCGGATCACGGCCTTTCCATCTGAAGACATGGCAATTCGAAGCGCGCTCCGACCCTTGGGTGGAGACGGCGTCAATTCGGTGTCCTTTCTTACCATCGCCTCGCCGTCAAACGATAAGGAGATCCTCAGGGAAGGTGGCGACCTAGCATCCGGCACTGCACCCGGAGTGACTGGTTGCTGTACTGCTGGCTGGTCTTCGCGGAGTTCGGAGACTGACCGTTTTCTTTTAGCAGAACTCGGAAGAGCCTCCTCTGGTCCGAGGGGATCGTGTATTTGCGTTGGCTGCGGATCCGGTTCAGTAACGTCCGAGATGGGCTGGCTATTTTCAGGAACTTCGAATGACTCCACGCTCGTTTGGGAGTCGGGACCAAGCTGTTCAGTCTCATCTCTTCCTTCAGGTAATACGTCCGCCTCCACCGGGACGGTGTCGACCAATTGTTCCGCTGAATACTTTTCATTGCCCGATTCCTCGCACTGTTCTGTTCCACTTGAAGAGCCGGGTTCCGCGGGTGAAAGGTCATCACTTGAGTTGTTTTTCGACGCGTCGGTCCCGCTGGAACGCGGAGCTAAGAGTTCATGGGGCTGGAGAGGCTTGGACTTTCGACGGTCGTTCTGACGGCGGTTCTGGAACCAAATCTGGGGAGACATCGTAAGAAAATGGCATTTGGACGGATGGTGGCGCGTAATATCTGGGTTTGCAAGTTAGGCATACCTGCACTTCCTTCTCGCCCAACGAAACCCGCGAGACTATATTTGTGCGGGCAGCCTTGTCTGGTTTGGGGTTTTGTTGATATTCCGACTCGAGAATAGCATGGTCTTCCGGACTATATAAAAAAAAGAAAAGAAAAAATGGTAGGTTAGTCGGGGGTCATCTCCGACGGCAAGATGGTACACCGCAATGCGTACCTCGTCCGGCGACGCTTCTGCCTCGCCAACAATTTATTATCGACCCTCGGAGGCAGGTTCTGGGTCAGAGTCTTCTGCGAGTGGACCAGGAAGGCATAGTTAAGAGCCGCAGCAGCCGCCGACTCGGGCGCCTGGGCAGTGGCCGGGGACGACGAACGTGCCGCTACAGAGGGCTCCGGATCAGACATGGTGGGCTGGCTGGGCTAGATGAGAGAACGGGCGGGAAGCATGAGGGACACGAAAGAGAAAGAGAGAGAAGAAGAGGAGGATGGAGGAGACCGTTCAGGGGAGAGCGGATCGAGAGTGGGAAGGACCCCAAGGTGTAGAAACCAGAACGAAGAAAAGCGCTTCATCTAAATCGCGTCGCGATGTGGACGCGGACGGGGCGTGCAGGCGTTGGACGCATCTTTCCTAGCTCGGTCCAGCCCGCCCGCACGGGATGCCAGTTACCAATGTATTGTCCATACGACGAGGGTTCAATGGCTACAGAGTACGACTATGAGATGGGAATTGAACACATGGTTGAATCTCAACGTAACGACTACCTCGAGACACCCGTCCATGAATTGTCCCGGTCCATCGCAGTCCATCGAACGCTCTCTTCGACGTGTATCTCGTCCAGTCGTCCGTATCGACATACCGGAATCTTACGTAAGGTCGCGCCGGGCGTGTCGTGATGCGCTGTCACGTGGTTGGCGTGCCGTCGACGTCACGTGGCTCGCTGGCAGCGTCTGGAGAATCATTCCATCATTCCGTTCATCTTCTCTTAACTCTTCAAATTGTTCAAACTGTTCATCTCTTTTGAAACGGTAGCGTTCGCTGCTAATCCGGGGCAGGATTGGAAAAGAAAATAGTAAATCAATAAATAAATAGAACTTCGTGCAGTGCGCTCGGAACCAAGTCTCCTTATTTACATATTGAAACTCGCAGACAAAGGCAGTTGAAAAGCGAAAGCAGGCCATTAAGAAAAGGGGGGGGTTAAGTATAGAGAGAAAAGGAGAGCTATAGATATTTTATATGTTACCACAGGCTTCACATTGAATTACAACCAATCATATTAATGTATCCCTATCATGCTAATGTGTACAGAGCACGGAGGTAGTATATACTTCGCAGTACCTATACTAGGTAGCTTCCAACACAAAGATGCAGACCCTCTAGAATCGCACGGATCGTTCTCGCTCATACTCGGGAGTAGGAGTCCAGGTTCCGAAGTATGATGTACGGACAGTACGGAGTAGTAAGGATAGAACATGCCAGTATAGGACTTGTTGGACCCTCCGCCATCTAGGCTGTCATGTTTTATAGCGTGCTCTACTACGGAGTACTATAAAGAAAGTCGATGACACTAACAACATACCTGGCGCCGGAGGCGGTCTCAGCAGCCTAATCGAGTCTAGTCGCCATCGAAATGGCTAGGTAGCTCAATACTTTAAAAAGCATATCTAAAAATATTCGGCCGACGGGAGAAGTGGTTACTGTGCGCAGTACTATAATCAAACACCCTCGAATTCTCTCATTTCGTAGCTCACACTAAGGGAAACAATCAATAACGTCAATAAATCTCCTTCGCGGCCGTTCCTATCGAACTCTCCGTAGAAAGGGGTGGATCTGCAGACTCTTTTTTTTGCGTATCCACCGGTAGGGGATCCGATCGCCAGAGAGCTATGGAGGGCGGAATTGATCGACAGTGCAGTTCGGCGGCAGTTGTCGATGAGGTGATGATGCGCAGAGCCCAGATAGAATCGAATGTCGATAGATATTAGATGGGCACTGGGCAATTGATGGCAACATTGTGATTGTCCGCGGACTTCGTAAGGTACAACCCACCGCCTCCTATTCCATCTACCGAAGGAGGGCCCTAGGCAACCTAACCACACACCGTTCTGAATGGTGCCATTAGCTCCTGGGCCCTCCATCTAAATTTATCGATACACTTCCCTCCCCGGATGCAGAACCATGAAAAAATTGCCGGCTCCATTGCCACTGGACCAATCATTCGCAGATGGTCCATCGCAGCTCCCGACATGCTGAGTTTTCAGTTTTCAGATTGGAGACCGGCAGAGCCGAAGCCACAGCTAGTCTCACCTGCCAAACCGGTTTCCCGGCGTGGTCCAATATCCACGGAGAAAGGAAGTGGCTGTCGCTGGGCGTTGGACTGGGATGCTTGGAAGGGGGCCGGGTGTAACCAGTGAACCACCTGGATGTCACCTCGCGGAGCCAACGCCGCGCAGGAAGTGACGCCAGAGGTTTGGCCCCCTCCATATGATTATATGTATTATGTACGGAGTACTCTATGTAACGCACGGAGGAGCGACCTCTCTCCCCCACGCAGGAAGGTGAGGAGAGCGCCTTGCTTTTAAGGATCCTCCGATGAAACACCCAAGAAAACACCGTGAACCAGCAAACCCCCTGCAGAACTCGCATGATTGGCCCCCGCCCCTATCGGGGGGGCAGGCGTGCCAATCGATTGGCCCAGCGGCTGCCTGACCGCTAGTCGACGCTTTACCCAACTGGGACTAGAACCAGGCACAGGGACCACGCTAGGCCTGGCCGGGACTAGCGAGGAGCGCCACCGCGAGCCAAGAGGGGCGGGTTTCCGGAATTGGGCGACCCCCTTAACGACTAGAGGGCAAACTAGTGGCATCGAGTGCAGAAGAAAAGAAACCGAAAAATCAAAAAGACCGTCCTGCTAATAATAAACCCCCGAAGGGAAATTACTTGCCTCTGCGGACTAAGACCGACTAATTAATTCATTAGGATGGATTCAGTTAAAGCGAAAAAAGGATCCATGATGGGCTTTCTTTCTTCTTCCTGTCGTTCCCCTCCGGATCTTCTCCCTCATCGATCGTTTCATCCTCCCTCGTCTATATCCCTTCTTGCGGGTGGGCTTCAGACTCCTCGTGCGATTTGGTCGCACATCCATTCTTTCGTCGCTTGCATTACCGCATAGTCATTCCTTTCGAGAATTCCGGCGTCTATCAATTGTAAACACTCGCTTGTTGTGTGCGCCCCCTTTCCGTCCTTATCTCTCCGACCCCGTATAATTGGGTGGTCCACCGAGGGTGCGATCTATAGACCATTGCGAAACACCGCAGAACAAATCCGCCGCCTTTCAAACTCACCCGGGGGGAGCTGGCTCTAGACGCGTCCGTCCTCCCACCATGTCGTTCCTTCGCTTTTTGACGCTCTGGGCCATCGCCGTCTGCTGCGTCACGGCGCAGACATTCACCGACTGCGATCCGCTTAAAAAAGACGACTGTCCGGCAGCGCCGGCTTTGGGTACCAACCACTCATGGGTCTTCAATAAGACCGTCGACGACACGATCTGGAACGTCACCAATGGCAGACTCTACTACACCGACGAGGGTGCCGAATTCACAATCAAAACGAAGCTACAATCCCCCACGCTGCAGTCGAACTTCTACATCTTCTTCGGAATCGTCGAGTCCCACGTCAAGATGGCCAAGGGTGCCGGAATTATCAGCAGTGTCGTGCTGCAGTCCGCCGATCGGGACGAGATCGATTGGGAATGGGTCGGCTACAACACCTCCGAGGTCCAGTCCAACTACTTCGGCAAGGGTAACGATACGAGTTTCGACCGCGGTGGATATCACGGTCTGTCCAATGCCGACACCGAATTCCACAACTACACCACATATTGGTCGAAAGAGAAGATCGAGTGGTGGCTAGACGGCGATCTCGTGCGGACGCTGAAATACGAAGATGCCCTGGACGGCAAGAACTTCCCGCAAACGCCGAGCAACGTGCGATTCGGTGTCTGGCCGGCCGGTGACTCTGGAAATAAACAGGGAACCATCGAATGGGCTGGAGGTGAGGTCGACTATGACAAGGGTCCTTACACCATGGTGGTTAAGAAGGTGCGTGTGCACGACTTCCACACCGGCAAGGAGTACTCGTATGGCGATCGCTCCGGTTCGTGGGAAAGTATAAAGGTTGCCGAGTAGGTTTTCCCTGCCCCCCTCCATTTTTGCAGATCAAACCAGAAAACATGAGGCTAACCCGATGGCTAGTGGTAATTCAACGACCCTCGAAGAATTAAACAAGCCTCCACCGAAGTCCACGGCCGAGAAATGGGCCGAGCTACCGAAGGCGGCGAGGGTCGGTATTTACTGCGGTGCGGCGGCAGCTGGTATCATTCTCATCGTCGCATTCGTTTTCTTCTTCATCAAGCAGCGCAAGAGAGGCCGTCTCGAACATGCTCTCGATGACGCCAAATGGAACAGCGACCGGACCGAGATGACCAACCTCCAACAAACGACTTGGAAGCAAGCCGATTTCCGACACAAGGGCTACCAGCCGGTAGCATAAACACTTTCCGCCCAGACGATTCTGCGATCAGAACCGACTCTCCCTTACGTTCATTCCGAAACCATTCAATCAAACCAATTCCTGGAGGGTTCCCTCGTGCAGCCTGATCTGCAAGGGGGCCAGTCCACTTTGCCACACCCACGTGCAAAGGTGCCGCGGAATCCAAACAATTGTATCCTTGCACCTGCTTTGCTGGCCAAAGTTGCACGGGTTGGTGTTGGAGATATACGGGGTTTTTGGCGTCAGTGGTGAAGTCAGACTCATGATACATCCTCGCACTCCTTTTTCTTGTATCTATCCTTCATAGTCATGTCCATATTCTACCTCCCTCCTTTCTTTTGAGGAGGTTTCCGTCGATTGTATATACCTATCTATTTGTATCGTTTCACTTTCAGCCATCTGATTACTGTTCTTCAAATCCCTCCATTGGTTGCTTGTTTGGGGAGTTTCGACTTTCTACCTTGGGTTTCTTCCCGGCTATTGGTCTTGAACGTTCGCTATAGACACATTTACTCTCTCGTTACTTCCAACCATTTCTTGTCGTCTGAACCTAGTGGATTGGGCGTGATATCCCACCCAATCTCGGTGCCCTGGACCTTGGCAGAATGTCGCACAGCCTTCATCTGCCCAAAGCCGGTTTCCGTTATTTCCAAATACTCCTCGGGGACGTCGGTAATCTGGTTATAGCCCCGCGAGCCGAAGCCGTCCTTCCCGTCAAACTGTCCCAGCGATCGCAGATACTTCATCACACCGGCCAGAGACACGTTGACTTCCCAGGATCCGCCCTCGGTCGCTTGCTTATAAAGCGCAGCCTGAATGCCGGACGCGAGGAAATAGCCCGCAGCATGGTCTAGGGCTTGACATGGCATCGCGCGAGCAGGCTCCCCGGCACCGTAATGCTCGGCCTCGGAAACGTTCATCCCAGAGCACGTCTGGACCAGCGAATCAAACCCTCGGTTGTTGGCCCAGGGCCCTGTCGGTCCGTATGCTGACATATTTGCGCAGATGATTCCCCGGTGAGAGAACTTCTGGGCCAGCGTGTCCGACGACAGGCCGCGGGACGCAAGGCTTCCTGGCCGATAGCCTTGCACGAAAACATGGGCACCGTCAAGAAGGGCATCGAGCTCTTTCTGACCCTCTGGGGTTAACAGGTCCACCTGGACCGTTCTTTTCCCCCGACCACAGTCCCGGTCCAGCGAGGGCAGGTCCGGTAGATTCGGACTTGTCACCCAGAGCACGTCCGCACCGTGGGCAGCCAGCGTCCTTCCCGACACAGGGGCTGCGATGACCCGCGACAGTTCAAGCACACGCAGGCCCCGAAGACATTTGTCGGCATTCGCTTCACGCATCTCCCGCGGCAACCCAACCGGGGCATCCCCAATACGACGCAGGAGGATAGGGAAGTCGGACACGGCCTGAGCTTGCGGCAGGGCGTCCCATTCCGAATAACTCCGGAGCGCCGCGATCACCAGGTTAGAATTGATTCCAGCCGACTCGAGGTCCGTCGATCGCCAGCCCGCGATCTTGGCGGCGACTTCCGGGCGATCGGCATCAGGCGAACATCCTAGTAGAGCCGCCGTGCCGTGGCGATGGTGCAAGAAGTTATCGTGCACGCGAACATACCCATCCGCTGATTTGTGCAAACCCCCAATAGGTCCCCATACGGACGGAACTGGCTGGCCTGCTACCGTATAGAGCTTCTCCGAATTGAACTCGATGGCTGCATGCTGGCGCGGGACGCTTACGATCGGAGTCGGGATGGAATTCCGCCGGGCGTGAATCAGTGCCGCAAGCAAGGCGGATAATCCGATGGATGCCTGGGCTAGATCTGCGATCTTGAAAGACGACGGGAGGCATTTCTCGTCGCCACTTATCTGAAGCGACTGGAGCGCTTCATCCGGAAGGCCGAGTCCTTGCCAGATGTACCGCACGGTGTCTTGGGCCGAGAAAGTCGTCCGGTCTGGCGCCGGGTGGTTTGTTATTGAAGACTCGGACATTTTTGTACGAAATGGGGACAATATCGTCTTTTATGTCAGCCTAGAACGCACAGATGAGCATTGTACATTGATTGACTGTCTAGCGGATGTTTATGAAGGTTCTCTGACTCGGCGAAACGGCTGGAACTCCGGAATGGATGAGGCATTATTCGGCGCCCACGGCCGAGGGCTGCGTTGATTCGTGGCAGCCTACAGAAAGTGTAGGTGCTTTTGCGTGATAGAATGGCGTGTCTTGAACGATCGACCTCTTGGGCATGGATTCATTCTAGAATAAGTCAGCCTTATAAACCGGAGTCATGACGTCGGTTAGATGCTGGAGGCCTGAGGCAAATAGCTGCCTTAGGCAGTTATTCTCTCACGTCTTGCCCTAATGACTCCATCACACTCAGCGATGCATGTCTCACTGTTTGAATACTGTCCAAAGAATTCAAACGGGTCAATTTATTTCATTCTATTTCGTACTACCTACACTGAGAGTGAGTCTTGGTCAGTCCCACTCATTCCAACCTCCCATCTTGAACCTCGGCTCAATCTTATCTTGGCCACTGCTCGTGGCTGTCGACAATATTCCCTCATTCTACTCCGTAAAACCGTAAAACCGTAAAACGGATTTTATTTGGAGAACATGACTGCCTAGTTTTCATTTTGGCGTTCTTGACTGGTAGAGGAAGTGGAGTCGGTGGAGTCTGTTAGTTTAGAGAGTGAAGAACTTGGCACTAGATTTTTTTTTCTATTATTATTTTGACCGGGCATACTTTCCTTTTTAATATTGTGACTAAGTGGTACATTTACGCCTATTCCGTATATGAAATAATTTGCTAGATATACAATTTATTCAATAAATGTATGTACTGGACATATATATCACAAAAGAATAAACCCCAAACAAACCACGCATCCTCTCATCCCCATCTTTATTGGTCTAAACCAAACCAAGTAGTGCTGTGCAATATACCTACTGCACATTGCTGAACTTGTCCTGCTTGATCTTGATGGCATCCGCATGCCACGTCTTGCCACTGTCGGAGGTGGTGAAACCGGTCGAGGCAGTGCCGCTGTACAAGCTGAGGGTGTCACCGTACTTCTCGTCGGCCTCGCTCAGGTGGATCGTGATGTTGGTGTAGCTGTAGGCCTCGAGGGTGCCACAGGTGCCGGAGCCGGTGTAGCATTCATCTCCGGAGTAGAGGTAGAGGAGGTCGCTGTCCAGGGCTGTGGAACGGTGTTTAGCTGGGTTGATCATTCGTAGGGTTAGATCTGTACGTACCGTCGGATTCCTTCGACACGACCTTGCCGTCGATGGTGACGGTCTGGAGGACCTTCTTGTTTTCGACGGAGGCTGGGATCATGTCAGTTGAGGGGTTCTGGTGCGCATGGATTGTGGAACAAGAGGGGAGGACGCACTCTCAAAGTCAACCTGCGTGTCCTTAGGCACGGTGACGTAGGCCTGGCCGTTCTGGCCGTCTGGAATCGCGTTAGTATTAATATGCAACCTAACTGGGGACTTTCGATCCCCCTAGGCTAAAGAATGAGGGACTCACCGGGAGTATAGGTGCTAGCAGCAACGCACCACTCCTCAGCGCTAGCCGAGCAGCCCCTGCAGTCTTGTTAGCTTATATGATCCAAAATTTTGTAAATAAGGATTGGAATACATACTGGGATTCCTGGTCGGGCGACCAGTTCAGCAAAGGCTGGTACAGGTTGGCGCCCTCGTCACCGGCGGTCGAGGACAGGCCGATCCAGAGCGAGACCCAGACCTGGTCGCTCTCGTCCTCGACGGTGACGCCCTCGGGCACGGCGGGGGGCACGAGAGACCAGGTGGCCTTGGTGATGTGGGCGTTGCCGGACGAGGGGCCGGAGTAGAAGCCGTTTCCAAAGGCCCAGGAGTCCTTGGTGGTGGCGGCGGCGCGGAGGGCCAGAGCCAGAGGGACGGTGGTATAGGCAGAACGCATGATGATGGGGGTTTTGAGGGAAAGAATGGAAGAGTAACGAGCCGGTCGCTACGGGAAAGAATGAAAAGTAGAAGCGAATGAATGGGTTAGAGAACGAAAGGAAGGTGAAGAGGAAGAAAGCATAGCGGCAGCATGGCTAAGATATAAGGTGATGATTTCTGAAAAGCTTAGCTTCCGGAGGAGGTGAAACTGTTTCAGGGGAGATGACTACCGTGAGACTAAATTAAAAATATACTCAGAATATAGAGGACCCATTGGTTGTTGGGAGCCCAGAACGAGACTGGCGGGCGACTGAAACAGTCCAGGTGAATTGGCTGCTCTTTAGGCTGTTTTAAGTGCTCGGCCTGGCGAAATCTCGCCGATGTTTAAATGAAAATGGGGGAGATTAAGAATTCATGACATGGAGTTGTGGGAAAGCCCCCCATATCGTGATTCGTGACCCGCAGAGAAATGGAACGTCCGTGACCGTACTCGTATTTTGTCCAAATTACTGCATGTTCGAGTCTCGAATTGGGGAGGATTCAAGGCTGATGAGCATCATTTCCCCTATTGACCGGTGGAGTGCATTGCGGTGGAGACCGCGGGTTGCGAGGCCGATATAAACTAGTACTCACGTCGGGACTCTGGCAACCTTATTGCTATTTACTAGGCATTTAGCATCCCCGTTATGTCCGCTTACTCAGTCTGAAGTTTGAACTGACCAGGCAAATTGCTTCGAAGTATCATTATTCACCAATTTACTCCGTAGACAAGACCAAGCGCTAAGTGGGGTGTGAGCAACTCGATTCCAGGATGTCGAAATGCCACTCGAGTCTTTTGATTAAACAACACCTATTAAATGAATTATGACCAATTTCTCCGAGCAATTGTGGGGTAATTACATATGGGCAACGAGTCCTGACTGACAGAGAGTCAGAGACCGAGAAGACGGCCCATGGCGTGATCGGCCGGAGCCCTAATTAATTAATCTTCAATTAACGGTGACCAGCTCAGTTTCACATAGACATCCTCCGGACCAAGGAGAACCACAGACTTGTGCCCCTTCTGGATATAAAAATATCAGAGGACTGCCCTTCGTCGTACTTCCAGGTTCTAGCTAGACTTGGAGCTTTGAAATCGGGGTTGTTTGAGTGCTCTGTGGGAAAGGTAGGACGGATACTACCATCTACCACTGCAGATGCGGTAGAACAAACTCACGTTCAAGATACTCTAAGGGATGAATGGATGAATTGATGAATATATCTTACTTTGTGGCCCTGCCTTTCATGCTCGCTGCACATGTGGTTTGGAAGAATTAGCGACAACAGCAGTTGGGGTACCATAGGGCAGAGTATGAGCCATGTCCACGAGTCAGTCTCAAACTTGCATCAATACTCAAGCACAGCCTCTTTGGATATTCCAGGAGAGCACAATGACGTAGAAGGACGCAGGGATCTCTGTCGGATTGACAATCGGACTGCTGACGGCGCCACTGCATGCTTGGCCCTCGGTAGGCAGGCCGCGTCGATCCGACTCGATCTTATCGCACCTTATTCTAGTCAGCCCTGAGATTAGCATTATTATCCCACTTATGCAGTCAGTTTCTAGTTCGACACTGGTCTAGCCGATTGCTTATTTGGATGACGACTCCTTCGTCTCACGATTATCCTCAATTATGCAAGAATTATGCCCAGCGTGCCAGGACCATTAGGTAATCCCGCGGTGGCAAGTGACCGACCGAAGGATCGTCGTGGAATGGCAGACTGACAAGTGACAGTGACAAGGGACAAGGGACAAGGGACAGTCGATGCCAGGCAGATGATTAGTGAACACGGGACCAGGAGTCCAGGTCGGCATCGGCGCACGAAGTCGCGATGGAAACGGCGTTCTCCGAGTCTGCGGTGGAACCGTTGGGACGCGTTTATGCACATCTTATGAGGCCCCGACAGCATAAGGCGCCCGTCAATCAGCACAACGCGGATTCTAATCTGCTCTGCCACGGCCACATCCGAGGCATTTCCTCTTCCAGGCATGCGCCCGATCTCGAGATGCCATGAGCTCGACCTTTATCTGCTGTTACCTTTTTTTATTTATTTTTTGTCTGATTTTTGTTGACCGTGTATTTTCTGGGCGTGTCTTGTCATTTGCGACAGTCCATCCCGTCACACGTGCTACAGCCAACGTCCCCCCCCCCGGTATAACCTTAAATACTGACCGTCTCGCCCCTCTGCATCCCTCCCTCTTCAGTCCCTCGTCCGTCACCAATTCCATCAATTTCGTCGGTTCCTGATACACCGCTTCAATCCATCGCCATTTCCATCCTCCCCCTTCGCATTGGTGACCGACGAAATCCCTGGGAATCATCGCTTCGCTCCTTGGAACCCCGCCATCTCGTCTACGTCATCGATCCCCGATGGCGAACGAATCGAAATACATCCCCATTCCGGGGCCTAGAGGCGTCCCCTTCCTGGGGAACGTGCTGGATGTCGACCCCGAGGTGCCTGAGCAGAGTTTCTCGTTGATGGCAGATACCTATGGTAGCTTCCCTCCCGCCGTGCGCCCAGATCGGCTGTCCAGCTGACGCTTCCCAGGCCCGATCTTTCGGTTATCCATTGTCGGAAAGACGAGAGTCTTCATCAGCACCCATGAATTGGTCGACGAGATCTGTAACGAAGAGAGATTCACCAAAAAAGTCGTAGCGGGCCTGCAAGAAATTCGAAATGGTGTCGAAGATGGCCTGTTCACGGCCCACTATCCCGGGGAAGAGAACTGGGAAATCGCACACCGAGTGTTGGTTCCGGCATTTGGACCTCTCACAATTCGAGCGATGTTCGATGGTAGGTTTTTTTTTTTTTTTTTGTTTTTGGTTGTCTAATCCGCCCATGTTGGTACTAACGCCGTCAAGATATGTACGACATCGCTAGTCAGCTTGCCCTGAAATGGGCCCGTCAGGGCCCCAATGTGCCCATCATGGTCACCGATGATTTCACCCGGTTAGCCCTAGACACCATTGCCCTCTGCTCGATGGGTACTCGTTTCAATTCATTCTACCATGAAGATATGCATCCGTTCGTCGAGGCGATGGTCACGTTGCTGCAAGGTTCGGGTGACAGAGCCCGGCGGCCGGCGCTCATGAACAGCCTCCCCACCAGCGACAACAACAAGTACTGGCATGATATTGAATTCCTACGGAAGTTGGCTCAGGACCTGGTGGATGCCCGCAAAAACAACCCGGAGGATAAGAAGGATCTCCTCAACGCCCTGATCCTGGGCCGCGACCCGAAGACCGGTCAAGGTCTCTCGGACAGCTCCATCATCAACAACATGATTACCTTCCTGATTGCCGGTACGGAATGCCATCCACATAGGAGTGCTTTGACGAGCTAACTGGCGTTCTAGGCCACGAGACAACTTCTGGCATGCTCTCGTTCTTGTTCTACTACCTGCTCAAGAATCCGAAGGCCTACCAGAAGGCACAGCAAGAGGTGGATACGGTGATCGGACGACGCAAGATTACCGTGGAGGATGTGTCGAAGCTGCCGTACATCACCGCTGTGATGCGCGAAACCCTCCGTCTGCGATCCCCGGCTCCTTTGATTGCTTTCCACGCCCATCCCACAAAGAACACCGAGACTCCTGTGACTCTTGGAGGCGGGAAATACGTCCTGGAAGAAGACGAGGCCATTGTTGCCGTGCTGGGCAAACTACATCGGGACCCTAAGATCTACGGCGATGACGCGGAGGAATTCAGGCCGGAGAGAATGCTGGACGCCGAATTTGAGAAACTGCCCAAGAACGCATGGAAGCCATTTGGCAACGGCATGCGCGCCTGCATCGGTCGTCCATTTGCTTGGCAAGAAGTGCTGCTTCTGGTGTCGATGCTCCTGCAGAATTTCAACTTCCAGATGGACGATCCCAGCTACGACCTGCGGTTGAAGCAGACCCTCACTATCAAGCCCGAGGGCTTCCACATGAAGGCGACCCTTCGAAATGGCTTGGATGCCACCAAGCTGGGTGCTTTCCTGAACAGCGGCGAGGCTCCCTCCGCAGACTCCGATGCGAACGGCAAAGACCGTAAGAAGAAGGCGACCCCGGCGGGCGATGCTAAGCCGATGCACATATTCTTTGGCAGCAACACTGGCACCTGTGAGGCGTTTGCTCGAAGACTGGCAGATGATGCCGCCGGATATGGATTTGCTGCTGAGGTGAAGTCTCTGGACTCAGCCATGCAGAACGTCCCGAAGAACGACCCGGTGGTTTTCATATCGGCCTCGTACGAAGGCCAACCCCCGGACAATGCCGCTCACTTTTTCGAGTGGCTGAGCAACCTGAAGGAGAACGAACTCGAGGGCACAAACTACGCCGTCTTTGGCTGTGGTCATCGTAAGTACTTTTCTCGGCCCCTCAACTTTCCGCATTCTCGCTAACCACAAAACAGACGACTGGCAAGCCACCTTCCATCGAATCCCAAAAGCTATCAACCAGCTGGTTGAGGAGCGCGGTGGAAACCGTCTTTGTGACCTTGGAGTCGCCGATGCCGCCAACTCAGACATGTTCACAAATTTCGATAACTGGGGCGAATCCTCGTTCTGGCCTGCGGTGACGGGCAAATTCGGCCGCTCCGAGGCTAAAGAAAGCAAATCCGCCCTTCAGGTGGACGTCAGCAAGGGAACTCGGCCCTCAACATTAGGCCTTCAGCTGCAGGAGGGGTCTGTTATCGAGAACAAACTTCTGACGGCACCTGGAGCCCCCGTTAAGAGGATGATTCGTTTCAAGCTTCCCGTCGATATGACCTATCAATGCGGTGATTACCTTGCCGTGCTTCCCACAAACCCGGAGCATATCGTCCGACGAGCGATTAGTCGCTTCAATCTCCCGTCGGATGCCATGCTGACGGTCTCGAAGCCATCCCAGACCTCCAATGGGCCCACCGCGATCCCCTTGGACGCGCCCATCTCCGCTTTCGAGCTCTTTGCCACGTACGTCGAGCTATCTCAGCCGGCCTCCAAGCGAGATGTTACCACTATTGCCAACGCCGCTTCTTCGGATGCGGACGTTCAGGCCGAGCTTCAATATCTCGCGTCCAGCCCCACCAGGTTCACCGAGGAGATCAGCAAGAAGCGTCTGAGCCCCCTGGACATCCTTATGCGGTACCCCTCCGTCAACCTCCCCATCGGCGACTTCCTGGCCATGCTGCCGCCCATGCGCGTGCGTCAGTATTCCATCTCCTCCTCGCCCCTGGTGGACCCCACAGAATGCTCGATCACCTTCTCCGTGCTCAACGCCCCGTCCCTGGCCTCCGAAGACGAGCAGTATCTCGGCGTGGCCTCCACGTACCTGTCCGAGCTGCAACCCGAGGAGCGCGCCCACATCTCCGTCCGCCCGTCGCACGCGGGCTTCAAGCCGCCCGTGGACCTCGACACGCCCATGATCATGGCCTGCGCGGGTAGCGGCCTGGCCCCCTTCCGCGGCTTCGTCATGGACCGCGTCGAGAAGATCCGCGGCCGCCGCAGCCCTATGGGCTCGGCCGAGGAACACCCAGAAGTTGGCAAAGCCGCTAAGGCCATCCTCTACGTGGGTTGCCGCACTCAGGGCAGCGACGACATCCACGCCGACGAGCTGAACGAGTGGGAGCGCCTCGGCGCCGTCTCCGTGCGCTACGCCTACAGCCGACCCGCCGACGGCACGCCCGGCCGCCACGTGCAGGACCTGATGCTCGACGACCGCAAGGAGCTGGTCGACCTGTTCGACAGCGGTGCCCGCGTCTACGTCTGTGGCACGACGGGCGTCGGCCAGGGCGTGCGCCAGGCCTGCAAGTCCATGTATCTCGAGAAGCGCCGCGAGCATTACCAACTCAAGCGCGAGAGCGGCGAAGATGTCGACGAGGGCGACGAGGAGAAGGCCGCAGAGGAGTTCCTAGAAGGTCTGAAAACGAAGGAGAGATACGCCACCGACGTGTTCACCTGAGGCTAGTGACCCATGTCTTTTTCTTTTTTGGTTGAGTCTTAGCGTTTTGGGTTGCATTGAGAATGTTTATAGAAATGATGGGATGGGACTGGATTGGAAGACCAGGCCTTCGCTTGCATATTTTGGACTAGTCTTTTCTAGGGACAAGACTGTTAAATTTATATTAGGTTGGATATAAAATGTTAGATTGCGGCCCTTCGGCCTCTTATTTTTTTTATTTTTATTTTTTTTTTATTTTCTTTTTCTGAAGTCGTTTCTAATCGTCAAATACATATGTGCGTGAAGGTCTTACTGATTTCCTAGACGGCACGGGTCAATCTTATATCCAGCTCATCTGTATTCACCTATCGTCTATCTCTTGGAACTTGAATACACAGCCCTTATCTATATCCATATCCGTACCCATATTCATATCCACGACCATATCCGTATCATCATAGTCTGCCGTCAGACTTCTGCATCCCATCATATCGTCCCGATATCACGAAGTTGCAGGCTCATTTACTTAAGCCTTGAAAGCAACGGCCGAGCCAGTAGGGATAGCAGCACTGGTCGGGGTCGGAGCAGGAGGGAAGCCAGGGAGCTGGCCACCAACGGGCTTGGGGAGCTCGGGGAAGCCACCGGTCGGCTTAGGGAACTCGGGGAAGTTGGGGAGGCGGGAGAAGTGAAGCGGCAGGGCGGCATCCTCCTCGCGCTTGAGGGAGAGACCGGTGGGCAGCAGCTTGGAAATGTCGGGGAGGCCGGAGGGCAGAGAGAAGGGCAGGCCACCGGAGCCGCTGGAGCCGCTGGAGCTTCCGGTTTGTCCAGAGGGGTGCAGCAAGTCGGAGATTCCGCTGGGGATGGGGAAGGGCAGACCTTCGGATCCGCTGGATCCGCCAGAGGTGCCGGTTGCGCTCGACGAGTCAGATTCGCCGGATCCTCCGGAGGGCAGCAGGTCGGAGATTCCGCTGGGGATGGGGAACGGCAGGCTGCCGCTTTCGTCGCGCTTGCTGGGCAGCAGCTTGGAGATGTCGGGGAGGCCGGAAGGCAGAGAGAAGGGCAGACCGCCAGAGCCGCTCGAACCGCTGGAGCTACCAGAGCTTCCAGAGGGATGGAGCAGGTCAGAGATTCCGCTGGGGATAGGGAAGGGCAGACCTTCGGATCCGCTGGATCCGCCAGAGGTGCCGGTTGCGCTCGACGAGTCAGATTCGCCGGATCCTCCGGAGGGCAGCAGGTCGGAGATTCCGCTAGGGATGGGGAACGGCAGGCCACCGCTTTCGTCGCGCTTGATCGGAAGTCCGGTGGGCAGCAGCTTAGAGAGGTCGGGCAGGCCGCCAGAGCCGCTCGAGCCACTGGAGCTATCAGAGCTTCCAGACTGTCCAGAAGGATGGAGCAAGTCGGAGAGTCCGCTAGGGATAGGGAATGGCAATCCTCCGGACTCGCCAGATCCTCCAGATCCCCCAGTCGGGATCGGTAGGTTAGGGAGTCCACCAGAAGGATGGGCAAGGCCGCTTGGAAGAGGGAATGGAATGTTCGGGAGTCCCTGGTGTCTCTCGTCTTGGGAAGGAGTGGGCAAGGCGAGGGCACAGCCCATGAAACCCAGAATGGCGGCGTTGGAGTACTTCATTTTGAAAGAAATTGAAAGACTGAATGTATTTCGGTGGTTTCGTCAAAAGGAAAGGCAGATGATATCAAATCACAAGAGAGAAAGAATTGAATACCAGATTCAATCGAGTCCGAGCTCACTGAGTTGGATTCTAAGATGGTCATGGACGGGTCGGGGCCTGGCCTTTATAGATTTGGACGCAAAGCAACAACCTGACAAGAACTGGGACGAGTAATCAGTACAATTTGGACCGAAAGCACCTCATCAAGGAAGGCTGTAAGAAGATCACCAAGCCACGGACAGGCATATCCTTCCATCGGGTCCATCGAAGAAACACAATATTGAGAAGTGGATGCATCGTGGAGCCTTAGACGTCAGCCGTCCGAACGGCGTATCTTCGACTGTGAGCGCACGCCATGCTAGTGCCGTCACTGCCGTGCTAGCAGAAATTGCAATGATCTTCCTGTATACGAAACAAGGCAGGTTCCAGGGTCTCCTGGCTAAGGGTGCCAACAAGGTTAAGGAACGGGACCGAGACTCAAAAACGAGACTTTCCTCAGGGAAAGACGATGGAGTCGCACACCATATCGCAGACCTTAACTTAATTTCCACGCTTTATGACGTGATCCTGGAACAGCGATGGTTCTCCCATGCTTCCATTCCAGCGACGCGAGTCCCTACCGAGTGTCTGTAGGCTCTGCAAAGCCGCACACTGCGCCCCTACCATGGGAATAAGAGGACGATCTGGGTGTTTTGTGGAGGGAAGCCCCACATCTCACGATCGACACGCATCATAAAACCATGGGTGGCCATCGTCGTAGGGCCAGTGAGAACCCAATCTACCTGCGGTACGCCAGATCAGCATTCTTCCACCGAGTCTGAACCGGCCTTGGGAATCGCGCCCCGGGGAGAAGCCAGGATCACCCCAGTCCGTTCGCTGTTGGCCTGACCATCTGCAAGGGACCCCATAGGTGTTGGTCACTCAATCCGAACCGTTTCCCGTCAGGTACGTATCAGGTGTATAGAGTGGCGACGATCGTCGCATTCTGGTTGGTGCAGCCAGATGGCTTTCGCCGAATTCGGGGTCTGGTCCGAGAGCACAGGGTTGTCGCTACGTTTCAGAAATGTCTGAAAAATGAAGCAATTGAACACCCTCGAGCCATGAAACCGACAGATTCCGAACCGGAGTTTCCCCGGGGACGTGTCATCAAAAGGTTGTTCCTGGCCCTGAACCAGAAAGACGAGGTAAAAAAGGAAGAAAGGAGAGGATCGAGCGGCAAAAACAGCCGCGGGAAAATCACGCACCACGGATGCCTCAGGCATGCGCGCCTTTTGTGCCCTATCCTCATGTTTTTTGTCATTTGGTATCTGCAATGTCCAAAACTTGTCTTGATGATCAGTTGCCACATTTCCCCTGAAATGTGCCAGCAGCCCTTGCCAGTTGACATCCTAGTGCCTGCACCTGCCACACTGTAGAAGCATGGTCCCTCAATGGTGGGAATATGGCTCATAATCTAAAAGGCACTTCCGCCCCGTGAAATAAACTTCAAGCCGGCTGCTAGTATGAAACTGTAAGAGAAATATCACGATAAGAATAAACACGATTCCATTAGGGTCGCTTTGGCAGCAACAGTAGCAGCAACACTCTCACCATCGTATGTCGTGGGTTCTCCTTGATCTCCCTTCAGCATAGGCACTTTCCAAGTACAACAGCCCGGAGGTCATAATTCCAGATTCTGGGCCTCTTGCGGAACAACGCAAGGATCGTCCCACGTACCGGGAACAGTCTATCCATCTCCCACAGCGGTCGTCAATGGGTTCTAGAATTGACAAATCCACGGTCAATCTAATCCACGACCTAGCCTTGATGGCCGAAAACCATAATTCGATCGTCATATAGGGAAGACAGGTACCGAAGCCCTCGGATGGACGATCTTCGCTGAATCAGGACCACTCTAACTGCCGACGGGGGTGCACACATCGGACACGGCATTCGGACAGCCAGGGCCTAGGCAGTGATCCGTGTATCACTATCAGACCGGTCTTGAATTGAATTTTCTCGAATCCCGAAGGTTCCAAGGCTGACGCTTCCAACCCTCCTACAATAGCGCATGTTCCACCCTGGAACGATGACGACAGTCAAGTGTCTCGGTGATGATCAATCAGATTTCTTGATGTGACGCCCCTTACTGTTGGTTTTCAGGGCTAGTTACACGTTCAGCCAATTGAATGACCATCATTCAGAGTTGCTCGCCCTTGCTCGACACACAGTGTATGAACTAATTGATGTTGTAAATTGTATCAGATGAGATCAGCTGTAGTTGGGATTCCGTGTATTTCCCTAGCTTTGTGGGGGGAATTTGTTTGACACTATCTCGGAGATTTGGTGGCTGGAGAAATAGCTCATTGTCACATTTCATGATGAAAGAGTTCGATGATGAAGAGAATTGACGAGAAGAGAAGAAAGAACGAAAGAGAAGCAGGAAAAGGAAATATGGATTCCCGATGGGGACTAGTGCACCCCACGTGGGGCGTCCACCACGTGATCTAAAATTTCTCCGGCCAAAAAAAGCATCAAACAAAACGTCAACTGGAATCCATTTCACGTTCACTTTGTTGGTGCTTGTTTGCCTCCTGCCCCGCTGTGGCTTGCATCCACAATCATGGTGTCAGTCAGCCTTGGGCCGCTCTCCAACTTCTCGCAATCGCGCTATGTGATTCATCTGTCGGACGGCAAGCGTCTGGTGCTATTCCGCCTACCGTCTATCGAATCGCCAAGCGGGAGAAGTAAAAGTGCAAACGAAACCGATGACGGCTGGTTGTATTACGCGATGGAGGCCGAATGTCCCCATGCCGGCGGGCCGATGCAGGACAGCTCAGTTGACATCGAAGATTCGGCCTATATCGTGTCATGTCCGTGGCATGCGTACGATTTCAATGTAGAGACGGGCGAATCGAGTGTCGGGATCACGGCTTGCACGTTCCCCATCAACGTTCACGGTGAGAATGTGGCGATGCAGTATCCTGGAGACAACATCACCGCCACCAAACTCGAGCCAGTGAGCGAGAAGATGCGGCTGAAGAAGAACGAGCCAGCAAGCAAATCTACTGCACCAACCCAGGAGACTTTGCCATCTGAGCCGGCTCGGTATCTGGACGAGAAGGCCACACTTTGCGACTGGTGTGCGCACATCTTAAATACATCCAATCCCGAGCATAAGATTGAACTGACGGCACATCTGTATGCGACTTTTACCGAGAGGGAGGGCTCGTCGTCTCCCATGCCGCTGGGACGTGGCACCGTGCCCGCTCCGGCTGAACCGCCTCGTGATGGACTGACGTCCGTCAAACCTTGGGAGATGCCGAGAGCAGGAAAGGGAGGCACCCTCAAAAGTAGAATTTCTATGCTACACGCCCTGGCCAATATTGAACAGTGGGCCATCGACCTTGCCCTCGATATTTGCATCCGATTCGCCGCCTTCCAGACGGAGGCAGCGTCGCAAGGCAGCCCTCGGGAGTTGCCCCGGACCTATTTCCATGACTGGTTGAAGGTGGCCAACGATGAAGCCAAGCACTTTTCTTTGCTCCGGGCCCGTCTGGAAGAAATGGGATCCTACTTTGGAGCCCTTCCCGTTCACCATGGTCTCTGGGAATCTGCCACCTCCACGGCTCATGACCTCCGGGCACGAATCAGCATCATTGCCCTCGTCCACGAAGCCCGCGGTCTGGACGTCAACCCGATGACCATCGACAAGTTCCGCAAGGCCGGCGATAAGGAAAGCGTGGACGCGCTGGAGATTATCCACAACGACGAGATTACCCACGTCACAACCGGTCACCGATGGCTTTCGTGGATCTGCCGGCAGGAAGAAACCGACCCCGTTGAGGTCTTCCGCTCGAATGTACAGAAATATTTCAGAGGCGCTCTTCGGGGACCCTTCAACGAGGAAGCCAGAGCGCAGGCAGGCATGGATCAACAATATTATGAAAATCTGGTTGGGTTGCACGGAATTGAGGCAGCCTAAGGTTCGAATCTATCGCTTTACAGTTGAGCCCCGGCAGCTCAAAAGAACGATCTGACAAGCACGAGATCCCGGCCTGATATATTACTTTATAAGTGATATGCCCAGCAGGAGAAGAGTCACATCGCCACAACTTGCGGCAATATTCATGCTGCTTTCTCCACCACGCCAAGACATTGTCTTTCCAGCCAATCTCGCAGCATTCGGGTGCGATTCAAGGCAGCAGACGATATTTGCCTCATTCAGCCAACGCTGGTCCCCGAACATTTCACGGTTCGCAATCGAATTGCCCGGGATTGGTGTCATGTCCATATCCCTGTGGTTTATAGCTCTGGCGAAGATCTGGGCCGGCGGACATCTGGTGATGGGTTGATGCGTCTCTAGAATATGCCCAGAGCGATGCATGCCAAGGGGTTTGATATTCAGTGGGAACATTTCCTCCTTCTTATGTTTATGACAGAAATGAATGACAGACATTGCATGATTACGGTCGGGATTAATTAAGGGTGTGTTGTAAAAGAGCAGGTCATAGAAAGAAGATGGATGATTGAAGGTTGATGATAGATTAAGAAAGGGTCAGCCTATCTGACGGGTTGGGAGTTTGACAATAAAAAGAGTTTCTATTTTTCAGAGAATGATCTGGCATGGGTGTTTTCTGCCTTGAGGTAAAGGAGGCAGGCAAAAAGAAAAAGAAATGAAGAATGGGATGAACCGGGATTGAACCGGTGACCTCACGATTGCCAGATGAACTGACTTGACCGAGTAAACTTCAGTCGTGCGCTCTCCCAACTGAGCTATCACCCCATTTGATGTAATACGTCTCTTTATTTAACAATCTGGTCCTAAAGAAGAAAATGGGTGCCATCTGAGGCCTCGGCATGTTCCGGTGGGGAATCTCGAGGATCTACACAAGTCGATCTGCCTCTTGCTGTCCACAATGTGCACCAGTGGTGGACAGGCTTCAATTGCCAGTGTAATGATCAATGATTCATTTGAGTGTACGTCTGAATGCTCTTTGTTTGAACCGGAAGTAATGTCGCTGAGGCATCTTGTAGAAAGAAAGATATATATAGCCTATCTCGGAGATGCAAGCCATTTGAACAGAGAACGATCTAAGTATTATTGGCTCTTGAGAGCTAGCTCATCCATCCTATACACGCTTGTCACACCCAAGCCATGGTTACACAAAAACCGCCTTGGCCAGCTAAGCCTGCCACGCCCATGGCTTCTGCCTGGCACCCCTGCACCCTCCACCCTCCACCGCACACCTCCACCTCAACTCTCCAAGATGCTAAACATCCTGAAACACCTCCTCCGGCGCATTGGACGACGTCCTTTGACAATCATAACCACCCTCCTCGCCACCTCGACCCTTATCGCCCTCATCCTGTACCATCTCCTCGGCTACCTTCTCGCCAACAACCCGCGCATCGTATCCCCCACCTTCCGCCGCGCCACCTCCATCCTGTTCGTCACGGCCCACCCGGACGACGAGACCCTCTTCTTCAGCCCGACGCTTCTATATAGAGAGGATGACCCGGGCGTTGAGAAGTCTTTGCTGGTCCTTTCATCTGGTTTGTCACTCCTTAGTCGCCTGTCTGCAAGAGCAAGGACATTATCTGATACCTAGAGTTAAAGGGAACTACGACGGGGTCGGCTCGACCCGGCAGTCGGAACTGAAAGCCGCCTGCGCTGTGGCCGGGATTAAAGCATCTCGATGCGTAGGGCTCGATCACTTCGAGCTGCAGGATGATCCGAAAAAATGGTGGTCAGAGGAGCTGATTGCCGAAATGGTGAGGGAGTATGTGACGCGGTGGGGGGTAGACTTGGTGCGTAGGATCCTGTTGGTGCTCACTTGATACTGATGATGCGATAGATCGTGACATTCGACGATGGAGGGATCTCGGGACATTTGAACCATAGGGCTGTGGCTGGGGGTGTTAGGTATATCTCCTCTTTCTTACTTCCTCGGCTATGATATCACGCCGATTGAATGCTAATGATAGCCTTAAACAGAAAATACATACAAACCAACCCGCATTCCCACCACCCGGCCTACGCCCTCCAGACCAAATCCCTCCTGCGAAAGTACGCCGGACTGCTCGATCTCATCCCCACCAGTATCCCGTTTACATGGCGAATCATGGGGGCGCTATTCGCGTCCGCACCGGCCCAAAATGCAGCGGGAGATACCTACGGAGATCACGTCCTCCTGGTGAGTCCGTGGGGGCGGTATTTCCAAGGGAGGAGGGCGTTCAGGGCGCATTGGAGCCAGTATTCGTGGGACAGGGGGTTCTATCTAGTGTTTAGTCGGTACATGTGGATGAATGATCTGCGAAGGATTTCTTGAATTATGGATAGTATTAGGCGAATGTGTTTATGTTTGCGGTGAAAAATCCACTAGTCAATTCGGTGCAAAGATTGGTGATAGATAAACAAAAATAGAAGATCCAGAATGATAGCCATCGAGAAAGACAGTAGAACTACACCGTCTTCGTGATCGTCGCCCTAGCCCGTTTCAACGACCGTCGCATAACCCCAAACGCACCCAAAGAGACGAGCACGACAGCCCCGAACCCGATTCCAAACGCTACCAGACACGTCCAGCTCCCCCGCAGCGTCAGTTTGAACATGGCGACATCTTGCGCATGCCAGGACGAGGTCCCCAGGTGTCGAAACAACGGCGTGTCCACCAGTCCGTTGAGCATGTGCATGGTTGGATCTGTGGGCGGTCCGGAGAGAATGCGCAGGCCGGTGCGATTGCGCTGGGTGGTGTAGATGGTTCTAGTAGCTGTTGTCAGCGATGCGCTAGAACAATTGGGTAGAAAAGAGAAGAACAAGTCCACTTACGAAGCATAGTGACATCCAGCGCTAAACATAACCGTCGCATACGGCAACAGAAGCCACCGCCGGTTAAACGCCGGCAGCTGGTGAATGAGATCGCCGACGAAGGAGTGATTCGGCGCGGCGAGCATCATACCGATGGAAAAGCCGGCCGGATGGGCCGCAGGAGCGACGAATTCAAAGCGACGAAGAGGATCGAGCGGGCGGCGACAGACCAGATCGAAGTCTAGGATGGCGCCTGGATTGTGGCGTCAGTCGTGGATTCTACCGCGTGGACCGGGACATCGACGTACCTCCGTACTTGTACAACACCATATAGCGGAGGGCGTCCACGCGCTGCACCAGGTACGGGTAATTCTCCCACAGATCGGCAAGCTCGGGGAATTCTTCACGCACGAGGCGCCGGGCGGCCACGTCGTCCCAGAGAAAGGGTTCCCAGTCCGGGTGCTGTTTCAGACACTCGGCCCGCGCGGCCTGCCATTCGGGACGCAGCTCGGCGGTTCCCAGGTGGATATGATGGAGTCTCGCGGGCACAAGAAGCTCGAATTGCGAGAGGCCTGCGGATTCCGAGTCGCTGGGAACAGGCGATGCCGGGTAGGAGTGGAACGAGAGGTCAAAGAGGTCGCGATGGAGGGAGATGATGGAGTCGGCGGACGAGGAGCGCCAGACAAAGGGCAATCGGAGTAGGAGGTACAATTGAAGCGCTAGAGCGGATTGCAGGAAGGCCAGCAGAAAGACGAGTAGGACGACGAGCAGCAGGCGGACCCGCGTGAGGAGCATGACGGGTCAATTGGCTTGTCGAGTACTTCGCAGTCGAGTTCGAGGCAGGATGGGGGAACAGGCCATGGATGCAAAGGAGAACAGAACCCAGGGTGGTACATTGGGCGATGCATCGTGTAACGCCAGTAGGCAGGCCTTTTTGGAAGCGTTTGACCGTGGGACAAAGTGAGATTCGAGAATTGCTTGACCGGCTTGTCTGGCTTGTCGGAGCTTGTCTGGTAGGCTGATTATATTCACCAGAGACAACCGGAGAGTTCCATTTTATTGCCTCCATAGGTATCCATAATCAACAATACTCCAAGTAGCAGTCCATAGTCCATAGGTACTACACATCCAATCACCGCTGCCCATCGGCTGATGGATGCCCCGTGTGGCCAATCACATCCATCCCTGCCAGGCACCTCGACCAATCACACTGCTTTGCCACACGTGACCGACAGCCCGTAGAAAATTCGAATGGAGAACGCTGGAGAGATCCCCGTTAATTGCAGTCGGTGAAAATCATCAGACAGAAGAAGCCGTGCGGAGGAATAGTTACAATATCGAGAATTGTCCAGTAAGTGCAGAATTGGGCGTGGATGGACGCTCCACTCGCCGCTGAGTGGACTCTGCTGATGCAATCGGCCCTAATCTTTGCACCACCCTGACCCTATTTAGACACCCCCTGATTGCAGATCGACGTCTGTAGAGCTTCACCTCTCAATGTCGGCCAAAAGAGTTGCTGTAATCGGTACGGGTCCCGCCGGGGCCATTGCGGTGGATGCCCTCGTGCAGGAGAAGGCGTTTGACGTGGTGCGCGTCTTTGAGCGACAGGAAAAAGCGGGCGGGTGCTGGTATGTTTCCTCGGCTTGTACTTGCATGACAATATCCCATCCTCAACGTCACCAGGGTCTCTCGAACAAGCGAGACCCCCGTTCCGCTTGATATCGACAGTCTCTCGACCAGGTCGGCAGATTCACCGGTGGCAATTCCCTCGGAGCTGCCGCTGTATGCGCCGACGCTGTCGAAGCACCGCTTCGACGACTCGCATGTGTATCCCACGCTGCACACCAACGTGGAAGCCTCCGTGATGGAATACTCGCAGGAGTCGATCCCAGCCATTCGCTCTGCCGAGTCGGTGAACCTGCATGGCCCGGACACGCCGTTTCGCCACCACACCGTCATCCGCCAGTATATCGAGGATCTCCTGAATCGTCACGGCTACCAGGACCTGGTGGAGTACAACACCACCGTCGAGCGCGCCGTCAAAGACACGGCCACCGGCAAGTGGACCCTGACGCTCCGCCGCGCAGGGAAACCGGGCGGCTTTGACTACTGGTGGTCGGAGTCGTTCGATGCGCTGGTCGTAGCCTCGGGACATTACAATGTGCCCTTTGTGCCGGCAATTCCCGGACTGAAGGAGTTCTCCGCGAGATACCCAGGGAGCGTGCTGCATACCAAGCAGTATCGAGGGCCGGAGCAATATCGCGGCAAGGTATGACCCTCAGACTTCTTCACTATAACAGCCAGCATTGACAGTATCAGACGGTCATCACCGTTGGCGCCTCCGTCTCCGCAGCAGACACGGCAGTCAGTTTGATCGGCTCTGCACAGGCTCCTATTCACGCCGTCGTTCGCGGCAAATACAACGTCTACTTTGGCGACGAGGCATTCAAGCATCCGCAGATCCAGCGTCGGCCACCAATCTCACATATCTCCAGCGACAACGGCGAGAGAACGGTACATTTCGAGGACGGCACCTCCGTCGCCAACGTCGACTACATCATTCTCGGCACGGGATTCACTTGGACGCTGCCTTTCTTGCCGGATATTCCGGTCCGCAACAACCGCGTCCCGGATCTCTATCTGCATGTCTTCCATCAACGGGACCCGTCGTTGGCGTTCCTCGGAGCGGTATGCTTCCGTCCCGGTCGAAAATAGAGTTCAATGAAGATGAGCTAACTGGGATCTAGGTTGGCGCCGGACTGACCTTTAAAGTCTTCGAGTGGCAAGCCGTCGCCGCAGCTCGCGTCCTCGCCGGCAAGGCGCAATTACCCTCGCTGGACGAGCAGCGTCGATGGGAAACGGAGAGGATTGCCAGCAAGGGCGACGGACCGGGTTTCTTAATGCTTCACCCGGATTTCGAGCAGTACTTTGAGCAGCTGCGTCAGCTGGCAGGAGAGCCGCAGGGGTCGGGTCGGCGATTGCCGGTGTTCCAGCAGGCGTGGGTGGATGATTTCATGGAGGGGCATCAGAGGAGAATCCGCATGTGGAAGAAGGCGAATCAAGAGGGCCACGAGAGTAAATTGTGATAGATCGAATGAAGGAGAGACCATGGGAGGTGGTGGCTGGAGCTAAAGGCTAGACTAAAGGCTAGACTGACGCCAGGCTTTCTTTGTTCCGGACGATCGGTAGCCAGTCAGATCCACGGGGCCTTGCGAGTATTGACTTGGACGAGGATGATTTGTTTCTTTGGCGCATGGGCCTTGTCTAGTCTGTCTGGACTCGGGGATGCCATGCAGTCCGTCGCCACACTCGCCCATCTCGATCCATCTCAAATTCCAGGCTTTTTTCCTGGCGTCACGACGTTGACAACTAGACTAACGCGCCGGATCGCATTGGATATATATAAATTACAAATTGGAATCCGTTGGCGCCGTGGTGGATGTGTCTCGAACCTTACCTATATATAGCAGTCTACAGCCCCAAGCCGTCTTCCTCTGCTCATGAACCACCAACAATGGCAGACATCCCAGGTACCAGCTCAAGAGGACTGACCCTTCTGAGTGTGGCACCGACAATAACTTTGTTAGCGAGTATCTGTGTGACCCTTCGCTTTCTATCCCGGTGGTTGGCATCTTCAATCCGCATCGATGACTGGGTATGTCTGGTATCGCTTGTGTTCGCTTACGGTGCAATGGTTGGGTCGGTAGTGATAGTCACCATCGGACATGATGGCTATCGTGCCCTAGAGCTCATGCCGTCTGTCCCAACGATTCATATAAAGGTAGGAATCCAGGAACGGCCGCTTCTCAAACTCAAGACTCACGATGGCGTGTAGCTGGTCATGACATGCCTGGTGACCTACCATGTAAGCATCGCACTTACGAAGACCTCGATTCTGCTCTTCTACCAGCGTCTCTTCGCGCTGCATAAATACCTGCTGAGAGCGATCTGGGTGCTGCACGTTCTCGTTCTCGGCTTCCTCATCACGTCCGTCTGCGTAACCATTATCGCTTACATTCCCATCGAAGTCAAGTGGAAGCCCTGGGTCCCGCATCGAGGCATCGTCAAGAACGCCAACGCGATGAGCTACAGTCTGGGGGCCATCAACTCGGGCCTCGATTTTGCAGTTTTGATCCTCCCGCAGCGCGCCGTCTGGACGATGCGAATGGACCGTCGACAGAAGCTGCTTGTTTCGGGCGCGTTTATGCTGGGTGCTATGTTGGTCTACTACTTTCGTTCTGGGATGTGAACCAGCTAACTCGCGTTTAGTGTCTGTGGCATGACCGTTGCTCGTCTTGCAATTGTAGACTTCTCAGACCTCACACGTGAGTACCAGGGACCTTGACACTGCAAACCCTGAGCCAGGCTTATGGAAAATGGCCAGACATTTCGATCTATCCGTGGACGCTGTATCTGATCGAGATGGACATCAGCATCATCTGCGCCTGCCTTCCAATGTTTCCCTCCTTGTTCCGTCGCTGGAGGTCAAAATTCACCACGCACAGCATCCACTCGACCAGCTCGTCCAGAACCCTGCATGTGTCTTTTCGGCGACCTCATCGGCGACAATCCCGGGATGAGCCTGCCGTTGAAGACTCGGACGAGTTGAATACGCAGGTGGATCCGGCTTATCAGGGCGCCAGTTACTACCTGGTGGAAATGAAGCCCGCGCGAGTTCATACCCGGGCAATAGGGAATTGGGACTCAACTACTGGGTCTCGAGATAGGTCGAGAGGGCCGTTTGATGCGCCCTAATGGAGTTCATCAGAGGCATCCGATACATCATCTGCGATATAGACTAGAAGTATGCATTAGACAAAATCCAAGTTCAGTTCTCGTCCAGCTTCTCAAAATTACAGGTTCAATTCTATTTTCTGCCTGTATGAGTCTATAGATGTCCAATTCCCCGCGACTGGTCTAATTCATCGATAGTCCAGCCACGTGCGGCTATACTCCGTCGTGTCGATCAGTCTGCTCAGGTATAGTGCTTTGATCTATCACATTGTCGAGTAATAGATCGACGCCACTACAGGTAACGATGGCAGTTCCAATCTTGGTGATTACCTTTCTGTTTTCTAATTAACTAGTAGTTTCGTCAACCCGAGGAACCCGCGGAACCCGAGAAACCAGTATGGAGACGACCAGTACCCAGACCTAAGATATTCCATCTCTGCCGACAGAAGATCTACAATACACATCCAGGATCCATTCGGCCTATTCCTGTTCCTAGACCTTCAAGTCATAATCTAAATTCCCTCAGCTCATCCCTGCACATTAATCTCGCCCCCGCAGTCGCCGATCGACGCAAGAATAACTCCTCCAATCAATGCCTGCAATTAATTTATCTCGACTGCAAATTCACCGAGGCCACTTGCATAAGAAACCACAAGTACCAACCCCTCTCCTGATCTTCGCATTCGTCCGATCTCAGGTAGCAAAATGCGTCCCTTCTTTGCATGGACACTGGCTCTGCCTCTTCCTCTGACGGCGGCCAAATCGCTGTGGTCCGATTCTCCGGGCGAATATGACAAGTTCATCACGACGGCGTTTCCATTGGGGAATGGACGACTGGGTGGTATGGTTTCTCCTCTTTATATTATTTCATTCGTGTTCGCAATTGCATGAATACAGTATCAGCGTATGTATGCTAACTAATTCCACCAGCAATGCCCCTGGGCGCACAGGCCAAAGAGATCATAAATCTGAACATCGACTCGCTCTGGCGCGGAGGACCATTCGAAGACCCAGTGAGTGAATCTACACCTCTCTATACCATACCAATCCACTAACCCTAGAAACCAGTCCTATTCCGGCGGAAACCCCAACTCATCCGTCGCCGACGCTCTGCCCGGCATCCGCGACTTCATCTTCCGCAACGCCACGGGCAATGTCTCTGCGCTACTGGCGGATTTCCCCTCCTACGGGTCGTATCAGGTCCTTGGGAATCTGACGGTGGATTTGGGAGAGTTAGGCAGTGTAAGTGGGTATCGGCGGAGTCTGGATCTAGAGACGGGGGTGTATACGGACGGGTTTAAGGCGGGGAATGGGTCGATTCAACGGTATGTTTTTTCTTCTTCTCCCTTTATTTGTCTCCTGGCTTGATTTGTTCTGGTGAGAGACAGGGCTTACGGTTTCTAGAGAGGCCTTCTGCTCCTACCCCGACCAGGTCTGCGTGTATCGCGTCCGATCGGACTCGTCCCTGCCGGCTGTGTCGATCGGGCTGGAGAATCAAGTCGTCTCGCCGACTCCCAAGGTAACCTGTCACGGTGGCACGGTCAGTCTGGACGGCCAGACATTCCCTGACATCGGGATGGTGTATACTGCGCGGGCGACTGTCGTGACTGGATCGAAGACAAGTGGTGATCTGTGCTCTTCGTCCTCGGAATTGACCGTCCCATCGGGTCAATCCGAGATCTACGTCGTCCTGGCCGCTGGGACGAACTATGACGCGAGCAAGGGGAACGCAGCGGCCGGGTATTCGTTCAAAGGCGAAGACCCGGCCAAGGAAGTGCAAGCCACCGTCTCTAAAGCCGCCAAGAAGTCCTTCTCGCGATTGAAGAAGTCACATGTTACCGACTTCCGGTCCATCTACGGCGGATTCACGCTCAGTCTGCCGGACCCAAAAGACTCGGCAAAGAAACCCACGACGGACCTGCTATCCTCGTACCGCCAGCCGGGCGATCCCTTCGTCGAGAACCTCCTCTTCGACTACGGTCGATATCTCTTTCTCTCGTCGTCGCGGCCCGGCAGCTTGCCGCCGAACCTGCAGGGTCTGTGGACGGAGCAGGACTCGCCCGCGTGGAGCGCCGACTACCACGCGAATATCAATCTGCAGATGAACCACTGGGGCGTGGAGCAGACGGGTCTGGGAGGGCAGACGGAGCCGCTGTGGACGTATATGACGGAGACGTGGATGCCGAGGGGCGCGGAGACGGCCAGACTCCTGTACGGCGCGGAGGAAGGGTGGGTGGTGCATAACGAGATGAATGTTTTCGGACACACAGCGTGAGTGGTCCGCTTGAAGCTTTCCGGTCGCCGACTGACACAGCCCAGGATGAAGAACGGCGCCGGCTGGGCGAACTACCCCGTGGCGAACGCGTGGATGATGCAGCACGTCTGGGACCATTTCGACTACACCCAGAACGTCTCCTGGTATCGACAGACAGGGTATCCGTTGCTGAAGGGCACAGCGCAGTTCTGGCTCTCGCAGCTGGTCGAAGACGAATACTCCGGCGATGGAACGCTAGTCGTCAACCCCTGCAACTCGCCAGAGCATGGCCCGACGGTAAGCAATCCCCTGAGTCAGTAAAGGCAACAGGGCAGCCCTGACACCTAACACATCCAGACCTTCGGCTGCGCGCACTACCAGCAACTCATCTGGGAAGTGTTCGACCACGTCCTCCGCGGCTGGGACGCCTCGGGCGACACCGACAAAGGCTTCAAAGCCGCTATCTCAGCCGCGCTGTCCAAGCTGGACACGGGCGTGCACATCGGCTCGTGGGGCCAGATCCAAGAGTGGAAAGTCGACTGGGACGTGCGGAACGACACACATCGACATCTCTCCGAGCTGTACGGCTGGTATCCGGGGTACGCGCTGTCGTCGGGACAGGGGGGCAACAGGAGCGTGGCGAAGGCCGTGGAGACGACGCTGCGGTCGCGCGGGTCGGGCATCGAGGACCAGAACACCGGATGGGCGAAGATCTGGCGCAGTGCCTGCTGGATGCTATTGAATAACACGGACGAGGCGTACGCAGCGCTGACGCTCGCCGTGCAGAACAATATCGCCGACAACGGCTTCGACATGTACTCCGGGTCGCCGCCGTTCCAGATCGATGCGAACTACGGCATCCTGGGCGCGGTGGCGTCGATGCTGGTGCGCGATCTCGACCGCGGCCCTGCGGACGTCGCGCGCGCGCAGGAGGTGGTCTTGGGACCGGCGATTCCGGCCGCCTGGGGAGGAGGGAAGGTGAAGGGCGTGCGACTGCGAGGGGGAGGCACCGTGCGGTTTGAATGGGACACGAAGGGCGTGGTCACCTCCTGTCGGGCGGATCTGACGCGACGCGCAAAGGGGACGCCGAAGGTGGTCTTTTCAGTGCGAGGAGGACGCCGGATTACGTGCTGAGCTGCATCTATCCCTTGCATGTATATCAAGAAAGGAGACTAATTATGTGCAATTTGGTGTGAATCCACGGAGAAACTGCGGGGAAGTCTTCCCCTCGTAGCTGCATGACCTGTTCAAGTCCACTCCTTTCCCAGCGTCGAATTTCTCCATTCCATCTGACTCCCAACTCAGTGCATCATTCGACTATGGACTCCCTCCGCGGCAAAGTCTACACATGGATCGAGACGACCGTGCAGCGATTGGGGCGACTCGACGGCGCCGCCAACATGGCGGGCATGATCGGGAAGGACCACGGCATGAAGAAACTGACGGAGTTGGACGACGACGAATAGGATCGGCTGGTGCGCGTCGATCTCTCGGGGATGATGCACTGCCTGCGCGCGTAGCTGCGGAGTACCCAGGCGACGGCGGGATCGGGGAGTATCGTCACCGCAGCTAGTATTCAGGGCCTCAGGGGGTTTGGACTCAGTGCGGCGTACGCGGCGACGAAGCACGGGGTGATCGGGTTGACGAAGAGCGCGGTGGGACCGAGAATCAGAGTGAATGCGGTGGCTCCGTGAGTTGTGATTGCCGGTGCTTTTGACGCGATGCTGATTGAGCTGCAGAGGAGCGATCCAGACGCCGCTGATGGACCAGGCGGTTGAAATCCAGGGAGCGCCGGTCACGTCGCCGGCGGTGATGAAGAGAAATGGGACGCCGGATGAGGTGGCCCAGTCAGTGCTGTTTCTGTTGAGCGATGCATCATCGTATGTCACAGGCACAGTTCTGAGTGTGGATGGATACAGAGCCAAGATAGATGGACGTAACTGCGTTAGAATTGGGTATTCGCTAAATGTGACATGGAACTCGAAACGCCGATCCTGTTTTCGCCGCTGTATATCACAAATGCTCTATGAAAACCGATGTAGAAACGAAGATCAATCGGAAAGATGAAGTTCCATCACTTGTACAACCATAGGAATGCCCCGGTGACTAGGAGCAGAAACAGAAAGATGAGCCTCGATCCGGTAAATCGCGTGGTCAGCAGCAGCAAGGCCAAGCAGCACATACACAGGACAGCAAGGAAGGTGAGCGAGTAATTGGGACGGACGATCGATCCGCGGCTTTTGCATGCCCTAATCAGGTGAGTTAAACGATCAGGTCACTGCGAGGGGCACATACTCTGCTACCGGCCACCCATCCTTATACTTGATACAGCTATATCCGAGACGTGCTTGCTGAGATAGAAGTTAGGGACATCCGGCTCATTCAGTACAACAAGTGCTTACCCCGTCTCCGAGTCCGATGGAGGCATTAACTGCAGCCAATTAGCTGGGTGTCATTGGCGACTGCAGGTAGGCGCCACTCACGATAATGATAATACATGACATCGGGGTCGCTCGAGTTGCTGGTCATCACGCCGATCCCCCCAGGCGCATAGACAACCCCGTGGTTGGACCCGTAGACCACCGTGCCACCGCCATCGGTAAGGCGGTGTTCGTCCTTGTCTACAAATGGGCCTCGCACGTTCTTGGATCTTCCGACCCTGATGCTGTATCTATGAACAGGACAAAGTCAGTATACATAGCTAATCGCCTCAGGTAGCGAAACCTACTCCTGTCCAATCTTAGGGAAGCCCTTGGAGAAATGGCAGCATTTCCCATGACTAAACCAGAGATAGTAATATGGTTCCCGGTAACTCATGAACGACCCTTCCTGTGGTTTCACCCTTCGGTTCGGCAGAAAGGCTAAGTTTTTCGCGTCAGGGCGCCTGGGGTGTTCAACCGACAACAGATCATCGCTCAATGGCACTTGGAAGATACCGTGCCAGAAACTGCCGTACAGCAAATAAGGCTTCCCGGTTTCCTGGTCGGTGATGAAAGACGCGTCAATGGCGTTGGAGACCGTATACGGGTAGATGTGGGACTGTGGCCCCTCTTCGGTGTTGATCAGAGCGCCGTGATCCGTCCAGGAGCCATCGTCAATGGAGTCCGAAGAAGCGACGCCGATGGCGCTGTTGCGGCTGCCGTGTTTGCTGATGGTATAGAAGCAATAGAAGCGCCCGTTGCGCTCAATGGTGGTCGGGGCCCACGGACGAGTACGATTCTGTTTCTGGATGACACTGGGCCCGTCGAAGACCGTCCCTATTCGCTTCCAGGGTCCCCGGAGGCTGTCCGATTTGAAGATGGGCAGGTGCACGCCTCCTTTGAACATGTAGTAATTGTCATTGTACTGCAGAATGCTGGGGTCGTGCGTCGCAATGTTGCCTTGGTTTGGCAGCGGGTAGTCTTTTGTTTGCGAGAAGACTTTCAGGGGGTCCGACACATGGATGTCCGCGGGGACTGCAGTCACCCAGCACAGCAGCGACGCCAGCCAGAGCCATTGGAGACTGAATTGGAGCATTGACGCTGTTCGCCAGGGACATGGAGCGTCTCAATGGTATTCTTTAGCGACGTAGGTCGAGGAAAGATGGTGTCGAGATGGAAGCGTATATAGGGGAGGTGGATTGGAGAAGGGAAGCCATCGGTCGTCGCAAACAGGTGGAGTGGAACAGCAGGACGTGGCGAGATAAATCGATCGGTCTGAAGGAGTGCGAGACATGTGTTAGCCAGGCGTCTATTGATAGGATGAGTAGAGCAGGGAAGACACCATTGATAGGGGCTACATCAACATGACGAGCTGTTAATCATGGACGATGGACGATGGACGATTGACACTTCCCGTCCCTGAAGGTTGTTGCCTGGAACGAGGCAGTTCAGCCAAAGCAACGCTGATTGGCAGAAGGTGGTCCAGACCCGATGGATGGCCCCACTCGGCACGGGGTTGTCTTATCGCAGCCAATGGGACTGCAGTGACGTCAACACGCAGCCAGACAGCTTGCATTTGGCGGAATTAACCTCGGATGTATGGAGGATAAACTAAAGAGGCAGAGAGCATCGGATGGAAGCGGACTGGGAGGACAAGACTGGGTGATGGACAGGGGGATCGTCCATCCCTGGCACAGGGGAAAGTCAATTCGCAGTAAAGACGCGTTGGCAAACCCAATTTCCTATTGATTGGCGGACCCGGATTGTAGGCCCATGTCAACCCCAAAGCTAAACACTTGGTGATAATCAAACACTCCACTCCATTAACTACCTCGAATAACAAACACCGAATCCTCGATCAACTCGACAGTAAGAATACATCACGGCCATGACACCCTAGTAATAACACCCAAAAATCCAACCACAGAAACAGTCACCAGATCTAGTTCTTGTAGCTGTCCAGGAGCTCGTCAAACGCCCCGTTGATGCGCTCGTTGGAGGGCGCGAACTTCCGGTACTCGGAATCGGGCATTCTCTGCATGTCGCTGGCCAAGCCCCGTCGTTCCTCGTCAAGGTCACCCAGCATCTGGCTGGCCTCGCGGCCGATTCCGGCCTTCTTGAATTCAGGCGCCTATGCAACCAAGTCAGTCCCATCGTCTCATCGTATGCAGGTCGTCTTGTCATCAGCAATCAACGCACCTTCTCGGTTCCCAGACGGGCCGTTTCCACAATGGAGGGCTCCAGCTGCTCCCACGCCTCGCGCGCCTCCCGGGCATCCTGCTCGCCGAAGGGCTCGTCGCCCTCCACGTGCTGGCGGGCCTCGCGGGTGAGCTTGGTCGTTCGATCCAACGCTGTGGCAACGGGCACGGCCTGGATCATTCCGCCGTGGTAGTTCTTCAGCGCGCCGTTGAGCGTGTCCACCTGGCTCGAGAGGTCGTTGATGTCCGAGAGGGTTTGCTTGGCGCTGCGGGCGGCCAGAGCGCAGGCCGCCAGGGCGAGGAAGGAGGTCACTTTGGTCACGAGCATTGTGGGTAGATGAATGGGTGAAGTTCGATTAGGAGTTTGGTTGGGTAGGAACAAGGACGCAGGAATCAGATCAGAGATGGATTGTGAGGAGTGAACTGGCCAGGTCGGTTTCTTCCTCGTTATATATACACAGGACGGGCTGAAGGGGGGATCGCATTCCAATAGGCTCCAGGGCTTTGTTTGGAGGGAATGCCGTCTTCCCAGACGCACATTCCATCATCCGACGATCGCCGCAATCATAGAGCACTGGGCATGACAAGCCAGGGGAAATCATTTCCTGAACGCAGAAACCAGGCATCGGACCATTCTTTTTCCTGTGACGGGAGATCCAGGGATACCAAGGGCGGCGTATGTGAGCCGAGTGTTGTATAGGATCCCCATGCCTATCATTCCCGAGCCATTCCCGACCCCTGGCACCCCAGGCAGCGGAATTCAGGGTGATTTGAGAATCGAGGTCAACACAAGCTCACGAAAAACCCCACCAAGTCTTGATCACTCAAATGTGATTCCCGTCAAATCGGTCCAGTCAAATGCGTCCAGGAACGGGTCCATGTCCCCAGATGGCTGGCAACGCAAAGAGTTAGAGCCGTCAAGACAACCTTCTAGGATGAACTCACCAGCATACTGAATTCGGCCGTCGGTTGGAACATATTGAAGTCAGGGACGAACGATGGCCCCATACCAGGATTTGCATTTAAGCTTGGAACCTTGCAGAGAAAAAATTTTTTAGTCCATTGGTTGCGCCCGCAGGGAATTGACCGACTTACTTGGTTAGTCTTGAAACTTCCCATTCCCCAATCGCCCAAATGGGCGCAGTTGGCATGGCGCGTAAAGAGCGTCTGCGCGAAAAAGATCACTCTTTCCACAACTTCCTGCTTGTACATATTCGCCTGCCCCGGCCAAAGAGTCGCTTTGACCAATGCCACAATCGTGGACATGAAGAAATATTCCTTGGCGCCTTTGACCACCAGCAGGAGGCGTGCTTCTAGGCAGATTAAGATCGTTTCTACCAACGAAATAAGGGACTCCGGCATTCCAGGGAGCATACGAGCGAGAGAGGTGCCGCAAGAGGAAGAGGCTATTGAGCTAGTTAGCGTGATTCAAGCCAAAAAGTTGTTCCAACGATGCACTCACACTGTTCTTCGTTACCGGCGTGAAGAAGTTGACAAATCGAGCAGTAGGCTTGCATGGTCCAATCACCTATATTGCAGAGGGATAGCTGCCTCGACGTTTCGTATAACCGTCGCTGGGTGACCAGGATCATGGTGGCTACTTCGAGGCGACTGCGGGCAGAGGGAGCAAAAAGTGGTTCCCGTTGCGCCTCGATGGCAAACGGGGTGTGAATCGACAACAGACTCTGCCCGATCTTGGTTTCTAGCAGAGCTTTGATCAAGGTGATTTTGTGCTGGGTCTGAACGTCCTCAACGCCGGATGTAGACCAGAACGGAATGTTCGAGAGATTTCGGCTCAGCTCCCAGTCCATGCGGAGTATCTCATCGTAGCGGCAGCTGATCCGGGGCGAATGCATCAATTCACAAGCCCTGAGCCTCAGCGGGAGCGACTGCGTCAGCACCGACTGGAAGGATGAATCTGTCAATTCGTCCAAGGGCCTCCCCGGCGGAAGTTCGGTACTGGCCTCGTGGATCTCATTATCGTTGATGTTCAAGGCCGGTACTGTGTCGTAGTCGGGTTCTTGGATGGAAGGCGGCATTCCCCGCTCCAAGGATATCTGGAGATCCAGCTCCACGATGGTTGTCCAGATCCTCCGGCGCATCTCTTTATTGAACACCGAAATCTTGGTGTACCGACTCGGGTCGCGATGATACCCCGCCAACATGGCCTGCTTGGCCAGGGTTCCCGTGGCCAGCCAAGCTTTACTACGTTTCATGCCGTGGATATTCTGTGCGATAATCAGGAGAATATAGAGACGCAGCGTGGTTATCTCCGGTCTCTTGATATGCGCGTTCTCGATCCATTTTTCGGCATGGAGAACCCATTCGATGGCGGTGTAACAGACTAGCGTCGATTCATTCTTCGCTTGAAGTGAATCAAAGTCGGCCAGATTCCACGCGCAGGCCAGCACTAGAAGCAGCTGGACAACAAAATGCGGCGAAATTAGGTCCGGGTTCTCCTTCTGAGCCCAGAACTCATCCAGTTCTTTGAGAAAGGAGGGGACATGAAGAATCCGGTGGGTGGACTCGATGTAGGTCAGATACAGAACCACCAGCTCGTCCACCACCCACCGCGAGGGCAGCATGTTGGTTAAAGAAGTGGTGTCCGGCATCGGAATGGGTGTATTGAGGGGCTTTCTCTTCCACAGACCTCTCGCCACGCGGGACAGATCTGGTCGCAGCGCCGAAAGCTGAGGACTAGCCACTCGGATCTCTTCCGCAAACGATTTGATGTCAGGAAACTGCTCGCCCGGTCAGTATGTGCACAACAACATTCGTACAAACAAAGGGAAGACAAGCTACCTGTGCGATGAGATTGGCGAAAATCCCCGAGCCATTGAAGCGCGTCTTCGTTTCCTTCCCCCTCATCATGATCCGAGGCATCAGGTCCAGCTGCTGCGACGGCGAAGGAGGACTGTCATTATCATCGAGAGGGCGGGAGGGAAGCGCGCGACGACTGTCGTCGGAGTGTCGAGGACGCTGCAACACCTCGGTGTTCACATAAGGTTCTTGGTTCACCGCCGCCTTGGGGGCGCCCAGGACGGTTTCCAAGAAGCGGTCTCGCTTCTCCTCGCCGGGTTTCCTGGTCATTGAGTTCGGGAAAGGCCGAGAGGGCAGCGAGCTTATCCCCGAGTCCGGGGTAGGGTGGGCAGCGCTTGTCCGATCGATTCGGGGCAGTTGAGCCATGGCTGTGGAACCTCGGTCGGAGAACGCGGGCGATGCCACCGTATTGGGTTGCTGCCAAAGGAAGCCATCTTCATAGGTGCAGCTGGAGGGCGACTTTCCCTTCTGACACCGGCCGCAGATGGGATACTCGCGATCGCAGCGGAGCTTCCGGCTGCGACACTGCGTACAGGCCATGGTTCGGCGGCGTCTCTTCCGCACGCGCGGTTCGGATTGGGGCTCCGGATCAGGAGCCCCGATATGCTGCTGAACATCGGTCATGATGGCCGCGGAGGAATTGGGAGGAGTAGAAGGGAAAGGGGCGGATCTGAGGGACTTGGACGGCGCATCCCGGTCATGGTGCTGTTTCCCTCGTTTTTCTTTTCCTTTTTTTCGGTGGGAGTCCACCAGAGCGATCATCCGTGGAGCACCGCCATGAGAACTAGAGAGAACTGGGTTAAGCATGTCAATTGGAGGCATTACTCCGTGGCTTACGTATGTGGCCCCACGGGCGTCATCACCGCATGGGGAAATTCACGCCGCCCGAGTCTCCCTTGTCGGTCGCATCGGAGATACGAGAGATTATCGATCAGTCGTGGATCAGTCAATCATATTAATATGCCTCCCTTTCTGATTGTATTTCCCTCCTGCTCAAGGCTGCCACAATTCCATGCTGTCAGTCTGAGACATCCTCTAGGACTGGTTTCTCCGATTTCTGATATCCCCGATATATTGCCGCCGGGAGTTACCCACATGCCTTCAGAGTACTATGACTATGAGGTACTGCAGAGTATGTGGTTGGCGTATGGAGCAGTAATGCATAGTAATATCAATAATAGTAAATAAAAGCACCTGCATCCGACCTATAACCAACTATAGAATATAGCTAGTAATATATATGCATGACTCACGCTGATTCGACGAATCCTTCGGAGCTCGGTCTCGGTATATTCGGCGGTGCCCGAAATCTCCGGTCTCTCGTTCAACAAAGAGTATATCAGCTATTGCCTGTCGCTATTCGAGTGGCCATGTTTCCTGATATATCCTTCCTCTTGATAACCTCTGATTACATAGATTAATCCCCAGCCACATAGATTCCTCCCCCATCACCATGCTCCGCTCCCTCCTATCGCTGAGTGGCATCCAACGCAACAACTATCTCTTTCCTACGGTGGACCCGGCCCAGGATGGCGCAGACTGCAAGAAAGACTGCGCCGATTGCACAGCCCAGTTCCCCCCGAAGGTCAAAATTGAATCGTTGACGCCTCTCTACGGCCATCTGAAACCGCTGAACACCCACGTTCTGGTAGCGACCGGCAAGTCCGACTGGAAGCAGCATGTCGAGGAAGAACGAGGCAGCCTGATGGAAGCGTTTGATCGCGCCTCTATAAAATCCAAGCATGGGGTATGCTCTTGTTCTTGCCCTCCCTCCGCACCCAGCTAACGAGAATGTCCAGAGAATCATGGTCTCCGCATCGAATCTCCAGGAACCAGAGCACGACGCAGACTCCGACACCCAGACCCCACAAGGAAGCACAGTCTTGCTCCTACCGTCCTTCACATTCGTCGACTCGGTGCAAAGCGACGATGTCAAAGAGCTGGTAGACTGCTTCATCGACGTGCCCCAATCCAGCGCCGATGGAAAACCAGCCAATTCTCGACTCTCATATCGACCCTGCCAATACGACTACGTGGTGCTGCTCTGCTCGCACAAGCGACGAGACGCGCGCTGTGGCATCACGGCGCCGCTGATCAAGCGAGAACTCGAACGCCATCTGCGCCCCCTGGGTTTATACCGCGACGCGGACGACGAACGGCCGGGCGGTGTGGGCATTTTCTTCGTGTCGCATGTCGGTGGGCATAAGTTCTCGGCGAATGTTTTGATCTACCGCAAGAAGGAAGAGCAATTGATCTGGCTGGCAAGAATTAAGCCCGAGCATTGCGAGGGCGTGGTCAAATATACCCTGCTACAGGGGAAGGTGGTGCATCCCGAATCGCAGCTGCGAGGGGGATTTGATAAACAGCGGGGGTTGACGAGTTGGTGATGGCATTTTTATTGCATTGAGCGGGTTCAAAGACAAGACATATGTATAATAAACTAAAACTAATCAAGATAGACCAATAACGAAGGATATGACATTTAAGTTATTCACTGATGATGGTACCTGGTCATGTGAGACCGGAACACGCTACGTCACCCGCGCCCCAACTCGCGTTAATGGATTTTCGCGTGCGCGACGGAGGGGCGTCTTGGACCATTGGATGACTTCCTCCTTACATCTAGTTTAGCACCTGCACTTTCTACGCAGTATTCCTTCTCTCTCATAGTTGCTTTCACTTCCCCATTTCACTCCCCAACATGCAATAATGGCCGACCTCAACACTTCGGAAATCGTGGCGCTCTCGGGCAACCTACGCGCCGAATTGAAAGAATGGGAGAGAGCCTTTGCCGCCGCCAATGAAGGTCGAAAGGCGGAACGAAATGATATCAAGCAGGTTCCGGAAATAGGTACGTATGCAATTGATTCTTCTGCATTGCTTCATTTTTTTTTTTTTTTTTTTTTTTTTTTTCCTTCCCTTGTGGTTGCCATTGACTAACCCCTTTCCTTGCTGCAGCCGCCAAATACAAGGAATATTCCCGACTAAAGTCCCTCGAAAAATCCTCCAAATACGAGAAGAAACACCGGTCCAACCATCCCCAGGCCGAAGAACAACGTCCCAAGAAGCGCAAGCATGCGTCGCCCACAGGTCCCGGAAATGACCACCACACGACCCCCCGCAAGACGACCAAAGGACTATTCGAGACGCCCTCCAAGTCGCGCAAAGACAACGCGCATTCATCCCACGACCTGTATGATTCACCATCGGTGTTTCGCAAGCTGTTCAGCCCGTCGACGCACATGCATCCCTCGCCATTGAAGGCAGCCATCGGTCCCACGCCCCAGAGAGACGGAAAGGCGCTCGGTCTGTTTGATCTCCTGTCGGAATCCGGGGGCAGCACGGCGACGCCGTCGGCAACGAGAATTGCAAGCGTTCGGGGAGAGGCTGCGCAGACGCCGTCGAAGCGGAGGACCATGGATACGATTGCCGAGGAGGATGAAGAGGAAGAGGATGGCCCGAGAGGGGAACGGACGCCGGCGTCGTCGGGCAAGAAGTACATGCTGTCCAACCTCTTCGCGACCCCGACTACGCTGCGCTATGCTGCTATGGTGGAGAATGAGAATGACGCCGTGCATGCGGACGGCGAGAAACAGCACCAGGCCGGGGAAAATGCACCGCCTGCGGAGTCGGAGACGCCATCCTTCCTGCGACGGTCGAACCCTGCGCGATACGGCCTTTCCAACTCCACCGGGAATGCTGGGGGGTTGAGTCCGATGGCCGTGCGGAAGCCGCCGCAATTCGTGGGCAAAGGTCTGTCGGCTATCGTGCGAGGACTGCGGGATATGGAGGATGAGCGGATGCAGGACGATTTGGACGTGCTGAATGAGATAGAAGCCGAACAAGCGGCTGCGGCGAACGTCGAAGTCACCGATAGCCAAGTGCCAGACAATCCCAACGGGCGGACATACAAGAAGAAGGGTCAGAAGCGAACAACGCGCAGAGTGAACATGAAACCGGTCATCGCGAAGCCAACGGTTCAAGCCCAAATTCACTCGCCAGAGCCACCCGAGGAAAGTGATGATGACCATGAAGAGCACGAGGAGCCCGCCGCTGTGCCGGAAACACAGCGGCCCAACATCGCCGGAGACGACGATGAATTCGACTACGATGGCTTCGACGACATCGGCTCGCTTCACACAATGTCGGACCCCGATCTTGACTCGGATCCTGAATATGGGGAAAAGTCTAAGCCAGCGACAAAGGGCAAGAGCTTTTCAGAGAAGATGAAGGAGGCCATTGGGGAACCCGATCCTCAACCACGAGACCCTCAGGAGAAGGCACCGCCTAAGGCCAAGGCATCCGAGCCCAAGAAGCCGCGCGAGAGGAAGGTCAATCCGCAAGCGCATGCCAACTATCGATCCTTGAAGATTCGAAGCAGGGGCAGCAAAGGCCGAGGCGCAGGTCGTTTTGGCAGACGCCGATGATGATACACCCGGCTTCCAGGCATTTTATGAGCAACGATCCGAGAGCATTATTTTTAATAGATACCATTCCCGTCGTATAGGCGGCGCCAGTGTATATACATAATTCCAGAGCATATCATACAATCCATAAGGTCATGAGCCGAAAAAAGACAATGCACAATCTTTAATCAGGAATGTATCGATCTCGCGCATGCTGTATCCGCCGTGCCTGCGCCAAGGCGTCCTGAGGTCTGCCCTCAGATTGCCATCCTCGTGGATAGTGAGGCTTGGATACTCTTCCGCGGAACCCACGATCGTGACCGCGACCGCGACCGCGACCTCGACCTCGGTGCACCGGAGTCGATGTCCGATCGGAAGCCATAGAATCTCGACGAGCGGTAGTACTAGCACCAGCTCTCGGGGTTTCGTCATACTGAACATTGCGATCCCAGTCTTCGAGGGAAGTAAAAGGACTCCGAAGCCAGGCCTGCAGCTCATGCAGAAAGAGACGCGCATTATCCCTCCCAAGGAAGTCCCGCAAAAGTTCCTCTGCCTGGCCCGCACTGCCTTTGATGTCCACCGTGCGCAGAATAGCAATGACATACTCGAGGAGAAACTCAGCGTTTTTTCCGCGACGATTCTCTAGCCTCTGATGTCCAGGACGAGTCATCCGCCCGCGATTTGGCGTCTCTGTCTCCGTTTCCGGATTCAGGAAGGCAAAGACCCTAAGCTCGCGCCTGATCCACTTGCGGGCGCGCGACACCAATCCCTCGTCGCGATTGAACATATCGGGGGTGAATTCACGATATTGCGAGACGCGATTCGACCCGACTCGGAGGGAATATAACTGGTGGCGATAGACATTCTGTCGGCGGAGAAGAGGGTCGTCGGGTGCCTGCAGCCGTGGGCTTGGAGGGCGTCGCTGCCGGCGAGAGCCGCCAAACGCAGATGCTCGTGGGTGGGGGGCTGTAGTGAATGACGAGGCACCACTCGTAGTACCGGCAGCAGCCTGTGGAGGAAGAGGAGGAAGCCGGTAAACCTTCGGACTTTCACGGTTGTTGAGATCGTATCTCACCGATTCGACGTCACTTTTGCCTATACCGCGGAAGTTAAAACCCCCACGAAGGGAAATCGATTTCATTTAAAGGACATCCTGCGACATACATAGAGGGCAACTGCGTCGCTGCTCCAGCCAGCTCACCAGGCACAGGAAATCGAAGTTTGCATGTTGACAGGGCACGGCGACAGCGCATTCTGAGACGGGCTCCAAACAGATGACGCATGGATTAGCCACCTCGTCACGCTCCTGCTGCCCTCCTACCTCCTGCAGAGTCCGTTGCAGAATTTCCTGTTGAATGTCGACATCGTCCGACATCAGACCGACATCCGAGAGCGCGCGCGAGAAGAGAGCCTTGCAGGACCTTTGATGGGAGACCGGATCAGGGCCATCAGGCACGTCGGAGTGTTGGCGGAGGAAGTCACGTTGTGGTCGGCGATGGCGAAAATTCCGCGGCGAAACCGCCGCTTGCTCAACCCGACGCCCGCCAGCAAGCGACGAAATCATCATCAGAAGAAGAATCCTGCTCCAAGAAATGCACTAACAGACGCAGCGTTTGGTCGCCAGTCCCATGGTTTGCAGAAAATGAGATCTGCCAAAGCTGTCGTGGCAGAGAACGCGTCTCGCCAGGATCTTGCCTCTATGTCGCGCGGACACGCCAATGGGGCGATGGCCCAGGACCATCACCGGTCACCCTCACGCACTCTTACAGGTCTACGACGATGGTCGATCATCAATAGGAGCCTGCCAGGTGAGTCTGGCCCATGTTATTGGCGCCGTATGCGGTGGATGTGGCCTCGCTAACCTGGTTTCCTTTCGCTCTCCCTCAGCCGTATCGCAGGTAAAAGCGATCCACGTCTACGATTTCGACAACACATGTAAGGAAGAATAATTCCTGGAGACAAAATCTAGGCGCATGGGAATTAATATATCGTCCAGTGTTTTCAAGCCCTCTCCCAAACCCCCAAATATGGAATGGCCCGACCATCGGGTTCCTGCAAGCCTACGAGAGCTTTGCAAACGGAGGATGGTGGCACGACCCGAACCTCCTTGCCGCCACGGGGGATGGCATCGAAAAGGAAGAACCTCGCGGATGGGAAGGATGGTGGAACGAGCAGATTGTGCGACTCGGGTCCGCTCCCTCGATGCTGGAATATTGACTGATTTGTCGCAGGTGCAATTGGTCAAGCTCAGTATGGAGCAGAAGGACGCCCTCACGGTGCTCCTGACCGGCCGGAGTGAGAGCGGCTTTTCTGACCTTGTCAGACGCATTGTGGACAGTCGGAAACTGGAGTTTGACCTGATTTGTCTCAAGCCCGAAGTTGGCCCGAACAATGCGCGGTTCTCCACGACCATGGAGTTCAAGCAATCGTTCCTTGAAGATCTCGTTCTCACATATGAGCAGGCCGACGAGATTCGCATCTACGAGGATCGGGTGAAGCAGTGAGTGCGACCGCCCCTGTCCCTTGTGAAGTGCCTCTAACCTTGCCGACCAGCGTCAAAATGTTCCGAGATTACTTTGAGCAGCAGAACCGGAGATTCCAGGCCCTGTCCGCCCCCTACCCCCGAAGACCCATCAGCGCGGAGGTGATTCAAGTAGCGGAAGGGTCGTTGTATCTTTCACCGGTCCTTGAAACCGCCGAAGTGCAGCGTATGATCAACTCCCACAACCTTTCCATTCGCAGCCCGTCCCTCAACGGAACCAAGTCGCCGTACGGTCGGCTCCGCATCAAGCGGACGATCTTCTACACTGGTTATTTGATATCGAATACGGACTCTGCTCGTCTGATCAGTCAGATCCTGACGCCCATGCTGCCCTCGGGGCTTGCTGATTCCAATGACTTGAAGTACATGGCTAACAGTATACTAATCACGCCGCGGCCCGCGCCTCGGTCGATCCTGGAGAAGGTAGGCGGCATCGGCAAGAAGCTGAGCTGGCAGATCACCGGCACTGCAGTCTTCGAGAACCGGGTCTGGGCCGCGCGGCTGACCCCCGTTCCGGCGACCGAGAAGTACTACACCGAGAACCCGTCGCCCATCGTGGTGCTGGCGGTGCGCAAAGGGGCGCGACCGATAGATGCTGGCAAGATCCAGAACTGGCAGCCCGTGTCCGCCGACAAGGCCGTGACGCTGGAGACGGTCGTCGGGGAGAAAGTAGTCCTGCGCGTGGAAGAGGAGAACCCCAACAAGGGCGAGTGGGAAAGCCAGTTCTTGAACAAAAATAACAAGCGGCGTCATCGGCAGGATCACGATGATTATGCTCATGCCCATCACAACCCGCATGACGAGCAACCCCATGGCAGGGCGCATCCCTACAATCGTCACGGGGCCCATGGTCGACACCATGACGACGGACCTCGTCGCGGCTCCCACCGTGGCCGTGGCCGTGGCTCTGGTGCGCGAGGACGAGGACATGCCAATCGAGGCGGTGCTCGAGGGCGTGGGCGTGGGCGCGACGCTGGGCCTCCCAACTATAAGTCGTTAGACGACTATGGCGGGCACGAAGGCAGCTTTGAAGACAAGCCCGGTCCTGGTCCCGGTGGCCCAGTGATGAATTATTGATTGAGACTTTGAAGCAAATAACGCATGCGTCTTTACTATCTTCCAGCGGATTCTCGATGCAAGAATTTCAGCTATTTGGCGGACTGTTCCGTATCTTTTTTCTTTCCGATACATATCCCTTATCCTTTACTTTTGCGCAGTCCATGGATCGGTTATCATGGCAGGTAACCCGACGATGCCTTTTTCATAGAATCTGGTTGGATTCCACCTTAGTCTAGGTCAGATAATACCAATTCTTTTTTTTTTTCTCCCTTGGATTCAATAATTGTAGAGTTCGAGTATTTTCATGCAGCCATCTTCCCAATTATTGATTTGATTTGGCCCAGCAATGTGATCTGTCCGATGCAAATGGCCCGTAAAGCGTCCCAAGTGTGTAGACTCCGGAAGGCTCCGTCTGAGAAGGACAACAGGAGAACCCACAATTAATTTCAGAATCAATTGGTGGAAAGCGACCGAGGAAGATATTTATAACCCGGTGGATCCAACTGATATTTCTACTGAGACATCGGACATTACGGAGTAGTAGAGGGACTCTCTATCATTTGGATTCACTAACGTAGTGACAGGAGTACGGAGTAAAATCGATATATCATGAACAGGAAAAGATCCGCCCAAGACATGCAGTGATCGATGAACCTGAATATCCTTTCCCCAAACATGCCTAGAGAGGCCCCTCCAAGCATTGATCGGCCCGGGATGAAGTTGGGGTCCGGCCGTTGATCAACTTGATTGATCCACCGCGTTCTTCCATGCTCTTGCCATGCTCCTGCCCCCAACTCCAAGCGAACTCTCCTTGCATCTACCGTGTTCCCAACGCCCTATCCATCCATCATGCTGGATGAATGCATCGCTGACCTCAGCGACTGCCGAGGCTGGCATCCAAGACATCGTCGCCCCCAAGGGTCCGGACTATTGGTGTTAGCGTCGGACTACCGCATCAGTTGGCCTTGTGCCCCCCGCTTTTTTCCTCTTGATTATTGCAATTTGCTGGAAGCATTCGGAGGGCGATGCGACCTTATAATTAAAGGCCTGCTGGCCTCGGGTCTCGTGCTCTCCTTTTTGGACGCCCTTCTCGTCGCACTTGCCACCGTCATCGCCATGTCTTGAGAACTCTGTCCAAAAGTCTCATCTTTTTACGAAATCAACAGAGGCGCACCACAGGGTCGCCATGCGCGCAAATCGTTCGTGAAGATCTGGGCTTGCAGGCACAAACACGAACCATGAAGTATTCCGTCCTCCTCGCTCTGGTGCCCCTGGTGCTGGGGTCCAATTCCCACGTCCACCAGTCGCCCATTGGCAATCACTACGTGCCGGTGGTCAACGAAAAGACGTCGCTCACGCTGCTCTACCAAAACAATCTCAATGCGTCGGACGATTCCAACCATGTCGGGGCCATTCTGCTGGATCGCATGCACCAGTATGATATCCGCGAGGCGTGTCAGGAGATCGGGGAGACAATGATCTCCAACCAAACACTCGAAGACCATAAAGACGACTTCAAGCACCTGTTCTCGTACCTCGTTCACTCGGGCAGAGCAAATTCAACCAACAGCTATTACATTCGCAATGGCCTTCTCTCGGTAACGCGAGACTCCGACCAGTTCCAGGTCCTGCCCTACCCGGGTCGCGACTTCAAACTTCCAGTCTTATGCACCCAGAGTGCTTCGACAAACTCGCTCAGTGCGCCGGCCGACAGAAAGCATGCGACTCAGTCCGGAGAACTGCGGATCGTATCGGAGGGAAACTCGTATATTGGGTTCCGGGACCAGAAATCGTTTCGCTTCTTAGGAATCCCCTATGCCGATCTGCCGGAGCGATTCGCCTATTCGACCCTTTATTCTCCCAAATCGAAAACTATCCACGCGACAAAATACGGCGCAAGTTGCGCCCAGGCGAGAGGGGGCAGCGAGGACTGTCTCTTTTTGAACGTTCAAACCCCGTACATTCCCAGAAAAAACTCCAAGGAGGGCTTGAAGCCCGTTTTATTCTGGATTCATGGCGGCGACTTCACCGATGGGTCTGGTGCCGACAGTGTGACCGACGGCGGCAATTTGGCTTCGCGCGAGGATATCGTGGTGGTGACGTTCAACTATCGACTCTCCACTTTGGGTTTCCTGGCTGTCCCGGGGACAGACCTCCAAGGCAACTACGGCTTGAGCGACCAAATCCTCGCTCTCGAGGTGATTGAGACTATGTTTGGCCCCTGTTTGAAGATCTTCAATACTGACAATGAGTAGTGGACGGCTAAAAACATTGCCCAGTTCGGTGGTGACCCTAACCGCATCACGATCGTCGGTGAATTTGCTGGTGCCGCGTCCGTGAGAGCATTGTTGGACTCGAATCCTGCGTCGGGGAAGTTTCACGGCGCCATTGCCATGTCGAATCTCGGTGGTGGCATTGGGCTGGGCCATGAAAGCGACTTTTCAACGCCGTACAGCTCATATATGACAATCGAGGAATCGTACAATGCCACGGGAAAGCAGGTGCTTGTGGAAGCAGGTTGCACTACTGGCACCCCCGAGCAACAAGTCGCATGCTTGAGAAGGGCTCCAGCATCGACCCTTGTTGGGCTGGACAGTGTTTCACGACATATCGTTCAGGATGGTCATTATGTTAACTCGAGAGAGCTCAATCTCCTCCGAGTGAGTGGGAAACACCCTAGTATCCCTGTTATGCTTGGGAATACTGCCAACGACGGTGCTTCGTTCTGTCAATATCCGCCTGCCACGATCAAAACTCCGCTGGAAGGGATCCAAATAGCCTTGGGAATTGACGAAATCCATGCTCGAAAAATCATGGACTCCGGTCTGTTCCCTTACCAAGATACAGGCAACATGACACTGGATTCCTTTAATGTAGCTCAACGCGTCGCTACAGACCTTCGGGTCCGCTGTGTCAACCAGGCCACTGCCTTCGCGGGAGCCACATCCGGGCGGTTCAAGCCTTCCTATTACTATCAGATGGAAAGGACTGTGGCTGGTCGGGATCCTAATCGTCTCGGAGGCCCGCAGGCCACGGCCGATTATCCTCACGGAGATCCCGAACTGCCTTACTTCCGACTCCATGGCTCCGATCTCCCTTGGGTTTTCGGCAACTTGGAGACCATTCGGGATCGCTTGGATCTCCGCTCAGTGGAGCTCGTGTCGGCGTATTTTGCCGAATTTATTCGGTCGGGTCAGCCAAATCCTTCGAACGATTATCTTCAGGCGCGTGGATACTCCGGGGCGCTGGAGGCTATCAACCATTTGGATCGATGGGAAGAGGTCTCACATTTGGAGGGACCCATGCAACGCTTGGACTTTCCCAGTGCTCGAACCACTTTCCAGGACATGGAGCAATGTGAATTCTTAGGGTATCCGATGACACACTACTTCCGTTGGTCTTGATTGAGGTCAAGTGGGTCCACTATTTACAAGCCACAAGGTGGAAAAATGGCTATCTTTGAGACAATCTGCACCACTATCGAGAACTGAAGAAGCAGTGACATAGTATCACATGCTCGGCCTGACGATTTGGCTCGGGTGTATCGGTCATGCGAAGTCGATCCCGGAATGGAGAGTCGCGGATAGATTTTGTCCATACCGAAGCATCCGCCAGTACAGCAGGCTCCGCGGCAAAACCGGGCCTCATGGCGGTAACAGCATTTTTACTTGGCCTTTATGCTGCGACGGTCATCTTTATCCAAGATTCAGAGTATATTCTTGACAACAGGTGTTTGATTAGGGTTTGGACAGAGGATATACTCAAGTCGTGACGTCAACCCGGGCCCAAGGACACAAGGACAAGCGGCATTTATGGAGTATAAACATTTCGGTACTTCAGAGCAGAGAATGCTCCCCTACTTTATCTCTCTCTCTTTTCTAGCCATAGAGTTTGACCGCCAATCTATGATTGGGGACTCATAAACAATGCAATAAATCATTCGATTGGACCGCTTTCAGCATCGAGAATATAATTGACGCTTATACCCTGGCCCTCCAACGGACCCTTTTAAATCAACCAGCAATCAAACTCTCAGACGAGAAGCAGGGATCATGGAGACCATTCGAGATTCTGCCTTTGGCAAGTTGGTGCGCATTTTCAGCGGCGGACGATGGCTACGATATCCCGAAGAGACCGACCCCTGTGTCTGGACCGAATATCTGAAAACCGAACCCAAGCTTGAGCGGGAGCCAACGGAAACGGGCTCGGACGAAGAGCCGGACTGTTTCGGCTTGTATAATGTGATGTCTCAGGCCTCGAGATGCTCACGTCGCTTGACTTCAGCTCACACCCTCCAAGGCGACGGCATGAAAAGGGGAACGCCGATTGTGATTGACTGGTCTGGACCGGATGATAGCGAGGTATGATCTGCCCGTGTAGTGCGTTGAATCTCATCTTATGGTCTTGCAGAATCCGCAGAATTGGAGCACCGAAAAGAAGGTCTTTGTGAGCGGCCTCATTTGGCTACTCACCTTCGCGGTCTATATAGGCTCTGCCATTTACACGCCCGGGATCACCGGGGTCACTGAGCAGTTCGGTGTGAGCCGAGTAGCTGCGACTCTGGGTCTGACCCTCTTTGTGGCGGGTTATGGTCTTGGTATGATCATCAGCAGGATTCGCCCATGGGGTGGTCTAGAGAGTTGAAGAATGCTGACAATGATCAGGTCCTATGGTCTGGTCACCTTTATCAGAACTCCCTACCGTGGGCCGCAGCCCTACCTACGTGCTCACTACCCTCGTTTTCGTCTTCTTCCAGTTTGCGGTCATCTACGCGAAGAACTTCGGCATGCTTTTAGCTTTCCGCTTCCTGACGGGCTTCATCGGCTCGCCTGCCCTTGCCACTGGGGCGGCATCACTAGGCGATATATGGGATCCCCAAGCCCGCGATTATATGATTGGGATCTGGGGCTGTTTCGCCATATCGGCTCCTGTCCTGGGTCCTCTGGTCGGCGGGTTCGCCGCCCCAGTAAAAGGATGGACGTGGACTATCTGGCAACTTCTGTGGATCTCAGGGCTGACTCTGGTCCTTCTTTTCTTCTTTCTCCCCGAAACCTACGCTCCGAATATCTTGTGGCGGCGCGCACGGCGTGTCCGCAGAGTCACTGGCAACTCGGATTATATGTGTGAAGCCGAGATCGAACTCATGTCGGTAAAGCCGAAGGTATGCTTTCATGGAAAAAGTCTTCTGCTATTTGATCAGGTCGAAGGAAATAAACTAACCTTGGTAGGATGTGATATTCGAAGCCCTCGTCCGACCCTTCGAGCTCTGCTTCCTCGAGCCAATCGTCTTCGTCATGAACCTCTACATCTCGCTCATCTACGGCATCCTCTACATATGGTTCGAAGCCTACCCCATCGTCTTCAGCGAGATCCACGGCTTCAACGAGGGTGAAACCGGACTCGCCTTCCTCGGAATCCTCGTCTCGACCTGCTGCTTCACCATCCCCGGGTACTTCTTCTGGAAATGGAAATACCAGTCCCGCCACTTCGACGCGGACTGGAACATCGCGCCGGAGAAACAGCTGCCCCCCGCGTGCGTCGGCGCCTTTGCGCTCCCCATCTCCCTCTTCTGGTTCGGCTGGACCGGCAACTTCGCCTCCGTGCATTGGATCGTCCCCATCGTCGGCTCCATGTTCTTCGCCGTCGGCGCCGTCCTCATCTTCAACGGCATCTTCTGCTACCAGGCCCACGCGTACCCGAGATACGCGGCCTCCGTGCTCGCGGGGAACGACTTCATGCGTTCCTCCTTCGGCGCCGGGTTTCCTCTCTTTGCGACGGCCATGTTTCACAATTTGGGTGTCGGTTGGGCGTGCACCCTGCTCGGATGCCTGGCGGTGCTGTTTGTGCCGTATCCGTTTATTCTCCTCCGGTATGGCAGGAGGATTAGGATGGCGAGTAAGTATGCTCGACATGATATATAGGACTGCGCTTTGCAAGCATGTGGTATAGATATATATGTATGGCGATACTATACAGGTGAGAATCGACTAGGCCTCAATGCTACAACCACGAAGACACTAAGAAAGAAGAAGTAGAAAAATTACCTTAATATGACTGTAGTTCCTATTTCGGCCTCTAGACCATCTAACAGGCCAAAAGGTTGACAGGCTTGGAGATTCTGTTATTTCTAAGTTCTTTAAGCCATCTGCAGCTTATTACTTGGTCGGAATATATTACCATGACTGCTATAATTAATCAGAATATCAGACCTGAACAGATTTTATGGAAAAGGTCAAGATATATACATAACGCCTTCCGTCATTGCCCATAAATGATTGCACTCAAACTCCAAAATATTGGATTCTCTTTACCAAGTTTTGTTGGAAAGAAGTTTTGCGGAGCCTTTGTTTTGGATCAACACGGATGAAGAATCTTTTATAGGGGTTGGAGATAGAAAGGTTCATTTGAGATGTGTGCAAGGCCAGCTTGCAGAGGTGGTTCTAACAAAGCAAGAAGCCTTGGGCGTTCCTCAGGTCTCCTAGACACCCCAGAAGTCCTCATTCAATCTCATATTCAACTGGTCTTGCATACAGATAGAAATAGTACATAGTAACTAAGCAGATATGAATGTAGCATCATGATGCCTTTCCATAATACCAGTATGTACTGCGGACATGCTTTATTTGCAAAGAGAGGCTGCGGTAGGATCTGTAGGATCCTTAGAGTTACGACGATCTGGTCCGCAATTTGCGGATGAGCCTATGAGGATCCCAATCAGCTCCACGTTCCGCACTAGTGTAGATTGCGGTAGGTAGTAATATTATCTCGTCAATTAAGATACAATTCCATTTCAGTCCGAATGCACAAGGTCACCTACTAGCCCAAAAGTATATGAAGCAAGTTTATGCTACTGCGGCTGTACGGATGTGCCGCAGTCTGTCTTTACTTGGGTTGAAGGAATCAACAGAGATGACTACTAAAGATAAGTTAGCTGTCAAGGACTATAGAAGCGGATAGTAAGTTGCCTCTGAGGTGTTCATCTCCTGAGCTGAGACCAACAACGCCATGGAACTGATCCATTGGATCCTCAGTGCTTAGAAAGTGCTTGGCAGCGGCTTAGACTGTTGTATATCTCCCTGCCCAAGTGTCGCGCCCACTGCCTGTTAGTCCGTAAGCGCTGTCTATTTTTTTCTTTGTTTCCACGGTATGTGAGGTATTCGTCGATACTACTCAACGTGACCCGGACGACCAGAATTTGGTGAGCGTTATTATTAGTATCAAGCACCTATTCCCTAGCATCGTAAACTACCTGACCTTTCAAAGTAAATATTGTTTGTCTGAGAAATGTGCGAAGTGCCTCATCCTCAATCCAGCGTAGAATTCAACCAGAGGCCCTGGAATTCGAGGTTAATCCGCAGCAATACAGTACCTTGATCTCAATGTAGTCCGTATCAACGATCCCAGGTACTTTGTCCCAGTGGGTGCTCTCATATAGGCTACTAAGCGCTGTTCAGGTTGCTGAAGAATAAAGCCAAAAGCGACACTAAGTAAAGTAAATCATTTTGTTTTCGGTATATGGTTGGATATTCATTCATTGTTGCAACCCTTCTTCTTATCATTGTGTTTGCTGTTCCTGTTCTTTCTGTTTCTTCCTTGCTTTCGCCTCAGCATCCGCCTGCTTCCACGAACCCTCGTAGTGGTGTGTCACGAGGGCATAGCCTTGGTCTGTCGGATATCCATTTTGAGATGCAGCAAACGAAACGGCTGGCATGATAAGAACATCCCCAATCAGTTTCGGGTGTTTGATTCCTGAGAAGTCGCGGTCATCGACGGTCCGGCCTAACAACTGGCCTAGGCTTTCTAAGATCGCAATCGTCATGATCTTAGGTCCGGTCACATTGACAACGTCCTTCAGCATCTCCAGCTTGATACCCGAGACAGCGACGCCATTAGCCTGGGCGACCTCTTTTAGTTTGCTGATAACGGAGTCAACAATTATTTGGAGATTACGCGAGGACGGTTGCGCTGCGAACACCCAGTTACAGAACTGGGATGCAACCTCTGTCCCCGGTCCCCGGTATGCAAAGTCAAATTCCAACCCAACAACCATATCAATATTGCGAGTCTTATATTCCGACGGCACCCAGTGACTGTTTGGTTTCTTTGATGTGACGTCCAGATCACTCCAATAGCCGCCCTCCGCGAGCACTATCAAGTAACGAAGAAGGTCTGCGCGCAAGATCGGGATCGGGATTGCTTGGTAGACCTCGACAATATCCGGTCGAGTTTCTTGGAAATGAATGCGAACGAATTCCTCCCCAGAGCGATCGGTCAGTAGCTCTTGGCGACAAGAGGGATTTGTCTTTGTCCAGCTGTTGATCCACCCGCGTTGCTGTTCCGACACATTCTCGTCTTTGGCAGAATGCCACACTTTGTCTGGGATTCTCCAAATTGCGGTATTGGAATCAACTGAAAGGTTCTTCAGCCCACTGGGCGAGAGACTTTGTTGTGGATTTGAAACATCGCTGGTCGGAGTCGTCCCTGAAGAGGTCCTCGGACGAGGGACAACCAACTGCATTGGATTCCAATACACATAGAATAGAAAGGAGATTACGGAAGAACTGATGAGAGCGACAACCAAGCGCACAGAGCGCGAAGACTTGAGGTTGGATACTGATATCATGAGCGGCGAGCAGTCGGGTAATAGTGAGAGGGAAACAAGTTAAGATACAGCCAGATGAAAGAGACAAGGAATTCCCGTTGCCTTCATGGGAAGCTTGTCTGCGTGCGGCTGAGCCCGTTTTAAGGGTGATTCTAATCCAGCCTCCACCATTCCCCATCCCTGAAGGCTAATTTTGGGGGATTTGGTGGCGGATATCCGGAGCAATTGATTGGTATACACACTTACCTGGCCTGGGCCCAAACAAAACCTGGTCGAGTTGGTACAACAGTGCCAGTACCAGCTGATACCCTCCCCTCTTTTCCCACTTTCCATGACAAACAACTTGAGCTCAATGGCTTTGACTTCATTTGCGCCTTTTTCGGCATGGCTGCTGCTAATGGACGGTATAATGGGCCAGACTACCGCAGTCAACACCTCGATCCAGAGTGATTCGGGATTCATTGGATGGTACTTGGGTCCATCAACTAGTGAGAATACCACTATGTTCAAACCCCGAGGCTCTCAGGAGAACTAAACTGAGCCTGCCTCCTCCAGCCCAAGCATTGATGGATCCGGCTACTTGGACAACATCTGGACGCTATGCACGCGGTTGCTCAGCAAATGACACATGTGCCTACGCGACAAACTGTCAAGATAACCGGATCACCTATGATAATGGTAAAATATGTGCTTGGTGTGTCAGGCTCCTTGAATCCTTGCAAAAGATAGGATGGATTACTGATTCGAACATATTTTTTTCTAGCCCTACATGTCGCACTATGACAATCTTTCAGACCGCGCCATACGAAACACCATCAGCCAGCAATGTCTTCTGTGCCAATTATTGGGTTGCATTCACGATCTTTCGCAAACTGCCAGCAACAACAACCAGCTCAGGTATCAAACCAACCCAGGAGCAACAGCAGTATCCATTTAGTCAGCTAAATTCCTGCCATAGAACCCTCTACAATAACTACCGCCGCGTCGACTTCCTCTACAACACTTCCTTCCGCAACAGCTTCGTCTACGGCGCTCCCAGAGCCAGATGCATCACCAACGGGGTCAAGCAATTCTAACCAAGCCTGGATTGCGGGACCAGTGGTCGGTTCAATTGCAGCTGTCGCCACCATCGCAGCCTTTTATCGGCCAAAATCACCAACAACCCGCTGTACCGATACAAGAGATGGATGCATCGAATGAAAATACTGTATATGAGCTCAGCTCGCATACTAATAAATAGGAGAACCGCTATCATGTGTCATTGGGCATGGGTAAATTGCACCGTCCATTCATTGGCTTAATATTGCATTGAGACAAATACTTGTCCCCACTTTCCAGGAATACAGCATGTGAGCGGGGTGGCATATCGTAGATCGGTGGAGAGGGTTAGGAGGAAATTAATCCATTTTCTACGCAATAGTGAAGGCTAGCAGCGCCAAGGCAAAAGTGCTAAATCCGTTTGTCCTCCGCCGTACTGCAACCACCCTCTCCTCTCTCCTCACCTTCACTCAACCATCGCTCCCTCTCTTATGAAGGGGAATCTCATCATCATACTCCCTGAAGATTGACTGGATTAACAACAGTGAATCAAGTTCAACCGGCATTATGGACACCCATGACGTTTCTCAGGTATCCGAATACCTGGCACACCTGCAGAAGCAAAAACGAACCCTCCAGAATGCTCAGTCTCGCAAGGGCCAGACTCCCAAGCCAACCAAGTCCCGCGACGAAATCATCATGTATTTCATGTTTCGCCGGATGATGGCCAGCAACAGACCTGTTTACCAGCACGCCCTTAAATCCTCTTTTGTGCCCCCCGCCTACCCCCCTTCCACTGCTGCGTTGGGTAACCTGAAGAAGATAATGATCAAAAATCTTACTCTTGAGACTCATCATCGTGGATCGTACATTCTGCTCAGAGCGGTCACCCCGACGGATATAATGACTGCGATCATGGCCGTGGCAGAAGATGAGAGAGGGGACGCTCTCAGGTTGCAGCTGTATAACCAGGAGAAGGATCTTGCTACTGATGGCCGGCTTGTTGAAGGAACAATTATGATCGTCAAGGAGCCTTATTTGAAGCTGATGGCTGATGGGGACTACGGACTGCGAGTTGACCATCTCTCCGACATCAGGCTTGTCCCAGACCATGACCCGCTGGTACCGGCTTCATGGAGACGTCGGCCGGAGCATGATGCCTCTGCCCATTCCTGGAAGACAGAAGGAAACGAGTTCTTCAACCAGGCTAAGTATCACCTCGCTATTGACTGGTAACTATGCGTGAAATCGAATATTTAGAGAAGACATTCTGACCACGATTCAGCTACTCCAAGGCTCTAGATTCTTCCCCAACCTCCGAGGAAACCCTTGCGATCAGACTCAATCGTGCTCTTACTTGCCTCAAAACCCACCAATTCGACGCGGCCCTCCATGACCTCGACCTCATCTTGACAACCCACGAATCCTCTGAAAAAGCCCTATTTCGCAAATCCCAGGCCCTCTACCACCTCCAAAAATTTCAAGATTCCTCTGAAGTTCACAAAGTGCTCAGCAAGAAGTACACGGACAACATGGCCGCTAAGAGCGAGTTCGATCGTGCCACTGCACGACTTATCGAGGAACAGAGTGGCCAATATCCATTCAAAAGACTACAGCTAGAGGCAAAGAAACGCCACCCTCCCCATCTGGATCGTGCGACCTACATCGGTCCTGTCTCAGTGAGGCCTACTGAGTCCCGCGGACGGGAATTATTCACGACAGAGGCGGTCCAGGCCGGTGATCTACTCTTCTGTGAAAAAGCCCTTGCGCATGCCTTTCATGACGACGCTGGCGAATGGACTAGTGTTTCGCTCTTGATGAACTCCGAAACAGAGACTATGACAATGGGTACCCAAGCAGACCTCATCGGCCTCATCGCGCAAAAGCTGTACAAGAGCCCATCATTAATGTCGGCCTTCACTGATCTGTACCACGGTTCCTATACCCCGGTGGGCATCTCAGAAGTAGACGGCACACCCGTCGTTGACACGTAAATACTTCCCCCCAAGCAAGCAATATGAACCAGACTAACACCACCCAGCTTCCTTATCGAGCGAATAATGTCACTGAATTGTTTCGGCTGCCCACTCTCCTCGCGTGCATTCCACATCCACACCATGAAAGACGAAGCACAACGTCTCGAAAGTCCCAGCAACCAATTTCATTCCTGCGGCGTCTGGACTCTAGCATCTTACATCAACCACTCCTGCTACAGCAACGCTCGCCGTGCCTTCATCGGCGATATGATGGTGGTTCGCGCCACACAGGATCTCCCTGCAAACACGGAGCTCACGTTCTGGTACAAAGTGCCCTGGGACATTGGCTCCCCAGAAGAAGAGCAACTGGACCTGCACCACTGGGGGTTCAAATGCCGATGCGCAATCTGCCAGGATCTCCAAGACACAAGGACCAGTGATTTGAGGACACGGAAACAACTGACGGCTAGCTTGGTGAAAGCCTTCCAGTCCCTGCCCCGATCCCAGTCCCGCCAGCGAAACGCAGCAATCGCTCAAATCAAAGACATCGTTTCCGCGCTCGAGGAGACATACCGCCGGCCATGCTCTGAGATTCCCCGTCTCGGCATCTGGAAAGCATATCTGTCTCTGGCGATGGTGCACGCCACGAGCAACCAGCCGCGGAAAGCTGTGGAGTTCGCGCTCAGAACGCTGGAGTCGCTGGGCTACGTGATTGAAGGCGGACAGCTTCCACCTGCGTCCGGCGCAACGCTGTCTGTCAGGAAATGGGGGTTGGTGATGGATGATCTTGTGGGGTGTTGGATGATTCTTTGCAGCGTGTATCGCGATGTAGCACCCGAGCTTGTCGATCGAGCGGAAGAGTACGCCAAGATAACATATAGGATGTGTGTTGGAGAGGATGAGACGTTTGGTGATACCTACAGTCGGTGCTCGGAGCGGGTAGATGGGCTTATTGTTGGCGCGAAATAAGTCGATGTATTTCGGATTTTGGTATATTTTGTATGTACTTCGCTCGCTGGACGGTACCTTCAAGAAGGGATCTGCATAAACCATGTCCTAGTTCTAACTCATTGAGGGAAGAGAGATGAAAGTGCTGTTGCTGCTAACATCGCGTTTTCGTCTGATCTATATGTATGTGTTGTTTGGTTCCGTATTATCACGATTCGAACGGAGAAAAAGAAAACACAGGGGAACTGAATCCATTCGAAAAAAGAAAAAGAGAAAAAAGCCATTCCACGTAAATGCGTCCCAAAGTTCCCAGAATCCGGTCCTCGGCATCCGTATCCCATCCCAATGAAGTAAAAAAGCAGAGCAAAAAACATTAACAGAAGGGGAAATCATCTTTTATACAGAATAAAAAAAAAAACATCAAATCAATGACCAAATTCAAGCACGGCAGAATGTACAGAGTGCGAGAGGGGTTGAATGTAAAAAGATATAATGAACGGCGAGAAGACCTCTCGGGGGTCAAGGTTCATTATCTTCATTTCATTTCCATTTTCATTTTCATAATTTCGAAGTGTCGTAGGGGTGTGTCGTATTATTCGTGTGCCATTCGTGTCCGTTGCGTCCAAAAAGGTGTCATGCGTAAGTAGAAAAAAGGGGAAACGTCAAAAGGAAATATAAATAGAGTGAGTTGTTTCGCAGTGGCGCGGACTACTCTTCATCCGTCAATTGCCGTATCAGCTTGATGCTGAGAATCATGACCAGCAAGCCGATGGTGACCACGACCATGAGACCGAATCCGAACCAACCCAGAACCATGGCAGACGTGCCCACACCGCTCTTCACACTGCCGTTGCCCATATCTTGGGCGATCGTACTGGCGGCTACGGATGCCGTATGCTGCCATAGCACCGAAACAAGGACGAAAACGGACGCGATGAAGATTAGGGCAAGGGCAGCCTGGGAGACGGGTCGTGAAGGGAACGGTTTCACCTCGCGCTCGGAACCGGTGGCGTCGGTTTCCTCGTGCCATCCGGGGAAAGTGGCGAGAAGGATGAAGCAGAAAAAGGCGAGGATAACGGCGATGATCCTACCAGGGTTAGTGAACAAATTAGACCAAACAGACGGTATGCACGTACAATAGATACGGAAAGACCACAGCATCTTTAAAAGTCGAAGCCACCCAGATCAGATTCAATGGGTCCTGGTCGACGGTGACGATCTCTGCCAGTGCGGTGGCATTGGAGTTGCAAATGTAAGACCCGCTGTCCGGCGATACGCAGATTCCAAAGTAGCCCACGCGGACTTCCATCTCGGCTCCTCCCACGATATTCGCCGTCGCCGTCACCACACCGGGATCAACTTGCGCGAGGTTGAAAACTGGATCGTAGCGCGTGTAGTACATCGAGATCAAGAAGATGTCGGGGATTTGCGGAGAGGATGACGAGCAACCCGCCAATAGTAGAGCTGAATTCGTTAGTTGCATTCCCCGGTACGGGCCTCGAAGGGTAAACTCACAGAGAAGAATGATAGCGACAGCAATGATAATCATCAGCACATGGTGGTAACCGATCATCGGTATGAACCCTAGATGCAACCATTAGCACATGAGCCAGCATTCTTTGGTATCCAAGGCGAACGTACGGGCAAACCCGGATCCAAAGCGAAATGCCATGGTGGATGATCAGGCCTCTTTTCGCTCCTGTCTGCGCACGTTATGACTCGCTTCTCGGGCCCCCGAGAAGGAGTGTTCGAGATTCACTGGATAGCGCACGATCCTGGGCGATTCCAATGCCAATGCGATCTGGATGAAGCAGTCCCTTCAAAGATGTAGATTCTCGTGATTCTTAATTGTCGATATAGGGATCGGAGAGTGATGCAGCGAAGGAATGCTGGATAGTTGGGCGGTAACGTCGGTGTGGAATGTGGAACGAGTGCCGTCAATGGAGGTCCAAAGAATGCAGGCCTCCTTCTCGACCAAACCTGGGCCAATACAATGTTCCGTCAGAGACAATCAAGTCGTGAACTCGTGATGCCTGTGTTCCGAGATGCGGAGGGGTACGATAGGTGCCGAAAACAGGCAAGGTAAGGAATGGGAGTGGGAAGGGGAGGAGAGATAGAGGAGGGAAAGGGGAGAGGGGGAAGGGAGCACGTAGCTAGACAGATCTTTCACCACTGAAACCAGGCCGAAATGCGTTGACACGGGCGAGAATGAGGACGGTGACGATATTCGGGTGGCTGGGAATGTCTATAGAAGCCTAAAAGCGAGAGGCTGGGCCAAGGCCGTTTTGTTTACGCCGCCCGTTCCCCGGTAACCGCCCCTCACCGCCTGCCGCTCCCAGGAAGCTGCTAATCCCGATCGGGGCCAATATGCCCCACCGATGGCGCTAGGGCGCTTCGGGATTGGTCCAGGCCCCATTTTGGGTTGGCCCCGCCGCTTATCACGTTTATCGGCACGGGATCTCCCCAGCCTCTTGATTTCCTCTTCTCTAGGGTATGCAAATCTTCAGATGCCATTAACTATACCTCAAAAACACCAGGTTGCCCATGCCAGATGGTTTATGAATCGCCCAATAGCCTAAAACAGAAAAAATAAAATGATACAGCTGCGCCAATGCATCTAATACGGTGCCGATGACATTTATACAATCTCCGTGGTCGATAGTAGTTCATCAAGCTGAGAAGGAAAATCGCTGAAGGTTCAGGGGAGCAGGTTTGGGCCGATCGTCGACCTCTGCTTCCTCGGCTTCTTCTTCGCTGTCTGGGACAATCATATCCTCACTGCCCTGTGGAGTAAGGCCAGGGGTCCGGGATGCCACGTCACTCTCCATAGCACTGGACGTTCGCCCAAGGCTAGGAGCACTTGGTTTGGCAACCGAAGGAGAGATAGCATTCATGGATTGAGACCTGGCAAGGGCGGTCTGACCCAAACGCTGTAGTGGCGTCAGACATTGACGTCGGGGTGAAGTGGTGCCACCGGTTCCATTTCGGAGCCCACCCGGTGCTGTTCGTCCTGCAGAAGGCCTCCGAAGGTCCTGAGAGCTACTCCCATTGTTGATATTTGAGTTGGGACTGGCACTGGGTTGAAAATTATACCTGGAGAGCAAAGACGAATTTTGTCTCGAAACGTGATAGTCTAGAACTTGGTGAAACATCTCTGCATTCAATTCCACGCTCACGGACTTGTCGGGGGAATGAGATGCGGTTGATTTAGTCCGCATTTGCGCAACGTCACCACCCTCTTTTTTAGAGGTTCGCGGGCGTTCAGGGGCCTTTGTAGGGGCTTGTGTAGGTTTGGACTCGTTGGCGGTCTTGAGCACATCACTGGCACCGTTGGGATCACCCTTTGGTTCATTGGAAGCTCGTGCTGGTTCGGAAAGCTGGGTCATGATATCTTCCGCAATGTCATCAGAAAAGACATCTAGATTCGATTTGCGGGCCTTTTTGCTTCGGGTCGCCTTAAGTCCACTTGGACTTGTATCCTGTTGCCCAGAAGCGAAAAACCGGCTGCGACAATCAGAACGGCCGGATGGAGTGGCCTCGTCCGCCTCGGAACACAACCGTTGTCGTTTGACGGGTTGTAAATTGGACACTCGTGAGGTATGGGCCAAGAAAGAGTTACGTTCCACACTCCTCACCAATGGACTAGAGGACTGCCGCAATAGAGAGGGTGCCGGCCTCACGTTGTCTGGTCTTGGGGCCACAGGAGTGCCCACCCAAGAATTGTTCGCATGACGCTCTAACAATCTTTGCTGGCTTGGCGACGGCGTGAGACTATTTGGGTCCAACTCTGCCAAAGGACGCCGCTTTGGGCTAAAGAATGAGTTGATTGGCTTCTTTGGCTTCAACTCTGCTGAAGAACCGAGCGTCTGTCGGCGAGTCAGGCTGCTGGCGAGATGTTTCACTGCCAAGGGCTTTACCACGAGCGGCTCCTTGGTAGTTGGGTCCAAATCACCATAAGCAACACCCACGGCCGTGTCTGGTTCAACATCGCCCCCAATGAACGTAAGTTCTTCGAGTTTGACATCGCCTTCCGGCGGAGTCAGGGTCACCAGCTTTCTAGCTTTCGGACAAAACACCCTCTGGTAAAGGAACGTAAGCTCAGCCTGCTTGAAGTTCTGAAGATAGTCCGCAGGAACCTGAAACTGGCCCTCGAACTGAAGCATGCGCAATGCTCTCTCGACACTCTTGTATTTTCGAATGCTCCGATAGGCCGTCTTGAGCCCCATGCGTGCGATGTTGGGCAAATAATCGCAGCCGCTCAGAATGCACATGTGCCGAAAGTCGGCGTCCGTCCACCCTATCAGACTCACTTCCCGACAAGCCGTAAAGTCCGCCCGGTTGATCTCAATGCAATCACCATGTTGATCGAGCTTTGACAGCAGCCTCTTCGCTCCGAACACGAGTAAGTCCGAGTCCTCTGATATAATGCCATCGATGATGCCCTGCCGCTCCAAATAAACCAGTTGTGCGTCTGCCTCATATGGCGCCACCACGTATTGAACCTTCATCTTCTTCAATTCCTCGATCAATTGACGGGCCATCAGAGGCGTCACGTCGACAGCTTTCTGCAGTTCCTGGTAAGCTTCAGCAGTTCTCCCTTTCCGCTGGAGCTCCAGCCCTAAGGCTTTGCTGTCCTGGCGTTTTTTATGACGATCGATTTCAGTCCCAGATTTACTGGGCAAATCATCTCCATCGAAGATAAGGTAGGGCGTGACCCCGAAGTAAAGAAGCATTCGGACTCGGTTAAGGACGAAATCTATGTGCCTAAGTCAAAGTTAGCAATATACCTCGTTGCTTCTACCGTCTAGACACACTTTGTCGTTGGCCTGTCGAGAACCAGGTCGACAGAACAAGCAATCGTGCCCCGATGGAGCCATCCGTAGGCATCAACCCCCAGGGTTTGCCCACTGAACTTCTTCAGATGACATGGCTTCTGGATGGACTTGAGAAGACCATGAAGCCCTAAAATTGTGAGTCAATTATTTGCACAACCATGCGAGCAAGGAGATGTTAGGTATTTTACCTTTAATGCCCATCGTGGACACTGATGGAGGACAGGAGAGTCCTCGTGATTCTTTACCTGCACGGCCTAAACGGGCAACAGACGTGACCGTTTGGCGGTTAGGCGTCGAGAACCGGTAAAAGCACCAGGGTCATCGGAGCGATGCTGAGAGAAAGAGGCAACGAGGTCCAATTTGCCAAGAAACCCTGTCGAGCCCCCCAAATGACGATGGCCAGGACAACGAGATTGGAATGTTTGACTTCGACCCTCCGACGCGCAAAAGGGACGCGATGCATAGGGCCGCGCCATGATTGGCTGCTCATAGGCGGTATGGAAACGCGGTCTCACCGCCTCATATTCTGCCCCACAAAAAAAAGTAGAGACGAAAAGGTTATCAGCAGGCAGGTTCTTTTGTTGCGCGATTGTCCCACCTGGCCATATTGGAAGTCCCCAAACGAGGCAGCTCAAGCACACACCATGCCGAAGACACTGCAAAAAGTCCACAAACATATCTCCAAGAAGCGCGGGGTCGTCGAGGCGCTTCATGAGAACAGCCGAGATGCAAAGAGATTGCGCCGAGCCAATGCGAGAGATGACCGAGTCGCTCGAGTCCATGCCAATCTGTCGCGGGGAAGACTGACATATGGTAAGCTCTGCATATTTTATGCCCGATCTCGGGATTTGCTGACGTCTTGCCTCTAGTGGAGCGGATTGCCTATTTCCAAGATAATATCCCCGAAGACAGTGGGCCGTTTTCCGACAAGGACATGATCGATGTGGCCGCAAGGTTTGTGGGAAACCCACCGATCATCTGAGTAAATACTAATATCTACGCTCTCAGATATATCAACCGCAGCGTCCCCGAAATCGAACAGCTACAAAGTGAGCGCCGGAAAGGTCGACCGCCCACCAAGCGCGAAGAAGCTCTGCTGCAAAGAACGGATGTGGAAAGCAAGGAATTCAAGACGGGATTTTGGATGCCAGATATCAGCGAGCGCGAAGTGATTCAAAAGCTTGCGTCGTGGAATGGCGAATGGTCTGGCCTGAGTACGATGAAATTTATTCGTCTCACCAAGGATGGAGACAAGCAGTCGTCAGCCTTTCCGCCGAAAGGAATGTCTTGAACCTGTTTCTTCTTTTCTCGATATTTTTCATTTCCCCTGTTTCTCTGTGTTTCTTTAGAAAGAAAAGTCGGCGTGTGTTATGACATTTGCTTTCAATTACGGGACAATGGCATTCATGAATGTATATACCTTATCACTCGTGGCCTCCTGAGGCACAAATATCTAGAAATACCATGACAGGAGTCGAATTCTCTGCCAGTCTGTACATGTACGAGTAGTGACCATGCCATCGACATATGAGAAAATGCTCAGGCCAGAGCTTGGCGCACAGGAGCTCCGAGTCTTGGCGCCGGACCCAAGTAGCGGCAGCGGTAACATCATCAGTTCCAAACTTTCCATCCGTCAACATCGTCTTCTTCCACGACTCCATCCCATCGTCAATCCATCCACCCCATCCTCAAAATGTTCTCTCTTCGCGCCCTTGCCCGCTCTGTGCCTCGCACTGTTTCGCGATCCATCGCTACCTCCTCTCGCTCCGCCCTCTACCGACCTGTGTCGGCCGTCCCCAAAAACACTTTTCTGCAGTCCTCGTTGAAGCAGGCCACGAGGTCCTCTTACGCCGCTTTCTCCTCCCAAGCGTTCAGACAGTCTGCCGCCGATGGTATGGTAACTTTTTTCGCACGCGATGGTTGTTTGCCTCGCCGTGTTCCCGCATTTTCTGTAATTCGACGCTCGTCTTGGTGACAAGAATTGAGATGAATTCCTGCATACACAGTACTAAGAATATCTTCCTTTCATAGGTGATGTCGAACTTGCTGCCAAGCTTGAAGATGAGCTGAAGCACGAGAAGGCTTCCGGTCTTGCGGACTTGGAATCGTCCGTTCAGAACATCCAGTATGTTCTTCAGAACAACTCGTGGGAGGTATGTCTATCTATGGCGACTAGGTCATCACGAAAGTACAAAGGCTAATCATCTCAATCTAGGTCAAGGATGTTCCCGGAGAGCAGGAGGTTGTTCTGACGAAGAAGCTCGGCAATGAGGAGTAAGTATAGATTTTTCACTTGACCTCTGTTCCCCATTTGCCAGCTGCGGTGTATCCTTTCTTTCTTACTTTGTTCCACGACTAACTATGTTACCTCAATAGGATTCGACTTACCTTTACTGTTGCCGATCTCCAGAACCTTAGCGAGCAGGAGGACTTCGATGATGCCGCTCTGGGCGATGAGATGGACTTCCAGTCCGGCCACCAGCCCGCCAACCAGGCTGGCTCCGGAAATGTGTCTCAGCACCCTGAAGACAGCATTGCTCCCGCCGATCGCGATGCCGAAAATCTAGAGCCTAGCTTCCCTGCTCGCGTTAACGTCACCGTCGAGAAGCCCAGCAACGGCGCTCTCCTGATTCAGACCGTTGTCCAGGATGGCCTCTTCCAGATCGAGGAAGTGTCGTACTTCTCCAAGCCTGACCTGGCTTATGCCCAGACTGCCGAGAAGGATTGGGCGAGACAGAGCTTGTATGCCGGCCCTCCTTTCGAGAACCTGGACGAGGACTTGCAAACTTTCCTGGAGCGTTACCTTGAAGAGCGCGGCGTCAATGCCGAGCTTGCGAACATGATCCCCGATTACATCCAGGTCAAGGAGCAGAAGGAATATGTTCGCTGGCTGGAGAGTGAGTCATCCTTTTCAATGTCATCTATCATGCAGCTTTTCTCTAACGAACCCTCGCAGATGTCAAGAACTTTGTCTCCGCCTAAATGGAAAGACCCTGGAATCTTAGAAGAATCGCAACATGTTCGATAATCTCATCTCCGAGGTTTGGTTCCAACTCGACTTGGAGCTTTTTAAAATATTGTATTAATTCTGTTTGTTGCATTAGCTCGTTGACGTCATGTCATTTCGAAGAGCTCAAGTCCTGCTCATGAAGTTGCAGTTGGCTGCTTTGGAAGCAGCGTGCACGTGTACTATTATAGAAACGAATTGAGGAAATGTCTGTAATTACCATATTATGTCTCCTATCTCCAGATTATTCAATTGCGGGAAACATGCATACAGATTAGTAGACTATGAGGCTGAATTTTAAATCATCTGGTCAATTGATTTGCGGCCTTGAACTGATATTCAAGTGTAAAATCGAACCTATATGCACAGCACAAACGCCTGAAACCCAACACGGCGTGACAGAAAAAGAATAACTCCCAACCCGCTTGAAATAAGCCCAAAATGATCGTCAAGAATACGGTATCATACACCCTTTCGGATGAATAAGGTGCAAATAGAAAGCAGGGACTCTAAAATTCCATGCCTTCAGACTTGACCTCTACCTTCTCTTCGTTGCGTTCCCTTTTACCAGTTCGTTCCTCATTGTTAAGCCCGGCAATAAACGAGCGGAAATAGTCGATGTACGGCTTGAGGCTCGTTTTCTCGTAGTCCTGCAATTTCCGGCTGCCCCTGGCATCCGATCCATTTGGCACGCTTCCTTCAGCGTCTGCGGTATCGGCACCTCCATTGTTATTGGGGTTTTCTGCATCCCAAGCATCAATTTCCGCAAGCAACTCCGTAACAGTCGGAACCGAGAGAGGATCAAATTCTTCCGCCTTTCGAGCGTCGATGGGAACACAAATACGACCAGTACCAGGGTGAATGACGAAGGGACTCTTCAGCAAGTGAATCATTTTCTTGCTGACTTCGGAATCAAGTCGTGGATAGGTGTATTCTAGCACAACGTCTTGCTTGGCATCTCGGAGGGCGGTGGGTTTGAGGGTACTGCTCTTTCCGGTCTTGGCGAGGGCATCGATGTCGGCCCATTTGCTGGTGCTGGAGCGATCCGGGGACGATTCCCATTTCTTGCGCAGGGCGTCATTCAACGACTTGTCGGGAAGTAGGGAAAGAAGTCGCTGGGCTTGCTCGGAGCCAGCGAATGTGTCCTGATCGACCAGTGTAGTCTGAGCGAAATAGGGTTTCAAAATCTCCAAGCTCCGAGCCATATGGGGATGTAGAGGCCGTCTTAGATTGACACGTTTTCCGCTTTGAGCGCCTCCCCGTATAAGATCTAGGTAACCTGCAATGGCCCTTCGTCGGTCATCAGGAAGATTCCGGGCACGGGGATCGCAAACCCAAGCGTGGGCACCACGACGACCGGAATACACCCAGAGAATGTGTTGGAACCCAAAATCCTCGCGTAACGCCGTGTCGACAACTTTCATCGCCATCGTCACAAAGGCCCAGCATTTGCCGCAGATATTCGCCTTCACGCAGCAAGAACGGATGTCATCATAATCTGTCAAATCGATATCGAACACCAACTCCTTCGAGATGGGTTTCATCTGGCCGCCTCGTAGCGTTTTCCGATCACGCGGGTTTGTGTTGTACACCGGACCAATTTCGAAACGGGAAGGGTTCATCTTCAAGATATCTTTCCGAAAACTGCGAAAGTTATCAGTCAGGAATTGGCTCTTGTGAATGCTCGACTATTTTACGCACAGGTCTGCGGTTGCATAGGACTGGTATCGGAGGTAGGCATCGTTCTGGAGTGTCAAGGCAAATTCACGATTTCCAAAGTCCGGAGAAGGAAGGATCCCATGGTTGAGCCATTGGAAGAGGTAGCGGAATGGGAAGAGCCGCTGATAGAAAGCAAGCATGGTGTCGGTATCTACTTTGGCTGGTGGAGGCGCCGACGGTCTAAAGGTGTCAGCATTGGTATATCCCATGCGGTTCTAGCTTCTGGGATGGGCCACGACTTACTCGACCGCCGGGGTCTTCGTGTCTGGCGCACTCGAAGCTGGAAATTCATCATCATCGTCGTCGTCGTCAAATAGGTGTTGCGCAAGAGTTTCTTCTGTCGTTTCATTTTGCGGGTTATCGGTGTTGTCTTCGGCGTCATTCGGAGTCTCGCCCACTGGAGGGGCATCTGGCAGTGTTCCCTCGTCATTGTTTTGAGCCGGGGTTGTTCCCGGAGATACCGAGTGAGGCATTCTGGAGGATATGAATGGATTGCAGCGTGCAGTGGGATGTTTGGCCTCTCCTCCCAGTGGTCTGTATGTCTTCTCCTTGCTCGCCAAGCCCATTAACGCGCCGCCCGGACGCGTGACGACGCGCCACCTGCTGCCCTAAGCCCTAAGACGAGTCAGGTGACACGACATGATCGAGTCACGTGTATCATAGAGCTTGGGCCACCCGATGGACCGCAAACGGCGATTGGCCCCACTCGGGCTGCATCTTCTACAACGTCGACATCGACATCGACATCGACACTGCTCACTACTACCCTTCTATGGGTGGTGCCATTCCCTGCAATGGTTGGCTCTTTAACCCCACCCCGCATTCTTCAGGGCCTGCTATCTCCAGGTAATTGCCTTTTCCGGCATCCTCATTCACCGTCCTTGCCATGATCTCTCTCCCATGCTTCTTGTATGACGCCTACACTGGTCCTTGAGGTCTTTCGATGGGACCCAATTTGAATGAAACCTCACGCAATTTACTATCCCTATCGAGTGATCTACCGTACTTCATATGTGATCGATTTCTGAATTCGGATCCCAACGTCCCCCGATCACACTCAACGGGTCTTCGTCGCGCTGAGGACCTAGAGAGAAGCGAACACTGCAGCGTTATGTGACCTCCCGTGTTTCTATTTTGGTGTAGCCTTCCATAGCTCCTGAGACTTCTGAATCTATTGGGTACCCAGTCACGCGCTTGCGCCCTACCTATAGTATGCTCAGTACAGTCTCTTTTGGGGACCACTCAGCTGCTTGCTTCCCCTCCAGGCCATGGCCCCAACTTTATCTGCAACGTTACAGGGGCCTTTTACTGCGAAGACCCACATTCCAGTAAAGCTCTTCTTGATCTTGCAGACTGCTAATCTTGCGTAGCGTGCAATTGAAAGGTCTCTGGAGTGGAGATCAATCTACTTTGATCTTCCTGATCCATTGCCCATGCCCATGCCCATGCCCTTAGCATTACGTCTGATACCACGACCAGATATTGCTTAGAGCCCATTAGACTGATTCAATAGGATTTGTGGGTTGTCAATCCTGTGCCCACCTTTCTGGTGCTATTCGAATGCGGACTTGCATCTGCCTTGAATATGCTTAACTTAGCTGTCCAAGGTGAACCAATCCAGTCAATGGTCGTCTCTTGGACGGCCTAGTTAAGGTGGTGACGCCATGGTAGGGAACATTTCTCCCCAGGGCCATTTCCCTTTCCATCATGCTCCGGACTCTCAAAGTTTTAAAGTGGATACTTTCAAGCTTGCACCTGAATGATACCACCGGATGCCACGTCTCTATCTTGATTACCATATCCGAGCCATTGCCTGCTACACTCTCGCTGGTTCTGATCGGATTGGTTCCTTTGCTATCCATGGTTCACTTCAATGCTGCTACGGCTTGCTACAGCTTTGCAAACCAATGGTGGTGACTTTCAGACGTTGAAGATTTTCTTCTCCTCTCGAACCAAACCTCCAAGACTTGTTACCCACGGATACTACAGTTTCATTATCGCTAACACTTGATTGAGTGTACGAAAACGGTAGCGATGATATCTTTTGACAAGTTATAAATACAGCCGTCTTTGCATTGCCAGTTACAACCTCTTCCGCTGTCTTTGTTTTCTCATCACGCCTACTGTGAGCCTGAGAAAAGTCGTTCGCTTTTCATTCACTCGTTTAAACGCCTTTGATTTTGCTACCCCTTCTGTTTCTGGCATCAGGAGTAGATTGATCCGTTCAAGATGGTTCGAGGAACTGTTGCGCTTCTGGCCCTCGCTGGTCCGGCTCTTGCTGGTGTGGCCAAGGATCATGTGTGTACCCTCATTCGAACATGTCCGATCAAGTTACTTTTACTTACATGTTGAAGTCTTCGCCCAAGCTTCCGGGTCCCCATGAACCCCACAAGCATGTTGCCAAGCCCGACAAGGTGTTGACTGCTACTGCGCCTCACATTACTGTCACCAAGACCTCTACTTATGTGACCACCGAGTGCCCTGGTAAGATGATTGCCTAAAACAAGTATTCTTTCCTGTCCGGTCTAACTTGATTTCTAGTGACCTCGTCTGTTGTCACCTCGGGCACCAAGACCCTCACGGTCCCAATCACTCTGACCAACACCGTCACCAAGACCACCACTTGGTCTGACGAGGAGGCTCCCACCGGCAAGAAGCCTGTGGTCCCGACTGGCACTGGACACCCCGTCCCGCCGCCGCCTCACCACACCACTGTCGTGCCTCCCAAGAAGCCAGTCCCGACTGGACACAACAGCACCATTCCCCATCCCACCACTCAGCCTGCTCCTTACCACAACACCACTGCCCCGCCGGGTCCAGTTAAGCCTACGTCCAAGCCTGTTCCTGTTCCTCTTCCTCAGCCCTCTCCCGGCACCCCCGGTACCCCTGGAACCCCCGGTACTCCCGGTACTCCTGGCACTCCTGGCGAGCCTGGCACCCCCGGCACCCCTGGTACTCCCGGAACCCCTGGTACTCCTGGCACTCCGGGCGAGCCTGGCACTCCTGGCACTCCTGGCACCCCCGGTACTCCTGGTACTCCTGGTACTCCTGGCGAGCCTGGCACCCCCGGCACCCCTGGTACTCCCGGAACCCCTGGCGAGCCTGGCACTCCCGGAACCCCTGGTACTCCTGGCACTCCGGGCGAGCCTGGCACCCCCGGTACTCCTGGTACTCCTGGTACTCCTGGCGAGCCTGGCACTCCCGGAACCCCTGGTACTCCTGGCACTCCGGGCGAGCCTGGCACCCCCGGTACTCCTGGTACTCCTGGTACTCCTGGCGAGCCTGGCACTCCCGGAACCCCTGGTACTCCTGGTACTCCTGGCGAGCCTGGCACTCCTGGAACCCCTGGTACTCCTGGCACTCCGGGCGAGCCTGGCACTCCTGGCACTCCTGGCACCCCTGGCACCCCTGGCACCCCTGGTACCCCCGGTACTCCTGGCCAGCCCGAGCAGCCCGAAGAGCCTGAGGAGCCTGAACAGCCTGAGGAGCCTGAACAGCCTGAACAGCCCGAGCAGCCTGAAGAGCCCGAGCAGCCTGAACAGCCCGAGCAGCCTGAGCAACCCCAGAAGCCCGAGGAGCCTGAGCAGCCAACCGGAGTGTCTCCTGCTCAGCCCACTAGCTCGCCCTCTGGACAGCCCTTCACCGGCGCTGCTCAGGCCGTCAAGCCTACCGTCGGCCTCCTGGCTGCTGTCATGGCTGTCATGGTTCTCCTCTAAATCAGTTCTTTCTAACTTGGCTCTCTAGCACCTGCTATCAGGTTGCTAAAAGCCACCACTACACTTGGGTAATGGTATCTCGGAGTTGCTTTTATATGGTCTGTTTTTGGTCTTTTCTTTTTTCTTTTCCTGACGCCGGAACTAAGGCCCGTTGCTACATATATGGGTTAAAAAGTTGTCAATTGTCTTGTCAGATTTGTACGGTAATAATAAATAATCTATAATGGATAATCAAGGGGTATTTTGCATCTACTCCGGTTCCCACTGCCTGCAGAAAGACGAGTGAGTGACTGGTAAATGGAAGACAGTGGCCAAGTAAACGACCTGCCACGTGATTGTCGCCGTGTGACTGCCTCGCCGCGAGGAACCTTGCTTCCTACAAAACAGCCGTCCAGGCAATCAACAGTCTCAAAGCATCATCAAAACGTCATATAAGTTCTACCTTGGTATCTTCAAAAACGCTCTGCCAACCCCAACTATCACACAAACTCCGAGTTATCCCTCAATCCCCTATTGCTCGTTGAACAGCACGTAGCGGTAGCGTGCCTTGCCCTCGTGCATATCCACAATTACCCTGTTGGCGTCCTTCATGGGGACTTCCTCAATCCAAGGTTTGATACCCTTCCGTCCGACCAGCTCGAACATCTCGCGAATCTCGTCGGGGCTTCCCACCAGAGAGCTTTCAACCTTCAGGCGACGGATGAGGTTAGACACCGGCGCGTTGAGCGCTCCGTCTTCGGGCAGTCCAACCTGGACCAGGCTGCCGTTGGTGTGGAGAAGTCCCAAGTACTCCGCTATGGGCATCTGCTCCCACGTCAGCAACTCCCGGGGCGTTGACTTTGACGTTCTGAGACTCACCTTGGTAGAAGACACTGTGCACACAATGAGGTCCAGGGAACGGGCGTATTTCGTGGCCCAATCGGGATCGTCATCGGTGGCAATATAAATATCGGCACCCATTTTGATGGCGTCCTCGCTCTTGCCGGACTTGCGTGAGATGGCGACAACCTTATCGGCACCCATAGCCTTGGCCAAAAGGACACCGAAATGACCCAGTCCACCAACACCGATGATGCCAACCCGCTTTCCGGGGCCGCAGTTGTTGTGCTTCAGGGGGCTGTAGAGAGTGACACCACCGCACAGCATCGGCGCAGCCTCCGCTGGGGGAATACTATCGGGGATCTTGACCACAAAATGCGACGGAGTACGGTTGTACAGGGCATATCCACCGTACGATTTACCACCGTTCAGGTGCACATCGTTATAGGTACCGACGAACTTGTGGGAGCAGTATTGTTCCCATCCCATTGCGCACTCGGAACAATCGCCCAGACGTCCCTGGCAAGAATCACTCTGCGCACCAACGCCAACACGGTCACCGACCTTGATTCCACCGACGGCTTTAGAGCCCACTCGCACGGCCGTACCGACAATCTCATGGCCAACGCAGCAGGGGTACAGGGTAGGTTTCTAGCAAGCAACACATTAACTTCAATGGCGGTGTTTGGGACCCGGCTAACTTACCCAGCCGCTGCGGAGCGTGTGCAAGTCTGAACCGCAGACACCGCAGTGAGAGATCTTGATGTCAACATCCGTCTCCTCCCAGGGTTTAGGCTCGAACTCCTGCCAGACCATCTTGCCGTCGGCAGAGCCTTCGTCGAGACCCATCCACCCCTCGAATTTGTAGTCGGTCTGCGCCATAATAACAGTCTGCTTGGATATCAAGTCACAGTGAAGTTCTTGTTTTGTTTTGAATGCTCCAGTTACGGTTTGACTCCAAAATCGGAGACACCAGTTCCATCTTTATACAGGATCATGGCTCAACAGATTTTCTATGCGCGGAATTAAACCGGAACAAGCGGGTCAACAAAACCCATGGTCCCACAGTCTTAAAACCCGAGAATAAGGGAAACAATGTCGTGATTGAGTAATGGATTAGGGGAAAGCTGGATTCTCGCCTCATCCTAGTGGATGGTGGAACCAATGACTCCCCCTCCAAAACCCGACTGGCAGGCCGACACGGAGCAGTCAAACCATCAGACGCAGACGTTGTACCGTCCGTTATCCGAACTCACCGACACGGTACAGAGACCCCGCAAGTGCTCAGTCGTTGTCTCGTTGGATCGAACACATAGATACAAGTCCACACTGAGAAAGAAGCGTCTAGCTTAGCCTCTTATGCTTGGTACCACTGCATATCGCGGCCAAATCCCGGCTTGCCGATACTCGACGCTAGTGCCGACGGCTTCTGCAGGGGAGTTTTCTTCATCCCTGCAAATAAATTGCAATCCACCTGGCGTGGTGGACGTACAACGTCATTCTTGAGTTGGGGGTCAGGCAATTGAAACTGATACTTCTCGCAGTAGCCCTTCATGGGAATTGCGAGCGGCAGTTATTATCTTCTGGAACGGGGGCCATGAGCAGGTATTATGAGCCAGAAAGGAGTCAACCGAGAAATTTCCGGTGTGGAGAAGCGCTTAATCCCGGAAAATCACCTCACGGAGTCCATTCGTTGTTTTTTTGTTTTTATTTATTTTTGTTTTTCTTCGGTGGTGTTGCCCTGCTCTCACGGGCGAGTGTTTCCCGGCCGGGAAGTTCCTAGTTTTTTTCAAGTTTACTTGTCCCTGATCGTACGGAGGTTCGAGGGCGCCACGCCACGGAGCCTGTGGGGTTTGGATTTATATTTTATAGCCTTTGCATTCATTCTGGCTACACCACATCTCGTAGTCACATACTCCATGGAAGTAATAACAAGTCTAGCTTTATAGCCCACGTTAGTCGGGAATTATAGAATGGAAAATCCCCTGCGCGAGGGGAAACAGGATATACAAATAACAGAAAATAGCTGGAGAAAGGGGGAACCGGAAGGGGATCTAACATCATGTCGGCGAACATTGTTTGAAAAGTAGATGATGGGTAAGAGTGAAAATCAGGCAATCAAGTCCGAGACGGTCCGGTCCATCTAGACTAATAATGAGATTAAATGACCTTTTTATCTTTTTTTCAACATCACTAGAAATCAACAAAGGTTTCATGCCTAGAACAGCGACATGATATCCTCGTTGGTCTTCTTGGGCTGACTCCCTCCGGGAGGTGGCGGCGACGTAGGGTTGTTGTTGGAAGAAAGGTCCAACCCGGCGAATCCATTCATCAGGTCTGCACTTGCACTTCCACCATTAGGAGCAGCTCCTGCTCCGCTGCTCGAGCTGGGCGCGCCATCACCGAACACGCCCAGGAGGTCGTCTAGGTTGTTACTGGGGGCTGGAGCACCGGCTGCGGGAGAATCCACTCGGACGGGGGTGCCGGCAAGACCCTCTAGTCCAGACATACCACTGCTGGGTTCATTTTGGGCAGAGGCAGGTGCACCGCCATCAAAGTCAATGTCCAGGAGATTCTCGACGTTGTTCTGGGGTTGCTGAGACGGTGTTTCGCCAGTAGCTGCCGCCGCCGCGGCTGCCGCCAAGGGGTTCTCACGTGCGTTCTCGATTTGTTCCCTGGAGAGAAGAGACTACGTTAGAATGGAAAAGCCACAAACAAACAGGGTATACGTACAGAATGGCCGCTTTTTGGACGGCGTCAGCACCGAATCTTCCCTGGCCAACAAACTGCTCGGGCGGCTTGTGGTAGACAGAGGAAAGAGTGGAGAGCTCGTTGAGGAGTTGTTCGAGGAGCGTAGGCGGGAGGGAGTGGATAGTAGTCACAATTGGCGGCTTTTCAGAAAGGACGATGTTCCTGGTGGCGTCGGGATCGCTCGTGTTAGACAGCAAGCGCCAGTACACGTAAGCGCGGTCTCGAACATCGGGGTTGTCGTTCTCTGCCGTCGCCGCCTGCAGGACCTTCTGTACAAGGCCCTGCGCTTTTTCAGGCCGTTTGAGGAACAGCTTGACAACTGCAGTGAGGATTTGCAGTTGGGTCTATGGACGGGTTAGCTTAGCCAGATCACAATGGCAAAGCGGGAGCTAAACTTACCTGCGAGAACTCTTCGTTGAACCCTTCCACAAAGCCAGCCAGAATATCACCGGCGTTGCTGATCTTCTCCGCATACTCGCCGACAATCCAGATGAGAGCCGCCCTAGCATTGGGCTCATCCAGTTCGTCAATACATTGGCAGAGAGTGGGAATGATGCCCTCGTAGCCGGGATATTTCCGGAAGATATCCTTGATCACCACAATGGCCTCTTGCACAACATAGTTGACCTTCGTGTTGATCAGGTCCAGCAGCGTGTTGACGCACTTCTCGCTGGCGCTCTCGATTTTGATGGCAACCTGGCCAATAGCCTTGACGGCCCGGCGCACAAAGTCCATATCCACTTCCAAAGCGTATTCCTTCAACTCGGCGAGAAGTTGATCCACATTTCGGTCGTTGGCTATCCGGACCATGATTTCGAGCTTCTGGAACTTGACATAGGGGGGATCGTTGTACTTGCAAAAGAACACGCGAAGCTCTTTGTTCAGGATGTCGGGTTGCTTTTGCAGAAGGAGATCGATGTTTCTCAGGGCAACATATTGCACCTCGGGAGCCGAAGACACCAGGGTCACTAAAATCAAGCCATTAACACCAAACGATCATGAGCAAAGGTATAAGAGCGGCATACCTAAAGGAGGCGCCATTTTCTTCAAATAGTTTTTGGACAAGTCAGGATTGATGTTTTTCATGTGCAAGAAAACGACCTTGACGGCAGCCAACACGACACTGGGATTGGCATGTTGAAACTGGGGCGCGACACGTTCACAGATATGTTCCGATTCTGTCACCTCGCCGGTCCTATACTCCGCGAGAGTGGTGAGGATCGTGACACGACCCCATTCCGTACACTCGTTGAGCGCCATCAGAAGCTTGCGCAGCGTGTTCGATGTCACCTTGAAGGCCTGCGTTTCGGGAGCGGCATGGTAGATCTCGGACAATGCTGTCACGGAGTTTGCGACCACCATGGGATTCGGATCACCGATCATTTCTTGCAACATCTCGAGGAAACCGTTCTCCAGACACATGGCTGGGTTGAGATCGAAAAGCTTGGCCACACAGATCGCGGCAGTCTTGCGAACATACGGCGACTCATCCCGAAGGGTCTTCCGTAGCGGCTCCTCCATGTAGTCGACCATTTTGTCTACTCGGATGCACCCCATCGTTCGGATCGCAAGTGCTCGGATAAGAGGGTTAGGATCTTCGGAATCCTGAACGAAGGTATTCACGGCGAGGATACAAAGGTCCGGGTGGGATTTGGCGTAATTCCTAATCGTCACAGACCGGGGGATCAGTATGCGTGGTAGCACCCAACCGAGCAGACGAGCACCTACATTAGGTAGAGATATACAAGCTTCTTCTGTTCCAGATCACTGGTCGCAATATTCTTAAGGACATCGGGGAAAAGGGCGGAGACATCTTTGCCTAGGGTCATGGCCATAATGGTCTTCTGGATGGACTCCTTTCTAGAACCGGGTTAGACATCATGCTCGAGCGTACGCAGCAAAAACCTAGATTATGTCGACATACCGTTCATAGGCATACTGGGATCTAGTATCTTGGTCAGCACCACCTTCCCAATGGACAGGTATCACAAGATAACCGGGGGGAAACCGCATACACAAGACCAGCTCGCAATTCAAACGTCTCTCCTTTTCTGGGCACCGCGAAGGCGCCTCTTATGCGACTCATCGCCATATTGAGAGGCAAGTACTAATGACGTCCACGTCGCTTCTTCGCAAGAAATTAGGGGCTCGAAGTTGGGTATGACAGAGCGTCCTTGCGGACCACTGCGGGGAATGTCCACGCCGACAGCTTCAGGGAGTCGAGGAACAACACGGAGTGGAAAGGGGGAGGCGTGGGAGAGGGTCGGGGATGCAAGAAACAGCCTCCTCCAGCCGAGAGATTCGAGGGGAAACGGAAGAGGAATGGGTGTGGAGAGTCGAGGGGGCGGAGAAGAAAGATGGTGGACGATGGAAGGTCAGGGAGAGAACGAGAGAGCGTCTGGGCCCAAAAGTTGTCCACAAAGCGGCTCACTAAAGTTCCCCCTCGGACTTCATCCTGCGACCAAGCAACAATCATCCTCCCAGCACGGTCGCTTGTCGACCTCCCCCCTTCAAGTGTTTTTGTAACTTTCTCTCAACCCTCGGTGGTTCCAAATATTTATCTATGGTACCTCAATTCCCTCCGTTGATACTACAGCAAGGCCAGTGATCTTAACCAAGTACCAACAGGCGAAACTACCCAACCTCCGACGCCTCTTCGTGGAGGCGCGATCGGAATCAGAAGAGAACGAATATTCTCGAACGGCGGTATGCTCCTTGAATGATTTGTCGAAAACCACTCGAACAAATATTAACTGACATCCTTGATAGTTCTACAACCTCGTCCTCTTTATATCATCGGTCGCCGTCTTTAGCCTCGTAGCTCAACGAATGGGAGGAACCAAGTCCAATCGATGAACCACAGAATATTGTGATTCATACGGATTTAAAATTGGTGGATATCGTTACATCAACTTCCCGACAGAAGACTGCTCCAGGCAGACATCCCGGAAGGACCTCTTGATCCGATAATACGTCGAACAGACCCCATCAATCCGTCCCCTCGCCATCGCTATCTAGGAATGCCAGGGTCTTGCGTCCACGATTCAACCTTCTTCGGGGCTGTGCGCTGTCGCTGCCCTCATCTCCACTCCCTGTCCCCCATCGTTTGGCGCCTTCCTGGACTAGTTCAAGATCCGCTCGGAGTTCGCGCTCCTCGCGGATCCTGTTCGCCTTTTCGACCGAATACCTGCCTCCCATTCCCGCATCTTTTAGCATCTCCTTGAGGTGTTTGATCTTGGCCTTGGGTGAGTCGTAGGGAGCCAACTCTCGCCACCACATCTTGCGGATACCACATTTGACCAGCCAGCCTTGCAACCGCTTGATCTCCGCTTCATTCGGGTCGACGTCTGCGTCCTTGGGTTTGGCTGCTGCTTTTTTCTTGCCCTTGGGTGCAGCTGCTTCAGAGCTCTTCTGTCGTTTGCGGGTAGGCTCGGGTTCCTCGTCGAGTACCACCGACATTTCGCTTTCTGAGTCGTCCTTCTGGTCTACCTTTGGCTCCTCTGATGGCTTGGTGTCTTGCTCCTTCGCATCATGCTCCTTCGCATCATCAGACACTTCGGCAGTCTTCCCCTTGGGCTTTGGCTGTAACTTCTGTCCCTGCTTTGCCTTGGACCCTTTGGTGGGCTTCTTGGCTTTCTCCTTGCCTTCGTCACTCGCTGCGTCGCTACCTTGCTCTTCATTTCCATCCTCATTTTCCTCCTCTTTATCATCTTCGGGGTCTGGCGTGCTCGCCTTCCGTCGTTTTCGCGGAGCTGAAGCATCTGCTTTGGTGCGCTTGGCGGGGTTGGATTTGGATGGAGGGGGCGAAGGAGCTTTTTCCTCTTCCTCCTCGTCGTTGGACTGTCCGGCCGCATCTTGTGATTCCTGATGCCAGGACATGGTTTCGTCAGTGATCTGAACCGATATCACAGCGAAGAATCCCAAATTAAACATACCACAGCTTCCCTAATGATCTGCTCACTCTTTGTTTTCCACGCGTTGTCGGTCTTGAAAAATCCCGGTTCGAGCTGGAGAGATTTCTCCGCTGCTAGTCGCACCCGTTTGACCGTCAATTCCTCCATGTTTCCTGTTCTGTAGATTTCGGCGACCGTGTCGCGTAGAGCTTTCTCCAGCGCATCATCGGAGGGAGCTGTCGGCTGATCGAGTTCTGATTCGGCTTCGGAGTCCGACAGAGCGTATCGAGGAGCCATGGTGATCGATGGATTTAATGCCTGGAGATCTAGAGCTCGTCCGATGATTCGTAACCACTTTGGTAGTTCGCGTTGCACCGAACGTTTGGCGCGCCGTCAAGGGCGGAGACCGCGACGCGACAGACTCGAAGCACGACCAGCGTGAGTGGCGTAAAGATAATTGGACAACAAATTAGCCGCAGGAATGGCAGAGTCAGAGAGGAGTTAGACTAGCAGGGAACTGCAAGAAAATGGCCGCAAAGCTTAGGAATCGAGAGCAAGAAGGTGATGTGTCGAACGGTCTCGGCGCATTCGATGCCTTCCCGGGATGGCGCTAAGCCGTTTGTGGACACCCCGGAGTTGATAGAGCGGCTGACAAAGCCCGGCCTTTTCCCCATTACCAATCCATCCGATTTCCATCTTTCTTTTCTTCGAATTGTTGAACCCTGTTGATTGCTTCCGTGCTCGCTGTGGTAGTTGTTGATTTGTATATATATACTGCTGCCTCATTTTCGAGTTTGTACCTGTGATTGATTCTCTGCGTGTGTCCCGAAGCGACTGGGCCCATCTACTTCTCTGATCTCTTATCTACACCTACTATTCCATACCCACCACCTACCGATCAGCGCTTTCAAGACAGAGCCGACAACGATGGCAGAAGAATCGCAACCCAAGCCATTCAAGCCGCTTTTCCCACATCAGCCCGCGGCCACTGCCAGCTCCTCGACCGACTCCAAGAAAGACGATGACTCGACGACCAAACTAGCCAACGGCCTTGTCCTGGACAAAGATGGGAAACCGTAAGTTCAACCCAGCTGGGACTCCCCCCTCCAAGGAGGCCCTATCAGCGATAAACAGGCATTAACACATAACCTCATAGATGCCGACTCTGCACCTCCGCCGCATCCTGGCGCGCCATGACCAAGCAAGCCAAAGCCCCCGCAGCGGCCGCTTCAACCACGACCTCAACCAACGACTCCGTCGCAAAACCACCCACTTCCTCCGAATCAAAGCCGACATCCCTCCCCGCCCCAACGCAGAACGAATGCCCACCAGACGTCGAGAAGCTCGGTCGGTCGACCTGGACGCTCCTCCACTCCATGACGGCGACGTATCCGACGAAAGCGACGCCGGAGCAGCAGACGGAGATGCGCTCGTTCCTGAAACTCTTCTCGCGTCTGTATCCGTGCTGGGTGTGCGCGGACGATTTCCGCACGTGGATGGCCGAGCCGAGTGGGAAGAATGAGCCGCGGTTAGGCGGCCGGTCGGATTTCGGGACGTGGATGTGTGAGGCGCATAATGAGGTGAATCGGAAGCTGGGGAAGAAGGAGTTTGATTGTCGGTTCTGGGAGGAGCGGTGGAGGACCGGCTGGAAGGATGGCAGATGTGATTGAGACTCTGCGTGCTCGTTGGGGAATGCGAACTGTTGTCAAGGCATTCCATTCTGTATGATATTGTACGATGACATTTTAGATAGACACGGAACACTCCTATGTATAATTACTGTGAAATAGATCATAACTCTACTCTATTCTTTCATTTTATTTGGTATTCAACAGTTCGGATGCATTGCAGAAAAGAAAAAGAAAAGAAAAACCAAGTTAACATAGCTAACGTCGCTGAGTAATTATCGGAGACAACAGATCCATACATCTAGTAGAGAGCAGCCCCCGGCGCTACGCCTCAGTTCCACACACGGACATACATTTGTATCTGGGTTGGTTAAAGGGGCGAAATTACAGGAGTGAAAGTGAAGAAGATTCGGGCCTAGTCATTCTTCAAAACTGGCCGGGCACGAACAAGCGCAGTCCGCTGGCCGGCGCACCGATCTCGGTCACTTCGGATACCCGACACACGGTGCCCTTGTACTGTTCATGATACTTGGCTCCGCTGAAGGGGTCCGAAACACTGGGAGATCCGCTGTAGATGGGAGTGAACGAGGCAGCACAGATGTCGAACTCGGCAAACTGGTCGAATTCGATGTCGATCTTGTCCTGCGGGCTGCGCTCGCACTGGGCTTTGATCTTCTTGGCCTGTTTCTTAGTTAGCTTTCAAATTCACCTTATTAACTGCGTGGCGAGACTGACCTGTTCAAGAAGCTTAGGGGAACCGCCGTTGGCCAGCATGCGGTTAGCAAAGCTGAGAGCCGATGAGTAGTTCTTGTTGGCGAACGAGAACTTCATGGCAGCCATCAGAGCGAGCTGACGATGAGCCACCTCCAACTTGGGGATTGTGAAGTAGGCAGAGAGCTCAAGGCTTCGCTTGAGGCCCTCGGGGTTATCCGTCGAGAGAGAGCGGCGCTCCAACTCAATGGACATGGCGACAATGTATTCGCGGGCAGTCTCGATGACCTTCTTGGCCTGTTCAACCTCTGCTTCTGAGGACACGGTGTTCACCAAGACGGAGTGCAGGATGCGCTTGAAGATCTTGACTCCGTCTTCCAGTTTGTTGGCCCTCATGGCAGCGTAACCTTCTTGTAGGTCGACGCTGGCAATCGTTTCCAAATCCCGGGGAATGGCGGGCAGAACCTTGCGGCTGTCGGTTTCATCAACAGTCCGACGCACGTAGTTCACCAAAGGAGGAAGACCAGCCGTGGCAGGCAGATACGTCTTCGAAGCCTTGTAAATTTCGAGGAAACGGGGCTTGAGAGGGGTGAAGTTAACAGCGCCAACCTGGCGATTCAGAAGCTGCATGGCAGAGTCGAAGGACCCGGCGGCAACGTGGTCTGCCGCGAGAGGGGAATTCCGAGCCCAAAGGTCGGCTTCAGTGCTGCCTGCACCGGCCTCTGCGCTGTCCACATTCACAAAGTCAACGTCTTCCTCGACGTTGATCTCCTCTCCCATATCCCAGCCGCCAACATCCTCCTCGTCATCTTCCAAGGTTTCTTGAGCCGCAACGGCTTCCTCTTCCTCCTCGGGTTCGTAGCCAATAGCACCAGTGTCGTCATCAACCGCACCGACCTCTCCGAGCAGTGCTTTTTCGAAAGACGAGTGGGCAGCAGCCTTGACAGGCCAGTTTGCCTTGAAAGTGGGAGCGATGGGATGCGGCACCCGCGAAGGCTCGTCGACATTCGGCAGGGTGATCTGGTCTTCCGTCAGGCCAGAAGCCTCGAGAATGGATTCGGCTTCCTCGGTCAGGCCATGGGCCTTTGCAGTGAGATACGCCAAGGGATCTACAAAAAAGATTAGCGGAAATGCCACCCGTGATCATCTTGGTGCACTTACATAGATCAACTTCCTTGTACATCTGGATTCGATCCTCGATGTCACCCCGGTAAATAGCGTTCTGGAAGCGAGAGGTGAAATCGCCACGATGTTCAGCGATTTTGGCCATTCGTGACAGCTTCTCCTGGTCACCAGTGGACAGATACAGGAAAGACAACTTATCGAAGTTTCTCTGCTTCTGGTAGGCCATTTCTACCGTCTGGTGGTTACCATGAGCCAAGGCCTCTGTTCCAAGTCGGCTCCACAGGTTAGGACGGTCCAACTCTCTCGCCATCTCAATGGCGACATCAAGGTTACCACACTGGAGAGCGAGCTCGAAACGTGTCTGAGGATCCTGCACAAATTGCAGTGCAATCTCGGGGTAACCCTTCTTCTGCAGATAAGAGATGATGCTTTGACCGACCAAGCTGGATGTCTTGATGATCTGGAGCATCTCGTCATAGTTTCTCTTCACCAGAGACAACTTGAAACGATATTCCGTGGGATCGATTTCGAGAACTCTAGGCTTGGCGTTACGGTCAAGGCAGTAGACACTTCGGCCCTTGACCTTGACGAGGTAAACGGTGTGTTCGAGGGTGCGGATAATACCGTTGTCACTGGCCATGGTTAGATGTGATGCCTTGCGTTATCAATAAAAGGAACTTACCCATTCAAAAGAGAATACTTCACATGGTTCAAAGTGGAGTAAAGAAGGACCCCAGCATCGTCCCAAGCCGCACTCTTGATCCGAATCGTCTCGTGTAATGTGCTCACTTGTTCCAAGGTCTTGGTGACAATTGTGACATTATGCTTGCTCAGCAGAGCTGCATAGAGGCCATCGTTAGACCAAACGACATATTTGACGCCGGCAACCGCCAGCTCAGCGAGTTGCTTCTTCTGCTGGATGTCGAAGAGGACGACATGAGTGGGAGTAATGAAGAGGAGGCAGCCAGTTCCACCGAAGTAGATGTCAGTTGTTCCGGCCGGGGGTTTGATCGTCTTCGTCGTCGAATTGCTCAGATCCTTGATATCCACCTGCTGGTTGGCCGGGTTAAAGACAGCAAATCGGTTACGGGCAACGAAAACCGCCGAAGAAGCCTGGCCCCGCTTGACGTCGGTGGGTTCAACAGCTCCAGTGGCATCTCTTGGCAGATGGATCAACTCATAGATGCCACCGTCTGTGGGCGAAGTGACCAAGATGGCCCGCTCAGCGGGGTTGTAGGAAACCGTTCTAGGCGGCACCCAGGCGGACCCAAGCTTGCGCAATGAGAGCATTGGCGGAGATTCGACGTTCTTGGCGAAGTCGTAAGATTTGACATGCTTCTCCTTGGTGATGTAGAAAAGCTGGTTCTGGTAAACTGCAGACGCAGGTCTCTCTCGCTCCAATTTGAAAACCATGACACCGGTGTCGTGGCCCGCGGCGAAAAGGTTGATCTCAGGGTGGGCGGCGATGACCCAGAATCGGTCCATATCCCGTTTAAATGACTGCACGGAGGTTCGCTTGTTCAAGTCCCATACTCGGATCGTCTTGTCTTCGCCAACGGAAAGAATCAGGTCTTGGTGCGGGTGGAACAGACAGGCGGAGGCATTCTGGAAGTGGCCACGGCAAGTATCGACCTCCCATGCTTTCGTATCTGCCAGGTGTCAGCGATGTCTTTGAATACCACAGACTATACAGCATCCATCACGTACCACTCATCCTCCACAACTTGATGAGGCGATCGTCACCGGCAGAGACAATCAGAGGAAGGGAGGGGTGGAAGGACACCCAATTGACACCACGGTCATGGCCCTCCAACACAAACTTCACAACCGCATCGGTGTTTCCGAACATGTCCGCTTGGCTGGGGTTGGCGCGAGCCATCTGATCTTCGAACGAAATCGTAGTGGGCGCCGAGTGCTTCTTCCGCAGTCCGGAAATGTCCCAAATGCGAACGGACTGATCCAGGGAGGCGGAGGCAATCAGGTCTTCGGTCGGGTGGAATTGCGCGCACATCACGTAATGGTTGTGGCCGGTCATCGTACAGACTAGAGATTGTATATCAGCCCTGCTCCAACCCAATTGCAAGAAATCGACTTACTCAACGAGCGGTTCTGCCAGTTCCATATCCGGATCGTCTGATCATCCGACGCGGAGAGAATCCAGGGGAGTTCGTGATGGAAGAAGACCGTCCGCACGTAGTCCAGATGGCCATTGAGTGTGAACAGACATCTCCGAGTCTGGTAGCTCCAAACTTTGATCTTGTAGTCATCACCGCCGGACACGAAGAGGGGCTGGGTCGGGTGGAAGTCAATGCCTCGAACGGGGCCGTCGTGTTCCTCAAAGCGGTCGATGAGAGTACCCATGCGGTAGTCCCATAGCTGGATAGTCGACGAATGAAGAGATACTAGAATCCATGGCCTGCCACGGGACGGAAGTCAGCAGTTGCCATATGCGACGCGTGGACTCGTCCATCGCTCCGTTCATGCATGTTGTCCACTAACCGTTTAGGATGGAAGGCAATTCCTTTGGCTCTGGAAGATTTGGACTCAAACTGTACATGAGATGATGGTGAGTAGCGGTCCTTGGAGGAGGGCAGGGCGAGTGATATAGGATCAGGGGGCAAACCCGGGGTAAACGGACCTTGGTGAGCATGTTTGGGGAGGACTGCATCTTGAAGGAGTGTTGGCCGGAGCCGCACCATAGAGAGGCAAGCTCCGCTCGCTAATCACAAAGAAAATACCGGAGAAGGCGACCACCTCATCCACTGCGACAGGCAGGCAGAATGGCAGGGGATTGCGGCAAGGTGAGGTCGTGGATCGTCTAGCCAGACAGTCTGGACAACTAACTGGTAACAGCCGGCAACAAGCAGACCAGACTAAGGGACGGGGGCGGTAGAGTAACGTGGACTTAATGGCCGTAAGCGAGGCCTGAGAGCCAATCATGGCCCCGGCGGTGAGAGCGCCTCCGATGGGTGCCTCGACACCTGAGGCCCCCATGACATACCCTTCGGTGGGATTCGGACCTGTTCTCCTTCTATACGCTTCGTACGCTCTCGCCTCGCGGGGTAGCCGTCGTTCCATAAGATGTGATCGTCCCCCTTCCGTGCTCTTGAGAGCTTTGAACTCCTGGAAGAACTCAGATCTATCTTCGCATCCCCTCTCTCCTCCCCTCGCTCTATCGCCGACTCTATACTTTCATCGTGAAGTCTTGAGCGGTCGCATTCCGTGCTCAAATCGTCTTCCACTTATCTGATCTACGCACGCAGCTTCCAATTTGGCATGAGGGTGATATATTCATTGCGATCTTTCTATACCTTGGACCCAGGCTAGTGCGACATGAGCGACATTTTTGGAACGAACCCATCCATTTCGAATCCGACGCAAGTCCAACTTCCATGGGATCAAAACAGTCGGCTGTCCAACACATCTTATTTGGAAGACAATCCGGACACTCTCTCCGATGAAGGACTATTCCTAATCGAAGACCCTTCCGCTCATGGTCCCGAGCCCGGCACCAACGCCGTGGTAGTCCAGCCATACGAGATTGAGGAGCCAGAGGATGACCCTAGCGAAATAACCTCGACGACGGGCGCTACCGGAAAAGGCCAACCTGATCTGGTTGGCTCCTTGGAGGACCTTCACTGCGACTCGGACAGCACGAATCCACGGCTTGTCCAGCGCCCGAGAAGAGGCAGAAAGAGGAAGCCAAACACCACTGTCGCAGGGCCCTCTGCCGCATACCAACGGGAACACATAGGCACTCTTGATGCGCAATACGAGGAAGGGTCACTGAGCCCGAAAAGACGACGCAGGGGAAGCAGTCTATCACCCCCCGAACTCAGCGAGGCCGGGTCAAGCGACAGCTTTACCCCGGAATCTCCATTTACTGATGGAAGCACAACGAGCGCATCAGATGTATTTAATGCCCCGGAGTTAATGGATCTGGATTGAATATATGTTATGACCGAGCATGAACTATGCGATCTGATCGTAGCATCGACATTCCATCGAGCATGGGCCATCCACGTGACCTATCGCAGGGCCCGACCAGACCGGAGTCTATATGACGTCACTCGGCCCTCATCGACCGTCGCCCACTTCGACGACCTGCAAGAGGCTCTGCATGTTATGGATCTTCCTGTAGCCTATTATTGAATACACCCATTCCTTCGAAACCCCTTGATTACATCCATTGGAATTTTTGGCCTTTCCTTTGATGGAAGTATCCTCACACAATGGCACCCACTCGAACTTCATCGCGTCAAGCCGCTCAGAAAGCAAAAGAGGCCATGGCGGCTGCTCCAGACACCAAACCTCGAGGTGGAGCGGGCACGAAGCGTAAAGAGGCGTCGGACAAAGGGCCTGCTCCCAAAAAAGAGAAGAAGAATGACCAATCCCAAGCACCAAAGGAAGTAAACGAGCAGGAGCAGGCAGCGGAACCACCGAAACAGGTAGAAGAGGATAAGCCAGTGCCCGCGCATGACGAGCAAAAGCAACAAGCAGCAGAGGAGCCAAATGCTGGACACAAAGAGAAGCAGACGCAGGAAACGTCACCGGAAGCTAGCGCTGAAGCCGATGAATCTGCAGGTGCGAATATATACAGCTACATAACCTCCAAGTCTAATATGATCCATGCTTACGTTTTGATTCATGTGCACAGAGTCTGCTCAAAAACCAGCTCCGGAGCATGAAGTTGAGAATGGGGTCAAAAAGTCCCCAAAGAGAGAAGACGTCGTTACTTCGAATATTCTCGAAAAGGGTATCATCTACTTCTTCTACCGCCCCCGCGTCAATACCTCAGAACCGCATGGCATGAGCGAAATTGCTCGGAGCTTTTTTGTACTGCGACCTACTCCATTGGGAGCCACACTTGGTGAAGACCAAGGCACGGTGGAAGCTGGCTCAAAATGTCGCCTGATGGCTCTTCCGAAGAAGAAGTTCCCCACAAGTGGAAGTGAGAAGGATATGGGATTTGTGGAGAAGGCAGATCAGTCAATGCAAGCGCTACATGATAGTTTTATGGCGGGCGAGACGTACGAGACTGCCACCCAAGGTCAGCGCAGTGCCCAAGAGGCCAGACCGTTCGCCGAAGGGGTCTATGCAATCACGTCCGCAAAACGCGCCTCGCACTTGGCTTACATCCTCACCATTCCCGACAAGATCGGAACTCTTCAAGAAGACTTTGGTCTTCATGGACGCGGTAGCTGGATTGTGCAGTCTAAAAACCCCAAGCATCCGGGCCCCTCATACGCAGCTCTTCCCCAAGGGCCGGAGTATCCTGAACAGTAAGGCTTTATCCTACCCTGCGCCGAGAGTTTTCTTCCTGGTTTACAGCATCTAATTATCGGGGACAGGGTTCGCGAGAAGTTCGGTGACTATCGCTGGAAGCCATTGGAGCCCGAGTTCATTGATTATCCGAATGCTCAATTCCTCATGATTGGCGATACCTCGAATGAGCTGGGTAAAGCCGCCACTGCCGACCCGGAGGACAAACAGGATGGAGAAGAGCAGCCTGGCGAAGAGCTTGAAAAGTTCGAGCATGAGAATGAAGAACGAGTGGAGTCGCTGCGAGGTATGTTTCCTCAATTCCTTTGCCGTCGATGTCGTATCCACTCGCTAAGATCGTCCGCCACCCACAGGCGATGACACTGTGTACGAAGACCTCGGATTGGATGCCAAGAAGTATCCAAAGGTACCCACGACTTGGACAGCGTCGTAGCTGGAACAGAGAGGGTTTGGCGAGTCATGGGAGTGGTTGAAGTCATGCAGAAGTAGGAAGCAGGATGTGATCCTGGCCAGTCCGACGTACTGGCCTCTCGAGCACCTGGCAGTTAATTTAAAAGTTGAATTGTATTGTTCACTCGATGCCAATGAGAGTCTCCTCGTGTCAGTCTAATTGTGCCACCAACACTAGCATCGAGCGAATGGCAGGCGCGATCGTCACCACGTTCGACTTGGTGGTCTTGGCCATCATCATCTCCTCATCGCCATCCCTAGGTTGCATCGGCCCGACGCGATCGAGGCAGTATTTAGTAATTCACTCCCTACCAATAGATTTACAACTATATTTTTTTATCTCTCTCTCTATCTCTAATCCCCCTCCCAACGCTGACCATGAGATTGACCATCTTCGCAGCGACTCTGCCTCTCTCAGCAGCTGTGACGGCGCTTTCCCTCCCCTCGCGTGCCAATCACATTGTCAATCAGACGACCTGTGGGAGCACGAAATATGCATACACCGGTCTAGAAGGCTATGGCTTCATTCCGGCCGATGCACTCGACAAATACGGAGATACACTGGGAGGCATTGGCAGCTCGGCGGCCATTGACCAGGCTTCTTGGCGCCAAACAGGCCGTGATGCATTTGAAGGCATTGCCTACTGTCTGCCTGATCGTGGCTGGTCCATTGAACCCTCTCACGTAGAACTCTGATCCATGCTTCTAACACCGACCCAGGAACACCAATGGCACCATTAACTTCCAGCCACGCATCCACAAGATAGGGCTTTCTCTTCGCCTTGCCCGCAATGCGTCGGCACAGCATCCGTCCAAGCCCAACCTTGGTCTCAAGTATCTCGATACCATCCTTCTCACCGACCCCAAGGGTCAGCCGCTCACTGGCCTCGACGCCGACGATACCGGCGCCGCCTCATACTCCGGCTTCCCTCCCCTGCCGGTAGCAAGCTACGTCGGCGATGGCTTCGGGGGCTCTGGACCCGGCGGCAAGAGAGTCTCGGTCGACGCCGAGGGACTCGTCCTGGACCCAGCCGACCACGGGTTCTGGGTCTCCGACGAATACGGACCCTACGTGTACAAGTTCACACCGACAGGAAAGATGGTGCAGGCAATCCGGCCCCCGGATGCTATTCTCCCTCATCGCAACTCCACGGTCAGCTTCAGTGCCGCCAGCCCACCGCTGTACGATCCCGATCACCTGCCCGTCCCGGAGGACCCGAAGACAGGACGCAACAACAACCAAGGCCTCGAGGCGCTGAGTCTCTCTGCCGACGGGAAAACCCTGTACACGATGATGCAGTCTGCCCTGAACCAGGAGGGCGGTCCCAAGAAGAAGAATCGACAGCCTGCGCGGTTCCTCGCGTACGACCTTTCCATGGACACGCCCACCCTCAAGCACGAGTACGCCGTTGTTCTGCCCAAGTACCATGACTACACGAAAGACGACAAAGAAGACCCCATGCGTGTCGCCTCGCAGTCCGAGATTCTGGCCCTCCCGACGGGCGACTTCTTGATTCTCTCTCGTGACTCGAACTTCGGTCACGGTCAGGACAACACTCGCTCCGTATACCGAAACGTCGACGTCTTCTCAATCTCTAACGCTACGACGGACTTGAAGGGCAAGTATGACGAGGTTGGCGCGTCCATCGCCTCCAAGAAGGGCGCGCTAAACAAGGACGTCACCCCCGTCGAGTACTGCCCATTCCTGGACTTCAACGTGGATGCGGAGCTGGCGAAGTTTGGCTTGCATAACGGTGGGGACCAGGATGCTGGGCTGCTGAATGAGAAGTGGGAGAGCCTGGCACTGGTTCCGACGGGCTCGTCGCCAGGTGGCAAGGGCAGGAAAGAGTACTTCTTGTTCAGCTTTAGTGATAACGATTTTATGACCCAGGATGGTAAGTGGACCTTTGCCTCGGTTTGCTTTGTTTCTTTTTATGATCTGGTAGTGTGTGAGACGGTGAAGCTAATGATTTCGCATAGGGTATATGAATTTTGGTCAGTTCAAGTACTCCGACGAGTCGGGATATGATATCGATAACCAGGTGCTGGTTTTCAGGGTGGAATTCTAAGAATTTACAGAAGCTGAACACCTGTACATAACGAACGTTGCATTATTAGTTGCATTATTACTTCATGGTAGTAGCTGGAAGGTACAACAGGCTGAGTTTTGAATATAAACCACCCTGGTGATGAACATAAAAAAAGGAAACGCATATATGAAAAGAAATTCAATTCCTGACCTGTACATTGTACCAGTACAAAGAAAATTGCAGTGAATTTCATGAAATCAACCAACAAGACTCCATTTCCAGATGAGCCAAAGATGGCAGCTACCCACGCCGCCGGTGCCTTACCAATATTCAAATCCCCTCGAAGTAAAAAAAGGAAGAAACACAAGAGCTGAGAAAACTGCAGCCGATGTCCCGCGAAACAGCTGGCCAATCATACTTTCATTATATTAGTGGCGCGAAGGATATCTTCCAAGGACCAGCCAGGGCCACCGGGGACAATTTCTGCCCACACTTCCTCCGGGACCGCATCGTCGCCACTCAGCAAGCTCCAGTTGGGACTGGGCTCGGGCTTGATCCATTTGAAATCCTCGACTTGATTCCAGCGGTCCTCGGTATCAGGGCGGTCGTGGTCCAAAGCCTATAAAGCAGCAAGTATTAGCTGAGTACCAACCGGAGTCAAAAGCGAGTCGACATACATAGGCTCTCGGAATCCTGCCGAAGCGAACATTCTTGCAGTCTTCGATCACCGGGTTGCTCGAGGAGCTGAGGTAGACATCAACGTTGGAGCAGTTGTGCATGCGGAATTGGCGAGATGTCACGACGATGATGCTGTCCTCGACGCCTGTGACATGAGCCGGGCCATTGATTTGGCCGCAGATCAAAAGACTTTCTTTGATGTTCTTGGCCGTCAGACTAGCGTAGGGCTTTCCGTTGGCCGTCGGTATGGACATGTCCACTACGCAGTGGCGAAGAGACGTGATGGACGCAGGGACGGTAGCGGTGGATCCGGATGCTGGTAGCATGATGTGAAGACCAAAGTGATTGTTCACCGACACGGACGACACGGACGTCGCGGCAAAGGCAGAGCTCATTTCTTCCTCCTTTGATAGCATGTCGGGCTTGTCCACAGAAATCGCCGGGACAGAGGTAGGGGCGAACTCCGCCCGAGGTTGAAGAATGAGGTTGGGCTCATTCAACGGCGTCGACGGGTAGTTGGGGGTTTGGCCTTCCGACGAACTGACGGAGGATGCGCCGGGGGAGAGATATCCTGGTATGCGACGACGGCGTTCCATAGCAAGCTGAGCAGCGTCATTCAAGGAGACAGCCGAGGCATTTTTCTTGGTCTTGAAGCTGAACTTCGGACGAGGCTCCACTGCCGCTCTAGTCTCAGCCAGCTTGTCCTGGAGCGCTTTGATTGCCTAGAGAAGGCATTAATATATATGTAGTAGGGGAAACAAAGAAAAAGAAAAAAAATAGGAACGCATTCTGCAGGGAAAGCACACCTCTGCATACACTCGCTGGTCATATGTTGGAATGTAGCTCGCTGCATCCTTGACCTCGTTGGATAACCGCGCGATTCCAGCTAGACAATGATCGGTGGCATCGGTGCGTTCTCCGCCGATCAGAGACGTATCTGCCAGGCGGTCCATTTGTTCTTGGAGAGCTACAGGATACCTCAGGTGTCAGGGTGTCTCTGACTGTGTTTCACAGTCCAGGAGCTATAATCATACCAGTAATCTCATGCTGGAAGTAGCGGAAGAACCGCTCCTTCAACGGGATTTCAGATTTCTGGATGGTCTGGTTTTCAGCCTGCGACGGCCGGCGCGCATAGTCGTACTCAGGTTGTGACATGGTGGCTTGTAGGTAGACAGGATATTTTGACTATTCGGGAGGTGCTTGTATTGAGCGAAGAAGGGGTGGTTGAAGTGTCTGGTAAGTACAGGAAGGTTGGGGGAAGTGCTCGGATGGCATGTATATCAATGACGTCGACCCGAAGTGATGCACCGTGGATGGTTGATGCGGCCGTAAAACCGTTGACACAATGGTGTCGACCCGATATTGAAAGGACGGTCAAGAGTATTTTGAATCTGCAGGATTCCCTGGAGTCTTATAAATGTTGAGTAATTATTAGCTCACAGACAGAAGCAAGTAGTGCATCAGTGCATGAGGGGCTTCTTCAACGGTCGATGCCAAGTCGATCATCCGCAAAGACAGATCCACATGGTCACTGGAATGCGGAGGGTCGGGGACTGCAATGGACGAGGAACGAGGGATTCATAGCCAAAAAACAGCCGAGACACTCACCTCTGGCGCTCTCTTTCTCCTCACCGACCTCTTTGTCAGGCAATGGCGGCGATGTCGAGCGTGACGTCGACCGAGGAAGCATCCGGCGCTCGGCCTTTCGTTGATCCGGGAAGCTCCCCGCGCTAGCCTGTTTTGGCAACGGGTGGCATGCTCGGGATTACGTAACATCGTGTCCTTTCATCTTTCATTGTTGTCTGGCGTTACAGTACACACTATACAGAAATGCCAACCTTCTTTTGGTGAGGTACAGGTTCAAAATGCGCTATGAAAATACGGGGAGATGCCTCACGTCGACGGTAGTTCCGGAATGTCGGGCCTGCGGGGAGAAGATAACGCCCGACCGTCCATTTCCGCGATGGGCTGATTCGACAACAAGGAATATCGTCGATGGTGTACTGGAGACCCGGCCATTTGCAGGCGCTCGATCACTAATCGGTCAAAGTCGGACCGCAAATCATATTCGTTGATGGTCTCGTTGCCGTCGTAGAGTCGGACCACGCGGAGTGTTAGGTGTCCTTGTTTGATCCAAAACAGAAGTATTTCATTCTCGCGCGGGAAGGAGAGGGCCAGCTTCCCGGGTTTAAAGACCGATGGGCTGATCTTGTTGGAGGCCTTCTTCGCCCGGGAAGGCCTTAGTGTTCCACTGGCACTAGTATTGCACAGGCTGATCTGGTTGTTCCCATTGGCAATGACAAAGCGCGACCCGGATGGTGATTGCGCGGCGTGGATAATCGTCGTGCCAGATTGATCACTCATACTGCTTTCCTCGGCAATAGGGGATGGGATGGGGTAGTCCTTCTTGGACGAGGCGGTTAACAGGACGGCACGGTGAAAATTGTCATAGAAAACACACGTGGCGCCTTTATCGTTGGTTGTCCACTGTCTGCCGTTAGAATCCCCGTTGATGAGACACGCGCAAGGACACGGGCACACATACCGGTGGAAGACTGAATGTCCTAGAACAGTCTGGACCGACGTTCCACTGCTCGGTACTGCAGTTCCAAACGTCTACGAAGGCATCCTGGCCCCCCAAATGCGTCGCAACAACAAGATTCCTCCCGTCGACGGAGAATTGGATTTTCCTCTCAAGTGCTGCTTTGTTGTTCTTTTCTGTCGTATCCTCCGCTGACGCTGAGTTCCCAGAATAGATTCTGTGGTGGTTCAGATTCAAGTCTATCGAGACTTTTCTGATATATTTGGTACCGATCTCATATACTCGGACCTCGTCATTGAGGGTGAACGCGACGTATCTATCGTCTCGAGACATCACTATAGAAATCGGTGGTAATAAAGAGAGCTGGGTGTCGATTGTCACAAATGCTTCCGGAATGGGCGTTGCCTTGTTAAAGATAAGAAGCTCGTAGTGCTGTGTTTCCGTTAGCTGTGCTGAAATCTCGAGTCGCCATGAAGAAAACGGGTCTTGCTCACCTCTCCGACAGCGGCGATAACAGCGCAGCGTTGATCGCCTGCGGCGGCGTATTGAACGCCAGACACGTCATATCGTTGGCCAATTGGTTTCTGCGCTTCGACAGAGGATGTTTCGAAGCGCACTAGCCAGTTACTACCGGCTCCCCAGAGCAGGAGAGATTCTCCGGAGGCCGAGAAGCAGAATCGAGGCTGTTGAGGCAGATGGGCCTCTCGGGACGAACCCCGTCTAAATATGGAGCCTCCACCGATGGGTAGCTTCACGCTCTTCAGTTCCCTCGAAATCACCTTGATTTTTTGCTTTTCGAGAAGCGGATCGCCCTTCGCCCGACTCAAATATGGATCAGGCCCTTCTGAGTAAATGGAAGCGGATTGGCTGCTGCCGATCTCATTGAGGCCCGGTGTATACGATGCCGGTGTGATGGGGCTTCGCAATGCATCGCCCGATGATTGGCTCGCTGAATAGCTTACAGAGCTTGAGGATGTTGTATTTCGGGAGATTGAGCCGGAGAAGGAGAGGCGTCTATTGCTGTCTGGTTCAGGGAGTATCGGCGTGGTGACTTGGTCGAGAGGCTCAATCATCCGTGCGTATTGTATTTTTGTGTTTCCAGGACACAGGGGACATGATATATTGGTGGTCAAAAACCGTAGGTTTCCTTTCAGTTGCTAATATGGTTGTTAGTATAAAGGCGACAATCAACCCGGTCGGCGATGAACAGCGGAAACCAGTTGGAAAATAAGAGACAGAGTCGCACATACTTCATGAGCATTTTTGTCAAAATTCCTCAGCTGCTCCTCTAACAGTCCCCTGGGGATGAGGTGCACTGCAGGACAGTTAACGACATATATAATATCGGCCCATCTTTCAGGCACCTGGAATGTGTCGCCGCCTTCTGGCAGAGGCGACAGCTGCAACCAATTGGCCAGGTTCTGCTGGTAATGATGCGAATTTGCTTCGAGCTCCCCATTGCAGCCCCACAGTTGAACTCTTCGATTGATCAACCACCGCACCAGGTATCCGAGGGAGTTCTCCCATGTCTCTCGCAGCCGAGAGAGCTGAGCCCACGAGTCTCGAATTCTTCTCGTTTGCACGGGTGGCTGGCCCTCCCCGTCCTGGCTCAATATGACGGTCGCGAGTACCTGTAGAGCCGGAGTGGTAAATTCATCGTTAAATGCAGCCAAGATGGTTTTGGCCAGTTTCATACGCGTCTCGCGCGCTTCATCGAAAGCCTCGTCGACCTCGAATGCCGCATCACTGGCGTGCTCTTCTTCTTGCGAGATACGCCGACGATCAATGTGGCACTGAACAAGGGCCGACTCCGCCGCCCACAACATATCAAATAGGAGACAAAACGGAATCAACTGATCGGACTTGCTCTTGAGGAGCGCAGTCAAAAGATCCGTGATATTTGGCTCCGAAGATCCAGAAAACGGGTACTGCATTCACATCAGCTCGCTGATCATATCCCAGGCCTAGTGCCGAGTCAGAACTCACCATTCCCGAAACAAAGGCCGGAGAGCCGGCCTTCCCCATGGCCACGGGCGATTGACTCCGGCACAGCTCCGGCGAGCCAATACTGTTGATGGCCTTGGGCAACAGATCACTGACTAGATATCTTTCTACGCTGGACAAGTCGGGGTTCTGCCACGCCGCGCGGATCACGCGCTCCATATTAAATTTCGCATCGGGCGACAGGTTCTCGCCGCGCAGCAGCAACAAGCGAATGCCCGCCAGTAACGTATGGGCCAAGAAATGTCGGTACCGCAGCAGGTCGGACGCGGTGGTCGTGGTACACGGAAACAGACTGGTCTTGACCTGCACCAGATACATCACGGCCGACAAGATCACATCCGACGGTAATAGGGAATGCAGGAAGTTCGACTGGTTATCGTGGATGCTCCTCAATCCCTGCATATACGTCCTCTGTAGATCGAAAATGGCGCGGATCCAAAACACCGACCGCGTCAAAGACTCGACCTTGGAGGCGTGCGAGCCATCCTGGATCTGGGAAACAGCGATCTCCGCCGCATGCTCCCCGATAATCTCACGTAGGATATTTGCTAGATCACGGCGCCCGAGTTGCTCCCAAACGGCTGCCACGAGCGGATGTGACATGGAGAACGCGAAGTCAATGTGCCTCGGACATAAGAGCGGGCCCGGGAGTGTCTCGATCGGCGCGCTTCAGAGGGAGGGGGCCAAATGGTGGACCGACCCGAGGAGGTGAGAGGCGCGGTGGTGATAGTGTGTGGGGGGCTGGACAGGACAGTCAGGCAGTTCAGGGACGAGGGCGAGACAAGTTTCGAGATGACGGACAGATTGACCTGAAGAAAAAAGATGGAAGAAGGCCCGACCTGCCAGGTGACCCGCATTCGACCGGGGTGGGAGGGGGAGAAGGGCGAAGAAAAATTGGCTGGTGTCCTGCAGGCGACGCAGCTGATGCGAGGCTGCATCTTGTCTTACGCCGTCCAGGGGGGGCCTCTCGTTGCGCTACGATTGGCGGTCGCGCTGGCCTTGCATGCACCCTCGCGTTGTTTGGTCCATGATAGCCGGTCAGCATGCCAATTATCTGCCGGACAGCATCTCAGGAGAACCCGCGTCCTGAACCCGGATCTGAGTGTCTCGTATAGACAGGCAGTCTATCGGGTGCGAGGCGTCCAGGAGACGGAGAGAGACTAGAAGGACTAACGAGTGGTGATCCCCGCTAGTCGGACTAGACAGCTCAATTTCTGGGGGCCAGACAAACACGCCATCGCACCGTGAAGAAAGAAGATCCAATTCCCCATCGCTCATCTTTTCGATGAGAACTTCAGCCGCGGTGAGAAGTTTATTCGAACAGAATCATTGTCATCTGGCCCGAACAAAAAGTCTCTGGTTCATCATCGCTCGTGGCCGTTAGGGCTTACGCCAACCAAAGTGTCCTCGATATCTACCTACCCAACATCCATGCCCTCCAAATTTCTCGACGGGCCAATCAGGGCAAAGAACAGGAGTTCCCCTGAAGAATCTGAAATGCGCAAGATAAGCCTGATCCTTGGCTTCCGTCCTTCCCTTGAACTGGAGTTGGACCGAGTCTTACATACAGCACTGTGTCCGACAATGGTGCAAGGAATTCATTACCTCCTACAGCTTTGTCCCACGATGTCAGATGCTGAACAATATAATCCAACGTTTCACCGCATTCGCCATGGCTAAAATCGACCTCCTCGACTACTAGACCAAGCGCTTCTTCCGCATGCCCGGTCAAACGGGATTCAATCTCACCAAGGACCATATTTGTTGGTTTATGCAGATGAATGAGAATGAGACTTGAATGCTTTCTTATAGTGGATAAATGGATAGGAGCAATGGGGAAATTAACGCACAGGAGAGTTTGTCTAATCTCTGGAACGGAGAGGCATCCCGGACCGAGCTCGACATCATCATAATGCCATGGTGATGACATGTCCTATGGTAGGGAACATTTTCCATTATCACTCTCTCTCGCTCTCCGCAATATTTCCTAACTTCAACCTTTACTTGACTCGTTGGGATCATGGAGCGTGGTCCATATTGTATGATATGTGGGCATTATATGGGCCTGAAAATCACGATGGATAAGAAAAGCTAATACGAAGAATGGAGGGCTAGTTCCACAGCGTCATAATACTGAATGAAAGAGTGATTCAACGGGGAAGCAGACTAGACCTGGCAGAAGTCCGGACGAGGGAGTCGCCGTCTCTTAGGATTGCCCTTTTATCGAAAATCTATTCGATGTGCCATACCAGTTTATCGAAGCATGTTAGCCAGATTCCCGATCGATAAGAATCATCGAGAGAACCCCCATGCTGGGAAATCTGGACTTTGACGTGGGAATTCCCGCACTGGGCGCATACCATCCCTCAAGGCTACTGGCGCATCGCGGAGATTCTAGGGAAGAAAAAGGGCATATTAATAGCTTGTATTCCGCCGCCCTCTTCAATATTTAAATATAGGCACAAGAGACATAAAGCAGCTTACTGAATGGCAACAGCAGCAAGACGGAGGTCAGCAATCCGAATGGGCATGGTCTCCACTACGCCACATAGTCTTTGAAGATTTCTTCTTGTTAGATTTTATGAAACAGAATGCACGACTATATTTCCTTATTGATATTTTGAATAAAGCGTTATCGATGAAGCACCGCGTAGTTGCTTCAAGAAACCGGTATAGGCTTCCCGACTTGGTGCTCAATAGATAACTCAAGGCTTCATGTAGAACGGATCATGCACACTAAACATTGGTAACTCATCGTCAATCGAAAAATGAGTACCACAGGAAAGCAGCCCATATAACCACAACAATAAGTCCTGAGTACGGACTCGGACTGCCGCGTTCCCTTTATTCTTGTCAGCACTCAGAGTCTTTGGCGCTGGAGACAAAGTCTCACAAGACGACTGATCGGAAATGAGATACCATGAGACAGGGAGGACTAGCGGAATGCCCAGAAGTTTGCGTCTAGGCACTTGGCCCAAGATGGCATAACTCCATTCTTTGTACGACTTGAGAATCGCCGCGGAATCCGTTTGGCGCGCGTTGATTCGAGATCGGTCGGTGCCCCTTTACTGGTTCCGGTCGTCAATAACAAACGACAATAGAAACATCAACAGCCGCGACTCTGGATCTACTCCCTCGGCACTCCTCAATGGTGGTCTCGCCAGTGCTTTGATGATCGACCGGGGGCAAATCCAATTAAAACAACCAAGCGTTTACCCGACAGGATGACGAATCGTGTCAATTCTTCCGGCGAATTTGAATTTCATGGCGGGCCATGTCGTGATGCCTCGGGGTGTCACATTCCTCCCAATGACGTGCGGTGGGACTGAGAATTGAGACACGCGCCCTTCGCCCAAGCCGCTTCACGATGGCTGTCGTTCTACCAGCCAAATAAACCGATGTATGGCATTGAATACCTCGTGGCCTGGTTGTCCAAGACAATTTTACCGGCTCGCTGGAAGTCTATTGATATCAACCGGAGACAAGATTTCTCCATGGTTTGCGTTCTTATCTGGTAGGTTGCGGCCCAACCCCGGTATGCGACGGTGGGATGTTTACGAATTCCTCAGTGTCTATCAATCCACACGCAGGTGAAAAACAAACTTGTCTTCTGCGTGCTCTGATTTCAGGATCCTGTCGATTTTCGAGTCCCGCGGTGGGTGATACTGCGTTGTACTGCAGTCTCGATGGGCTTTTTCTCGTCTTTCACAGGGACCTTGTCCCTCGTCCTTTCCTGTTTGTACCTCTGCGTGGTCGCGGAGTCCGGCTACGCAGTGGTCGAGCGGTTGAACGATGTGCCCGATGGCTGGATAAAAGGTAGCGCACCTCTACCCTCTCAGCCGATGAGGCTTCATTTGGCTTTACACCAGGAGAACGCACATGGTTTTGAGCAAAGGGTGGTGGATCTATCCACCCCTGGGCATCCCGATTATGGACGCCACATGAAGCGCAGCGATATCCGGGATTCTGTGCGCCCTTCCGATCAGGCATTAGACTCGGTGCTCTTCTGGCTCACGTCGAAGGATATTCCCTATGAAACCCTTGACGTCCATGGCAACTGGATCACGTTCACGGTCCCGCTTTACCAGGCCGAAGCTTTGTTGGAAACACGTTTCCACAACTTCTACAATACGGAAACCGGGGCGACGGTGATCAGAACGCTGGAATATTCAGTACCCGAGGAGGTCTATCCTTATGTTCATCTGGTTCAGCCCACAACCCGGTTTGGAAGGCTGGTATCGCAGGCAGAAATGCCCCAATTCAAACCAACTGCGGCCACCTTCGAAGAGCTGTCGGCAAATTGTTCGTCAACCATTACCCCGGATTGTCTTCGCGAATTGTACGGGGTGTATGACACTGAGGCAGATCCTGACCCTCGCAACAGGCTTGGAGTTTCGGGGTTTCTAGACCAGTACGCGCGGTATGGTGACTTCCACGATTTCATGCAGTTATATGCACCGAACAGGACCGATACCAATTTCACCGTGGTTTCCATCAACGGCGGTTTGAACCTACAGAATGCCTCTCGATCGAGCTCGGAGGCAAGTTTAGATATACAATATGCCGCAGCGTTGGCATATAACTCATTCGCAACATACTATACCACGGGTGGACGCGGACCCGCCGTGCCTAACGTCGGCGAGTCCGACGAGAGCGAGTCAACCAACGAACCGTACTTGGAACAACTCCACTATCTTCTCGATCTCCCCGATGAGGAGCTCCCCGCGGTTCTCACAACCTCATACGGCGAGGACGAGCAGACCGTGCCCGAATCGTACTCGAACGCGACCTGCAACTTGTTCGCCCAACTAGGCGCGCGTGGTGTCTCCGTGATATTCAGCAGCGGTGACTCGGGAGTTGGGGAGTCATGTATCACCAACGACGGGACCAACAGAACTAGATTCCAGCCAACATTCCCGGCCTCGTGTCCCTTTGTAACGTCCGTGGGCGGTACCTACGGCATCAAACCCGAAAAAGCCATCGGTTTCTCCGGAGGTGGTTTCTCGGAACGCTTCGCACGCCCCCAATATCAAGATGAGAGTGTTGGTCGCTACCTCGAAGAACTTGGGGATAGATGGGATGGATTATATAACCGCAATGGGAGAGGTATTCCTGACGTTGCCGCTCAGGCTGCGAATTTCCTTGTTGTGGACAAAGGCAACATCATTAAAATTGGTGGCACTAGGTATGTCTGGGACCAAGTCTAGCAAAACGCACACTAACATGTTTCTGATCAGTGCCTCGGGGCCTGCTTTTGCTGCTATCATCTCGCGGTTGAATGCGGTACGACTGGAAGAGAAAATGCCACGGCTAGGGTTCTTGAACCCATGGCTCTACTCCCTGAACCAGACCGGCTTCACCGACATCGTCGACGCGGGTTCAATTGGCTGTAGAAGCGGTCCTGGGCCACAGGTTCCTTATGCCAGCTGGAACGCAACGAAGGGTTGGGATCCGGTGACGGGCCTCGGGACTCCCTTTTACAACACTCTTGCGAAAGTCGTAAAATCTACTTAAGCCATAGTCATGTAAGGAGGGGAATGGTTGTTTCTGAAGATGATTTTCCATTTATATATGCTCGGACACGCTGTATACCTCTTTATACCTCTTTTTTTTAAATCCCACTTTCTTTCCTTTTGTTTTTCGTGTTCAGAATGACAATTTATGTGAGCGTAATGAGCGTAGGGTCGACGGCCAAAGAAAGTGAAAGCGAGAAAGGCAGATCGACGCTCTTTATAGGCACACGTGACCCGCACCCGCCAAGGCCGGCGAAGCTGTTGGAAGCTGCTGACAACGTCAACCCGCCGGCTCACGAACTCACCTCTTGCTATCCATCCAATACCCTTTCCATCTCCCGTCGTCCTCCCGTGCACAAACTCGCCATCTCTCGATATATTTCTCTAGGCGAACAATCTACCGTCCCACCTAACTTCCCATCCGAATCCAAACCACAGCCACCATGGCCGACCTCCGGTCCCTCGTCTCCGAGCTCCATAACGCTCTTAACCAGAAACAGCCCGATGCTGCCAACAACCTCATGAGCCGCGCAAAGCGGACTCTTCTGCTCCAGAACGCCCTAATTCCCACTCCCTCGACGTCGCCCGAGGTGATTGCTCTTGCGCGCGAGATCCTGGAGCTCGGCGCCCTGGCCTCCATCCGGCAAACCGACGCACCCACCTTCACGAGATACTACCAGCAGCTCCAGCCCTTCTATGACCTGGAACGGGACAGTTCGAACCCCGGCAACGTGGATTTCAAGACCAGCCAGCGCAGCAAGATCACGGGACTCTACATGCTGCTTTTGTTGAGCATGGGTGACAGCACTACCTTCCACACCGTCTTGGAGGGTCTGGTCGAGGAGGCGAGCTTGAAGGGCCACAGTGTCGAGGATGACCCGTACATCAAGTATCCCGTGGAGCTGGAGAGGAACTTGATGGAGGGAAGCTATGACAAGGTGTGGCGGGAGACGAACTCGGAGAGAGTGCCTTCGGAGGACTTTGCTTTGTTCTCGAACGTGAGTTGATCATCTGGGAGATGCGTGGCTTTCGGGGATATCTTTTGCTAATGTGTTGTTTGTCTCTGTCAAACAGGTCCTGGTCGGAACCATTCGCAGCGAGATTGCAGACTGCTCCGAGAAGGCGTACCCTTCGCTCCCGATTTCCAACGCCAAGAACCTGTTGTTCCTCGAGTCGGAGGGAGCGGTCATCGAGTTCGCCCAGCAGCGCGGCTGGGTGCTCCGTGATGGACGCATATACTTCCCGGTCGAGCCCGAGGCCGCGGCTCGTTCGGAGAAGGACATTCTGGTGGCCAGTGGCACCATTATCGAGAACGCTATCGGCTACGCCCGAGAACTAGAGACGATTGTTTAGTTAATAGATCTATCTATCTACGTTACGGATTTTTCTTTTTTTCACTTTTCATATCGTCTTCTTAGGGTCTCGGGTGGGTTGTATTTAATTGTATACCGTTGCTTTGCATCACGAATTCACCAAGCGAATTATTTTCATGAACCAGAGCTGCTACTTTTCGTGTTGATTATGTGCTCGCGCGCCATATGCACAACCTTCGGTCGTAGAAGCTGCTGGACACGCAGAGCAGTTCCGATACCTCTTGCCCTTGCAGGTCATACCCGCCCTGGGGCTTCCACACGTCCGAGGCGTAGTTCATACTCTCGTGCTCCGTAAACTCCGCCAACACCTCAATGCCCCATTGTGACTCCGATCCCTCATTTGTGTCTTCTGTAATCCGTACAATCCTTGTCCCAGCGTGCATGCAGCTGGCCAGCACCAGGAAGGTCGATCGCCTACCTCCGTCTACTGATTCACTCTTCGTCTTCAGCAACTGCAACCGCCACACACCACCCCCTAGACACTCCTCTGCCAGCACCTGACCCGGCCGCGTAGCATGGTATACCCTCAGATACTCATCATAACTCCCGGTCAGTAGCAACGGTGCACCATCTACCAGCGGAAGCGGCAGAGGTAGAATGGACGTGACGCCAGCGGTATGGTGTCGCCCTCGATCATCATGCTCCAACAGCAAAGGCGACAAGAGCTCCGACGAGTCAGAATCGGCCTCATCCTGCTGAAAGCGACGGGTATGCAGAGAGCCAAAATCATTCCCCGTGAACATGTACGGCGTCGTGGACGAGCTCGACTCGTCCTGCACCGCGGCCAAAGCGACAAACCATACCTCGATGGGCTGCTTCGCCGGAAAGCTGCCGAGATCTTCGATCGCGTCTGACTTCTCGGACAGCGTGGTAGTGGAATCACAGCCGAAGACCGTCGTGGTGCCGTCGGAAAACGTGACAGCGAACCCGTCGGTCTCAGGGCGATTCAACCAGTGCTGCGGCGTCCAGGCCAGGAAGAGAGCCGGGATGGACGGGTCATCGTGCACCGGACGAGTCCAGAGATGGGTGATCTCTGTCGGGGATGACCCGGACACGCGGAAGAGCGCGACAGAGCCGGTGCTGGAGGCGATGGCCAGGAGCGAGGGATCTCGCGGGTGGAAATGCAGATCGAAGACTGCGTAGGGCACCGACACCCGATGGATGAGAGATCTGGCAGTGCGAGGTCAGCCTTCTTGTTTTAAGGTTTTCTGGCGTGAAGGCCTCTTACAGGGTGTTTTCCTCCGGATCAAGATTCCATAGCTGCAGACTCCCGGTCTTGGACTGCTCTACGTTTCCCTCGTCGTCTTTGTTCTCGGACAGAAGATAAGTGCCGATGACGAAGGTGTTGGGGGCTGCCGGACAGAACTGCATGCAGCTCGGGGGCTGGTCCAGGAAGACCGTTGTGGCGGACGAGGGACGTGCTATCATATTCTCCGATTGATGCTCAGACTCTTATCTCCCTGACTCTCTATTTCATCGTGATTCGATTCGACTGGATTTCCTAATTTCCCGGTGTTGAGAAGGCGGGCAGGCGGTGAACCGTTCCATGCGTCGTTTCTCCATGTCTTTCTGTCTTTCGGCCTCTCTTTTTCTCTCTCTCTCCCTCTCTCAACATTTCATCAATGCTTTCCGTCCGTTACATCATCTTCTTGGCTATTGTCATGGCCCCGTCTAGATCCGCGCTCTTTTGTCTGCAGCTCCAGGCAACGCTTGGATGCCTGGTCAATCCCATACTTTTCCAGACTAGTCTGTCGATCAAGTCGTTTAGATCCTTGTCACTTCGCAGAATGATTCATTCTCCCTCGTATGATTAAAAATCAACCGTGGGGGACGTCTACTCCGCATGCATCTACAGTAGCCTCTATAAAACTCATGTCGTGCTCTGATGGTCGGCCGTTTTGCAGGTCCCATCACACTATTTGAAGATCATCAGGCCTAATCACCATGTTTGCACCGTATGGAAAGCTTCCACCAGCTGCGAGTATCTCGCCAGCTCCATTTACTGTGTCCATTCCCCAGCAGCAACTTGAAGAGTTGTCTACCCTCGTCAGGCTTTCCAAGACCGCCCCACCGACCTACGAGAATTCCCAGCCGGATGGCCGATTTGGCGTCACGTCCGAGTGGTTGACAACCATGAGACAAAAGTGGCTGCTCGACTTCGACTGGTATGCGCTCGTGTGTACCTATCAATATGAAGTAAATAGTCTAGTTAACTGCCTATCGTAGGAGAGCATTGGAGGCTCGCACCAACAGCTTTCCTCAATTTACCACGGAAATCGAAGACATCAAGCTGCACTTTCTCGCCCTGTTCTCCGAGAAGCCGGATGCGGTGCCCGTGGTTCTACTTCATGGATGGCCTGGTATGGCTGAAATCTCCTAGTTAGCTTGGAGCCCTATCTCACATAACAAAATTCAGGGAGCTTCCTCGAGTTTCTTCCGATGCTGGACCTGTTCCGGGACCAGTACACTCCCCGCACTCTGCCCTACCACTTCATTGTCCCCTCGCTTCCGGGATACGCTTTCTCCTCTGGCCCTCCACTTGACAGAAACTACACCAACGAGGATGTAGCTCGTGTTGTGGATCGATTGATGAAAGGCCTGGGGTTCGAAAGTGGCTATGTTGCGCAGGGTGGCGATATCGGAAGCATGATATCGCGGGTGCTCGCAGTGGACTATGATAGCTGCAAGGGTGAGTCTTCCGAACATAGCGATTGCAATGCCCCATCACACTAACATAACTTCATAGCTGCTCATCGTAAGTGCGATTGACTTTCTGCTTCTGAAAATATTGGAATAACGCCAACCGTCATAGTGAATTTCATGATGATACCAGCTGCTCCCCCGGGAATCTCTGACGCAAACCTCAGTGACAATGAGAAGCAAGCATTGAGACGCAGGGAGGAGTTTTTGAACTTCGGCAAGGCATATGCAGACGAGCACGCCACAAGGCCAAGCACTATAGGCCATGTCCTATCTAGTAGTCCTTTGGCATTGCTCGCATGGTAGGTTCCCAGATCAGTATGTCGAAGGCTCCATGGATGACCCAAAACCAGGTGTGGCGAGAAATTCCTCCAATGGGTCGACGAGCCACTTCCGTCTCAGACTATCCTGGAATTTGTATCGTTGTACTGGCTTACGGAAACGTATCCGCGATCGATCTACTCCTATCGCGAGGTGAGAACGCACTCTGTGGGGTAGGATGAACCCTTGTATCCTGACATAGAATAGAACATCGACGCATTCTTCGACCCAGAAGCTTATCGCCAACGCTGGTTTATCCGCAAGCCACTCGGTTTCTCATCGTTTCCCATGGAGCTTACGCCAACACCGAAGCCCTGGTTGGAGGCTACCGGTAATGTGGTGTATTTCAAGGATCATAGAAAGGTTTGTTTGTTGTAGATTGATGGATAACCCAGGAACTGACAATCATTAGGGTGGGCACTTTGCCGCACTAGAGAAGCCCAACGTTCTGAAAGAGGACTTGACTGAATTCATTGCACAGGTATGGGCGAAATGATTCAGATCGCCCAGGCGTGAGATCAGGCTAGGATTTTATACTGGACGTAGCAGGTAGAATTAACGCAGATGGCTTGATGATTTCTATTTGGGCGTTCAATCGAGTAGACCATGCAATATGCAGCTCTTGATGTTCATTTTAGGAAGACAAGCAAACCAAGACACAAAGAAATGAAGAGTGCAACTTTCTGCTCCACGAGGGAATACTTCAGTTGGCAGTTTGTCGGGGGTATAAAAGTGCTTGGCGTCCCCACCAACCTCCCTCCAGAAGATCCACCGAAGCACTTTATCACAAACATTGGACTTTTGAGTATCTGCTTCATCAAAACAGGTCGAACTTCCACACCATCATCAAGAGGCGAACCGACTCTTCAAAATAGACTACTCTGTTTAACCTAGTTGGGTTTCTTTCGAATCCACCATGCCCAGGCCAGACAAGCCCTGGTACGAGCTCTCCGACGAATCCAGTTTCTACGGTACGTGGTTCCGCTCGAGTTCCACCCAAGGGAATAAAGAAAGGGAAAAACGAAAGACAATCAAATAAGCGGGCCTATAAATAGTTAAGAAGGCAGAGCTCACGTTAGTCCACAGGCAATGACGAAGAAGTGTCCCACCTGGAAGAACTAGTCAGGAACAACGCTGTGGTCTCATCCTGTATGGATTTTACATCTTCTTTCTGTCTTCTAATCTACTCTTTATTCCTGATCAATTTCCTTCTCGTTGACAAGGGCTGATTTGATTACGCATCTCCAGCGCCAAAGCGAACACGGAAGTCTACATCTCGGTCTAAACCCGTAATGTCTGGCGACTCTGATTTTGATGTTGAGGTCACCTCTCCGCCGAGGGAACGGTCGTCGAGAAAGCAGAAAAAGGGGATTAAAACTTCATCGACCGGTCCTAAATCCACACCCAAGGTCAAAAAGGAATCAAAGACAAGTGAATCAAAGGGCTTTGAGCCTGCTGAAAATTCAGAATCTGCGCCCGAGCCTGCAAAGATATCGCCCAAAAAGAAAATCAAAGTAGAGGATCCAGAGTCAACAGACACGGACTCTTCTGCACCAGAGCCCAAGAAGAAATCGTCGACAAAGAAGCGAAAAGCAGACAGTTCCTCCCCGGCGGTCTCTGACTCCGCACCCCCACCCAAGAAGAAATCCGTACAAAAACGTGAGTCCCCAGAATCTACAGACTCAGGACCTCCATCTCCGTCTCCGCCCAGAGAGCAGTCGCCAGATGTAGCCAATGAACCGGAGACCAATCCGGCCGATGAGTCTACTGAGAGCCCGGAGGAGTCAGACTCAGACCCGGACAAAGTCCAAACGAATCAGCCGCTGCCCGACTTGACCGCACGCATACCACCGTCAACTTCTAACATCCATGACACGGGACCCTGGATCTACGTGATGAATCCTCGCTATCAGGGACCACAAGAACCAAACGGCACCAGTTTCTGGGCCGAGGCGTCGGAGACAATACTAAACATGCCGGTGAGACGCCAGGGAGGGCGTGGTTCGGCGAAAGAGATGAATGAAACGCGACGGTTCATGGAGCAAAACATTCTTTGCCTGGCGCGACGAAAGGGTATCGTGATGGGGAAGTGGATGTTCTTTCTGACGCGGGACCGGGTGGACTATTTCTGGAATGTAATTGCCCAGGCCACGGAGAGAGGGGAGCTGGGACCATCGGCGAAAGTAGCCACGGATGACGGGTCGGGCAAGGCGCGCTTGCTTGCGGTCTACACGCGGGATTTCGAGGACGTTGCCGATGTGAGGAGGGTGGCGCAGAAGTTGGCCGAATTGGGGCTGATCAAGCCCCATGATCGGCCGATTTACTACAAAACCAATGCATATACTCTTTTGGATATCAATTCTAATAACCCATGGGGGTTGAAGGCGAGCATGTATAATAGCAGAGACATGTTGGCGAGAAGGATTTGAGTTGGTTTGTCTGAAATCATATGTTCAAAGATGATCTGATCTGATAAGAACGACCTGTTCATGCTCTTTCTATCTGTACATTTGTTCCGTTGAACTCGAGCAAGGGATGGCACAACACAGCTGGTCGCTGTAGCTGTGCAGGTTGCTAGACCTACTGCCAGGGCCACAACCGAGCATGCATCCACACGTCTGGACCGAAAGACTGTATGTACGGCAAGTCCCTTTGGGTTGATAGGTTGCCATTCCGGCGTCCAAGTCCATTCCACGACCTGGTATATTAAGGATCCTCGGCCTGCGAGGCATGTCCGTTCGACGTTTTTGTAAGAGTCCGTCGCGTCTCGAGATCCCTGACGAGATTCGGATGAGATCATAGTATCTGCCACGCGCGCGGGTTGCATCCGACGACATGAAGCATTCTTGTCCTGATTCAGTCCTCAAGACGCCTCATCTTTCTTCGCCATGACCTTCTCGCAAGACTCCCGGACCTCCGCAACTCCCTTCACCTCTCCCCACTTCGCAAGCAGAGTGCGTACCTCCTCCCAGTCCCGTTCAGCCTCATCCTTACTCCCATCGGCAAGGAGCTTCTCGAGTCTCTCCGGGGCCCCTAGCACCCATTTCACCGTCTGCCTTTCGGACTTCTTACGATCTGCAGCATCCGACATCTTCGCTTCCTTCATCCGTCGTCGCTGTTCTTCCCCCTCCTGAATCAACCCGCCCGCGGTCTCCGCCACGAACGCAATCGCCGGACCCAATGTCTTGGTCATCGTCAACGGAGCACCGCGATCATCCATACTGCGCCGCATCTTGCCAATAGTCTCGACCGCACGGATCAGCTTCGAGTAATTATCGTAGACGAGGGCCTTCCGCTCGCTGTCCAGCGTGCGGATGTCGCCGACGAGCGTATTCTCGGCCTTCAGGATCGTCGACAGCGACGACGTGGCGAGGAGGTGGTTCACGTAGCGCTGCGGGTCGAAGTCCGGGCTGTCCAGCTCGGTGCCCGTCGACAGGACGGACGGGTTCGAGATGTCGCCGGCATCGGTGTGTCGGGGGACGCTGGGCGAGCGCGGACCGCCGGACGGGTCGGCCGCGGACGGCTTCAGGTTGTAGTAGTCTCGCAGGGCGGAGCGGTTGCGTCTGGGTCGTAGTGACGGCGAGACTGCGCGAGCTGTGGAGGGAGTTGAGGAGGCGCTGAGGCCGCCGCCGCTGCCGACGTGGGTGTTTAGAGCGTCGAGGGACGGACGGCGTGACGATGCAGGGGTGGGCGAGTGAGCTCGAGACGAAGCGATGGAGGGGCGTGGGGAGGATAAAGTCGACATGGCGGGAGGAGACGAAGCCGTGGAAAAGGAGAGAAAGAGCAGGGCAATGCGGGTGGACGAACGAGGGGAAAGATGGAGAGAAGAGAGGCGAAGAGGAAAAGGAGATGCGATTGATTGTTGGCCAAATCAGGAAGCGGTGGTCCGTTCCCCGGATTTCTTTAGCGTCATCGCCGTCCATTAATTCATTACAATCCATTTCAATTTCTCTCCTGCGCAAACCAATCATTCAGTCAACACTCGCTTGGCCCAATCCCCCAACTCCTCATGACCAACGTTCATCAGCAAATATCTGCTCAATTGCGGAGCAAATCCCTCCCCGTCTCTACGTCCTGGCTCACCACCTTCGTGGCCTCCGCATCCCTCCAGCGCAATGTTCCTCTCTCGGCCCTGACGCAAACCGCTTTATTTCGCGTCCTAGCCTCGGATTTCAGAGATTCCTTGACGACCAGCTCTCCCTCCTCCATCCTTCCCGCCGACATATTCGACCCTACGGTGCAAGAAAGACGAATCCAAGGCCCAATTCCCGTGCAGGTCCTGGATATCGAAGATATCGGCTCGAGTCTATGGAGCCAAGTCGAGGCCATCGAGCGCGTCGAACGCGGAGAAGCTATACGGGGGCGCGAGATCGTGCGGACGGTGAATGTGGGTGAGGACAGAGGAGAGGGTGCAGACGGCGCGAACGGCACCGCGGGGTCGACCGAGTCGGGGAACAGCAATGGTCCGCATCGACTGATTGTTCAAGACGCGGCGGGGACAAAAGCCGTCGCGGTGGAATTGAGGCAGGTTCATGGTGTTGGCCTGGGGAAGCTCCCGATCGGAGCGAAGTTGCTTCTGCGTAATGCGACGGTGGCACGAGGCATGGTGTTGTTGACGCCCGAGTGTGTGACTATACTAGGAGGGAAGATCGACGCGATGGATCAGATTTGGAGGGATGGCAGGAAGGAGAGACTATTGGAAAGGATTACAGCAACAGGAGAGCAGACGCAATGAAGCTGAAATGGTCCGAGTGAGTGAAGGTACGTGTAAATGCATGCCATTTGTTCTTCATGGTTTTTCTAAACCAACTAATTTCTTATCTAGGTCCTGGAAAGTCATCTACCTATAAAACATGGCTTCCCTTCGGACTCGAGATCTAGGCAGTTGTGGACGTCGCATGATTCAATTCCTCCCATCCGCCTTGCTTCCACGGTGCGACCATAATGGCTTTCAAGGCATCGCCCGCCTTCCCGGTCTGCGCGAATGCAGCAGAAAGGTCCTCGGCCTCTAGTCGGCCACGAGGGGGAACGCTCCGCAAAGCTCTCTTGACGCCCATATCGGCAGCGTATGGCTCTTCAGACGCCGCCGACAATTCCATCCAGCCCTGTGGCTGATGTGGTGCCCTCATCACGGCGGCAGCGGCCTCGCCAACGCGTCTTGTTTCTTCGGGAACCCCTGAGTTGTCACCGAATCCTAACGTGGACACCGCCGTCAACAGCTTGACAAGCTTCGTCTGTTCGTGAATCTCAATATCGTCTCTCGTAATCATATTCTGAAGGTCCGATTCGACCGCCTCGATGACATCCTTGTCTGCATCCAAGATCGCAATGGCCCCGAGAAGTGTCACGGCCCCAACATGATCGGGGTTTGCCTCGACGCAGTCAAATAATTGCTGGCGAGCCACAGTCCGCTCCTCTTCTCCGCCCTTTGCCCACAGCACCTGAGCAAGAAGACACACAACCTCTGGTGCATTGTCTGCCTCCTGAAGAGCGTCGCGGAACATGTCAATGGCACTGTCCATGGACTTAAGATAGTAATGCGACAGACCAGCAGTCAAGTGCGCCGACAACCGCAATTTTCTGCTCGTTTCTGGATCAAACTTCTCTGCATCTTCCTCGCCGGATAGCATGAGAGCCATCTCGGCCTTCTCCGCCGCCTCCTCGAATTGGTGCTGTGCTAGTAGAACCCGAGCAATATCTGCATTCGCTTGTGCAAATCTTGAAAGGGCGGAAGTTGATTCGGACACCTCATATTCAGCTTCAACAGCAGAGCACACCGTTCTCAAACTACTCTCTGCGTCGGATATCTCACCCATCCTCTCTGCAAGAAGAGCAGAGAGGTGTACGAAAGGGAGGTCCGACGGATTTTGTGAGGAAAGTTGATGAAGTGCAAAGAAGGGCTGAATAAGTTGCGAAATCTCATTGGAAACTGAGGAGTCCGACATGAGATGGTCGAAGAGGCTGAGGGCATACTGCTGTTTCGGCAAGACCAGCAATGAGCTCGAGATATCGAACGCGTGCTCGAAGAGACCTCTGGCTTCCCGCGGATCCCCAAACAGAAGGGCCAGGAAACCCTGGCCAATCCAGGCCTGGGCATAGTCCGGGTCTGTCGATTGCGCACGGGTAAACGCTTCATTGGCCAGTTGAATATCATTGTGGATGAGATAGAGCGCTCCTAGATTCGTCCAAACTTGGGCGCTTCTGTCGTTGAGATGGAGACTTCTGACAAACGCGTGCTGCGCTACCTTGGGACTCATGCCGGTTGTCACCACCCCAAGCGCGTTCCAAAATTCAGAATTGCCGGCCTCCAACTCAATGGCACGTTTGAAGCAGCGCATCGCGGCTTTCAAGAATTTGCGGGATTGTTTCTGGCCCGCAGTGCTCGAAGCTGCTTGCAGACACTTGTAGGTTCTGTATTCTGCCCAGCCAAGATTGTACCAGGAAACAGCTTGGGCATGCAAATCGCGCACGGAGACATGAATGGCGCGCTTATATGCCAAAATGGAGGCATACATGCATTTATCGGACAGCGTAGACCCTTCCTCGCCCTCCTCCTTTAGCAACAAAAGGTGTTTCTGACCTACTTCGTCGACATCGGCGAGAATATCAAACGCTGTAGGCTCGAGTTGGGTAGAGAGCAAGGTGAACGTTTCGCTGAGGGGCAGCCGTCCTGATTTCGCTTTGACGTACGCGAAAAGCGAACATGCGTCTCCCACACCCTTCCACAGATTAAAGATATCAACCCGTTCGAGGGCAAGCGACGTTGCCACGAGGACGGCCTTGCGGGCAAGCTCGATAGAATCATTGTAGAGCCCCAGCTCAAGACTCTTCCATGAGTTTTCTGTGAGCGTTTGCAGCAGTGCAATAGAAACACCGAACTCATTTGGCCGGAAGCTCAAGACTTCTTCGTACCTCGAAATGGCATCTTCAAACTCGCCGAGCTCCCGCTTGACGTTCGCCAGCATGTATCGCGCGAACCAGATCTGCTCCTTATCAGAGCTGGATAGTGCGCCCTCCAACTGCTGGGCATGCTCGAATGCTTTCGTGGCCGCGATGAACCGGCCGGAATGGTGGTAACTCTCACCCAGGCCCACCCACGAGTGGTAATCTCCCGGTGAGATCCTCAGAGCCACTTGGAAGGAGACAATACTTTTAGGGTATTGCTGCTTGTTGATTTGAACGGTTCCCAGAGCTGCGTATGGCCAGCTGAAACCTTTCCGTTTCGAACCGGGCGCGGGTTTGGCTTTGCCCGAGTCGACGACCCGTTGAGAAACTGCTTCAACAAGATCCCATTCCTTCTGATCGGCAAAGGTCTTTGCTAGTCTCCTTGCAGCTTCAATCTCTGATGCTGACAGCTCAAAAGCTTTGTGGAAACACCTGCGTGCCCTTGTCTTGTCCTTCTTGTAATCCGCGTAGTATAGACCGAGGAAGGTATAAGCCGGGGCAAAATTCATGTTGGTTTGGATTGAAGACAAGAAGCTGGCGTAGGCACCGTTGCGATCTTTACGCGCGGTGGAAGACGGATCTATTTCCCACTGGCAATATCCTATCCGGTAGAGGATTTCAGCCTTGAATTCTCTGTTCTCGGAGCGTGTAGACTGCAGTTCGGAGAGCACGTCCTGCAGACCATCGAGCCCAGATGCAAAATCTCCGTTGAGCGCTTTGCACCAGGATAGCTCACCGCGAACCTTGATATTAGTCGGATCTCGGTCTAGAGCCCGTCCAAGGAAATTGACGGCTTCCACGTAGTCTTCGTCAACCTTGAGAACAAGGCCAATTCCAAGTAAGCAACTCGTCGATTTCGGGTTCCGACGGAGAATTTCCTCAAAGATGCGCTTTGCCTCTGGATGATTTCTTGGGGACTGGTAATAAATCAGAGCATTCGCAAGGGTGATTCTCATCGAATCAGTCGTGTTCTGAAGCTTCATCCCGGACATTTTGACCAGTGACTGAAGGTTATCTAGCCCCTTGCGAGCTACATCGGCCACACTTTCGTATTCTTCCAGCGATAAGTAGACTTCACCAACAATCCTGTGCGCGACGACAGACGATGAGGACATTTCAAGGCCTTCTACCATCAATATCAGGCTATCTTGAGCAGCTAGCTCAACGTTTTCTCCATTGCTGCCATCGGCATCTTGATCGTTAGCTGCAGAGTCCTTCGACTCTTTCCGCTTCTTCGGGTCCTTGGGGAATGGAGAGAGGTCACTGGCCAAAAATCCCTTGAGAACTTTAGTGAGGCCGTGCTCTGGGAAGAATTCGATAAAATCCTCCAGAAATCCACGGTCCCATTCCGAAAAGCTTTGGATATCTTGCCATTCGATGTAGATTCTCCAGGCAAGCTCGAAAGGGTGTTTGATTATGACCATGTCACGGGCGGCCTGCCAGACCTCGTTGCGCTTGTTGGCTTTTTCATTTGCAGGCAGTACTGCCAGAACATCACAGCCACGCTCCAACAGTTTCTCCTCGTATGTACGCCGAACCTGGTCATCATGGGACCAGTTCACTATTCCACGATAGAGTGGCTCTAGTTCACTCCGCTTGAAAGCCTCTCGTTTGACCTCTAAGGTAACCTGGTCAACTCTGGCTCCCAATCGTGTGCGCCGCTCGCCGATCTCCCGGTTTATGAATTCTTTCTCTTCTGCCTCGGTCATCTCAATGAGGCGCAGGTATGTATGTGCAGGGTGTGGGACACGGCCTTCGAGGAAGTCGTACAACGGGCTCGAGGGGAGGTGGAGTTCGATCGCTTTCCTGTATTGAGAACGACTGCCATGCTTTTTGGCAAAGTCGATAAATTTACCCACGGCATCTTGACAGCGATGCTTGTCATCTCTAGGCTATGATTAGCGGGGTTGGATCACGATGAAATGCTTCTGAAAGTCTCCTGGGCTTACGCTTCAGCGAATATTTGACCGAGGTTCAAGACTGCTTCGCGATACGAGTCGAGCTTCAAACTCCCTTGTTTTTCATACACGCTGATAAGTCCCTGCCATGCCGTCTTTTCGCCCTCTTTGACACGGGTGGCTGCGAGATAGGCCTTCTCAGCATCTTGGGTTTGGTTGAGCCTGTCCAACGCAAGACCTAGGAAGACATTTCTAATCGAAGGCTTTATGTTAGCAAGGATAGTGAAGGGAGGACTCGCAATGTAGACATCACGCACGCATGGTAATTTTGAGGTTCCTGCTGCACCAAATCTTTCGCTTTTTCGGCTGCCTGCTGGAAATCCTTCGAATCCAGCGCCGTGCGCACAGCTTTGAGAGCGGCCTTGTTGGACATCCTAACCCAATGGCAGCATGGCCTTGCCTCAAGGACCTATTGGGGAGCAAATTGACTTAGACGAGGATGGCTGGTTCGGGATGCGAAAAGGTGCGGTTGTGGGGAAGGCCGACCGCGGGTGATACGTCAGAGGCCGATCTCGTGGCCGCTTATCGCCTTCTCCTCTTCCGAGCTTCCTCTCCGCTCCTGTCCCAGCTTGTTGCCGCTCTGTCCCTTGCAGCTTGATCGTCTCTTCACCCCCAAGAAAGTGGTGCTGGATATTACCTGGGCTTGTTGATATTGGCCTTTGTGTCTCGCCGGGTTGGAGATTCTCATTTGCGCAGGACGTCTTGAACCAGCTGCGTGAAGGTCAGCGGTCCAGCTGGATCCACAATTCACTGGAGTGAATGCATTTATGTATGCTAACTTTCTTGTTCCATAGGCTATATGCCACGAGACAAAGGCTATTTTTAGCTCCAACATTCCGGGAACTTCGTTTATAGCTATCGGCATCTCATCCTCCCTTCATCGAGACAAGACTACCATCCACCGTTGTTGACCATGGGTCCTCTTCGACTTCGCATCGATGGTAAGACCTTCAAGGATCCGCAGAATCGAGAAATTACCTTGAGGGGAATCAATGTGGCCGGTGAATCAAAATACCCGAAGAACCCCGATGTCCCTTCCTACGTTCCCGATAAGTTCTTCGACACCGACAATGTTTCGTTCATCGGTCGACCCTTCTCCCTTGACGAGGCGCATACACATTTTGGACGACTGCGGAAATGGGGTTACAACACGATAAGGTACATATTCACGTGGGAAGCTATCGAACATGCTGGGCCTGGGAAGTATGACGACGACTGGATTGTGTTTACTATCGAAGTCCTTCGTGTCGCAAAGCAGTACCAGTTCTACGTGTTTATGGACCCTCATCAGGATGTGGTATGTTTCTCTATTCCATACGCACTCTGGTGATGATCTACTTTACTGAGACCCTCCAGTGGTCAAGACTCTCGGGAGGATCTGGTGCTCCGGGCTGGACACTGTACGCAGCCGGATTCAATCCCCGGACATTCAAGAAGACCGAAGCCGCCCTAGTTCAGAATACCTACGACAACCCAGAGGAATTCCCCAAGATGATCTGGAGTACGAACTATACCCGTCTGGTCTGTCAGACCATCTTTACTTTGTTCTGGGCTGGACGTGATTTCGCACCCAAGGCGATCATCGACGGCGTCAATATCCAGAACTACCTTCAAGGCCATTTTATCGCTGCTTGCAAATACCTGGCACAGAAGATTCACGACGCCGGTGATATCGAGAACGATGTGGTCATTGGATGGGAAAGTATGAACGAACCTCACCGAGGACTCATTGGTCTTCAGGATATCTCTGTCGTTCCAGCGGATCAGCAGTTGCAGTTAGGTACATCTCCATCGCCATTCCAGGCAATCCTAACTGGATCGGGTCGAGCTTGCGAAGAGACTACTTGGGCCTTTGGCGGCTTCGGTCCTCATCAGACAGGTAGGGCACTTGTGGACCCAGAGGGTGTTTCTGCGTGGCTTCCTGCAAGTTACGATGACAGTAAATATGGTTGGACCAGAGACCCCGGTTGGAAATTGGGTGAATGCCTGTGGGCTCAACATGGAGTCTGGGACCCATCATCAGACCAGTTACTGCGGAAAGATTATTTTGGTAGCCACCCCAAAACTGGAGAACCCCTGGACTACGACAAATTCACCAACTCCTACTTCCTGGAGCATTACAGGGCATACAAAGATGCCATTAGAAGCGTATGGCCCGAGTCGATCATGCTTTGCCAGCCTCCCGTCATGGAAATACCTCCCGATTTGAAGGGAACATTTGACGATGATCCCAACATGGTCCACGCTGTACATTACTACGATGGACTCACTTTGTTGACAAAGCATTGGTAAGGAGGTTTCCAATGTTGCTTGGATTCTGCTAACAGCTACAGGAACCGCCTGTACAATGTAGACGTGATCGGCGTGCTTCGGGGCAAATATCTTACGCCGGCTTTCGGTGTAAAGATTGGAGAGACCGCTATCCGAAATTGCTTGCGCGATCAGTTGAAATTCCTTAGAGACGAGAGTTTGCGTTACATGGGGAACCATCCCATGATATTCACTGAGATCGGAATTCCATACGACATGGATGACAAGTACGCATACAGGACTGGAGACTACGGCAGCCAGATCAGTGCGATGGACGCCAATCATTTTGCTATTGAAGGCAGCACGGCTAACGGCTTTACTTTATGGCTCTACACCACTCAGGTAAGGAACTGTCACAGCCCGCCAGTTGCTTTTCTGCGACGCAGCTCACTAACCTTTTGCTTAGAACAACCACGAATGGGGTGACAACTGGAATGGTGAAGATCTGTCGATTTTCTCCATTGACGACCCAGAGTTGCCAAATGGGAAGAACTTGGTTCTTGAAACCGAGCCATTGTCAGATCCTCGGTCTCCAGCTTACTCGGAAAGCCAGAGCAACATCGAAACTCAACACGTCGGACCTGGGAATCTGAAAGACGCTATTCGGTCCCCGTCTATATCAACAGAACATTCTCAGCTCATCAAGGACAACGTCGGATTTCGTGCTGCAGAGGCGTATATACGTCCAAGTCCAATTGTGACGAATGGCATTGTCACAAAATACGGGTTTGATCTATGCAGCTGCACTTTTACCATGTCTCTGACCGCGAATGGAAACTCTGCTGAAGATCGAACGCCCACCGAGATATATCTCCCTAACTTCCATTTTCCCGAACAACACCCTGTGGTCTCGGTTAGCAGCGGGGAATGGACCATCGACTACGAGGAAATCAGCTCCTTGAAAATACAGCGGCTTCGATGGTGGCATCCAGCCGGTGAACAGGACATCAAAGTCCAGGGAATCAAACGTAAACCTGGCGAACTAGGTAGCGTCTCCAGTGAGGATGTGACCTATCTTGAGCAGTGTCAGAGTGGAGGTTGTTCTGTCATGTAAATCGGTCACGAATTGATATGAAATTATTAGCTTACTGGCGCGTTTCGGGTTCGGACATCTATCACCCTCTATCGCAAGATTTCTTTTGTTTCCCCTTTTCTTACCTTACTGAGCTTTTGATTATCAAAGGCAAATAATACGCTCCATAAACAGTCATGTCCAGAATATTATTGTCAATACCACGTCAATTTGATAAAATCTCAGATATTGACATTTCCCCAGCATATTCAAGGATGGCAGACTCAGGGCCTTGTGTTAAAGCCGAGGCCGAGAATTCTTTCAAGTCAATTGGTATTAACGGGCTCAAAGACACCTCTTTCAACTTCCTGGGCTAGTGGTAAATATCTCCAACGACTAATCCAGGCCTTTGCTTTACCGGTTCTGTTGTTATTTGTGTTATATGCAGAAAGTAGAGTGCCTTGCGAGTTGTCATTAATCACACTCCCCACAGAAAATACGGATCAACACTTACCGGTATAGCTCCCACTACCACCAGTCACATATTCCGCACTGACATTGCCTAAATATCTCACATCCAATGGTTCACTGGCACGCGCAGCGGAAAATGAATAGGCTGTTGGCTCCTTCGCCTCAATATACATGCGCAAGATTTCTCCAATCCACGACCGTGGCATAGTTAACGTGTTCGACTTGGGAGGCTCTGCATCCGGTTTGCCGTACGCCGTGGTCTGGAGACGCAGGACTTGGCTTCCATTACTGGCTAGTTGAATGCTCAGGTCAATATGCTGGAGCTGGGTGATGAAAACGGACACCCCGGCTTCTTCTCCGGCTTCTGTGGGTGAGAAATCAATGTCCACGCTGAAATTGAATAGACTGGCCGTTTGGCGTCTGGAGATACAATTGATAGGGTGAGCCTCTGTCAGAATACCAGTGAGATTTGACTTGGAGGGTGAGAGCTCAAGGGAATTGGGATGTTTGGGTGGAGATATAGTGTATGACGATGGATCAGGGAAGCGCCAAAACTTCCAGTGTCGAGGAATGGATGATCCTGGTTCGAAGTCCACAGAATCCACGTCTGGAGTGGATTTATGGCTGCTCGATGACTGCTGGATTCTTCCTGGCTTTTCCCAGCCTTCCATGTGTCCGTAGACAGGGTCCAAGACCGGCCATTCATCATCCCATGTAACGGGGTATAACACCGTTTCCCGGCCCATTGGATAGAACCGATGATCCGGTCCTGAACGTGTTGCCAAAGCCACTCCCCACCACTTCTTGTTGGCGTCTTGAAATAAATCCGCATGGCCGACGCATTGGAAGAAGTTCTCGGTGTTCTTGGCCGTCAGGAGCGGATTCCCAGAGAACCCTTCAAACGGTCCAGAAACGTGCGCCGATCTTGCTATTGCCACACTGTGATTGATACCAGTGCCTCCTTGAGCAATGAGGAGATAATAATATCCATTCTTCTTATACATGTGCGGTCCTTCCGGACTTTCAGCACCGGTGCCGTTCCAGACGTTCACTGGTTTCGACGAGCCACCGGTTTCAAGGTCCACGGCAGATTGGTATATTTTCCCCCATCCGGTGAGCATGTAGACTTGACCATCGTCGTCCCAGAACAGATCGGGGTCAATCGCATTTATTCCATGCATGTCAATTTCAACAGGATCACTCCAGGCATCGTCGTCAAAGAGGTCCGTCGAGCTGAACACGAGATTTATGAAAGTTCTTTTCTCGGGCTCATAGTGACAGCAACGTAGAAGGTGCCATTATGGCGTCGGATCGTCGGTGCCTAGATCCCACCCTCGCTACTTGCCGTAAGTACTGTTCCCAGGCCCGGGTATTGCGAAGGACGATTAAAGACATGGCTGATTAATTTCCAGTTCTTCAGATCTCTGCTGGCGTAGACAGGAACGCCGGGGAACGCTAGAAAAGTCGACGTCACACAGAAAAAGGTATTGTCCAGCTCTTCGACAAACACACAGCTAGGGTCTGGATGAAAGCCCGATAGGATAGGGTTGGAGAAAGTCGAGTTTTGTGCTGCAACGGCATGGGCTACCAAAAGGATCGCTTGAAGAATGGTAATGATGAACATGGTGCTATTAGATATGGCTAGTCCTTTGCATCTGTCCTAGAGGAATCTGTCTCCCATTGCCAGTCTACGGGTCCCCCAGCATACTTATTAGATTTGGACGCATATCTCCGGGAGAAACAAACGCATTCAGGATAAAGTCTCCCGCGGGGCTTCGGTTTAATGGAACTGGGAGTCGGATGATCTCACCGGACTGAGAGTACTTCTAGGATGGCGTGAAGATCTCGGCGTAAGTTCGCCACGAGAGATGCTTTGTCTCGCCGTTCATCGGTCTTATATGTACCGGGACGCCTGCGGTCTACAGTATCTTGCAGAGATGCCGTGTTGAGTGGACTGGGGGAACTATGCGGGGAACCCTGCAGACGGATAAATGACAGTGATCGACAGGATTCAAGCCGATTGAAACTGTCCGAAGGATCCATCAGTCTGTGCAATCATGCAATCATGCAATGATGTCTGATGACGATGTTGGTTGGTTCAATTCCCAGCAAGAAGTTGCCAGAGTAACATCCCCTGAAGTATATATTCGGATGAAGGGGACTCCAATGAGATGTCTTGGCATCGTCCGGTATAGTAGGACTCCTTGCGGCTTACAGAGTGAAACCCGGAGCCCTCCCCACCACAGCTGTCGGGACCGGTTCAAAAATTCAGTGAGGATCTCCTGAACGCCTCGAGCCGGAACCTGCCATGAGGTGCAGAGATGAACGAGGATGCAGAGCCACCGGGGCAGCAGGCAGAAGGCGGTGAGCGTGTGGAGATTGCGGCGGGAGGCCGTGGAAAACGCGCTCTTTACTTTCTTTACTTTCTTATCTCCCTCTCTCTCCTTCTCTCTTCCCTCCCACCAAACAACACCCGCGTCAAGCTAGAAAGATCTAAGCCCCAGTTCATCCTGACCACGTGAAATCTGCCCTAGTCCCTCACACCCCCTCCCCTTGCGCCACTAAGTCCAAAGTTAAAAAAAGAAATCCTTCGGGCACTCATCAGGCGTTGAGCCGCAGTCTTTCTTCTGAACGGCGCTTGCCGTTTTGTCCGCCCGCGGGAGAGCTGACCGGTGTGATTCGGCTGCATCCCCACGCTTTGTTGGTGTTGGAACGCTCTCCGATCAAAGTCCAAGGAATTCACAATCCACGCCATTCAAAGAGAAGACCAAAACGTGAAGAAGTGAGAGTCCAAAAGAAGAAGAAAAAGAAAAGAAAAAAAAAAAAAATCTAAAGGACCGTGCACGAAACCCTGGATCATGATCATAACATCCAGCAACAACTGAGAACACATCCCGAGGTAATCATTAATTGTCCATCTTTCTCCCATCATTACATAGAACCGACTTGGAACTTGGGAAATTAGCTTGGTTGGAAGCAATGGCGGCCGAAGAAGATCTCTCCGAAGGAGGCATGGCCGACATCGTTCGCGCCTTGGAGCTCATCCACAACCCGTCGTCCACGAATGAACAACGCCTAGACGCCTTGGGCTTCGTGGAGAGGCAGAAGCGAAGCCAGTCGGCGGCTCGGAATGGCTTTCTGCTGGCGTCGGGAGCAAACCAGAATCCGCTGGTCCGCTATTTTGGTCTAGGTCTTCTGGATCATGTCTTGCAGCACACCTCGTTTACAGCACCGGAACAGGTGCTTGCGTTGAAAGACCCGGTTCTCAAACTGGCAGAAGCTATTCGACCCGAAGATCCCCCGTATATCCGCAACAAAATCCCCCAGCTATGGGCCGAGGTTGCTAAGAGAAGCTGGGGGTTGGACTGGATTGACATGGATCAGACCCTCTTTCAATTTTGGGAAGCAAGCCTGGTGCACAAGGAGCTGGTCCTCTCCATTTTGGAAACCTTGTCTGAAGACGTCTTCTACCGCGAAGACCACGTTTCTTCCTTGCGGGGAACTGACCTGAACAGAGCCTTGGTGGAGATCTTTACGCCGTTGGCGGTCTTTGAGGAGTTTTATCCCAAGCGGGAGCACCATGTCGAACTGCGATACGGCACCGATTCCTGGCTTGCCCGCATAAGCGAGTTTCTCCAGTACTGCATCGAGAACCTGCAGAACTCGAAGCAAGCGAAGGATGCTGCAGTCAAAGCGCTGGCAACGCTGAAGTCTGTCCTCCTTTGGGCGATCCCCAAGGCCATCATCTCCTCAAACTGCGTTCCGACTATAGCGATGGCGTTGACGTGCAACGATGAGCAGGTTTTGCTGGTAAGAAGGCCCTATCTAATTGTTTCATAGTGGAACACAGGGCTGAGTTTCTATAAAGGCTGCCATCGAAGCCTTACACGCCTTGTATAGCAGATCAAACATCGACATTGGAAGCTTCCAGCCACTTGTACACAAGATGTATGAAACAGACTATTTGAATGTCCTGCAGAAGTTGTACGAGTGGTCAGTGGTGGGACCCGAGGACATTGACGATACAAGATACATGATCTCGAAGAAAATTTCCGAGGTACGAAGAACAGGTCATGCTGTTGAATGTGCCGTTTGATGCTAACCATCACCGAAAGATGCTATCATACCTTGCAGGATTCCTTGAGGAGAAGGGGTTTTCATTGGAAAGCGTTCATGGAATGAACCTCCCGTTCTTTTTCCACCTTATGTTAAATGTTATTCAACATCGAAGCTTGACAGTTTCGATACCTGTTCTCCATGTGTGGTCCAAACTATTAGCTTCTGAGAGGATTGGAAACACCGATTTGGTCACTGGCCTGATCCCCGCCCTGCTAGAAATTTGTACCCAGCGGCTGGTCCGTTGGGAGTCTCTCCCAGTCGATTCCGATGACCCTACAGTAGTGTTCCTCGTTGAGGACATCGACACCGTCCCTGAAAGACATGCGTTTGTGGGCAACTACCGCCGTTATTGCTCCGCTATTATCGAGACCACCGTCCATAAGAGACCGCAAGAGGCCATCCCGCATATCCTATCGACCGTCGATGGCAACCTGGACAACCTCTACCTTGGAGTTGAGCCTTTCAATGGTGAGATTCGGCTTGATGACCAGTAATCACCTTGACTAACAAGATCAACTAGTAAAATCATTTTCGAAAAGCTCGCTTCCTCTCATGCGTGCGGACACGCAATTCGCTGTCGTTGAGGCCACCCTGAAAGGATACAACAAATGGCTAGCAGCACTCGGAAAAATGCCGCAGCAGGATGTATGTAACCCGGCCAGTCTTTATAACATATATCTGACGGATTGCACAGGAGCAACAAAGAAGCGAGCTGGAAAACATCTTGGAGACTTGGACTTTCAAGCTGATGCAGAGAAATTTCGAGGTTCGACTCCAGGAAATTCGAGAAGAAGCAAAGGCCCTCTAGGCGGCTAATGAAGATACAGGACCCTATTTTGAAGCAGCGTATCATCAAACTCATCGTTGATGTTTCTTCGAAAGCTCTTGACAAGACCCCCAGCTTTGCGCTTAAGGTCCTCGAATACATCCTCATGACACGCCTTCCCGACCAACCCGAATTCCCCGCCTACTCGGAGGCCGTGAAAGAACTCCACGGACTGGCCAGCCATGAACTTCGACGTCTTGCGATGCGCTACGCCGACTATTTCTCTGTAAGTCCGGCAAAAAAAAAAAAAAAAAAAAAAAAAAAAAAAAAAAAAAAAACTATTGTTATAATCGCATGATGCTAATTGGGACCCTAGACCTTCTATGATCTTCTTGAGCCGAAAATCAGAGAGATAAGCCAGGCAAACCGTGTGGATGACAAGCTGCAAATGGAACTGATTTCGATCCTTCTAATAATCATGTACTGCTCTGCCAATTCCCGGGACGAACAAGTTGATCTTCCTGCTAACATCGCATCAGGCAACGTGCGAACAATGTGGAACCCCAGGCTCGCCAATATCGATTGGCCTCTTTTGTGGAGCCTATAAAACAAGCATGGCAAGAAGAGGAGCTTCGAAGAATGAGCTCGTCCTTTGAAGGATTTTGTGACATGCTGGGGTTGCAAAGCGTGGGACCATACATGAACACTCGGCAGGCGCAGAAACTAGAAGATTGGACCTCAGTGCCTCTAGATGATGAAGGTAGACGGATTCAAGAAGAGATGACAAGGAAGTTCCAGGTAACAACTTGCGCCACCATTTCTGACATTGAACCGAACACTGAATTTTCCTAGCAATTGCCCCTGCGAGGCACCAAGACCATGCTCGCTGTTTCTACAGAGAAGTTGAAAAAGACCGAGCCTGCATATGAGCTTGCATGCGGGGTCTGGCATGATATTATCCCGGTCATCCTGCCGACCTTGTTGCAGCTTGTTAGGTAAAGAAACCTGCAATGTTAGCGAGAGTTAATGGACTAACTCATGGCATAGTAACGCGCATGCTTTCCATAACCCGACAAACTGGAGCGGTCTACCCGATGACATGAAGGCTGTCGTCGAGCGCATTTTGACCGACAGGTTTTGGCAGGCAGGGATTTCCACGGGTAGCCGGGACGAATTCTATGCTAGAATCACTTCGTCTCGGGCATCCGTCGAGGGTTTCGCATCCTCGGTCAGGGGCAAAATCCGAGCGGTTCGGGAATCCTGTTACTCGATGCTATTTAGCATGAGTAGGCTAAGGGAACATTTCTATGGATTTGCTGAACTCCCCGGACCTCTGTCTCAGGCGTTATTCAAAGACTCGTCGTATCTCTCATCTCACCAATTTTCTGTCCTTTTGAACATCTCGAGATGCTTGATTGATGACTGCCCGGTTCGATTCAGAGCACAGTTCTTACCCCCGATGCTGGCAACCCTCTTCACAAACATTGACCGGAAGGTCACCTCCGAGTGGGAGGTTATCGAACAACGGAGGGAAGGCGTTGAAAGTGGTGATTTAACTGATGAGATGAAATCAGAGAGCATTCTCCGGCAACTGACATATTCCGCGGTCATCATGGTGGCAAGTCTCCTCGACCCGCAAAGAGGAGGTGAGTCCCCCAGTGCGATCCATGCATTTGACTTTGAAGGCTCACGTTTTAAATAGATCCCGACGAGGAGCCGGTGGATCCAAGCGCTCCGCAGCAGGCGCCCGCGCTCTCTGACTCGATACGACATTTTGTGCTTTCATCGCCCGAGATCTTTGAGCCCGTGATGTTGTTCTGTACCCACGCCCTTCGTATGCGTGATACTCGTTGCTGCAGTATCATCACTCGCGTGATTCGGTCCATCCTTCAGGACTTTGCCCCTCCCAACCAATCTGCCACGACGGTGACGATCCGCGAGTTTATCAGTTCCGAGGTACTCAAAGCTTGTATTACGTCTGTGCACGAGGCCTACTTTGTAGATATGCAGAAAGACTTGGCTCAGCTCATCGCATCGATCTGGGTTCTCTACGGATCGAGCAGCCCGACACCGCGCTCAGTAATCCTCAGCCTTCCCGGCATGGATGAGCAGCGAGTCGCAAATGCCGAAGCCGCTCTTGTGAGATCGACGGCAGCCAGGCAGCAGCGCGCCCTCATTTTGGACCTCCTGGAGGGTCTGCGTGGGGTTAGCATCGCCGAACAAGGCAAAATCCTGGGCACCCGAGAGGAGCGACGCAAGGCTCGGAGTGCCTTGCAGGAGAGATATATGACCGCTGAGATGGAAGGCCAGCAAAACAACAAGGTTGACATCAATGACGGGCCCGATCTGGCAGGGGTTGCGGACATGTTTGGTTAAAGCACCGCCCTCTCCCTCTTGAGGTCGACTCAATGCCTCAATTGTATTAGTATAATGGTTTGGTGCCGTGATCTCTCCCACCTCTACGTCTCTCGCTTCCCTTTCTTTCCTTCGTTTGTTTTCCGGCATCACGAGTATAAAAGAATATAGAAACATGACAAATGAAATTTGTTTTAAGCGATAGAGTACGGGCCTCAAGCTCGCTCATATGTTAGGTTGAATTCAACTCAAGTTTGAGACAAGACCAAGACTTTAGGTAACAACAACAAAAAAAGCATGTATTGAGGGACTAGTTAATTTCTTTCAAACGGTATATCTACATCATACAGCTCTGCTTTCCGCCTTCCTGGTACCTCTCTTTTCTCCTGTTCCGCTTCACAGGATACCGTCTGGGAACATTCGAACTCTGTGACACTCAAGTTCCGTATCATGAGATCCGTGATCTCTCCATCGCACTCTTGATCAAAGAAGCAAGAATAACTTGAACGAGCCCAAGCACGTCGTCGTTGCAGTCGCTTATTGAGTGACCTTGGACGGCATATAGGCGAAAGTAGGACGGACGAAGCTGTGCAGATTGGCCGTTAGCAACAACCCCACCTTCAGAAATCATCAAGAACAGAGCAACATACCGGTCAGAGTGGTAGACCTTGGTCTCGGATCCGAGCAGCTCCTTCTCACGGGCCTTGTCGGCGTAGTGACGACGGACCTGGTCACGGTCTTCTTCGGCCTGAAGGAGAGGGACCAGGTGGAGACGGCCCCAGATCTTCTCACGGGCAAGTTCGCTGGGCAAAGAAGTCAGCGCACTGGAATTGAGGAATTGATTTTTTGATCGAGTGTATCACATACTTTTGTTCGCGGATACCGTAGAAGAGCTTGTACATGCCGTAGGCCATGAACATGTGCATACCGAGGAGGTAGTAGACGGGGCGGAATCCACGGGCTGGGATGTTTCGCTATAGAGGGGATCACATTAGCCATTGGTCGTTCAATTGAGCCTGGGAGAGGATGATTCGTCTGCGAAGGTGTGGAAATCAAGGGCATCGAGATCGAGGGCGACCAGAGCGACCAATTGAGCGAGAACCCGGACAGGGGCGGAATCGGCAGATGAGCAGCGTACCTTATACTGGACTGGCCCGTAGCCCCCCGATGGGGGCATATCCTGAGGCATTTTGACGAGTGACGGACACAGCACCCTTTACCGAAGTCTGGGGGTTTCGTAAGGGAAGATCCGCCGATGATGCTCGACGAAGTTGGCCGCCGGGTCACGTGCGCCCTTCCCGTTTGGTAATGCGGGCTGCGGCGGCTCCCATTGGCTGCGGCCTGGATTTTCTTCGTGCCGCGCTGGATCGAATTCTCGTCCGCGTCGCATTTTTTTTTTTCTAGTTCTGCTCTTCGCAAAGGAACCAATTGCGTCTACGTTGTGCGATTGACAGAATCATGGAGGACGAGGAGCGACCCAGAAAGTTCGCAAAGTTGGGAAACGAAGGTGCCCAGGATGCATCGGACGCTGTGATGACTGGCGCCGTGGGGAGCGTTTCCGACAACGCCGATGCGCGCAACGATGCCTCCAAACCGAGCGATGCCTCTGAGCCGAGTGCAGGAAATGGACAAACCGACCAGCAAGAAACGAATGAACCAGCACCTACGATGTCCAAGAACCAGTTAAAGAAACTTCGTCGCGACCAGCGTTGGGAATCGGGGCGGGAAGAACGCAAAGTCAAGCGAAAAGAGAGAATACAGGCAAAGAAGAACAAAGTACGCAATGAATGGGATGAGGCAAGGAAGGCGGGTCCGGAAGCGGTAGAGAAACTGAGGAAGGAGAGAGAATCGACCCGGTACCGATTTCGCAACTCGACCCAGCTCCCTCTGACTCTGGTCATGGACTGCGGATATGACGACCTGATGAACGACAAGGAACGAAAGTCCCTCGCCCAGCAGATCGCACGATCCTACTCCGACAACTGCCGATCCCCGTTCCGCGCTCATATGATGATATCCTCGTTCGAGAAGTCGCTGAAAGAGCGGTTTGACACCGTGATGAGGAAGACCCACGAAAATTGGAAGGGCACCCGCTTCATCGGGGAAGACTTTGCCGTTGCTGCCGAGCAGGCTAAAGAGTTGATGCAGGGGCCTCAGGGCGGCGAGCTCGCCGGCGTTTTCGCAGACATGGCGGATGCGAAACCCGAAGATGGAGAGGTCATCTATCTCAGCAGCGACAGCCCTAACACCTTGACCGAATTGAAGCCGTACAGTACGTACATCATTGGTGGACTGGTTGACAAGAACCGGCACAAGGCGGTTTGCTACCGACAGGCTGTGGAAAAAGGAATGAAGACGGCCAAGCTCCCTATTGGAGACTACATCCAGATGTCGTCGCGTTCGGTACTGGCAACCAACCATGTGATGGAAATCATGCTCCGATGGCTGGAGGTCAAGGACTGGGGAAAGGCGTTCATGCAAGTGCTCCCTCAACGCAAAGGAGGAACCTTGAAAAACTCGGAGCGTGACTCGGAAGATGCAGTGCAGCGCGGTGATAGCGCGGAAGCTGAGGATGAGGATGTTCCGGAGGCCATCCAGGAGGCAACTGAAGACGCATAGGAAACTTGCTAAAAGAATATGTCCATGGATGGATGATTACATGTATATAGATCCAGTTCCAACACCTGTCAAAAGTCCTGTCGTGAATCCATACCTTTCTTGTCTGTAGTTATTGAACTGCTCGAATCGCCAAGCTAAACTCGATCGGGCCAGAGCGGCTGACTCAGCCGTTGCCACCGACGATCGATCGATGACGGAAGATCAACAGAAGCACAACAACTTCTTTTTTTCCCCTCCGTCGTCTCGCCCTCCGTTTGCCTCATCCCTTATCTTTGTCTAGACCGTGGGGTCGGCTGTTTCTATCAACCGGGTAGTGGCCCCGTTGTCTTGTCTCTGTCTGCTGTGTCCAACCTATCACCAAATATTTCTCGCCTCTTAACCTTCTCCCACCTTCCATCGTTGAAAGTAAACAACAACCAAACGCCTGTGCCGCCAGGGAAACCGCAACCATGTTTATGCTCCGCAACGGTATGTATCCTTAAGCTTTCCTGACTAGCTCCTCCTGTCCTTTCTTTTCCTCATCCTCTTTCTACCTTTTTCTACCCCACCTTATACCCTACCCCTCCACACTGCAGCGTGCCCCTCCTCCCTTCCTTTCGCAGTACGATTCACATTTCTCTTACCTGCCACCCACCTGGATCCTGTCAGTTGAACAACCCTCTCATTTTTCTAGTGAGCAAGTACATCTTCGGAGACACCTCCAAGGAATCCATCATCGAGATTCCGCAAGGCCAGCTGTACCTGGTTCGGCCTCTATCGCCAAAGGGCTACTCCGAACTTATATTCAAGGACGCCGCCGCCTCGATCAGACGCACCGGTCAAGATTTCCAATACCAGCTTGTCATTCAGAGAGCCTACGAGGAAGGCGAAGAGGAGCTGGCCGAGGAGGACGACGAACAGGGTGGCAGTGACGGCTTGGACAAAGACGAGAAAACTTTTCTTCTGGACCAGGCTCTACACTTTCGCTCCGAGGTCCGTGAAGGCGGTGTCAAGATTCTGGCGTGGAGGGACTTGAGCGGTGATATTGGCGACCTTTTCGAATTTGTCTGCGACCCCTCGGTGCCTTCGGATAAGGTAGCCACCTTCGAGTTGGCTGCGCTGCAGTGCCAGTACGAACGGAAATATCGACGCAGCTCCCAGCGAGCTACGGAACAGGAGCTGCAGGAATTTTCTTTTCAGGAGGAGCGACCCATCCCTTCTGCGAGTCCTATCGCTTCGCCTACCAAGTCTCGTGCCCACTCGTCAGCGTCCGGAGACTCGACAGCGGCTATGGTGAAAGACGTGGAATACTCGCAGGCTAAGGGCCAAATTAAGCCTGCCGGCGACGGTGAAGAGCCTACCGTGGCTCCTCCCTCCGTGGCTCAACCTGAGGCTACAGAAATTCTTGCCAAGGAATCGGCGGAACTGCATCTTTTCGACTTCCAGTCTAGTACTTTCGTCCTCCAGGATCCTAAGATTGTGGCCACTGTGTCTGAAATCGGCAACTGGCAATACTGGCTCCAAATTAGTGGTGACGAAAAGGAGTGGCTTGGCCAAGCCGTGGTTGCGGATATCAACCCCGTCTTCAATTTCGAGTACCTCTCCTTCATCTTCAACGCATATACTGAAAATGGCTCCGCGTTCTCCTGGCTTCTGCGCTTCCATGATCAAGAAACGGAAGAGAGATTCCAGGAGGGTCTCATGCAGGCTCTTTGGGAGCAACTGAACGAGATGAAGTGGACCAAGGTCAAAGAAACCGAGCGAGAGTATGTTTTGGATGCTTTCCAGGACCTCACCATGGAGGATCCCGAAACAGAAGAGCAACAGGCTGAAGAGGAAGAAGAAGCTTTCGAAGAGGAAGATGAAGAGGACCAAGACGATGGCCAGCGAAGCGAACATTACGACAGCGACGAAGAGGAAGATGATGTGGTTACCCGTGATACCGATGGCAATGTCAACTCTCAGCTTGCCGTTGGTTACAAACATGATCGGTCGTTTGTTGTGCGTGGCTCCAAGATCGGTGTCTTCAAGCATACTCCGAACAACAACCTCGAGTTCTCGACCAATATTTCGAAGGTGGAAACTCCTAAGGGCAAGTTGTTCAGCCCGAAGAAGGTCATGTTGCATGCAGAAGATTCCAACATGATCCTCCAAAACGGCGATGATCCCAATTCCCTTTACCGCATGGACCTGGAATACGGAAAGATTGTCGACGAGTGGAAGGTCCATGACGATATCCCAGTGCATACCTTCGCACCCGAAAACGTAAGTAGTGCATCTTATCTCATCCTGACCAAAAAGATCGTGCTTGCTGACTCTATCTAGAAATTCTCCCAAATGACCGCGGCCCAGCCTTTCGTTGGTGCCTCCAAAAATGCGCTGTATCGTATTGATCCTCGTTTATCGGGCAACAAATTGGTGGATGCGGATCTGAAGCAGTATGCCAGTAAGAACGACTTCTCGTCTGTTGCTACCACCGAGAAGGGATACCTCGCTGTCGCATCTAACAAGGGTGATATTCGGATGTTCGACCGCCTGGGAATTAACGCGAAGACTCACATCCCTGCCCTTGGAGAGGCGATCATCGGCCTGGATGTATCTGCGGATGGTCGCTGGGTATTGGCCACCTGCCGAACTTATCTCCTTCTGATCGACTCGCTCCAAAAGGATGGCAAGAACGAAGGCAAGCTTGGATTCGAGCGCTCGTTCGCCAAGGACTCGAAACCCCAACCTCGGCGTTTGGGTCTTCAGCCTTCACATGTTGCCCAATTCCAGCATGAAACCAAGAAGCCGATTGCCTTCACGCCTGCTCGCTTCAACACCGGAGTTGACAGCGAAGAAACGTCTATTATCACGGCGACGGGTCCTTTCATCGTCACCTGGAGCCTGAAGAAGGTCGTCGCCGGCCGGAAAGACCCCTATACCATCAAGCGATACTCCGAGGAAGTCATGGCGGACAACTTCCGATTCGGATCGGATAAGAACGTCATTGTCGCCCTTCCTAATGAGGTCAACATGGTTGCGAAGAAGAGCCTTCAGAGACCTACTCGTGAGAGCATTGCAGGCCCTCCTGTTACCCCGAGTCGTCGGAACACGCGTTGGGGAAGCCGGCTGGGACGAGAGGAAATCGTTAACTCTCCTTATTGATCCAGCTTGGTCGGATTGGTTGCTTTGGTGGTAGCACTGTTTTGTTCCTTTGTTTCTTTTTTTTCCCTTCTCGGTTAATTTATTTACACCCCATACCCCAGTTCGGGAGTTTTAGTAATGCTGATATGACGGCTGAGTCGGACGGGACTGGCGAAAGGCGGTTTGATTTCCGGCACTTTTAATTTAGCAACTTATAATTTCCAGATAGGTAGCTAATCAAAGGTTACGATTCACGAGAGATCTGTCCTCGCAGCTTCAACATTGGCATGGTTGAAGGCAATGCAATGCAACCAGTAATCTCGGCACTGCATTCCTGTGGCCAGTAGTCATCCCCATGGGAATCAAAAAGAGGGCTTCCTGGTCCTTCCCAACGCGTTAAGAGCTATATAGATAGAAGTTTGCAATGCATGACACGATGGGGACCAGCCATATCGTGTGCGGGTATTATGTACGTAAACGACAACGCCAGAAAGAAAATGACAGAGCGAGTCCATGATGAATCCACGTCCGAACCAAAGCAAATAAGACTGGAACGATCAATCTTAGATTGCAGACAGATAAATCAACCCCCATGCTTCGTCCGTCGACAACATGCATGCTGTGGAGAGGACACACTTCACGCGCCAACATACCACACCTCGACGCCGATAACGTCGAATTTATCGCCTTCGTCGGAGAGAGGCTCGTTTCCGAAGGTTTGGCAGGAGGAGCTGACGCCTTTTTCGAAACTGGAATCAACCCAGAGACCGTAGCGGCCGTCTCTGTTCTTTGTGTTAGCTTCGTATTCTGATCCTACCCAGCGATAGGAGCTGAACTTACCCTCCACCCAAGCTCAGGAAGCCCGTCTCACAAAACATCATGTAATCGTTCACGCCGCTGTAGGGAAAAGCCTTGAATCGAATCCGATCAGGCGTGCTGGCACCGCTGGCGCCGCCATTCGACAGTGGCGGCGCGAGGCGATGCTCCTCGGCCTGACCGGACGCCGCACCTTTCTTATCGCCGCGCAGGGTCGTCGAGCGTCCTGCGTGTGTTGTATCCGCGCTGGGCGGGGGCGGCAGCCCCGCCATCTCGAGCAAGTCCTCCGACGGGGGACCGCCAGCGGCAAGAGACAGGTTCCCGGGGGGCGGCAGGATGCTGGCACGCCAGAGGAAGCATTCACCGGTGCCGAAGTAGTGGGGATTCGGATGGGGAGGGTCGGTCATGTAAGCGCCGAAGACGGCGCCGGCGGGGGACGAGTCCCGGACGATAAGCACGTAGCCGGCGCGCGGGCTGCGGTTAGAGATCTCGCGACAGTTCTCGTAAAGGGTGGCGAGTGAGGCGCCGTCGCGGTCGAGGCTGTAGGCCAGGCGCCAGGTGTCGACGAGCTGCAGGCGAGCCGGGACCAGCAGGCGGATTTCCTCGGCCAGGGCGCGCGTGAGCAGCTGCTGCTGGAGATTGGACGGGTCGCCGGTGAGAGTGAGGGGGGTGAGGGGCGGCGGCTGGAAGGGCGAGACGGTGCGGACGGGGGTGAAGACCCGGGATGAGGAGGACGAGTCGTTAGGAGAGGTCAGGGACGATTTCGAATCGCGCTGCGAGCGGCCCATGGCATTGGCTTTTGACGGGGGGTCGGTGAGTCGACGGTAGAGGCCAGATACGACGTGAGTCACGGGGTAGGAGAAGTACGAGGCGGCGGATTGATTCGACTGGGAGCTTTTTTGCCGAGTGCGCGATGTTGATCTGGAGGATGAGGTTGAGGACGGGTCTTCGTGGGAGACGGACTCCATGCGGGCGGCGGTGGGAGATGCGAAGAGGGCGGGAAGTGGCGATGGTTAGATGATAGGGCAATCATCCAATTGATTTGGATCGAAGGAATTGGAGAACGGGGGATGGAAAGAAGCCTGATTAGGTCGGGGGGTTGCAAGAGTCAAGAGGGAGTAAGTGAGGAGGAGGGAAGAAAGTCGAGAAAGAAGACGAGGTGGGGAGATCGTCACACCCCGACGCGCCTTCCAACGTCACCCTCGACTCCACTGGGTCGTTCAACAGTTACTCGAGACTTTCTACAGCTGGTCCTTCATTCGGTTGGGCCATGATACATGCATACTATTTATTTATTGGTAGAAAATAGAGTACAGGCCTCGGTTCGGTACGCTCAGATGGGGGATTCGGCACGCGACAGAAACGGTCTAGAACAGGTCTCAATGGCTTTCGTAACTCGTAAGAGATGCTGGTTTAGATGAACAGAAGATAGAGGTCATGATGGCAACTACGATCCCTCAGGCCGTAGATCGACCGTCTCAAACTCCAGCCCTTTGGCCTCGAAAACATGTCCCGGTCGAAGGGCATCCGTGTAGATATGAGTCTCGGGATGAGGATGGAATAGCCCACTTTGCGTACAGCTCAAGATGGACTTCAGGCCCGGGGGATCCGTCAATCGAAAGACGCCCCAGTCCGGTGTTTGGCTGGGGGCGCAAACAATCGCAATGCTCTCTGGCAGCATTACCTGATATCCGCAGTGAGTGTGCAAATCTCGCGAGCTCATGAAACAGGTCTGCGTCGGATGCGTGTGGATCCAGCCAAGCACCATCAAATCTTCCGAGTCGCAGTAGTCAAATATTGCCGATTCATTCACGGTCTCGCAGGTATCCGACGTGCATGTTTGCTCTGGGATGAGAAGTCTGGAAATAAACAAAGCGTTGGAGATCAGGGTCCCACAGAGAATACCGCAAGTTTCCAGGTTGCGTCGGGTATTGGAGGAGGCCAGAGCCAAGAAATGGGATCGCAGCTCTGGCGGTAGAAATACCGTACGGAGAGGAGTGCCATTTTCGAGATAGGCGGATGGCTTGAAGGTAAAGCTGGAGGGATTGAGCTCGGGGCGGGCATCATTGCCCGCCACCGGCGGCGTCTTCGCCGGAACAGGAGGCGTTGGCGTAGTCCCTGGAGACACCTTATCAGGCAAAGGAGGCGGCGACGATCTATTCAACACGGTCTCGAGACTCTCCTTGGGAGGCAGCGCCGGCGCCTCGGGGCGAGAAATCCCTTCGCGCAGGACCTTGGCGGGTGGAGGCGGCGAAAAGTCCAGTGGTTTCTGACGAGGCACTGTCGGATACTTGTAGGCTGACGTGGAGGATGTCGTTGACAGCGGCAGAGCGGTGGATTGCTTCGCGTTTGGTACACGATGGTCCGGCCGTTGCCCGTCGTTCATATTGACCCGGATGTTCTGGATCCGCCGACTCAGGTCATTGTCGGCTTCGGCGCCATTCTGATGCACGGCACTCTCCCAATCCCCCCAAACACCAGCCGCCCGGCGCTGCTGCTCTTCTTCCGGGGAAATTCCTGCCTGCCGGAAGGCTTTCCGCACCGTGGCCCGTCGACTGATTTCGGTCCTTGCCAGCTTGACCGCCAAGTCTCGATTCTCACCGGCTTCTAAGGGCTCGGCGACGCCCGCCAGGGCGGGATCATGAGGCTGCCGGTCGCTGGAAGGAGCATGGGGAGTTCCACGAGGCGGAATACGGGATTGACGGTCCCGCATCAATTGTGTGTAGCGTTCATAGCGTTTGTTGATGCGAGGTTTCAATGTCTCCAGCTTCTTGAGATTCCGCCGCACTTCATTCTCGGCCTCCATCAACGCCTTGCGATTTGCTTCGTCTTTGGCATCGGGATGGCTGCTCAGGTTGACTAGTACTAGCTGGGCGTGTCGGAACAGGAGTAGATAGGTTTGTTCGTCATGTCCTTCTCGTTCGTAAATGTGAGCCTGCTCCGTCCCCCACTTCGAGTCAGCATGGTGTATCGGAGCACATTGCCGGGGTCAACTACACTTGCCTCTCGGACTAGCGTTGCTGCGGTCCGCAGCCAATATCGGAGGGGCACTGAGGGGTTGTAATCATAATCTTGGGCGATTTGAGTGATCTTTTCCACATTCTGGGGCGGGGAGCCAGCCGGCGGAGGAAGATTCGTTGCCATGACGGCGCATCCAAGCGAGGCTCGACAGACGCTTCAGTGGAAGGACCGAGAAAGGAAAATGGATGTCGAGGTCGAAATGAATCGTTCTGCGGGTCATCGAGGTCTGGCGCAAAGACCAGGAGAAGGCGTGGTGGGGACGTGCCGCATCTAGGCAGCCAAAGCAGTTGGCGGGCACCTGGAGGACGAGAATGACGAGATGAGAATGTTCCTAATGCGAGAGGGGGAACGTGAGACGAGGATGCTTGAACATTGAGGGCCGAGCGACGGCGCAGGGAGAAGAGAAGCGAAGCGAAAGCGAAAGGCGGAAGAAACCGAATTTATCGATCCGCGCGTCGCGGCGGTCCTTTTCTTCTTGCAGATTCAGATTCCACCACCCAGTCTCTCTTCCCTCCCCCCAGGCATTGAGGTATGGACGCAGCACTTGCCCTGTTGTGTCCTGGTTGTCCGCGTCTCGGTCATCTCTAACAATCTCGATCTGTGCCTCGGTGCAAAATGTCGCGATGGACAGTCTTGCCACATGTGCCCTTGGCCGGTTTCCTCAACAAGTGCTACCCAAAAAACCAAAAAAAGACTATACTTAAGTCTGAGATCGTGAGTGAAAGGCTGTGCGGTAAGGTCTCTTCTTATCAATAGGAACAGGGGGCGCGAGTGTCTAACATGACCACCGCGCAGATGACATCCTCAACCGATTGTCGCCGCTCTTGCTCCGCAACCGCCCGGTAGACATTCTCGATCTCTTCCCAGGAGCTGGGCTCTGGTCTTCGAAGGTCAATGACTTCCTGCAGCCCCGGCGACATGTCATGGTCGAGCCCAATTTGAAAGCCTTCGGGAAATTGCTGCGACCCTTGGCTGCCAGCCGCTCCTGCTATACGCTACTATCAGAGAATCCTTTCGACATGAATGTTTTGAATAGCATTTTCGCAAACCACTTTCCCGAGCAAGGGACGTCGAACACGGATCGGACAGGTTCTTTGCCGACAAACAACACATTATTGATTCTCGCCAACCCTCCCACGCCCAGCTCGAAGAAGGATCATTTCACTCCGTCACGCTGGTGGGCATCATCCATGGAACATTGTATGCATAACATCGGATTACATGGTTATGGGGGCGTGCGTTTGCTTGTCTCCCTTCTGCCGTCCGATGCGAATCTCGTTCTTCCGCGAAACACGATTGAGCGTAAACGGCCAGCCCTCCTGACAGAATGTCTTGCCAGGCACGCCTTTGAGGTCGCAGCCTGTCCAGACTCCGGACATTGGTGGATGTTCAAGGGAATGGATGTGACTGAGCAGGGTGCCGCACGGGTGGCCCAAAGGGCCGCCGACCAGGGCATGGAGACCCCGAAGGACCGAGAATTTCCCCCTTACGAACTGGCGCCAGAGAGTCTGGACCAGGTCAATATGCCTTGTCCTTACGTGCCACGTCCTATAACCGAACGCAACGTCCGCTTAGCTCACATACTCAAGACGGAAAGTGAATGGGTGCCGTCAACTGCAAGGGCCAGCGGGCGCCTGATCAGGAACGAGAAGCACAGGCGCGCCAATACTGCCTTGAACCAAGAGAACCGACATGCGTTTATCCGTTTGGAGATGGCTAAGCTTCAGTCAGAAGTCGATGCGTTGAACAGATCGCTCTCGCGAGCAGCCGCCGACCCCCGGGCGGATTCTACGGCCCTGCGTCCCATCCTCGATCAGATCGAGGCCCTCAAGTCAGAGATCGCTCAATATTACACGGATAACCACTTCGAAATTGTCAAGCAGGTTCCTATCTCCGTGGACGACAGGCGCGCGCTTTTCGGCACTGGCAATGCCGACGACGCGTGTCTTCTCTGGGACCGTCGCCCCTGCGAACCGCTTCGCATCCACCGCGAGGAGCTTTATCCGCTCGAGACCGACCGCGTATTCATCTATTTCGAACCCGACCCCGACCCCCCAGCGTTGCGCAAGCTCAACAAACTCGACCCGTTGGCGAAACAAGACGCCATACGTTTCTTCGACGCGCTCTCCTTCACCATCGGCACCCGTCCCCATCTCGCGGTGACCGACGTTTTCAACGCCATTTTCCCCAGCCGATCCATCAACAGCCTCGTCAAGGCCATCCCCAGCCTGGCCACCTTCGCGGCGAAATCCCCCAAGCCCGACTTCGACTCCCTCCCCAAGACGGTCCTCGGCGACGCCGAAGACCCAAGCAAGCCCCTCGACCCGGCCGACTGCTACCAGGAGAACCTCGACTACGACCTCAGCGACGTGCGGGTGCGGGCCATATCCATAAACACCATTCTTGATATTTGCATCGAGTACCAGAAATCCGACCAGCAGCATACCTTGCCGCAGTTGAATCGGAAGCTGGGTGGCACCCTCACTTCGTTCCGGTCCGGCGAAAGCCTCGTCGAAAATTGAACCAACAAATACCTCGGGCCTTCCTCTTCTCTACTGCCCATTGATTATACCCATCCCGTTCCTCTTTACTTGATAGAGTCTTACGAACGCCTCCGCCCTTAGAATCTTGTACTATATAGCCGAATCACTACACGACCAAATAGAAAGTATCAATATAATACATTACCGGAAAAGTGCGTGTGTTTCCAGACCGCTCGCATTTTATGCGAGCATGGTTTTATTGATGATTCTCTCGAGCCGAGTTTGTTCCGCAGAAAATACATAAGGTGTTCTCGAGTACATCCAGCTGCGGAAACAATGTGGCTCTCTTCTCTATTTAACATTGGAAGAACGGATGGTCTTGGTTCCATCACGTCACAAAAAACATAACATATATCAGTCTCAAAAGGTCTCGGGTATCTTCAAAGTGTATAAGAAAAAGAAAGAAGAAAAAGGGAGAAGAAAAAGAAAAAGAAAAGAGAAAATATGGCATCTGAACAGCCCAAAAAAAAAAACTCCCAGAGATAAGCCAAAGTCTTGTGTATAACAAAACGGAAAGAAGCTGGGTTGAAATCGAATATATAGCATGTTGAAAGAGAACAGTGCAGTCGAAGATAAGCCGCATTTTAGCGCAAGGACTGCACCAGTTTCAACCATTCAGCGGGGTTGATTCGCTGGGCCGGATCCTTGGTGATCGCCGGCTTGATGATCTGCTCGACGATGCCGTTGCGAGGAATGCGGGCGCCGTTGGGACCAGACCGGGCAAATTCGATCACTTGGTGACCTTCCCGGGCCATGGCCAGGCGCTGCATGTTGCTGGTGCCCGGATATAGAAGCAGGTCTCCCGTCGCCGCGGCGAGGAGGGTGACGGCGAGAGAGAAGACGTCCGATGCTGCGGTGGGAGCGGAGTCCGGAGAGGTCAGGGATGACACGGATAAGAGCTCGGGGGCCGCGAATGGTGGTGTTAGTGCGGTCAGGGATGTGCCGGTGTGTTTCTCTGCAGACAAGGAGGGGCCAGCTATGTTGTGGGCCGAGGAAAAGTCCGCGAACAGCGGATCAAAAGGAAATCTGTCGGTTGTGGATTCAAGGTCGTTCGATTGCGGTTGGAGCAGAATGTTATGAGGCTTGATATCGCCATGGATGATCTTGGGCTCCGTGTGCAGCCAGTGAAGACCGACTATAAGTCTTTGGGCTAAGTCATGCCACTGCGTCAGACCTTGGATAGGCTCGAACATGGTCTTGGTGGATAATTGTTTCCTCGCAGAGGCTGACCTTTCCTCTATATAAGATGAGAATGAGAGAGGTACGGCGGACATGACGATTGAATGAGATTCGGACATATATCCATGGAAGGGCACGATATGATGCTCAGACCCAGGTGTCATACTGAGTCGGGACAACGTTAAAGCCTCGGCGTCAAGAACGCGATAGGCATCTCGACGAGCCGGTGACTTCACGGCCACCAAGTGGCCACCCGACACGGGTGAGCTGGGTGGAGTGAGCAAAGAAGAGCTGGGGCGTGGTCGAGATGACGCCTCGTAGACGATACTCCAAACCCCACTGCCAAATTCGATTGGGTGGCCCTTGGGGTCATAATGATACTCTAGATCATCGGTGTATTCGAGAGGCTCTGAGACGGAGCGAATGCCTGTATAGGCCCCCTCCGGTTTCGTCTCGACTGGCGATAGTAAGGTGGTCGAATAGTTCTTGCCACCCGGTTTGCCCTTTCCGGCAGTTGGGGTCACTGGTGGGGTGAGACCCGAGAGCGCTTTAGAATGCGAGGCCTGGACAGTGTGGTCTTCATCATTCCTCGTGCGAATGGAAAGTCGAGAAGGCATTATGACTTCTAAAACCCCGGATGGGTTGTGCTGAAGAATATTCGGTGGGATAGCAAAAGCACCTGAGGTTGAGATGCAAAAGTAAAAACCAGTCTATGACTCAGAAATGAACTGCCTCGGATGACAGTTTTCAATGATGATATCAGGTTGTATAAGTTGGGATATGAGCGTCGTGAGCGTAGACGAGGAACTGGCGAGGTAGGTGACTTGATCACGAAGGCTCGCAGGATGGTGGAAGATAGAAAAATCTTCTTGGAGGTCGGTGGGAAAGATAACCTTCAAGCTGGTGGCAACAGTGCGTATATTTGACGTCGAAGACTGCTAATGATGACACAAATGTATGGGAGGGCAATACATGGTTTGGTGCAAAGGATGACCGGATCGTGAGGCCGACGGGACATACATGGTGGAAATAGGACCGGGAAAAGAGCAAAAGAGGGGAGAGGGGGGGGAAAGCGTCGACCAGCGCGGCTTATTAAATAAAATCAATGGAAAGAGGGCATAGGGCGAAAAGAACAGGGAAAAGAGAAAAAAAAAAAAAAAAAAAAAAAAAAAAAAAAAAGAGGGAAAGATGGACGATCGACGGAAGAGTTTAAGGTGACGGAGGAAGCATGGATGGAACCAGGAAACGGGCTGCTACCTTACCCGTTGCAGCGTCCGATAATACCGTGACATCCCCATATCTTCACTCTGCAGTTCGCGATACGGACACTAAGCCCGGGGCAGACATGGCGCTGCGACCAGCCCGTCGGCGGCCCGAATGCAGTAATCTCTGCCCCAACGATGGCTGCCATCTGTCACCTGCATCTTGATTCCCCGATCTTATCGGTCCCTCTACCTCCTTCAGGTACAGATACTTACACCTCCGGAACCCGACGTCGAGAATTGTGCCAATCAAGATCGGTTCCGACACACCCTCGCCGCGATCCGCGCGTCCTGGAGGTTCTTTTTAGACAATCGAATTGTCCGGTCGATTCTCTTTCAGAAGGATACACCTTGGAAGTATGAAACGGTAACACCAGGGCCAGGGCTGTCGTCCAATCCCCACCCCCACGTGGGTCGTTCATCTGCCACGGAAATTCAATTCTTCTACTCTCGACGCGCTCTTCCTCGGATTCGCCCGCGATCAGCGCCGTCGCAACTACGCCCGTAAGTACGGTACAATAATAATGAACGGCAGATGGCATTCATAGGCAGACACGAAATTACCTCATACTCATTAGTGGCCAGTAGAATCCGCTTCGACCGGGGTGGGAGATGCTGCATAACTAGTGGGAAACGCCTAGATCCACGCAGGTCATGGGGGAGGATCCAATCAGTGCCGGTCCTGTGAAATGAGGCTGGTCCGGAAATGCGATGATTAGTGCCTTTCACCCTGACCCAACCCACAGCTTCCATAGGTAACCATACGTAAGTCCCTACGGTTAATAACGCGAGGGAGGTAAGTGTCCGGGATAAAGATAACCATGACTCTGCGGTTGGAGACAGGAATCCGCGACCCCGCATATCGACGTAGTCAGTAGATAGGTCTCCAGTCGTCATCGACCATCTTCCTCGAGAGAGCTTCTCTAAGTCTTCGATTTCTGCTGCTCAACATATTGCTTTAAATCGCGCACCCACGTCTCGAAGTTCTTCTTCAGCTGCGCGCCATACATCCACCGCACCACGTAGACCAAATATCCGACTTGCGCCTCCCAGTTCCGCACCTCGGTGACTCGTCGCGTCGGCCCTCCCTCCGATTCAACGACCACCTCTTCGATCTCGTGAACTCTCTCCGCAGTCAAGAGGAAGGACGGAATGCCTCCCTTGGCAGTCACGTCGTTGACCCAAACAATCCGGCCGGGTTTGTGCGTCGCAGCGTCGGGTGGGTCAAACTCGACCACCGTTAGCGCCACCCCTTGTGCATTCTGCGGCTGGGGAGAAGAGGGGTCCATTTGGACATGGAAAGTCATTTTGGTGCCCAGTTGGAGGATCGGGGAAGGCGCGTCGGAAGAGGCAGGCTGCTCGTCGGTTCCGGGTTGTTCGCGGATGGAGACTCGCGGGACAAAGGTATTCCATGACGGCCAGGTGGATGTATCGACCAATGTATTCCAAACATCTTGGGAGGAGGCATCGATGAGCGACGCGCTGTTGATGTGCAAGACCGCGTCCGAGGCATCGATGTTGGGCGTTGGTTTGGCCGCCCGGGCCGCCTCCGAGGTTGGAGAGGGGAAGTCCGCCATAGTACGGAGTACAATCTTGATTGATGGATGGAAGGCGGAGATAGTAAGTAAGTCAAGTGAAGGGCTGAAGCACGGGTCCCTGACTAAGCGGGTCACTGACGTCATCTGGCAGCGGCCACTGTCGTCCCCGGTGGAACCCTCCATTCCATTGTATACGCCAACGCCTACCGAATGACCGAGATGCGAAGTCCCCTCTGTATATGCTACTCACCGAAACGATTGAATTAATAATAATCTATCTGAATACCCAATTCCCGGCATTAGTCAATCCTACGCCTCAACCCCAGGCGTGTCCGCAATGCGCACCACATGTTTGGAATAACTCGACTTCCAATCCTTCAATTCTCCCAATGCCTGCTCCAGCCCCTCTAGCCCCCTTGGAACGGCCACCCAAGGATGTCCTGACCAGAATCCATCGCGCAGCCCCTGACCAAAGAATCTGGAAAAGACCGCGGCAAACTCTCGGTTTCCCAAGGTTACATTTCCGTCCTTCTTCTCCGGCACAGGGCCATGTACTCGGCCCACGAAAGTGAACGACACGTCAACAGCAGGTGGAAATTTATCTCGGTCTTCGCGAACAGGCTGAATGGTGGTAATACGTCCAGCCTGGGGGTCGATGATCTGCGCAAGATTCTGGTAGCTGTTGAACTCGGTAATCGCGTCGAATGCGTGAAGAAGCGGTTGGCCATTCAGCGCCGTGCGCAGCTTGCTCACCACGGCCGTGTCGCCCTCACGATAATCGATAACAACGTCGCCTTGGGAGCGGTCTAGAAGGGTTTCTATTTGCGACCCACTTTTTCCGGCAACCACGATCAGCGGGTGGAGGTTGGATAGCTTGGCCAGTTTAACCGCGAAGGCGCCGACAGCGGACCCGCCCCCGTACACCACGAAGGGATGGGACTCTGTCTCCGGGAGCCAGGGAGGCGTCAATCGAAGGCTTTGGTAAAGACCCAGGGCCGCAGTCAATCCAGCAAGTGGGATAGTTGATGCCTCTGCTTACGGTTAGCACGGTGATATCTCTCATACCAAAGGACAGACGCGATCTATCGGAGGCATACCTTCAAACGAGACACTCTCCGGAATATGAAATGTCGTGTAGGCCCAGGTCACCGCATATTCAGCGAACGCGCCATGAGGAGCTCCCATCTGGTGGAAAGCCGCTACACGGTCGCCTACCTTGAACTCGGTGACATTGTCGCCCGTCAGATGAACGACACCGGCAACGTCGTCACCTTGGTTGATGGTGCCAGGGCTCTTGTGCTTGTAGTCCTTGGGGTTCAGACTGGCTGCGACCACTTTGATCACCACCTGGCCTGCAGCCGGGGTGGGAATCGGCGAGTCCACGATGGACACCCGAGGATAAACAGCAGCTTCTAGATCCACGAGGGCTTCTTTCATGGCGTTGGTATTCTAGATGTCGGGGTGCTTGAAAGGAAGATCGGATGAGATGACTATCGGGAAGCAGAGAAGAGAATGCACGAGATGGAGGATGAGCTGATGCCTATCCCACCGGAAGTCGAAGAATTATTTATAACATTGTCTTCTACAGTGATTCTACCATTGAATATGTGATTAATCATCATGGATTGAGAAGAGCGAATTAATAATTCGTGATCAACAACTAGCGCCTATCATGATTGGGGCCAAGAGTTTGTAATATCGGTCAGTTGGCGTCACACAGTTACTCCCTTCCATTCTCTTCTTCTTCCGTCTATATTGACTATTTTTCCTCGCTCGATTCACTCGCCGAACCCCCGAAGCTAAAATGACCGACACTGACTAACTCCGCGTCGATAAGTGCTTTGGTCCGATATCTCCACGGGTTCGATATACCCACCCTGTTTCATACTGGTTTGTAACCATCGGCATTTGCTGATTGCTCTTCAACATGAAAGTCAAGACTCAAATCTCACGTCCGATATATATGAAACTAACTTCTGGCATATATACACGACCATGCGCGACGCTCTAGGACTTGAAGCATAACCCTCTTGTAAAAGCCTCCTGGTCAACACGATGTTCGTCAAAACTAATGGCCGCGACATGGGTAAACACTAACCAAATGGCTGGAAACAAAGTCGATCTGTACGTATTGACCCCCGTTGCCCTGTGGGCCTCTAGCCCATACCTCAAAAATGTCGCTACACTGTCGGAACAGGTTTGGAAATGCTGGGAGCAATTCCTTCGGGAAACGCTGTTGCATACCAGATGGTCGTTCTGGCATTTCCGGGTCATCGGCTGGCGGATCCATCTGGATGAGAAAATCCACGTCCTAGGGAATGAAACCGTCAATTTCTGTTTAGATAAGGTGATAGGGATAGGAAAGTCTGTACCTTCGTCTTTCTCCCGGGGATGTAACTTTTAACGGCGAAACCGCCCACGGCCACGATTCGGGCAGTATGAAAGACCGTTATGGTCTGAAGACAACTGATGACACGCTCTGCTGCGCTGCGCAAGTAGACATACTTCACATGATCCTCCATCTTGGATAACGGGAATCGAGTGATAGCAAAAGCCAGCTGATACTAGGTGGGGGGGAAGAGAAGAAGAAAAGTGGTTATGTCGCTAGTAAGCCAAGTCGGGCATCTCTCTTGGACTTATATGTTAATGAGCTGCCTGTCTCAGTTGATTGCAACCGATTCTAGGATCCAGAATCTCCTTTCATGTTGCACGGCGCCTCAAACAGACCTGATTTCAGATCTACCGTTCATTGCTGTGCCCGATGAAATGGCTGCCGTGGCGGGCCCTTCTTCTAAAACATACCCACTGAGTATAGGGTTTGAGGTTTTCCATTTGTGTTCTTAAAATATTCTTTGATGCGCCCCCTTGGCTAATGTCTTAGGGTAGCAATGGCGCTCTGCTGGGTGCAGCTTGCTGTATCTCAGGCTACGTGATAGGAGAAGCTGGGCGGGCTACTACTCTCGCGATTTTCGTCTTCAGTCTGCATGAAATCAAATAAAACAACTACTCTAAAAAGAAAAGAAAATGGTCTTCTGTTGCTCCGGGTTTGACCGGTAACAAACAGACCTCCAGCACGAGACGGAACAAGTGAGACAGGGGAGCCAATTGACCGCCAGTCCGTCATAGGTCCCAGAACAAAGAAAGTCCTCCGGTCTGCATCAATTGCCTAGCAAGCCGGGTGCCATTCCTCACAGTCCTCTGCGCCATACGTCCCTGCCCGTTCGGCCAGCTCCCTGGTCGACCAGCTGTTGATCCGTGGTGGCGGAGGGAGCCCCGGGCCTGCAAGCAGCTCTTCCCGCAGGATTCCAAGCGCGTGGTCCGCCTTACGCGTGGAATTGGGTCTATTTCCCGTATACGCTATCTTGCGCCAGTAAGGACGGAAGTGAGGTTGGAGCTCATCTTCATTCAGCAAGCCATCTTCCATATATGGTGAGGCTACTTCCATTAGGTATTCGGTCCAGGTATATTCACACCAGTTGCAATGGCCTCGATCACGGCTTGCTAGCATCAGCAGGCTCTCTACCAAGGCAACCGGAGTGAGCATCTTCACTGGATACAACAGGGCCGGCCAGGATTCCTCGGAATCTGGGAGGCGTGGATCGTTGGAAAGCATGAAATTGCGATCACCTGGCTCAGGGAACTGGAGAGGGAAGTCGGGCAAGGCCCAGTAAATCTCGGACCTCTTGAGAAGATCGATATCCAATATGCCAGGGACGTGAAAGTGGTTCTCGGGCATAGGGTATGCGCTGAAAAGATGGGATTCCCTACATGTTGCTCTGGTGCACGGTGTAAGTCCAGTACTAATTATGATATTAGTGGCAGATTCAATATGCTCGTCAGGCACAATGAAGTCCATTTGCTATTTAATGCAAAACAAAGAGTTAGTTGGGGAATATTCCGGCTTCGGGGGGGTTGTCATTCACTTACATCGAAAACCCATGGCACGCCCGTCAATATGATGTTCAGAGGAAATGACACGACGTTTGGGATTTGGCTCTCGTCGAGCAGACGCGCGATCTCCGAAACATTGGGAACGCTCGACATTTTTTCAAGCAGGTTGCTTCCACTCTTGATAGATACCTAGTCTTTGCATCTCTACAGCAGGAGGTTAACCCCCTTTTTATAGTCCGATGATTTCTCGAAAGAGTGCTCTCTATCCCCGGTCCGGACTCGAAAAGAGGGGTCTGTCCAAGTCGAAGATCCGAATACTCAAAGAATGAAGCCTATTTTACAAGAAAGGGGAAGGGGAAACGCCGGGAATCATTGTCTACTGAGTTGTACTCGTGACAAGGACCCAAGAGCTGAAACAACCACCACAGGTTGAAGACCACCGGAACTTTTACCAGATATTTTTTTCAGCCTTCTTTCTCACTTGGTCCTCCTGGAGGAACCACGTATCTTCATGGCCGATAGGAATCGTCTGGTAGAACGCCACCTGCCGCTTCATTGTTTCGCTCTTTAGTCCGCCGGCCCAAGAGCACGACTACCTAGGGCGCGGAACAAAGTCCAGCCAGTCTTTGTGCAGAAAAGCCTCGGATGTGCTATGCAGAACAAGGGCATTCATGACGACATTCCAATCCACCTGAGAGTCGGAAGACTTTCTCCGGATTGTCGCCATGTCCCGGCATCGGTTTCTCCGCCAATCATGTGGAGGCGTGCACGACTACGAGGCAACGGCCAGCAGCGAGTTTCCCTGGAGTTTCTCCGTCTGGTGGATCGATCAGTTAAGCTCTTTACCATTCAGATTGTTCGAAAAGCTTTCTCGTCCCGGGGTAGGCTCCGTGGTTATGTTGAAAATGGAGCTATAAGTAGTATATGGTGCCACACTAAGTTCTTGGGGGTATGCAGCTTGCGCGATATTCCTGAAAGCAAATACACCCTTTCGTCCAATTTCCTCAAATACATGATGCTGATATCCCCGGCAGCTGTACTGGCACTTCTCGCCGCTGTCTCCCCCGGATTGGGGGTTCCAACTGGATCCACGTCGACACAAGCTCGAGGCCATCACTGCATTGTTCAATCATCCAATGGCACCGCAGATGACTCACCGGCAATTTCCCAGGCTTTCGCACGCTGTGCGACCGACTCGGTCATTACCTTCGAGAAAGGTGTCAATTACAACCTCTTCCATCCCATTCAGGCCACCAACCTAAGCAACGTGGAAATCCGCATGCACGGAAACCTACATCTCCCGCGGAACATTACTGCCGTCCAAGACATCGTCAGCGGGGGCAAGTCGACATGGGTTACGTTAGAGGGACCGCGCGTGGACTGGACTGGCCCCGAAGATGTGAATGACGGTTGGATCAACTCCTACGGCCAGGCCTGGTGGGATGCCAACCCTGCCAATGGCACAGGGATCGATGGTCGTCCACACCTCATGAGTCTCAAGACGAGCCAGGCAACGTTGAAGTATTTCCGGTCGCGCAAGCCCATTGCTTGGAATGTGAAACTGCACGGTGACGACATCACGGTTAGCCATGCCATCGTCGACGCGCGCTCTACGGGCGGGTTCCCCTTCAACACGGACGGTTTTGACGTGAAGGGCACCAATATTCGCATCGCTGATAGTATGATGTACAACGGAGATGATGCCATTGCGGTGGGATCCGAGTCCCATGACATTGTGTTCGAACGGAACACGATCGGGTATCAGACGCACGGCATGAGCATTGGATCTTTGGGCAAAGATCCCTCGGATTATGTCAATATCACCAATCTGAGGTTTGAAGACGTCACCGTGGATGACGGGCTCTATGCCGCCCGCTTCAAGTCCTGGGCTGGCGGACAAGGGCTGGTCAAGAATGTGACCTGGAAGAACATCCGCGTGTCCAACGTCACCTTCCCGATCTTCGTCACCCAGAGCTACTTGGATCAAAGCGTCACGCGAGAGGACGTGGATACTGATTCGTCGGTGATGATGGAAGACTTTACTTGGACCAACTTCACCGGCTCGATCAACACCTTCCAGCCGGGCGATGGGTCGTGCGCCACGACGCCCTGCTGGTACGATGCCGGTCTTTCCAACCTGAACCACACGGAGGCAATCATTATCGAGTGCAATACCAAGAAGTCCTGCAAGAATTTTGCAACCGAGAGCATCGAGCTGTATCCCCAGAATCAGGACTCACCCAGCGTCATCTGCATCGATGCCACGGCCGAACTGAACCCCAATCTGGGATTTGACTGTCGCAACGGCACGTATACACCTCTGTCTGGCTGATGCACCCAGCCGATCCCTTCATGTACATACATAGTATATAGTATAGACCCTTCTCCGAGAGAATAGCATACAGCATCAACGTGACTTCCAGGCCCTTACGGGGGGGGGGGCGCCTTCTGGCCGGGAGAAACACCTCGCGCTTTCCTGATCCGCGTTCGCCCTTCTCCTTTTCTATCTGTAGGCGATTGTTGCTCCTCAGCTGTTGCATCGTCTCTCTCTTCTGCTTCATCGCTCGTTGTTAGGTCTCGGCCCAGTCACTCGTTCCCGCCAGTCCATCCATTATTCCACAGTATCGCCGCCGCCGCATCACTAGCCTTTCATTTGAAAATACTTCATGTTTCAACCGTTCCCCAAGTTCTACATCATTCGCCCCGATGGCTCTCTTACTCCTCTCATACCTGTTGATGAGCTCCCAAAATGGGTTTCCTTTGCCAACTGGGATCCGGAAGACATCTCTATGTATTCGACTATGTACGCAGCTAGTCTGAACAGCATCCCTCGAGAAGGCGAGTACGACCTCGTCTGCCACCACTGTTTCGCGCAGGTCGACGGCCATCATCGTAGCGTTTCGGAACAGAGCGAAATCAGCGCCCCAATACCCATCCCGACCCTCACTTATGGCGATACTGTCGGCATGTCGGGCTCCTGTCCCATGCAGGCTCCGGACCCAGCTCCTTCGCAGATGACGGCAGTGCCTATGTTGCCGGGGCTTTTGAAGCAGCCACCATTTCATGCGAATCTTTATAGCCCCTTCGTTGGCATGTGCCTCGTCAACTTTCCACGTTTGCGATGGCCGTTCAGGTTCGGGTCGACGACCCAGGATCAGGACCAGGATCGCGCCAACGAGGAGGAAGGGGAAGAAGAAGAAGAAGAAGAAGAAGAAGAAGAAGAAGAAGAAGAAGAGCACCACGAAGAACCACAATGCAATAACACAAAACATCCTTCAGGCACCGACGATGAATCAGATAGTAGTAGCGAGTATCCAGCACAGACACCACTCTTAGAACGACTGAACAGACGGCTGGCTGAAAGCAACCGCATTCCAGGTGGCTCCTCTGAGGCCGACCTTGAACTTGGGTATGGAATCTATGGAACCTCAGTTCCCCCTGGATTTGGATACCTAGATGGTGCGAGTGGACCACCCTCGATCTCTTTGTCAGCTGAAGAACCGTCATATGTGAGTCCGTATCGACACAAGACCACAGATGATGTGGCTCCCAAGAAGTCGGCGCTGGCTCGCAAAGCTTCCAGCTCCCAAAGAGAAAGAAAGAAAGTGCGATTCGACTCATTCAGGGCCGAATTCACTCCAGCGAAAAGCCCTTGATTTTCAAGGTTCTGTGAGAAATCATTGCGATATGGGGATTTGCACGTTAGTGTGCCAGGTTGAGGACATATCCTTGTTCCTGATTCTTTATGTTCTACTAAAAGCGTTTTTCTTATTCCTGCCATTTCTTTAGGTTTGGGGAATCCAAAAGTTGGATAAAGGGGACTGTTATCATTTCATGGAATTTGTATCTAGCTGTTAGAACTACCTCTACAAAGGGATGCTCAACTAGAGCGACTACCCCAGGATTAATGGAGATGAAATGTTACCAAGAGAATGAAGTCACCTCATCCAAAAACACACCTATATGTACACCACGGCTGTATTTATAATTTACTTAACCATGTATGTGCAATCCACCGGAGAGAAAAACAGGATAGGGGATATGAACTCCCATCACAGTAAACCCAAGCCAAGAAATACGCCGAACAATCTAAACTCATGCATATATCCACCCAACAACAGCAAGAAAACACAAACCTATACACCTACAGATCCGAAACCGAATTCGTCACCGACAACGGCGACAGATGATACGAATGAAAATCCTCAACGGCATCAACCGACGCGGTCTCCAGATGCAACTCGCTGACGACATGAATCCCCTCGCACTCGGGGGGACAGTGCATGGACTCCTGCCCGTCTGCCGCGTTGTGGGTGGAGAAGTTCCCCGTCACGCTGGCGGAGTAGCTGGTGTTGGTGAAGTTGAAGGGGTTGGAGAGGTCGAGGGTCTGGCAGGTGGTCTTTTCGCGGTGGGCGTAGGAGCTGCGGACGCGGGAGGGGAGGAGGCGCGGGAAGAAGTAGGCCAGGAGGGGGCGTAGAGGGGGTAGGCAGGCGCTGATGATGGCGACGTTGGTTTCGATGAAGGACCAGAGGGCTGCGGGGGCGTTGGCTTCTGGTTGGGGATGGTGAGTATGGGGTTGGGATTGGGATTGGGGTTGAAGAAGGGAGGGAACGGGGGGGTATTACTGCTGGCATCGTTGGAGTTGAGCAGTTGGATCACTGCGCCGAGACGGACCACGCTGGTTGCGCAGACGCTGTAAAGGGAACATGGAAGTATTAGCTGTGCTCTGGTGGTTGGATAGAGAAGCGCGAGTGTCTTACAAAAGTCCCAGAGCAAACACCACGATGAGCACAAGCTTCTGTCTTTTCGGGAGTCGCAAATGGGTGAGGACCGGCATCGGCAAGATAACGATGATCAGATCGCTGACGATCTGAATGGCGGCATTGAGACACCACACGGCGGTCTTGGGCAGGCAGTTCTGCGGGGCCGCGGGATCCCAGAAGGCATGGACGGGGATGCAGAAGAAGATGGCGCTGAGGATCATCCACAGGCCGGAGAGGACGACGCAGATGAGAGCAATAAGAAGGATGATCTGGTAGCCGCGGGTCGGGAAAAGTCGTCGATACAGCAAGATCATCGAGATCTTGGTCAAATTGAGCGACAGGTTGTATAAGGGAATAGTAACGTAAAGAGCCTTGCCACCCAGTCAGTCACGGAGATGCATTGCAAGATGTAGCGAAGAGAAAGGCACCTTTGTCTGGGATTGGATCCTCCCCGGATCCAGCGTTGCCGCCTCCTTCCCCAGGCCATAACGGACCTCTAATGTATACGGTCAGTGCTTGGTTCCTCTCAATCCTGCGATAAACCAGGAGCCAGCGCCTACCTTCGATTAGGAAAGCAAAGAAGCAAATGTCCGCTATCTGTTGGTCGGTCAGTATATATCACTGCGAATCTGATGCTCCAATCCATACCAACGAGAGGACAATCAGCAGATCGTCCCAGCCCGGGGTGCGAATGAAATACAGTCGAGTGAACAGCCGCAGTGCCACGACCACCGCCGTCAGAACCATGAAGGTTATCGCGATGTCCAGTACGTACATCGTGCGACGTGATTGTAATCTCCGCGGTTCGAAAGTGCGCGCATGGTCCGAATGGTTTAAACGTTCTTGTTGGAAAAGTTAGAAGATAGACTCGCCAGGTCCTGGTTCAACGCAATCGAAGCCGAGGCTTTGCGGGAGGCAAAAAGAGATTGCCCAAATTTGGTGTTGTGGCTTGATGGCGCCGAGAATGACGTCCGGCACCCGAGTCGATTGCGTCAAGGAATGCGGGCATCAGGCGGGCTTCCATGGAACGGGCCTGGGATCGCCAAAAGAATGGGGAGAATGGAGAGAGCACTAACTCATGTTGCATTATCTAATCGACACATATATTGAGATCTCATGACACATGAAGAATAATGAGGACAGGCACAGAGGAAACATGAGCAATACAAAACCTATACAAAAATCCAAAAAAAAAAAGGAAAATCTGAAAAGCGAGAACCCAAAAAAGGACATATATGGTGATGCAGCCCTATCGATTCCCAAAGGAAGAAAGTCTTGTCGATTCTTCCCTTCCGATTCCAATGTACAAATATAACTGTGCGGCCCTTTCAAACTCAGTGACTGAGTGCGACCGGCTTGGTCGCGCGCTGAAAATGGTATTGTAATAGACTCCAAATATCGCTAAATCATTCAAAGGCGGGCCTTAAGGTTGGACTTCAGTCGGCGCTCCACGGCAGCCATGTACTCCCGAGTAGTCACCCAGGCCTCACGGTCCTTGCGGCCACAGGCCAGAGCCAAGTCCTTGGTCATGATGCCCTCTTCGTTGACCACGTCGACACAGGCACGCTCAAGCTCCTCGGCGAAGGTAACCAGATCGGGGGTCTCGTCGAGCTGACCACGCTGCACCAGACCACGGGTCCAGGCGAAGATAGAGGCGATGGGGTTGGTGGAGGTCTCGCGGCCCTTCTGGTGCTCGCGGTAGTGACGAGTCACAGTGCCGTGAGCGGCTTCGGACTCGAACGCCTCGCCGGTAGGGGTGACCAGGGTCGAGGTCATCAAGCCCAGGGAGCCGAAGCCCTGCGCGACGATGTCGGACTGGACGTCACCGTCGTAGTCTGTATAACTTAGATTAGGATTGCACATTCCCCGCCTATTCGAGAGGATGGCCACTTACTCTTCAGGGCCATGATGAATCCACCCTCACTCTTGACCATCTGAGCCACCATGTCGTCAATCAGACGGTGCTCATACCAGATGTTCTTGGCATCAAAGTCCTTCTTGTAGGTGGTCTCGAAAATCTCCTGGAAGATGTCCTTGAAGCGGCCATCGTACTTCTTCAGGATGGTGTTCTTGGTGCTCATGTACAGCGGCAGACCCTTCAGCAGGGCCAACTGGAAGCTGGCGTGGGCGAAACCGGAGATCGACTCATCCGTGTTGTACTGAGTCTGGGCAACGCCGCCGCCACTCTTGAAGTCGAAGACCTGGACGGTCTCCGGCTGACCGCCAGCCGGGGTGTAGACCATCTCCAGCTTGCCGGGACCGGGGATCACACGGTCCTGGGCACGGTACTGGTCGCCGAAAGCGTGACGACCGATGATGATGGGCTTGCTCCAGCCAGGTACCAGCCGGGGGATGCGGGGGATGATAATGGGCTCACGGAAAACAGTTCCGCCACTAGTACCTGTGTTAGTATGAAACCGGGAAAGAGCGGCAGGGATTGAGCAGCATACAGGATGTTTCGGATGGTACCGTTGGGAGAGAGCCACACTGCGCGAGACCGTTAGTTCCCAAACCCAGTTGCGCCCACAAGACCGGTAAGGCTTACTCTTCTTCAGCTTGAACTCCTCCACACGGGCCTCATCTGGGGTAATGGTGGCGCACTTGACACCAACACCATACTTCTTGATGGCCTCGGCAGCCTCAACGGTGACCTTGTCGTCGGTCTGGTCACGGTACTCCAGACCCTGGAAGAAGAGTCAATTACACACGCTTGCTATGACGGTAGGGGCTAGGATCGTACTAGGTCATAGTACTTGAGGTCGATGTCAAGGTAACTAGTGGTGTCGAGTCTCAGCGGCGTCTCCGGGCACGGACAGGAGCTGCGGAGGGGCAGGACGAATCAACTTACGGCAGGATCAACTATGCAACGGAGACAAAGTTAGTTTCACAAGGTCGGCACCGAACGGCAGCGCATGACGCAAGAGGGCGGGAGGGCTGCCGGCAGGACCGCGGTACTTACTTTTTCTCTGATCTCCTTCCAGATAATACGAGTCATCTAAAGCCACCGCAGAACGGGTATGGTTAGCCACATGTGCAGAGGAGCAGCGCGCGCATGTTCGTTGGTTGGGCCTCGGAAGAGAATCCCCGGCGTATTTCCCCGCGTTCGCATGACGAAAATGCGCAGAGTCGATCCGATCGACGGGTATATAAAGGCCACGTCGGCGGAGGCTTCCCCCAAGAAAGCAGAGAAGGGGTAAAAAAAAAAAAAAAGAGCAAAAAGGAAAAAAGAACATACCTCATCTCCGTCCAATTCCACCACGGGGTTCTTAACCTTAATCTTGGGGCCTTCGGTCGCCATCGTGCGGGATTGAGTCCAGGACCAACGGGAAGCAGAGCCAACGGAACGAGGAAGGACAGAGGAAGCAGAAGCAAGCGATCTCTGAGAGCGAGAAGCGGTAGAGAAGGAAGAGGAAGAGGAGACCGAGCGAAGAGGCGAGGAGGAGGAAGAAGTAAGAGAAGAGCGCGCGCGGAAGGTGGAGGCAGGAGGGGCAGCCAGAGGGGAGCGGCGAGCCAATGCGGAATGCAGCCGAAGGGAATTCATCATCGCGGTTCGACGTGAATCGACTGGACGAGGCGATATGCCACGGACTTGGGAAGAGCAGACAATACCCGAGGGAAAAGCAAAAGCGCAGCTCAAAGCTTCTCGGCTGGAAGGAGCGGGCGGTGGAGGGTCGGAAGCTCCCGTTCGCGGATAATGGATAAGGAATCAGGGAGAATGGATTGATGCGACCACGGAGAGGATCGGAGGGCCCGGCAAATGGTTCTGGGGAAAAGGAGGTCGAGGGAGGAGAGGAGAAGATGAAGGGGAGAAGGGGGGAGGGACTGGGAGAAAAGGCCGACTCTTATCCCCAAAGGAAAAGGCCTTTGCCCCGGTGACTTGACTCTTTCCGCCCACCGTCGCAGTCACGCCGAAGACGGAGTGGTCCTCTCCAGCCTCCTCTACACCTACACTGAATACACTCCCTCCCTCAGGTGTTGCCGGAGAGTAATTCAGGATTACCTCATGCCTTCGCTAACCGCCGTTTCCCGCGGTAACGGAGACTCCGCCCGGGCCAATCTTCACCGAAGTCGCCTTTCTCGGGGACAAACCGTCCAACTCCGCCGCAGATCCATTGCAGTGCTGAATGTCTCCATTCTCGACTTCTAGTGCATTTCTATCTAATCCATCAGTCCCCCGTCCCGTCTTCCTGCCGACTCCAGTTTTTGTTGAAATTGCGCCCTCCCAAGGTGCGCCCGTGTGGTTTCGTCATGCTCGTATACGTTGAAGTAAATAATGCCCGCAAATGCCGTTCCGCGTGTAATGTAAAATGTAGTGGAGAACGGCATGGTATCGAGAAAGAAAAATCAAAGGTTATAATCGCAGGTGGGTGTCACGAAAAATAAAATAAATCAGAAATATACAGAGAAGCAAACCAGTCTAGACCCGACGTCTAAAACAGGCCGTCAATCTCTCCGGTTTCCGGATCAATGTCAACGTTCAAGTAACCCGGTGCGGTGGGCAGACCGGGGATGGTCTGGATATCAGCCGCAAGAGCGTACCTAAAGAAAGAAACGGAGATGTTAGCGTGGTGTGCTCGGTCGATGCACCAAACAGAAAAAGACTTACAGATATCCAGCACCCACGGCCAGCCGGACGTCGCGAATCGGAACGGTGAATCCGGTCGGGGCGCCCTTCAGGGCAGGGTCGTGACTGAGCGAGTATTGCGTCTTGGCAATGCAGATGGGGAGGTGGCCAAAGCCTTGCGCCGTGTAGGTGTCCACCTTCTTCTGCGCCAGCTCGCTAAACTCAACCTTCTCCGCGCCGTACATGGTCTTGCCGATGTGCTCGATGCGCTCCTGCACGCTGCCGCCGGTCTCGTACAGGAGCTTAAAGTCCTTAGGCTTGGAGCTGGCGGTAAGCACGGCCTTGGCCAAATCCACCGCACCGGCTCCGCCCTCGGCCCAGTGATTGGCGGGAACTGCATCCTCCGCACCCGCCGCGATGGCCTCCTCTCGAATAACGGCGATCTCGGCGTCCGTGTCGGTTTCCATCCGGTTGATGGCCACCACCACGGGGACTCCGTACTGGCGTGCGTTCTCGATGTGCTTCTTCATGTTGACACAGCCCTTGCGGAGGATGTCCACATTCTCCGTACGGTAGACCTCATTCAGAGGAGCTCCGGGGCTGATCTCAGGGCCGCCGCCGTGAACCTTGAGGGCCCGCACGGTGGCCACAATGACCACGGTATCGGGGGATAGACCGGAGGACCGGCACTTGATGTTGAAGAAACGCTCTCCGCCCATGGTGAAGTCGAATCCGGCCTCGGTCACCACAAATCCAGTCTTGGCATCGTGGTCCTCGTCGGGTTCCGTACCCGCCAGCTTCAGCGCGAGTTTGTCTGCGATCACCGAGCTGGCTCCGATACTGATGTTGGCGAAGGGGCCGGCATGAACTAGTACCGGGGTACCCTCCAAGCTCTGCATCATGTTGGGTTTGATGGCATCCTTCATGAGCGCCGCAAGAGCGCCGCCGGCGCCGATGTCATCACACGTGATCGGATCGCCCTTCTTGGACGTAGCGACAACCATACGTCCCAGTCTCTCGCGCATGTCCTCAAGACTGTTGCTCAGCGCAAGGATGGCCATGCATTCACTGGCAACGGAAATATCGAAGCCGGTTTCGCGAGTCAAGCCCTTCTCGGTGGGGGCCTGTCCGACAGTGATGCCCCGAAGGTGTCGATCGTTCACATCCAACACACGACGCCAGGTGATGGTCTCGGGGTCGATATCAAGACGAGCGAAACGGTTAATTTCTTCCTCGGTCAGATCATCAGGGTTGGTCTTGGTGATTCCCAGCTTGTTCAGTCGTTTGAACATGACAGGCTGGAATTCACGCGTGCCCTTCTTGGCGGGGACCAATCGCTTGTACAGCGCCCCGTCCTTCTGGGTGGACTCGTGGAACATCCGCGTCTCAATGGCCGCCGCAAGGAGGTTGTTGGCAGCCGTGATCGCATGGATATCGCCAGTCAAGTGAAGGTTGAACTCATCCATAGGAATAACCTGGCTGTACCCACCACCAGCAGCTCCTCCCTTGATACCGAAAGTAGGGCCCTGGCTAGGCTGACGAACATTGGCAAACACAATACGATTCAAGTGCGCCCCAATGGCCTGGGTAAGACCCAGAGTGGTCGTCGACTTGCCCTCTCCAAGAGGCGTGGGGGTGATACCACACACCAAGACATATCTACCATTGCGGCGATGAGACAAGCGGTCAAGGACGCTGAGGTTAAGCTTCGCCTTTGTGTGGCCATAGGGCTCGAGCTCGTGAGGAGCAATGCCAATTTCGGAGGCAAGGTCGGTAATCGGCTTAGGATACTGGGCGCGCGAAATGGCAATGTCAGAGGGGACGGGTTGGGCCAGCTTCAGTGGGAGTGGAGTAATGTGTCTATCTTTTTGCTTTTCGAAGTACTCCTTGGCCGAGTTAACCACGTTTTGTAAAAGCATGGCCACCGTCATGGGGCCAACACCACCGGGGACGGGGGTGATCTGAGAAGCAACTTGGGCGGCAGACTCGAAGTCAACATCTCCAACCAGGCGCTGGCCCGACTTCTTAGAAGCATCGGGTTTGTAGTTGATACCGACATCGATGACGACGGCACCAGGCTTCAGCCATTCTCCCTTGACAAACTCTGTTTTCCCAATAGCTGCCACCACGATGTCGGCAGTTTTCACGATTGCCGCAATGTCCGGGGTCTTCGAGTGACACAGCGTCACAGTAGCATCGGCATTCTTCAGGAGGTAACTGACGGGGCTACCAACGATGTCACTCCGACCAAGCACCACAGCTTGCTTGCCCGCCGGGTCGACTCCGCTCACTCGCAGGAGTTCCATAACAGCCTTCGGTGTGCAAGGAACGAAGAGCGGACGGCCACCGCGCTTGGCCAGCTCACCAATGTTGATGGCCCCGAAGCCATCGACATCTTTCTCGTCGGCCACGGCGGACGTGACGGTGTGTTCGGACAAATGTTGAGGGATGGGCAATTGGACGAGAATGCCGTGCACGGAAGGGTCATTGTTGGCCTTGGTGATTTCCTGGAGGATCTCGGGTTGACTGATAGCCTGGGGGAAGTTGACCACTTTGCATAGAATGTTGGCCTTTCGAGAATGGGGTTGTCAGTATACGTATACTAGCACACGGATGACAACTTGGGGATGACAGCGTACCTCCTCAGCAGCTTTCAGCTTCATGCGCACGTAGGTGCCTTTGGATTATATTAGTTCTGTCTCCACACCAAACCTAAGGCCCATGAAAGCCCGATAGACTAAACTCACTTGAATCCGATCTGTCACCCACTAGTTTGTTTCGGTCAGTCTCCCTGCATACCCGGTATTGCTTCAGAGAGTCAAGAATGACCACACACCTTGAAAAATCACCAAGCTGGGCTTGAACCGCGGGTTGGACTCCTGGATCTCCTGGATCTCATTCTTCAATCCCGCCCGAATGCTCTTGGCGATTTGCGTGCCATCGATCTTAGTGGCCGCCATGGCAGTCGACGTGCTGGAAAACAGCCGGTGGGGAGACGGTAAGAATCCACGAGTAAGCTCTGCAAACCCCACAGAACCAGATGCGAGAAGCTGGGCCTGGCGTCGAGTAGACGGAAATCGAGAAGGGGAGGGAGTGAGGAGAGAAGGAAGGTGGTAATGCGCGAGGTACGAATGGCGGGCACAATGCTTTGCTTTTCCAGCGCAGCGGGGTAATGTCGCCGAACGGGCGGGGGGAAATGGCATCAACTGCAGGTTCTCCTCGGGCGGAGTGGATGAAGATAGGGGAACTTGGGTCGATCCAGCACCGAAATCAATAATGCTTATGAATAATGAGAATCCCAACGCCGGGATGCGCCCATGCAATAGTACACCACCGCCAAAGAACAAGAGCAAAAAAATACACCTATTATTACAAGCAAAATGAAACCAAATTCAAGCTGTCTATGACCGTGACGGTTCTTCTCTTTGTTCCCGTCTGCAGTTTGACGTCGATTTTTCCCGAGGAAACGGACCGGCGTCGTCACTCACCCGCGATGCGATTATGTCAGCCCTGTATTTCCCGGAGGTCACCACTAAGCCCGATTAGGACGGCTATCATTCAGGGCTTAGCTCCATCACGTGTGTCTTAGTCATGATACCGGACCAAAGGTTGTTCCATTACGCCAGGTTTACCGTACAAACGGCCTCGAACGGGAAGGTCTTGGCGCGCGAGCCCGGACTGTGCGATGAAATTCACTAGTCTGACCAACGCCGACGAAGAGAGCAGTCCGCCAGCACCCCGCCAGCATTTCCGCCTCATCTTAGACATCTTCGGTCACAGACGATCTCTCTATCCCCCCTACTTTCTTCTCCGTCGCCTTCACCGGAATCAGATCCTGGTCGGCCCAATATGAGGCCTATTTTGCTTTCGGGCCATGTGCGTTTATGCCCGTGTTGAAGATTTACTCTTTTTTTTCGTTCGACCTTGAAAAAGAAATCAGATGTACTGATAGACGAGCCTACCCACAGGAACGGTCCCTCAACCAAATCAAGTTCAACCGCGATGGCGATCTCATCTTCTCCGTGGCGAAGGATAAAATTGTGTGTGCTTGGTGGTCGGCTAACGGCGAGCGACTCGGTACCTACAACGGACATCAGGGTGCCATCTGGACGGTCGACGTGAGCCCCAACACCGTTCTCCTGGCGACCGGCTCGGCAGACAACACCGTGCGACTATGGAACGTGAAGACCGGCGAGTGCGTGAAGGTGTGGGACTTCCCTACGGCCGTGAAGCGCGTTGAATTCACCCCCGACGGAACCAAGCTGCTGGCTGTGACGGAAAAGCGTATGGGTTTCCTGGGCACTATCGCCGTGCTCGATATCAACTACGGAGATGGTCAGGGCGGCAACCTGGAGGTTCAGGCCGACGAGCCCAGCCTCCGAATCACCTGCTCGGAGAGCAAGGCTACTGTTGCGGGCTGGAGTTATCTGGGCAAGTACATCATCGCCGGCCACGAGGATGGCAGCGTGAGCCAGTACGACGGAAAGGTGCGCATTCCGAAAAGTGCGGGGAACATGTGCCGCATGGGGTTGGCATTATGTTTCCTCGAGAAACCCGGGCGCGCAAGAGCTAACTTTTTTTGTGGTGATCTAGACCGGTGAGCAGCTGGAGAACGTCCAGGCTCACGAGTTCGACCACCAGATCAACGACGTCCAATTCTCCGAAGACCGCACCTACTTCATCACCGCCTCGAAAGACAAATCTGCCAAAGTACGTTTTTATTCCGCGGCGTTCTGCGCGGCGCATGCATACTAACGGCCGTCCCTAGCTCATCTCCTGCCGTAACCTCGCCATCCTCAAAACCTACGTCTCCGACACGCCCCTGAACAGCGCCACTATTACCGCCAAGAAGGAATACGTGATCCTGGGAGGTGGTCAGGCTGCCATGGATGTCACCACGACCTCCGCGCGCCAGGGTAAATTCGAGGCTCGCTTCTACCACAAGGTCTTCGAGGACGAGATCGGCCGTGTCCGTGGCCATTTCGGTCCTCTGAACACCGTTCACGCTCACCCCTCCGGCACCGCCTACGCCTCCGGCGGAGAGGACGGTTACGTCCGTGTCCACCACTTCGACAAGTCGTACTTTGATTTCATGTACGAGGTCGAGCGGGAGCAGCTGAGACGGTAAATCAGTCGGTGAAACGCGGTTTTTTCTATTCTACGCACCTACATATGTGTCATGAGGCAAAGACATTTATTACCCAAGGAAAAAAGAAAAAAAGTAGAAAAAGCAAGGCCGAGGCGGTATATGAAGGGGGGTGTGGGTGGCTTTAGGGCATGAGTTTCTCATTTCATTTGATTCCATGATAAATCGGAGTTGGTACCATTTCCTTTTCTTTGGTCGCTTTCTGTGTCCTATTAAAAGAAACTCAATTTTTTACATTCACGAGTTCATATTTTATTAGTTTTGCTTCATATGTGAATTTCATTGGCAATTTGCTGGTCAGCATTTCTATGAATCATCTAAACATAAGCCAATCCCAACGTCCCAACCAAATAGAAGCATAGCACACTTTATCATGCGATCTTTCTTTGAAGGGGATTCCCATTTAGATGCCAGGCCAGCGCTCTTCCGGCCAGCAGAAAGTAATAACAAAAAAAGACATGAAATCCTCATTGCACATGTTGCGTCACGTAACAACCGAAACTGAAGGGGGAGAAAGGGAAAAAAAAGGTCAAAAATCCCGGGATATGTTAAGAAAAAGAAGAGAGAAAGGAAAAAAAAGTCATTTCTGAGCCGTTCCTTATCCCCTTGCAAGAAGCGGCGGTCTCACCCCGGATATGAGTTTATTTCTTCTTAGGGAACCTCTCCTTCCCGATGTCCGAGCCTCTCAGCTTGACGTTGAGCACACGCTCCATGGCGCTGAGAACCTTCTGGTCAGGCGTGGCGGTACCCTTCTCGAAGTCCTGGATGACACCGGGGGTGGTGTTGCACTTGGTGGCAAGTTCCTTCTGCGTCATCTTGTAACCCTCCTCGTTTCGGCGCTTCTTGATGGCGTCTGCGACCTGGTAACCCACGGTCTTGGGCTTGACGATGTCGTCGCTGCGGTCGACCTTGGTCAAGTGCTGGCCCTCAACGGCTGCCGAGCGTCCGGCCTGCAGAAATCCAGTTAGCCACTTGCCGACGTGACCACCAAAAAAACACCCCTAGATTGGGAAAGGAAGGGGGGGAACACATACAGTGTTGCCGCTGGCATACTTCTTCTCGGTTCCAATGACCAGACCCTGACGCTGAGCGGCATTCAGAGCGCTCTTGCCCTTGACGACGGTCTCACGAGGGGCAGCGCCGCCACGGTTCTTAGCGCCAATGCGAGTAACGGAGTCCCAGTCGCTCATTTTGAAAGAGAGTGTAACGAAGATAGAGGATTTGGGGTATCGGTGATGGTCGTTGTGCGGGTGAAATGTGGGAGGGAGGGAGGTGGCGTTCAGATCGTGTGAATGGTTTGTGTGGCTCAGACGGAGGGATGTTCTCAGCCCGCCGAATTTATATCGATGACACAGAAGCTTCTCGATCCCTAGGATGGCGGCGTCCCGTTACGGCCAATGGCGCTAGCCCTGCTCCGGTTAGCCCCGCTGACATCATACGTTTCGCTTCTCCGTCGGCGTTAAAGTCGCTTTGTATCTGCTTGGACTGGCCTGCATTGTGAGTCGCCTCTTCTCAGAATGAGTCAGGATGGTCTCTTCTCTTTTCATCAGTTCTTTTTTTCTTTGGTCTGGCTTTCTGTCGCATCAATCCATAGAGAGTGTGTGTCCCTCGGAGCTTAACGTCACTACCATCTTATCGGCCTCGTACTGGATTCTACACCCCACTAATCAGCATCACGGCCAAATCTGAGGAATTGAACCACAACAGCAAGGTTCAATTGAGAAAACGTTTTCAACCAATGTACCTTGGTTCAAGTATGTATAAGTGGTCCTGGTCCCTGACAATTTCTTATTCCATTTTGGAACCTGTATGATCGTTTGTCATATCCTACGTCGCAGGAAACGAAATACTCATCATAAGCAATATATTTTGTCGACACGTCTCCGGGAGATACTAACATGATACAATTTTTGGGTTTGTTTCGAACCAACCTCCTGGCTGGTTACTCCTGTAACAGCATACTATATTACTGCGTTGTTTTCAGCCTCCAATCTCTTGTGTATTCCCACTCATACTGGAACTCTTGGTATCGTATCCGACAAGTTTCTCCTGCTGGCCTTTGCCGGCACGACAGAGTACGAGAGAGAGAGAGAGGAGAAAGCATGAGAAATCAATGAAACTACATAAATATACTACGGACCATACAAACCTCCAGATTTATTTCAATGGCCCAGAAATGTCGGACGACTCCAAACTGGACACTCTCCTATACTCACTCCCCCAGAAGACATCAGATCGGACAAGGTAGATGCAACCAAATGAGCAGCATGCATATGTACTCCGGTTCATTGCGAGAATCTACTCCGTATACTCCGTCCTCCAACAAGGCACTCGCGAGCATTCGTATTTTTAGCTCGGAAAAGGGACAACCCACTCAATGTCCGGGACTAGCATGATGCCTAGGTCCTTAGCACTAGATTCGGACTGGCCCTACTGGGCACTTTGGGACTAGCTCTTAAGGATATATGGGTCATGTCTGAGAAAGCCAAGAGGCATGCACTCCGTACAGGAGTTATTTCAAAGGACAGATGGAAAGTCGAGATATCATGCGGGTGTCTTGGATGGGGAATGAAAGGACACGCTGGGATATAGTAAAGCGGCAACACAATCCAACCACAAGCCGAAACAACGATGCGTGAAATAACTCGCGATTCTTTGCGCTTTAATAATGGAGTGCCGGCAAAAAAAGTCAGACTGAGGCATGAAACTGGATATCTCGAGACTTGGCATTTCAGATTATTAGGCAGACGTGGAAAAACAGCCCCAGCGACTCCTTGGCCATCCGCCAATGACCGAACCGGTGGCCGGCCTCAGGTACCAAAGCCATAATGCACGGCATTAATTATTATCCAACTCCCCATCCCATCCCCGTCTCATTTCACCTCCATCCATTCCGTCTTTTGGTTTTATTTTTTCTTTCCCTCTCCTGACTGAAATTTATCTCTCCTCTGCTTCCGATATTCTTCCCTCGGCTTGTTCAGACACTCTCTTTATCACCCCTTGCCTATCATGGCGTCCCAACCCGACTTCGTCAGGGCCATGACCAACCGGTCGGTCCGCACTGTTCGATTAGTATGCCCTCCTTCTTACCTTCTTGGGTCCCCAGAAGCATCGCCGCTCTTTGGATCCGATTGTTCGACTGCTGACACTCGTTTCTTCTAGGAACTCGAGTTCCTTGCAGATGCCTCGGTCATTACGCCACAGCAACTCTCTTCCATCCTCTCGCAACTGCCAACGGAGGATGCACGTCAAGTTTCGGCGCCTCGACAGGCACCTCGTCAGCATCAGTCGCCACCAGTTGTCGCTCCATCTCCAATCCAGGCTCCGGCTCCTATTCCTGCTCCGGCTCCCATCCCAGCTCCGGCTCCCATCCCAGCGCCGGTTCAGACGCAGCCTCCCCCTGCTCCGTACTCCCCTCCTACGAACCAGTTCGCCAATACCTCGTTGAATGAGAAAGCAACGTACCAGCAGCCGCCGACGCCGCAATACAACCCCACCCCTCCCCCGCCGGCTTATCCTCAAGTCCCGCCAGTCCTATCCATTGCATCTGCACTATATGCGTACACCCCCACAGACCCGGGTGACTTGGCTTTGCAGCCGAACGACCGGGTTCAGGTTCTCGAGCACATGAATGCCGACTGTATGACGCCCCGTCTCTGGATATCTGTGACCAAGCAACTGATTATTTTGAACTAGGGTGGCGCGGACGTAACGAGCGGACCAACCTCGAGGGTATCTTCCCTCGCAGCTACGTGAACGTGATCCAGGACAAGGGAGTGGCCTCGCCGCCCCCGTCCGGCTATGGCAACATGCCCCTCGAGGTCAGCCAGGGTGGCTCCGCAGCCGACCCTGAAGGCAAAAACGGCAAGTTTGAGCAACACGGCAAGAAGTTTGGCAAGAAATTGGGTAATGCTGGTATGTATCCCCTACGTGGCAGATGCTCTACACGGATGAGCACGCTTGTGGCATACTGCTGTATACTCTTACCTTTCAACCTAATGCTTGATTACTGACAACTGTCTCTAGCGATCTTCGGTGCCGGTGCTACTGTTGGCTCCAACATTGTGAATAGCATTTTCTAATGCCTTGGTCATCGCCTGGATACCCATCTGTCATCGCAGGGTCGAATGGCATGCGGATCGGTCGTGATTCATCGTTTTTCACTTTAATCATTTGTTATCATGGGAAAGGCGTTGGCGAATTTCCTTTCATTAATTCCTGAAATAATTACTCTTCGTGGTCAAGTTGACATCATTGGAACGCCGTGCTGCCATAGTCCTTGAGGGGGGCGTTATTGAATAAGCTTGAATTCTACTGTTTGAGCTATAATTTGCCGTGAACTGCTCGGTCCTATCCAACAAGTAATAGGTCGTTCACTTCGGAGGGTGCGTAGTAATGTAGACTGCTGATCCAACGCAGCAGCCAACCGATGCAACACGGTGCGCATCTAGGCGCCAGCAAGGCCTGACACGTCGCTCCATGAGGGTCTGGAGCCCAAAATATGGACCTCAGCGGCTAACGGGACGCCAACCTCAGGCAATCGAAGGGCCCCTCGAAGCGCTGACATGCAAAGCGGGGCATTTCGCAAGGCTGATCGATGCCGCAGCTGCAGGAGCTGAATGCTGGCGCATAACTATAAGCCGTATGGGTTCGAAGGCTACCTAAAAATGTCCGATTCCCATGGGTGCCATGCTTTCCCTACGCATCCGACTTGGATCTTTTCTCCTTGTCTTCCTCTCGAGATATGTTGTGGTATTTGAATTTCATCGTCCTTTTCCTGCTCCCCTCGGTCCAAGCAAACGACTGGGATGGTTTCACGGATAACCTTGCCACGGATTTGGTAAGTTAATCCCAGGTTTTGTGGAAATAATTGGTTAATACTGATTTAACTAGGCACCACTCATCTCCCTGTTCGGAGAACGACTCACAAAGCAATTTCTGTCGGAGTCAATCAGCGTCTTAGATAACTTCATCTTTGCCGTGTCGCCGCTGGGGATCCTGACGGCCGTTGTTTCAGTCATCCGCGTCTGCGGGAATTCGTCTCTACGAGCGTTCGTCGGACGAGCACAGGAAGGCCCCGGAGAAGCCGAGAACGAGCTTCTCTCGTGTGTGTCGGAGACCACGGCCGAGCTGTTCAATGACGGGGGTATCTCCCGAGTGATTGGCAGGCCTCGGATCCTCGAGGTAGTGGTGTGGGACGAGGAAGGGACCGAGATCAAAGAAGGCTCGCGGAAGATCGGGACGCTGCGAGATGCCCTGCAGCAGGATGCTTGGTTTGTAAAGAACGGGGAGAAGTTTCAAGATGAGAAGGGGTATCCCCTGGAACTTAACATTCCCAATCTGTCCCTTAATAAGGGAATTGCGAGAAGGAGTCAGGGCTGGTTCTACTGTGCTGCGGTCCTGGGGTTCGTACTACAGGCAGGTACGACTTTTACGTCTTCTTGCTGCTAGATGACTTGCTGATGTATAACCAACAGGGGTGCTTGTATATGCTGGTCTTACTGTTTTCCTTTATCCCGATAACTTCGAGAAAGATGACGAGCCGGTTCCGACTTATGCGTTCCCGCTCTTTTTATTTGGGACGGTATTCCTCTGCACGGGGATGTTTCTCTGTGCCTTCATGATTGAGCGCTCATCGACCGAATTCTACCTCTATCCGACAAAGCCAAGCAAGATTTACTGGCTGCAACCTGGCAAGCAGGATGTTGGGCACCAGGTTTTTGGTTCCTTCCTTGGAGTAAGCGAGGGCGAAGATCTGAGTTACATAAAATCAATACGGAGCCGAGGAGACAACAGCAAGGGCCCTCTACTTGTGATAACTATAGCCATCACGATGGTTGGATTCGTGGTTCAGTTCGTCGGTCTCCGCGGCCTACACGCTTCAGTCATCCTGGCACAGATGGGCTCAACGCTTCTGATGGCCATTGTCCGAACATGTCTTCGGACCAAACGGATCGGTCCAGATGAGAACCGGCTCGAGCAAAAAGAACGCCAACTGAATTCTTACAAACACCAAGAGTTGGACAGCTTTGCATTCCACCTTGAGGATGTTGAATCCTTCAGCCTTATCTCAACAGCTGCCAGCGGGCCGCTTCCGTCCCAATCATGTTCCTCGTCATCAGCTTCCTCCACTGGAAGTTCCACCCAACAGGCTGGAACAGGGAGTCAACTTGTACAAACGAGGGTTCGATTGGCCGAACTAACATCCAATACCGATGAGCATCCCGACAGGGCCTGGGAAGATCTTCCCATTCGACTAGCAGCAGAGAATCTGGCACAGACGATTGAAATGACCATGGATGTGGTTTCAAAGTGGAAGGCACTACCTAGCGATACCTTCAGCTTTGATCTGTCGCTCGTATGTCAGTCTCGCAAGAAGTTTGTTGCCCCTAAGGTGGAAACCTACTCGATTACATTACAGAGATCGGACGACACCTTCCAATGGCGGGTAAATGACCACGAACTGGAAGCAATTATCGGGCTGCGGGCATGGTCTCTATTAAAGGCCAATCCGAATTGGAATCAGAATGGACTCGACCGTCTTGTAGGGCTGAGTGATTCCGAGGCCAGAGCAGAGGAGACGGACCTATACTTCCGCAAGTGGATTTACCGCCACACTGAAGCCCGAATGGTTTCGTCTAAAACGGTATCCTTTCCCGAACAGATGTTCGGCTTTCCATCAGATGAATATCCAGATGACAAGGAAATTCTTGTTGTCAAAACTGACAATGGATTGGAGTCTATGATCGCTCAGGACATTTATATCCAATTTCTTAGCAGCGCGCTGGGAGATTTGAAAGAGCTTGGAGGCGAGGTGAACTTGCTTCCTGGGTCGCAGAGCGGGTTCCTTGCATATAGCAGCCGTCTTGACGAGCTTGTCTCCTGCTTTGAGTCCAGCGAGATGGGGTCGAGAGAAGATGCGCTAATATGTATAGTACCCGTTTTAAAACATCAGGATCTCTTGCCTCAGCTCGCTGGAGACTCGGGGTTCATAAGAGCGCGTATAGATGAGCTGATATCTAACAGCAACTGGACCGAGGCCTTCGCAACACTAAAGTGGATCTGTGAGCGCTGTGAAGGAGCCGAATTTGAGCATTCTCTATCTGAGCTAGGCTATCTTTGCCGACGGGCAATGGTTCATGTCGAAGCCAGCATTCAATCCGAAGGATTCAAGCATGTATTGCTAGTTATGGAGGGCGACCCAAGAACGAGTTTTGTCAAGACTGCAAGACTGTCCCGTCGTGATAATTGGATGTCCAACCGGCCTGAGGCTTGGGAGGCACTTTCTTCGCAACTAGGATGGATGGCATGGCATATCGCTCAAAGGCACTGCGACAAGCAATCCATACAGAATGGTTTGGAATCACTCGGGGTACATGGGCAGTCGATACCATCAGGGGAAGCCAATAATAGCATCGACCAAGGAGCGCGAGGACAACAAATTCTTCTGCAATGGTTGACCTACAACGACGATAAGCTGTTCAACCGGGAGCTTCTAGGGATAGATGATAGACTGGCATTAGACTGGGTATGCCAAAACGGCCACTATGCATTGATGAACTGGCTCGTTGCAAGATGGGTTCAGTTTGAAGGGCGGTACCCCGGGTTCGTCTACCAAGTTCTTCTTTGGGCTGCTGAAGGGAGGTACCGACCAGTGATGGCTTCACTCCGTCGCCGTGGAATGAGCATTGACATGCTAGATCACCCAGACGGCGTGACTGCGCTTATGAACAAGATCGCGGTCGCCGATCGGACGGCGGTTCGCGAACTGCTCGAGGCCGGGGCGGATGTCAATGGAAGGGATGCACGCGGAGCAACACCTTTAATGACTGCTAGTCATGTTGGAGATCTCGAAACCGTTCGCCTGCTCTTACGCAAGGGAGCCACCGTTAATGCCCAAGATCTCGGTGGACTCACTCCTCTAGTATGGTCTACCGCCGGAAAGCATGTGGCCATTGCGCAGACGCTCCTGGAGCACGGCGCCCATGTCAATTTGGGTAGTTTTGGTGGCAGCACACCGTTGATCTCAGCTGCGACAGAGAACCACGCAGAGATGGTGAAGCTCCTCCTCTCCCACGGAGCCCATGTGGATGCGCAGACCGGAGATGGCTGCACTGCGCTAATGCTGGCCGCACGCAGTCATTGCACCGAGGCCATGAAGGTGCTGCTGGATCACGGAGCCGATATCCATGAGCGCAACTGGGGAGGACCTACGGCCCTTGACTGGGCACGGGAGGTGTACCACCTGGACGGAGTGCGACTCCTGGAGGCCGCATTGGCACGAGAATCGGGAGTATAGCGAAGCCAAGTGGCCAAGGGACGGTGTCGAGCGAATGGACGGCCAGAATCGCGCGGGCCGCTGCTATTAATATTCTACCCCGCTTCCCGCCTGTCGATTGGCCGGGGCTTTGCTGCAGCTGCCATCACAGACTAACTCGCTCTAAGCGCCGACTTGCCTCGCTCATGCAATCACATTGCACCGGCTGCCCCCTCGGCGCCTACAGATCCCACAGCATGCGGCGTCCGACCACTGTCGCATCCAATGTGCCTCGCAGGATGGGGTTTTTCTCTCTCCTTCCCCGCTGCGCCGGGAAGAGCTACTTTGGAGATTGAGCATCTATATATAGCCTGTTTGGACACTCCATTTGAGTCGCTTTCCAACTCAGTTTCAATTCTTTTTCCCGCTATAAATTGCCATCGATTGAAGTCTACAAGAATAGACAATAGTCTCTTCCTACACGAGAGCTTTGTCGGCGTGATTAGCACCACCAAAAGATCGGACAGAAAGATTTATAGAAAGCCCTAAACAATGTCAACAGCTTTCCCTCCGCCAAACCAGGAAACTCCATTTCCTCGTGAGTCTCTTCTCTTCTCTTCTCTTCATCCTATACTCCTGGTTTGGTGCATGTAACTAACACAACCGTGCGAAACCAGCCCCGGCGCATTCCGCAAGTACTGTACCACCTGCTTCATTCCTTGCGAGCACCCTGTCTTACAAAATATAGCGTTCCCGGCCCCTCAAAGTTCGCCGGCATTTCCACCCCCGAACTTCAGCTACCCCCCTCCTCCGAAGCAGCAGCCCGCAAGCCCGCCCCCGTCAGACATCAACAATGCAGTATATAACGCCAACCCCGGGACCAACAGCCCCTTTGTCCAGCCGACCTCCGTATCCCCGCCCCCTCAGTCCCCGCCTCTGCCCGTGCAGCAACCACAAAGAGCATCTACCATGCCAGTGCAGTACAGCCCGGTGCAGTACAGCCCGGTCCAAAACGTATCTAGTTCGGACGAGGTGGGCACATTCAATGGCGGAAGCTACAGAATCAGTCACAGAGACACCAACTCCATCCTCACCTTGCAACTGGCAGTGGGATGTCCTATTGAAGCCAAGCCTGGTAGGTCTATTTCCTGCTTCTTTCTGATAATTGCTGGGAGATAAATAGTTGACTCGGCTCATTAGGTGCGATGATTGCCATGTCTGATAAAATATCATTGCGCGGAAGCGTGAAATTCTCGCTGAAGAAAATGTTCGCCGGCGATATCACCCTGTCCACCTATACTGGACCCGGTGAGGTTCTCCTCGCCCCATCAACGCTAGGCGATATCATTGTGCTGCGCCTCTCGGGCTCCGACACCTGGAAGGTCGGCAAAGACGGCTTCCTAGCAGCAACCAGCGGCATCGAAAAGGACTATCAAAGCCAGGGTCTCACCAAGGGCGTCTTCTCGGGCGAGGGCTTCTTCGTCTACAAGATGACTGGTATCGGTCTTGTCTGGCTTCAGAGCTTTGGTGCTATTATCAAGAAAGATGTATGTATTGCCTGCCCCCAGACCCTTTTACTAGAAACAAGCTAACCCATATTTTGATCTAGATCGCCGAAGGCGAGACCTACTTCGTCGATAATGGTCACCTGGTGGCCTGGAACTGCAAATACAAGATCGAGCGAGTCGCCTCCGGCGGTATCATCTCCGGGATTAGTTCGGGAGAAGGTCTTGCCTGTCGTTTCATGGGCCCTGGAACGGTCTACTTGCAGACGAGAAACGTGGGTACCTTTGCGGCCCATATCGGGGCCCATACGGCTAGTGGCTGAGGTATGGACATCTTATACAAACTTGATGACATTTTCTTCTTTTTCTTTCCCAGCAGTGTGTTTTTGTTTTCTTTTCTTTGCTTCTATTCTTGAGCCCTTTGTTGGTTATATTCCCCTCAAGCTCCTGGTGACCTTGTGAGCGAAGCATATTATACCTATTCCAGACTGGGAGGCAGTCGTATATTAGCTGCGATTTAAATGTATGCTATAGCTTTTGGTTGTTCTATCCCAGATTAAAGATTTGCTTCAAACCTAAGTAGATGTGATCCGACGCAAGACCACGGTCCAAACGGTCCTTAACTGCCTACTCCGTACGAGGACGCAATTGAGTACAATGCCTACTCAACACAGAAAGCAAAATGGAAGTGACCACCAACAGTCATATACTTATCATGCCATGCTATAAATTTGTCTTCACATCGTCTCTTCTTAATGTCAAGGCCGAAGTCTTTTTTTCTCGTTCCCGTCCTCATCGTACCCCACACATGACACATCCTTTCATCTTCAATATAGACACTCACATAAAACGAGCTAAAGATAAAACGAAAACGAAGCGAAATCTTTGTACGAGATCAGAGGATGAGGGAGAAAGAAAAAAGAAAAATCGTAAACGGCCAAAAGGTACTGGAAATAATACGGAATAATGACCACCGGGCTCCTTGCAATTTTCTTCCCCAAGAAACATACAGCCACAATAACACCGTTCGTCTCTTTTTCTCCCATTTAACCCTGTCTCTTTCTGCGGCCGACTTGTCCACGGAAACCGGTCTTGATGGCGGCGACCGAACGACGAGATCCACACGAGTTGCAGGTAACGAAGTACAGACGGTTCTCACCCTTGTTGAGTTCGGTGTCGGGGCTGCGGCAGGTTTTGCAGGTGACGTATTCGACTATTGCGGGTTAGATGATCGGGTAAACCATAGAAAACCGAAGAATGGGGAAAGAAGACATACCGATGTATCGTCGCAGAACGTTCTCAATCTGCTTCTGCTGGAAACGACCCTTGATAACCAGACGTCGGCTACCGTCCACACTGCCACTGGTACCCAATTCGGCGAACAAGAACTGCATGACGTGGTCGTCGGAACGCTTCATACGCTTGCAGATGTCGGAGATGTTGGCGAAGATGGTACGACGGTTACCTTCACGCAGACACTGGGGCGGGGGGATCTTGTAGGACTTGGCGCCGCTCGACAGCAGATCGGGGTGGTGGCTCTGGATGAGGGAGAAGAATCGCGAGACCAGCAGCGAGTAGGGGATGGCTTGCGATGCGTCGTGGGCCCAGATGCCCGTTCCGGCCTCGTGATCGCCCTCGGGCACCTCCTCCTCCTTCTCCTCGCCAGCCTCGGCGGTAGCGCCGGCCTCGGCCAGCTTAGCCTCGAAATCGCCGGTGTCCTTCTTGGGCTTCTTCTTCTTCTTCTTCAGGGCCGTGGGGTCGAATTCGCCGTCGGCGGCGGGGCTGGCCTCGTCGCCTTCTCCGCCCTCGGACTCCTTGGGCTTCTTGGACTTCTTCTTTTTCGACAGGCCCTTGAACATCTCGGTGACCTCATCGACGGACTTGTCGGCCGGAGCTGCATGAGGAGAAGCGGGAAAATTTTAGCACTTGGTGGACGCAATGATGATCGGGTAGTGATGGAACCGGGGATTGAGGCTCCTCCTGGCGGTGGTGCGGGATGATGAAAGGAACTAAAGAATGGAATGAAAACATACCCTCAGCCTCCGTGGTAGGCTTCTCGACCTGAGGGGCCTCTGTGACTTCACCGTTGGTATCCATGATGACTGCGCCTTCGCTGAATGCGACGGACTTGCGTTGTTTCGGTTCAACCTGGCCCCGCCAGAGATTAGCGGTGGAGGATTAAAAAAGAAATGGAAAAAAGTCGAGACCCAAAGAACGGTCTAGACAAGAGTGATATCCCACGTTGAACTGGGGAGACAGCAGAAGCACAACTCTCACAGCGCGGGGAAAAGGGAGATAAAGCACAGGAGTTTGGGCGGAAAGGTAACTTAAAGGTGAAATGTTGAAGAAAATGTGGGAGGGCACATCGGTAAAGGGAAAACAGGGTGTTTGTGACGTACAGTCTCCGCCATATTGGCAGTCTCGCAGGAAATCAGGGGTAGAAACACGCCACGAAACCGGACTAGAGCGACTCAACTGACTGGGTCGACGGCGCTTCTGAAGAGGGAGCAGAGGGATGCTTTTTGCTTGTCCGCCGCGAGCCAGACTTGCGATTCAGAGGCTGCGATGGCGACCTGTTATCGGGCACGTGACCCCTCTGACTCAAGCGTATCGTCGTACCGGTACGGTAACTCAGGCCGCCAGGCTCCATATCGGCACGTGATGCACCTCGCCTGATCGGGAAGTCACCGGGTCCGTCCAGTGACTGATTACGTCAGACGCCTGCCGTCCACCTCGTCTGTTTGTACTTCGTAGTTTGGACTCGCCTCGATCCCGCATTCCATCCTCGTCCAAGCGGTAGGCAGGCCACTGCTTGATTCCATCTGACTCCCTCCGCCCAACATCGGTCCAGAACCACAACCCGACCAACCCAACCCAACCCAACCCAGCCTCTCCACCATGTCCTTCCCATCCCCCTCCGCCTCCAACCCGTCCCTCACCACCTCCGCCTACATGGTCTCCTCGCGGGACCACTACTCCGACGAAGATGTCGCCTCTCTCCCCTCCGAATCCACCTCTGCCTCAGATCTCGACTCCCTCTCAGACGACTACTCCGACGCCGAAGAAGAATGGCGCGAAAGCATCGAGCAATTGGAGCTCCTCCTGACCATGGTCCTGGTTCCGTTCGTGGGGAAGTACTTCGGGAGGAAATGTGCTTATTGGGGTACGCATATTCACAGTGGAAGGTTTGATGAAGACTGATTTGCTGACCCTGCATGACCAGGCTGGACCAGATTCATGGAATGGAAATACCCCGTCGAAGTGGTGATGAAGAACCCATCGGAATATAAGGCAACGGGAGTCCTTGCGTCGCTATGAGCTGGATACCTCCCACCAAAATATCACGGACTCTGCGCCCTTTCCAGAGACAGCGAGAGGTTTATATATTCGTCATTCCTAGGTTTCTTTCTCCTGTGCATGAGCCATTTCCGTTCCTGTGATCCATACATAATGATACCCACCCCCGCCTTCTCCGTCGGAGGGCGATGATAAACCTCCTTGTCTTCTTGGTTGCCTCTCCCCCTACCTCTCTGGTTTGCTGCTGGCCAGTTAGTGTCAACTGCCTGCGATATCTTTAACAGATTGTGATCTAGAGGCCCTGGCTTATCTGGGTGCACCGTCGAGGACTTCAAGGGCCAGGTTCGCATCGGGAACATTGCAGATACTTGGCCGCCCAACAAGTTCCTGGTTCGAGGACAAAAATGCTGGTTAACTTGATTTTGTTTAGCAATAGAGCGTACTATGGGATACAGCTATACCTAATTCAACATTATTGAATAGAATCAAGACTATATATGAGAACGCTGACATGGACTTGACAAACTATAAGCACGACATATACTATGATTTGACATAATCTCGAAAGAAACAAAAGCCTGCAGCCATACTCATAAGTTCAGATCACTAAGATTCGAGGCTCTCGATATGCTTGCGAACCCCAACCCGCAGCCCAGAACATCATAGTCTGATGCCAGCACCACCCCCGGCCTGTCCTCAGCATGAATGTCCTCTTGTGTCCCGCCCCTTGGGGACTCTATCGTCCGTGTATCCTCTCGTTCTGTCGAGGTCTCATCATGGGACTGAATCTTCACCACCGACCACAACCCAGAGGAGATGGAAGACCGGGCCTGACGGACTAGTTCGTCCGAAGTGGTCGAATCGACCCGCGGGACAAGGCTGGTGCTGTGATTCTACATTAAACGCCGTCAGCAATTAATCTTCTGTTTGCGGAGTCGGGGGATCCGATATATCGGCCAGCGTAGCTGTTACTACCGAGAATGTCTTGATCGCAGCTGGTACCACAAAGTTGGTAATCCAGGGCACGTAAAATAATTTGAAATACTCTATCAAAGAGTTCATCGTGCGAAGGGCCATGTATATGCCCGCGACGTTGCCGAATTCCACCGTTATCTCGGCAATATCCTCAATACACTAGAAAATGCAGGTTTAGCAAGAGACTGACGTATTTCTAGACAGCTGATAAGCAGGAAAATGGGGAAGAAGAATGCTTACCAGTTTCTCTTCATCGTCCACGAGCATCGAATAGGCAGCGGAGACAGTCCATGTATCATTCACGATCTTCAATCCGATACTTGCCGGCGCGGGATGTTGATCGAAATCCAATTTGATATATCGACACAAACGTTTCATGTGAAGTACCGTTGCCGCATGCCAGGCATTGATGTGCAAGTCAGCGTCCGCCCGAATCATCTCCCCTTCTCCCTCTCGGACGACAACCCCACAGCATATGGGAGCAAAAGACAGGATTTTGCTGTGAATAGGGTTGAGCGGGAGCCGAGACCGGGTCAGTTGCTTGTACAGATCGATCAATGTCTTGTGGTGCGTGCCCTCCAGTCTGTTCATGAAGGTGAAATCGGCGGTTCGATTGATGGGTTTCTTATCCACCAACCGAGGCTTGTATAGCTCGTGGACTTGGAACTCCCCACTGGAAACATGATCAGCACCGTTGCAGTTAGCCACTGGCGAGATCATCAGGGGACTTACATCTCGAAGGGTAAAATATCGTCGTACTGTTCGCACATCTTGCGCATGATCTTATACATGATATCTCGGCGTCTCTTGCTGTCCGGCAGGAACGATCTATGCAGCGCTTGCGCCTGAAGATACTGCAGGATCATGTTCTCATCGGCCAGATGAGTTTGAAGCTGGCCTCTGAACAGATCACTGGTGGATTTCCCTTTGTGCCATTCCCCCAGGTGCTGCGTTTCAATCACGGAGATGAGCCTTCTAGAACCGAGATGGCTTCAAGGGGCAGGGCAGGGAGTACTTACTAGCAGGATTTCCGGACAGTAGGCATTGTTGATGACGCTCTCCATCGCATGTCGAAGATCCCAAATGAGTGGAGGTCTCGACCGTGAGTGTCTCGTAACATCTGGCGTGAGGATATTCAAGGGCTTTGCGGTGGCTAAGCCGGTCAAGTCAGTGTGCAACGCAAGATTGGTCACGTTCATGGCCCATTGGGACGGCGTGAGACTTGGGTCAGCGCATTTCGAAACGAGACGTTTGGTCGGCTCGCTCATTGCGGTATCATCAGATGATGACCGTGATGATCTAGGTTTGGGCTTGGGTTTTGGGGGCATCTTGGATGTGACAAGACGATGAAGGAGATTCCTTCCTAGAAGATAAAGAGATAAAAATTCAGAAAATTCCAAAAAGAATACTCAATGATAAATTCTACGGCAGCTACGAAGACTCGCGGGTGAGGTAGTTATCTTATATGTCACTCTTCCATCCTTTATTTCTCCCAAGACAAGGAAGGGCCATCAACAATAGGCAGAAAGGGCGGATACAAAGAACAAAGAGCACATTGTTGCCAAGAGGTACTTTGGCAAGCCTCGAGGCTAATAATGACACGAGAGAAATCATTTGATCCAAGTGGCAGGAAACTGACAGCTGTCTCAGCCATGCTGCAGGTTAGAAACAGCGGTGGCCGTGATAGACGTCCACTAGCATCCCGGTACCATGGTCCTGGAAGATGGGTCTTTCGGTCATTGCATCTTGACCCACTTTGAAAGAGCAACTCATCACTAACATGCACTGTGAACGACCTTTATTGGATGGGGAAAGCGAGAGAAACCCCAGGAACCTGCGGAATGGTGAATTTCTCCGCATTGAGGGGATATCGAGCCCTAAGTTAGTAGGTGCTGCTTCTAACGTTACATTGCTTCTTGGATTTACCATGCCACTATCATTATGCAGTAGGAAGGACTGATTAGTCCACTATACTCTTGGCTTACCACTCTGTCGGGGTAGCTTGATTCCCACATGATTGTGTGAAAGAAACATCACGGGCTTCCCCGATCATCCTTCCTGACTCTTTGTGCAGCCTTACAATGCACATTATGGCAATTGACAATAAAAGCTCAACAAAGACGATTGTTTTTCAAGTACCATCATTATGGCGAGGAAGAAGTACAGCCCAGATTTCTTTGTTTAGCACAATAAACGAAAATAGCAAAGCATAGTTAATAAAAACGCAGAGAAAGAAACCCTTCTGACCGGAAGATCGGGTCACCACCGAGCGAGTACGTAACAGCACACGCAGGCAACTCTAGGCAGACATACCCGGCTGGTTGGGTACTGGTGCGCTAAATTCACGCTGCAGCTTTATCCCTGTTGACGGGTGAACTGGTTTTGAATCTATCTTCGGCCGGACGGGATTTGATTTCGGACAAGGATCTATAGCCTTGATTTCGGGCCAAGTGGTTAGGTCTGTGGTACTTTTGGAAGAGGAACCTGAGAAATCCGATTACACAGTCACGATCGAACCCAAAAAGACATTAGGCTACTAGCCGTTCTGGTAGCCTCGAGCAAATACCAATGGAGATCAATGCACCGAAAGTTACCACCAACATGGGACGAGTGGGGCTTATGGCTGCAGTTGTCGGAACGCACTAAATCATGACTAGGGCAACAACCATCGGTAGTATAAAAAGCAATATATGGAAGCATTCCCGTGTTGGTTGTGTCGCTGAGCGCATCCAACCTGCAAGTGGCGTCGTTCACGTTCACACTGGGCGAGTCGCAAAAAAGAGTTGGCATCTGCCCAAGTCTGGATTAGATGGCTTTGACGTATCCATTCCCTTGGGACCAGGAGTACCCATCCGTTGTAGACAAGTTGTTGTACAGCAATACCTCTCATTTGGCGATAATGACTGTATATACAGCATAGATGATAGTAGCCTCTCCAAATCAATCATCTATATATGCAGAGAATATGCTTTGAGCCCGTGCTGGAAAAGGGCTCAGAACAAAATAGCCAGCGTCGGGCTAGTACAACTTATTTTGTCGCCAAAACCCTTTTAACCCGTGGAGGAACTCCTCTTCTGGCCCTAGTACATCTGCAGTCTGCTGGCCAGAGCGTCCCTGCCGCCATGCTGGAAACTGCCTTGTGTAGTATTCCATTTCCTGTGGATTTCGTGTACAGGGTTGTTGACCATTCCCGCGAGCGCATGTTTCCTCATTAGATTCTTGACGACCGAAATTGGGCTGCGCGGATTTGTATTGCGCGGCTCCCGAGAAGAATGTTGGGAAGAGCGAGCATCCCTTGTCCGAAATGCCCCAAGGCTGATGGCCTTGCTGTATTAGGTCGACAGCCTCATTTTCACGCATCAGGGCGTCCTCCGTTAATCCTATTCTTCCGTCATCGGGGGCTTCATCTATAGAGCCCTTATCCGAGTCGACTATCATGTCATATGCTGCGTCTAGAGCATGAAGGTCAAGATCCTCGTCTTTATCCACTATTAGATCATTTTCTGTTGTGTTCAAGACCAATGGCTCGTCGTATTTCCAGTCCATTTCAGTGTCATAATTCTGACAACTATCTCCAGCGTAGATTGCGGGATGCTCATGGTTAATTAGCTCTGCAAAATTGGCAGAAGCGGTCAATTCTTGGTCAAAATCCATGAAGTCATGGCATTCTTCGTCGCCTCTAGGGCTCCAACATGGACACTCCTGTTCAAGTTTCTCACTCCCATCTTTGTCGATTTTGTGAAAGATTTCTGGGGCAGTAAATGCCATGTCCTCATAACTGGGCTCGACGGTCTGAATTACTTCTATCCGGTCATTTCGGCTTTGAGTTTCCACCTTGCTAGCCTGCTGCAGTGTGATTGTATTCGACTTGATAGACCGAGAATGCTTGCAATTTGGTTGTTCTTGGCTGTTCAAGTGCCATGATTTTATTCGCTCCTCCAGTAAATCCTTCAGGTCTTCTAGAGTCCAGTACTTCCTTGTTGGTCCCACTTCAGATACTACCTCACTCATTTCCCAGGAACTGAAATCAAAATATAAGAGTCGCTTTGTGTATGTTTCCAAAGACACTTCCGGACTCTCTTCTGATTGCTCATTCCCGATCCGGTTGTTAGCTGACGAGAAGTAAACTGGTTCTCCAAATCTGCTCTCTGTTGATAGATTATGTGAAGTATGATTTGTCACTGGCTTCTCGGGGACCTCGGCCATGATCTGCTTTTCTGGGTCTTCTGTGCGGCCCCGCTGGGTTGTAGACAATTGTTGGTGATTCGAAAGTGAGCTTCGAGACAGAAAATTGACTTCTGAAAACACCTCAGGAACTAGATATAGAATAAAATAAGCCTTGCAATCAAAATGGACCGATTAGCTTTACATGGTTTCACACCTTGACGAGACTTTATGGGAGCCGATGACTTCCCTTTCTTGAATATACCCATGTCCAAGGATTGACGGAGCTAACGCAGAGTCAGTGCAAGTTCCCGATCGCCCAAACCTCAACTCATACAGTTAATCTGTTTACCGGTACATTTGAAGCATGGAAATAGTCATTGATTGTATGCTTTCGAATGCGATTCGCAGCCTTCTTCTTTTCCTTTGACCTCGACATATCTTTTTGCCGGCTCCCTTTTCCCTTGTACTCGTAGCGATCCTCTTTCGTTTTGTGTCGTGCCCTACGACCGTAGTAGCATTTTGCTAGTTCAAGGTCAGACTGCGTTCTTCGGTTCGACTTTTTCGTGTCAGGAATGGAAAGGTCAGCGTCGGCATCGTTTGCCCTGAATACTGATATCGATCCAAATGAGTCTTTTTGAGCTTGCAATTATTAAAATATGTGGAAAACACACCTTTGGGAATTCGAGTGTGAGCAAGAGAATTGTCAGGAAATGCGCCTTCCGGAGTGTTGTTGTCTCTTGGGCCGTCCGTCGTTCTCGACAGCCATTCTTGAATGTGATGCCGCGTTTGTGAATCCATATGGGAAGTAGATGGTGAATAGAGAGGGGACGCAAGATACGGAGGAGCCCTTGACTGATGTTCAGAGAAGGTTGAAGGGTTTACTGCAAGAAGTATGATCCATGGGCAGCGTCCTTTCCGACGGTGATTGTGACATCAGAGCAGGGTAAGTAAACTTCTCCCTTCCGATTTGGGCAGCTGCCTCATGGAAAGAATAGCGCATTAAACTAATTCACATTATCCCGTCAAATTAATGCTCACTAAGATATAGGCACATACACTCTATACATGCTGCAATAACAACACAGATTAATCCCGTTGCCTTTCGAGTCGTCTGCTTTCCTTCGATCGCCAGTTCCGTTTTTAAACACGATAAGAGCAAACAAATTAGACACATTTGAACTTTCCCTGTTGGATCAGAACCGATTGTATTTGCAACGAACACAGGCGCGTATTCCGCAAAGTGGACAAAGCAGTATGAAATAGGGCAGCTCTTCCAGGCAGTGCTCACACTCATATACCCCGTCGAGGCGAGTCCAATCGTCTTCATGGTCACAGCTCTCACGCTGCCGAAGATACCGGGCTACTCTCTGAACTTCGGCTTGAGGTGGTGGCCCAGGCTGGTCTCGCCCAACAAGAACCTGGGCTCTGTGAACCAATCTTTCCTCATCCCATAGTTCACATCGACAACGCCGCCATGGAGTACCACAAATATAGCAAAATTCGAAGCGGCAACGGCATCTATGGACGTTAAGAATTCATGTTAGATAGGCGCGGAGATCTTAATGCAGTGTATGTATGGACTTACGTTATATGATTGCAGCCATCCTTGAGTTCGACAAGGTTCCGACATCCAGGGCAACGCCGCCACCCTTCTTGTTCCGCCAGGACCAGGACCTCGGAGTCTTCTGCAGGGCATGGGCATTGGGGGTGTTCGGCCTTCTTGCAAAGAGTACAAGTCTTTTGCGCGCAGGTGTTGCAAGTTCCAACGTAGAAAGCCACCTGGGCTGGAAAGATATACTGCGCACATTGTGGGTTGGAACAATAGGTCCGATAGGGATCGTTTCGCTCAATGGACTTCTCGTCATAGCGGTTGGCGATATCAAGCCCAAGGATCTGTCGCACAGCTGACACCGGGAATGCAAGACGACAGCAGCGAGGCGGAAAGAGTGACTCGTCCACAAAAGAATGTTCGATCAAATGAGTTGCGCAACCTCGGCAATAGATGTGTCCACAAGGTGCCTCCATCAGCTGCGGTGAAGGAAAAACTGCAGCACAAGACGCACATGGAAGTCTCCTCCAGTTTTCCGCAGGCTCCTGCAACTGGCAGTCGGAGGACGAGGTACCCGGGTCTAGAAACGAGCCTTGCGCATCGACTATAGTAGGTGGGTTCCCCACGAGGCCAGCCATGGCAGCATTTTCCTGCACCATCAATTGTTCCGGGTTCGGGACATCATGACCTTCGACGCGTAGGGCGGTTACTCTGTCTGCGAGCGCTCTTCTCTCCTCTTCGATTGCAATGGTCACTGCCACGCCGTCGTCCTGGACCGCATTGGATATACTGTGAGCCATCTGATGGTCAATGAGCGTGGCTAGGTACTGCTGGAGCTGCGCTTCCCACTCTCTAAGCGCAAGCTCTTGGTCACTGGGGAAGTTTCTCAGTTCTCCATTCTGGCTCGAGTTCTGCCTCTGTCTCAGAGTATCCTGTAGGTCACCCTGAACGATTTGAAGGATAAGTTCAGCACTGAGTGGATCCATTTTGGAGAACTCAATGGCATATGATGGAGAAACGCGCTCGTCGGAAGTCAATCAAGAAAGAAGTGAGAGAGAGTCGGAGAGGGAGTGATGAAAAAGAAGAGACGAGGACACACGGTGAAGAAGGAGGTGGGAGAGAAGCATTACTGTAATGGGAGATCGAGGGGCATGCGAGCCTGAGGTTGAACTCTTGCAAGCCATGCAAACGAAATGCAAACGATGAATTCACTGGACCTTTCCTTCCTGTCCCTTTCACATTCACCCACCGGGGAAAGTCCACTCTCTCTCCCCCAGAGAGACATCCAGGCCATTCATCATCGCATAGGAATATACCATGTCGAGGTGAGGCAGTAGTATCGATAGTGTTCTGGATAGTATAGAGAGAGACCCCCTGTCAGATACCCACCACTACGGCGACACTCCGGACCTCCAGTAATCCCACCCACAGCATCCAATCCCCTCGTACCGAAATCCCACCAGGGAAACCCTCGCCCGCACACGAAGGCAGCAAATGAGGGGGACCGGAGGTGCGCCATCGATGGGCTTAGTTTAGCGCCTCTCCAATCAGTCCAGCCAGTTCCATCTCGTCCTCCTGTTTCCAGCCCCCCCCGCCTTCAGCGCCTTTCTTCACTTTTTTCGTCCTTCCCCCATCTGATTGATTACTCCGGCGCCCATTTTTTAATTTCTTATTTTCCATTATTATTTGCTTTTTCCGCTATTATCCTTGAGGCCACACACACAAACCCACCGTCAGGCAATCCGGGTCTCGCCTTCGCCTTCTCCCCCCGCTTTATCTGCCGCATCCCACTTCCGTTGTCTCTCTCCCTGACGAGTTGACTTCCCCCCCATCTTGCAGCTGATTTTCCTCTGGATTTTCGCTGACAGGTCTAACGTTATTCTACTCTTCTGCACGTTGACTGGGTGGTTTTACCTAAAATGTAGGTGACCGCGAGCCTTCTGGCCGCAGAATCCGCTCCAGCAGCCTCATTCTGCAGTGGACTCGGACCACCCCCCCCCCCTGCCTCACTCGCTACCCACATTTCTATCCTTTTATTTTATTTGATTTATTTTTTCATCTCGTCGCTGATTCTTTCCAATACTGACCATCCTACCAGTCTCTCAACTTCATCTCCCAGACACTCGAGATGGCCAAACTATTTATTGGGTCGGTTCCTTGTGTTCATATGCTGCGCTTCGTTGCCATCTCACCCATCCGGCTTGAACTGAATCAATCGGCTGACTTTATTGTTCGTGTAGTGGCCTAGCATGGCACACCACTGACCAGACCCTACGTGAGGGCTTCGAAAAGTACGGCCAAGTCGAAGAAGCGGTCAGTCTTGCCCATCTACACCTCTTGATTGACCAGTGGCTCACAATAAACAGGTTGTCGTCAAAGATCACGACACCTTCCGCAGTCGAGGATTCGGCTTTGTCCGATTCGCCCAGGAGCAAGATGCAGAGACCGCCATGAATGCCATGAATAACCAGGAGTAAGCCATTCTGATGCATTGCTCTCAAAGTGGAATATTGACCAAATCTAGGTTTGATGGCCGCACCATCCGTGTCGATAAGGCCTCTGAGCGTCCCGGTGGTCGCAACAACGGTGGTGGCTACCATGGTCGTGGCGGTTACAACCGACCGGAGGGCAACGGAAATGGAGGGGGTTACCGTGGAGGATACGGTGAGTGCACGATGACCGATGATGCCAGCCGGCGTTTATTCTGATGTATTGCAGGCGGAGGAGGCTACGGTGGGGGATACGGAGGAGGTGGTGGAGGATATGGAGGTGGTGCTGGTGGTGCCGGTAAGTAGATACCCTTGTGTGGAGGGCTGCGCTCTCACTGCATTCTTTCCAAGGCTTCCCTATCTTCGAATTGGCCTCCCAACTAATTTCACATAGGCTGGCGCAACCCTCAGCAAGCCCCCACTAACCCCGGTGCTTAACATCCAACATGGGAAACTCACTCCGACTTTCGCTAATTTGATATCTTATTCGACCTATGAATATATGGCTATGAGACACGATCTGATGGAAATACTGGCCAGTTTGATTCTGGAGACACGCGATTCGTGGAATTATTGGTGCCCTTTTGCTACTCTGCTGCCTTGACTAGTGCCACGATAGTTTCTGTTTGATTTGCAGTGAACTTTTTCTCTCAGCTAGTAGTTTTGCTTTCAACTACCATCTGATACCACCCTGCGCTTATTCGTGCGAGCAGATAATATAAGATTGTTGCCAACCCTTTTTCGGCGTAGTTCCCTACAGAGTTGTATTATTTCAATCATCTATTCATCATCGCTTCCTGAGCCTATCTTGACCCACTCCAGGAACCGTGATTGTATGAGGGACACGGAGGAATGAGGGGAGGTGGGTTTCCTATTCGTTCCCGATATTCCGATGGGCTTCCTCCTCAGATCGACTAAGCGATTTCCTTAGATCTCTTTCAGCCGCATCTTCCGCTCTCGCTGCCTCCTCCGCCCCCTCGATCGCTTTCACTCGCCGAACCAGATCCGTGACATGCCCATCGGCGCTTCCAAGCCCTACGCTCTCGAGGGCCTTCTCCAGCAAATAAAGATACTCGGTGTTATTACCGCTCTGACCCCTGCCGCGACTGATCACTTCAGCCACATCCTGCGGCTCACGGCGAGCAGGGTCGCGCAGGAATTGCGGATTCGTTGGCTGGCCTATGTAGACCATGCAGGTGATCGGCTTAGACTCCGGCACATCGGTTGATCCAAAGGCATGGAATGGGGTGAAGTGCGCGGTGTAGCCGTCAATCTCGCGCTCATCAAGATAGTCGTGGACTTCTTCGGCGTGAGAGGCAGGGATATGATATGCCGCGCCCCAGACTCGGGATGTCGACGAGTCTGAGTTTTCCAAGTGCGCTAGCTAACGGGTTGTTAGCCACAATGATTCTCATTGCAGAGTTTTTGAATACCAAAGCGCACATACCGGGTCATCCAATGTCTCCCAGAACTCTCGCTCAATCACAGTCACCACACGACCAGGTACTTCTGGTGTGCCTCGGTGGTCAGTACTACAGAGGAGGCTGTCAGTATCAAGTTTGAACAAGCACAAATCAAATTCGACGAGTCCTCTAATATAACTAACCTGGCCTATGAACGGAGTCAGTCAGGCTTTGGACGTCTATTAGAAGGGGGATGAACAAACCTGCCAAAACCGCCGGACATAGCCATTGATATAACCGGGCACTCTTTGATCTACAAGAAACACGATAAATCAGCCGAGCCATACCAAGAGCGGACAAAGATATCCAATATACTCTCCATGCCCGTGGATTGGGGCTCGCGATGTTTAGTTTCAAGCCAGCTTGGACGTACCATAGTGTGGCGGGGGCTTCCAAATCAGGCTCCTATTGCGTACAATATTAGCTTTGTCTATATGATCCAGCCATGAGGACTAGTGGATCTTGACTTACCCATAACCAAAGACCCAGAGATCGCCGTCAGGGAAGTAGTTGCGCCATGTTCGGCCGTCTGCCTGATGGCTTCCGTTGCTTGGTACCATTCTGGAGATTTCGAATTAAACACAGAATGTTGCATAAAGGAATCGCAGAATCTATGGTTCTAAACAGATGCGTTTAAAAGCCGCGGCGTAGTATTCTATTTCCTCTAGAAACCCGATATGAAAAAGTCTCTCGGGGCCGAGAGAATTGGTAAGGACAGTATCGTATCCTAGAAGCCAAGAATCAGAGGCAACGGATGATCTTCCCGTCGGGCCAAATCAAACCTAACCTGCGAACCTCTGTCTTGGGGGAAACGTTGAACAGGGCCCCGCGATGGAGTCGAGCGTTTGTGTTGGTGTCAAAACGCTGACGATGATGATTCACCCCTCGAATGTTTGCACCGTTTGTTCCTCACGATATTGATGATTAATTCCTTCATGGCGGATCCAATCTTGACTTTCCAACTACTCCGGATGGCGCAAGTTGATGCAAGATCTGCCAAATCACCATCGCTATTTTGATTCCACTAGTATTGGTAGAAGATACATTCACTGTCTGTCTCAACATTTCAAGTTTATACACAAACACCTTGGTCTGAAGACCAGTTTGTCGTGGCTGTTTACTGTGCGACAGTGTTGGGCATACTTTTCGCGTTTGGCTTGTGATTTGTGAACGATCGGTTTGTCACCCGCAGGCAAAAGCCTGTGTCACCGTGAGAGACATGCCAATCCTAAATCATTAATGGCCACTTCGTATTGATCGAGTTGCGTGCAGAATCCTTCTCCGAGTCTCCAAATTAATTGCCCGGGAGGTTTCAGCGGGGTGCCGAGACACCGGAGGCGGGCCCCAACAGTCAACCACGCCAGGTTGGCCAACTGCGTCGCTTCCTCGGGCTTATCCAGTGGAGCGCAGTATGACCGACTGAAATTCTGGCCTCACGGGATACGAATCCAAATTTCAATACGTCAGGGTCTGGTTAGTTCCGAGACTAAGCAGGTCGGGCAAAACTCCACCTATTGGCCATTGGCATTCCATCGTTTAGCCAATTACCAATTGAGCAACTTTTCTATACGCATACGAAAGCTTCGTCTTCTTTTCCCTTTTCGTTTTCGTATCCGTTCCTCATCATGGCCGGCATTTTTCGTCTGCTCCGAACGCAGTACACTCCCCCGACAGACCCAGTACGGGTAGGGGCATCCTTTGCCGGTAAAACCGTGATTCTGACCGGCGCAACGACGGGTCTAGGGTTTGAGGCCGCTATAAAATTCCTCAACCTCGGCGTGGAGTCCTTGATCATAGGGAGTCGCAACCTCCAACGAGGCCAGGCAACCAAAGCAGTGTTGGAGGAACGCACTGGCCGACGAGATGTGGTTCAGGTCTGGGAGCTGGAGATGAACAGCTTCCAAAGTGTTAAGGATTTTGCGAGTCGCGTCAATAAGGAGATCAAACAGTTGGACATTGCACTGCTCAATGCCGGCCTATGGAATCGAGAATATACCGTATCGCGCGAAGGGTGGGAAGAGACACTGCAGGTTAACACACTATCCACTTCACTGCTGGCGCTTTTACTCCTGCCGAAACTGAGAGACAGTTCGTCCACGTCGAACCCGGCGCAACTGACCGTGGTGTCCAGTCAACAGTTTATCCGAGTCAAGGCAGCAACCCTTCGCACGAACGGACCACTGTTAGAGAACCTGAATAATTCGGAGCAGTTTGTCGGCCCAAAACAATACGGCGCTTCGAAACTTCTTCTCGAGTACGTGCTGAAAACTGTCGCGAGCCGGATCCGAAATGAAAACGGAACCCTTCCGGTCATCATTAAAACCGTCAGCCCGGGGTTCTGCGTGTCGTCACTAGGGCGGCAATATAAACGATTCTATGAGCGATGGCTGGTCTGGTTGGCGCAGAAGCTATTTGCGCGCACGACGGAGCAGGGGAGCCGCTCGCTAGTCAGTGCCACTTATCAGGGCGCCGAGTCGCATGGGAAATGCTGGCGCAGCGATGGATATCTAGAGTAGGTTTTTCCTCCGTGTCTTTTCTTTCCCGCGCGCTCTTTTTAGTGCCTGTGCCCCCCACATCGTGCTAATAATGGTCGCCAGTGAATCGACCGCTTTGACGGTGGGCGCAGAAGGAAAGCAATTCCAGGAGAAGGCATGGGTGGAAATCATGGAGGTTTTAAAGGAGCAGTCGGAAGGCATTGATGAGCCCTTTTAAAGCGCAGAGGGTGTTTGCGACCGGTTGATACTAAGTAAATGGGTGCGTCATGGGGATAAATATAGCACGGCTCCACCCGCGAGAGAAACCTCAGATACCAAAACCATTGCTCTCAAGGAACCCGTGGGCCAAACAAATCAGCGAACAGAGCACCTGGCAGGGCTGACAGGCAGGGTTGTGCCCCTCCTCGTAGCGCCCTCGACGGACTGTTAACATGAGGAATATTTGAAACGTCTCCCTGCTTAGCTCTTGTCCCTGTAGCATTGTTCACAGCGACGATGATTATTTCTGGTTTATTATTTTATCTCTTGGCGGGCGCTGGAAAGCAAAATCACTCGCCCCACGGCTCCGCTTTCAACTGCGAAATGATGGACACTTGACTCCCCTCCTCCTGAACTCCTGACCATTCGCTTCCTTTCATATTTCGACGGCTCCTCTGCTCGTTTGTTTCTTCCTTCCCCAAGATCTCCCACTGACCCCATAAAAGGGGGACTTTTCTGGCTTTCTTTGACCTCCTTGTCACCCCTCCATCTGTTACGTCAGCTGTCACGGCCATGGCTTACAACAAATCCTACAACCCAGATGCGCTGCCTGCGTAAGTCCAGTCTACCTGGTCTGAACGAGAAATAGAGGAGGTGCTGCATCATGCGAGATCTGCGCTAACTTTTCATGAACCGAACCAGACATGCAGAGCCTGAACAGGTACGGTACAAGGAATTCCGACTCGCAGTGGTTCTGACCGCGTTGATTCACCAACTGACAAGATGACATCTTGACCATTAGGTAGCTCAGATGATCGGTGCCATGCAAGTTGGTCCCTCTCAACAACAGAAACCCCAACGGCCGTCTCCCAATCCCTCCTCCAGCGGCGTCCCGCCTCGAGTCCCCGTGTCCGGCGCCCCAAACGCCCAATTTCAGTCTGCGCTAGCCTCGCGTCCTCCAGTGCAAGCTCAGCATCCCTACAATAACAATAAGCCGCTACCCGCGGGTCCTCAGCAGAATCACCATCAAACGCATCCATTGCATCCGTCGCCGCCTCCTCAGAACTACGGGTTCGGCCCTCCCCCGTCCCAGCCAGTGCGCAATCGCCCGCAACCGACGTCGCGTCCTCCTCGATCGCCCAATCCACCTCCGTTGGGTGTCCCCGACGATGATCCGCAGCAACTGTTCCCATTATTTCGCGCCGCCAACTCGTCGCACTCCGGGGCGCTCACCGAGATGGAGCTGGGCTCCGCTCTGGTCAATGGGGACTACACCTCGTTTCATCCACGAACCGTCAAGATGATGATCCGCATGTTCGACCGTAATAGCAGCGGAACCATATCCTTTGACGAGTTCGTATCACTGTGGCGCTACCTGGCCGCTTGGCGCGAGCTTTTTGACCGGTTCGACGTTGATCGCAGCGGTCGCATCAGTTTGCAGGAGTTCGAGAATGCTTTAAGCGCCTTCGGATACCGCCTGAGCCAGCCGTTTGTCACGGTGTTGTTCACCACGTTCGAGGCTAAAGGGCGGCAGATGAACGGGCCTCCCAAGGGTCCGCCTTCGACGGGCATGAGCTTCGACTTGTTCGTGCAGGCGTGCATCAGTCTGAGGCGCATGACGGATGCATTCAAACGTTATGATGACGACCGGGATGGCTATATTACCGTGAGCTTCGAGGAGTTTTTGACGGGTAAGTCGATCTTCTGCTGGGAGGGTAGAGAACCGCGGTGGCTGACTTGATGAACAGAGATTCTTCAGTTACAAGATTAGAGGATGGGTTGGAATATTTCGACTCTTATTGATTGGCATTTCTTTTGTGTTTTTTCTCTCTTTCTTTCTTATGTTGACTGCATACGCTGATGTTTATGTGATATTCCCCCATTATACCCTTTCCCTCAAAATATCATTATTCAGGAGTCAGGGATGCAGGACCGAAAAGTAGGTTTTTGATTTGGGACTGTTTACCGTTTGTAGCATTACTGTATACTACATGAAGACCTGCGAGTCATTGTTGTTCGACTGTTGCCAGTAGAATCTTGGAGGTGTGTGGCCTCAGGCTTGACCTCGACCGTTTAAATCTCCGAGTTTCCTTCAGTCCTGCAAGGAATCTCGGCCTGATTCATTACATCGACTACGTAATTCTGGTTACCCCTGCATTTGTCAGGCTTTCGATATGATATGCCCTGCTGGGATCACAAGAACACTTTGCTCTCTAGTGTCGGCTATTCGGACCCGCGAAAGCGCGAGGGACCCAAGGACGATCTGTTCGCGCCCTGGTCGATTCCCCCAACGAACTCGCTAGACTCAATCCGAACATGAGCACGGTCACATAGAGACTTCGTCGCAGCCTTCAACTTACACCAAACTGGCATCCGTCTGGGCCATTTCTCGCGCCATTTGTTGTCGGTCGCCTCCTTCGGGCTGCAGTGTCGGCTCCACCCGCTAGAGCAGATCTTATACTAAATTATTGCTCGGCGCTAAGTGTTCCCTGGCTCCGATCCCAGACGTTTTTCACTGCTGGGTGCGCCTTGGGCCGTTTTTTCTTCTTTCATTATCTCCCATCGCAAGTTATGTCGGTGCATCAGGATCCCACCGACGCAACTCGCATCGCTTCTCAGGATGCTGGGAATGCGCACCCGTCTGGGGCGGATAAAATATCGCCACTAGAGACAGAACATTCTTCTCTTAACAGCTCAGCTCATTCGGGAGAACACCCTCAGTCGTCAGAGCATCGGAACTTGGATGAATCAAAAGTTCAGGATGAATCGGACGACAAAGCCTCTCCAGGGGAACCGCTGGATCGCGTTCCCTCCCAGGCGCAAAAACTCGGGAAGAAGAAGATTATTATCATCATGACTGCCCTTTGTGTATGCCGATCGCCTCTTGCCACCTTCCCCGCCAGCAAAGTTAGACCGCTAACCACGATGAACATCTAGTTGGTTTTGTTCCTTGCGGCTTTGGATATGGTATGTTATTACGATCTGATAGTTCTCTATGTGGTTAGTCTGACCGGTCTTAGACAATTGTCTCGACGGCAATGCCCACTATGGCTCGCTATTTCAAAGCCTCGGAGAGTGGATATTCGTGGATGGCCTCGTCATACATGCTGGCGAATGCCGCCTGCGTTCCTCTTTGGGGCAAAATCAGTGACATCTGGGGCAGAAAACTAATCTTGTTGGTTGCGAATGTCATATTCCTCGTAGGAAGTCTTATCTGCGCCCTCGCCAACAATCTGCCTATGATATTGGCCGGACGAGCCATACAAGGTGCCGGAGGAGGTGGAATCATTGTCCTGGTCAATATCTCTGTGTCTGACTTATTCAGTGTTAGGTAGCGTTGTCCCTTCCCACATAATACGGTTATTTCTGATTAGCACTAACCATTCCTCAGGGACCGACCTCTATACTACGGTCTGTTTGGTTCGGTTTGGGCCATTGCGGGCGCTTTGGGCCCTATCATCGGAGGCGCATTTACCACAAATGTTAGCTGGCGCTGGTGTTTCTATCTCAACTGTATGTGATGTGATACTATCCACAACTGTCTCTTATACTGACTGACCACGTATCGCGCAGTGCCTATCGGCGGGTTTTCATTCGTTATGCTTCTATTCTTTCTCAAGATCGAAGCAGGAAAGACTCCCCTTCTGGCAGGACTCCGATCCATCGACTGGTCGGGCACCATCCTCATTATCGGAGGAACTCTCATGTTCCTTTTCGGCCTGGAGTTCGGCGGTGTCAGCTATCCATGGGATTCACCGACAGTAATATGCCTGATTATCTTCGGCATAGTAACCTGGGTCATAGCCATGGTGAACGAATGGAAAATAGCCCGGTATCCAGTGATTCCTACCCGCCTGTTCCAGAATTGGCACAACGTCTTGGTGCTTCTTGTTTGCTTCTGTCACAGCTTCGTCTTCATCGCGGGATCATACTACCTGCCGCTTTATTTTCAGACCGTCATCCTTGCAAACCCCATCATGAGCGGTGTCTACGTCTTTCCTATGGTTCTCAGCCTGTCTGTCGTCTCCGCCGTCACAGGATTTGTAATCAAAAAGACTGGCCGCTACTATGAGCTGATTGTGGCTGGAATGTGTCTCTTGACGCTCGGATATGGTCTACTGATCGACTTGAAATACTATGCCTCCTGGTCTCGCATCGTCATTTACCAATTGATCGGTGGTATTGGTACAGGTCCGATCTTCCAGGCTCCGCTTGTCGCACTGCAAGCCAACATCCACCGTGCCGACGTCGCCGCCGCAACGGCAACCTTCAGCTTTCTCCGTCAGGCCTCCGCCGCCATATCGATCGTTCTCGGTACCGTGATCTACCAGAATGTCCTTGGCCAGCAGATGCCTGCCATCACCGCCGCTCTGGGCGCCGAAAAAGCCGCAGCGGTGGCCAAGACCTTCTCCGGCTCTCAGGGAGACCTCATCAAGAACCTCCCCGAGGACCAGAAAACCATCGTGTTGAAAGCTCTCACGTTCACCATGAGTCGCATGTGGATCTTCTACACCGCAGTCGCCGGCTTCGGATTCCTAGTCAGTCTCTTTATCCGGCCTGTCGAGCTGAGCCAGGCGCATACCTTCACCAAAACTGGTCTCGAAGAGCAGGAGCTTGCAAGACAGGAGGTTCTAGCTGCTCAGAAAAACAAGAAAAACCAAAAGAAATCATCCGGGAAGCAAGAAGTCTGACGGGCACCGTTTGCTCCTAAGACATCTTCTTCCTTTTTGCCTTACCATGCCACGGACTAATTTATCAATCACCAACCAATATCTTTAAACACCTCATATAATCATCCCAACGGAGTCGTTGGGCATTCCTCGGTTTGCATTTATCGTACATATATCTGCCTTGTCGCGCACGCTACAAGCAAAAAGCTATTGGATATATTCATGTTCCTCTTTCTACCGGTTAGAGTACGTTTCTTGGAGACATGCATCAATTTGGACATTACCATCTTGTCTATGAGATATGAGCCTTTTGTTCGTTCTTTTTTTGATTTTCCAACCTCGTCTATTTATTAATGGATGGAAAATCAACTCTTTCGGCATGAAATAAAACACTGATCTACCGCAATCATTTGTTGGATGTCCAAAGGATGACTTATCAAGCCAGCCACCATCGCCATTATATTCCTAATAAAACATCCATATATACATTATTTAACAAAGGGGAAAAGAAAAAAAAATGAAAGAAAAAAAAGAGAAACCAATGTAGAAACGCCATCACCAGGAAGCAATCACTACTAAATAGACACAAAAAAAAGACAAAGATTGGGTTTTTGTCCCGACTTAAAAGGGGAAGGAAGGAAAAGGGTCAAGATGAGACGGGAATGTGAGGGTTGAGGATCAAGGGCATTGGTTTTCTCTTCCAAGGTAGAGCTTTCCTTTTTTAGTTTGCCAATAGAAAAAGACATACACAAGGCACTGAATACAAGGTTCAATGACAAGCTTGCAGACTCAAAAAGGATATCAATGAAAAAAAGAAAGGGGTATAAGGTTGACAAAAAAGCAGCAGCTATGAGACAAGCAAAACGAGGCTCGTTTAAACTGAGATATCCATCAGGTAGCCAAGGATCCAAGGTGGGCAAAGGGGAAGAGTAAAAAGATAGGGGAAATGAAAGGATATAGACAAATATAGCTCAACTTTCCTGACCAATGCGATTGAGATTTCACAGCTGCCTTTATAACGCCACAGATACCAAGATAGTGAGGAACAATGAAAGTATGTTGAGTATTGCCATCCTAGGGGACTGATGGAAAAGATCATGTCTTTGTTTTCTTCGTGATCCCTTCGGCATTCGATCCACTATCTGGGCTCTTGCGCTTCTTGTCTTGTTCATCATCCCGTCCAAAACTAGGGCCTGTTTGCACTGCTGGCGTTGGGAATGTGAGAGGGCTTGGAAGCATATTACTGTCGGGACCGGAGCGGCCGAAGCCCCACTCTGGAAAGAAGCTGGATGGCGACGGGAGGAGTGCATCCGATACAAAGCGACTAGGAAGCGCAGATATCGGTGTCTCTATGTTGTTGTTGTTATTGTACGCACTATTATTTTGAGCTGCGGCTGCGGCTGCCGCGGCAGGAGGCGGGGGCCTTGCGAATGGATTCGGAGGTCCTTGGGCTCCTGCACTGAGTATTGCGCCGGCTGATGGTGACGGTGGAGGCAATACTACTCCCGAGTGATTGGTATCGGGATTGGCTTTAGCGGGCGTGAGTGTTTTGTTTCCTGCGGAGTCGCGTGAGGATGATTCTGCCGTTGCACTGCCGCGATCCGAGTTCTCGCTCGGTATCTGTACTTTGAGCTGTGGGCGCTTTGGCAATTGACCACTATTTGTTCGGATTGGCGGCGGTTTGAGCTCGGCGACCGATTGTGAAGATGGAGCCTCTGTGGCAGCGCGAAGTGGGGGCGGGGGCGCGACTGGATGGCTCATGGCTTTGAGTTCACTGGATTCTGCCTGTGCAGATTCAAGCTTGGCCTGAGAACCTGGTGATATGGGAGGACCAACTCCGAAATGGCGCGCTAAAACAGAACCACGATCATCGATGGGTGTGAAGATACTCCGCGACTTGGAGGATAGTGACCTTTGGTGAGGCGGTGACTGACTTCCCTCCCCCTTCATGGCACCAGGTATTTGATCTGGCAAAGGTGCTTCGGGTAGTGAGACCGTTCGAGATGGCGGTTGCTGATGTTCCGATGCGAATGTCGGCGGCATTGAGCTTCTTCCTTGCTCAGGCAGGTAAGCCTGAGCGACCTGCGGTACTGTGGCATGCGGCGGTTGCGAAAGACCCATCGGAGGCGCCTGCGGAGCCATAAGATGATGCTGATGTTGGATGTGTGGCGGGGGTGTTGGATGGTGTTGGGCGATCGACTGCGGAGGCATGGAGTGCGGTGGCATAGAGTGCGCAGGCATAGGCTGATGCTGAGGCGGCGGCGGGTGTTGCGCTCCAGGCGGAGGTCCAAAATGCGCGAATTGAGCGGGTCGGGGCGGCTGGCTAAGGCTATGGGCGTTGGGGTTATACACAGATGGGTTGGGCATGTAGGCGAATCCATTTTGAGGCGGGGGCGGGGGCGGAGGAGTAGCATGATGCGACTGGGTGCCGATATTTGAGCTCACTCGTCGAAGATGATTTCGTGATGAAGGTCTGGAAACCCCTTGCGGCTGGGGGGTTCCGTGGCGGGGGTCGAAAGGAATGCCGTTGCCGATCGGAGGAGAGGCTGAAGGTGCGTGATTGACATGCTGGAAGCCTGGATGGCCTTGAAGATGGGCAGGAATCATTGGAGGGGCATTCTGAGGGGGTGTGGGATGCATATCTTCCGGAGCGGGTGTTGTGCCATCTTCATCTTCATCGTCGTCGTCATCACGTCTGCCATTAAAGTCCTCCGGACCCTTATGCTCGTGTGGTGGGCCGAGCTAAATGGAAAATCATGAGGTTAGCAACCGATATCCAATGCTTGAATCTTCCCAAGGGAGGGGGAACGCACATATTGATATCGATGTAGCGTCTCGCGCATATCACATGATGAAAATTCGTACAGTTTCTTGTTGTGGCCAAAGATTATTACGGCGACATCTACCGAGCATAGAACTGCCAGCTCATGTGCCTTCTTGAACAGACCACCCTTCCGTTTCAAAAACGTACTTGACAACACACCATGTTAGCTCCTATACGATGCTTCGGAGGGGACACAAGCACCCAAAACGTACACTGAGCGGTTGCGATCATCTTTGATCGCCTTGATCTCGATCTTTCTTCGACCCATCAGGGGCACAGTGTGACAGGATCACACGGGGGTATGAACCGTCGGTGAAACACGCAGCAGTAATAAACAGGATCGACGGCGACTAGGCGTGGGGACGTGTTGAGCCTTGGAATCGAGTGGTGACGCGAGTTAAATCGAAGGAGACACCGCCCGAGGAAAAAACGTTTCCAGAAATGCGATTGGAATGTAATGACTGTAGTTCGCAGAATAAGCGCTCGACCTTTAGTACTTTGTGGATTTCTAGAAATTCCAGGTGGGAATTAAAATAAAAATAAAAAATTTTTTCTTCCCACAACCCTAGGAGCGGACGTTTCAGTTGGGAGGAGTGGAGACAAAGGGAAAGAAAAGGAAAAGGATGAGAGGACAGCGAAAGAAACAAAAGAGAGGGGTGAGATTGGAGATGGCGCGTAGAGCGAGGGCACGGCGCCGGTCGGGAGCCAGCAATGAGGAACAAGGGGCTGGGGAACAAAGGAAACGCCGATGCAGCGGCCTCAGGAACACCCACCTTCAAAGAAAAGAGAGGAGAAATAACGAAGGCAACGATAAGATGGAGGCGAAAGTCAAATTCTTGGGATGGAGATGGAGGATGAATTCGGGTTGAATGGATGGGAAGGACTGGACTGGAACACGCGGGTGATGCAGAAGATTCTAAAGATAGACGGGTCGCTTGTCGCCCTGCCGCCGTTGGCGCCGCGTAGCCGCCGTCCGCTATTTTTAGATCGTCGCCCTCTTGTTCTTCCTTCATCGAATCTATCACACAGGGTGGCTTGGCCTTGTGAAGTCTTAAACTGCGCTAGATTTGTTGACAGATCATCCAGATCAACAAGGCTGAGTCCTTAACTGACTGGGATTCAAATGGACTTGACTGTGTTACGAATTTCTGATCTCATAGGTCATCAAGTCACACAGACTGGGGTTTTTTTTTTTTTTTTTTTTTTTTTTGAAATTTCCCCCCTTTCGCGTTTTATTCCTTGTCCTTTCGTTGTGCCCTTTTCCTTTCTCTTGTCCAGGATTAATCCAATTATGCTGACAAGGGCCCGACTTCCGCCATTAAGGGCAAATGATTTTAGATCAAAAAGAATTGGATTGAGATTCCTTCATCAGTCAGAGCAAACATCGAGAGACATTGGTCGTCTCTCGTTCAATTGCTTCCAGGGTCCCTCAACAGAATCTGGTAGCCAAATGTGTCCATGCGTTTCCATTTATTCTCATACATCGTCCACTTTCTGGCCTCCTAATTTAATTTGAAGAATTATCATCCGTAGACCAGCTTGTGTCCCGGAATTTAGGTATAGCAGAACGAATTTTCTCATCCCAAACACTAAGATCCACCGATAATAAGAACTACTACGGTATTTTCACCTCTGTTCCTCTCACTAATTACGTATAGTTTTCGATCTGGACTTCAAATAGTTCCATCCCCTTGGTCTACACTGGACAAGAAAAAGCAAAAAGAAAAAAGCGCTCTAGTTTGGGATGGTGGGGAAGGAAGATCCGAAACCTAAAAGGCTAAAGCGAGCATAAGCCTGGAAGCCATAAGGGACCAGTGACGATAAGGTCGAGTCTGGTGGGGACGCGATAGCAGACAACCCCGCCACTAATCGCGTCTGGATACAGGCGTCTCTGCTTACTCTTTCGCTCCTATGCTGCATCCTGTTACAAAGGCTTGGCCAATGGTTTGAACATCTATTATCTCAACAGAGTCGTTGCCTCATTGGCAATTGCGTGATGGCTTGAAAGTAACCCTTCTATACAACCCGTCCACCTCAAAAACTCATGAGATTCTCCTTTGATGTCATCAATTTGATGGGCATTTAGCATGGAAGTTATTAATAGCATAATATCAGTAGAAGCGACATCGAAACGACGTACCTGGAAGTCCGTAATTGACAAAGGGCTGTACAGGGGTTCCCTCAATACTCGCAATAAAGCAATGCAAGCCAAGCATGATTATCTAATGGCATACCTATCGATAAGCAGACCGCCGTCTCCCTTGGCAACCTCCGTCTTCATAATTACACCCTCGCTTCTCGATTTCTGATTATACCGGATATACCATTCTAAATTCATTAAAGACAGCTTATAATTAGAAACTCAGGGGGTACGCCATGGATTAAATGACGATAAGAAATCCCTGCACGGATGGGAATGCAATCAGGATTCAGGACTATCACCGGAATTCTCCTACCAATTTATTGCTAGGGGACAACAAGCTGAGAGTCTATTCCCCCTCAAGTGCTTTCGACGTTATTCTACGGGAAAATTGAAGAATTCTGTCAGTTTTTTTGGTGTGGACCATGGCATCAAACCGATCTCTGGATCACCATCCCAGCTCAATTGAGAGTGGGATCGAAAGTCGACCAACAAGAAGGACCCTACATTCTAGTCGGGATGCCGATGATGAGCCTGAGAGCGTTCATTCGAACGAGGAATCATCTTTAATTCATCATTCCGATGAAGAAGACCTCTCGTCTCGGGAACCGGCAGGGCCGCATCGTCGGTTGGGTCTACTTTCCACAACCTTTCTGATGTGCGTTGGTATCATGAAATTGAAGCTGTGACGAGGCTATAGAACCCTCAGTGGAAGGCCTCGAATTTCCTGACTATTCTCACTACACAGAACCAACCGCATGATAGGCACGGCAATATTTTCTGTGCCATCATCTATTGCACAATCCGTTGGAAGCGCTGGTGCAGCCCTGACGCTGTGGCTAGTTGGGTTTCTCCTGTCATTCTGTGGATTTCTCATATACCTAGAACTAGGTAGTCTGTTTCCTCGTAATGGCGGGGAAAAGGTTTACCTTCAGGCTGCTTATCCACGACCGCCGTTTCTAGTGAGCACAGTATTCGCAACACATATCATTTTCCTCGGCTTTACTGGTATTTTATTTCAATCCCTCACCGCATCGAATTGTCGGAGTACTAAGCTCTATGCGCAGGCATTGGAACTGTTGTCGTTGCGGAGAATATGCTTCTGGCATTTGGGATTACAACAAATGACTGGGTTAAACGTGGTATAGCGGTCGCAATCATGGCATGCATAGCAGCAATCCATGTTTTCACCAAGAACTGGGGCATCAGACTGATGGTGAGTAACCTATATTCCTCACCGACTGCTTTTGTGCTCGAGATTGACTTTGGTTCTTAGAATACACTAGCCTCCATCAAATTAATAGTCCTTGTTCTTATAATCTTGACCGGCCTTACAGTTCTTCATGGGGATGTGTCAAATGTACCGCATCCAGGAGCTAGCTTCAAACACCCTTTCTCGGGATCATCATCCCATGTGACGGATTATACAGTTGCTTTATATAAAGTTCTGGCCAGCTATCAGGGCTGGTGCAACGCCGGGTATGTCTTGGACGAGGTCAAAGATCCCCGTCGGACACTCAAGATTGCTGGTATCTTAGGGCTCACATCTGTGGGTCTTCTTTACTTTATGGTAAATGTGGCATACTTCGCTGCCGCAACCCCCAAAGAACTGGGTGAGACGGGAGTCACAGTCGCTGCCCTTTTTATAGGCAAGGTTTTCGGAGAGGAGATGCAATCATTGAGTGCTGTCCTCGCTGCCTTGTCTTCGCTGGGAAACTTGATGACAGCGTCTTTCTCGATCTCGCGGGTGGTACAAGGGTTTGCAGAGGAGCAAGTTTTGCCATTCTCTTCATTTTTTGCCAGGAAAACACATTTTGGCTCCCCAGCTGCTGCCTTCATATTGGTTTTTCTGTCCTCATTCATAATGATCATTTGTGTTCCATTTGGTAAGTGCCCCCCACTTGCCCTGTTAAAAAAAGAAAATGCACTTTACGCGCCATCCCCGTCATTCATTGAACCCCGCTAACATGAAAACACAGGGGACGTTTACAACTTCATCCTCGATCTAGGTCAATACGCAATGGCGATCGTACAACTGTTCGTCGTAATTGGCCTCTTCATAATCCGAAGGCGAAGGACACATCCACAACGGACATTCAGAGTCTGGACGAGTGTTGCTTGCATATTCCTGGTCGCTCAGGTTTATCTGCTCTTTTCCACTTTCTCAAATTCGGCAGAGAGCGGTTCTAATCTACCAGTGTGGTTAACTCCCGTGACATCAATATTGGTGCTTTCGTTAGGTAGCGTTTACTGGTTTTACGGATGGACATTAAAGCCTAAAATGGGACAGAGGTCATCGACAGAGCCTCTGCCATTGGGAGATTCTCGCGATGAGTAATGATGGGTCCTGAATTGCACGAAAGACCTTTATCTCTAAATCTCTTTTGCAAAATTGATAGCTGAAGTAGCCATTGTCGGTTCTCCCACGCTTTTTCGTCGTATCCAAAGATCCAATTGACCTGAAGCTTTTCTTATGTAGACCAAGAAGTCTAGGAATGTCTTTATGCTTATTAACATGCAAATCATAGTAGAGCTCTAGATACAGATGATCTCTATACACAAATAAAAGAAAAATCGCTGCAGTATCAAAACCAACGCCCGCAATCATTCGGCAAAACTCAACATGGCATAATATATACAGCCGTAAAATCAACTTCAGCACAAAAAGAACTCTTGGCACCACCTATTATCAAAAGTTCATTACGGAGACTCCATAGACTGCATCTCTGCGCTTGTCTCCCGCGAATCGCATGAAAGCTGTGCCGCTTTTGCTCTCTTCCCCAGCAATTGAGACGGATGGTAAATGCTCATCACAACCATGGTGAAGAACATCAGCATCGCGTCGAACACATACATGAACACCTCATGGCTGATCAAATAGCCATCATTCCCCTGGGCGTATTCGATGAGGCGGAAAATAGACCGGATAAGAATCAATATGCTGGAGGCGTATAGCACGACCATTATAGTCTCCCAGGAGGTCTGCTTCCAGTTTTTCCGGGCTCCCTCGAGTGACATGCGGGTGGGCTGCTTGTAGATGCGCCAATGGAATATCGTAGATGTGATGATGAAGACACTGAAGAAAAGAAGTTGGATGCAGAGACCGACGATGGTTATTTTCTCGCCCGTGTGCATGGCACTGATGGTGCCGCTGGCCATGATGCCACCACCTAAGTAAGATCATGGTTAGAGATTGCGAGGGTCTGAAAAAAGTCTAGACCTGGCGAGCTTAAATACCTGCAGCTTGCATGACAAACGCAACTATGTCCCCCGTCAGAAATATCCCGGTTAACCATCGAGTGGGCACGACACTGATCGATTCGGCGTCAAGGTGTCGGATTAATCGACCTAAGGTCATGTATATCGAAGCCGCGTAGAGTGGTGGGGCGAGCAGGATCATGATGGTTCCGACTGAATATACAGGGATGGATTCCTTATCATAGTGTGCTAGAATGCGACATATATACCCTATAATCTGGACTAAATGGGAGTCAGTTGGTCAATCTCAGCCTGCGGGTCGGTCCATATATGTATCACTTACAGACTCCACCTGTCACAAAGACCAGCATGTATGAAGATCGCATGCAGATAACTTGGTATACATGGTAAACAGTGGTAAGCAAGAACAGGACTAGGAATAGAATTCCGGCTGCCAGAGAGGGCGTGTAGCGATAGAGCGCAAAGTCAATGCCCGTAGACTGGTCGTCGGAGCTCATGACGAGGGATGAAGCACGACACAATAATGAATGAATTGACAAAAAGGCCTCAACCTTAGACCTGAAGAGAGTGTTAAGTAATTTAGCTTATCTACTAAGCTACCCTCCCGTCTGCCCTCCTTTCTATATATTTCAATTTTTTCGTATCCATGCTTGCCACCGTGTTCGCATTCTCGTATTTCGTATCCTCGCATCTTCGTGTTTTCCTTTTTTTCTGGGAGGACCCACGAGGGTTGGCCGTTGGATCGGCATACTTAGCACGAAACCCATGGAAATACTTTTTCTGAAGACCCGGTAGGTTTGCCGCGAAGGATTTTTCGCCTTGGACTTTCAAGTGATCTTTGGATGAGCTGCAAAAATCGACTTCCTACCAAATACTTCGGCACGTTTCCGGATATTCTAGAATCTTTCCAGAGTAGATGGTGTTTTTGACAGTGCGATGTGAACTCTATCTCTCTTAAAAAATCTAAAACCCTATATTCGTGCTGAAATGACTTTTTACGATGGTGTTCTCCATTCCAATCAAACCAAAGGAGTACCCATGTACGCGGTGTCCTTGGGTATCCTATCCAGTAACCTCCCAATCTCACTCGGATGAACAATATTGAAGGCCACCATCGTCAAAAACATGAGGCAGGCATCAAAGATGTACATATAGGCCTCATGCTTCAGAAGATACCCAGAATTTCCCTGAATATACTCAATCACCCTGAAAACCGAACGAATCATGATCAGTGCGCTCGTGCCGTATAGTACATTCAGATGCTTTCTCCAAGGAATGTCAGGCGCATGAGCGCGCGGGATCGGAAACTTTTTCAGTTTCATATCGAACGAGAATTCCACGAAGATAAAGAATCCAAAGAAGGCGAGCTGCACGAAAAGCCCGATGATGATGATCTTTTCTCCGGTTTTCATGCCATCGAGGGATCCGCTGGCTTGGATGCCGCCGCCTATATCGGTTTAGAGCTTAGTCAATGTACTGTAACAAAAGAATAATAAATCTTTCTGCAAAGCAATGCGAAGCTTACCGGCCGACTGGAGCAGGAAAGAGAGCACGTCCCCCGTTACGAAGATCTTCGTGAGCCATTTCTTCTTCAACATGGCGTGCGATTCCGCTTGTAGCACAAGAATAATGCGGCCCATCAACATGTATATCGACGCTGCAAACAAGGCTGGTGCTAGGAGCAGGAGCAAGGTCTGCAGTAGATACGGGCCAAGAGTCCAATTCGGTGTCTCGTCGCTGGACATGGCTCGTCCGATATATCCGATCCATTCAACTGTAGTAAAGGATCTTAATTAGTTGAGGTCTCAATGGATGATACGCAGTACTGACAAAATCCTCCAATGACGAAAGGTGTGAAGAACCAAGTCCGTGTTTTAATCATCTGGAATAAATGCATCGCAGTTGTACCGATGAACAGTAGGATGAATATGATGGCGCCGACTTTGGTGGGATCATAGTGGTAGAAGGAGAACGATATAGCTTCTTGGTTCGATGCATCAGCCATTTTTGAAAGATTGCCCTAATGTTAGGATAAAGAGGTCATGAGAGTGGCTTCTTTCTCGAAAATAGACGGAAGTGTTTTAAATATCTTTTCCGTCAAGCACGCCCTTAGGAATTACCAGGTTTATAAAGCGCCCCTATGTTCTCTGTTCAAAACTCCATCTCACTAATCTAGCCTATTTCTTTCAATCTAGCGTATCCACTGTGTTTTTGGATTTCTTTATTTAGACGCCGTTATACCTGATCCATCAATACTGAAGATAGCAGGACGTGGTCCTGACAGCTGGTAAACCATAGAACGCTGAGCCAGGACATTCTGTCTAGGCACCCGTGGTTTCAGGTACGAACAGGGCTGATGCATAAACTAGGTCTAATGACATCGAGACTGTCCCCGTTTCCAGCTAGATAGCCCGCAGCGACGACTTCGTACAAAGAGCCCCTGGTCACAGTGAAGGGGCTGTATAGATTTTCGGGATTCCCCACACAGGCCAAAAACGAATACGCTCGTGCTCTCATAGGGCACGGAACGTTCCGACAGATGGATGTTCTCCAAGATCTGGTATTGAACCATCCTTCGGTAGGGATTCTCTGAAGGTATCAGTGGGCCCCAAGCAAACCTTGGCCAGTAATCGCGAATGCGAATGCGGATGCGAGTACGAACGCGAGAGAAGTTGAAGTCTTGGCCTTTGAGGGGTCTTTCCATATTATTTATTGGAATCCCCCCGTAGCTTTAATCCAAGATCCTTTCAATCCCTTCAGTCATGAATCAGTGACATCTTTCGACTCTCGACTCGCTTTTTACTGATGGTGAGTATATCGTGGAGCACCCCTCAAGGCATTCTACAGCGCGTGGAAGAAAGAGTTTGGTATACACTGCAGTGGATAGGGCCATTAACATAACAGAAATGTGTGCTTGAAAAGCTTACATTCCATGATCTCTTGTCTACCTCGTCACTCTCGATCTCAATTGCATCCCTCTCCAAGTACTTTCACCGCGCCAGTCATGACCGAACAACCCGATAAATAGCCTCAAGCAATTCATTGGAGCCCTTGCTTCGACAAAGACAACTCTTTCTTAAGTATCTAGGCATCTTCGGTTTGAAATTTCAGCATATACAAAGTGGAAGGTTGTGTACCGCCGCCATCGTTGGGTAGCTGGCAGGCTAACGGGGCGGGAGAGTGAGGGCATCTACTCCGAACCATCCTCCAAGTCTCAGGATGCGAGCTGAGCCGCATAACTTGTCCATCAAAATAGGCCTATTTTTTGGAAGAATGCAATTGTCATCAGGTTTTGACAATAGTGGAAGTTGGATAGTGGGCAGTAAAGCGTTAGGGCCATTAGGTGAGCCCGTTGTATCGCGTCACTAACATCCCGACCACACAAGCGCTGTAATACCGTTATCTATAATCTACTTTGACAAAATACTTATCAGATAGCACTCTTCCTACCATTCCTCCGATGCTTCGAATGGTCGGCCGCGAAGTATCGTCAGAAGGAAGGTGAGATGTGACTAGGACTGGCAGAAACCGGTGACCAAAATCCACATACGCCTGGATATACATTCGCTCCCGACGAAAGAGTAACAACGGGGTCCTGAAAGCCGAGAAATACCGCGGAGGGTGAGGGCGAAACTCGATAGATCGCAATGAATGTGTATAGTGTGTAGGAATGGGAAAACGGCGCGAAGGTTCTTGCGATCGATGGAACTATTATTTGGTATTTGAGTAACGTCCACCATCCTCTATTGAAATCCAATCGATAATGCCGACATTAAGCTCGAGGCCGGCGGTCTATTGGATTTGATCTCAGATTGGCGCAATGAAAGAAGCAGGATGGAAAGGAAGAAGAAGGGAAAGAAAAGGGTTTACCGCCGGAGCGGGAATGCCTGAGGAGCCCACCTGCCCACTTGGTTATCGTCGATCTGATGCCGCTCTGATTGGCTCGAGATGCATGACCGGTCATGATGATCGACTGCGACCTGTCGCATGTCTGTACTCTGCATCATTATCATGATTTGTCTGGACATTGGGCAGAGACATCATCACGACGCAAACGCAGCGCCCGTTGGGTTGCGTGTCCGGTAACTCTCGTATGCCGGCTTACAATACCGCTTCCAGGATGATTTGGGTTAGAGATTCTGGTTCCCCCGAAGGGACTCGCGGGTCTGGTACTTTGTCCTAGCCGGGCCATAGTACCGGTACCTCTCCATCCGGTACCCACGATGGATATCTCGCCGGCACCGCGACCTTTATGTCATGCTGACCGTTGCCCTTCTGAATGAAGATCCGGAGGGCTTCAGTGAATTCCTACTCCGGAGTAGGACCGGGCCCAGTGCGCCTTCAAGCCCGGAACGCTCCAGCTCATGGAGGGAATCGATCTCCGGCTGGGATGAGTCGCGACCGCAGAACCATGGCTCCCGTGTTTGGCGCGTGTATTATTATTTCACCCCTGAAACACAGTAGATCCTCATCATCACCGTTTTTCGGCTTCGCTTTTCTTTTCTCTTCTTCTCTCCTCCCTCCCCTGAACCGGTTCTTCTTTTTCTTTTCGGGAATTCTTTCTTAGACTGTTTTAATCTTTTCAATACCCATTCTCGGACCTTTCTATCCTGATCGGATTCCATCCGCTCAGCAATTTCAAGTTCCAGTCTACACCATCCACTGTGGCCATTGCTGCTGCGCGCTAGACGTGCTGCCCCGTCCTGGGCTGCAGGCGATCCTCTGGCCACCTGGAAAGCGCCTGTCTTTTCTTTTCTTTTTCTTTTTCTTTTTCTTTTTTTCTTTTTCGATCTCTCTCTTGGTCTCGACTGTTTACGGAGTACGCCAATAGACATTAATTTACCCACCTTGGCTTGAGCGTCGGCGTCTCCCCTCGCCTCCGACGGCATCATTTTTTTTTCTTCCTCTCCCTCCCCTCTTTCTTTTTTCTCCAAACCCTCCTCTACTGTGTCGAGTGCCTTGAAAGTCGGCTCTCGCACGGTTCATTGTTGAATCTTAGAGCCTAGATCGACTGGTTCTACAAGGAGACGCGATCTTGACCGCGCCTGTGGACATTGTCTCCCACGTTCCCCACCGGTTATCGACTCATCGCGCCTGCTAGCGGAGGGCATCCGGAATCCCCAGACACAATGCCCTTCTTCACTCGTGTTTTCCGGGGCAAAGACGCCACTGCGTCGAAGAAGGCGGCCAAAACCCCCGTCGCGGAGGACACTGGCCCCGCGAAACCAACATGGACCGACGCGTGGCAGCGAACCGAGGTGGCCCCCGAGGAAGTTCAGGACCTGCTCCGGGGATGTACGCAAGAATTGAAGTCGCGAGGTATGTTTGTCACGATAGTTGACGTCAATGGCAGAACCTGAGACCTGCGCATTCCTGGCATTTGCTGATTACCGTTTCGCTCCTACAGCTCTACAAACCCCTTTCCTCCTCTTGCCCTTTCGTCCCAGCTCCGACTCAACGGCCGCTCGTACCTTCATTCGAAACTATTTCAACCAGTCAGTCGAGAGAGGCTCGCCTCTTGGTGGAGATGCCTTGTCGCAAGAATTACGGCTTTCGGACCCCATGGTGAGCGGAATATCCTACCTCCAGCAGATAAGCGTCGCGAGGGTTTAAATCTCTTACAAGAAATACAGGTCCTTTGCAGTGTGATGAAGTGGTGTTGGTCTAGACTCCCCGGCGGAGTGGTCACTTGGGAGGCGTACGAATTGTTCAAGGTCGGCGAGCAAGGTATGTTTCTGCAACGAATACCGGCAATGATATCGGGGAGGGGTGCTGATAAGACTAGATTCTCAATTCGCTCGCGATGCTTTCTCGACTTTCATTCCCATCAGCGTTGATTCAGATGCCCGGACCAAGATCATCTTCGATTTCTTCGACCTCTTGACGGCTATCGCGGCCCACGGAAAGTCCAATGGTCTTGGAGGACGGAAGCTCTCGAGATATGCCGGGTGGTGGGCCTTTGAACACACGGACATGGGCAATGGCTTCGAAGCCGCTTATAAGAATTGGATGGCGTACGTGGACTTTCCTTTCGCCGCTTCCGTGGCACTGTCTAGATTCTTTGAAGGGGTAATTGTTGGCTAATTTCATTCTCAGTGCTGCGGACGCAACAAGCCACCTCTTCTTCGCCTACCTGCGCTCGATGTCTCCGGAGGCCCGAGGAATGGGCGGTATCTCTACCCTTCCTATTGCTTTACAGTCTTTGGTCCAAGCGACGGAGTATCCGCCGGAGATGCCCGCTCTCCTCCAAGTGTCGACCACCAGAGTGGTCATGATTGTCGATACGGTCTCGCCTACCCCCTTTGCTCTTCTTCGGCGCGCAAAGAACTTCGAGTACCGAGACAGTGATCGCCATCTGCAAGAATTCGCCAATTTCGAAGACCCCCTCCGTGCTCTGACCGATGAGTGTCTCCGTGTGCTGAGGTCCATCTCTTCCACCAATCAATCCACCGAGTCGGACCCCACGAAGTCCGACCGGGAGGCTTCGTGGTCTAGGTTCGAGGATTTCGGTTTTGGCGGTGCGATTGAGTCCGACTTGGACGATGAGGCGAAGGGATCTGCCTCGTCGAGGGAGTTCGGGGGTGGTCTGCGATCCGCTCCGCAATCCGGCGGGGGTGACCTGGGGCGTCCTACCACTCCATCGTGGGCAGACTTCATGTCATCGGGCTTTAGTGATGAGAATGTCTTCAAGTCTCCCGTTGCTCCCGTGCTACTTCCCCCCGATAAAGTTTTGCCTCCTATTGCAACTGTTCGCGGCCAGAGTTCGCAGTCTCATAAGCGTACTCTGGACACTGAGACGTCTATCGACCCGGGTGAACTGGCAAGTATCACCACTCTCGACCTCGACGACTCGTTCTGGTGGGTGTGGATTAGCAGTCTGGCAATCGAGGAGTCGCCGCTGCGCAAAGCTGTGTTTGGACGGTGCGCGCTGCTCGAAACTGTCATCAAGGGAGCGAAATGGCTGGTTCTTGAGGAGCAGGTCAAGGGCGCGGCCCCTGAACCCGAGCCCGGCGCGCACATTGTTGAAAAGAAGAGCTTCTTCGGGTTCTCAACGCGCAAAAGACTGGGGCGGCGCAAGTCCTCCGCCAAGAAGGTTAGCGCAGTAGAGGATTCATACAAGAGACCTGACAACCAGGCGCCGCAGAGCAAGACTAGCATTGCTCCTGACCAGCATGCACGCATTCAGGCTGCTGCCGCCGCCCTCCAGAGAAAGCATCGGGAGCAGGAGTCTGCAAATGGATCTCAAACCAATCTCGCAAACAATCGTTATTCGACCAAGACTAACTCCGTCATGACCTTGCAACCGGGAATTGTGAACGAAGCCTCGCAGGCCATGAAATGGGCTAGCAACTACGACAAGAATACTTACCGAAAGGCCTATTTGAGCGATGACCGTGCGGGAACTGGAGCCCCGTCACACAGCATGAAGGAAGCCTTGCGAGAGAGCCCCGACCTGCCGCCGTCACCGACGACGAGTACTCGCCAGGCACCTCCTCCACTGCCGAAGGATTCAACTCCCAACTCTCCGGTGCCCAGAGCATCCAAGGAGGTTCCCGAGGAGACCTCGAGTACCCTCAACAATAGCACGAGTGACCCGTTAGCGGTTGAATCGGTTCCCAAGAAATCGATGGACTCGGCAGACGACTCGGGCCGAAAGTTGAAGAAGAAGGCCGGAAACACGGGATTCAAGGGTCTCTTTGGCACGGTCAAGAAGAAGAATACCGAGTCCGAACCAAGACCGCCAATGAAACCAACTGGCGCTGAGAAATCAGCCGTCGCCTCCGCTCGCGCTGCTTTGGAGAGCAAGGCTATGGCTTCGCAGCAGCAGACTGCTCGTTCTTCTCCCAAGGGGCCCTCGACTCTGAAGAAAAAGCCGGTTCCAGGAACCCCAACCGCTGAGTCTCGCGAGGCCAGTGCTGATGTGGCCGCTACACCGCAGGCGCCGCAATCACCCCAGACGCCTGAAAAGCCGGAACCCCAGCAGCACACTCAATCCAGCGACCAGCCTCATGAGGTCAGAGAGCCTTCCCATGAGGTCCCCAGCCCGCCCAACGCCAACGGTTACTACGGTAAAAGCCGACGGGAAGCCGAAATCGACGCCCTCTCGCGTGTCGACACTAATGAACGGGCGGCGGCTGACCGCGAATTTTCGAGGTTTGATCAGGGACCTCTCATGGAACAACCGGCCTTTGTCCCTCAAGATTCGCCGGTGTCCGCAGACTTCCCCGAGAAGAAAAGTCCTCCTTCGGCAGCCCCAGTCGCGCCAGTCGCGCCCGAGGCACCCGCCGAGCCCAAGGCCAACGATGTTGAGACCAGTACTCCTAGTCAGCAGAACAATCCCTCGTACGATCGTTGGGCTCAGATCCGCAAAAACGCCGCGGAAAGAGCTCAACAGGCTCCTGAAGAGACCCACCCCCATGATGCTGATGACAGCGACGATACCAGCGAAGAAGAGAGTATGTAGAACCAGATACACCTCGTTCATCCAATTCCCCTTATGCTGACGTTTTTATTCTCTAGGCTTTGAGACTCGTGCCGCTCGTATCAAGGCCCGTGTTGCCGAGCTGACCGGCAACATGCAGGCCTCCACCTAATATATCTCCCTCGTTCTTCTTCCTTGCCAAGTCCTGTTTCTATTTTGCCCGATCTGCGTTTCCACCCATTTGATACCTTCCAGCTTGTTCAGTTCTGTTGGTTCTTAACCCTTTCCCCCTTAATCCCTTGTGTTACAAGGTCCTTTTTCTCCAAATTCATGCCGGCCTGACCCGTTATGCCCTGCATGCCTGGATGAAATGTGTCCTCGTCTTCATGTTCCGATGGTGGCTTTAATGTCCTCGTTCTTCGCCCTAATGGAGAAGAGGTATCACTGCACCATTTTTCTCTGCTTGTTTCATCTCTCTGCGCCGTTCAGCTTGTTCTATTCCCCCATTCGCTCGTGCTGACTGCCTTGTCCCATATCCTTGTTTAATTCTGCTTTTCTTTGTTGTTGATATATGCAATATACCTCAGCAGACTCTCGCTATGTAAACCAGATCAATCAATCAGTTAATTACGTACATTGTTGCAGATAATCTTAAAATATAAGCCGACAGGTTCAGTACTTGTCTAAATTAATCCCTTATTTCAAAAATATAGGCCCTAAATTATGGTAACCCAAGTAGTTGTATTTGTTGATTTGTAAATGTCACATTATAATTATCATTAACCCAATAAATAATCGAGTAGTATGTACCCATTGTCTAAACGCCGGTATATATGCATCCGAGAAAAGTAAAAAGACGGTGTGCCTTCCACGTATTGGGGGAAAAAACGTGGTTCCCTCCATGTCTGTTCCATGGTCGATATATGCTTAATCAATATACTCTCGTGGTCCAGTGTGCCCAATGGAAATGGATCGTGGGTCTGGTGTGGGGGTAGAATGGTGCAAAGATGCAAGGCGACAAATTCAATATATGACGTGTTCTGGTTTATATCCAGTGCCAGACACTACTATAGAACGTAGCGTAGTCGCCGGGTCGCTTCCACGGCGACGATGGCGCTCAACGCGCCGATGAATAGACAAATGGAGATGGCGTTGGGGGAGCTCTGGTCGAGATCCATCCACTGGGTATCGGACGCCGTTTCATCTCGCTTGGTGCTGGCAGGTTCGAAGATGCTGAAGACGATCCAGCTGATGAAGGTGCCGACGAATTGGGGGAGGGTGGTGTAGACGTTCAGAACGCCGAGGTAGATGCCGGCCAGTTCGCCGGTGGAGGGGGCATTCGAGACTGCGTCTTCGAGATCGCTGTCGCTGTCGGGATCGTGGTGGTTGAGACGGAGCGTCTCCATTTCGGTCTCGCCGTTCATATCATATGTGCCGGAGCGAACGCTAGCGGAGGTAATCATCGTTACTCCAGACGAACGAGAGGGTGACGAGTTCCCCGTGGCGAGCTTGTTGATCTCTACACCCATGAAAGAGAACGGGGCCCAGCAGCTGACAGCCCAAGGGACACCGCAAACGGCCACGAGGAGAGTCGCGACGGCTCGGGATCGTGCCAAGGGCGCGAAGATCATCGTGGCGGCGAAAATGATGTGGGAAATCAACCAGGTCGTCTGCAGGTCTGGCCGGACTGAGGTGATTTTGGTAAGCATCGCGGCCATGCCGGGAGGGGGCCGTGGAGTAAATCGGAGTCTTTTGCTATCCGGTGGTTGTACGCAGAATGGTAGGAGAACCGAGCCGATGAAGGTTATTGACGAAAAAACCACTAAGGACAGACTGCCAACACGACCAACCTCTCCCAGCATGTCGCTTTGTTGGATTTCGTCTTTGGATACCTCGTATCGAAAATAAGTTTCACCGACCCATGTTGTACTGTAAAACAGAAAGGGGAACCAGCCTGGAGAAGGAATTAGTATCACGAAGGATGCCCATGGGAAAGCAGAGCCATTTACCGATCCAGGCCCAAAATTGCGCCCAGCAGATAGCTTGGATCCGAGGAGGCAGGTCCATAGTGGTCTTGAAAAGCTGAGAAAGCACCTGGAGAGCTCCAGCCTGGCCATCCGAGTCCCTGTAAGGCAACGTTAATACCGGTCTCTGCGAACCCTGTTGCCTATTACCCACCTGGCAGTGATCAGGACTCTCTCCTTGACGGAGTAAGATGTGACCATAACTGCTCCTATCAAGGACAATGCAGCAATGACTGTCATTTGCTTGAACTGCGTGTCACCAATTATGGTGCCAAAAATGCTGACTGTGTCCAACGACCCAATAAAATATCCAATAAGTTGGCCAATAGCCGACATCCTAGACGCTTCATGGCATCAGTCTTTAGTCTTGCATGGTCCAAAAAAAGGAATGCTTACCCCATGCCGACCCAGCTTGCTGTTGCGGAATAGGCAGTGTGTCGACAATCAAGCTGCGACAGCAAGCTTGGACTAATTCCAAATTAGACAAATTGTAGAGGACAACGACCTGTGATAGGTAACTCACCAACGTTAATCGCGAAGTCTACAGCATAAATACTGAGAACTGCCAGGGCGATCGTCGCATTTTTGGCCTAACAAAAAGGAATCCCCTCGTGAGTATCTATAGCCCAGAAATCCGCACAATATTATAAGCGATGGCCATACCTTCTCTGTATCCTTGACGAAAACACCGACAATCTCCGAGGTCCATCCCAGAACTAGCAAGCAGAATGTGACCACAAATGAACCCACCACCATGAATGGTCTCCGTCGTCCCCATTTCGATCGCGATCGGTCTGCAATGACACCGATCAGCGGTTGTATGATCAATCCAGACAGAGGACCGGCGATCCAGACGAGCGAGGTTTTCGATTTGGTGAGACCGAGCTGAAGTAGATATGGCGTGCAATCTATCCCGAGCGCATTGTTAGAGTTATTCGGACGGTTGGTCATGGTCAAAGGGTTGCCGCTTACAGGTCATTTCAATGCCCCAGGTAAATCTATGTAACAGTGATAAGTTAGTACATCGATTGTTAACAGGAACAGGCCAATGCCTCTCAAAGCAGCCAAAAGACCCAGGAAGAGACCGAGCACGTACTGCAATCCGACCAAACTGAAAGTCAACAGCGCCATGCGCGCCGACTCTGACCGTCCCTTGATGGAAGGGGAGCCCGCCCATCTCGCAGCTTGCGGCATCCTCGACCTCCAGGTGCCTGCACGCACTTGACGCCTTTCACGGTCTTTTGTTTTCCATGAACCGCGCCGGGTTCACTGGTCTCGTGACTCGAATCCGGCCGACAAACGCGCCGTTTTAGCGGAAGGGTGTGCGGTTGCCTGGCGTAGATTGAAGTATCGGGTAGGGCTAGAAATGATTTCGAGGTTGGAGAAACAAAAAAGGGTCCAACAATATGGACGGGTGGGTAATTTGATTGCGCTCGTCGCACGGTCCGTCTCTGGTTTAAAAATAGATGCGAAAGACGCGGCGGAATCCGAGGGTGTTGGCCAGACGGTGGTGGTTCTCAATTGCTGGAGGGTGGGAACGAAATAAATCTCCGTGGTCAGGACGATGCTCGCTTTGATCAATGGAAAGGGGTTAGAGAGGAAGAGAAAGGGGAGGAGAAAAAAGAATGGGATGGAATAATGGGATGGGGCGGAGAGCCGCGAGGAAGAAAGCCGGGCTGAGCCCACACAAACACACGCATGCGGGCCCCCGGCCGTCAGCCTAGCGGTGCCCAGCCCGCCCCACTGCGCTCGCTTTTTTTTTTATTAATATTAGGCGATGATTTACGATGTCGTCAACCCCTCCATATACCAACATAGTTATACAGTAGATGAATGATGAGAGTCCATGTCATAGGATTCGTAACGGTCACTGCATTCGTTTCTAAATTTCCGTGGTAGGTAGTAGCCTAGTTGTCCGATACATGATATCGCCGCAAACCTGCTATATCAATCCGAATCTCCCTTATCGTGCCATAACAACGGAACAAAAATCTTCAGTAGTGATATCATTAATGCTTTTTTTCTTGTTTCTCATACCCATCCCTCGATCTACAATCGGTTGGGGGTGGGGGTTGTGACGGGCCACTGGTAGCCAGCGGCATCGCTGAACTTATAACCGAATGATGCCGTGAAGTCGTCGAGAACGGCAGGGCCACGCGAGCCTGTGCAAATTCATCAGTAAACAGAATACGAACAACAGACTAGGCAGCTGTCTCTGGGTTGCAAACATACCGTAGGGGTATTCCATCGGGATGATCTCCTTGTTGTCGTCGAGGTAGTGCAGAAGAGGAGTGAACATTCTCCAGCTGGCATCAAGCTCATCGTCACGGACGAAGTTCGAGTGGTCACCCTTGAGAGCATCCAGGATAAGCGACTCGTAGGCCTCGGGGATCTTCAGGTCGGAGAAGCGACGGCGGTAGGTGAGATCAAGCTCCGTAACCACGGTCTGCATGGAGAGACCGGGCAACTTCGAGTTCATCTTGATGTAGACCGATTCGTTGGGCTGAACACGGATGACCAGCTCGTTGCGGGGAATATCCTTGAAGATTCCGGAGGTCACATCACGGAACTGGATACGGATCTCGGTCTTCTGCTCGTTCAGGGCTAGATAGAATGAATCAGTACGCTGTAAACCAGGAACTCCGAGACTCAAAAAAGAACACACCTTTACCGGCCTTCATGATGAAAGGCACACCATCCCACCGCTCGTTCTTGATGTACGCAACCATGGCGCAGAAGGTCGGGCAGCGAGAGTCCTGGGGGACAGTCTCGTCCTCCTTGTAGGCGGGCTTGCTGCCGTCCAAGGACTTTCCGTACTGACCGATGATGACGTTCTTGGGCTCAATCGCGTCCATCGCACGCAGAACACGGACCTAGTTATGTTAATGCAAATTCTCTCCCATATATTCTAGTTACTAGATTCCTCACCTTCTCGTCACGAATGTCTTCGGCGGAGAAAGAGATGGGACGCTCCATCGCAAGCAAGGTCAGGACCTGCAGGAGATCTGGAATAACAAAGACATCAGTCAAATACTCTCCAATGAAGGACAGGTCGCCAGTAACATACGGTTCTGCATGACGTCACGGATGATACCGAACTCATCGAAGTATCCGCCACGACCCTCAGTTCCGAAGGGTTCCTTGAATGTGATCTATATTCGACAGAAGCGCATGTTAGAAATCGGTCTGGCCGGACTCAGGACAGACAATAGACAGTATCGTACCTGAACGTTGTCGATGTGGTGACGGTTCCAGGTGGCGTTGAAGAATTCGTTACCGAAACGCATGATAAGGATGTTCTTGACCATCTCCTTTCCGAGGTAGTGATCAATACGGAAGATCTCCTCCTCCTTCCAGTTGGGATCGAGGGCTTTCTGGAGGTCGCGGGAGCTCTGAAGGTCCTTTCCGAAGGGCTTCTCAACCTGTAAGACGAGAAAAAGAGGTACGCATTAGCCAGTGCCCAGAGTGCCCAGTCCAAAGATCCCGCAATGGAGCCACTCACGATAATACGGGCAATGCCGTTCTTGGGGTAGCAGTTTCGCTTCAACTGATCCGAAACGGTGATGAAGACGCTAGGGGGCAGAGCCATGTAGAAGACTCGGTTCTGTTCCTTCTGACCCTTCTCGACCTCCTCAAGGTGCTTCGTAAGGTTGACGAACGATTCGTCCTTGTCATATTGTCCAGAGACGTAGGTGCAGAGCTTGCAGAAGCTGTCCAGCTGCTCCTCGATCTCCTTCGTGGGAGTCTTGATGTATGATCGCACACGTCTGAGGTACTCCTCGTGGTCCATGCTCGTCCGAGCATATCCGACGATCTTGATGCCCTTGGGGAGGAATTTGTTACGGAACTGTTTGATTGGTCAATTTAGGCTCATCCGGGGAGATCATGGTTTATCCCGAGTTCTCGAAGATCGGCATGAACATACAAGGCCAAAGAGTGCAGGGAACTATCAAGTCTGTCAGTTTCTTATCCGTGGTTTTTTTCCCCACCAGATTGAAGTCAAGATGAACCTACCGTCTTCTTCTTAGCCAGATCTCCCGAAGCACCTAGTACCACGATGACAGTGTCATCTTTGAGTTCAACGGTGCTAAGATGGACATCCATGTTAGCAGCGAATCCAGCAGGGATTGGTGAAGCAGGGAAGTTGCCGCGTTGCCGATCACAAAATTTGCGTACGGCGAAATGGGTGGATATCAAAAAGAGGGGTAAATTTGGAATGCGCAGTCCAATTGGGGTCAAATGCCCGGTGCAAAAACGGAGCGATTCGAATGCAGGAGATGTGAGGATGGGATAGTTTGCAGAGGGGCGTTGGCAGACAATCCCGCACGAAGTGGGTGAAAGATCAGGGAGCGGGCGACAGAGAACCGGCGGAGAGGGGTGTGATGTCAGAGGGCAACGGCAGTATTAAGAGACTCACCCGGCGTTCTGGCGCTCCTCAGTGTTTGCTATCGTGCTAGCCATGGTTATGAATAGGTCTAATGGGACACAGTGGTAATGATGATCGCAGAGGAAAGAGAGGAAGAGGAAAAGAGGGCGAGAGCAAGAGGGAGGGAGAGAGAATAGTTGGGAAAATGGCCAGCAGTTCCGGCGGAGCAGGTACTTTTTAATGCCGTGAGCTGCGAAGGTGGGCGAAGCACTTTCCTTACCGCGTGGTGGGGCAGCCTTCCCTTCCACTACGTCGATGCTGCCGCGAGACCCCGTCCGCGATGATTCGACTCTTTTATCTAATTAATATTCCTCTTTTTCGACTACGTAGTCCGTGTTTTTCTTTTTGCGTTTTGCTTTTTCCGTTGGCGTTCTTGTGTTCCTTCGCTGGGCGTTGGCTCCCCGTCTTCTCCGTACCGACTGGTTCTTCACCGGACATTAAGTTATCTCCTATCGTGGCAACATCTCGGATTATTATATCATAGCTTCACCCGCGTAAAGTGCCCAGCGCAACTTCCTGCAAGGGAATCGGATCGCTTAGGTAGGATGGCCGAGAGAATGCATGGGAAATTCCCCTAGTCTGCAACCCCTCCCCTCATGTCTTATTATATAAGTAATCAATTAATCCCGTCGTCATTTCCTGGCGGATGGTCTGAGAGAGGGCCAGAGACTACTGATATTATCCGAACCACCGGCGCTGGAAAATTCATCCCAGGCCCGCTCCACCAAGAACCGTCCATCGAGAGTGGACGGCCCCTTGAGGCACGTTTTGGAATGGCTGACCCCGCGTGCACTAAACCGAGCAATCTGACGCCTTCCCAACGATGATCCGACTAGAGTCGGTCCTCGTGACAAGGCGGGCGACAAATTAACGGCGCTTATGGCTTCTTATCGTGGACTACCGGCGAATCCGCGGAGTGCGGGCAGTTTATGTCAATGTTACCTCAAACAATAGTGTCAGTGCTTGCAGGGTGGAGCTACAAATCATCACAGTTTAGCCCGAGGAAAGTCGACCACTTGCTGCCGTTCATTGCAGAGGAACGACAAATTAATCTTCCAGGGGGTCAAATGATCGACATTTTGTCTGATACTATAATATGTTTGTACTGCGAGGTAGGTGTAGTATGTACGGAGTACATCCATAAAACCTTGCCACGACGTGCGTCCGGAAGTGTCTATACCGGAGTGGTGCACAACAGCGACTTCGGACAGTCTCCACGCATGGGACTGTTGCAGAGATCGCGCCAGAAGCTGCAGCGAAGATTACTGTGTCTCCTGAAGGGCTTCCCGGTGACCCTACTCGTGGAGAGATGGATCGGCGGATTTGTCATCTGGAAAGAACGATACGGATTCTATCTTCCCGGAGGTCTAAAACAGAAAAGGGTAAAAAAAAAATCCAAGGGTATCAGATTCAGACCGAATCTTTCGGCCCAGTGCAGTCCGGAGTTAACGATTACCTCCCGAGGCAGGGGTTTGCTGGTTCTGGATAATCTGAGGAATCTCTGTTGTACCTTTTTTATTTTTATTTTATTTTATTTTTTTTTTTTTTTTAAGAATTCCTTCCCCTTTTACTTCATACATCTTCTATTATATTTGGGGCTTTCTTTCTTGCTTGCTTTTCTCTGCAATTTTTAAGGCCACTCCAATGAGAATTGTCCAGGGCTTCGAACAGTATTGCGTGCTATGCACCATGTCAAGCTTGTTGCCGATATCCTGAAAGGTGGGGCGGGACTCGCTGCATTTCCAAATATGTGCTCTCGGTATGATGACACCGAAGGAACCCATCTTTTGGGTTATATACTCCGTCCGGAGGACACCCATGATAGTCGGACTATACTACTCGGCATATTGTCTCAACCTTCATGATGGATATGCGCCGTTTACTCGGTGTACGCCTGCCAAGTGCCCAAAATTGGATGATCCCACTCGCTGGAAACCATTGAGGACCCTCAAGAAAGAAAGAAAGAAAAAGAAAAAAAATGACAACTATCATCCCGATGCACTATGATGGAGCCCTTTGTCGTCATGGAGGGAGGAATCAGCAAGTTTTGTCAGCCAAAGACGCTCTAGACAGGACGTTTCCCCCATCCGTTGCAGGAACCGGCGAACCACTCTCGGACTACAGTAGCCCGACGGCAAAATAGCGAAAGATGGTGGGGTTGGAGGTTGGGCGGTCGGTGGCCGGTCCGGACGAGAGTCTCGAGAAGTCTTGGCAGCGCTCGTTCTATCTCGGAGTTCGGAGATTGTGGTTGATCCGGAAGCACCCCAAAAGAGGATTAGCGCAGGTTCGGTCCCTGCTCGAGTCTCCATCACGGGACTTCGCTTAGCCCTGATCGCTAAGCATCCCGTTTAGGTTAGCGCACCGAACACACTCTCGCAAATTGTAAGCCTTGTGTGTGCGTCGACTGATACCTATCGAAGCGACGACAACCACGACAACCCGGACGACTTTTTGCGGGTCATATCTGCCTTCCTTCGACTTGTTTGCGTTGCCCGCTGTTGCTCAGAGAATCGCCGTCAGAATGCCTTCGGAACAAGGTCACAGACGTGAGTAACTTCTTTTGCGTGATGCCATTCGATATCCCATGTGCGCGATGGTTAGATCTCGGCGGTTGGAGATGAAGAGGTCCGGGAGTGTTCGCGAATACCGGATGGGATTTTTTTTTCTACGCCCACAAAGAACATGCAAGCTAACAGTCACTCTTTCTTACAGTCTATGTCAAGTAAGTTTCGATTGTCTATACCGTCGTGTCGCGCACGTCCGAAAATGATCGAATTCGAAATCAGCGACGGATCGGGATATGGATCGAGCTGCGACACATTACCAGGGCAGAGGGGTTAATACGAATGGCTTTTTTCTAGGGGTCGTCACCTGAGCTACCAGCGCTCCAAGCGCGCTGTCAACCCCAACACCAGGTACGGATCCGCATCTGATATTGAGTTGAAAACGGGACAGGGATTCTGACAATGGGTACAGTCTGATCCAGATCGATGGTGTCGACAGCACCGAGGCCGCAAAGTGAGTAGCGTCTGGAACGACATGTTGGATATGGACGAGGTTACTAAGACTGTTTCCACAGCTTCTACTTGGGCAAGAAGGTCGCTTTCGTCTACCGGGCGAAGCGTGAGGTTCGGGGTTCCAACATCCGGGTGATCTGGGGCAAGGTCACCCGCCCTCACGGTACGTGAATCTGATCTATTCAGCGAAGCGGCTACGATTGTCGATGGCAGACACATCGGGTCATTCGAACTAGATTGGGAAGAGGACTAACGCGAGATCTCTTGGAATAGGCAACTCCGGTGTCGTCCGCGCTCAGTTCCGCCACAACCTCCCCCCCAAGTCCTTCGGTGCTACTGTCCGCGTCATGCTGTACCCCTCCAACATCTAAACGAGTCGATTTTCTTTTCACGTGTTAGTTGGCACTCCGGAATCTTCGCGCAGACAGTCGGGCAAGGAGTCAACGGTATGAGCCGATGTTGAGATGGAGTTGGCGGGTTGATGATAATGTTCGTGGGAGAGGCAGGGCCGTCCAGCCCTACGAATTAAAATAAAAGAACTCTTGTCTTCTTTACAGCATGGTTATTCTTGTCGGTTACTAGGCATTTAGAAAGGCTTGACCTGTTTTGGTACTGGCGAGCATCATATGTCTTGTCTGACAACGTGGCTTCTCCCATCTGTACTGATGATCATAACACCAATGAATACCATTTCAACAAAGTTCGGGTTTCGTTCGTGCTATCGTGCAAAATTTCCAACGGGCAACAATCGGCCGGGAGCATTTGCGGTTTCGAGGTCGCTCGCCCGGTCTGTGAGACATCGATCATTCGTATCATGCACGGTCTACATTGAACTTTCCCCAATGCGACACTCGATACCTGACGAGGGCCTGCGATTTAAGTCTACTACATTTCCAATGCGGCTTTCGCTTTCCAGGCACTCCAATCCCCGTTCTTGTCCTGATAGCACACCCCTGGGTCTGAGATCGTAGGCCGCTTGGCTACATGTGCCTTCCTGGTTCAAGTTCCATTCAGCAGTGTCAGTCCCAACAGGCTATCGATATTTTTGTAGTTCGTAGCTGCGGGGCTAGGTCCTTATCCGCTGATGTGAATAATACAATACGAAACTCATGATCTAATACTAATCATCCAACAGATAGGCTTGCCAGCCATTCGATCTCTCGAGAGCGAGGAAGTTCTTAGCGGACCTGGTCTCACATTATCTACAGAGTACTAACTTTTTATCTCTTCAGGCGAATAGTATCTTGCGAATAGTCTCAGAGAGCATACTGTTCATCCCTACCTATGCCCTTTCTACATATTCTTGCGCTGCATTTGATTGGACGCCTTCATTTTTCAAACAGTCACCAATTTCGGATGCAGTTCTTGATTTGACGTCTTGTACAACAAATCCTTGTTTTCTGTTTGGTCCATATGTGCCTGTTATCTGTATATTTCTTGGTGGATGAAGTGTTCCTAGCTTCAAATAGAGGAAAGTGTCACATAAACCTCTATGGATTCTCCAGGGCCATGCTAAATGCTTACTGCTAGGTTTGAAGATATATACTAGCAAAATCAGGTCCTTGTAGGGGAAGCATGATAGTTCCACAAGAATAATAACTGGTGTTTGTACCATTTGGGGACTCATAGAGCACTCATATGTTCAGCTGCAGTCTAGTTTGAACTTGCGCTTCGGTCATTAGAAACGAGACAAATGAAAAATTCTAGAGTATCGGTATAATAGACCTATGTTCGAAACAAAGCAATAAGAGCGGATTTGAGTTTTGCCCATTCCAGGCACGGTCATAGTCTGACAAATGCCCCAGCCCAGGAAGTTTTCACACCAAGTTGCAATTTCTAGGGTGTTGACTATCCCATAAGGAAAAGAATATGAACAGTCGCAGGATAGACATGCCTAGGTTTCGAATTCCATGTTACATACCAAGGCAGTTTAATTAAATAAACACCCTATGAAGGAATGTTTCTGTGCCATTGTGTAGTAATTGGCGGATATTGCACAATATGAGTCCGGGAATATAATTGTTTCAAGCCACCAGAGCCAAATGTCAGTATTGCACTTCAAGAAATTTCACTTGAGTGCCAAGCAAGTGATGAAACAAAATAGTAAGCATGGGTTATTGGCTGCAGACTTCATTCCTGGCAATCACCCCAGATATATATCCCGCGTGATCTGCCTAAATATGCACCAGAACCAAGAAATCCATTTCTTTGAGAAAGCAGGATGATATCAGGAAAGTCGTCCAGAATGGACGACTCCCCGCAAACCGGAGCAGGGGGCTGAAAAGATTCTGGAAACGGACTCCTTGCATTGTTTACCCCGAGTTAATAGGAATTAAAGTAGGCGCCATCCCCCACCGCGATGACCCACCAGGATACCCTGATGATCGTCACGCATCCTCCAACAGCCAGCCGCCGACGTGATCGACTAGCGGTTTCGACGTAGTCAATTAGGTTCGAGGGGAGAAACATGCTTTGGGCAAAGCAGATCAGAGGCACTTGCGACGCGAATACGACGGATGGGAGTGACCATTAACACCCGTGGTAGGCACTTATTGGCGCCAACTGGAGCACATTAATTTAGGCCGAAATTTGGGAGGCTGGTTCAATACATGATGCATACTGCCTGCCTATCTTTCGATCCTGGCCTCGTCACAGTTTCATCAGACCAGGTCAGGATCCGGTTGGATTGCAACAATGCAGCCCACACTAGACTCCTGCAGCAGAGATTGTTGTGCAACTGCTTGTGCATGTATAAGGGATTGGACGTGAGTCACCCATCCATCTTTGATGGAAGACAAATCCTGTTTCATTCCGACTGCCACATAGCCAATGGGAAAAAGACGGATGAGCCAAGCGCCGGGTTAGTCGACCTTTTAGCGGTGCAGCTAAGGAAGCACATGTCTTGGGCACGTCCATCATGGATGGGCGACGAGGCAGCAGCGTGGAATTACATCCGACCACACTAGACGGGAACCAGCCGAGAGTCTAGTAAAATACAACCCGGCGCGACAAGGTGATAAGCCATGATGGCAGTCGATCTCCATGGATTACGCAAGAGTCGAGTACAACTCAGCGCAAGCAGTTTGGTGCCTGGGTAACCCCAGCCATGTTCGATTGGCTCGCTTTGGCTGCGGGAGGGGAAGTTGCGTAACGTCGACGAAAGTCTGGCCAGCCGCGGTATTCTTCTCGCCGCCGCTTGCCTCGATGGGGGTAAGCCTACTTGCCCAAGCCGGTCTAGCGGCGTAATCAATTCTATTTCGGGGCCCTCGTTCTGTAATCCGTACCATCAGCTGCTCATGCACGCCTCTTTTTTCCTTTTTTTTTTTTTTTTTTTTTTTTTTTTTTTTTTTTTCCTTTCCCTCTCCGTTTCTTCTGTCTTGGAGCAAACGGGCACGAGTCAATGACAGATGCAACGGTGGATATTGTCCTCTTCTCCCGGGGAATAGAGTCCATCAGACTCCTGGGGTTGGTAGGGAAACACCAATTGATGGGTTCATTATATTCATCTGATATCCCAGTATTCGACCTTCGCCGTACTCAAAGAAAAGCAACGTACGGTTAATGAACTGGCCATTTGCAGAACAAACAAAAAGAACCCGATTACCTTCTAGTCCGGTGGCTTCGGCTCCCACGCCGCCGTCCGACCCAAATTTGATAGGAGGTGTTCCAATTGTTCATCGATTATCGTTCCCCTCTCATTGCGTGGCGCCCGTCGTCAACACCAAGGTCGTTTTCTAGTCAAAAAGCCTCTCTCGTCCTCCTCTCAATATTGGTTCCTCTCTTTCTTCTTCCTCCTCCCCATCCCACCTTCGTTTGGTTTGTGAGACTTTTTTTTTTCTCGCTGAAATTGCTTTCCCTTCCTCACTCTTGCTATTTCTACAGTTTGTATTACTACAAAACTGAAGCGGCTTATTGCCACTACCTCTCCACCCTTCCAACGATCGTTGTTTTTCCCTGCCTGCAGGGATCAGTTACCTCTCGTGATTCGACCACAACCACCTCTTTGTCGCGCTCGTTTTAGGGTGGCAACCCTGGCTCTTATCGTTGCGTTTTCCGATTTTCTGGACGACGTATGTAAAGCAAATTACACCACGATCAATCCATCGACTCGACTCGAATTTCAGCATCAGTTTCAGTTGTCCCTCTAGCTAGATCTCAATCAAATTAAACGTGCCAGTTTCAGGCAGCGGAGCCTATCCAACCCCACTTGGCAGTCAATTTGCGTGCAGTGCAGCGTCGTGAACGTGAATGTCTCGAATCGCCTGATACTCGATCAATCAGGGTGCACGATCATACATTCCTTGGCGGTTTCTACCCCATCGTGGTTGCGCTCCACAACGGCCGCCATAGTTCTAGCAGATCGCAAGGAAACCCGGTTTATCAGGCGCTAAGAACAACGGGGTGATAATAAAAAATGGCCGCCCCCCAACCGGTCGCGTCTCCTAGACGCAGTCGAGGTTTCAGTTTGAGGTCGGAGAATTCCCATCATTCCAGCAACTCTGGCCAGAAAAAAACCCATCATCGCACCGAATCTGCTGAGGAAAAGGCCAAACGCAATCTACATACCAAAGCCGACCCGATGGTTGCTATGAGCGAAGCGCAACCCAGTAAGTGCCCTTATCTACCCTGCTCCACATATTTTTGGCAGTCGCGCTCTCTCCTTTCTTTCGTTTGGAACTCCAGCTATTGCCTGTTCAACCCCCACCGCATTGTCAAAATTTCCGATCGATTTGCACTCATGATCCAACTGACAGATCCCATCTAGTGACGGTTGCTCTGGAGAAATCGAACCTGGGTTCCTTGAGGGACATGGAGCACAAGGATCAGTACGGGAATCCGATAAGTTCGTTGGCACCTTTCCCCCTATTCATGATTGTTTGGCACTGGTAAAGAGGCCCGACACTAACTTTTTCCCCTTTTGTTTTTCTCTGAATACAGCCGAACCCGATCTTTCCAATCCCACCCGCCCTCGATTCGAGCGTCCGTTGGACACCATCCGGTCCTTCGAGGCCGCAATATATGGTACCTACAACAGTCGACCGGTTTCGTACGCGAAAACAGGTGAGACACACAAGCCTTCGGTCGCCTCGCCTCAATGGCTGATAATTGTCTTAGACTATGAACCAACCCCTGGACCTGAGTATACCAGTAGACGCAGCAGCTATTTTGGAGGTACTTCATTCGATCCTTGATTCTGGATTCTTGCCCTGGCTTGAAGCTCGCCCTGCTGACAAATCTGATGATGTGCAGCACCCAATGGACACCTGAATCGCGGCTATAGCGAACAGAGCGCATACCACAATGGCCGAGGGCCGTATTCGCGACCGGATAGTTTCGTCGACAACTATGGCGACGGACCGCCCCCGGAGAACTATTATCCCTATAATCAGAGTGGCAGGAGACCGCGACGCCAGCCGCGCATGAGTTCCGAGCACGCAATGTACGGGCAAAATTACGGTCAGAACGGATATGCTCCGAATGGACACAGCCAGAATGGATACCACAAATCCTACGAGAATGTGACGGCGTCAGGCTCGGGCAGCAACACCGACCAATGGGGCAATTCGACCGATCCCAGCTCCGTGAACAGTTCGATCGACCAGCTTCAGCAACAACAGCAGATGCAGCGGATGGAGGAGAGGGCGATGGCAGAGCATTACGGATTCCAGGGATTTGGCCCGGGGCCCAACCTGGAAAATCAGACAATGTCCGGGGCGGCTGGAACGGGGCCCGGAAGGATCAACCTGAGCAAAGATCTCCCAGCCACCGATCCGACAGCTGGCGGCCCCGTGGGCGGGCCTGTTGGTGGACCACCAGCTGCGACTGCCGCACCCACTCGTCGCCATCTGCGCAAATCGACCAATGCGTCGGACGTCAGCGATACAAACTCCAAGCGAAAGAGCTGGTTCAAGCGACGCTTTAGCAAGAACAACTAGTCGATCTTCTCCACCCCTTCTTTTTACTTTTACCCTTCCTTTCTGCTACCTCTCACTCTCTCCTGATGCCTGCCTATTGGCTTCTCCACCCCCTCTTTCTTTTCTACTTGTGTAATAATTGACCTGGCGTTTTTGTTTTTCGTGCTTTTCTTTCTTTCTTTTTTTCTTCTTCTCTCGATTACAGCAAACGGGAACTTCGGAATGGGATAACCTGGGAATAATATTTGCGTTCAGCTTGCCATTTTTTTAAGCATCTTTTATGTTCATTGTTCTCTGTCTGATTTTCTGTTGACGAGACCACGATACTTACATGGGATGCACGATCGAAACTATCTACTCTATCTTATTTCTTCATTTCTCATAAGTATTATTCTTGACCATGTTTAGTACTAAGGGCGGTTTATTGAATTCCTGTTTCTTTCATTCTTTGTTTCTTTTTCTCAATCATATATTTAGGCATATCAAATTGAAAAATGTCTCGATCATATTGAAACCCAAGAAATAGGGGTATGATTATGCAAAGTGTGATAAGTCGCAATTGCAAAGTGATTAGCTGGCAGATCATTGTCGATCTGTGATAGAGTATAATACAGGCAGTGAAGATCTTCAACTTGTCTAATTTGTGATACATAGGATGATGAATCAGTAGCTGGCCTTATAACCATTACCATTTACAAGATAGCGATTATTCAAGAGGCAGCTACTTACAGTAAACAAATAAACAAACATGGGAATCACAAAAGACACAAGAAACAAATGCATCGCAAAGAAAAGATGGGCAGACTTGATGAGCACAGCACCCTCGAACAACCCAATCAACCCAATCAATCCAATCAATCACCACAGCCCATATCCCTCATACAAACCAGGATATAGGTAGCAAGCTATCCGAGGGCAGGAAGAGTCCCGCGCCATTACTTCCTCCCCAACAGCTTATGCTTCAACTTATCCGCCAGGCCCTCATGAGCTAGCGACTTCTGATGCTTCTTCTCCTCTTTCTCTTTCTTGTGTTCTTCGTCGAGGTGTACGTTTCCCTGACCGCCGCGCTAGATTGTGTTATCATTTTGTTAGAGACGCATCCGGACCTGACTAGACTGGGTGGGACGAAGGAATCATACCCCAACGTGATAATCTCCCTCGCCGGAATTGCGGATCGCAAGCTCGGGAACGACCTCCGCGTCGTGGGGTTGTCTGCTCGTTGGACGCACGTGTGGAGAACCGATGTTACCGGCGCCGCCTCGCTATATATCGCTATCTGTTAGACCGTGTCTATGTTGTAGGAAATACTGGGTATGGAGCGAGAGCGGGGCGGGGCGGGGCGGGGTGTGGGATGCGAAAGTTCGAGGTGCATATACTTACGCCGGCAGAATAAGCGCCATCGCCCTGGTCACCGTAGGCTCCTTCACGGACTATACCGCCATCGACGTAGCTGGTCGAGGGTTAGAAGTTTGGAGGATTGGAGACGAAGCGGAATAGGAGGGGTGTTTACGGGGTTGAGTCGGCGCCGATGTTTCCTTGGCCTGGAGGGGTCATAAATCAGCATGGAGTCCAGGATGAAGGAGTCCAGGGATGCGCGCACCTCCTCGGCCATGTGAGACGACAGGTTCATGCTCGCCCATGATGGATTGCGGGGCTGTGGGTAATGAGAGTCTGCGCGGGTAGGAAGTCAGTATGCGACAATGAAAGAAAAAGAGGACCAGTTTTGGAGACGGTCAAAAAGATGACGCAGATGGCAAGGGTCTCTATCTATAAGGCGGGTAAGCAGGTTGCTGACGTACCTGGAATGAATGTACTGCAGGTATTAAGCGCTTTCTAGAGTTTCTAGATCAGATGGTGGATGGAGACGGAGATCGTAAGATGCAGCCCTTCGGGCACCAAAGGAAGGCAGGGGGTCTTATATAAAACCAGACACCTTTCCGAAAACCAGACGGGCCAGACTAGACTAGATCAGCCCCCCGGGTGATCGCATGGACGAACTCCTGCGCCAGCGATGCAACAAGAAGACTGGAATACGAATGACGTCGGGTCGCGTGGATGATAAGATAAGGCCCGGCGGATGATTGGTCCCGCCCGTGACTAACGGCGTTTGCTGATAACCAGTTCTTGGCAAGGGTCTCAGCCTGGCTTTCAGGGGAAGAATTTCCATTATGTAGGCAGTATTATGTAGTGGAAGAGAGGAGAGTGTCAATCCATTCAGCAGTGAAATATCACAATACCAGTGGCCAGTCTGTCGTGAGCTCAAGCCCAGCATTACGGTCCTATAACTAACGCTACATCAACAATATATCTGCGACGAACCCTACCTGACTAACTGCAACTTCAATTTTACTATTGCTTCTTTTCAGGGGCGGGGCCTCCACCGGTGGTCGGAAGACCCATAAAGATCTTGAACGAGTCGTAACTAATATCCGTTAGCAGCCATTATTTTGCAAAGGAATCGAAATGAAGCAGAAGAGACACATACATCATCCATTGCAGTCCGGTCTGTTACACATTCCAATAATTAGCAAATTATTTCCTCCCAGACGATTAGAAGCACTCACCAAAGTTCCGATCATGACAATTCTGACAGGAAGGCCGTTCCATAGGCCCCTGAATCCGATGTCCTTGTAGATGCGGCTGGTAGCTGCACCAAAAGCCTCGCCCGCCTGACGGTTCGCGTTCAATTTACTGACCATCACGTCGGCAGGGTGGGAAATGGCGGCACAGAGAATACCAGCCAAATAACCACCAGTGAAAGCAACACCTGTCTGGGCTCCCTTGTTATAGTCAGATTTCTGGCCGGGCAGGTAGTGGTAGATCATCTCCACGATGGTTTCGAAAGAAGCGAACTTCATCATCGTGTATGGGATCTGCCGACCCCAGAGAGGATATAGACCCTTGTAGAGACTGGTACCAATCAGTGTCATCTAGCCTTATTGGATGGGAGCATTCTTACCCTGCCACGCCTTCCTTGGAGACAATGCTGGAGATTCCGCTGAAAGTCGATCTGAACTCCGGCGGGATCGTGGTCTGCGTGCGCACCTTGACGGCCTCGAATGGACAGAGAGCCACATCTGCAATCAGCTCGGCCGAAGCGCTGGCTGCCAGGTACACTGAGGTCTTCCAGCGATTGGCGTTTTCGGCACCGACCAAGTCGCTGTAGAACTTCTTGAAGTACTCATATCCACCGTATTTGAACGCTCCTTGCGCCTTTATAATTCAATTAGTGACTGGGAAATTTGTCAAGCATTTGATGCCCTCAGCTTACGCTGTATCCGAACAAGGTAGGACTCCAGCCAGTAAAGACACCTCTTAAACCTTCCGCACCACGGATCTTGCGGAAAGCCTCTCCGTTGCTCTTGTAAAGCGACGAGTCAACTTGCCGCCGGCATTTGATCAGATCCAACGGCGTTACTGCCGTATGGGTAACACCCTGACGGAGTGTAGGTGGTTAGTAGCGTGGTTATATGTTACCTCAAAAGGTAGAATACACTCACGCAAGCAAGCAGTCCACCGACAGTGCAAGCCGCATAGTATTTGGGAGTCCACGGTTCAATATGCCCTGTCTTAGCTTGCACCTTTTCGCTGGCCGCGTTGAACTCCCGCGTTGCTTCCTTTGTAAGGGAGCCCGCCGACTTTTTGGTGTCATCAATCACGCTCCATGCGGGGAAAGGGTTCCTTCGTTTCGGGGCCGGAACAGCCGAATGCTCCTCAGCCCGTCGCAGCGGGTGGGAGAAGGCGCTGGCGACAACATTCTCAGAGGGGAGCATGTCGATTGCTTTTTTGTTTTGAGTGCCAATAGCGATTGATGTTACTCTGTGTAATTTAAGAGATTCGATGGATGCAGAGCGAGTGCTGATGGTCCCTTATCTACTAGTAGTATAGAAACAACCGAAGATCGTCTCCACTCTTATAGTAAGTACTCCAGACGGACATTGAGAAGAATCGATGGGAAGGGGAACGAACAGGATAAAAAGGATCGAGAAACACACTGGCCTTCTCTCAGACGCAATCAGCGAAACCTGGCTATCAGGAACCGGCAGGGGGCCAGTAAATAAATACCTCGTTGCGGGCGAGGGACCCCGTGACTGGACGGCCATGACGTCGCAGCGTGACATCCCGACTTCCGATGCAGTGGGCCGCCATCTCAAATTTATCATTGGACCCCTCCATCTCAACTCATCTTCCCTCGACCTCGACGGAGATTCCCATACCGAACCCCGTACACTCGGTATCCATCCTTGCCATTACTGTCACCAATCTCAATTGCGACATCTCCTTTCACCCTTCTCGCGCACCGATCGCTATTACGACTCACTCATCTTCACATCATGGCTTCATACATGACCGCCAGCGAGGCCTTTGCCCGCGAAAAGCTCTCCCCCAATGCCGACAAATCTACATCGCAAGCTTCCTGGGCCGACAAGTACCGCGGAGTCAGTTTCTCTCTCTCTCTTCTAATTTAGTTGCACCTCGCCCCCCTAGCCCAAAAATCCTTTGAGGCTGGACCCAACCCAAACCCACAAAACTAACATTACTGGTTTCAGGCTACTGTCGAGGACCTGGACCCCCCTCTTGCCCTATCGGTGTCTCCGAATGACCCTATATCCTCCGCCCTGATGGCCGCTTACGAGCGCGACTACACCCACCTCACCGTGATCTCGTCGACGAAACGCTCTCTGCTCGGATACCTCAGCATTCCCCGGCTCAGGGAGCTACTGAAGGAAGGAGCCGTGAAGGAGCCGGATTCGGTCTCCGCCGCGATGCAGCGATTCAACCGCAAACGGGGCACATACCAGGTGATCACCATGGAGACTCCGCTGGAGGAGCTGGAGCAGTTTTTCGAGAGCGAGGCGGGCCCCAACGGCGAGAAGAGGGAGAAGCAGGGCTTTGCCGTTGTGACGGATGCGTCGAGGAAGTTTGTGCTGGGAGTGGCTACGAAGGCTGATCTCGAGGAGTTTGTTAAAAGACGGCCGTGATTGCGTGCTGGTGCGTCGGGCGTGGTGTGGGACCTAGCCGGTTTCTTTTGAATTTATTACATGTTTGATACACATATTGTTAGTGCATTTTTAGGCGCAGCTATTCAACATGGTCTGAATATATACTATATGGGATTCAATGGACTGATAGTTGTGGGATGTATGATTGTAGTTGGAGTGCTGGCGAGTATGCTAAAAATACTAACTGGTAAGGGCGCTACTGGAAATTGAGAGGTGAATGGAACCCAAGAAAGAAGACGCCTATCAAAATTGATATTCGTATCGATTCACATTAAGAAAATCCTTCACTTCGTACACAATCAGGTCTGCCATATAAGCCTAAAACGCCATTCAATCAACTGAGAACTCGAAACAATATACGGATTCCCTCGACTACAAAGAGCAAGAGACATAAGGTATGAAGCAGAAATCCAGTGAAAGCCATCGACAAGACAGAGTCCACCCTATTGGGCCTTCTTTTCTTTCTTCTTCGTCAAGGCTTCCCGCTCTTCTTGATCCTCCTGCCACGCGACGTAGATGTAGGCGAAGAGGACGACATTCGCAGTAATGGCCGCGATAACACCCGCGATGGTTGTACTCGCTTCCAATTTGTTAGACCTAGATACTTCTAGTCAAGTATGAGGAGCAGACGCTATCACTCACCACCAAATGTTACAGCCACGAAATACATGCCAATAGGGGTGGAAATCATGGCTGCCGTGAACCCCAGCAATTTGAAGATCACATGTCTGAAAGGGAAGAGTCAGTGTTGATATTCAATTGAAGAGTATAGAAGCAAGAAGCATCGTTCCATGAGCTGGTGAATGTGTACCAAGCGTGGTTGCACGGCCTAGCATTCCATCTCTCATCCATGGTCATTGGGCAGTAGCCATGTGGCATCAGGCAGGAGACGGGTGGCACCTACGTGGGAACTGCAGGACTAACGTCCGAGTCCGACGGTTTCTCGGACCCTGATGGGGGCACAGTATCTGCTGGCGATTGGGCGTGAGGGCGACGACTGGCCATGTTGAATACGTGGGATTTCCGTGGTCAATAACAAACCAAGGACGGAGGATTTCGGTGGACAGGGTGATCTTGAGACAGCGGATATGCAAGAAAGCTAAGACAGTTTGAACACAGGACGAGATGAGAACACCGCGCGTTAGACCCAGCAGAGAGTGGAAGGCCCAAGTAGTGGTAGGCAGGTATACTAAGAGGTGGCAGATGGAGGAACCACGACAGACTGCGGATCTCATTGGTTGCGGAGCTTTGACGGTTCTTCCCCACGTCTGGCGAGAAGTGAAGAGCCTCTCGTCCGGTGGCGTCTCTGACTTTGTTTCTGGAACACCGTTCTTTCACTTTTGTCTTGTCTTTTCTTTTTTTATTTCTTCGTTTCTTTCCTATTGCTATTTAGACCCGGAACTAGACCTCCAACCCCCGACCTTTGCATATTTCCTGGTCGGTCTTAATTGAAGCGCCAACCCACGTGACTGGCGGCGCGTCTGGGCGCGTTTTTTACTTTTTTTTCTCTTTTGCGGAGAATCCAATCCGTTCAGAAGAGGTTGGAGACTTTCCACTCAGTCGATCGAGCAGGTCCTCCCTGGCTGGGTTTCCTCTCCCCACTCTTTCTCTTCTATTCACTTCAGCATCTCACCTCCAACTCAAGATGGATGACTCTGTCCCCGATACGCCGGTGAGCGACAAGAAGGTCATCCACAGCACTCCTCCGCCCGTCAAAGACGACGCAGAATATGAGACGGTTGCCACCGTTCCGCTGGGAAACCTCCACCACCTTCCGACTACCCAATTGACCCCGGCTTCTCAGCGACTAACACAACCGACTCAGCTGGTTGAGCCCCCTCATTCGGCCAAAAGCAACTCGGTTGTCCAGGTTGCCGCCTCCTCCCCTCCGGGCCCTACGTCGTCCCCCTCGCGACCGACCCCGGTCGGCGGTCGCCTTTCTAGCACTATGGCGCCCAGCGGAACGCAATTTCGTCCTCCTGTCTCCGCGGGTCCGGCAAAACGTGCGCCGGTAATCGACCTCGATGACGATGGCCCGACGTATCGAGGCGGATCCTCCGATGACGATGCCCAAATGTCCATGAACACGGACATCAAACCCTCCACCTTTACCAAATCCGCACGAAGCCCGGACAAAGTTATGAACTCTCCGCTGGGCGGCAGTGACTCTATGAATCGCTTCAAAGAGATCACGGCGTCGGCCGTGTACAACCCTATGACCGCCAAACGCACTGCGGCTCAAATGGACCCTGCGCCCAAGGGGGTCCCGGTTAAGAAAATTCGCCAAGATGCTCCCTCTCGCGCGCAGCCCGTGTCCTCGAGTGTCGCATCGCTACAAGAGATCGAGGATTACCAGGTCAGGGTTAAGGTCGAAAGAATGCAGAAGGTGATGCCTCAAAAGTCCGTCCAAGCTTGTCTGCAGGCCCTCCTTTTCAAGCGCGGTAATTACGATGATGCACTGGACCATTTGGTTAACAGCGACGAGGTGGATGCAAATGGCTCGTCGGAAGACGAGTTAAGTACGAACAAACACGCTTCGGCGCCGGCGAAGCAGCAGATCAAAGCTCGTGGCACGATTCAGGATAAATGGGCCGCAATGAACCTGCAAAATCGCGGCAGTCAGAAGACGGAACCGTCTCAGGAGGAACAGAAGCCTCGAAGACGCCTGATGAGAGGCCCGAAGAGTCGCAACGCTTCTCCAAGCCCGGTCCGCCGCTCGGAATCCCCCCCGAAGAAGAAGCCTGGTCGACTGATCCAGGGTCGCAAACGGGTCTCCCCCGATCGTTCAGAATCCCCGGAAGCACCTTTGGAAATCTCCGACGATTCCGATTCTGCTGCTGAGGCCGCCCCCGAGGAGGGAGGGCCATTGGAAACTAAAGTTTTGAACTTCTTCAACAAGTGCCAGATGCTTGACCTTGCCGACATCGCCGCAATTACCGAGGATGTTGCCGAGCATATCATCTCTCACCGACCATTTGCGTCTCTTGATGAGGTGCGCGTGGTCCCTGCACCGACCGGTGACCAGCCCGCGAAGCCCAAGGGAAGCCGTGGGCGGAAGACACCAAAGCCGATCGGTGATAAAATCGTTGACAAATGCTTGGACATGTGGGTGGGGTATGATGCCGTGGACTCTCTGGTCGCCCGATGCGAAGCACTCGGAAAACCGATTGCCACCGAAATGAAGAAATGGGGCGTGGATATCTTCGGAAAACGTGACGGTGAACTGGAGCTAGTATCGATTGACCCAGGGGCCTCGCACGACTCCGGCATTGGAACCCCCGCGAGCCAGCGCTCCGAGGAAGATAGTGATGGTCCTGCATCCGGCTCACGCAAAGCACGGTTCATCTCACAGCCTGGTATCATGTGCGAAGACCTCAAAATGAAAGACTACCAGATTGTCGGCATCAACTGGCTCTCACTGCTGTTTGAGAAAGAACTCAGTTGCATTCTGGCAGATGACATGGGTCTTGGAAAAACCTGTCAGGTCATCGCATTTTTGGCTCACCTGTATGAGAAGGGCATCAAGGGACCCCATCTGGTCGTTGTGCCATCTTCCACGATTGAAAACTGGCTTAGAGAGTTCCAGAAATTCTGTCCCACGCTCTCAGTCATGCCCTACTATGCGGGCCAAGCGGAGAGGGCAGTGATTCGGGAGACAATCGAAGATAACAGGGACAGCATTAATGTTATCATCACCACCTACACCATTGCGAAGGGCAAGGTTGATGCTCATTTCCTTCGGAACATGGATTTCAGTGTTTGCGTTTACGACGAAGGGCATATGCTGAAGAGCTCTACGTCTGTGTTGTACGAAAAGCTGATTAGGATCCCGGCCCGTTTCAGACTGCTTCTGACGGGAACACCGCTCCAAAACAACCTTCAAGAGCTCGCCTCCTTGCTCGGTTTTATTCTGCCGAAGGTTTTCCATGAGCGCAAGGAGGAACTTCAATATATCTTTGCGAACAAGGCGAAGACGGTCGACGATTCGCATTCCGCGCTTCTTTCCGCTCAGCGCATCGAACGTGCCAAGTCCATGCTCAAGCCTTTTGTTCTCCGGCGAAAGAAGCACCAAGTCATCGATCTCCCGGCCAAACACTCTCATGTGGAGTATTGCGAGCTTAATGCGTCCCAGAGAGAAATTTACGAACACGAGCAGGAGGAGGTTCGCCAGCTCTTGGCTGACCGAGCAGCGGGTAAAAAGACCGGCAACCGGTCTGCCAACATTCTGATGAAGCTGCGCCAGGCCGCCATTCATTCCCTCCTTTACCGACGTCATTATAATGACACTATTCTGAGCAAAATGGCCAAGGCATGTCTCAAGGAAGAGCAATGGTCCATGTCCAACCCAGACATCATCTTCGATGAGTTGAAGGCTTACAACGACTTCGAATGTCATACCATGTGCGTCAACTACCCCAAATCTCTTGGGAAGTTTGTTTTGAAGAACGACGAGTGGATGGATTCTGGCAAGGTTGACAAGCTCTGCGAACTCCTTGCGCGCTTCAAAGAGAAGGGGGATCGCGCTCTGGTCTTCTCCCAGTTCACCATGGTTATGGACATCCTCGAACACGTGCTTGAACACCAGCAAATCGAGTTCGTCAGACTTGACGGACGAACAAATGTCGAAGATCGTCAGTCAATTCTCGATGCTTTCCACGAACGAACAGAAATCCCGGTCTTCCTTCTTTCCACTAAAGCCGGTGGCGCTGGTATCAACCTGGCGTGTGCCAACAAAGTGATCATCTTTGACTCTAGCTTCAACCCCCAGGAGGACGTGCAAGCCGAAAACCGTGCCCACCGAGTGGGTCAGACCCAGGAGGTTGAAGTCATCCGTCTAGTGACCAAGGATACCATTGAGGAGCAGATTTACTCCCTTGGACAGACCAAGCTTGCTCTCGACCAGGCAGTTGCAGGTGAAGATGGTGCGGAGTCCAAGAAGTCCGAGGAGGCTGGAATGAAAGCCGTTGAAGACATGGTCCTCGCGGACATGAACCAAGACAAAAAGAGCACATGATTCAGATAAATTCTGATCAGTGGATGATCATTGGTTGACTTTTCCTGCATGGGAAAGCCTCTGCGCTCTTGCTATGACTCTACCTTATGTCAGATTGGGTAGAGCTGTTTTGTGATCTCAGTTGCATTTTTCATTTATCTACACCACCATCGAATTAGCGGTTTGGATGTTTACATGCCGTTGATCCTGCCAGGACATTCCATCCTGTGAGGCTTCCATGGCCCTAGCGGAGTCTGTATCTGACAATATTCTGTCTGAACAGAAGCACCTTGGTGTTATACTGTTGTGTATTGGGGATTGTTCATGTTGATTTTTCATTTCCCTCATCTCTCTGTCTTTTTTTCCCTCCCTTTCTCGTTTTAGAAAAGGAGTACGACTGGTTTAGCTAGACACTACTTTTCCATGACACGATGGAATTTTTAATAGATTATCGCACAAGCTCTGGCTCTTGCGTTCTATTGTCCGGGGACTCGCAGCGAGCGTTTTATGGATCGGAAAGAATTTATGGAGCACTGTACTATACATGAAAGAGGTTTATTTAAATGGGAGTTTGGCTTTATGGGTCGATAATTGAATAACTTTTCCTTTCTATCTATTTTGATGGGGTTGATTGGCCGTGTATGTAGACTTATTACTTGAGAAGAAATTGCAGATATGTATGTGCGGGGAAAGACATGAATGAAACACCATGGGAATCTATAAGAACCTCCGAATTACCAAAACCAGTACTTGAACACCAGGATAATGCGGCCTGGACACAAAAGACCAGGAGAATGAAGAGATTTTGACGATAAGGAAACTGGATAACCGGGTTCCCTGCACCAGTTGCGAATATGTATATGAAGAAAAAGAGAAAGCAAGGAAGATGGCCGGAATGGGCTGACGGGTTTACGCCGCAAGCTCTGGCTGCTGAGTCGTCTGCTCGGGCACAGTGGTTTCGATACCCGCTGTAGTCTCTGGCTTTGGCGCGGGCTTCGGGATGGAGTTGGTGCGGATGGGGCCTCCAGCAGCAGCAACGACGGGCGAGGTGGGCTTGGAGCGAGGAGCACCGCCAGCCGCACGAGCAGTGTCGTTATTCTCGAGGGCATTCTGAACGGCCTTATTACGGGCTTCCTCATTGTAGACGGATCTGTCCGCGATGTTGAGGACCTCGTCCACCTGCTTGGCAAGAGGCAGCAGGTCATCGAATTTCATGAGGTGGCAGCAATCCCAGTAGGTCCTGGCGTTCTTGGCGGCCTTGAATTCCTTGTCCCTGCCGGGGATCATCATGTTCAGTAGGTACTTGGTGTTGCCGAAGCGGTTCTCGGATTCCATGCAAAATCTCATGTATTCGTGGACGACGTCCTTCCACGGCAGGAGGCCGCCTTCGGCTTCAGTGCGGAAGCAGGAAGAGTTGGATTCGGCGGAAGTAGCGATCATTGCGCCATCCACACCATATTCTTCCATTAGGGCCAGACCCTGGTCGCGCGAGGTCACATCGCCGTTCATGACGCACGCAACGCCGGCCTCATGACACACGTTGGCGACCATGCGCAGCTGGTCCCGAATGGCCCTCTCCCGGGGTCGCATGGGCGTTGTCCGACAGTGGACAGTCAGCCCCGTAATGCCCGTCTTGACCAGTCTCGTCACCAGTTGCTCCGTCATCTCGGGTTCATCAAGGATGCGAATCTTCACCGAGATACCGATTTGAAAGGGGTTTCCGACCTCCCTGACTAGCGCCTCGAGGATCGCACACAGCTTGTCTGGCGTACGCAGCAGCGCGGCACCCATTCCACCACTGGTGCTGAACGGCTTGGGACATCCCGAGTTCACATCGATGCCGGCCACATCACCGGCGACGATCTTGGCGGCTTCGACAGCGAGCTCCGGCGAAGCCGTCCCGATCTGATAGATAAGCTTGCCCTTCTCCCGGACCGGGTCGATGCGGTAGATGATGGAATCGTAGACGGGTCTGTCGGTGCGCCCACCGTTGGAGGGGCGTCTGAAGAACTCGATGGTGCCGTTGCGGGGGTTGACTCGACGGGTGGTTCCGATCATGGCGCGATCGATCGTCTCGGGCCCCCAGACGAGGTCGGCGCCATATCTGAGAGCAAGAAGACGAGATGGGAGTTCACCCGATCGCACCATCGGCGCAAGGACGAGCTTGCCACGATAGTCCACGCCGTTGGCGGGGATGGGCACACGGGGAGGTGCAGAGAGCGAAGTCATGACGGCGCGAAGAAATCCTTTCATAGCATAGCTTGGCGAAGAGGTGCAAACAGAGGTGAAGTCAAGGATCAGACCTACGTGTCTGGGCTAGACTAGGGTCTGTCGGTCCTTGAAGATATTCGGGGATACTCCACGGGATCTCGATAAATTAATTAATTGTTAGTCATTGAGGGAAGGCGGCGAGAGAAAAAGTCGAGCGCACGTGATGATAGTCGATAAGAAAAAGTAGGTATATTACACTAGTAAGTTACCGGTAATCGAGGTACGGGAGGGACGGTATTTTACAGCGTTCCTGCCAAGAGAATTCTTCTTTCCCTGCAATCGATCTTCTTCCATCGTCTCCTTCTCAGATCCTCCCAGAACTTCCTGGATGAAGAGAATCCCAATAATCGAGTGTCACTATGCCGGCCAGAAGAATGCTCAGCGTCACACAGCCACACCAGACCTTTAGACCAGCCGGAGTCTTGGAACCACAATGATGCCATCCTGGGCATTCCTTGCACACTGCCTGCATCGTATACTTCGAATGCTACGAACTGCTATCTAGTAGCAGGTCTCTACGGTGGCACGGAAATGGAGCTCCTCAAGTGGCCTGCTTTCTTCCCACAGAAAGAGGATATTGCTTTCATTTCAAAGTTTAAAGTCTATTCCAACTATCCGAGACTAAGGCAGGATGGCAAACTACCGAACCTCATAGATTCGTCAGCCCATACAGTGGAACGGGTCAGACCCGGTGGAGCTCGTCCAGAAGATTTCACCGAAAGAGAGCGCAGAGAGGACGATTGACAACGCGACTAAGACCCGGTAGGACAGGCCCGGTCAGACTGAGATGTGAAAACCTGGTGGAAGGAATTGGAGTCACTTGGGGTCGAGAGTGGCAATCCGCATCAACGTCGTTCGGCCAGGAGAGGAGGAGTTGAGATCTATCACGAATCACGAGAGGAGTTGTAGACCGATCAGTAGTTCCTAGGTTAAATCAAAAAAGACAAGACACGGAATCAGGAGCCTCGGAAGGACCTCCCGGGAGACCGATTTTCCTGCCGACAAATTCCCTTCTCCTTTTCGCTCCGCGGGAGTTTAAAGACACTTGCCCATCCAAAGTCCAAAGTCCAAAGTCCAAAGTCCAAAGTCCAAAGCCCAGCAAAGACGAGCACCAGGATCCCTCGCGACCAATTGATTGCAGCCGTGATCGATTGTCTCTGCCAATCGCCAGCGATTCTCTTGCACCCTCAATGTCCCTGGGGTCGTCATCGGTGCCCAGACGAGCTCCATTAAGCCGATTGCTGCCCACCGCCTCTCCGATTCTCGCCCGCTTCTCGCGCACATCCGCAACGCTGGCTCCCCCCACTAAACAAGCCACCCCTCCCTCCTCTTCTTTCTCCCCTCCTTCTCTTTCTTCCTCCTCTCTCCCCTCTGCCGTTTTGTCTTCTTCATCCTCATCTTCTTCCCTTCCTCGAGTGGATCGATCGCTCTCTTCGGCCTCAACTCGTGCTGCTCTTGTTTCTCGACATTTTTCTACGGCCCCGCCACCCCCGTCCAACATGTCTTACACCGTTCGCAAGATTGGCCAGGCCAACACCCTGGAGCACCGTGTCTTCATCGAGCGCGATGGCAAGCCCGTCTCTCCCTTCCACGACATCCCTCTCTACGCCAATGAGCAGCAGAACATCCTCAACATGGTTGTTGAGATCCCCCGCTGGACCAACGCCAAGCAGGAGGTACGGCTCCGCCCGACTGCGATGGATACAGAACCGATCTGTTCGTGGCAAGAACTCGACATGCTGACCTGACATTCCCTCAAAGATCTCCAAGGAGGACTTCCTCAACCCCATCAAGCAGGACACCAAGAAGGGCAAGCTCCGTTACGTGCGTAACTGCTTCCCCCATAAGGGTTACCTCTGGAACTACGGTGCCTTCCCCCAGGTATGTTGAAGAATGCGCAAGCTCCTTTTCTTGACAAAATTTGTGTCACCGTGCTGACAGCTTTGCCCCAGACCTGGGAAGACCCCAACACCGTTCACCCCGAGACCAAGGCCAAGGGTGACAACGACCCTCTCGATGTTTGCGAAATCGGTGAGCTCGTCGGCTACCCCGGTCAGGTCAAGCAGGTGAAGGTCCTTGGTGTCATGGCCCTGCTCGACGAGGAGGAGACCGACTGGAAGATCATTGTCATCGACGTCAACGACCCTCTGGCTGCTAAGCTGCACGACATCGAGGATGTCGAGCGCCACCTTCCTGGCCTTCTCCGTGCCACCAACGAGTGGTTCCGTATCTACAAAATCCCCGACGGAAAGCCCGAGAACCAGTTCGCTTTCTCCGGCGAGTGCAAGAACAAGAAGTAAGCTTTCTGAATTGTGGTTGTGGCACCGTGCTGTGAGACTGACTCTATTTTCTTCTAGGTACGCTCTGGACGTCGTCCGCGAGTGCGCCGACGCCTGGGAGAAGCTCATCTCCGGCAAGGCTCCCCGTGGCGAGATCAGCCTGTAAGTTTCTCTTGATGTGATGTGATTAACAAATGTTCCGTTCACTAATCATTTCTACAGGGCCAACAACACCGTTGAGGGCTCCGCTGACCGTGCTGACCCCAGCCAGATCGCCGCCATTCCCCAGGGCGAGAACTTGCCTCCTGCCCCTATCGATGGCAGCGTTGACAAGTGGTTCTTCATCTCTGGTGCTGCCGTCTAAATTACCCGCTAGAGAAAATCATAAAAAAGAAAATCAAACTCTTCTAATTCGCCCTGCGGGTGAACACATTTCAATTTTGTGTCCTGATTGTCCCGTCTAGTAGAGTGCTTTCAACGTATTCGCTGGATTCAATGTAGCCGTTTATTGCGAGAACTTAGATATAACGCTTACACTTGCGACTGCAAGCCCAACCCTCAGTTTCTTGGACAAATGGACAACATGGGATAGCCATGAAAAAATAAAGTAAAGTATCTTTCAACAGCTATGGTAGTATATACACATGAAGGTATCGTAATGCTACAGATGGTAAATAGTCTCCTCCGTCAATCTCAATATCTCCAAGATTCATCACTCCCAGCACTGAAACAGGACCCAACCGTGAGGGTAGAGATAACGATCCCATCTCGAACCATTAGGCCCGGAATCGACGCACGAGCACTCATTCAAACCAAGGTAAATCCAACTCGAAAAAAAACATCGTCCGTTTAACCCTTCAAGCTCTCCTCTCTCTCAATGGCTCGTCCCACTCGCGCAATCTCCTCCACCACGTCGCCAATCTTCATGTTGCGCTTCCCAACCTCAAGCTTGACTTCCTTGCCGCCCTTGAACCCGATCAGGATCTCGGGCTCCTGGGTCGATAGACGCGGCAGCTGCTTGACCTTGATATCGACATGCGTGGGGCTAGACGCCGGGGTCGTGGACGGGTTGCGCAGCAGGGTGAGTAAAAGCCTGCAGGGACGCGAGGAGCGGGCGAATGGGTTGAAGGTGGCTCGGAGAGAGGAGATGGTCTGGACGGGGATCGTCATGGTGGGCGGTTCTTGGTTTGTGCGATAAAAGGGATTTAGTTAATTTGTTTCTGAAGTAGAAGTTAGCTCAGGCGTCATGGTAGAGTAGATCGAGGATAACTGACCGGCTTGGGATGGGTAATTGACCTCTTCGCACACCCGATAATCAGGCTTTAACGCTGGAGATAATGGGAAATCGTAGACGCGAAACGTCGCACACCGGCCCGGGTCAAAAGAGGAGGTGGAAATGGCGCAATAACAGTCGCTTTATCGCCGGGGAAAATCGCCTGGCACTTTGTCGCTGTCGGAGAGCGGAAGAGAAGAAGCAGGTGGTGTTTGTCTGAGATGCAAACATGTCTCGGGCTGGCTGGCCTCAGGAACGGATCGGGCCCGATGACGCTGTTGCGGCCAACTCGACCATACCGGCAATTTCCTCTCATTTGTTGCCAGCTGTCTCGCTTCCTTCTCAACGTTGCTGGTGAACATCCGTAATTACTGAGGATGTCGACGTGAGGTTTATTTGGACAGCCGATTCTTCTGGACCCGAAGTTCTCGCCGACTTTCACCGTTACCCCCGCCATTGACTGGCCAGAACACTACTGCGTATACGATGTCTTCTACTTCCGCACTACAATCACGCTTGAAAGAGCTCTCTGCAGCTCTTGGTCGAATCCACCCTCTTGTTTCTCGGCTACATAATTTCACCGCCGCGGTCGGGCAGGGCGATGAGGCTCGTCTAGAGTTGGGTGCGGAGATTCACAGTCTACTAAAGGAGGCGGAGGAACAACTAGAATTGCTGAAGGTGGATGTCGAAGCCCTCGAGTATGGTTCGGAAAGTAGGAGAAAGACAGTGGATAATGAAAAGGAGCTGGAGAGGGAGCGAATCGTTGCGTCGGCGGGCAGGTTGACGGACGATTTGAAGAAGTGAGTGCCTTTTAATTGCTTGGGTTCCGGCTGGAGGGCTTTTGCTAATGATTGATGGTAGAACGAGAGGCGAATTTCGAAATGCTCAGCTACAAGCCAAACGGAATGCCGAACTCGCAAAACGCAAAGAACGAGAGCTACTGTTCTCGAGGTCGCAAAGTGGGGAGAGGCAGAAGCAGTCGAATGAGAAGCTGACACAGGACGACATTACCGTCAACGCATCAAACGATGTTACGGCAGCGCTGAGGAGAACGCATCAGTTGATGCAGGCAGAACTGTCCCGAAGCCAATTTGCGCAGGAAACACTAGGTGGTTTGGACCGCACCGTCATTTGGAGCCGTTGCTGACTTGTATGCACAGAACAATCCACGGCCGTCCTTTCATCTCTTTCAGACTCTTATACCGGTCTCGATTCTCTACTCTCGTCGTCGCGCAATCTCATCGGTTCGCTGCTTCGCTCCCAGAAATCCGATACCTGGTATCTTGAGACGGCTTTCTACATACTGATCGGCACAATTACCTGGCTTCTCTTTCGTCGCATACTCTACGGGCCCCTTTGGTGGTTGTTGTGGTTGCCTCTCAAGCTCGTGTCTCGATTCGTCTTCGGTATCCTAGGCGTGGTGGGCATCTCGAGCAAGGCTGTTCAACCATCTCCTTCCGTTACCGCTTCTTCTATCACTGCTTCTTCTATCACTGCTAGTGGAAGGCCTGTTCAAGAAACACCAGTTGTGACACCGAAGGCAGAACCCAGCGTCGAAACTGCGGCTGGCGATGCTGATTGGGATCAGGCCCCAGTAACCGAAGAGCCTGATAGCGACCGGATGATCGATGAGATTGCAGAAATGGTGGAAACAAGTGCAGATCAAGAGGAAACCGACATTAAAGAAGAACCGTTGCCGGAAGAGTCGCGGACGCAGGACGAACCGCCGCGAAATACCAAGAAGCGAATGTACGAGGCCACCGAAGTATTGGAAAACAGGAGGGATGAACTATAGATAGATGAGGTAATGGTTTATGAGAATATCAATAGTATTATAGAATAATGCATGCGACAAGCCGGAGTGGATGTGCATCATCCAGAACAATAAAAGTCTTGGCGTTAATGCGCGTATCACGTGGGGACGCGTCTCGACACGACTTCATCTGCGGGTGTTGTCCGTCGTCCAGGCGGCACATCCATTCTTGACCAGTTTTGATGATTCAAGAAATCTAGTTTCAGATTTCTCTGTCCACCTACACAGGTAGTCATGGCTAGTAATTTCTTCAACAACAAGGCACGAGCTGCAGCTGCAGCTGCAGGGACGTCAAGCAGCTCTAAAACCAAAGGCACAGATAAAGAAGCGCAAGCACAAAATCAACCATGGGTTGAGAAATAGTACGAGTCAATCCGAGTGAGCCTTGTCACATTAATTTGCTAACATCAACTGACAGCCGCCCGAAGACACTGGATGATGTCGCTGCTCAAGATCATACCACGAAAGTCCTCCAACGGACACTGCAAGCTTCTAACGTACGTGCTCGCGCTATTTACATGCAAGTCTAAGCATCAACATTGCTAATGATACCAGCTCCCCCACATGCTCTTCTATGGCCCTCCAGGTACCGGAAAAACCTCGACCATCCTCGCCCTCGCAAAGTCTCTCTTCGGGCCTGCCCTTTACCGCTCGCGAATCCTCGAACTGAACGCCTCCGACGAACGTGGTATCGGAATCGTCCGCGAGAAGGTCAAGAACTTCGCCAGAATGCAATTGAGTCATCCTACTGGAGTGGATAAAGCATACTTCGATCAATACCCTTGCCCGCCGTTCAAGATCATTGTGCTGGACGAAGCAGACAGCATGACCCAGGATGCCCAGTCCGCTCTCCGACGTACTATGGAACAGTACAGCCGGATCACTCGTTTTTGCCTCGTCTGCAACTATGTCACTCGGATCATCGAACCCCTCGCCAGTCGATGCAGCAAGTTCCGGTTTAAGCCATTGGACAATGCCGCTGCGGGCGATCGGTTGAGTGATATTGCGAAGCTAGAAGGTGTGAATATGGAAGAAGGGGTTGTTGATAAACTTATCCAATGTAGTGAGGGTGACTTGCGTCGCGCGATCACGTACCTACAGAGTGCTGCGCGGCTGGTGGGTGCTACGGCTGGCAGTGGAAAGAAGGATGGCGATGACGATGCTGAGATGACGGATGCCAGCTCGCAGGCAATCACTGTGAGCATGATTGAGGAGATTGCCGGTGTTGTTCCTGAGAGTGTTTTGGACCGGTTGGTCCAGGCCATGCAGCCCAAGAAGTACGGCTCTTCGTACGAGTCTGTCTCGAAGGTGATCACGGATGTTATTGCAGATGGGTGGAGTGCGACGCAGCTTCTCTTACAGGTGAGACTTGAGATTAGTTTTGCGCTTCAATGGTGCTGTAAAAGGCTAATCAATCATTAGTTGTACCGACGAGTTGTTTACAACGATGCCATCCCCGACAGCCAGAAGAACAAGATCGTTATGGTGTTCTCGGAGATGGATAAGCGATTGATTGATGGTGCGGATGAACATCTTTCAGTGTTGGATGCTTCCCTCAAGATCTCTGGCATTCTTGGTGAATCTTAATGGCCAACCACCTGGGGATGCATGAATAATGGGGATTTCATCCCACGGGCATAACCATCAGAACCCTCGGAGACACGCATACAAAGCAAGAGAGCTATATCGATTGCCCTATCTGCTCCATCTTGTGATCTGTGTCTTATTTGCGAAACCGAGAGACTTTCACCGCTGAACCTTGCAGGGTCGATCGAGGCTGATGGTGCAGGGGATAGGACTACAGAGCTCCGATGCCGGGACGAGGCTGTCTTGGAGATATTGCCATGCCTTCAGGTGTCCTGCTAAAAGTCACGACTGTATGAAGTTTAATGATATCTAGTGCAAGCTGTATAATATTAGTTGCATCAAAACACCCTCTGATCCATTTCTTGTATATCAAATCGGAACCAAACCGAGACGTGCCTGAGTCACGCCAAACCACGTGCGGGGCCGCCTTTCTCCGACAATAACTTTGGTTTGGTCCAACCGCCACCCCGATTAACTTCCAATTCTTTTGATTTCTGAAGACCCATAGACTATCTTTAAGAAAGTCCCTTTTGACATAACGCAGGGAAAAGGGTGACAGACACACGATGACTGCCACCGAAGCAACGCAGACTAACCCCGCGGTACCCCGCTATCTGAGCGGCGACGGAGCTGGGATCCGCGAGTTTTTGGACAAGTTCGATGTGAGTTTTACCAGTGATTTCTAATGCGAATGTGGAGATGTATGGATGGACAACTGACCGACCTTTTGCAATCAGGTGTTCCTGTTCGATTGTGATGGTGTGTGCCCCTGTTCTTTTTTCTCGGACTTCTCTCCGGGGCGCTTTGAATCGAATATCGACATACACGAATCGTGGCGAATGATCATACTAAGTCAGAATAATCAATGCAGGCGTCCTCTGGTCCGGCGATCACCTCTTCCCCGGCACGAATGAGACATTGGAACTGCTGAGAAGTAGAGGTACGGCATACCGACACCAAGCCTTTCTTCCAATCGGAGGAAGCAGCAAATCGAACTCTAGCTAACACGACCCCTCTAAAGGCAAGCAAGTCGTCTTCGTCACGAACAACAGCACTAAGTCCCGAGCCGACTACAAGAAGAAACTCGAGTCCCTCGGGATCCCCTCCTCGACGGAAGAAATCTTCTCCTCCTCCTACAGCGCCTCGATCTACATCTCCCGCATCCTGGACCTGCCCCCCACGAAGCGCAAGGTCTTCGTGCTCGGCGAAACCGGCATCGAGCAGGAACTCCGCTCCGAGAACGTCCCCTTCATCGGCGGCACAGACCCCGCGTATCGCCGCGACATCACCCCCGAGGACTACAAGCAGATCGCGGCGGGGGATTCCTCGCTGATCGACCCCGAGGTGGGCGTCGTGCTGGTCGGGCTGGATTTCCACATCAACTACTTCAAGCTGGCGCTGGCGTTCCACTATGTGCGCCGGGGCGCGGTGTTCCTGGCGACGAATATTGATTCGACGCTGCCGAACTCCGGGACGCTGTTCCCTGGCGCGGGGTCTATGAGTGCGCCGCTGATCATGATGCTGGGTAGGGAGCCGGTGTCTCTGGGAAAGCCGAACCAGGCGATGATGGATGCGATTGAGGGGAAGTTTCAGTTTGATCGCAGCCGCGCGTGTATGGTTGGGGACCGGGCGAATACTGATATTCGGTTTGGCCTGGAGGGGAAGTTGGGCGGTACGTTGGGTGTGCTCACGGGCGTGAGCTCGAAGGAGGACTTCGAGAGTGGGGAGGTGAGGCCGGCGGCTTACTTGGATAAGTTGTCGGATTTGCTGGGATCGGAGTAGATGTACAGAGGATGGAGGACTGGTTCCACGGGCTATGAATTACGATTGGAGGAGATGTATATGGCATGGCATGGCATTGCTGATAGAACGATATATCAAGATAGTCTATAGATATGCATACAATATGGTACAGCCTTAGAGAAATTCAAGATCCTCATTAAGAAAACCTTGTAGCTTCCACAAGGTCAGCATCGTATCAACCGTCGTAGGGCTGTTCGGTCTGAAAAACAAAGCTGCTTCCTGGTACATAGGATTGTACGCCCGCAGCTCCTCACGCTCCGACTCGGAAAACAACCTCGAAAGATCGAAAACAGGCACCTGCGATCCCGTCTGCGGGAGAGTCACCCGCCGCGGCAGCGCGTTCTGTTCGCTCTGCGGCTCTCCCAGAACGAGCACAGCGCCACACTCCATGCGCTTCATCGGCTCCATGTTCTCCAGGCCCTTTAGAAGTGTACTCTCCGACACAGCCCCTTCAATTCCAACTACCCTCCACACCTTGTTCTTACGGTCGAGTTTCTGGCCCCAGCGAACAGAGACCTTCTTCAACCGATTCACCACCTCCGAACGCAACCTCCCCAACACAAATTCCGGCATATCCTGCCTCCAGACCAGCGAGCGCTCGTCGCGCGAAGTCAACGGACCCTGCGGATGCTTCAACCGATGCGGAATGGTCTTTGTCAGCGGCGACAGCTTGCCGATCTCATGCGACGTCAACGACGCACTTAACCTCCGCAGCAGCTGGATACTGTCCATGATGCGCAACGACAGGTGCCGCAGAGAGCGCGTCCGAGATGGGACCCGCGGTTCTTGCGCAGACGGGTCCGACGCCGTGTCCTGGCCATCCGTGGACTTGGGCGGCTCCTTCAGTTCATTCTTCAGCTCATCCTTCAGCAGACCCACGGGCAGAAACCAGAGCCCGTCGGAGTCGGGACGCTGGACCAGGCCCCAGGTCGTCAGTAGGTCTCGGGGCGTCCGGGCCCCTGTCACGCTGCACATCCGGGTGGGCGAGGCCAGGGCTTGGGCCCAGGGGTTGTGTTGGAGGGCGTTGAGGTCCTCGGCGGTTGGGAGACGCTTTTTGCGCTTCGTGACTGGGACGACGTGAGGGTTTGTGAGGAGCGGGGAGCGCGGGAGCTGGTCGGATGGTCGGGGGGCTGGTGGCTCTGGCTGGTCATTGTTGGATTGTTCTGTCTGTGTTGTGGTTTGTTGCTCGTGCGGTGCTTGGGATTGAGTCGTGGATGAGATGGTACGTCGGGGGTTAGGGGGCAGGCGATTGGGGACAGAGCCTGGGGTGAAAAGCTGTCGGTAGACTGTTAAGCGCCATGAGGCGTATGGAACGTGACGAAGACACTTCATGATGTGGAAGTGTGACCCTGGAGGGAGTATGAAGACGCCGCGGAGGAGAGGAAGCGAGAGAGACGAAGAAAAGAAGGGAAGCTCCGAAAGCTTGGCGGGACTTTGCTCTTTTGACTTACCCCGACCCGACCTTATCAATCTACTGTACTTCCTTAATCAATTGAATCCTACCCCCCTTTCTTTCTCGTACCCCCTCTCCTTTTGTCAATTACAAATACACACCGCTATACAGCATGAACCCGGCCCGCTCTGTACAGCGACTGGGTCGCCTTCTTCCTCGCTCTTCCATTGCGGCCGGTCTTCCCGCGGCGTCGCGCAGCTTCGCCAGCTCCATTCCGTCGTTATCCAAGGGTGCGACTTCTCCGCGGGGCTGGACCCCGACGCCGTTCGTCACGGAGACTGTGGTATGTTCTTCTGTGCCTTGAGCGCATTGGGGAAGAATAAAGCTAATAGTATCAGGGAGGTGGTTGGCACACTTGTATGTCCTGAGATCGACCTAATCTTGCAGGCACAGCAGCAACAGCAGCGATCGCTAACTACTCCGCTCGAACACAGACGACATCTTCTCTAGACTTCTCAAGGTATTCCCACAACATGGACACCGACCCCCTAAACCAGACTGCCATGCTCATCAACCGCCCAGGAACGAATCATCTGTCTAAACGGCGAAGTCGAAGAGTCCATGTCCGCATCGATCGTCGCGCAGCTCCTCTTTCTCGAAGCCGATAACCCCCACAAACCCATCCATCTGTATATCAATTCGCCCGGAGGATCAGTCACCGCCGGTTAGTTTACCCTCGCTCCCCTCCGTTCAACTGGCGTATGTACCGCTCACAACCGCATCCACACAAACCCGCAGGCCTCGCCATCTACGACACAATGTGCTACATCGCCTCCCCGGTGTCCACGATCTGCGTCGGCCAAGCGGCCTCCATGGGCTCGCTACTGCTGTGTGGCGGCCACGCCGGAAAACGGTACTGTCTGCCGCACTCGTCCATCATGATGCACCAGCCGTCCGGGGGGTACTTCGGACAAGCGAGCGACATCGCGATCCACGCGAAGGAGATCCTGCGGGTGCGCGAGCAGCTGAATAAGATCTACAAGCGGCATTTGACGGGGAAGAAGGAGATGTCGCTGGAAGAGATCGAGAAGTTGATGGAGAGGGACTACTTCATGGGGGCGCAGGAGGCGTTGGAGATGGGTATTGTGGACGAGGTTTTGGATCGGAGGGTGAAGGGGCAGGATGAGAAGTAGTGATCGATTTCGATTGTTTGTGGGGAAGTCGAGTATGTGTTTGTGATTTATGGTTCATGGCATACCCTTAACTTTTTCTTTTCTTTTCTGGTCGTGTTTGTACTACTATGATGCCTGTGATAAGCTTCCAATCTCACCACAACGAGAGAATTGGGTCGAGATTGGGAAAATAGATCATGATCATTTATATTCGGGTTATAATATGTACACGAAGCAGCACCAAGTACGGACTGTATAATTTAAGGAATTGGGCAGTTAATTTCAAGAGCCTCCGGCGGCGATTCTCTCTACCCTCCCGTCCGGTCGCACTTGGAGTCCGAATCGCTGTCGAAGAAAAGCGGCCGTCTGGTCGGACGGAACGTACGCCGAGGTGCGTCTCGCAGTGACGGTACTATACCGCCACTGGTCTCGAATCACATCGAACAAACCAAGATCCATGACTACCGCTTCTCCCGAGGCAAACGAATCCAAAGGGTGATGGTTCTTACTACCCGACACATGCCCGCTCTCCGAGGGGTCTGCCAGCAACTCATTGCGCTCGAGCTGCTCATGTAAACTAAGCGGAGACTGAGATCCAGATGCTCCGGATTCAAGCACATCATTCAGTCCGATCCCGTGGCCACTCGTCCTTGACGAACTCGAGCTGTGGCTAATGCTGTCGCTGCCATTGCGCAGAACACCGCGCTCCTCGAAATCATGGTCCTGATCTCGATCCCGATCTCGGGGCGTGACGATAGGCGACTGTGCAGAAGAGGACGACGGTGACGTGGTTGCGGTGCTGGCGGCAGCGGTCGCCTCCGTAGTCTTGACCCGCTCGACGATAAGACCCAGCATGATAAGATCGAGTAACATGACCAGCACGTCGAAAGCGAGGAGCCGAGTGACCGGCACGGGCGCCTTCTGGCCAATGAAGTCGATCAAGAGTCCGCCGTGGAGGTAGCCGCGGGTAGATTCCCCTGCGTCCGGGTGAATGAAGAAATAATGGAACGTCATACAGAAGAGGTTGCTGGCGAAGATGGCGCCAACGAAGGGCTGGTTCCGCGTTGGGTCGAATGGCGGGGCTTTAGGGGTGAAGAAGATTAACTGGATGATAGCCCGTACGGCGAAGAGAACGATAGAGCAGCTATAGACGTGGAAGAAAACTTGCTGTTAGCAGAGCTGCTGAAACCCGCGCCGAGGAGGGGAAAACCCGGGGTAGCAAAGTGTGGGGGGAACAGGGGAGGACGCATGGTAGGGGAAAGGCTCACTCCATATAATAGAGGGCAGAGAGTTGACAATAGATTAAGATGTCAAGATCGCGGAGCAGCCGATCGATCAGCGCAACCTTCGCGGCCGACTGCTGCTTCTTTATGCGCCCATCGTGAGGGTCGGGGGAGCTCGACCGTCCATCGACGTCCGCGACGCTTCCATATGATAAGCCGGACACGTCAGCGATGTATTCCGCATCTCGAAAGACATCTGGGGTTGTCATAGAGGGTCATGAGGGCATGAACGACATTAGGGGGAAACGGGCGAGAGAACAACACAGGGAAGCCGTAAGCTACAGACGGCGGAGATGAGGAGGATGCCAGAATGGTGGAGGTGACGGGGGAGTTCGGCGGCGATGATGGTGGAACGTCAGGTGCGAGAGACCCGGCGGACTTTCCTCGGCCCGAACCGTCTACTGCGATGTACAGGGAAGGAAAGTATTCCGGCAGATACGCTTTCTACAACCAGGAGTAAAAGTCGAACCGTGGAATTGAGCTGGCTATTTACAGGGGACCCCCTTTGATTCAATCAACAAAGATGGTCTGGGATGTCTTCGAGTAGTGCTGGAAGAAGCTGGTAAACAGCCGGATCGAGTGGGCCACATCATGGGTACCCCCGGTCTCCCGGATGCTGTGCATGCTCAGCTGAGGGTTACCCAGGTCCAAGGTACGAGTGCCGAGAGCAGCGGACAGCATGGGACCGATGGTGCTTCCGCAGCTAGAGTCGTTGCGCACAACAAACAGCTGGAGAGGAACACCCTCGCCGCCGCCCTCGGCAGCCTTCCGGGCCACCTCCTGCAGCAGAACAATACCCGGCGAGTTGGTGGCATAACGAGCATTCGCGTTGATCTTAATCACGGGTCCCTTGTTGATCTCCGGGCGGTGATCCGATTCATACTTACCCGTGTAGTTGGGGTGCACCGCATGTGCCATGTCCGCCGAAAGCAGGAAGGAGGTAGATAGCGTCTCCTCGTAGGCGGTTGACAGATCGGCATTGTCCGGAGTCGAAGCAGGCAAGACAGAAAGACGGCGGATGATGGCGGGCAGCACGTTGGAGTCGGCACCTTGGGCGGTACGGCTTCCAATCTCTTCGTGGTCAAAGAGAGCAATAAGACGGATGGAAGGCTCATCATCCAAGGCCGACGCATCGGCCACCGAATCGATCAGGCCCACGGTAGCGCAGAAAGAACTGTTGAGGTTGTCCAAGCGCGGCGAGAAGATGAATTCCTCAAGAAGACCACCCAGGGCAGACTTCTGGGTGTCAAACAGAATCATTTCGAAGTCAATGATGTCAAGCGGCTTGACACCCGCTTCGGCGGCAATGAGTTCCACGATGTATGGGTGGTGACGCTCTGTGATCGCTTTCAGAGGAGAGAACTCCCCCTTCTCTTCTTCACCAGCCTTGGCGTCCTTGTCGCCGGTGCCATTGGAGGTACCGCTGGCAGCACCGGTGCGGTTGAGCTCGGCGGAAACAAGACCGGCAATAGGGAAGAGCTGGGTTTCCTTGTTGAAGGAGAAAGTCTCCTGGCGATCCAGATGAATAGCCAAGGTTGGAATTCGGAGAACTATACGACGTTAATGAGGTCCAATTTGGAAGCGACATCATAGGGACAGATCATACTGGGGCGGTCAATCTTGATCAATTTCTGGACTATGGAGCCATCGCCGGTCCGGACCATGGCCCGACCTGCGACTCCCAAGTCACGATCGAACCCTAGAAAAGATGTTTAGCGATTGTTGGTCAAAGTCGACCAGAGTCATTAGATACGAACATGTGTGCCAGATGCCACCTCCGTAGGTCTCAACGCCGACCTGGACGAATCCTTCCCCGCGCTTGTTGCTCACGGGCTTAATCCTCAACACGGGAGAGTCCGTGTGGGCACCGATCATGGAAATAGAATTTCCGGGCTAGAAGAGCCATGAGAATCCCGAGACAGCTTGATCTGCAAGGTTACAAGCCGGACATACCTTCCATTTCTTACCGACAGCAAAAGCGACGATAGTCGAGCTATTGCGAGTCAAGTAGTACTTGCCACCAGGGCGACATGTCGAGGCCCAGGAATCCTTTTCCTGGGAAGATCGTCAGTGCTCGAACAGATAAGCAGTTTCCCCTGATCCACAAACCTTTAGTTCTTGAAAACCAGCCTTGGCAAGAAGCTCTTTGGCGGATTGGACGGCATGGAAGGCTAAATGGGATTAGATTGGGCAAACAAAGGACGAGATCACGAGAGCGACAAGGGAGACCATACGGGTTGGGGAGGCATTGACAAAGGACAAGAAGTCCAGAGCGGGCTGCTTAAAGTTCTGGGCGAGTTTGGAAGTCATGGTTTGGGACCTTGGGGACTGTGGGGAGAGGGAGGGGGAAGAATCCAGAGGATAATAAAATGGAGAGCGGAGGAGAATCCGTTGGTTTGTCGTTGTGCTTGGCGGTCACCCTCTTAGTGTGGCCCGTGGAAGACATGATCATGATATCATTTGATTATGCAGAGACTTCGGTCGGTGATATGTCTCATACGTATCACAATTTATATGTAGAGTGCTCCGGAGTATATCTGGAGATGCTTCATAATTTTAGGAATATTGTGAGAGGGACTAGACAGCTATACGAAGGATGGAATTGAAGATCACTAGAATGTATTATCACTTGGAATGAAAGCACCAATTCTGGTACAAACCAGTTATGCACGGATGACTAAAACTAGTCAAAAGTGAGAGAGAGAAAAAAAAGTGAATGTATCCACAGCCTGTAGTAAACTAGTCCAAGCTGTTAGCTCGCGAGGAACGCGATAAATACTGGGATGACATCGGCTCCACGCGACCAAGAGAAAGCTGGAAACTAGAAGAGCTTATCCAGAGACCAACCCCAGTGATCATCTTTTAGGCCATGTCTGAGAAATGACAAAAAGCATGCGGATTGGAGCATTCTAAACCGCCCCAGCAGACAGGGCTTCTCCAGGAACCAGCGGACACGATCGACGGGGAAGATTTCCCGTGGCCCAAGCGTTTTTCGCGTTTCTCCCGCGCGTGCGACGTTGGCAGCTCGCGTCACGGGCGTGTCAGGATAACAAGGAGCATCGTCATTGTTTGTGATAGACCGTTCCAACGGGTGAGGGATCTGAATCTGAATCTGATACCTAGGGAAATTATGGCCAATTGACCTGTTCCCTGGACCTTGGAGACAGGGACGGTGCATCCTGCATCCGAGCCCTGGTCGGCCAAAGTGACCTGTCGGGCGGGCTCATGGGACCGGACAAGGCATATCAGATGGGGACCGAACGGGAGCGGTTCATGAGACGAACCATGTGGGTGAGGGACCCAAACTCAACCAAGCCAGAGATCCTTGGAGAGCGACCACAACACCACCTTCCATAGAGCGCAAGAATTAATTGTTCGGCAGGGCAGAGTCCGGCAACGTCCAGCACAACAAAACCTCCCTGGCGAGTGTCTCGGATAGGCTTAGCGCACCCGACGCGTGACCGCAGGCAGGAATCCCCTTCGCAGACCCCCAAAGCCCTCCATCGCCAGCCCTTGGTTCCCTCGCCCTTCACCTCTTTCTTTCCTCACCAGACGGTGGCCAGGTCGCTCTCAAATGACCTGCCCGAGTTGTCTGTGTCCATCCATTCAGCACTGGGTCTGGTGAGAGTCATTGTCTATACTCCCCTCCCTCCCCCCTCTTGTCGCTCCCTCCCGCCTGCTTCGTTTATTTGATTATTATTGTCCGGAGCGGAGCAAACCCGGTCGAAGCTCCTCCCCAGCAACGTCGGCCTTCGCCTGTCCCACGAGCTGTTGACCCCCGACTGTCCAAACACCCAAGACCGTTGTGTTGCCCTTGCTTTCTGTGACCCAAGGCCACCATTGATCACCGTTGTAAACCCCGCGGTTTTCGCAATTCCACCCTGGTCCCTGGTCGCAATCCCTCAGTTGAGCCTCAGATCGTCCCACATCCGATCGCCAGTTAAGTCCCTCGAGGACCGTCAGCCTAGCAGACATGGGCGACGGCAAGAAAGACCCCGGTGCTGCCGCCGGTCGCAGTGCTGCGGGGGGTGCAAAGAAGGGAAAGTCGTCCACAACGGCGAATGGCCTGAATCTAGCCTCCCCGCCCGGGTCGAGAACACCGCCCAGTATGCCGTCAAAAAAGACCCTGTTTTATCCCGATGTGCAGGGGAGTCGACAAAAAAGTCGCAATAGCTCCGAGCCCATTGATCCCAATGCGCTAGCCAAGGCGTTGAAAGAGTATGAGGATGCTGGGAACCCGCGCGAAAGAACGCCGGGGACAAGTCCGAGTCGAAAAAGACAAAGAGTGTATGGCGATAGGTAAGTCTTTTTTTTGTTTTCTCTTTGTTCTTTCGTTAGGTGTTGGTCAATGTTACCTGCCAGGGTCCCTTGCAGCGTCGCAAGAAGCCGCTACGGGTGTGTCCTTGAAAGACAATGGCTGATTTGCGGGCGCTTGCCACAGATTCATCCCAAACCGGGACGGACAAGATCTTCAAGCGACCTACAGTCTACTTCACGAAGACGGTTGTCCTTCCACCCCGTCGAAGTCGAAACGCCGAACCCCGCATTCAGAACTCCATTTCCAGAAGAGTGAGTTGAACCCCTCGGGACGCTGGCGCCGTCTGGGAACTTGGTGCTAATATCATCCTTCAGCCGAAGAAGCAAACAGAATGTATTCGCGAGTCTTGCGCAGCGAGCTGTTTGGAAATACCGTGCCGCAGGCCGAACTCGACTCGTTATCACCGGACCCGTTGATGGGACTCGGCAGTGGCATCAATGACAAAACTCGTTCTCACACTCCTCCGTCACATGTTGTGTCGAATCTACCCCCCGCTAGTATCACTCCCTCTACGCCTCACAAAAACCTCTTCAACTACGCCTCCCCTCGCAATGGCTCCGCTCATCCCACACCCTCCAAGACACCTCGCAGCCAACATGGCCCGAATCTCAACGTCCGATCCGAACTCTACAGTCTTTCTCCCATCCGCTATGATAGCCAGCGCATCCTCGAAACGCCTCGAAAGCAACCGCGCTACGTGAACAAGGTGCCCTACAAAGTGCTGGATGCGCCCGATTTGCAAGATGATTTCTATCTGAACTTGGTGGACTGGGGCAGTAGTAACGTTCTTGGAGTGGGCCTGGGTAACTCAGTCTATATGTGGAACTCCCAGTCGGGACGAGTCACCAAACTCTGCGAGCTGAAGGACGACACAGTGACTAGCGTCAGCTGGATTCAGAGGGTAAGCCAGACAACCCAGCTCCTACTGCGGACCGTGTGATGGCTAACAGTGGTACAATCAGGGAACCCACCTTTCTATTGGAACTGGAAAGGGTCTTGTACAGATTTGGGACGCAGAACGTTGTCGACGCCTCCGAACGATGGTTGGACATACCAACCGCGTGGGAGCTCTCGCCTGGAACGACCATATCCTCACGTCCGGTTCCCGAGATCGCCTAATCTTTCACCGTGATGTCCGTTCTCCAGACCAATACCTACGCCGGCTGTCTGGTCACAAGCAGGAGGTCTGTGGGCTGAGATGGAACACGGAAGACGGCCAATTGGCTTCGGGTGGTAATGATAACAAGCTGATGGTGTGGGACAAGTTGAATGAAACACCTCTTTATCGGTTTTCAGACCACACCGCTGCCGTCAAGGCAATCACCTGGTCGCCCCATCAGCACCATCTTCTTGCGTCGGGTGGAGGAACGGCCGATAGAACGATCAAATTCTGGAATACATCAACCGGATCTATGATCAAGGAGGTCGACACCGGCAGCCAGGTCTGTAACCTGGCCTGGTCGAAGAACTCTGATGAGATCATCAGCACTCATGGTTACAGCCAGAATCAGATTGTCATCTGGAAGTATCCGCGCATGGAGCAAGTGGTCTCGCTGACCGGACATACATTCCGTGTTCTTTACTTAGCCATGAGCCCTGACGGCCAAACGGTAGTCACGGGAGCTGGAGATGAGACTTTGAGATTCTGGAAGATATTCAACCGACGACCCGGAAGAAATCACGAACGTGAGGGCAGCAAATTGGCCGAATGGGGTACCATCCGGTAGATGGGCCCTCGTCTCGATGAGATTGATGCTACGGTGTCATTGAACTTCTTATCATGCTTCGCAATGTGCATTAGACGCGGCGTTCCAGGACTTTGGCGTTGTTTCAAACCTGGGTATATCTTTGGTCGGTTTGAGGCACGGTTTTATCAGGGTGTAATTTGGCATCTCTCGCATTTTGTGGGTTTACAGCATTTTGCAGGCGATTACTAGGTGGGCTCCTTTATTTCCCTTTTCTATTTCCCTTTGATCTTCGACATGTACTTTGGGCCCTTTTGTGCTTCAGTTTCTTATTCTTGTCTTTTCATCCCCATTGTGTTTTTGACCCGCGCTTCTCCATTCGGGGCGTCCGGGACTGTCGGCATTAAGCGTTGACTTTTTGATTTTGTTTGCGAAATGACTACCAACCCATGGCGCTCCTGGTGTTTTCAAAGGTGGTCTAAGGCCAAGTTGTTCATTACTGGCTGGGGGATTTCTATCATATTGCCACATCTGGCGCATGTTTTCCATATCCCCTGTTGCCATGTTGTTCCCTTTTCCCCGTCCTTTTCATTTTCCCTTTCTCTTTCTCTTCGCGCTGTTCTTTATGATGAGATGACTTGTCCACCTTTCCATTTCTTCGCCGCATGGCCTCGGGGGTACTGCATTACTACTATGGAGATATTTGCAAATTACGGTAGCGTTCGCGCCTGGTCCTCGATAATGAGAATGAAACCGCAGATGTTATTTTGAAACAATCGTATAGCGCTCGAGTACATTCCTATATAAGATGAGAGGAAAAAAAGACCAATTCCCGATTGAAATCTTCGAGCTCGAAGCCCTTCTCGGGGTAGTTTATTACTTATGCTACAACTATGCTAACGAATTAGCCTCCGATGAACCAGCTTGGAAATCAAACCCCTCAACCATGCGAGGTGCCGAGTGCAGACTTACAATGTAAAATGAAGAGATCTATAGAACCAACCGTCCAGGCTCAACCGTCAAGAGGGTCTTGACACGGTCCAAGAAAGTCTGAGCCCGCTTCTCCTCACCCACAGGGATCGTCAGGCTGAAAACGTTCGCGGCCTGCTCGGTCGAAGCCGACTCTGCCGCAGACGCTCGTCGCGCAACAGTCTTGGACACCTTTCCGCTCAGAATGTCAATGATATCCTCCTGGACCGGCTTCGCCGAGCGGGTCTCCACCGGCGCCGCGACGGCATTCAACTCGGGCACGAAGTCACCCCGGGAGGTGGTGATGGGCTCGCCACCCAGGAGCTCGTCAAAGAGCTCGTTGGCGGAGGGCTTCGCGCGCGGGGACCGCGGCAGGTCGTCGTTGGCCAGGTCCGCGGCGCGGGCCAGGAACGTGGACAGCGGGACGCTGACGCCCAACGAGTCCTGGAGCTTCTTCTGCGCGGACAGAACGGCGGCCAGGGAGATCGAGACGGCGACCGAGGTGGTGGGAGGGGGTCTGGCGACGGGGGCTTCCTCGACGGCGGGGGCCGCCTTGGGCTTTTCGGCGGGGGCGGCGATCTTGATGTTGCTGAGGTCGAGGTGGGCGAGCTTTGCGATCCGCGCGGCTTGGGTCGCCGGGTAGTCGGAGGCGATGGTGCCCAGGTAGGCGAGGACGTCACCCTTCAGGAGACGGCCCTTGGGGCCGGAGGCGGGGATCTTGGAGACGTCGGATTCCGGGATGCCCTTTTCGTGGAGGAGTTGGATGACCGATGGGTAGAGCGGATAGGCGGGGTTCTGGGTTTGGATGGAGGACGAGGATGCCAGGCCTGTATAGCGGTAGAGAATAGGACATGTTAGCGTGATGTGTTCTGGGAATGAGGTCGAGATGGCGATTATCATCGCCAGAAAAATGATTTCTTCCGCGAGCACACTCACGTTTGGTGGTGCCAATCACTCGAGGCTGGCGTCTGGCAAGAACTGCCGGAACCTGACGCAAGCTAGCGGCCATTTTGGATGCAGTGGATGAGGCTCTGGTGACTGGAAATTGAACCGAACGTGATCTCCGATCGATGCTCTTGCGCAACGGTATGCTTTTGTCGCTGAATTCGGCGGGCAAGGGACGTCGATCAAAGAACCCACCACCACGTTCGATGGGGCCAAAATCCCAAATTGATCCGTATGAGTCGAGCCGGGGAGTCGCGATCTGATGCCAATTGTCAAGTCCGAGCCAGAGATATCAGCGTCGGCGTGAGAACTGGGCGTTCGCGTTGGATATGTTGAGGATGTTGGGAGCTTCACCGGCCGCCCGGACGGGAACATTTTTCTGCCGCGGAGAAGATCGGATTCCTGCCCGTCACGACTTTAAAGGCCATTGGCTTCTCCCATTGAACCTCCGGTATGTCTTCTTTGTCACGGTCATTTTGATCCTGATTCTTGGGGAATTTATGAATTGTCGATGTTCGCCCCTCGACATGTTCCAGCTGTCTCCCAGGAGCAGCGCAGAATCAATTGCTCTACTGTCATTCGGAGTATGCTAATGACCCTTTGTTGATAAGCAGGTAACACCATGTTCGCCCGGTCCTTCGCCTTTCGGGCCTTCTCGCACCAGTGTCCCAAGGGCCCTGTGTCGCCTAAAATCTCTCCTTCGGCTCCAGTATGGAGGTATTTCGCCTCAAGTGCTGCGCGAACGAAAAGCGCCGCGAAGGGCAAGCAACCACAGCTCCCTGCGAAGCCCGCTGCGCGGACCAAGCCCGTTGGCAATCCTGAAGAGACGTTAAAGTTCGCGGGAAGACGGCCAGAGGGTTTTGGAAAACTCGAGCGTAAGGTTGCCAGAGAAGGGCAAATTCTCCTCTTTCGGTCTCCGTCGCATCGGAGTTACATCCTAGGAGCCTATGGCGTCGCCGCGTTTTGCTTTGCCTACTCGGTGTACAACTCCAAGATTGTCTTCCATGATCCAATTATGCCTCTTCCCACGTGGCAAAAGACTCTATTTGGCGGAATATGCATCGTGATGAGTGCCATGGGCACCGTCTTTCTCATGAAAACCCAACGCTTGATCAAGACGGTCACTGCCGTCAGCACTAATGCCGGAGCTCAACTTCGTTTCAATGTCCGAAGCACCATTCCCTTCCGCAAGTCTTATGAGTTTGATGTTGTGCCTCGTCAAATCGCCTTCTCCCGTCGTCTGGTGGTCGCGCCTGAGTCTGTCCAGCGCATGCAACAGGGTGAAATGGCTTCAAGCACCCCGCCGTCTCAGCCGAGTTTCTTCCGGGCGCCCGTCAAAAGAACGAGTCTTCTCTGCTGGCGTCTTTTCCGGTCTGTACGACAGCTCTTCACTGGCGAGGATTTCATCCTCCTCGAGGTGGAGGGTCAGAAGGGGGCTTTCCGAATGGACTCTACGGGATTCGTGTCGGAGGACTTCTTGGTCATTGGAAATCCGCTGAGCGTCAAGCCCTCTCATAGGTCTTGAGATTTGGGAATCAAAAGCTGCTAAGTCGGTGATCTATACTATAGTATCTCTTTCTGTCGATGTCTTAACTACTTGTTTGTACTTTTCTGCCGCGACATTTTACAGCATCTGCAGCATATTCCCGTGTACATATACAAATCAACTTTTTTCAAAACTTTGAGTATCGTCTGGAGATGCACTTACTCTGTAGTTCGTACTGTCAGTGATAGTTTTGCGTTGCGTTGTGTTTCCAACGAGAGTCGACCGGGGTGTCTGCCACGTGACCGGGCGCGTCCTCTCAATTGCCGGCGGAAGACGCGCCTTCTCTCCATCGCGCGGGCCCCTCCAAACAGCGCCTCCACTTGCACCAGGCACCGACCTTGCCGTCATCTCAGCTCTTCCGTTCTTGCTGCTGTGGTCGCCAGAAAGCGACCGGACTGTTGCAGGATGGGGAAGCTCATTCGCCTTGAGCTGTACAGTACGCAGTGATCTCCGACTCGTGGGTTTGCTCGATCATGACTGACGGGTGTTTCCAGACTTCAAGTCCTACAAGGGTCACCACACCCTTCTGTTTGGCGATGCCTACTTCACTTCTATCATCGGGCCTAACGGGTCTGGAAAGTCGAACTCGTGCGTATATTCCCCTCACATGCACATACACAACCCCCCGACGAGTCCGCCCAGGCCTCCAATGTTGTTTGCGCTAACCCGCCTCCCAGAATGGATGCGATCTCTTTCGTCCTAGGAATCAAGTCCTCCCATCTACGATCGACGAACCTTCGCGACCTTGTTTACCGCGGCCGTGTACTACGCACATCCAGAGTCGATGCTGATGGCAATGCCATCGACGGAGAGACCAATGGAGATGCGCAGGACGGTGACGACGTCGAGCCATCGCAGGATCCGAGCGGAGCGAACGATCCACGCACGGCCTGGGTGATGGCCGTCTACGAGGACGATGCCGGCGAGGAACAGCAATGGCGACGATCGATCACCAGCCAAGGTGTCAGCGAGTATCGAATCAACAACCGCACCGTGACGGCGCAACAGTACAACGAGGCCCTCGAGTCTGAGAACATTCTCATCAAGGCGCGCAACTTCCTTGTGTTCCAGGGTGATGTGGAGGCGATTGCTTCGCAGTCCCCCAGGGATCTCACGCGCCTGATCGAGCAGATCTCCGGCAGTCTCGAATACAAGGCCGAATACGAGCGTCTAAAGGCCGAGGCGGAGGAGGCTGCGGAACAGCAAACTGTGCAGCTTAACCGCCGCCGAGGTATCAACTCCGAAATTAAGCAATACCAGGAACAAAAGCGCGAGGCCGAGAACTACGCCCGGAAGGCAGAGGAGCGCGACCAAGCTATCATCACCCACATCCTGTGGAAGCTCTTCCACTTCCAGCGTACGATTGACGAGTCCAGCGCCGAGATCCTCAAGTACCAGGACGAGCTGAAGGAGTTCCGCCGCAACGTTGAGAAATACGAGAAGAATGTCGAGGAGGCCAAGAAAGATCACGCTCGGGTTGGTCGGGACGTGGCAAAGGCCGAGAAGAACATAACGAAGAAAGAAAAGGAAATCGAGGAGTCTACCAACGCCCTCGTCCCTGTCGATGAGAAAGTCGACATCACTATGAAGAAGGTGGAACGGTTTGCCTCTCGAATTGCTGAGATCGGTAAAGAGAGGGAGGCTCAGTCTTCTAATGCAAAGCAATTGGAAAAAGACCTCAAGGTTGTCGAAAAAGCTCAGGCCCAGTGGGAAGCGGAATGGCAAAAGACAATCAGCAAGAAGGGCGGCCAGTTGAGCGAAGCTGATCAGCAAGAATACAACAAGCTTAAGGAAGAGGTCAACAAGCGATCATCTGCCGAACAGCTGAACCTCGACAACCTACGGCGCCAGCGCAAGACCGAAGCCGAGGCCTACAATAGTCTTAAATCGAAGTTCGAGGGCACGGAATGGCAGCTCAAGTCTCTGGAGACTGACACCCAGTCCATGGACGAACGAAAATCGTCGCTTAATGACACCGTCAAGACAACGTCCAAGGACATTGACCGCAAGAAGAAGGAGCTCAACACCCTTACGTCCGAGCGATTGCGGGTCTCTCAGATGAGGACGGAACTCGAGGAGAAGCTTCAGGCGGTCTTGAAGAAGCTCCTCGAGGCTGACGATGGCAAGAAACAGAGCGAGAAGGAGCTCCGAGCGAAGGAGTTGATTTCGACCTTGAGACGTATTTTCCCAGGTGTCAAAGGCCGAGTCAGTGACCTCTGCAAACCTAAGCAGAAGAAATATGCCGAAGCTGTCAGCACGGTGCTTGGCCGACACTTCGACGCGATTGTCGTTGACAATGAGAAGACTGCCAAGGAGTGCATCCAGCACCTGCGTGACCAGAGAGCCGGCCAGGCGACGTTCATCCCCTTGGAGACAATTCAAGTGAAGGCTTTCAATTCCAACCTGAAGGGAATGCACCGCGGGATGCGCCCGGCTATCGAAACGGTGGACTACGATGACTCGGTTGCGAGAGCCATCAGCTACTCCTGCGGGAACGCCATTGTGTGCGATGATTTGGCCACGGCTAAGTATCTCTGCTACGACAAACACGTGGATGCTAAGGCGGTCACTCTCGATGGAACAGTGATCCATAAGGGTGGTTTAATGACTGGTGGTAAAGGACCTCAGCAGAACTCGAAGCGATGGGAGGACTCCGAGGTGGAAAACTTGTACAAGCTGAAGGACAAGCTGTTAGCTGATCTTAACAGCCTTCCTAAGGGCCACCGCCGGGGAACCGAAGAAGAAACCCTACAGGGTGAGCTCGTCGGCCTTGAGCAGCGCTTGGCCTATGCTCGAGATGAACTTAAGGCTCTCGAGAGGAATCTCGAGAGCAAGCGCACAGAGTTGGATCACGTCAAGCGTCTGTTGGAGGAACTCAGACCGAAATACTTTGAACGGCAGGAGGCTTTGGAAGAGCTCGACCAGACCATCACCGAATCACAGGAGTCCGTTAGCAGTGTTGAGGACGATATTTACAGCAAGTTCTGCAAGCGTCTTGGGTACAGCAACATCCGCGAATACGAGGTCCAACAAGGTTCTCTACACGAAGAGGCGGCTCAAAAGAAGCTGGAATTCACGACGCAGAAGAGCCGAATTGAGAACCAGCTGAGCTTCGAGAAACAGCGACTCCAGGCGACCGGCGATCGTATTGCCAGTCTCGAGGCTCAACACCAGCGTGATGAGAACTTGATCGAGGAGCTCCGAGCAGAGCAGGAGGAAATCGGAAACCGGTTAGACGAATTCAATGCGGAACTTGATATTCTTCGAGAGCGCCTTGAAGAGCAGAGGGAGGCATATGCACACTCTGCTGAGAATCTGGCGCAACACCGCAGGGAACTTCAGAAGCGCAGCAAAGAAGTCGAAGGGACGCTGAAGAATGTCAACGCCTTGGAGACAGACGTTCAACGCAACTCATCCAGCCGATATGCTCTTCTTCGGCGCTGCAAGCTCGAAGACATTGATATCCCGCTGACAGAAGACTCCAACCCTCTGGAACAGCTTCCCATTGATGATCTCATTCAAGCAGCCGATCCGGATGCGATGGACGTGGATGAAGATGGCGCCGGAGCAGGTGACACATTTGCTGTGCAAGACTACGGTATTGAGGTCGACTTTGAGTCGTTGGGAGAGACTCTTAAAGAGGTGAGTGAGATTTGAACCCGATTTCGGGGAAATTGACGCTAACGGTTTACCAGGAGAATGATGACAAGCTGGAAGAGGAATTGTTGGACAAAGTACGAACGCTCGGCGGTGAACTCGACAAGATGGCGCCCAACACACGAGCCATCGAGCGACTGGAGAGTGTCGAGAACAAACTCCGTGGCACCGAAAAGGACTTTGACGAAGCGCGCAAACACGCTCGGAAGGCCAAGGAAGACTTTGAGGACGTCATGCGCCAGCGATCCGATCTCTTCAACAAGGCCTTCACCCATATTTCCGATCAGATCGCTCCTATCTACCGCGAGTTGACGAAGAGTGCCAACTACCCGTTGGGTGGACAAGCGTAAGTTTGATTTCCTTGGCCATGGAACCACATTTGTGCTAATGCAAGATGAATCTCACAGCTACCTGGATATTGAGGACTCGGATGAGCCCTATCTCGACGGTATCAAATATCACGCGATGCCTCCGCTCAAGCGTTTCCGAGACATGGAGCATCTCTCGGGTGGTGAGAAGACCATGGCTGCTTTGGCCCTGTTGTTTGCGATCCACTCGTATCAGCCGTCGCCATTCTTCGTGCTGGATGAAGTCGATGCCGCTTTGGACAACACCAACGTGGCACGGATTGCCAACTACATCCATGACCATGCCGCACCTGGTATGCAGTTCATTGTGATCAGTTTGAAAACTGGCCTGTTCCAGAACAGTGAGGCCTTGGTGGGTATCTACCGGGACCAGACTGAGAACAGCAGTAAATCATTGACTCTTGATGTAAGCAACTCTCTCTCCTGGCGTGACTTTGATCAACTACTGACTTGTGTGCCTCCTTGCAGCTTCGGAAATATAACTAAATGGCTAGGAATCTATCTCTTTATCTTCTTTCATTGCGTTAAGCCTACGGGTTTGCTCTTTATCTTCGTGACGTGTAGAATACCTATTGGCTTTGTCCTTCTATGATGGCGATTTCTCTTTTGTTGGGAAATTTTTGCTTTACTTTAAACGAGGGTTAATGGATTTCTGCTGTAGGCAATTGACCTGCTATCGTTATAATCATCATATCATCGACTGTCAATTCTTCTCCGGCACTACAACACCCCATTCATGCTCAGTGCGTCCGTACATGATATCACCCAGCCAGTTCTTGATCTTGCCCGTGATCTCACCCGGCGTATCGTCAGGCCCCATGGGAATGGCGATCTCCTGGTCTCGGTGGTGAATCAACGAGATGGGACAGATAAACCACTGCAGATCAAATCGATGACATTAGCGAGTCGTATTCAAACAAACCCCAACGTCTGTGAACGCAGGTAGGGGAATTTAGATTCAAGACTTACAGCTGTCCCAGCAGCGAACGACTCCAGGATCCGATTCTCAGCCGCAGCCTCAAACAATTCATCGATGGTGAACTTGCGCTCGGTGACCTCAAGTTGATCGCCCAACCGCTCCCTCGCCAAATCAAGGCAGCTTCGCCGGGTGACACCATCCAGAATCAACCGGTCATCCAACGGCGCCGTGACGAGCTCCTTCCGTCCGTCTTTGCGCTTCCACACCACAAAGAAGTTACTCCCGCCTGCCTCGGTGCACTCACCCTGCGATCCATATAGCCAGAGAATCTGGTGAAAGCCCCGCGCATACGCCTCCCGCGTAGCGTTCACCGAGGGGCCATAGTTCGCGCCGACCTTCGCATACCCGAAGCCCCCGACCCACGAACGCACCGTGTCCTCGGGGGACGTGAGCAGCCGCTTCCCACCCGGCGGCATGTCCATGCGCGACATGTAGCCCACAATGATGTAAAGAATGGCCCTCGAGGGCGGCTGGATCCCCAGCTGCGAGTTCGTGCCGATGATGGTCGGTCGCACGTACAGGAACTCGCCGGCGCGGTCCCGAGGAAGCCATTTCGAAGCGTCGACGGAGAGAACGGCCATCATGGGTTTCTCGAGAGCGTCGGCGTCCACGGGCGGCAGGGCGACGCGCTCGGCGGACATCTGAAGCCGGCGGGCGTTCCGGTCAGGTCGGAACAGGCGCACCTTGCCGTCGTAGCCGCGGTAGGCTTTCAGGCCCTCGAAGCATTCGTGGGCGTAGTGCAGGCAGGACGCGGTGGGGAAGAGGCTGAAGGGGCCGTAGGGCTTCAGTTCGGGCGCGGACCAGCCCTCTTTGGAAGTCCAGGATGCGACGATCATGTGGTCGGTGCAGATGGTCTCGTCGCTGCCTCTAATGGTGGCTTCGGAGGGGACATCGCGGGGAGTCGTTGTGTAGGAGTAGTTCAGCTTCGTGGCGTCGAGGCGCGAGGCCCCTTGGGAGGCTGTGGGAGTAGTAGACATTTCTGAGGTGGCTTGATTGAGGGGATTGCAAAAACATATCGGGTTTCTGTCTGACTCCCGTATTTATGGTCGATTCTTTCGTTCCATTATGTGTCATCGGGTGTTTGGCATCAGGTCGAATGAGTCAATATAGCAGTTGCCCTTGGTGGGTCTATCGTCGGTCTGGGCAGTTATGGCCATTGGGTGGCTGTATAGTTCCGCCTTCGCTCATTTAGGAGGTTTAGATGCACAGGGCGTAGGGCGTTCCCTCGAAGCAAGTGTGAAGAACCAAACGTCGGATGGGAGGTTGACGGCAAAGCCTCCAGTATACCGAGACGATCCCTTCCCTTTCCAGACTAGCCTGTTACCTTCGAACTCTATAGCCGCTCTGGTCTTGTGATTGGACAGATTGGGGTCCACATCAATACTCTGAGAAAACATTGCCGAAGGGAGAACTACGGACGGGAGTATGGAATGTATTCCCCGAACTCTCAATTATGACGCAGAGCAATCAGCAAGTCATCGAGACCAGGGTACTCTCGCGATAATGGCTACTAGACAATGGGCAAGTCGCCTTCGGCACATGCACACATCTGCCTCTAGTTCAGCTTCCAGAATACCACTGGCCTACGAGGTACATGAGCCGAAGAAACACCAGCCAGCTGGGCATCGACCTCCGATTATATTTCTTCATGGATTCCTGGGCTCCAAGAGGGAGAACGCTCGAGTGAGCAAGCATTTGTCTCATGATTTGTCACGCCAAGTATATACTTTGGTGAGCTATTATGACACTCACCGTTAGCCTCAAGGAGCTGACATTGTCCCAGGACCTCCGGAATCATGGTGACTCGGGCCACCACTGGAGACATGATTACATGGAAATGGCGTTAGACGTGGAGCTGTTTATCAAGAAACAAGGGTTTGAAAGCGCAACAATAATAGGCCACTCGATGTATGACCCGTTTTGAACGATGACACAACACACTTTTCGATCTAGATATTGACAACTGGTACTAGGGGTGCTAAAACAGCGTTGACGCTCGCTCTTCAAGCCCCCGATCTTGTATCAGATGTCGTTGCGGTCGACAACTGTCCCATTTCTTTGCCCCTGCCGGGCGACTTCCAGAAGTACATGGAAGGCTTGGTAGAGGTAGAGCAGGCCCGGGTCAAAACCCATGCAGAGGGCGAACGGATCCTCGCGAAATTCGAGAAGGTACTTCAAGCTTTCTTTCTTATTCTCTTTGGTCTACAAGGCCTCGGTTCGCTAATTACCATCACAGTCTCCCGTTGTACGGCTATTTCTGCTCAGCAACTTCATCAAGGACCATCGCCACCAATACCTAAGATCGCGTCTTCCTCTCGACATCTTGAAAGCTGCGTTAGGCCCATTAGGCGACTTTCCGCATGAGACCAGTCCTACCAAGTTCCTCAAACCCGCATTGTTTCTTCGCTCTCGTCACAGTTACTATATACCGGACAGTGCTCTTTCACAGATTATCTCTTTTTTTCCGCGCTCGAAGATTGTCGACATAACTTGCGGGCATTGGATTGTCCAGGAAAAACCAGAAGAATTCAGACAAGGTATGAAGCCCTAGAGTCTCATGCTTGACATAGTACTGACTACATGCGCTTTGTCACAGCGGTGTGTGAGTTCTTGAAGTCTTCTTAGCCACGGTCGAGGTGTCGCCGGGAGACCTTTCGATAGGTCATTTGTATTTAGGGCAATACGGAACATATATATTTAATGTATTGAATTACTAGATATTGAAAGAATAACAAAATGAAAAGTAGCGATGCGTCATAGGTGATGATTAAGTATTTGCCCCTGCCAGCCGGAGAAGTTGCGGAACTCCGAAATTGATGTCAACCGTTTTCCATTCCTCATTCTTCAATTGCCCTCAATGCTCAAGTGTCTAACATGTTCCTTGCTCAGTCGCATCCAATCCAAATGTGCGATCCTGGGCATTGGTCAATGAGCGCCCAATGAGTGCCAGTACAAGACCTAAACACCACCGACGTCGCACAGGTTGTTACACTTGTCGCGAAAGGTACAGTGACCGAGTACGTCGGGCAGCGCTCTTATACTGACTCTCGGCTCTCTAGAAAGAAAAGATGCGACGAGAATTTTGACTCAAATGGGGTTTGTGGAACGTGTGCCCGACTCAAGCTCGATTGCCATGCCCCGAGACATGTGCATTCCGTCGCCGTAAATACGACAAACCATGGGCGTGCGAACGGAAATATTCCTCCCCTCGACCAAGACGTCTCAAACACCCCGGGGTCCCTGTCTCAGTATGTTTCCTGGGAGCAAGCGCGAAGACTTAGCAGCCCCATCTCGAGTGCTGGCTGCATCCTACAACCAGCTTTGAACACAATAGAGCCTAGATTTTTCCGAGAAGACCGGGGACTCATCCAATACTTTGTCAACCATCTTATCCCGAAGCGAGCAGTTATTTCGGTTGAACAATCCGGACTCTATATGCTCAATTCGAGAGCATTCCAAGAGTCAGAACTAATGGCCGCTCTCCTCGCCTCGGCATCCGCGCACCAGATGCAGTGTATGTCTCAGACCGAAGCCAATGGATTATTTGAGCAAAAAGCCCGACGAGAGTATGTTAAGGCCCTGCGTCTTTTCTCCCAGTATTTGCAGACCGGAGTCGCCGACTTCGAGAGAGCCATAACGTCTGCCGTATTATTGACGTTTACGGACATCATTCTGGGCGGCACGAGCGAGTGGTATCATCATCTGCAGGGTGCCATTGCCATTGCAAATGGAGCTCGAGATAAACTGGATCCTCGTAATGTCGTATTCCATCGGTTCTTAACGCGGTTTCTCATCTATCACGACGTCGTTGCCGCTGTTGCTATGTCAACATCAACTGCGCTGGATCCGGTTTTCTACCAACAGGAAGAGCAACAAACAGTGTCAGAGAACTTACATTCTTTTACCGGGGCAAACTCGATGCTTCTGACCTTGGTAGCTCGCATTTGCCGACTGCGAGTAATGGCGAATAGCAACACGCCTGTGGACTTTAGTCTGCTCTATATCGAAGCCCATGATATCGAGCAAAAGCTTCGTGCGACGAAGGCTTGCAGCTCGAGCCGCCTTCTGTTCGAGCTTTTATTGGAAATATACCGCGCCTCGGCATTGCTTTTGCTGTACCGAACATTAGAGGAAAACTCCCCGCCTCTCATTGACGATATGAGAATGAAATGCAAGGCTTGCCATGAGGACTTGATAAGCTATCTGCAGCGGGTGTCTCTCGATACGACGCTGGGGCCGGCGCTGGTGTTCCCCCTTTTCATTGCCGGGGTAAGTGCCACCGAGGTGGACCAGCAAACCTTCATAGGCAACCAGATGGCAGAGCTATACAAGAGGCTGCGGTTTGGAAATACTGCAAGGTCTCTGCTTGTTCTGCAAGACATTTGGAATTCTCCAGTGGCCTGCGAGGGACCAGGATGGGTTCCATCTATCCACCGACGCAACTGGAAATTAGCCCTGGCTTGAGCTTCACTTTTGGAAGCGTAGCAAGGCTTCAAGCATCGAACCCTTGATATTTGGAGGGAGGGACGTCTTAGCCAGACATTAGGCTATAAGGAAATGTGTCCTAGTATTTCTTCTGAACGGCCAGATGGTCTAGTTGGCAAGGCCGTTCGTCCCGGGTGACGCTCAATCAAAGGGAAGCTACCAGTTTTATTTTTGCCCCGGTCATCGAGAGTTTCCAATAGCTTGCGGTTCGATTCCTGCCTGCATCAGCTCATTCTTTTAATCCGCTTTTTTTCGTTGCGCTGGTTGCGCGTGTCATCATGACGGTGTCATCGGAAGACTCCGGTGTACGGGTGGTGCTCTCCACCGACCCATACAAACGAATGAGTGGATTTGCGGGCCGCATGGATCTCCATTATCTAGTCCTGGGACAGAAGGGTATTATTGTGGATCGTACTAAGTAGGATCACATTGATTTGGGGACCCTGCAGAATGTACGAGTCCGAATGATTACTTGACATGATGTTTCTGGGCAGCGTGGCAGTCAATTAATTTGCGGAAGGACAGCCTTCAGGTACCTGGTATATGGATGTTCTTCTCCATATTATCCTGGGCGGAAATTCATGACTAGCATTGGATCTCAACCCAATCAATCAAGTTGTCTGGTCGCGATTCCCCGTGAGATCTCCAAGCTCCATGAAGGCAAAGCACATGATTCAGGATGAAGGTCTGCGGAGTAGGTACAGAAGATGGGCATCGGTTCCACCTGGTATCTCTCGCAGCTAAATACAAAGACCCTTCAGAGGAACAGATCCGCGACCATCCAGATACATCGAATAACAAAAGCACCAAGACCCAAGCAATTCTCTTCTCCGAGCGGCCGGGCATGCCGACACCCTTGATGAAAAAAAAAGGTGGATGTACAGACGGGAGACGTGTAAGCCCGAAAGCACGATGAGTTTCAAAAATTGCTTCTCCCAAAAGAGAGAAGACGTGTGCACTCAGACAGGTGACCCTACTCTAAGTCCCAGGATATACCTGGGGAACACGAACAACCCAAGCTACCAGGTTGGGAGAAAGAAGAAGAAGAAGAAAAACGGGAGATGAGGAGAAGCAGGTGGTATAAGTACGGCGAACTGTTGCGAAAGTGGAAGGGAGAGGAGGCCACATTAGGAAAGTATAGGGTAGACCTACGGAGGAAGGAGCAGCCAGACACCTCGCAAGAATGAGGCCTGGGAGAACCCTTCTGCCTTTCAACTCAAGCAGCTTCGAAATAGGACTTCTCAGGCAGCTTATCTGTTATGGAAATTGGGTACTCGCTCCTCAGGCGGAGGAGGGGCTTCATCTTCGTAGGCAAATGAAGGGAAGATGCTGGCATTCCATATAATTTTGGTTTCTTTTGTGAGAACATAAATTCAATACAGGAAGTGTCCTGGTGAGATGGAGCCGATGGTCTAGTTGGTGTGGCCCATCTTGTGCAAAGCACGTTCAATCCCGAAGCTACCACGTAGTTTTTTGCACCCCGCGAAATTCGTGGCCCGAGGTTCGAACCCCGCCTGCCTCGCTCTTGTGCAGCCTTTCTTTTTTCACCCCTCTATTTTTCCGACCTTTCCATCAAATAGAAGTTGCCCTTTTCTTTTACTCGTCTTGAATTGTCTCTCCGCCTCTAAATTGGTGACTGCTTCTGTGTCGTTTATTGTCCTGCTTCCAAAGACGCATATGTCACTGTTGGTGAGGCAGCGTTCATTACAGAACTCGTTGTCGAGGAGAATGGACTGGTTTTAATCCAGGTATGACTCGCATCTGTTCCATCCTTCTATCTTGAATAAGTCATGAAATAATAGAGGGTAGATGGCAGTGATGTTCGCGTCTGTCGTCGCATTCATCGTCATATTTCCACGACAAAGCCTTCTCACTCCATACTAGTCCCCAGGCCTTATCCCCGCAGTCTCGCCATCTTTGGCCCGCCTATCTCGGTAGCCTGGCGTATCTATACCTATTACTTTTACGCAGTTCAATAGTTATACCCCATGAAACCTATGCGCTTGTGAGGCTGGTGAGATAGCATATCCCCACGAATGGCTACGCGGGCATCCTTGGGTATGAAGCAACTAGTAGATCTTTAAAAGACCCGGCCAAAGAGAATCGTGAGGCTCGAGAACGATATAGATTGAAAATGCGCGAATGCACAGTTGTAGAACACTAGAGCACTCAAGATGCTGGACGAGTCTTGTCCAAAATCCGCGGAAGCAACGCATTACGCCTTCTTTTGCGGGGTGGACGAATGGGTTTGATTCCGGTGACGTGGAGGAAGGCAACTAATGCGGATCAGAATTCTGCGCTGAATTCGGAATATAAAGGGCGCTGTACCTTTATCTTCCCTTCTTCAATATCATCCTTCCCACGCTGCGTGACAGGAAGAAAGGTTCTATTCGGAAGCCTGACGTAGGAGAGGGACGGGGCATAGGAAAACAGCTACATTTCTGGCGCCACCGAGCGCGGAGTAACACTGCAGCAGACACTAGCGAGCCGTACTGTGGAAGGTTGTTCAGTGTGTTGCGCAGCATGTCAATGTCTCACGAATGCTGTCCGACGAGGTCTTAACCACCAACATCCTCTATATTCTGGGTGTGACCACCTCCTTGTACAACCAGGGTGCCCCCGGATTGTCCAACTCCTTCGAGGCGGCTCTTTGAGGCGTATGTTCCGGTAACTATTAGCTGCGCCTCGCAAAGCACCCGACCGTCAAGTTTGCATCATGGATCCAAATTCGGCTGCATGGCGTGGCAAGTTGGCAACCCACCCACACGAATGATACCGGAATGCCATGAGAGCGGCGGCCGCCCCAAGTAGGAGCTCCACGGCGGCGAGGATGTCCGCATTACCCATCTGCCAGTGGCCAGTGAGACCGGGGCCGCATATGTCGCTCATGTGAATGGAGACTTAGCCCGGATTACCATTCTCAATCTAAAGGAATCCAACCACCTGACTGACTCGGGCAAGGAGGCGTTCCGCCGATCTGCAACAAGTTATTGCCTCCGGCTGCCTCCATCAACATCCTCCGATAGGTTGCAGTTCAACGTCGTTTAACTCATGGAAGCAACTCCATCATCGAGATCACTTAGTATGGCTAGCCGTGTAATTATGGACTGGAAAAGAGGAAACCGGTTCGGTTGCAGAACATGACAACATATTAGCCGGTGTCTGGGCGAGGCTGGACGGTGGAGATTGGAGTGTCCTATTCCAGTGGCGCCATCTTGAACTTTTGGAGCATTCATTCGTCAGAAGTGGATGTGGAGCATCATCCGAGGACGGTTGTTGTCGGGGGTAGATACATATGCACGGTGAATCCGGATACAACCTACTGAGTCCCCCACAGCATACGTATCCATTTCGTTGCCCACCTGATTACCTCGGTCGGGCCTTGAAATGGACGGGATTTTGAAGGCCTGAAATCTGAATCGGTCCGTAACACGCCATTGTTTGAAAGAGGTCCATCTGCTCGACCGCGATGGTAAGCCTCCCATTTGCGCGAGGCAAACCATCGATCTCTTCAGGAATAGTGATAAGCAGCGTAAATCAGTGGGGAATTAGACTCAGATGGCTCTCGAGTTAAACTCAAATAAACAAGAGTTTCGTAGCCTGGATTGCGGAGTGCACTATCCGCCGTGCCGCTCAGGGGTTATCACCCTTCCACTCCGATGATAGCTCACATTTGTCAAACAGGACGAACGGGCCTTCATGATTCATTGCCATGGCTGGTAAGCCCTCTTGTCAGCCACGGCGCGACAACATTGGAATTGGAGGATCGTACTCCGTCCATGGGCTGGAAAACGCTGAGGATCCTGCCGGGAATTTTGTATCAATATTAGCAAGTACGAAACCCATAGTGTGCTGCGAGATAAAAATAATCGGGGTAATGGTGCAACAGTGGCAAGGTCTTCCCTGAGACAATCGCTTTCTTCTTGTCGGTTTTCTTTTCTTTTCCGGTTTCTCTCTTTTCTTTTTTATTATGTTATCGAGTCAGGGCGACAAGAGTTGTCGCCTTACAAGACTCGATCGTCGAGAAAGTGGGACAATGGCAGTCTGGAACTTACGTAGTAGTATTGATCGAATATTCGGTGTGGAGTTAGTTATCCATCAGATCTGCGATCTCTGATCGATTCACGGGCCAACGAATCCAAGTGGCTGGCGGGCACTGTACAGGTATCAAGACCTCGATAGATTCGTCCATTTCTGCCTGTGCTCGGGCGTCACGGCCCTTCTTGGGAAAGTCAGTGACATAATAGGGGGTACAGACGACAGACAGTCAGCGTTCGTGGGGCGTCATGCCATTCGTTGGGCCTATTTTTTATGGGCCTGTCGCGCCAAATGAAAGCCCAACGTTCACCATAACACTCAGCTGTCAATTCACCTTGTTTTTGGTCCCCGCTGACATTCTTTCTCTCAGCGCCACCGATGGGTCTCGCTCGGATCCCCGGTCTGCAAGCCATCATGTAGCAATTTCCTGGTACCCGATTTTCTTGCATCCTTCAGAGAATACGTGGCGGGTTACAGATTCTCTGTCGCCCGTAGTTGTAATATGCAGGTCTCTCGGGAGTCGGGACTGGGCCGGGCCTATTTTCCCACAGTCGCAACTAAACAGAAATAGGGAAAAGCAGGGTCAGAGCCGAAGCAAACTGCGAAAGGCGCAACCGTGCATCCATTCCCCCGCATACATAGACGCGAGGGGGAGCCATATTAACCCCTCTCTCGTCTAGCTGATTCGCTCCCAGGCCCGGTGGGCATTTCGCATCGGAGCCAATTGTGGCGTTGGCTGAGACTGCTGCACAACAGTAGCCCTGGAGGTATCGGCAGCCTTCCGTGGCCGACCACTTGCCGGCTTGCCCATTTGAGACCTGAAGAATCTGAAATGTTTGCTTTGGCACACCCTCTGCCCTCAACCGCCGAATGGAATCAGTTGTTGCACAAAAGAAATTAGGAGGCCCAATAGCCATTATTGGAAGCTTTATCCGCGGGGGCAAGTTTCCGGTCTGTCCAGCGGTCTGCCGGAGGAATTGGCATCCCTCTCGTCTCGATTTCAATCTGGATGTAACCCGTTCGGACGTCATCATGTCAATACAGTCGAGTCCTGCGGTCTTTCGCGCCATCTGCCCAAGCACGACACCGGCGTGGAATCGTTTCATTACAGTTGAACTCTATTTCTTGAGACCCTGTGGTGCCGCTGTCACAGAGTTACAGCGATCAGCGGTCAAGCTGTATGTATGACCTTTGCGAGGGCGTCCAGGTCCGTTTCGCGCTTTGACTGCATGCTCCATTTTTCCTTCCGTTTTATACGACTCGGTCAGTGCGGATCATTGAGGGGGCATCCCACTGGCGGGATTCAGATCGTGACAGCAAAGTTACCTGGAATTATCGTACGCATAGTCTCGGCGGGTCTCGGTGTCTGATAGACATAATGCCAGCATTGCTCCTGTAGTTAGTAGCGATGAAATGGTAAGAGCAGACCATACTAAAATGGCCTTGGGTTAGATTTTCAAGGCTTTTCGATCCTTATCATGGCCGAGTGCAGCACTTTCAATGGTTATCCTTTATCGCCGAACAGTCTGTAATGTCAGTAAGGCAAACTCTTCCAGTCTAAGTAGGGCAATTTTGTCAAGGTTGAACGCTGCCATATTGGCTTCGAACATGCTTCGTATCACTTACTAATATGTTGATCGAGAAATGTTATTAACCAGAGGCAGTGGGTCTCTGAAATCGGGGGTGAGTGCGATGCATGATTTCAGAGGCGCACAAGTGTCACCACCTTGTCAAAACCCGACACCGAAAAGTCAATACTAGACTAACCAGATAGGATTGGCACCAGCTCTTCTGTTATTCAGATTGGTCCTTCAGCGCGATCCGGGAGCCATAGAAATTCCAAGGCTTTTTGCTTTTGGCGATTTATGGGCATTTCCGCTCAATGTCTCCGCTCAAAGTCGTATAGAGATAAGGTCATATTCTTATTGGACTGGGTGTTTTTTTCAGAGCGGCAGTGTATCCCTATTTTCCAACGTTGCCTTCCTATCTCTTAGTCCGATTTATTGTTCTTGCCTAGAAACCGTCAGATGTAGATAGCTTTGAGGAACAATGCGACAGTGATAAATTTAGAAACCTTTGGCTTTTCGCGGCTTTTTTTTTTTTTAACAAAAATCATTTCAACAAAAACTAGGAAAGGAAAAAATGGAAAGAGAGAAGGAGGTACGGATTACCGTACGATGGATCCATCCACATACAGTTATGGAGAAAAGAAGAATCTTGGCTGTAAACCAGTAGTCAATTCATGTATGTATTTGTTTTCCTTGCATTAGGTTGAAGTCGTAACAGCCACGCATTGCGTAGGATTCAGATGACATGACCCGTTGGCCAGGATGTCGGAGATCGTACTTTTTCTCCTCTGTTAGTTGCGCATGCCAGTTGAAGTGATTGTTTTGTCTTGGCTAGTGCATTATAACTGACAATCGCCAGGCTGCCTTGGCCGGACCAGAAGTATTATAAATTCATCGATGGAACCTATCGAATCCTGCCAGTCAGCGGCCGCATTTTTGTGTCTGCTCCTACCTACCAAACTTCTGTTAATCTCAGTCATTCAAAGACATTCTCTCCGGATATGGATACGACAGGTCAGCCCATGGCTGTGAGAGAAGAGGGACAGCCTCACATGCTACCATTTCACGCTGCGACTGCTCGTCCAAAGCCAACGGTACGAGGCAGCACTTCACCATCTCATTAGACCTGTCATTGATAGATATGATATGACATACAGGAACATGGAGCCCCACCATCAACAACAGACGGAATCCCATATCCTCACTTCACATTGATATACATTGATCGCAACGGCGAGACTCAGGTGCAATCGTCGCCCTCCGTCATGGAGTACGAGCCAGCCATCTTCACACCGGATGTGAGGGAAAGATTTGTGAGGGCAGCAGCGAGATTAACATGGCAGCCCGGGATGCCAGGTTTTCAGTCCGGTAAGTGAGCGGGAACAGACGATTGCGACATGAGATCTCGATGATAACGGATAACAGCCGAGGGTCACATGGAAGGCGATGTCACGGGGAGAACGCAGTCCTTCCCGTCCACAAACAACTCTTTCATGAGCCTACACCACGGTTCGGGCTTCTATCAGTATGGGCTCATTCCATTTGAATGGCAATCGATACAGAACAGGCGCCACAGGAGAAGTCTGAGACGCGTTGATTCGGGGATTGGGCCGAATTCTCCTTCGCCTGGGCCAACGATCACATGGACGCCACTTCGCATCGGGAATAAAGACCTCTTGCGGCGCTATTACGAAATGGCATTCGAGAACTTCCAGCAACTGAATTGCAGAGCAATCGCGAAAGCCTTCGTCAAGCTGGTCGAGCCTCGCAAGCAGGTGAATCATCCTTACAATGGGCGATCAACCGCGGCCGGAATGTCCCAACGGGTGGATCCCGAGTTGACCAAGCCTCAGTGGTGGCCTGAAGGAGTAAGGCACAGAGAACCTGATCACCTTTTGAAGTCTGGTGAGACATCAATCAACTCGAGATCGCAGTTTGCGCACAAGACATCCCGACTGACCTTATTGGTGCAGAGAGAATTCGACTTCTCGTTCACATTTTGTGTGAGCTCAGAGACAGTCATAAAATTACTTCGGAGAAACTCAAGGACGCCGGTCAAGATGTAAGACGAGGTATTGTGCCTGAGGAACGATTGCAAGTCCTGGACGAAATCTATTACGTTCGAGATATGGAGGAGTTATATCTGGATGGCAAAATTGGTATGAATTCTTTCCCATGGCCTAGATACTATCGAAAGTGCGACCAAAACTGAGACTGACCTTTATTTCTCAATACAGATGGTGATACGGTGATACACGTTTCTCAAGTTCAGATGCCTGAAGCCAATTTGACCATGCAGCCCAACCAGCAAGTGACTGGCGACAATATTGGCGACCAGCCCGTTCCTATGATCGCCGTGTCCAGCAGCCATGACACAGTACCAAATACCGGTCATCTTCCACCGGGCCAGTCACAAAGTCAGGGGTCCAGTGTCATACTAACTCCAAATACATCGCCATCTGTGAGCCGACGAAGCTCGCTAGAAAGCAATATGACGAGTTATTCGCATAACATGACACCACCTGGACTAGCTGTGAATGAGCCTATGAGAGCAGTGCAGCCCTCAGAAACGCCATCAATGACGGATTATTATGACCAGCAGATGGCTCACCAACCGGCAGGGCAAAGTTCTCAAAATGGACTCTGGAGTCAGCTTCCACACACCCATCAGCCACTTGGATTCCAAGGATTTTAAGTCGAGGCAAAGAAGTTTTCTCTCCCTCCTTTTCTTTTTCTTTTTCTTTTGATTTTTGGAGTGTACGGATGGGCTCTGGGTTTCAAGAAATTCTTTTTCGTAAGCGACTCGAAAGTTTTCTTTGCGTGTTTCTCGAGATATATTATCCAATAGAGATTCCCAAGTGGCTACTGCTTCTGTTTTGTTTCAATACACACTATTATTGGGAATTCACATGTGCAATGAGGTTATTCAAGCATCGTTCAAGAGAAGAATACCTACCACTCCAACTTTCTCGATAGGTTCTACCCTGGTCTCCCGTAGTATAAAGACGGTCTGGACGGTCTGGATCATGTTCCCCATGCGCGTCCTCTCATTGGCCCGACTAGTTGCCGATCCCGTGTTCTGACGCGACCCTCCCGCACTGGCCAACCACAGGCGGCAACGCGTGCACACGCAGAACCTCATCCTTCCCACTTGTCTGCCGTTGTTTGTTCTCGACTTCAACTTCGTGCGCCTTGTTCAGTCATGCGCTGCTGTTGCTGAAGAACACTGGTCCGTTGAGTCGTTGCAAATCCCACCTGATCTGTTCCAAGGTTATTCGACCCACGGTTCCTTCATTCCACAACCTATCGGACATAGGACGACTGTAGTATACGCTACTTCTTATCTGCTTGGCAGTATCACTGTCTGATCCGGTGAGTTGATCAGTTTTGATCCCATTTCTTCTTCCAGCCGCCTCGCTTCTTGCTTCTTCATTTCATAAATTGTCTTCTATACGTCCTGTTTTGGATTCATCGGACTCTCGAACAACAGCCAATTGCTGGGTTTATTACCGAAACCATGGTGATGCTAACATTTGGCCGTTTCCTCAGTCGACCCTATCCGCACCAACGCGACGGTCCCCCCATCTTTATTTTCCAACAGAAACTCATCATGGAGGACGGTGGCGCCGACCTAAACGTGCCGGCGAAAGGTGACTCGCCTTTACTGCGCGCAGCCGCAGGCGACGACCTATCCGACGTGGACGAGCTCACAGATTCCTCCGACAACTACTACTCACCACCTGGGTCGCCTGGGAGGCTGTCCCGGAGTCCATCATTCTCGTATCAGGATGATTGGGAGACCTTCCCATCGCTTGACCAGCTCTCGGTTTTTGACCTGCTCGACAACCTGTCCCTTTCGCAGCGGCTGGAAAAGCTCCAGCAAACAATCAATGCGCAGAAAGAAAAAGTGAGGAAACAACGCGAGAAACTGAGATATACTTCTATAAATGCAAAGGATCGCGTCGTGGGCGAATGGAAAAAGCGGGTTCCCACGGCCGACGAGCGCCTCGACAAGTATCGCCGGCGGATGAAGGTTGGAGTTGAGCGCCTGGGGAAGCAATGGAATGAAGCGGCCACAGTTACCCTGCGCGAAAAAATATCCTTCATCGCAGGTGTCCTCAACATCTTTATCAGTGGTTATCTCGTCGGTGCCCACCCAGAGTATTTCTACATCTGGTTCAGCGCGCAACTGGCGTACTTCATGCCCATTCGGTATTACCGGTACCACAAGAAGGGGTATCATTATTTCTTGGCCGACTTATGCTACTTTGCCAATGTGCTTTGTTTGCTGAGTCTCTGGGTCTTTCCAGGCTCGCCGAGGCTCTTTATCAGCACCTTCTGCTTGGTGTTCGGGAACAATGCTGTTGCAATTGCCATGTGGAGGAATTCCATGGTGTTTCATAGCATGGATAAGGTTGTGAGGTATGTCGCATTCACCCTAACTAATAATCATATGTTGACTAATCGGTCTGGATCGCAGCCTTTTCATTCACATTATGCCTCCAATGACCTTACATTGCCTCGTTCACTTGACCTCAGCCGAAACATTGAAAGAGAGATTCCCAGCCGTGTATAGCATCAAGTTCAGTGACCCTGGATCTCCAGAGCACTTCTCTCTTCTGTCTATGATGGGCTGGGCGACCGTTCCGTACATAGTCTGGCAGCTCGCATATCACTGCTTTATCACCGTTCGTCGAGCAGAGCAAATCGCTGCTGGGCGGCCGACCAGTTTTACATGGCTTCGCAAATCCTACTCGAAGGCATGGATTGGCAAAATTGTCCTTAGTCTTCCGGAGTCACTACAGGCCCCCGCGTTTATGCTGATCCAATATCTCTACGCGATGCTGACTATGATCCCTTGTCCGCTGTGGCTCTGGTATCGGTGGGCCAGCGGAGCCTTCTTGACCTGTTTGTTCATTCTCAGCATTCACAACGGTGCAACCTATTATATTGATGTGTTTGGCAAACGCTTCCAGAAAGAATTGGAGGAGCTGAAGAAGGATGTCGCACGCTGGCAGTCGTCTCCCGAAAACAACGCTACGCTTGCCGGCCCTGATGAGAACGCGACTACGGGAGCGCAGGCTTCGAAAGACTCGACAACCAGTGCAGCTAACAACGTCTCTAATCAGTCTGGTATTGACAAAATTCCTCCTCTTGACTCCAGCGCTGCCTCGACGGGCGTGCAAGAGGCGGGCGACTCATCGCTGCGTGAAAGGAAATAGCGAGCTACATACTTTTTGAGTACTCTTTATATTGGTATCTTCTCAGCATTTGCTTGTGTTTCTCTCTTTTTTCTTACCGTTTCCCCCTCTTTTTTTCCTTTTTTTGTCTTTCGTTTTTACGTATTTTCAGCTCGCCCTTTTTCATCCACCTGCCAATATTGATTAAATGCGTTGATACCCAACCCTACCACCAACCTCGTGTTTTTCTATTTCTACTTGGAGACCTATATAATTCTTGATCTGTTAGATATATGTCTGCTGTTGTCAATAATGGTATAAAGACTGAATATGATCGCTGGATAATCCTCCTAGAATGCGTGACTCAAATCGCCTAAAACAACCTACGCAGACAAGAAAGCTTGGCGCTGTTATCTCCGGCGGCGACGGGCCGCAAACGCCGAGACCGGTCAGATCACGTGCAGGGCCACCTCTTTCCTCGCAGACCTCCGGAGAGCGACAGCGGCGAGACATGACCATCATTCTGGAGGTCAATTTCTAATCACTTTTTGCCCTTGTGCTATTTTCCCAGTGGGATCTTTTTTAGATCCAGTTTGTTCTCTACTGCTAAATCGTGGTGCTTTCTCTATTTCTTCGCTCGTTCTCCCGAGCATCTCCTATCCAATCTTCCGCCATGTCCGTTTCGATGAGATCGGCTAGGCTTGTGCGCAACAACTCGGCCTTGCGGTCGAGTTTGGTTGGTATGTGACTAGAGTCTGTTGATGATACAGACCTGAAAACCCCGAGTCGCGCTTTTTGCTTGCAATGATCAACGCATCGCTAACACATGATTTCCGTAAGCAGCCCGGCCGCGCTTTTCCGGAGCATTGGGCGCCTCTACCGCTGCAAACCTTCGTTTGAACGGCCGGGGTTTCCCATCGCAGGTGTCAGCTATCGCACTTTTGGTTTCCCATCGTGGCTATGCTACGGAACAATCCACGTCTTCGTCCTCGGACAATTTGCCACCTCCCGGATTCAACGCAGAGCAGGCCAAGAAGCCTCTCTCGCCCGAGGCTGCGCAACGGGCAAGCGCCAACACAACTCAACAGGTCGCTACCAAAGCCGATTCGGCAGTTGCTAATACAAACAATACGGGCGAGGTCGCAGTGGCCAAGTCCGCGGAGGATGACAAAAAGGCTGGCGAGGAGAAGAAGGAGCAGAAGAAATTGACAATCGGGCAAAAGATCAAGAAGGAGGTTCAACACTATTGGGATGGAACTAAGCTTCTTGCCACAGAGGTGAAGATCAGCTCAAGGCTAGCATTGAAGATGGCCGGAGGATACGAGCTCAGCCGCCGTGAGCACCGCCAGGTTAGTCAATTGTCGCCCATTCGGCTGGTTGGTTATATGAGCTAACTTTTTTGGTACTTTAGTTGCAAAGAACTGTAAAGGATCTCGGTCGCCTGGTTCCTTTCTCTATGTTCATCATCATCCCTTTTGCCGAATTGCTCCTTCCCGTTGCCCTCAAGCTTTTCCCCAACCTGCTGCCCAGCACTTACGAGGGCCAGAAAGCCCGTGAAACCAAGGCACTGAGCCTCAGCTCGACACGGAAAGAGGTTTCTGGCTTCTTGAAGGATACCTTGAAGGAAAGTGGTCTCCCTGTGACGGCTGCGACCGTCAAGAACGAGGAATTCGCGGAGTTTTTCAAGAAGATCCGGACTACGGGAGAAACGCCCTCGACCGAGGATGTCATCAAGGTCTGCAAGATCTTCAAGGATGATTTGACTCTGGACAACTTGTCTCGTCCTCAGCTTGTCGGTATTTGCAAGTACATGAACCTCAACTCTTTCGGAACCGACGCCATGCTTCGATACAACATCCGACACCGTATGCGCCAGATCAAGCGCGATGACCGCGCCATCTTCTACGAGGGAGTGGAGTCACTTTCGGTTCCCGAGCTGCAAATGGCCTGCGCCTCCCGTGGTATTCGTACCCACGGTGTTTCTCCCGCCCGCCTCCGCGAGGATATCTCGATGTGGCTGGACCTCCGTCTCAAGCAGGGCGTCCCGTCCACGCTCCTGGTTCTCAGCAACGCCTACGTCTATGCTCAGGGTGGCAAAGAGGCGGAAATGTCGTCTCAGATTGACTCTCTGCAGTCTGTCCTCTCCAGTATTCCTGAGGAGCTGTTCCACGAAATTGAGCTAGAGGTGCACAATGCCGAGGGTGCCGCCACGAACAAGCAGCGTCTCGAGGTCATCAAGGAACAGCAAGAGCTCATCGAAGAAGAAAACGAGCAAAACAGCGAGAACGAAGAGAAGGGTATGTCCGCACCTAAAGACATCGAGGACATCGATGACAAGGAGGACACCAAGTTCGAGGCCAAGTACGAGAAGCAATCCGATGAGGCGGTTGAGGCTGTCAAGGAGAGTGAGTTGGCTGAGGCTTCGCAAGCCAAAGAGACCTCGGCACCGACCGAAAAGAAGGAGACGCCTTCTCAGTAATTCATTTGTTTCCTGGCGCCTTGTTTTTGATATAGACTTTCTCCCCCCCCCCCTTTCTCCCTTCTTGGCTTGTCTTAGTGTTGATACGATAGATTCCTTTTTAACTCTTCCCAAGCCGATTGCGGCTACTGGCTACCTACTCGGTTGATGATTACCTGTTGTTTACTATACTTGCTCTTTTTTGTCATATTTCTCATTTGTGATGCATCAACCCGGCTAATACTTGGAACCTAGCCGAAGCTTGGAATATTTTCCGGCGTGAGTTGTGTTTGGGTGTTGCGATTATTCTGTATTATGTTGGTACCTAGACAAATCCAATAGAATTGCTGATTTTGAGTATCGAACGCAACCGTTGATTGGGTAACTGCCAGTGTTTTGTTTCAGTAGTTCTGTAGGTACTTGTGTAGGACACCAATGAATCATCGGCCGCAAGTCACCTAACCTCGGCAATCGATCCGATCACCACTTCGGATCTACCACCATGCATCGTCAACCCCATCTTCTACGACATACGGCCATGCGGGGTTCACGACTTATTTCATTCCTATCGATAACTCGCAGTTTCAGCACCCATCGACCCCTTGGCCTGGCGCAGAAAATGCCCCGGTTAAACCCAGCCTCACAGGTAGGATTCAAGCCACTGTCCATGCCGACATGTAATACCGTCGCATGTTCCAACCCCCTTCCCCCTTATTCTCGGCGATTTATGCCCCAAAAGTCTCATAGCGCATAGGCTAAATTATCTCACAGAAAGCAATCGATCGGCTGAGAGCCTATAAGCCCCCGGCGACCAGTTATGACCTGGTGCCGTTGTCGCGCCGAGCGGCCGTGCTGGTCCTGCTCTATGCCGACTCGAAGGGCGACCTTCGGGTAGTTCTGACCATGCGGGCGAAAACCTTGAGTTCATGTATGTTGGGCTTGCTGTACTTTATCATCCCGTTGGACTGGATCAGACAACGATCGGACTCACGGCAAGCAACTAACAAAACCACACAGATGCCGGCCAAGCGGCCCTCCCAGGTGGTAAGCTACGTCCATTCAGCAAAGAGTCCAAAACGCGAAGGAAAGCGTAATACCACTACTCTAAATGCCCTGGATTAACCAAGTGAAACAATCTAGGAAGGGCCGACTCCGTCGAAGAGACACCCTTCCAGACAGCACGCCGCGAAGCCCTTGAGGAGATCGGCCTCGCAGACATTGGTCAAGCCCTGCCGCATCCGTTCTCCGTCGAACATCTGTGCGAGTTTCCTGCGAACCTGGCCCGCACGGAACTTGTGGTTCGGCCCTGTGTCGCGCTCCTGCATTCCTATGACGAGACGACAAATTCTAACGCCGACCCGGAGGTCTCGTTGATCCCGAAGCTGGATGCGCGCGAAGTGGCGGCTGTGTTCACGGCCCCGTTTAGTAATTTTCTCAGCTTGAAGGATGGAGAGGATTGGGTGGTAGGAGACGGGGGTAGTGCTGTCCAGCCGGAGGACTGGTACCAAGGGGCCTGGACGGAGTGGCACCAGTCGAATTGGCGGATGCATCAATTCTTCGTGCCGATTCGGCCGGAGGCGGTGGTGAAGCCACGGGCGAGGACGAGATTCGAGCATCTGAAGGCGGCGTTCAGTGAGCTAGAGGAGAAGGAGAAGGCCGGGGAGGTGGTTCGCTACCGCGTTTGGGGCATGACGGCTCGCATGCTGGTGGATGTGGCCCGGGTGGCATATGATCGGGAGCCGGCGTTCGAGCATAATAGCCACCTTGGAGATGAGGAGATGATTGCGAGGCTGCGGCGCATGGGACGATTGAGTCCGATTCGGAAGTCGGGCGACGTGCTGACGAGAGAGGATATGGAGAAGGCGGCGAAGTTGAGTTGAAGTGATACCCGGGTTGAACTAGTATATAGGAGTGATTTAGCTGGCTTGGGTATGGTTGAGTATTTTGGATACTATGTACTGTACAATGCATCATTCGTAGATCTACACGAATATATTGTTTCTTAGCGAGCAGAGAATAGACCTAGAAGGCCCGCGTTAATTCTATCTTGACGTTCTTCAATATCCAAGTAGAACAAGAACTGCCCTCATCTCGGAAGACCTTACCCCCGAGCCCATACACATGAAAGCCAGGGCCCCTCGGTCAACAGATAAGCATCAATGACTCCGAGCGACCTTCAGCTCGGATCTATCTGACTGTTCCTACATCACCAACCCCAAAGATAGACAGGACATGCCACGAATCAACCCACAATATCCCTGCTGACCATGATATCATGACAAATACTCCAAGCAAGCGCGGCCTTCTGCTGCGCACCAACCAATCAGGCTGGATTCATACGATCCGACAGCCTCGTGGAATGGAGTGGCTGAAACTCTGTACTAGGTAGTGATATTTTAATTATGTTAGGCTGGCTGGCTAGATCCAGGTGGGGATTTCCATGGAGACGATGCCTTGTTTACTGGATTGCGGGTGGCCGGAGTTGCAGTGCGACTTGAGACTGTTTCAGGATTCGAGATATCGAGTAGTACTGCGTAGTAAGTGTTAACTGTTTATTGATCCTGGAACGCTTCGTTCGAATGGAGGAGGTTTCTCTATATTCAACGATTTATGCACTCTCGGGTGCAGTGTACCTTCGATTTATGCCACAATGGGTAGTACTATCAGTATAAACAAGCAAATTCAACTTGCCAAATCAGCCCATCAACCCATGTTTCCAAAATCCAGAGTAACGAAGCGACAAAACTCAAACTCGCCACCCGACAAAGCCAAAACACTCAGAATTCGGGATGCCCGATGACTCCAAGCAAGACCCATGGATAAGACCACGCCCGACAAGTCAATCACATTGTTCCGACGCTCTCATTCGTATTCCACGAGGCCAGAATGCCTGACCCCGTGCGTATCCCAAGCCCGAGTCCATCGGACTGCCCATGCCCCCTCCTCAACACCTTGCGCCGATTGGACACGACGGCATTCCGCAACGCCAGCCACGGTTTTCCTCCGTTCCAGTAGGTTGAATCTGCCAGGGCACCAGAGGCTAGTGGCTCTAGACCAGTCTACCTCGGTTTAGCTGGCTGGACTTTACCGAAGGGGGCTAGGGATTGTGATTTAGCCAGATCGGACGGCTGTCAACGAACTCAACCCACGGACTTGCGCTCTTCGGCCGGGACTTGGGAAACGGGGAACGGCTACGGCCTGATGGGTCGAGTAGCTTCTCTCACTGGTGGCGATGGTCGGGGTCTAGACGGTATCTGTCAGTGTCAGGCAGATAGATCCGAACTAAGAAGACCTTATTTCAGTTTATTTGCTTCTTAGCGCGCCGTCGGGGAGTGGGGATGGAACACATCGTCTATCTACACTTGCGAAACCGATGCGAACTGCTCTGTGAAGCGATGTTCCTGCAGGGGTTTAGGACCTGTCAGTCGATGTGAATAGCTTGTCTGCTTGCTTGCTAGCCTGTGTGCCTGCATCGTGCGCAATGTAGGGAAATCCCATGGGCATGACAGGAAGTGGCCACCCGAGGGGGCCAAGGGAGAGTACCGGTAGCTTGGGTCCCTATCCTCCGGGATGGTGCATTATAATTTCCTTCGATTTTCGCTCTCCCTTCTTTTTATTTTAATCGTTGTTCTTATTTTATTACGAACGATGCCAACAACCAACAGCCAACACGTTGGGGGGAAAGGGAGAAGGGGGAATGCCGAGCGTGAGATTGAGTCAAGGGGGCAAATTGAGCTGAACCTGGGCTGGGGATAACTAGTCCCAGAGCAAGTCTGCAATCAGTCTAGTCTCCTCCGTCGCTCTTTCGCTACAGTAGAAATCCGAGAGGGGCTTATCTAGACTGGGCTAGGCCTGGACACTTTCACCACCAATATTAGGCAGCTCGAGAGACAAATTACTCCGGATAGAGTCTGGATAGCTGACTGCGCCCCCACCCTTTCCCCGAGAATCGAGGGTTCGGGTCGAGGCTAGAGCCAAAGCAGCAGGCTGTATCTAGATTCTCTAGTCTCACGGGTCCCGATTGCCAATTTTTTGCCATGTGGTTTGCTTTCGTGCAGCATCGACCATGTCCCGGAGTCCGAGTCCGTACGTGGCTGCTCCGTACCTGCCGCTGCATCTGTGGTTCCTTACTGATTTCTTGCGAATTCCGTCTGGAAGAGAGCTGGTCAGTGAATGTCGGCGCTCAATGTGGCGTCGGGGTGCTGCTAGTCTGCTCATGCTAATGCCTCGGGGTTCACGTTGCTACTTTGTTTGCTTGCGCGGTGCTTGCGAAACTCGCTGGGTGTACATGTCCTCCTGCAGATCGTGGGGAAATGGCAATGATCAGAGTGAAGGATGGGAGGAAACAGGCGGCGAACGGCGTTTCGCTACGCAGCTCCAGATCTTGCTTAGGGTTGGCGATGGCGCTGGTTAGTCTCTAACGCCCGAAGAATGTTGCGGGTAGGAGAGACCAATTTCATTAATTAATTAATTTAAACAGCAAGAAACAAATAAAATAGAAAATAAATGTGAAATCAAAATAAGGAAAAGAAAAAAAAAATGATTGGATTCACCGCCAGAAAGTCGAGGTGACGGATCCAATCTGCACGCCATCCCCGTCGCGTTGCCAACTCGGCCGGACGGGCTGCAGGAAACCATTCATTATTCTCTGTTCTGGCGTCATTTGCATCGTATTCTTCTGCTGGTTCTGTCAATTGTCCGCATCCGGGCAACCAGACGACGACAATGAGAATTTAGCGAGTCGTGGCGACCGGGATTCCAGCGACGGGGCTCTTTGTCTCTTTCAACGCCATCGCATCGCCAAGTTGATTCATCATTGTTCGCTCGCTATTCTGGGAGCTGACGGAGCTCCACTCTTGCGCTCCGATCTGCCCCAGGGAAGGCCCATGGAAGAATACGGAAATGGGAGTAGTGTGAACTGTCAATTGGCCCGGCTCCACTCCATGATTTGTCCAGCTGCCCACTCCGCCAGCCTGGTTGGCATCGACATCCTGCCCATCCGACTTGCCTCCGTATTCGACGCCGGAAATGATCGCGATTATCACGATTATAACCATCCGCACAAGCGATTGGTGAGCGCCGGCCAGATTTCGCCGTGATTTGTCATGTTTCATCATTTCCTCGACGAACTCCTCCAGGGATGATTGCGATGGACTGTTTGGCACATCCCTTGCATGGCTGCGTGTCACTCGGCCGGTCCATGAGGTTATCGCCGCCCATGGACGATGACGATCCTGCAGCCGATTCGCGTTGCTTTTTTCCCTGGCCGCGTCCGGTTGGGTGCTGGCGCGCATTATTTCCCCATTATTTGTGGATTATCCCTTCTGGGCCATTTCCTTTTCATTTTAAATACTGAATTTTTTTGTTTATTGTTTATTACTCCGTATGATCTATTCCATCATTTTGGGGGCTCCCCGTCCCGGATCCCTCCCAACTAACCAGGGGGGACCCTCGTTTAGCTGCATGATCCACCCCTTTATATCACATTATCGATGCTTTCTTTGTCGTCGTCATTGATTGCTTCCGGCCTCCTTTCGCCGCATTCTTTAAACGATGGGAATCCCGCCTCGTTGGCCGGTCGTAGCGGATTCTGCAGGCCCGACTTTAGGGCTCGAGCGACACTTGGCGGGGTCTTGTGATCGCGCTGCCCAAAGAGAACGAGTCGTGAAGGACCAGGATTCGGATTGGATCTCGATCCGTTTTTCTCCCGGGTTCAAATAAAATCATTGGGTTGATTTCTAGTGACACACGGCCGTGAGTGGTCGCTTTTTTATCGTCACTGTCTCTGGTCGGCCGTTTTCTATTTGTCCCTCGTTCTTTTCCCCTCTTCTCGCCTTCGCTCGTCTTTTTCTTCTCCTTCGTCTTCGTCTTCTCTTCTCTTCTCTTTCTCTCCTTCCTCCGTTCTTTACTCTCCTTCTTCCTTCTCTTCAATCCCCTGTCCCCCAGGGGGAAGGGCTCTTCGACATCCCTCTCCACATATTGTTCGCCAATCCCGTTCGACAAGTACATCCCATACATCGTCTTTCAGCATGCCGTCGCCAATGTCCTTTGCCATCTCCCGGCAAGCTCCTCCGGTCAGACCGTCTCGGTCTCTCGAGGGTATGGAGCGGGTCGTTCCGCCCGAATCGCCTGCTCGTCCTTCACTCAAGCTGGACAAGCCTCTTCCCGATCTGCCCTCGAAACCATTACCGGCGACGCCGTCGATGGAAGCCTCGACGGCATGGAGCGACGACAGCAGCCTCGCCGACAGCTTTGAGAGTCGACGCCCGTCCAATGCATCGACCGGGAGCTATCCCGTCGTCGTTCGTTCCCCGTCCGACGATCTGGCCGAGCTGGTCGATCATTCCTCGGCCGCCAATCTAGATCGCTCGTCGCCCGTCGAGCCCTTCGTGAAACCTCGCCCGGCACCTTTAACCTTCGCAGCCGTATCCCAGGACCGATATCAGAGCTCCCAACCGTGGACTCCCAATCGCTCCCGTCCCAATCACTACTTCCGAGAAAAGAAGTGGGATTTCTTCCCGGAGCTGGCCATCCCGTCGGAGCTGCCGCCCAAGTCCCCCAAATTCCCGTCCAAGCAAAGGAAGAAAGATGCCAGTCGATTGAATTTGGGAACGTTCGACTTTTCAAAGAAAGGGAATCGCTGGAATAGCACCGAACGGAGCGGACTCACCCTGGCTCATGACATGCGGAAATCGATCCGATCGTATGTCCAACAAAGGATCTCGAAGCACTCCGTCGACAAAGAAAAAGCAAAGCGAGCACGACCGGCTACAGCGCCCTCGGAATACGTGCAGAAATGTCATCCGACTCCGCGAGTGCCATCCAGCAACTACTCCGACGATGAGAGCATTGCGTTCCAGAACAACGACATTGATTCGACTGAGAAGCTGACTCGACTGTCCATGTCCACCACCTCCAGCGCCGAAGAACGCGTGAAACCGTTGAAGCCGGTCGCTTTCCAGCGACGAAAACAGCTGGCTGTACCCATGTCGCCATATCAGAAATACGGTGCAGCCATCTGGGAGAAGTCGGGTCGCGAAAAGCGAATCAGCTACCGACAAAGTCAGAATGTGCGATTTCCGCGATATCAAAAGAGCCCCTCGTCTCCTAAACCAGAGGCTACGAATACCACGCCACCATTGTCGCCACCACCGCGCTCACCGGCTCAGCAAATCCCGCGAGATTACATGAAAGCACTGCAAGGCGGGACGAGTCAAGTCCTAGTCGCAGCGAAGCAGAAGATGACCGGCGCTCGTGTGGATCGAAAACGCATGGAGTTGAAGTCACAAATCCGGTTAGTCGGACCGGTCAGCCCGCAGAATTCATACGAAAGGGAAGGGGTAGATCCCTGGATCTAAGGAATTATCGATTTTTCTTTGTCTTCACTTCATCCGGGATTGTTATTACTACTATTATTATCTTGGCCTCATTGTCCTTTCTATTTTTGTCCAGGTCGGCACCATCTTTTTGCAAGCGTTCTTCATTTTTTCCCCTTCAAGTCATTCTTTCTGCCACTCTCTCATCTCCTTTTATATCTATTCTTGAAGATTTTTAAGCCGTGCGCTGGGCGTTATGGGAGCTGAAAGGACGACTCCCCGGAAGGTTGGGTTCCGTCGGCGATTATTTATTCTACCAATATATCCAGGTCAACAGCGTGCATGATTATATAGTACTTTACCTTCTAGCCAGAATGAATTCATATCTATCTATGATACTACTCCATTGAGATGTGCCTCCTGACATGAGTACACCATCGGAGTGAGTCGATGCAAGAGCCGAGAGGGGAGGATGTAACGATGTGACCATAAAGCACTATCATATGATGAAAGGAGTCATCACTGGCCAGGATGGACTGGGATTATTTCAGGATCTGCTGCATGCAAGACAGCATGAATTAAAACTCCACCGGTCACATTCCAACGACCCTCGCAATTCCCCCGCCTTGCGATGATTAAGTAAAACGGATCTCCGCAACCAACAACGTCACCTGCCCCGTTCCTGCATTCCTCCGCACTTCCAGCCTTCTCTTCCTTCTCCTCTTCTTCGCCCTCTTCCCCCCATTCCTCATCGAATCCATTTCTTTCGCCATCCCCTTTAATTTCCCCTCTGTTTGTTGATTCTACCGTCGGGTATACACTTTACAGGCAGACCCGTTTTAATCCACCACCCCGTACCCACCGCGCAACCATGGGTGGAGACGTGCCCCGACAAGCTCCAAGCTCCCTTCCCCGGACTCCGGCTGGCCCCGTTGGCCAGCGGATCAAGAGCATCTACACCGATCGGTTGAAACAGTTCACCGCAACTGGCCAGTACGAGGGCCAGAACTTGCTCTCGTAGGTCCATGTGAATTAACTTAATCCTCAACGTTCATCCGCTGATCTCGATTTAGGAAGCTTCACGAGGCCACCAACTCCGACGAAGATCACGTCAAGCTCGAAGTCTACTCCGTCCCCGACCTGCAGCGCCCCCCATTCGAGGAGGCTACTTCCCATGAATTCAAGCCCACGCGTATTGGCGCATCCTTTGGCCCCAGTTGGTCCACGCATTGGTTTCGCATCCGTCTAAGCGTACCCGAGGACTTGCGCCAGAAGGAGCGGCTCGAGTTCCATTGGGATGCCAACAATGAGGGCTTAGTGTGGACGGAGGACGGCCACCCATTGCAGGGTCTTACGGGCGGAGGTGAGCGGATCGAGTGGGTAATCCCTGACGCCTGGCGCGATGGAAAGGAGCATCTGTTCTACATTGAGATGGCCTGCAATGGCATGTTTGGCAATGCCCCTGGGGGCGATTCGATCCAGCCCCCGTCCCCGGATAAGTACTACACTCTTCATACAGCACGCATCACTGCTGTCAATGTCGAAGCCCGGGCACTATTCTATGATTTCTGGATTATTGGCGGTATGTTGTGCTGACGAAATGATGTTTGTACCCCGGTTCGCTGATTGGTTATGTAGATGCCGCTAGAGAGTTCCCCGGTGATGGTTGGGAATCTCACGAGGCGAATATGGTCGGCAATGCCATTATCGATGCGTTCATTGCCGGAAATGGAAGCAATGAAGCGATCAAAGCGGGCCGCAAGATTGCTCAGAAGTATCTCGGCGATAAAGTCGATTCGTCTGATGTATACAGCACGGATACACAGCCGATAGTCTACGGTATTGGCCACTGCCACATCGATACCTGCTGGTTATGGCCATGGGCCGAGACCAAGCGCAAGGTGGCCCGATCCTGGTCGAATCAATGCGACCTGATGGACCGATACCCCGAGCACCGTTTCACTTGTTCGCAGGCACAGCAATTCAAATGGCTGAAGCAATACTATCCTACCGTCTTCGACCGCGTGAAAAGCTGGGTAAAGAAAGGACACTTCCAACCCGTCGGTGGGAGTTGGGTCGAGCATGACACCAACCTTCCCAGCGGCGAATCGTTGGTCAGGCAGTTTCTCTACGGACAGCGATTCTTTGAAAGCCACTTCGGAGAGCGTTCCACGACTTTCTGGCTTCCAGATACATTTGGCTATTCCAGCCAAATCCCTCAGATTTGTCGCCTGGCGGGAATGAGTCGCTTCTTCACACAGAAGCTCAGCTGGAACAACATCAATAACTTTCCCCACACGACATTCAAGTGGGTTTCCCTGGATGGTAGCCAAGTCATGTGCCATATGAGCCCTTCGGAGACCTACACCGCCAGTGCTCACTTCGGTGATGTCAAGCGTAGCGTGACCCAACACAAGTCGATGGATCAGGACAACACCTCGCTCCTGGTGTTCGGCAAGGGAGATGGTGGTGGAGGGCCTACTTTTGAGCATCTCGAAAAGCTCCGCCGTTGCCGCGGTCTGAGTGACAAGGTGGGCCTCCTCCCACGTGTGAAGATGGGAGAGTCCGTGGACGATTTCTTCGAGAAATTGGAAAAGAAAGCAACGAGCGGCACTGAATTCACTACGTGGTATGGCGAGCTCTACTTTGAGCTCCACCGCGGTACATACACCACACAGGCAAACAACAAGCGCAACAATCGCAAGTCTGAGTTCTTGCTGCGTGAGCTTGAATACCTGGCCACTCTTGCGTCCCTGGCCGCTACCAAAAATCACTACGAATATCCCAAGAAAGACATCGACGATATGTGGGAGGGAACCCTTCTGGGCCAGTTCCATGATTGCCTTCCTGGCAGCTCCATCGAGATGTGCTATGATGATTCCGATAAGCTTTATGCAGAGATCTTCAAGATAGGAGAGAAAGCTAGGCGACAGGCCCTCGAGGCTCTTGGGTATGGTCGTACAGGCAGTGGCCAGACTCTCCAAGCTATTAATACCCTACCTTGGCGCCGTTCCGAGGTAGTCCGGATCCCCGAGGAATTCACAGCCTCGACGGGTTCAAAATTTGCCCTGGTCACCGGTGATACTGGATATATCGAGTATAATCCTGCCACCACGCGTCCGGCTTCTACTGTGACGGTGTCGGAGATTAGCCCCGGCACGTTCCGTCTTCAGAATTCCAAACTGAAGGTTGACATTCAGAACGGTGTAATCATATCACTGTACGACGTCGACGAGGATCGTGAGGTGATTGCCAAGGATGGCAAGGCCGGACAGCTGGTCATTTTTGACGACAAGCCATTGTACTGGCAAGCATGGGATGTGGAGGTCTTCCATTTTGAGTCGAGGAAAGAATTGCATTCCGGAAAGAGCAGCATCTCCGAGAAAGATCCATACCGTGCTAGCGTCGTCACTGAAACTAAGATCAGTGATAAGAGCTGGGTCAAGACTACCATCAGTCTTGCCGCTGCTACGGAGGATCAGCCGTCATACGTGGAATTTCACAGCGAGGTTGAGTGGAAGGAAGATATGAAATTCCTCAAGGTTGAATTCCCCGTTGACATCACTAACACAGAGGCATCCTATGAGACTCAGTACGGAATCAACAAGCGTCCAACTCACTACAACACGAGGTATGTCTCCAAATTATCTGAAACACATCTGATGAATATTAATACTGATGTCATCCAGCTGGGACATGGCCAAGTTCGAGGTTTGCTGTCACAAATGGGCTGACTTGTCCGAGAACGGATACGGCGTCTCCGTCCTGAACGATTCGAAGTACGGTTTCGCAACCTGCGGCAATCTGATGCGCCTTTCTTTGCTCCGTGCACCGAAAGCACCCGATGCTCACGCCGACATGGGCCGCCACCACATCCGCTATGCCATCCTACCGCATGCCGGACCCCTTGATGCTCGTATCGTTCGGGCTGGGTACAATTTCAACCACCCGCTGGTGCTTGAGCCGTCCGCTGGTCCGGAGAATGCGAGTGTTTTCTCATCGATTTCTCTGGGTGGATCACAATCCCTCATTCTCGACGCTGTCAAGCGTGGAGAAGACGATGAGGACATCTCTCGAGACAACTTGCCTCGCCGTGCAGGCAAAAGCATCATCCTCCGCATCTACGAGTCTCTCGGCGGTAAAAGCCGAGGAACTATCCGAACCAAATTCCCCGTTAAAGAGATCTGGAAGTGCAATGTGCTTGAGGATAACGAGGTCTCGCTGCCACTTTCGAAGAAGAGCGACTCCGTTGAAGTCGACATCGAACTGAGGGCATATGAAGTAGCTACTTACCGCTTGCAGCTGTAAACTTGGTCCTTACCCAGCCTGCTACCTACTTAGTATATCGCATATATAGCAGTAGTTCATTTCTAGCAAATTGACTTGATCTGATTTGATCTATGATCTAGCGACTCAAGTGGTAATACAATGGATATCATGACATAGGAAGAACACCAAACGCTGTCCATCTCATCCCTCCAGCCCAGCGGTTTCAAGTGGATCATAAACAAAGCACCCGCATAGATACTGCACCCATATAATAATACACACACAGCAGAGAGATAGACAGATAGGACGGGGAAACAAAAACGCCCAGCTCAGCCCAAACACCATCCAACTTTTAACTCCAGACAGACCCTTCCCCCCCAAAAAAACACAAAAACACACATAAAATCCAAAGCCGTCAATAACGATCAATCCCTTCCATAGCTGATCTTCAACCGCTTCGTTGGCGGCTTGTCCCCGCCTTCCTCGTCCTCGTCGTTCTTGATCTCCTTATTGCCGCTGCTGCTGTTGTTGGACTTCTTCTTGTTCTTCGACGACGACCCGCCCTTTACGCTTCCGGGTGCTGAGCCTGCCTCGCCGTTCGGTTTCCCGGTGGATCCGTTATACGTGGACGTCGGGGTGGGTGCGTGCGAGGGCGTCGTCTGGGATGAGGAGGGCGTTGAGTCCTGTCCGTACATAGTTAGAATCACGGGTCCATTCCAGTTTTCCAGATTTCAACCACAGAGAGAGAAAGAGAGAGAGAGAGCGCAGAAGGAGGAGAAACATACGCGCATAAACCCCGCCGAACTCCGCGAGAACACGCGATCCGCGTCCGTCACCTGGGCCTTGCGTCTTGTGCCGCCACCGCCGCCGCCGCCCACGCCGCTGGAGAACGAGAGCGAGGTCGCGCCAACCCCCGTGTTCGACGAGCCCTTGATGTAGTTGTCGAATCCTTTGATGATGTTTCCGGCGGTGGTTTCTTCGAGGTAGGATTGTTCGAAGCGGAAGATTTGGTCTTCTAGTTGTGTCTGTTGGGGGTTGCGGGATTAGCTTGTGCTTGTCTGATGTAGGCTGAGGGTGTTTTCGATGTGGGCATGGTAGATTGAGCGCGAGTGCGCGTGTGGTGATACCGATCGCATTATGTCGTATCTCCGGGCGATAGGGAACTGGAGGCAGGCAGGGAAACTCACCATGCTCTTGTCCATCAATCTCTTTCTATGTAATGTGTCGCGCAGCTCGCGCCTTAATTTCTCGTAGTACGGCAGTCCGCGATTCCCCGTCTGATCGGCATTGCTGCCGGCGTTGGACGCAGCGGCGGTGACTGCGACGGAGGAATTCGTGCCCTGGACGTTGGGGTTGGGGATTGGAGGGGCGGATTCGCTCATTTTTCGGGGTATGCTTTTTCCTTTTTTGTCCCTTCTCGCTTCCGGTCTGGTCTGGTCTGGTCTTGTCTTGTCTTCGAGAGGATGGGTGGGCGGCGGAGAGGGAAGTAGAGCTACAAGTCGTGGGTGTTGGTTGGATTTCCGCATCTTATCGGTGTGTTTGTTTCGTTTGCATTTGCCTATGGCGCAACCCCGATCAGGTCGCCTGCTCCTGCGCCTACTTCTCCCTCCTGCTTCTCCTCCCTTGGATCTGCTCTCCCATCTCTCCCCCTCCTACCTTATTTTAAGAGGGCATTTATTGATTTACGTTCCTTGCGCCTCCTTGTTGGACTTTTTGGTGCGCTGCTTTTTCGCCCTCATATACATTTAGACAGGTTCTTTGGCATTATGGATCACCACGCAATGCATCACGATATGGGCATGGACCACGGCGGCCATGGCGGCCACGGGGATATGGATATGGGTGACCAGTGTAGTATGAATGTATGGAGTTGTCCCCTCATTAACCCCCCACCCCCACTTCAGACGGTACTCGTTCATAGTTCTATCTATGACTGGAGTATACTCATGTGATGATCTCTATGGAGATACTAATTAAACCTCGCTAGATGCTTTTCACCTGGTCCAGCAAAGGCCTCTGCATTGTCTTCCGCCAGTGGCATGTAACCGGGATTGTTTCTCTTCTGGTGTCCTTGGTCGTGATCGTACTTTTGACGGCCGGGTACGAGGGCGTTCGTCAACTGACGAGGCGGTTTGAGGCCGCCCATGCAAGACGGTTGAATGCATTTACGTCGTCGGCTTCGACGGGGGGTAAGTCTATTTTCTCGTTTTAATTATTTTTATTTTCGTGCTATATTTTTCTTTATGAATTATTTTATATGGATTTTTGAAGTGGGGGAGGTCAAGACATGGCCGGGCTCAAGTCCAGTCTCGTTGACACCATCAAGGCAATGACTTCGCCGACGATTCTGCCCCGAATGGCCTCCCTTACCATCCAGCGACTCACATTCCCGACGAGAGCTCACCGCTACTTGTAGGCAGCGACAATCGCCGGAAACTGGAGCAGAGGGGCAAGATCGTCATGGCCCTTTTGTATGCCGTGCAAGTGTTCTATAGCTTCTTTATCATGTGAGTGTTCCCAAGTTGCTTTCTCCTTGCAGCACAGACCGCTCATAGGCCATTCCCAGGTTACTCTTCATGACTTATAACGGCTGGGTGATGCTTTCCGTGGCTGTCGGTGCCTTCGTAGGATATCTGGTCTTCGGGGAAAATACGTCGGCTGCTAAGACAGTGGCTTGTCATTAAGCGTTCGTATGCATTTTATGTTCTGAGACTTGGTTTCCGGTTTTTGTTTTGCGAGACCCATTTGGAGCTCTATGAAAGTTGCACATCAAGACTGAACAGCGGAAGCAGGCGTGTGCTTTGTCATGATAATATATTCTTCTTTTCTTGCGCAATGTGATTCAAGAATGTTCCATTCGTTCAGTGCCATGTCCATGCTTGACGCACGATTGACCGCTTGGAATTCAGGGAACTTCCACGTCGCTTCCGTCGTCTCCGAAGCCAAAACTGAACCCCCCTCCTTCCGATGCGTCTGCGGCTCCTTCGCCATCTGGCTTTCCGTGGACGATTTCATCCCATTTCCGTTTCTTGCCGTCATTCTTCTTCTTCAACTCTTCCTCGGCCTGCTCCAGGATATCCGGGTGGGTCTCGCGCATCCGGTTGACGAACCGGTTGTAAGGATCGTGCACGTCCTTTCGGAATCCGGACACCTGGTCTGACTTGTTCGATAAGAAGTCCAAAGCGGCACCCAAATGAGCCCGGGGGATGAAGTTCTGCGTGACTGCGATGGCCGGTTCGATGTTGACGACGAGGTGCCACCACCCCGAAGGCACGTGGAGGATTTCGCCCTCGCCGCAGATACCCTCGATGCAGCCCGCAGTGCGTCGGGCTTCGGCGTGGAAGCCAAGAAGCCATTCCGCAATACTGAGGGGGGACGTCACTTCACTCTGGTCATCAGAAACGTACACTCCCGGCGGTGGGGGCAGCTTAGACGACGAAGGGAACATGATCCAGTACTTGGAGCCTCGGACGACCGCGTTCCAGGCGCTGGTGGCATTCGGATCCTTGTGAAAGGTACTACCCGATCGCTCAGGTCCGATGATCAGCCATTGTCTATCAGGACGGTCGTTACCCAGAACAGAGAAGAAGTCTTCTCCGAAGCAGGGCGGCGGCCAGTACATCGCCTCGGGTTCCTGGTCCAGCGGACCCGCCTTGATCCCCATCTTGGACACGAAGGCCCGATCGAACAGGTACAACGGACTCTCGTCCGAGTTATGATGCATATAATCCACGTAGGTCTTGAAGGGCCAATCCACCGCCTCCGCACGGAACTCCGCGTCACCGTGTCGCGACAGCAGTGTCTCGACGGACCACTCTCGGTAGGCCGGCCATTGTTTCACGGGTTCGGTCAGGATGAACGGGGTGTCGGTCCACTTCTCTTGGAACTCTTCTGGGGACAGATCCGGCAGCCGAGCGATCTGGTTCCTCGTCGGGATGTTGCGAACGAAGGGATCCAATGAGATGTGCGCGCAATAGAAGGGTCGGTGTAGGGCGTCCGAGAATAGATTCGAGCAGTCCAGAATAGCGACCTTGGCCGGAGGCAAATTGAGATATGTTGACCGCCACGTTCCTCGCCAAGCAAATGAAGGGGGAGGCGACCTGGTGTAGTTTAGTACAACGTGGATCAATCAACCACCTACTTGTTTTGGGGCGCCGGCACCCTAGGATGTAGGTATGGCCAGGTACGATGATGTCTTACTGGATGAAAAGCGCCTTCCACAGATCCTCCGCCCGAGTGAATGCATAGAATGCCTTACACGTCCGTCCTATACTCAGCAAGGCCGGGCCATCCAGGGACTCCAGCAACATCAAAATCAGTTCATCGGGCAGTAATTTGAATGTGCCAATGACGTTCCGGAGATTCTCAGTGGCAAGCAGGGCATTGCCACTGGGTTTGACGCCCATCGGGTGGCCGGGGATTGTATCATTTCCAGGTACATCCTCCAGGCCATGGTCGGGGTGACTGTCGATGGAGGTGATGTCAGGCATGGCTGGACAGCCTCAGGCTCGGACGTGCCCTTTAGTGGGGGAAAATTGCCTGGTACCTCGTAGGATCCTAGATGCACAAACACGCACACTGAAGGAGATGTCACCCACCGACAGGGTCACTGAGGTCACTGAGATAGCCAAAGACAGCCCACCCAATAATACAATCCAAGCACAGCACAGGGTCGGAGAGCATCCGTCGGCAGCAGCAACAACCCTAAGGTATACAAACGGCGGATGGCAAAACCCCACGAGGCAAATTCGGGCTAGCACAGCCAGAAGCAGCAGGCGGTCGGGCGGAGCGAGGCAGAACAAATGAAATTTTTCATTCCCCCAAAACCATTGATTGATCAGACCAAAACCCACTCGTCGGTGAAACCAAACTTCCTGATTGCCGACTGCGCACGACTGACTAGTCTCCTTACGAAATTTTCTGACTTTTTTTCCCGGACTGTGATTTTCTGCCGCCGCGACCAACCCCCACTGGGAATCGTCTTGTCGCTAAGAAAAAAACCTCTACAAACTTCTCACCCAAAACCCCACCATCTTTCTTTCCGGTCACAGGCACAACTCGCTCTGTGATCATTCTACTTTACAACCGCAATCATGGCTTCTAACGACAAGGGCTTGGAGGAGATCCCCGAGGGTATGCTCGTTCTCTCTTTTTCGCTTTTTCTATTCGACTTTTTTTTTTTTTTTCTTTTCTGTCTTGACTCTTGTGGCGGGTTCTTGCCCAACGCGGGAGGGAAGATGAAAAGAAAAAAAAAAAAAGAGCGACAATAAGCATCGCACAAGAATCTTCAGATAGAGTATACTAACCTCTTTTTCGCCCGTAACAGGACAGATCGACTCTAACTACGATGAAATCACCGACTCTTTCGACTCCATGGACCTGAAGGCCGAGCTCCTTCGCGGTATGTGATATTTTTCCCTTGTCCGGCGACAGTGAGGTCGGGCTTGTCGAGGAAAGATCTTAGGCTGACAAGATTTTCTCCAGGTATCTACGCCTATGGTTTCGAGCGTCCCTCTGCTATCCAGCAGCGTGCCATCATGCCCATCATCAAGGGTAGGTTTTTCTCTCGGGTTTCACCACTCTGAGACGGAGTGAGAGAGTGCCGGAGTTGAAACTAATGGCTCTGCATCACAGGCAACGATGTCATCGCTCAGGCTCAGTCCGGTACCGGAAAGACCGCTACCTTCTCCATCTCCGCCCTCCAGAAGATCGACCCCAACCTCAAGGCTTGCCAGGCTCTGATTGTCGCCCCCACCCGTGAGTTGGCCCAGCAGATCCAGAAGGTCGTCGTCGCCATCGGTGACTTCATGGAGAACATCACCTGCCACGCCTGTATCGGTGGTACCGGTGTCCGTGAGGACATGAACACTCTCCGTGAGGGTCCTCAGGTCGTTGTCGGTACCCCCGGTCGTATCCACGATATGATCCAGCGTCGTGCCCTCAAGACCGACCAGATGAAGCTCTTCATCCTCGACGAGGCCGATGAGATGTTGTCCGTAAGTCATTCATCCGATTCTCCCGTCCATCATCAGAACGCATCGTGTTAACGGCGACGGTTCTAGCGTGGTTTCACCGAGCAAATCTACGACATCTTCCAGCTGCTTCCCCAGTCCACCCAGGTCACCCTGCTGTCTGCCACCATGCCCCAGGATGTCCTCGAGGTGACCACCAAGTTCATGCGCGACCCCGTCCGTATCCTTGTCAAGAAGCAGGAACTCACCCTGGAGGGTATCAAGCAGTTCTACATTGCTGTTGAGAAGGAGGAGTGGAAGCTCGACACCCTGTCGGATCTCTACGAGACCGTCACCATCACCCAGGCTGTCATCTTCTGTAACACCCGCAGAAAGGTCGACTGGCTCACCGACAAGCTGACTGCCCGTGACTTCACCGTCTCCGCCATGCACGGTGATATGGAGCAGTCCCAGCGTGATATCATCATGAAGGAGTTCCGTTCCGGATCTTCTCGTGTCCTGATCGCCACCGATCTGCTGGCCCGTGGTATCGATGTCCAGCAGGTTTCCCTGGTCATCAACTACGACCTCCCCTCCAACCGTGAGAACTACATTCACCGTATCGGTCGTGGTGGTCGTTTCGGTCGTAAGGGTGTTGCCATCAACTTCGTCACCGCTGATGACGTCCGTATGATGCGTGAGATCGAGCAGTTCTACAGCACCCAGATCGAGGAGATGCCCATGAACGTTGCTGGTATGTTATAATCCTTCGACAGGTCATTTCTCCCTTGCTAATCTTGACTCTTGCAGACCTCATCTAAACTTCTCAATTCCGAGCCACCTTATGTCTCTCGATGCGGATTACGAATGCAGTTGCCAATAACGGTCCAAGGGTAAGCTGCGGTGGAAAAGGCGTTTTGACATCATCGTTGCTTCTCTGGGCTAAGGAGAATCCTTCAAAAAGTGGCTTTCTGTATCTCCAGCATTTTTCTCTTTTACTGGCGAGGGCGATCGAGGCAAGGCTAGCATGGTTTTTTCACCCTAGTCCTGTTCTTGGTTCTTGCTAATGGTTTCCTTTTTTTGCTGTGCTTATGGAGATGCGACATGTTTGTGCGAATGATTGCTGTAATTCATGGTTTCTCTGCCGGAATCGGTTTTCCCTTTTTTTTTTTTTTTTACCCTTTTCCTATTACTATATTTCCTCCCATTTTGTACCTAGCTCGCTCTGGTTGGTTAAGGATGCCTTTCATGCTTATCCAGGAGATCGAGCAAAAAATCTGATTTGTTCGTTCCAAAAAAAGACTGGTCTCGAGACGTGGGATGGACGCAATGTGCCCATGACATCGGGGTGGTGATGTGCCTGCTTTCCAGTTCAATAGACAAGAGGTAATGCCATTCCATTTTGCTTATTTGCGCTCCGTAGGGTCAGACTTAGATCCTCGCCCTCTCCATAGTACTCGCGCGATGAGGAAGTGTAAGACTTCCCGCGTCCTTTCCTTTTCTTGTTATCTCCTTTCCCTCATCAACATCATCCTCCATCGCAACACCTGCAATGTCCATCGTCCCTTCCATGGGCCTCAATGGAGAAATCACCCCGTCCACCAAATGCAAATCCCTCCTCCCTCCTCTGGGCACACCAGATCCGTCGCGAACACATCCACCTCGTCAACCAGATCGACACCCTCACGACCGACCTCGCCGTCGCTACTGACACCATGGATGATCTTCAGCAAAAGATTGAGACACTCACCCGCCAGATGGAGGCCAATACACAATGTATTGCCCGATTCCAGGAGGAATTCTTTCGACTGGAAAGCTGGATGGACGGACAATTTCAGACCATACTCGCACATATCGACAACCTAAAGGCGCATAATGGGGACCTGGAGACAAGAATTGCAGCCCTTGCGCTTGAGCACATGCGCGGACATGAGCCCAACCCTATAAACACGGCATCTCTCCGGCCGGTAGAACTGCAGACAAACTCGCCGGCCGGACAATCCATGGGCTTGGACATCACATGCGAGGTTGGCATGTTCAAGCGTGTCCGAACACGTAGGAATCTGGTGGACATGGATCAAAATGCTGGTACTAGGACTAGACCTAACGATAGTACATGTTCATCGTTTGGTCTCACTGACGCCGGCTTCCTGCAGAATCCGTTCCCCGACTCCCAGGCTCGGAGATCCTCGCACCCGACTCCATGCCCACCCACGAGTCCTCGTCTCTACCCCCCCAGAGCCCGGAGGATACCGTGTCCTTGCTCGCTGAGACGACGTCGAGTTCCTCTCATTTTTCCGGAGACGCAGAGAGGACGCATCAGGGCAGCCGAGACCAGACGGGTGATGGCGGTTCCGACCAAGGGCTAGCAGCATGGAAGAACTTGTTCGCGTGGGATAAAAGCAAGCTTGCTGCTTCATGGACTCAGGGCGAAAATTTCTACAGGGAGCGGGCGGGCTCGAACCATTCGGATGAAGTTTTCATACAGACTTTCTTGCAGTCAATTCCGCATGCTGGTACGAGAGAGTTGTTCGGAGGGTGGTGTCGCAATACAGGATTTTGCTCGTGGGATGGACTGCGTGCTCTAGTTCGTGGAATCATCGAGAGCGAGGACGAAGCTAGACGTGATGACGGTGAAGCTGGACCTGGACCTGATGATGGTGAACTCAATGAACGTCCGATGCAGCCCGAGTTCGACGCCAAACAGGTTACCTCGAGGAATGAGAACCCGGGCAAGCCGCCACGGAAAAGGAAGAGGGACATCTCCATTGTGTCGCCGGATGAAGATGAACAACAGGTGATTGATGCGTATGAGCTAGGATTGTTTAGTGCTAGATGACTCGACCGATGTTAGACAGTCTGCAGATAGAGAGACGAAGATTTGTCTGATGGCTCTTCAGTTGAGGGTATGTACTTAATATGACTCTATTTTACTGCCGCGCATCGTTCCTCGGTCTGTAGTACCTTTAAGTCTCTCCATACACATACCGTCCCTCGCGATCCTTCACCTCGACCTCGATGCGACCCTCCTCAATCTCCTGGCCACCCACCTCGATCGACGCCTTCATCACGTCTCCCGACTTCACCTCTCCGACTCCCTTCGGCGTCCCCGTCAGCACCAGGTCGCCCTTCTCCAGCGTCATGACGCGCGAGATCTCCGCCAATTGCCGGGGGATCTGGTAGAGCATCAGGCTCGTCGAGTCGGCCTGGCGCAGCTGGGAGCCGACGCTCAAGCGCAGAAAGGCATCGTGGGGGTTCGGGATGCGCGATTTGGCGATCTGCTGCGAAATCGGCAGGAAGGTATCGAAGCCCTTCGCGATGGACCAGGGGAGACCCTTCTTCTTCGCTTCGTCCTGCACGTTACGGGCGGTCATGTCGATGGCGAGGAGGTAGCCTAGAATTCAACATCGGATCGATCAGCAATTATGTCTTTCTTCAAGTCCAGCAGCACATATCACGCAGCGCAGACGATCAATGGGGAGGGGTAAGGAAGCCACTGACTGTGAATCGCATCCAACGCGCCCTTCTCGTCCTTCGGGTCCAGATCCCGAACGGTCTTCCCCATCACCAACCCCAATTCCACCTCATAGTGCAGGTTCGTGCCGCGGGGTCGAAGCACAGGGCCTTCGCCGGGACACAGGATGGCGGATGCCGGCTTCAGGAAGAAAAAGGGCTGCTTCGGCTTGGTGTTGTTGAGCTCGGTGATGTGGTCGCTGCGGCGGAGACGGACAGGTTAGCGATGACGATGAGCCCCGGGAGGCGGGGCGAGAGTTACATACGCATAGTTGCGACCGATGCAAATGACCTTGCGGCATTGGGCTTTGAAAGCGGCGGCCATTGTGTTCTGCAATCAAAATCGGGGACTGACGGGGGAGTGGAGAGTGCGGAGGAGAGAAGAGCAAGTCATGAATGAGTTAAATAGAGAGCGTCGGAAGGCAGCCGATGCGCCGGGACGCTGGCCCGCGACGATTTGCGGAGTTCCCGCGCTTTTCTCCGACCTCGGCGCGTTGGCCGGTCTTTAGATCTTTAGATAGGCATTTAGATGCTTCTAATTGTATTAATTATGTGAACCATATGATGATGATAGAAAATATGGCCAACCCATCGAGGTCCTGCAGTGCGACTTGAGTCCCAGCATCGGACCGCGTTACGTCACTCATCACAGCATCAACTCAACTGAAGATGCATGCATTTCCTCGCCCCCCCTGCATCTCGCGCAAACCCTCCCCAGATCAGATCACTTCATCGCGTTGATTGACTCCCACCCTCCAATCCCAAGTCCAACCAGAGCCCAGACCCCGCGATTACCATGCAAGTTGCCGAAATCCTATCAGATCTGACTTCCCTGCGAGTCTGTGTACGTGTAGATCACTCCCCACAGTCCTGTCATCCCGAGTCCAGCATTGCGCGCATGTCCGTTCTGGTCTGGACTGGAGATGTTTCTGCATGCTGGAACGCATCTTTCATATCAGATTTCTAAGAGCATCGGGACCGAGATGTTTAGACGCAATCAACTGACAAAACGGCACTAGGACCACCACGATGCCCTCGCGCTAGTGACCGTCAACAATCGGATCTGCGCCTCGAGACTTCCCTCCGAGCTCCCTCACTCGGGGCTAACAAAGAACGAAGACCCCCAGGAATCAGCCGATGATGACCTGCGACGCGCCAAAGAGCTGGTGGAACTACACTACGAGATCAAGGCGCGACATGTCGATGGACGGGTGGATGGAGAGTTGGCGCAGGCGAGGGAGGAGGTCGATCGGGTATTGAGGGAGCTGGGGAGGGCAATCTAGATTGTAGAGGATGGCTCTGAAGGTTGACTGTATTCATATCCGTGTCTTTTGTTCAGGCTGTGTGATATTTGTTATGATTGCTGGGTCTGGTTTACGGTGTTGGGTCAGGTTCTTGATATCACGGTGGAATTGGATGATGTTTGTTTGATAACCACTCCATGAGGAAGGGATGCAAATACTTCAAAAGCCCGTGCATCAACCTCTACACCACAGTAAGCGATCCTTTGCAAGACCATCACGATACACACTCCCAAACAGGCAAGATTGAAGCCATCCCCACCGGCTTCCGGGCGGACAGTTCCTCCGATGTCCGGAGCTCTGCGGTGAGGCACTTGGACCAGCCGCGCAGCCTTGGGCGGCGCGATCACCAAAGCGAAGAATTTCGAAATCCTGCCCAGAGCTCTGTTATTCCCCCAGTTTTTCACGCGTTCCCCCGTGCTCTCTGCAAAGTTACCAACTCCCCCTCATCCGGGCTGAACGGGCAGCGCAATCTCACCATGGCGACCACCGTGGATGCCAAGCTGCTGAAGCAGACCAAGTTCCCTCCGGAGTTCAGTCGGAAGGTCGACATGACCAAGGTCAACATCGAGGTGATGAAGAAGTGAGTGCTGGCCCTTTCCCTACCTGCTGGTCCCCTGGGTGTGTGCAGGTGATGAGGTTCCATAACTGACGACTGGTGATGCCTCTGCAGATGGATCGCGGGGAAAATCTCGGAGATCCTAGGCAATGAAGATGACGTCGTGATTGAGCTGTGCTTTAATCTGCTAGAGGGGTCCCGCTACGTATGTCTTACCTTTCCCTGAGTCTGGGGATTTATTTTGTGTCTATTGGTGAACCTGCAGCTAATCATACGCTTTGCTTCTTATAGCCGGATGTCAAATCCCTACAGATCCAGCTTACGGGCTTCTTGGACAAGGACACGGCCAAGTTCTGCAAGGAGCTGTGGTCTCTCTGTCTGAGTGCCCAGCAGAACCCCCAGGGCGTGCCGAAGGAGCTCCTGGAGGCGAAGAAGCTGGAACTCATCCAAGAGAAGGTAAGTCATTCTCACCCTGTTCCTGTCGGTGCCTGATCCGCTGACCCACCGTGCCTTTACATAGATCGAGGCGGAGAAAGCTGCGGAAGAAGCTCGACGACAGAAAGAACAAGAGCGGATACGAGAGCGCGAAATGGAACAGCTGCGGAGAAGAGAGCGCAACGATCGCAATCGGGGAGGCAGAAGGGGCGGAGGCCGCGACTTTGATAGACGTCGGTCTCCGCCGCGGAGACACAGTCGGGAGCGTTTCCGAGAGCCGCCTGCTCGTCGCGAATTCGATTCCTACGTGCCCTCGGGGTCTCGTCGCGGCCGTTATCCTTCCCGATCGCCCAGTCGCTCGCGCTCTCGATCGGTATCCTCGTCTCGATCGCCCCCTCCTCGTCGGCAGCGCCACGCAAGCAGGGACCGCGGGGGCAGAGACGGGCCCAGGAACAGAAGAGACACACACAGACGCCGCCGGTCGGTGAGCAGCTCCGTCTCCCCGGATCGAGGGGACCGCCACAGAAGGCCGAGAAGGCGCAGTCCGGTTTACGGTGATCGAGCTAGATCCATTTCCCGCAGTGATTCATCGCGCTCACGTACTCCCAGAAGAGACCGACGGAGACCCAGATCCGCGTCTTCCCGCAGTTCATCCCGGTCCAGGTCCCGGTCGCCGCTAGAGTCGGAGGAGAAGGGCGCCGCCAGACGGAGGAAATCTTCGCCTTATTCTTCACGAGCTGATAAGAGAGAATCCCCCGCTGATTTTGCAAAGGCCCGCAAGTCCCATGACCACCGCCGCTTGAGTCGCAGCAGAGATCGCGACGACCACCGCAGGCGTCGATACACCAGAAGCGTCAGCCGCAGCCGCAGCCGCAGTCGCAGTCGAGGCCGTACTCGCAGCGTCAGTTCCAGCTCGGGACGGGGAGACTCGCGCAGCCGCAGCCGCAGCCACAGTCGTGGCCCCAGGGACAGGAAGCGACGTCGTTCCCTTCAAAGATATGCCCCTGCCGCTCGACGTCGTCGTAACACCTCTTCCGTATCCGTCCGTAGTGATAAACGACAGAGGATGACTGATCAGGAAGAACCGTCCGCACGAGGCTCGACCTCGCCTCCGCCGCCCGAGAAACCCAGCTCGGCGGATCAAAAGCCCAAGGATACCGAAGAGGTGGGTGAATAAAAGCTTCTGAAGGTATTCTATTCTTAAATCTCTCCGCGCCGAGATCATAGTTCTCATGTATGGCCATGATGTGTGTCCCAATATCATCTACATTTCCTACCTGCTTCCTTTACCCCAGGTTCTCTGTTCCAAGACTGACTGTATAACCTTTCAGAATCGAACTACTACTTCTCACACCCGTATCTCCGGCACCGAATTGCGCGAGAAACTTCTTCGCGAGAAGTTGGTTGCCATGCGACGAACTACCTCTAACAACCAGCCAGGTAGGTAGCCACTCGAAGTACATCGAAGTAGGTAGTTTTCTTTGCCATGCATGATAGGAGGGAAATCCACGACCGCGTTTAAACGAACCAACCACTGCTCCATGAAACGAGCAATCGTTTCACTCCGGGAGGGTCGTCAGTCGGACTTTGCTTCATTTTGCTTCATGCACCCAAAACAAAACCAAAAAGTCAATTCAAAAACACACAAACGAATGAATGAATCGGGGGGTCTCAGAACAATAGTAAATAGTTACAGCTACAGCCATGTTCCTCAAGTTTAATCGTGAATCTCCTATGTAACCATCGTCTGATCCCAAAATGATGACCCCAAATTTTCGGGCGTTTCTTCTCCGTCTGCTCTTTCAGTCTCTGGACTCTGAAATCTGAATCCTCGACAAACACCTAGACGAAAGTAAATCCTACGGCGCAAATGCTAAATACGAGATAGTAAGTTAGAAAGTTCCCCCTAACCTTCTCGAACTATTTACCCCGGAAGCGAAATAACCCCAAGATGATCCCATGGTTCCTCGAAAGTCAAAAATAGCTAATGAAGTTAGTCGCGCCTAGTCTCGTCTAATACTTCTTAGTCCTTAGGAAATGAGGCATGGTCGATCAAGAACAGGACCGAAAATCAGGTGTCTTATATTCAACAGTCTAGTAGGACTAGACCCTAAGCTTAACTACCTCGTATACTTTAGTTTAACGGAGTACGGGGTAGGAAAATGAGACAGACAGTGATGAGCATGAACGGATCGACCCCAGCCAGCCAGCCAGGTAACTAATTAAACCCATCTCCATCGTTAGTCCACGGAGTACTCCTAGTCCACGATTGCGGAGCACCACTCACACCATGATCAACGTCAATAGTTATGGACCATGTCCCTGTCAACGGGCGAACGCTCAGACCCCGGACCCAGACGGAATCATTTCCTCTCCATCCCACCAAGCCCCTTTTCCTGATAATACTCCGTCCGGAGCTAAGAAGTATGATCGTCGCTGGGACAATCGCGTGGCGGTGAACCTGAACGCCCAACGGTGGATGGGTCCCTGCTGTTGGCAACTGCTCGAGGGATTATTGTGATCGGCCGGGACACATCAGCGATTAGGTCAGATGAGAAGGATTTCGTGTTTCTTTCTTTTTTCTTTCTTTTTTTGCAGCTCGCGGGAGAGTTTCCTTCCTCTCGGCGTTAGTTTGCTCTTGTCCAGATGCGTGGCCCGTCAGATGTTTCCTTGCCCATCGCGGTAGTGATTGCTCATCGGCACTTCCCTAGTCCGACTCAGTCAATTAATCTAGGGGTAGGTCTACTAGGGCTACGACGGTATCTGATTAAAGCCGTTAAATGTCTAATTAATTAGAACTCACATCTCGTCTAATCCCAAGTACTGTACATTGCAAGACCTCTGAATCCCACTGTAAAACAAGTAAGGAATGTACTCCATTGAAGGGGGAATCAAGAAGAAGATCTAAAAGGTGAAATATAATATAAAACAGTACATGATTCTCAGACAATCCGTGTTCCAAGTAATAAGTTTGATATTGGCTCTTGATATTGAAGAGTTCGTCGGAAACACGTTCTGAAGAATTAGAATTAAAATTAGTTATGTACAGGTATATTCACCATTTCTGCCATTGCATTGTGATTCATCTCGTAATTTATCCCGGACTTCGGCCTAAGGAGCTTAGAGCTCACAGGCGGAGACGCTGACGGTGGTGGTGATGGTGACCACCTTGGGGCCAGGGCCGGAGCTGGCAGCGGGCACAGGGGCCGTGGTGATCTCGGGGGAGACACCGGTGGGGCCGCTGGGAGCGGAGGAATCGGTCTGAGTGGCAACGGGGACCACGTTCTCCGAGGTCAGGGTGTCGCAAGGAGTGGTGGAAGCACCACCGCTAGGAGCGGGGACCTCGCCGCCAGCAGGGGCAGTGCCGGAGGGGGCAGGCTGCTCAGCGGGGGCAGTGGGAGCGGGAGAGTCACTGCCGGTAACGATGGGAACCACGTTCTCAGAGGTCAGGGTGTCACAGGGGGTGGAGCTGGCCTCGACAGGGGCAGTGCCGGAGGGGACGTCGCCGCCAGCGGGGGCGGTGCCAGAGGGAGCGGGGACATCACCGCCAGCGGGAGCAGTGCCGGAAGGAGCAGGCTGCTCAGCGGGGGCAGTGGGAGCGGGAGAGTCGCTGCCAGTGACAATGGGAACAACGTTCTCCGAGGTCAGGGTGTCACAGGGAGTGGTGGAAGCGCCACCGCTGGGAACGGGGACCTCACCGCCAGCAGGGGCAGTGCCGGAAGGAGCAGGCTGCTCAGCAGGGGCGGTAGGGGCGGGAGAGTCGCTACCGGTGACAATAGGGACGACGTTCTGGGAGGTCAGAGTGTCACAAGGGGTGGAGCTGGCCTCAACGGGAGCAGTGCCAGAGGGAACGTCGCCGCCAGCAGGAGCGGTACCGGTAGGGGCAGGGCCAGAGGGAGCAGGGCCGGAGGGGACCTCACCTCCAGCGGGGGAGGTTCCAGAGGGAGCAGGCTGCTCGACAGGGGCAGTGCCAGTGGGAACGCTCTCGGAGCCGGTAACGATGGGGACGACGTTCTCGGAGGTCAGGGTGTCACAGGGGGTAGTAGAAGCACCACCGCTGGGGACGGGGACCTCACCACCGGAGGGAGCGGTGCCAGTGGGAGCAGGACCCGAAGGAGCAGGGCCGGAGGGGACCTCACCTCCAGCAGGGGAGGTGCCAGAGGGAGCAGGCTGCTCGACAGGGGCAGTGCCAGTGGGAACACTCTCGGAGCCGGTAACAATAGGCACAACGTTCTGGGAGGTCAGGGTGTCACAGGGGGTGGAGCTGGCCTCAACAGGGGCAGTGCCGGAGGGGACGTCGCCGCCGGCGGAGGCGGTACCGGTGGGGGCAGGGCCCTCGGGGACGCCAGCAGAGTCAGTAGGGCTGACGCCGCTGGGGGCGGTGCCGGTGGGGACACCCTCGGAGTTGGTGGCGATGGGCACAACGGTCTCGGAGGTCAGGGTGTCGCAGGGAGTGGTAGAGGCACCACCGCTGGGGACAGGGACCTCACCGCCAGAAGGAGCGGTGCCGGAGGGAGCAGGGCCGGAAGGAGCAGGGCCCGAGGGAACCTCACCACCAGCGGGGGAGGTGCCGGAGGGAGCAGGGACATCACCACCAGCGGGAGCAGTGCCGGAAGGAGCAGGCTGCTCAGCGGGGGCAGTACCAGTGGGAACACCCTCAGAGCCGGTAACAATAGGCACAACGTTCTGGGAGGTCAGAGTGTCACAGGGGGTGGAGCTGGCCTCAACGGGAGCGGTGCCGGAGGGAACGTCGCCGCCGGAGGGGGCGGGTCCAGAGGGAGCCGGTCCGGAGGGAGCAGAGCCAGAGGGGACGTTGCCGCCAGCGGGGATGGTACCAGTGGGGGCAGGGACTTCACCGCCAGCAGGGACTGTACCAGAGGAGACACCCTCGGAGCCGGTAACGATGGGAACAACGTTCTCGGAGGTCAGAGTGTCACAAGGAGTGGAGCTGGCCTCGACGGGAGCAGTGCCGGAGGGGACATCGCCGCCGGAGGGAGCGGTTCCAGTGGGAGCGGGGCCGGAAGGAACGGAGCCAGAGGGAACATCACCGCGAGCAGGGACGGTACCAGTGGGAGCAGGGCCTCCGGGGACAACGGGGGTAGAGACTTCGGGGACACCAGCGGTGGAAGAGGCACCGGGGATGACGGGAGAAGAGCCCGAGGGAGTAGCAGCGGGGATGCTGGGAACGCCCGAGGAAGAGCCAGTGTGGGTGCCAGTGCCAGCACCGGTGTCGCAGCCGGAGATGATGCCAATGAGGATGAGCTGGATGTGGCTGTCGATCTCAACGCTGGCGGCACCACCGCAGATGGCAACGAGCTGAGCACGAGCCTCAAGAGAGAGGGAGACGAAGCTCTGGCCAGAGATGAGGAGAGAGATGATGCCACGGATGCTGCCACCAAGAACGGTCTCAACGGTGCCCTCAAGGAAGGAAGTGAGCTCGGTGATGAGACCGGAGTGAATGTCGACGGAGGCTTCACCGGAGACAGCGAACGAGAGCCAGAGGATGAGGACAGACTTGATCTCAGCTCCAAGACGGCAGCTGGAACCGGAGAGCCAGGTGGCCAGAGCAGTGCGGACCTCAACGTCGAGGCTGGTGGCGAGGCCGCCCTTGATGCAGAGCTGGAGAGCAGTCTTGATATCGGCTTCGATGTTGGCGGAGACTTCGGACTTGAGGAAGGCAGCGATGGAGGCCTTGGCGCTGGCAGAAAGAGCACCGCTCTCCTCGATGAGAGCCTCAACGGCGGAACCGGCGGAGATGGTGGCAATTCCACCAGTGGGGAGAGAGCCGAGGTGAACGACGTCACCCTCGAGCTTGCCCTCCAGCCAGGCGATCACGGAGACCTTCAGGGAGGCGCTCAGGGAGCAGTCGGAGCCGTGGAGCCAGGCCTTCAGGGCAGCAACGATCTCCGCAGACAGGTCGGTGACAACACCACCACCAGCGCAGAGGCCGAGACCAGCCTTGATCTTAGCATCAAGGGCGGCACCAAGGTGGCCCGAGATGAAAGCAGACAGGTGAGACGAAGCAGAGGCGTTGAGGACGACCTCGGCGGCGAGCTCGGCAGTCGAGAAGATACCATCAATGGTGACGTACAGGTCACCCTTGGCGGCGATGTCGGCACAGGTGGGGATGAACAGCGACAGACCGGCGCAGGTGCCCACAGACAGGGTGGCGGAGTCTTCACCGTCACACCAGTCCAGGAGAGCGGTCTTCAGAGAGGCCTCGAGGTGGAGGTCGGCGTGGGCGCGAACCCAGGCGGCCAGCTCCGCACGGGCATGAGCGTGGACATCACCAGCCTTGCATCCCAGAGCACCACCTTCCAGGGCCGCAGCTGCCCGAGCGCTGATACCGGAAAGGAGGCTCGCGGGAGTCTGGCCACCCTCACCGAGGAGAAGTCCGATGAGACCGGTCAAGTCATGGGCGACACCGGACACAATGCCGGGGATGAGACCGAAGGTACGAGATTCCAGGTCAGCAGTGGGAAGGGAGAGACCGTAGCTCGCCAAGCTGGCGAGCATGAGAAGGTTGTTGGAACGCATGATGCGTAAATGGAAAAAGAAATCGAATTCAACAAGATATCAGTGAATGATTGTGTAATCGTGAGAAAAGAAAGGAAAGTATTATCACAGGCTGTAAACAGCCAGAATAGTTTAACGATAGACTGATGAAAATAATTCAATCAACAAAAAAAAATGAAAGACAGGTCCCCAACAGGACAAGACCTAAATGAAGCGATTGACGAAGGCTTGAACGTTTGTCCAGAGGGGTGATCTTCGGCGAGGTTTATATACCCCTGAGGGTTTCTTCCCCCGTGCCCACAGCCTTCGTGCGATGGAGCCTCCAACCCTCCGTCCGGATCCCACCATTGGAGCAGAGGAGCCATTGTGATCGAAGACCCGGATCTTCAAGGCCAACCTAGCCAGGTGGAGCATCGGCTGCCAGTGGAAACCGGAAAGGCAAATGATATCGGGCTAACGCTGACGGTGGAAACATTCGAAACAGTCCGCCCGGGACGAGAATACTATTTCAAGCAACGGAGCCTGCTAACTGGGAAGGTATGAGTTCCGAGCCCTGCGGGTCACCCATTATGGGTCCGCCGCCTAGGTCTTTTTTGGTAAAACTGCAAACATGAATCCCCATGCGAGCAGCATTAGCCTGTCTTGTCCCATTGACCAAGCAGCGCAAGCACCCTGTGGGCGTTTCAATCCCCTGGTAAATGCTCCGCCCGAGGTAAAATAGCGTGGTTGCGAGCTCCCAATTCATGGGCTATCGGTGCCAAGGCATAAGAAATCAGGAGAGAGGGAGAAAAGGCATTGTGGATGTCGGTGGAGCTCGTGCGGTAAAGTCAGCATGGAAAACATTCCGCAACAGCATCCAGGGGACGGTTTGCCAACTGCAATGATCGTGGCTTTGCATTCGACCTGAGCCAATAATGAGTTGGTCTGCCAGTCCCCATTGGGAAAGAAAACAGGATAATCGTAAAGTCCGGTCTGTCGCCGAGTCGACCCATGGATGATCATCATGACCGGTGTTTTGACCCGACTTTTTTTGGTCTCCAGAAGTTGCCTTCCCCTGGAGCCCAAAAAAATACCCTGAAACATGGGCTTTTGTGATAGCTTGTTTTTTGCCTTTTTGCTTTTGGATGTATGGTTTAATTCTTCAAAAAGAAGAAAAAAAAAAAAAAGATTTGTCTTTTTTTTTTCTTTTTCTGTTCCCTGGTCGCTTTGCTTCCCCCCCCCCCCCCCCCAAGGCGTGTATAATGAAGATGTAAGAATAGTGGAGGCAAGAAAAAAGGACGCATGCGAGGTGACAAATGCATTGGGGCAGATCGCATTATCTCTGCCGTTGTGCATGCTTTTTTTGTATTTCTGGTGCCGTGAAAAGGAAGGATCTCTTCCGGACCGCTATCCCCATCATGACGGCATTGCTCTGTGTATTCGCAAACGAGTACGATCTTCTTTCGTCATGATGGGCGACTTGCGGCAGAGGGCCACCATTGTAGTCCAAAATTAGAAAATGTCATTTCCCAGGGACGAACACCCTCCTTCGAGCCTTCAATCAAAGAAAGGCTAGGGTTTGCCTGGGCAAGATGAAACCCCGGTCTACTTCTTTCCCTTCCTCCGGTCGACGCGGACAATAATGAGAGCCTGGAGTGGAAAACAGGGGAGAGGGGGATTTGGTGGAAAAGGAGAGCAGGGTGGGTGGATGCGTCTAATTCACTAGTCGCTTTTAGTCAGGGACGAGCACGGAAGCCATCACGTCCTCGGCCCACCGCACAACAACATTAGACTGGCGGCCTTTTCGAGTCAGTGGTCGTGCCGAGTCACATACCCGCGTCACTAACCTGCATCCAGGACGCTTCCAACCGTCCAGAGTCCAGAATCGAGAGTCCAGACTTCGAGTTTGCCCATGACGATGGTTGCTCGATTGAATAGTTGATATTCAGGTACCGGGGGTAGTGGAGATCACTGCCCGAACAAGCGTTCCTGGTCTAGTTGGCTTGGAGCCATGGTTCCTGCAACTCCACATCCCTCTGGCCTGAGCTGCCGCTCCCACCCAGCGAGATCGCAGTGGCACCCCCTCCAAGGGCAAGAGAAAAAAAATATAATAATTAACTCTTGCAAAGTTGGATCTCGACTCCGAATTGGATGGCGGAGGTTCTGCGATAGATAGCCCTACGGAGAGCGGATTCGTAGCTCGACGCTAGGTCTCAAGATCTCTAATTTGAGAACTCGATTAGCGATGGCAAAAGTAGGAGTGGATTGAAATAGAGTTGGCCAGTGTTTCGGACCACGGATCAAAACATCTCATTGGATGGGCAGAAGAGTCGTCCCCTTAGCCGACTGGAAAATGCGCAGCAGGTCGAAGGAGTCGAAGGACGATGGAAAGGAAGAGAACAGATGGAAGTGGAAGGAGTCGACGGCCCATGTCAGGTGATGTCAGGTGCCAGCGCCGGACTGACATCTGTCGGTGTTTGAGGATGAAGCATACTAATTAGATGGTTGATATCAGATTTATGGCTACTCCGTACAGCGCATTCGCCATCTATCTGAAGTCAACTACCTTTCCTATCGTATGTACCCCGTACGGAGTGTCCTCGTGTACGGAGTATGGCATCCGGATAGACCGGTTAGCCCCCTCAGCGCTACGGAAGTACGCGGGAGAACTTCGGAAGGCCTGGATGCATTTGCCGGTTCCTCTTGGAGAAACCGCGAGAGGTCAAATGCAGAAATAACAGTTTACGGATTAGAAGAACAAAAAACCCTAATCGTTTGTCCTCGTGGGTTACGGACAGTGGGCTTTCAATGGTCTTCAGCCACGGCGGTCCATGTGGCTCCAGCCGATCCAGTTATTAGTATTTGAGATTCTAGGAAGAATCGGAGCAATGCTGTGGAGGGAATTGGGCTTTGTCCGGTTATGCAAAACACAGGACATGGTAACGGAGAATTTTCCGACAGGCTGGCTAGGTTTCCATGTGTTGGACAGAGATCGATCTCTGGGGACGACGTTAGTACTCCATGGGATGCTCCGGAGGGTGCTGGTAAAGATGATCAGTGATGTAACGCCCGAACTTTGTGCGAAATGCTGTAGTAAGTGGTATTTCTCTACCGTGCTCGGTAGTATGCAAAGGCAGGGCAGACATCGAGTATCTTTGTCATTTTTATCTGTCTGGGAGACGTTCGGGTCTATATTTTTAAATATGTACCATTTTATATTGGGTCATCAAACTGACACACCCAGCTGTCAGCAACGGTCATTATATATTTGGGGAGCAAGTAGACCCAGGAGCATGACACACCGATTCCCTCCAGACTGAAAACCATCCGAAACAACCATGTTGGCATCACATAATGCAGTGGAGGGAATTGGCATGACCTGTCAATATCAATGGCAGTTGTTTGTGATATCACGAAGGTGCATCGGGGAGAGACAGACGTGGAGGGGGAATGTTGTTGTCGTCGGGGCGATCGCCGTGGCAACGGGTGCACTCACGTGACGGTCCCGTGCTCCCAGCCACCCGCGATGTTGATTCTTGCCGGGCGAAAACCAACTAACGGCATACAACAATTCGACAACTAACCTCCGACAGCCAGCCTTCCCCTTACCGTTTGGGATTTGGGACCGACGCATTGGCGGACACGTCCATGCGGTCTTTCTCCGAATCGCGATAATGGTGTCTCCCGATTCTTTTTCTGCAGCTTATACTAGCGGCCTGCGTCGACAACCTTCCTCCCGACAAATGTCCCGCGCCTCGTCGATCTCTCGCTCCGGTTCCAGGCGCAATTCCCCCGAGCTCCAGAATTTGGCTGCATATCGAAGCAATGGAGCATCGACCTCGAAGCGCTACTCTGCTGGGGACAGCTCCGATGACGAAGTGCCGGAGCCCAAGTTCAGTGCCTCGGTGAAGGCGCTTCTCGACGAAGACGGCTTGGAAACTTCCCCACGTCTCCGGAATGGCGGTCAGGGACATCGCTACTCGAGCGAACGCGCCGGATCCCCTGTGACAAGTCAAGAAAGGCGATCGCGCACAACATCTCCCCATGATCAATCAAATGGGAGTCCGGCACCCCGAGTCGTACGCATCGCACCCGCCTTGGCCCCCAGCGCCAGGCCTCGAAGGGAAGGTTCACTGTTGTCCAATGCCGAGAACGCAGAACCTGAACCCGAACCAAGAAGTCAATCGGAGGACTTCATCACGCCGGCTCCCAGACATCGCAGCGTGCGCATCAACGGGTCGCGTAGTCAGACACGCTCCCCAGCATCGATATCGCCGTCTCAAAAGAGATCGACGGAAAGGAGCTTCTCGGATGAACAGGGAAGTGCGGAACGGTCAGAAAGCGAGAGTAAAACGAGATATGAAGATGATTACGCACCTCGCATCGGCACGTCATCAGTGCTCCGCACCCGTAACTTGGAGGACTACGGAGCGCAAAGTTCTTTACGCGTCAAAAGAGTCGGAAGACTCACTGGGACATTTCTGAATGGACCAGCGCGGCGCGGCGTTTTGCGACGACAAAGTGAAGAGAACGACGAGCTGCAAAGTTATCTCCCCGAGCACGGAGTCAAGGACTCAGACCTATATCCGAACGACAACAGCGACGAATACAATTACAACTACAAGAATACAGCGAGATCGTCATCACCCAAAGTATCCTGGGCCGACCCCAGCCCGCCGCAGAGGGAGGACGACCACCGACCAGAGCCGATTAGCACCTCATCTGGAAATGCACCTTTCTCCAGATCCTCATCTCCCAAATCATATGGATCGTATTCCAAGGCAACACCAGGGTCATCTTCGGAGATGTCATCCAAGCCCCCGAGCGGGAAGGAAAAGGAACAGCAACAACAGCAGCCTGTCTTCAAGGTTCCTCCGCCGCCCACGTTGCCTGCTGCTCGAGACCAGGAAAATGACCCACCACCAACTTTCAAACGCGTGAAGCCTCAAGGCCTTAACATGCTTGACAAACCCGAGAAGCTCTCCGTTGTATACGGAGAAGATAAGAAAGAAAACATGGAACCCCCGGCGGGAAATTCTCCGCGAAAGATTTTGGCAACCCGGAGCAGCAACACGCCGCATAGGCCGGCACCTCCCCCTCCCAAGATGTCAGTCCTCGAGACAGCTACAGCTGGAGGAGCGGCCACGGCCTCTCATTCTCGCAGGAAACGCAACCAGGTGTCAGTAAACCACAAGCCATTTACGCGGCTGGACTGCATTGGTCGTGGTGGAAGTTCGCGGGTTTACCGTGTCATGGCAGAGAACTACAAGATCTTTGCGCTGAAGCGAGTGAACCTGGAGGATGTGGATCCGGTGACCTTGGCTGGCTACAAGGGCGAGATTGACTTGTTGAAGAAGCTGGAAAACCTGGACCGAGTGGTTCGTCTGTTCGATTGGGAATTGAACTCAGACAAGCACACACTCAGTGTGCTCATGGAAATTGGAGAATCGGATTTGGAAAAGATCCTTACATATCGTCTGAACGCGGAGGATGCCGTGTTTGACACTAATTTCACTCGATACTACTGGAAGGAAATGCTCGAGTGTGTCCAGGCAGTACATAACCACAACATCGTGCACTCGGATCTCAAGCCTGCCAACTTCCTGCTGGTTCAGGGCAGACTCAAATTGATCGACTTTGGAATTGCGAATGCCATTCAGGATAATACGGTCAATGTCCACCGCGAGCAGCAGGTGGGAACCCCCAATTACATGTCACCGGAAGCCCTGATCGATTCAAATGCGTCCCTTGGCCTCCCAGCCAGCGTGGGAAAGGTGATGAAACTTGGTAAACCCAGTGACGTGTGGAGTTTGGGCTGCATACTTTACAAGATGGTTTACGGTCAGCCACCGTTCGCGAAGATCGCCAAGTACTACGAGCGTATCCTGGCGATTCCCAATCCCCATGTCAAAATCGACTTCCCGTCGTACGGCGTGGGAGGAGTGCTGGTTCCGCCAGGGTTGATCAAAACGCTGAAGCGTTGTTTGCAGCGGGACCAGACGCTTCGACCAACAGTCGAAGAGCTCCTCAGCCAAAGGGACCCGTTCTTGTATCCCGATTCACAACTCGAGGGGACCGTCCCGATTACCCAAGATATGCTCAACCGAATTTTGGTCAACGTCGTGAACCACTGCCGCGTTCGGGGCGTACCCAAGGACGAAGATTTGGCTGCATGGCCCGCTGGATTCTTCGCCAAAATCAAAGCGGCCATGGAAGAAAGCTCCTGACGATACTGGACTCGACCATGTTTTCTTTTGTAATATTTTCTTGCTTTAGCCCTTGGTTTATTATGCGTTTGATATCCTGAATGATCCGATGATCCGGCGTTCAATTCCTAACCACCTGGATTGGTCTCCTTTGTGTGCTTATTTTTCTTCGTCCTCTTTTTTTTCAACTTCTTTTCCACTTTGGACCCATACATTTACTCTCTTTTTTTTTGGCTTACCGGATTTGGTGTTTTGTGGACGCGTTTCAGCATTGCATGTAGATGTTTTATACGTCATGGTTGCATTGGAAGCTGCAGTGAGCGGTGGTATCTGTGGATTATATTGGAATATAATAATTATCAAGTACCTCAGTCATGGAGTATGAGTAAACGGTGTATACGACCGCGACACCGAAGATGTGGCTGGAATCGGTCACGTGCTGTGATCCTCAAAGCCTGGAGGGAGTATTCCTTTAAAACGAGATCCTGAATGGCAGTTCATGAGCTGGATTCGCTTTCTGCGAGTTCCTCTCTCTCGAGAAAACCGCCTGTTGCCGTGAGTCTCCGCCTACTACACGCTCAACGCACCGCCAATCCACCAGCCACACCACGTGACCGACCCGCCGGGAATTTCTTCGACTCGGAAACCGCTTCATCTTCACCAGACACGCAACTCTCCCTGTCCTGCGCACCACCGGTTTATCCACCGGTCTCAAGCAGCCGAGGAAGTCAATTCACCCTACCAATTCGTCCAAACCACTTCAAAAAACCCCAAACACCCCAATACCACACCCACCATGTTCTCCCGCGCCGCCGCGCTCCCCAGAGCCTTCGCTCTGCCCATCTCGCAGACCCTCCGAACCGCACCCTCAAGCAGCAGCAGCAGCAGCAGCGTCATCCAACAGGGCATCTTCCGCTCGGTAGCATCCCGCCCCATCACGACGATCGCCTCGAGCACGCCCGAAACGCAGACCCCGAACGCAGCCACAAGCACACCTCCGCCGACGACAAGCAGCTCGCCCACGCAGGCCGTCGAACAGCAAAGCTACACACACCCGGAGTCCAAACAGCCCCTGCCGCCGACGTTCAATGACCCGCTGAAGCTCAGCAAGTCGCTGTACGAGCAGCTCCCCTACCTGACGAGCCAGCGGCCGCACTACGTGACCGCGCACCTGCACGACCGGCCGTATCTCCTCACGGAAGGCGACCAGCTGCGTCTGCCGTTTTTGATGCCCAATGTGAAGACCGGGGATGTGCTGCGGCTCAACCGCGCGAGCGTGCTTGGTTCGCGCGAGTTTACGATGCGCGGTGCGCCGTATCTGGACGAGCGGATGTTTGAGTGTCGGGTCCGGGTGATCGGGACGGAGTCGGAGCCCTTGCGGGTGAAGGAGAAGACGAAGAGGAGGCAGAGACATGTGCGCCGGGTCAAGAGCAAGCATCGTTATACGATCTTGAAGGTCATGAATGTGAAGGTCAAGACGGCGGATGAGTTGTTGGAGGAAGGAGCGGTTGTCGTGGAGGATGCGGAGATGATTAAGAAGGAGTGAAGGAGGATAAAGACGCTTTATTGATTTGAGGGAAAATCTACCATTGAAAAAAAAAAAAAAAAAGGGTTTGGTGTGTCCTCTACTTGGGTTGAGATTTGGCATGTACAGATATAGACTGACTGCATATTGTACTCTATAATTGCAATTTGAACGTTTGATTTTAGCAGCATGGTATGTTTACGGCATGAACTAACGATGTGGTTATGATGGATTCTGCCTATTCGTTCTCGCTAACACAGTGTTCTAAGAAAGCCTCTTCTCATCCAAGCTACTCTTCGTTCAATATCTCATCCGCAATCTTCTCTGCCAAAGCATAGGCCGTTGACTGTGGATGCCCTGGGACCAAGAACGGAAAGGCGCTGGTATCTACGACCCTGAGGCGATGCACGCCATACACCCGGGCCTTGCTGTCGACCACGGCCATGGGATCGCTTTCTTTACCCATCTTGCAAGTGCTGGACGCATGGTAGATCGTCGACAGGGTCTGCTCGATAAAGTCGTGGATCTGCTCGTCAGTTGTGACGTTTTTGCCTGGGTAGTATTCTGGTTCAGCAATCCCCAGGTCCACGAGCTTTCCCCAGATCTCGCGAGAACGCTTGAAACTGAGAATGGCCAACTCGATGTCAGTTGGGTCCACCAAGAAGGCGGGATCAACCACCGGCAGAGTGTTCATGTCCGTGCTATTTAATTTGACGCTGCCTCGGGATTGCGGTGCGACGAGGCCGGCGGCGATCGTGGCGTAATTGTGCCCGTCCGCCGGGTCTAGACCTTGCCTGAAGGAGGAGTCGCCCACGAACGCGTCGAGAGGGAGCCACTCTACCTCTGGCCAATCCTCTGGATAATCCGCAAGCGCCTCGATGGACTCCGCCGATAGCTGCGAGCGATACGGCTCTGGCAGCTTCTCCCAACCATAATAGCTCGGAACAGCGATGGAGAGCCGACCGGAGGCATCCTGCAGATATTGTTGCACGCTGAGTGCCGTAGCGGTTGCATTGTTTGAGAATACGGACGTTGTCTCAAGGTGCACTCGATGGGAGGGCCCAAACATGACGTGGTCTTGCAAATTCTTTCCTACACCGGGCAAGTCGCTGATGCAAGGGATTTCAAATTCGGAAATCTCATCGCATGGCCCGACACCAGAGACCATCAAAAGTTGAGGAGACTGAAAAGCGCCCGTGGAGAGGATGATTTCCTCGCGAGCGCTGAGCGTGAACGAAATCGGCTGCGTTCCGAATGTGCCGGCTGTCGAGACCTGCACGCCTGTGGCGACTTTGTCCGAATCAAAAAGGATCTTCTGTCCTAGGGTGTTCTTGTACACTACCGGTTCAGAACCACTGTTGAGTGCTGTTTGCAGGAAGCTCGACTCGGATGATGATCGATGTGCGTTCTTCGGATTGATGGTTGACGTTCCGAACCCAGAGCCCAGCAGTTTGCCACTGTTGAAGCCATCGATTTGAGGCATGCCTGCTAAATCGAAAGCAAGGCGAAGCCAGCCGGAAAAAGAAGAGACGAAGTTGCTGAAGGAAACTTGAAGAGGGCCTCCGGCTGGATCGAAAGCATCCGGTGCCTGGATAATGGGTGTGTCCGATGCATTTGAGTAGAGCGCTGGGTTTGGGGGCGTATAATGAGTGGACTTTTTAAAATAGGGGAGTATCTTGTCCCAAACAAAGCTCTGATCATCCACTTCGTCAGCCCATTTTTGCATACTTCCAGCCGTAGGTCGTTGATAGAACATATAGTTTCTGGCTGAACTACCCCCGAGAGTCTTGCCTCGCGCATAGTGCAGGACTCGGTTGCCCGCGCCTTGCTGAGGAACGGTATTGATACCCCAATCGACAAGCGGATTGGTGTCCCTGGGGTCAAGTCCCGAGAACAGCGTCCCATATCCGGGAACCACAGAGAAGTTTCCGTTGTCAACCTCATAGAAGCCACCGGCCTCGACAACGGCAACACTCAGGTTGGATTGGCTTAGAGCCAGCCGGCTTGCAATAGTCAACCCAGCCGTGCCACCCCCGACGATTACGTAGTCATAGGTTGCGTTCGCCCCAGGCGTGCCGAAGGAAGATCCAAGAAGAGGACCTCGCTGCCCATAGTCGAAGAGGTCCAGATGGGAGATTGACTGGGCCGCCGCGAAGCCCACCAAACCAGGGATCGGAAGGAAACGCATGACGAAAGGTTATCAGGGTGAATAGCAGCAGGAGACTAGGTGTCGTATATGCTATAAAACCGAGGTAATAAAACGATAACAAATGTCTGCCTCCCCTGCGAATTTCGAGCCAGCGCAAGAGGAATGTTGGGAAGTCAGTCAGCCATGGGCCGGCATTCCCGACATGAAGGAAAGAAAATGAGAGGAAATGGGAACAACCCTTGGGAGGTTGCTCTTGCTATCTGCAGCTGACGGCTTATTGGATTCAATGCAGTAGGCTCATGCATTTTCTTTGCCAATAGTTCCGCGTGGTCGCTTGTTCTTTCCGCATCTCTCGCGAATGAATCAGATTTATTTTCCAGGCCACCGTAAGATCAATAGTGTCCTGCATGCCGCATCAAGACATGGATACTCTATGGGTAATATAATGCAACCCCGCAGCTTTCACGCATGCATGCATGGCTATGATTGACCCAGGCCGAGAGAGCCTGGCATGTCAGTGGGACGTTTTGGTGGTTGATGTACGGAGTATGAGCCAGGCTGATGGCACGACCCCAGAGACCCTTCGGCGACCGAGAGAATGAAGTGGGCAAATTACCAGACGATGAAAAATAATCCCCAAAAAGAGCGATGAGTTAACGAAGGGAGCGACAAACCAAGGGGCGTCTTCATGGGTGGAAGCTCGAGAAAAACATAAGGAATAAGGAAGGACCAAAAGCGCCAGTCAGCAATGAAGCATCACATGATATCCCTGTATTTCCTACAGTCTCGATTCGGTTGTCTTCTTCTCCATCCCAATCATATTTCCTATCCCCTAACACGTCCCAGTACATCATCCAATTATACAGTCTCAAGCACAGCTCCCCTGATCCCAGCTTATTTTCCTTTGGATGTGGGGAGTCCTGCCGAGGCATGATGCGAATACGCCACAATTGCTCGCTGAAGGAACTGTATAGGCCTCGCGCGTGATCAAGACCTCGATCAACCCAGTGTTCATTCTGCATTTATAATCGGCGCAGCTTGCTCTTATAGTCTACAGACGACGCAGATTCCACGAGGTTGCCGAAGCGGCCGACAGCCGAGGAAAAGCGCCCAAATTTGGATCCTCGCCGTCTGGGGATCGAGTGGAGATGATCGACTCGTGCCCTAAACTTGAGGCTATGCCTGCATGGGAAAAGGTTGCGACTGGCCTATGATGTCTCTATCTCTGGCAGCGTCTGCTTGAATGACCTGGAATCAGTCTATACCCTCCTGGGTTATCACTGCGATCTGGGAAACCCGTGGAATCCTCATTCTCGTGTTGACCTATCCTGAATGGCTACGATACGTCAACATTTGTCTGCCTATTGGGTCAGACCCCATAAGCCCTAGGTTTCACATGTTTCAATTTTTGACCAGGCTTAACGTCATGATGCCCGTCTCGTATGGACAATCCGAGCCCGTCCGCAGCCCTAACGACGCCCCGAAAATCGAAGAATTTCCCGTCATTCAGGCACCAGCACCCAAACATTTCGCAATGATCTGCACAACCTCGGTCCATAAAGGCGTGGATGAGAGCATCTCGCCATGAGCCATAGACACAGATGATAGTTATATAAAGTGACTCCCACCTCGGCGATTTTCGATCGATAGAACTTACCACCGGATGCAGACACAATTACAAACAGGCCGGACACGATATCTTCACCATGAGCACCCAACAAAACCCTAAGGACTCGATGAAGTCCACCTGGCGGCGACAAGATCGCTCGCAGTGGAAACTACCGCACCGCATCTTTGAATGGGCCAACGTCTACCACGTCGACTTAGACCGCGAAGTCCCCAAGCACTCGAAGAGCGAGAAGGTGCCCTACGTCCCGGACTGGCATCTTCACCGTTGGATCATCGTCTATGCCGGCATCCCGTTGCTCCTCCATCAGCTCTACGTCTCCCTGACGGGATGGAACTTCGGCCCCGTCGTCGCCTTCCTATACTACTACTACGCCTCGCGGGTGTTCACGTCGCGGGAACTGCGCCAGCTACGCGAGATGGGTCATAAATACGGGTTCCTAGACGGGGACCAACACGAGCGCGACGGGGTGCCAGATGTAGGAGTCGGCAAGGCCCTCACGTCCGTCATGCTGGCAGGGCTCTCGCGGCCCCTTATAATGGTTCTCCTAACGTATCGCGCCACCGATGCCCCCGTGTCCCTGGACTGGAAATACCTCCCCATCGAGATCAGCCTGTACGGAATCGTCCTCGATTTCTGGTTCTACTGGTACCATCGGCTGATGCACGACGTGGGGGGCCTCTGGAAATACCACCGCACCCACCATCTCACAAAGCACCCGAACCCGCTGCTGACGATCTACGCGGACTCCGAGCAGGAGTTCTTCGATATTGCGGGTATCCCTTTGATGACATACGGCACGATGAGGCTGATGGGTCTACCGATGGGATTCTACGAGTGGCATATCTGCCAGCTGTATGTGCTGTTTGCCGAGCTGGCGGGTCACAGCGGTCTTCGGATCCACGCGTCGCCGCCGAATCCCCTGACGTGGCTGATGCGCATGTTTGATGCGGAGCTAGTGATTGAGGATCATGACCTTCATCATCGTAAGGGGTGGAAGAAGAGCCATAACTATGGGAAGCAGACGCGCGTGTGGGATCGGGTGTTTGGAACCTGCAGTCCGAGGATCGAGAGTGCCAAGGAGAATGTCGATTATGAGAACCCGGCACCGATGGGTTTGTTCTAAGCTTGAAGCTTGTTGCGTTCTTCTTTTTGTAAATATTCAAGTGTTTAAAGGTGCTATATAATACTGGGGGAGGTGTGAGATTTCCTTATGAGCGACTATGATCCGCAATTGAATTTCTGAAGAGGTTTATGATTTTAGTTCAATATATATATGAGTGTATCATGATGCCAATCTTAATGCGCAAACACAGGTAATGATCGCTTAATACGCTCCCACATCGACCCGTCGGGAACAGGGTTCGCAATTCGATGCCATTCACCATTGAATGCGTTGATGAGCCAGCTCGATAGACCTATTCGGTAAAAGTGAGCTTCATTTCTTCAAGCGACACCTAAATCTCGAGAGCAGAAGTGGATACTTACGACCATAGACCATAGAATGGGCGTTGTGGAAATTAATGCTGTGATCGGAATCCGGGAAAAAGTGCAGATCATAATTCTGAACGTCAGACAAGTCCAGCTTGTCCAGTAACACGAGGGTGTTTTGAAGATGCACATTGTCATCGGAGGCGCCGTGCATAACGAGGAAGCGCACGGATTGCTCTAATGCAGACATGTCGGTTATGGATGAGTTATCGTAGCCCGAAGGGTTGTTTTGAGGAGTATGCATATAGCGCTCTGTGTAGATGGAGTCTGATAAGTTATGAGTTAGCAAAAGCTCCCTTTGAAAGGAAGGTGAAACGAACCATAGTATCTCCAGTCTGTAACAGGAGCAACAGCTAGACCGTACTGGAATGTCTCTCCAGCATCTTGCTCGAGAGTCTTCAAGGTCATGAAACCGCCGTAACTCCAGCCCCAGATAGCCATACGGGTCTCATCGACATAGGGCTTTTCTGCCCACATCTTCGCCGTCGTGATCTGATCATAGGCTTCGTAATATCCAAGATTTCCCCGGGTGATACACTTGGCTTTTCGACCGATGTACCCAGTGCCCCGTCCGTCGACGGTGACGACGATGTAGCCTAGACTAGACGCAACGTAGGACTGGAAATCAACGGTGAATTTACGGTCCACGGTCTGCGAGCCGGGGCCCCCATAAAGATAGAAAAGTACAGGGTACTTCCTTGCAGGGTTGAAATGTGGCGGACGGCGTTCGACAACTTGAAGGGTGAAGCCATCAATGGTTACGTTCTGGTATATTTTCGTAGGGATCGCAAATGCTTCCACCATACGAGACAGTTCCGGATTCTCCTCGATGGTCTTTTCGAGAATAGGTTGATCCCCTTGGGTGTTGAGTATCGCCTGCCACGGAACCGAAGGTCCCTTGTAGCTAAGCAACGCATAGCCGGACCCATCGGAAAAGGATACACCGAAATACCCCGGTTTCGAGATATCAGTCAAGGGCTGGAGGTTCTTCCCGTCAAGTTGCACTCGATAGACATGGCGCTGGGTCGGAGCTTCCTTCGTCGCAACAAAGTAAACAAGTCCGCGTTTGAGATCCACTGCGGTTGGCGAGTCCACAACCTCCCACTCACCCGTCGTGAGCATGACGGGATCCGGATTGTCAAGGGGTGTAAAGTAGGCAAGATGAACATATCCATCATGGACCACAGCATCGACATACCCGTCCTCCGGTCGCCCATTGCTGGGGTCTGCAGGAATAAAACGGGTAGATTGTGCTGGTTCTATCCACCCACCATCCAGAGCGGCGATATCTTGTTCTCGGACAAGCTTTCCCGTCCGAGTCTTGGTGTCGACCAGGAATACCTTGAGGTAGTCGCTTTCCCGATTGGTGACTTGAATGAGAACTTTCGCCTCGGTAGCCCAAAGCACCTGGAAGATGATCCGGTCGTCATCTTCGAAATCGTCGGCTACCTCAACGGGAAACACCTCATTTTTCTCAACGTCGTAAAATTGCAGGTTAACAACCGGATTCGGGGCCCCAGCCTTGGGATACTTGATCCGGGTAACCTCCGGATACTCCTCCAGCCCTGGAAGAGGTTTCTTCCCTGATGGCCTTGATAAGAAGTACTGGACCGGGAACTCGGGAACAGCAGACTCGTTGGTTCGAAGGAAGGCGATGTATTTCCCATCATTCGACCACCAGGTCACACTGTTTCCCGAAATTACTTCTTCTTCGTAAACCCAATCAGGAACACCATAGAAAAGATCCTTACCGCCGTCCTTCGTGATCGAGGTGACCGACTCCGACGACAGTTTGCGCAAGTACATGTTGTTTTCCCGCACGAAGACCACTGCATCTGAGGTTGGCGACCAACTTGCCAGCTGTACTCGCCCATCAGGTACTTTAGGGTCTAAAGGTTCGGCGGTTTGAGAGTCCACGTCGAAGATCCAGTACTTCCCAATGTACGAATGTCGCCAGTTTTTCTCCCGATCGGACATGAGTAGGACCTTTTTCAGGTTGGGACTCGGCCAGGTCTTATAAGGCACAACGGCGTGTCCACCCACTCGTACAAGTGGTTTCTGCATCAACACCCTGCTCTCTAGCGTATCATCGCCATCCTTGCGGCTGCGAATATCCTCGACCCTCAGGTAACCATTCCCGCCCTCGCCTTGCTCCACCAACAGGCCGTCTTCACCCTCCGGTCCCGCAATCCAGGAGATGGAATGTGACATGGGCGACCACTGGCCCGTGAGAACCTGGTCCAGCGTCACAGGTTTCCCTGCGCTGGTACTGCCCGAATTGGAATCCGGTTCGTGTAGCTGTAGACTGTCGGAAGCGGTCTGGTACTTAGACCGGCCCTGAGTGAGGAAGAGAACAAAAGCCAGCACCCAGCCTCCCACGCAGAGGATTAATAGAGCCCAGAATATCCGCCGGGTACGACTTGAAGTGCTCGGTTTCTTGGACCCCGGTAGGAACGGGTCGTCTGCTGCAGCCTCGCCATCTTCCATATCACAGTATCTAGCTTCCTCCGCCGCACCTAAGTTCTCGTTTGTTGCTGCATTGCGTTTATTCTCGCTCAAGAATGACGACTGAACGGACAGGCCCGAATCGGAGGAGGTTTGGGACGCGGTCGACGCGGTTCTCGGACGAGTCATAGGGAGGAATTCTGTATTCTCATCGGCATCCGGCTTCACCATGATGATTAGAAGGGCATGTAGAGGGTGAATTGGCGACGGTCAGGTATGACGACAGCGCGATATCGGTCACGGTACGGAGCAGGCAGCGCAGATAGTGAACAGCCGAGGCTAGCTGGTTATCAGTGCCACGGTGGAGAGACGCAGGTCGGTGAGATGTGGATCAAGGCTCATGAGCCTCTAGTATATGAATATAAATAGGGAAAGACTGAAGAACGAAGGGCGATGGTCCATGTCGAACCATGGACGTTATAAAGGGAAGCTGGGGAAGTCGTGGAAGGTCGCGACAGGAAAAGGGCGGAGGGCGACGAGGCCTTGGCAGTCAGCCTTATTTTGCGGGCATTATTCACGACTCATTATTGAGCCCCGTTCTCGGCCATCGACCAGTATTTCTATTTCCTTGGTCGTCTGCTGAATCTTAGCGCCATTTAGACGTATCAAGTCGATTGAACTTATACCATAGAACCGGCAGTTTGGTATGCAACAATGCGCAGTCGTTGCCCCCCGACTATCATCGCATCCCTCGGCATGGCTGCCTGGCTCGACGAACCTACGGAGTATATGTTGAATAGGAGACGCAAGCATTTATCCACCACCCCCGAACCTCTGATGACTTTTCCTATTGCTCTCCAAGTTATTATGGCAGTACCAACGCCGGGAAATGCAAACAACCAATTTCAACCCTGTCGCGGAAAACAAGCGACAAAAACCCAAGGGGGAAAACCAATCAACCCAATCCCCAAACGCCCAGGCATTCAATTCGTAAATCATGTTAATCGTCAAATTGTTATCACCAAAACACAGAGTTCCTAAAATATGTTGCTCGCGAGCAGAGGGTGGCCGAATCTATCGCCAGCTGGAAACACTGCCCCCTTAGATGCGACCAGGAGTCTTCATCGAACGTAGATTCCTCCTCGAGTTTCTCATTCAGTCGGGCCACACAACCGTAGAGCCTCTTCATTTGGAGGTAGGTAAGCGAACAGAGCAGACTCATACGTTCCTGACTGGTGGCGGTTGCGTAGTCCCTCTGTAAGAGGGACTGTTGGTCTTGATCGTTCTGTTCCAGCATCTCGTTTAAGAACCCGCGAAACAATTGACACTGGGCTAGGATCTTGTTGCACAGAATGCCGAGAAATTCAGGGGAATGTTCGTGTTCGGAGCATTTTTGACAGAGGCTCATTTTATCAAATAGGCTAATCATGTCCTCGAGGCAGAGCAAACCGGACTCTTTGGTCTCGAACTCGGAGAAGGAGGGGATGCCGGCGATGGTATGGAGAATTTCCATGCCCAGTTGTTTGCATTCGCATAAGTCGAGGCTGCTGCCTCCCGTGAGAGTCCACGCGGAGTCGAAGCTCGGCCTGCGTTCTTCGGTTTTTGGTGTAACTGTTGTATGCCCTGTTGTGCGTCCTGTCGCATGTCCTGTCGCATGATGTCCGGTTTTTTGGATTCGCACAGACCGCCTTAGTCTGCTGAATAGCATTATGTTTGATTTATAGCTGAGCTTGGCCTAGGTTAGGGAAAGATGCCAAAATGAAGACAGGCGGAGTGAGATTAATAAGTCAGATGGGTAGTATGAGTTGGAAGGAAGGGACCCCTCAAGTTAGGCAAAGGTTTTCGTGCCCAAGCCAGGTACTTGTGAGCATGTAGCATTGGCTTGCGATGATGCGAATGTGATGGCAGAATGTGCTGGTAGACGGAATTCCGGGCGCCAGCATCAGAGCGTGGTAGACGGGATTTCGTTGCCAACCAACGCATTCACCCGAACTACTTGTTGCTGGCCCGACTTTGACTTCATTTTCTTCGAGGGAGATTAGTTCCACGCCAGCGACCGAGGAATCTAGGAATGACGGGTGACCAAACCCCGTCGATCAATCCATGTGCTCCCATTTCAGGTTCCTATCATATGATCATTAGTTGAGCAAAATATGACGCGCGACGAGGCCAAAGTCCAGTGTTTCCTCGTACGCAGTAGAATCACTCAGAGTGTCTCCAGATTTGGTGCAAACGAGGTGAACGAGGTGGCCGACGAGGCCAGTAATCTCGACAATCTTTCCTTTCCTACATTTTGTTTGTTTGCTAGTCTGTTTGTCAGTTGTCCGTTGTCAGTGTCTGTTGGGACTCTTTTCTATTTCGGTCCAAAGGGGCGACCAGAGTGGCTATGCTGCTAGTCGGTGCCATCTGGTGTGTTAAATTGCAGCACGACCATCAATAGAATGGGGATTTATTGCAGACGATCGATGGATGAAAGCGGGACAGGTGCAGAGACCATTGTCTGGTGGCTGCCTACTTGGCGCATGTCGAACTGAGCCATATTGGCTCTATTAGAGCGACTTGGCGAGGCCTCATCTTGCGAATGCCAACAATAAATAGTATCGCCGCCGATCCGCTGTCGACCCAGCGGGGCTACAGGGCTGAGCCCCCCTCAGTGGACGCGTCAAGGGGAGGATGGCATGGGGAGAGAAGAGCAGAAAAGGAGGAGTGGCTATCGCAGGTGATGGGTTAGTTAGCGCTGTCTTAGTTACAAAGGGTGAGGAAGAGAAGGTTCGGAGGGGGCAAAGATTAATCTCGAGATCATCGACTTCCCGTGACTGCCCAACTCTCGTCAACGGAATCTCCTCTTCTCTTCTCTTCCTCCTCTCCTTCTCTCCTCCCCACGTCCGATCGGCACCATTTCCCTCTTGCGCTGGGAAATACCAAGAACCAAGAACCAAGAAGCCACCCCAGCATCTTCGTATCTCGGCATTGGTCCGATCAACGTCATTTTCGCATTACGCCACTAGGCAGACGGATTCTGCCCTGTACTCAGGAACCATTCACGGTCGTTTCCAGTCGTTCTCGTGGACTTTTTTTAGATTTCCGTTTTCAATATAAGTTGATGATCCGTCATTCGGGCGACTGGCGTTGAGCGATCGTACGCAGCTGTCGTTCACCATGGCCTCTGAGAACCCTGTCCCGAGCCTCGATGGCCTCTCGGTCGGCCCTCCATCGGACTCCCAAAATATTACCCCGCCAGGTCAAATCCTGACGGGAAAGCAAGAACATTGTTGGTCCTATTGTTTCAAGCGCCCAGCAACGCGTTTCTAACGGCTACAGATCTGAAGCGCGAACTCATCGCACGCCAGGTGCAGAGCGAGATCGCCGAGTTGAACTCACCAACCGCCCTCCGTCGTTTCGGTGCCCCGTTCAAGTCGGAATTCGGCGAAGTCGCTCCTGTGGATTCAGAACTCCCAATCCTCCGTCACATCTTCGTTCACCATGTGCGCAACTTCCCCTTTCTCGACAAGGCCCGCGAAAAGGAGTTTTGGCAGGACAAGTTGCAGGTGGTGCGTTTGGCCCCTTTCCCCTCTTTTCCCCCACCATAGTAGCTGACTTCAAACCAAATAGTTTCTCGAGTCATTTGCGAAGAAAAATGTATCGTCATCGGAAGACCGCTTGGAGGAGACGAAGCGCCGAAAGCTGGCTAGGAAGTGCGAGAAGCTCGTCGAGCTGATGATGGTGTCGGGCATCCCCACCGCATCGGGATATGAAGAGCGGATACAATTTTCGGAAATGGAGGTCGTTGACCGTGGTGCCAATGAATCGGGACTTCTGGTCAATATGCCGGAAGGGAATGCGATCCATGGATGGGACATCAATGTGGCTGCGGTGCGCGTCGCTTCCGTGAGGCGAACAGTGCGGTACCATCAGCATGCGGTGAGCAACCTCAATTTGATTTGCACCATTGACGACGACTAATGTTCGGAACCAGGAATTCATTATTCGCGTGCGGCGGGAAGGGAAGTCTGACCTCTTCGTGGCTCGGCGATATGGCGAATTCTCGAAGCTTCAAAAACGGCTTCAAACCGAATTCCCTGGCAAACCAATGCCTCCTCTGCCGCGCAAGAATAAGACCTCGACATCTTCCAGCTTTTTCTCATCGGCGGATGACGATGCGTCTTCAGTATCCTCGTTGTCCACCCAGAGCACAAGTACCCCGGAAGAAAGCCAAAGCCAAAGCTCAAGCTCAAGAAATTTGACTCCCGGCAACCACAATCTCCGCCGTTCGGTGTCGCGGTCATCTATGAGATCCGCCCTGGGAAAGTCCCCCAAGAGCCCAAGAGCTTCAGGAGAAGTTTCTCGCGAGACTGTTCTATACAGAGAGGAGCAGCGGGTGTCGCTCCGAGCGTTCCTTCGCACTCTATTGCAAAACAAACGAGCGGCCGAATCCAAAGCCCTCGAAGAATTTCTTACTGCTCAACCTGTTGTTCTGAATGAGGAAGAGATGATAGATATGCAAAGGCGAAAAGAAGCAGATGCCATTAGAATAGAGGAGCAGAAGCGTTTCTACGAGATTGCCCGGCAGCGGGCAGCTGAGTTGGATGTTTACATGGAAAACTTCCGTCGAGATATTGTGGAGAGCAGTATGTGCAGCAGCCCGAATATTCGACCATGCTTTTTATTGACATTTCTGTTTCCCTTCTAGATGGCTTGACCAAGCTCTTTTCCGAGATTCGCGAAAAGCCGACAGTCGAGGATCTCAGCCCTCAATACCAGAAATTTGCTGAATGGCTTCGAATTGAGTACGTATCCGATCTGGGTGTGACCATTTTTGATGCGATCGCTAACTAGAGCTAGGGTTGCTGCGACACTCTACCATTTGTTCTTAGCCGAAGACAATTCACCGGAACTGTTTGCGCAGGCTAAGCGGATACACTCTCTTGTCCCGTATACATTGATGAAGAACGTGATCCGTATCGCCAATCCCGCCGCTGTGATGACCGGGGTTCTAGACCTCTTCCTGGCCCAACCCTTTGGGTCGCGGTCTCTCTTGCAGCGCATCTTTTCGATGACTCTGAATGACGGCATCAAGGCATTCCAAAAGTCGATTGACGCGCTGGCCGCCAAGGTTGACGACCCCATTCTCTGCCAAAAGCTGAAGGCGTTCACCGATGCAGACGAGACGGTCAAGAATGAAATCCGTAGCGAAGCGACTATGGAAGACGTGGATCTCATCGTTGCCATTCTCCGCTCTGAATATCTTGTCCCGGAAATTACCACGGAACAAGTCGGAAAAGTATTCAATGCCTATGTTGCTTGGAACTTCGCAGTCGATAATGTTGATCAAGAGATGCAAGAGGGTGCTCAGTGGTTTGCCCACTTGAAACAGCTACTCAAGCTCTACACAAGACAACGAGATAAGGCCATGATGCTGAGCATTGTTGAAGAGCCGGTCACTCTTCAGCTGTTCCGTGATCTCTTCACCATCTTCTATGAGCCTCTTGTGAGAGTGTACAAGTCAGCCAATGTCTACAACAGTATCACCGATTTCGCCCAATTCGCCGATGATGCGATCGCTGTCATTGAGAAGTGCCAGAGACAGGATGTGTCTGCCGATCCCAACCAAACCGTCCAGGCCTTTATCGATCTCTGTGAACGCCATCAGAGCAGTTTCTACAAGTTTGTACACGAGGTCCACTTGCATGACAACGGTCTGTTCGGCTCTTTGATGGCGTGGATAGAAGATATCCTGGAATTCTTGCGCCACGGACCGCAGGGTGGCCGATTGGACATGAACGCCCTCCTGCATGGGGCTAAGGATGTCGGGCAGATTGATAAGGACAAGGCGCTGCAGGAGATCAATGCCTTGATTAAATGGCATGAGGATCGCAAACGCTGGCACCTCAACAAGACCCGGCAAAAGATGGCGGCTGAAGGTACCGGCAATGAGGCATTCCCTGGCAGCGCAACGTTCAGGGGAAGCGATTTCGGATTGGATGAGGTATGTCATCACTTACTTTGGTTGCATGTCTTAAATTATGGTTCTAACTTTCCATATAGGGCGACCTGGAAGATCTCGCCATCTCTGACGATGAATCGGAAAACTCGGAGGAGCTCGACGAGGAGGACGATCTTGACCCCATCAACGCCGAACGAAGACGCCGGGTGAAGCAACAGGATCAACTCCGCCGCACGGCTGGAGAGCCCGTGAAACCGGAAATCCAAGAAATCCTCAAATTGTCGGATTCGTTCAGCATCATGCTGCGGCAGGTTCTTGCAGAATAGAATCGGTAGTTTCCCTGTGATACCCCATCATATATCATCATTCTGTCTGGCTCTTTGTATGCTCTGCATCGCTTTGTTCCCAGAATAGAGACTTCTGTGTATCTCCCTGTTGCTTTTTCTTAGAGAGGAACGAAGACAGTTCAAGATCCCTATAGTTCAATCAATTGATATAGATGATGACATAAGAAGATCACCCAATAAGGTTTGTTGGTTCGGGACGGAAACTAGTCCCCTTCCGGCATCAGAGCCCCTCACTATGCTGACTCAGCCTGTCAAAGTGGTTGTTAACGTATTCGGTAAGCGAGCTGGCCACGTAAGCGAGCTGGCCACCTCACGCGTTTTGACCGCGGTTGAAAACCTCGCTTAATTTAACCACCAACCATGCCTCTAAAAGTATGTTAAAAATCAAGAAATTCAGCTGAGCAAGAGAACAGGATTTTATTAGTAATTTCTGCTTTAAAAAAGAACAAAATCTCTAGTATTTGTGAGGCAGCTTGTGTTTATAATATTTCTTGTTCTACCCTTTAAACCTGATTATATAGTGTTACTATCCGCAGTAAAACACGCGTAAATAGTTATAAAATGACTTAAAATGAAGAGGAATTGCTTATATAATAGATTTTATTATTAGATTAATATAAAGCGCCTTTCTAACCCTCTTATATATAAGAAATAGCCAATATTTTACTTGTTTAGTATAATACTATACTAATCTAATTAGTTAGAAAAAAATAAATATATAATTTTATTAAATGACAAGATCGCTTAAAGACTCGCTATACTTGATATTATAATTATTAGCGCGCTAAATATAAAGATCCTAAGATTATTAGGGAGTGGTTTAATTATATATAAATTATAATAATATAACACAGGATTATACAAAAAGATATCTATAATTTTAATAAAACTGGTTTTATTATAGGCCTAGTAGCTACTGCTTAGATAGTTACTAGAGCTAATTATTATAAAAAAGTTTTTTTTGTGCAGCCAGATAATCAAGAATAAATTACTTTAATTAAGTGTATTAACTTTACCGGTTAAGCGCTTTCTTTATATATAATTTTTAAAAGCAAGATCTATATAGAAGGTTGGTATTAAGATATTACACTCCCACGTGATAGTAGGATTGAGGTTAGTCCTAATAAATAGACTATAAATAAGATAGGCCTTCACTGGCTTAAAAATCTTTTTATTCTGATTATTACTGGTTGTATAACTAGAAAATATTGACTTCTTATTTTTAACAGTTATAATAGTTATCTTACACCTTAATTTAATTAGCTATACAGTAAAAATAATATTATTCTTATTTATATATCTGTATATTTATTATATTTATTATAGTCTCTAGATATTAGCTGCTTCTTACCTCTAAAGCAGGCATATAGTAATTTAGTAGAGAAATAAGCATACTTAGGAATTAGCTAAATTAATAAGCTTGATTTCTTAAAGATCTTTCCACAAGCTCGCGAATATGTTTTTTAAGCAAATACTATTTAAAATAATTTTACAGGCACTAGTTTAATTTTATTAAATCTAGATAAAGTACTCAGTCAGCTAAATATTTAATTAAAGATCTCTATACCACTAGGTAGTTGATTAATTAATATAGCTCTAAAAACGCCTTATATAACTAGGCAGCTTGAAAAGCAGGCATCTACTGTGAAGCAGCTACTTAAAATATATACATAGAGTCCTTTATTTTTGCTAGAGACGCAGTTTAATAAGCTTATTAAAGATTATAAATTATATTTTAATAAACTTATTCTTGCGCGTGAAGAAATATATAAATTATATACTACTAATATAAAAAAACTTTTAAAAAAAAGTACTCTATTAAACAGTTAACTTTTATAGAGGGACTAGCTATTCAAGAGGGCCTAAAATAGTTCTAGTGTAAGAATTAGATTAATAAAGCTTAAAATACACTTCCTCTAGATCCTGTAGTGCTTACAGATAGGCCACGCGTACGAGCGCCCCTGTAATGTAATAATTATTATATTCTAGGATATAAACGATTATAATGTCCTAATTATGTTTCTAATTAATTTTTATATAGAAATGTAATTATTTAATTAGTAAAAGCCCAGTATTTGGCCTGTGGGCAGGAATTACAGCAGAGGTGGCTAGCTTGCTTATGTGGCCAGCTCGCTTACCGAATACGTTACTATGGCGACATCAATCAGTCCAGCGTATCTCAGTACTGGACGCTGCGGCGCTCTCCTGGATAGCACTATGTGCTTCTTTCTGAGGTCATCATCCCAATATGCTGTCTCCGCATAAGTCTCCTTCCAAGGGCCTGTCCCCGCGTACCTCTGCGCCATTGCGGGGTCTCTTCGCCGATGGAGTCTGGCGTTGTGACTGCCCCGGACGCCCCCCTGCGGTCAAGTTGCAGACCAAGAACCATGGGGTAAACCATGGAAAAAGATGTAATGTCCCCTTTTACTTCCTCTGGTAGTAGAATGCGATTCCCCAGAAACGACTAATACATCGCGCAGTTTACACATGCCAGAAACGCCCTTCAGACCAATGCCGATTCTTCCTCTGGGAAACCGATGCCCAGCTTCGTGAAGGAAGAGCCGTCCTATCTAACTCCCGCACCGAGCCTCTGAATCCGCAAACCCCCTCGAAACCATCCGGTTATGGAAGAGGCGGGCTTCTCACGCCGCAGACCGAGCGACCGTTCCGCGCGGCGCCCGCCGTGGGATCCGCATCACAAGCGCCACCGCAGAGCGCGAAGGCCAAAATGATGACAGAGGATACGGACGAGTTCGAATGGGATGATCCGTTCGCTGAGTCGCCTGAGAGGTCTTTCGGCAAGCCGCGCCAGCTCGACTTCGGCTCCGCTGCTAGCTCCAGCTCGACCCTGGGGGATTTGAGTCCCCGGAAGGCCGCCCGGACGGATTCCTTCACCTCGCCTGGAAAACGCAAGCTCTCGGACATGCAGAACGATGCCCCGGAAACTCCGACGTCAGTGTGGTCATCGAGATCCGAATCATGGCGGTTACCGCCCCCGTCGGCGGAGCTGTGCATGACCCCCACGCCGAGTAAATATCGCAATGCGCTATCCGGGGATCCGCGCGCGGGACCGTCAGACCTTGCGCTGGAGGTGGTGAAGATACTCGAAAGCCATAATGCTGTTCTCCCTCGTCGTGCTCAGGAGGAAGTGACCGAACTGTTGAACAAACATGATCTGAAAACGAAGGGGATCATCCGCGGGCGGGAGATCTCCTGGGAACAAATAAAGAAAAATAGGGAGGAAATCAAACGGCTTCATGAGAGAATTGCAGTCTTGGAGAGTCAGCGGGACCTGGACCAGAAATTGCTGAATGAGCTGAGTAAGGGATAGAAGCTGGCTTCTGGAAATATGTTGCTGTACTTCGGATGGCGAATTTGGTAAATTTTGGGCGAGCGATTGTTATTTTTTCGTGCAGATATTGTTTGTTATCCCAGAATGCAGGATGGCATTAGATGTAGCGGTAGTTACCTAACAATAATTAAGAATGAGAAGACGATCACCCACAGTCATATTCAATCTAGACTTCAAAAATTCCAAACCGATGGCCATACTTTGGATCTAGATCCGATCTTATCAAGCCCTGTCACGTGCCGATAAAATCGCGAACCGGAACGCAAACTCTCCAGAGAAAAAACCCCACGCTATGATCAAATAATGCCCAGATACCCCAGCTTCTTATAAACCGCCTCAACCCGACCTGTTCGTCTCTTCGAACCGAACCACCACAGTCCATGGCCCCCCAAAGCGGCCCCGAGCCCTCGAATCCGCCGAACAGCGCTCTCCCCACCATGTTTCGGCCACCCGTGAATCGTGCGATGCGAGCGCTGGACCGATCGTTTTTCAAGAAGACACTACCACTCTCGGCGGCCACGGTGTTCAAGAATTCGGATATCTCGAAGGTGCGCGGCGCGCTGTACAAGAGCCAGGAGCTGCTGGACGCGCCGAGATTGAATATTATTCGCGAGGTGAAAGTTGATGACGCCGTGAAGAAGTGCTTGCTGTTGAAGGATGGGGTGAAGCATGATGGTGGGTCATAATTGAATTGGGACCGTTGGAGTAGGCGCTGATCTGATGTAGATGCTGCAACCTGGTCGCCGACGCTCAGTGAGCTCGTGGAGAAGGGGACGGTTGCTATGCGAGGTTATGATTTGAACTTGGATTATGATTATTGGACATATGGTGAGTGTCATTCTAATGTGGGAAGGGGGAGTTATGGAAGGAAATCTGAGGCTGACTGTCTATATAGCCGATATTATAGCTGCTATATTACCGGAGGACATGCTGCAGGAATTCCCGCAGGGATTTACGCAAGTTGGCCATGTTTGTATGTCCCCCTACCAATGACGCGGCAATATGGCTTTAGCTGACGTGACATAGCGCACCTTAACCTCCGAGAACAATATCTTCCTTATAAAACCATTATTGCCCAGGTTATTTTGGATAAAAACGTGAACATCAAGACGGTGATTAGAAAGACGGAAGACGTGGGCGCACAAAGCCAGTTCCGCACTTTCCCCTTCGAGGTGCTGGCGGGCGAGAACAACATGAATGTTGTTCAGAACGAGCAGGATTGCGAGTTTCATTTCGACTACTCGCGAGTGTACTGGAACAGTCGTCTGGAGACCGAGCACCGTCGACTGGTGCAGAAGTTCCGTCCCGGCGAAATGGTCTGCGATGTCATGGCCGGCGTTGGCCCCTTCGCGGTCCCTGCTGGCAAGAAAAAGATCTTTGTCTGGGCCAATGACCTCAACCCGCACGGATATGAAGTGATGCAGGATGCAGTGAAGAGGAACCGCGTGGAACAATTTGTGACTCCGTTCAACCAGGACGGCAGGGACTTCATCCGCTGGTCTGCCAAGGAGCTTTTGGAAAGAGGACCCCTGGAAGTGGCCCTGCCACACAAGCGCAGAGAGAAGAGGGGTGCCAGGAAGGAGGAACAACCCGCTATGCCTCCTCCGGAAGTCATGACCCGTCCAACGGTCTTTGATCACTACGTGATGAATCTACCTGCCATTGCTCTGGAATTCCTCGATGCGTTCCCCGGGGTCTACGCCGGAAAGGAGTCGCTGTTTGCGCCCCACACATCGCAGGCTCTTCCCATGGTCCACGTTTACTGTTTCTCCGGCCATTCGGAAGATGAGTCGGATGACCATGCCGACATCTGCAAGCGCATTACTGAACGCATTGGGTTCCCTGTCAATTTGGAGGACCGAGTAGGAGGTAGCGGGAACCAGGAGCTGGAGCTCTCTATTCACAACGTGAGACTGGTCAGCCCCAACAAACAGATGTTTTGCGCCAGCTTCCGTCTGCCCAAGGAGGTTGCATTCCGAACGGTATAGATCGCAAGGCCTTGTTGTACAGGACGGTTGCATAGCATGAGGCGTTTAGGTCATGATATACTATGAAAATTCTGGATAGAAAAATCGTTTATTTTTGAATTGATACCCTCTTCGCTCAGTTTTACTCTATACGCAGAGTGCTCTAGGATACTACAATGGAACTCCGCAGTATAGTTATAATTGCCGGGATTCCTCTATCACTTCTGGTGTGCTGGGCCTGATTTTTCACTGAATATCACATATATTAAAGGCAGCTAATTACCTGGAATATGGAGATATAACGAGATCAAACAAAGAATTTCATGCGCCATGCCTGAAATTGCTTGATAGTACCAAAGGCGGTGGAATATTCACCGCCTTACAACTGCCAGGGCCAAACTTCATTGAGAGAGTTTTCCCGTGCCGTGCGGCCTCGACATTCAACGTCCAGCAACATTGGCCCTGTCGACTCGAATTCCTCAAGACAAAATATACATAGAGTGTCATCGAGCGCCCCACCGCCGCCAATCGAAACTAAATACCGGATCCCGGAGAAAGTGCGCAGACTTGTCCCACGACTTCAAAATGAGCGTCCAGCTACCCCCGGCCACCCATCGCAAGCGCGCCTTGCCCCAGGGCGAACTCGAGGCCGCCTCGACGCTCAAGCTCGGCGCGGACCAGAACACGCATACGCTGTCGCTGTCCGAAGCGCGTCTCGTCATCAACAAGGTGCTGGAAAATAAACGAAGGGGGGGCAAGAAATACGAGGAGCCCGAGTGAGTTCTACAACAGCTGCGGAATGCGGGCAGGCGTCTTTGTGACGCACACTCCATAACCAGAGGAATGACCCATGCTTACACATGCGTCGCTGCATTGCAGAAACCTTACCAAAACCTTGGACTACTTGGAGGTCTTCGCTCGCTTCAAGGACGAGGAGAACATCAAGGCCGTTGAGCGACTGCTGAATTCGCATACCGAGTTGGAGATGTTCGAACGGTCTCAGTTGGGTATGATTCTTTTTTTTTTTCTTTCTTTTTTTTGGGCTGGTCCTGCTTTCGCCCTCTCTTTGTTGATTCGTCTTTGTCTTTCTTCCCCTCGTAATCACATGCCAGAGGCTAGTCTAACGCCGTACCAGGGAGTTTGTGCTGCGACAACGCCGAAGAAGCCAAGTCACTCATTCCTAGTTTGCAGCACAAAATCTCCGATGGGGATCTGCAAGAACTTCTGGATGAGTTGACCAAGCTGCGGAATTTCACCGAGTAAGCTGTTGACAAGTTATATTGTGTCATCTATTGCTTGGCGGCTTGGCCTTCTTTTCTTTTTTTTAAATCTGGTTTCCTTTGGTGACATTTTTTGTCTCATTTTCAACGACGGCTTCAGCCTCGTATAGCATGGAGTTCTGGGATTTAATCGGGCATCTGAGAGAAATTGCATTCCGAGATCAGCAGGCGACGGATATCATAGAAAGGGTCGCGCGTTGCACAGGATTCTCTAAAAAAAAATGGAAAAGAGAAGCTTCAAAAAAGGAAAAGGGAGAAAACACAAATTAGAAAACCGAGACTCGGGAGTGGCTGCATGAGACGAAAAATGCCTCGACTCGTGATGACGAAGAGAGGTGACACTGCGTTCCGTCAAAGCATGTGGTTATGCTCAGTGGAAAGTCGCCATGATACAGCAGGCTGCGAAAGCAAGGGATTTGATAATGATAAAGACGATGTAGATATTAATTGGACTAGGACGACGTCGTCTGAACAGCGGACATGCGCATGAGATGCATGATTACCATTTGCATTAAGTAATGAGATCTCGGTAAGGGGGCAAGACATCTGGTGGTACATGCCAATATGGTGCTATGGATGCATCGCAGAGGCGAGGTACTACCTAACAGGGAGTGTCTATGCGGCAGTCCCGAGCGTGCCACCTTCATTTAGGCATCGAAGCTCCGGCCAGTATCCATTATATAACATCTATTCCGCGCGGGACTCTCATTGGAAGTATATCGAAAGGCATTGTCTGGGCAGTGAGCTCCGTCGGCGGTAGGGAAATTGAAATAGATTGGCATCCAGCACTGGTCCGGAGAGGGATCGACTCTCCGAGGCACCCCGTTCTGAGTTTCCCGTCCCTCCCTCAGCGGAAAGACGGGGGAGATGAATCATGATTTGGTCATAGCGAGGGAACTAACGTTTGCTACTCCGTAGTCTTCATCTCCAGGATTCATGGAAAAGTGCCAGAGGTGGGGCTCTGCTGGGAGTTTTTATTTGCATTTTTTTTTTTTAAACGACGGGATTCTCAGATTCTCATTAGGTAGGTTATTATAAATTTATAATGGGATTAGCATTCGGTATTATCCAAGCAGTGCTGCCCAAGGACGGATGGCCAATGGGAGGGGAGGAGATTAGCTCGCAGGACTCAGCAGGAACTGCCCCTAGGGCCAGTCTGCTCCGGTGGTATTCATGGAATTCACCCACATGGAGCGGCCTGGGAGGCTGTGGGGAAAGCCGCCGGCTGCAGGGCCGATCCCCGTTGCCGGTTCTGCTCTACGCCAGATTGGCTGGACGCGAGCTGATGTGATTGGCTCCGGGGGTGGTGTTATCGACGGGCGGTGATTGGTGGAGAGATGAGTAATCAGTGCTCGCTTCCATCCATTAGCATTACTTACCTAGGCAGGTATGGAATCGCCTGAGCTTTGTTCGTCAGGATCTTACAGGACTAGTGCGGATGCCGACAGACTGGTCTTTGTTCTCTTTTTCTGACTTTACTTCTGCGGCTTCGTCTGAGGATGTGAACCTCTCGACAGAGTACCGTGTCCATCCATGGTCCTCGCAACGAGACTCCTGCCATCCTCATTAATCAGTCGATCCACCGCCCTTTGCCAGTACGTAATACCAAGCCCCAGCTCGGCCGCCATCAGATCGCAGACCCAATCAGCTGGGCGAGGCTTATCTTGAACCGCAGCAGGAACCAAAGCTGTGGTTGTGCATGACGTCCAACCGCTGCATATCTGTTACGTGTGGGAAATCCTTCTTGTGCTGGGAGTCGGGAAGGTTGGCTTGCTGATCCGGACTCTGTTGCTCGAAGCTCCGGAGATTTCTCTTATTGATCCTGATGACTGTTCGCTTGCGCCGGATTATAATGGCAATGGATTCATTCTTTCGTCCATTCATGCCCCCGTCCTTCTTTTTTTTCGTTCCTTCCTTACCTTTTCCCTCTAGCTGGTCATCTTTCTTGCTGCTCAGTCCCGGCTCCAAGGCATGACCCGTTCGGTAGGCGGACTGTAGGCGGTTGTTGATCTCGCGCCGCGCAGCAGAAGCGCATCTCGACCCGAATCCACCGCCGGTTTCTTTTGTCAAATCGTATTATCTTTATCATTGCGCCGAGACTCCTCCCCGATTCGCCTGGCTCCGGTTCCGCTGTGATCGGTGGTCCGTGATCTCTGTACTCCCCGACTGGCCTGCTTTTCTTCCCTATCGACGGTGCCATCTGCTGGCCTCGTTGCGCCTGCCTCGCCCTGATAAGCTTCTCCGCTGCGGTTCGCACGTCCATTCAGCCCCCTGGCCGTTTCCAATCGGCCGGCCGGTCATTGGTCCAGTCCTCTGCCCTCTCCTGCCCGCTTCGTCCAGGGTCGAGCTCAACCCCAGATATTCCTCATTGTTTCCTGATCCTCGTCATATCTCGGGGTTTTAGTTGCCCTCCTGGCCTGCTCTCCTTCCTCCTTTAGCCCATTGCGGAGTTCCTTGGCGGACTTTCCGATCATCCCCGTTCCTTTACGTGACCGAAAATCCCGTCGCGATTGCAGAAGGCCCCTATCATATCGTCATCCCGGGTTACCTTTGTGAGGAATCAAGTCTCCTATCTCCCTCCCACCCCCAATCTTACCCTCTGCATTATCTATCGGGGTTGCATCCGTCTGCGTCGGCTTCTGAATGGCTGCCGTTATCACTCTTCAGTCGTCCTCGACGACGGGGCCAACGGCTGCCTCGACGGCCTCTTTTCAGCAGCCGTCTTCTGATCATATCATCCGGCCCCGGGTACCCTCTCACCAGCAGCCCGGTTCGACTTCCACGCCACTTTCTCCATCCGCATCAATTGGTGCCCTTCCCCGTGTCCCCGTCTCCGGTCGGGATGGCCCCAGCTGCGACGCCTGTCTCCGCAGAAAGAGCCGGTGTGCTATGAACGAAATGGTGAAAAAGTGCTATTCGTGCGATTTCCATCGGCAGGATTGCACCTTTACCCTGTCTGCGGTGGCCAGCCGCCCTGGTACCGCCGACTTGCAGTCCAAGAAGCGAAAGTTGGACGATTCCGCCCCGGACGATGTAGAATTCTCCAAGAGGTACGGTTTGAGCCTCGAAGTGGACATTCCCAGTCCGATTTCGGACATTGCATATAGATAGACGTGGGAACGCTAATCTTGTCCCCGCTGACAGGCAATCAACCGTCCCCCCAGTTTCCAAACCTGAACTTTCTCGTGCACCCTTGAACGGCCACCCTCGAATCACGTCAGGGTATTGGCATCAGCAAACCCAGCATATCGGTTTGACTACCGAACTGGAACCCACTCTTCTCGAATATCTCCCCTTGGATCAGAACCTTGAAGGATCTGTCGCCTCGTCCCGCGTCCGGAAATTCGCTGACGACGGGACCTTCATGCGGGTGATAAACACCCTCTCCCAAGCGGGCGTACCGCCGCCCCCTCCCTTGGATGCCATTGAAAGCTTGATCGCTCCCTACGGCTTGACCCTGATCGACAAATTCTTCGAAAATGTTCACCCGACCTTCCCAATCCTCATGGAGGACACCTTCCGCCAGTCGTACCGCTCCCGGCAAGGCATGTCCCCTCTCCTTCTCTGTGCCGTCTATGTGTTGGCCTTGAAGTTTGTGGACGTAGGCCCGGCCTCCCAAGCCGCTCGACGGCCCGATGCCAGCCGCCTGGAAAGCACGGCCCTTAGACTGCTCAACGAGTCGTTGCCTCACCCGTCCATCTCGACCATCCAGGCGGGTTTGCTGCTCATGGAAAAGTCCACCATCGCTACCTCTGCATTGAATGCCCAATTGGTCACTGCCGGGTTCGAACTCGGCCTGCACCAGGACTGCTCGGAATGGAGGATGGAAACCTGGGAGAAGGGTCTCCGCAAGCGCCTGGCTTGGGCCCTCTACATGCAAGATAAATGGTCCGCGCTGGTACACGGACGCCCGTCCCACATATTCTCTTTCAATTGGACGGTGCAGGACCTGGTGGAGCAGGATTTCACCGATGCATTCCCATCGCCATCGACTCAGTCAGACGATGCACCCGTGGGCCACGGTCCCCTATATTTCTGCCACATGGTGGCCCTAACGACCATCCTTTCCGACATCCTGGACCGCTTCTACACCTTGCAGGCAATCAAGGAGTTCAAATCGGCTGGAAACAGCCGTACCCGGATGATCCTGGAACGCGCCAAACCCGCACAGATCCGCCTCAAGGAGTGGTTTGGACGCCTGCCTCCCCAATTGAAGATGGAGTCGGGTGGCGACCTTTTCGAAACGATTAACGAGGACAACGCGCGCAACGGAGCGTTGCACCTGTCGTATTTCGCCACGGAAATCACCCTTCACCGGTGCATCGTGCGGTCTCTCGACCCGGAGACGGCGGATGCCTACCTATCTCACATTTGCCGTTCCGCCGCTAAAACGCGATTGATTTCGGCGATGGACTTTGTTAATCGTCTCCGACCGCCGCATCTCCGCTCCTTCTGGCCTGCTGCATCGCGCACAAACTTTGCCTTGATTGGATCCTTCGGGGTACTCCTGCGCGTCACGGCCCCTACGAAGGAGGAGGGCGAGTTCTACCGTCTCCGGCTGTGCGAATACCGCTGGACATTGAGCGTCAGTAAGAAGAACGCCGAGTTCCTGGAATTCGCCCTCGACAGCCTGGACCAAGCCACCAATCTCGACCAGCACGTCCCCGAGAAACCGGGCATTGACGAGCTGATGACGAGTGCGGCGAAGCCGATCACCACGACCCAGCCGCGGATCACGTCCGCAACGCAGCTGGAGGATTCGATCCTCGAAATCGAACCGCGAGGCGGCACCTCGTCTGTGATCTCGGGACTCGCATCCCCCGCGACCTCGATCAGCGACGAGAGTCTCCACGACGCCCCGATTCCGCCCTTATAATCCGAACATACATACCTCTACACCTTACCACCACCTTTTACATCGAGACGACTGTCTCCTGTCCTCGACACTCCTCCTTGATGCCGTTTTATGACTTCCACCGTTTTGTTTTCTAGATTCCGGCGCATTGTTTCGAGGTCGCGCGCTTGATACCTTGTTGGATTTCTGGGGATTTTCATGACTGATTGATTGATCGCATGCTTGTTTCGTTTGTCGGCGTTATGAATAATTCCTGGGATGGATGAATGATTATTTGTACGCATGTATATATGGGATATTTGTTCTTATGACGGATGGATATAGACTGGATTCGGCGATCGGATAGAAGAATGAATAATGATCTGATTCAAGACGAAGCCCATTTGGCAGGGTCACTGGCGATTTATAGGCAATCGAGGGGCAGGATGTGTTCCTCATTTTGCGCGGCCATAACGCAATCCGAAGTGGTGATTCCCCGTCAAATGGCACAATCTACGTCACATGGGCGTTCTTCCTGCCTGAGGAATAAGGACTGCCGCCCCCGCGATTCTCCTCATCTCAACCAACCTCCACTCCTACCATTTCAGGGTCTCTGCTTCGCCGGGAACTTCGCTCCATCCAACCCTTTCGACTCAATTTCATCCCCGCCGCTCATCCAAAGGACCCCGAACTCGATCGTTTCCATATCCCTCCAAATCCCTGCAGAGGCCATCAAACACCATCTCCTACCCAACAGAGACAATACTCTTCCCCCTTAACCTAAACCCCCGCCAGGCGAACATAATTTAAGCTCAATCAGCCACTGCCACCATACCTATCATGACAACAGTTGTCCCGCCAGCTAACTTTTTCCGGAGCTTAAGGCCTGCCAGCCTCATTGCTGCGGAAACAGTCATGTCGGCCAGCCACCACCGTCGCTGATCTCAGTGGTACAAAGGTTCCGCAGAAGTGACATCAACGGGACCACAGAGTACGCCGCGATGTGGCGTCATTGTGTTTCCCGGATTTCTGATTTTAGAAAACACCCGTTTGTGGGTGCGGAGTCCATATGAGCGGACAGAAAAAGAAATGCTGCACGCGCAAACATGCGCATATATAATGGCCGCGAGTGTGCCCCTTCGTCGCTGGGTTTTATATGGTTCTTTCCTCTCTAACCTGAATGCGTTGTCTATGAATGCGCCACTATCTACGAATTGAGCTCATCTTTCTTGCTCTGAACGTGAATATCAACCAATCCCTGGTCTTTTCCTCTCTCTGGATATAGGATAGGACCAGGTGGGACCAAGCAACTTACTTGACGGGTGTCAACAACAACAGCTAAATAGTCAATTGACCCTACTATACCTCCATCAACCCACCCAACTCATCCTTTTCAACGGATCGCAACCATGGCTAGGAAAGACATCTACCTCATCACGGAAAAGCCCATAAATGCCCATCTCTCTGCCTCACCTCGCCCACTCATCCCTCCCACCCCCTCATCCCCTCGAGTCCTCATCATCGGAGCCGGCGTCACAGGCCTCACCACGGCCTGGACCCTCCTGGACCGAGGATACCACGTGACGATTATATCGCGCGAATGGGCCAACTGCAACCAGCGACTCACCTCGCAAGTCGCCGGCGCTCTCTGGGAAATGCCCCCAGCCGGCTGCGGGCCCCAGATGTACGGCGCGAAGATCCCGATGGCGCAGCGATGGGCGCTCGAAAGTCTGCGAGTGTACCGCACGCTCGCGGAGCGGAAGGAGCTCGCCCGCGCCTTCGGCGTCCAGATGCGCATGTTCACTGCCTTTCACCTGAACCGCGTTGACGAGGATACCGTGAAGAGCGCCAAGGTGCGGTACATCCAAGAGGCCGAGCTGGAGGGGTTCTCCCGCGGGACGCAACTCTTCGAGAAATACGGGGTGAACGTGTCCTCGCATGGCGGACTGCAAGACGCATACGAGCACGTCGCGCCCGTCATCGACACCGACATGGCGATGTCGTTTCTGATGCGCCTGGTGCGCCGGAAGGGCGGCCGGATGGAGACCGACACCGTGTACGGCGACATTCTGGACCAGGAAGAGCACCTGCGGAAGATATACGGTGCCGACGTTATCGTGAACGCCACGGGGGTGTGGGCCGGCGAGGCCGCCAGCGATGAGACGGTGTATCCGCTCCGGGGCGGACTACTGCGCGTGCTGAACGACGGGCGGGACTTCCCCAAGGTCGAGAACAGCATGGTGGTGTCGTCGCCGACGCGCGAGGACGGGAGTTTCAGGGACATGGCGTTCCTGGTGCCGCGGAACGACAGGACCCTGCTGCTGGGGTCGATCTTGCATCAGGACTCGTGGCAGCTGGATCTGACGCCGTCGAGCGCGGAGGTCGTGCAGATGCGGCGCCGGTGCGAGGACTTGTTGCCGTTCTTGAAGAATGCGCGCCTGGACCCGCTGAGTCCGCTTGTGCAGGGGCGTCGGCCCATGAGGACGGGCCATGTGCGCGTGGAGCGCGAGAAGAGACTGACGCACCGTGCGCGATCGAGTCGCATTGTTCATGCCTACGGACACGGCGGCGCAGGCTGGTCGCTTGCGTTTGGGTCCGCGACGGAGGTAACTCGCCTGGTGCAGGATGTGCTGCAGGTGAAAAATTGTTGCTGAGGGAATGCGTACTAGTACGTTCTTTACATCTTCACGCAGATGGTGTGAAGTATTCGTATCAAAAGAAAAGAAAAAAATGGGGAGGAGGATTGGAATTCAATTTACGAAGCCCTGATTAATTATTCTGGTCATCATCATGGATTTGTCAATATATATGGAAACTTCTATCCAATAACACCACAGCAAAATTAATAACATAATTAAGGACTGTCTGCTCATACAGCCTTTCTGTACAAAAAGTATGATGCAACGTTAGATGACATGCTAGATACAACAGAACGATGGAAGATTGCAAGCAAGAGAAAAGGAAATATGAGAACGAGAGGTATTCCAAAAAAGAAAAGAAATGGATGCATGTATATATACAAGGCGGGTCATAACCAAGAGAAAGGGAAAGAGAGTGTGGTAGTAGGGAAGGAGGCGGAGAAAGAGAGAAGAGGGAACATAAGTCTGAAATCCAAAACCAGACACCAAAATGACTTTTTTTGTTCCTTAAACATGATTCGAGTTACCACCCTCGATGCCCCGGTAGATGCTGGACTGGAGGAACTCGTCTCTCATGATCGTACTGACATCCGAGTTGCGGTACGGGTGCACATCTTCGCGCTGAAGACCACGCAGCTGTTCGCGACCGGCAGTTGAGATTGAGCGAGTATGCGAGTGGCGATGCGGCAAGGGAGAAAGACGGCCAGAAGGCGAAGCGCGTCCCGAAGGCGACAGACGGCCCGAAACGCCGGAATACGACAGGGCCTGGCGTGGCGCGAACACCGGGAGCGAGGCGTTGCTGGGAAGAGGCAGGAAAGACTCGGTATCCGTGGACACATTGCTGAGACCGGATCGGATGGAAGAAGGACGTTGGTTGCCGCCCAGCATGGGGAAGTTATCGCCGCTGTACATCGTCGACATGCCCGAAGCTGCGGAGGAGCGCCACGAGTGGACGGCGCTGCGAGGAATGGTGATGACCTCCTCTTCGATCGGCAGCGTTTGTTCGAGAGCTGTGGCGACGTCGACAGGGTCGCTGATGCCGGCGCCAGGGCGGCTGGACATGATCTTCGCGGACTTACCGATCCAGAGCATCTGTTCGTGCTCACGGAGGTATCGATCACCGCTGAAAGACTTCTGCACGATCTTGCGCGTCATCATTCCGAGTTTGCGACGGTGGTCACTCTTCTCGTACATGCGGCGGGTGATGCGTTCGACATCTTCGGGCGTGGGAGACGAGGTGAGCACCGGAGCGGGCTCCGTGTCATCGGCGTGCTGGCTCCATTCGCCCAACATTCCGAGCATCGAGATCTGTGCCTTAGCCAGAGCCAGAGCGTCGTTGGGGGCGACGACCGCACTGAATCGAGAGAAATTGTCGGGGTCGCTGAGAACCCGGAGCGATGCACCCACATCCGTACAGACGACAGGAGCACCGGTCAGGGCTGCTTCACCCAAGGCCAACGGGAGACCCTCAGACAAGGATGAGTTCAAGAAGAGCCAGGTGTTCTCCAGCACCTTCATCGGATCAGCGGTGCCGCGAAGTGTAACCTTACCACGTAATCCCTTGGAAGCGATGATTTCTTGACATTCCGTGGAGTAAGTCGGGGCCTTGTCGATGGCTCCGTAGATGTCCAGGTGGTAATCGTCGAACTTCCACTGGTTGATGATGATGTCGGCGGCGAGGAGGGCCGTTTTGATGTCCTTGGCATACCAGACGTGGGACAACATCGTAACCGTGGGACGCTGGGACTTGATTTCCTTGACGGGGGCGAACTTCTGCATATCAGTGATACCGTTGACGACGGGATCGACCTTGCGGCGGAAAACATTGCGGTGCTCGATCGTTCCTTGACAGGTACCGATTTCAGCCTCCCAGCCCGGATTGAAGAAATCTGCACACGGAAGAATGATATCCGCATGATGCAGGGTGAGAGCCGAAGTGATACGCATCAAGCCCAACAGTGAATTCCGAACGAAAGGCGACAGCTTGCACAGGGCGGAAGAAAGACACAGATTCGTTTCTCTCCAGCTGATGGCATGGTCCCAAATCTGCAAAGTGCAGTTCTTCTTGACCTTGCAGACCACTCCGTACGAGGCGCTGACACTGTGATGGGATGCCTGGAACACGCTCGGGATCTTTTCGGGGATAGGGATGGAGAAGATGAACAAGTATCGGTACCACAGTTCCAAGGCAACATCGAGCGACGTGAGCGTGGGGAGCTCGGTGCGGAACCATTCGGAGGATGGCGTGGCATTGGGCATCTCCTGGGTCAGCCAAAGATCACGCCAGCTCTCCTTGACAATTTCACTGTTCCACACTTGGGTCCAATGGCGCGATTCCTGGAAGTAAGTGTTGAGGTTGACCAGGGCTCGTGTGGCTTGGTGGATATCGGCCTTTGAGAGATGGACGGAACGGGCTCCTTTGACCAGTGCGGTGAGAATCGGGATGAAGTTGAGTTTGATGTCGTTGTCACTGGCGGAGGTGACGTTCTCGACCTCCGAGTCAAGCTTGTTTCTGAAGAGACCGTGGGTAGGGGTGAGGAAATCCAATCCCCAGAGAGGAACCACCTTCAGGGACAGAATGTTTTGCTCGGTCTGGTGCTTGGGAACGCCGAAATCATTGGCCGACTCGCAGATCATATGCCATTTGATGGACCGTAAGGAGTTGATCATATCACGTCGACAGGCAGAGACACCGCCACCTTCGTTGGGCCAGGTACCGGTATCAGCTGCCATGACATGCAACGATTTCTCGGTGTCCGAACCAAAGTCCTTCGACCGAGTGTTGACGACGGCATCACCTCCAGGTCCGAAGTTGAACAGATCACTCATTTTCACTGCAAGCGGCGTCCAGCTAGAAATGTCGTCGTCCAGGTCGGCACTAGCCGTGACAGAATCCGCACGAAGATCCAAGTACTTCTTGGCCGCCACGAGGTTTCCGCGATCCCGGCTGCGCCAGTAGGGCGCAAGGGTCTTGTCTCGCCGCAAAAGCCGGTCATCCATCCATCGGACAATGATGCCATCGAAATCAGCACGGTCCTTCCACGCCTTCCAGATCAGTGAGCGAGCACGCGAGGTTGACACCGGGAAGCGTTTGGTTGTCAATCCGAGGGACCGGGTGAAAATGTTCGAGTTCAGACTCTCGCAGTAGACAAGAGGGTTGTCATTCACAAAGCTAGTGTTTTTGGGCTTTGCAAGCACGGCCAAGTAGTCATGTTCGATCATGGGCGGGGTCTGTACCGTTTGTCCATTGAGCGTGGTGAAGATCATCGGATGGAACTTGTGGTCGTACAACCAACGGGCTTCATACACGTCGGCGCCTTGAACAAAAGTGGCCTCGGTCACCTTGGAGTGAGGAATCCATCGATCCACCTTCTGGGCATGGCGGAGAGGTGGCGCGCACCAAGAGACGGTACAGGTAATATGCGAAAGGGCAAATTCAGCCCGAAGCAATTCGTCACCGAATCGAGGATTCTTGCGATAGTGGTACTTGAAGCGAACGAGGTTACCATCCTTCATGTAAGAACCTGCCTCGATAAGACCCTTGCGGTTGTACTGAATGCTTTGCAAGTTGTTCTGTCCACGCACACAGCGCCGACCCATTGGAATCTTGGTGTCCGAGGTCTTCGACAGCGTAAAGTTCTTTTTCGTTGGGGCGCGGTAGTCATAGTGGTACTCGTTCAGCAGCTTGCCGTCCTTGAATTCTTGCCGAATGTGCAACAAGATCTCCTTGGAGTAGGTGTTGATGTAACGGAGGCTTTTCGTTCCTTCGGGCTCGGTTTTAGATTCCCCAAGATAGATGTAAACCTTGAATCCACCATCTGCCTCATCGTGTCTAAAGGCCGTGAAAGTTCCATCCAAACTCTGGATGATGTACCGGCTCTTCTTGATGCTGATTGTCATACCCTTGGTCTCGTCCCAGAGCCGTTTGACATTAGTCCGGCCGGCGAACAGGAAGAACGTGAGACACATGTCCTGGAAGAACTTGGCATAAGACCACAGCATATTCAAGATGAAGACAAGGGGCACTCGAATGGCCGCAGGACGATCACTCATGACGTGGGCAAATTCCCTTTGGAACTCGGGGTCAGCAACCAGAGCAACGACAGTGAACTTGATCATCGAGGAAAGGGTGTAGTAGACGGAGCTCCAAAGTTTCTTCAGCATGGAGATGGCCTTCTGGGGTCGCTTCGGGATATAAGGAATATAGGCTGGGGATTCCGAATCTTTGATGATGGCAGCTTCTCCGGTACCGTAGTTCGCGTAGTCGAGGATGCTAACAGCTGTGGCAGCGCCGAGGTTGGTCCGCGCAACGTGCACTTCAAAATCGTTCGTATCAAACTGTCGCAGACTCTCCTGGAGCCACTGTCGATTATGGTCGGGGAACTGAGATGGACGACCGAGGCAGCGATCCAAAAGGGCATTTCGCACAGATTTCGGGAGCTTTTCCCAGTGAGCATCACATTCAAACCCAAGACAAAGCTGGCGCAGAAGCTCCTTCTTGGCCCAGCGCACGACGAGCGGCGTATTGGTCTCCTCACGGAGCTGTCGGGCGGTGGTCTCGGTCACACCAGCAGTGACAAGTAATTCAGCAAGCACGGCATATTCATGGGGCATCCGCAGCATACACTCCGCCACTGCGTGAAGGAGAGTCTCAGCGATAACCTGACAGTTGGCACTGACATCAATCCGCTCATCGAGACCGCGTCCCACGCACACCGCAATCCTGAGCTGAGTTGACGTGCTGCAGCTCAAAGCCTGGATGTTCGGACCCAGAGACCCTAAGGGCACGAGCTCTAGCACAATTTGCCCCTTTTCCCAGGCGCTCAGGGCTTTGTTGACCAGCTCCTGCGACTGGGGAAACGCTTCTTCGATCCTGGGCTCCTTTCTACGCATGAGCAGAATGTTCTTAACCTCCACACCAGGATGAATGCTGGGAGTGAGAGTCAATCTAGCATCAGCGGGGATAACAGAAATTCCCTCAAAGAAGGTTTGCAACTCTTGCTGAGACCATTCGGGGTCGGCCCATGGTGCAGTAAAAGCATGGAAGGTCTTGCCGAGCTCCACGGGAGACTCCACCTTCTTTGGCATGCCCATCTTTGACGCAAAAAGGGCGAGGATGGCCACGGTCCATGTGGCAGATCCCAATCCGATTACCTGAGAGTACAAGAACCCAGGAAGACAGACCTTCAGAGCAATACCAACCGGAAGTCCCACACAGGTTCCGGCTAGCAAGGGCTTCAAGGCATGAGGGCCGGTGAAAATCTTCGTATATTGGTACCAAAGCAAACCAGTGTAGGCCATGACGTAAGAGAAGAACATGATCATGGCCTCCACGGATGACTGGAAGCTCCAGATGAGAGCGGTAGCCAGGGCAAGACTCCACACGTGCCACATAAGGTATTTGCCGAAGGTCTTCCAGTAAACCTGTCGCTTGAACTTGATGTCCCGCTTCTGCGATGGTCGGATATCCTTAGAGGTTTCAACCGCGACAGCCGAGTGTTTACCGATCAAATCATGGAGCTCTTGGGCCTTCGTATCAATCAACACCGCACCGATGAGGTAGTAAGCCAGACCGAAACCAACAGACATTCGGTAGGCATCTGTAAGCGAGGCCGAGAGACCGACAAGATGTCCACCACTTAGCAGCTCCACCCATTTATCAAGCAGAGCCAGGACGAAGTACAGAATACCACAGCCGATTTCTCTGCTTGATTGGCGCCAATGGATAAAGGCGTTGTGGAGTCGGATTCCTTTTTGGGAGCTGCGCAGCGTGTCAAGAGCCACCTTCGTTTGGATATTCCATCCAGAGCTGAACGGAATCGGACGAGGCACATCCGCATAGCGACAGTACCAGTCGAGGAGGAAGTTCGTTGAATCCCAGTCCCGGGCAAGCTCAAGTACTAGAGTGTCAGTCGTTGCCTTCGTGAAGAACCAACGCTGCTTCTCTGCCATGACGTCCTTGAACAGTGCCTCTCTCGACAGCTTGAGAACAGCAGGATCACTCAAGTTCCCGAAAACCTTTTCGTTGCCGTCACCGTGGGTAGCAACGTACCATTTGCGGATTTCAGTGTCATCGGTTCTTCTGATGTGTTGATACCAGGTGACCCACTTAGAGGCGATATTGCGCAGACCAAAGAGAAGGAAGCCGATGAAAACGTAAATCACCGCGAGATAAATGGCTGAATCATGACCGGTGAACGTCGTAACGATTGGTGAGATGAAGAGAATTGGAATGCAGGCAAAAATAATCGTGCGACCCGACAAAAAGCTGGATCCTGGATAACTGAAACTGGCAAGCGATGCAAAGGCGGAAAAATAGATTGTCAGCGCGATCAGATAGAGGTAAAAGATGATTCCAGCACGCGGCCCGTTCACTCCTGAGATCGCAACGAATCCAATCAGACCACCAGCGACAGTGAAGGCAATACCAGCAATCAGTCTGATTAGCACGAACATGTTCGAGGCAGCAAAGGCCATGGAGATTAGATAATATGGTCCTCCGCATGCAATCCATGTGCCGATGGCTCCTGACAGGACAAGCGATATCATCAACGCAATGGTGGCGCTCTCTTGCTCCTCGTACGTCATGAATGCAGACAGGTACAATCCGCGACCGATGATGGTAAGCATAATGATATCAATCAGGGCTGGGAAGGCAAAGACACTGAGGAACGTAAATCGCTGGTATCCGCGCATTGGTTTGACTTTATCGTCTGGGTTGACATCAATTTGCGCACCGGCATACGACGTAGCCATCTCAGGAGCACCATTGATCCAATCCGGAAGCTTCTCGTCGGTGTACTGCTTTCTGAAGCGATCCGACAGCAGTTTTCCAAAGGCGCTGGGGGAGATGTCAAAGTATGCCTCACATCGCGAGCCAAGGGCAAACGATTCCGCAAAAGCAGCTGCCTGATCGGACTGGTTGTTGAACAAGGGGTTTCGATCAGTAACCTCGGCGTAGATCTCATCCAGGGCACCCTTTCTTGCAGCACAGAAAAGCGAAAGCGCCATGATATCGGCATACGGGTCGATAACGTCACTTTGAAGAAGCTTGCACAGGCCATTGGATATCAGAGCAAGGTCATTCTCGCGGCGCTCTTTCAAAATCTGAGTAAAGACGGCATCGGTTTGGTTGAAGAGGGCAAGACATTTAGATGCAGATGGATAAGATGACTTCTGTTCCTGATACCAAGTGACACGGGTATTAACCAAGGACTCGGGAGAGACAGATCCTTCGAGGTAAGAGATGGTGTTGAGTTCCTTGAGCTGGACAAATGAAGGCGCATCGATAAGCTGCCTCCGAATGTACGCGCAGATAGTGTCCGATGCTTCGCTCTTTGCGTCGGTCAAGGACAGATGCTGCAACAAAAGTAGTCGCTCCTCAGGGCTCAATGCATCGATATCCTGGACCAGTCGACGGGGAAGCCCAGTGTCATCGACCAGATCATTTGACCATTTGGCGAAAGCGATCTCTGTCTCGAAACAAACATGGCGAGGGTGGCCTTTTGCGGATAGGAACGTATGCAACACTGTACCCACCAATCCTTGAGCGTTTTTGGAAGCAAATACCTCGAACCCGTCGGAATCCATCTGGTATACAGCCCAGAAACGAATGTCAACACTCTTGCGCAACCCAGAATCCAACGCAAGATTCACTCGCAAAGATTCGTTAGTAGCCAAATTGCACAGCTCCTTGAGTGAAGCAACAAGCTGGTCCGAAGTATTCAACTCGGAGGCGACGTACGTTTGAAGGAATTTCTTCAAAACCTTACCGATATCAGGAACCGTAGTCGCCGGAACCGGATGAAGCAATGCGAGTGACTTGAGCCGCAGCTGGGACTGGAGAATTTCGGCAAAGGCAGTTGGCGTTGCCTCCGAGCCCAGTGGAAAGCAGCCCAATGATTTGTATTCCAGTCCAGCCATCGACACGGACAATGGACTCCCTTGCGATTTGACTTGAGCCACCCACTCTGGCGGATCACGGACTGCGGTTGTAAGGCTGTCGGTCATGGCTGCATGAGTTTCGGAAGAATCCAGAACGTCGTCCAAAGCCGGGAAGAACTGAGCGAGGGTGTCCCATTCATGCTGGTCGGCCACGGTGTTTTGCACGTGTAGGTTGGCGCGCCAGCGATCATGGGCCTTCATGACATCGGCGTCTTTCAGCCATCCAAAAGAAGAGAGCGGTTCGGTGATCTTCACGTTGAGGGCGGCGTTTTGCAAGGCAGACTGCCGGCCAATCCACGGGATCGCACTGTAGAAATTGCACCACTGGAGAGATCTCTGAACCACGGCATTGGACAAGGGGGCGTTGTCGTCCACCGTTTCCCACGCCAGTACCACAAAGTCTCTCATGCAAGCTTCGGAGACGAAGGCCTTGATCGTCGGCTGCAGTTTCACGATCTGGAAGTAGTCCCTTTTCTCACCCTGGGGCATGATACTAGCGTTTCGCATGACGACTCCAGATATGGCGTCATTTTGAAGGGCTTTATGGTCCTTCAAGAATTTTTCGGGTCCAGTTTCCAAGTACACAGCCAAGCACAATTCATCGACCACCTCAATGAGCTTCGAGAAAACAGTCGGCGTGAGTTTGTCTTCCCAGTTGGCGAACAGAATACCGCTAAAGACGGTGTTGTTGAAACTTTCCATCAAGACATTTTCGAACTTTTCAATCGCCAGCATCAACGAATCATCCTTGGAAAAGATGCGATCGAGGTCGACTCGGCCAACCAGTTGTTTCCTCTCCGCGGTGGTAATCGCCTCGAGAGTACCAGGTTGGGAAGGGTCGACAATCAGCAAATCCCACTGATCCAGAACGCGAAGCTCGTCTTGAGTCGGGGGCGAATGGAAAGTACCCAGGTAAACGCCAAACGAAGATGGCTTCCGGCGTTCAAAGTTCCTCAATACCAGCTGTCGGTCTGACAGCCTTTCCAGTCGCTGGGCGACGTTGGACGGTATGGTCTCTGATCGCGGCCTTGTCTAGAAGACACAGAAAAATATGCAGTCAGATCAACATTCTCGCGTGTTTCATCGTTTGATCGCAAAGTATAGCGGTGCCTACCTTATAATAGTTCCAGAGGCGCGTTACACCCGAGTAGAGAAGCTTAAGCGATCCGATAACAACACATGCTAGCAGGATGCCAATGAAGACCTCCAGGCAGTTAGTACGGACGGTCTCAATCTAGCCCAGGGTACTTACAAATTGCCACCAGTGTTTCTTCATATTATCCCACCCGACGGGCGAGACATCGAGGATTTCGGCCATTCTGATTAGAGATTAAGATAGACGAGCAGAGATAAAATGCGCGTAAACGAGAGACCGAATAAATAAGGAGGAAATTATACAATTAAACGAGGGGGCCCTCCAGGGCATGGGTTGTTGAGGGGTCACAATCACTCTCTCAAGTGAACCATGGCGGTGCCATGCACTAATCCCCACGAAAAGGTCAATGGGAGGGGGATATAAGAGTTGCGCCCAAAAAGTTTAACGAGAGGAAGAGACGGTGTAAAAAGACCAAGGAAGAAAAATAAGAATGATCAGGATGATAAACGAAAGGAAGGCGCAATAGTCCAAAAGAAAAAACCAGACAGGGAAAAAAAAAATGGGTTTGGACAGCGTTGGCTGGCGTTCAACAAGAGAAAGGACGATCAATCATCCAATGCCAGCCTCTGCGATCTTGGACCTCTAAAAGCAAAGGATGTAAGTCCTGACTTAGTTGCAGATGGTCGTGATATGGTGACAGCACTAAATGTTCTCGTAATGGTTCTTTTTTTTTTTTTTTTTCTCCAGTCTGATTCAGATGGAACCACACTGTCTAGGGTCTGTGGCGGCGCTCCCGACAGTAAACGGGACAAAAATAGCGAGCAGGTCCAAAACCTGCAAGACTAGTTCGACGCTAAGCAGTTAGGACTGTCTGAGTCTAATAAAAAAACTTAATGGATGACAGGCAAAACTAAGTCTCGGGCAGAAGCCATGGGAGTGGCAAAGGCTCCTCATCGACAGCGTGGCACTTTCCATGGAACAGCGATGGATGATGCTTTTTAGTACGGAGTAAAGCGATGCTGATTCATTTGTTTGGGTCAAGCGATACTCTTGTAGAACCATGAGGGAGTACATCATTTGACAGGCCTTGACCAGCGTAGATCATAATCAGAACCACGACCACGATGATGACGATCATCAGGAAGAACGCCTGCCTCGCAAACCCCCATTCTGGGGGGGCGACGCGAGCAAGTTGTGCAAAAGCCCGCGACACCGAGCCACGATTCGGCGTTACCCCCGTTGGGGGCAGGAGTCCGACCAGAGGCAAGAGAATCGTGGACTTGCATTTTTGCCCGAATGGACTGCGTTGCTGACCGAAAAAGCGTCGGGGGAAGAAGATGGACAAAGCAGAAAATAGAAAAAAAAAGAAAAGAAAAGAAAAGAAAATGAGGGTGCGGTACAGCGTAGCCGGTATTCCTCTTCCTGTAATACCGTCTGGGATTACCGGACCGTATTACGACCCGCGTAATACGTTGGTTTTCCCCAAATCGCGCATTTCCAATTCTGCCGCCGTCGGTCGATACGGTCGATACTAGTCGATACGGACGGCGCCGGCGCTCTTCCTCCGTGGTTTCTCTTAGTCGCTCCGTCTGCCTCAAGTTGCCTCGGCCAGCGAGCGTTGTGCAACCAATTTGCCAATCAAACATCGTCACTCCCACTGACTCGTTTCCACCCTCCTTTATTATCGACTTTTACCCCACATCGCATCCCTTCATCGATTCTTTCCCGACCTTCCAAGATCTTAGCGACTCTAATTTTGGACGAACCAACTTATCAAGTCCTTTTTTCTCCTAACTACTTTGTCCCTAGTTCATTGAAGAATCAATCAAATCACCTGGATCAGTTCATGGATACGTGCCTTTCGTTCCGACAGCCTCGCCCATTATTGTTCCCCCTTGGCATGGGTCGTTCCTCTCATTGGATTTCGTCCCACAATGCCGGGTTTTGGGCGATTATTTTCTGACATCTCGCCTCCTTTTCGTCTAAATTCCCCCCTTTCAACGGCTACGAAGTAGTTAGCGCGGGATCCGTGGGCGCGATGTCCTATATTCCCTGCAGAAGAGGATCAAAGCAAAACAAAACAAGGAAAAGGTCTCGGACCAATTTCCACCGTCCCAAGCCATCGGGCGATATTGCCATGGACAATGCCAAACTTGCCGCCGTTTGAGGCGCTGGCAACCTGTCGATTTGCCGGTAGACTCGGTTTGCTAGGGGTAGGATAAGTCCGGGTCCGATATGAGGCCTGTCGATTTGATCGGACGGTGGAACCATCAGGCTTGGATGTGACTGTTCCTGCTGGCGTGTGGAACGATAAGCCCTGAAAATTTCCATTCTTGGCTCCCAACCAGCATAAATAGACCTACATAATGTGAATGGGACCGCATTTCAAACGACGATCTCCAGTCTAATTCTGCTGCATCATCGTGGTTGGATCGGAAAAGGTCCACCTTGTCATTCGTTACCCTTCCTCGCCTGCAGATTGTTGTATCTTTGGCCGTCTCGTTATTATTTGCCCCCCTGGACCACATTCAAATGGTTCCTCTCTGGGTACTGCGCGTTGGCTGCTACTTCGGCCTTATAACTTGCACCACTCCCCCAGGTGTTTGGCCCGGTAGATTTCCGACTGTCATTGCCCCTGTGCCTCCATCGCGGACTTCTGCTTCCAGCTCTACGGAGGTGACCAGCACCGCTTTGCCTGGAGTGACTTCGTCGGCGCATTCGTTTACTACTTCCTTTGTTGAGACCTCATCGGTTGACACTTCGTTCTCGTCCACCCTGGTCTCGGCCCCATCTACCTTCGTTACATCTTCTGCCTCAACCTCGTTCGTTTCGACCTCATCTGCAAGCACGTTCGTTTCTGCTTCTTCTTCCTCCACTGTTTCTTCCGGTGCTTCGGTGTCCTCCGGAACTCGGGTATCTTCTAGCATTCCGGTGTCTTCTAGCACTGTTGTGTCTTCTAGTACCCCTGTGAGTCCATCTCGCACGATGTCTCTCACCTCGTCCAGCATCATTCCCAGTGTCACGCCTTCGGCCTCGCCGATTGCGCAGGGCACCGTGGCTGGTAACATCCTGGTTATTGCCAGGGACACGGCGGCCGCCGGCGTGGCATCATCGGGACTCAACGCGTACGGCATCCCGTTCACCACTCTGTTGGTTCCTCAGGCCGGTGCCAGCCTGCCCGACTTGAACACCACCTCCGGCGGAAACTTCGGGGGTATTGTCGTGGCTGGCGAGGTCAGCTATGACTATGGTGGCACCCGAGGCTTCCAGAGCGCATTGACGACCGATCAATGGAACCAGCTGTACGCCTACCAGCTTGACTTTGGCGTTCGTATGGTTCAATATGATGTCTTCCCGGGACCCTCCTTCGGCGCTTCTGCCGTGGGTGACGGATGCTGTGCTTCCGGCGTCGAACAGCTGATCTCTTTCTCCAATGTCGACGACTTCCCCACTGCCGGACTGCGAACCGGTGCAGGCGTCAGCACCCAGGGTCTCTGGCACTACCCGGCTACCATCAGCAACACCACGACCACCAAGGAAATCGCCAAGTTTGCCGCTAACTCCGTGACGTCGGGAGAGTCAACCGCTGCCGTCATCAACAACTTTGGTGGCAGAGAGCAGATGGCTTTCTTCATTTCCTTCGACACGGCCTGGAGTGCCACCTCCAACTATCTGCAGCACGCCTGGATCAACTGGATGACCCGCGGTCTCTTCGTGGGACATCGTCGTATTAATCTGAACACCCAGATCGACGATGTGTTCTTGGAGACTGAAATCTACAAGCCCAGTGGAGTCAACTTCCGTATCACCACTGCTGACATGGATGGTATCGCTAAATGGCTTCCCACCATCAACGCCAAGATGAACGAGGGCAGCAACTACTGGGTTGAGCTGGGACACAACGGTAACGGTAACATTGAAGCGTCTACTGGAAAGACCAACGGCGAATCTCTCTGCAATGGCGGCGGTATTGAGTACGACTCGCCCCCTGACACCGAGATGGAATTCAAGAAGCCCCTGGGAACCGGAACCGACCTCTGGCCCTCGACTCAGAACTCCTACAGCTGGACCACGGAATGCACTCAGTTGGATGATCTCCTGATCTGGATGACCAACCCCGAGAACCGCGATAAGTTTGGCCATCTTTCTCACACTTTCACCCACTTGGAACAGAACAACGCCACCAACTCCGACGTCAACAAGGAGATCTCCTACAACCAGGCTTGGCTGAAGCAGAATGGTTTTACCTCGGCCAAGTACTGGACCAACAACGGCATCATCCCCCCTGCCATCACCGGTCTCCACAACGGCGATGCCCTGAAGGCCTGGTGGGATAACGGTATCACCAACTGCGTTGGTGACAACACCCGTGCTCCTCTGCTCAACAAGGCCAACGACATGTGGCCTTACTTCACCACCGTCGACTCCGACGGGTTCGATGGCATGCAGGTTAACCCGCGTTGGGCCACCCGTATCTACTACAACTGTGATACCCCTGACTGCACCGTCCAGGAGTGGATTGACACGTCTGCCGGTAGCGGTGACTTCAACGACCTGCTTGCGACGGAGAAGGCCGACACCATGCGTCACTTGTTCGGTCTGCACCGGGATCCCTACATGTTCCATCAGGCCAACCTTCGCAACGCCGATACCACCCCGATCACTGTCAACGGCGTCTCTGGCCAATACTCGATCATGCAGGCTTGGGTTGAGACCCAGGTTCAGGAATTTGTTCGTCTGGTGAAGTGGCCCATTGTCACCGTCACCCACCAGGAGGTACGTTGCCCCGACCTGGTCCCTCCCTCTTGAAGAACCCTGCGAAGCTAACAGTTGTTTATTTAGATGTCTGAAAACTTCCTTCAGCGTTACACCCGCGACGCATGCAACTACTCTCTCCAGTACACCATTGCCAACCACCAGATTACTGGTGTGACGGTGTCTTCCAACAGCAACACCTGCAGCGTCCCCATTCCGGTGACCTTCCCCGTTGCGCCCACCAACACCCAGAGCTTCGCCACCGAGCAGCTCGGCAGCGACCCTCTGACCGTCTGGGCCAAGCTCTCCGGCTCCCCAGTCACTTTCACTCTGTCCACTCCTATTGCGTTGTAATTTATCGTGAGCGATTTATACACCTAGGCACGCTGGGCAACCAACAAAACTATGCTAGCTCTGAGAAAAAATCATAATAACTAATGCTTATTGATGGAATAGAGAGCTGTCATGAAGGAATGCCACCGATTGTTTTTTGCGAGTGTTGTATCACATGGAGCGACGGATTTTGACTTTCTACTACATAGTGAAATACATAATTCAAAGTTATATTTTGACGTGTACCAATTGACTTTCCTGTCTGTCTGACAAGTAATTTCTCCGGGGACGATCCCCGCCCCAAAGAGCCCCTTGTTCGTTCGTACCTGAAGCAACTCAAACCCCGACAGACGTATAATCCTTCATGATTCGCATAAGCATAGGGATCACCAAATGCACCCAAGACCATGACTCCAACATCCAACTTCTTTCTCCCATAACATCTCATCCTTTTCCCCCGCAAACCATCTCCTCTCCTGCCCACCATGGCCACGTTGGCCAACGTCAGTCATACGTAGTCATGACGCACGGATAACAGCTCAAGGCAGTGACACAAACATATAAGCCCTAGGGATATACCCATGTCGGCGAATGAACGCGCTAGCATGGATGACACTGGCTGGCGGGGATTAATAATGCACGTATAACTCAAGGGAAATGAGCAATGTCTCGGCTGAATTTCGGTGTGTACGGCTTTCCTTTCTTACTCTCATCTATCTAAAGTAGGTAGGTAGTAATACATCGTTAATCTGTAGGCAATATGTGATTATACTCCGTAATATCCCACGCCAAGCGCACCCCCGGCCAGGTCATATTGGCACGTCCGAAAGCGGTAAATGGGTTTCATTAATTTTCCGAAGGGCCCACGACGTGACATGACCTGATATGAAATGATATGACAGGTGTGCTGTGCATCCGATACATCCCAAGGGGGAAAAAACACCCATCAACACGGACTAACGCACAAAGAAGAGCAGAAAAACACAGAACCAAGGAAATGCTCTTCCCGCCCCCCTGCCATGCCATGCCATGCCCATGCCATGTCATGTACGGAGTACGGTTCTCGACTTGACTCGTACTCGGAGAAACCGACCCATTGCTTGTGTGGCATTGAATTCCGAGGGCGTGCGCGCCATGGAAATTCCCCTCGCATGGCTCGTATTCATATCGATCTTCCCCTCTCCCGCCCAACCTTAGATGACGGGAGATGGCAAACGACACGAAATGCAGCCCGAGAGATGGGGGGAAAGGCAAATCCAAACTCAATTGTCGCGTTGGGCTGGGACTAGACCGGGCTGGAAAGGATAACAAATCCCCTTGGTCGCCAGTTTTGCCCTTTCCCCGCGGTCTTGGGAGCGAACGGACTTGCGAACGGACTTACGGATACATGTCCAGCGAGGCGCTGTCGTTGGCACCGCGGACGCACATCGCTGCAGGACAAGCTTCAAGCCAAAGATGCCAGGGGGATGATGCGCTGGCGGGGTCTGACTGGATCGGATTCAGTATGACTCTTCCTTGCCTGTCGGCTTTACTTGTTAGTTTTTTTAGCTTTTTCTTTTTCTCGCCTTTTTCATGCGTGAGAGAAGAGACTTCCGGCCGATTGCATAGCATCAAATTTTCAGGTCGAGTCTGACATCTCACACGGGTTTTCCGCAAGGAATGTCTGGCGACGGACGGGGATGCGGAAATGATTGGGTGACAAATCGAGGTAGAATACTCCGTAAGCATGCCAAGTATCTCGTTGGAAAAGGTCGCGCTAGAGTGAGAAAGTGTAAACAGCGACGGCCGCCACCAAAACGTGGGAGTGGAGCAAGGGGAGGGTGTGGAAAATCAGGATGGGAACTCCTCGGTGTCCATGGTCCGTTGCTGTCTTTTTTTTTTTCTTGTCCTTTTTCTTGTTCTTTCTCTTTTTTTCCCAGTGTCTCTCTCTAATCCTTCTTTGCTGCTTCTTCCCGTCCCATATCCGTAGACCGTCCGAGACAAGTGGACACACCCGAGCGATCAAATCCCTGGCGCGAAGTAAAACTAGCGTGGGCGAGCTAACCAGGAAGAAGAGGCCACCGGAATCCGACGAGTCATGACGTTGCGGCTCTCGTTTTCCCAAACCGCAGCCGTGTGTGGTAAAGTGCCAAGGCCGCTATCATACGAGGCCAGCGCGAGGCATCATGCCGAAGTGCTGCGATGGCGAGCCGAGAACAAGTCGGTTGAGATAATGTAGGCGAAAGGTGGCAGATCCCGCGTAGCCCTAAACTAGCGCCGTATCGCGGCATTTGCAAGTTACACGCCGGGGACGGAGGTACGGTACCCGGCGGTATTCCTCATTTGCCAATACGCGGGCATGTACCGATACGCGGGTACGGTACGCAGGGCATTCGGTACGGCGTAAGGTACGGGATCGGCGACATCTCGGGACTTAGCGGTTAGTGTCCGTGGACGGAGTGGATTGGATTGATCCGATTGCCTTCGATTGGCGAGGTTCCAGCCCCGTAGAAGGTCCTGATCGAAAGTTGAAAAGAGGTTCCAGGCCCCATCGCTCTGGCACTAACTCGAGAAAGCGGCCCAACGGGTTCAATCTGACCTGGTCCTTTTTCTCCTTCGTTTTTGGGCCTCCGTGTGGTTGGCTGTCAGAGTTTGGTTTCCCTTCTTTGTGCTGGATTTCCCTCGGCCCTAGTTATTCCTGCATTTTCTGCATCGTTAGGGGGAGCTCAGCCCCAAGTCTGGTTTGGTTAGAGATGGCCGAGGCCGTACACCGGACGTCGCCATTCTGACTAGCAGTGCAGAGTCTCATCATTTCGTCGCAGTCGGGAGAAATTAGCAATCGCCAACCCTAGCCTAGTCCCTAGAAGGTGTCACATCACGCAAGAATCAGGAGGTCATCCATGCTGCCAGCCCGCCACTCGACGGTCCAGAAGACTTGTTCCAGCCACAGGCCCAGCTGAAGAGTCTCTCCGTTAATTAGTCAGGATCATTGCACGCCCCTCCGGCGTCAAAGAAGACAGAAACCGAGCCGGAGGTGTGGCGCATGGCAATAGTCTGGCGCTAGGCTTCCGCGTTCTTCCTGGACCCTCTAGTTTTGGCCTGGTAGGGTCGCATTGCAGATCGCCTGGATTCGAGGCAATCTGGGGTTGCACAAACTTCCCTGGACTCGTATCTCGCCGTCTCCCTCCGTGTCGGCCTCTCTTCCTCTCGGTCTTCTCATTTCCTCTCTTTGTTCCGTTTGGCCCTCATCGTCCTGATCTCATTCGAGTGCTCCATTCGCATGAGACGTTAGGCAAAGTGGTGTAACCAACAAGTCGAAGCTTTTCATCCTAGGCTCGATCCTGAGCGATCCTGGGGGAATTGTTGGAATTGGGGGTGTGGCGCAGGCCGGTAGCAAACGTGCTTCGGCGGTTTTATCTTATCGCCTGATCGGCCAGCCCTGTCGCTCTCCCCTTTTCATTCTTCTCTCTTATACGCCCCTCCAGCGCTACCCACTTTTCTTCTCTCTGGACTCTCTTCTATACTCGACCCTTCTATTCTTTAATTTATCCTATTCACTTGTCTTGCCTTAATTTATACTAATTGCTTCGCCACCTCCATCCGTTCGTTCATCTATTCGTTCATTCCTTCGTCTTTCGTTCACTTATTCATCTCTTTTTTGCTACCTTTTTTTTTTGACTCCATCAATCACTTGGTTTCAATCCATCCGGCGCGATGGTTGGCAATTTCGAGGAGGCGGCCCTGAAGGGTCAGTCGGCAGGAGGCTGGAAATCCTGGTCGACGAAGAAAAAGCTTTTGGTCATCGGCTCGGTTCTCTTGGCCATCATCGCCCTTGCCGTTGGTCTGGGCGTCGGACTCGGCGTAGGGCTGAACAACGGCGACAACGACGAAGGCGACAGCGGCGATAACGAGACGCCCCCGACCACCGGCGGGGGAGGCAACAACACCAGCGGCAGCGTCAAATGGAAGCCCAAGGCCGGCACCACCTGGCAGATCGAGCTGCTGTATCCGCTCAACGACACCTCGCACGACGTAGACGTCTACGACATCGACCTGTTCACCAACAAGAAGGAGACCATCGACGACCTCCACAAGCAGGGCCGCAAGGTCATCTGCTACTTCTCCGCCGGCAGCTACGAGAACTGGCGCCCGGACAAGAGCAAGTTCAAGCAGTCGAGTCTCGGAAGCGTCATGGACGGCTGGCCGGATGAGAAGTGGATCGATATCCGCAGCGACAACGTCAAGGAAGTCATGATCGGCCGGTTGGACATGGCGGTGGAGAAGGGCTGTGACGGCGTGGACCCGGACAATGTAGACGGATACGACAACGAGAACGGACTGGACCTGAAGAAGGCAGACTCGGCCAAGTTTATGAACTGGCTGGCCGACGAGTCGCACAAGCGCAACATGTCCATCGGTCTGAAGAACGCCGGTGATATCATCTCCTCGGTCATCAACAAGATGCAGTGGAGCGTCAACGAGCAGTGCGCGCAGTACGAGGAGTGCGACACGTACGCCGCCTTCGTGCACAAGGACAAGCCGGTCTTTCACATCGAGTATCCCAAGGGCGATGAAACCAACAACGAGGTGAACGTCTCGACGAAGCAGAAGAACAAGGCTTGTGAATTCAGTGGCTCGGGCAACTTCTCCACGGTGATCAAGAACATGAACCTGAACAACTGGATTCAGGAGTGTTAAGCAGGGGGGGATCCATCTCCATATTATAAGATCAGTATACCAAGCCAAAGCCTATTGTATCTTTTTTTTTTCTCTCTTTTTCCTTCGAGCGTGAACATGACCATGAACATGAACTATGAGCATGAGCATGAGCATGAGCATCGGGCGCAGGGAGTTGGGATCTGCAAATCTCCGTCTACCTTTATGTATCTAGTTTGAATATGATGTAATCTAACAGACCCATATAACGATGACAGTTGCCAGATTGCGTACGCAAGCTCATCTTGACAGGAACTAATGCATTATGTAAATCTTGAGCTTGTCTCTCCTTCGTCCCGCGTGCCACAAGGATTCTACGGAAACCCCATACCATTTAATCTATATTTAATCTATCTCCAACCCGGGGCATAGGTAAATCATTCGAATATATATTTAGCTACAAGGCAGGTACTACTCCATAGATAGTAATGGGAACGACCATCACCCGTCGATATACAGCGCTGACCCAAAAGAAGACCGAGCGTAGCAGGTAAATCACTGGTCCCTCTTCAACTTCCCCATGGGCTCTGGTCAAACCATCGTTGAAAGGAATTGTCTATTTTCATTCTCCAAGACTTCAGTCTGAGACTAGATGAGACACAAGGCAGTCCTACCATACTCTCTACTCCGTATCGCTACCATCTCTCCTTCAATCTCACCATTTATCACCCCATATCCATGCCCTCTATAACGTCGACAGACCATGTATCACCAACCACACCCCATCCATGGGATCCGAATCCGAATGGAAATAGACCGACCTACAGAATGTCTCAACCTCAAACCGCGAAGTGGGCAACCGAGCCGGCAAATCAATTAACAGGTCAACAATGTCAACCACTGACCCAAACAAAGAGCCCCAAGAGGGACAAAAAACAAAAAAAATCGGCGTAAGACCAAAAAAAAAAAAATTTTCCTCGGAGGAAGGGAAAAAGGTTTTCAAAAAGTCGTATGAAATCCTCCGTAGAGAGCAGGATACGACCCAAGCGGAACGACACCCCCAAACCAGAGCCATCGCCGTCCGAAGTCTTGGCATCGAAAAACCTCGCCTCAGGAACCCCCTCTACCAGTCTACCAGTCTACCTGGGTTGACAACTCCGCTCTGGAAAAAAAAGAAAAAAAAAGAAAAAAACCAGCCATGTCATGCGCCCAGCACCCAGCCCAATAACGGGTCCTCCGTCCCTGAAGAACCAGACCCAAACCGCCGACAAGTCTGGTACTGAACGGGCTTCTCGGAACCGGCTGGAACCATGGGCCTAACGATCACATCGGAGGAGGCCGTAGGAGGGAGTAGACACGCCTACGCCGAAGGTACAGCAGCGGCCGAATCGACTGATCTTGCATGGAATCGGGGCACAGCACACACTCCGCCCGACCAGACTACAGAGTGCAGGGTGCAGAGTGCATACAGTAGTAGACGACTAGTCGCTACGGCGTGGGAATTCCTAGGTCGGGCCTGCCAATGTCGTTCCATGGCGGACCAAGGCGACTCGCGCGCCAAGAATCGGAGGAGACCTGCCCCCCGACAAATACCTACAGGACCAGGGCGAAATTAGCGAGACTCAGAGCAGGTCTTAGCTCTAGCGGCGGTTTTAGGGCCGATTGGAGAGGGAGGATGCTTTAAGTAGGTTAGTGGGTTTGGGGTTTTTTTTTCGACGCTAACCTCTAAGTACACCTGGGATACTATGTTTAGGTTAGTTAGTTAACTAGATGTGCTGTTTACCAGCTGTTTAGCCTGTAAGTGGGGGGACCTTTTTTGGTTTTTTATTACTTACCATATTTACCGCCCGGGGCTGCAGAAAGTACCAGCGGTATTTTTCAATCACCCCGGATTACCAGCGCGGGTGAATAAAATACCACGCAGGTAAGTTTGGTAAGATATTGCGCTTAGACGGTGTATGTCGCGTTATTAATAATACGGAGGACATGAAACGTAGTCAGCGCCTAGGTACTCGGACAAGTAGGTCGGTAGAACAGGGAAGGATTCACGAATCAGTCAGTCCCTTTGTCTTAGAAAAATCCTCCCATGCAGCAGAGTTTTCCGAAGGATCTCGGATCTCGACGAGACAAAGAAAAGGAGGGCATCGAAATGGCCACAAACGTCACCACTCCGGCCAGCCCTTCGACATCTCGTATAGCGGAAGAAGCGGTGTCACGATGCCCTTCTCTCCAATGCGTCAGGTTTGGCCAATTCCCTCTTAATGGGGGTACCAAGGTACCACAAGTGGGTGGGTTGTGCTTGTGTTTTCTTGGTATGTACTTACGTATCTCCATACATACATATACGCATCAAATACGCGGTTACTTACGTCCTTGCTTACTCCCGTACGTATCGTACTGGACCTAGTCCGCATTCCCAGAATCAGATATAAAAAAAAGTAGGAAAGACTAGGTTATGTAGGCGAGGTCAGGCCCCCCTTTTTTTGCCGACGCCAGCAAGCGATTTACTTTGACTTGTACGAGAAAAAAAAAAAAAAAAACAAAAAAACCCGGCGTAGGAAGTGGTCCGTTCCTGGACGGAGGGACGGGTGTTCCTGAATTTCTATTTATTACCTGCTGAGATCTCTGGGTCATCGCTCAGGGGTGGGTCATGTTCAGGAACCATGATCGGAGAGGTGGCGCTTAGGAGATTTTCTTTTCTTGCTTTTTCCCTTTCTTTGTTCGGATGACTATTATTGCTCGGATTTGCTTTTTTGCCGTTTCTTGGACAATCTCGTTTCCGACCAGACAAAAATGATTTCCGACAGGGTCAGGACAAGTTCCTAAAAAATAAAATAAAAAAGGGGGGAAAGTGACTCGCTCACGTCCTGCGCGTGCATGGAAGCGAGAGGCCGATTTGAAATTCTTGTCCGGCCGGTCTGCTTGGCATGCGTTTGCTTCTTACCCCCGGGAGTAAAGTAGACCAGTAAGTCAGTCGATGGTCGGGGATAGCGCAGGATGGTGGATATGAGATATCCCGGGCGGCTGTCTGTTCACCGTGCTCGGTCCTGACTTCTGTCGGTCGGTCGGTGTGGTTTTCGGCGTTTAGAGGGGCTTAGAGGGAGTTAAGGCTGTCTTTGTTCAGCTTGTGTGAGTCTGGAGTTAAGAATGTAAAGTACGGAGGCAAGTCAATGCCAGATCCAGTGCAGTAGGCTTGCCATCGAGGCGGTGGATGTGTCACGTTGGTGCTCCGTCGAGGGGGGATGGGACGGTCCGAATGGCGACATTTCTGGCTGGGGGGTGAAGAAAGGGGCGCAAGAGATGACTGCATACAGATTACAGGCAGACAGCAGACAGCAGACATCATGCTCATGATGATGTTTACTTGTGCTTCAATGTGATGTATATTGCTTTTCTCGCTGGGAAGACCCAGACCTGGTCGACATCGCATCAATACGAAGAGACCCTGCAATGACCGCAGGCACATCCCGGGGCTTATTGGACTGGACTTTTAAACTACATTTTGACTCGTTTTGACTCGTTTTCAACTCGGTCGTTGCCAGCTGGTCAGCTGACTCAGCCCTCCGGATCCCGGCCCTAATTCACCTTATTTCTTCGACCTTTTGCGCCCTGAGTCAGCCTTGAGGCGTTGGTCTTCAGTGTCTGCTGTGTCTAGATTATTTACATATGTAGGTAAGCGCGTATGTAGTAGGGGGTTACATCTCATGGACATATCCGGGACATGCGTGGGGGGCGATGGGGGGGCCACCTAGAGAGAAGACCATCGATCTGTCGGACATCAGTCGATCTCCCTGTATCGAGTACGACATGCATGCTCTCCTGTACGTCCTCTGCTACCGACGCTCCGGAGGGGATACAGAATCGTCGCAATATTACTCCGACCAATGTAACCTTTCCCCAGCGTAGCCCTAAACCCCGACCAGACCAGGTGAGTCTCCTGACACTGTCGATGACGTCCGGGTGACTTCGCCACGGGGTAAACACTCTCTGTTTTATGTATAGTATCAGGATATTAATGGCACTGCCGGACACAAACAATGATGCAAACAATACCACCTCAGAGAAAGAGGGTGGAAACATCAACCAACAAAGTCATAATCACAATCATTATCATGATACTTGGGCTCGCATCACGAAACAGCCGAATATACACTAAAAATAAACACCTAAAGCATGTCTCATCTCGACTGTGCGCAATCGACACTAAAAATATGTATGTCTTACCGAGGACATTGGCCGTATCCATTTTCCAAGGCAGAAGGAAGAAACTAAGTAGGTAGATGGTCCCAGTAACCCCCAAAGACCCTCGCAGCCCATCCAAATGCAAAGCATGGCAAGGCAGGCAGGCAGGCTCTTTCGGAATCAGATTAGGGCCCAAGACAGCCAGGCCACTATCTATCTGCGCGTCCATCTGTCCGTCACTCATTGTATATGTTTTAGACCCAGCCGTGGAACATCCCATCCCACTCCAGGCTAAGATATTAATGCACACCGCAGAACAGGCGACGAACAAGCGGGCTACCCCATCAGGAACTCCGGGTGTGAATTATGATTTGTGTTGTTTGATCTCTTCTCCAGTATATGAGACATTCAACTCAGCCCAACCAGTCATTCAACCCCATTGACATCACCCACGTAGACCGAGCTGGAAAGCCTAAGGCAGAAAAAAAAAGCAAAAAATAGAAACAGATGGAAAATTTTCCTCGCCAGTAGTTTCCACCCATCCTGACACCCATCCCGGATCCTCATGCCCCGGTCCTCTTTCCCAGATCACTGGTCAGGACTCACATCCATATTATTCATTATTAATTATTCATTCCTTGCACAGCTTCTGAAACCTTATTGGTTACACCTGGCTCGGGCCGAGCAAATGATATCCTGCTGGGATTTCCTAATTATGGACCCGTCAAGAGGCGCTTGGAAACCAATGGCCCCCGTAAAATCCGTAGGGTGACAAGGTGACCTGGTCACCTTGCGCTGCGCGATTATTAATCCCCTATGCAGACGGTGAAGGAGGAACGCATGGAGGCATGTACTCCGGATGTGGTTGAGGTGACTAATGATACATCCATCCAGTTTTAAACAACCCCCACATGGGAGAAAGACAGACAAAAAAGAAAAAAGAAAGGAAAAGAACTGGGCCGTTCTAAACCTGAAATTGATTAGTGGAGAGATCTTGGCCGTCTGGTCCGTAATTAGGGTTGTATCGATCAGCGGGTTGGTCGGGTTTGAAAATTACCACTCTGGCCCGGGCGGTATGGAAGCAATACCGGCTCAGACCCATTCTGGATAAATCGCGGTGCCAAGAGAGCGCAATACACCTGGTCCTTTGTCTGAATTTTGCCATGTTTACGAGGTACCTACTATTTTCCTTTGGTTTCTTTGGCTGGGACCTACTCCGTACTCCGTACTGACATTTCTAGTGGATAAGAAGGCAGAGGGTGGAAACAATTAAAAATAGACAATAAAATAAAATAAACGAAACGAAACAAAACTGATGATAACAAGCCCAAGTGCAAATTTTTTCCGTCTGACAATGTCTGGAAGCGCCTTTCATATACATCGTTAATAACCAATCGTTCCAGAGATACAAGCAAATGTCGTAATAGATGCATCAAGCGTGGCCACCGTAGGGATCATTTCGCCATCAGACTCACGAACTCGTTCCACTTGTTTCCGAAGCTAGCGTAGTAGTCGGTGCTGAGATGGGTGATGAAAATCTCATCTGCAACTTTGCGGACTTGCTTAACTAGGGAACGCAGTTCGGATCCTTCCACATTATCTGGCACCGAGTGGATCACGGCGCACAGCTGGCTGCGAGTGCTGTTCGGGATCTCCTCGAACAGGTTGGCCCCATGGCGCTCCTGGAAGGTGTCATAAGTTGCCTCAAAGACCACCGTCGAATCAGCAGTCGGCAGGTAGCGAGAGTCAGGAATCGCCCCAGGGTTGTGGACAGTCTAGATCGACGAATATTAGCATCGCTGATCTACCTCGAGGTTCCAGATCGCATAGATGAGGATGACGGAGTACTCCGTAAACGAGGTGAGAAAAAGAAAATCAAAAAGAAAAAAGTGAAAAATAAATCAAAATAAAAAATAACAAGGGTGGGGATGGTAGGGAAGTTTTTGCCAGGTGCTGAAAGTGAAAAGGAAAAAAAGGCAATCGGTAAATTACCGAGTCCATTCTTGGAAATCAAGACATGGAGAGGGGGGAAAGGGTTGCACATACATAGTGGTCCGGACCAAGCCCGGGCGTATCCTTCACAAAATCAGTAAGATTTTGCAAATAGTTCAATGCAGATGCATTGAACTGCTGGGGTGTTTCGTCGAAGAATATTCCCCGAACCGTGAGGTTGGGATTAGAGCTGTTAGTCGGCCACGCCGCATAAGTCTCGATGTCCTTGCGAACCAAAGAGATATTCCGCGTTGCCCAGGTGGTAGCAACGTAGCCCAAGACACGCACGTTGTCAAAGGCGACGAGCTTAGGGATTTCTCGGGTATAATTGGCGTCGGGCAGAGCATCGGGCCCGGGGCCACTGCCAGGGTTGATCACGACCGTAAAGTTGACATCCGGATGCGTAGAAATCCTGTGGCGTTCAGCTACTTCATCGACAAACCATAGCTTGTTCTTGGGTCAGGCCATGGACAATCCAGATGGCTTATGGCGTGGGTGGGAATTTCCAATCTGGTTGGTGGAGGGGCTGGAAAAAATTGAGAAAAAAGACCTACACTTCTTCCAATGGAGTCCAGGCCCCGGGGGCAGGGTACACATAGAGAGGTACGAAGACCGTAGCTTTAGGGCCCATGCTGTTTTTCTTGTGTAGGGTGACCACAACTGCCGGAGGTATAACGACCGCGAGAACTGCAATAAAAACAAGCACGGCCAGGATAATGCGAGAGCGCCGGCTCTGAAGGCACCGGCGGTTGCTCACGTGTTTTTCTAGCGCCATTTTGTTTCGTTATAAGCAAAGACTGTAATAGAAACGGAGCGCATCAAGGTAAAACGAAAGGCAATAGTCAGTGGGTTTGTCTTGCCGTCGCGAAAATATGCCAGACACGGAGCCGGAAGACTAAGAAATAAGTAGCAGCCAGCCCTCTAAAACCCTGGTGATTAGTAGAGTTGTAATGTTCCAGGGTAACTATGGGCTGCCGCGGGCCCAAAATAGAGCGGGGCAGATTCAGGCCATGCAGTCGGTCTTGGATCATTAGCTGTCGCTCTCGAACAATTCCTTTCTCCGTGGTTGGATTTTTTTTTTCTGTAAAAAAAAATTCTTTGCCTTTTTTTTTCATACCAAAGTACTGAATGCGGTCCAGTGGAGGCGGCTAGAGTTCGTTCATTATTGCCCCCCAACAGAGGCGAACTCTGTCTAGAACACCTGAAGGAGAGAGTAAGACGTTTTAGCCGCTTTCCATGCGACTCTGACACCCATGGGTGGTTGTTTATTCCCTGATTTTTTTTTTCTTTCCTTTTCTTTTCTTTTTTCTTTTTTGAGTCAATAGTATATCCCTCTTTTTACCTTGCATCCAGACTTTTTATTATGGCCATCGTTCGTTGTAAATAAAGCACGTCACAAATCAGATATCTTCGCCTGACCTAGCTGGATACGGCGGTTACATCGGCGAACCAGTGGCAGTGCGCGCCTTTCTTTTTGAGCGAGTATAAAATTTGTGGACTCCTGTCTTTTGAGTATCCAGTCCGGAGTCACCCGCCCTCGTTAATCTTCATTTAAACAAGCTCCTCTTGTGTTTGCTCAGGCGCTTTTTCTTGTCCTCGTTTACTCGTCTTTCGTTCAGCATTGACTGCCCTTGGCCCTTTCGCACCACCAATGATGGAGAGCCCTCGACGATCAGATGCGAGCACTCCTGTGGAGCCTTGCTCTCCTGTGTGTATCGATACTCCGGCAACGCAATCATCCGTCTTGTTTGATGGCAATCTCGAGGAGTTGCTGCGAAACTTCCCTCTCGAGCAGTACATTCTGGTCACCGGAGGCCTCGGGTTTATCGGAAGTCACACAACATTGGAGCTATTGAAAGCCAGCTACAACGTAATTGTGATCGACAACCTCAGCAACTCCTTCCAAGTCGTCTTCGACCGCATCAAAACCCTGGCGTCCAAACATCATGAGCAACATGGCACAAAGATGCCGTCAATGCATCTGCACCCCCACGACTATCGAGACACCGAGGCCCTTCGCGGTCTGCTCGAGCAATACCAGGTCCAGTCCAGATGGGGCTCGATGAAGTCAAAGATCTCCGGCGTCATTCACTTTGCTGCTTATAAAGCGGTTGAGGAGAGCATTCGGAATCCATTGAAATATTATGCGAACAATGTTGGAGGTCTCGTGGATTTTGCTACCACGTTGGGCGAATTCGGCATCAAGACATTTGTCTTCTCCTCTTCGGCCACGGTGTACGGCACTTTGGCGACCTCTGGTCTCCCTCTTAAGGAGGAGCTCTGCGTCCACAAGGAGGAACCCCTCCAAAACCAGGAAGGATCCGAGGAAGTTGTGAAGCCTGGGTGCACGGGCATCACCAATCCTTATGGACGCACAAAGTGGATCTGTGAAGCCATATTAGCGGATCTTGCTGCCTCTGATCCCGAGTGGACTATTGTAGCTCTGCGGTACTTCAACCCGATAGGGTGCGACGAGTCGGGTCTCCTGGGAGAAGACCCAAGACAAATACCTACCAACCTCCTTCCCGTCGTCGTCAAGGTCATGACTGGACAGTATAAGGAGCTGCAGATGTTTGGAACCGATTGGGACACAGAGGACGGCACAGCCGTCCGTGACTTTATTCACGTCACCGATCTTGCCCGAGGGCACATTGCGGCACTTGGCGCTGCCAATGACGGACGACTTGTTGAAAATTTCCGCACCTTCAATCTTGGAACTGGACAGGGACACTCTGTCATGGAGGTCGTCAACACCATGGAAAGTGTGTCGTCCAAACCCATTCCACGGAAGGCCGCTGGCCGCCGCGCAGGAGACGTTGGTTCCTGTGTTGCCGTGGCCACCAGGTCGCAAGATGAGCTTCAGTGGAAGACGGAGAAGACGCTGAAAGACGCTTGTGTCAATTTGTGTAATTTTCTGGATGTTAGCGGTCTGTCCTCCTAAGGACCATCTATAATGTTTTGAATAATGGATGTGCTCTCTTCATAGGGCGGCGTTTGGTGATGTTTCTTTTTTTTCTTTTCTTTTTTTTTTGTCGCGCTTCTTCAATACCTCTTTCCATTTTCAATTTCCTTTCTTTTATTTTATTTTATTTTTTTTTTTTTTCTGGCCCTCGACTTTGTCATGTGCCCGTCCTTGTCTGCGTTTCTGTCAACAACCTGTTCACATCAACAAATTTCGGCAACTTCATACCTAGTTTATCTGCTGTTTTTGCATTATAGAAGGATTTCCTTCGATATTCAAGTCCACACAGCGTTACCTGTCTTTGATATCGTTGTAGAATATTTCTCCTCAACCTTGAGTCGATGATATTGAGTGCTGACCCGAGACACAAAGCACTTGCATCTCGACTCATCATAATCAAAGTAGCAAGTAAAATGAGTATTTCATTGAGGTCTTTGACTTATCAGCATAAAGTTAGTAGTGTGAGATAGATGGTCTTTGATAGCAGGTTTGACTGAAGTGTCAACCCCGTGGGGGAAGCGACGGTTCCGATGGTCACTCATGTTTCGGTGACATCCGCCAAAGGGGAAAGCCTTGCCACAGAGGACCAACGATGATTAAACAGCAAAAGCCTTGACTGTGACTGATAAGTTGGACAGTCAGACGAAATGGAGGGGCAGGAACTTGCCATGAAATAAATGAAATGCAAGTTGTGGATGTGGATGAATGCTCGTTATCGGGGCGCAGCTTAGTCATGGCGGGCATCGCATTTCCATCCAACCCCTCGACACCGCTGATCATCAACAGGCATTCCAACAAGGATTATATTCCCTCATCTGCGCAATCTTCGCGAAGCGAAAAAGTACGGTGGACTGATCCTTTGGGTCGAAGTGATGCACTAGTTCGTGGAACCGATAAGCGTCCAGCAGATGGGCTGCTTCCCTTTTTATGTGTGCTTTTATCAAGGCCCCATCCACGAGAGTGGAATATTCCACGTAACCAGTAGGCAGAGGGATGCAGAAACAGGCGTTTCCAAGACCTAAATTGGTCTCATTACGCGTCCACCCAGCCGTATTCCGCAGATAACGGTTGGTATTCTGCTCTATCTTTTGCGCCGATTCGACTTCGCGTGCTTGGATACCGGCGCCACCAACTATAAAAACAGGGTTCAAGTGGATTGTGGAAGGTCAGCAGATGGTTCGTTCTTCGAGATATCCAAAGGATGAAAAGAGTGCATGGTCTTCACGGAGCTGCTGTGAGTGATCTGTCCTCTGGCCACTGAAAGTGCCAGATAAGGATTCTCCGCCACCGTGGCTTCCTCGTCAGTAGTGAATATATATGCCGCTGTCGAGTAAGGGATAACCAGCGAGGCAGCCATCACAAGCCCTTGTATCTCCACCACCAAGACACCAAGACACCAAGAGGCCTAGATGGGATGAAAAGTCCTCGTTGTGAGACCTCTGCATATGTGATGTTTGAATACGAACTGCATCCTAATGGCTGGTGCAAGTGTGTCGAGGTGGCTCTGCATTGGATACACTCAGGGACGCTCAAATCCACAGGAAATTGACTACACGGGGCCAGGCTTCTGTACTAGATTTTGTGCACTAGACAAATGTATCAGCGAGCTGATGTGAAGAGATGTGATGTGAGCTTGGTAGGATCTGGTTACAGCGTTCCAGAATTGGTTCACAAGACAGGGACTTCCGAAGAAAAGAGTCTAGCATCCAGAAAATCTTTGAAAAAGCCAACTCGAGGGCAAGCAGGTAGCCGCTCACATGAATATGCCGATTGGAGGTTGATCAAACCGTAGAACGGGCAATTAGTCCTGGGGCAAGGACAGAGATAAGAGGGAACTATCCGTAGAACCGCCGGTGATGCAGACTGACTGTGCATGGGGAGTGTGATGAAATTGCGTATTGTACAATTAAGTAAAAGGTATGTCAAGGAAAGGACAACCGTGGACAAAGATATGAAACATCCATTTTGCAGTGGGATTAACTATGTACAACCGAAAGAACATGCTGTACGAGAGCCTGATCACAACCGATCCCGAGAACGGCGACATAAATTGACGAAAAAGCACCCTCGGCTGTATTGACCCGAAGAATCTGCGCGTGATGTCTGAGTTGCTTCCCAAAAAGGCAACTTTCGTCTATCTCCACTTGGCGCGCGCGATCACTCGCCAAGCCGCACAGTCACATGACACCTTGCCCAAAGGAGCACGTCAAGAGTCGAGAGAAGCAACGATTAATCCTCAACCACTGGAGATTGGCCTCCCAAGCTCGCAGAAGATTGTTATTATGATCAATCAGTCATGGTAACCACCCAAATTCTGATGAGAATTCCCATGTACTGACCAAGCGTGCTAAATCCCAGGAGCTGGATCACGTGATTTTGGATCTTGGCATCAAATTCATCCCGCAGTTTTCATCCAGCTTGCTCCGTGCCGGCAGTTGTCTTTCTCAATTCTAGCCCTGCGCTTTCCTGGTGGTTTGGGGCAAACCTGTCGTGGAGACTATACCATTTGACTTTTAATCCATTCATTGTTCTGATACCTTGCATCTCGCATTGCCAACGAAAAGATGATCTGCCAACGGTGCCGAACGAGCATCCTCTCTCGACTACAGCCGCAAACCTCGATTGCGTGGTCTGCTCCGTCATGCACGCGCCAGCTTCCAATCCAGCGCAACCTCTTCCGGAACTATAGCACCGATGGGAAACCCACGGTTTCCGCTCCTCCGCCGCCTCCTTCGCCTCGACAGCCCGGCACCGGCGACATCACGGTCCCGTCGGCCGTTTCGTCCGCTACCCCGGGCGTGTCGCAACCCTTGAGCACGCCGGAAGGAATTCACACCGACGCGAAACCCGACAAACCCACAAAGTCTGACTCCAAACCCGTGCGGAGCTCCTGCCCGGCCGGCACCATGTTGCAGGGCCTCAATTACTTCAAAAACAAGCCGAACATCGTCGCCAAGGAGGACTTCGACTACCCGGATTGGCTGTGGACTTTGTTGGAGGATAGCAAGAGCTCTAAGAAATCCGAGGGCGGAGTCGATCCAAGCAGTATGGCTCTTCCGATCCGATTCGACATACCTATCATACCAGCTTTTGCTAACCATGCTTTCTTTCTTTAGCTCTGAACAAGAAACAGCGCAAGCGTTACGAGAAGAAGATGGCCGCTCGCGCTGCCCTCCTCCCACCGAAGATCCCTATCCACCATCACGCGACCGACATCACTCCCGCCGAATACAACCGCGGCGAGTCGGCGACCGAGACCGCCTTGGAAGATGCCACGGAGAGTCTCGAGAAGCGTGCCGAGATCACAAAGAGCGCGAGAGATGCCCGCAGAAAGGCCATTCGGGAGGCCAACTTCCTGCGCGGACTCTGATTTCTTGAATTGTTGGTTTTGGCTTGGGAGTCATCAGGGCTCTGTTGCATGGAGTTCTATTTGAAGCTATCCCTGTACAATTGTGTTGACTGACGTTTTGTGTGCGTGTAGAAAGGGTCCCCTACTAGGACATTCCAGATGTATTTTATGTGACTTATATTCATCTTCTCTTATAATCTGCAGACCAGGCGCTGAATGGAATGTTGTTTCTGTATACATTCTTTTGGGCAATATCCCCTTTGCAACTGAGCATGGACTGACTACCTTGCTTGTCGAGAATCTCACGTTCATGACTATGACACAAAATTCGAGTTAGAAAGACGCCTGATACATTTAATATCTGTATGCAAGCAAAGCGATTGAAGACGAATCACTAACGTGCTATGTCCTTTACTTAGGTTCAATTCACCGAGGGATCTCCCACTCCTTATCTTCGCCTTGGCCATTTACCCACGGCAAACAGACATCCCAAAGAGCTTGAACCTCACCCTCCCCGACCTTCAGCAATGCAGTCCATAACTCCTTATCGCACCTCTCGATCCAAACCAAGAAAGAAACGATCAAGAAGTCCGCATATCCTGGCCGCTCGCCCTCTAGGAAAGGCCCGTTCTTCCCAAGTCTGCCTCGCAACATCTGAGCCAAGGGGGCCATTTCGGTCGCTGCGGCGTTGATGATCGCTCGAACTTGGTCGGCGTCTTGAGGACGAACTTCGGAGAGGGGCTTACCAAACCGAGCCGACCGAGTCTTGATGAAATATTCGCGACCCCTGGGATCGAGAAACTCCGCCGCACGGGGAATCACCAACATGAAGCACCTGGAAGTGACGCTTGCTACGAGTCTATCGACCGCAAGTGCTAGGGCATAACTGGCATCCCTAGATGGGAATAAGGGCGGAGATGGGAACGTCCGGTCCAAATGGGCTGCGACAGCAAATGAGTCCATCAGTCCCGTGTGGATTTGACGTCACCGAGGGCGGGTGGCAGATCGCTGGAAGGGTATACGGCATACCCTCCGCGTGGGGATGGACGCCCATCTTGGAGAGTAAAGGAGCGATATCAGGATAAGAGATGTAGGATTGTGTATAGGGGATGCGCTTGTAGTTCAAGACCATTCGGGTCTTGATCGTATTCACCGACCATGGCTTCAGGTCTCCTGCAATTACCGTTAGCTAGCCGATTTAGTGCTGGGGGAGATACTTTATCCACCACAGAAGGAGGACTCGTACGCGGAAGTGTCGATTCAATATCAAAAAAGTGCACCGGGGTTTTGTTCGCCATAGTCATTCATTAAAAAAATCCGAGTCTCGTAGGGTGTTGGTAGATTGGAATGAGGGCCATGCGGGGTTGACGTTGCGGATTTATCAGCGATGCGGCGAAGCTCCGATGTGTTATAAATCAAGTGCAGCTTATTTTCTAGGCAACGGGGACCCGGAACATTGGGTCGTCCAGAGCTAATTTCATTCTCATCCAGCATGCTGGGTGGACGCCGGGTAGGGCTGACGATGGGTTGATTGCTATGGGAGTGGCCACTTTTTTCTCTAGAAGGCTTCCATTATGTCACAGGGGAGAATCCCTCGCGAGAATTCCCAAAGACTCGGTCAAGGAGCATCTCAAGACTGTAGCAGACGGAATCAACAAGGAAAAGAAAAGATTGGTAGCCAATAGCAATGATATGGTCTCAAGTGTGAGAAAAAAAAATGAAGATGTCTATCTTGGTGGGGGAATGGCAGGAGCACCTGACTGCCGTCACCTGCCATCACCTGCCTCTTCTGCCTCTTCTGCCTCACGTCTTCCAATTTGTCCTCCGGATCTTCTGGTTTTCGACTCCAATTCCCATCGAATCTCAATAGTCGTTTTCATCACAATCACAATCACCATCCCCTTCTGACTTCTCTTCCCCCCCTGTCTCATATCGCCATGACCCAAGTTCGCCCCCAACAGTACCTTCCCACCACTACCAGGCACCTACAGGTCGCACAAAAACACGCCTCAAACCAATGATTTCCTGGCCCAATGACCCCTTTCGAGCCCTCATGTGCTGACCAGCTAGGACCGTTAAATTAAGTCCGTGTGATCAAGCCAAGCACCCGAGTGGAGCACCAAAAACAAATCACGAAACAACGCCAACTCAGCATGTCGGTAGCCCACCTTCCTGTCCTCCATCACATCAAACGTTGGTGGCATCTCAACCAGCTCTCTTTGCTCCATCTTTTCGGTCGCTTTGCAGGTCCACTGTTCCCGGAATATATCGCGCCTAGGACACCGTGATTCCGAGGTGCTGGTAGCACAACAGAGTGTTGATCGTCAAGCCACCTTCCACTACACCGACCCAACGTCATCAGGGGGACGCCCCATATCGGCAAACGTCCCTTGATTATTGCACACAATAGACTGCATTCTATACACAGCGCAATTTCTGCCCATACATCAAAAATCATGGGAATAGTCAAAGAGCTTGCCGAACTCACTCATCATACTGATCATATCAGCCTTGACCCCTCCCCAGAGCCTGCGGACCCCAGATTGATCTCTGAATTCTCACCTCCCGTATCCATTTACTTGGGTCGTATTTATAAAACCCTAACAGAGTCGAGAAAGACCGATTTTCTTCGGGACGTGCAACATGCATCCCAAGATGCGGATCCCAGTGGTCAGGGGCTGGCGGATCCTCTCGCCTCCCTGGAAACATTCTCTGCGTACATGTCTAGTCCAGCGTCGTCTGCAGTAGGCCCCCCAAAAAGGCAGGATCTTTCTTCGCCAATTGCGGACTATTTCATCTCTTCGAGTCACAATACCTACCTGAGCGGCAACCAGCTGTACAGCGACTCAACTGCGAGCGCTTATACCAGTGTATGTCCCCTCCCCTCAAAATCCCGCATTCGACCCATCCGAAGTCATTCCCGGGATGCTGCACTGCATTTGCAGTATATGGGTGCTTACTTGGTTCCTTCGGATTGGAGCGTTTGTGCGGAAAATGTGTAACCATGCATCACTGTGTCCCCCTACATAATACGCTAGTCCTTAAGACCCAACTGGATCAAGGTTTCTCGGTATTGATACAAGGCAGCTAATAGCATCATAGGCTCTCCTCAGTGGTTGCAGATGCGTCGAAATCGACATCTGGGACGGTAAAGCCGACGATGAGGATGACACTAGCGGTAGCAGTAGCAGTGACGAATCCGACTCCGAAGAAGAAAAGAAATTCGCTCGGCGTAAGAAGCAAGACAAACCAAAGACAGAAAAAATCTCCCGCATGAAATCAGTTTCGTCAAAATTGGGAGGCTTGCTTGGGCGTAAGTCGTCCGGCAACAACACGCCTACCCCCAAAGAAACTGGCGAGACTGCCGATGCTGTAATTCCGGTGCCGCCACGTCCGGAGCCTAAAGTGCTTCATGGTCATACACTGACCAAGGAGATAACGTTCCGGGACGCATGCCATGCCATCCGGGATAGTGCCTTCGTGTCGACCGACCTCCCGGTTATTGTGAGTCTGGAAGTGCATGCATCACTCGAGCAGCAGGTCACAATGGTGGAGATCATGGAGGAGATTTGGAAGGGGATGCTGGTGGAAGTCACGCCCGAAATCGAAGCCACCAACAGCCTTCCACCGCTTGAGGCTCTGAAACGGAAGATCCTGATCAAGGTAAAGTATGTGGCTCCAACGAGCCAAGGAGAGGAGGATGACACGGCGGATGATCGCACGGACGAGCTCGAACCCTCGAGCCAACAACAAGCCAGCCAGGGTGAACCCAATAGCTTAGCTACCACCAGCGATCCCTCCGCCCCACCACCTAAAAAGCCCTCGAAGATCTTACACTCTCTCAGCAAGTTGGCCGTTTTCACCAAAGGATTCCACTTCAGCCACTTTACGCAACCAGGTAAGTTCAAACAAAAAAAAGAGGGTAGCTACATAGCTACCCGACCACCTCCCCTCCACCTATTCTTCCCGAATCGGATGCCAATCCCACACCCCCAAAGGATCCGACAATCCACATCTTAGCCCCCTAGAGACCAAAGACGAAACAGGAAAAAGAAAGAAAGAAAGCTAACCTTCCCCTCCCCGTGTGACAGAGGCCAAGGTCCCGGGACACGTGTTTTCCCTCTCAGAGAATGCGGCCCGGGCAGCATATGCGAAGGAGCGGGACGCGCTCTTTGAGCACAACCGTCACCACTTCATGAGAGTCTATCCGTACGGGCTGCGCGTAACGTCCTCCAATTACGACCCGACCCCCTTCTGGCGCTGTGGCGCCCAGATAGTTGCGCTGAACTGGCAGAGCCTAGACAAGGCAATGATGCTCAATCATGCCATGTTTGCCGGTGAGCAAGGCTGGGTCCTCAAACCGCAGGGCTATCGCGGATCCGACCCCCCCGGCGGGGCGACCATCGTTCGTAGCCAGCTCGATCTGACAATTGAGGTCCTCGCGGGCCAAGGAATTCCGCTGCCCCCTGGCGACACTAGGGAAAAGGGGTTCCATCCCTACGTGAGCTGCTCGTTGCACGTCGAGACGCCACCGGATGAGGAATCCGGATCAGCCAGCGCAGACGATAGTACCGATTCTGAAGAGACTAGCTACAAGCGGACCACCAAGAGCGACTCGGGATCTCACCCGGACTTTGGCGGCCAGAAGCTCCAATTCCCGACGTTGTCGGGAATGATCGAGGAATTGACCTTTGTCAGGTACGTCTACTATAATAATACGACTACATATAATACCTCGGTGTGGGCTCTCCAACATTGCGTGTCACAACATTGGCGCGGTTGCGCTGAGCGACACCAGGAAAAAGCAAAAAAGAAAGTCGGAAAAAAATGAAAACAAAAAAGAAAAAAGAAAAAAAGGAAAAGCGCAAGAAACAGAAAGGAAAAGGGGCTCTCATCGAGGATAATCCATTCAAGGAATTTTCGATCCCAATCGCTAACACATTTTTTCTTACCTCCACCTGCAGGTTCAAAGTCAAAGACGACGAATTCGGCCGCGACTCCATGGCCGCTTGGGCATGTATCAAAATCGACCGACTCCAGGCGGGTTACCGCTTAATCCATCTCTTTGACTGCTCAGGATGTCCATCTGGCGGTGTCCTTCTTGTCCACATCAGCAAGGAAATCTCCTAGGGATTTACATATAACAGCCCGTTTCTATACATAAATCCATGCAGATGCCGAATTGCGGACCCAGAAATTCAGGAAATACTGAAGAGATACGGATAGGTGCATTGCATTGTGTATCAGATTCGCAGCTCTATAATAAGGGGCCTGTCAAATTTGATCGGTTCCAGCAGCAGTCATCTCCGGGAGTTCCATCATGCAAGCCATGGAGGATTGTACATGATCAGTTTCTTACTTCTCCAGTGGCAAAATCAGCTACTGCGTAGGGACGAGGGGTAACGGGAAAGTAGGGGGGAGGGGGGAGACTTCAGAAAAAAAAAAGAAAAGAAAAGAAAAGCAATGACCTCTCAACCAAAGAACCAAAAATTGATGAATAAATTATCCTCCAAGAAAAAAATTAAATAAACTGAAATTGAGAGGGAGGGAAAAAAAAGTAATTAAAATAACGGCCCACTTGTGGCGCATCTGAAGCGACTCTAGATAAGTCCGACAGGATGCAAACGCACATGCAGCCGGTGCCTTGGTCTTTGCGTTTGACGTGAGTTGGGGCCGCCGACGATGGCTGTTGACCTGTTTGAGTGAGTGGGTCTCTGGGACGGTGGATAAGCGTGCTCTCAATCTTTCTTTTCTCGGATTTTCGCTCGATTATACTCCTCTTCAGCAGGAGGGATCTGGATCCGATTTCTCTGAAGGGTCCGGCGGAGATCAACTATACTGGACGGATTTGGACCGAGGAGCCTGGCGAAAGGGCGACGAAAATACAGATATAGCGACTGATTTTGTAACCTCTCAATATTTATGGATCAAAAGCATGTCGATTATAGCCAGCCACTAGGTCTCGCGAATTGATCATTTCCGGTGAGGACTTCAGCCGAGATTTGGCGTCTACCAAACAATCACCTCGGATGGGGGGGGGGGGGGGGGGGGCTTCTAGAGCTGGCTTCCTTCGATAGGAGTGCGTATGCAACGTATTCCCATGGGAATGGTAAACTTGCCGCCGATAATTAAAACAAACTCACGTAGTCGGGAAAACGGAATTATTGGTGATTCCAATGAGTATTCCAAATCCGCAGACCCCGCCGGATGGTTGACTAGCGGTGTGGTGATGGTTGCTCATATGCTGGGACAGGAGCAAGTGGGCGAGAAATTTGATCAATTCATTGTTTGTTTGCTTCGTATCCACACGGTCAGCCAGCGATCAGTAGGCATCTCCTTTTGAAGAGGGGAAGAGACCGGAAAACGGGCTTGGATTGGTGGCGACGGGTCTAGTGGAGAGCCCGATGCAACTACTTTGATTTGACAGATATTGCTCCAGAATTGACCTGTCAACTTTTGATGAATATCCCCTCGCCCACCCTCTTTTTTTTTTTTTTTTTTTTCTTTCCTTTCTCTCTCTGTGTGGAGGGTGCCCCTCACGAAAATAAATTGATCGATAAATCAATAGGAAATAGGGGGAAAACCAAGAGAAAGGAAGAGAGAGAAAGTAGTACCGAGTTAGTTTGAGAGACCGGCTCATGGACTACCATTAGTGCGACCAGGTATCCCGTTTCCAAACAAAAGACGAGGCATCATGGTCCCAAAATGAAGCCACTCGATATAGTCGACCAACGGATAATCCGCCGCAGAGGATGCAAAATGAGGACTTTTAATTACCTCATCTTGCGTTTCTTTGTTGAAAAAGAAAAGAAAAGAAAAAAAAAAAAGTCAAAACAGGGTACAGGGGTGTTGGGCACTGCAAGACATCGGAGAGTAAGTTGACAATGACTATCCTGTATAACCAACGAGCAATTTATTGCTCGGTCTGGCAGGAAAAGAAGCCCAACCCCACATTCTTTATGTATCGAAAAGCTGAGATGAAGGTTCTCTAAGGCCTCTGACTGCTTTTTGTCGACCAAGGACCACCGGCCAAGAAGATGAGGAATGTCCAGATCAACTTCAGCGAGTGGGGCGAGGAAATGGCAGTTCCCCAGACCTGATAAGGTTCAGCTTCAGTATCCCAGTCCCAGCAAGGGCGGTAGGTCGCAGGTGGCTGAGCTACTGCGTACTGTGTTCAAGAAGGGATAAAGGTCCAGCGGGCAGGGTTGGGAACTTGCATCTCCCACCCGTCCAATCGACAGTTGCCAAAACCCCAGGAACTGATACTGATTTGCACCGGGAAATCTCAGGTATCAATCGCCCGACTGACAACCGATCAAAATGGCCAGCTTTCCATGATTGGCCCATCTGATTCGATCAAATCATGCTGGCTGTCATTGCATATTGGCTGAAAAGATATCACCGAGTACGGTGGAGGCCGTGACGGTGCCTCGGGGCATTAGTTCTCCCAGTGGGGCCCCATCTTTTAGCAAATAAATTGACTGGGATCGAAATGTTTAGCGCTGGAGCGTCCCAACCCCCAAGTCCTGGATTGACTCCAAACACTTATCTGGCTGCAAGGCTTCCTGCAACGGATGGAGCCTGGAGATGCAACATCCCACATAGCCAATCAAGGAAGATATGGTTGGATCCCTGGATCGCAAAGGGATGTGTGCAATATTTAGAGGCGCGTCAATTGCACACTTGTTCCAAAGACCCGTAACCACCGCACCGCTAGCGGCTAGCTGTTATAGCACCAGTCAATTAAGGCCCAGGGCGGGTTAAGCGTAGGAGATGAATTTAGTCCACCAAGACTTGATCAGTGGTCTAAATCCCTGAGGGAGCGAGCGGCCCAGGCCAGGGGATTGTGCCAGATGTGGGATAGATCGCGTCCCCTTCGACGTCATTCGCAACAAGTCACATTAAGAGAGTCATCGTCCGCGGTTACCGACTACCGAGTTTCTCTGATGGTAAGCTGCATTAACGGTTTCCAAAATATGTGGGCGATGACAGTGTGGCCCCCTTTCTGGGATCAAAATGGAAAAAAAGAAAATGGAAAAAAAGAAAAAAAAAAAAAAAAAAAAAAAAAACAAGCGAGAAAATAATAAATCGAAATTCTTTTCTTTTCTTTCCATTCGCCTTGATTTTCCATTGTTTCTTTGCTTCCGCGGATGTGCCTGCATATTCGGTTTTCCTTTTTTTTTTTTTTTTTTTTTTTTTTTTTTTTTTTTTTTTCTCTCTCTCTCTCAGACCACATTTTGAGAGAGCCGGAACACGTATCGCACCCATGTACTTAGCAAGCAGATCGCACTTTTCCTGGCGATCTCATTTGCTCGAACGCAAACGCTTGTCATGAACGGGAATATCCGAGTAACTTGGGACCATCTCGGACCCCAACATGACATGTTAGTTTGCAAGGGTCCTGGTGTGATTGATATTTAGATGCATGGGACTTCATCTAGTCGTGTCTCCAATCGATCGATCGGCCCTAGAGCGAAGATCTCCCGATGACCAGTGCGAATTTCTGGGTTTCAGAGGGTCTTGGATCAACCGACCACTTGCTCCTCGCCAGACTCTATAAAAGGGCGACGGATACCCCGGGGAGATTAAGCTCAACGATCGAGGAGACGTGCGCCAGACAAACACCGACTTCATTTAGACTTTGGCCATTGCGAGCTTTCGGGGAATTTTTTTTGGGTGAACAGCACCGGTCCCTCTTTCTCTCTCCCTCCCTCCCAAAGACCTTTGGCGCATTCAATTTACCTTTCCCTCCAAAGTCTTCTTGTCGCGTTTGATCTTCTCCCATCACCACAATGCCGGTAAGTGTCTTGATCGACCCTCCCTCAGTATCCAGAACGATCGCTGACTTTGTGTTGACCACGCCAAAGATGCCCGGAGTCCGTTGTCCCACTTGCCAGGGAAATGGCAAAGAGACCTGGGTAATTCCAGGAAAAGACTGCCATGTCTGCGGCACATCATGCTGAAAAGCACCACTCGGTAGGCGAAAAGCAGCTTCGAACCCGGCTGGAAAGCGTCCGAACCAATGCTAATTTACCGTGACCGACAGACTCTTTGAAAACACGAGTCGAAACTGAGGGCCCAGAATATCTCGCAACAACGGTTGGAGAAACGGACAGTCGGAGATCCGTCCACACCCAATCAACCGCATTGGTTCGCTACCATGCTCTGTTTTCTTTTCCTTTTGCTGGGGGAGTGAGGATGGGGGAAGAAGGGACAGGATTGGATGGGAGCAACCAAGACCGACCGCATGAGCCTCGAGACTCGAGATTCACAGGTCAGATTGGGACTCGCCGCGCACATGAAAAAAAGGCATGAAGACCCGAATGTACGATACAGCGTATCCAGAAAGATGGTAATGAAGTGATGATCGACAATGGTTACAAGATCCTCGAAGTAGACGTGACTGGGAAGAGAGAAGGAAAGAACGGGGAAGAAAGGAGAAAGAAGCAAGAATATCGAGGCTGCCTGACTCTCCAGGCATTCGCGTGCCTTCTACATCCAGAATTGACGAAGATAAAAAGCGGCGAATCACAGCGCGCGGAATGCCAGATTAGCATTCAGGCACCCAACGACGTCATTCCCCGCATCTCCCCTTCTGGCCAGCATCGCCAACTCCAGTCTCCTCAAATCCAACTCCGAAAGACCATCATGGCGGAGATTTATTCCATCGGCTCCCGCAGCGAATGCGAACGAATGGTCCGAGACTGGGGATTCGGACATGTTTTCACTTGGTCTGATGGAAGGTAAAATCCCCGAATCTCCCCGTTCGCGCCTGTTGTCCATCACTAACGCATGATATAGCAACTCTCACTACACACCACATTCCCATCAAGGCCTAACGACCCATCTCATCCGCCAAGGAATCTTCACAATCACCTATCCTGAGGACAATGCCAAACTACACCACGGGGAGGTGAAGAAGGAGACGTTTGGGGTGGGCGCTCGAATCGACGTTCCAGCTGGGAAGGTACATGAGGTTTGGATTGGACCGGAGGGGTGTGAGTATGTGATTGGGGAGTAGATATTTCACTTTACGTGATCTGAGATCTGTTGAACTGGAACTTGAAAGTCCAGCTGTTCGCTCCATTCGAGCATAGGTTGGCTCATCATTATCTATCTCTATTACATGTCACTTCAGCGCTATACCAGTACCAAATCCGAGCCATAAAACCTTTTTGTCCACCTGTCATTCCCAAAACTTTTCTATTTTCGCTACGGGAAGAGTTCGCCTCCTCCGCATTGTTCTTTCGCATTAGAGCAAAAGCCATCAAGGAAGCCATGGCCAGCTGGTTCCCATCTGCTTTGCTGAGTGTCTAATAAATAAATCGGAAATCAAGCCTAAGCAGAGGGTTAGTTTGGTGCCATGTAGGAAAGGTGTATCAGGGGATGAAAAATCCATACCGTTTATTTCCTCTATGGGAGTTCTCAGCCAGGTATTGTTCCCTCTCCTCTGTGGACATGGCATCCCAAATCGCAGATTTTTGCCTGTTGGGAAAGTGTATGAGCATTCCGAAACATTCAAAAAGCCGTGAAAAACCTTACTTGTTGCGCCAGATATAGTATTGTCTTGCGAAAATGAAAAGAACTATGCTGAAAGCCGTCAAAGCGATAAGGACCTTGTTTCCGGTGCGATAATGAGGCTTATCGTCTTCGCGATAAATCTGTCCATTATAGCTCGTTAGAATCATACAACCAAGCTAGTTGATGGGGGTTATCTTTAACTCACATTACCAGCGATAATACTGGATGCCTGAACCATCATGTTGTACAAAGCGCTGGCAACCGTTCGCGTACGGACCGAGCCTGCATTCCGGGAGGTCATCGCCACGACGATAGCATGCACGTATGGCGCTCCTATTAACAGAACGTTGATGATCCAGAGAGCCCAGGGGCTGGTTCCATCGGGAAGAACCTCGAGTGCAATGAGCAAAGCCAGGCACCACACCTCCGTCATGACGCCTAGCGTGAAGCGCTGATTGAAGCGCTCGGAGATCCATGTCCAGAAAAGCAAGTTGAGGATAAAAATGACATATGCTGGGATGGTCAGAAGACTGGTCTCAAAAGTTCCGAATCCAAGTGACTTCAGTTGCAGTGTGATATAATTGGTGGCTGGAGTGTTTGGGATCATCCAGACCAGTCCTAAGAGATAAATGGGCCACATGTCGTAGTCGCAGACGGCATGCCAGAGCATCTTCGGCGTCACTGCCTGTCTGTTGTGCATGCCTCCTTTGCTGGGATCGTCGCGAAGGACGCGATTGACCATGATTTTCTCTTCGTGTTCATTGAACCAGCCATCCTTGCCTCGGAAGCGACCTTTGGTCTGCGTGGGTGAGGCGGGCATCCAGAATGCCGCGACAATTGCGATGATACCGGTGATGAGACCCTCATAGGCGAAGAGATACCGCCATCCTCCCTTTCCATCGTCATCGCGAATGTGAAGGAATCCAAATGCCAGGAAGGCACCGATGATCGCAGTACCTTGAAAGGATACCCAGAAGTAACTCAAACGGATGGGCAATTCCTTGGACTTGTACCAGAAAGAAAGGAACAAGATTGTATCCGGGATACTAGAAAAAGTCAACATAGCTCTCCCTGGCGAGACTCGGGTCTATTTGAAAACTCACAATCCACCCTCAAATAGTCCTAGAAGTGCCCTGCAGACGAAATATCCAGACTTATTCTTGATGAACGCTTGACAGGCTGCAATTAAACTCCAGCAGAACATCTGGATGGGGATCCATCGATCGGGTCCCAATTTTTTCGATAGTAGCTGAGATGGAAGTTCCGCAAACAGGAAAATCAAGTAGAAAATCGTCTGGCCCGTATTATAATCGTTGGTATTCATGCCTAGATCATCCAGCATATTGTCGGACATGGCCTGGACAATATTACCCCGGTCCAGCTGGAGCGCAAAAAAGGTAACGCATGCGAACGTGCATACTCGCCAATCGATCTGGAGAAATGTCAGCGCCTTCCTTCTTTCTCTTTTCTTCGTTCCATCCATTCTCTCTCGTTCATCTGGACTAAAACCAAGCACTTACCTTTCTTATAACCCGCTTCTCTTCTTCTTCCGTCCACTCAAAATCCGGGTCCCAACGGTGAATGCCCTCATACGAATCGATGGGCTTGTAATATCTCGGGTCCTCGACAGTCTCGAAAGCGCAGTCGCTTATATCCTTCACCCGGGCGCGAGGGTGATTGAGATCCAGCGATGACGACGAGCTGTTTCCCGACTGAGGCGCATTTCCATCGTACTTGATCGGGACAGAGTCCGTGACTGCCCCCTTGGGTTCGTCCGCAGCCATTGTTGCCGGGGATGAATCTGCTTCTGCTGTCTATCCACGGCTTGATATAGTCAACAGGAACTCGTGTGACAGAAAAGATAGAGCGAACACAATATAGATCAGTGCTCAGTATATAAAGGCTTGCTCTACAGAAGCTTTCGGACGAAACAAAATATGTCATGCCGCCATCACGCAATTCTGGATCCTCGATGGACCGGTATCTCTTAAAGGGCTAGTATTCAACTCTCGACGCGCTGTGGGTAGCTGCGAGTAGCCAATCGTGATGCATGGATATTGAAGCCTCATGATATTCAAAGCTTTTGAACTTGCTTTTTCTACTGATAAAGGCCGATCGCGGCCAGTGTCCGTGGTGGTTGAACGTCACCAACGATGTTAGCCGGGGACTTTCCATGTCCTAGCGAGGCACTTGCCATGATAAGCTGATTGATATGCATAAAGTAGTACTAGATTAGTAGATGAAGACGCTTAACCGATGCTCCCCTGCCCAATGGGAATCAAGCTGGCTGTATCACGCAAGTTCAACCGTGGTGACGTTATGACGAACGAGTGAGATCCGCGCGGATTGGCAGGGGATCTTGTTTAGTTTTTGCATGGGAAAGATTGGGTCCCGACAGTTCCATAAGGCCAACAATAGATTGGGCCTGGGAAGGACTGTGAAACGATGAACGGGGATGGATGTCACCATCGGACTGGCTTATGATGGTATCTTTCGCCATCACTATCACAACATTGTGCCTAACGTTGATTGGTTTCGAATGCTGCAATATGGCACTGACGATCATGCATAAACAGGGGTCCTTCATTCACTTGCTTGCTCAAATTGCGCTTTTTTATCGAAGCTTCGATTCCAATGTAGTGTGGTGCCCCTAATCGCAGCGACCGTTGTACCAATGTTCCGACGTGGATTCCCAGAAGCAAAAGTCGGGAACAACCACAAATCGCAGAGAAACAATTACTCAGGAGGCCAAGATACTCAACAAAAAAAGATCCGCTCAAGACGAGACTAAGATGAGCCCAAGCGGGGTGGTTGTGTTTGGGTTCGGACTTGGGGCCGTTTGCGCGACTGAGCAGCCCTAGCACGCCATGGCCCACTTCTGTCCCTCATGCTCCTAGTCTCCCGTTCTCATTCCAACCGACTTCGTCCTCGATGGCGACTTCCTTCATAAGTAGTGGCGACCTGCCGTAACCGGCTATTCTGGATCCGATTGACTCTCGCTGCCGTCAAATGCTCGTCTGGGCATAACCGAGCCAGTTGCAGGCGGGCAATCTGTCGTTATATTTGCCGAATAGGAAATCTTATCTCGCATCACATCATAAAGCAGCAATGCTTGATCAGCATCCTCTGGGCTCAACGGTTCCCTCATTCGACCACTCGCACGACAGGCTTGGACTCTGAACCGTGTAACCCCGCGCCAATCCATGGCGAATCCAATGAAGCCTTCAATGGAGGATCAAAACATACCCCGCAGATATTGCGCAAGCCCATAAGACGGCTATTCGGATGCGACCAAGGGGATGGTATATCTGGCGATGGGATCCTCGTGCATGGAGGGTCCGATAGATAGATTGTCAATATTGCATTTTTCCCCCGAATATAATATAATCCGGTCTGAATTTCAGCGCGAACATGGCTCCATCTATCACCGAGACAGTGTCTCTGCGTACGGCTCCTACCAAGCCTCTCCGGACTGAAGGAGGCCACAATAAGGAGAACTTTGCAGGGTTGAAGAGCACCTACAATCACGACGATGAGATCAAAGGAACTGAAAAACAGCCTCCTGCATCGTTCCCCCATTATCTTCCCGTCTGGGATAACGAGACCGAGAAGTATGTCGACCTTGCATTTCCGGGCCATATCTGTGGTCCCACTAACTGAGTATCAAGATACCCCCCGTTGACCCCGTTCGAGCATTATGACCACGGAAAAGATGCGGATCCCAGCTTCCCCGACCTGTTGCCTGAAGGCAAGTTTGAGCTAGACCATATTACGCCGACTATCGGCACCGAAATCAAGGGGGTCCAGCTCAGTCAGCTATCGAAAGAAGGAAAGGACCAGCTAGCCCTGTTCGTTGCTCGGAGGAAGGTTGTCGGTATGTTGTGCCATGTGTATCTGTAAGCAAAGAGATATCAGCTAAGACCACCCAGCTTTCCGGGACCAGGACTTTGCCCATCTGCCAATCGACAAGGCGCTCGAGTTCGGTGGATACTTCGGGAGACATCACATCCACCAGACATCTGGAGCCCCCAAGGGCTATCCGGAGGTTCATCTCGTGCACCGAGGGGCCGACGATAAGAGCGGTGCTGACTTCCTAGCTCGCAACACCAACTCCATCACGTGGCATTCGGACGTGACGTTCGAGAAGCAGCCTCCAGGCACCACCTTCCTGTACTTCCTCGACGGACCTTCTAGTGGAGGAGACACCTTGTTCGCGGATCAGGCTCAGGCATACAGACGCCTATCGCCCGAGTTCCGTAAGCGTCTACATGGACTGAAGGCCGTTCACTCTGGCATCGAGCAGGTCAACAACAGCTTGAACCAAGGAGGTATTGCCCGTCGTGACCCTATCACCTCGGAGCACCCCATCGTCCGAACCCATCCGGTATGTGGTAACCCCTTCAGATATATGCGTGAGAACGTGAGTTGTAACACGTTCATCTAGGTCACCGGAGAGAAAGCGCTTTATGTGAACCCGCAATGTGAGTATAACTTCGATACTCAGTTGATTTAACACAACCCCTAACAGTCATTTAGTCACTCGTTACATTGTGGGATTTAAGAAGGAGGAGTCAGACTTCCTGCTCAAGTTCTTGTACGACCACATTGCTCTGTCGCAAGACTTGCAGACTCGTATAAGATGGCGCCCTGGAACCGTTGTCGTCTGGGATGTAAGTGCAATTGCTTCTCAGCAAAGCTTAGGCAGGAACTAACGGCCGCAGAACCGTGTGACTGCACACAGCGCTCAATATGACTGGGAAGATGGTCAGAGACGCCACATCGCAAGAATCACTCCGCAGGCGGAAGCACCATATGAGACACCCTTTGAAGGATGAGTGAATCGATCAAGAAAAACGACTGGGAAAGCTTGAGCGATTCGAATCCAAACGAGAAAACAGTACATAGAGAACGAAGTATGGACTAACGAATGAGAATGTCTATTTTCTATGCAATCAAAACCTTGGCATTTTGGGCTGAGAATGAAAAGAAAAGGAATCTGGAGTCTCCGACACAGCTGTACCGTAGAACAACCATGCCATTTGTAATAATGCTTTCCTCACGGATCGTTGTGATTCCAACTTTTGAGCCGTCCGAATTAAAAATAATGTACACCGAATCGAAATATTTGCGTGTCAGCGCAACAAGTGTTCCTCAAAAACCAACACCGAATCAAACCCAGACCAGGGAATTGTTTAGCTCGACAAGCATTCGTCTTCATGAGGATCCATAGGCGGAGGAATGATTCTGATTGTCGGTGGAGGCATGGAAGATGCGCGTCCGCGAAGTTCCGGCTTTTTGGCGTCAAGTGCTATGTCCTCGATGTGGTAAGACTGGGGTTCGTTTCGAGTCTCTAACTGGGGTTTGACCGCTGCACTAGGGCTGTCCAGGGTATCGCTCTCTCCTGATTCACAGTCATCCTGTATTGAAAGTCGCTGGAAGGCTCTCTCTAATTCTTCCCAGATGATAAGATCATCGATTTGAGAGGGTTGGGACACCGTGTGTGGAGTTTGAGTTAGCGCTGCCATTTGGGCCAGCAAGCGTGGTAAATCTAGAAGACTCAGCAAAACAGTCAGTTCAATCAGATACGGCTCGAATCGTTGGAGAAGTCCCGGCTTACAAGTAAAGACGGTTGTTGAGTTATATAGGCAGGATTTGCGTATAGCGGTATGTGACGAAGATGAATAGAGACAGACTGATGGATGTACAGAGTATGTATGACTGATAAACTTGTGGGTTATGTAAGAGTTGGGGAATTGAGAGAAAGACAAGACGCAAATGAAGATGAAAAGAAGACGAATCACTTGAAAGAAGGCCCGACAGAGAAAGCGACGCGAGGCACAAAGGCTTTCATGGCGGGTGTCTCGAGAGGGAAGGTGCGCCTCACTTCATCGGTTCATTGTCCCCTCAGCCCTTCAACCCTTCAGCCGGTCAAAGCGATGCATCACTGCTACTCGCCACTCCCGGAAGCTTCTTGCAGATCCAGGCAGCATCTTACTGCCGCTTTCCAGGGCTTCGGAGACTGCGGAGAAAACGTAAGACGGCAGGCGAAGCTCATCAAGAGACAACGACGAAGCCTTGCCACGCTCGGGATGCAACATCTCATCGACATCAGCAACAGTCTGGAACAGAACTTTCATTGCCCGTTGTGCCGTCACACTGTGGTCAGGGCTCGAATTTGAATACCACAGATCGGGGTTGAAGACCCAGAGCTAGATGCTAGTCAGATATCCAACAGGCTCGGATGACTCAAGGAAGTGAAAAGGATGATTTATCAAACATACCAGCAACCCATTCCTCTGCCCACTATGGATCACGAACCGGCGGGTGCTTTCTCGTTCTATTAGCTCCAGCAATTGAGCAGCCACGACGGTTTCAACGGAGTGGCTGTGCCAGGCAGTATTCCCATCTCCGTCTTGCTTCCCTGGTGGTGTACTTGCAGATAGACTGGTCTTGAACAACCGCCATCCTTGAAAAATGGTGTCTTCCATGCCTACCAGAAAATCGCAGTTCTCACATCGCAATTCTCTCTGCAGCTCTAATGAGGATTTCGCCGTGCTTTCGGGTTGAACCTGACGAAAATGAGCAATTAGCTTGCTACAATTGGCAATAATCAACAATTAACTGAGCTGCAGGAAGTTGGAGAACACGGTTGGATACTTGGAATGGCTATATTGTGAGATATTACACCCTGTTCTATCTGGTAAACGTCGTGGAGTACGGCAAGAAAGCCTACAGATTACAGGTGAACCACCACACCCATTCTCGAAGTTTCAAGCATGTACCTCGTCGTAATCACGTCAATCCCATATCTCTGGGTCAGTCCCACTGGGACCAAATCAACGAAGAAACGAGCAAGGCGTAGTCTTGGTCCCCAACAACTGGGTATGGATGAAAGTAGTCGCGAAATCCATCTCGAGAAAGAGGATAACTGCGACGTCCCCTCAACCAGCCAATCATTGGACATAGCTATGCAAGTAGACCAAGACCCTGTAGCTGTAGGGCAGTTGTATCGAAGGCCGAAGCATGGAAATGAAAAGGCCCCCTTCTTTTTTGCCCGGGATGCGCTCTCTGGAGGATTACGGGGAAGTAGAACCTAGCGTCATGAATAGACACGGGGGAGAATGTAGAATGCAGAGTGCGGAAACAGATCAAAAATAAACAATGTGCAGACAAAGCATTTCTCACCTGTTTCAAGCCTTTACACTCGGCTTCCGCTACCAGAAACGTCGCCACGTCCACTAGCACGGTACCAGGTATGGCGACCAATTGATTCGCAGCACCATACCCTTTAACCGTCGCATTGGGGTCTTCGTCGCCCTTATCCTCACCCTCTTCAGGCTCCGGGTCCGGTTTATGACAGTGCCAGAAATCCATCATTTCAGCCCAGTTTCCACTCGGTAGATCTTTCCAGACCCATCCCGAAGGACTTCCGCTCCCAGCGTCAACATCATCACGAGCCGGCGAATCCAACACCACGCCCTCGCACTGCCGACAACGCAACCTGGTCGCAGGGACCATATCGCGCGTCGTCCACGGCACGAACCCATCCATCGGCTCGTCCCTCGAGAGCAACGACTCGCTTTCGCTATCGATTTGCATTCGAAACGAATACTCCCGCTGATCTGCATCGGTGCCGGTCGCGCATTTCCCCTCCCCCAGACCGCCGTCTCTTTGTTGGGCAAGCGCCAACAGGCGATGAGAGGCTTCGCTCACGCGGGCAGGGAGCTTGATTGTGTCCGAGACATGGTCAAAGGGGGCAGGGAGCGAGACGGTGATGGATCGACGGGACTGCGAGAGTGATATGCTGGGTTGGATGCCCTGTGAGTGTAAATGTGCGGGGAGGGAGACGTAGAGTGTGATGTGTCGGATGTTGGGCAGGAGTTCTGCGTGCAAGGAGAGGATAGGATCCTGGTCCTGGTTAGTTTCTGGAGACATTCTTGGTTGTGAGCAGTGGTGTGGTGTTGTGTTGGTGTCATTTCGCGTCAATGAAAGAACGAGGAGCGAGTTGGACTCGGCGAAGTCGGATGCAAACACTGCAAACCAACACGCCGGAGATCATGCATGTTGGCCTCAGGAATAAGGCACCGATCTCAGTCCATTGTGTTCCGCAGGTTGCAGTCAGTCTAAGTTGTTCCATCATATTGAAATATCCCGAAATCCTAGGGCGACTAGTTTGAACATTTATGCTCAATAAGACTTTCGTTTGATTCAAAACTCCAACCGGCCCGATAGACCCTGGTCAACCAACTAGCAATAAGTAGTACTTTTAAGGTACTGATTAAACAGATAATGGAGATGCATATTGACGCCATTGAACAGTTCAAAAGAAATTAGTATCACAAGTTGCCATCGTGTAATATTCACATCCCTTAAATGAATCCTCCCCAGCCGCTAAACTCCTCGGCAAACTTGACCGCCGTTTTCAAAAAATAGGAGTCAGAGTCGCCCCATGTCGAGGCGGCCTCTCTGCAGGCGCGAATAGCCTTGACGTAATGCGCATCGGTCGAATGTTCACCCTTGACAGCCTTCTTTGCCGTCCACTTCCAATCTCTCCCGGCAAGGTCGTAGTCTCGGATGCGATCGAGGTTGATTTCGGGTCGCAATTGAGCGATGTAGATTGCCAAAGTTATGAGCCACCACTGCTTGACCAGTGGGATTTGGTATCGACCAGGGATCAAGGGGAGAAGGATGCGGACTGCGTGACTGGTCGTCAACACGTGGACGAAGAAGAAATCGTATTTCTCGTTGATCTTGCCATGAGTGGCGGCCAATATAGCGGCGGCTACCTCTTGGCTCTCGCGGAACTGATTGACAGGGTCCTCGATTTTCCACGCATTCCAGTGGTTGAGGAGAGCGGCTTCATGTTCTCGGAAGATGATCTCCATATTGTGGTCACCTGGGTGTCCGAAGATCCCGTTGAATCGCTGGTCCGTTCGAACCTTGTTTAGAATATCCAGGAGGGAACCTGAATTGTATAATGGCTCTGCTTGAGAATATGAGGGGTCGTCGAGATACTTGTGGATGCCTCCGTAGCAAGTCGTGGTCAGAGAAAGGGCTTCCATGCCAACCTCACGGCTATCCATCTCAAAAGCATAGGCCATATGGATCAAGGGGTGTCCAACTATGTCGAAGAGTTAGCTTGAGGGTTTCAAACACAGGTTCCCAGGTTTCAACGCACGATCTTCAACCAGAGAGTTGAACACGGGTTCTTTTCCGGCGAAAAGATATTCAAAGATGACTTGCTTCCAGTCATATCCATAGCGCACAAGCTCATCCTCAAAAAAGTCTACATAAGCTCGTTGGTATCTAATAGATTGGGACATTAGCCCAGATTCGAGAGCCACGGTATCAGGGAAAAAAGCAAACGCAGGGCTATAACATACTCTCTACGTCCCAGAAAGTCTCTCCAGTCGAATGTGCTGATCTCGGTGGGAGAATCAACCCAGGGATCCAATAACTTAGATTCCGCCTCATAAATACGAGTGAGATCATCCGCGTCCGCTCCCTGCAGAAAGGACGAGCTTAGGATCTAGACAAGTCAGCGCCAAATCCATCAGAGAGGTAATCCATCACACACATGAGGAGCATGGTTGTGGAATTTCCGTTCATTCCATAATATGGCATGATTGGCGTGGTTGAGCTTCAGCAGGTGCTTCAAAGCTCGAGCTGGCTTCTCTTGAGCCGTATCAGTCTCATGAACCTTGACTGGTGGAAGGTCGAACACCGTCCTGTCGCGCCAGGAGAATAATTTGCCGAATGAGGGCAATGATATAGTGAACATAGCTGAGGTCTGCGTATATGTGCAATGGGAACTGGTTGACGCTGGGGTCCCAGCAGATCTTGGCGTTGAGCTCCAATGTCAGGTAGAAGAAAGAGCTGGATGGCGACTGCCAAATGATTTCTGGTATGTTCCCAATTATGTACTAATGTAATCCAAATAAACACAAGACTTGATCACACCGGGTTGACTAGACAGGGGAGTGGCTTTTGGCGACGATCCGAGCAAAACTGTGGGGAAGTCAAAGAAGTTGTTGGGGTGGAAGGGCGGCCTCAGGTGGCCATGACGCAATGTGCACGGCATGCTGTTTGTGCCTGAGGCATCAATTGTTCCCAAGTAGATACCAGTATCTATCTTCTATTCAACGATAATTACACAAATTCAAACGCTAATCATATATGTGCCATGGATCCTGCCGACGTATTCATTTCCTATCTTGACCTTCATGCTGCTCATCTTGTCCACCTTTGTTTTCGCCGTAGTATTCGCCTCCAGCCACCTCACCGGCGATAACATCCACATCTGCGCGTGGACCGGTGAAGTTTTTGCGACCGTCAACAATCCACTGGAATGTCGAAATGATCAAGATGATACCAAATGCAGCGACACAGTAGTCTAGATTCACGGATTACATCAGCACTTGGGACGCCCTGTCTCAAACATTGGTTGGGGGACTTACTCATGTTGCTGCCGGAAACAGGAAGCTCGGGTGGGAAGAGGAAGAGCACGGTGGTAAGAGAGATGTAGGCCAAAGAAATCTATCAACAATGTTAGTGGATACGAATCACACCATAATACCCATCGAACATACCATATTGGCAATCCAACCGACAATACTCGGAAGCACAAAGTGTCGCTCAGGGAGCATGTTCCGGCCACGCATGCAGTTGATTGCAATTGGAATTCCATATGCAATATCCAGCATCACCACGGACGAGGACACAATAGCGTTGAATGCACTGCAGCAGATTGACTGGTGAGCAAATTGAAAATCCAAACGGCTGTGTGTCCCTTACCTAGAGGATCCAAGGAAAATGCATCCGAAAATAATAACAAGAACATTTGTCAGATACAAGGCATTCAAGGGTACCTTGAGTTTCGGGTGAACCTTGCTGAAGAAGGGTGAAGCTGGAAGACCGCCATCTCTGTATTTCCGCTATTAGCACGTAGATCGGAAGTACACTACAGGTCATTTGAGTTCTCACCTGGCAAAAGCGTAGACCATACGACTGCTAGTTGCCATAATGGTTGTGGCAGCAAAAAGCATACAAACCAGAGGGAAGCTGCCGGTCATTGGTCAGTAAGAAAGCCTGCAAGTTGTCAAAGTCATAGCAACGTACATTAAAAGGCAAATGGCTCCAGCATTGTTGTTCGTGACATGCTTGAAAATTTGCGCCAGCGGTCCGGCGGCAGAATCGATAATCGCATAGATATCACCAGCGACGAAGAGCAGCACAATCAAAAATACCAATCCGGTTCCGGTTCCGATGAGGACACATCCTATCATAATTTTGGGGCCTACCACGGAGGGGTTGGGGATTTCTTCGATCATGTGTGCAACACCATCCTTTTGCAACTGTCAGCTTAGAAAAATAAAAATTGACGTAGGAGTTGACTTACAAATCCTGTAAGACCGAGCCCTCCTTGAAGCAGCTAAGACAGAATTAGGTAAAGTTTTGGCCATCAAGATACGAGGTACATACGCCAAGCAACCAAGCAATGCCGTCCGGCCCTGCATACAGTCAGTTTCTCGAATAGCTTCTTCCAGGGGAATGAATGCAGGTGGAGAGTAAAACAACTTACAGCCTGTCTGGTTGATAAATTTACCAAAGACGAACCTGTCGGAATCAGCAAGCCGACAACTGAAAAGGAGCTTTGCGAGGTCTCCTTACTCTCCAGAATTGAAATCAGGCGATGAACACGAAAGCAAAGTGATGCAGATGATAGTGAATCCAGAAAGAGACCAGATGACTGGAAGATGCTTAGAATTGTCCTGTAAACAAATATATCATGGAATGACTTACAGGCACTTTTAGTGACGAGGGGCAGTCCGTTGTTCATGAGTGAGTTGATCAAGAAGGCCATGATGTTATACGCAATGTAAATCAAAAATTGATGCCAACGCTGGGACTCATAGGTCTAGAGATTGGGGTTAGCGATCAAATCACAAGCATCTGATCCTCAGAAATCCATACCGGATGCATGATAGTAATGACCCCAAGAATAAGTTCACTGCCCAGCAATCCACCGGTGGCGGTCAAAGCGAGCTAGGATTCATCAGCAAAGACAACATCAAGAAGGACTAATCTTGTGCGCACCCAGCCAGAAACATTGGCCCAACCGGTTATCCAAGACAAGATTGGCATCCATTTTTCCCAAGCGACTTTTATTGATATTAGCAAGATGATAACGTAAGATTATCGACGAGAGCTACATACTGACTGTCAGAGACCAGTTGTGTTAGCGACATTCAGACCATAGATACAACGGCACGAACTTACCTGCGACCCAATGATATTGTCCACCAGCCCTGGGTAGATCGTCAGATCTAGTTTGAAATGAGCGGTATGGTGGCTTTAGACTCACGTAGGGTAGGCTGAAAGAAATTCGGCGAGGGAAACGGCAGTGGAAAGGTTACAGATACCTGCTGTTACCAAACCTATCGAGAAGATCAGCTTGGATGATGCATTTCGAGATCAGGAGGATAGACGATATCATGGAAAAGATCGGCGGAAGTGCGTGATCGGAAATCAGTTGGTGTTTCTTACCCCAGACAACGCTTACGCAACCTCCGGACGGCAAACTCAGGTTCAAACTGGCAGACAGCGCGGTCCATGACTACATTCAGAAGTCAAGTTAACAAACTGCTGAGATTGTGCCATGGGCTGGGCCTAACGACAGGCACTTTGAATTGTTTCCGAACGTTCAATGGCGGGGAAATCTGTGTGCTGTACATACATTCAGAATGGCGAATGCAAGACCTAACATCGACCTAGATTTGGAGGATGCATTAGCCCAACTCAGATTACATGGGATCCGCGAGTATATTGGGGAGCATACAGCATCGAGAAATTGCGATTCAATTCGGCCCGATGGCCCATGGCTGCCAACTGGGCATCATCGTCCCCCCGGATGTCTTTCGACGTGGACATCTTCACAAGTTCCGCCAGATTATACGGGGCAGCAGGTCACTTCACACAACCGCTATTACTGGAACAAAAACGGAGGGCTGGAATGTCGGAATTCTGGAAAGGAGCAAGGGGAGAGAATAACCCAGGCAGGGAAGGATGGGAGGGAGGGAGAAGGAGAGAAAACGAAGGGGAGGGAGCGATATTACAACAGCCTTGAGGGATTCTCCTCCCTCCTTCCTATTACCTCCACCGTGTTTTGTCCCTTCGGGGCATGATCAAAGGCCCTCATCATTGTCCTCGACCGTTCCCTGAGTCGAGGAGCGGCGGTCCACCCACATTTGCGGGGGAGTGTGGCACCGCGCAGTCTGTTACATAATGGATATGGGGTAATTGGGAGATTCAGAGCGCGATGGCGAACATGGCTCCGATAAGGCCAAGAAAAGGTGTGCTGAAGTAGATCGTGGGCGAGATAGGCCCTGCGCCCGGTGATTTGTCCAGAGCACCGAGGACAAGGAGCCGAGGACCAGTCAGAGCGCTTCGGAGGCTGATCTGCGGCCACATCTGTTGGTTCTGCCGAAAAAGGCGCGGTTAACGGACTGAAGCTTGTTTGGAGGGGGTCCAATGACGATGGCGGCAGGATTCGGACGGTTTCCTGGCGGTGATAAACGGATTTTCATGAGTATGACGGTTGAGTCAGGGGGAGTGTCAAATAGAATTATCAACCAGCCTGATACCGATGGCAAATGATAGGGAGCAGGCCGGCCGATAATAATAAGAATTGATGAGAGAATGAAATGATAAGAAAAAGCTCCGGTCCACTTCGGTCTCACCGGGTCACGGGCAGTCACGGGGAATTTGCCTGCTGCGGACCTTTCGGGCGGAGTGCAGCGGGCAGACGCCTCCTTTCGGATTCAAGATCCCGATATACCTGAGAAGTGAGAGCTCCGTCATGCACTAATGTCGCCGTGTATCCTGCCAAGACTGTGCTTCTACCCAGGTAGCAACTGTTCGGGCGGAAGTTCTCCGAATGCAATAGAAAATACATGGTCATCGAATGCAACGCTATGTACATCAGCCCGAGGCTCTTGTCCCTGCACCTACTCCGTATGTACTACTTCCTATGGTGTCCATTGGCCTTCATGGGGCTGCTGGGTGGTACTGCAAATGTAGCAAGAAATCTGAGTTGTCTGCGCCCCGATCCTCCTATTTCGAGCTGTCCGACCGGACGAGGTGATCGGTTCGAACAATGTAATCTTCATCGCCATTAGCAACGCCGTCCTCGGCACCGTCGTCATCCTCCCCTACATCGTCGTACCCTCGCGATAGTTCCCGCTCATTTCTTGAATTCGGTCCGTCGAAGGAGGAATCCGAGTCCCCATTGCTGGCCGAAATGGCTTTGTTCTTCGATTTTCCACCTGCATTGGCGGGGTTCTTCCCTTTGCCCTTGCTGCTGACCGAATGACCACTCGCGTTCCGGGATCCGGCCGGGCCTTGTTTGCCTTTGCCTTTGCCGACGGAGGGATGGTCACCATTCGTAACGGGTCCTCCTATGTGGCCGTCCAATTGATCCCCAAGACTGAGAGCTTCCAGCGCATCTTGGATAGTTTGCGGTGGCTGTTGTTCGTTGGAATTGCCAGCGGAGTCCTGTTTCTGCTTATCAACGGATTCGAACGTACGTCGGATACGTTCAAAATGCTCGAGTTCCTTAGCACTGCATGACATTAGTACTTTGATCCTGTAACCAATGGTTCTCGGGGTGGTCTGTGGTTGGGATCAGACTGCAACGTACCTGACACTAGGAACAAGTTCATTCTGCGCTTCCGTGAAGTCGTCCTCCGTAACCATCACGGAGACATCCTCCGGCGTAGCAAGGTGGTCAAAGAAATACGCAGTGCTAACGGGCTCTCCTGGTAACTGCTTGATTTTCTCATCCACCGCCGTAGACTTGCGAGTGATCGCTTTCAGCATGGAATCCGAGCATAAAGCATAAAGATCGGCACCCGTGTACGTAAGAGGCAAACGCTCGGCGACTCGGCCCAGGGACAAGCCGGGGTCAAGGGTGAACTTCCTAGTCAGAGCCTCGAGGATGGTCGCTTGCTTATCATGAGTGTCAGACACTCCAAGATAGAGCATCTTGTCGAATCGTCCAGGACGGAGGAGCGCCGTATCCAGCAAGTCGGGTCGGTTCGTAGCACCGATGACGAACACACCACCGCTATTTTCTTCGCCACCGTTCATACCGTCCAATTCGGCAAGCAGCTGGCTGACAATACGATCCATCACGCCGCCACTGTCTCCTTGATTTCCTCGTTTCGGGGCAACCGAGTCCAGCTCATCAAAGAAAACGACACACGGACGAGCGTCCCGAGCTCGCTGGAAAACTCGCCGGACGTTGGCTTCGGACTCACCAATGTACATATTCAGCAACTCAGGACCTTTGACGGAGAAGAAGTTCAAAGAGAACTCGGTCGCAATAGCCTTGGCAAGCAAGGTTTTACCAGTACCAGGCGGTCCGTAGAACAAGATACCGCTGCGTTTCTTCATGCCCTTGGCAAAAAGCTCCGGTCGCTCAAGAGGCAGTTGAATGGTTTCGACAAGGGCATCCTTAACGTTTGTCAGTCCACCGACATCGTCCCAGCCGACATTGGGGATCTTCGGTGCGCCAATCGAGTCGGCAAAGTTCTTTCTTGCAGCCTCAACAGCCGAGTCAAAGTCAGCCTTGGTGACGCCACGTGCTGCATCACCGCCAGAGACGAGAACGTCCCTGACGCTCACACTGAGGCCCTTATACTGCTTGCTTGCAGCCTCCGCAAGTTTCTCTAGGCGAGCAGCTTTCACGGCCGAGGCACGCTCAACAACGTCAACCAAGTCACCGGCCACGAGCGCGGCTGTCTTCAAGGCGACAGTGCCCAAATCCACATCGGGCGACATTTTGATGCCTCGCTCAGCCACAGCATTACGAAGAATTCCCTCACGCTCCTTCTCTTCGGGGGCAGTCATCTCAAACTCATGCGTGAACATGCTGCGAATACCCTCGGGGATTTGTTCAACATCCGTTGTGGTTGCAATGACGACCCTTGCTTCAGACACGATCTCAGCCATGGCCGAAACGATTCGGTCCGCGGTAAGCACCTCAATGTGCTTGATCAGAAGTGCCGTACAGTTGGAACCGCAGTAGAAAGCACGGTCTGCTCTTGCTTTGAGGTACGCTTCAGTTTTCACATCGCCACCGTTAGCACCGCCTTCGGTCAGAATATCGTACGAGTCAATCGGGAAAGTATGAAGGCCAATATCAGAACAAGCTCGAGTAGCAACAGTTGCTTTTCCAATATGTCTCTGCTGCGACCTCAAGAGGATAACAACCGGCTTCATGCCGAGCTGAATCGCACGAGGGCTTGTAGCCACCGACATCAGATCCCTAATACGCTGTTGCAGCGGAGGCACGAACGATTGCGGAAGTTCGGTGATGAGACCATGGAGAGACTGGGAATCACCCACACTTCTCGGTACCGATTTCGTTCCAAGCCAATACTCCCAGCCATTATTCATAGTACCTGGAACTCGACTCACGTCACTCCCAGCTTGTGCCATCCTTGTAGTCGCAGGGTCAATAATAGCAACACCGCCCCAATGAACATCTCCTGCTTCATCCTCGCTATCCGGAGAGCTGGGAATGACTTGTCCCGCGCGGAACCAGGCAACTCCAACTCTTTTCACGCCGGCGCCATCGGATTCTGTCACCTGGCCGAGTCGAGTAGTAAGATCTTCATCCTGGAGGGCACCATCGCCTGCAGCGGTTCCTGTAAAAACGGCTCTGCCCAGCCCTTCATCAATACTGATCCCAACGAGGTCACCGCTTTTCAAGAGTCGTCGTTTGGACTCGAAATACTGTTTCAGTCCAGCAAACAGGGCTGGTTGAAGGATGCGATCCATGGAAAGGGGCGTGGAAACTTTATGCAGAGTCACTTCCTTTGCCAACGGTGGACACCTGGCGGAGCCTGTCTTCATTTGATGCAAGAGTCCTGGTTTGGAGGTGCCACTACCGGCACCGAAACTCATAGAAGATATGCGGAGGTATTTGGGGTTTTCCAGGTTATTGAGTAAGAGCGGTGGTACAAAGACTGAAGGCGTCAAACGTACAGGGGGTCGCTGAGATATGCTGGGCCGTCTGTCCCCGGACTGGTTGATTGAGTATCGCGGTTTTGCTGTCGGAAATCCCGGCAGCCCATAGATTCGGACCGCACGCCAGTCACCAGAGTCTTCCTCATGTTCGTTAAAGCTTCCCAGCTTAATAGAGGCAAATATGTTGTTCGTTTGGGGCTCTTCCGTTGCCTCTATTTTCACCCAATCGCCGGAGAAACAGCCGATCTTAGCAAGTACACTGATGTCCACAAATATAAAGGACTCCGTATCATCATCTTCCCGCGGTTTCGGGTGCAGAAGATCGTTCGTTACGCGCCGCAAAAGACTTTCTGCCTTGAAGACCTTACCGCCACCACCCCGACCCGGGCGCAGGGTGGTTGATGTAAAATTAGACGCCACGGAGCCTGGTGTATGGACACCATCGGCTCGTCGACCACCTGCACGGGGTGTGGCAGCTGTCATCGCAGACATGACGCCGGACGCCGACTGAGGAAGTTCAGGGGCAGAGAGAGAAATCATGTCCTCCAACGATTCATCAGATGTATCGCTCATGTTTCCTCCCGAGCCCTCGGTCTCCGATTCTTCTGGAGTGGATGTAGATTCCATCTCAGTGCTACTCTCAATCGGTTTGTCCTCCGCCGCGGAGTAGAATTGCTCGTTGGAGGTGTCATCAGCTTCATCTTCCGCAACCTGCTTCAGCGGACCCGACCCCGACCGCAAACTTCGTTGGGTCCGGCTACCGGGCGCCTTGGCTTGAATGAGAACAATCTTCGTTGTTGACATCAGCAAGCCCTGGGACACGGGTTCGCAAAATGAGATGTGTGCCGGCGGTGGTTTGGCATAGGTAATAGGGTGTGGTGGCAGAGGCAGTTGCAACACGTCACCGGTGTGTACAACCTTCTGCGCTCCCAGGGCTTCACGCACGGCAACTGTGAGCCTCTCTTCTGCCTCCGCTGCAGCCTTCTTCGAGTATTTCTTCGTCTCTATGCCTTTCCCCGTCTTCGCCCAAAGCCCGTTGGGTCCATGCAGGCTATTGGTAAACCCGCCACCGAATTTATCCTGGATCTCGTCATGGTTTCGCAGCAAGTTACGCTCCACTGTCACGTAGATTGTATCCAGATGCAACGGCACCACATCCAAGATCTTGATCTCCACCGCACGCTGCGCTTGAATGGGTCGGGTCGGGTCGAGCTTGCTCAATGCCTGGATGAACGGTTGCAGAGAGTCTGTGAAGTCTGGGAAAATGACGGTTGAATGAGGAATGGAAATGTTGTAGGCGCGATCCTTCGATTGTTGCCGAACCGGAATGACGGTCCAGGTCAGGTCCTCGACAGAGCCGTGGCCCGGTGCATATGGTGAGATTGCGATATAGCGAGTTTCATTTCCGTCTTGGTCTAATTCAACAGAGTACCCCCAGTGGTTAGCATAGGATCTCAATTATCAGCGAGAACAGTGTCTCATACCAATGGAAGCCGGCGACTGGAAGAGGTCGGCCGCCAGATCATCGGACAAAACGCCCACGTTCCCGCGGAGCTGATCATCCAACGCCAGGCGTGCAGATATCGGGGCTCTATTACGCAGTCGCTTTCCCCGGACATTCCGTCTGCGCCGTTTTGGCTGAGCGGAATTTGCGTCGCGACGTTCAATGTCCATGATAGAGGTTGCGTTGCGCAGGCCGGTCGGTTGGAGCGGGGAAAGGAGAGTTGTCCGGTGGAAAGAAGAGGCGACCGGGTAGGGGAACTCGGGTAGATCGGGTCAATCAAAGCTTCAGGGGATCGTGTCCATCGGCCAGGGATCTTAAAATCAAACCAAGGCGCAGTTCTTCCCCGGGTATAGGTTCAGCGATCAAGAGACGTTGGAGAAAGTCCGGGGAGGTGACCAGGGCCGTCCTCGGCACCGCCCGCGCGTTTCTGCCTTTTCCCGAAGCCGAGGTCCAACCGCTTCACGAGACCACGGATTATTAACGCGAGGTCCTTCTTTCGATATCTCGGTGGGTTCATAGGATCATCATTTATCGATAGTCGTCCCGATCATTGTGATCTAGAGGATCGTTGCGTTCACTTGATCTCCCTTGGTATTTCGTACCATATCTTCATCTGAGATACTGTGATATATAAATTAGTTTCTGACAGCATACCAAATGCTACACTAATATAGCAATACTATTGTCCATAGAGACAAAATATATACCATCAGTCTTAGAAGAGCCTCTGGAGATAGGAAAAAGTTACTCTACAGCTCTTTTCAATGATAATACATATATTGCAAGAGTACCGTGGACTGGTAGATCACCGCATATGATTCTATGTTGAATTGATGACTATCTGATAGGACCTGTCATCTCATCCAAAGTGCTCCCACACTCCTGACGGACCCTAACGCGAGATGCTGTTCGTAGTGTGAAACATGTATTGCTCGAGGGACAATCCAACATGAATTCATTCCCCGACGTTGCACCAGGTTTGCTGTTGAAGAGTCATATCTCCAAAGGGCCCTATCAGGCACCAGATCATACCTTGAACGCGCCGACGTAACCCCTGCATGGGTAACGTGTCCAGACGGAGCATGGAAATGATGGAAATTAACGCAACTCAATCAAGACCGCGGACCTGGAAATAGGCAGACTCCAAAGTCAATGGACAGGGATCGACTCCAGCCCGTCCAGGATTGAGCTCATCCCCGGACCCAAGCAGCCCGCTAACTTTTGAGTTCCAAAGTCCCAATTTGGTCTCAAATCTCCGAGTCCCATGATGCGGCAATTGTGACGTCCAGGCATATACGAATTTAAGAATAGACGCAGGAACAGGACCAAACGGAGTCCAGCATGCCAGATCATGACCCCGGTGACATTGCGACGCCTTCATTCTCACAATGTGTAAGCCTAGATCGAGGACGTAAGCTTCAAAAGAAAGAACGCTGAGAGAATTTTGACAGCAGGCTGCCCAATTTCCATGATAAGCAATACGGGGAGATCAAACTATGATTAGATTGAAGAATTTGGCCGAATCTCGACCGAGGAATGATGTCACGTTCTGATCCCTCTTTATCGGAACGTTGGTGCCTCAGGAGCCGCCAAGCATTTCTGCCCTCGGGCTTACGCAACGAGCGACGGAAGACAAAGGGCATCAAGCCTTCTCCGGAGAGAGATCTGGAAGAACACGAGGCTGATTGAGGAGATTTCCCTATCCAGAGAATTGTGTTGCCTGTTTGGGGAGGGGAAAACCGACAGGAACTACTTTTGGAAATGTCGGGGATTGACGACAGCATTCGAGGGATCAGAAAACAGCGAGCAGTGTGGCGATGCAGCCGGATAACCGGACCTTTCGATACAGCATACAGGGACTACCTGACCTACCTAGGTAGGGTAGTTTCTAGACTAGCCACAGTGACAGTTCATCCATCGAATCCGTCGTGTCACGAAAGTTTCCGGCCGTGCCGCGCTGTTAATGAGCAATCTTGAGATCATTGGAGTGGCATGGACGGTATTCCAAATGAGCTGCCATGGTTGCCATAGCAAGAACGAGGATTGTTTACCACTCAGAGCCAACGACAGAACCGAAAGCATACGGAGGTGTCACCGACATTTCATACCCAGTCCTTAGAGTTTGATTGGGGCGCAACCCAAATCCTGGCGGTCGGGTGGCTATGCCCTCCACTGGCTTGTACGGGGGAGGGGAAGGTACTTCTCCTGTACCCTGGGCTGGGGTGTACGGAGCAGGGAGGAGATTGTAGCACTCAGGAAACTGCAGCTAAGCGTCATCACGATGAGGCTCAAACGCACGAATGAGAGGGAGCCTGCAGCGACGAGACAAGCTCACTGGACGACGGCACATACCTACGCTGTAGGGACTCAAGAACCCGGGCAGCGTTTAGGGGATGAATGGCAATACAGGCTCGGACTGTCGGGCGTAAGTAACCAAAACCCGTAAAAACCGAATCCTTGTCCGAGGGGCGAGAACGCCAATGTTGAGCCATCGTGTCTCATTCATCATGGCCAGGCATTATTAAGAGCGACATGAGAGGGCGTTGGTCCCATGCTATCATATGATGGGCTCCTATGACATGGCCGGCGTTAAACTCAACTGCCTTGGAGGACGCCTCGCGGATCCTAGGTCGACTCCTCAGGCTTCACTCAATCTGACCAGAACGATCGAGGGAATCTTCCATGAACCCGATCTGTTTGCTGTTAGGTAGTTATATAACTACTTGCAGGCGGATGATGAAAGCCAGAGGGGGATCCACGGAGACCGAAAGGGGAGAAAAAGTCAATTTGGGAGGCGATGAATTCATGGAAGACCAACGAGGTGAACTATTTTCGGAATCATCTGTAACCGGCCCACTCCGCGTGTTGACGGGCATCATTGGCTGGACGGCCTCGAAATAGGGACGGCGAGGCGCGGAGAACGGGAGACAACGGCCCCGACCACGGGGGGTTTGGGCGCCTTGGGGCCGTACGGGCGACGTAAGGGCGCTGCCAAATACGCGGCCACGGAGCGTCGTGGCCCGGCATCCCCTTGTATGGCGACGGTATTGATTACAGGCGAAGGGGACCAGCCCGGCGGAGCGCAATGCACTAGGGCAGGCCAATCACACCCGCGCGACCCACCACGTCTGCCCCCTTCGGGACTAGTCCGACTCGTCTATCAGGCAGACATCCAAAACGCATCAGCCCCGGCGAACAGCCTCCATGACCGTCATCTTCCTTCCAGCCAGATCGCATGTCTGTTTTCCTCCTCGCTTCCCCAGTCCCAATATCTAAGCTGTGTCATCCCTCCGCCCGCTGCTGCCTTCTCTCCACCACCTGGATTCCTCTTCGGAACTGAGCTCTTCTCGAACGCCATCGAGTCCCAAGAAACCGCTTTTCGAACTGGGGCCTTTTCTCCCCTTTCGCAGTTGCTCGAACTAGCCGTTGCATGCGGATACTTTATTTCCATCGTTAAGCCAGGTCAGACAGGTCCGACGTTTTAGCTTGCCGTAAGTACTCGAGAGACGGTTTATCAGACCACCCGTTTGTCTCCTTTTCGCTCTGGATACTCCCTGGTGGAAAACAACAGAGGGGAAACTGAAACGACAACCAACTGATTGATGGACTATAAAAGTGTAAACGTCCCGACGAGTCCAGCCTTTGTTTTTCAATTTCCACCGCGCCGAAGGAGTCTGGTGACTCTCACACCACCATGTCGACCACTTCAGGTGTAGAGACTCAAACTCATCGGCATCCCCGCCGCCGAATGATGCTGTCGTCGCAACCGACCCCTAGCCTTCTCGGATCCGAAGCCCACTCGAGTCCCCGTCTGCGAAAAGGCGAAACGTTTCACGCCTCTTCTCGCCCGCCCAGGAGCCGTGATCCTTTGTTGCATTTCCCTCTGCTGCCTCGTCGCTCTCCTACCAGCCCCGAGGCCCTCGAAGCCATCGCTACTGGCCAACAGCGCATGGCCAACATCCTGGATAACTTGGAACACGATGCCTCCCGGTCGGAATCCTCGGAAAATGATGGCCCGTACTCGCCTGCTCCCCGCCGGTCCCTGAGAGCCCCGGTCAAGCCGTCGAACCTCGCAGAACAATCCGACAAGGATTCTGAACGCAGCCAGTCCGCTCTACGGAAGGAGGCTCCGGCAAAGACTCGACGAGTGAACTGCCATGCATCGGACAGTGGTCTGGGTTCCTCGATCTGCAGCGTCGAAACTGCGGTCTCCAAACAGAACAAGGGTATGCTGCAATCATAAGCTCCCCACCGTTTTTCTCAAACGCATCCTCTAACCCTCCACAGTCACCACTGGTCCCCTGGCTCAGGGTAGTGCGACTTTCTCCACCCGCAAGTTGAGCAACAGTGGCCGCCTGGCGATCGAAGGTCGTATTCTCTTCCCTTTGCTCAAGGAGGAGAAGTTCCGCCCATACCACACTTTGGTCCGCCGCGCCCATGAGCGTATTGAGAAGGACCAGATCGTTTGTTTGCGTGACCTTGAAAAGACCCTGCTTATGTCAGCTCCTGTGAGTTGCTACCCCCGGACCGGTTCATGCCAAGGGGGATCATCGCTAATAGAATGGATGATAGGATGTGAAAGCCCGTATCAGAACCTACTACGAATTCTGTCAGGTTACCATCTCTTGTCTGTTCGGCACCGTTCCCCATCTTAATGACCGGGACTTGCGGATGCCGGCCGACCGGCCTTACACCAACGGCTACTTCCTTGATCTCGTCTCGCAGATCAACCGGTTCAAATCCATGCGAGAGGCGTCTCGCGGCATCCAACTTCGTGCGGAGGCACGTAAGCAGGGCGACAAGGCTGATGGCGTGATGTATGTTTTTCGCTAAGGAAGGTGCAGACCGCAGACTGACCCCTTTACTTTTTTAGTGACCTTCGTCTTACTCTCGAGGGCGGGATCGCCAAAACTGGACGCCCTGCCGAGTTCGTCGCCCACAAGGACGGCGAGGCCATTTCCATGCGCACTGGCGAGGCCTATAACGAACACGCCGGACCCTCGATGAAGCGCAAGGCTGACGACGGAGTCGTGCGGTCCATGGCTCGCCGCAAGAAGAATGCTCCTCCTATGGACATCAACAAGAAGTGTGAATTCTGTGACAAGGTCTTCCAGAGGCCCTGTGACTTGACGTAAGAAGCCACCGATTTCTATTACTCGATTAATGATGCTAACCGACTGTAGCAAACACGAGAAGACTCACTCGCGCCCGTTCAAGTGTGCCGAGCCCACCTGCAAGTACCACGAACTGGGCTTCCCAACTGAGAAGGAGACCGAGCGCCACTACAACGACAAGCACTGCAACACCCCCATGATGTACAAGTGCTTGTTCCCGTCCTGCTCCTACCAGTCCAAGCGACAGAGCAACTGCAAGCAGCATATGGAGAAGACCCACAAGTGGAAGTATGTGCGATCCAAGAACAACGGCCGCATTGCCAAGCGTACCACTCCCCAGCGAGGAACCTCTCGGGCCTCGTCGCAGGGCCATGACATTGGCACGCCCGCCACCAAGCAGGTGCCCGAGCTCTCTACTCCCACCACCGGTGCCAGTTCCTCCCCCGAGCAGATGGCCGCGTACCCGCAGCACATGCCCTTCTCGTTCGCCGAGCCTCCCATGGCCACTAAAACCGAGGATTTCCAACTCTTTTCGAACGGTAGCTCCCTTGGAGGCTCCCCGTGCGAAATGAACGATTACCGGACTCTCCCGTCTGCCTCGAACAGCTTCGACATGGGCCAGCCTCAGATGAACGGCGTTGCGACTCCCAACTCTGGGTCGGCAGAGTTCCTCACTCCTGCCACGGGAACCACCCACTCCCCGTATGAGCCCGTCAGCACCTACCCCGAGAACTCGATGTTTGCATTTGCCGATCCCTTCGCGCAGGCCAAGCCCGACGACAGCCTCCTCTTTATGAATGGCGGCGGATTTGGTGGTGAGCTGCCGAGTATGTTTGAGGACCCGCTGGCGTGTTTCCCGGACCCTGCCACCTACGAGCCTGGACCCATGGACTTCGAAGGTCTTCCATCGCAATTGGAGCCGGAATCGAATGTCATGTACAGCATGGATCCGTGGGAGGACTTTTTCAACCGGGCTGACCACACTACCATGTAAGAAGGTCGGTCCATCGTTATGTAGTTAAAAGGCGTTTCCATGGAGGTAAATTAGGGGGACTTCGGGAAATTGGTTTCATGTATTATGTTCACATTTTGAAGCGTTCTATGTTCCCTTGAGAAATGATCAGACTGTAGGCATCTCCATACCAACAGGCATATCCAATGAATGATATTGACCCGCACTTGTGATATCACGGAAGTCCCTTTTCGCCCCTCTCAAAGATGGACACAATATCTCCGCTTATCTCGGCCTTTTGATTTCTGCCAATCTTTCCATCTCCAGGCCTAAAGTCTATTCGAAACTCAAATACCCTCAAACTCACCGACAGTAGCAGCATTTACTTATCCGCTCGTTGCGCCCATGTCGCGACCTGAGATCTTCATCCAAATGGATGATCGACCGAAGCTATGCATACTCTAACGGTTGCTAAGTCTTCATGTCCCCAGCTTTCTCCACGCAACTGATCCCAGCGCTATTGTCATGTTTGCTTCTTTCTTGTCGATCATGGAGTGCTAGTGCATTTGTATACTACATGCAATCCCTCCCTCGAGTCTCTCCCTGGCAGCCTGTTCTCCTTCCGGATCAGGAAATGAGCTTCATCATTGAGCCTGTCTACTCCCTGAGTCCTGAATTGAGAGGATTGAATATCAAGAAACCAGGTAGACAGACAGGCAAACATCTCCCCTCTTGCATATGACACGCCAAACCCAAGCAACACCACCATCCGAACAGAGTAACTATCTCCATCGTTAGTTAGTGCCTCATCTTCCATTCCTTGCTGTATATGTATATTCCCTGTTTCCTACCATGACAAGAAGCGCCCCACCTACGATCCTCCCTGCAGCATTGCCAAAACCAAAGCATCACTTGCAGGGGATTTTTCCCGGTTTCGGCTATGCGGGGTGGCCTGATAATCCATCTGCTTGACAATGTGGGCTGCGCTGGATGGGACCCCAGTGTTGATCGGCCGAATGGATGTGCTGGGTTGGTCTGATCTGGGTTGACTGGGGCTGATCCGATCCGATGAGTGCCTTGATAGGGCGCGGTGATCGTATCCTCTGACGCTGAGGCTTTCGTTTCGTGTACAATGCTGATAAGACTGGATGGGCATTCTTGAATGGGGAAAGATGAGGCGGTTTGGCGAGTCAGGCAGTTGTTGATCGGACGGTGGGTGGTCGATGACATACTTGTGATGGGCTTACCTTACTCCGGCCGGTTTTTCTTTTCTTTTTTCGCAAAAACCTGGAATGGACTCTGGGGAGAAGGTTTGACGCTGCAGGATCTTCGTGGTTTATGTCGCGTAGAGCGGTTGGGCGAATTAAGGTCTTTTTATTTTACTATGAAAAATTTCACCATGAGAGATCCTGCTATGATGCAACGATGATGAAGATGATGGTCTGCAGTAAGTTCGCTGTGCGCATAGTTGTGTCTACTATCTAACCTCACCATATTAGGGCTATCCTCGCTGCCTATACCAGTTACTGCCTTGGCTAATGATAATGTCCATAGGGGCAGTAAAATTGCTCATTATTACGTAGTGGAATTGGCTCACCCCATGTAGAATCCTATAGTCCGATTGCTCCAATACCCAAGGCATCCTGAAATCCACTTGACCCCGAAACCCCCCTTGGTGTCCACAACGGTCCCCGAAGTCCGGCGCACCCCAGTCCGGCGCCCAAAACCCCCGAGACTATCGAATTCCTCCTTAATCCCGCACCCTGAAAGGGCGCGGGGCGGGAGTAACCTTGTTTTTCCACTCTCTGGTCTGGGGTAGATTGCGGATTTGATATGATACTACGGGTGGTCTGTGTCAGGGGGAGGGGGAAGGGCCATGCATGTAGCTGGGGGGGTTCTCTGATTCTCACACTCAGTCCATTAGCTCTCATTCCCAGCCTTACTTCCAGTCTGTACCTGACTAGACGTTCACCTACTCTGACATCAAGACTCAACCCGACCAACAATTGAAGGGCAAGACTGACGGATGACCCGCCCACATTCCAACCACCACGATACTCCGTGATCAACTGATCTTCACACAGCATACCGCCCGTCACGAGATAAAATGAGACATCATTCCTCCTTTTCCTTTCCCGATGCGGTATAGACCCGACCCTGGACAGCTCGCTACACATGGAAGGACAAGAACAGGGACAGGGACAGGCGCTTTCTTCAGCCCTCGGACCGCCAGAGCCCGTCTAGCGTCTCTTCACCGTCTACGCCGCACGCTGCAGGACATAGAAACAGAGTTCAGAAAGAAGAAGGTAGAATATGATACATGCCATTTGCATCTACACCGCATGCTCTTGGATGCACGAACACCATGCACGCACTGACAGGGATGAGAAGTAGTTTGGTCTTGTTGGTGGAGAAAGACAAGAAAAAAAAAATTCGCATATACTCCATCCTCCATGCAGAAGGTGGTTAGATTCTAGCACAATTCCATTATCCCACCCACCGCATGTATGTATGCAGCTGGAGTGTGGCAGGACAAGGATGTTTCGAACTCCACTCACCACCCACTCACCACTCTCCACAACGACACCTACTCAGCTTCACTTGTGTGTTCAGCGTTCACCGCTTCAAAATCCCCTGGATCTATTACCTAACTACCCAACTGACTAGCTCCTGTATCACGGAGTTAAGTCTCCGGAGGTATGACGAAACAAACCACGATCTAGGAGGGAGTCCTATCCCCACCTATACCCAGACACCCAGCTAGCTAACTAGCCAGCCAGCCAGAGCATCTGACCCATCACTCCAACCCCTTTCTCCATATAGGGCACATTCTCCCCTGCCCCATCCGCACGGGTGTACCCGTGATTCAGCGCGAACGGACCGAAGTGGCGAGAAGATAACGAGCTGAGGAAGGAATTCGATCGGGGGGATGAATTTGCGCTCGTCAGGTCTTTACCAGATATAGCAAGTACCCCTGATGCAAGGTTCATGATGCATATGATATGATACGATAGACCGTGAGGTGAATACATGAGACGAGACTAGATGAGACGCGATGGAATGCGGGGGTTGCAGACAGGGGCAGGGGTAGGAGGGAGTAGTAGGTCGGGTCAGGTATGCAGATGAGAGGTCATATTCTGGTTTCTCGAACGAGGGTGGGTTTTTTTGCGTAGCCGCGATTATCTAGATTTTATCTAGGTCCAAAGAAATTAACTTTTTTTTGTCTTGTCTTTCGAGAGGAAAAAAGGGATAGGAGATTAGATTGGGTTGAGGGGATTAGGTTGCTTCCGTATTCTCCCTTAGCATCGATGTTCTTAGGGGGGTTTGCAGTGATGCTTTTCTGTATTGTGTATGTATGTGCTAAGAGAGACAGTATGAAGCTGGATAGAAGCTGATTATTCAATAAAGGTATCTCAATTGATAGTTCTAAATTATGTAGATTGATAACGAAATAATGCCAATGTCAGAATTCATGTGTCGCCCTTGCGTATGCCCAACAAACTCCTCGCTAAATCCCTAACCTACCCGCTAATTCCATCCGTAAGAATAAACAATGAACATGAAGAAAAGAAGAAGAGAAAAGAAAAACAAACGACAGTGAAAATGCCCCGAGAGGGTGAGAGATCTTCAGATGCACCAATGGCGATGACAAAGGAAATGTTGACAGGAGGACCTCGCCTGCAGCGGCTCAAACATAAAGCTGATGCAACGTGGGTCTGTAATGTGGATGACTGACTGTCTGAGTGTATGTGGATGTGGGTAAAAGAAAGCGCAAAAGAAAGGCTATGTCCGAAAAAGTCAATTATAGATACAAGGGAAAAGAAAAAAAGAAAAGTCAAATCGTAGCGAAGGATTCATTCTGGCCGAAACAGAGGCTGAGGCAGATTCATGCCCGCTGGCGTCTGCGTATCTCGTCTCGGCTGAGGAATCGTCGTATTCTGGAAACAAACTTTAGAGCTGTGGAGTCTGCATGGAACCATGAGTTAGCTGATCTGACAGGTAAGATTTCAATTGAAGGGAAAGGAAAAAGAAAAACTTACCACTGTACCTGCGTGCGGTACTCGGTCTAGGTCTGGAGTAATCCTCCGTCGGTCCATGAGACGAAATCTCGGCCCAGTAGCTGATATCATGGTATCCGGAGAAGCTGTTGGCTTGAGTCCAAGGGTTCTCGTCGGCTTGGAGTTGGAGAGCCACGACGTGTGGATAGAGAGTTCCCAATGGATAGAGGATCTCTTCTGACGAGCGCTCTCGAGTCATGTCGAAGCTTTGGCTTTGGCTTGTCTAGAGGACATTGTATAAGTATGGTGGCCAGATAGATAGAAGAACAGAAGGAACTCACGTAAGGCTCGTAGTTGGTCTTGTAGCACATAATGGCGGGATGGAAGAGGACTTGGAGAGTGAAGGCTCGAATGACCAGTGAGCCGGGAGGGCGGGAGGGCGATCTATATCAAGATGGATGGAGAGATGGATGGAAGTCTTGGTCGAGATAGGATTTGTTGATCTTCAGGAAACACTTTATTTCGGACCCAAGCACTGGAGAACAATAAGCCCGCACTCCATTGTGAGAAACCTTGATGGCTTTATATCGTGGCATCGCAACTCATGGGCCAGCAAGCAAACAGCCCGCCACAATTCCGTCGACAAGTGACAAGAAGTCAGAGTGGGGATCGCTAGGCGCATGGTCCTGGGGTGTGACATTTGCTTTTTCCATATTATTTTTTAATTAAAGAAAAAAAAAAGAAAATTAATTATTTCCTCGATCCTCTAGACTCAAGTGGTGCTAGCGCTAAAGGACCCGACGAGGCTGCGAGCCCAAGGGCGATGATGAATCTAATCGACGCGAATGATTTGAATTTTGGCAGCAGAGTCATGATCTCATCGTGTCAGGCGACAAATCAGGGCACGACGGACACGATCGACCCCATAATCGATGCATCCTGTATGAAGTTTATGACGGGCCAGTAGACGGTCGGAGTCGCTCGGTCGAGCGACTCCACCGCAGGAGACGCTCCCTGGCAGGCCCATCGGCTATACCGTATGCAAGTCTAGTGGCCCAGTAGTCGCGACTTGCTGGGACCTGATCTTCATCTGCCGGTGTGTCCGAACGGACGAATCATGGCTGGCAGACTCGCAGGAGGGAAGGAGAATGTCCAGATTGTGGTCCACTCCGTCTATTGCGGCTCCCCCTTGCGTCGCCCTCTCGTCTACCAGTCGGCGACCCTTCGAAGTCCACGTTTTTACTGTTTTCCCCTCTCCCCAGGGTTGCATGCGACATGTAATGGTGACGATGAGATGATGAGCATCCCGACCGAAGCGCACGCTATCTCCTCCTTGTGTCACCCTAGATTCCGGTCCTGACCGACCATGTGTGTGCGTGTATCCTGTACCTGGGTGGAGAATGAGAGAATAAAAAATAAAATCAATCCCTGGACAGACGAGAGCTGTCACATCTCGTTGGGAGACGGTTTGGTCGACTATTGAATTTCCCCTGCCCACGCAGCCCCCCGTTTAGATAAGGACAGGCCGGCGTAGCGTGCGTGAGGTTGATTAGGATGTCTGCCACTATCCAGCTTGATTCCCCTCCCCGAGCTTCTCCAGGCTCCACGGCGATCTTGCAAAGGCAAAAGATGGCGAGCTGACGAGAGGGACCAGGATCAACCGACACTAGTTGTCAGGTTTTCCAAATCCTTTGGCTTAGCGTCGTCTGGGGGGTTGTCCAGGTTGCTGGGATTCTGGGAGGGTGTTTGAGCCGTGTTAGTCTTAGACTCTTGGTGTTAGAGGCTTTAGGGCAATAGTGTCATGGAGAAGACCGAGACTTAAGGGCTCCGCCTGGCCCGAACCAGCAAGAAAGGGGTCTTAGCGTGGGTTTTGCAGGGTAGGACGGTCTCGATAGTTAATACGGACTACGGAGGAGAAGTAAGACCGGGAGGGCGCAGGAGAATGCAAGAGAAAAAGCAAGTCTGCGACCGAGGAAGAAGAGGAGGAAGAGGAAGAAGAGTAATGCAATATGCAATATGCAACAGTAATAATCAGAGAATAATGCATGACACAAGGGAGCACCGCCACTCGGACAACAGCGGCGCATGCGAGCATGAGCCACTAGGGCTGAGGCTGTGGCTTGTGGGTGGCCGATCTGTGGCTGCAATCCTCAGTTCAGCGCCCTTTTAGCCTCCCTTCTCCACCCGCAAGTCTCTCTATAGCCGCTGCTCTTGCGCTCTCGGCCACATTTTTCGGTCCTTGCGCTTCGGCATGGCCGTCCGTGATTTTTTTTTACTCTTTCTTTCCTCCTGCCTTCCCAATTCGGAGGAAGGGAAGGGAGAAGATCATTCAGGATGGATAAGTATAAGTAACGGGGGCTCCTTCGGTCTCCATCCTGTTTGACATCGGTCCGGCCCCCATCTGTCTGGAGTATATCTCGCTCTGTTATTATCATCCAAACTCAGTCGCATATAAACTCAGACGTCTTCCGTCGTTGGCCCCAACCCAATTTTCTCCATTCGCATCCTCCTCGGCACATGTCCAAGACCAATCACCATGACCGTCAACATGCAGGTTTCTGGCGCAGACTGCTGGGCAAGCTCTCCAGCTATGGACGCCCACGAGTCTCCCTCGCTCGCATCCTTCGCCTATCATCCCGCAAGTAAGTCCGCCCCTTTGTTTACTTTTTGATTTCCCCCTCCTGTCTCTTTTTTCCATGTTCTAAGACCCAGTCCCTGAACAGAATCAACGGAATTGGACACTGAACCCCGTAGACACCAGCACCACATGTCCTCTGGCTCCGGTGCTGAATCTTTTGGATTCCCAGGGAGTCCTGACCGGGAGATATCGATGACAGCCGATGCACCGCCCACCAGCCCGGAGTATGCGCAGATCGATGTGAACGACTGGTACCCGCGGTACCTGGGATGCATGCGGCACTTCCTGGATCATGCGCAGCATTCGCTCGCCGTGCAATCGCTGGCAGCCTTCATCAACATCCGACTTCCGTGTCAGCGACTGCGCGATCCTATTGTTGGCATGTCCGGCCCCCAGCAGGAGCAGCAGGAGCAGCAGCAGCCCCCGGACCAAGTGGGTGCCCAAACGCCCGCGGCGTCACAGGTGTGCCTGAGATCGTATCTCCGGCGTCTCATCGTCACCGGCAACGACACGCCCGCCACGTTACAGGCTTTTTTCGGGGCGGAATGGCAGGCGGGCCTCGACTGCGTCTGGAAGCAGGAGCGCGTCAATTACTTGTTTTCGGCGAAGAGTGGCGGCTGGGCGTCCACCAAGGAGGCGTACGATATCTTGCCGGATGAGCAGACGCCCTTTCTACGACCGCTCCGGGCAGCGACGGAGGAGGAGCTCCGGGTCGCGGAGTCGCGATGGAGCGAGTGGTTGGCGATGGAGGATTGGATGGTGGGACCGCGGAGTCCCTGGTGAACTGGGGTCGAGGATGACGAAGGGATGATTTACGACCGGGATGATCATTAGTCGCTCTTTATTTTTGGACACTTTTCCTTTGTTTCATATACAGTACAGTCCTTTAGAAGAATCATTTGTTTTGTTTTTCCAATTGGGGTGTTCGGCCAAGAGTTGCACCGAGTACACGGAGTACCACTGCGTAGTTCCCTCAGTATGGAGTAGAACTATGGAGTCGAAGGACGCAGATAGATTAATCTCGGATCGGTGGCGTTCAAGAGCTGAACCTCGTCTAATCAAGCCGAATCGGGCAAATGGATTAATCTACCGGAGCAAATGAATCCATCGACTGGACCTGTCACAATTCCACCGGCTTCGAAATGACTTCCATGCAGATCCGATCCACTCCATGTGGCAGCCAGCGCTAAAGATTCTTTCGTCTTAATTTAGTCTCTCCGTCTCTCCGTCTCTCCATTCCTCGCACCGCCACACTCCCCCCTGGAATGACAAATTCTTCCTCTACTAGTCCTTCTAGTCTTCTTAGTCGCTGCAGCTAAGCTTCGCGTCATCGCTTGGCTTCGGCCTGACTCATACCCATTGGCAATGGACGTATTTCTAGCTCGTCCGGTCCAGGGGTTGCCCTGCATCGCACTGGACTGACTCGCCCGCGGGTAAACTCTCCGCTGTCATTTTTGCCTTTGCGTGGTTATTCTTAGTATTCTCCTGTCCAGTGATGGTTCCTGACATCGACCTAGTTTCACATTTACGATTTACGAAGTAAGACCTGAGCCCCCATCCCAGCCAGATGGGTCCCCCGATGGATCTCCCCCCCGTCCACCACGTCGATCCGCAAGGCCTCATTCCTGTCCTCCAATCTCACCTCCCCTATTCGCTTCCGTTGCTACGGCGCCTCCAGCACTCGCTAGCCCATCCCTCTCCGACCGCCAAGTCCCTGGTAATCGGCGACCTGAAACCCGCGTCAGACTCGAACTCCGTGTCCGCCTCGTTCTCGTCAGGGGGATCCCTGCCGACGCCATGGCTGGCTGCCTGGGTGGATCTGCCCGCCGGTCCGGAGACCCAGGTGGTGCTCTATTCCAGTCTGGAAGTGGAGGCTCACGCTGAGCGCGACGAAGACGAAGCAAAAGACATCGAGGACCCCGATTCACCGCGCGTCTCCACCCTGCGTCCCACCAGCCGTAACACAATCTCACCCAGCGCGCTGGACCGCGTGCGTGCGCAACTATTGGCTCTACTATTCCATATCCAGGATCGCTTGATGCCCGAATACCTCCGCTCTGTCACTGCAGCCCCCAACTCAGGCTCAGACAGACACGCCAATACGAACCTCAATCCGAATAGAGCTTCCACTAGCTCGGGCAGTGACACTGACACTGACACTGACAGCCGTCCCAACCCACCGGGTCAGCCTTTTGGCCCTCGGGCTTTCAAAATCGGCCACCTGCACACCGGCCTCTTCTCCCTGTTAACCGCTTCGGGACAATACCCTTCCCCCTTGCCCCAGAGCCAGACCCATGGTCCTGGTCCCCCAAGTCCACATGGCCCCCAGATGGTCGTCCCAGGTCTCCGGGTCCACCGTTTCGACCAGCCCCCCTACAACAAGTATCTATTTCGGGAGGAGCAATTTGTCATTGCAGATAGCGCTGACACCGGAGGCGTGGTCGAGAATGGCGGATCCAGCTCTGGATCTGCACCCGCTGTCATCTCCGCTGTCAGCCAGGGCTCTAATTCCTCGACCCTACCGCCGGGATACCGCTTCTCCGACCGCAGGGGCAGCTCGGCCCTGCAGCCGCGTCACTACGAGCTCATCTGCCGCCGATCCGCCGTCTTTCGCACGCCCAAGAGCCTGGCGTCGTTTCCGGGCGTCGCGGTCTACGTCGACACACCCTCTTCTTCGTCCTCGACAGGCGCGGACGACAACGGCGAAGATCCGATCGCGTGGGCGTTCCTCAGCGCGGACGGGACGCTGGCCGTTCTGCACGTCGAGCCGGAGTATCGTGGCAGAGGGCTCGCTGAGGCGGCGAGTCGCGAGGTCATGCGGAGGGGCATGCGCGAGGGAAGGATGTTTCTGGCGAAGGGCGAGCAGGGGAGAGGGAAGGGGTGGGTTCATGCGGATGTGACGCCGGGGAATCGGGCTAGTTGTAGGGTGATGGAGAAGTTGGGGGGTGAGGTTAGTTGGACGGTGACGTGGACGGTGGTGGAGTTTGATGCGTAGGTAGTACTGGTTTGGTATGTGTATATATTGTAGTGGTGTCGAGGAAGGTTGGAGCTGGGTTTATATAAGTCGTGAGGGTAGAGTAGAGAAGACTGTATATAGAGTAAATCTTACACAGGAAACAGATTACTATGCCTCTGCAGAAAAATATATCCAAGTAGAACGCAACCGTAATAGTGTAGTGATATTCATTCTAGAAACTACTAACAGGTCGCGCACTAACGAATTTTATCGAAACCATCCAGGCACCACTTCTGTTCGTGGTATCTATATACAATATTCACCAGGTTCAAAATAAACCCGCATCATTGAATACTCTTTATTCCCTCAACAAAAACAAGAGCAAAATACCCGGCGCCCCCATCAACACCGCCAGCGCCCAAGTCGTCGTCCCCCAGCCCGCATTATCACGAATAAACCCACCATAGATCGGACCGATCAAGCTCCCCGCAGCCCAGGCGGCATTCATAACACCATAGCCCAGGGCCAAGCCACCACCCTTACCAAAGACATGCGGGTACTCGGCCTCCTTCTGCTCGATGATGTAGGTGATTTCGACCATGAGCGGAGGCTCGAGGATACCGCCCATGATGCCGATGAGGGCCAGGAGGGCGCACAGGACGGCTTTGTCGCTGAGGGTGTTCTCGGTGACGAAGCGCAGGCAGGTGAGCAGGGGGACGGCGGTCAGGAAGGCGCCGGCGGCCAGCCAGATGCGGCATCGAGGCCAGCGGTCGACGATGAAGCCGGTGAGCGGGTCGCCGATGTGCGGCAGCGAGAGCGGAATGAAGATGAGGCCCTGCCCGGACTGGCCCCAGCCGAAGGTGTCGTGGACGAAGAGCGGGAGGACGCTGTCGAAGCACATGATGCAGGTGGCTTGGATGAAGTACGCGAAGAGGGCGACGGCGAGACGTCGGGATTTGAGCAGTATGAGAAGACGTCCGCCAGAGCCTGTGTTGTTGTTGGTGCTGGCGGCGGCGGTGTTGCTGCGAGAGATGCGGTGGTTGCGGCTGCGCGCGTCTTCGGATTTGCTATGGATACTGGCCGTGGGGTCGTTGTGGTCGGGCGAGTTGGCGGTACACGTGGACGAGGTGTCTGTGGAGAATTCCTGCCTGCAGGGGGAGTCTGGGGAGGCTTCGGTTTCCTGGGTGGAATGAGCGGAGAGACCGCGTTCACTACTATCAATTGGATCTGCAGGGAGTCGGGACATCTGGGGTTCGGTGTCACTGTCGCTCTCGCTTTCATTCTCGGCTTTCAGCCATTTTGCGGCGTCTTTCTTCTCAATGAGAACCAGGCGGAAGAAGATATCAAGTCCGATGAAGCCAAATGCTAGACCAAAGACGGCGTAGTAGCCGGCGTGCTCATACAGGACACCACCAAGAAGAGGACCAACCATCACTCCCAGAGTCATTCCCGAGCTTGCGAGACCCATGGCGCCCCCCAGTTCGTCCGATTCTACATTGTCCGCGAGCAACGCCATTCCCACGGTCCAGACCACGGCAGCCGAGGCGCCTTGGAAGAGGCGGCCGGTGATCCACAGGGCGAGGTTGGAGCCCACGCAGAGCATGGCGGTGGAGGCTCCCATGATCACCAGCCCGACGAGGAGCGGCCATCGTCTCGATTGGATGCGGTCAGCTATATAACCGGATATTGCTGAGTGAAATGATCAGCATGTCGTGTTCGAAGAAGACTTGCTAATCTATGTCTCCGGCTTTGGTGTGGTGCAACTCACGGCAAAATGCCAATAACGTTGACCCGTAGAGGGCGAGAAGTATGGACGTCCACCCTTGCTCTGAATGGTGGAAAGAGTTAGATCTTTGCTATGCCAAAGCATGAAGAAAACATACCTTCGGCTACTGATAGCCCGACTCGTTGAGTGAGAACTGTTGGGATCACAGGAACAATCTTTCTAGAGTCAATATATACTAGTCGAGCAGAGAATGCAGTTTCGACCACCAACCAGTCCATAAAGAAGCATGTCCTATTGCCAAAGTGAGCGACTCCACACCAATTCAAAAGGAGAAAGAAAGACCATACCGTGAACATGGCAAAGGCCACCACAAACAGGATGAAGACCTTATGGGATCGCCATTCTAGACAGATTGGGCGCCTCGAAGCCAAGCCTCCAAGTTTCTCGTGATAAAAATTCCGCAGCACCATTGGGACGGTCGAGAGTGTGCTAGGGGAGAGTTTCTTTCGATACAGACAATTTTCAGGACTTGGCCCCTTTAAAAAAAAAAGACGCATGAGAAATGACTACATCGCAAAGGTGACATTTCTCCGAACACAAGGTGGATCTTTCTCAATATCCGTTGCTCCATCGCCCGAATTGGTAAAGTATTGCATATTCTATGGAATTAGATGCAAGGGCCACCAGATGACGACGCGTAGTCCTCTGGTAAATGGAGAACGTGGAGATATGGAGTCAGACGTTAAGCTTACAGGTCGCTGCGTGCCTGGGCTAAGTGTTTGGAGATGATCAACTCTCGGCTGATGAAGAGCATCAAACTGCTATGAAGTTGCATTTTCTTTTCCATATGGGTACATTCTGTTCCTTTTTCTTTTGATCATTTGAAAAATTCGAATCGTGGGATACTATTATCAATAGCTAGCCCTCTACTGTCGGAACGAGAGGAACCGGTTGCAAGAGAATGGTTTCAGTCGAAAGTCTCCAATTCGCCGGATGACGTTGACCTTGCATTACTGAGCACGTCTTCGGATGATCTTCGTCGAGCAAGTAGATGGTGGGACGACGATATAGTATCAAAGAATTGGGCGCTTGTTCTGTGGTTCGCAGACCCAAAATTTGCCTCTGGGGCCTGATTCGGTCGAGCGGACCCCATTGGAGTCAAAAGCACCAAGCTTTTTTATGATCGACTTTATGCAGCCTAAGGCTGAAGGCAAATCAGAACAAAGCGACGCCAGGCGATCCATGGATAGCCTGGACCAGGGCCTTGAATTTTGGATAATCCGATGCATTCGTCCCTCGCTCCAGGGGAAAGGCAAGGGAGGTGATGACGTGGACGGGTTAGTTAGCTTGATTGGACTGCGCCATTGAAAAAAGGCCGCGAGACCACGTTGATGGGCTTATACGTTCTGATAAATCCCTCGCACTTCCTTTCTTCAGGGAAAGGAGTAGTGCATACCGCATAGCATGTGGATCGACAGCACCTGAGTGTTTGGCACCCTCGGAGGATGGACTTCTTGGCGGAAAACAGGAAAACTCATATACTCGAATGCGCCGAAGACCGTCTTGGACGTGTCACACAGCCCTGGCATAGTGATGTGTCTCTTCCAGAGTAGGAGAAGATGAAGATGCCTCTTCTCCGTACACCGCATGAGAGCGACAGTCAGGTGCGCGCCCGAAGCGGACTAGCGCCCCGATGTCGCATCCCCGCGCAAACGACAGATGACTCATCGGCGTCGTCCCTCCTTGATCTTCCTTGCGGTCGCTCTCTGCTGTCTTCTCATTTTTATCTTCCCTTGCCAGTCCTTCCATTGTCCCATTCGACTGTCTGCAAACATGAGCGCTCCCAAGGTTGCTGAGAACATGCTCTGGGGTGGTCGATTCACCCGTGAGTCCCTCAATTGCTCCAGTTCCCAACCCTCATCTGAATCACGCCGCTAACCGGACTACTCAGAGGGCCTCGACCCCCTTATGGTCCAATATAACGAGTCTCTCCCCTACGACCGCATCCTGTGGAAGCAGGACATTGCCGGTTCCATTGCATTTGCCCGGGCCAACACCAAATCCGGCATCCTCACCCCCCACGAGTTCTCTGAGATCGAGCGCGGCTTCAAGCAGATTGCCGAGGAATGGAGCACCGACTCGTTCGTCGTCAAGGCGAACGACGAGGACATCCACACCGCAAACGAGCGTCGTCTGTCCGAGATCATCGGCAAGGAGATCGGAGGAAAGCTGCACACCGGTCGGTCCCGAAACGAGCAGGTCGCTACGGACATGCGACTCTGGCTGCGTGACGAACTCCGCAAGCTGGACAACTTCCTGTGTGACCTGATCAAGGTCTGCATTGCCCGTGCCGAGAATGACATCGAGTACATCATGCCCGGATACACGCATCTGCAGAAGGCCCAGCCCGTCCGTTGGAGCCACTGGCTCCTGTCCCACGCCACGGCCTTCGCCAGCGAGCTGCAGCGTCTGCGTGAGGTCACCCGCCGGGTCAACCGCAGCCCTCTGGGTACCGGTGCGCTGGCCGGAAACCCCTTCCAGATTGACCGGGAGCAGATGGCCAAGGAACTGGGCTTCGAGGGTCTGCTGTACAATTCGATGAACGCCGTGGCGGACCGAGACTTCGCCATGGAGACCATGCAATGGGGCAGCTCGTTCATGCTCAAGATCTCTCGCTGGGCCGAGGATCTGATCATCTACAGCAGCTTGGAGTTCGGCTACGTCCGCTTGTCGGATGCCTACTCCACCGGGTCCTCGTTGATGCCTCAGAAGAAGAACGCAGGTGAGTTAAATCCATTGCATTATGCTCCTCTAGCAACAGAAAAATGTCAAGACTAACCCCCTCAACAGACAGCCTGGAGCTTCTGCGTGGCAAGTCCGGCCGAGCATTCGGCCACATGGCCGGCCTGATGATGACCATCAAGGGCCTCCCCACCACCTACAACAAGGATCTGCAGGAGAGCATCGAGCCCCTGCTTGACCACATCAAGACCGTCAGCGACAGCATCCAGATTGCCACCGGCGTGCTCTCCACCATCACCGTCATCCCCGAGAAGATGACCGCCGCCCTGGCGCCCGAAATGCTGGCCACCGAGATCGCCGACTACCTCGTCCGCAAGGGCGTTCCCTTCCGCGAGGGTCACCACATCTCCGGCCGCGTCGTCGCCCTCGCCGAGAACCAGAACGTTCCCATGGACACGCTCTCGCTGGAGCAGCTGCAGACCGTCGACGCTCGGTTCGACGAGGCCGTCCGCGCTTGTCTGGACTACGAGCGGGCCGTCGAGCTGAAGGATGCCGTCGGTGGAACGAGCCGACGCGCCGTTCTGGAGCAGACCTCTGTTCTGCGCGGCTTGCTATAGATCTTTTTTTTTTTTTTTTTTTTTCTTTCTTTTCTTTAGGGACAGCCGGGGTTTTGCAAAAAGTTTCGGGATTTTGTATTGTAATAGATACAAGAAAAGTAGACGATCGGATCTGAATTTACGAGATATTTCGGTTTAATAGGAATGATATTCATTTTTGACCAACTGGAACTTAAACGGTCATTTTTTAACAGGAATGGAATAGTCGGAAGTGACAAGAACACCTGGAAAGCTACAGCTCATTGAGATTAACCAGGTCTTGCGTAATATACACAACAGGATCTAGGATACAGACAAATAATCATATTGCACCCAGCCTACGCAAATAAAAACAAGACTAAGAAGAAAAAGACTTAAAAAGAAGTCCGTCCTGCGCCTACACTTCCAATCCAGACCAACATCGATCCATTCGTCCTTTTATCTCTCCAATCATATACCCCAAATACATACCATCGATCAATAGCCACTTCCCCTCCTCTTTTTCTTCTACAAGCCCCTAACATTCTCATTCATTGTGACATGTGCACTCCCGGTAGATGACCTCCTCCAGCCCCAACTGGAACGATAAGCCGGTAATTCCGAGTCCTCGGCGGCATCGTACCGCATGAAGCTCATCACATGGTCGTCGCCAGACCCGAGAGTGCTGCTCTCATGATCATGGACCAGCTGGTCTAGGTTGGGCCTCAATATGACCCCATCTGCAGTGACAATTGCTTTGGCGGGCGGGACTGGGAGGTTGGGACTCTTAATGGACGAGGACTGGGGTTGGCGGGGCGAGGACTGGGGTTGAAGAGGACGCTGGCGCTCGTTGAGAGGCACGTTGATGAGCTCGCGAGCTGAGTTGGCAGCTAGCTCGGCACGTTGGCGGTAGAAGCCCGTGTCTGAAAGCTCAGGGGTGGGTTCTAGCTGTGAATGGGTTGCTCTTGTGCTGGTGCTCCTGGTGCTTGTGTCTGTGACGGGGCCTGCGTTGACGGATGTCGCTCCTGCAGCGGCGGAGGTGATTTGGTCCGCGAGGAGGGCGCCTGAGGGGGTAGAGATGGTTGTGGGGGGAGGAGAAAGTGTGACACTGGGGGAACTACTGATTGAGTGCCGGCTTGTGCGGGAGGGGAGTGAGACGAGTGTTCCTGTTCCTGGTCCTGTTGTGGAATTATTGCGAGATGATGTAGCTGTTTGGGATAGAGACGGGGAATGGTCAGAGTCTCCAAGGGGATAGAAAGTCAGTCATGAGACTTGTTGGCATCTGTAAGGGCGTGAGCTTGCAACATACCATAATAATGACTATCTTCTGATGTTAAAAGATTGTGCAAAGAACTGCGTGTAGGTGAATAACTTTTCTCATTGTGTTCGTGCGCGGGGCCACGCCAGTAAAGAAGAGTAAATCTTCTACCACGCTTCTTGCGTGAACGACGAACCAGCCAAAGTAACAAACCCAAAAGGATCAACGCTACTGCTGCTCCCCCCACGGAAACGCCGATGAGACCTCCGTTGGGTTTGTCTCCGCTGCTGCTCGCTGGGCTGTTAGTCGGAGATACTCCCGACAGCTCAGTGTACGTCTGGAGTGTCGACGCAGTCGAAGTCGAAGTCGTAGTCGTAGTCGAGGCCGTATGGGTCGTTGTTGCCGTTGCTGTCGTCGTTGTCGATGTTGACTTTGTTGATGTGGTCGAGATAGAAAAGGTCGATACGCTTGGCTTGGGTTTATCGGTGTTGTCGGTGCTGTGGTTATCGTCATCCGGGCAAATGCCCGTGTCACAAGGATTGATCGAACAACATCCCTGGAACGAACGCTTGAAGCAGACATACCAGGCCTTGCCTCCCGAGCAGGACATTCTCGGTCTGATGGCTCGGAGCGAGCGAGGCTCGAGTAAGTCATCAATCAGACGAACATAAAACGAACGGATAGCAGTCCCGACCGGCAGGAGGAGTCAGAGCAAAGGCAAGAAACAAGGCGGCGAAAGTTCAGAGGACGTTGCAGCTGCTGAACAAGGGTCACAAAGCGCGCCTGGCGTCGGGGGGGGGATCTGCAATTGCGTAGTCCCTGGATATAACTGGGCCTTATAAAGAGTGGCAAGGTGATGCTTCTTTGTCCGTCGCGGAACGCAGGTGTCTGGTAAGGACGTTCGTTGCCAGAACTTGGGTTAGCGAGGAAAGACGACATCAAGACTGGGACGATGTGGTTGTGCCGACCTGATTGATGCATTGAAGAAACGCTTCATCAGAAGAGTTGAGGTCGCTGGTAGTCGGTATCCAGCGCGAGTCTGAAGCTTCTTTGATCGAGTCACAGACAATCGGCTCGAACTAACTACCAGGAAGAGTCAGCCGCAGTGCCATGCTTGCAGATAATTTTGCCAAACATTATTCTTTGTCAACGCACAAAGAGTTATTCTTCAGCTGACGGCTGCATCAGGGATGGGGGCCGAGGGCTGAGAGAACACTTCAAACATGAAACGCGGTGCAAAGAGAAAAGAAAATAGGAAAATTGAATCATCTGGCCAGCTCACACCATGGTCAATCGCAAAAGAAAAAAGAACTCCAATTGTATGAGGTAATAAAGGGCTATAAAAGACAATATAACGTGAGTACACCAAACTCATCGCCCGGAAATAAAAAAGATAAAGGAAAAGGGAAAAAGGATGGATATACACATATGAACACAGGAAATAAACACAGCCTAGTTTTTCATGACTCTCTTTTTCCGCCCACTCAAACACTTCCACGGGTTATCGGATCAGAACCGATATCGACCCTACCTTTCATTGTGCGCTCAGCCAGTTGTCGCATCTTAGTAGACACGCTTGAAGGGGGGCACGGGCTTGCACTCGCTCTCGTCCAGGGTGTTGGCCTCAACGGAGCGGTAGTCCAAATCGATCTTGCCGTGGGGCTTCTTCTGCCACGTAAGGGTGTGCTTCATCCAGTTCTCGTCATCACGCTCAGGGAAGTCCTCACGGGCGTGGGCACCACGAGACTCCTTACGGTTGGCGGCGGCGACAGCGGTTTGGGTGCTAAAATGAATTATGTCAGCTAAAAAGGTTCCTGGGGGATCAGTTTCACGTGGTGAATACGTACGCGCAGGTCAACAAGTTCTTGAGCTCAAGGGTCTCAACGAGGTCGGAGTTCCAGATCATGCTACGATCCTTGGTGCCGACCTGGTCGAACCAGGTGTCGATCTCGGTAACCTTCTCGACACCCTCATCCAAACTCTCCTGGGTACGGAAGACACTGACGTCCGACTGCATGGCCTTCTGCATGGCGTTACGGATGTCGAAGGTCGACTTGGGGCCGTCGGCGGTACGGACGAAGTCGAGGTCCTTGATCGACTCGGCACCGGCATCGGAGCTCAGTTCACGGTGGGGAGCTCCAGGGGTGGCGATGTCGCGGACACGATGGGAAACGGCACGACCGAAAACGACAAGATCCAGAAGCGAGTTGGCACCCAGACGGTTGGCACCGTGGACGGAGACACAAGCGGCCTCGCCGCAGGCGTACAGACCGGGGACCACCTTGTCCTTGCCCTGCTCGTCAACGGTCAAGACCTCACCGGTGAACTTGGTGGGGATACCACCCATGTTGTAGTGGACGGTGGGCAGGACGGGGATGGGCTGCTTGGTAACGTCGACACCGGAGAAGATGGAGGCGGTCTCGGAGATACCGGGCAGACGCTCGTGCAGAAGCTGAGGAGGCAAGTGGCTCAGCTGCAGGTAGATGTGGTCCTTCTCAGGGCCAACACCACGGCCTTCACGGATTTCCAGGGTCATGGATCGGGAGACGACGTCACGGGAAGCCAGATCCTTGGCGGTGGGCGCGTAACGCTCCATGAAACGCTCACCCTCGGAGTTGAGCAGGTAACCACCCTCACCACGGGCTCCCTCGGTGATCAAGCAGCCGGCACCGTAGATACCAGTGGGGTGGAACTGGACGAACTCGAGATCCTGGTTGGGAAGACCGGCACGGGCAACCATGGCCATACCGTCACCGGTACAGGTGTGGGCCGAAGTGCAACTGAAGTAGGCACGTCCGTAACCACCGGTGGCCAGGACGGTGTGGTGCGCCTTGAAACGGTGCAGGGTACCATCCTCCTGGTTGTAAGCAATGATACCGCGGCACTCGCCGTCCTCCATAAGCAGGTCCAGGGCGAAGTACTCGATGAAGTAGTTGGTGTTATGGCTCAGAGACTGTCCGTAGAGGGTGTGAAGGAGGGCGTGACCAGTACGATCAGCGACGGCGCAGCAGCGGTAGGCCTGGCCACCCTTTCCGAATTCCCGCGACTGACCACCGAACGCACGCTGGTAGATAAGACCGTCCTCGGTACGAGAGAAGGGGCATCCGTAGCCTTCGAGCTCACGAACACTAGCAGGGGCTTCACGGGTCATGTAGTGGATGGCATCCTGGTCACCCAGCCAGTCGGAACCCTTCACGGTATCGTACATGTGCCACCTCCAGTCATCCTTGTGCATGCTGTACAGCAAGAAATGGTTAGCAAACCCTTTTTACCAGAAGGACAAGATTGCAATTGCCACCAAGCGCAAGCAATTAAAGGGGCCACCTACTTTCCAAGAGCAGCGTTGATACCACCCTGAGCGGCGACAGTGTGACTTCTCGTAGGGAAAAGCTTCGAAACACAGGCAGTGTTGAAGCCAGCCTCGGCCAAACCGAAAGCGGCACGCAGACCGGCACCTCCAGCACCGACGACGACGGCATCGTACTCGTGGTCCTGGGCAGACAATTAGATCCCACGTCGGACTAAACACGTCATAGAGGTATCGGCTTACAATGACGGGGTATTTCTCAGAGATGTAGCCAGTGTTCTCCTTGGCGCGCAAAGGATTGTTGGCGAATATCCGGGCTTGCGGAAGGCCGAGTTAGTTTGACGAGAGGGGATCAAGGGACCGGTATCCAATGCCTACCTGCGGGCCGAGAAGAGGAGAAAAGACGTCTCTGATCCCTCAAAGCACGGGAAATCTGCGCATTGTAGCGTGTCAGCCAACCGCGGAACCGAAGATTTGAGGGGGCAATTGATGCGATCAGGGTCGTGGGCTCGTGAGCAGGCCCTGTCGGCTACTGACCTTGGAGGCCGGAGCTAGGCTCCGCAAGCTCATGGAGCTCATACTGACGGATCAAAAGAAAAGGAACACCTTCCTAATGAGTCCGAGAGAGGAGAGGGGGGATTGAGAGGAGTGAGTGCAGACAACGGCAGAGAGGAGAATGCAGGCGATGCAGACCTCGCGAGCTGCACTTTTGGATCGTCGTTTCTGGCCGAAAGCTGGCTGACATAATCAGCCGCTCACTTGCCGACGGGGAGGACCGGGGCCGAACCCTCCAATCAGCGCGCGCGCAGTGGTAATCACCTCGGGCAGCCGGCGCGCCCTGATTGGCTGTGGCCGGCAAGGCACGTGGCCGGCCTTCCTTTTAACCCGGCCGCTGCGAGGAATTCCGGCCTCCCACGGCAGACCCGACTATTCTGGAGGTAGACCGGGGATGGCTTGTGCTGGTCGGTTTGGTCTGGGGATCCTGTCCCCGCCATGTCTGATACAAAACTCTACGGTCGGCCGGTGCCATCAGACACATATCAGCCTGACGTTCGTGACGGCCCGGGAACTCTTACCCGGATGTGGTTTGCTGAGGTAATCCCAATGCCGAAGACACGTCATGTGATAATCTGTCTGGATGACGATTGCTGCGGTATACTAATATCCTACGTAGTTACTACAAGCCGGTATTCCAGACCTACAGAACGAACGAGAAGAATGGGCCTGCAAGGTTTATCTTGTAAAAACCATAGTAGACTGAATTACGAGATAAATTGTTCATACACATCCGTCCAGCCATGCTATGTAACCCAAAGTGCAGAAGGGGGAAAGGGGGCGTCATCTAATTATACTGCATGTAGGTTGCCGTCGAGTTGAACTTGAGGTTGCCCTTGATCACCTTATCCACAGCAGCCAGGAAGTCCTTCTCCGTGGCGACCTTCCGACGCGCCCGAATGGCGAACATACCGGCCTCCGTCGCAACACTGCGGAGCTCCGCACCGGTGGCATTGGGGCACAGTCGAGAAATCAACTCCCATCGGATGTCGCGCTCCACCGACATGCTCTTGGCGTGAATGCGGAGAATGTTGGCTCGGCCCTCGACGTCCGGAAGAGAGAACTCAATCTTACGGTCGATACGTCCGGGACGCATGAGCGCAGGGTCCAGAATCGACGGTCGGTTGGTTGCGAACATGACCTTGATGTTACCGCGAGCATCGAAACCATCCAGTTGAGTAATCAGTTCAAGCATGGTACGTTGCACTTCGTTGTCACCACCAGCACCGTCGTCGAAACGAGCACCACCGACCGCATCGATTTCGTCGAAGAAGATGATGCAGGCCTTCTTGGTACGCGCCATCTCGAACAGCTCTCGAACCATTCGTGCACCCTCACCCACGTATTTCTGGACCAGTTCACTACCGATGACACGGATGAACGTAGCGTCCGTTCGATTGGCCACGGCTCGGGCGCAAAGCGTCTTACCGGTTCCGGGAGGACCGTAAAGCAGAGCACCCTTAGGCGGGTCGATACCGAGGTTGACAAAGCGCTCTGGCGATAGCAGGGGCATCTCAACGACTTCTCGCAGCTTCTCGATCTGTTCTTTGCATCCACCGACATCGCCGTACGTCACATCGGGTTTGTCTTCGACAGTCATCATCGTCACGCTGGGGTCGATCTTGGGCGGGAGGGGAAGCATGATCTGGTACTTATTCCGGTCGACACTAGACGTAGAGTCAGCAAACCGAAGCGAAAGATCTCACAGGAGCAAACATACCCAACTCTCATGCCTTCCTCGATATCCGTAGGACTCACACGCTCTCCTAGGTTGACAACGAACTTGGCGATCTGCTTGACGTTGATGACGTATTTACTCTTGTCCGTATCCTTCTCATCTTGAATGATCTTTGTGCAGCGAGCGACCTGTAGCGGTTGCTCCTCTGCCATGCGTTGTCGGTCTGCGGCAACATCCCAAAGGTGTGGAGGTGCAAGACCGGTGTCGGATTCCTAAGACGGTCAGTTCCACCCAGGAAGGACTCGGGGCAAGGGTTCAGTATACCTTGACGCCAATCTTCTCGTTTACGCTGTTCTGTTTGTCTTTGATCTGCTTTTCCAACTTCTTCAAGGCATTCGCGTACGGAGCGGCGCCGTACGTCTTCAGTACTGCGATATCACTGGGCGCCAGTCAGCCATCCCATCCATCAACCCCCCAGAAAAAC